ATATTGATCAACCAAATCGTATCGTAGGCAATGGACAAACTGTGCACCCGAATACACAGTTTATCATGTCCCTAACTCTAACCTTACAACACATCCATCCCTACCATCCATACCTACATCCATCCCTACCATCCATACCTACATCCCTCGTTTCGTTATACTAAAAGTCGTAATCTAATACAATATTAACTCTTACAACTCTAAATCCTTTACCTCCCAACGTACATATACAATACGCTAATACTTAATATTAAACTTTACGAAAATTTTCCGTAATTTCCAAAAAAAATTCCGTACTTCAAATACATTTCCGTACAAATATAAAAATTCCGTACTTCGAACCAAAATTCCGTACAAATATAAAATTTCCGCAATTTCCTAAAAAAATTCCGTACTTCAAAACTAACTCCGTCTCGGATATAAAAACCTCGCATTTTTAAAAATTTCGCTCGGATATAAAATTTTCGTATTTTCAAATTTTCCTCGGTGAAAAAGATCTCGTATTTTTAAACTTTTCGTACCTCAAAAAATAATCAAAACTCACTTACTCAATTATTTATTAATTTTCTTCTACTTATATAGATATTCAGTTTAATTAATTATCACTGTACATTTACTCCTATAATTACTGAACATATAACTTTTTTCAGAGTAACACCGTAAATATTTTAATGTGTATAAATTGATAATATTAATATTAGTACTCTTAAAACTTCTAAATTTTTAAAAAGTTTTAACACCAAATTTAAAAAAAATAAAATAAAGTTGAAAAACTATACTAATTTTTCGACATCCAAACAACTCAAACTGATTGGAAATAAGTCCAACATACTTCTGAACAATAAATTTTATTAAATATGTTGTTAGTTTGTACATTTTTATTAGTTTTTATTTGAAAAAAAAATATTGTAGAAATTTACTAATAAAAGTACTCGAATTTATTAATAAAAACACAGAATGTTGAACAACATTGTAAAATTTTGAATCAATTGATCACTTGGTTATCTAATTTATAAAATTTATCAAATTTGTTCTGTTTAATTTATTTTTTCTAATTACTATTTAATTTTTATTGACTTGAAATATTTGGACATGTAAAACACTCACTAAAAATGTAAGTGCGTAATTTTTTTGAGACATATAAAACACTCACCAAGTGCGTGAAATAAAATTTGAATTTTTTACACTACTAACAAAAAATAATTTTTCCCTTGAGAATTTTTTCTTTCTCTTGAGAATTTTCTCGCTAACAAATTTGTTAGTTTTTCTCTTGAGAATTGCGAAAATAATTTAGTATGTCACTTTTAGTTAGATTTTATTTAAATAAATTATTGATAGAAATGTACTCAGAAAAACACTCCAATTTATTAACAAATTCAAAGATTATTGAACTGTTTTTCATATCAATTGATCACTCAATAGTCTTATTCATAAACTTCATCAAATTCGATCTTTTTAATTTACTTTTTATAATTACTATTTCAATTTTATTGACTTTAAATTCTGTCTTATATTTCTTGACTTAAATTTTGTTACTAAATTTTTTCTGGTATAAATTTCACTTCATTAAATAATAAAGTATATGTTAGTGTGTGTTTTTTAAGTTCAAGGTTACCATATATGAATTACTTTAGTATTAAAGTAATAGATCTATAACTGTTTCAAATTCATTTATATACATTTCTCATATACTAAAACATTAGTATTAGTGAGCAATAATTGAAAAAAAATAAATTTCATAAATCCGAAAATCGTTTGATTTTTTTTTATTTTTTTTTTTATTTTTTTTTTTATTCTACTTTTATTTTATATTTAGTAATCAAACAATCATAATAGCAAATATTATATTTAATACCTTTATACAACTTCAATAATAGAGTTGACTTCATCATATCATTATAAATCATTCTTATTCAATTAGTATTCAATAGTACTTTTTAAAATTAAATGATTCCAAGGATTGAAGATTATGATATAAGTTTTAATAATGGTTTCTTACCAGATGAATTTCCTTTAACAAAATTACCTCAAGATTATTATAAACCATGGGAAATAATAGTTGAAAATTTACCATCATTAATATTAATAAAAGGTATTAGAAAATTAGTTGATAAATTACCATTATTAAGTATAGAACACCTAAACAATGAAAGAGAATATAGAAGAGCTTATCAAATTTTAGGATTTATTGGTCATGCATATATATGGGGTACTGATCAACCAATTGAAAAATTACCTATTCAAATTAGTGAACCTTGGATTAAAATATCTAATATTTTGGGTTTACCACCTATTGGAACTTATGCTTCATTATGTCTTTGGAACTATAAAGAAATCATACCAACTACAACTAAAAAATTTGATTTGGAGAATTTAACAACTATAAATACATTTACTGGATCAATAGATGAAAGTTGGTTTTATTTGGTTAGTGTTTATTTTGAAAAACAAGGTTCATTATCAATAAATACAGGATTATCAGCTTTAAGATGTGCAGAAAATGGAGATACCAAGAACTTAATTAAAAATTTACAAAAATTTGCAGAATCAATTGATCTTTTAGGTAGTTTATTAATGAGAATGGAAGAAATGTGTGATCCTCATATTTTTTATTTCCGTATACGACCCTATTTAGCTGGTTGGAAAAATATGTCAAGTATTGGTTTGGAAAAAGGAGTATATTATGGTGATGAAACTACTCCTAAAACTTATGCTGGTGGATCAAATGCACAATCTTCATTAATTCAATTTTTTGATATAATATTGGGTATAAAACATTCAGCAACTGGAGATTTATCACAAGATAATTCATTTATGAAAGAAATGAGAGAATATATGCCTGAAAAACATCGTCAATTTTTAAATGATTTAGATCCTTTTAGTTATACTATAGCAAATTATGTTAAAAAATCAAAAAATCAAGAATTAACATTATCTTTTGATGCATGTTTAGCAATGTTAAGATCTTTTAGAGATAAACATATACAAATTGTTACTAGATATATAATTTTACAAGCTAAAAAAATTAATAATATGGGATCAACAACAACTTTAAGATCTGGATTAGCAAGAAGGAAAAAAAATGGAGAAGAAAGAGGTACTGGTGGTACTTCATTATTACCATTTTTAAAACAATTAAGAGATGAAACTGGTAATTCATATGCTTCACAATGGGGTAAAAGAATTTTAAATAATGATTTTCAATGATTAACTAGAACAATAAAAAAAGACGCTTCATTGTTATATTATGTTTTTCAAAATTTAATTTACTTCTATGTACTATTTTATAAATTTAATTTACTTTCTACAATTTTTACTAAATCATCAATTTCAATAGTTTCTTCTTCATTATTATCTTGTCCCAACATTTTAATTTTTAATTTACCTTGTGGGAATTCTTCTTTACCTAATATAACAGCTAATTTAGCACCTGATTTTTCAGCACCTTCAAATTGTTTTCTTAAATTTCCCTTTTCTTTATATAAGAATTCACAATTTATACCATTTTTCCATAATTTATTTGAAATAGACATTCTTTCTTTTAAAAATCCATTACCAAATGCCATTACGTAAACATCAGTATGTTGAGAATTTATTTTTGTTAAATCTGTTTTTTGTTTTATTATAGAAAATAATCTTTCAACTCCAAATGATATCCCCACACATGGAATAGATTTATTATTTGAAAACATTCCAACTAAATTATCATATCTACCACCAGCTGCTATTGATCCAACACCAACATAAGCAGAAGCATCATCATCAGCTGCTAAATCTTTAGGTTTTTCTTTTAAATTTTTTGGTGGTGCTGAAGCTTCAGTAACTGCTTCATAAATTAATCCAGTATAATAATCTAAACCTCTTGCTAATGATAAATCGAATTTCAAATAGTTTTGAATTTCAAAAGCTTCAACATAATCTGCTAATACTTCCATTTCATGTAATCCTTGTTTTGCAGTTTCATTTTGTAAATCACTGTTTTTTAAAATTTCAATAACTTCACGTATTGATCCATTATGTTGAACAAATGTCCATATTTTATCTGCAATTTCTTCACTTTGTCCCTTTTCTAAAATTTCTTTCTTAACTACTTCCCATGGAGATTTATCTAATTTATCTATAGCTGATGAAACTTTACGAATATCTTCTTCCGGTACACCACATGCTTCAAATATACCATCTAAAATTTTTCTATGATTTAATTTAACTTTAAAATTTTCAATTTTTAAATCATTTAAACCTTGAATTAAAATATTTAAAATTTCAGAATCTGGAATCATTAAATCATAAGTTCCTGCAATATCAAAATCACATTGATAAAATTCTCTCATTCGACCTTTTGTCATTGCTGGTTGATCTCTTCTATAAACTTTTGCAATATGATATCTTTTAATATTACTTATATTATTACTTGCAACAAATCTTGCAAATGGTACTGTTAAATCGTACCTTAATGAAGTTAATTCACCACCTTGATCTTCTAAATTATATATTAATTTTGAATCTTCACCATATTTACCAGTTAAAATTTCTCTTAATTCAAATACTGGTGTATCAATTGTAACACCACCATGTTTTTTAAAATTGGTTGTTAATTTTTCAAAAATTGATTCTCTAATTATCATATCTTTATCAGCCCAATCTTTGGTCCCCTTGGGGGTTTTCAATAAGAAATCTGGTGTTTTAGTGGTTGTAGCTGCTTTCTTTGACATTGTTGTGATGAATCTTTTAATCATACAATGATTGTATGTATAATGGATAATAAATTTTTCAGATTCCTAAATTTTTTTGAGTCAAATCTTTTATTAAAACGAGAGACATCAATTTTATTTGTACTATATTTGAAGTGAAGACCAAATATGCAAATTACAGAAGAGTGCCTTCATGCAAGTGAAGCTGATCTAAATAAAAACTTTTATTTATATATCTTATATATATCAATTTATTTATTGTTGATTTTCATCAACTTTTTCTATTTTATAACCATGTTTTTCTTTACCTTGTCTTTTAACCCTATTCCATAAAAGATTAACATCATTAAAAATAAACCACCATAATACTCCACACCATGAATTAACTTTTGGTAATGGATCATAAAATTCTGAAGCTATACTACGTAATTTTGGTAATTTTGTCCATGCAATATATGGAAAATCATGATGTTCATTATGATAACCAACATTCCAAGTTAAATAATTTAATGAACCATAATAAGAATAAGTTTCTGGTGGAACTGGTATAACATTTGAACCATTTACTAGTTTTTGTTTTGGAGTATTATTTTCATTTAAAACATAATGTTCAGCAATAAAATGACCAGCACATGGATGTAAAGAACCTGCTAAAAATGAACTCATTATAAAATAAATAAAACTTTTCCAACCAAATAATTGAATCCACAAATTATCAAATATAACTTGAAAAACAATATTTAATAAATGAATATAAGTAAATTTAATTTGAGTTATAAACATTGGTCTTAAAGCATAAAAAAAAATTTGACAAGTTGCAAAAAATACTTTACCTAATAAATTTGATAAAAATATACCTTCATATTTTGTTGGTAAATCAGTATCTAAATATTCATCACCCATAAATTTATGATGTAATTGATGATAAGGTTGAAAAGAAGCTGAATATGGTATACCTATGGGAATATTAGTTAAAATTGCAAATAATTTATTATGAATTGGTTTTTTAAATAATAAATTATGACTTAATTCATGAATTGCTAAAAATATAGCTTGATTTGAAGTAGCTCCAATAATATAAGCTAACCAAAAAAATTTCCATGTAAAAGGTGAAGTATTTCTTAAATAATAAGCAACAAATAATTGTAATAAAACAACCATCAAAACATACCATTTAGTTTTTGGTTCATATCCAGTTAATTTTCTAACTTCAGGATATTTTTCTAATATTAATTTTCTTCTTTGTACATGAGGTTCAGTATCATTTGTCCAATAAAAATCATTTAATATATCTATTGAAGAATCAGCAGGTGGTGTAATAAATGTAAAAGTTTCATCTAATTTTCTATGTTTTATAGATGCGTCCATTATATTATTAAAACGAAAGTTGATATCATTGATTTGAGTTTTTTGCAACTAATTTAAAAAAGAAAATGAGTTGAAAAAAAATTGATTCATTTTTTATTTCTACTTGTATTTATTATTCTAGTAGAATTGTTTTGTGATTTAATTAATATTTAAAGAAAAAGGTGATTTTTTTAAAATAGAAAATTATTATTACAACCCTTTGTAATAATTGTAGATATGATATCATAATTAAAGAAGTATTAAATATCTTATTTAAATTGTTTCAACATGTAGAATTAAATTGCAAATTAATGTAAGTATTATTTTATCTACTCTTTTAAATAGAAGGAAGATCTTATCAATATATTAATATTTATTAACCGTCGGTGATAAGAATGCTACCAATTAATTTACAAGTTTCAAATATATATTAAACTTAGTAGATGGCAAATATAATCAATTCAATGGCAACCATTTTCCACTTCCTTTTTCTTTATATCAACTAATTCATAATGGAAGATTCACCAGCTAAGGTTCAAGTTTACGTATATGATTTATCAAAAGGATTAGCTAAATTATATAGTCCTATGTTATTAGGTTTTGAAATTGAAGCAATATATCATACATCAGTAGTTGTAAGAGGTCAAGAATACTATTTAGATCAAGGTATTAAAAAAATTCCAATTAAAAATCATCATTATAAATATGGACAACCAATTGAAATACTAGATATTGGAGAAACTTTTATTGATGATTCAATTATAGAAGAATTTATAACAGATTTAAATAATCATGAAGAATTAAAATATGATGCTAAAAATTATGATTTATTTAAAAATAATTGTAATCATTTTACAAATACTTTAATTGAATTTTTATGTGATGAAAAATTAAATGAAAAAATATTAAATTTACCTGAAATTGTATTAGCAAGTCCTGCTGGTTTAATGTTACAACAAATGATACAAAATAATGCGTAAATATAGTTTTAGATTTCTATTATACTAAATATATAACTAATTAATTTTATTCGGTTACAAACACCAATGAAACTCCTTCATCACCAGCTGTAATTAATTTTTTACCATTATCAACTATTGTAAAATCTAATATTCCCATATTATGACCTACACCAACAAATAATTCATCACCAGTTCTTGCATCCCATTTATATATTTTACCATTCATTGAAGAACCCACAAGTAAAGGAGTATCATCAATAAATTCTAATTTAGTTATAGCATCATCAACTTTTAAATTTTTTCTTAATCTCCATTGTTGAGTATCAAATAATAAGATATCTCCTGAAACTAATCCCACAGCTAACATATTAATATTTTTATTTTTACACCAACTTAATGCTTCTATTGATAATTCTGCAACATCTTCAACATTATCTAATGTTTTTATTGAAGATACTATTTTACCAGTATCATTATTTATTATAGATAATTGACCATCTCTACCTCCAATAGCTATTAAATTCTCATAATTACTTATAGTAACCCAAGGACTTTCAACTCCTTTAAAATCATCATGTGGTTGTAATTTATAATTTGTTGCACCAGTAAAACAATTCCAATTTATAACTGTTCCATCTTCAGATATACTTACTAAAGTTAAATCATTTTCATCTTTACTAGGTATGAATATTGCACCATTACATTCTAAAGTATGTGCAAATCCAGACATTATTTGTATTAACAGTTTATTTGATTCATCTATTTGATATACCCATATTGATCCATCATTTGCTCCAAATGCAAAAAAGGGTAATGTTGGATGTACAATTACAAATAATATTTCATCAACTTCATTTAATTCACCAAATAAATTCCATTTTTCTCCACTTTTATTTGATTTAAAAACTTGTATTAATCCTTCCATATCTGCCGTTATCAAAAATTTCCCATCATTTGTAAATCCTCCCGATATTATACTTTCCTTATGGTTTTCTATAGTTCCAACAAATTTTGGTGGTTGTGAATGAATTGTCCAAAGATATCCTAAATTATCACCACCACCAGTTAAAACCATTGGTAATTTTGGATGTGCAAAAATTGTGAATATACTATCTTCATGTTTATCAAAGTAAGTCCATGAATTATTTGACATATCTATCTCGAGAGTTTCATGATCTTCTTGTGGTTCTTCATTTATTTCCATATCTTCATCTTCTTCTTCATCTTCTTGTGGTGGTTCTTGATTATTTCCATCATCTTCATATACTTCTTCTCCAACTTCATTTATATCAATGAATTCATCTTGTTGTTCTGAGTTTTCCGGTTGTTCTTGATAATTTTGTTGTTGATCTTTTTCTTCAGACATTGTTTTGTTGATGGTTTAATTTAAGCAAATTATGAAACTAATATATTTTAAATTGAAACAAATTGATTACTAAGAGATGAGAATTATTTGCAGCTAAAATGCTACCAAATACTACACAATTAATTTCGAGTTACTAAATGTTTCAACTAATCATAAGAACATGGCAGGTCAGAGAAATTTAGGAACTTCGTCTTGCTAATTAAGTGTTTTTAATTGTTCAGTCTCTAAACTTAATTAGGATCCAAATTTTGATCCGTAATCTTGTTTTGCAGAATCTCCCTTGAAATCTCAAACTTATAACCTTGTAAATTATATTTATTTTGTTCTAACTATATAGTCCTCTCCAGATTTAGTTATATACCTTACCCAAGGATAAGATTGATATTGTAATTTAGGTTCATTAATTCTTAAATATCTAACTTGTATACCACTTGTTGTAAAATAAGGAATTGAAAAATTAACTTTTATTGGTTTTTTACTTAATATTGAATCAGTATCATTTACTGCTGGTAAACCTAATTCTGCAGTCATTGAAAACAGTTTTCCTCCAGGGAAAGTTTTTAATTTCCATATTAAACAAGATTTTTCAGGTATCCATTTTACTGAACCATATTCTGTTTCAAATTTGGGAGTATCTGCATCTTCTGGGATTGGTATTATTACTTCAACATTATTAGCTGTTGATTTTTTTTTAATTTGTGCTTTTACTGTACAATTAATTTCAATTCTTGAATGTTTATGAATTTTTGTTTTACAATTTACTAAAATTAATGGTTTCATTAAAAATTGAGCTGATGATAATCTATATGACATTAATGTAAATTCACCATCTGGTGGTATAAAAGTTATAATTTTTTCATTTTCAAATTTTGATAATCTTACACATTGATGGAATTTAATATCTTCCATTTCAACACTTTTACCATTTGAATCATCATTATTATCTCCATTACCTGTGAAAATTCCTTTATCATTAAGACCTAATCTTAAATCTGGCATACCACTTAAATGAGATTTTATTCTAATTTCACCCAAAATTTCACTATTTAATACTTGACCATTGGGTGTTATTAACATATTTATACTTTCAACAACATCTAAATATGCTTCATTCTTTTTATAACTTATTCCATCTTTTCTCCAACTTACTGCATTAGTAACAGCATTTGGTGGTGCAACTAAATGACTTGGAGTTTGTTTTATTAATGAATAATAATCTTGAGTAATATATTCTTTTAATATTTTTGTATCTGTTGTTTGTGGTATACCAAAATCCATCATTTCATCTAATAATTCATAAATTATAACAAAATTATCTCTTATACTTTCTTCTTCTAAAGATTTAAAATATTGAGTCATTACTTCAACTAATTTTGATAAAAATATTATTATTGTCATTATATTTTCATTTTTTCTTGTTAATGCACATATATATAAGTTATTATGATTTATAAAAATATAATTTATACCTTGATCATTTATAAATGGTTTATATTCTCCTTCATCATTTTCTAATTCTAATAATAATAATGGAAATTTTTCAATTGTTGTTGATGGTATATCTCCTTTATAATCTCTAGATAATAATGGTTTACCTTTTATATCTAGGAAATGTATCTGTGATGCCATATCAGGCTATTTATATGTGAATGATGATGGTGGTGATTGTGTAGTTGATAATTGGTTTCAATCTATTAAATTGATGGTTCTCTCAATTGATATTATGATTCAAGTTTTGGTCTGGAATTGAAGAAAAAGAAAAAAAGTTGATACGAAATCAAAACTGAAAAATAAAAATATAATATTAGGTGCTGCTACCAAATTTAATTGTGCCACTAACTTCTTGTGCCTCTGACCAAGTTACTTAAAATGAGACATTTCAGAGGTACAGACTGATCAATTAACATAAAGAGTCAAGTTATGCCACTAAATTACTAGTTCGGTTGAGTTGTCGCTGTTTTTTTCGTAAATTTTTCTCCGTTCATAATTTCTTATTCCATATTTTATATATTCATTAATCATTACTAATAAATTGACCTGTGCCCCGTTTTAGCTGAAGCAGCTAATGGGTATAAGTATTTAAATACGATGTTAATTAAGGCTCTTTGCAGTTAAACCAATCAATTTTTTAACTTAGTTTCATCTCGGGTTAATAGTTAACACAATCGAAAATTTGCAACAAAAATTGATGCAAAAAAAAAACATAAAAATTTAAAATTAAGCGAGTAAACTTTAGAGAACGCAATATTTTGATTTACCAAAAGATTACAAATATCTGAAACCTTTAAAGCTATTGCCAGTCAGATAAAATGTACATATCATGATTTTGAGTAGTTTGTATAAATTCATTTTATATATAGTCTATAAATTTATATACAATATATATTTGTTGTAACATTAATGCTACCAAATTCCCCACCAAAAATAAAACCCGTACCGCAACTTATTATATTTGTGTAACTGTACTATAAATTTATACGTGTTGTTTATTTATTATTCGAGATTCTCGTGTTCTCTTTGTTTATTATTGTATTATATTGATTGTATTAGTAGTTAGTAAATTTACGAAATGATCTAAAACAACCTATATTCTATAGAATGGCTTTGAACAGATTGTATTAAACTCTAATTATATATATTAACACTTTTTGTAGTCATATTCTCTGAAGAACATAAATATAAGAAGGTTTAATAATAGTTTATAATGATAAATAATAAATATAATAAATAATAATGTGTCAAAATATTAATTATACGAATCATATTATTTATTTTTCTTATCAAATAATTTTTCAGTTTAATTATTTGAATTTATAAATAATATTATGTAATGATAAGTAAGAAACTTTACAATTAAAACCCTTTTGGCTCGAATCTTATTTGAATGTACACTTTGAGTAAGATATAAATAATTGTTTATAATTAGTATATTTTATTGTTTAATTCTTTAGTTTTTAAACCATTTTAAATAACTTTAGAAAATAAAATGGTTTAATTTTAAACATTTAAATTTTTACACGTTATAAATTTTCTATTAAAATTTCAAGTTTCTCTTCATTTTGAATTCAAATATAAACATTTCAACTTCTTTTTCAATTTCATTTTTCATTTTCTATTACTTACAACCAACTACTTTTACATTCGTTTAATTATTCACTTCGTTGACAATGTTATTTAAATTATTAATTATATCAAAATTAATTTCATTAGTAATATCAATAGCACCAATAGAAGTTAAAGGTAATGCATTTTGGAATTCAGATACTGGTGAAAGATTTTATATAAGAGGTTTAGATTATCAAGCTTATGATTCTAATCAAATAATAGATGATCCTATAGCAGATACTGAAAGTTGTGAAAGAGATATTAAATATTTTAATGATTTAGGTATAAATACTGTTCGAATTTATTCTATTGATAATACAAAAAATCATACTGAATGTATGGATAGATTAGCTCAAGCTGGAATTTATGTTATATTAGATGTTAATACACCTCATGCTTCAATTACTAGATCTAATGCTAATTGTTCTTATAATTCTGATTATTTAAGAGAAGTTTTTGCTACAATTCAAGAATTTGCAATATATGATAATACTTTAGGATTTTTTGCAGGTAATGAAGTTATAAATGATGGTCCAAGTTTAGAAGCTGCACCTTATGTTAAAGCAGTAGTTAGAGATATGAAAACTTTTATTAAAAATAGATCTTTTAGAACTATTCCTGTGGGATATAGTGCAGCAAGTGTTGATGAATATAGATTAAGTTCTGCATTATATTTTAATTGTGGAGATGATGATTTAGCAAGAATTGATATGTTTGGTATTAATGATTATTCATGGTGTGGAGATGCAAGTATGACTACATCACAATATTCAAATCAAATGAAAGATTTTGCAAATTATACTATACCAGTATTTTTTTCAGAATTTGGTTGTAATACAAAAAGACCAAGACCTTTTAGTGAAATTGAAGCAATTTATTCTACTCAAATGTCATCAGTTTTTTCAGGTGGATTAGTTTATGAATATTTTGAAGAAGAAAATAATTATGGATTAGTTGAATTAAATAATGGTAATGTTACAACTAATGAAGATTTTGATAATTTAAAAAAAGAATTAAATAAAACTTCAAATCCAAGTGGTGATGGTGGTTATAATAAAAATGGAACTGCAAATAACTGTCCAGTATCAAGTAATTTATGGAATGTTACAACTGATATACCAGATACTCCAGCTGGTGCATTAGCTATGTTAAAAGGTTTAGAAGAAGTTAAAGATAATCATGGTTTTAATGCTTATACTCAAGATTGTGATGGTCATGATGAAACTGATGAAAGTGATCAATTTTCAAGTACTATTGGAGCTTCAAGTCGTGCTCCTGTTGCTACTTCTTCAAGTTCAAGTTCAAGTTCTTCTTCAACTCAAACTTCAACTGGTTCAACATCAAGACAAAACGATGGGGTTAATATGAATGTTAACTATATTATTAGTTTACTAGGTTTAATTGCAGGATTTTTTGCTTTTTAAAAAAAAGTGATGATAATTTTTTTAGTTCAAATTTTTACGTTAAAAGAAATTAGTTAGTTCTTATATATTCATTTTTTTAGAAATTCTATACTTTTTGTTTAATTCCATACATCATTTCTTCTTTATTAATTAAATGACCAATTGAATCAACTTCTTCTAATAATTTATCAACATCAAAACACCAATCATTTAATAATCCATTAATTTTATTATCACTTGTTCTTGGATCTGATCCTTCAATTCTTTTAGTTTTATCAAATTTTACAATTCCCTTTGGACGATTTATTTTTGCAACTATCTTACCATTATTAACTAATTCACTAACGTATTTTTCTGATTCATCTGTTGATAATTGTAAAAGATAAGCTAACCTATCTAATTTTATAAATTGATAAAATTTATTTATGACTCTTAAATTATGTTCTATAATTCTTTTTTGTAAATTTTCATAATTTTTTGAATCTTTGAAAATTTTTGAAGTAGTAAATTCTTGTTTATAAATAGATTCAATATTTGACCAATGTATTAATTCATCAGTTGTGAAAATTTCAAGTAATTTAAAAATTTTAGAATCAACTGTTTTAATAATATTTGGATTTTTTTGTATTTTATTTATTAAATCATTTTGATGAGGATCATAAGTTGATAATATTATATAATAAATAATTGAAATTAAATAATTTTCATATTCTTTTGATTCTTGAACTAATGGAATTTCAATTAAAAGTAATAAATTTTTAACAATAGATAAATAATCATAATCAAATATATTAATATCAATTAAAAATTTTAAATATGTCTTTTTAAATTCATCAGCTTTTTCGAAATTTTTCAATGATTTTAATAAGATTTTTCTACTTAATATTTTAGCTTGATTATAGTCCCCTTTTTGTAAAGTTAATTGAATTTGTTCCAATATATATTCAATTTTATCACTGAAAGGCATTAATGAATAAGTTTCAACTTGTAAATCACATAAAATCTCAACTGCTTTATCTAAATCATTTTTCTTATTTAAATATATTTCAGCCAATTGTTTCGACACAATAGCTCTTTCAACTTCAACAAATATCTTTTTATCAGTCACTACTCTTATAGTTTCAATTAATTTCATTTTAGTTTCTAATTGAGTAGGATCTGATTCATTTAAATTTTTCAATTCTTTAATTACTTCTTGAATGAAATATTGTATTGAAGATTTTAATTGTCCATGTTTTTTGGATAATGTTATAATTAAATCATTTAAATAATCCCAATCCTTATTTTGTGCTAATGTTGATACTATTTTCTCCAAAATTCTTTTGGAACTTGTTAAATCTGATGATTGACGAGTTTGTTTTTCTAATACTAAATATTTATCTAATTTTTGCTTGTAATCTGGGATTTTTTCAATTAATGGGAATTGTTCATCTAATGTTGCTGAAAAATCTTTTTCGGCTTTGATTGGATCCTCTCTTGACATGTTGATGTTGTGTGATTTGAACTTACTTATTGGTGGCAATATAAATTATTTGTAAGTACTTGAAAATTGAATATTGGTGAGAATCAGCGCAAAAAATTTGGTAGCGTCAGATTTGAGTTGTGAATTTGCAACACATTTTGAATCTGTAATGACAAATGATTCAATTTCTTTGATAATTTGTTTCGTTAATAACAATTCGTTATTGTAGAGATAAAGTAACAAAGCAGTAGAGACAACAAAAAAAAGTGCTTACTTGGTCACGGCGATGTCTGTCTCGAAGAAGAAGTAAAAATCAAAAATCTACCAACTACCCCACATTTAATTCGACAATTTATTCCTCAGATCTTTAAAGCTTTAGAAATAGAGGGCTTGTCTCATACAGCTCAATTTAATAGATCTTAACACCTGTAAACAACTGTAAATTTTTAAATTAGAGTGTTTCAGATTTGACATTAACCATGCTACCAAATTTTTTACCAAAACCTGTGGAAGGCATGTATTCATTGATCATTATAAATAGTTCTATAAAATAACCCATTTATTATACCATCTAACTTGTATTTACCAGAAACTCCATTAAACTATCCGTTACTTTTTTCAAATTCTTTTTTCAATAATTCATTTTCAACAATTAAACTTTGTTTACTACTTAAACTTACCATTTTCAATAATTCATCATTTTCCTTTTGTAATTGATTCATTTTATTTAATAATTTATGACTTAATTCTTCAATATCAACTGAAAAGGGGTTTGGGTTGTTTACTAAATGATTAGATACCAAAATAATTTCAATTCTTTGATTTAATTCATCAACTTCTTCACATTTTTCTTGTAATGTTTTTGATAAATCTTGAAATAATTGGAAATGATTTGTGGGGATTTTATAAGATGAAATTAATGATTCATCTTTCATTTCATAATATGATTTATTGTTTTTATTTTTTATCATTATATTAATTTGTTCAGTTAAATTTTTAATAATTTGATTTTTTAAAATTAATTCATTTCTTAATTTTGTAATTTCTTCTTTTTGTGAATCTATCTCATTACCAAATCTTGAATTTGATGTTGGTGTTTGAGGATATTTATTTGAATATTGATTTGGGATATAACTTGGTGCATTTAATAATGCATTTTTCATATATTTATTAGTTGTTGATTGAGTTGAATCTAAATCACCAAAAAAACTATTATCATAAGAATCTTTTGAACTTAATGGTTGAAATTTTTGTTGTTGTTGCCAATTTTGATTTTGATTTGAGTAGTTTGTTTGATTCCATATTCTATTCTTGGATGTAAAATCTTGTTGTTGTGATTGTTGTTGTTGATATGAAAGCGGTAAATAATCATTATTAAAATAACTTGTATTACTAGAATCAATTGTGTTGCCACCAGTAGTTGGTGTCTGATCTTGTTGTAAAGAGGAAGTATCAGAATTAAAATTCAATTGATTGATGGACTTTTGAGTTAAAGTTAGTAGGTTGCGGACTACATTTTTGTATAAAAGTATTTACATACATTTAATAAGTTTGAATCATTCATTGTTGTTGTAATAAAAAGAACATGTTACAGATAACAATTATTTTTTTCAAAATGTGTTGCAAGTAATAATTCTTAAATATTTGTTTCAGATTAAATATAATAAATTGTGACACTACATATAATAATGTGACATTTGCAGTTTACGACACTAAATAGACGCGTCTATATTTTTACAACCAAATTTAGTATTTACTTTTAGAGATCAATCTACTTTAAATAATCAAATTTATTACAACAACCAATAAAAATGGCACCAGCACCAATAACAGACAGTGATGATTCACAAACACATTCATCAAGACCAAGTGAATATGACATGGAATTTTATTATCAACGTTTATTACCTTTTAAATATATTTTTCAATGGTTAAGTCATTCCCTTAAACCAACAAAAGATTTTACAATGAGAGAATTTGCTTATGAATATAGATCAGGTGCTTATCAACGTTATAACTCGTATAATAGTGTTGAAGATTTTAAAAAATCTGTTATAAAAGCTAACCCTACACGTTTTGAAATTGGTGCTGTTTATAAAGTATCACCTAAAGAACGACAAAATTTACCAAAACAAGCTTTAAAACCATTAAGTAAAGAGTTGGTGTTTGATATTGATTTAACTGATTATGATGAAATTAGAACTTGTTGTCAGGGAACTGATATATGTTGTAAATGTTGGAAATTTATACAAGTTGGTTCTAAAATAATTGAAGATTGTTTAAGACAAGATTTTGGATTTAAACATATGATATGGGTATTTTCAGGTAGAAGAGGTGCACATTGTTGGATAAGTGATAAAAGAGCAAGGGAATTAGATGAAGTTAGTAGAAGATCAATAGTTGAATATCTAGATGTATTAGGTGCAAAACATGTTAAAACCCAAAAAGGATTACATGTAAAAAGACCATTTCATCCTCATATAGAAAGAAGTTTTGAAGTAATGAGAAATTCGTTCATTGATATAATTTTAGAAGATCAAGATCCATGGTATACCGATGCAGAAACTAGTGAAGATTCTAAAAATTGGAAACAAATAAATGATTTATTAAATTTTATACCCAATAAAGAATTACAAATCGAACTAAAGAAGAAATGGCAATCTGAAAAGAAAATATCAAGATCAAAAGATAAATGGGAAGATATAAATAATTTAGCATCTAAAATATTTAAAACAAATCTGCAAGTTACACCATTATTAGAAGCAAAAAAGGATATTATAATATATTATTTATATCCAAGATTAGATATTGAAGTATCTCGTCAAGTTATTCATTTATTAAAATCTCCATTTTGTATACATCCAGGTACTGGGAATGTTTGTGTACCTTTTAATCCATTAAAGAATATATCAGGTAATTCACAAGATGATAATTATGGATTTAATCCAACTACTTCACCAAATTTAAAAAAATTACAAGATGAATTAGAAACTTGGGAAAATAATAATACGGGAAGTAATAATGATATACCAACTTGGGACAAAACAAGTTTAAAACCATATATTGATTATTTTAAACAGTTTGTTGCGGACTTACTTAAATCAGAGGATAAAGAGAAAAGAGAGTTAGAAAATCCTTATGAATTTTAATAGATTCTAATAAATAAACTTTTTTTTTTTGCGGAAAATCTATATCTATGTATTTTAGTCTATGTAACTGGACATCCAATTTCTGAACCTTTCTCTTCCACCAAAGCTGCTTCCTCTAATGAACCTGAATTATTTTTAACAATAATAGTTTCTGTTGATATACCTTTTGGAATTTCAATTTCACCATCTTCTGGAAATAATTGTGGATCAGGTCCATGATGCCATTCTATATATTCTAATTCTTCATTATATCTAATATAACCAGAAGTTAAATAAATATCACCATACTCAAGAAATGGATAATGCCATTTTGGTATAAATATTATAGTTGGATGATCTATATTATCAAAATCTATTGTTAATTGTAATGAATATTTAACTGATTTTATATCAAATTCTGATGCTATTAAAGTACCCTTTGTTGCAATCATATATGGTCTTATTACTGCACTTGCAGCTCTTACACCATCTGGAGATGGATAACATTTTCTATATTGACGATGGTAAACATTTGAAGGTGTAGTTGAAATAATTGATGATTGTGATGAAGTGTCATCTGTTTCATATTCAGTATCTTTATCAAAGGAAGAGTCTGATGTAGTTGAAATAGTACTATTTTTAGAAGATGAAAACCCCATTTTAGTAGCAGCTGATAATTTTCTTTTTGTCTTGGTACTAACAATTGAACTTTTTCTTCTTGGTGGTGGATTTGTTGGATTTTGTGGTTCAACATCATCATCATCAGCAAATGATAAATTTCTATCATCCATTGACCAAAACGAAAAATCTTCATTATTCCAATGATCACCCCATTTATGAGTATTTGAGCTATTATAACACCAATAAGTATGCGACATATTTGCACCTTCTAAAGCATTGCTAATAGCATCTAATGCAGCAGTTTGTGAAATATATTTCCCATTTCTATAAGATCTCTTGTCATCCATATCAAATGGCATACCTGTTTCTGACATTAATACTGGCACGGGACCTAAATATTTTTCACATTCATTTCTCATTTCAATGAATTGTTTTCTTATACAATTTCTTATAGCTCTTTCACCAAATACAATACCTAATACTGGATTTAAATAACAACCTCTCATTATTCCCAAGGTATCAACATTGTATTTACTATTCCAACTTTTAAACATAAGGGATAAACCATCGTAATAATGAGGACAATATATGGTTTTATTATCTATGATTTTTCTTTCATCATTCTTTAAGTCAGGTGGTTGTTCCAAAACTGGTACCAGTAGCATTACCCAAGCATTTGGAGCATGTTTTCTTATTATATTTTTAAAATTTACATATTCATCAACAAAATGATAGTTTACAAATGTATGAACATCAATTTTAGTAAAGTTGTCAGGGTAATTATGAATAGGTAATGCTTTACTAAAAAATTCTGGTTGTAACAATAAACATTTAGAACTAATTTCTAATCTTTGTGCTTGAGTCATATCTTCTGCTGATATATCATTAACTGGCCAATCCCATATACCTTGTAATGCAAATAAACATTTCCCAAATTCCCAATCTTCATTTCTATTAAATCCATAATGTTTATCTATAATTTTTCCTTCATCAGGAGTTAACCATGCTTTTTTCCCCTTTGGATCTATAATTTTTGTACCATATTTTCTTGGTCCAGTAAGTGTAATTCTATATTCATCTACTTCACATGTAAACCCCATACCCATTTTCATAGATTGGAATGCTGTTGGAGTTGTCCCTACTCGTAGTTGTTGTTCATTTGGTATATAATTTAAATTTGGATACCCAATTAACCCACAATTAGGTTCATTCATTGATTCAAATCCTAAAATTGTACCATTTTCAATTAATTCAGGTACTCCTTTTAATATTTCCACCCAAATAAATTCAATAGCACCAAGTAATTTATTTTGTAAATAATCTTGAATATTTTCACCATCAATTTTAAATTTTGGGAAATAATTTTTACCAGCGAAAAAAGCAGTAAACATAACTAAAGCAGCTAATCTTTTATAATTTGAAGTCCATAACATTTTATGATAAATATCAGTAGAATCATGAAATCTTGGTTCATTATGTAGAATGGCAGCTTCAGTTATTGCAAAATTTTTAGGATTTAATCCAGCTGCATAAAAAGTCCACATTGGAGCTCCACTACCACCAGAATATCTTGACCATACATCTTGATGAATATCTAAAAATACATATAATCCACCAACTTCTCCAATAATTTTTAATATTTCAACTGTATAATTTGCAAAATCTTGATCATATTTACCAGGACCTTCATGTTCAATAGCTTCCCATGTTAAAACATATCTTACAGTATTATAACCCCAACTTTTAATTCTTTGAAAATGCAGTTTTGCTTCATCTAAAGGAAATGGTCTACCAACAAAAGAAACTTCATCACCATTGAAAAAAAAATTATTTGAATCAGTACAATCACCATTATATGATGTAGTATCTGGTATAACAGGTAATTTCAGTTGAGAATCCATATTAATACCTTTTAAAACAATTTTACGATCAGTTCTTGGATCATAAAAATCACCTAAATTATTTGATTCTAATGGAGTACATTCTAATATTGAATTTGTATAATTATTAGTATCAGGTATTGATTGAGTTGGTGGATAACTTCTTTTTAAACATTTAATACCACTTATTGAAATATTTGATGAAGTTGAATATAATCTTAATCTATCATGTATTGCATCATGTGCGTATCTAGCTGATCTCATAACAATCGTAAATTCATAAGTAAATGAAAAAAACAAACTAAATTAATAACAAGTGTATATCTATAAAACTGAAAATTAAATTCTAATATATTTAGTTGTAAAAATGAATGTATATTTGTAATTTTGATGATAATTATTATATTAAATTTAAGTAATTGATGATACAAAAATTATTTTACTATTTTGCTAAATTATTTTTTCTCTTTTGCAGTAGAAATAATTAAAAATTATAAGCTAATACATAATTTTATAAAACGTATAAATTAATTAATAGAAGTGTTTTAACTCAACATTTGAGTATAGAGTAAAATTACAATACTTCTGAAAATATGATTTTGATTATGATTAATATTAGAATAATTTAAAACTTTCTTTGAATAAATAATCGTACGTATCAATAAATTACATCATTGATTATCTTTTGACATATTTCTTCTATTATTTTATATTTACGTAAAAACTGGAGAAAAAAATATAGCCGACTATCTGCTACCATATACAGACAAAATTTTGAGACTATTGATATACATTATTGAAAGGCTGATACAAAAAAACCATAAACTAGTGACATGTGGTATATTATTATTCTTTTATCGAAGTTCTTCCATATATATGAGCTTACTTCTTTTGGAATGGATGTTTTGGTTTTTTAATCCTATTGTGTGAAAATAATGGTACAATTTTATCTTTCTTTTTAACTTGAGTTGAATCACCTAATTTAAAATATTTTGGTGCAAATTCATAAAGCCATTTTGGATCAATTATAGTAACACATTGCATATATTCTTTTGAAGTTAATAAAATAGTATGATATAATAAATATTCTGGATTTTTACCAAATAAACTTGATGATGGATGTAAATAAACTGTTTCATTTTTTGATAATGTTTTATAACCTTCACCTAAATGTATTGCAGTATTTTTGAAAAATCCACAACATAATGTTTTTCTAATTGAATCTAAATTTGATCCACAACTTTTTATAGGATAATTAAATTTTTGCATTATACTTCTTAATTGTTTTCTAACTTCTAATGCTCTTCTCATACTTCTTTCTTGTATAAAATTATCTTGACACCAATTTTTATTATAATTATTATTAAACCATCTTTGATATACATTTAATAAAGTTAAATGATCACCCATTATTGAATTAAATCTTGATTTTTTTTGATCAGCTAAATTTTGTTTATCTTTTGGTCTATAAAATATTGTTTGTACTGATAACATTGCAATTATACTTAAAATTTCTTCTGTACATTCAAATTCAACTGATTTAATTAAAGTTTTAGCTAATGCTGGTTCCATGGGGAATTCTGCCATATTTCTACCTAATGTTGTAATTTCTCCTTCATCATTTAATGCTTCTAACATATAAAGATCTTCTAATGATGACATTAAAGTTCTTGTTGAAGGTGGATCCATAAATTCAAAATTTATTAAATCATTTATACCCATTGCTTTTAACATTAAAATTGTATGTGATAAATTTTGTCTTTGAATTTCTGGTATTGTATTTGGTAACATTTCTTTTTCATAACTTTCTTCAGTATATAATCTATAACATTTACCTGGTCCTGTTCTACCTGCTCTACCACTTCTTTGATTTGCTTGTGCTTTACTTATTGGACAAATTTTTAAAGAATCCATACCAACTTTTGGATCATAAGCATTTAATTTAACATATCCAGGATCAATAACATAATAAATACCATCTATTGTAATTGAAGTTTCTGCTATATTAGTTGCTAAAATGACTTTTCTTGAACCCGTGGGTGTGGGCTCAAATATTTTAGTTTGCATTTCTGAAGGTAAAGCTGAATATACAGGTAAAATAATTAATTCAGATGTATCACCCAAAAGTTTCACTCTTTCTGCTAAAACTTCACAACTAGTATCAATTTCATCTTGACCTGTTAAAAATACTAAAATATCACCCGGTGCTTCTGAAATATGAATTTGCATTACTGAATCTAAAGCTGCTGCTAAATAATCCATTTCTGGTTCCCTTGTATATAAAACTTCAACAGGGAAAGTTCTTCCTGGTATATTGACAATTGGACAATTATTAAAATATTTTGAAAATTTATTAGAATCTAAAGTAGCAGATGTAACTATAACTTTTAAATTTGGATTGGCTAAGGCAGCTTTTTTCAATAAAGCAAATAATACATCTGTTGCAATGGTTCTTTCATGAGCTTCATCCAACATTATAATTGCATATTTCTTCATTTTAGGATCAGTTAATGCTTCTTTTTCCAACATACCATCAGTCATATATTTAATCTTAGTTTTAAAGGATGTATTATCATCAAATCTAACGTTATAACCAACTTCTTCACCCAAGGTACAACCTACTTCTTCTGAAACTCTTTTCGCAACAGATGTAGCTGCAACTCTTCTTGGTTGAGTACATCCAATTATCTTTGATTCTCCATCTATTATGTTTAACTTTTCTTCATATAAATATTGAACTATTTGAGTTGTTTTACCAGAACCGGTTTCACCAACAATTACTAGAAATTGATTATTTTTTATTTGCTCTATAAGGTCATTTCTCATATTAAAAACAGGTAATGATTTTCTTTGTTCGTCAATTGACATTGTAGTTGGTTTACCAAATGATACTTTTTTAGATTTTTTCCATTCAGCAATTTTAGTTTCTGTTGCTTCTTCAAATAATGGATCTTCAATCTTATTAAGTTTCAGTTTCTGCTCTTTAATTTTATCTTCTCTAAATTTTTTAGCTAATTCTGAACCATTTGATATAGCTTTTGTCATAGCACCGTCCATACTTAATATCGTATTCATACTCATACCTTCTTTACTTGTTGGTTGTTTCAAAAAATTTGGCCTCGAATTATTTAGTTCAATTTCTGTATCAATTTCTGGTTCATGATGAATAGGTTTGTTATTATCTCCATCATTATCAAACTCATTCAAATCTGGATAGTCTTCCATACTTGCAGCACCAGATGCTATTAATTGTCTTGCTTCCCATCTTTCAGGGGAAGTCATCTTCCTTTTATTTTTCGTTGTTTTATGAATGCCTCTTCCTCGATCTAATTCACCAGTAGTTTGATTGATACCTCTCATTGATAATGAAACTTTCCCATTAGGTTTTTCATCAATTATTTTGACAAATACTTTTTCATTTGGTTTCAATATAGATGAAGTTTCAGTTCTTGACCCATCGTATGATATTTGTGAAATATGACATAATCCAGAAGTATTATTGAATTCAATAAATGCTCCATAAGGTGGTGTTGAAATTACAAAACCTTCATATACATCTTCATCCAAACGTCTTTTTTTACTAGCAGATGATTTAAATGAGTCAAAATATTCTCGGATAAATGATTGTTCAAAGTCTTCCCCACCATTCTGTTTTACCAGATCCTTAAAATTGAACAATGATTGACCGCCAGATTTTTGGAATAAATCTTTTAAATAATTATTAATTAATTGAATATTTTCATTATCTAGTAAACCTAAATGCTTCTTAATTATATAATATTGTTTGTTTTCATCATTTGACATTGATTCATTTGGTTGTAATAATAATGAATCTGAGATGTTTACAATAATTTTTGTGTCAAGTCATTTTGACTTATTTCGAGACATTCAATATTAAATTTATTCTTTTTTGCAACCAAAAAATTATCATATCAAAATAATTTGCAACTAATTTTTACTAAATATAGATCGATTTCCTGATAATTTTAAAAAAAATATTTTTGATTACATTCTTTTTTACTTCAATTTTATATACAAACTACAACAACATTTATTCAATTTAATATAATATATCAACGATTTTATTCGACTTGTCAAATGAAATGCTAATATAGATAATTATTTTAACTAATTCAAATTTACAGATTATGAAATAAATTACTAACTGCCACTTTTTAGTCCAAGTGCTTACTGATTTCAATATTTCATGAACATAAATGATGCTAGCTAATAGGATTGGAGCAGAGATAAAATAAAATAGTTTTGACTGCTGCAAGTTTCAGACCAATGAGATTTACCACACTGTAAAACCCAACTGTCCTAACTTTTGTTAGATTTCATTTTGGTGAATTGCAGGTATCCGCTATTTGCTAATTATCAAATTGGTTAATTTGGTGTTCTACGTGTAGAGGCACCTTAATTTGATTCATCATGTATACTACTAACATCAATATTCTAGTGATCATCAAATTAAGCAGATAAAGTATGGATAAAAGTAGAAGAATATTTGATGTACAACTTTGAACATAATAGTGGGTACAGGATGGATTTCATTATATTTATTACTAACTGTAAAAATTATAGGCATCAAATTAATCATGCGTTGCTAGATTAATATTTGGGATTTATTTAAAATTGATCAAACACAACTTAAGCATTGGACTTTGTGGTTTGATGAGTTTGATTGATTTTGGAGCTTCATGTGGTCTTGATGAAATAAAAAGATCTTATTTATTCAATCCTACTTGCTAGCATTTAATAGTGTTCATAATTGATAATCAATAAAAAGGAATTAAGTTAGAATTTTGGTTTTATATAATAGTTGGTTAAATAAATAGTTAAATAGTTCGTTAATTAAATAGTTAAATAGCTTGTAAAATTGGTATAATTTAAAATTGTTTGGAAGATTAAAGAGCTTACAAAGTAGAAACATGCTTTTGAACTAAAAAACGAGAGTCATAGGATTACTAGACTAACTATACCGAATATAAATTTATAACATAATTAGAACCAATGTAAATAGAATAAACAAGAACTGCAAAAAAACTTGAAATAGGCGAAATAAGCTTGTGAACAAAAGAATTGAAATAATATAATCAAGGGATTGATAACTGTGATAAAATTTTAATAAATAAAAATTAACGAAATTTGAAAACAAATTGAATCTAAATTAAAGCACCAATAAATGAAATTAAACCAGCTAATAATGAGAATCTTAATCCCGAACCTGAACCTTCATGAACTGAAATAACTCCTGATTCGTGTGACCCAACTATAGTTGATCCTGAATTTGATTGAGCAGCAACTGTTGGTGCTGGGGTCCAAGAAACATATGAAGTATATCCAGTAGCAGATTTAGTAACAACTGACCAACCAGTTGTAATAGTATGAACTTCACCACCCGCAGCTGTTGATTTAATAATTGTAGTTGGAATTTCAGTTGGAAGATATGTAGTATATGTTTTTGCTCCTTCAGTAACAATATTATAACCAGTTGTATATTTATGAACGATACCTCCTTCTGTTGATTCAATAATAGTTGTTGGAACACTCAATGGGCAATAAGTAGTGTAGATTGTTTCTGCTTCTGAAATATATTTATAACCTGAAGTATGAATGTATGTTGAACCTTCTGAAACACTAGTAATATAAGTTATTTCATATTCACTTGATAATGGACAATAAGTTGTATATGTTGTATAATCATTTGTAATTGTTGTTACACCAGTAGTAATAGTTGAAAATGGAGTACAATGACTTTCAGAACATGACGTAATTGTAACGACTGTTTTTGATGCAGCTTCAATGGTTTCTATTTCAGTTGATAATGGGCAGTAAGTTGTATAAGTAGTTTCAGCTTCGGTGATTGTTGTTAATCCTGTTGTAAGAGTTGCAGCAGCTGAACAGTGACCTTCACTACATGATGTGATTGTGAGAGTTATTTCTTTTGGACTTGAACCGGAACCGCTACCTGATCCATTACCTGAACCACTTCCTGAACCACTACCTGAACCACTTCCTGAACCACTACCTGAACCATTTCCTGAACCACTTCCTGAACCACTTCCTGAACCACTTCCTGAACCACTTCCTGAACCACTTCCTGAACCACTTCCTGAACCTGAACCATTTCCTGAACCATTACCTGATCCACTTCCTGATTCATTACCTGATCCGTTATCTGATCCATTACTTGATCCTCTTCCTGATCCACTTCCTGAACCACTTCCCGAACCACTTCCTGAACCATTACCTGATCCATTACCTGATCCATTACCTGAACCACTTCCTGAACCACTTCCTGAACCATTACCTGAACCACTTCCTGATCCATTTCCTGATCCATTACCTGATCCATTACCTGATCCATTACCTGATCCTGTGCTTGGACCCGTTGAGTTTGACCATGCAAATCCTGATGAACTAGCTGGTAAAACTGGTATACTTGATGAAATTGGTCCCAATTCACTTGAAGAAATTGAAGCTGGTTTAGCTGAAGAAATTGGAGCTACAACATCAGATGATTTAGGTGATTGAACAATAACACTTGATACACCTGATGAAATAGGTGGTGGTTGAATAACTTCACTTGAAAAACCCGGAACTGAAATGACTAAAGCACTTGATGGTGCACCTGGTGCGATTGAAATTGCAACAGATGAAACTGGTGGAGCTGGAGCGGCATTTGATGACGCTGGTGGAGCTGGAGCTACGTTTGATGAAGCTGGTGGAGCTGGAGCGGTATTCGATGAAGCTGGTGGAGCTGGTGCAACATCTGATGAGGCTGGTGGAGCTGGAAAATAATTTGAAGAAGCTGGGGGAGCTGGAGCTACGTTTGATGAAGCTGGTGGAGCTGGAGCGGCATTCGATGAAGCTGGTGGAGCTGGAGCAACATCTGATGATGCTGGTGGAGCTGGAGCGGCATTTGATGAAGCTGGTGGAGCTGGTGCAACATCTGATGATGCTGGTGGAGCTGGAGCGGCATTTGATGAAGCTGGTGGAGCTGGAGCAACATCTGATGATGCTGGTGGAGCTGGAAAATAATTTGAAGAAGCTGGTGGAGCTGGAGCTACGTTTGATGAAGCTGGTGGAGCTGGAGCGGCATTTGATGATGCTGGTGGAGCTGGAGCAACATCTGATGATGCTGGTGGAGCTGGAGCGGCATTTGAAGAAGCTGGTGGAGCTGGAGCAACATTCGAAGAAGCTGGTGGAGCTGGAACAACATCTGATGAAGCTGGTAGAGCTGGAGCGGCATTTGATGAAGCAGGAGGTTCATCAATTTTAGTGTAACCTGGAAAAAGTGAACAATAAGTATTATAAAATTGAACTTTGGACATTGCACCAGCACCATATTTAGGATCAAGACAACTGTAAAGACAATTTTGCCATGCATTAAGACGCTCATTACCTGGGGCATTGTGACAAACACAATCAAATTGAACTTGTTTATCACTTATATCTCCTTTACAACCCCACATAAGTTGATTAGCATATATACAAACTGGGTCCGATTCTGAACAAGAATGTAAATCTCTTTTATCAATACCAAATACATTAGGAAGGATTGGATCTATAGCTGATGCAATTGCAACTGAAGTGAGTGATAAAATTGACAATAATTTCATTATTGAATTAAGCGAATGAATGAAAATGTGAAATATTTAATTGACGTTTAAAGATGGGAAATTTGACAAACCTAATTGACAATTGAAATTTGTTAATTATTTATATTCAAATATCATGATAAGTATGAATCTAGAAATTCATCTCGTATTTGAAAACATTTATTAAAACTTGTTTAAATTATCCTTGTTCCATGGACTTTATACATAATGTGATTTTCTATATTGCATCTGAACAACGTTTCCAAAATTAATATTTGCACAACTAATAGTTACATCTTCACGGCATTTTGAACTGATTTCTTCTTCAATAATAACATCAAAGCTTGAAAGTCAAATGGTTAAGTGATTGGCAACTTCCATATATCAATTAACTCATTCCACGTCAACACGGAATTCTTGCTGCATTGATATTCCTTATCAAACTTTATTAAATTGTTTAAATACGTCAAATTTTTACACCAAAATAGTAACTGCCTAGTTAAATTTGTTTTGATCTCAACTAAAACCATTCAAATTTCGTAAATTGACCATTCTATTAATCATTTAATAACACCTTCATAATAATTATATAATAATGCTGTTCTTGTAATAGTAATGATAATCTCTTAATATTTATTAATGAATAATTAATATTTACGAATAATTTGATTAAAGTATGTATTTATTTTTGTGAGATTAATTAAGTCTGAAACTACAACCGATCTTATAACAAAATTCAAGAACGATTTATCATTATTAATCAAAAAATCATTATCAAATTCATTTATTCTAGTTTGAATTTTTTTTTAGAGTTTGACAGAACAGGCTTAAAATTGACATATTCTATTATTTTCATCATATGCTAACTTCAATCCTCTACTGAGATCTGAAATTGAAAGTTGCTGAATTTAAGCTTTGCGTTTGCATTAATCATATTGGATTATCTAAATTTAATAAGTAGCCCAACGGAAGTTTAAATCTTCAATTGTGGGATAGTATTCAAACGAGTAATAATATACAATTTTGTTAATTTAAAACTACTAAAAATTCAAAATACGAAATTTAATGATGCAGGAGTTATGAGTAAGTTCTTATTCTTGCTTGCAATTTTACCATTTAAAGATTGAATATACTCTTATGCTTGCCATGTATAGTATCGAGCAAGTTTTATAAAGTATTTAAACACCCTTCGTTACTATAATATGTAGAGTTTCATAATTTATTCTGGGTGATGTTACTACTACTGAAATTAAAGCGACTTTTTTGTGTTTGAAAGGTATCAAATTTCATAATTAGAACGATTTTTGAGTCTATTCAGATCATATTCGTAATTTTTAGTTTCTATTAGAAACGTAAATCTTGTAAAGAACAAATAATTAAAGATTATGAACCCTTTGTTTTTGAAATAACCATGTGTCTCCGTGCATAACTATTCAGAATTAATTTTGTATTTTTATTTTCATAGATCAACTTTGTGGGGGATATTTCAAATGTAAGATACGAAATATTTATTAGATTTATTAATAGATTTCATGTATGTTAAGATTTACGGAGAACAAATTTCAATGTAATATTCAATGTAACAATTTGTGATATCGAGTAATCAAAGTTGGAGGATGGGCGCAGATTTTTGGGAGGATATGAAAGTAAGAAGGTTAGAATATGAATAGAACTTATCTTAAGTAAGAATTGATATCACACATAAAATGCTCTTCTAATTAAAAATTTTATATAAGCTACATACAAAATTAACACTTCAAGATAAAAGAAAATTTTATAATTAAAGTCAACGCTAGCTTTTTAATGTATTAAAATCGATTGAACCCATCTTGTTGGCAAGTAATTGAATCTCCGTTAATTTATCATTGAGTTGTAAAGATTTTTTTGAAAATTTGGTCAGTAATTAACCATTAAAATGGAATTTATGGAATTAATCTTTCGAAACAGATAAAGCACCGTTAAATCCTACTTAAATTTGGCAGTTGTTTCGTTGGATATAAATGTTTATCTGCCCTTTAAAATAAGTATTTGATCTCTTTGATCTCTATTCAGGTTCATCTAATCTTAGTTCCTTTATCTTTTTGGGTGCTCAGTCTTATTTCAAATCTCAACTCCCAATAAAAAAATTAAAGTTTACGAGCTAAGAAAAAGTTGGAGTCGAGTTTCATAACAGCTTTTGTTGATGTACCCTTTGGTCAATTCCACCAGCTTCTGGAAATAATTGTAGATCAGGTCCATGATGCCATTCTATATATTCTGATTCTTCATTAGATCTAATATAACCAGAAGTTAAATAATTATATCACCATATTTGAGAAATGGATATCGCCATTTTGGTATAAATATGGTAGTTGAATGATCTATATAATCAAAATCTATTGTTAATTGTAATGAATATTTAACTGATTTTATATCAAATTCTGATGCTATTAAAGTACCTTTTGTTGCAAACATATATGGTCTTATTACTGCACTTGCGGCTCTTACACCATCTGGAGATGGATAACATTTTCTATATTGACGATGGTAAACATTTGAAGGTGTAGTTGAAATAATTGATGATTGTGATGAAGTGTCATCTGTTTCATATTCAGTATCTTTATCAAAGGAAGAGTCTGATGTAGTTGAAATAGTACTATTTTTAGAAGATGAAAACCCCATTTTAGTAGCTGATGATAATGTTCTTTTTGTCTTGGTACTAACTATTGACGTTTTTCTTCTTGGTGGTGGATTTGTTAAATTTTGTGGTTCAACATCAACATCATCAGCAAATGATATATTTCTATCAACACCAAAATACTATATTTATAATTGAACCAATTTTGATATACATTTAATAAAGTTAAATGATCACCCATTACATTACTGAGATAAATCTTGCTTTTTTTTGATCAGCTAAATTTTGTTTGACTTTTGGTTTATGAGATATTGTTTGTACCGATAACGCTGCAATTATACTAAGAACTTCTTCTGTACATTCAAATTCAACTGATTTATAAAAGTTCCAGCTAATGCTGGTTCCATTGGAAAATCTGCCATATTTCTACCTAATGTTGTAATTTCTCCTTCATCACCTAATGCTTCCAACATATAAAGATCTTCCAATGATGATATTAAAGTTCTTGTTGAAGGTAGATCCATAAATTCAAAATTAATTAAATCATTTATACCCATTGCTTTTAACATTAAAATTGTATGTGATAAATTTTGTCTTTGAATTTCTGGTATTGTATTTGGTAACATTTCTTTTTCATAACTTTCTTCAGTATATAGTCTATAACATTTACCTGGTCCTGTTCTACCTGCTCTACCACTTCTTTGATTTGCTTGAGCTTTACTTATTGGACAAATTTTAAAGGAATCCATACCAACTTTTGGATCGTAAGCATCTAGTTTTATATACCCTGGATCAATAACATAGTAAATACCATCTATTGTAATCGAAGTTTCTGCTATGTTAATTGCTAAGATTAACCTATAGGTGTCGGCTAAAATATTTTAGTTAGAATTTTTGAAGGCAAAGATGAATAAACAGGTAAAACAACTAATTCAAATGTATTACCCTAAAGTTTCACTCTCTCTGCCAAGTTTTCACAACTAGTATCAATTTCATCTTGACCTGTTAAAAGTACTAAAATATCACCTGCTGCTTCTGAAATATGAATTTACATTACAGAAATAATGTTGCCGCTAAATAATCCATTTCTGGTTCTCTTGTATATAAAACTTCAACAGAAAAGGTTCTTCCTGGTATATTGACAATTGGATATTTATTAAAATATTTGAAAAACTCATTAGAATCCATAGTGGCAGGATGTAACTATAACTTTTAAATCTGAATTGGCTAAAGCAGCTTTTCTCAATAAAACAGATAATACATCTGTTGCAATGGTTCTTTCATGAGCTTCATCCAACATAATTATTGCATATTTCTTCATTTCAGGATCAGTTAATGCTTCTTTTTCCAACATTCCATCAGTCATATATTTAATCTTTGATTTAAAAGATGTATTATCATCAAATCTAACCTTATAACCAACTTCTTCACCCAAGGTACAACCAACTTCTTCTGATACTCTTTTTGCAACAGATGTAGCTGCAACTCTTCTTGGTTGAGTACATCCAATTATTTTTGATTCTCCATTGATTATGTTCAATTTTTCTTCATATAGATATTGAACTATTTGAGTTGTTTTACCAGAACCAGTTTCACCAACAATTACGAGAAATTGATTATTTTTTATTTGCTCTATAAGGTCATTCCTCATATTAAATACAGGTAAGGATTTTCTTTGTTCGTCAATTGACATTGTAGTTGGTTTACTAAATGATACCTTTTTGGATTTTTTCCATTCAGCAATTTTAGTTTCTGTTGCTTCTTCAAATAATGGATCTTCAATCTTATTAAGTTTCAGTTTCTGCTCTTTAATTTTATCTTCTCTAAATTTTTTAGCTAATTCTGAACCATTTGATATAGCTTTTGTCATAGCACCGTCCATACTTAATATCGTATTCATAGTCATACATTCTTTACTTGTTGGTTGTTTCAAAAAGCTTGGCCTCGAATTATTTAGTTCAATTTCTGTATCAATTTCTGGTTCGTGATGAATAGGGTTGTTATCATCACCATCATTATCAAACTCATTCAAATCTGGATAGTCTTCCATACTTGCAGCACCAGATGCTATTAATTGTCTTGCTTCCCATCTTTCAGGGGAAGTCATCTTCCTTTTAGTTTTCGTTGTTTTATGAATGCCTCTTCCTCGATCTAATTCACCAGTAGTTTGATTGATACCTCTCATTGATAATGAAATTTTCCCATTAGGTTTTTCATCTATTATTTTGACGAATACCTTTTCATTTGGTTTCAATATAGATGAAGTTTCAGTTCTCGACCCATCATATGATATTTGTGAAATATGACATAATCCAGAAGTATTGTTAAATTCAATAAATGCTCCATAAGGTGGTGTTGAAATTACAATACCTTCATATATATTATCATCCAAACGCCTTTTTCTACTTGTAGATAAATTGAATGAGTCAAAATATTCTCGGATAAATGATTGTTCAAAGTCTTCCCCACCATTCTGTTTTACCAGATCCTTAAAATTGAACAATGATTGACCGCCAGATTTTTGGAATAAATCTTTCAAATGATTATTAATTAATTGAACGTTTTCATTATCTAGTAAACCTAAATGCTTTTTAATAATATCATATTGTCTGTATTCATCATTTGACATTGATTCATTTGGTTGTAAAAATAATGAACATGATGATACAAAGATGTTTACAATTATTTTTGTGTCAAGTCATTTGTACATATTTTGAGACATTCAATATAAAAGTTTTTTTTTTTTGCAACCAAAAAATTATCATATCAACTTTATTTGCAACTAATTTTTACTAAATATAGATCGATTTCCTGATATTTAAAAAATCTACTTTTGAATTACAACAATTTTTTGCTTCAATTTTGTATACACACTACAACAGCATTAATTCCATTCAATATGAAATTCAACGGATTTATTTGATTTATCAAATGAAATGATAATATAGATGATTATTTTAACTAATTCAAATTTACAGATTATGAATTGAATTGCTAACTGTCACATCCTAGTCCAAGTGCTTACTGATTTCAATATTTTATGAACATAAATGATGCTAGCTAATAGGATTGGAGCAGAGATTAAATAAAATAGTTTTGACTGCTGCAAGTTTCAGACCAATGAGATTTACCAAACTGTAAAACCCAACTGACCTAACTTTTGTTAGATTTAATTTTTGGTGAATTGCAGGTATTCCGCTATTTATTAAAAATTGGTTAATTTGGTGTTCCACATGTAGAGGCATCTTAATTGAAATTTCAAATTCATCATGTATACTACTAACATCAATATTCTAGTGATCTTCAAATAAGCAGAAAAAGTATGGATAAAACTATAAGAATATTTGATGTACAACATTGAACATAATAGTGGGATACAGGATGGATCTCATTATATTTATTACTAACTGTAAAAATTATAGGCATCAAATTAATCATGCGTTGCTAGATTAATATTTGGGATTTATTTAAGATTGGTCAAACACAATTTAAGCATTGGACTTTGTGGTTTGATGAGTTTGATTGATTTTGGAGCTTCATGTGGTCTTGATGAAATATAGAGATCTTATTTATTCAATCCTGTTTGCTAGCATTTAATAGTGTTCATAATTGATTATCACTAAGAATTAATTAAGTCAGAATTTGGTTTTATATAGTTGGTTAATTAAATAGTTAAATAACTTGTAAAAGTGTAATAATTTAGAATCGTTTGGAAGATTAAAGAGCTTACAATGTAAAATCATGCTATTGAACTAAAAAATGAGAGTCATTTTATTACTAGACTAACTATACCGAAAATAAATTTATATCATGAACAGAAACAATGTAAATAGAATAAAAACTGCAAAAAAACTTGAAATTGGCGAAATAAGCTTGTGAACAAAAGAATTGAAATAATATAATAAAGAAATTGATAACTGTGATGAAAGTTTAATAAATAAATATTAACGAAATTTGAAAACAAATTGAATCTAAAATAAAGCACCAATAAATGAAATTAAACCAGCTAATAATGAGAATCTTAAACCCGATCCTGAACCTTCTTGAACTGAAATGACTCCTGATTCGTGTGATCCAATTACAGTTGATCCTGAAATGGATTCAGCAGCAACTGTTGGTGCTGGTGTCCAAGAAACATATGAAGTATATCCAGTAGCAGTTTTAGTAACAACTGACCAACCAGTTGTAAAAGTATGAACTTCACCACCTGCAGCTGTTGATTCAATAATTGTAGTTGGGACTTCAGTAGGACAATATGTAGTATATGTTTTTGCTCCTTCACTAACAATAGTATAACCAGTTGTATATGTGTGAACAATACCTCCTTCAGTAGATTCAATAACAGTAGTTGGAACACTCAATGGGCAATAAGTAGTGTAGATTGTTTCTGCTTCTGAGATATATTTATAACCTGAAGTATGAATGTATGTTGAACCTTCTGAAACACTAGTAATATAAGTTATTTCATATTCACTTGATAATGGACAATAAGTTGTATATGTTGTATAATCATTTGTAATTGTTGTTACACCGGTAGTAAAAGTTGAAATTGGAGTACAATGACCTTCAGAACATGACGTAATTGTAACGATCGTTTTTGATGCAGCTTCAATGGTTTCTTTTGCAGTTGATAATGGGCAATAAGTTGTATAAGTAGTGTCTGCTTCAGTAATTGTAGTTAATCCTGTTGTAAGAGTTGCAGCAGCTGAACAATGACCTTCACTACATGATGTGATTGTAAGTGTTATTTCTTTTGGACTTGAACCTGATCCACTACCTGATCCACTTCCTGATCCACTACCTGATCCACTACCTGATCCACTTCCTGATTCATTACCTGATCCACTACCTGATCCACTTCCTGATTCATTACCTGATCCATTTCCTGATCCACTTCCTGATCCATTACCTGATCCACTTCCTGATCCATTTCCTGATCCACTTCCTGATCCTTCATTACCTGATCCATTTCCTGATCCACTTCCTGATCCATTACCTGATCCACTTCCTGATTCATTACCTGATCCATTACCTGATCCACTTCCTGATTCATTACCTGATCCATTACCTGATCCACTTCCTGATCCTTCATTACCTGATCCATTTCCTGATCCACTTCCTGATCCATTACCTGATCCACTTCCTGATCCATTACCTGATCCACTTCCTGATCCTTCATTACCTGATCCATTTCCTGATCCATTTCCTGATCCATTACCTGATCCACTACCTGATCCAGTGCTTGGACCGGTTGAATTTGACCATGCAAAACCTGATGAACTAGCTGGTAAAACTGGAATACTTGATGAAATTGGTCCTAATTTGCTTGAAGAAATTGAAGCTGGTTTAGCTGAAGAAACTGGGGCTACAACATCAGATGATTTAGGTGATTGAACAATAACACTTGATACACCTGATGAAATTGGTGGTGGTTGAATAACATCACTTGAAAAACCTGGAACTGAAATAACTATAGCACTTGATGGTGCACCTGGGGCAATTGAAATTGCAACAGATGAAGCTGGTGGAGCTGGAGCAACATTCGAAGAAGCTGGTGGAGCTGGAAAATAATTCGAAGAAGCTGGTGGAGCTGGAGCTACGTTTGATGATGCTGGTGGAGCTGGTGCTGAAGAAGCTGGTGGAGCTGGTGCAACATTTGAAGAAGCTGGTGGAGCTGGAACAACATTTGAAGAAGCTGGTGGAGCTGGAACAACATTTGAAGAAGCTGGTGGAGCTGGAGCTACATTTGATGATGCTGGTGGAGCTGGAGCGGCATTTGATGAAGCTGGTGGAGCTGGAGCAACATTTGATGAAGCTGGTGGAGCTGGAGCAACATTTGATGAGTCTGGTGGAGCTGGAGCGGCATTTGATGAAGCTGGTGGTGCTGGTGCAACATTTGAAGAAGCAGGAGGTCCATCAATTTTAGTCCAACCTGGTAAGAGTGAACAGTAACCATTATAAAAATCAACTTGGCTCACCGCACCATATTTAGGATCAAGACAAATACTAAAACAAGATTGCCATGCATTAATATAAGGATTACCTACTTCATTGTGACAAACACAGTTAAATAGAACGGCATTATCTCTTACATCCCCATTACAACCCAACTCAAGTTCATTAGCATAAATACATGCTTGTGTTGATTGTGAACAAGAATGTAAATCTCTTTTTTCAATACCAAATACATTAGGAAGATATGGATCTATTGCTGTTGCGATTGCAATTGAAGTGAGCGATAAAGTTGACAATAATTTCATTATTTAATTAAGCGAATGAATGAATATATGATGAAATAGTTAATTGATGTTTGATAATGAGACAGTTGCAAATTTAATTGACAATTGTAGAAAATTTTGTAATTATTTATATTCAAATATCATGACAACTTTGAATCTAGAAATTCAACTCGTATTTGAAAACATTTATTAAATTTACCTGAATCATCCTTGTTCCATGGACTTTAAACAATATGAGATTTTCTGTATTGCATCTGAACAATGATTCTGAATTTAATATTTGCACAACTAATAATTACATCTTTACGGCATTTTGAACTGATTTCTTCTTCTATAATAACATCAAGTCAGCTTGAAAGTCAAATGCTTAAGTGATTGACAGCTTCTATAAATCAATTAACTCATTCCACGTCAACACGGAATTCTTGCTGCATTGATATTCCTTATCAAACTTTAATAAATTGTCTAAATACGTCAAAACTTTACACCAAAATAGTAACTGCATCATAAAATTTGTTTTGATCTTAACTAAATTTATTCATATTTCGTAAATTGACCATTCTATTAATCACTTAATAATACTTTACTAATAATCATACAATAATGTTGTCCTTGTAATAATAAAAATACTCGCTTATGAAATTTATTTATGAATATTAAATTTTACGAATAATTTAATTATTAATTTATTAAATTCATTTTTGTGAGATTAATTATGTCTGAAACTACAACTGATCTTATAACAAAGTTAAAGAATGATTTATCATTATTGATTATAATTTATCATTAATTTCATTTATTCTAGTCTAAATTACTAGATGTTGATAGATTAGACTTAAAAACTGACATTTTCTATGAGTCTCATAATATGAAAACTTCAATCTTCTAGTGAGATCTTGAATTGAGATTTGTTAATTTTAAACTTTGCGTTTGCATTTATGTTCTTTGCGTTTCCGTTTCAATCTCTAATAAGTAGTCCAACCGAAGTTGAAATCTTCACATGTGGGTTAGTATCCAGGTAAGTAGTAATTTACAATTTTGCCAATTCAAACCTATTAAAAATTCAAGATACGAAATTTAATGATGCATGAGATATGAGAAAATTCTTATCTTTGCTTGCAAATTTACCTTCTACAGACAGAAATCACCATTTTTTCTTGTCATAATATATGGAGCATAATTTGTAGAGTATTTAATGGAAATCTCTAATTATTCGGTTTGATGGCACTGAAAGTACTTCAAATTTTTAGTTCGTAAATTGAATCAAAACTTGTATTGTACAAGTTTAATTAAATCGCAAAATAGTTTGTTCAATTGGAACCACTTGAAATTGCTTGATGTGTATAACTACTAACATTATTCTTCGATTGCTCGTACTGGTAGTTTTACTTCCTTTGTGAATAATCTAACGTTGTACCTCTGAACTAAAAATTATTGACGATCCAGATTGCAGCCAAATTTTTAAGTGTCAATTTAATTATTGTGGGGGATATTTCATTATTGTGGGGGATTAAAAATGCTATGAAATCCAAGTCTAGACTACTTAACAATATTCAAGCTAAAGATAATTTCATCTTTGGGAACAATCATTTGACATTTTTTCACGTAGAAGTTCGACTAGAAAATTGAAAATATGAAAACAATTAATTTTTATAGTAGAAAGTCGATGATCGTATTAAAGTTTAGTTTTCGTTCAATCAGTTCATGCTTAAATTTTTGGCTATCAAGAGAATTTGATGATTTAACCTAAATGGTAAGAATGATCAATACAGGCTTATATGATTTACATAGCAACTTATTGGTACCTATTTAAGTTTATTTGATTTGGTCTGGTCAAACATATTTAAACTGAAAATTTTTCATCGCTTTGTTTCAAGTTTTGGTGGAAGATCAACGCCATTTTATATCCGTTTTGAATGACTGGGAGACAACAATATTATAAATACAACTCCACTTCTCAATTGGCTGAATTATTAGAATTATAATATCTTCATCACTTGAAGCTACGGTAATAATACGAATAATTTGAGAAAGTCAAGAATTCATGGGTAAAAACAGCTGATGTTACAACTTGATAGGTAGTAACACAAACTTCACAGCTGAATCGCTATAATTTCGGGACCTTTAATATGGGTTTTAATAATAATAAAACTAATTGAATTGATTCGAATAAATTGAAATTTAAGTATGACATCTAAGGTTAATTTATTTTTTACTGCAATAATTTCAACTCCGCATAAAAATTATTTTTTAAGAGTTGATTTCAAATCGGAAGTATAGAAATTTTATTATTTTATTCAAAATGATTAAGAGAATGGAAAAAGTTTTAAGCTAAGAAAATAGTATTTATAATGCTTAGGTGGGTTTGAATTATAAAATGCTTGATATTCCCTCAAATTAAAGGGTACTTCTTTACGTCACTACCAAAATGTCTAATAAAGTTTATGAAACAGTTGAGGTTCTCGAGAACAATTATGGAAATCCAGACTTGGTATCAGAACCAAGTTCAAAAGAATTAAGCGAAATTGATCCAGTACATGAAACAAATGAGTTAGCAAAAGAGTTGGGGATAAATCAAAAAAAATTGCAATGGAAAGTTGATATTTGTGTGGTTCCACCATTTTGTTTGTTATATTTTTTGGCATTTTTAGATAGAGTTAATATCTCAAATGCAAACCTTTATGGTTTGTCGGTTGATTTAGATATGACTGGTACGCAATATAACATAGCATTATGTATGTTTTTTGTTCCATATATTTTTTTTGAATTATTAAGTAATTATACTATTAAATTTGTTAAACCCCACATATGGTTATCTGGATCAGTATTTTTATTTGGAAGTATTACACTAGGTATTGCATTTGTTAAAACAACTGAACATCTTTATGTTGCAAGATTTTTTTTGGGAGTAACTGAATCTGCATTATTTTGTGGAATTTTTTATGTTTTGGCAACTTATTTCACTCAAATGGAATCACTTAGAAGATTCACTGCTTTTTTTTCTGCTACTTCATTAAGTGGTGCAGCAAGTTCGCTGATTGCTTATAGAGTTAATGAATTACATGGTAGAGCTGGTCTTAGCTCATGGAGATGGTTATTTTTGGTTCAAGGTGTTGTAACAGTTGCTTGTTCATTTCTTTTGTTTTTCACAATTTCAGATTTCCCAGAAACAAATAGATATTTATCTGATAATGAAAGAAAATTTTTGAAAAAAAAATTAGAGTTCCATGCTGGTATAAAATCATCATACGAAATTAAAAATACATTTTGGGATGCTTTGAAATGTTTAAAAGATTGGATGATTTGGTTACCTACATTAGCCTATTTTGGTTTAGTTATACCTTCATATGGTTATGCATATTTTGCAGCAACTATTATTCAAGAATTAGGTTATACTGCAGTTTCTGCTCAATTACATTCAGTTTATCCTTGGCTTTGCTCGTTTGCTACCAGTAACGTTGTGGCATTTTGTTCAGATTTTACCGGTTATAGAGTTCCATTTGTGGTTGGTGCAAGTTTAACTGCAATTACTGGATTATGTATGATTTTAGTTGCAACTGAAAATCCAACTATTAGATATGCTGGTTGCTTTTTATCAGTTACTGGGTGTTATACTGCAATGCCAGTTTTAGTTTGTTGGGCAGCATTAAATAATGGTTCACATATTAGAAAATCAGTTGGAACTTCATGGCAAATTGGTTTTGGTAATATCGGTGGTATTATTGCAACTTTTACCTTTTTATCAAAAGATGCACCATATTACGTACCAGGTTTAGCTACTTCAGTAGGTGCCGTTTGTTTTTCAATTTTGAGTGCACTCTCGTATTGGTTCATGTGCTATAGACTAAACAAAGCTAAAAAGACTGATGCATATAAACAAAAATTTCATTCATTAACTGAAAAAGAACAAATTAATTTAGGAGATCGAAACCCTGACTTTGTGTATTTATATTAATCCGTTAGTGTGGAAACTTGGGGTACATGAGGTGAACAAAAAATTTTGACTTTAATAAAACAAAATTTGAAGTTTGTTTTTAGCTGCTAATCTAATGGAGCAAGTTAGTGGTGATTTGTATACTTGAAAATACAATTTTTTAATTGACTTTTAATCAAAAGTTTATACTATTGTACATATAATAAGAAATAAATATAATTTGGGGCAAATTAAAATTTAATCTGTTGTGCATACATTTATCGTAAAGTTTAATTTGAAAGTTTAATAAAATTTAAAAATCGAAGCTACATACTCAAATTCAATCCATTTATTACTTATGATTCAAACTTGAAGTCGAACACTCCAATTGTCATTTTATCGTTTTCCTCACCCCGCGAAATAATCAAAAACAAACCGGGAATTATAATATCCAAAATGTACAAGAAAAATTTGAAGAAAATTTTAAAAAATTCGCAAAATTATACTAATTTAAAGTATATAACTTATGATATTCCCTAAATATAGTTTTGAGTATATAACGTATGATACTCCCCAAAATTGAGATGATCTTGAAAACTTTTAAAGGAATTTTGGAAAAAATTCTAGAATCACCATCACAATGTCTGATAAAAGTCATGAGACAACAGAAATAATAGAGAAACATTTTAAAATTCAAAATCTAGATACACAATCAAGTGCAAGTTTATCTGAAAATTATGATCCTGTATGCGAAACTGCAAAATTAGCAAATGAATTAGGAATAAATCAAAAAAGACTAAAATGGAAAGTTGATCTTTACGTTGTTCCACCATTTTGTTTATTATATTTTTTAGCATTTTTGGATAGAGTCAACATTTCAAATGCTAATTTATATGGATTATCAACAGATTTGGAATTAACTGGTACTGATTACAATGTAGCTTTGACTATGTTTTTTGTTCCATATATTTTTTTCGAGTTATTAGGTAATTATACTATTAAATATGTAACTCCACATGTATGGTTATCTGGATCAGTGTTCTTATTCGGTTGTATTACGATTGGTATAGCGTTTGTTAAAACAAAATTTCAACTTTATGCTACTAGATTTTTGTTGGGTATGACTGAGTCAGTATTGTTCTGTGGTGTTTTTTATGTTTTGGCAACTTATTATATTCAAAAGGAATCACTTAAAAGATTCACTGCTTTTTTTTCGACAACGTCTTTGAGTGGTGCAGCAAGTTCACGTATGTTATTGAATATCAGCGAAAATTTAAGAGCCTATACTAACAACAACTTTAGTGATTGCTTATCGAGTGAATGCATTAGATGGTAGAGCTGGTCTTGCTTCCTGGCGATGGTTATTTTTAGTTCAAGGTATAGCTACAGTTGCATGTAGTTTTGTTTTATTTTTCATTGTATCTGACTTTCCTGAAACTAATAGATTTTTAAGTGATGATGAAAGAAAATTTATAAAAAAGAAATTGGAATATCACGCTGGTGTTAAATCTTCATACGATGTTAAAAATTCAATATGGGATGCACTCAAATGTTTAAAAGATTGGATGATTTGGTTACCTACATTAGCCTATTTTGGTTTAGTTATACCTTCGTATGGTTATGCATATTTTGCTGCTACTATCATTCAAGATTTAGGTTACACTTCAGTTGCAGCTCAACAACATTCAGTTTATCCATGGGTATGTTCATTTTGTGTTAGTAACATAGTTGCATTTTGTTCAGATTATACTGGAGTTAGAGTACCTTTTGTATTAGGTGCATGTGCTATTGCAATGACTGGTTTATCTATGATTTTAGGTGCTACAGAAAATCCATCAATAAGGTATGGTGGTTGTTTTTTGGCAGTTTCAGGACTTTTCACCGCAATGCCAGTATTAGTATGTTGGGCGGCATTAAATTGTGGATCTCATATAAGAAAATCAGTTGGTACATCATGGCAAATTGGATTTGGAAATATTGGTGGTATTATTGCAACTTTTATTTTTTTAACAAAAGATGCTCCATTTTATGTTCCTGGGTTAGCAACTTCATTAGCATCTCTTTGTTTTGCTATTGCTTGTTCATTAGCTTACTGGTTTATGTGTTATAGATTGAATAAAGTGAAAAAGACTAAGGCGTATAGAGACGACTTTAATTCATTGAGTGAAAAAGAACAAATTAACTTAGGTGATAGAAATCCTGATTTTGTATATTTACATTGAACTGCTGGTGATAGCTAAATTGTATATAAAATAGAATAAAAGTTTCATGTTTATAAAAATGTCTTCACTCAAAAAGTAAGAAAAGTAATGATTGGTTCACAAATATATCCCAAATTTAATCACTATCCACTACGAGAAGTCCTTTCCAGACTTGAAACATTTCTCGGAAAGTAATGTGTAAAATAAGTCCGATAATTTTTCTTAAGGGGTCTGATCTGACTTGGTAGCAATGGAACTATTTTTAGAATAAATTACTTTCTCCGAAACAATCCATTTTTTACAACCAAATTTATTTAAAGTACAACTTCAAATCACATTTAAGAACTCAAGAGCTACAAAAATGTCCAAGAACGAATACTTTAATACCCCAGAAGGTCCGCCACCTGCTTTTAATCAAAGTGAACATCAACAACATAATTCCAATTATATTCCACAATCTCAACCATCATATAATCCACAACAACAAGACAGAGCATTTGGATATCATCATAATCAACAACAAGGATATGGACAGCAACAAGGTTATGGACAAGGTCCTCCCCCAAATGCTTATTATCAACATCAACCACAAAGTTATAGTGCTCCACCTCAAGGATATTATCAACAACAGCAACAACCAATGTATGTTCAACAACAACGAACAAGTAATAATGATGATTGTCTTATGGCATGTTTAGCTGCTATGTGTATTTGTTGTACTTTGGACATGATATTTTAGAGGTGGTTGTGACTTATTGATGATCGCTTTTCAGTTCTAATCTTATAGAGGTTTTATATACATTTTGAGGTTTTGCTTGTTTAATTGAATGTAGTTGCTAAGATGTTTTAATTATTCATCATTTTCAAGTCAATATTGTTTTGTAGAATCTTCTCGTAAAATTAACCTTTTTTTTTTTGTCATATAATTTATGAAACATTTGATTTTTGTGAAGTTTATATGTTCTCAAATTTTGAAAGTTTTAAGTTGAAGATTGTGACAAATCTTTCCGACTTAGTGAGAAAGCAGATGATGAAAACGCTAGATTTGTTTTGGTTAGGTCAGATTCGCAGTAGGCTAAATTATATTCAGTCTTGATGCGAAATAATCTGGAGAGAATTCTTCATTCAAATATTGAGCAATTTGATTTGATAAATAAGGAATCAAAGCTTAAAATGACTTTATTCTTTTTACTAAAAACAAAACATAAGTTAGAGCAACAACTGAATACATGAAGATGGTTTTGGTTATTGAAAACTACGATAACCTAAATTAACTTGAAGAGATTGCTTTTCTTTCTCTTAAACTTAATTTTATTTCTTCATACTTGGCAAGCTAGATGGGTATTTAATAAACATACAAAGTTTTGAAAAAAAAAGTGATGTCTTACATAAAACATTGCCTCAACGTTTTCGAAACCCCAAATACCCTTGAACGACCAAATATTAAGGCTCTAGAACCAGAACGTTTTATTATTGCTGAACGCCCCCAGAATTTACATGATTCATATTATCGACTATTAATTTGAATATAATGACTTAGCCTTGTCAGATTATTTTGAATATGCCTGACTATTGATCTTTATCTAATAAATCTAAAAAGTAGTTACAAAAATTTATATGCATTTAATTTGGTAGCATATTTTCATAGCCAAAATAAAATAAAATATAATATAATATATGATACAAATTAAAAAATATTATAAATTCTTACTTTATTATTATAATCTTGGCAACCAAATCATTATTATTATTATTTAAAATTTTATATAGATGTTTTTGAAATATGAATATATAACATCTTTCTTTTGATTCAAATCATTTTATTGATTAACTGTTGTATCGCTTACTTTTAATTAATCATTAAAGATGTCTAAAAACGAATATTTTAATACACCAGAAGGTCCACCACCTACTTTTAATCAAAGTCAATCATCACAACCACCACAAAATAAAAGTTCAAATTATGTACCACAACCTCAACCTCAATATAATCATCAACAACAAGATAGAGCATTTGGATTTAATAATCATCATCAACAACAAGGATATGGACAAGGTCCTCCACCAAATGCTTATTATCAACATCAACAACCTCATTATGGTCAACAATATGGTCATCCACCTCAAGGTTATTATCCTCAACAACAACCAATGTATGTTCAACAACAAAAATCAAGTAATAATAGTGATTGTCTTATGGGTTGTTTAGCTGCTATGTGTATATGTTGTACTTTAGATATGATGTTTTAAAATTTCTAGACAGACAATATACGTATATTATATTTATGATAATCCCTTTTAATTATTTAATTCTATATGTAAAAAATTTATTCCTAATATTACATCAGCAAGTAATGTACAACCTGAACTAATTAAAAAACTATATCTTAGATGGTTATATTCTGCTAATTTTCCTGTAAAAATTGGTCCAATACATCTTGCAAATGTTTTACCAATATTGACTATACCCATAACTTTTGTGATTTCATGTTTAGGCATTATGGAAGTAAGTAATACCTGTCTTGGAACAACATCCATTGTTGAAGTAGTATAAAATAAAATAAGTAATATAACCACATAAATATAATTTTGACAAAATGCAATAATACCAAAAAATAAAGCTGATGGAGCTTGTGTAAAAATTATTGCTTTAACAGGTCCCAAAGCATTTGCAAAATAAGCAGAAGGAATTGAAGAAATTGCATCAACCAGATTTGTAATAAAAAATAAAGTACCTAACCCTTTAGCTGTGAAACCAAATATAAATTTTAAATAATAAACTATCCAAGCTGAAGGCATAAATCCATAACCTAAAGAATCTAACATAAATATAACAAGTAATTTTGGTAAATGATTTTTGGTTGTAGTAGATAATTTACTATCCAATAATTCTGTTGATTCATCTGTAATTTCACATTCTTTTGATAAACACAACATCAAAGTAAGTTTAATTAAAGCTATAATTGAATAAATAATAAAGATATATTGATAACTTCTAGTGAGTGGCCACTCCAAATCTAAATGCATGAAATCAACTAAAAATCCACAAATTAATGACCCCAAAGCAGATCCAGCAGTTGCAAAAACTCCATAAATAGCAAATACTTCTGCTCTTTCATCATACAGTGTTAAATGAGCAATAGAAGCTTCTTCAACAGATTTAAAAGGACCAGTTTCATCTCCCAGTGGTGATATAACTCCAATAATTGCAGCAATTAACAAAATATAATAATTTGTAAAATTCATAAATACTAAACCTGAAAAAAACATCATTAATGAACCTATAATCATTACTTTTTTACGACCAATAATATCAGCATTCCATGTTAAAAAATATGAAATTATTGTATCTCCAATTAAAGTGAGTGTCATAAATAATCCAATTCTGTACTCATTAACCCCAATACTTTTTAAGTACAATGTCAAAACTTGATTAGTTAAACCATAACTAGCTAACCTAAGAAACACAGACGCCCAAAGAATATAAACATCTTTAGTGGATTGTTGTAGAGTTTTGATAAGTTGCATTAAAGAAAAGAAGTAGTACACACTCAAAAAAATTTATTTTTTATATACTATAGATTCATCAGCAAGTAATTCATCAATAGCAGGAACAATAGCAACAGCAGATGTACTAGGTAAAGTAGTTGTAAAAGAATTCATATAATCAAATAGTTTTGAGCTAGCCATATCAATTGAATCTTCTTCATAATAATAACCAGATAAAAATAATTTAAAATCAGTACATTGATTATAATATTGATAAGTTCTTAATGAAATAAATGGATGATTTGGAATTTTAGTTCTTATAACTTTTGGATTATTATCTAAACTATAATACCTCTGTTTTGATCGAATAATCAAATAATTATAATTGAAACGTAAATTATGGCAAAATTGTTTAAACATCATTTAAAGAATAAGAACTAGAAATTTTTTTGATATTCTGATTATAGATCTATTTTAACTATTTACAAGATCTTATTACAAATTAATATAAGCTCTTTGTTGAGTTGCTTGCTTATGCATTTGAGCTTTTTTATCATAACCAGAAGATTTACCTTCATAAGCATTTATAATTTCTTCAGCTAATCTTACTGCAAAATCATTTGATTTTCTATTTTTTGAAGCTTCTAGAATCCATTTAATTGCAAATCTATTTCTTTGTCTTTCATTTAATGGGATGGGAACAATTCTTCTTTTAGCTACACCAGTAGACATTGATTTTGTAGTAACTAATGGACCTAATTTATTTAAAGTTTCTTTAAGAACTTCAATTGGATCTTTTCTTAATTTTAATTGAACAATATAAAAAGCTCTACTTACAATTTTTTGAGCTCTTGCTTTTCTACCATGTCTCATTATAAGATTAATAAAATTATCAACAGTTGGATCTGATTTTAATGGAATTTGTTTATTTTTATATTCTAAAGTTTCTTCAATTTGTTGTAATGATGGTTCAAATTTTTTAGTTATAAATTGTTCAGGTTGAGTCATTTGTCCAAGATATATTTCTTCTTCTGTTTCATGAATCTTTTTACCATTTTTTAAATGTTTTAATGCTGATATCCATTTATCTACATCTTCTTCTGTTATTTTATCTTTATTTATAGGATATATTTGTGGAAATAATGGTTTGGTTGTGTTGAATCGTATGAAAGTTCTAGGTACTAGCCTAGCCCTCGTTATTGATCTGAACATTATTGGGTAAGTGGTTGGTTAGTGATAAGTTGGTTAATTAAAAAAATTTTTGTTTCACTAACTAATTTTTTTTTTCATAGTACTTCTTTGTGTTTCAAATTACAATTATAATTAAAATTCTATACAATTATATAAACTTTTTTCGTTTTATCTACTTGGAGATCTTTCTCTATCTCTTCTTGATGGTACATATGAATCTGTAGATCTAGATTCTCTATAATCCCCTCTTGGTTCTCTTGATTCTTTTGATTCTCGACCACTTTGTCCCGGTACATATGTATCAGTGCCTCCTCCACCATTATAACCAGCATGGTGATTATTATAACCACCGTTATATCCTCCTCTACCAATATATCTATTATTGTATCCACCACCTCTTCTAAAATTTCTTGTTGGTGGTTGGTATCTTGGAATAAATTCTCCATTTAATAAAGTATGTGAAGCAATTAATTCATCACCTCTTGTAACAAATTCTAATTTCCATTTCCCATCTCTTGGCCCTTTATCTTCTTCAAAAGTCCATTGATTTATGGCTTTTACAGGTATATAATCAGCATATAATGGAATTCTTTCCACCAAAAATTCTCTTGGTTCCGGTGGTGATTCTATATTTCTACCTTCTTCTTCACCGAGTCTTTCCAATTCATCTTTATAATGTCTTTGTTGTTCTTCAAATCTTTCTATTTCTCTATTTTCAAATTCTTCTTTTAATTTTTCATCTTCTTCCTGTGGTGGATATATTGAACCAGATAATCGTGATCTTAAATATTCTGCTCCTTCTTCACTATTCACCAATACAATCCCATGAGTTCTTGGTCTATTAAGCCATGCTCTATCTATATGTATATCAATTTCTTTATTTTCAGCTACTAATTTTCGTAAATGTTGTTGAAAATGACCAGCATTTATTGGACGACGTAAATTTCCTAAAAATATAGCTCTTGTAACATGATATTGTGGTTCTTCAGTAACTTCATATCTAATTTCTTCTTGATCTGTCATATCATCTGCCGAACCTAATTCTAATCCCATATTATCTACTCTTCTTTGATTATTGTTGTGGTGGTGATTGTTGTGGTGGTTCTGGTGGTGATTATAACGTGATGGGGGAGGTGGTGGTTGGTTGTATTGAGGATAAGGCAATGGACCTTCTCTATCCCTCTCATATTCACCATCACTCATTGTTCTAGTTGTTGATGTTTCAGAGTTTTGGTTGTAAATTGAAAAAAAAAAAAAAAATCACCACGCATTTTTCCAATCTAACATTTATTTACAATAATTATTACATACAATCTATATCAATTTTATACTTCCCATAATCTCTTTACTATATCAAATAATCCATTACTTGTAGTTTCCATTACGTAGATACCATACATAGCAACGAATGTACCAAAAGTTAATACTTTACATGCTAAACCATACCATGCACCATAAACTCTTTTTGGTATGTAATCAATTATACAACTTTTAAAACCAGCATGACAATGAAATAATAATAAAGTCGAAAAAGATGCATCTATAATTGGATGTTCTACTCCTGCAATAAATGGTGTCATAACCAATGGTATCATAGCAATGGATATTACTCTTTCATAAGTCCAATGATTTGAACCTTCATAAGCAGATGGATCTGGAGGAACATAAGCTTCATTTACTGTATCAACTATAAATCCAGCTGGTTGTTCTATTTTTTTATATTTTGAAAAATCTGGTGTAAAACGTAGTGATCTTCTTGATAGTATACCTGGTTTTAATATAGGTCTTGATACTAATGATCTTGTTGTAAACATTTTGGAGTGGTGATGTGAGAGAGTAAGATAAGAATTTTTCAAAATTTTTATTTTTGATTCAAGAATTAAAAGTTACGTAGTGATACAACAAATTTTTACAAAAAATCATTAATTCTTTAACTATTTACATATTTTATTTACATCTTACCATGACGCAACTTTCACTCCAGGTATTTGTCCAGCTCTTGCTCTATCTCTAAAAGCAGTTCTATTTAATTTGAAATCACGTATTAAAGATTTAGAATTACCAGTTGCAACACATCTATCTCTTATTTGAATATATGAAGTATATTTTGGCATACTTGATAATTGTAATTGAGCTTCTACCCTAGCTCTTGATGGTAAATCCTCATTTCTTGCAATATATTTTAAAGCATTTCTTGTTACTTCATGTTCTGCAAATTGTAATCTTTTAAATTGATCTCTTAAAACTCTTGCATTTATATGAGTGTGTTTGGGTATTTCAAATTTAACTGGAAATCTAAAAGGCATTATGATGTGGAATTCAAGCGAAACCTATTTGAATGTTACGTGGTTTGAATAATTGATGAAAAGCAATTTATCGAAATGAGTCTCTGATTTATTTATTTAAATTATACGATGAGTTAATCAGGTCCTGGAATTTCCTATATAATGATTAGGATAAAAAGTTTGTTAATATTAATGATGATTGAGTAAATGATTTGAATGATCTATACATACATGCATGAAAATTTTGATAATTTTGAACTTTTGTTCGCTACCTAAATTCTGAATTCTGATTTTACAAACAACTAATTGCACACGTGTAGAGTACAACAAAGATCCAGATTTGTGGCCATAAAGATGTGTTCTATAGGCTCCAGATCTTGGTTTAAGCTAGAGAACGGAAGAGATGGTCCGTTTCTTCACGTTTATTGTTGTTCAAATGCTTTAAGATCTAGTAAGATCCCACTTTTCATCACTGTAATCAGTATTCTCGATTTTTGGTCATTTCTTACTCTATCATTCCCTCAACCATTTTTGAAAAAATTTATATTGTGTTGGTGTCTAATTACTTTTTATTTTTGATGTTCCTGAATTTTCAGATTTGTAATCATATTTTTCAACTAATGTTTACCGGATTAATCGAAACAATAGGTACCATCGAGAATTACGATGACTCAAAAGATGGAGTAGTCATAACAATTACTGATTGCTCACCTATACTAGAAGATGTTCATTTAGGCGACTCTATTTCAACAAATGGTGTTTGTTTAACAGTTATAGAATTTGATGAACAAAGAACAAAATTTAAAGTTGGAGTTGCACCAGAAACTTTACGTAAAACTAATTTGGGAAATTTAACAACCACATCAAATGTCAACTTAGAAAGAGCAGTCACTAGTGATGTTAGATTAGGTGGTCATGTTGTTCAAGGACATGTTGATACAATTGCAACAATAGTTGATAAAAAACCAGATGGAGAAGCTATATCCTATACTTTTGAATTAAGAGATAAAGAATTTATAAATTATATAGTTCACAAAGGGTTCATTGCAATCGATGGAACTTCATTAACTATAACATCAGTAGACGATTCAAAAGCTCAATTTTCAATAATGTTAATAAGTTATAGTCAATCAAAAGTTATATTAGCACAAAAGAAAATTGGTGATACAGTTAATATAGAAGTTGATTTGACAGGTAAATTAATTGAAAAACAAATTGAATCAAATTTAAGACAACAAATGAATAACGAAGAAAGTCAATTAAATAAATTGATTAGTTCTATTGTTGAAAGAAAGGTAAAAGAATTAATGAAATAGATTTGATATAGTTTCGTATGTAATCATTGATAAATATATTTGTGTATGGTTTTTTTTTTCAAGGGCAAAAAAATCACTCTTTTACTAGATTACTACAACCACCACCGAATCACAATTGACACCTCACAATGGATATCATACTTGGGATAAGAGTATCAGATGCAACAATTATTGCCACATCAAAAGCTGCGACTAGAGGTATATCCATTTTAAAAGATAATGATGATAAAACAAGACAATTGAATGCTCATAATTTAATTGCATTTACTGGAGAAGCAGGTGATACTATTCAATTTTCAGAATATGCTCAAGCAAATATTCAATTATATTCAATGCGTGAAGATGATGTTGAAATGTCACCAAAAGCTACTGCATCATATGTAAGAAATCAATTAGCAACATCAATAAGATCACGTAAACCATATCAAGTCAATTGTTTAATAGCAGGTTATGATACCAAAACAGATTTACCATCATTGAATTACATAGATTACTTGGGAACTCAAGTAGAATTACCATATGGAGCTCATGGTTATGCAGCATTTTATACAACATCATTATTAGATAAACATTATAGAAAAGATATGAAAATAGAAGATGGATTAAAATTAATGGATATGTGTGTTGAAGAATTACAAAAAAGAATGCCAATTGATTTCAAAGGAGTTTATATAAAAGTTGTTGATAAAGATGGTATAAGAAATATAGATTAGCCTACTAAAAAATATATATACAAGCACTAACTAAACCCTACAATTGGATATTTCTAAAACCAATATATCTGAAGCACCAACTTTTTTTAATTCATCCATTACATTGCCGATTTTCTTTCTTGAAACCATTGATGATATAGCAACCCAATCCTCTTCTTCTGGTGAATGTTTATCAAGAGTTGAAACAGTAGCTGCTCTTTTTCCAGGTGTTATTTTTAAACATTTAGACATTATTGATTTTGGTGCATTATAATTACATAAAACAAATTCTTGAGCTGCTAAAACACCTTCTAATCTATCTGTAATTGTTTTTACTAATTCCGGATATTTTGGTTCTTTTGAAGATATAAGATGTGCTGATGTATTTAATATAGTTCCAATTGCTTTTAATCCAGCTGCTTTCATTGTTTCACCACTTTCTACTAAATCAACAATTGCATCAGCAACTCCCAAAGCACAAGAAGCTTCAACTGATCCTCCAACATATCTTACTCTAATTTTTTCTTTAACCAGTAAATCTTTTTGTAAATCTTCAAAATAATCAGTAGCCAATTTCGTAAAAGATGAAACAATTTTTTTACCAACTAATTGTTCTGGTTTTTCGTAATTTCCATTTTCAGGTACTTGTATTTGTAATTTACAATTTCCAAATTTTAAATCTAATAAATCATTTATATTTTCAAATTGATCAGATTCCATGACTTGATCTAGTCCAGTTATTCCAAGATCACAATTACCTTCTCCTACAAAAACTGGTATATCTGCTGCTGGTAAAAAAATTAATGCAATTGGTAAATTGGTTGATAATGCTATATCTAATCTTGGTGATCTTCTAAATTGAATATCTGATCCATTCAATAATTGACAACATTTTTCATATAATCTACCCTTTTTCGGTACTGCAAATAATAATCTATCTGGTAAGTGATTGACTAAATCCATTTTTTTTAATGTGGTTGGTTGTAAAATGTTAAAAATGTTTAGGAAGTAAGAAAAAAAAAAATATTATGTGTTTCAAAATTTTTTAGTCGTGAGTCAAAACAAGAGACTTATCAAGAGATGTACACGTGTTACGGAAAATAATTACCGAAAATAAATATATAAGTTACTTTTTATGAACTATGTCTAAATCATCTTCTGATTTTAATGTATCATCATCTGAATCACTAACCTCTAAAGTCAGTGAGTTTTCTAGCAATGATGCTTGATCAATGTTTTTCAATTGTAGTTGCCCATTAGGGTTTCCGTAATAATACTTATTAAATGACCAATTCATTAATATTTTAAGCATATCCCAAGGTTTAAATTCTGGCCATAATTTATCTGTAAATACAACAGCACAATCTGGTGATACAGCTTGCCACAATAAAAAATCTGATAACCTATAAGTTCCTGAAGTTCTCACTAAAAGATCTAGTGGTGGTGAATCACCAGTATATAAATTATCTTCTATTGATTTTTCATTAATTTTGATGTTACTTTTCGTACTTTCTATAACTATTTTCTTTATGGAGTTTGTAATTTCGTCTCTTGAAGTATATGGGAAACAAACATTTAACACAGCTCTTGTATTATTTTTAGTAATTTCTTCAGTTTCTCTCAAAATCTTTAATAAATCTGGTGGTAATAATTTTAAATTCCCCAATATCTTTATTTTAACACCATAATCTTCACATAATAATCCATTTTGATTGATTTGAGTAAACTTTGATTTAGCTAAATCCATAAGCCATTTAACTTCATAACTTGATCTATTAAAATTTTCTATTGAAAAAGCATAAACGGTTGCAGATTTAACACCTGCTTCATATAATAATTCCAAAATATTAGCCATAGTGTCAAAACCCATACTATGTCCTTCTTTGATCTCTATTTTATGCGATTTAGCATATCGTCTGTTTCCATCCATTATTATACCAACATGTTGTGGAACCGGTCCGGTCAGTATTATTTTACCAAATAATTTCTTACCAGTTGTTAAAACTTGATTATATCCAGGAAATGTCGATATCCAGTCTGACATTTTTTGGATGATTGTATGCTATAATGTAAATATGAATGAGATGAGATGAAATGAAATGAATGAAAAAAATATGCAAAAACAACTGACAAGTTGGTTATTTAGTTTAACTTAACGATGGTAAGAAATAAATAAAAAATTAAATTACTACGTATACTTTATTTTAAATTAGATGACACTAAAACTTTAAATTGGTTTTCGTTATTCGAGATATTGACCTAGAACTACCAAACGTGTGGTGCTAATGGACATTGCTTTATCGATTTCATTTTCACGTGAACTAAATCCCTACATACATATATAAGGTGGGAATGAAAATTAGCTAGTATTCTGCAGTGTTTTGGTATTTGGTGCTGAATTCTGACTCAGATCAAGCTATTATGTCCTTGTTTAATCATGTAGCTTTGGATATTCAAGCCAGAATTTTATTGTGGGTGTTTATTTGTTGTTTAAATTTGGCACGAAATTTGCAACTTTTTTGATAATTTTACTTTTGCATCAAAAGTAGTTGCTTGTGAAATACAAAAAAAAGTAAAGTAACAATTTTGGAAAAAAAATTTTGTATCCAGTACAAGAAAAAGATGTTCTTACGCCTGTTTATAGTTGACAGTTTACAAAGGCAATTTTACCGTTTTTTATAAACCTTCGGTGAAAACGAGGATTTTGTAGTCAAAATATACAATCCTGTTTAAACACTTTTTTTTTCAAAAAATACTAATTACATAATGTATATTTTATTATAAATTATTAAACATCAGTAACACAACCTTTGGAAGCATCACTAACTAATTTACTATATTTAAATAAAGTACCTCTTTTATATCTTGGTTCAGGTGGTGTCCAATTTTTCTTTCTTTCAGCTAATGTATTTTCATCAACTAACAAGTCAATAATATTATTTTCTGCATCAATAACAATTTCATCACCATCTTCAACCAATGCAATTGGACCACCTTCATAAGCTTCAGGTACAATATGACCGATTAAAAATCCATGTGATCCACCAGAAAATCTACCATCAGTTAATAATGCTACATCTTGACCTAATCCGTAACCCATTAATGCACTTGAAGGTTTCAACATTTCTGGCATACCTGGACCACCTTTTGGACCTTCATATCTTATAACACAAACAGTTTTTTCACCTTTTTTAATATCACCATTTTCTAATGAAGTAATAAATGCATGTTCATTGTCATAAACTTTTGCTTCTCCTTTAAAATAAGTACCTTCTTTACCAGTAATTTTAGCAACTGCTGATCCTGGAGCTAAAGTACCTTTTAAAATTTGTAAATGACCACTTGGTTTTAATGGATTTGAAACTTTATGTATGATATCTTGACCTTCTGGTAAACTTGGTAAATCTTTTAAATTTTCAGCAATTGTTTTACCAGTAACAGTTAATTGTGATCCATCAATCATACCTTCTTCCATTAAAAATTTCATAACTGCTGGTGTACCACCAACTTTTTGTAAATCAGCCATAACATATTTTCCTGAAGGTTTAAAATCAGCTAATAATGGAGTTGAATCACTAATTCTTTGGAAATCATCAACTGTTATTTCAATATCAAATGATGACGCAATCGCAATAATATGTAAAACAGCATTAGTTGATCCACCAGTGGCAATGATATATGTAATAGCATTTTCAAATGATTTTTTAGTTATAATATCTTTTGGTTTTAAATCCAAAATTAATAAATTTTTGATAGCATCACCTACTGATGCACATTCTTTTGCTTTTTCTTCTGAAACTGCTGGTGATGAAGAACTATAAGGTAATGTTAAACCTAAAACTTCAGCAGCTGAAGCCATAGTATTAGCAGTATACATACCACCACAAGCACCCGGACCAGGACATGCATTTTTAACAATATCTTCTTTTTCTTCCAATGTAATTTGTTTTGATAAATATTGACCATAACTTTGGAAAGCACTAATAATATCAATTTTATCAGCAACTGCTGGATTATTAGTACCACAAGTTGGTGATCCAGGTAAAATTGTACCACCATAAACCATTATAGAAGGTCTATTATGTCTACCCATTGCCATTAAAACACCAGGCATATTTTTATCACAACTTGGTATAGCAATATTTGCATCATATAATTGAGCTAAAGTCATGGTTTCAAAAGAATCAGCGATAATTTCTCTACTTTGTAATGAAAATTTCATACCTTCAGTACCATTTGTAATACCATCTGAAACACCAATAGAATTAAATTGCATTGCTTTTAAACCTGCTTTATTTACTGAATCTGTACAAGCATCATTTAAATCCATAAGATGCATATTACATGGATTACCGGTCCACCATACTGATCCAACACCAACTTGTGCTCTATTAAAATCTTCTTCATTAAAACCAGTTGCATATAACATAGCTTGTGATGCACCTTGAGATGGATCTGCAGTTACAATTGATGAATATTTATTTAATTTTTTAGCTTCACATCTTGAAGCCGAACATGCAAAACTTCGAATACATTGTTTGGATGTATTCATGAAACTCATTATTCTTGTATGTAGGTATTGGTGGTTGTAGAATGAAGTTTGTTGATGTGACTAATTACTATAGTTAAGATCTGAACTGAAAAATTTCTACCGTAATCAGATTAAACCTGTATATAAAAAATGCCGGTCGGGGAGAAAAAATCAATCTAAGCCGCATCAAGATTCGTTTAATTTTTCATCCAATTATATAAAATAAATTTGTAATTAATTAATAGGAATGGTAAACTATAGTCCATACAAAAGATATTATGAATTCAATGTATTACAAGTTTTTCAGTGATATTTTAGTGATTGATATACAATGCAAGAAACAAAGATTCCATGGTTATAGTCCATGGCATAATTGAACAATATGAAAGCTTGAGACATAAGATTCTATGTTAAAGGGTCCCCAGAAGTAGTCATTAGTCACGTATACAACATTAAGGATAAGTAATTTTCAGTAAATAGTAACTCAAATTTCCGATTCTACCTGATAGATCATCGATCAGTAACAATTTGATCATTTAATAAAAAAAAATTGATGTTGTAACAATTCCTGAATTGTCGTGACTTTCTAATTTGGGACACACAAGCTCGACCTCGGTGAACATTTTTAATACGAAAAATAGCAAAATTCTCCCCCAAATTTTTAATTTCTCGTTTTATTAGTACGCGCCAAAATCTTTAGAGTGGATTAAATAAAAAAAATTTAAAGTCTAAAATTTTAATTTATGTATGCATAGAAATTTCCCCACCTTTCAAGAATTGTGTCATTAAAATTTTTTTTTTTCTATTGTTTTATCTTTTGAAAAAAGACGTTGAAAAAAAAAAAATAATAATAAAACGGACTTAATTAAGTTAATTATTATCACAGGATAAAATTGAATTATATTAAATAAATATATCAAAGATTGCACACAATTTTAAATCATCTTAATAAATTTTGTTCATATCAACCAAAAAACATATTCTAAACTTAACTATTCAATATAACTATTCAATACACACAATACATATTCAATAAATAAAACTCAAAATAATGGCTGAAAAACGTTTAATAAAAGAATATACAAGATATCAAAAACATTCACCATCATTAACAAATCATCAAATATTAGAATTAAAACCAATAAATGATAATAATCTATTTAAATGGGAAGCAACAATAACAAAACAAACTCAACAAGATTCACCTTATTATTATGGAGGTAAATGGAAATTAAATATAGAAATACCATCAACATATCCACAACAACCACCAAAAATAAAATTTCAAACAAAAATAATTCATCCAAATATTAATTTTACAACAGGAGAAATTTGTCTTGATGTATTACAAAAAAATTGGGTTCCCACATGGAATTTAGAAAGTTTAATAATTGCAATTTTACAATTATTAGATTATCCTGAAATTGATTCTCCATTAAATATTGATGCTTCAAATTTATTTAGAGATGATGTTATTGCTTTCCAATCTTTATCACAATATCAAATTTGGAGAAATTCTTCTGTAAGAAACATTAGTGGTGTTAAAAGTTAGAAGTTTATGAGAAAATGAATTTATAGAATGAGAAATATTGTATTTAATGAAGTAATGAATTTTTTAATTAATATTTGATAAAATTGTAAGCCTATATCTAATTTATACATAGTTTTTTAATTTTTAAAAGCTTATGTATTCACATTCGAAATAAGATAGTATCCTACTAGATTTATTTAGTTGTAAGGTCTTTTATCTCAATATTTAACCTATTTTTTCACCAAGTAAGTTGGTTCTTTGACTGCACAAAATTGTATATCGCAAAAGCCATTCAAGACTATGGACAATTTTAGTATTTTGTAGCTCATCTATTGACTATTAAAACTTCATCGAGGGTAGAAATTGATTTATTATTGGTCTGTCCTTACTAATGCAACACTCTAAATTAAATACTGATTTTCTGTCAAGTCCCGTTTATATATACTGAGACACTCAATATTATTTCTTTTTTTTTTTTGCAACCAAATTATCATAACAAATTGTTTACAAAAAATTATAATAAATACAGATCGATTTCCTTTTTTTTTAAAAAGATTATTTTTGATTTACATTTCATGTTGTTATTCAAACTACAACAAAACAAATCAAATCAAATCAAGATAAAAAATAACCAGCTCAATTAATAACTTGTCAAACAAATGCGGATAGATACAATTACAATTGAATGATTTTTATTCTTTATAAAATTAATAAATAAAGTATTAAATTAAGAGTTGGAAGGGTTTATAACAGAATTTCACATACTATTTCTCATAATTCCAAGTGATAAAACAACAAATTGGAGTTACTTTAGATGATCAAAATTGGAACTTCTAAGAAATAAAAGAATGGAATTTTTTATAATACTCGTAAAATGTCATTGATTGTACTTTAAATTAATGGGCCATTATGAAAATTTAAATCAGAATTTGTGAAGTATAGCTTAGTTGACTAAGGTTAATTGGGAGGGCAAAATAATTTGTTAAATTGAAATGATTTAAAATTGATTTAAGTATGTATGATTTACCAACTTTTTTTCATAGATTCAGCAATTCTTGGGAAATTACTTGGCTAAAAACATCAGTTGCGACTTCAATGTGGACCAATTTTAATTAAAAGCGTTGAAAACTCAGTTAGATATTCAAATATTAAAAATGGGAATACATTCAAACTATCTATATATAAAAATCATATAAAGTACTTAAAATATATCAGTAACCTATAAACTTTTGATTCTTAATTTTCAGTTACAAAAACTTGAGGAATACTTGAATTAGAACCAGAAAATAATTTATCTTTTGGAGATTGACTATTACTATTTGAACCATTATTAGGTTTATTATTATCACCAATATCAAATTCAATTGGTCTTGAAGTTAAACCTTCAACAGCAGCATGAGCAACTGGGATTTTATTTGGTGGACCTGCAATAAAAGAATTTAAAGATTCTGAAGAATCACGTTGATGAGTATTTAAACTATTTTGATCAGAATTTAAAACTTCTTCATTATTTTGTTGAACCAATTGTAAATTTTCCAATTTTCTTTGTATTAAATTAATATTTGCTTGTTCTTTTGATCTTAAATCCATAATTTCTTGTTGTTGTTTCATAAATGCTTCTTGTAATTTCAAAAATTCTTCATTGGTGGTTGGTGGTTGTTGAGGAATTTGAATTTGATTTGTTGTTGGTTGTTGTAATGGTTGTGGTGGTTGATTAATATTAAATTGAGAATCTGTTGGAGTTAAATTTCTTGGTGTCATTGCTGGTGAACTTAAATCACTTGAAGGTTTTGATTTAGTTGGTAAATTTGAAAATACTTCATCAAATGGATTAGTATCACTTGAATTTGTTGGTGATTCTTGAGGAGTTCTGATTCTTGGAGTAAACATTCCAGATAATGCTGGTGTTGAATAATTACCCAATTCTAAACTTAATCCTTTACTATTCTTCTTTTTACCATTTTCTAAAGTTTTAGAATTTGCTGCAATATCTACTTTTCTTTGAATATATGCAAATCTTGCATGATGATCACTTCCATATTTTAATAATTCAAATAAATCTTCAAACCATGAATGATAATCTTCTAAATTATTTAATTTAAATGTCTTTTTAGATTTATTAGAAACTTTAGTTAATGTAAATTTAAAACTTGATTCATCCTTGGTAGCAATTTGATAATCATTTAAATTATAAGATTTTACTGGCTCATCTTCAAACCCAATAAATCCACCAATTTTATCCTTTGATTTGTTGGTCTTCTTTTGTGGTTGATGAGTTTCTTCTTCAAATTTAAATTCATGTAAATAATTACATGATAATACATAATAGTATCTTGTATAATTCTTCATTAATTTTGATTTTTTATACATTATTCCAAATCGAAGACATTTATTTTGAGGTAAATTTGAATATGGTAAATCTATTGATTTCATTGTTCTTATATCTCTTTTTGGATTTTCTTCGGTTGATTCAAAAGTATTTACAAAACATTTATTATGACTTATAAAATATTCCCAATCTTTTGATGATGATTGACTAACTTGACTTTTCAAATATTGATAAAATTCAGTTGCTAAATCTAATTTACCACATTTATCACAAACTAAATTTAATTCTTTTAAAAGATAAGTAAATAAATCTTTACTTATATTTTGTAAATTTAAATATGATGCAAACATATAATTTTCAAAAACTAATTGAGTTTTGAGTCTTGAATCAACTTTTAATTTTAATAATAATGGATCATCCAATGCTGCATATTCTTCTTCATCTTCTTCCAATCCTCTATTTTTAACAACTGGTCTTGGTCCACAATAAGTTTCAACTGATGCCATATATTTACTTAAGATTTGACCGGTTTTAGAAATTTCTTTTGATAATTCAGGATTGGCAAATGCATCATTTTTTAAAGATAATTTAATTTCTTTAATTTTATGAGAAACTTGTTTTAATAAAACTTCCAATCTAGGAATAATTTTAGAAATTAAATCTTTTCTTAATTTGTAACTATTATTAAATGCATGATGATGAGAACTTAATAATAATGCAGGTAGTGTTGTATATAATGAATTATCTGGGAAAAAAGTTGGTGGGATTTTAACATCATTTGAATGTAAAGTTTCTGGTTTGGAAATTGGTAAAGGAGGAGTAGTAGCACCATTTGCAAATTGTTGAGTTGAATGTTGTTGTTGTTGTTGTTGATGATGGGTATGCAATTGAGGTACATGATGATCTGAATGAATATGAGGATGATGTGGTAAATGAGGATGAATACCATGATGTGAAGGAGAATTTGAACCTGAAGAAGTTGTTGATATATTAGTTGATGTTGGAGCCAATTGTCTTAATGAAGTTAATGATGAATTTTTCTTATGTAAATTTGTTGCAGCATTTTTTAAAAATGATGAATTATTATTTGATTTTGTTTTAAATAATCCTGGTCTTTGTTTTTCAATTGGTGGAGTATTTGATTTTAGTGATGATGATGGTGGTGGTAAATTTTGAATCAGACTTGCACTACTAGTTAAAGGACCATGAGGTATTGAATTTGATAATGAAGTTGAAGATCCATTATTATTATTAAATTGTTGTTGTTGAAGATATGATTGATTATTGAATGATGAATTATTATTATTATTATTATTATTAGAACCACCACCACCAACAGTTGATAATGAAGTTAAACTTGAACTTGATAAATTTTTCTTCAATTCTTTAGTTGGTGTAGTATTATTTTTTGGAGATATAGTTCCATTAATATTTGGATTATTAATTTGAATATCTTGTAAAATTTTATTTGGTAAATCTTTACAACCAGGAAATTGAACAGCTTGAATTAATTGGTAATTTAAATTAGATTCCAATTCTTTAACTAATACAATTTCTTTTAAATAATATATAGTTGATTTTATAAAATATTTCCAAAATTTAAAAAATTCAATTAAATTATCTATAGGTTTAGAATCATAAGGTGGTAAATTATAATAAAATGGTGATCTTGGATCTGAAGTTGGTAATATTTTTTCTTTTGTAAATTCAAAAGATTGTTTACTCATTTATAAAACATTAATTAATTGAAGATATTAGATTTGAATATAATCTTAAAAGATTTGATGTTCAATAAATTTGGTTGTAAAAAATTGAATAAATTGATAATGGTAATAATGATGATCAAAATAAATATTAAATATTAAATATAATTAAATAATAATTCTTTTTTTTTAAAAATAATAAAAATCCAATTTATCCGATAATATTTTTTTTATTTTTTTTAGAATATTTTTCTTGTCAATTTTAAAATTATATTAGACACACAAATATTTAACCGATGAAAGGGAGATGATTATTATTGATTGGACTTGATCTTCTTCTTCTTATATATATATAATTTATGAATCAACAAACTTGAGCAAATAAAAATTTCTAATCCTTGTTGATTTCTATTTTAATTTTGAAATAATTCTTTAAGCCAAATTTTAATCAATTTCTTTATAAAATTTGATAATATGAATAAAAGTTAAGAAATATGAAACAATAGAAAAATTGGGAATTATTGAAAAATCAAAAAAATTTATAAATCAACAATAATAATTTATAATTGTTTTTTAAAATGAACAATATAAAATTTCAATTGATTGAGTGATTTAAAATTGAATTTAGAAAGTAATTAAAGTTTGATTTATAATGAAACAATTATGAATACGTATATATATTTATATATTTGTATATTTATTTTTACTATTAGTATAATGTAAATCTATAAATAGAATAAATTTTATTTGGAAGTATCTAGAGCATGTTATTTAAAAAGAAGAAGAAGAATTTTATAATATTGTGTTCACTTATAATTTAATATTCTTGTCCTTATACTTGAATCAAATTTTATTTGTGTATATATATTTTAAAAATCATCTCTTTTCTTTCCCCCCCTTTTAAAAACAAAAAAATCATTAAGGAAATTATTAAATTTTTGTGATAACAAGACAAAGTAAGATATTTTTATATCTTACAAAATCAAAAATTTAATTGTATTTTGTGTAGAATGGAAATGTAGAAAAAGAACAATAGATTTTACTATTCTTCAAGCGTCTAGAATCAAATTATATTAAAGTTAATGATCTAACATATTAAATATTATTATATTATTGCCCTTTTAAAAAAGTTATACAAAATCCAACATCTCAATAAACGAAAAATAAAAGTAATTTAATGTAACATATTTCTTTGTTAATATCATTGATTCTTATAATTTCTTCTCAAAAATCTTAAACAAGATTAATAATAGTTTACCCTTACATTACATTACATTATAATAAATAATTTAACTTTTTAATAATTTAATGATATCATTTTTTTATTTTTTAAATTTGACGTAAATTTTGACATATTTTTTTTAACTTTTTTATTATCAGAATTAATAAATATTATTTTTAATTAGCCATAAATTTTTTAAATAGGAGGAAATTATAATAAAATATTATTCTTTTTGATCTTCTTACATACCAACGGTTTTTAAAAGCTTAATTTTTTGCTATTTGGTCTGATCAAATAAATGTATTATAAGATCATTAGTGTTTACATAACCATAATTAATTGATCTTACATTTTTGAAATTTCATTATTGCTGTCTTGACATATTGTGATTGTAACTTAATAAATCTACAATGCTTGGCACATTTTCAATAAATTAGGAAGATTCGGGGTCAAAAGGGTTATTTTTTTTGATTATGTCAAGCCTTGTTCACAGTTTTTAAACTTATAGCCTATAAATACAATCACCAAAATTAATGTATTATTACTACATTATCCCTTTTAGTCTTATAAAACGTATGGATATACTCTTAGATCAAAGAGATAATTGCAAAATTTATATAGTTTCAGTTACACAAAATCAAAGACTTAAATTTGAAAAGATTTATTATCTGGGGTAAAGTAAAAGTATAAGGTTCAAAGAATGGATTTATTCGTAAGTAATATCTTTCGCGTAATTCAATATTTAACAATGAATTGTATTAGTAAATGAATAGAAATAGATACTGCAACTACATTTTTATATAATTTGAAGGAAAAACTCCTTGTTGACCATTATATTGACCCATCCACCAACCTGGATCTTCTTTATTTAAAATTTCAATAGTTGCACCTGCAGGAAATGATAAATCACCTTGTGCTTGAGCATTATAATCATAAAGTGCAATACAAGTTTCATGACCAGAAGAAGTTGCTGATTGTGGTGGTGAACTCATATATCGAGGGGGTGGTGGTGATTGTGCTGATGTATTAACACCACCACCATATTGTTGTTGTTGTTGTTGTGGTGGTGGTTGTTGATAAGTATTTTGAGGTGTTTGATATCCTTGATATCCTTGTTGTGGTGGTTGTTGATATTGATTTGGTGGTGGTTGTTGTTGATATTGATTTGGTTCTGGTGAACCATAACTTGGACTTTTATAATCTGGATTATAACCAACAGGAGCAGTATTACTTTGATAAGCAGGTAATTCATTATGAGAAGTAGTTGGACTTGTCATTGTTGCATGACGTCTTCTTGTTGCTTCTAATTTTGATTTTGCATGACCAACTTTAAAATGTGTAATACTAATTGCATCAGTTTGTTCTTCAATATTACCCTTTTTTTTATGATAAGTTTCAACAATATCTGAACTCATATCAAAATATGGAATTTTTAATTCATCCATACGATTATATAATGTATAAAAAATATTTAATTGCATATAATAAAATGAAACAAATAATGGTTTTATAAAATCACTTTGCATTTGAAATAAAACAGGTAATTCATTTTTTAATAAATCATTATAATAATCATATTCTTGTTGAGCAACTTCAAGTTCAGCTTCTGCATTATACATTCTTTCTTCATCTTTAGCAGTTCTTTCCTTTTTCAGTTCATATTTTGTATAATTTCTCTTGTATCTATCCAAATCAACTTGTTTATGATCTCTTTTTGTTGCCATTTTTCTAATTGAATTAATAACTTTTAATAATTCTTGAGCTGGTTCAACAATTCTTTTTTCAATCAATTCTAAATCAGGTTTTAAAATTTCTTTTAATTCTTTCACAAGATCTCTATATTGTTCTGCTGCTAATATACCATCTGGATTATCTTCAGGTACTGTTGAATTTGGATCAGATAATCTACCACTTATTGGTTTATAAATTTCTTCAATTGCTTTTGAAAATTCAATTTGATCATCAAGCATACCACTTATGGCTGTGAAATATTTCTTAGATTCATCACTTAATTTTTTAGTTTCAATTTCAATTTCTTTAAATCTACGTTCAGCATCTTGATAAACTGCATCATGAGTGATTTCTCCCATATTCATCTTTTGACGGAAACTTTGTGGGGCACGTACAATTGATTTCTTGATACCTTTGAATGACATTGTGAGTGTTATTTGTTAATGATATTGTTAGCTGATTATCGGTTCTGATTGAATTTGTTTAAGTTATTTCTAAATTTAGCTGTGATATGAAATTCGACTCCAACTTTTTTTTTAGTTCGTAAATTTTAGTTTTTATTGGGAGTTGAGATTTGAATTAAAACTTAGCAACCAAAAAGATAAAGGAATTAAGATTAGATGAACCTTTAGAGAGATCAAAGAGATCAAAGAGATATCTTTAAGGGCAAATTAACATTAAATTCAAATGAAACAACTGTCAAAATTTAATTAGGTTTTAGCGGTGATTTATCTGTCTCAAAAGATTAATTCCATAATTTCCATTTTAATGGTTACATTTAAAATTTTACTGACCAAATTTTTAAAAAAATCTCTACAGTTTCATAATAAAATAACGGAGTCTCAAATACTCGCCAATAATATGAGATTTGTAAATTTCTATGAATTGAGAAGCTAATCTCAATTTTTAGAAATATATTTTTCCTTGATCTTGAAGTATTAATTTTGAATGTAGCTGATACAAAATATTAATGAAAAGCGCACTATGTGTGTGACACCAAATCTTAAGAATAAGTTCTGATTATCATCTGACTTGCTTTCTTCAAGATCCCCCCAAAATCAATTTGCGCCTATTCCTCCATTTTTAATTACTCTTTATCACAAATTGTTACCTTGAAAAATAAATTCAAATTAATTCTTCGTAAAATTTAACATAAATGAAATCTAAAGAATATTTCGTATCTTCCATTTGAATCATCTCCCAAAAAGTTGATCTATGGAAATGAAAACAAAAATGAATTCTGAGAATTCATGCACGTAGACACATGGTTAATTCAAAAAAAAGGGGTTCATAATCAATTATTGAATGTTCTTTACAAGATTTACAATTCTAATTGAAACTAAAAATTACGAATATGATTTGATTAGAATAAAAAATCGTTCTAGTTGTTTAATTTGATTTCTTTCAAACACAAAAGTCGCTTTGATTACAAGAGCAGTAACATTATCGAGAATATAATATTAAAATCTACACACCATTATAACGAAGGGTCCTTAAATACTCTATAAAACTTGCTCGATTTAATATATGGCAAGAATAAGAGTATAATCAATCTTTAAATGGTAAATTTGCAAGCAAAGATAAGAACTTACTCGTAACTAATGTATTATCGAACTTCGTATTTTGAAGTTCTAATAGCTTTGAATTAACAAAATTGTATTTTATTACTTATTTAAATACTAACCCACATGTGAAGAATTGAACTTCCGTTGGGCTACTTATTAGATTTGGAAAATCAAAGATGATTCATGCAAACGCAAAACCTAAATGCAGCAAATCTGAATTCTAAATCTCAGTAGAGGTTTGAAGTTTACATATGATGAAAATCATGGAAAATGTCAGTCAAGCCTGTTCTATCAAAATCTAGTGGAATTGACTATAATAAATGAGTTTAATAATGATTTTAGAATCAATAATGATAAATGATTTTTGAACTTTGTTGTAAAATCAATTGTAGTTCCGGACATAATTAATCTCACAAAAAAGAATTTATAAATTAATTAAATAATTCGTAAACTTTAACATTCATAATCAAATACTAAGCGAGTATTACTATTATTACAAGAACAACATTATTATATGATTATTATTGATGTATTATTAAATAAGTAATAGAATGGTCAGTTTACGAAATATGAGTAAATTTAATTGAGATCAAAACAAATTTAATTATGCAGTTACTATTTTGGTTTAAAGATTTGACGTATCTAGACAATTTGTTAAAGTTTGATAAGGAATACCAATGCAGCAAGAATTCCGTTCTTTGTTGACGTGAAATGAGTTATTTAATTATGGAAGCTGTCAATCACTCAAACTTTTGACTTACATGCTGGTTTGGCGTTACAATTGAAGAAGAAATCAGTTCAAAATGCCGTAAAGAAATAATTATTAGTTGTGCAAATATTAATCTTGAAATCATTGTTAAGATGCAATATAGAAAATCACATATTGTATAAAGTCTATGGAACAAGGATAATTTAGGTAAATTTAATAAATGTTCTCAAATACGAAATGAATTTCTAGATTCAAAATTATCATGATATTTGAATATATATAATTACCAAATTTTCTACAATTGTCAATTAGATTTGCAACTTTCTCATTATCAAACATTAAATAACTATTTCACAACTTCATTCATTCGCTTAATTCAATAATGAAATTATTGCCAATTTTATCACTCACTTCAATTGCAATTGCAACAGCAATAGATCCAATTCTTCCTAATGTATTTGATATTGAAAAAAGAGATGCTTGTTTTGATGTGATGCCACTTTGTCAATATGCTAGTCTGCTTATGCGGGGTTGTAAAGGAGATATAACTAATAAAAAAGTTCAATTTGATTGTGTTTGTAACAATGCCCCAGGTAATCCTCGTCTTGTTGCATGGCAAGGCTGTTTATCCACTTGTCTTGATCTTGAATATAACACATTGAACAAATATCAATTTTATAATACTTATTGTAGTAATTTACCAGGTTATACTAAAATTGATGATCCTTCTGCTTCATCAAATGCTGCTCCAGCTCCACCAGCTTCATCAGATGTTGCTCCAGCTCCACCAGCTTCTTCAAATGCCGCTCCAGCTCCACCAGTTTCATCAGATGTTGCTCCAGCTCCACCAGTTTCATCAAACGTTGCTCCAGCTCCACCAGCATCATCAGATGTTGCTCCAGCTCCACCAGCTTCTTCAAATGTTGTTCCAGCTCCACCAGCTTCATCAAATGCCGCTCCAGCTCCACCAGCTTCATCAGATATTGTTCCAGCTCCACCAGCCTCATCAGATGTTGCTCCAGCTCCACCAGCTTCTTCAAATGCCGCTCCAGCTCCACCAGTTTCATCAGATGTTGCTCCAGCTCCACCAGCCTCATCAGATGTTGTTCCAGCTCCACCAGCTTCTTCAAACGTAGCTCCAGCTCCACCAGCTTCATCAAATGTTGTTCCAGCTCCACCAGCTTCATCAAACGTTGCTCCAGCTCCACCAGCTTCATCCGTTGCAATTTCGATTGCACCAGGCGCACCATCAAGTGCTATAGTCATTTCACTTCCAGGTTTTTCAAGTGAAGTTATTCAACCACCACCAATCTCATCAGGTTTATCAAGTGTTGTTGTTCAATCACCTAAATCATCTGATGTTGTAGCTCCAATTTCTTCTGCTAAACCAGCTTCAATTTCTTCAAGCAAATTGGGACCAATTTCATCAAGTATTCCAGTTTTACCAGCTAGTTCATCAGGATTTGCATGGTCAAACTCAACGGGTCCAAGCACAGGATCAGGTAGTGGATCAGGTAGTGGATCAGGTAATGGATCAGGAAGTGGTTCAGGAAGTGGGTCAGGTAATGGATCAGGTAATGAATCAGGAAATGGTTCAGGTAATGGATCAGGTAATGGATCAGGTAATGAATCAGGTAATGGATCAGGAAATGGATCAGGTAATGGATCAGGTAACGGATCAGGTAATGGATCAGGTAACGGTTCAGGTAACGGTTCAGGTAACGGTTCAGGAAATGGTTCAGGAAGTGGTTCAGGAAGTGGTTCAGGAAGTGGTTCAGGAAATGGTTCAGGTAGTGGTTCAGGAAGTGGGTCAGGTAATGGATCAGGTAATGAATCAGGAAATGGTTCAGGTAATGGATCAGGTAATGAATCAGGAAATGGATCAGGTAATGGATCAGGTAATGAATCAGGTAATGGATCAGGTAATGGATCAGGTAACGGTTCAGGAAGTGGTTCAGGAAGTGGTTCAGGAAATGGTTCAGGTAGTGGTTCAGGTTCAGGTCCAAAAGAAATAACACTCACGATCACATCATGTAGTGAAGGTCATTGTTCAGCTGCTGCAACTCTTACAACAGGATTAACAACAATCACCGAAGCTGAAACTACTTATACAACTTATTGCCCATTATCAACTGAAATAGAAACCATTGAAGCTGCATCAAAAACAGTCGTTACAATTACGTCATGTTCTGAAGGTCATTGTACTCCAATTTCAACTTTTACTACTGGTGTAACAACAATTACAAATGATTATACAACATATACTACTTATTGTCCATTATCAAGTGAATATGACATTACATATATTACTAGTGTTTCAGAAGGTTCAACATACATTCATACTTCAGGTTATAAATATATTTCAGAAGCAGAAACAATCTACACTACTTATTGCCCATTGAGTGTTCCAACTACTATTATTGAATCAACCGAAGGAGGTGTCGTTCATAAATATACAACTGGTTATAATATTGTTACTGAAGGAGCAAAAACATATACTACATATCTTCCAACTGAAGTTCCAACTACAATTATTAAATCAACAGCTGCAGGTGGTGAAGTTCATACTATTACAACTGGTTGGTCAGTTGTTACTAAATCTGCTACTGGATATACTTCATATGTTTCTTGGACCCCAGCACCAACAGTTGCTGCTCAATCAAATTCAGGATCAGCTATAGTTGGGTCACACGAATCAGGAGTTATTTCAGTTCATGAAGGCTCGGGTTCGGGTTTAAGATTCTCATTATTAGCAGGTTTAATTTCATTTATTGGTGCTTTAATTTAGATTCAATTTGTATTCAAATTTCGTTAATTTTTATTTATTAGAATTTCATCACATTTATCAATTCCTTGATTATATTATTTCAATTCTTTTGTTCACAAGCTTATTTCGCCAATTTCAAGTTTTTTTGCAGAGATTTTTTTATTCTATTTACATTGGTTCTGTCCATGATATAATTTTATATTCGGTATAGTTAGTCTAGTAATAAAAGGACTCTCATTTTTTAATTCAAAAGCATGTTTCTACTTTGTAAGCTCTTTAATCTTCCAAACAATTTTAAATTATACCAATCTTGCAAGCTATTTAACTATTTAATTAACGAACTATTTAACTATTTATTTAACCAACTATATAAAACCAAAATTCTAACTTAATTCCTTTTTATTGGTTATCAATTATGAACACTATTAAATGCTAGCAAGTAGGATTGAATAAATAAGATCTTTTTATTTCATCAAGACCACATGAAGCTTCAAAATCAATCAAACTCATCAAACCACAAAGTCCAATGCTTAAATTGTGTTTGACCAATTTTAAATAAATCCCAAATATTAATCTAGCAACGCATGATTAATTTGATGCCTATAATTTTTACAGTTAGTAATAAATATATTGAAATCCATCCTGTATCCACTATTATGTTCAATGTTGTACATCAAATATTCTTCTACTTTTATCCATACTTTTTCTGCTTATTTGATGATCACTAGAATATTGATGTTAGTAGTATACATGATGAATCAAATTAAGGTGCCTCTACACGTAGAACACCAAATTAACCACTTTAATAATTAGCAAATAGCGGAATACCTGCAATTCACCAAAATGAAATCTAACAAAAGTTAGGACAATTGGGTTTTACAGTTTGGTAAATCTCATTGGTCTGAAACTTGCAGCAGTCAAAACTATTTTATTTTATCTCTGCTCCAAACCTACTCGCATAGCATTTATCATGTTCATAAAATGTTGAAACCATTATTCACCAGGACTAAAAAATGTCAGTTAGTAAATTTATTTCATAATATGTAAAAATTAAATCAATTAATGGACTTATCTATAGCATTTCATTTGATAAGTGCAAAACCTTTGAATTGTTATATTAAAAGAAGTTTATGTTGTTGTAGTTTGTATATGAAATTGAAAGTAGAAAAAAATGTAATTCAAAATAATTTTTTTAAAAAATCAGGAAATCGATCTATATTTAGTAAAAATTCGTTGCAAATTATTTTGATATGATAATATTTTGGTTGCAAAAAGAAAAAAATTAATATTGATTGTCTCAAAATATATCAAAATGACTTGACACAAACTAAATATATTAAAACATTTTGATGCTTACATCAAGGTCATGAAACTATGATGTTTATTGAATCAACTCATTCACAAGAAAAGTATCAATTTCAGATGCATAAATGTTACTTTAACAGACTAGCCTTGCATATTATTATTCCTGAAGTGTAGACAATGATCTATACTTAGTAGCCCAGAACCTACAATTTCAATACCAGTTTTGAGCTTGGTTCTAAACTATATTAAGTTGATATAGATTGCATTTTAGTTCATTTCAAAAGATAAGTCTGGAGTGAAATATCATCAGCCATTCAATGTTCTTTAATCTCAATACACATTTGACAATAAAGTTAAATAAAGTTTTGTGCTAAAAACTTGGTAGCTCTTATCAGATGAATGTTACAGTAAAGAAAAAGAAATTTTTAACTTTTGGGGAATTATTCTTTTTTTTTTTTATTTTTTTATTTTTTTAATTTTTTATTCAAGAATTCTTTTTTTTGCAATAAATAAATTAATTAAGACAATTTTCAATGTGTTGTATTTTCAATAAATTTTATATAGAGATAACAAAGTAAATTGATGACATCAGAGTAGATCGAATCTGATGTTCTTAAATTCATACTATAAACTTTAAAGTTTAAGATATATTTATGTTTGTAAATCCTTTAGTATTTTGTCTTTAAATTAATATTTTTTTAATAAAACTATTTTAATTTCAATTGTTGCGCACCAGATATATATTAAACTTATTCAAACATTTAAATTCATTAAACTACCAATAAATCAAACATTTATTAATTATATTTAATTATTCTGTACTTTTATATTCAATTTTCATTTGTTATACATATTTCTACTACCATGTCATTTGAAATAACATTTCTTGGAACAAGTGGAGGTCCACTAGAAGGAAATACATGTTCAATATTATTAAAATCTACAAATATAGAATATTCAAAATTATTAGAAGTTGAAGATGATAAACCAACAGAATTAAAAGAAAATGATGAAATTTTAGTAATTGATGCTGGATCAGGTATGGGGAAATTAACAGATATAATTTATCAAGAAAGTACTTTTCAAAAATCTTCATGTAATTTATTAAATTATTATTATGATTCTGAACCAATTTCATATTATTATCATAATACAATAAAATTAAATCAACCTTTTAAAAATTTTAATATTTTCAATACTATATCATATACAAAATTAATTTTTAATAAATTAAATAATTTTCTAATATCTCATCCTCATTTAGATCATGTATCTTCATTAATTATAAATTCAGCAGGTTTTCCAACCAATAATCCTCCGAAACAAGTATTTGGGTCAAAATATACTATGAATGCATTACAAAATCATTTCTTTAATGGGATTGTATGGCCAAATATGCCCAATTTTGATATATTAAATTTAAATAATTTGGAGTTTGAAAAATCAACAAGTATAGGAAATTATGAGGTTGAAATGTTTCCCTTAAGTCATGGAGAATTAAATATGATAGAAAGTAAAAAACATAAGCATAAGGAGAATGGATCAAATGAAGAAGAAGGAGACGAAAGAAGACATTCAAGTGTAACTACTATACCCGCAGGTGTTGATGAACAAGAATATATTAAAACAAAAATAGAACAATCCAAAGTAGACGATCCAACAACACTGCATTATCAATCAACTGCATTTTTAATAACAAGAAACGATTCATCAGTACTAATATTTGGAGATTTTGAAAGTGATAAAATAAGTAAATTAGAATATAATTTAAAAATATGGAAAAGGATATCACCACTCATATTGCAAAAGCAATTAAAATTAATAATTTTAGAATGTTCAAATAGTTTTGAAATTGATGAAAATAAATTATATGGTCATTTAACTCCAAAATATGTTGTTTATGAATTGAAAGAATTGGAGAAACAAATTAAAGAATTAAATAAAGATATTGAACAACCATTAAAAGGTTTAAATATAATTATTAATCATATAAAAGAACCTATATTATCTAATAAGAGACAAATTAAAGATCCAAGAAAACAAATTTTAACAGAATTAAATAAATTAAATGTAGATGAAAATTTGGGGTGTTTTTTTTCAATTGCATTAAGTGGTACAACTATAATTGTATAAACAGATACAAAGGATATTTTAAGTGGTCATGTATAACACTTCGATCATATAAATCAACAAAAAAGACATTATTAATCAATAAAAAGCCCAACTTATAGACAAAGGAATACAACTCCAATAGAATTTAATAACTTTTAAGTAACTACGTTGTACTTGGTAAAGTAGATGGTCATACTACAAAAATAAACTTTTAGAGATCGCTGTCATTCATTAATCTTGTTTTACTTCTTTCATTGCATTAAATAGCTAGCTAATTAACTATATAATTTTCAGAAATAATATTCGAATGTAAATTAAATGGTAAAGATTTTTCATCATTATCATTAGAAACAACATCAATAATAGATATACCACCTAAAGAAATATCATTCTCTAATACATTTTGTTGATTGATATCAAATTGTAATTCCAAAGGAAATAATTGATCTTCTGATTCTACTGGAATTGAGAACTCAAATGATCCCAGAGGTTCCTGTGTAGTAATTGAACCAATATTAAAAACAGTACCTTGTTCAATAACATCGTATGAAATTACTTCGTTTTCTTGTAATTGAATCTCATCATTAAGTACAGGTATTAAAATTTTAACATTTTCTATTTTAAAATCTTCATTAGGATGTGATTCAATAAATTCTGAAGTTAATTCATATTCTAATGTAACTTGAGCTATTGAATTTTCATCTATATTAACCCAAGCAGTAACAACAATTGGAATTAATGTTAAATCTTCATTTTTACCATTTGATTTCCACATTAATATATTTAATCCTTGATCATTAAATGGGAAAGTTTTTGATTTATCTTTTACTGTTAAAACGTGATCTTTTGTAAATATACTTCTATCAACATTTGGATGTGGTTTTAAATTTTTCTTGTCTGATTTTTCATCAATTTTTAATAAAATTTTACAATTTGATAATGATTGTTCATTGATTCTTAATTGTAATGTACCTTTTAAATCTGAACTCGAAACAGATCCATCTCTTGTTAATTTTGCATTTATTGTTTCATTTATTGTGATTAATATACCATTATTTGGGACTTTTTGTTGTTGAATTGATGGGGATGGTGATGCACTTTTTGGTGGTTGTGATGATGGTGGTGTTGGTCTATTAAAAACAGGTTGATTTGATAATAATGGTTCTGCTGCAGTATTTGTGGTTGGTTTAGTGGTTTTTTTACCCAATTGAAGTCCACCACCTCTTGGTCTATTATTAAATGAAGATTTTGATTCTTGATGATTTGAATCAACTATAGTTGTTGGTTGATAAGTAGGTTGGAAACTTTGTTGTTGAGCTTTAAATTGAAAATTTCCAGGACCTCCAACATTACCACCACTTGTTTTATTTGCCATTTCTCTTCTTTGAATTTCTTTTGCTCTTCTTTTCCTTTCTTCAGTTGCTTCCAATTCTTTATTTCTTTCAATAATTTCTTGAATTTTTTCTTCATGAGAATCCATTTCCAAAAATGTTTGTACTTGACTCAAAGTTAAATTTTCTTTATATCCCATATTTATAATTTCATCAAATGCATCAATTATATCAAATGAATTTTCAAAAATTTCTTTTTCATCAATTTGTCTTAATAATGTTGAGATAGTGGAAGCAAATAAATGTAATGTGTCGATATCTTGTAAAATATTTGATGTCTTATTTGTAATCAAGACTATATAAAATTCTTCTAATGGTTGATAAACATATCTAACATTTTCATCTTCAATTGATGTATGTTGATTTGAAGAATTGGAAATTAATGATGGAAAATTTGATAATAATGATGTGATTCTATCTCTGGATATGTCTCTAAATTGTCTAGATAATAATGGTTTACCACCTCTGGTACAAATTGATGCAGATAAAACAACCATTTTTTGATAGTGCTGATTTTGGTCTGTGGTAGTGGTTAACGTGTTTTATTTATTTTTCAATTGAGTTGTTTGAAAAATCAACATTTTGGTGGTAGTGTAATTATTTCAATTCTTCTATCAAAATATATTTTAATTTATTTAATAAATCAATACAAATTATTTCAGTAAGTAAATTTGATTTATTATTTACCACTAAATTAATAAATTGTTTTAAATTATATTTTGTTAATAGTTCATTAGCTTGAAAATTATTTAATCCCATTTCACAAAGTAAATTACAATTTAAATCTTCAACATCTATTAGTTTTGTTGGTTGGTAAGGTTTTTCAAATTCAATAATTTCAAGACACCATAATTCTAAATCATCTTTAGAAATAAACAACAATTTGATATTTAAAGAAGCACAAACCAATAAGAATTTTTGTAAATTGTCACCACCATTTTTTAAAGTTGATTCATTACCAATTGCAATTACATACAATTTATGAAAATGTTGTTTCATCTTGATTAGTTCTTCCATTATTAAGAACTCATTTTTCAAGTTTATTTGAATTAATGAGTTAATCTTAGTTATATATATCCCAGTCTTTAAGTTCACAACTAAGTCAACATCATGAACAAATTGACAATCAATTAAATTTACTTTACTTTTTATTGCGTTAACAAATGAATATTGTTTGTCCCATAATTTCTGATTTATCAAGATGTATTGATTTGTTTCAAATTGATATTCCTTGGTTGAATCAGTTAAAAATGTTGTTTCTTGTGGTTCTGGCGGTGGAGGAATAGAAGATTTTGGTTGTGGTGGTTGCTGCGGTGCTAAAAACAGAACAAATGATAATTCATTAGGTATGATAGGTTGATTATTCAATTTTCTTTTCTTTTTTGCAACTAACTGATCTAAATCATCGGTGTCATTGTGATAAGTTGCTTGATTGGTTAAATGAGGTAAATCCACTGACTGTTCATGAGGAGTTTTAGTTGATTTTCGTGGTACATTTTTTGGTAAATCAACATCTTTAGTAGGTAATGCAGGTTCAGCTATGGTAAGTGACGATTCAGAATTTTTGAGTGCTTTAGTTGATAAATCACGTTTTTTTGTTGGTACTTGAGATTTATTTGGTTGTTCAATAGATGGTTTCACTTTATTGGTAATATCAGTTAATGGATCACGTCTTTTTATATTAATTGGGAAAACAAAACTTTGTCCATCATTGGATGTATTAACAACTCCATTGAATGTTGATGCTTCGACTATAATTTGCTTATTATTTGGTTTTTTGAAAGATGATTCAGTTTTTTGAAGTGTTTTAAATGGTCCTGAGTTGGTTAATTTGGGTGTCTCTTGACAAGATTGGAGTGATTCAGTTGGTTTTTCGACTACTTTAGGTACTTCGGCTAGTACACCCCGATTTTTTGCTAACTTCGTTGATGAATCACAAGATTTGGGTGTTTCAGTTGATTTTTCACTATTTGAAGGTAATTTGATTGTTGAAAGTGGTGCGTCAAATGATACTTCGCCTCCTACTGAAATTATAGGATGTTCCAAAATCAAATCCAATTGTTCAATTTTACTTAACCCAGACTTTTGCTTAGGTGATGGTTCGAAAACTGATACAATTTCTTCAAATAAAAATATCGATTGAATATCTTCTAATTTGGTAGTGAATGGTTTCCATTCCATTTCAATCAGTAACTGATATCTTTTTAAATACCATTTTTTTAAATTAAACAGTTTTTGGAAATATCCAAATAAAATTTGAGATGTTGTTTTTTGTACTGGATTAAATGAAGTTATTGATTGAATCATATATTTTCTACTTTTAAAATTTGTATCTAAATTGAATAACATGTGGTTTAATTCATGAAGATTATATGTTTGTGGGGTATCTTGTTCAATGTCCCATTTTGGATGATTTATTTTAAGTTCCATTTTTGGTGTAATGATTTGATTTAGTGGGATCATAAAACTCGGTTTTTGGTATTCATGATGTATTAATTCATATTTTGGTATTATCACTGGTGGTTTAGTTTTAATTTGTTCTGGAATCAAATCAAATAAATTTATATTTTCGTCTTGCCATTTTGGAAACTTTGGTGGTTGTGATTTTTCATATTTGGATGTTAAAATAATTGGTACATCAGCAAATATAATTTCTTTAATGACATCTAGTTTCACTTCAGTTGATGGGAGTTGTATTGGAGTATAAGTTGAAGCAATATTTTCTTCACTAAGTTGTTTTATCAATTTTTTACCACTTGTTTCATCAATTTCTGGTAATTCAACAGGTTCAAATTTTTTGTAAATTGAAGTTTTCAGTTCATTTTTGGAAGGAGTTTCATGAACATTCATAAAATATTTTTCAGCAACAATAACTTGAGGTAAATACTTCAACTCAACTTTCACAGGTTTTGGTTTAAAATGATTTTTTAAAATTAATGCACAATTCTTATCTAATTTTATAGTCTCATTGTTAAATTTTGGTATTGAAACTTGTGGTGTAGATACATCCCATCTCTGGGAACTACTCTTCAAACTCTTCAAATAATCTAATACTTTTGGTGGAGGTGTAGTCATTAATTTATTCTTGTTTGGTGTTTTTTACAACCAATTTTTTTTTTTACAACCAAATTCCAAATTTTTGCAACAAAATAGAATATAACAATAAAATCCATTTACAATACTAAAAGCACTTGCCACAGAAATTTTATGTAAAGGGTTTGAGTGCCAAATGAATGATTTAACAAAACTATATAGTTTTTAGAGATTGTGATAAGTCAAAGTACTAGAAAAAGCTGCACGTTACGTATTCAATATTACAAAGCTTGGAACTGTATAGCCTGAGATTGAATAAACAAATTAGTTATACATTCAAAGTATATAATATGAATCCTTGCACTCTTTACTAACTCCTATTCGAGGTTTTGTCAAATTGTGAGAATTTCGTTAAAAATTTACATAAATCAAAATCTATTTCCAAACTCTAACGACCAAAAAACCTCGGGAGTATAATTTCTACATGTTGCATATAAATCTGGAAAACTTAGTTTAACTGAAAATTTAGTTTTAGTGCAATTGTTAAAACTTTTTTCTATATTGTGTTCATCAAAATTTTAGTATTATTATTTTTCTTTTGTATTTAAATATAACGCGAACTAAACAAAAATTTTAATTGTAGTATTAAAATATTTAATAGCAAAAATAAGAATAAATTATGAACATTGATAAAAGAATAATCGTCAAACTATCAATGTTCGTTAATTTAAATCATTATCGTTTCCTCTCATATTGTTTAGTAAATGGAATGCATTAGTCTCAAAATTTGACGAATGAGATATATATATAATACTAATATTAATAAAATTGCAAATCGGTACCTTAAAATATCAATTATTAAAAAGAATGTAGTGTAATGTGTGTACCTTAAAAAGAACTATCATCGTTTAATGTATTATGATGTAATTAATTTATACTGATGTATAAACAATTAAATTTTTAGTCAAAAAAATTTGAGGGTTCATGACACAAACTCAATTAATAAATTGTTTAAAATGTGTAATCTTGGGAAGAAACTATAACTAATTGGTAAAGTTTAATTTAACCTTTTGTTGTAGTATTTTAAAATAAGGTTTGTTGTATTCAAGAATTTATATATCCAAATAAAGAAGTTTTTCTCGAGAATAAATTATTATTATTATATAGTTCATATTATACATGTCGATTTAAAACAATAGCATAAAATATTAATTAGTTTTAACATTATCTACATAAAATTTTGGAATTTAAAACAATATATTTCTTCACGATTCAAAAAATTTTTGTTTACATTATTAATAAATTCGATATGAATATAATTTTGTATCTTTTTTTGCTATTAACTAAAAAAATCAGGGGAAAAAAGTTTAAAAATTTTTAATTTATTTATTTAATTTGTTTCAATTAAAAATTTTGACATATTTTTATATTTTTGTTCTTCTTTGTTATAAATAAGTACCAAATTCCACATTTTCTTTTTTGATTATACACATAACATAACTCATCATTTACTCATATCATCACCTTTACTTCAATTTATTCAATCAATATAATTCACTACAACATATAAAATAATGCTGCCATCAATAACTATAAATAACTTATTATTAGATTCACAAGTAGCAAATATAGCATCAACGGTAACACCATCATTAACAAATTTACATATAGCAAAATCGTCAATAATTAACAATGATAATAACAATAATAGTCTAAATATAGATTCAAATTCAATACAAACATTATCGACAACATTATCATCAATAATAAATTCTTCAATAACTGATTCACCATCCGATTTATCAGAATCTGGTTTAATTTATGCAACTGATAATTCACAATTGAGTGATGCTTTGGGAAGTTTTGCTCAAAGTTCTGATGTTAAATCTTTAACTTTAAGTGGTACTCCAAATTCAGTTTCATCAAATAATGAAGGTGGTTCACTAAAATTAGGTAATAGTTTCATAATATTAAATTTGATATTCACTTTGTTGCTTTATGTTGTATCATGATGATGCTTCAACAGTATTGCTAAAGTAAATCAACGGATCAAAAACACACCATTAACGAATATTATGCAACTAGAAATAGAAAATTCTTTATATTCAAAACCAAGGAACAAAAAACAAAAAACAAAAAAATAAATTGTATTCAATTCTTCAATCCATAAAATTTACAAAAAGATTTAATTCCCAATTTAATATATACCTAATAAAAGAAATAATCGCTAGAGAATCAATTCAAAATGTAGTAAAAAAATCTTCCTCTGACTAAATTTATCTCACAATTTTTAACTTAACCGTATCAAAACTTTATACTGCTCTGATTCAAATTCAATCGAGTCTAGAGATAAAGTCTTTCACAACTCTGCTCCTTCCAAATAATTAAAACCTTTTGCAAATAACTAATCGTTTAAAATTGAAAATTGACAAAAATAATATAAGTTCTGCATTTGAGAATACGAAAGACAAAAGAAGTCACAATTATCAGTAATAATTTTCAAAAGCATCAGAGGATCGGCAATGACTTTACGCGATGTATGGCATCAAAATATTAATCAATGTCACAACATCCGTACCACAATACAAAAAGGTTGCTGGGGTAGCGTATATTTCAATCTTGTGACTAATTTCATATTTGTTGCAGAATATGAGTTTCAAAACATTGCTTGTCAACAGATTTTAGATCTATATTGCTTTTAAGTATCTAAATTAGTAGAGAAAAGTAAACTTATGAGCTTTTGAAACAAGTTTTGAGAAATTGTAAATACAAAGTTTTTGACACAATTTACAGACAAACAAAAATCTTCTAATATTTTGCATCATTTTTCAAGAAAAAATCATTTTACAAAATAACTTCATGTTTCATCAACAAAATTACACACATCTCGATGAATACAATTAGATTTAGTATAAATGACTCAAATTATGACACATATTAAAAATTAAATAAATGCTGTGGAATCATTAAACTTTATATGAAAGATCGCTAATCGCTTTCAATAACTCAATATTTAATTAAGTAAAATTTCTTTTAACCTTTTAGACTTAAAAAACTATAAACTAAAAATTTAAATACAGTATTAAGCGCATTGAAAATTCTCCAGCCGCACGGAATTTAATTTATTACTCATTTCATATTATTATTATTCCATTATTACTAATGCAAAAGAGAAATATTATTATTATATTAAAACAACTCAGAAATCAAGATTCATTTATACTCCTTATTTATAAACTATATCATTACTAATGACATATTCAGATGAACTACTGGAACAAAAATCAACATCTGATGAATCTCATAGATCTTTAGAACAAACCACATCTTATGAAATATATCCTATAAGATCATTACAAACTCATCAATCAATTAATACATATTCAAGTAAAAAATCAGAACTTTCAAGAATAATAAGTGGGATAAAAGATGATCAAATACAAAGTAATAAAGATTACGTAGATAGAGGTGATGCTGATTTTTTAGTGGCTCAAGAAATTGATAGAGCCACAAGTAGGAATATTCAAAGTATACAAGAAGAAGAACCAATAAAAGAAGAACAAGAAGATCATCCACCTGATGGTGCTTTTGCTTGGGTAATGGCAACTTGTGCAATGTTGGGAGTTTTTTCAACTTGGGGTGCAAATGCTGGATTTGGTGTATTTTTAAATTATTATTTAAATTCAAATACTTTTCCTGAAGCTACTGAATATGATTTTGCATTAATTGGTGGTATTGTTGTATTTTTAGCAAATTTTTTATCTCCTATATCTGCATTTCTTTATAAAGTGTTAGGATTTAAATATGTTTGTGGAATTGGAATTATTTTCCAAACTTTAGGTTGGATTTGTGCATCTTTTGCTACAAAAGTTTGGCATTTATATTTATCACAAGGAGTAGCTGTTGGAATATCTTTTTCATTAATTTTTATACCTGCAACTTTAATTTTACCAACTTGGTTTGTTAAACAAAGAGCAGGATCAATGGGACTTTGTGTTTCTGGTGCTGGATTAGGTGGGTTGATTTTTTCCCTTAGTGTTAATAAAGTCATTCAAGATACTGGTGATCAAAGATGGGCTTTAAGAATGGTTGGATTTGTTACTTTATTTTCAGCTGCAACTTGTGCATTAATGATGAGACCTAGAAATTCCAGTAGTATTCCACCATTTAAAGAAAGAATTAGTAAGGAATATATGTTGGAGAATTTCAAGGTTATTTTTGATCCAAAAGTTTTTAAAAATTGGGGTGTTTGTATATTAAGTTTATGGTTTGCTATTGCATTAATAGGGTATACTTTAATGTTATTTAGTTTATCATCTTATGCTTCTGCTATAGGTTTAAGTCATCAACAAGGTTCTGTGCTCACGGCAGTTATGAATGCTGCTCAAATTATTGGAAGACCGTGTATGGGTTTAACTGCTGATAAATATGGTAGAGCAAATTTCACTGGTTGTTGTTGCTTATTAATTAGTATTTTATTGTATGCATTTTGGATTAATGCAAAGACTTTTGGATCATTGATTGCATTTGCGGTAATTATTGGGTTTATTATTGGTATTGGTTCATCATTAGCACAACCATTAGCTGCTGATTCGTTAGAAGGACAACTTGAAAAACTACCCGCTGGTTGGTCAGGGATCAATATCTTTGTGTCTTTCTTTTGTTTAGTTTCTGAAGTTATTGCATTGTCTTTGGTTGATGAATCATTGTCAAATCCTTATTTGCATACACAGATCTTTGCTGGTACTTGTTTTTTCAGTTGCTTTTTGTTGATTTTAATACTAAGAGAGTATTTAGTTAAAAAAGTTTTGAGGGTGAGGTATGAAGATACAAAATTAAAATTAGAAAAACTTAGTGGTGTTACTAAAAGTGGGTACCTTAAAATAGATGAAAAAGTTGAGGAAGTTGAAGAGACTGAGGAATTGCTACAGGAGAAAATAGAGAGGTATGAACATTTATTAAGAAACAATTTAGTGACTTATTGCATGAGAGTTGTATATCCTATAAAAGTATAGACATAGAAATGAATGCATTATAGAGTAATTTTTTATAAAAGTAGAACTTCGTAAACGGATTTATCACCACAAATTAATATACATATACAATAGTAAGAGTATAAAAGTTTTTATAAGTATTCAAACTGAATGTAAGATTTTTATCTATCTAATATACAAGTTGTATTAAGACCAGATTAATATAAGTAAACAAAATCAGGATTTCTATCACCTAAATTAATTTGTTCTTTTTCATTCAATGATTTAAAATGTTGTTTGTAAGCATCTGTTTTTTTGGATTTATTTAATCTATAACACATAAACAAATAAGCCAATGAACACATAATTGAAAAATAAACAGCAGCGATAGAAGTAGCTAAACCAGGTACGTAAAATGGTGCATCTTTACTCAAAAATATAAAAGTTGCAATAATACCACCAATGTTACCAAATCCAATTTGCCATGATGTTCCAACTGATTTTCTTAAATGTGAACCATTGTTTAATGCTGACCAACAAATTAAAATTGGCATTGCCGTATATAACCCACTAGCAGCTAAAAAACAACCAGCATATCTTTTATTTGGATTTTTAGTGGCTCCTAAAACCATACTTAAACCAGTTATAGCAACAGCACATGCACCAATAAGGAAAGGAGATCTTTTCCCAAAATAATCAGAACAGAAAGCAATTATATTACTTACAGCAAACGAACAGACCCATGGATATACTGAATGTTGTTGAGCTGCTACTGCAGTATAACCCAATTCTTTGACTATAGTAGCTGAAAAATATGCAAATCCATATGAAGGTATAATTAAACCCAAATAAGCTAATGTAGGTAACCAAATCATCCAATCTTTTAATAATTTAAGAGCATCCCAAAATGTATTTTTAATTTCATATGATGATTTTATACCAGAATGGAATTGCAATTTTTTTTTCAAATATTTCTTTTCGTTTTCTGTTAAAAACCTGTTTGTCTCTGGAAAATCTGATATAATAAAGAACAAGAGAAATGAGCATGCAACTGTTGCAACACCTTGTACCAAGAATAACCATCTCCAAGAAGAGAGACCCGCTTTTCCATGTAATTCATGCACTCTATAAGCAATCAGCGAACTTGCTGCACCACTTAATGATGTAACTGAAAAAAATGCTGTAAATCTTCTAAGTGATTCCTTTTGAGTGAAATAAGTTGATAAAACATAAAAAACACCACAAAACAATACTGATTCAGTCACACCTAAAAGAAACCTTGTAGCATAAATTTGTCCTTTCGTTTTAACGAAAGTGATACCAATTGTAATACAACCAAATAAAAATACTGAACTTGATAACCATATGTGAGGTCTTATAAATTTAATAGCATAATTACCTAATAATTCAAAAAAGATATATGGAACGAAAAACATAGTTAATGCAGTATTATATTGAGTACCAGTTAAACCCAAGTCTGTTGAAAATCCATAAAGATTTGCATTTGAAATATTAACTCTATCCAAAAAAGCTAAAAAATACAATAAGCAAAAAGGAGGAACAACACAAATATCAATTTTCCATTGCAATTTCTTTTGATTTATACCTAATTCTTTTGCTAATTCATTTGTTTCAAATTCTGGATCAAAACTTTTTAGTACTTGGGAACTATCTTCTGAATCAACTAATTCTGGATCATGAACATTTTCAGGATTTTTTTCTGATGAATCAGTATTTAAAATCTCGGGATCAGTTACTGTCTCATCAAATTTTTTATCAGACATTTTTTGGTGGTATTTTGATTTTGATGTTCAAGAAATGTTTCAAAATTTAGGGAAACAGATCTTAGTTTTATAGTTTATTATAACAATTTTATACGAGTTTATTTCATCTCATTTTTTTCTTCTTTTGTCATTTCTGTATAATAATTATTATAACTCCCGGTTGAGGTAAGTATTAGACAAGACAAGTTGAAAATTTTATTTTATTTTATTTTATGCGGGGGAGAAGAAAAATTAAAATTAATGGAATTTAAAGTTGTATATTGGTGAATCTAATGAGATTACGTAAATCGTTATACGAGTCTAATACTCCTGCTATGTATAAGATTGATAGTAATTAAGAATACGTTATATATGTAACTTATTATAATAATATAGATTAATCTCTAAAAAGATATGAACACTTCTATAAAATGAGAGATACGAATATCAACCAACAATTGATATGGATGATCTTGGTAGCATCCCTTAATTAAACTCAGAACTAATATAATGGAAATACAAAGTTAAGGTTTTTTTTGATTGATTTTATGTCAATTTCAAACTTTTAATTACACATTGAATCATACAATTAAGCATTTACTTTAAGATCAACGACTTACAAACGTAGATTAAAATAGTTCATTTTCCAGTTCGTTATTACCAATACTCTGATTCAAACTATTTTGTTATAATTTTTTCACTCCGCTTTATATAACTTTTGTGCTCTTATACTAGTTTAATTTTTTATAATAATGCATCTTGTACGTTTAAATTTATTTTTCAGTGAATTAGATCCACGCACACGAGGCTAAAATGTAAGGCTGAATTTACGAGAACTAGTTTATACAACTCCGGTGCAATTCGAGAAATCTCGCATATGAAGGCACTAAATGGTAGATCAAGTTCTTGGAAATTGATTAAAACGTTGGAGATTTCGTCTATAGATCCTCATCTTAATACGAATATTATATTTGAAATGATACGAGATTGTTCGATGTTACAAACGGTTTTATTGAAACATAAACTGATATGCAAATTAATGTAAAGTATCAAACCTCGGTTTCATAGTAATGCAATGCCAGTAATTGCTTGTTGCTTCTACCTATGGAGTACTCAAATGAGGTTGCCTATATTTACAAATTGTTTGATTTTGAAGAATGTTGTTTGTCTAAAGTATGTGACAAAAAATAAAAATGTCACATATTAAATCATTACTCACTTGTCTCTATTTGTGCGCTTTTTATAAGCTCTGAGCTTTTGTTTCGAGGAGGTACATAAACTACTTAATCATTTCATCTATCAATAATATGGCTAATTCATGTTCTATCGTATTTCTATTCTAGAAATTGGAATATCAAAACTTTACATGAAAATTCACAATTGATTGTCTACTGTTTATTTATCTGAAAAATGCAGACGCGTTCTATATCATTAGTGAATTAATCAAGATGTTTCTATTTTTAGATGAAACAAACCTGAAACAAACTTAATTTTAAAAAATTAAAAAACTTTATATTGTTGAAATATATTTAACAAGAAAATTCGCCTTTGTAATTATTTTGATTTACTCGATAAAGCATTCTTCTTCAACTTCAGACTCATTATGGACTATTCAAGTGGCTCAACAACTAATACTTGTACTTCATCAAGTGGAACTCAAAGTTTCTCATCTCCAGACTACGTTGGCCCAACAAGTTCAAATGACGACTGTATTGACACTAAATTTTCATATCACAATTATCTTGATAGTTTAAAATCAACCTCAATTTATCAATCATCTTTTAATTCAAAATTAATTCAATGTAAATTTGGTCCTCGTTGCTTCAGAAATAATTATAATTGTCCATTTCGTCATCCACGTACTCATCAATTATGTCCTAAATCAAATTGCATTTCTTATAGTTGTGGTTATATGCATCCTCATCCTATTGATTGCAGATATGGATTACATTGCTTTCGAAAATTTTGCATTTTTAAACATCCAGAAGGTAGAACTCATTATTTGGAGTTATATTTAAGTCAAACTTAAAGATTTATTATATCGTTGCTTTGGTATAGAGATATATAGCGTAAAAAGATTTTGGTATTACATTTTCGTTTATATTTGGCTGGCCCTTTATTGTAATTTTCTTTTGATTTCAGATTCTTTTAATTCTACTCTCTTTTCTTTTTTTCCTAAGACTTAGAATCTATTTTGAAACTTCATTATCAAGAAAAGCCTAATAAAGTTCTATTTTTTTTTATGATGTAAAGTGGTAGTACCTTGGCACAGTTAGAAGTAGAACTTAACTGGGAGTGACCAAGACTATTGACGAATTTTGATAAAATCGTAAAACAACTTTAAATTTTGCTATAAATAAATTGTTTCAAAATTGGACACAAAACCTTTTAACAATACAATAATTTGTATATGCCTTCAACTGAATAATGCAAAGAAACAAAAGATTTCCGATGGCTCAAAAATATAGTAGGGTACAGTAGACTGGCAGAAATTACATCACTTAGTATTATAACAAGCATGTCTTCTCATACAAAACTTCTTCTTCCAACAGCTAATAAGTTCTGCACTAACCAAATTTGGCTGAAAGTCAAGAAGAGGAATTAGAGTTGTAATCATAGTCAAAAGCAAAATGAACGCTCGTGTTGATAGACTTGATGTAATCTTAATATGAAGAATTAAGTCTCAACAAGATTAATCAATTGTTACATATTGTGACCATAAAACGTAAGTAATAGCATTTAATGGAAAATTAATATAGTATATGAGAGCTTAGTAGTAATATTTAGCTCAACTCAATACTATGTACAAATTCAAAAACATAGAAAATTCAAAATACTACAACCAAATTAATATACAACAATACTCATTATTAATATAGACCTATAAAACCTATAAATCTTATAACCTCTCTATCTATTTGATTTAGCAACACGTTCAAGTTCATCTTTTTTCTTAATAGCATAAGAAGTAGATGATCCTTTAGCAGCATTAATAATTTCTTCAGCAAGACATTCAGAAATAGTTTTGATATTTCTGAATGCAGCTTCTCTACTACCGATGGTAATTAAAGCGATTGATTGATTTATACGACGGAGTGGTGAAACATCAACTGCTTGACGACGAACGGTACCTGATGAACCAATTCTTGTTGAATCTTCTCTGGCACCTGAGTTGACAATAGCATCAACAACAACTTGAAGTGGGTTTTGTTCAGTAAGAACATGGATGATTTCTAAAGCATGTTGAACGATTCTGACTGCTTTTAATTTTTTACCGTTATTTCTACCATTCATCATTAATGAGTTGGTTAATCTTTCAACAATAGGACATTGAGCTTTTCTGAATCTTTTGGTGGCATATTTACCTGCAGTATGTGGAACGAAAGTTGGTTTAACTTGAATATAATCAACTAATGAGATATCTGAAACTTCGACATCTTCAAATGACCATCTATTGAATAATTTAATTTCTTGTTGTGCTTCTTGAACATCTAATGGGATTGGAGTGGCTAAGTTGACAACTTGTAATTCTTCTTGAACAACTGGTTGTTCTTCAAATTGTTCTTCAACGTCTGACATGGTTGTTAATGATTTGATATTGTAGATAGAAGAAAGTTGAGAATAAAAAATTTTGAAATTTTTCATAATCAGCTTAACAAAATTCTTTTTTCCTGAAGTGAAGTGGTAGCACTACGTCACTTCTTGGTGTAGAAGCTCAGTAATATATGTTTTTTTTAGGCGCAGGGCAGGTCAAGGTTAAATTATTTTTTCTCTTGACTCGACCCGATTAGGCAACCTAGGTTGGTAAAATAAAGTATATTATTTAAGGGCTTTAGCCCTAATCAATATTTTTTCATAAACAACTGAGCTATTTCAAAACTAAATTTAACTCCATTGAAGATTGTAAGATACCCATTCATTATCTCAAAAAAGTTATGTTTATTTGAAGTTACTATGCTCTCTTGAATCAGAAAAATGTTTTTCACCATTTCAGATACTTATATTTGATTCTTTTTTCCACGCAAGAGCCAGATTTTGATAAATTAATCTCTACATTTCAGCTATACTCTCATTTAGCCTCAATAATTTCGTTCCAGCACCCTAGCCTCTCCAACTAGCAAGAACGCTTTTGCGAGTTCATGTGGCTAACCCAGCAAAGAATCAATACTACATAATCTAGTTAACTGAAATGACCAAACTACAAGTAAGAGTAAGATCTTAGCAAGTTCGCCTATCAAAGGAAACTACTACATTGACATATTATATAATATAATGCTAAAACTAATAGAAAATGTCCCATCAAAATTCGTTTGTTTAAATTTTTACAATTTAAAATTGAAGCTTTTTGCTATCATTCATTAACATTATTAAGAACTAAGTTTTTAACCTCATTCCACTGATGGTAACTACATTTGAATTATTTGATAGTCTCCGGAAATAAGAAATATAAAATTACTTTTTTAGGAATCGCCGCACAAATTCGTGGGGCGAGTTAGGTACAATGTGATACATTTATTAACAAAATGTTCATTCATTGAATAATATTGTTCCAAGATATACATGTTAGTAGCTGTAATTAAATTTTCTCGAGATCGCAAATGTGTCGTATATTAAATATAAAGTTTATACAAATTTGAAAACCATCATGTTCATTAATTGACCTGATCAAATTAGTCAATTAACATATCTCCCATCCGGATGTGTATAAATACAATACTTTTTGATAAAATGGTGATTTTTATTTAAATTTAATGTCTTAATTATGAAATTACGACAATAATCTAATGATTTAAGATAATAACGATTCTACAATAGTTTGATATCTGTTATACAAATACAAGATACACTTAAAAACCTTTATTATATATAAACTGAATATATCTGATAGCTTGGTTGATTCCTTGATTTATTCTTATTTCTTCTTCTTAATTCAAAAACTTCTTTTTTATTTTTCATCTGTGAAATTTCATCTTATTTATCATAACTTATTGCTCCTTGAATTAAACATCAATAGCACGTGTAATCTAACTTCATGTATTGTTCTAAAATAATTCTGAGTTAAAGTTTCCTGTATATTGTTTTGTCTTAAATTTATATTTTCATCACTTTTTACCACAAGAATAACCATATTTGCAATAAGTAGGAACCAGGTGCATATATTTGCATTTATAATTTTTACAATCGGAATCAATACACAATTTATAAGTATACGCATGACGATATGGACATCTAAATTTTTCACAATGAGGACCATCTTCACATTGAGTTAATTTTAGATTTAAAGCACTTTGATTGTTCGACCTTGTAGCTAATCTATCCATGTAATTGTGATAGCTACTTCTAGTCAAGTAGTTGTCATTATTCAGAGGTGTTGGATTGTAGGTTGAGTCACTTGGGTAATTCATTAAAGGCTATCTTTTGTGTTAATTAATTATTGAAAATGACAGATAAGGGAATTAGCCGTATTTTGGTTGTTATCGAATTAGAAAATTTCAACTGAACTCCCATTTATTTCAAAAATATTATGACAAAGAATGAACAATCTTGCTTGTCATGAGATTTCAAAATCAATCTATATCCCAATTAAAGTTTGTATAGAAAACTCTTATCGTAAAAGGATGTAGTTTTTTGTGTTCAATCAGAGAGTTCCTCAGAAAATTAATTCGTTGGAAATTAAAGACATTCAAGTCTTTTAAATTTAAGACATTTTCGTATATTCTTCTTTAATTATACAAGAGTTATTGATTTTATAACAATATTGAAAGACATTTTATGGAACGTATATATATAATCTTCCTATCTTATATTGAATTGATTAAGAGTTATGGTCAATAAACAAAAAAACATTATAATATCTTTAGTTAAGTGTATTTTGGGGTATCAAAACCTATACAACTTTATTTCATTGTAGATAATTCTTTTTCATAATTCGATAGTTGTGAAAAACAAGTTAATCGCTCTACCTTAATTTATAGTGTTTGCTAATAAATTTTTTTACTGTCTACAGTGAGTGAGCTTGCCGTTTACTTACAAAAAATATGCAAATATGATACAGGAATCCAATTAATAGTAATTTCTCCAAAAAAATTAGAGCGAACCGGAGATGTTGATTTAAGTAACGGAATTTTTAGCATTTTATACATTTGAAATTTATATGATTAAAATTGAGCTATATTAAATTAATCAAACGTACAGTGATTTTATGATTAAAAAAAAATGGAGTATCTAAAAAGCTAACAATACAGAAGGGAGAATCAGACTCTTACAAACGTAACTTCAATGACTAAGGCTTGTCTTTATGAGAAAGAAACTATACTTTTTAAGTGAATTCGTAAATCTTTGAGTTTAAAAATTTGACATATTATTTCAACTTTAAATTTATTCGAGTAATAAAAATTTTAACCACTACGCATATGAAATTAATGAGTAATAGATATACATCAAAATTTAACCCACAAAAACTATACATTATCAAAAGGACTATAATAGAACAACTAAACTCGTAAATTAACTTTATTGCAGTTGTTTAAACGGTTTAAAATGATTTCAATTTCCCCATGATTTAAATTTGAAAATTTTTTAAAAATTCCATTTTAAAATATTCTTGCGGACAGCCATCAAAGTCAAAATTCAAAATATGTCTGATAAAATCACTGGTACAATAAGTGATCAAGAGATCCTAAAATATGAATCATCTGAAAAAAATTATGAAAATGGTCAAGATCCAGAACTTTTAGAGTCAGATTTCAACTCAAATTTGTCTGAGAATAATGATCCAGTATATGAAACTAATAAATTAGCTGAAGAATTAGGTATAAATCAAAGAAGACTACTGTGGAAGATTGATTTATGCGTTGTTCCTCCATTTTGTTTATTATATTTTTTAGCATTCTTGGATAGAGTTAATATATCAAATGCTAATCTTTATGGTTTATCAATAGATTTAAATTTAACAGGTACTAATTATAATACTGCATTAACTATGTTTTTCGTTCCATATGTGTTTTTCGAGTTGTTGGGTAATTATGCCATTAAGTTTATCAAACCACATATATGGTTATCAAGTTCTGTTTTCTTATTTGGTTGCATCACTATCGGTATGGCGTTTGTTCAAACAAAAGGTCAACTTTATGCTACAAGATTCTTGTTAGGTATTACAGAATCTGTATTGTTTTGTGGTGTGTTTTATGTATTAGCAACTTATTTTACTCAAAAGGATTCATTAAGAAGATTTACAGCTTTTTTTTCAGTTACATCATTAAGTGGTGCTGCTAGTGCGCGTATGTAAAATAAAGATTTACTATGAAATCAGTGAATACTAACAATTTTTAGTGATTGCCTATAGAGTTCATGAATTAGATGGTAAAGCAGGTCTTTCATCATGGAGATGGTTATTTTTAGTTCAAGGTGTTGCAACTGCTGGTTGTAGTTTAATTTTATTCTTCATTATTTCAGATTTCCCAGAAGCTAACAGATATTTATCAGAAAATGAAAGAAAATTTTTGAAACAAAAATTACAATTCCATTCTGGTATTAAATCTTCATATGAAGTTAAAAATTCAATATGGGATGCTCTTAAATGTTTAAAAGATTGGATGATTTGGTTACCTACATTAGCTTATTTTGGTTTAATTATTCCTTCATATGGATATGCATATTTTGCAGCAACTATCGTGAAAGAAATGGGTTATACAGCAGTCTCTGCTCAACAACATTCAGTTTATCCATGGGTTTGTTCATTTGGAGTTAGTAATTTAGTTGCATTTTGTTCCGATTATACTGGAAAAAGAATTCCATTTGTTGTTGGTGCATGTATAACTGCTATTATTGGATTAGCTATGATTTTAGGTGCAACCGATAATCCATCAGTAAGATATGGAGGTTGCTTTTTAACATGTTCAGGGTTATACACTGCAATGCCAATTTTAGTCTGTTGGGCTGCTTTAAATAACGGTTCACATTTAAGAAAATCAGTTGGTACATCATGGCAAATTGGATTTGGAAACATTGGAGGAATAATTGCAACTTTTATATTTTTGAAAAAAGATGCACCAGTTTATAAACCAGGTTTAGCTACTTCCATTTCAGCTGTTTGCTTCGCTATTGTATGTTCATTAGCTTATTGGTTCATGTGTTATAGATTGAATAAGACCAAAAAGACTGATGCATACAAGCAAAAATTCAATTCATTGAATGAAAAAGAACAAATTAATTTAGGTGATAGAAATCCTGATTTTGTATATTTATATTAATGAGGTAATTGTTTATGATAAATAGGTATTAAAAGTTCAACATTCTGTCGGATTTTGATTCTAAAGTATTGTATGTAGTCATTTACTCCAATTGATGGAAAAGGCTAATGGAAGTGGTAGTAACTATCCTCTTATTCATCTGATCAAAAGTACCAGTTTTGGTTTGTGTCTAGTCTTATCTGAATTTTTTGAAACACTAAAATTAATAACTCTTTTGCAGCTAAGTCGAAGCATACATAGTAAATAATACGTATTTGAACTATTGAAAAAAAAGTAACTTTTTTGCAACACTTGTTCTTTTATCATTCTAATCAATTTTAAAGTTAATGACTGGTACCAGTTTGTTATCAGGGTTGAAGATGAATAAAGTATAGATTAGAATTTGAGCATATTTTACATACACAGGCATATAGGATCGCAGGAATTTGCTATTGTTTTTGTAGAAATCCATTAAAACCTATAATGCTACTAAAGGAATGCAAAGTCTTGTACTTGATAAAAATTATTTATAGGTCTAATTACAATATACTCTATATATTATCATATGTAGTATGATAATTAATAATTGGTACTCAAATTTATTTTGCAACTGATGAGCCACCACCATATAATTTTCTCCACTCTTCAATCTTAGAATCTTCAATTCTTTTGAAAAGATATTGAGCTTTATTAATATTATGACCTGGTAAAATAAATGTATCAAGTTCATTAGGAATACTAAGTGCAGAAACATTTAATATTTCATTTATTTGTGTGGTTGTTTGTGGCATGAATGGTGATATCAAAGAACCAATCAAATAAACTAAATTTATCCCCACAGCAACAACAGCATCTGATTTTTGTGGATGGTCATTATATAATGAATTATCTAATTTATTATCTTGTAAAAATTGATTACCTTTACTTGAAATTTGCATAGCTAAATCCAACCCTCTTCTTAATTGAACTTTTTCCATATTTTGATTGTATGATTTTAATAATTCGTTAATTTCTCCAACAAATGTTTCAAAGTTTGGGATATTCTTTGTATCAAATTTGGGTATAACCCCATTGTATTTGGCATTAACAAATTTAACAATTCTATTGACAAAATTTCCTAAATTTGATAATAATTCACTATTGTTTTTACCAACAAATTCATCCCATGAAAATTGTGAATCACTTGATTCCGGTCTTATTGATGATAAATAATATCTCCAAACTGAGGAATTTACACCTGTTGTTTTAGCATTATTTCCAAATACACCAACATTTCTTGATTTCGAAAATTTCCCACCTTCATACTGTAAGTATTCAGTGGTACTTAAATGATGCAATTTAGTCCATTCATCACCTGTACCAATTTGTGAAGCCGGGAATACGACAGTGTGGAAAGGAACATTATCTTTACCCATAAATTGATATAATTCAACATTTTCAGGATTTTTCCACCATTTTTGCCAATTCTCAGTTGATGTTTCTTGATTGTCCTTGAAATAGTTTGCAGTTATTGAGACATACCCAATTGTAGCATCGAACCAAACATATAAAACTTTATTTTCATAACCTTTTGAAGGAACAGGTGTTCCCCATTTTAAATCTCTTGTGATACATCTTGGTTCTAAACCTTGTTTCAACCATGAGTTAGTAATAGTCTTTGAATTCTTTGACCATTCCTCACTTGCTTTCAAAACCCATTGTTTAAGTGGTTCCTCTAAATCATTTAATTTCAAATAAATATGAGTTGATTCTTTTATAATTGGTTTATGTCCATCAACTTTACATCTTGGTTCAATTAATTCCAAAGGATCTAATAAATTACCACATTTATCACATTGATCACCTCTTGCATCTTCATATCCACATTTTGGACATATACCTTCAACAAATCTATCAGCTAAGAAAGATTTATGTTCTTCACAATATAACTGTTCAGTAGTTTTTTCTTCCATATATTTATTATTATACAATTTGGTAAAGATATCTTGTGCAATTTCAGTTTGTAATTCAGTGGTTGTTCTACCAAAATAATCAAATTCAATATCAAACCAATCATAAACTTCTTTATGGATTTTATGATATTTATCACATAGTTCTTGTGGTGTTACTCCATCCTCCAAAGCTTTTGTTTCTGTTGCAGTTCCATATTCATCAGTACCACATATATAAATGGCATTATAATTTCTATTTTTAACATATCTTGAATAAATATCCGCACTCAACACTGATCCAATAATATTACCTAAATGTGGGACATTATTTACATAAGGTAATGCGGAAGTAATTAAAATATTACGTTCATTTTCTTTAGGTGTGATTCTTTCAGTTTGAGGTTTCACCAAGTATTCTTTATTATAATTTTGAGCTCCAGTATTTGTTTCCTTTTCACGTTCTATTTTAGTTATTGATAATGCATTTTGAATACCTGGTGAAACTTTTTCATTTGATGCAAGTTCAGTGAACCATTTGTTTTCAGTAGAGTCACTATATATTGGATATAATGAAGCAAATAATATGATTTGTGAAGGTGTTAATTCAACTTTTGAAGGAGTTTTAATATTAACTTTTGATAATGAATCCTTTTTGTTCGATAAAATAGCCTTATATAATTCAGTCTCTTCTAATTTCAAATACTCGTCGGTAGTATAATCATCAGCTAAATATTTAACAATAGCATTTGGTTCAAATAATTCAAATCCTGTTTTCTTGTCTTTCAATAAAAATTCATGTTGTAAATCATTTTGTTGTTCCGGTAATGTTAATTTTAAGTTTGGTTGGTACACCGATGCAGCGATTGATAATTTTAGATTATTGACTAATGCCAACAAGGTACTTTTATTAGAACCATATAATTCTAAACTCATTTTTCTGTTGGTTGTAAAAATGAGTTTGATGAGTCAAAAGTGAAAAAAATAGTGATTATTAGATTTTAATTTTCGATACTGCGTACAATTAATATTATTATTAGATCTTTTACAATAAGAATAGATAAGACAAGCCATACTTTCTCAATTATGATAAGACAGCGACAGATATTACGATTTTATACTACTACCACCTCCAAAACTGATCCATTCAATAGTCTTATCACAAAATGTACGATTAATCCTACTAACACCACCACAACATCAATACTATCAAATACAACTTATGCATTAAAAGATAATATAGTAGAAAATCAAACAATTTCCACAGCTGCCTCACATGCATTATACAACTACAAATCACCGTTCAATGCAACAATAGTTGACTTGTTATCATCAAATGGCTCAACATGTATAGGAAAAGCCAACTTGGATGAATTTGGAATGGGTTCATCAAATCAAAATTCTTATTTTGGTAAAGTTATAAATCCGTATGATACAAAATCCGTACCAGGTGGTTCATCTGGTGGTAGTGCAGCTGCGGCAGCTGGAGGTTTATGTGATTTTGCAATTGGGACGGATACTGGTGGTTCTATAAGATTACCTGCTAGTTATTGTAATATCTATGGTTTCAAACCAACTTATGGAAGAATTTCAAGATGGGGTGTTATACCATATGCACAAACTTTAGATACTGTGGGGATATTAAGTAAGGATTTAGATTTAGTTGAGAAAGTTTATAATGTTTTAAATGTTGAAGATTCAAAAGATCCTACGTCAATACCCAACAAAATCAGGGACCAAATACCCAAAACCAAAACCACTGAAAATTTAACAATCGGAGTCCCCAAAGAATTTTTGATTGAAGAAGTTTCAGATAGAGTTAAAAATACATGGATAGAGGTAATAGAAAATTTAATTGATTTGGGCCATACCGTGAAGACAATATCTTTAAAATCATTAAGAAAAGCATTACCAGCATATTATACATTAGCAACATCAGAAGCAGCTTCAAACTTAGCAAGATATGATGGTACAAGGTATAAGTACACTGAAGCAGAACTAAACGTTAATGAAAACCCAATGGAATTAATATATAAAAATAGATCTAATTCGCTAGGTGATGAAGTTAAAAGAAGAATCTTGTTGGGAAATTACACATTAAGTTCTGACTCTGGAGATCATTATTTACAAGCAACAAAAGCAAGATCAAAACTAACTAAAGAATTTTCATCATTTTTTAAGAACCAGCATATTTTTTTTCCTAACCACCCGAAAGAAACAGATGTTTGTGATTTAATTATGGTCCCCACTGCAATGGACGTAGCTCCAAATTTTACTACGTATGAAACAGAATCTCAGAAAAATGTATTAAATGAATATATTAATGATATTTATACTGTTCCTGCGTCATTAGCTGGATTACCTACTATATCTATTCCATTTGATGGTGTTGGGATACAATTAATGGGACAATTTGGTGATGATGAATTTGTACTAAAGATTGCTAAGGAATTGAAGAAATTAGATTAATAAGATCTAGATGGTTAATTATATATTTATAAGTTTTATAGAATTGAAATAAAGTAAAAAGATCAATACGCAATGATTGAGTAATCTGTAAGTTGAATTATCGTAACATCGTAACATAAAAATAACTAGCAGTTATTCTTCTCTAGTAGCTAAAGTTTATTGTTGAATAAAACCTCCGCTTAATTTTTCTTTGGTTCTACTTTCTCCCTAAAAGAGTTAAAAATTCTTCTCTTGTCTTTTGTTGATCTCTAAAACATCCCAACATACAACTAGTAGTAGTTGAAGAACCAGTTTTTTGAACACCTCTACTAACCATACACATATGAGTAGCTTCAATAACAACAGCAACACCTCTTGGTTTTAAAATTTCACTTAAAGCCATTGCAATTTGTTTTGTTAATCTTTCTTGAACTTGAAATCTTCTTGAATACATTTCTGCCAATCTTGCTAACTTACTTAATCCCAATACTCGTTTATTGGGAATATAACCAATGTGAGCCTTTCCAAAAAATGGTACAAGATGATGCTCGCATAATGAATAAATTTCTATATCTCGAACTATAACCATTTCATCGTGATCTTCTTCAAATACTGCTTTCTTGATCACATCTCTTATATTATCCTCATATCCCTTTGTGAAAAATAACATAGCTCTTGCATAACGTTCAGGAGTTTCATAAATTCCTTCTCGATCAATATCTTCACCCAATTCAACCAAAATAGTTTTAACTGCTTCTGCTATTCTTTGTTCTCTTTGCAAAGCTTCTTCAGGAGTTTGATCAATTCTTGATCTTGCACCTCTTGAAGGCCAAGATAATCCATCTGAATCTATTGGTGGATTTAAAATTAATGGTGATGCTTGTCTTGTTTGTAATGGAGAATTAATATTTGTTTGTGATTGTTGAGATATTAATTTTGATCTTTTTAATGGTAGTATTGGTCTTGGTTGATGATGACCATTTATTTGTTCTAATGACGGTTTATAATGCTGTGGTGAAAGTTTAGGTGATGACTCTTGTGATTGTGATGGTTCTGATGGTTGTGATGGTTGAGATTGAGGATGTGAATGCTGGTGTGATTGGTCTTCCTCATGGTGTGTATTATTACTAGATAAGTCTTCTGTATTTGTCATAATTAAAGATCCATAAACAATTCTTATTCTAGTTGAAAAGAAACTTAGACCAAAAAATACTCAGAAATAAAAAATTTGTCTCAGAATTTTCATAAAAAAGTATTTTTGTGCGGCTCCGAGTTGAGTCAGGTTGTGAAACTCTCTATATCAATTTATTTGATCAAAGAATCATCAACATAAAATTAAGACTAAGAAAGTTTCAGTAGAAACCTGCTATAAAGACTCTTACTCCTCAAGTTGGTCATAATTGTTGATAAAATGAGTCTATAACTTTTTTGTCAAAAATTACTAGATTTTGGGTTCTGCATGGATGCTATCTCACACTATAGGGACAAGAAATTGGGTCAAATCTCGATCGATCAAGTAAAGCGAAGGGAAGTGGCCTCGGTGGTAAGTAAACAGCAATGATTTTCAAAAACCATAAACTCAAATTCAATAATAGTCACTAGCGATTTTGTTTAATTTTTTCTTCTTAGCTCTTATAAATACCCCTTTATATAATACAAACAATTTTTGACAAATTTAGAACATTCTTGTAAAGAGGTTTACAACAAATAACAATTTATTATGTCAGTTAAAGCAAAATAGTATTCAGATATATATTTATAATTATCTTTAGCCACCATTTAAACAGCCAAATATTCAATCCAGGTATCGAAATAAAAAATAACCCATACCTCAAAACACAATTATTCAATATTTTTGTAAAAAATCCAATAATTCATCAATTAAAAAATAAACTCTACTCAAGATTAAAAATGAATCAAATTTTGGAGTTTTGGAATTATTTTCAATAAATTCATAGTAATTAATTAATTGACTATTGAATAATTTTAAATTTAAAATTTCTATCCTTTTAGAATCAATAATAATAGCATCATCATCTTTTAAATCAAAATTATGATATTTACTTATATATAAATTTATATTATCTTGTCTTTCAACTTCTTTAAGATTTTTGATAGGGGTCGATGAAGAAAATGATGATGATTCAAATTGTGTTTGAGCACTATCAGTTAATTCTATAATTCCTATCTCTTCCTCTTTCTCTGCATTTGTTATTGGATCAATTACATTATCTGAAATTGTTAATGTAGCTAATAAATCAATTGGGAAATTTGTACTAACACTGTTTTCCATAATAAAAATAATTCAACAAGTTTGACCAAAATAAAGACTATGTGATTTGTGACTTTAGAAGGTTTGATTGTCAATTATTGATTTGGTCGTAAAACTTTATAAAATTTGGTTGTAAAAAATATTAATAGTAATAATGATTAACATGGTTTTTGTGTAACCTATTTAATACCCTTCCCCTCTTTTCGATCTATGTATCTTAATATAAAAACTTCAGAGATTAAATAGAAGTAATTTATAGATTTAATATTGCTTAACCGGTTTGATGTAAGGATGTTGTGTATCATTTATTATATTGAAAATGCAAAAATGAATTTGTCGATGTATGAAGCTATGTAGCATTAACTTAAAAATTTGGGGTAAGATCGGATGTATAGCAGGATTTATTATATCTATACCAAAAATGTGAGTATTTGCAACTTTACTCATACATCAAGCGTATATGAACTAAGTTGAGTTGTGTGTCGAAGAACATTTAATGATGCAAAATTTGATTCCTTGTGTTATATTGCAAATTTATTCTTTATTGTATTTTGTTCATCTTCTACAAATATGATAAATATGACCCCAGTTCGCCAAATACGCCTTAAGATGGATTGCTAATATAAGCATTTCCAGTACTAAGGGGTATTGTTGTGAAATATGTGAATGATATATCAATCTAAAATTAAAAATGTACTGAATCTAACTCCAATGAACAAAATTTAATACTTATTCATCACCATTAACAATAATCGCATTTTCTGAATAGGGGAGAATTAATGCGTATGAAGCTGCTAAAAAGGTTTTAAAGCTCCACGCAAATGCACATAATGAGGAATATGAATGAATGAAATTTTGTCAGTTTAATGAAATACAATACCCCTCAAGATTTACATCATCAGCTTTGGGCCCTTGTTTAAGCAAGTATAACACTCTAGGCACTATTCTAACTCATTATGTCTACTCAAAAACTTTTATTTATATCATGACCAAATCTATTTAATGGCCACAAAACTAAAATAACTTTCCCCACCACAAGACCTTTACTTATAGGTCCAAACTCATTAGAGTCTATAGAATGTACATTATCACCTTCAACCCAATAATGATTTCTTGGAATTTTAACTTCTGATTTGGGATAAGTTGATTTGGGGAAAATTATATCATTATTCACACCGATTACTCTTTTAGTTAATAATTTTTCTGGATCTAAAGGTGATCTAAACATTATGATATCTCCTCTTTTGATATGATTTTTGGTTTTAATGTTATATTTTTGAACTAGTACTATGTCTTTTGATTTTGATTTTATACCTGGATTAAAAGTTGGTGACATTGATGATCCTTTAATTTGATAGGGTTGATATATATGATTTGTGAATGTGTATAGTACAGGTAGCCAGGATAAGGTTATTAACGTGGTCTTTAGACTTTTACTTAATGGCATTTAATATTGTTTGTTCTTGATTTCCAAGCTTTTGATAATTTTGGTTTCAAAATATTTATGCAAATTTTTATTTCCGATTTTGGTTGATTCGTTTTTTCTATTTTGCGATCTTCTTTTACATCTGATAAGAAAAAGAGATTATGTCATTAAAACAACAAAAAAGTGGATTATTGGATCAAATACTATTAGAAGATATAGCAAGATACTGTCCTAATCAATTTCTATCATTTCATCAATGTATGGCACAACCTGATCCATCTGGTTGTTTAAATCAACAAATTGATTTAACAAAATGTATCAAGACTACTGTACCATCTTTTCAAAAAATCCAAGGTGAATGCTCTGGTAAATTACAAGCTTATGAAGCTTGTTTGAAAATCAATAAAAGTTCAACTGCTAAATGCACACATGAGTTGGATCAGCTAAGAAATTGTGCCTTTGGATCAATAAATAAGTAGATTAATAGAGGCAGATAATCTAATGAGAAATGACAATTTTTTTGTATATATATATTCTATAATTGATATTTTGGAGTTAAATTTTCTATTTTGATATTTGATAAATAATCATTTGCAAATTTTTTTAGTCTTTGTGAACGATCATGGGTTTCTTCAATTTCATGTTTATGATGTAATAATTCATGTTCAATATCTTCCTTGTGTTTTATTAAAGTATCAGGATCATTTTCTGCATGATATTGTTTCCAGTGATGTTCTTCATATTCACTTTCAAAATCTAAGTGATGACCTTGACCATAACCAAAATCTGGTAATTCTCCTCCTTTATTAAAAAAATCTAACCATTCTTCTAAACTTATTGTTTCGTCTTTGTTTGTATCAAATATTTTTAAAATTGTTTCAACTACGCTATTTTGAATATCTTTTGTAATTTTGATGGAGTTTTCTCCCATTCCTGATCCATCTCCAATAATTTGTTCATGTTTAACACCGTATAAATTTAAAATATCATCTTTATCCCATTTTCCAGCACCTTTTAAATCATGCATTATAAAGAATGTTTTACCATCATATGAATCTAAATTATGTTCTTCATGCATATGCCAATCTTGCCAATTTACATTTGATGGCTTTTGTTTGAGGACAGTCTGTGAATGATCTCCATGAGCGGATACTGTGACAGCTAGCAGTAAATAATATGCAATTGTTGAAAATTTCATTGTCGTTGTTGTTGTGATAAGTAAGTAGTGAAAAATTCATGTACCTGAAATCAATGTTTAGATGTCGCCAAATATTTTCAGTGTTATAAAATTTTGTTTTCTGACATTCAATTTATTTATAAAAATATCCTTATAATAGTAAGAATATCATACTCCACATTTCATTTATTGTCATCAATTGAATGAATATGAACAATGATTATGTCAATCCAAATCTACCAGTAAAATTATCAGAGGCAAGAGTGGGCAGAGACAACCAAGTATATAACGAGGAAACAGGAGCAAGAATTGTAGCTGGTTGTATATGTTTAAATGAATCAAAAAATAAAGTTATAATGATATCATCATCAAAACATAAAAATAAATGGATATTACCAAAAGGTGGGAATGAAAAAGATGAACTGACTCTAGAAACCGCAGTTAGAGAAACTTGGGAAGAAGCTGGGGTTGAAGGTATTGTTATCAAAAAATTACCAGTTGTATTAGATAGTAGAGGTTCAAAAGCACCTGTTATAAAAGGAGATTTTGATAAAGTTGTACCAAAATCAGAGTTCCATTTTTTTGAATTACAGGTTGATCAATTAAACACTGAATGGCCAGAAATGAAGAAGAGAGAAAGAAGATGGTGTACTTATTCTGAAGCAAAACATGAACTAAAGAAACTGAATAGATCTGAATTAATTGAAGCATTGAATCAAAGTTCTATAATAAAAGATACTACGAATGATGAAAATATTGATAATTATTAATTTGGGACTATTTAAGTAAACCTGACATAAAGTTTGCTAACATATTATTTTGTTGACCAGAACTACTAATATTTAAATTAAAATATAAGTTACCTAAATATTCAATTGATGATGATATTTCATTCTTTTTTAATAAATTTTTATAATGATCATATAATTTTAGGAATTTTTGACTATTTGTAGCTGATTCTTTTTGTAATATTAAAGTTAATAATTGTAAAAAATTTAGTATTGGTTGATCTTGACTATACATTATTTCATCTTTTATTGATTCTGATTCAAATATTATGTTTTTTAAAAATACAAATTGGGCTTCCTTTACAAATTTAATATTCTTTAAGTATGAATAGTTAATAATAGCTCTTGATAAAAATATACCAGAATCAATTGATGGATTTGCTTTTGCTGCATCGACCAAAAAATTGACATAAACTGGAATCGATTCAAAAGTACCCAATACTAAATGTAATTCAGCAATTGCAAACTTATTTAATTTTTTTTCTGAATCAGTTTCATCTTGTAAAGAACGTAACATCTTTGTACCAAATAAATGATGTAAATCATTATCACCAAATTTAGAACATTCAGATGATTTGATAGACCAATTTATACTAGTTTTAGCTAAATCATTAAGCAGTGGATCATTATTTGGTAAATTTGAAATTAATTCAATTAATTTGAATTTTGAATCTTTATCAGTCACAGAAATTTTTTCTTCTTCGTAAATTTGTATTAAATAATTGATTAAATCTGATGCTGATGCAAATTCTTTATTTTTAATTAAAATTGATGAACCTTGGTATAATAAATCTCTTGCTTCTTTATATTGTTTGGATTTCACATATCTATTTGTGATTGTTCTTAAAGTTTGATGTGCTTCATAAAAGGAACCTGAATCTATTTTAGATTGAAACCTTTGAATCGTTTTATTTAGTTTGTCTGACATTTTTGTTGTTTGTGGTGATCTGACTTAAAAATGAGTAGTCGCTTATGTTTTGAATATGTGTTGTTTTAAATTTCAAAATCACATAGTTAAGTATTTATTTAGTGGGAATTGGTAGCTCGTATTTCTTCACATACAACACCATTCACCAAGTATGAAGTATGAGTTAATGATAAGTAATTGTTGATATAAATTAGCTTTGAGACAACCTTTAGCCATTTTTCACAATTAATCAAAGGAATATGAGTGGTCTGATCAAAATTTATAGTATCGATCATTTTGTCAATTTCAAATTTAAAATTCGAATCAACCAATGCCAAATAAATTTGAGTTAAACTAATACATTCCATAGATACATTTTGTAACGTTGAAATATTTTCTTTGATCAATGTTGCAATTAATTTTGAAATCTGCTTTGCTGGTGAATTTTGTTGGTAGTAATTTGTTAATGAATCTGTAGTTGAATTATTTGAAATATGTTTTAAAATTGACCTTTTATCTGCTCTTTTAATACACTTTAAGGAGTTGAACTTCAAGTACTTTAAACTCAAATTAGGAATCAGCGCAGGACTGGAAATAATGTCTTTAGAAATTTTTGTTAGTGTAATACTCAAAATTGTTGTGGTCTTTGGTAAACGCTCGATAATTTGCAACAAATCGTTAAAACTTGTACTTATTGAAACAATCCTTAAATTTTTGAACAATGAGATATAATTAGAACAACATTTTGGATATGCATAAACTGAATTTATTCTTTTTACTAAATTATTTTCTACCAAGGATTGTATTATTTTATCGTCAATGTAATTTTTATATAATCCTAATGTTAATGGCGTCAATTTGAATATGATATTTTTGTGATTGTTGTATATAAACTTGCAAGTGTAAAGGAAAGACAAAACATTTTTTATCTTCTTATCAATGATCCATCTCTCAAACATGATTTTGTCAATTACGTTTGATGGTAAATCTAAAATCGTTGTTTGACGTTTCATCTTTGATCGACTCTGATACTTATAACAATAAGTAAAACGCAATTTTCAATAAGTTCAATTTATTGATTAGGTTTTCGAAAAGCTCATTGAAGGCAAAAACAAATTTAGCTCTATCAAATGATTGTATGAACAGATCTAATTTTCATCAAATGATAGATAAAGATTTGGTTGCAAAAATCCCCGGAGTCATAAATTAATTGGTAGCATTTTTTGGTCTAATTTTTTTACCGAATCAATTTTCTAAAAAATGACATAAAGATAATTCATTAATTACATTTACAAACTATATCTACAATGAGAGTTTCAACAAGACTATTTAAACATACTATCAAGTTCGTCGGTGGACCACATCCAATTCCAAGTATGTTACGAAAACGAGTTATATCCAAATTTATATTAAATACTAACTAAAAAAACACTAGAGTCTCATGCAGCTAAAGCACATCCATTTGCTCCAGAAGGTATTACACCAGGTTCAGTAGGCTCTTCAAGTAATGGTACTCAATCAAGATCTTATCACAATAGCAATCCAATAGATCCACAAAATGGAGAATTTTTTTCAAGAAGTGAATTACCAAAAAGATTTCAATATAAACCAATAAAAGAATTCGAAATTGAAAATGTTAGTAGTGGAGGTGCTGATGTTATTTATTGATTAAATTTGGAGGGTTATATAACTTATTTAGTGCTTTGAAGTTAATGAGATGTACGATTTTTTTTCAAATAAGCAATTTAGTCTAACTCAGAGGGTCTTTTCATCAGTTAATGTAAACAATCAAAGCAACATTTGTTTTAATGACAGTAATGTTTTAATGGCAGTAAGTTCACGATTCAGTCATTTACAGAAGAGGAGTCTGATCATAGTCTTTTATTAAAAATGTGAGGGTCAATTAAGTGCCGTATACCGATGCACTACTTCTGGACTGACCTCACTCTACTTTTCTTTTTCTATCTATTCTCTAGCATTATAATCTGATTCGGCTTGCTTTTATTGTGGAGATGAAAGATTAAATCTTTCATTATAGAATGGTAATCGTGGTGGTTGATACTTTTATGTGAAAATTCTATATTTTACGAAAAGCAAAAAAAGAGACAATAAAAAAAGTTGCCACTAGTATTTCAATCCAATTTAATCAATCGATTAATCAATTCTTTCCTTATCAATTAACGACTACACTTACTACCTTCAACTCAATTGCATAATGAATCACGATCCATATCAATGGGGTAGACCTTCCAATGATACTTACGGTCCTTATAATTATAAAATAGCACAAGCTAATAATTCAGAAGTTAAAGAGCACAACAATAATCATCAATTCCCAAAAATGAATACTCAACAACCAATCATAACAGGTACATCAGTTATAGCATCAAAATTTGCAAATGGTATAATAATGGCAGCTGATCATGTTGGATCCTATGGTTCATTATTACGTTTTAACAATTTAGAAAGATTAATTAAAGTTGGTAATGAAACAGTAGTTGGAATATCAGGAGATATATCAGATTTACAATATATTAAAAGATTATTAGAAGAATTAGAAATTCAAGAAGAAGTTTATGATAATGATGGTGGGAATTATTTAAGAGCTCCAAATGTTCATGAATATTTATCAAGAGTAATGTATAATAGAAGATCAAAAATGGATCCATTATGGAATAGTATAATTGTTGGAGGATTTGATATAGATAAAAAACCATTTTTGAAGTATGTTGATTTATTAGGTGTAACATATCATGCATCAACTATAGCAACAGGATTTGGATCACATTTAGCAATACCATTATTAAGAAATTTAATACCTGAGGATAAAGAATATGTAAAAATTCAAGAAGATCAAGTTACAAAAGTTGTTGAAGATTCAATGAGAGTATTATTTTATAGAGATGCAAGATCTGGTGAAGTTTATAGTTATGTGATTATAAAATTGGTTGATAATGAAATTAAATTTGAATTTATAAATGATGCTAAAGTTGAAAATCAAAGTTGGAGATTTGCAAAAGATATTAGAGGTTATGCAAGTAAACAAAGTTAGGGTTAAATAAAGTAATAATGTCAGAATTAAATTCCATAATCTTTACTTAATCCAATAAATCTGTAATGAAAAAAATGTACTTCGCTGAAAAACTCTAAATTATCACAACCGTACTAAAATTATCAACTACTGAATAAACTTATCTTCTTCTATTCAAAATCTTTGATGCTACAAATTTTTTTGAGCATATAAGTATTTATAATTGAAACTCGATATAAAGTTAGTGATTCATGCATACCCCAGACTATTTTAAATTATACAAGTTTTACAAGCTATATAACTATTTAATTAACCAACTATATAAATCCAAATTCCAATTTAATTCCTTGTTATTAATCATCAATTATGAACACTATTAAATGCTAGCAAATAGGATTGAATAAATAAGATCTTTTTATTTCATCAAGACTACATGAAGCTCCAAAATCAATCAAACTCATCAAACCACAAAGTCCAATGCTTAAATTGTGTTTGACCAATTTTAAATAAATCCCAAATATTAATCTAGCGACGCATGATTAATTTGATGCCTATAATTTTTACAGTTAGTAATAAATATAATGAAATCCATCCTGTACCCACTATTATGTTCAATGTTGTACATCAAATATTCTTCTACTTTTATCCATACTTTTTCTGCTTATTTGATGATCACTAGAATATTGATGTTAGTAGTATACCTGATGAATTAAATTAAGGTGCCTCTACACGCAGAACACCAAATTAACCACTTTAATAATTAGCAAATAGCGGATACCTGCAATTTACCAAAATAAAATCTAACAAAAGTTAGGTCAGTTGGGTTTTACAGTTTGGTAAATCTCATTGGTCTGAAACTTGCAGCAGTCAAAACTATTTTATTTTATCTCTGACCCAATCCTATTAGCTAGCATCATTTATGTTCATGAAATATTGAAACCAGTAAGAACTTGGACTAAAGAGTGGCAGTTAGTAATTTATTCATAATTTGTAAATTTGAATTAGTTAATATAATTATCTATATTAGCATTTCATTTGATAAGTCCAATAAACCCGTTAATTTGATATATTAGATAAAATATATCTTGTTGTAGTTTGTTTTTGAAGTTGAACTAGAAAAAGATCGTAATTCAAAAATTTTAAAAAAAAACAGGAAATCGATCTATATTTAATAAAAGTTAGTTGCAAATTATTTTGATATGTTTAGTTTTTGGTTGCAAAATAGAAAAATGAATATTTATTGTCTCAAAAAATATAGAGCAGACTTGACACTAAACAAGTAACGTTTAGTCAGTGTAATTTAGGTATCTGAATAAAAAATATGTAGTTAGATATAAGGATTATTTGTCAGATAATAGAGCTAGTAGAGTATATACTTGCTTTAAACCTTCAATAGAAAATGGCGTAGAACTATTGTCAATTCCGAGAAAATAGTCACCATTATACATTAAATCTTTAACTAGTTAAATTGAAACGAACTTCCCTTTACTAAATATACACTCTTCACACTGTTGGTTTGAGGAAGATACATACAACAAAAAATTTACACCCAATAAAAATTTTCTACTGTTGATTCCATTTGTTTTGATTTTGTTGCAAAAAGTGTTGCAATGTTATTAAATGTAGCACAATTAAATCAAAATTTAGTATAAAAACCGGTAGCTTCTACATAGAAGTTAATTTTGACTTTTAAATACTTGTTAACTATTTGGATTTGTTGTTACAAAGTAGTTGATAATCTTGATCATAAAACCATTTAAAGACCCCACTGACAGCGATACCCAAGTTCTTTACAATTGATTAAAGATTTTTATACAATATCTATATTTAAGAATAATTCATGGATATAATAAATCGGATTTATATTTATATTACCGATGTATTATATCATATAATTGATAATCGAGAGAGTTTGATACAATATAACAACAAATAATAAATTGGATCACTTTATACGTACTGGTTACGATATTCAATTGATCACCGAATATGCTGGGCATCACTTTCGATATTATATGAATAGTTTGTATTGAATCATATACATATCTAAATGATTATTATCTAATGATATAAAACACATGATTTTTAATTTACTACACAACCACAATACTTAAAAAGTTTGGAAGGAAATTCCCGGGGATAATTTGATTTTAAATTATTCTATTATTATTTACAATTTGACATATACAAAGAAAGGGGAAACTAATTATTCCATATTATTATCGAATCATTCAATTAAATCTATATCATCTACTCATATATCTATAAATAAATATTACAAATAAATCTTATTCAGATCTCCTATATCTCTTATTGAATTAAGCATGATCTTGATGTTAATAAAATTATTAAATATTAATTGTTTTTTTATTCTCTCTTTCTGTTTCTTTCCCCACTAAAATTTATTATAAATTATGCATCAAATATTACTAAATAATAATTTCTTTTATATATAATAGATTTTCCCCATATTTCAAATCAGTTTACAAATCTTTATATTTTTACCTTTTTTTTCCCATTAATTACAATCAACAACAAATTTATTTAATTTTATCCAATCCTTTAATTTAACCTTTTTATTTATTTATTTATTTATTTATTTATCAATAAATTATTCCCATTCAATTATTTAATTCATCAAAAAGTATCATTCTTAAATCACAACAATTTTTAAGCAAAAGCAATAAAATCAAAACACAATGTCATCAGTATTTTCAACAGGTTTTAAAGGTTTATTAGCCGGATCATTAGTAACTCCAATAGTTACAAAATATGTTATATCACCATTATATTTTGATCCTCAAATTATGAAAGAAATTCATTATATTCAACAAGAAATGGAATTTGTTGGTTGGAATGTTAGACATTTACAAGAACAAAAAGGTTTTAAAGAAGATGAATTATATACTCCTAATACTTTTTATGCTCAATCAAGTTCTCATCATTAAAAAAAAAGGGATGGAAAGAGGGTTCAAAGACGTTGGTAGTTGAAGTTCCCTTTTGTTGTTATTTATTATTTTGCATTTTGTTTTTATTGATTTATTAATTTATTATTATTATAAAAAGACTGTTAAAGTGGAGTTTAGTTCTTGTTGTTTCATTAAAAATTTATTATATTGGGTATTTGCTTTTCATTTTTTATTTTTTGCGCTAGTGAGTTGAAATTATTTCTTACTTGGATAATAGAGGTTATTGCTTTAGAGAAAGTTTACATATTAGTGATAAATAAATCAATAAATTAAAATTTCTATTGTAGATTGACCTAACACTCAAGATCAACGATCATACATCAGTCAACCTCTTATTGTACATTGCGGCTCGACAGTGTAATGTAATCTTACTTTCAGACCACTATCTTGCCAAAAAAATCATATCTGATAATTTAATCACCGATGGCTTTTTAATTGTTGCAACAAATTTATTCATTTCTTTATCAATACACTAGACACACGTATAAAATACCGAACTTTCAATGAGAATAAAAATTCAGTGCGAGTCACAGGGCGAGGAATCAAAAAATTTGCCTCGATTTCGACTTACTTGCACCTTTTTTCGTCTTGTTTAAGATTATTTGTTTCTCTCTCTCTCTCTCTTAATAAAACTTTTCAAAATTTTCAACAAATCCTAACAAATTTTTTTTTTCACATTTTTTTTCCATCTTCCTCTTTTTCCAATTGAATTATCAGTCAAAACAATTAATCAAATAATATAATAATGTCAGACGAAAGAACTTTTATTGCTATCAAACCAGATGGTGTTCAAAGAGGTTTAATCTCAGCAATCGTTGGTAGATTTGAAAATAGAGGTTATAAATTAGTTGGTATTAAATTAGTTCAACCAACTGAATCATTATTAAGAACTCATTATGAAGATTTACAATCAAAACCTTTCTTCCCATCATTATTAAGTTATATGTTAAGTGGTCCAGTTTTAGCTACTGTTTGGGAAGGTAAAGATGTTGTTAAACAAGGTAGAGCTATTTTAGGTGCTACTAATCCTTTACAAAGTGCTCCAGGTACTATTAGAGGTGATTTTGCTGTTGATATGGGTAGAAATGTTTGTCATGGTTCTGATTCAGTTGAAAGTGCTAACAAAGAAATTAATTTATGGTTTAAACCTGAAGAATTAGTTGAATATAAACCAGCTTTATTTGGATGGATTTATGAATAGATTTTTAAATCATCAAGCAATTAATAAATATATTCCCAATTGACAAAATCAATTGATACCAATTACAACTCAAAATTTATTTACAGCTCTTATTTCTCCTCTTGGATCAATTCCCATCGGTGAAACGTGTCTTTTTGATCTTTTTTAACCTGCAAAATGTATAAAAAATCTAAAAAAATTTTCAGACGTGTCGAGTTTTCAAAGTCCGTAATTTACCTTTGAAGACAAAACACATTGGTAGCACGAGATATGAAAAATTACAACCAAATTAGCGTTTATTATGAAACAACTTAAATAAACAATTTAAAATAGTATAATCAATGCAACAAATAGTCTAAATGGCTTCAATTGAACAAGATGATATTTTCAACGTAGAAGATGATGAAATGGAAGAAGAGTATCAGAATGAAGAAGAAGAACAAGGTCAAGATTATAGCATGCAAGATGATGAAGATGAAGAAGATCAACAAATGAATGAACAAGATCAAGATCAAATAGATGAGGATGATGACGAAGAACAAGAAGAAGGAGATGGAGAAGGAGAAGATGATGAAGAGGATGGAGAAGGTGATGGTGAAGACGAGGAAGAAGACGATGAGGATGAAAATGAAGAAGAAGGTGAAGAAATGGAAGAAGATGAAGATGAAGAAATGGAGGGTACAAATGACGTGTCAATTGATGATAAGGATACTTCAAATGATGGGGAAGAAAATGAATCAAAAGATAACGAAAAAGAAAATGAAAATCAAGAGAAACCCAAACCTGAAACAGCTAAGATAATACAAGAAGAACAAGGTGATAATAAAGATACCAAAACTGAAGAAAATGGTGAAGATGACAAAGAACAACAAAGTAATAATAAGGAAAATGGTGGTATACTACCGAAAGATCAAAATGAATCAACAACAACAACAACAACTACTACTACTACTACAACTACAACAACAACCGAACCTAACAACACCAGACAAAAAAAATCAAATGAAGAATTACTAGAAGAAATAAGAAAAGCCGAAACCGACGTATCATTTCGAGATCAAGTAATAGCAAAAGCTCGTAAAGCAACAGAATACGATATAATTCCACAAGTTGCAATTCCATATACTTCACAATGTCATGCATTAGCTTTTACTCAAGGACCAAAATGGATATTAACTGGTGGAGAAGATGGGTTTATTAGAAAATATGATTTTATTTCATCAATTCAAGGTAAATCACCATTAACTATGGCTCAAAAACATAATCTTTCTGATTCATTAACTAATGCTGGTGTTATTGTATCATATTGGGAAAATGAACAACCTTATACTAGAAAAGAATTAATGAAATTAAATCCAAAATTAAAAGATTCTGATTTTTCAACAGGTAGTGTATCTTATGAACCAAGAGTTAATCCTATTTATGCATTGGAAGCAGAACGTAATGGGTATTGGTGTTTATCTGGATTATTAAATGGTGGTATATCATTATATACAATGAGGTATAATGAAGGTACAATACATCATTATTTTAATCATGGATCAATTAAGGAAAATAAAAAGGGCCATACAGATGCAATAAGTGCATTAAAATTAAATCAAGAACAAGATAAATTCTTAAGTGGATCTTGGGATAAAACTATAAAACAATGGGATTTAAATATTGGAGAAATTATAACTGAATTTCAACCTTGTTCTGGTCAAATTTCTCAATTACAATTTAGACCAAATGGATTAGATGATATTACTTTTGATATTGATAATTCAGAAGAAAATGGAACAACACCAAAAGAAGATGAAGATGTAGATTCATTATTTGGAGATAGTGATGAAGAAAAAAATGGAGAACATACAGAAAATCAAAAACGTAAAATCAAAGAATCACAACCAACTACAACCACAACACTAAAGGAATCAACAACGAAAACTCATCACAATTCTCAAATATTCATGAGTTCAAGTATAGATGGTACAATAAACATATGGGATATCAGATTACAAAAACCAGTGATAAAACTAGGGATTTCTGAAGGTATACCACCATGGTGTATGTCATCAACTTGGTCCAACAATGGGGAATTTATCTACGCTGGACGTAGGAATTCCACAATTGAAGAAATCTCAATAAAAATGCCTCATAAAACCCATTCACCTGGTAGTTCATCAACTTATGTCCCAAATGTATCTAAATTATTAACATTTCCAAAAATAAGTGGTCCAGTAAGTTGTATAAGTACATTACCAAATGATGATTTTTTACTTTGTGGATCAAATGATAATATAAGATTATATAATTTAAAATTATATAATGATTTAAATAATTCAACAGTTAATTTAAAAAAACAAGCAACTCCATTTTTAATAGTACCTGGACATCATGGTGGAATGTTGAGTCAATTATATGTTGATGATACTGGGAGATTTATGGTTAGTGCTTGTGGTTATAGAGGTTGGGGTCATGGAAATTTTACTGATACTGTATTAATTTATGAAATTGATTTTGAATAAGAAAAAAAAGGATTAAGAATCGAAATTATTGTTTTAATTTAAAAAGTGTTTGATTATGTTTTACTATTTACGTATATAAATAAAATTAATAGAAAGATTTATACTAATGTTAAATCTCAAATCCAAATATTGAGTTTCGTAAAGAACCAGAACCAATTTGGAAAACACTACTAGATTGTTTAAAACTCTTGGAAATAAGATTTTGACCAATTTCAACAAAATGAAAATTTGTGAAAAAATCCAGTAGGTTTTCCTTATAAATTTGATAAAAATTCTTATTATTAATAATTAAATGTAGTATGAATCCAATTATACCTATAGCTATACCGAATTTGTAAAATTTGTTTATTGATGAAAGTCTTTGAATGATTGAGTAGGGGGAATAGGACCAATTATGCGAAGCTTTGTTAGTTGATATGACTTTATCATCATTATCTTCATCTTCATCTGATGATGTAATTGAAGTTGATTTAAATAATTTTTGGAAAAATTTTGAAGATTTGAGTTTGTGGATTGATGATGATGTATTTAAAGTTAAGGAAGAACTTAAAGAATTCAAATGTGAATCTTCGTCTAAGTCTTCGTCAAGATCTTCTGATTCATTAGTTGATGATCTCTTTAGATTGTGTAGTTCTTCTTCTTCTTCTATTAATTGTTGTTGTTCTTGTAATTCTTCTATTGTTTGTTTATTGATCTCTTCATCTTGTAAATGGATTAGATCAGTTAATTCATGATTATTTGAGTTGAGTAGTTTCCCGTATTGCGTTTCTATTGTTATTGTATCTGATTTTATATTTGATGTATTATTTAAAACTGAATGTAAATTGTAGGAGTTGAATAATTTCTTCCAGTTAGATGTATTGTCAATCGGATATTTCTCTACTAACTCTTTAGTCTTTTGTAATATTTGACTTATTTCTTCATCATTTAAACCATCAAATAAATTAGCAGGTGATAATGTCGTATGTACAAGATCTTGATCAATATCATTAAATTCCAACTGTTCGGAATCCAATTGTAAAAAATCCCATATTTTGGATTTGAATATTATCAATGAGGATGCATATATGTAACTATTTATTAGTACTGAATTATAACTTAGTGTAAAATCCCAAATAGTTAGAATATGATTTAAATTAGTTATATCATGAGAATATAAAGTTAAAATTGAAGATAACCCTTGATAAAATTTGTAATCATAAAATTTTTCACCGTGAATTAAGTGGTAAGATTGTGATGTTTGTTTAACTAATTCAAAAAGCTGTTTATCGCATAGCTCTAGTATAGTTGGAATATTTCTTAAATGATTTACTGATAAGTTTATATCAGATATCATAAAATCTCTTAAATGATATATTGTTAATTTTTCTAATATTTTGAAAGCTAATTCTTGATCTATATTATCTTCAATTGATGAAGAAGTAGATGTAGATGGTGATTCTATTTTCCCGTTAGTGGAATCCTGTCTGTTGTGGTTGTTGTTATAGCATATTAATAATACAATAGATGCAATATCATGATATCCTTGATAATAACCTAAATTCGGGTACTTTCTCAATATTTTAATAATTAAATTTAATAATATTTTTTTCAAGTTTTTTATATCAGAAGAACTGAAAATTGTAGCAAATGAAGAACCCTTTTCCATAGTCTCCACATTCCCAAATTGACTATTATTATTGTTGTTATGATTTAATGAGTTATTAATTAAATGTATAGATGACAGTGATGAAGATGGAATAGTTTGTTGTTGAATATGAGATAATATAGTAAATGATCTTTGTATATCTAATTTAACTTGTTCTTCATCTTTATGAGGTGGTAAATCAATTGAATTTAAATTTTCCAAAAATAATTGTGGTGAAAATCTACCATTGTTTAATGTTGTTGGTGTTGATAGTACTGAATTTGATGATGGTGTAATGTCGGTGGGGTTTTTTGGTTTCATTGATGAAGATGATGTAATTGATGAATTTGTTTCTAATGAAGCATTAGTGGTATTTGATAAATTTAAGAATTCACTCCATATTTTAATCCTCATATCATTATTAATTATATTATTATATTGAACATTTTGTGAGATCTCTTGTACTGTAGTTGACAATTTTTTTAAATTTTTTAGTTTATCATCAATTGTTCCAGATTCATTACTCAAGTTTGATAAAACATCCTTAACGGAGTTCAATTTCACAGTTCTCAAATTTTCCTCCCCATGATCGACAGAATTCAAAGATGAGTTTATCGAACTATTAAATTTTTCCAAATTCTCCAACTCAGTACTAGTATTGTATATGATTGAACTCGATGATTTATCATAATTATCCAAATCCATATTGACCCAATTATCATTGTTTGTGTTTGAAGATAATGGTATAATAGTTGATGTGGTTATTGATATTGATGAAGAAGGAGATCTTGATACCATGAGAGGTCTTTTGATTTCTGTTGGTGGTGATTCTATTGTTGTCATTATTTTTTGTTTTGATTAATTGATTAGCAATGCAAATTAAATTAGTGGTTGAATTGAGGTAATATAATATTTGATCAATTACTTTTCGTTTTCTTTGTATGGTATGATTAATAACTGCTAAAATTGATATATTGTTAGAACATTTAATTATGAACCTATTGATAAGAAGTGTAATAATAATAATAATAATAATAATAACTTTGTTTGGTTTATAAATATGAATTGAAATATGAATTGTGAAAATAAAAATTAAATTATGGAAACATCTGGAGATATGAAATTTTTGTGCTCTAATTTTTCTAATTTCAATTTTGTGCTACCAGACTGATGAAATTGATAAGAGTTATGAACAACATTGCAACACTTTCTATTTAAGAGACTTTCAAAGTTACTATAATTTATGATGAAAAAAAGATCGAAATTATTTCATTTATTAATTAATTTATTATCTGACCCTTTTCTTTAATTTCTGTATGTAGAAAAAAGTATAAAAACTATATACACCCATCACCATTTAAAATTTCATACCCTCGAGAAATCAAATTCACATAAATGGATTAACACTTCTAACACTTAAACAAGGAAGTGTCATACCAATTTCAGCTCTCAACAAAACAGGAATTTCACTTAATTCTCGAACAATTTGAATATTATAATCCCCATCTTGTTTTAATTCGAGATTTTGAATATATGGAGCTAAACCTGAACTTGAATTTTTTAAATTGTTAGTGGCAGTTGTGGTTGAATTGATGTTAGTGTGATCATTAATATCATTTGTATCTGCTACTCCTGATGATGAATTTGTTCTTGTGTTTTTTGGAGCATGAGATTGAATTGGAGATGTTGGCATTGATTTTGTTGTTGATGCTGTTGATGATGATTGATCTGAATTATTATTGTTGTTGCTATTGTTGTTTTTCAATTTTGGGATTATAAATTCAGGAACTTCTAAATTTAATTTACTCAATTTTTCAACAATAGAATCAGTTGTGAAAACATTATTATTGTTTTCCAAGATTGATCTATTTTGAATTTTAGCAGCTTGTAATGAAGAAGTTCTGTACTTGTTTTTGATTGAATTTCTATAAGATAATGAGGATTTTTCATCTGGTGGTACATAAGTTGCAGAATCAACACCTTTTTCCCAATATAATTCCAATACTCTATTAGTTTTATCAAATTCTGCTTTTACTAAAGGTAATTGATCTCCATGAACTCTTTTTTCAACTCCAATTTCTGGAATGAACACATCAAATGATGATTCATAAACTTGTATAACTGTTCCCATACATAAGATTTGACCAGCACTTTCACTAAGACCATTTATTGTTTGTGATAATAATAAATGAGTTGATTGTTCTTGAGCATTTGCTGCACAATCCTTTTTGAAATTACAATAATCAGCTAAAGATTTTAATGATTCAATATCAGTTTCATCAACAGTTTTGTTTAATACTGATTTTAATTGTCTATGAACAACTAAATCAGCATAACGTCTTAATGGAGCTGTGAAATGAGTAAATAATGGTAGATTGAAATAAAAATGATTGTAACTATCAGAATCTTGTTTACCAGCAATAAAATATTTACCTCTTGTTGAACATTTATAAAATAAAGTTTCTAAAATTCTTTGATTATTAAAATTTTCCTTCAAGATACAACTTTGTAAACTTGCAGAATTTGTTGTATCAATTTTAAAACCTAAATTTGTAGCTTTTCTAGCAAATGATTCAATTTTTTGTAATGTTGGTAAAGCTTGTCTTCTTAAAAATGCTTTGTTGCCTAAACCAACTTGAATTTTGGCTGCTATTGCTGAATTAACTTTTAATCCAATTTCAGAAATAATATCTGATGCTAAGTTATCTTCAAAAATATTTAAACTTAATGAAACTTTTTCATCATCTAATTGATCTAATAATGATAAGTTTGGAGTAATACCTAATGATTTGTTTGATAAACGATGACGACGGAATTCTTTTGCAATAAGACTAAAAGTTTTTAAATAATCACAAGTTGCTGAAGAAATTGGTTCAACTTGTTTGTTATCCATAATTTGATTAAATGATTTATAAGAGACAATTTGTTTTGGAACAATTACTGATTCATGAATAAATAAATCTTCAACTTCAAAATTTGTTGTATCAATTTCAAAAACAACTGAAATTGCTAAATTCTTTTCATTTTCTTTAAATGAAATTGCTTTGTTGACTTGTTTTGGGTATAAATGAACTGATTTTTGTGGTAAAAATATTGAAGTTGATCTTTTCTTAGATTTACGATCAACTGTTGAACCTGGTTTAATGAATTGTGCAACATCAGCAACATGAAATCCTAATTCAATCTTTGTGTTGGATAACCTTTTAACATGTAATGCATGATCAACAAATTCTCCATTTTGTGAAAAGGCAATTATATAATCATTCAAATATTCTGTCCTATTTGGGTTTGATAATTCTGCATCAACAGGTTGAATATCATAAGTAACATAATCATTATCATCCTCAGGATATTCATCACAAAGAAAATTATTATCTCTTAAAATTGAATCAACTTCAACTTCTGGATTATCAATTTTACCTAATTTTGAAACTAAAGTACCAAAAGGATGTAATGAAGTTATTGGCCATCTTTTTATAGAAGCAACAAATAATTGATCAGAATATTTTTCATGATTTTCAACAAAATCTTTTGGTGCTTGTTCAGTTGGTATAGCAATTAATGGAACTTTTTTATCGGTTGGTTTAAACCAAACAATTTTTGGAGATTTTGGGGTATGAATTGAGGAATCATTACCTGATTTTTTATCTCTTGCAGCTTGTGCAGCTTGTGCTGGTCTTAATAAACCTAAAGTACCTGCAAATAATTGACCTGGAATTCTATCAACTACTGCAACAACGTGACCTGCATAAAGTGGTTTAACTTCATCATTAATTTCTTCTTCTTCAACTAAAAGTAATGATTGTCCTTCAACTTCAACATCATCATTTTTTTTCATAGTTGGTCTTTGTTTTAATGAACCTCTTCTACCTAAAAGTGATTCATCATCTTTATCATCTTTATCTGAAGAAGTAGTTATTGGTGCAGAAGTAGCATCATTATGAATATCATCATTTAAAGGTCTTGTATTATGATCTTTTCTTCTCTTTTTTTCTTCTTTTTCCTTTTTAGATTCCCAAACTTCATCAACAATTAATAATTCAACAGCTACTAAATCTCCTTCTAAAGCACGATTACGATCTTTTGATCCACAAATGAAAATATCAGCATCTAATAATCCATCTGTTGATACATATGCATCTGATCTATTTTTCTTGTTAACTCTTAATATACCAGTAACTAATCTACCTTCATTAATTAATTCTGGTAATGATGATTGAGGTAAATAAGGAGCAAAAAGTGATTTACGACCATTATTACCGGCAGTTGGTTGAGAACCCGGTTGAACTGGAATATTTGGTAAAAAATGTGATAATGATGAAACTGAGGAACCACCACCATAAGAACTATTACGAGGTCTGTGTCCAGGAACAAACATGCCAGGTGGTTCTATTGTAGATGATTGTCTTTGATGTTGTTGTAAAGGTGGAGGAGTTTGTAAATGCAGTGGTTGCTGTTGAGGAGATTGTTGTTGACTTCTCCAATTTTGATTCATTCCTTCAGAATTTCTTGATGCTGTTCTAAAATGAGAAGTTCTTCTATTATGAGAACCTCTTTCCGGTGATTGAGTAATGCTAAAATTTGGTGTTGGAGGTAATAAATTAGAATTATCTGATGGTTGAGCTGGAAACTTAAATGATTGTTGATTTTGATTTTGAGTTTGATTTTGATTTTGACCGTAAGCCATTGATCTAGAACGATTATGAGTTGTAAAAGGTGGACTTGCTGGTTCATTAGGTTTATCTGGTGGAAATTTAAATGATGCAGGTTTATTGTTATTATTATTATTATTGGTGGAAGTGGTAGTTTCATCTTCTAAATCTGAATTATGTTGTAATCTTGGACTTGTATTTAATCTATTAGTTCTTTGATGATCTGCTGCAGCAATTGCTTCATTTAATGCTAATGAATGTCTTCTTGAATGCCCATGAGCTGTTCCACTTGCAGAACCAGTTCTTTTATGAGTATTAATTGAGGATGATCTTGAATGTGACCCACGATTTATGTTGCTGTTGTTATTATTGTTGTTGTTTTGATTCACAGTTGAACTATCATGCCCAACACCCCAAGTCCATGTACTTCCACCATCAAAATTTGAAGGTGTAGTTGAAGGTTGTTGTTGAGAATATTGATATTGTTGTTGTTGCTGTTGTTCCAAAATTTGTTTTTGTTGAGCTTGAACTTGATCCAATTGACGTTGTAAATTATATTGTTCAACCATTAAAGTTGTTAATTCAGATGGTGAACGCCTATGTGCAACATGTAAATTTTTACCTTTTCTACTTGAAACTCTTGTTGGTATATCTTCGGTTTTATTCATATTATTTGTATTATTATTAGAATTATTAAATGAATTTGAAGATGGTGACGATGAATTCATAATTGAACATTTGCTAATTGATTATGATGTATGATTTATCACTGATAGTATAATTAAAGAAACTTAATAATATAATTAAATTATGTTGTTGAATTTAATTGTTGTCAAATTTAAATTAGTCAATTTAAAAAAAAAAGGAAGGAAAATAAAATGAAAACTTAAGGAATGAAAGTAATTGAATACTAATGATTAATATATTAATGAATTGTTAGTTATAATGCTAAAGTAATGTGGAAATGATGAATAAATGGATATACTAATTCAAATTCTATTCAAAAATTGAAGTAAATATAGATGGTGATAAAATTGTTGTTGATTAAAAATTAATATAAAAATTTAAGGGTAAAAAAATAAAATCGTAATTTATTATTCAAATTAAAATCAAATGGCAAAAATAAAAAAACAGGGTTTTAAATTTAGTGTGCGTTTTTTTTTTTTAATTTTGTTTTATCATTTTTTGAAGATCTTTCTTTAAAATTCTAGTTCCACGATAACCAGACTAATTTTATAAAAATAGATGACTGTAATTAAAATTTACTAAAATAATTAGTTAAATAAAATTCAATATATTTGACAAAAGTACAATCGTAGTAAATTCTATATTAACATTGAATGTTTTACATTTTTTCTCCTAATTATTAAATAATCTTGAAATGGTTGCAAATTCATAATTTCTGAGCAATTAATTATTAGATTGTTCAACTTTTCATTAATTCATTTTCTTTAAACTAATTACAGCAACAAACAACAACAACTGCTAATAACAGTATAGAAGAGTTTATGGAAAAAATAAAGGATCTAATAAATTGAAATCTTAAAGTCACGAACAAGTCAATGATTTCATTAGATTTTGTAAAATTCTCAAATCTTTATTAAGATCTCACGAAATATTTGAGATCCGCGGACTTATTTAGTGTCAAATGCAATACTTATAAATTACATATTGAAACTTTGGAAGAAATTTAGTTCTAGTGTTCGTTTAGGTTGTTTCAGTCAATAAACTAATTTGTAAATTTATAGTTCTTAGTGTTTGTTTCATTGTTGATCGATCTCACAACTAAAAATGCATTAATTTTGTTAGACGCGATGCGTGAGATGATTGTTGCAAATATACGTATCATTTGTCTTTGGCTTTGTATTGTTGAATTAACAAGGCCGATTTTAAAATCCTTTGGACTTTGGTCAATCGTCTATTCATTCCTAACCAGATTGAGATCGGAGTTTGAACGTTTAAATTTGCTACTTATTAATTCAGCAATTTTTTTACTTTGAAAATGGGCGTGTGGCGTAGTTGGTAGCGCGTTCCCTTAGCATGGGAAAGGTCATGAGTTCGATTCTTATCTCGTCCATATCCAAAAATTCATAGAATGGTTTTTTTTGTAAATACATTTATTTTGAGACCAATATTAATTCTTTTTTTTTTGCAACCAAATTTTTATCATAACAAATTATTTACAAAAAATTATAATAAATACAGATCCATTTCCTGTTTTTTATACTTTATTTTTTTAACTTACATTTCTTTTTCTTATTCAAACTACAACAAAATAAATCAATTCAAGATAGCAAATAAACAGCTCAATTAATAACTTGTCAAACAAATGCGGATATATACAGTTACAATTGAATGATTTTTATTTTTTATAAAATTAAGAAACAAAGTTCTAAATTAAGAATTGGAGGGGTTTATAACAGAATTTCACTGACTATTTCTCATAATTCCTAGTGATAAAAGAACAAATTGGTGTTAATTTAGATGATCAAAGTTGGAACTTTGGAGAAGTAAAAGATGGAATTTTATATAATACTCGTAAAATGTCATTGATTGTACTTTAAATTTAATGGGCCGTTATAAAAATTTAAATCAAGATTTGTTTTGTATAGCTTAGTTGACTAAGGTTAATTGGGAGGGCAATATAATTTGTTAGATTGAAATGGTTTGAAATTGATTTTAAGTATGTATAATCTACTAACTTTTACCCCTAGATTCAGAGATGATTGAGATATTATTTGGATAAGTTTAAGAACCACGATTCAACTTCAACGTGGACCAGTTTGGATTAAAAGTATTGTAAGTTCATTTAGTCAATCAAATACTCAAATTGGAATTACATTCAAATTATCTATATAAAAAAGCCATATAAAGTACTTAAATATATCAATAGACTAACCTATAAACTTTTGATTAATTTTTAGGTTTTCAGTTTTGAACCACTTTTAGATTTAGCCTATATCCATTTGGTACATGAATGTCTTAATTTTCGAAAGCTTTATGTACATTCGAATATAACTTTCCACTAGATTTATGTAGTTACATGGTCTTTTATCTCAATATTTAACCTATCTTCGCTAAACTAGTTATTTCTTTGGCTACAGGAAATTGTTTGTTGTGAAAGCCATATTGATCTACAAACTATATTACTGTTTTAAAGTTCAATTTTTGACTTTTAAAATTTCATCGTGGTAAAAATTTATTTACTATTGGTCTGTCCTTAATAATAACACATTATTTGTCTACTAATTTTCTATCCAGTCTATTTCAACTTTATTTTTTTTATAATTTGAAATCATTAATGACAAAGATTTTAAATAATAAAATTTGAGTCAAAAGTTTTACATGTGTGTATTTAATCTTAAAATTCTAAAAAATTGAGCAGTATTAAATATTTAAATTGTATAAACATGTAAATTTTTATTTATAAAGTCATATTGCGATAGAATTTGAAACAGAAAATAAAAAAAAGAAATAATATTCTGAAACCAAGAAATATATAAATGAGATAAAAATGCAAACAATATAGAACAAAAAATCTTTACTCGTGTTTATAGCTATTCAAAAGTACCAAATGGATAAAATGGATATGAACCGTTAAAACCCTTTCAACTAGTACGAAAATCAATTAAATATTGAAGTTTTAAACTGCCGCAAAATTGAAAGTTTTGTTTTTCATTTTTTTTGTCAATCATTATTTTTCATTCTAATTTTGATGCAAAATAAGTAGCATAAACAAATTTTTAAACTCATGATCAATTTTCAATAGCTAAAGAATTCAAAATAAGTCAGTAAGGTTTTATCAGGATGAAAATCATTATTAAATTTCATCATAGCCCACTCCTCGTTTAAAATTAAAATTTTCGTAAAAATGTCATAATATTAATCTATACCTAAATATAATAATATTTTATATTTATTCATACAGTTTTTAAAGAGAATCAAAAATTTACATAAGGGTTTTGATAATAATTTTGACATATTATTGTTAATAATCATCTGCTAATATCGTATTAATAGGTTCATTTTCATTATTTTCACATGTAAAATAATTATTATTTTATCTTGTCATATTTTTCCTCAAATTATATTTCTTGGATTATATAATAATTTATCATAATAAATTATTCTTGAACAGTAAGTAACTTAATTTTAACTCCTTTTCAAATAACTGTAAAAAATGGTAATAAATAATAAAATAATAAAATAATAATAATAATAATTAAAATTGAAACAAGATAACTAGGTTTACTATTATACAATTAATATTACAACATTATAAAATAATAAAATTTATGTAAACTAAAAATAGAAACAAAATAATTGACCTTAATTTCAGTTAACCGCAGTACCCAACACAAGCTACAGTCAAAATTTACCACAAAGTATTTCGTACAATCTTGAATAAATTAATTAGGGGTCAAATTAGAATTTTGATTTAAGTATTAAATTTATAAATTAATTAAAAATCAAAACAGAAGAAAAAAATAAAATAAAATTTTTAAAACGTTTAAATTAATTCTTAAAAATATAAATCAATTTCATCTTTTATTGATTTAAATTCTTTACTCATATAACTATTTTCATTCCATATTTTTTTTTGAATTTATATATACAATTGATTGATCTTAATATAATTTTGATTCAAATCAATTAAATTTTCAAAATTATTCATTTGCATTTTTACATTCTTTTATATATTTTAAGTTTCTTTTTTATATCACCTATATTGCACCATTTATTTTAAATCATAGTATATATTCATTCGTTTTAAATTTTTATACTCAAGAACAACTCAAAGTAACACCCAACACGCTATCACAATTTACTTCATATTAATTACGAAATGACAATAGAATCAAATCAATCAATTATAGATTTATTTAAAAATGCAAATCAAGAACAAATTTTTAAATATTTTGATGAATTAAATTTAGATGAACAAAATTCATTAATTAAACAATTATCTAAAATAGAAAATCCTTCTAATTTAATAAAAACAGTTGCAAAAGCTATAAAATATTCTCAACAAAATTCAGAAGAAAATGATATTTTCACTCAATTACCAAATGAACAAACTGCTTCAACTTTAGATTTAGATGATGAAGTGCTATTAAATTGGTCAAATTTAGGGTTTGAAGCTATTTCAAAGGGTGAAGTTGCCATATTATTAATGGCTGGTGGTCAAGGTACAAGATTAGGTTCATCTGATCCAAAGGGATGTTTTAATATAAATTTACCATCATCAAAATCATTATTTGAAATTCAAGCTGAAAAAATTATAAAAATTGAAAAATTAACTCAATCTAAATATAATTTATCAACCAAACCTGAAATTATGTGGTACATAATGACTTCAGGACCAACAAGAGAATCAACTGAAAAATTTTTTAAATTAAATAATTATTTTAATTTAAATTCTAAACAAATTAAATTTTTTAATCAAGGTACATTACCATGTTTTAATTTATCTGGAGATAAAATTCTATTAAATTCTAAAAATTCAATATGTGAATCACCAGATGGTAATGGAGGATTATATAAAGCATTACTAGAAAATAAAATTATTGATGATTTAAATTCTAAAAAAATAAAACATATACATATGTATTGTGTTGATAATTCATTAGTTAAAGTAGCTGATCCTATTTTTTTAGGTTTTGCAATTGATAAAAAATTTGATTTAGCTACTAAAGTTGTACGTAAAAGAGATTCTTCAGAAAGTGTTGGATTAATTGTATTAAATGATAAATTAAAAAGACCTTGTGTTATTGAATATTCTGAAATTTCAAAAGAATTAAGTGAAAAAATAGATCCAAAAGATTCTTCATTATTATTTTTAAGAGCAGCAAATATAGTAAATCATTATTATTCAGTAGATTTATTAACTAAAATGATTCCTAAATGGATTAAATCACAAGAATTTTTACCTTTCCATATTGCCAAAAAGAAAATTCCATGTATAAATTTAAAGACTAATCAATTTCAAAAACCAACAGAACCAAATGGTATAAAATTAGAACAATTTATATTTGACGTTTTCCCACTGATTGAATTATCAAAATTTGGTTGTTTAGAAGTAGATAGAAATGAAGAATTTTCACCTTTAAAAAATGCAGATGGTGCTAAAAATGATACTCCAACAACTTGTAAATTACATTATTTAAAAAGAGGTACTAAATGGATTATTGAAAATGGTGGGATTTTAGAAAATAAAGATGATTTAATTGAAGTTATGCCATTAACTTCTTATAGTGGTGAAGGTTTAGAATTTGTAAAAGGTCAAAAATTTAAAAATGGGGATATTATTTAAAATGGCGGTAAAAAATTAAAGGACATATAAAGTATATATACATATAGACATAAGGTATTTAAAAATAAAAAGGTAAAAATTATTTATTAATTTGAAATTGCTCTATATTCTTATAAGCTATATTCTTTTAAGCTAATAATTGATTCATTTGTTCAACCGTATAATCCAAGATATATGTATTTTCAATAATATCATCAATTCTATTATAATGTCGTTCATTATATGGTAATATACTATCAATAATTTTTATAAGTCCAGGAATTTCAATAAGTTTTGAAATTGGAAATTTAGATAATATAACAGATATTAAAATTTGAGAAATTTCAAAAAATTTAAAATTAATATTCCAATCTCTTATTTTTTTAAAAAGTAATAAAAGTTGTTCATTTGTTAATTTACTTAAAGTGTTTTCAAGTTCAAATGATCCAATTTTTGATAAGGGATCTTGATTTAATGAAATACATGATTGTAAAACATTATATAATCTCATTGAATGATTTAAAGTTAATGCTAATAAAAATGCTTTTGACCATTGATTATTTTTAATATTATTTGATAATTCTTGTTCTTGTTCAATTTTGTATTTTTGTTCCATTTGTTTTTGTTTGTTTTCTTGATCTGTATTATCTTTCCATTGGACAATTTTACCATCTGAATCACATGTAATAAATTCATTACCTTCATTATCTTTTAAACTTAATGACCAAATTCTATTATTATGATAATCTAAAGTTTTTAAATTGTTTTCATTTTTAAAATCCCAAATTTTAATTAATCCATCAGCTCCACATGATATTAATTGTGGTACTGCAGAATTAAAAAATTTAACTCTTTGGATTGAATTAGTATGTCCTTCTAAAGTTTTTATACATGAAAAATCTTTTAATGACCATACTTTTATAGTTTTATCTCCTGATCCAGTAACTATAAATTTATCAAATTTATAAAAATTTATATCCCACAATCCTCGTTTATGACCTTTTAATATACCTATTGTTTCCCCCGTGTCAACTTGCCATATTTTACCTAATTTATCATAAGATGCAGTTGCAAACATTTCATCATTAGGAGAAATATCAATTGAATTTATATCTTTATCATGTGCTCTTCTTGTATATACTGATGTTTTTACAACACCATTAGATTTAGGGATATTCCATTTTTTAATTGTTAAATCATTTGATCCAGTTATTATAAATTTAGGTTGTTCATCATTTCCTAAAACTTTATTTATAGCAATTGCAGTAACTGATCCAGAATGACCTTGATAAGTTGAATGTAAATTAAAAGTTTTGTAGGTATCATCCCATTTCCATAATTTAGCTTCTCCATCTTTTGAAGCAGTAGCTACCCATAACCCATCTGGTGTAACATCAATAGCATTTAAAATATCAGTATGACCTTCACATATTTTTAATTCAAATGGTTTTTGTAAATTTATAATTCTTAATGATGGTGAATTTGTAGCCATTGCTAAATAATTGTTATTTGGTCCTACGTAACGAGAATCTGCTATAATTCCTTGATTTCCTGCAATTCTTTTGATTATTGGTAAATTTATAACTTCATCATATTCATCTACTTCTGTAATTTTTATTATTTCTTCTTCTTCTTGTTGTTGTTGTGATTGACAATCTATTTCAACTAATGTTTGATCACTTATCACGAGGTATAAATTTTGATTAAATAATTTAATAATATCAATAATTAATAATTCTTCATTTGTTTTTAATGGAGTTGGTGATTTTGCAATTAATGAACCAGTTTTTAAATCCCATAATTTTAATATATTTGCAGATCCACCAGTATAAAAAAATTCTCTATCATTTAAAAATTTTACAAACCCACTTGCTTCAATTTGTTCACCAATCGAATAAGTATATAATGATTTAAAATTTTTAGTATTATAAATAATAACAATTTGATCTCTTCCACCACTTAAAAATAATGATCCATCTTCATTAAATCCAACTCCACGTACAGCAGTATTATGATCATTCAACGTAGTTTGACATTTCCTCTTTTGTAAATCCCATATTTTAACTGTCCCCATTGTATCACCACTTGCTATTTTCCAACTCTTTAAATTATTTAATTCTCCATATATCGTTATTGAACAAATTGTAGTTCCATGACCCTTTAAAGAATGTGTAACAAATCCTCCTTCAATATCCCAAACTGTCACTACTCCATCAGATCCTCCAAATGCAAATAATGTTGATGTTGAATCACAACTTGATATATATACTGGTGATGATAATTTAAAAGTTTTTGTAACTGTTTTAGATTCTAAATTAAATATACGTAATTGTTGAGATTGTGAACATATTGCTAGATTGGACCCATCTGGAGTTATACATAAACTTGTTATATTTTCATCTTCATCATCTCCCTTTATTGTGTGGAAAATCTCATTTGTTGGTAAATCAGTTATTATTACATCTTCATTTAATGGTGTCACTAGATATTTCCCATCTGATGTTGATATAGATGCACTTGTTCCTCCTACGTAAATCGGCTCTGTTTCCTGGGGTATATATGTAGTTTTTAAATCCATTTATTCTGTATAATTTGGTTGTTGTGTTTGAAGATGATCTTTGAGATTTTGGTTGTAAATATATATTTTGCAACAAGTTTTTTTTCTGTGCACCATATCTAAACTTCGTTCGATGAGCATTGTACAAACAACAGACAAATTAATTACAAAGTACAATTATTTATTTAATAAATATTACATAGTCATCTACATAAATTAATCTACATCCAATCTAGTCCTAAAGATTTAGCAGTATTTTGCATATACATCTCAATATAATCTTCTAATCCTTTATTTTTAGAATTAGATCCACCTATCCATTGTTTAAATCTAATAAAATAAAATACAAGACCAGAAAATAAAAGGCTAAATTTAATCTTATAAATATCAAAATAGTTTGACCAAGTTAGATGTGAATCACCAGAGGATAATCCATTAATAGCTTGATTAGTTAATAAATTAATTCTATTAACTGGTGATCCAAATTGTTGATTTATATTTTGAATCATTCTCATTGTTCTTGCTAAAAATGGTAATTCCATGGGGAATTTCAGTCTATCTCCAATAAAATCTTTTAATAAATCTGATACATCCAGTTTATCATTATCTGAATTCTTTGATTTATCTAATTTAATTGGTCTTAATGAAATTATAGTTGCGAAAATATTTGTTGAATTTATCCCCCATTGCTTTCCAATTTGTTCTATACCTTTCCTGTTTAATATGAACAAATCTTTCCATAAAGTACAATATTGTAATTTGAATTTTTTATCTAAAGTAATGTATAATCCATGATCTAATAAAATTAATTGTTGTTTACCTCTTGAATCAAATTTTACTAATAAATTACCTGGATGTGGATCAGAATGTACAAATCCATAATTAAAAATTTGTCTACCAAATAAAATGATATATTGATTCATTACTTGTTTTAAATCAAATCCATGATTTATTAATTTATTTTTATCAGTTAATGATATACCATCAATCCATTCAGCTGGTAAGACTTGACTTGTAGTCAATTCTGGATAATTTTCAGGTATTCTAATATTTAAATTCTTCAATGCTGAATCATTATCAGTAAATCTTTGTAATTTTAAAGCATTTTCCATTTCATTTATAAAATTAGTTTCTTTTATTAATTGTTCAGATACATATTTTGAAAACATACTTAAAGGAACATCAAAAACTTTTTCATAAACTTTATTGATCAACCTATAAATTAATAAATCAACAACGATTTGTTTATCAATATAATCATGTTGGATCTTAAGAGCAATTTCTTTTGATCCAAATTTTTCATTAAATTTTGCTTTGTGCACCTGAGCTATTGATGCACTTGCTATAGGTTTATGATCAATCCATTCAAAATATTCATTTTCATAATTTTCTCCTAAATTTTTTTTCAACACTTTATTCATTTTATCCCAAGAATCAAATGGTGCTTCATCGTAAAGTTTGGGAAATTTTTCTTGAAATGCTTTTGGAAATAAATTACCTTGATTTGCTATTGCTTGACCTAATTTTATATAAAGTCCTTTATTTAATGTTAACATTTGTAATAATCTTTCACTTGCAATTTCATGTAATTCATTCAAATCTGCGTAATTTTTAGAATTATATCCATATTCATAAGCTATCCATAATAATACATATAATGCTCTCACTGATCTTGTTATTAAACTTGAATTATATTCTTTATCTAGCACATATATTGTACCTCCACTTAAAGTAATGATCCCTGTTGTAATTATGACATTTCTAAATAGGTTTGATTTCTTGATCTTTGGTTTTGGTGTAATTGGTCTATTAATAGTATTGGTTGCTAAATTTCGATTATATCTTGTGATAATACTAAATTTTAAAAACTTATTATTTTTAAAGCATATTGGTCTTAGTAACATTTAATTATGTGCATATATAATGTACTGACTGGTTTTGAGTGATGCAACTTTCAGTGAATATCTACTTTATATATTATTTGAATGATTTGTTATAACTTTAATATCATGACTATTTTGAATTTAATAAAAGTTGCAGCCAAATTGAATTTAAATATTTCTTTCGGTTAAATTTAAAATTAACTCCAGTGCTTAGGAAAATCAGTGTGAGTCAAGTGGTAGCATAAATTCTAACCAACCGAATAATAAGAAAAATTCCTCTCAATTTATTATGCTGACTACATACACAATTTAAAAGATCAATTTCTCCAGGTTTTATAAAAATTAACCAAAGCTCATACAATAAATACATCAATTACAACAAAGAATGTTATCGCGTCAAATACAAAAACCAATAATATCAACATTACGTTCACAAACCTCCATTATAAGATTTAATTCTACAACAACAACAACAATACCAGTTGTTAAAACTAAAAAAGTTGGAGCTTTTAGAGGTGGATTTATTGGATTTTTATTAGGTGTTACTGCAACTGGTGCAGCTTCATATTATTATTTATTGGATCAATATAATTTTGCAAATACTGTTGTTGTTGCTGATATTATTGCTTTACAGAATTCTATTGATAGTTTGGAAAAACATGTTAAATCACTTGATGAAAAAAAATAGAAATTGACGAAAGAATAAAATGGAAGGGGGTAGTTGCATAAAAGCTAATTGATCAATTTGAAAAGGATGTCGATTTTGTGTGGGTAATTATTATAATATATATACATGTATTTACAAAAAAATTATATATATAATTCTTAAATTAATAATAAAAGATTTCTATAAAGTTTTGATTAATTGTCTATGGTGTAATCGTTTATAATCATGAAATTTCTTTCAAAAATTGTATTGAATCATTTAAAAATTTCTTAAATTCAGTTTTGGAAAGATTACCATTTTCACCAATTAAAATTTCAAATTTTTGACCATTTAATGAACCACCTTCAATTATACTTAAAATTAATTCTTTATTATTATTAAATTCAAAATTTAAGTCTGTTTTATATAAGATATGTAAAAAATCATAAATAATATTAGTTCCATTAATGTTTAAATTTATAGAATTTGGTAAGTTGATTTTGGATTTAGATTTTGAATTGAAATTTAAATTGGAGTTTTTGATGAAATTGATTAGATCTGGTTGATTTTTGAAAGCTTGGTATTGTTCATCAACTTCGTCACTTGATTTTGTTTCTGTCTCCTTACTTTGTTTTACTGGTTTTTGAGGGTATAATAAATCACCAATTATCAATTTTGAAATCTTTAAATCATTAATCAAATTAGGACATAATACATTATATTGATTCATTGATTCAATTGATAAAATTTTTAAAGTTTCTAATTTTATTTGACCCCAATCATTTAAATCAGCTTGAATTTCAATTGGTGGATAATTTGAATAATCTTGATTTTGGTTATTGAAAATAGAAGGAATTAATTTTATTTGTATCTTGTTTGTAAAAATTTGATTTCCGTTATTATATAATATTGGTAAATTTATCGCTTGATCTATTAAGTATGGTTCATTTGTTAAGAATTCGTATTGATTTTTGTCAGTAGAATCAAGATTTGCTGAGTCTATCGGTGGTGGTAATAAATTTGTGTCCAATTTGGGGGTCTTCAATAATAATGATCCGAATTGAGTGGTATATGCAGAATATGACTCAGAATCTTTTGAAGTTCCATTCAACCCTTCAGTGAAACTTGTATTGTTCAATTTATTGTATAAATCATCAATCTCGGTATTTGTGAAGACATGTTGTTCAACGTCTTTGTTTGATTTTGAAATAGGTGGTTCCTCTGGTTGAAAATTTGGTTCTTCTGGCAATATAGAATTTGTTCCATATTTGTCTGAATCTTCCAATAAATCATCAAATAAGCCTAAACTTGAATCATCATCATCTTTACTATACGCTCCCAACTCTGTTCTCAAATTATCCAAGATTTTATCATTATTTTGTACTTTACCTTGACCTTCAACATCGACTATTAAATTTGAAACATCAGGAAACTCATTTGGGTCATAATCCTGTTCAGAAAATTTACCTAATTCATGTCTTAATTCTTCAAGATTACTGTGATTTTCATTTATATCTGTACTGTTGGCTGATTTTTCTCTGTTTTCTAAGACTTTATCCAAATTAAACTTATCGTCATCTATGGCAGCTTCATTTGTAGATGATCCTTTCAACATATTTAATATATCATCAGAAATTGATTTATCAACAAACTCATTTTCATTTGAGTTATCAACATTCAACAATAATTTGTGATCAACCAAATCATCTAATTGTTTCAGATTAAGAAAATTTTCATTCATTTTATCAAACTTCTCAAAAATAATTTCATTACCTGTTTTCAAACCTGGTTTAAGGTCCTTATTTCTGAAAATATTGTAATATTGAAATTGCTTATCATACCATGACCATACTTCGTTATTCAAAAATGGAATGAATTGGACATTTTGTAATTCTTTTTCATTGAAAATTTTAGTCTGAATATGAGGATTTTTATCGATTGACCAAGATATCAATCTTTTTGCAACATTTATATCATTTTCAGAATTTGCAAAAATTTGGAACTTATTTTTAGGCAATGGTGTGAAAAATACAGACGAATTTCTGGATATTTCCTCAAAGTTTAATTCCTTGATATTTGCAAAAGATGGTAACTCAATTTCTTCAACTTTTAAATTATTTTTAAATTGTACTAACTCGGCTTCAAAGTAATTTAGACTTGATAATAATCCTGAAACTATTAATTTGGAATTTGTATATTTGACCTTTAAATTCAAAGAAGTTATTAAATTTTTTAAAAAATTTGAACGTTTTGGATCAATTAAAAATCTTTGTTGGGGACTTATTTCAAATACTCTATTGTTTAATATAATTTCATTAATTGATAATTTTGAGTCTGAAGATTTATTAATTTTCCAAAAATTGAGTATAAGTTTATCCATTAAATCATTTTTAGTTGTCCTCTTATTGAATTTTGTAGTAGTTGATATATTATTTAGGTACTTTAAGATTTGAGTCTTTGTAAATGAGTCGTCCAAATGTTTTTTCAAATTCTCAAATCTTTTCACCCCTATGGTTTTTTCAAATGGTTTGAAACTTGCAATATGTTTGAATAAATCGTCATCTTCATTCTTAGGGTTGTTTAGCTTATTTTCATAAATTTCGGAGAAAATGTTTAAATTAACTTTTGGTGGCTGTTTTGTTGATTGTCGTAGTATACTTGCTGATTTTGGGTTATTGTTATTATTTTTCTTCTTCCTATTCTTGATTTGACCAGGTTTTAAGAAAATTCTTTTTGATTTATCATATGGTAATTCTAAATCATCAATAGTGGTTGTAGAAGGTTTTTGATTTGAACATATTGTTTGCGATGAAAACTGTCGTATTAAGTTATGATATCTTCTTATTGTATGCAGATGTCGTATAATCATTACAAATATGTAAAAATGTTATAGTTATAGTAATTTTATATGTTCATCTGATGGTGATGTTGATTGACTACTTTTGGCAACCAATTTTTCAACTCCATATTAATTTTTTTAATAAACCTCATCATACTCACAGTTGATTCAGAATTTTATCGCTACCAAAATTTTTGTAAAGTAGTTTACCGAAGATGAGTACCCTTGACTAAGCTATTAGTAGATATTTAATTTACTGGGAATTGGAAGCTATATAATCTTTGCAAAGTCGATAGTCCCAAAGTCTTCGGTTTTAATTGTTGGCAAGAATGTTAATAACTAATGGAAGTTTTGATGCTGAAATTTGTTTAATTTGAAGAAAAGAAAAAAAATTTCAAAGTCTCAGACGTACAAATATTAACATTTTACAACAATAATAAACTTCATTCTCAATTTACTCTTAGTCAAAAGCACTTCACGCCAAAATTAAGCACATATAAAAGTTAAGAATGTTTTCTAAATGCTCTTCGTAGAAATACTCAAATAGAAAAACCAGTAACAATAAGAAAATAATGTAAGAAACTGCCTAGCACTTTATTTAACAACGCATCAACCACCAAACAAAGAATGCATATCTCTTAAGTTCTTTACATGATTTATTTAAACGAAACAAAAGGAACAAAAAGATAAAAAATGCGTGAGTTTTAATCTTTACCTTCCTGAGACTAGATTATATAAGGAGAAAATTTCATGTACAAGAAAAAAACGGAAAATTCAAATTGATTATGAAGTTTGAAGCATATATCCGAAACAACAAAACGTTTTTTTCTATTTTTTCTTAAAATACTTGGTTTTCTGTTATCGTTATGATTTAATTCGTTTCAGCTCAATTTCAAGTTTTCAAGGCTTTGATAATCAAGAAAAATTGAATCACGTTTGAGTAACTAAATTTAGATTATTATTTATCCTTAAAATTCCGTTTATTATAATTTCATATTAATGGTGAATTTGTAACTGATTTGGAAATCTGGATTACTTGCAATAAAATTATTATTATTTTTTTAATGAGGTAAAAAATACCCTTTTTTTTTACATCTTGAGATTTATACACAAAAAGTCATTTGATGAAAGATGATGTACAACTTTGATAGTTATAATAATGGCACTTTTGTCAGTAAAATATCATTCAATATGAAGTCTGAGAGGGAACAACATATACTACACTCTAGAGAAACACCACATTAAGTATCACATAAAATAAATTAATTTAATAAAAAAACAAACTTTTAACACTCTCACACTCACGATATAAAATATAATAATATTCTCTAAATAATAATTAATAAAATTGAAACACATTGATTGAAATAAAATTTGTTCTTTTTTTTGGGGATTTTTAGGATTAAATTTTTCTGGAATGAAAATAATTGGATAATATAATTTTACAACATTTTTGAAGAACTGAAATATAATTTTTGAATTTAATTTTAGGTAGTAATCTTGTCATTTGATTGAAGTAATTGATGATGATGATAACAACAATTTGGAAACAATTTATCTTCTAGTAACTTACACAACTTTTCTTCGCTTTATATCGTCCTCACTACTTGACCTAGATGATGAACCATTTTTGTCTTCTTCAGTAATAACCAGTGATAAGTAAAGTGGTGGTTGTTTTATTTCCTTTTGATTTTGATTAGCATTTGTAATTGAATTTGTAGGTAGAACAGTTTTTGGTGATGACGATCTTGATGTTGAGTCATTAGCTGAAGAATTTGAATCATCAAGTAGTGAAGTTACAGATACTTTTTTGTTTGGTTTTATTATAGTTGTAGTTGTTGAGTTATTATTCACATTTGATTGTTCAAATACTGATTTTGACAATGGAGAATTTGATCTATTAACTGGTGTGGTTGGTCTTGGTGATTGTCTGACTCTACTGTTGGTTGACTGAAGTGGTTGTGGCTGTGCAAAAGCAGATGTGAAATAACTTTGTTGTTGCTGCTGTTGTTGTTGAATCAGTGCTGACTGTGGTTGACTATTTACTATAGATATTGGTGATTGAGGAGTACCTGATCTACCATCATCAAGAATTTCATGTGGTGCAATAGATATTGAACTCTTATTAGTATAACTTATTGAACCAAATGATGAAGTACGTTGGAATGAATGCATTGAAGAAATTGATGATTTGTTTGAAAATATAGATGACGATGAATGTGAACCTATTGATCCTGTTCCACTGGCCCCTCCATTTATTGAATTTGAATTAACCCCACCTCCACTACCACTATTTCTAGTTGCACTACCACCTTTGGAAGCTGCATGTAGTTCAAATACTGACGGTCTTAATCTCTCTTGTAATGATGTTGATAGTATTGACGGCTTTTTGGAGAAAGATGGACGAGTCATTGGTTGTGGTCTTGGTGGTTGTTCTTGTTGCTGAGGTTGAGATGGTGTAGGAAAGTTGGAGATGGTCGCATTTTGTGGTTGAGATTGAAATGCACTAACTGGAGGTAAAGGTGTCAAAGGTAATGAAGTTGAAGTTGCATTGGATGATAAAATTGATGATGGCTGTGAGGAAACGGCATCATTATTGACAAGTTTTGTAGTTGGAGATGCAGAAGTTCTAGGATTGAACTTGTTCACTTCGTTTGTTGACGATGTAGATGAAGATATGCTAGTTTTGTAATGAGGGATTGGAGCAACGATAGGAGTGACAGTAGATGCGTTTCTTGAATCAACTTGAGATGGTGATTGTAGAATAGTTGATTGAGAAGTTGATGTTGAATTTGTACTCAAACTTGAAAGACCTGGTCGATGATTCAGTGAAGGTGGTGGGAAGTTTATTGAGGATTGCCTTGCTATTGATGATGTCGGGGTTTCCAGATCTTTTGATTTGTTGACTATTGATGTTACAGTAGATGGAGTTGATTTCTGTGCTAAATTCATTATGGTTGGTGGTGTTGGAATTGATGTTGAAGCTGTGGTTGTAGTTGAAGATGAAGGTTGTGGCATTGGGGCCAATGGATCGAATAATAATGAAGGATGCCTTTGTCTTGAACCATGATCTTCCCAAACTTTTCTGAATTGTAAATTTGGTGTGAAATTGTTTGGAGTTTTGACTCTTTGATCAATACCAACTGGTTGATTAGGTGATTGTTGTTGTTGCGATGGTTGATTGAACATTTGTGAATTTTGAGATGTTGGATCTGATCCCGTTTTTATTAAGTTTGGCTTTTGATTGTGCGAAGGTTGTTGCTGTTGTTGAGGTAATGAACCAAACGATGAAGATCCTGTTTGTGTTTGATATAATGCAGGCTGTCGTTGTTGTTGTGGTGGTGGTGGTGGTGGTGGGTTAAATACTTGATTTGGACCGAAATTTCCTGTTGACTGCTGCTGTGATGGATGATAAATAATCTGAGGTTGTTGTTGATTATTATTATATCCAAATTGGAGCGCTTGTGGTGGGTAATTTGGAGGTTGATGGTATTGAACATCTTGTGGATTATAATACATAGGATATGAAGCTTGCGTTATTCCTTGTGGTTGATGTTGTGGTGGGAATGGTTGCTGTTGACCTTGATAAAATTGTTGAGGTTCATATGTAGAAAATTGACGATGCGGTATTTGTTCATTTGAATAATGCTGAGGTGGATATTGAGCGTAATGTTGTTGATCTGGAATTGTTTGTTGTTGAAATGCTGATGAAGAAGATGATGAACTATTTCTTTGAGATTTAGAATTGTTCTCGTTGCTATAACTATTATTTCTTGAATTATTATTCGAACTGGATCGTCTTTTAATATATATTAGTGAATTTTCATCTCCCTTTTTGAATTTCCCACTCAGATGTTTAAATTCCCAAATAGGCGGTATATCCTTATCAGTAAACTCTTGATTATTTGGATTATTATCAAAATTTGATGGATTGTTCATATTTGGAAAATAATTACCATTTTGTAAATTAGGAACCATAAAGTTTGAGTTCATACTATTGAGCATATTTGAATTATTCGAATAATTACCATTGCTATTATTTGGATCACTTACTTTATGAAATCCATACATATGTAATTGTCTTACAAAACTTGCAACATTACCATGTTTAAAATATCTTGTTAGACAATTTGCAAATTCTTTACCTGGATATAAGGAGAATGTATTATTTTCCGGATTATTATGACTCCACCAAATTAGATTATCCAAGCTTGGATCACTCAACATAGTATATAATTTATGAACAAATGCATTCTTCTTTATTCGAGTCTCTCCTTGATTTTTTTTCGTCATGATGTTTTATGAGTATGTTATATGATTTATACTCTATCAAATTATTCTCTATAATGCCTCGCTCGAATCGATGAACTGCTTTATATCTTCTGGTTCTAATTACTCTGATTGACTTTATCCCTCTCAAATTTTCTCACCCTACCCAATCTCTCTTGTTCTCACTCTTCGTGTTGAAGCTAAGGCTATTCGGAGTAAACTTTGTAAATCTTATTTGTTTTAAATTTTTAGGTAAATTATATACAGATTATTTTGAAATTGAATAAATTGATTAAATCAAGTAGATGTATATAATTTTGAATATTGGAGTGTATATAGGTAGTTTTTATTGATATGGTTCTTGAATTCATTAATGTTAAAAGTTACTATTATATTTCTTAAAAAATTCAAGTAAATAATAATACAACAAATATTTCTTGTGTGAGTCTTGAGTAGTATTTCCGATTAAAATCACAGTACAATTGTTTTCTCAGCTCTAATTGAAAAATAATAGAATAGATATTGGCTAATGAATAAAGGAGTGAATAATGATTTTTATTTTGTCCAAAAAAATCTTGTCTAATCTTGTAAAATTTTATCTCAGTGTAATTGATTGAATGAATACCTAATTTTACTTAAATGATGAATTTTTTCAATGGAAAAAGTTAAAACCTAATAATCGTCACTTATAAAATTGAATACAATTTATTTCAAAGTAATCAATTTTTGAAATATAATAATTATTTATTTTATGTAATAAAAAGGGACTGATTTTCCTAATAAAATATAATATTAAACTGGAAAAATTTCTTATTTAAGATTATTATAAATTTAACTTGTTGAAAATTCAGGTTATAAAATTAGGGCTTGTTTTCTTGATTGATATATAATAAATCTTTAAAATGTTTAATACTAATGATATTTTTATAGTGCTCGGACTTTCTTTATATATTATATTAATCTCCCCTCTATATCGTAAATGTGAAGAAGATGCTGGTTTGTAATTATTCTATAATGAAAATCGTCAGTTTTGATGAATTTAAACTTTTGTAATCTTCTCTTAACTTGGCAAATGGTGGTGAAAATTTTGGTTGTAAATGAATGAATATATTTGTTAAAAATTTTACTAATGTATTTTATCCACGAATTAATATGTGTATATATATAATCAACTTAATTAAATGGTATTTCTTGACAAATTTATCAAATTATTGAGTATACTTGAATGAATCTTAATAATATATAACCCTATTAAGATTGAGGGCTAAGTTTCTTGTAGATACCTTAAATAATATAAAAATACAAATTTAAAATTTAAAAAATTGAAGTGAAAAAATAAAAAAAATAAAAAATTAATTTTTATAAAATAAAAAAATAAAATAAAAAAATTTTGTATGAAAAAAATATTATTATTATTAGACTATAATTAATTAATTGAATAATATAATTACGTGGTAAATGAAATTTATTAATGAAATTTTGATGGTAAATTCAATGAAATGTATACTTGAGTAAGATGAATAAGAATAAAACGAATACAAATAAAACCCTTTATAAGGTGAAAGAAAGATATAAATCTTATTCTTTTCAAAATCACTGAAAATATTGTAGAAGAAAAAATTTGTATTTGACAAAATTTAATTTATGTACTCGATTATCACTTATGGTTTTTGATTGCCTAAATTTATCAAATTAACAAGTAAATTAAATAAATAATAATTTAAATAATAAACTAATAATCAAAATAGAATAGTAACTTAATTTACTAAATTTTAATCAAAATATGTTAACAAATATTGTTTAATACTAATTAACATTAACAAAATAATTGAATATAAATTCACTAAAAATTTCATTAAACTAAAAATTAAACTAAAAAATTCCATGAAATAACACAATTGGAATCAATAAAAGTTTAAAATTTTTAATGTAGATTAAATAAAAAATTGTTAATTAATTATATATGTTTAACAGGTTAATTTAATAGTACATTTATGGTTTGAAAAGGAACAATTATGTCATATTTCTTAATTTAAGCTATAATAGTAAGTTCTACATATCCGATTTGTGGGAAAGGAATTCAGAGCTTTGTACTTCAATATAGTCGAGAGTTGATACAATTTAACATTTTCTAAAATCTGATGAAATTAAATTGCAAAATTGATGAAGCCAGCATTTAGAGCGAGGGTTTAATTTTTTTCAAAATGGATTTTCAAATTAAGCGGTTATAATTTAGATTTCAAAACTTCTACCCCTTTGTAAAACATTTAAAGAAACTAAATTTTATAAATTATAATGAATTTCACATTTATTAATCTATTTATAATGAACTAGTCTAAAAAATTTGATTTAAATTCCCATACTACTGAATTACTAATTTGTTGAGTAATCCAATATGTAATCACTAAAAAACCTTATTATTACAATAACTCTCAAAAAAGTTCAATTAAAATGTTTTAATTTCCGGCTAGTTTTAGTTCAAATTTTAGATTCTTCTCCTTCCTTTCTCCTGAACAGAATTTTCTGATAGATAGTGGAGTTGTGATGAAAAGTATAGCAGATGAACTAAAATTTTGCAAATCGAAATAACAAAAATCTCGGTGGTTATGAGTGTTTATTTTTATGGAGAGATTAAACATTAATGTTTTTTACTAAATATTAGCAGTGTTTATTTCAATAAATAATTGGCTATGTAAATATTTGTGTCAAGACTGTGTCTTATCTACAGAAAATAAACTAAACTTAAAACATAACCTTTTGATTTAGTTGCTACATAATTGGATTATAAATCAACCGACCAATTTTTTATTCTTGTCAATTTAGCAAGTGAACAAACTTTAATTTTGTAAAAAAATAGAAGAAAAAGAACAAAATAATTTTAATAATAGTGCATTAAGACCTTACATAAAATTTGTAAATGTAATATTCATTAAACCTACATAAACTAAGTATAAGAAATGTTGAGTTTTAATTTTTATTCCTTTTTAAATCTTGCATGAATAATTTAACTTTAATGTTGAATTCATTTCGTTAAATTAAATTAAAATCTGAACTATTATTGTACAATAAATGTTTTCAACTCCGAGTTAATTATTTATTGCAACCAAATGGTAAGTCAAAAACAATTATGCGCTTACTGGTCTTCTTTACTTTTTAACCCATTTGCACCAAAACCTAAAAAACGAAAACAGTGGGCGAAGTAACTTGCTCTATTGTTCTTTTTCCTTAAATTTTATTCTATGCATCTTGAAATCAAATAAAATACATTCTCTCAAGACTTTTCCTAAATTGATCTACGCAGAAGAGTCAAATATTCGTATCAAGACAAAAAGCGGAAAAATAAAGAAATAAATTCTCTGTAATCGAGTAATACAGTTGTGAGGCAGATCATCACATCTGTAATGATGTTGTACCTATCGCTATATGTTGCTATTATATTCGATTGTTACATCATCACTACCAAATAGTAGAATGTATTTTGTATCATTATTTGTTCAATTCATCCACATCCGCCAAAACTTAAGGGCAGAACAATAATCTTTATTTACCATGGCAGAAATAAACGAGGGAAAAAGAGTAAAAACAATAAGTAAATCATCTTATATTCTATATAATTGGGTTAAGACGAAATAAATGAGGTACGGATGTTTGACTGCAAAACAATAAAAAATAGATAAGTAAAGTGATAAAATGCCGTTCAACTTTGAACAATGCGTAGTACTAGCCTTAATTAACCGTTGTATAATTTTTTTCTCATGCACTAAGTTGCACGTAAATAACGAAAGATGGAGAAATAGCGAGAGATGGTCTTATTTATTACACAACTTCTTAACCTCCCTTGACTTCTGTAGATATTCATGCTTTTATTAAAGTCCATTTTTGTGATATCTTCATCAATCCAACTGAAATTTTTGTAAACTGGATCGAATTTTACGCTGATTTTCAGAAGAAAAATAGAAAGAATTTTTCGTACGACGATCTTTGGAGTTATGAGACAACCAGTGAGAAAAAAAAGGTTTTATTTGTTAAATCTAATTCCGATTTTGTAATCTTTGCAACTGAATCGTGATCAATTATGAAGGCAAACTTTAATTAATTTCCTTTAAATGTAATGGTAGGTATGATTAAGCGAGCATCTAATTGTAGCTATATCAAAGAAAGCTTTAGAAATTCCTTTTAAATCTATATAATCAAGCATGATCTAAAAGAACAATCTATTATCATTAGAAAAAAAAGGATGAAAGATCAACATAATTGAAGATCCCGAATAAAAACAAACAAACAAGTTACGCTATTTCCAAGATTATTTAAAAAATCTCCAAAAGAGTCTACCCTTGTTCCTTTTTTTTTTGATTGTCGGTTAAGGAAATTAATGAGGCGACTTAATTACATAACCATTAAAAAATAGAACAAAATTGAAGAATAGAAAGAAATTTGTTGATACAGAAGATAAAAAGCAGTGCGGAATTAAATGCACATGAGTACTAACTACTATGCTATTAATTTTTTAAAAAAATTTGTATTCATAACCACAAGCTCTTTAATTAATAATTTTCTTCATTTTAGGGATGATTTTTAGGCTGAAGGCAATTCAGATTGATTGATCGATCCCTGAAGCTAAAAGTAATTAATTAGTAATACCAATGCTTGTTCTTTTTACTTTGGTTTTTTTTGGTTATCAATCTACGTCATTCTTGGCTGAATATTACTTCTTCTCGTTTTAGCGGATTAATAATTCGTAGATACATAAATCAAAAACTACTAGATTAGTCAGTGATTCAAAGCAGAAAGGGAATCATTTATCTGGAGATCTGTTTTTCATAAAATTTTGAACATTTAATAAACGTATAATGTTTTGAATATAAACATTCTTACTGTAGTTTTTTTCCGTAAATTACACAATCTTATGATTAAAATAACATGTTATACATAACCAATACTACAGCTAAATGTATTACGTCACAATTTTTTGTTGATATACGAGGGTTATTCTTTTACAAAACTTAATATAAATAATAATTACAAATCTTTGCCTGATACAATACAACTTAGATAGGACTTAAGACTCGAGATCGAGAAAACTATTTGTAGGATATTATCAAAAAACCCACTGTATTTTCATGCACTTATTACTTATTTAGACTAGATAATGACAAGATAATAAAATTTAATTGTGGAAGAGAATTCTTGAACAAAGATTCTTGCAATTGATAACATTTGAAATGTACTCGTTATATTTCTTATCTACAAGGGTAGCATCGTCCACACTTAGAATAAAGACAGATGTGTGATCAAATGGACGGATTCTTGTAAATATTCGGAAAGAATCTATCACGGGGTATGCAAAACCCAGATATTTCCTTTTTAAATTGTTTGAGCAGTTCAATTTAAATTGAAGGAAATCGATTATTCAGACTTAAACAATAGAATAATTTGCTTTCATAGTGATTTACTATCAAATTGTTGTTGAAGTTGTAAGGGTTGAGATGTTAAAAGGGTCATAGATGGAATTTTGGCTGCAAAATTATGTTGTAAAGATTGTTCGCTCTCTTTTTTTACGTAGTTTTATGTCTAAATTTCATTTTCTAAAGTCACACCAACTAGCCTGTATATTCGGATCTGATAAACATGAATTATAGATTGATTTACATGGTCAATAGTAACAAAATTAAACTAATTTAAAAACCTTAGTTAAGAGCTCATAATTACTTGATGTAACAATAAAATATCATACTTTCCACTATGAATAATCTGCATGATTTCATAACCTCCTAAAAAGACCCCATCTGAATGATTTCATAATCTTTATTAAGGATTCACTAAAAACCTCATAAATTTAATAACTAAAAGTCCTTTTTTTTTGATAACAGAATACTCGAATTTACCAAAACAAAACAAGGCAAAAGATAAAAGACAAAGTCTGATGATCATTTTAACTGATCGGTGAAAACAAGTAAAAGAACACGTAGTGATGCACTAATTATTAAAATACTAATACGAACATTCTTTTAATTTCTCCTTAAGATCGAAAAAGAATAATTTTTTACAAATATTTTTAGTTTAACCAGTATGCATGTTAATTTTAATTCCATGTTCGTCAGAATTCTGTTTGGCGAAGAATTGATCTTATCGATAACGAATTGATCTTATTGATAATGTCCAATTTTTTATCAGTCATGCGCTCCTTGTTCTGTCTTCATTTTTCAAAGACTTTTCTCGTAAAATTAATTAATAATCGGTCTTGAAGCGTTGAAATATTCTACAGATTCAACCAGATATTATGAGAAACTTTACATAAATTTCATAAATTTAGTCGAAAATAAATCTTTAATGAGCTAGAAGCCATTTTCAATTAATAATTCGGTAGTCGACATAATTTTTGGCATAAATTTAGTAATTTAATTTTGGTAAATTTTTATTAGTTAGTTTAAATGACGAACAGTGCCATGCTTTAGAAACTTTGAAATATTTTATTTTTGTCATACCAATATGATATTAATGTTACTTTGTTTGTTTGAACAAGGTAAATGTAATTAGTACGAGGGGGTATCACTCAATACTTTTATGTAAAGAGTTCTGTAGTCTCGAACTACACTGTAGTAAAGTAGTATATTTTATAATATTTTAAATGTCAAATCTCATTTAAATATTTTGGGACATTCAATGTTAATTTTAATTTTTTGCAACCAAAATATTATCATAACAATTTAATTTCCAATAATTTTTACTAAATACAGATCGATTTCCTGTTAATTAAATTTTTTTTTTGAATTGCATTCTTTTCTACTCCAATTTTATATACAACTACAACAACATATATTCAATTCAATATGAATTTCAACGGTTTGTTTGATTTACTATATGAAATGCTAATATAGATAATTATATTAACTGATTCAAATTTACAAATTATAAAATAAAATACTGACTATCATTTTTTAGTCCAAGTGCTTACTGATCTCAATATTTTATGAACATAATTAATGCTAGGCGAGTAGGATTGGGTCAGAGATTAAATAAAATAGTTTTGACTGCTGCAAGTTTCAGACCAATGAGATTTACCACACTGTAAAACCCAACTGACCTAACTTTTGTTAGATTTAATTTTGGTAAATTGCAGGTATCCGCTATTTGCTAATTATTAAAGTGGTTAATTTGGTGTTCTACGTGTAGAGGCACCTTAATTTAATTCATCATGTATACTACTAACATCAATATTCTAGTGATCATCAAATAAGCAGAAAAAGTATGGATAAAAGTAGAAGAATATTGATGTGCAACAGTGAACATTATAAAGTGGATACAGGATGTATTTCATTATATTTATTACTAACTGTAAAAATCATAGGCATCAAATTAATCATGCGTCGCTAGATTAATATTTGGGATTTATTTAAAATTGATCAAACACAATTTAAGCATTGGACTTTGTGGTTTGATGAGTTTGATTGATTTTGGAGCTTCATGTGGTCTTGATGAAATAAAAAGATCTTATTTATTCAATCCTACTTGCTAGCATTTAATAGTGTTCATAATTGATTATCAATAAGAAGAGATTAAGTCAAAATTTGGTTTTATATAGTTGGTTAATTAAACAGTTAAATAGCTTGTAAAATTGGTATAATTTAGAATTGTTTGGTATATGTATAAATTACCAACTTTATTTTTAGATTACTTATTTTGCAACTATTACATTTGTTGTTATTGATGGTACTACAAACCTTTCACAGATCGAGTCAAATTACAAATGAATCGTGGTAATTAATTACATACAAATCTTAAAAGATCACAATCGTAACCAGAATATTGATTATATTTCTATTTATAAAAGATGACATTTTAATTAAACCTTAGTATAGTATCCTCTAGTGATTTTCTTCTTCTCTTTTCAATAAAGATTTACCACTCAACATATCGCCAATTTCAATCATATTTCTCCAATGTACAGTTTTACCTTTCCTCAATTTAACATCAGCTTCATTTACATATAAATGTCTAACACTAGTAAATTCAGTTGAATCTCCATGAATTCCGATAACAACAGCATTATGTCTTTCAACTTCTGCATCATCTATTTTAATTTCTGTCTTATCTGTACAATTATTCCATTCTTCTAAGAATTCCATTGATTTTAATGCAAATTTAATAGCTGTTACTCTATCATATGCTGTTGGTGTATAACCTTGTTGAACGTGACCTGGAATTGCAGTTCTTGTTTCAAATCGTTTGTTTGCATTTTCTCTAATTATATCAGCAATTAATTCTGTTGTATATACACTTGATGCTTGTTCATTTCTTATCAATAATTTACCATTATGATCTTCACCTCTATCTGCTTGAAAAACTTTAAATAATAATTCTATATCTCTTTGTAATTCGGTAAGATTAACTCTACTTTCTGGAGTATAGGAAGCTAAGGCACCAGTTATCAAACCACAATATGAAGCAACATAACCTGAATGACCACCTTGAACCTCAACCACAAAGACCCTTCTTCTACTTGAAGAAGCAGATTGTTGAACTGCATCACAATAAGCAACTAATTGATTCAAACAAGTATCTGAACCTAAAGAATATTCCGAACCTGGGACATTATTAGAAACAGTAGCTGGTATAACAACCATAGGTATATCAAATATAGGATAATTTGGTTTTTGATCATGTAATTCATGTAATGAAGTAAAAGCTTCAAATCCACCAACAATTAATAAACCTTGAATATTAAATTTTTGTAAATAAAATGCAACTTTGCCAAAATTTATTGAAGGTAATGAACGATTTGTACCAATATCACTACCACCTCTATTATGCCAACCTTCAATATCCAACCATTTTAATTCTTTTATTTTACCTTGAATCAAACCTGAAAATCCATCTTGTATTGCGAATAAATTATGACCTCTTGATATACTTTGTAATACTATAGCTCTAGTTGCTGCATTTAATCCAGCTGATGCTGCACCAACATGAATCACTGCAATATTTAATCTCTTATCTTTATTTAATTGTTTTGACCCATCATCATAATACGTTATTGATCTAAAATATTTATATGCATCAGAAAAATTGGCGTCTCGTAAACTCATTGCCTTTTTGAAATCTTTATGTTCAATTGCTTCAGCAACTGCTTTTGTCTGTTTTACAGCATCAACTAATGGTACTCTTACTATTTTATTCTTTAGTATACCAATCATTGGTGATGGAGTATCTGGAGTTAAATCTAACACTGCTTTTACAGCTTCTGCTCCTTGTAATGTAGCTAATGATCTATCATATGCAACTGCTGTACCACCTCTTTGTACATGCCCCAATATAGTGATTCTTGTATCTAAACCTAATTCAACCAACACTTTTTTAACATCATCGGATGTAATAGGATTCAATTCATCATCTATTGCACCTTCAGCAACTATAACTGTAGTTTTTCTTCTACCATATTGTCTATGTCTCAAACAAACCTCTTTCAATTGTTGTTTCCATTTACCAGCTTTTGGAGGACTTTCTGGAATAAATACAAAATCAGCACTTGTTGCCATACCAGATAATAATGCTAACCAACCACAATGTCTACCCATAACTTCCACTACAAACGCTCTTGAATGGGATGCTGCTGTAGCTCCTATATAATCAACCATTTCAGTAATTCTCTCCAATGCAGAATATGAACCAATAGTTACATCAGTACCGGACATGTCATTATCAATTGATCCGACTAAACCAACAATTGTAAGATTTTGATAAGGTTTTGCTTGTTCAGCTGTCAATTTTTTAGTATCAACTAATTCTTTAACTAAAGATGGCCATTCACTTCTAAATAAATCTGCACCAGTTAATGAACCATCACCTCCACAAACAACTAATGCATCTATTCCATTGACAACCATATTGAATGCAGCTTCTAATCTACCTTCTCTTTCTCTGAATTCTTTACACCTTGCTGTACCAATTGCTGTACCACCTAATGATAAAAATGATCTAACATCTGACCATTCCATTTTCTTTAATAATTCACCACCTTTAACTAAACCTTCATAACCTTCGTATACTGCATATGCTTCACAACCATGAAACAAAGCAGTTCTAACAACTGCTCTAACTGCTGGATTCATACCTGGAGCATCACCACCTGATGTCATAACCGCAATTTTCTTTTTCTTGGTTAGTTGTTCTGATTGATTGTTTTTACCTGTGATGGATGTTTTAATTAATCTGGAATCATTTTCTTCAACCACCAAGTCGATGTTTGATTTTAGTTTCGGGCCAGTTTTAACTGACAAGATTTCTTTTGTTTTAACTTCGATATATTCCTCAGGTGAGTTATACTCTCTTGGATTTAACTCATTATCTATATTTGAAAACCATAAAGTATTGCCTAATGGATCCTGAATACTGAAAACATTCTTATCAACATCTGTTATCTCTATTTTTGATTTTTTCAAGATATCTTTTAATTTTGATAAATCCGTACTGAATAATACAAATTTTTTGTCAATTGATTTTAACTCCTTTTCATTTGATAACCTTATTTTGAATATAGTTGATTCTGATAATTTTTCACAATTATCTCCACTATAAACTTTCAATTCTTGCCATGGTTTTAAATTTCCATTATTATCTAAATCTTGTAAAGGATAAGATTCTAACCAAGCTTCTCTTAATGAATCCTTTGACACCCCTAATTGTAATTGCGCACTGTTCACTCCAGATGTTCCATTATATGATATTCTTGAGAAATTTTTAGTTAATCTGAAACCTAAATTTGAATAAAAATTAAACAGTTTTATAAAATCATCATGACTATTGGTTATTAATGAGACATAACTTAATCTACTAATTGTTTCCACGCTAGGCATTGAATTGTGAAGATCTTATGGTTTGAATATGAATCTGAGTTAAATACTGATATAAGGTGAACAAGAAGTAACAATTGATAAATATATGGAATGATTAATTGTTTCGGACAACAGATGTACCTTTTGAATTGATAATTATTGTAGTAAAATAATATATCAAAATTGATTATTACACTACAAATAGAATAAAATGTTGCTGCTGAGAAAAATAATTAATGAAACCATTTTTTATTTTTTGCAACAAGTTTGACAAATTTATCCGAAGTTTCATTATTAGATCTAAAATAATGAAATCTACGATATACTATAAAATTATTTCAATATATTATCTTTCTAACTAACATAAACGTAAAATCAACTAATAAACAATTTAAAATTTATTTGGTCCGTACTCAACAATCAATTTTCTTTTCTTTAAAATGATGTCATAATCAAAACAAATTCAGTAAACAAAATGAATAAAATAAAATCAGTATTAAAACTTGAAACAGCAGAATTTTTCTTTTTCTTTTCTTTAACTTTTGGTTTATTCTCATCATTTTGTTTATCTGGAAATTGAACAAATGATGAAGAATCCTTGGATTTTAATTTTTGACTAGTTGGAGTTGCTACAACATTCAAAGTTTTATGAAAATAATTTTCGGTTGATGTTGAAAAAATTGAAGTTTCCCACGATTCATGAACTAACTCATAAACTTCCTTACCTAACTCTGTTTGTAATGGTAAATCATACACGTTTTTGGAATTTTTAGTTTTTTTAGGATTGGTTTTCTTTATTAGTTGATCTATGGCTATTGTTGTTGTTGCAAAGTCAAATGGTGTTTCTGTTTGAGTCCCAGTGCTTGTAGTGGTTGTAGCCGTTGGAAACACAATTGATCTTTCATGTGGTACAGTCCAATCTTCATGTCTATACGTTGGAAATTTTACTGGTGGTTCATTTGCTTGATTATCGTTATAAATATAACCGTCTCTTGCATTCAAATTCAACCATTCACCACTTGATGACCAACCATACATATAAGATTTTGCAACGGAATAATCAGTAACTTTTAAATTTTTCACATACATTGTGAATGGACCATTGTTATAATCAGTTAAACCTCTACTCCATGCAATTGTACCTTGATCTTGAGTTGTTTCTCCACTCCATAAACTTAATTTTAGAACCATTGGACTTGAAGGATAACCTTGTTTATTATGTCTACTCAATTGTCTAACTGGTTCACCATTTAAATACCAAGTAATATATTTTGGTGTCCATTCAACTCCGTAAGTATAAAACTCGTTTAGTGGACTCTTCTTTAGTCTATGATATCTTGCTCTATCATATGTTGTTACATTTCCCTTTATAAAATAATTTGTTTGATAATTAAATGGATCACCACCTAAAATCTCAGCAACATCAATTTCATCTAAATCATCACTTTGTAAATAAAATGAGCTAACAATACCTGGTCCAAAAGATCCTTTAATTTGAGCTTCAACTTTTCCATACATTATATAAAAACTTGAAGTTAATGCAGGATTATCAAATTCTTTTCGAATAGTTAGTTCCAATCCTTGAGGTGTAAATTTAACACCTTTTCTACAACTTGTAATTGCAAAATAATTTGTACCAGCTAAAAAAGTTTCATGTATGGATTTACTCAATGCTTCATTACATGCTAAACATTTCTTATCTGAAGTTGGATTACATTTTTCATTTTCATAATCTGAATCAAAATCTGAATCATAAATGGCAAACGATTGATTTAATAAAAAATTAAATAAAATAATTAAATTAAAAAACATAGTGAATTATGAATTGACAAAATATTTGTTTGTCTAGTTAAAACTGTAAAATTAGTTTAGTAAATTTTGTCTTAATTTGTATAATTTATAAAATATGTGTTGTTATATTAAAACCCCCTAAAATTGAATTACTGAAAAAATTAAAACCAAAAAAAAAAAAGTAAATAATAAAAAGATTTCAATATATTTATAATGGACGCGTTTGTATGGCATAACAAGAACTTCAGATCAAGATCCAGAAATGTACAACGAAGCACATAAAGTATTATTAACATATATTAGATCTATTAAAACAATAAGTTCACAAGATTTACTAGATGCTCTCGTGTTAATATCTCAAAGATTGAATTCTGGAGAAGAAAGAATAACTTTAGATTTATTAAATCAATATATTTCAGATATCAATTTAGAGATTTCACAACAAGGTTTTAAAATTGAAAGGAAAAATGATGAAAATGATGGAATATTATATTATATTTTTATAAATACAATGATTGATGATATAATGAAAGAAACCACCGCATATTCAGTTCCTGAATTAGTATCCATTAAATATATAATTGCAGAAATTATTGATAAATCCAATTTTGAATTCAGTGCAAGTAAAAATAGTATTCAACAAATTGTATCACAACATCAGAATAAATCTTTAAGAGATTCAAGTTTATTTATAAATAGATTAATTGATGATGGTTGGTTGGTTTTAACTATGAATGATGATTTAATTTTATCAATCAAGAGTTTATGTGAATTAAAACAATATCTTATTGATGGATTTGGTTATATTGAAGATAATGGAAAAATTTTATCTTGCTCAGTTTGCAAAGATTTGGTCACATTAGGGCTCTTTAAAGCAGAAAATAATAATGCTTTCCACAGAAAATGTTATGACGTTTATTGTAGAAATAATGATATTCAACATCAGGATAGAAGTTTAATGAGAGTTGGTCCAGATCCATCAACAATTTAGGCTATTCAAAACTATCTAAATATTGAGCTTCAACTTCATCAATAATATCCCAATACCATTCTTCAATAACATGTTCGTTATATCGATCACTCAATGGTTTTATGTTTGTGGTTGTTGGTGGAAATTCAAAATCAGGTCCAGCGTTTAAAGTTACTGCTCCATTTTGAAAAGTTGATAACATTGGATAATAACCTAAAGTATTATCATCAGTGTTTTTATAATTGGTATTCAGTTGTTGTTTTAAATTTGGTTCAAGATTAATTTCTTCAATTTCTTCAATATTTGTTGGTAAAAATGAATATAAATTATCTATCGTACCTTGCTTGGTTCCATTTTTGTATAAGATGATTTGTGAGTTAGATATTATTGGAATATTTTTTGTTTTATCATCCATTTCAACAACTGCTTTTTCTCCAAATACTGTTATGGGATTTAATAAATGATCCATTGTTTTAGTACTTGTATACTCAAATTGATCATAATACAATACACCTTTTGATTTTGTTGGTATTTGATCTCTTACAATATTATTATATTCATTAAATTTTTCATTATTTTCAACATTATTGAATTTCTTATTTTTGGTGGTTTTTCTTTTTTTGATTTTATGATCAGTTGGTATTTCCTGTTTCTTTAATTCAACAAATTCTTGTATATCTTTTTTATGTTCTTCCAATGAAGGTAAATGTACTTCAAATCCAATTACATCTCCACCTCTAAACCCATTTTCAATCAACACATTTTTCCTCCTACTTATGAACATTAATTCTCCTCCAACATCTCTTATCCCATATCCATAACCATCAAATCCTACTGGTGCTTCAATACTTGCTTCTCTTCTCCCCAATCCAATTCTTACATGACTGTTCTCATCAGATTTTAAAATTTTAAATTCAAAAAAATATGAACCTTCTCTTATTCCAATATTTGATCTAACTGATCTCCACCCCTGGTTAGAAGTTAAAGATTTGCAATCCTTACTTAAATATGAGCCAGTAGATCTATCAAACCAAGATAATGAAACTTCATATGGTTCAATATCAGTAGTGGAATAATAATTTGATGTGAATAAAGGATTAGGTCGACATAATTTATATTTGAAACCTCGTCTATTTACTGGTAATTCTTCATTTTGATAAAAAGTACAATTTTCAATTGAACATATTTCTGTTGGTGTAGGAGTATTTGTTGGGTAAGTATCTTTTATTTTAAACGGCATTGGTTTCAACCTTGGATGAATTATAACATTTGATTTCTTTGTTGTGTTTGAAGTTTCTATTATTCTTTTTGAATCTTCTTCATCTTCATCTATTATACCATCTCTTGACGATTGAATTTGTGGTTCGATTGAAGGTTCTTGTGAGAATTCATCCCTCATTTTATTGGGAATATAGGTTACTTAATGTATGAGCTGATTCGAATTAGTTTTTGATAAAATTATAAAATTTAGACGCACAAATTCTAATTTCTCGAATGAAATTAGGTCGGAGCTTACAGGAAAATTTTCACTCGTTAAATTCATTATTGTCTCTTTTAATAATCATTATATACTATACATGTCCTTACCACCAACTTTTATTGACTTTATTGACTGATTTATTAGAAGCTCTACCAGTATCATGTAATTCAGCAGTACTTTTAACCAAAACTTTCCCATCAGAATTTTCAATAACGCTCTCCAATACAATAGTCTTTTTATCATTTTTAGGTGATTCTTTAGTCTTTGTCTTTATGATTAAAAATTGGTTTGCAAAAGTTGGACGTTTATAATTTATAGTTAAATTTTCAACTTTAAAATCATCTTTTAAATTTGAAGTAGTTAATTGATTTAAGGATGCATTTCTCTTGAAAGTTTCATTGAGTAAAGTGGCTATTATACCTCCGTGAACTATGAAAGGGTATCCACATAACCTATAACCTGCATGGATTATTGAAACTCCTTCATCTGTGTCTATGTTGTGAAATGTAACTGGTTTAATTAAAATACCACCTGGTTTATTTAATGTTTGATTGGTTAATGTTGGTTCTTTGTATTCATCTTGATGTTTTATACTAGTGGATGTTCCACTTTTAAATTCTTGATTATCCAAAACATTTCTATCAAGGTTTTCCCAACTTGATAATTTATACCATTGATGGTTGTTCTTAGGGTGAGCTAGTTTTTGATAAATTGGTAAATTCTTTAACTTATATTCTAATTTCAAAATTGGAATTGTATTATTTTTAGCTACAGAGTCGTCATAGTCAATTGATGTCATTGATTCATAAATATTGAAAAGTGTCTCATTATATGACAAGTAACCACCTAATAAGAAAAATAATGTAGTTGTTCTCCAATTTATCCATCTGGGGTTTTTATATTTTGGTAAATGATCAAATGGTGAATCTTCAGCTAATCTTGTTGCATATTGTCTAGTGATTGTTTGTGATTTCATTAACCTAAAAGGTCGAGACGAGATTCTGAGTTTTATCATAACTTTAAAGTTAATTGTGGATGTTCTTGTTTAGGCTAAAAGTTTGATTGATGATAAGGGGAAAGTTAATGAATTTAAATTTAGCGGTAATTAAAAAATATTGTCGTATTTTGTAAAGTAATGACATAAAAAAATTTGTTTTAAAAAAACCCGACAATCGGGTGAAATGAAACAACAAAATAATTTTAAAACTTATCAAACATCAACATAAAACAAACAGGTAAACATGGATGGTTATGAGGAATCTCAATATATAGATAATGGTCATATATCGCAATATGAAGATCAACAATCACATCAAAATTTACATCAAGATCAAAATATAATAGATGGTACGCTACAGCATCAACATTCACAAGAAGAATATGAAGATATTCAAAATCAACAAGAATCACAACAAACACAACCCCAATATGACGAAGAAGAACAATATATACCAAACCATCAAAATATAGTAGATGAATCAGAATTATTAGCGGCACAAGCAGCAGCGGAAGCAGCAGCAGCAGCTCAACAACAACAACCAGGAGATGTTTTTAATAATGTAGCTCAAGGATTAGAAGGTAAACATAGAGATACAATGATGCAATATTGGCAAGAAACTATCAACTCTATTGAACATGATGAACATGATTTCAAAAATCATCAATTACCATTAGCAAGAATTAAGAAAGTAATGAAAACTGATGAAGATGTTAGAATGATTAGTGCAGAAGCTCCTATATTATTTGCAAAAGGTTGTGATATTTTCATAACTGAATTAACTATGAGGGCTTGGATTCATGCAGAGGAAAATAAAAGAAGAACTCTACAAAAATCAGATATTGCTGCTGCTTTAACAAAAAGTGATATGTTTGATTTTTTAATTGATGTTGTACCAAGAGAAGAAGAAAAACCAAATAAAAAAAATAATCACAATAATCACAGTAATAATTCAAATAACCCAGCTTCTAATAATTATGGAGTACAACAATAATGAAAAGATTGTAATCAACTTGTATATATAAAAAAAATCTAGAATGTGTACTTATTTTCATGAAGTTACGGAGTATAATACGGATCTATTGACAATTGAGCTCTTAATTTTGATCAAAAATTCAGATTAATCTGAGATAATCGATATATAAACTCTTTGAAACTGTAATTATAAATCATTACATCATAAACTTCTCGTAAATTTTTCACTCTTTATTTGTGTAATACTTTAAATAAACCACTCCACTAAAAATATAATAAATGCAAAAAGAGCAAACTAATCCAATTAATAATATTATAATAATTCTAGTCTACACTCTTTCTTTTTGTTCCATTCATTAAATCAATTGCTATATTGATCAACATTTATCTAATACATCATTGATTTAAATTGTTTTAAAGCAAAAAAAAATTAAAGGTGGTATAAAGAAATATTTAGATTGTCAAACAAATTTATTCAATTGATTTATAATCTTAATTTTACTCCTTTTTTTTTTTCTTTTTCTTTTTCCTTTTCCTTTTGCTAATGTTGAATAGATCAATTAATTTGATAACAAGGAATAATAGAAATCTATATTATAAAAAGTCAATTGCATTATCTTACTCAATATCAAATTCAATTATTAATTTAAATAGAAATTTATTTATTAAATCAACATCCATAAAACCCTCAATTAAGAAAAACCCTTTACTGATAATTTCCAAAATGACATTAATTACTATATCTCAATCATTAGATGAATCTTATACAAAAAATAAAGTTATACCAGATGTTATAGATGAATTTGATACTCAAGGTTTATTATCAATTGAATATGGTCCAACTGAATTAGTTACTTTAGGTAATACATTATCAGTTGATGGTACTCAAAAAATTCCTAAAATTCAATTAACTTTGAATTCTCCAACTGAAGATGGTAAAATTGAATCAATAAATGAAGGTGATAAATTTATTTTAGTATTAACTGATCCGGATGCTCCATCAAATTCAGATCATAAATGGTCAGAATATTGTCATTGGTTAGTAACAGATATTAAATTTTCAAATACAAAAGATGATAAGGGAGAACCAGAAATTAGTCATTTCATTGATTTTAAACAAGGTCAAGAATTACTTCCATATGTTGGACCAGGTCCACCACCAAAAACTGGTAAACATAGATATGTATTTTTATTATATAAACAAGATCCAAAAGTTGAAAATTTAAAATCAAAAGCTCCAAAAGATAGGCCAAATTGGGGTACTGGTATACCTTCAAGTGGTGTAAAAGATTGGATTGAAAAAAATGCTCCAAATTCAAAATTATTAAGTGTTAATTTCTTTTATGCACAAAATGATGATAATTAAGTTACATTGAGGAAAAGTATACAAGTTTAAGAATAAATATATAAAAGAATAATTAACTTCCTATATATTTTTAGCAACTCTACTATAATCTTTAGGACTTATAACCAACCCTTTACCTTTTCTAGCTCCACGATAAACAGTTTCAATAATATCAATAAGTTCTTGTTTATCATAAATTGGAAAATTTAATTTATTATTATTTCCCGTCCCAAAATCCACCAAAATATGTTTATTCCTATAAAAAAACATTATGGTATAAGGTTCTAATTTATTCTGATCTAGTTCATACATTATATTAAAATCTTTAACAACGTCCAAATTTACTAAATATGTAACAGCAAAATTTTTAATCTTTTCTGAGATCTTATATAGTATTTCATCAATTATCATACATTGATTTTCTTCTTCTCTTCCAAATCTTATTATCACTACTCTATCATCTTCTGATAATATTGCTTGATCTACATGCCATCCTGTTCTTAAATTAGGTAGAAATACTGATCCCATTGTGTCTTATTGTTAAGTGAGATAATTTTTGTTGATATACTTGACTGAAGTGTTTGTACTATATGGTGATGTAAGTTAATGTTTGCTTGGTTCTTTGAGAGCAGATAATCTTCTCTTGAGCTTTTTACGGAGTATGGTTTTTGTGAAACAATTCTAAAACTATACGAGAGCCTTAATAAAAAGGAAATTTGTCAATAATTATTGCACTTCTTTTAAGCGGTGGTTTGGTGAGCTCCACAAGTTAAAGCTAACCCTTTTAATTCTTTTAATGCTGCACGGATAAATGTAAATTTGAGTAAAATATTTCAGGATTAGACCCCTTACAATTATATTTTTTGAAACATCAAAATGCATTAGGGGATAACATACGATTAGCCTTGTATAAATATAATACAACTCCATCATTTCTTACTCCAAATTTCCTTTAAACTCTACACTATCAACAGCTACAAAGATGTTACAAGATATAAACTCAAAAAAAGAATTCTCATCAATCTTAAAAGAAAATTCATCTCAATCAGATTCAAATAATTTAATCGTATTAGATTTTTTCGATGATTGTACTCATTGTTCAGAAATGAATCATAAATTAAATGAAATTTCAGAAAAATATGATTCAATTAGCTTACTCAGTAAGGATAGAGATATTAAATTTTACAAAGTTAATATAGAAGATGATAAACTGTTAGCTAATGAATATTCTATTAGTTCTATTCCTACTACTTTGTTTTTTAAAAAGGGGAAATTGATTGATAAGGTTGTCGGTCCTGAACCAAATGAGATTAAGCAGGTTATTGAAGATAATGATTTGATTTGATGATGACCAGATCTTTGATGTTCGGTTACTAAGTGGTTGATTTATTCGGTCTATCTTTCACTATTTATTCTTTTCGGTCTAGTTATTTTGTTTGGAATTTCTACTAAGGTCTGAGTATATTTTCAGCTTTAACTTTATATACTACTTGATGAAAATATGATAGTTATAATTAAAGAAACTTGTAGAATTGCATTCATCGCTCTCTACATTTTTGGTTGCAAAAAAAGAATTCTCCACTAAAAAAATTGTTATCTAACGCTTTTGTGAATTTGAAATGAGATTATCAAAATTTTTCAATTTGTATCACGAACTAGGTTAACTAAAATAATTTAAGACAACAACAATCAGGAAGTCATGACTGAGATCAACTTAGGTACAACTGCAGATATGCATGTTCATTTACGTGATGGTACAATGAGTAAATTAATAACACCAACAGTTAAATCAGGAGGTATATCAATATGTTATGTAATGCCAAATTTAGTACCACCAATTACGACAAAACAACAAGTTGAAGAATATCATAAAAATTTGGAAAAAATGGCACCAGATACAACTTTTTTAATGTCATTTTATTTATGTAAAGAATTAACACCAGAATTAGTTGAAGAATGTGCAGATAAAGGTTTAATACATGGTATAAAATGTTATCCAGCTGGTGTCACTACTAATTCAAAATATGGAGTTGATCCAAATGATTTTTCACAATTTTATCCAATATTTGAGAAAATGCAAGAAAAGGGAATAATATTAAATTTACATGGTGAAAAACCTGGAATTGATGAAAAAGATGAAATTAATATTATAAATGCTGAATCTAAATTTTTACCAGCTTTAAGGAAGTTACATCAAGATTTCCCACGTTTGAAAATTATTTTGGAACATACAACCACCTTCGAATCAATTGAACTCGTTAGAGAATTAAATCAGGGGAAAAAACAAGGTGATGAAATTTTCATTGGTGCTACAATAACTGCTCATCATTTATATTTAATTATTGATAATTGGGCAAATAATCCAATAAATTATTGTAAACCAGTTGCAAAATTTCATAAAGATAAAAATGCATTAATAGATGCCGCAACAAGTGGAGAACCATGGTTCTTTTTCGGTTCAGATTCAGCTCCTCATCCAATTCATAAAAAGCAAGTACACGTTGATGTTTGTGCTGGTGTATATACTCAGTGTAATGCTATTGGGTACGTTGCTGAAATTTTTGATAAATTTAATAAATTAGAAAATTTGAAGAAATTTGTTAGTGATAATGGTATTAAATTTTATGATTTAAAAGAAGAAATATTAGCAAAACATAAAAATGAAAGTGTTTGGTTAATTGAACGTAAGAATAAAGTACCCGAAATTTTGGGGAATGGAGAAGTTGAAGTTGTACCTTTTAAAGCTGGTGATGAATTAAAATATATTATTGAATGGAGAAAAAATTAAGTAAGTTAGCTTGTATATATATGAATGATTAAACTTATTTTATTATTTATTGCATAGTTATCCAAGCATTGAATTGTTCTCTTATTCGATTTATGTATATTATCACAATATAAATATAACATATCGATCAAAACATAAAGCTATATAGAAATTAAATCATAATATTGGAATTCTTCAAACATGCAAAATAACCAATGCATCTTTTTTTTTGTTGATACTATTGAAATACAAAACAATAGAAGTCAGTAAACCATTGTTAATTCATTTACTCGTCAATTTCTTCACTTTCTTTAATTTTTTCAATAGTTTCATTTTCGTCATTTTCGTCACCTGCTAAATTTTCTCCATTTTTTTTATTTTCTTTAATACCCAATTCTGATTTAATTTTATCCATTTTCTCACACGATTTTATTAAAAGTTCCAAGTGTTGACATAATCTGGTATAGTTTTCTGCAGCACTTAAATTTTTTTCAGAGACATTCATTTTCGACTGATTCAAAGAACTTGTTATAAGTTCAACTTGAGTTTTTGATATTTCAATTTTTAATAATTCAACTGCACGTTCTAAAGATTCAACTCTATATTCTAAATTTAATATTTCTTGCTTCTGGTTATCTTTTGATTCAATCATAGCTAAGTTAAATAAAAAGTTTCAATTAAAGTAACAAAAACTGGATTCAAACTCCTAATTTGCTTGAACAGGATCAATTGAATTAGTTAATAAAATTATACTAAGTTGTGGTATTTGAAATAAAATGCTTTTATTCAGTATATATGAGTCAATTAATTGACATAAAATATCGTAAAAGAAAAAATCAGGAATGAAAAAGGTTTTGGCAACCAATTTGTAAATTTTTTTGGCAACCAAAATTTGATACGTATTTAATTATTTATTTACCTTTCCACTCTTTAGGAGGTAAATTTTTCTAGCTTTTCTTTTAACATTATAGAAAGAACGAGTCTAAACTCGTGAGCACCGTCAATACTTGATTGAATGGATGTTCCGAATGAGTTAGATTTTATCAATTTACACTTCTGTAACAGAAATGTATGAGATTTCTTGGTGTAATCGCATTGACAAAACAATATTACAATCATAAATAAGAAAACACGGATATATTGTGCCAAACAATCTTTCCATGGTTAAATTTCAAGATGAAAATTTTGAGTTTTCTCATCAGGTACTCAAATGTAGTATCAATGAAAAGAGAATCAAAAAGTAAATGTAATTTGTTAGTAGAAAAATTTGATATTTTGAGAATGTTACAAACATATTTGAGCTTTTGTTTGTATCAGGTGTTTAGCATATTCGTAACAAAAATAAAAACAGAAAAAAAATGTTTCAAGTTTTTGCTAATCTCTCAAGTGAAAAACTGAATGAATTTAGAGATTACTTTTTTACACAATTTATATTGTCTCTAAATTATATTATTATGCCAAAAATACAAACAAAAAACTATTAAAAAATTACGAATAAGTATAATCACCTATCTTAGTCCCCATTAGAATTGAAGATATAATAGTCTTTTAGGAAAATTAAAAATAAAATTAAATTAAATGTCTTGTTGATCTTTACATTTCTTTGTGATCAACATTATATTCATTTGTCTTTTGTCTTGCAACAAATTCATCAGAACTTTCACCTTCACCAGCTAAATCACTATCAACTTTTGCAGCTTCTCTTTGAGTAATTTCACCAGGTTGTCCTAATAATGCAATATCAAATCCATTTGCTTTTAAATATTTAACAAAATCTGCATCTTCTCTATTTATAGCATCTTGTCCTACATGAGGTAAAAAGAATAATGCCAAAAATGCACTAAATAAACATAATCCTGCTGAAATATAAAATGGAACTTGTAATTCTAAATCTGAATCATATGCATAATGTTTTTGAATAGCTGGAAATACCCAAGTACCAACAAATGCACCAATTTTACCAATAGCTGCAGCAATACCATAATATTGACCTCTAATAGCAGTAGCACTGGTTTTAGAAGCTAATAAACCAATATTATCACCTGGTCCAAATTCACCAAAAGTTGAAAAAATACCAAAAACAACTACAAATCCAGCAATATGTTTTCTTAAATCATTTAATCTTGCAGACATAGCAATACCAATAATACCTTGACAAGTAACACCAATAGTTAAAGTTAATCTTGGACCTAAATAATCACCAGCAATAGCACCCAAAAATGCACCAGGAATATAAAATAAATTGAAAACAACATTCCAACCCCATTGTTTCCAAATTGGAGCATCAGGAATAATTTGATCAATTATAATTGAACTAAATGAACCAAATGAATAAGCAGAAAAATCATAAATAAACCAAATTAATGAAACAATAGTTAATCTAAACCAATAAAATTTAATAATTAACCACCATGGATAATCTCTATATCTAACTGATTTCATATTTAATTTATCAAAAGTTTTAGAATTTTTCATCTTCATTCTAATAAAAAATAAAGATAATGGTGGAATAACTCCTAAACCAATAGTTAATCTCCAAAGAGCTCTTAAATGTCTTTCAGTGAAAATCCAAATTAATACAAATGGAACAAAAGCACTAACAACAAACCCAAAATCAATCATAAAATTAGTAAACCATGAAAAATATCTATTTCTATGACCAGCAGGTAATTGATTTGCAAATTCAGAAGCAATAACTGAACTTGTTGGATATTCTGCACCAATAGCTACACCTAAAAAAAATCTCCATACAGTTAAACATGCAAAAAAACCTTGAGTAGTTTTACCCCATGATCCAACAGCACATAATAAAGTGAAAACAATCAACATAACATTAGCTGCCATCATACCACCTTTCCTTGCAATTCTATCACTTATATAACCAAAACTTAATTGTCCAACAACAGTACCTACAAAAGCAATTGATCCAATGTTTGAAATAGCATTACTTTTAGAAAATTCATCACCATAAATTTTTTTTAAACAATATAAAACAGTTGAAATAGAATTATTAACATAACCATCAGAAAATAATCCTGCACCAGAAGCAAAAGCAGGCCATAAATTTTTAAATTTAACTTTTTGTGGATGATTTTCTTCATCTTCTGAAAATTCACTAGTTGTTGACTGTTCATCTACTGGATTATCATAATGTTTATCTTCATCCATTAATTGTTGTTTTGATTTACCAAGCGTTATTTCTTGTGGAAGTCTTTTTATCCATCCTGTTGTTAATTCACTAAATGAATGTGGTAAATCTCTTGTTGCCATTTTATAAAAATAAAAATATAAAAATGAGAAAGTTTTTAAAATTAGCGTGTTTAATATGAAAAATTTAGCTTTAATATTATTTGTGGATGTAGATTGATAAGGTAATGTTTAAAAGTGAATTGTTGATGTACCCTTTTAATTAATGGAATCTAAAGATTTAAAGATCTAATAAAATAAAATATTATAAAAAGTAAAGATTTCAAAGAATTGAATAAATCGTAATCATTTTATATGAAAAAAAATTATCATAATTCCATTTAATCTATTGTATATATGCATGTATGTAATTTATTAAATTTGTATGTACAATTTGTATAATTTTTTTAAAGTAACAATTGTAAAATATTTAATCTCACAAAATATTTTAAAAGAGATTATAGAATTGTAACAATACCACTCAAGAAAAAAAGCTTGTTTTTTGGAAAAGATATTTTACTAATAGAATTACCTTCCTTTGAATCATTCTACATGTATGTAGTATTTGAATCAAAAAAACTATGTTTCGATATGTGTTTGAAGTTTTTAAAAGAATTATGTCAAAAAGTTTATTTTTTTTTTTATTTTTTATTACTTCTTTTTTTATATATTACAAATTTAATTTAATACGTTTTACATTTGTGTAGTATAATTTATTTTAATTAATTTATTTTTAACGTAAATGGTAACTTTTTTTTAATCTTCTTATCTTCAATTATATTCATTATCTCCAAATTATTTATTATCAAATGAAATTATAATAAGTTAATGGTCTTACGATAAAGACAAAAGAATAAAAAGATTGTTTTGATAATTTTTAGGCTCTTAGGAATTAAATAATATAATAGATTTAGCTTTTAAAACCTGTCAAATTATACATTTACCACATCGAACTAATCATTTCTTTTTTTCTCGATTCAGTTTATGAATTAATAGTGACAATTTTATTGACCTCGTGGGACCTATTCTAATTACTTTTATTAGACTAATAGAAAAAAAAATTAAATTGCGTTCAAAATTTTAAACTTTTAAGCCGCACGTGACAAATTAATTTTGAAGTTTTAAAGTTTTTTGATAATACAAAAAGTTTTGCCGTATTGAGAAATGTTAATTTTATATTGATATATTGAAAAGACGGATTTTTCCACAAACTTGAAATAATAAAATTAAAGATTTTATTATGAAGAGTATATAATTATATTATTTTTATTATTCGACATGAAACGTAGATCCAAAATAGAATGTTCAAAGATGTCTTTTGCTTATTATTTTTTATAATCTAAAAATAGAAATATTTTATAACTAAGAAAAATAATTAAAGTTCATTAATAATATGTCAAAAATTTTAAAAACTAGTTATTAGACTTTTAAGTGGTTACGTTATGAGTATATCATTAGACATATAAGTAGGTAAAAACGTAGTTTTAAACGATCAACATCGGTAGTAAAGATTTGAAATGATCAGACAAAATATCCCTTGATAACGTATTTAAAATTTTAATTAAGGGTCTTAAAAGTGGACCAGTGTAATTTCTATTGCTGTACGGAAGTACTCAATTATATCCTAGATTTCTATTGTAATTTAAACTTTTTGGTAAAAGATTTGCAGATTAGTCTTAGAAATTAATCAAACAAGTTTTATAGTATTATACAAACTCAAAAACGCCTTAAACCACTTATGAGACAATTTTCAATTTTTTCATGTTGAAACTACCTCTTCTAACTACTACTACTAATTTGTAAATTTACGATAAATTTGGTTCTAATTGATACTAAATAAAGCTTCACATCCTTACTTACATACTTAATAATCTGGAACATTTGTCAAAAAATCTTGGCTCGTCAAAAAATTATTTTTTGTGTCATTGAATACAAAACCTTAAATTCAATTGAAAGATTTAGCTTTGTAAAAAACGTATTCATAAAACTTAAAATTTTACAATAAGATTGAAATTGAATGTTAGCTTAAAACCTTATATTATATGACAATTACTGCAACATGAGGTAATTAAATGTATTTTGTTTGTTACTTTGAAGCCCCTTGAATCACAATATAAATTAAAATTTCAAATTTTTCAAATTTTTCAGTCCACGTGGATAAAAATAAATATGGTTGCAAAATAAATTAAAGTTTTAAATTGTTACATCAAAAAGAACTAAAAAATTCATATACGATTTTTAGATCAATAAGAATAGTTAACAATAAAAGCTTATGCTTTACATTTCGCTAAAACTCACTTTTTAAATAAGATTTTCTTCGTTTTTTTAAATGCAAGAATGTAATAATCCGAATTTTTAAAATCTTGTTTTATCGTAATAAAGATATTGAAAAGGCAATTAAGAAAACTTTATGAACTTAACTGTTATCCCCTTCGTACAAAAAATTATTTTCTATGTAAAAAAAATAGATCTATTTTTTGAAACGTTTATCTTTCCGATATTTTTCTGGTTATGTATTTTTCAAAAGAATCCCTTCAATATTTTACTAATGAGGCTTTTAAACATTACTAATTGTAGATTTGCAGTTTATCCGCAATTTTCAAAATTTTTGTAAGTTTTTATTTAGTCTCAAGACGATTCTTGTACATGTATAGGTAGATGTTCTGAACAATAGGTCTGCAGGTGAGAGTACCAACAAGAATTTGTTAACAATTTAATTGAATATTATAAGCAGAAAAATTTGCAAGTGATTTACATTTCAACGTGTCTTTATTTTTTTTACAAAAATCCTAATGGTTTCATATTTAAACATTTAAATTTAGTCAATCTGTCTAAGGCGAACTAAAAGTAATTTAAGACCAAAAATTGAAAATGACATGCCTTAAAACATTACGTTGTTTCGGGGACTAAAGAAGGCTTGAAAATAACAACCTTTTATTAGTTTTGTGTAGTTCAAAGGTAATTGATACATCTTAAACACGTTTTAATCATAGGGTCTTGGAGCTAGATTTAGTATTACTTTTCAAATTCGTTACAAAAAACGTTTTTTAATATTTTTCATTTACTTTTTATCCAAAAAAAATAAATTCTTACTTTCGTAAAATATGAAACTTGGCAGGGGATATTGATAAGAAAATTTTACTATGATTTAAGCGAATTTTTTCATGCTTCAAATCAAATGTGTAAAAAAGCCATTCAATCTCAAAAAATTATTGAAAAATCTGCGATTATACAAGATGGACCATAAGTTATCTTTTCAAACTCATGGAACATATCTAAAACCTACATTAAATACGAGATAATTTAATTAATTATTTCTTATTGTAAACTAGCACAATAAATTACACAAAGCCTTTTTTGTTATATTGTTTTTTTTTTTTTCACATTGATCTACTCAATTATCCACTTAACTCAATTTAGATAAAAAGAACTAACCTTATGCAATTAATTTATTGTGCTTTCAGTATAATAAGGTTTTAGAATTTTATTCACTATTGTATTAAAAATAGTAACTGTACATTATCTTTAATTATATTGAATTAATGTTTTTCAACATCGTGGGTTAAATTATGATAATATAAATAACAAAGAAAATCTTAATTGAAAAATGCTATAGCATATCAAATTGACTAAACAATTTTAGTATCAACGATGGCTACAAGAGATTTACCAAAATCATTCAACCAATTTTGTTTTGGTTGGATCGATCAAATTCGTGATGAAATGACATTAGGTAAAACACAAGATGAATTAATTGAAAAAGATTTAGCTGTTAAAATTAATGATAATAAATTAGATTATTCATCATCAGAAGATGAAGATTCAATAGAAACAAAAGTTAAATTTAATAATTTATGGCCTGCTTTTGCTTCTGGTGCAGGATTATTTTCTGATGGTTATGTAAATGCAGGTATTGGTAATGTTATTTCAAGTTTAAAAATCATTTATGGTAAAGAATTCACTCAAAGTAATGCTATGTCAAATATTGGTTCTATTGCTTTTGTTGGTACTGTCATTGGACAATTAAGTTTTGGTGTTATTAGTGATCATATGAGTAGACATAGTGGGATGATGATTGCTAATGTTATGTTGATCGTTTTTACTTTGTTATGTGCTGTTGGATCATGGGGTAAAACTACTCAAGGATTCTTTCAATGTTTAACTGTTTGGAGATTTTTTTTAGGTATTGCAATTGGATCAGAATATCCAACAAGTTCAGTTATTGCTTCTGAATTTGCTAATCAATTACCATCAGGTCATAGAAATAGATATTTTGCTTGGTTTACAAATATGATGATTGATTTAGGTTTCGTAGTTGCAAGTTTTGTTCCATTAGTATTGTTATGGATTTTCAGTACAAGACATTTAAGAGCAGTTTGGAGATTAAGTATTGGATTAGGAGTAGTACCACAAATTATTTTGTTTTTAGTTAGATTAAAATTAAAAGATTCAAAAAGTTTTACAAAATTACATATGAAAAAAGTTAATTATAAGGATTATCCACTTTGGTTAATTGTAAAATTTTATTGGTTTAGATTATCAGTTATATCTTTGATCTGGTTCATTTATGATTTTTCAGTTTATTCATTTGGTACTTTTAATACTATTATAATTGGGGAAATTATTCCAAATGGATCATTATATCAACAATGGGGTTGGTCAGTTGTTTTCAACTTATTTTATATGCCTGGTGCTTTCGTTGGTGCTTTTGTTGGAGATTATTTAGGTCCAAGATTAACTTTAGCTCTTGGAGTTGGTATTCAAGGTATTATTGGTTTTGCAATGTCAGCAAAACTTGACGACTTAAAGAAACATGTTGCTGGATTCGTTGTTGTTTTTGGAATTTTCTCAACTTTTGGTGAATTTGGACCAGGTAATAATACTGGATTATTAGCTTCAAAAACTTGTGCTACTCCTATCAGAGGTCAATATTATGGTATTGCAGCCGCTATTGGTAAAATTGGTGCTTTTGTTGGTACTTGGGTATTTCCAGCTATTCAAAAACATTATGCTTATTCTGATAAATTAGCTTTACAAGTACCATTTTATGTTAGTTCAGCATTATGTTTATTTTCTGCTTTATTAGCTATATTTTTTGTACCACCAGTTGGACAAGATTCTATAAATAAAGAAGATAAATTATTTTTAGAATATTTAACTGAAAATGGATTTGATATTAGAAAATTAGGTGATTATGGTACTGTTGATCTTTCAAATAGTCCTATTGAAACTAGTGATGATGTTGTTTATGATACTAAAAATGAAGACGTTCATATTCAACAAAAAGATCTTTAGAGTATTACAACTTTCCGAGTTTATAGGATATAAGAGATAGGTGCTTAATTACAACTTTAATTCTTCAAACATTTTTAATAAAGATCATAATTTTTCTGATTCTACATCTGTATTAATTACTTTTGAGTCAACTTGAAGGTTCATTTCGCTAGTTAGTACTTCGTTGTTTGAACCTACTTTAACTGACATCATCAAACTTATTACCGACCCCTCTTTCAGACTTACATTTGTAATCACTGAGCCAAGATTGGCCCACCCTTAAGCTCATGACTAGTTCTGAATAATAATGGAGAGTACATTTGCATGAAACTGGTATATTTGAACATTTTACAGACACTTATTGTATTTACCTACCCCTCTTTTTTAATATCTATTTCATGCGATTTTGTTCTTGTTGGGTATGCAAAGAAATATTTGTAGAAAAATTTCACTTCAGGAAGCGTTAGTAATTTCAAGTTGATTACATATCAGTCAGCTTCAATAATCTCAAGTTGAAAAATCGCTTTCAAATTGCTTGAATTTTCTGGTAAACCCGAGCCAGGTAAATTGCTAAGCAGAAACAGCGTAACCGCTCTTGGAAAATGTTTTTAAAATTTGAGAAGACTTGCAATGATTAAAATTTGGGGTTCAACTTCAAATTATTGAATTTGTGCAATAGTTTCAAAAAGTCTTTTCGTCATGGAAAAAGGTCAGATAATTTCACTAAATGCAGAAACTGTTAATATTTCTTCGTAAAATAATATTTTCAGTGCCCTTTCTTTTTTTTTAATCTTCTTATCTTCAATTATTTTCATTTTTCCTCAAATTATATTTATTATCAAATGAAATAATAATAAGTTTAATAGTCTTACGATAAAGACAAAAAGTGTAAACAGATTGTTTTGATAATTTTAGGCTTTTAGGAATTAAATTATTTAATAGTTTTAGCTTTTGAATCCTGTCAAATCATACATTGATCACATCGAATTAACCTGTTTTTTTTTCTTTTTAGCTTAATTTGAATTAAGTGACAAATTTATCATCCTCGTGGGACCCTATTTTAATTACCTTCTATTTAATGGAAAAAAATTTAAATTGCGTTAACTTATTGAGCTTTTGAGCCGACGTTTTCCGATATATTTTGATCTATGTATATTTCAAGGAATCACCCATTCAATATTTTGGTAATAAGGCTTTTAATCTTTACTAATATTATATTTCGATTTTAATTAATCGGCAATTTTAAAGATCTTTGTCATTTTTTATTTGGTCTCAAGACAATAATATACATATATAATTAGATTCTTTGAGTACTTGGTTTTGCAGGTGATAGGATCAACGAGAGACTGTTGACAATTTAATTGAATATAGTAAGCAGAAAAATTTGCAACTTATTTACGTTTCAAGTGTCTTCATTTATTTTAAACTTAATTAGCCACTTAGGCTAACTCAATTTAGGGCATTTTTCAGATGTCAAAAACTTTATTTTAATTAGGAAAGTATGAGAAAAGTACACTACATAGTTAATTTTTAAAAGAAAAGAAATGAAAAAAAAGTAAGAATCAAAGATTTTGACCAGCACAATCAATTCAATCGTCAAAATTGACGCCTAAACATGCATACAATGGTTGTTAAACGAATCACAAGTGCTGCTTTTGTTGGTTTGAAAAAATTAGTATGTAAAAGTGGTACCTATGTATGGAGCCGCACACTATTAAAAAAAAAAAATTTCAATTCTAGAAAAAGAACAAACCTTATGCAATTAATTTATTGTATTTTCATTATAATAATGTTTTGAAAATTTGTTCATTATTGTAATGAAAATAGTAATTGTACATTATCTTCAATTTAATTGAATTATTGTTTTTCAACATCGTGGGTTAAATTATAACATTATAAATGGCAATGGAAATCTTCACTGAAAAATGTTATAGCATATCCAAATTAACTAAACAATCCTACTAATTACAATGACCACAAGAGATTTACCAAAATCATTTAACCAATTTTGTTCTGGTTGGATAGATCAAATTCGTGATGAAATAACTTTGGGTAAAACACAAGATGAATTAATTGAAAAAGATTTAGCTGTTAAAATGAATGATAATAAATTAGATTATTCATCATCTGAAGATGAAGATTCAATAGAAACAAAAGTTAAATTTAATAATTTATGGCCTGCTTTTGCTGCTGGAGCAGGATTATTTTCTGATGGTTATGTAAATGCAGGTATTGGTAATGTTATTTCAAGTTTGAAAATCATATATGGTAAAGAATTCACTCATAGTAATGCTATGTCAAATATTGGTTCTATTGCTTTTGTTGGTACTGTTATTGGACAATTAAGTTTTGGAGTTATTAGTGATCATATAAGTAGACATGGTGGGATGATGATTGCTAATGTTATGTTGATTGTTTTCACTTTGTTATGTGCTGTTGGTTCATGGGGTAAAACTACTCAAGGATTTTTTGCATGTTTAACTGTCTGGAGATTTTTTTTAGGTATTGCAATTGGAGCGGAATATCCAACAAGTTCAGTTTTTGCTTCTGAATTTACTAATCAATTACCATCTGGTTATAGAAATAGATATTATGCTTGGTTCGCAAATATGCTGATTGATCTAGGTTTTGTAGTTGCAAGTTTTGTTCCGTTAGTATTGTTGTGGATTTTCAGTACAAGACATTTAAGAGCAGTTTGGAGATTAACTTTAGGATTAGGGGTGGTACCACAAATTATTTTGTTTTTATTTAGATTAAAATTAAAAGATACAAAAAATTTTACAAAATTACATATGAAAAAAGTTGCTTATAAGGATTATCCACTTTGGTTAATTGTAAAATTTTATTGGTTTAGATTATCAATTATATCTTTGATTTGCTTCATTTATGATTTTTCAGTTTTTTCATTTGGTACATTTAATACTATTATCATTGGAGAAATTATTCCAAATGGATCATTATATCAACAATGGGGTTGGTCAGTTGTTTTCAACTTATTTTATATGCCTGGTGCTTTCGTTGGTGCTTTTGTTGGAGATTATTTAGGTCCAAGATTAACTTTAGCTCTCGGTGTTGGTATTCAAGGTATTATTGGTTTTGCAATGTCAGCAAAATTAGATGAATTGAAAAAACACGTTGCTGGATTCGTCGTTGTTTTCGGAATTTTTACAACTTTTGGGGAATTTGGACCAGGTAGTAGTATTGGTTTATTAGCTACAAGAACTTGTGCTACTCCTATCAGAGGTCAATATTATGGTATTGCAGCAGCTATTGGTAAAATTGGCGCATTTGTTGGTACTTGGGTATTTCCAGCTATTCAAAAACATTATGCTTATGATGATAAACTAGTTTTACAAGTACCGTTTTATATTAGTTCAGCATTATGTTTATTTTCTGCTTTATTAGCTATACTTTTTGTACCACCAGTTGGACAAGATTCTATAGATAAAGAAGATAAATTATTTTTAGAATATTTAACTGAAAATGGATTTGATACTAGAAAATTAGGTGATTGTGATACTGTTGATCTTTCAAATAGTCCTATTGAAACTGGTGATGATGTAGTTTATGATACTAAAAATGAAGATGTTCATATTCAACTAAAAGATCTTTAAAGTAGAACAACTTTGTGAGTTTATATGATTCAAGATATAGGTGCTTGATTACATTTTTAATTCTTTAAACATTTTTAATAAATGTTCATAATTTTTTTATGATTTTACAATTGTACCAATAGCTTTTAAGTCAATTTGAAGGTTCATTTCACTGGTTAATACTTCGTTGTTCACTTTAGTTGGCATATCTCAACAAATTAATTACCAACCCCTCTTTCAGATTTACATTTGTATTTACTGAGCCAAGATTGGCCCATCTTAAGCTCATGACTAGTCTTGAGGAAACTATATTTGCATGAAACTGGTATATTTGAACATATTACAAAAATTTATTGTATTTACCTACCCCTCTTTTTTCATATCTATTAGATGCAATTTTTTTTTTAATAGGTATGCAAAGAAATATTTGCAGAATAATTTCACTTCAGTCAACTTCAATAAGTTCAAGACGAAAAATTAATTTTGATTTGCTTGAGTGTTCTGGTAAGCCCGAACCGAGTAATCAGCTAAGCAAATACAGCTTAATCGCTCTTGGAAAAAGGTTTTTAAATTTTAAGTAGACTTGCAATGACTAAAATTTGGGGTTCAACTCCAAATTCTTGAATTTTTGCAATTGTTTCAAAAACTCTATTTGTCATGGAAAAAGGTCAGTTGTTATAACTAAATGCAAGAACTTTTAATTTTTCTTCGTAAAATAATATTTACTAGTTATTTTATAAAATAATTTTCAGAAAATATTTCTTAATTGTTTTTTTTTAAACATACCCAACCAAAATTAGACAAAGCCAAGCTATGATTTACAAGAATATACAAAAAGAATCAACAAACAAGCCAGTTGTTTTTATTTTGAGAAAGTCTTGTAATTTTTATAATTACACGTTAATTGAGACATAGTCGATTATTTTACACTCTACGTTAACTTTAGTTTTAGGGTTATTAATATGCCTTTGAAGCGAAAGGGATGACTAATAATTTCTTGATTCAGTGGATATATGATCCCTATTGAATATAAGGGATCGTAAAATAATTTATCCTAAACAATAAGATTCAATAATAATATTATAATGTTGCGGCTGAAACATATTGTACAAAACTGTGCAATTATAATAAACTTTAAATTTTATTTTTTTATTTTCACTATTATTATTTAGCAAAATTTTATTTTTGAATTTTTCAAATTTATTTCACGGAAATTGAATTGAATAATTAAAATTAGGATGTTAAATTGGTTTCGATTGTAGTTTTAATTTTTGAATCATTGCCATTAAGGTTCTTAATACGAATTTGAAACAATTGCGTTTTTTTAAGAAAATTATACATGAGTTCACTTTTTCAAAATTCATTTTCATGTTTATCCGATTATACAATTGAAGGTCAATTGATCAAAATGGAAATTGAGAGATTCTTTTGGTTAAAATATGTTTACAAGCTCAATTATGACAAGTCATATAATAAGTATCTAAAGTAAGAGTTTCTTGCACAAGTATTAAAACAAAAAATCGCACTGCCATACAGGTTATGTATCAAGTTTTCCACTCTCTATAAATTCAAGCACTTTAACTTTCTCCGTAACTCTCAACTTAAATTGAGAAACCAAGTCTGTAATACTAAAAATAACTATAGGTCATTCCTCAAAATATATTATAAAGTATTTGGATGTTATGTAAGTTTATGTGAATAATTTTTAATTAAATACGTCAACGCAAATTTTTTATATAATTATATTGATCTATAGTAGATCTAGACGTTAATAGTAATTTTAAATGTAACGAAGATCATCTCAGTAATTCATACCTGGTTGTATTCAAGACTTAAACCACTCACCTTGTTGTAGATCAAAAATTTAAGAAACGGTAGCGGTTTGATCCAATTAATTTTCTGTTTACGGAAATATGCAGATCTTTTTTTTTTTCTCATGTAAAATTTTAGATCAACAATTTCAACTTGAAACATCAAAGATCCAAAAAACGATGAGGTTGAAAAAAGAGGCGGGTAAAGAGAGAATAACGATTGTCATAAACCGTAACAATAACGGTGCAATAAACTACATACTCAAAGTCCTATGATGATGCAATGCTTTATATCAGTAGGTTATTCTCTTAGCCCTTACAAGTTTATTTCACAATTATAATAATTAATTATTATTTTCCCCAGATTTAAAAGTCAAGAAAATTTTTCATATTCACATTATAAATGTACAAAATTACTCATATTTACGATCTACGAAATAATAGATTCAAAATTATTATAATTCAATTTAAGCTTTGGTTGGTCAATCATCACAAATTTTCCAAATTATAATAATTTTTTTATAAAACTCAAAACCCCACTCAATTATAATAAGAGTTTTCTTCCTTTTGACATAAGTCCAATTTCCATGATACTACCAGAGTCCAAGAACCATAAAACTCCACTTTATCACAATTATATATAAATCATCATAATCATCCAAAAGAATGCAAAAAAGATTCAAAAATTTAACAATCATCACCAAGTAAAAAAATGTCATCAATAGAAGCTGATATAGAAAAAAACAAATCTGAAGGTCAAGTTGAATATGCTTCATCATCAGAAGATCATCCAGAAACTACTGAAATCTCAGAAGAACATAAACAATATTTAATTGCAAAACATGGTACATACGAATTAGCTCCTTTACCATCCATGGATGATAATGATCCATTAAATTGGTCAAATGGTTTTAAATGGTTACAATTGGGAATGGTCGCTTTCCATGCATTTATGGCTACTTTCATTGCTTCAGGTTTGGTTCCTGTTGTTGGTTTATATTCAGAAGTTTTTGGTATGCCAACTGCTGATATTACATATTTAGTTTCTGTTCAAATTATCTTGGTTGGGGTTTGTCCATTGTTTTGGACCCCATTGATTGTTAGATATGGTCAAAGATTATTATTAATTATTTCAGCTTTTGGTACTATGTGTTTTTCATTAGGTTCAGTTTTTAGTAATAATTATGGTTCAATGATGGCAATGAGATGTTTGCAAGCTATTATGATTTCTCCATCTTTAGCTGCTGGTGGTTTAGTTGTTAATGATACTACTTTTGCTCATCAAAGAGGTTCTCGTTCAGGGGTTTGGGCTATTGCTATTAATTTAGGTACTATGGCTGGTGCTTTATTTATGGGTTTTGTTGCTGAACATCAAGATGTAAAATATATTCATGTTGTTTTCACTTGTATTAATGCTGCTCAAGTTTTAGCTTACTTCTTCTTTGGTAAAGAAACAGCTTGGAATTATCAAGATACTTCAAGAAACGTTACAAACGGAATGAAACAATTAAGATTTAAAGCTATTTTCCCAGAAAGAACAATTACTTTAAAGGGAATTTTTTATCCATTAACTTTTTTTGCTAACTGGAGAGTTTTTGTTGCTACTTTTGCTTACACTACCTTATTTGTTTATGATAATATTGCATTAAATGTTGAAATTCCAGAAGTTATGTATGCTAAATTTCAATTAGGTCCACAAGCTTTGGGTTTACAATTCGTTTCTTTCATCATTGGTGCTGTCATTGGTGAAGTAGGTGGTTTCTTATCAGATAAAATTGTTGCTTGGGGTCAAAAGAAAGGAAGAGGTCCATCTTTTAGATTATGGGTTACTTATCCAGGTTTTGCTGCTTCAGTTGCTGGTTTAGTTGTCTTCGGTGTTGAGATTGATAGAGCTAATACTTGGAACATAAAGCCATTAATAGGGTGCGCTTTGGCAAGTTTTGGATTGCAAATAGTTACTTCCCCTTTCATCGCATATTGCATAGATATGGACCATTCACAAGCAGGTGCCATTATTTTATTTATTACAGTTTTTAGACAAACCTTATCATTTGTTGGACCTTTTTACTTCCCAATTATGTTCCAAAACTTAGGATTTACAGTTGCTTATGCAGTGTTTGCTGGTTTGATTGTTGGTTTAGGTTTGATCCCAGCTTTGTTCTTACATATCAAAGAAGCCAAAAATGGTAGATAATTTTGTTGAACATGATATAATTTCCATCGAAAAAGAGGAGACGCAAAGAGGAGGTTGAGGTTGTTGTACTAGTCTCAGTGAGTAGTTTTTTTTAGTTCTTAATAATAAATATGTATTTTTATGATTATCTTGTAGAACAGAGTTGGTTATATGCTCAAATTTTTAGTTGCAAATTGATTTTGTGTTAAAGTTCGTAAATTTACACCTCAAAGTACTCTGATTCATAATTGGCCACACGTAATTGCTTTCGTTTTAGTGATTGCAGAATTGATAAAATACTGACAGTCTTTATTTTGCAAAGTGCTTCAAATATCAACTTGCAAAATGTCATTTGCGTAATATCATCTTACAGGGGTTGAGATTGCACAGAGCACTCAATGTTGTATGAAAGTTGTGTGCAAAAGACTTGGTAAATTCGAAATTATATAATGTATTCAATTGATTACTAGTAGGAAGTAGCGATAAGAGTGAAAATGGTGCACAAATCATTCTTTTGATTCCGTTATTTTAGCTCAATGCAAACCAACCGCTCAAGCAAATTGATATAACTACTTATTCGGGCAGTTTTATTAGATTGTTTCTGATCAAATCAGAATTACCAACAATTTTGACTTCCAATTTTCAGGTAGATCTTTTTAATTAACATTTTTGTTTTAAAACTATGAAATAACATGACTTTATTTTCTTATAAAAAGTATGATCTAATAGAAACTATAGACATTCTTTCTTGTATTTCCGTACTTTTTATTAAGTTTATAGCTTTAACTTAAACTCTAAACAAATGCCAAAAAACTTTATGTAAGAAATTACTAAAATATATTAATACAAACTCTTTGTAAGAACTATTCATATTACTTCTAAGACTGAAAAAAAAAGTGTGGGGATATTATAAATTGGATTTTCTTAAAATCGTGAATGTGAACTAATGCAAGTTTCAAGAAATTTTTTTAATTGTTTTAAATTTTTTGATTTTTTTTCTTTGCGTTAAGCCAAAATATGGAGATTATGTTGAAGATGAGAGTTCTAAATAATTAAAGTTCATTATTTACCAATTCACTTCGTAAAGGTCAAAGACAGTAAGGTTCTCCTGCCAGTTGAATCGTGGACTTGGGTTGTAACATAATTTGTAATTCTGACGCGGTACATTGCGTAAAACCTTGAGGCAAGGAATTTCTTAAAAGGTTGGATGAATCAGAATGGGTTGAGATCAACTGTAAGATCGGGATCTCGTAGAACGAACCCGATCTGTTTCGAACAACAAGAGGTATGAACTGATCAATTTGAATTTAGCATTAGTAAAAAATTACAAATGCTAAAATTGTCAATAAATATATGTTTTACGATTTGTGAGTATGGTATAATAATAGTACCCCACAAAATAATCACTGAGTTAAATAAAGTTTGATCATGACAGATTTGGAGTTTCTTAAACTTTTCAGCAAATTAAGTATAAGATACGAGCTAAGGGTTTATTTCATCAATTTAATGTATTTATCAAATTTCCGATATGGAAATTATCAGAATTTGTTTTCAAGAAGCTTCGAAATTTTACCAACCTTCTTTTACAAGAAAATATTTTAAGGATTAAGTTATATAAAGAGGTGAAACGAACAAATGAGTTGCATTGAAGAATTTTTTAATTCGTTTTTACCTAATTACAGATAAATAAAATCAAACAACCATTATTATCGAAAAAAAAAAAAAATTAGAAATGCCAAGTTCAACTGCAATCAAAGAATCCAACATTGATGTTTTGATTATTGGTGCTGGTCCATCAGGTTATATGGCTGCCCTTTGGTTAGCTAGATGTGGTATTCCAACTAGAATCATTGATAAAAGAGCTAATGAAGTTTTCACTGGTCAAGCTGATGGTTTACAAAGTAGATCTTTAGAAATTTTCAAATCATTTAGTGAAGATAGTTTTGATTGGGTTACTATGGATCAAGCTTGGAAATGTGCTAATCAAATGCAAGAAATTGCTTTCTGGTCTCCAGATGAAAATGGTGTTATTACAAGAAATTCAAGAATTCCAGATTCTATTCCAGGTATTTCAAGATATACTGAATCAGTTATTCATCAAGGTAAAATTGAAGAATGGTTTACTGAATCAATAAAGCAATTCTCAGGAGGTTCAGTAAAAGTTGAAAGACCATATTTACCAGTTTCAATTAAAATTGATGAAGATAAAAAAGATGCACAAGATTATGCTGTTGAAGTTTTAGTTAAAAAACTTAGTGATGATTTAGCCAAAACAGAACAATTTGGCGCAAAAGTTGCTAATGGTTTATTCAGAGCTTTTGATGGTGATCAAGATAAATATTATGGTGATGGTATTGGTGAAGAAGATCCAAATGATTTTGAAATAATTAGAGCTAAATATGTTTTAGGTTGTGATGGTGCTCACTCATGGGTTAGAAAACAATTAAACATTGAAATGGAAGGTGAACAAACCGATTTCGTTTGGGGTGTTGTTGATATTGTTCCAATTACTGATTTCCCAGATGTTAGACTTAGATCTGCTATCCATTCAAAAGACCATGGTGCCGTTATGGTTATCCCAAGAGAAAATGATATGGTTAGATTATACATTCAATTAAAAGAGGTTGATAGAGATCCATCAACATCTGATGCTAAGAGAGATTTTGTTGGTAAGATTGATGATAAATTAGTTAAATCAAAAGGTAGAATTGATAGATCAAAAATTACTCCAGAAACTATTTTAAAACAAGCTAAAGAAATTATGGCTCCATACAGTATTGATATGGTTGATAATACTTGGTATACTGCTTATCAAATTGGTCAACGTGTAGCTAATGCATTCCACAAAAGTAATCGTGTTTTCATTGCTGGTGATGCTTGTCATACTCATTCACCAAAAGCTGGTCAAGGTATGAATGTTTCAATGCAAGACACTTATAATTTAGGTTTCAAATTAGCTTTGGTTTGTAAAGGTTTAGCTAAGCAAGATATCTTGCTAACTTACGAAGATGAAAGAATGAAAGTTGCTCGTGATTTAATTGCTTTTGATCAAAAATTCTCAAAATTATTCAGTAGTAAACCACAAGTTCCAAATGCTAAAATCTTAGAAGGTGAAGCTGCTGGTTTTGAAATGGATGAATTCCATCAAGTCTTTTTACAAGGTTCAAGATTTGCAAGTGGTACTATTTCAGATTATGAAACTTCATTATTAGTTAATAAAGATGGAACTTCACATAGAGAAAATTATGGTGATTACAATGCTTTAGCTTCAAAAGTTCCAATTGGTCAAAGATTATATAGTGATCAAATGTTGGGTCAAATTGATCATAGACCATGGCACATTGCTGACCGTTTACCATCAGATGGTAGATTCAGAGTTTTAATCTTTGCTGGTGATGTTAAACAATATCCAGAAAATATGGAAATTTTAAACAAATATAATGATAAATTAATGGGTGCAGATAGTTTTGTTACTAAATATACTCCAGTCAATGCTTTCTTCAATTCAGTTATTGAAATTTTAACAATTCATGCTACTTTAAGAAATGATATTGAATTTTATGATTTCCCAGAATTTACAAGACAAAAAGATTTCAAAAAACGTACTGATTATTGGAGTTTATTTTCTGGTGTCGGTAAAACTCATGCTGATAATGTTAAAGTTGATATTTATGAAACTTATGGTATCTGTAAAAAAGCTGGTGCTATTCTAATTTTAAGACCAGATTCTCATGTTGCTGAAGTTATTGAATTTACTGCTGATGGTATTAATCAAGTTGAAAAATACTTTGATGGTTTCATGTTAGATCAATCTAAGAATGTTTTACCAGAAAAACCATTAGATGTAATTGATTCAGACAGATTTGTTAAACCGAGATTAGCTATCTAGAGGTTGTATAACTCTTTTAAGTTTAATTGATATTATGAAGTTTGAAATAAAATATTTTGATGTAAACTTATCTCTTTAAACAGACTGATTTATTAATGACGAATTGTAATTCGATGAATAATATGCAAAGATCATGTCTTTTTTGAAAAAGTAAATATTATCAATATGATTCAGTGTTTACTTTAGTTTTTAGAGTATTAACACAAGCTTTTTTCTCAAGAATGGAAAAGTAAATAATTGTTGGTATAGATTTTTAGACTTTGTCGGATTTATATGTTTATCGTATTTCTGAACTTGTATATAATTACGAAAGTTTCAAAATTTGTGGGGATTCATTCCAAGAAAAAAAAAAAAATCATTCAAAGATATTTATTTTCTTATAGATTTTTTCAACATATATTGATCTTATTTAAGGCTAATTGAATTTAATCTAAAGAGTGTGGTTCTGGTAAACCTTGTTCATTTAATACTAAATCAACACCAGTATTTCTTAAAGCTTCTCTATTTCTTTCAATAACTAATTGTTTTGATTCTTCAGCAGTAATAATTTTGAAGTGCCATTTTAATAACCAATCATCAGCTTTCATATTAAATTTAGTAGCTTTTTCTTCACCTAATTTATCTAAAGTATAAATTAATGAACTTTTAACACCAAAGACAGCATCTGAAGTTTCATATGGATCTCCTTTTTCATATAAAGCAGTGATTAATTCATCATAACCTTCTTTTTTAATCATTAAATGAATATGAGCTGGTCTATATGGATGTCTATTTAATTTTTGTAATAATTTACCAACTGGACCATCATGAGGAATTGGATAAGCAACTGGTCTAGTACATTGAATGTTAAATGAACCATCTTCAGCAGTTCTAACAATACCTCTCATATCTGGACCATCTCTGTTTTCATATTGAGTATCATAAAAACCATCAGCATCACAATGCCAAATATCAACAGTTGCACCAGCAATTGGGTTACCTTCTGGATCAGTTAATTTACCTTCAATTAATAATGGTTCACCTTTACCATCTGAACAGATTGAATCACCTTGTTCTTTTTCTTCAGCATCATGAGTATGGAAAGGACCTAATAAAGTTCCAGAAGTAGCATTAGCAGGTTTTGGATGTGAAATTTCATCTACTAAAACAGATAAACCTAAAGTATCAGATAATAAAATAAATTCTTGTCTAATATCAGAACACATTTTACCAACTTCAGTTAAAAAGATGATACCAGCCATCCATTCTTCAGTAGTTAATCTAGTTTCTCTGGCAAAATCATGTAAGTGTTGAACAACTTTTTGTAAAAGGAACATTAATCTTTTGTCTTTATGTTGAGAATTGATTAAAATTGCATTTTTGGTGATTGTTTCAGCACTCATATCAGTGATTTTTGGACCTTTTGGTGGTGAAGAAATTTCTTTTTTAGTAGCTGTTGGTTCTGGCATTTTTGGTTGATTAGTATAGTTAAAACGTAATTTGTTTTTGATTGGTAAGAAGCTGTAGGAAATATTGAGCAAACGTGCATATATATATATATACATGTAAAATTGAAATCGATGATTATAAATTAATTGATTTATTAAAAATCCGGTTAATAGCATGTCCGAACGCAATTTATTATAATTAAACATACGATGAAATCTTGTCTTGTTAAATAATAATTTATTATAAAAGTATCATTTATTTTAAAAGTATAATTCAAAAAATAATTTTATGGAGACAAAATTGAAATTCCAAATCTGGAGTATATAGTTTTAGAATAAAGTAACACGAGCTTCTAGCATCCAATGTTGGGAAACAAACCAAACTAGCGACAAGGTATATTTGTTGGTAAACCTATTAATTAAAAAAAATCGAATAAAAAAACCAAAAACAAACCACCAACATGAGTTAACTTCAGTTCGCCCGTATCTTATAACCCCAATTTCTATAAGTTTATACCATACGGAATTATTCAAATTTGAGTAAAATTCCATATCCGTGTATCACGACTGACAAGATTTCTGAGAAATGATTTAAAAAAATAATCTGGGGTAAATTATCTCCAGCTTAGTATAACACTCCAATGGTATGATTGTAATTGATAATCCGTATTTTTGGTGGGGAGACAAACACCTGTTTAAATGTTGAAAAAATTTAGCATGATCCTTGAATAAAAGGGTAAAACCCTTTTCGAATTGAATTAGTCATTTTGAAATTCTTAGACTCTGATAATTCTGTAATTGTTTAGTAGTGTTACAATTTTAAAGTAAGTTTAATCAAGAATTTTTATGGATTTGACATAGTTCTGTCTAATTGACGTTTGACAATTCTTTTATTTTTGGTCAGGTATTGACACCATCGATCTAAAGTAGCTGAATATACAGCAAAGAGCATTGTGGGACCATATCATCAAGCAGATTCTAATAGCCAAGATTTAAAAATGGAATGAATTTGTATACTTCAATGGTTTAAAAAGGACGATCAATTTAACTAAAAATTTACGAAATGAAAATTTTCCCCAGATTTCGAATCTACTATTAAAGAAATGTCAATTGAACAAATAACACCAGTGGACAACACCATTGAAATTAGATGGTCAGATGGCCAAAAATCAAAATATCATAATATTTGGTTGAGAGATAATTGTCATTGTTCATCATGTTATTACCCATTGACTAAACAAAGATTATTAAATTCTTCAACAATTGATTTAAATATTAAGACTAAATCTATCACACCCAAAAATGATGAAATTGAGATAGTATGGGATAATGATCACACATCAATTTATGATACAGATTGGTTAAGAATACATTCATATAATCCTAAATTAGTACCTATTGAAGATAAATTAAAAAATGCAAAAGAAATATTAAAACAAGAATTGTGGCAAGTTAAAGATATTGAAAATAATTTACCACAAGTTGATTATAATACAGTAATGCAATCATCAGATGAAACAGATCAAGAAGAAGCAATAAAAGATTGGAGTTTAAAAATTTGGAAATATGGATTTTGTTTAATTAATAATGTACCTATAAATCCAAAAGATACTGAAAAATTATGTGAAAAATTAAATTATATAAGACCAACTCATTATGGAGGATTTTGGGATTTTACATCAGATTTATCTAAAGCAGATACAGCATATACAAATTTTGATATAAGTAATCATACTGATGGAACTTATTGGTCGAATTCTCCAGGTTTACAATTATTTCATTTATTATATCATGATGGTAAAGGTGGTACAACTTCTTTAGTTGATGCTTTTAAATGTGCTGAAATTTTTAAAAAAAATCATCCAGAAAGTTATGAAATATTTACTAACATACCAGTACCTGCTCATTCAGCTGGTGAACCAAAAGTTTGTATACAACCAGATATTCCACAACCGATTTTTAAATTAGATCATCACGGGAAATTGATACAAGTAAGATGGAATCAAAGTGATAGATCAACTATGGATTATTGGGAACAACCAGAAGATGTTTTAAAATTTTATCAAGCTATAAAAGATTGGTGTTCAATTATAACTTCATCAGAAAATGAATTATGGCATCAAATGAAACCTGGACAATGTTTAATTTTTGATAATTGGAGAGTTTTCCATTCAAGAAGTGAATTTACTGGTGAGAGAAGATTATGTGGTGCATATTTAGAAAGAGATGATTTTGTATCAAGATTGAAACTTTTAACATTAGGTAGAGATGTTGTATTAGATAGTATTTAAAAAAGTTTAAATAAAAATTGGAATTTTATCCCAATCCCATGGATCGTTAAATCTTAACTCTTTATCTAATTTTGAAATTTCTTTCATTTCTTCTTCTGATAAATCGAAATCAGTAACTTTTAAATTTTCAATCATTCTCTTCTTGTTGTTTGATTTAGGTATGACTGCAATATTTCTTTGAGTTGTCCACCTTAATAAAATTTGAGCTGGTGATTTATCATGTTTTGATGCTATTGTTTTAATAGTATCATGTGCAAATAATGTTGGAGTATCCAAAGCTTTTTTACTCTTGAGTTCTAAAAATGATTGAGGTCCAAATGAAGAATAAGCAGTTATAGCAATACCTTGCAGTTGAACATACTCAATTAATCTTGGTTGTTGTAAATATGCATGATGTTCAATTTGTAATACAGCTGGTTTAATTTCACAACCTCTTAATAAATCTTGAATTAAAGCACCTGAAAAATTCGATATACCGATTGATTTAACTTTACCTTTTTTAGCTAATGATTTCATAGCTTTCCAAGTTTCAGCTAATGGTATATCTTCAAAATGAAATTTATCATCCTCTAAAGAACATGTGAAACCAGGTGGATATTTTTTATCAAAAGGTATAAATTTTTGAGCAATTGGAAAATGAATCAACCATAAATCTAAATAATCTAAACCTAAATCACTCAAGACTTTATCACAAGCTTCTTCAACATGTTTTGGATCATGATAAGAATTCCATAATTTTGAAGTAATAAATAGTTTTTCTCTTGGTACTGGTGATTTTTTCAAGGCTTCTCCAATTTGCTTACAATTTCCATAATCTTGAGCACCATCAAATAATTTATAACCTGATTCAATTGCATCTAAAACTACTTCACTTGCTTTTGATTCATCTAATTTCCAACATCCAAAACCAACTAATGGCATTTCATATCCCGAATTTAACTTGATACTCATAATGAATTGACTGCTTTTTTAATTTGATATTAATTTGACTCAATTGAATTGGCCAAAATAGAAAATTTGAGAAAATTTGGAGTGAAAAATTTTGACAATTTTGATGAAGAGTTAATTTTTGCTATTGTTCTTCCCCACTTTAATTTGGTTTATTCACAAAGTTGATAAAGTCCTATAATCCAATAAAATAACACGACACTAATGCCGAAAACTTGTGTATTTAATTACACAGAGCTATACTTGGTAGGCTAAGAATATAATTATCATAGTTGTTCTACGAAAGTTGTAAAGATGTTTAACGAAATACCGCAATAAAGTATATAATATATTATTGAATCACTATACACATTTTTTAAACCAGATATGAGGAATTTGAACAATACAAGCAATTTATTCCAGTTTTCTAATCCTTTCAAATTCTGCATTATTTTTTTTTTCTGTAACTTCTTCAAATATTTTTGATCGTTCTTTTTCCAATTTTTCAAGTTGTTCACCCAAATCACTTACAATGAATTTCATCGACTTGTGCCCAAATTCTGGTATAATTAAATTCTGGATTTCTAAGTCAATATTTTTTTTTAAATTTTTTGCAGCGTGAAGTTCATATTCCATAATAGATTTTTCTACAGCAAATAGCTCATCCTCTAAATAAGACCTATAATCTACCATATGTTTAACTCCTTCACGCAAAAATTTAGCTGTTTCATAGCTAACCGTTAATACACCAGTATCTAATTGTGGCAATCTTTTTTTAATAATATCCACTGCTTCATCTAAATGTTGGTTCATTATTTTTTTTTCATCTTGTATTTTGTCAGTAAAGGAATGATTCATTTCAAAGGATTTAGGATAATTATAAATTATGATGATTTGTCTTGTTTGTGTATGTGAGAAATAAAATTTTGATAAGAACGAACTTTTAAATATATATATATAATTTTTTTTGCTTAATTTAAAATTTATTTATTTAATCTTTTAAAATGATAATTACAAGACGTTTCGTTATTCATTGTCAATTCCAAATCAGGAATCAAAAGGGGTTTTTTTTTTCAAAAAAAAACATTAATTAAGATTTATTTTATAATTATCATTAGGAGATTATATATATTTATTTTATACTACCTATTTTAATAAGATTTTTCACTTATTTATTAATATTTGTCACTCTCATTCTTACTTTTACTGTTTTATTATTATTCGTAATATTTCATTATATTAATAGTTACAAAAAGAACAGTAATATCAAAGGGTGGTGGCCTGCTTATTACTCTGACAATTAAGTGATAATTATTACATTTATCAATATTAGTTTGATCAGAAATGTTTTTTAAAGAAAAAGAAAAAATTTTAAACTATCCCCTTATAAAACATTTTGAATAATTACTGTAATTTAAATTTTTGTAAACAATCAAAATTCACACAAATCAATAAATATTTAATATTATTGAATACATTTTATATTTTGTACATTTATAATATTATTATAAATTATTACAATAATATATATTTTTTTTTCAAATTATTATTGACTCTAATCTTGTACCACATCAGATATTCAATTAAATTATGTATTTATTAAATAACATCAATTTTAATTAGTATATTATTATCCTAATTGAACGTTTACACATCCTAATTTAATATTATTTATTATTATATTAATTATATTAATTAAAGTTTAAATCTGAAACAAATTAATTACAATGAAAATTTCTATTGTTTGATTTTGTGTAAGTCCCAACATTTAATATAAACTTTTATAATTGTTTAAAAGTATAATTTTTACTTATTCAATTAACTCCCTCCCCCCCTTCAATTTTTCAATTAATTTTTTATATATACTTGAAAATTAACACTTTCTTATCCAACCAATAAAATTTAAATATTTAATAACTTGATCATTGAAAAGCATTAAAAAAAAATTTCATATGAAAATATATATATATATATATTTTTTTTTTTTTAAGTTGTTAAAACAATAAAAATGAAAAGAGTGGTAGTCTTCATTTTAAGTTGAATCATATATACCCTATATTTTGCATCTATTGTTGAGTGCATTGTAAAATAAAACCATCTAAGTTGAGTTACTACTCTATACATTGCATCAATTAATAAATTTTGCTTTAGTATGGTAGGATCAAAATGCCTACTTTTGGGTGTCTAATCGTAAAAAATTTATTTGGCAAGGCTATTTTGGTTTAGTAAACGGCTTTACAACGAATTTTAACTTTTTTATTTAATTCCGTTCAAAATGTGACTTGATTTAAACATCAAAACTTTTACTCCTCATTTTAATTATCTTTGTTTTTGACAATTAACAATCTCTCATTTATCAATAATTTGCATTCGTATAAATTAAATTATTTAAAAATATATTAACACTATTTTAATTTTTAAATTTATATAATAAAATAATCACAAAAACAAATATTTTGTACCACTTAACAAAAATAGGTATAAATATATAAATATTAAACGTTTCAACAGATTCGATATTACTGATTATTTAATACTAACACATCATATTTTTTGACAAATACTTCCAATTAGTCAATAATTAGATTTTTTTTCATCCATTACTATCATTATCATCAATGTCAAACTCGAGATATAAAGCAACAAAGTCAAAAGAGGCTCAAAAAGAAATAGATTTAAGATGTGCGGCAGAAGTGGTCAGTTCAGAAATGGATAAGTCGTTGATTTACAAGCCTGCTCAGTACGCAACCTTCATACTTGAAGGAACTAAAGCAGAAGATAAGAAAATTGGGGAGTTGATTAACAGATTAAATATTGCTTCAATGAAAGAAATTGAATTAGCCATATCTTATGAAGAAAACCTCATAAAAGCTTTGAAAACTAAAATTGAAGAAAAAGAAAAAACTTTTGAAGCTAAGTTAGAATTAGAGGCATTTAATCAGAAACTTTTAACTAATATTGAAACATTAAAAGTCGTGTTGGAAAAAGCTTTTAACGATTCAATAGAATCAAAAATTCTTGAAATTCAAAATCAAGAACTTCCAAAGTAATCAAGATGAGATGAGTTTTCTTTATTATATATTTTTCTACATTTCTACTTTATTTAGTTTTATATTTTTCGTTTTTAGTTTATTACCAATAAATCATTATATTTCATTATTAATAAGTTTATTATTTATTTATCTGATTACTAAATTGTTATATAATTATTAATTAGCATTGTTCAATCATTAATACATACATCAGGGTATCAGACGAATTCGTAAGTTCACGGTCTCAGCTCCTTCAACACTATTATTACAAAGTCAAGTTTGGGACTTTGATTCAGCGTTGATGTGCTGTAAACTAAACTTTCTACAAGTCTGAAGATCATCAATTTAATACACATGTAAATTTATACATTACCTAAATAACACCTTCTACTATTTTCAACATCTTATATATAAATATATATCCATAATTTTTGACAATCTAATATCTTAAACAAAAACTATTCTAACTTCTATCATTTAATCATCTAACAAAATATTCAATATCTTTCCATAAAACAACATTGACCTATATATAAATAATTCTATCTTTTAGTGAAATCTATCTCCTATTCATAATCAAACAAGTCTACTAAACTATCTTAGACTTTTAACTAATATTCAATTTACTCCATACTATCTATTGAAGTTAACTATTATTCTGTTCTCTTCTCAACTATCTTTAGAAGCTCTTAGAAATACTATTATTTTACTTGATCTGTCTAAAAGAGTCATTCCATTCAATATTAGATTCTATCTTATTCTGGTTCAATAATTTGTATGATTATTATGATAAAACCCCTTATTATGCTAACACCCCTTGACATTTTTGTTACACAAATACATGTAAAACAAAATTTAAATAATATAGTTTCAGAACATTCAAGATAAGTCTTGAATTATACCTTACAACAGAATGTGATTCAAAAGGGACGACTACTAATACAAGAAAGTTAAATATTTGATTCCACATTTGACAAAGAGACTACAATCAGAGTAACTGATATAATATGTATTAAAATTTATTCAATAATTATTATTACTTATACATAAATTGATAAGTTTTGTAAACAGCATTCAGCATCAAACATAAACCAACGAGTTTAGTGGAATAATTTAGCTATAATCTTGTTGTATTGATTTTATACTTTGGTTCATAATATCAAGTTGTTTTTGCTTGATAGCTATTTCGTTTTTTAATTCTATAAATTCTTTTAATTCTTTGATTTTACTTTGATTTGACTTATTTAATTGATCTAGTTCGAAAGATTTTTTTTGGAGTTTTAAGATGTGATCTTCTTTGGTGAAAATTTGGAATTTTTCAGATGGTATGAATTTCTGAAATACAGGTACTTTTTTTGAAGAAAAACCTGCTGAGTCATTGATTGATGAAGATCTAATATTTTCTTCTTCTAATCCCAAGTGTGGTTTTTTTAATCTCATACTAAGATTATTAATAGCATCATTTAATTTGTCTTTATCCATTTCAATGATTATAAAAATTGAAGTTGATGGAAAGTGGTTGGAAAAAAAAATATATATAACAAAAAAAAATAAATTGTAATTATCATTTATTTAAATAATATACAGTACAACTATAATAAAGTTAAGTTAGATTAAAATTAAATTTACGGCCCCCTAAAATAAGATTACGCTGCTAAAAGCAAGTCTTAATTTACTATTGAAATTTATTAATTCAACTGACAAAGTTTTATAAATTACCAACAATTTTTTTCATTAATTACTTTTGATAATAAACCAGCCAGCCAATGAAAACAATCAAGCCAAATTAGGCAAATATCATATTTACTTGGTGACCATTATATTTATAGTTCAAATTTGTTTTTAAATACCTATTTAGTATTTAAAAGAGGTAATTCGATAAATTGTATTAGAGACTAAAGTTTTGTGGCAAAGAAAGTCATGGACTTAAAGCTGGTAATTTAAAGACAGTTGCTAGGTAATCTGAATAGGTGTTAAATCAAATTACTATTCTCTATCCAGTAATTTTAATAGTCGTAAAGAGTAAAATTATAAATTTCACAATTAATTTATCAAATCAATAAACGTAAATGTTTTGTTTATCAGAGGTATTTTTTTTTTTTGGGAGGTAAGGCTTTTTTTCAAGGAAAAAGATTTAATTAATTTATGACATTAAAAAATATTCAAATCAACACAATTTAATGCATTAAACAAATTCACCAATTGTCCAAAAAATAGGAGGATGATTCAAAATAATTTTTGATCAATACAAATTATCTAAAAGGAATTACAACCAAGGCAACAACATCGATATGACCAACCAATGATCATCAAAATTAATCAAAAAGTATTGTCTTGGAACGGCCACAAACGCCAAAAAGAGTAAACATGTTGAGGAGAAGAATAGGAAATAAATCAGCAATGTGAACAACTTTGTCGTTGATCATGAGCACAAAAATTAATTCCATTATGTGATTGTTACAACTTAATAGAAGCAATGTTCAAATTTAAATAGGGAAATACCCGGAATCGATCAAAATTTTGTTCAAAAGAGTTCCTTCATATGAGGTTCAAGCGTTCGATTCTGAATGGATAAGGAAAATACTGATAGTGAAGTTCGGTAGCGATGTGAATGAAACGCAGGTCAAATATGGTTCGAAAGCGGTTTATTTTAAAGGGTTTTTTTTCTACAAATGTAGAATTTTAAAAGTGTGCAAAATGATATAAATCATTATCAAGAGTTGAATCTAGGATGGAAAAGGATCTGAGAGAAATTTGGTTTGTGTAGTTTGTCCAATGTATATAGTTTACTAATTAATGCATATCCATTTTTAAACCTATTTTCAAAACTTTGGAACTGATCTCTCCAGTCTTGTTGAGCTGACGTTTAGTTATTCCGGATATATATTTTGAATGTCGAGTCAATACTCCTGTTATGACACTCTATTATATTTAACCGTGTTAATGTAGATATAGTAGAAATATATAATATAAGACAAGTTGATTAAACGAACTTGAAACACTACGTCTAAAAACTCTAGATAATAAGGATATATAAGATATCATTTGACATAATTTTGAACTGATTTGTTGTTAACTGATCGAAGAATGCTTTTAAAAACATTGCAATTTCTTGATGCTTGTTCCTTTAAGCGAGGGAGATTTTGACTGTAATAATAATGCCAGAGCTATTGACTTTTCGATTATCATAAAATAGTGTAAGAATGTTGATAACGTTTATTTTAAAGAAAAATTTTGATTTGTTAAAAATCACGTTACTGATTTTTCAATTACCTGAAAGTTAGCTCTGGAATACAAAAGTTACACCAATCCTGCTAGTGCACTTCAATTCTGTCCTCAGTTCAATATACTAAACTGACTGCTTGTTATTAATATATTGGTTTCATGTGTAGAAAATTATCATATGTTTTATACAATATATTATTTATTATAGTAAATGAGTTAGTGAAATAGAAAAGAAAATTGTTTCAAAAATAATCAAGAATTAATTACATTCTTTCTGATACAAAACCGGCTTTGTTTTGTTTTTAAATCAAGAATTACAATCTTTCGCTTGAAATTTCACTTTTGTAGAAATGTTACAAAATTCAAAATACCAAAACTAATAAATTGTTACATCTAATTATCGTAATTGACAATTATTAACCTTTTGTGAGTTGAGAAAATATTTATAGAAGGATGATTTAATGGACTCGAAATAATCAGATGTTTATACAAAATATGTAACAACAAGAAATCTTAGTATGATGAAAATTATCCATTATTTAATTGATTAAGCGGTTTTATAACTACGAATAATTAAATATATCCGAATTCTAATATTTCTTTTATGAAAGAACTCATTTGACATGATTAAAATTTTGTGGAGTAAATTAAATAAACAATATAGTCTTTCGGTCTTTTCTAGTGTTTTGGTCTTAAACCGAAGAAATTAACCCATTTAGGAGCATATAAATTTTTGCTACTACGTATGATGTATGTTTTTTTCGCTGTCAGTTGTATCTCGTTATAATTTACTTAAATTAAAAATGTATTGTTACATAATAATTAAAAAATAAAATATACACTAAATAATATGTCTCGCCTTAATTACCAATTTTTATATAATTTATTAACATGAAAGATTAGATAACCATATTTACAGATGGATGATGATCTAATTTATAACTAAGTATTTATTTATAGATAAAAACATTACCTTGAAATACATAAAATAATATTCAAATTTTTTATAAGATTTTTCTTACTTTCGATTTCTTCTTTTTCTACTTTTTATTATTACTTTACTATCAATTAATTTAATATCAATGTCAAACAAGTTTATACCGATAATTAAAAACTACAATTATACAAATACTTTAATAACTAGAACAAGATCAAACAACAGATCATTACTAAACAGTTATAGATCATCATTGATTTTAAATAAAAGATTATTCCATGATTCACCAAACACTCAATCAACAGTTACTCGTCAACATCAACATCAACAACAACAACATGAAATTGAAAAAGTGATTGACCAATCAACTTTAAAAATTAATCAAGATCCATATCAATTAGAAACTCAATCATTAAATACTACCATATCACCAATTTCATCAATTCCAACAATTCCTAATCCAAATGAATACCTTAAAGCTTTTAACAATAAAGAATTATTATCATTTTTTATGATTGGATTATGTACTTTAAATAAACCAATATTACAATTATGTATAAAATTATTTCCCTACGTTCCAATGTTTATTATAAAATCATTAGTTTATAGAATTTATTGTGGTGGTGAAACTATAGAAGAAGTGAAAAACACTGGATTAAGATTACAACAAAGAGGGATAAATAATATGATGATTTCATTAACTATTGAAGCTTGTGAAGGTAATGAAAGAATTGATCCTCAATATATTATTGATGAAACTAATAAATCAATTGAAGGTATTTTGGTTCCACATACTGTTAAAATGATTGAAACTTCAGGATTGGGAATTAATGATATACCTTCAGGTTATGTTGCTTTAAAACCAACTGGATTTATAGAAGATGCAGCAAATGTTTTAAAAAATTATAATAATGGCGAAGAATCAAGATTTGAAGATTTAGTTTCCAAGATAACAAAAGTTTGTTCAACGATATATGATTCTAACATCAAGTTATCTAAAAAATATCCAGAAAGAGTTGCACCTTTTGTAGTTGCAGTAATAGATGCTGAAAAATATGATTTACAAGAAGGTGTTTATGAATTACAAAGAAGATTATACAAAAAATTCAATAAAATTGGTAAACCAATATCAGTAGTAGGTACTTTACAAATGTATTTATCCAACAGTTCCAATTTATTAGAATATGAAGAAAAATTAGCATCAAAAAATGGTTATAGATTAGGTTTAAAATTAGTAAGAGGTGCTTATTTACATAGTGAAAAAAATAGAGATTTGGTAATCCATAAAACAAAACAAGATACTGATAATAATTATAATATGGGAATAACTTATTGTATAAATCAAATATTAAATCAACACAAACCGGAATCATCAACTATAGGTCATTTAGTAGTAGCATCACATAATTCAGATTCATTAAAATTATCATCTTCGAAAACTTACAATCAACAAAACTCCAAAAACCCAAACAAAAATAATATTGTATTAGGTCAATTATTAGGTATGGCAGATTCAATAACCTATGATTTAATTGAAAAAAACAAAATTGGTAATGTTATAAAATATGTTGCTTGGGGTCCTCCATTAGAAACTAAAGAATACTTGTTGAGAAGATTAGAAGAAAATGGTGATGCTGTTAAAAATGATAATGGTTGGCCATTAGTTAAAGCTTCTTTTTTCACATTAATTAATAGATTGGGTTTTAGTGGTAAAAAAAATTGATCAAGTATATGTATAGATTTTAAAAATGTGTAATTTATAGATTTAAATGAATGATGAAATAATGATTAAATGAGTATGTTGTGGTACGGATGTCTATGTTTTCTTAGAGACTCACAGTTTTGTGCGTGTTTTTATGTACTAGCTGACGCTCATAAATTATCATTTACATTAATATTTCGCAGTTAAAGTACATACATAGATTTTGCAACTAAAGATTTAACATAACATAGATCTCTTCAAATAGATTTATCAAACTTTTTTCTTTTTTAAATTATTTTATACTACTTTTTCTTCTTCAATTGATCACCAACTTCTACTTTTATTTATACTACTTTTATCCATACTACTTTCATCCAAACTACTTTTATCCATACAAATGTAGAACTATTTATTAATTTATTTACTACCATCAAAATTTGGTATCATTATTAATTGAGAAAAATTTGTGAGACACTTCACTTATAGAAGTATGGGAGTTACCTGAGTTGACTACCTGAGACGTTTTTCTTACCCAATGGACAGATGAACAATTTTATTAAATTTGGGACTCAACCTTTAGAGACAAACTTGACTGACTGACTTGACTATGATATAGATTAGACATTGGGTGAAACAAGTGAGATATTTAGTGTTTTTGAATAATTGACTGAGGTCCCTTTTTGACTTTGGTATTTGAGATACATGACAGTGAATGGGCAGGTTGTTTGGTAGAGATGGATAGTTGAGTCTGATTCAACTTTGATTTAGTTCATTTCATAGTATCAGATTATTTTCAATGCAATTAATAAGACTAAAGATAACAGATAGAGACGATACAATTGGAACAAATTTGACATGAAACTAGCCACTGAAACAAAAAGTGGTCAATAAGATTAAAAAAACACGCTAATCTACTCAAGACACACATCATTCAGGATTTGACAGCTTAAAGGATGACATGAAGATATGGATTTGTTTCAAAATATGCTACCATATAGCTAATAACTTCTGGACATAGTGCACGCAAAAAAGTTGCGAATATAATATATTGAAATTTACCACAAGTTTTGACAACAATAAATGGGATCAATTAAAATACTCAAGTAATGTGACTTACATTGTTTAACAATCAAATGAATTAAAGATATAAAATTACATTAAAGTACCTTAACAAATCCTCAATTGGGGGGAGTTTACAGCTGTCAACAATACACGTTGCAAATACAAATAACATGTATGAGCACAACTTCAATAATTGCACAATTTGATTAAATAAATGTGCTGAAGTGACGCATACATTTAGCCTATTGGTACTTGATGGTACTCATAGTTCTCAATACGGCTAGAAAGTCTGTAAATCTACCCCCCTAAAAAAATTGAGGATTCGATTTGCGCTCGGACATTTTACTTTTTTTTCAGGCATTTTTCATTATTGGGTTTGTAAATCTATGAATATGGACAGATTATAAAAAATATAATACTACTTATTTACCTAAAATACGTACAAAAATATAGGATGCAATGAAGAACCGAATGAGTTGTTAAAACTTGATATAGATGGGGCGAAACTTTCTAATTATTCAACATATTCAACATATTCCTCCTAATATCTCCATCACTTTTAGTGAACTATATTTTTTATTTTATTATTTTTTTTAACTGATTTATGAGAATGTCTTATTTTTCATTTATTGTTGACAGGTTAAGAAAATTGCCTCGAGCTCGGTACTAACAATAATTGTGGGGAAAAAACTATAGCTGGTTAATATAAAACATAAAAATCGACGTCGATGTAAGTTTTGTCTCAAAGTTTTCATACAAACCTAATAATTTTTAATATTTTGTGCGTATTTTAATATACTAATTGACGCTCATAAATAATCATGTGCGTATTTTTATATACTAGCTGACGCTCAATAAATAATCTTGTGTGTAAGAAAATCTTAAATCATCAAAACTATATCATTTTGTATTAGAATAATATTGTTTATGTAAGAAAATTAATACGAGGGCAATAGTGTAAATGAGTAATATTACAGAATAGTTCAAAATGCAACCTGTAAATTAGATTATTTATTAAATAAGAATATATATCGAAGCTCAAACCTTAACCCATTAACTTAATAAATTATTTAAACTCATAACACTTTGATTTTGTTTTAAAGTACCATTTGTACCATTAGTATCATTCATATTTTGATTATCTACTTCATCTTCATGATTAAAATTATTAAAATTAGTAAAATTTAACACTGATCTTATAGGTGGTAATTTTGTACCAGTAGTAGCAATAGATTTTAATTTTTCATTTAATAATTCATTATGTTGTTTATTTTCTTGTGTAAATAATGGTTGTGATAATGGTTGGTGTGGTATATTGTTTAGTGTTGTTGTTGTTGGTTGTAAATGTGGTGATTGAGATGGTGTTTGTAATGGAGTTTCATTAGGAGATATAATAAAATGAGAATTATTATTTGGTTTCTTGATTGATAAATTAATAGATGATAAAACTGGTGAATTTGGTCTTGATTTCTTCAGTATATGTAATGAACTTTGATTATTAGGATTATTATAAAATTCTAAATTTAAGGAAGTTGATGATTTCTGCTTTGGTAAATTTATAGTAGATCTACTACTACTACTATTATTATTATTATTGTTTGATAGTGATGATTTTAATGGTGTCATTCTTTGTAAACTTGATAAATTAGTTGATGAAGTAGATCTAATTTTACCACTTAATGAAGATAATGAACTTGATGACGCATTAAATAATCTAGCACCATTACCTGAAGAAGTTTTTTGTTGGAAATAATCATTTAAATTTGTGAATGATGATGTTGGTATACCTGATGGTGGTGGCATAATTGAAGATGATGAAGATGTTGAAGTATCTGGTGATGTACCTAATGAATGTAATGCTGAATTTGTATTACTAAAAATTTTTTGATTCTCGGAAATTATACTTGATGTTGATTCTGATTTCAGTATGTGTGGTTGTTGATGATGATAACGTTGTTGGAAAGGAGGTGAATTATTTCCTTGAGTTGTAAAATTCTGATGATTTGATCTTATTGCATCTGATGAAATTGCTCTAGAAGTCATTACTGGACGTTGATGATGATTGTTGTTCAAAATATTTGTTGAAGATTGTGAAGATGGATGATTATATAATTGCAGTTGTTGTTGATGTTGCAAATTAGTAGGAGATGATGGAATTGAAAATATGGCTGATCCTTGTTGATTATAATGAGATGGTATATCTTTAAATGAATTATTTCCTGAATACTGTGGTTGTGAATGAGAATTAATTAGTGAAGGGAAAGAACCAGTTTCTTTGAGGGAAGTGTTTGAATCATGTATTGGTGCTGGTTGTTGTTGTTGTTGTTGTTGTTGTTGTTGTTGTTGTTGTTGCATTTGAGCTTGAGCTTGAGCTTGAACTTGTGGTAAATGTTGAGGTAATACTGGTTGCATATAACCATTGGCATTTGGAACAAAATATACAGGATAAGGTTGATGAAATATTTGATTTCCATTTCTATCTATTGTTAATGGTTGTTGTTGATAATTAATAATAGGTATCGAAGATTCACCGTTATTATTATTATGACTACTTAAATCATTATTATTTTTAGTTTTTCTTTTCCTTGTAGTTGGATTATTATGAATTCTTAAATGTCTTGTTAATTCATCTGATCTACTAAATCTTTTTGAACAACCTGGGAATGTACAACAATGAGGTTTTTCTCCAGTATGAGTTCTTATATGTCTTGTTTGATGTTCTAATCTATGAAATGCTTTTTCACAAAATGTACATTTATATGGTCTATCTTCTTTATTTTTTTTTTCTTTAACTGCAATCATATTGAGTGATATAAATAATTAAATTAAGGAAATGTTAATGTTACGAATGTTTATTTATATGATATTGTAGTTGAATAGATATAATGATTTTAAATAAAGCTGATAAAATATTGGTTGTAAAAAAAAAAATGTAAAAGAAAAAAAGTAATATAAAAAATTGATAATATTTTTTTTTTTCCTTCTTTTAATTATTAATATTTTATTATTGTAATATCAATTAATTAAATTAATCAAATTAAATAATATGGGGAGCCGAATTTTTTTCTATAGAGAGAGAAACTTGCAGTTGTTTATTTTTATAAATTAATAGAAAGTGATTTACAAGATTTTATTCAATTAAAGAAAATTCCACAAAATCTATTTACCTTGGTTAATTAACAATAAGATTTAAAATTCATTAAATAAGATAAAAATTAAATGATTGTCATTTTTAATATACTTTTCTATTGTTGAAATTTTAATCAAATTTTCTCTTAGATTAATAAATTTTCTATTTTAAACCAAAAAAAAAAATAAAAAAATAAAAAAAAAAATAAAAAATTAATCCGAAAATTTAAATTAAATTAAATTTCTTTTTTTTTTTTTTAAAATTTAAGAAAAATTTGGGGGAATTTAATCGAGATAAAATTTTTCTTATTACGACGATAATTCAATTTTTCTTTGAACTGTTATACATGAATGAATTTATAAACTATCATTTAATATTTCATCTAAAGTTATATTCATAATTGCTCAAGGGTGGCTAACTTTGTAAACGTCAAAAATAATATATTTGTAACATTATTTAATTTTTAATTTTGTAACTTGTCTCGGAGCTTTAAAAGTAGTCTTTTAATTTTATTGTTTAAAATTTTTAGTCAAGTTATTTTATATTTTGTGCAAGTAAAAGTCATAATTTTTATTATATTATGGAATCTATCTAATTGGATAACATTGAGATATACTTCAAAATATTGTTACAAACAATTCTCAATTAATGAAGGGATTCTATATCCTTGGTGATTGAGGAATTCCAACTTATGATTCACATGCACAGCTAGATCTAAGTAAGATTCAATTCATTACAAAATAAAACGTTCTTTTTTACATACTTTCTTATCAGATACTTCAAAATAAAACGTTTTGCTTGTAAAAATTGTATCTTGCCTTCTCAAGAAATATTTGTGTAATTTCCATACAGCTCAGACAAAACTGCAGAAAATTATTTGTAATTTTTGCGATAGGATAGGAAGGTAAGTAGATACGATCTATATTTTAATGTTTGCAAAAATCCATTATTTGGCTCCATTTCTGTATCTTGGGGTAAGAAGTTATTTCTAAAATAGATATACCAAATGGTAATAATTCAAAATCAAATAAGCCCAAATAGTTTTCAGTAGAATTTTCTTTTCGCAAAAGTCCGCGTTGCTTTTACTTTGCTTAAAGAATATACTAAAAATAACTTTCAATTGTGATAGTCCGCTCTGACTTGAAAAAAATAGTTGTAAAAAATTTGTTGGTAATGAAAAAACAAAACCAAAAACCAAAAATTTAAAAATAAAAAAAACTTTAAATAGTTTTTCCGAGTAATATATTGTGCAGTATTAAGTTTAATCAATATAGCATATTTTTGTATTGAAAGATAAAAAATAAATTTTTTTGAAGAAATGAATAAAAGATTCTACATATAATATTTGAGATTTTTTAATTTAGTCTATTGTTCAATTGATACGTTCATAATTGTTAGAATCATATGTTTGTTGAGAAATGTGTCTAATATGAGCCTTATTTAAACATTATATTTAATGTTGAATTTATATATAAGATCGGCTTTATAAAAAATTTTAATCCATAGCAAAATTAAACTTTAATTTAATAATTTTTAGTCCCAATTTATTTATTGTTTTAACGTCATCAAATTTAAAGTGGGGTGAATTTTTTACAAGAATTTTAATTTGATATATAAATATCTCAGCCTTTGACCTAATAGAATTTAGATATTGTTCTTAAGCTTATTTTTAATAATTATTGCTAATAGATTGATTGAAAGTGGCTCATATTCAAACTTTTATTATTCTCTTTCAAAAATTATTATTTATTACACCCTCCTTATTATATTATTTTCTCGCTTGCTTCGAATCGAATTATAATATAACAATAATTGCCCAAGGGGTCAAGTTATTTTCAGATTTATCTGAAACAATAAAAAGTTTAATTTTTACACATTATTTGGATTTACATATATAGTTTATGGTAAAATAGAAACATTGGTTTCCATTTATAAGTTTATCTTTGTTCTTTAATATTCCAAATTTTATAGCTATAGCAGTATATACTTTATTTCGGTATAACTTTCTTTTAAAAATTCTATGCCAAACTTTAAATTTAAGTTTTGACCTAAACTTTAATTTTTAATCATACTAAAAAAATCAGGTTGAACAGTGAATAAACGGTCTTTTAATACGTTTCTAGATTTTAAAACGTGGTGAATTGTTAATCCTTAATGTATAAATCAAGGTTAAATATACAGAATTAATTAAACTTTTAATAGTTATTTAATTTGAGCCGTTCAATTGTTGTAAATGTCCAAATATTTTAATTGTGAGATTTTTACATTTGGTGGCTCGGAATTAAAGGGATATGAATTAGATTGTTTGAGAGGCAAAAACATTTTTACAATGATTTATATTAAAATTAAGCTTGAAAATTGAGTATGGGGTAGATTATATTGAACGGGTATTCATTTTTCCTTAAAGTATATTTACTTTTAATTTTAAATCTCAAAATAATTTAAACATTAAATTTGATGTAACTCAAATAATGAAATTTTAAAGCTGACGCTTAACCAATTAAAAATCATAATTAAAATCAATCCATTGATCAAACCATTGTAAGTTACCTAATAAATTATCAATTTCTAAAGATGGATAAGAATCAACTGGGTTTGGTTGTTCATTTTGATCTAATGATGTTGAACTTGTAGGAGTAGTAGATACAATTTCTCTTTGAGGAAGTTGAGTTTGTTGTGGTAATGGTGGTTGTTGTTCATCAATTTGATTTTTTGGTGATGATGGCGATTGTATAATTTCATTTCTATATAATTGTTTTTGGAAAACTTTATTAAATTCATTAGTTTTAATTTTATCTTTTTCCAATTCAGAAATTTTTGCATCTGTTGTTGAATAATTCATACCTAATTGAGAAAAATATTGTTTATTAACATCTGATGATCCATGATCTACTCCAATATTATTTAAAGCTTTCATATCTTCTTCTAATCTTAATGTAAGAATTTTATTTGCCATTTTTAAAGCCCATGTACATTCTCTAACCATTTTAAATCTTTCTCTAAAAATTAATTTATTTTGATCATTTCTTATTGGTGATTTCCTTAATATTGTGAAAAATTTTATAGTGTTTTTTAACATATCTCTTGATTGTAATACATAAATTCCTCCATTTATTAAACAAATTGAATTAACTCCAATATTAAATAATAATAATAATATTGAATACCATGGTGTATAAATTAAATTTGCTTTATTTATTTTATCTAGTACTTCAATTACTCCATTACTTGCATCCAAAACCATTTCAAGTTTTAATCCATTACTTGTAATTTTTCTACCTATATGATTAAATAAAACTTTCCCATGTATACATAAAACTAAATCATAATAATGTAATTTAACTTGTGCTTTTACTAATGAACTAATACTTGAATCATCGTTTTTATTGAATAATAAATCATTTCTAAATCCAACATCATTAAACCATTCATGTAATTTCACCAATTCAGTATTAATTTGTTGAGATTTGAGTAAATGTGGATTATCAGTTGGTGCAGTATGTACAAAATTTGAAATTCTTGCAATATGAATTAAAGCTAAAGCAGGTAATGTTAACCAATCATCTTTTTCAGTTTCTTTAGCAAAATCAAAACTTGGGAAACCTCTTGCAAAATCTTCATCTCGTATACCACTATATCTACCAGTTTGTAAACCAAATACTCTATCAAATGTGAATACACACCAAAATATTCTTTTTGCTTTTAATCTTTCGTACCCGGTACTTACTAAAATCTTAGGATTTTCTTCACTGAAACCTAACCCCATTGACTTTGTCATTATAACTGCTTGACCCAAAGCATGTGAACATGAAGTTTGTCTATGAGCTACTCTTAAATACAAAGAAATTAATAACCAACTTTGAATCAATTCAAAAGATTCCCATTCAAAACTTAAAATTGATATAACTTTATACGCATATTTGAATAATTTTTCTTCCAATTGTAACATTTCAATATTTGGACCTTTTGGTTTTTGAAATTCCGAGAATCTAATAGCTAATACATAAACCAAGAATAATATAGCTGAAAATAATTTAGTTTGATTTGTTTTTGTATCATGATCTTTTTTAAATAATTCTTCTTTTCTTAATTTATCATAAGCTTCATATTGTTCTTTAAATACAGTTTCATGTAATATTGCAAATAATGGATTAATTTCTTTAAAAAAATAATTTATTAAATATTTTTCATCAAATTTTATATCAATTGTTGGTAATAATGGTAAATCTTCAGAAGTTAAATAATTAACACCTGACATATTCCAACCAAAATATTGAGATCTTGGAATAGTTACTTGTTTTTTAGATTCTTCTGATAAATTAGAATACATTGATTTACATAATTCAACAATTAATAAATTTTGATGACGTCTTGAAAATCTCCATTTTGAACTTGATGAAAATAAAGTTTCTGACATTGTAGTAGATTCTGGTTCTTCAGTTTTAGGAATTTTAAATAATTCACTTGATCCTGATAATATATTTTCTAAATATTGAACTCTATTTTCTAAATGTAATACATATTCTGAACTATTTGATTTATCAACTGTTGGTAATCCAAATGGTTCTGCATGAATCATTGATAATTTTTGTCGTTTATTTTGTTCATATGATGATTGGGATTGAGAATTATTTGATTTGGGATCATTTTTGTTTATAGTGGTAGTTGTGAAAATACATTCTTTTTTTTGACGAACACATGTTGTACATGGAGCGGTACCTGAACATTTAATTTTATGACTTTGACATCTTGAACAAGCTCTTTTAACTCTTAATCTTGGTTTACCATCTTGTTGTCTAAGTTGTGGTTGTAAAGGTTGAGCTATATTTGAATATATTTGTTCTGATGGTTGTTGAGTCGGCTGAGATTGTAATGGTTGAGCAATATTTGATGAGTTGAGTTCAGGCTGTCTTTGCAGTTGCAGTTGTTGTTGTTGTTGCTGTTGTTGAATCACTTGAGATTGTCTATATGAATAAACAGGAGGTAATTGAACAGTGCCATATGGTGAAAGATTTAAACTTGGTGATGGATTGGTGCCTCCTGAATCGGGAATATTAATTTTTGGTAGTTCATGATTTCCATTTGATTCAGACATGATAAAAATTTGGGGAAATTGTCAAGATCAATTTATAGGATTAATCTTTAGGATCTGTCAAACATGTTTCAAAATTAATTTTTTGTAAAAGCCGATCTGGGTCCAAATAAGCTACCAAATTTGGGTCAATCTGAAAATCTTAGGGAATACGACAAGTACGAACGATTGAGGACTAAATTATTCAATTTCTTAGTTATATCTTTAAAAATTTCAACCTCGTCTAAGAGTAAGAATTTGAATTGATCAAACGTCATTAATATTGTCAGACACTAAAAAATCCACCTGTTATTTTATGGTACAAAATTCTACGTATACTTCGGTTTTGCAATATTGAATCTACAACGCAAATTAATCTTAGATAGCAGAATTCTAAAAAACAGCAACTTTTTATCTTAACATTACTATATCATATGAATAATCTTCTTATTTAGTAAAATCAAAAACAACTTTATTAACTTTATGTTCATCAAATAATTTAAAAGCTTCTTTAGCATTATCTATCGAAGTTTTATAATCAATAAATCCATCAAAAGTATTTTTCAATTGTTCAAATATTTCCATTGATTCATTAAATAAAGCCCATGCATGACATCTACCAACCGATAAATTAATATTTTTTAAATACAATTCTAAAGCATTAAAAGGTAATTGACCATGACCCATTCCAAGGGATGATATAAATCCATTACTACGTACTGCATCATAAGCTGTTCTTAAAGCTGATGGTGCTCCAACTACTTCTAAAATTGCATCAAATCCTAAACCTTTTAATTCTGTATTTATAAAATTTTTTAATTCATTTGGTTGAGTTTCAAAATTTATTGTTTTATATGCACCTAATTTGTCGGCTTCTTCTAATCTTGATGGTATACTATCAATTACAACAATTTTTTTGAAACCAAAATGTTTTAATATACGTAATCCACATAATCCAACTGGTCCTGCTCCAATTTGACATATTGAAATATCTTTAAATTCTTGTATGGGATATCCTTGAGCTTGTTCAATTTTGAAGAAATCCAAGATTTTTTTAACTCCATAATATCCAGTTGTGAAAATATCAGCCATTAATAAATAAACTGAACCATCTACTTGTTGATTATTTGGAATTTTTTTCAATACATTTTCAGCATATGGAACTAATACATATTCAGCTTGACAACCATCTAATCCCTTTTTACCAAATGTATTCGTCTTAATACATTGACCAGTATAACCATATTTACAATAAAAACATTCACCACATTGAATTGAAAAATTTGCAATAACTTTATCACCTAATTTAAAATTTGTAATTTTAGAACCAATTTCAGAAACTATACCAATCATTTCATGTCCTACCGTGGTTCCAACGGGACCCGGTGCAACATTTCCTCTATATGTATGCATATCACTTCCACAAAGACCTGAATATAATACTTTTACAATTATTTGATCCGGTTCTGTTATTGTTGGAATTGGTTTATTTTCAACTTCAATTTGAAAAGGTCCACGAAACACAACTGCTTTCATGGTTTTTTGATCTGTCATTTTGAAACAATTGAAACAATTAAAAAGTAAGAACTGGAAAAACTTATGATCTTAATTAATTTCTTTTTTCTGAAATCATATTGATAATAAATATTTTATGAAAAAGTATTGAATGTTAAATTTGAAAAAAATTCAAAACACAATATAAAATTAATCCGCTAAGAATATTTTAATTTTGTGGGGTTCTCGGTACAAAGAATTTTTTGATTAGGTCCAAAACTTTAATTTCTAATACAAAGATGGACCGAATTAAATATTAGAATTGAACTATATATCGAGAAACAATTGAGATATGCCTGTATAATTAGAGTCCAAATCAATAATTTCAAAATCAAGTTCAAACAGAACCTTTGAAGTCCTGAATTCTACATGTAGAACAAACCATAAAATCCATATTCCGTTTCTATTGATTTTCCTAAACAAACTTTATCAACTTAAGCTAAATATTGAATAAAAGTAGATTTAACAACGTCTTTCATATTCTTAATAAATTGAGTGTACCCAAACAATTTATTCATAAAATTATAAACAAAAAACATCAAAATATTTATACAAATCACATTACCAATTAAAGCATAAGATAAATAAATCATCATTGTTAAATATTTTAATGATAACTTACTTGAATTAGGAAATGATTGATATACTGCATCATATAATTTGAATATTAGTGTGTTCTTGATTGGTTTACATACAACATTACCTTTAGAATTAACACAATCAGTCATTAAAAATGAAGATAAGTAATTTAACACTAAAAATTGAAAATTTTCTAATACTGAATTTGTTTCATATTCTTTTAAATCAAAAAAATAAAATAAATCATTTCCATGAGCAACTAAATTTTCATGACATTTTAAAATATATTGATTATTATCAACTAAGAAAGTTACTAAATCTTTTAAAAAATTATCACTAAATGTTAAAACATCACAAAATGCAAAAATCATATTTATAAGTCCATGAAAATATGATTGAATCATAATTAAAAAAAATACCATTCTTAGACTTTGAGCTAATAAAAAGAATAATTTAGTAATACTTAATTTTATAAAGTGTTTGATATTTTCCAATGTCAAATTTGACCAAATTACTGAATAATTTAATAGAAAAATAGGTAAAAATTTAAACCATCGTATTCTCAAATAGTTATTAATATGTGTAGTTCTATTTGCTTGTGATGGTTGTTGTTGTGATTGCTGTTGTTGTTGGTTATGATTTCTCATTACTCTATGGATTGCTTCTATTGTATCAGTTCTATCTTCAATAGATAAAGAATCTAAATAATTATTTATTTGACCTCTTTGAAAAACTTCTAATAAGGGCATATCTAGATTTTGGAAAATATCATTATTAGGATGATCCATTTTTTGACTTGTAATGTTTATGTTGAACTTTATAAATTGGTTGATAGGTGACAGCTATTTTTTGATCTGTATTGTAAATTTCTCTGATGATAATTATAAAATATATTAAAAGTGCGGCTTACTTCTTGTACTCACTATTTAAATTTCAGATAAACGTCATACATAAGAAATCAATTAAGATCCAACTAAATACAAATAGAGTGAAATTGTTATATTGATTCCAATTAAAAAAAAAATGTTTATTATACTTATTCACCTCTTGCAATTTCTATAAATTGAATAGATTTAATAGGTAAAATTCTTTTAGCTGCAACTTTATTACTTATCATTTTATGATCATCTTGACAAATTCTTAATAATTTTTTAATAAATTTAAAACAATGAGTAACAACATTTAAATCACTACCCAATACATCTTTTAAAAATTTTTTAGATAATTTAATATCATTTTTAAATTTTATTTCACCTTCCACCAAGATAATAATAAAACAAGTTGCAAAAATTTCTTTCATATCATAACATAATATTATTGGTAAACTTGATAATATTTCAATTAAACTTATTGTTGATTTTATAATTTCCTTTCTATTATTATACAAGATTTCGCCCATTCCAATATGAATCTTATTCAATATTTTATATTGTAAAAAATAAGGTGATATAAAATTTAAATCAAATTTTAATTTTTTTAAAATTAATTCTTCTCTATATAATAATTGATCTTTCCATTCCCAATATATTTTACTTTGTTCATCAATTGGAGGTGGTGGTACTTTTTGTCCATTTTCTTTATTTATAAGTGGTTGTAAAGGATTTTTTAAATTACATGATATAAGACTAATTTTATCTGGTTGTCTATAATTATCATTTAATTTACATGATAATGCAAATGCAGCTGATGCAACAAAATATTTAGATACAGTTATTGTTGTTGTCATATAAAATCTGTGTAAGTAAATTGTTGTTGCTAATATTGTTGGACCATCAACTTTTAATTTTTTACCTAATCTTATTATAAATTCATGAATACTTTCTTTTAATCTTAATTCATGTGATATAGGAATTGGGTGTTTATCTAATCTACTTGGTGTTTGATTTAATGCAATATATTCTGGAAATATCCATTTATCTTTTGATCTTGAATATTTATGATATTTGGATTTTGTTGGTGAATGATGATTATTATTAATTTGGTTGTTGGTTGGCCCTAGGTTTTGTTCATTATTTTTAGGTGATGAAGAATTTATTTTTGGTTTATTTGACTCTTGTAGTTGTCTTTGATTGGAATCGTGTGTATGATTTTTGTGATTCATTGATGACAATGATCCATTTGTGGACATGCTTTTATTGCATTGTTTGATAAAGGTTTTAAAAAGGTAATCTCTATGATTGTATAATTTTTGAATTGGTTTCAAATTGTTTTTTTTTAATTTTATTTATTTTGCCTCGTTTGATTTTATATATTTAAAAACAGATTTACAACCAAAGATGTTTACGATTTAAAACTTAGAGTTGTCTCGTCATAAATGTATCTGGTTTAGGATTAGTCTGTATTTAGATATAACTGATTAGTATCAATAGATTGTCATCTGAGCTCTTACTCATATACTCTTGTACCAAGAGACTCCTAAACATTTTTCGCTTGTAGCTAGATTCTAGCAACAAAAAAAAAACTCCAACTTGTAGATAAACCTAACTGAAGATCAACTCAAAACTATTTTTAATTTGACCGTGTTCTTTAAGTCTCATTAAACATAGATCTTAGAAGATCATCTTAATCATCAAACTCTTGGATCATTTAAATTGGGTATAAATACTGATAATTTCCTGTATACAGCTAGTCTTTATAATTCTTTTACAACCAAAAAAAAAACTAAATAAAAAATTTTCAAAATTTTCATTAACAAATCAATTAAAAATCTAAATCTTAAGATTCAAATACATAATTGATTCAAAATGGCATCTAATAATTCATTTATGCATTTAATAAGACCTAATGTATTAGCACCAGCAGCTGGATCAGCAAATGGACCAGCGAAAATAAAAATTCATACTCCAGCATTATTAACCATATTAGAAATTATATCAAAACAAGTATTAGGTAAAAGAATTATAGGTAGTTTATTAGGTATAAGATCAGATGATGGATTAGAAATTGAAATTAAAGATGCATTTATGGTACCATGTAATGAAACTGGAGAATCAATAGCTATAGAAGATCAAGCTCATAAATTATTATATCAACTTTATAAAAAATCACATCCAAAAGAAACTGTTATTGGATGGTTTGGTAGTATGAAAGAAATTGATGATACAACTAGTTTAATACATGATTTTTATTCAAAAGGTCAAGATAGATCATTTCCACATCCAGCTATATATTTAAATATTGAATATTTAAATGAACAAAATGAAATCATATCTCCAAAAATTATAACATATATTGGAGCAGCAGTTGGTAAATCTCAAGCTAAATCAAATGTACAAATTGGTTGGAATAAAACTACAAATATAAATAATTCATATATTTTTACACCAATTCCTAATGAAATTATAAATGGTACAACTACTGAAAAAATAGCATATAATCAATTATTACAAAATTCAATAAATAATAATATAAATAATTCATCACAAAATTCATCAATTCAAAATCAAAATCAATTATCATACGTATCACAGAATTTAAAACAAGTTCAAAAAAATGTTGAAAATTTATTAAATTATATTAATTCATTAACTACCCAACAAAAATCAACTGATGAAAATTTAAATCTTTTGAGAAATTTAATAAATAATTTATTATCAAAACCTCAAATTTTAAATAACTCTAATGAATTAAATAAAATGTTTGAAAATCATAATCAAGATGTTATAATGATTGAATATTTAACAAAAGCTGTTAAAGATCAAATTGAATTAAGTGCAAGATTAACTGCTAAAGCTGAATCAGAAAAAAGATATTAAAAGGGGAATAATACATATAGGAGGAAAAGGAAAGAGTGAAATCAACTAGAATTTAATCAAAACTCAATGATTTAATCAATTTGTTTGAACTAAACATAAATGAAGTTTGAAACAAGAATTTCAATAAATCAATTTGAATCTATTGTAATACTGATATATATTAAATGTTATTTATAGACCAATTTTCAATATTTTGAAAGAAAATCTTTATAGAATCAAATAAAAGACTAAAATGTAAAATAACAACATAAGTAATCATCAGCTTGTATAACTCCATATCTAAAAGAAGCACACTATCATTTACCTAAACTGACTTTTAGATCAAAGGGAGTAGTGTAACCAAAACCAAAATGTAAACGATCAGTTATATCTAGTTATTGAGTATAAATCTTGAATGAAAATTCCGTCTCGACAATGATTTGTTAGCTTTATGTTATTCTTTTTCAGAAATCATTTTAAATTGTAAAGTTCAAAATTGTGAACGTCCAAATAGGTTTCTTTTTTATTCATTGGAATCACTTAATAATAACTTCAACTCTCTTTGTGACAAGAACAGATTAATTATTTCCTCATCGGTAGTACAAACAAAGTGATCATCTTCTATCGGTATTGGGAATGACGTGAGCTCTATACCTTTAGAAAATGCAAAATTTAATTTCATAGTATTAATATAATCAGGATTAAATTCCAAATAATTACCAGTTTGTGAATGAAAATTATAAAATTTTCCATTCATTTTTAAAAATTTACTTTCACCTTCTTGTCGATATAATTCACCATAATTTTTTGCGCAATTGTCTGAACCTGACATATATTTTATTAGAACATCTTTATATGGACCTTGCGTTACAAAATGAGGAAATTTAAGTGGTTGTGATAAGTGTATTATTATTGGATCATCGATTGTTAAATTATGATTCGAAGAAGCTTCTGACCAATCTGTTCTTTTGATTGACATTGTCCGAATTTTTAGTTAAGAGTTAGTGATTGAATTGGTTTTTTTGTAAATTGATGATAAATTTAAGGTCAAAAAGTTTTGAAATTTAATATTTCACCTTTATATCTCGTTATAAGCGCATGTGAAGCGCAAAAAGGATATTTTTTCAATATTGGGTTCTTCAATTAATGCGATAATGCACTATTGATTAAAATTGTTATACAATTTTTCCTATTCTTGAATATGTTAAATATTGGCAGTTATCAATCAAAAGTAGTTGTGGAACAGAAGATAAATCAAAATTGCGTCAAAATATTAGAAGTTTTTGATAAATCAAACAGGGTGTATACATATACGTTGAATTGAAAATTTATTTAGTTATTGTGATATATTTATTTATTATTAGTAAAAACAAATTCTTCAATTATAAGAGAGGTAATCTGAGACAATATGAAAAAAAGGTGTGGATTAGATCAAATAATGAAGTTAAGATTATTGTTCTTATAAAAGTAGCAAATGAAGAAGTAACTTTTAGATCGATATTTACTCACGATATTCGTTTCAAATTACGTATTTCTTTCTTTTAAATCGATCTGTAAATTTTTTTATTTTCTTCTTTTTCTTGAAATTTAATGTTACATAATTTGAAATATTTTTTATAAAGATGTGATAAGTTAAATTTAATTCTTGAATAGAATTATCACAAAATGGAGAAAAGGTCACAAGAGATTATATCTGAAAAAAAAGGAGAATAAAGAGAGTAATTAGTTGTGTTACATTGTTAAATATACAAAATTTCAATATATATCACAAATGAAATAATTATTGTTTATAAAAATATAAAATGTGGAAAATAATTTTAATTTATTAATACAAACTATTAATATTTAAATAATTTAGTATGAGACAACTTTATGAATATGTAAAGATCAATAAACAACTAGAATCTTATATTACACCTGTAATTATAGCTTATCCCTTCTTGTACTGTAAACTTATAATCTGATCATCATCAAGTACTGTTTCAAAATATTGTTTGATCTTAAATAATAAATCAAATGTACAAATATTATTTTTCTATTCTTTATTGTTTTACAATTAAAAATAAAATAAAATAAAATAAAAAAAAAAAAGAGAAGAGATAATTACATATTTAATCAATTATCAATTCACCCTACCCCTTTTATTTTTAAATTTATAAATCAAGATATATTTTATCTATATATTCAAGTTTATAAGTTATTTTGTTTATTCATATATCATATAACAAGTTCATTAGTTACTTTGATCAGTTCAAAATATTCCATTAATAAATTTCAATAGGAGTATATTTCATTTATTGAGGAGAAAAACAGAAATTTATATAAATATATATACATAATTTTGACAACCAATTTTATTAAAAGACTTATTATTACATAAAATATTTATATATTCGAGTTATTAATCAACTAAATTAAGTTATATTTAACTTATTAATATTTATTCATTCATTGGACACCATTATATTTATATATATTTGAAAGATATATATTCTATTAATCACCAATTACAATCAAAAAACATATTTCAAATATTATGAATAATTTTCGAAATATTCAATTTAAATCATTTATATTTACATATTTTACAAATCATTTTATAATATCGATATAAAATATTTTATATATAACATTAACACCGTTTAATTTTTTCTCAACAAAAAGACTGGACAAAAGGAAGATATAATATAGATTATTTCTTCATCAAGGAAGAAGAAGAAGAATAAGAAGAAATAATCATAATTGTTACAAGCATACAACCTATAAGAGTATTTTTTATTAATCAACGAAAAATTTTATAAATTTTAAATTTAAAAATGCCTAAAAGTCCAAATAGTATTGGATATCAGAATAATTCTCATTCGGGTAAATCAAAATCATCTACTTATTCAAATTCATCAAATTTTGGTAAAAATCAATCATTTAATAATATTAATCATAATTTTGGTGGTAAAAATTTAAAGTCTTTAAATAAAAGAAAATTTAGTATTGCAAATTCTACTTCGTCATCATCAAGGGGATCATCAGATAATGATAATGATTTTATAGATGATTATGATTCACAATCTACAAAAATTAATCATGCTGATAAAATTAAATCTCAAGGATCAAGGTCAAAAAATTCAAAAGAAGTTCATTATATTGACTCAGATTCGAATTCAGATTCTTCTTTAACTGCATTTTCGGATAATGATGATTCCTACGTTAAAAATAAAAAACAACAAAAAAACCAATTATATTCATCAGGTGGTAAAAAAAGTATAAGTAGTGGTAAAAAGAATAAATTTGGTAGAAAGGAACTACCGAAAAAGACTTTAGATTATACTAAAAATAAACATTATCAAGAAGATGCTATTATGTTATCTTCAGATGAAGAAGAAGGTTCAGTAGATGATCAAAAAGATGAAGAAGATGAAGACAACGAAGAACAAGCTCATTTAGCTGGATTATATTCATTAATGAATAAAGGTAAACAAATAAGAGCTTATGATTCAAATGAAAGTAATAATGAAGATTCAGATGAAGAAGTGTTTAGTTCATCAGATGATGATTCAGATGTTGATTTTGTTAAATTACAAAAACAACAAAAAGCTCAGTCATTAAAAGCTGCAAAAGCTTTAAAAGGTTTGAAAAGAACTAGTAAATCAAATAATGCAGAAAATTCACAATCAGAATCGGAATCAGAATCAAGTACAGAATCAAGTTCAGAATCAGAAGATGAAGAACCACAATCCCATAGGAAAAACAAATCAGAACCACCACAAGTTCAACAAAGACGTAAAAGTTTAATGAAATTTGGTAGAAGGAAATCAGATGCAGTTTTACCTGATTTAAATTTTACATTTGATTTTGGTAATGAATTTGGTAATGATAATGATGAAGCAATAAAAGATGAACCAATAACAAAAGTTGAAGAAGAAGACATTGGTGAAGAAATTGATTATTCACCTTCATTAAATAATTTAGATTCACAATCAAAAGAATCAAATAATCAATTTGATTTTGAATTTGATACTAATTTATTACATATCCCCAAAATTGATGAAAGTGAAATCAATTCAGATGAAGATTATGAAATTGATGATAATGAATTACTAGCAACTTTACAAGCTGAAAATGATGTTGATGAATTTTTACCAAATATTTCAATTGATGATAAAGATTTAATACATTCTGAAAGAATAAGGAATTCATCAATAACTTCTTCTGTAAATGAAAACGATTCACTTTCACATCAAAATGATTATTCAATAGACGAGAATGGAGATGAAGATGATGATAATGATCCATTTTTAAAAGAAGAAGAAAAATATTTAGTTAATGAATTTGAAAATAATGGATTTGATGTATTTGATGATGATGAAGAAGATGAAGAAGATGAAGAAGAAGAATTTACATTTGATGATAATGGAGAGTATTCAACTTCCAAAAAAATTGTGAATGCATTTAAGGGGATTGGAGAAGATAAATCAAAACCAATAGTACAATATGAAAGTAGTGCATCTAATGAAAGTGAATATGATGAAGATGAATATGTTGATTTTATTGAATTTGATTTACCATTATTTGATAAATCTTCAGCCGAAGAAGAAGAAGAAGAAGAAACAAAAGATGGCGAAATCAAAAGGAATAGCTCAAGAAAGACCAAAAAGAAACTTACGAATAGTGATGAAGATGATGATACTTATTTATGGAATTATTTTTTCAGTTCTGATAATGAATCAGATAATAATGATCAAAGTGAAAATAATGAAGAATTTAAAAGAAAAAATTCATCATCATCATCTAACAATAATCAAGGAAAAAAATCAACAAATAAAAAGAAACATTCAAATTCATTTTCTCAATATCATCAAATAATGAATTTTGATTTCGACAATCATCACAAAAAGAATAAGAAATCACATACAAATTCAAATGATATAAAAATTCAAGGGTTTGATGAGGATGAAGAAGAAAAAGACGAAGATGATGATCAACATTATGATAGTTCAGAATCTACTGACCTTGATGAATCATTACCAAAAACAACTCAATTTACAAAAATTCCAGGTTCAAAAAAGGCAACAGAAGTATTATCTTCAAAAACAGCAGATTATAGACCTCCAATGTTAGGTTCTTGGGTAACAATAGATAGTAAACCTTTTGGAATAATTGATGGATTAAGTACAAGAACTTTACAACCTAATAAACAACAAGAACCAAGACATTTTAATAATAAATTTAATTCAAGTGGTGGTGATAATAATAATCACTCATCAGGATTTACAACAACTGAATCATCTTCAACCAACAAAAGTGTTTTACCTACAACACATAACACAAATAATCAATCATCACCATCATCAACAACATCGACATCAACAACGTCAATACCACAACAATTACCAATTCAATCACAACATCAACAAAAAAAAAATTTATTACAACAAGATGATCAAGTATTAAATTTAGATGAATTATTAAATATTAGTGAATTAGATAATAATGATGAAAATGATGTACGAATATGGAGAGATTTTTCAAATTCTCAAAAATCAAGAGTACCATTGGGAGCATTTAGAAATAAATCTATTTTACATAATCATCATCATCATCATCATCATCACAACCAAAATCCGAAAGTTAGGAAACCTGGAAAAGGATCTTCGAAAGTGAAACGAAGGAGGGTTTCTGTGATTGAAGCGTTATTTGATAATTAGTTTTTTTGGGAAAGGGTAGAAGTGCTTTTTTATTAGGAGATTGTTTAGTTTGATTTTTGTTTTTTTTATGTAATTTTAATTTTTATAAGTAGTATGGGGAGTTCTTATTTAGTTTGATTTAGTTTAATTTACAATTCATATTTTAATTTTGACTCTAAATATTCGCATAGTTAAAAAAATTATCCTATGTTTTAAATATTTTGTAAATTAAAGTTACGACTTAAAACGCAATTTTTTTGGATTAATTTGAATAATCATCACTAATTTGAACAAGTTCTACTTTAAGTTTTAGGAAGATAAAACATCGACCTCGATTTATTCAAACTTACTTGGAGAAGTAGCCAGGTAAAATTTGTTTAAAGGTTTAATTACTTATACTAAATAGATCTAGTTTTTAATATTTTGTGCGTGTTTTTATATACTAGCTGACGCTCATAAATAATCTAGTGCGTGTTTTCATGTACTAGCTGACGCTCAAATTATCTAGTGCGTGTTTTTAACTACTAGCTGACGCTCATAAATTATCATTTTCATTAATATTTCGCAGTTAAAAGTAGTACATACATAGATTTTGCAGCTAAAGATTTAACATAACATAGATCTTGTCATATAGATTTATCAAGCTTTTTTCTTTTTTAAATTATTTTATACTACTTTTTCTTCTTCAATTGATCATTAACTTCTACTTTTATTCATACTACTTTTATCCATACTATATTTATCCGTACTACTTTTATCCATACAAATGTAGAACTATTTATTAATTACTTTCAAAACTTGGTATCATTATCAATTGAGAAAATTTTGTGAGACATTTCACTTACATAAGTATGGGAATTACCTGAGTTGACTACCTGAGATGTTTTTCTTACCCAATGGACAAAATAAACAATATTATTAAATTTGGGACTTAACCTTTGGAGACAAACTTAATTGACTGACTTGACTATGATATAGATTAGACATTAGAGTGAAGCAAGCAAGATATTTGGTGTTTTGGGTAATTGATTGACAACCTTTTTTGACTTTGATATTTGGGATACATGACTGTGAATGGACAGATCGTTTAGTAGAGATGGAAAATTGATTCAAATTCAACTTTAATTTAATTCATATGATTAAATTTAACTAAAAATTACAAATATAGACAGGACAATTGCAACAAAGCTGAAATAAAACTAGCAAAAATTGCATTTTCGTTATAACATACAACTAGCCACTAAAATAAAATAAAAAAGTGGTTATTAAGAAGCAGGCCAAAACTAGTCGAGACACAGGTTACTCATAACTTGACCAGCTGAAAAGAAATGTTTCAAAAGATGCTACCATATAGCTTGTGACTTTTAAACAATTTGCAAGCAAAAAAGTTGCAAATATATTATTGAAATTTCCTACTTATTGTATATTAATTATCAGGATCAATTAAAAAACTCGAATAATTTGAGTTACATGATCTAAAAACTACTTGAATTTTTCAAAACTACTTGAATTAAGGATACAAAATTACATTAAAGTACCTTAAAAAATCCTCAATTGGGGGGAGTTTACAGCTGTCAACAATATATTGTTGCAAAATTAAATAAAATGTATAAGCACAACTTCAACAATTGCACAATTTGATTATATAAATGTGCTGAAGTGACGCATACAAGTAGCCTATTGATACTTGGAGGTACTCAGAGTTCTCGATACGGCTAGAAAGTCTGTAAATATACCCCCTAAAAAAAATTGAGGATTCGATTTGCGCCCGGACATTTTACTTTTTTTTCAGGTATTATTTCTTATTGCATTTGTAAATCTATGAGTATGAATAAAATATTAAAAATATAATACTATTTACCTACAATACCCAATACAAAATTAAAATGCAACGAAGAACCGATTGAATTGCTAGAACTCGATATAGATTGGGCGAAACATTCTAATTATTCAACATATTCCTCCTAATATCTCCATCACTGATAGTGAACTTTTTTTCTCCTCTTTTCTTTTGTTTTAATTTGATTTTTGATAATGTCTTATTTTTCATTTATAGGTTCGAAAATTGCCTCGAGCTCGTTTACTAACAATAATTGTAGGAAAAAACTATAGCTGGTTACTTTTAAAACATAAAAATAGACGTCGATGTAAGTTTTGTCTCAAAGTTTTTATACAAACCTAAAGGTAAGAATTCTAGTGATAATTTGAAATTGATTAAAAGATATGGATATTGGATTAACTCAATTTTGAATGAGAATTTAGTGTATAATTGTATACCAAAAAAAAAATAGAATCCTATTAAATTGTATTGATTCAAAGTATTTTAGAATTTTGTTCACGCTAATTTTAAAATATTTGATTAATAAATACTAAACTGGTAAAATTAAGTTTTAGAGTTTTTTCTTACGAAAGGAATAAAAATCAGGGGAACTTTAAATTAAAAAACAATAATTATATAAAACATTTTTTGAATATAATTTAACAATTACACAAGCTTTTATTAATAATTTATTGTTTTATAGTTAATGAATTAAAATTATTAGCAAGTGGATGAATTTTTATATGATTTAGGGGTGTAAGATGTGAACAAAATTTCATAGAAATATGATACTGATCTAATAGCTAAAGCGAGATTTATAAACGAGAGTTTAAAATAAAGAAATCATCGAAGTAAATCAAGTCTAATGAAAATAATTTGTAGAATACAATAATTTCTTAAATCTGAGAACTAATTATTTTAATTAATTCGCCAGATTATTTTAATTTTATATAATTGAGAGAAAAAAGAAATAGATAAAAACTCAAATAAAAACTCAATGGAAATGGGAAATCATTCATCTTTATATGATGAATAAATAAAATATTAGTAATTTATAAACTCGTGGTATAAATTTATATATTATGCGATATTTCATAAATAAAATTAGAAAATAAAGGTAGTGTATAATTGTAATAAAATTGACCTAGTTAAAATTTAAATTAAAAAATTTCGTAAATTATATTTAAATTTTTTTCTTGGTAAAGACACATTCTATTTTTATAATATTAGATAATTTTTAGGGGTCCTTTTCACTATTTTGTATACAGTACAATTTATGGAATGAAATATATGATATGTACAAGAGATTAAATATTGATATTATGTATACAATATTAATTTAATATCGCCTCAAAAAATAAAAGAAGTTATATAAAGTAAGTCATTATACATCTTTAATATACTTCTTCTACTTTATTTTCATTTATTGCAACTTTCGTATCTTATAAATTAAATTTGTTTAAACTCGATAATCGAAAGAGATTTAACTGATAATGTATATTTGATTATGAGTATATACATCATAAAGTATTATAATATACTTTCTGTTAAAAGATAAGCCTCTCATTTTTTTTGTTTTTGTTTTTTGTTTTCATATGAATTTTGAGCCTCTGTTTTTATGTTCATGAAATTTTAGTAAATTTTTAGTCACTATATTGAAAGGTTAGAAAAAGAGGAGTAAACAAAGAATTTAAAATATATACTTTGAATGGAATTATCTATATTGTTTACACTACAAAAAGTACTAATAGCTTAGATCTTTCAGATTTCAGACTTTTGATGAATGATATAAAGAGGGATTTGTGGGTGAAAAAATTACAGTTCTTATAAACTAACAAGGTTTTCTTTAAAGTGTACAATAATTTTTAAGCATTAGTAATTAATTTGTTAATACGAGTATTAAATTATCAAATTTGAATTGGATTCTTCTATATTCTTAACTTTAATTTAAAATTTAATTCACGAGATCTTTTTCTTTTTATTTTAACTTTTTTAAAAAGAAAGATAAGAAGAACCTTCAAGTTGAGAATTATAACTGAAAATAAAAAAACCGTTGATTATATTCAATATATTGTGGTTATTTCATATTCTATTAAATGATGATTAATATTTGTGTAATTGATATATTAAATAGAATGATATGTGATAAGAGTTAATAAATTTCATTAATATTAATAAAATAAAATAAAATAAAATGATTTACAATTTTAATAAAAAATAATATTTCCTTTAAATTACGAATATATTTTATATTTATAACCAGAATGAATTAAATTTTGAATAGAATTTAAGAATGATATTAGATATTTATATATTATAGATTTTATTCATTTATTCATTTATTCATTTATTCATTTATTCATTTATTCTTCTTGTTTATTTTCTTTCAATTCTTACAATTTTATTTCAATCATTATTCAAGTTTACAACTTAAGATACAATTTTATACTTTAATTCTTTCATTTATATATATATAAATTTCATTCGTTATATATACCATCATTTAATACTTAACTAATTCATTCACTTTTATATCTTAATCAAAAGAACATTGATTATCAAATCATCATACCATCAGACCAGTCACTAGAGAATTGAAAGTATTCTTAATAATTGATAATAATTATCTCACATATAATAGTGAATTTTTTGCAACACATTTTCAAACAACCACGAGTTTCAAATTTACAACTCAATTTTCAACACATTATAAATTAATAGCATATAACCTACATATATATTAAAGATGATTAAGCTATATAACAATAATAACAAATTTCAGAAAAGAAGAATTACTGTATATACAATATTTTCAATATGGATTATTGGAATGCTATATTGGTATAGTCATAATTATTACTATAATAATCATCAAATAGATGATTTTGAAGATCATTCAATATATAATATTTATGATGATCATTATAATCCAATAGCACATAGTCAAGAATTATATTCAAATTCAAAATCATCAACTACTACCACCATAGATTCAAACCCAAAATCAATTATAGATTCAGAAGAAACTGTTACAGAAACTAATTCAGAAACTACTTCGGAAACCTTTGAATTAGGTCCAACTGATTTTGAAGATCCAACTGATTATTCTAATTATAAGTTTAAACAAGCTGAATCAAAAGCATATAAAAAAGTAATTGAAGAATATGAAAAAGAACAATATCAAAAAAATTTAAAAGATTTTAGATATAATAATACATTTTATGAATCTATTAAAGAAAATTCAAATTTAACAAAACAATTTGATCCATATTCATCAATTTATGATTCCATATTTAAAGATCATTCAATGATGTCAATAATGAATGATTTAAATTTTAATGAAAGATGTGATTTATTTTTTAAACATATTTTTCTCAAAGACCAAAATTGGAATTTTAATCCTCATGAAGATTATAATGTTCATGAAGATGGTAGATTAGATGAATTTAAAGCAAATAATTTTAGGTTGTTAAAATATAAATATTCTTTAAAAGAAGGAAGAGATATTTTTGAAATAGATGATCATGATGATGGTTTTAAAAATTATATGAAAGATGAATATAGAGCTAAAATGCAAACTGATAATGAATTAAAAATTATTGATAATTTATCAATTTTAAGAATTTATAATAAATGTTATGTAACAAATGATGAAACTAATCAACAAAAACAAACACAAAAATTTATAAATGATCAAAAAGAATTTATAAAAGATTTTAATGAAGAATCTTATTTATATGAAACAAAAGAAAATGATAAAATTTATGATAATAATGAAAAATTTGAATTAAATAAATTTGAAAAATTAATTAGTGAAGAAAACATTGGTAATAAATTTCAACATAGATTATATCCATGGTTATCATTTGAAACACCAGTTTTTGAAAGATGGACAGGACAAATTTTCAATCATCCACCAAATTTTAGAAAAATTTTAAAAGATTATAGTCAACCAATTAATAAAAATTCTAAAACATCATCAACAAATTTTTATTCAGAAGATTCAAAAGATTTTCATAAAAGTTCAACTAATTTTTTTAAAAATTTTAAAAATGAATGTAATGGTAAAGGTTTAGTATTATCAGTTGCTGACAAACATGTTGATTATGTTGTAAATTTAATTCATTTATTAAGAGCATTAAATAATAAATTACCTATACAAATAGTTTATTTTAATGATTTAAATGAAGAAACTAAAAAAAAAATTGTTACTGCAGCAAGAGAAACTTTTTCACATTTACCAACTTCATTTCAAAAAGTATCAGAATTATTTCCAGAAGATTATTTAGATCCGAAATATAAAGGTTTACCAAAACAAGAAGTTTGGTTTGTAAATACTGCAAATGTTATAAATGAAAATTTTAAAAATAAATTTCATGGATTTGCTAATAAATTATTAGCTACTTTATTCAATTCTTTCAATGAATATATGTTATTAGATGCTGATACAGTTATGATGCAACCACCTGAATTTTTTTTTAATTTAGAAGGATACCAAAATACTGGAACTTTTTTTTTCAAAGATAGAGGAGTTTTCCAAAGAAGAACAATGGAAGATGGTTATTTTTTCCATAGAATTGCTCCATCAACTATTGATTCATTAATGTTTAATATTCCAATAATTACAAATTATACATTAGGATTTGAAGTATTTAGAGGTTTAACTCATACAATGGAAAGTGGATTAGTATTAATTAATAGAGAAATTCATTTTAATTCAATTATAATGATTAATCATATAAATTTAATTCATTCAATATCAGATAAATTATATGGTGATAAAGAATTATTTTGGTTAGGTTTTGCAATAAATGGTGATGAAAATTATCATTTTAATAAATTTAATGCTGCTTCTATTGGTTCATTAACTCCAATGGGCGAAAGAGTTAGACCAGATGGTACAAATCATCATTCAAAAGAATTATGTTCACCACATCCAGGTCATATAAATGAAGAAGATGATCATTCATTATTATGGATTAATTCTGGTTTTAGATATTGTCATCAATCACCAAGAATAAATTTTGAACAAGAATGTAAAATTGGAGAAAGATTAAAATTTTTAAAACCTGAACCAAATGTTTTCAAAGAATATTATTATAATCCATTAAAGATTAAAAATGCAATAATACCACCAATGGATACTGAATTATTAGATCATCCAAATAATCAAGATGAACCAGCAAGTGGTTGGATAATGGATGGTAATTATTGTTCTTCTTATTTATGGTGTGCTTATTCTTCTGTTGGTGGTACAACAAATAATAATGATGATAATACAATGGAAGGGATTTTAATAAGTTTTAATTCTGTTGAAAGAGCTTTATTTGATTATTATGGTGATATTTGGATTGGAATGGAATAATTAAGAGGGATGGTTATTTTTTTCAGGGGGTAAACTTTTTTAATTTATTTATTTAGTTGGATTTTTGTATAGTAGTGATTTTAGGTAGAAGATTATAGATTTCAGTAATAAGAATTATATTTATTGTAGATTTAGGCTATCATCAACTTCTTGATATAAATTAATTAAGGGTTCAAATCGGATAAATGAAATCAACTTAAGTCGTGTGATTGTAAACAAAATTTATCTTTACTCTCTAAGCATTGATTATGAATTTCGAACAAAAACAGGTTAAGAAGTTAAATTTCCCATCAAGCTAGAATTAGTCCAATCTTAGCAGCTCATGTAGTCAGAAGCCAGAAGCTGATCCAAATGTTCAATTAAAATTTCTGCTTCAAACGTAAATGTATCATGAAATTGTTAGACATAATTAAGTATATAATACGAGAAACGCTAAAAAAAATTACAAAAAGATTATTATTATTTTATCTGAAACAAAAAAATTTTAATAATTTATTTACAACACTTTTTTTTTTTAATATATCTATACTTTATTCATCAAAAATACCATCATTTATCCAACATAACATTATCATAATAACTCTTTAATATTGTATATTCTATACGTTTATTCAGCAGCATCTCTTGTACAGAAGAATTTTGATTGATTCGATTATAATTTATTATATTAAACTAAAGAATTAATTATTACACCTGATTAGATTAATAATATTACCGAATTTGAAATAACATAATATATCAAATTTGATTTGAGACATACCATTTACTACTTCAAAACTCATATATATTTTATTTGAACATACTTTAATTACAAATCAACATTAGCAAAAGCTGAAAATGCCAAGAGTATCAACAAGATCAAATAAAGGAGTTCATTCACAACGAAATAATCATGAACAGGAAGAAGAAGAAGATATCCAAATTCAAAATGTTAAAAAATTAAATAATGGTACCAACAATAAAAAACAATCAACTAAAGAAGATGATGATGAAGAATTTGAACCAAAAGAAGAAAAAAAAGAAGAACATCAAGAAGAAAATGATGATGATTTAGAAGATGGAGATATAAGATGTGGACCATGTGGAGCAACTACTGAAAATTATGATGAAGATAATGATCCTCATGGAGCAATGGTATTTTGTGAAATTTGTAAAAATTGGCAACATTTAAAATGTATGGGATTAAGAAAAAATTCAAAATTAGATGATTATAAATGTGATATATGTTCTGGAAATCCAAGACCTCCTTTAAGAAAAAGAAGTTCATCTTCTGTATCAAATAATGAAGAACAACCAACCAAAAAAAGAGCTACAACTAGTACAAAAAGAGCTTCTACTAAAAAAGAATCAAACTCAAAAGCAACTGCTTCGAATACTACTAAGAAAAATCAATCAAAAGAAATAAAAGAAACTGGACCATTTGATTATTTGAAAGTTCCACTTAGAATAAGTACTGCTAAAGCATTTTTCAATTTTTTAAGAAGATTATTATTTGCTAAAAATGAAATTGAAGAACCAAAACCTTCTAATAGTAATAATGATACAACTACATCAACTGATGAACCATCAAAACCAGAAGATCCAACAAAGCAAAAATTAGAACAAGAATTAATCAATAAAGCACAAAATCTTGCAATTAAAATTGAAGAAATAATAAGTAATAAATTTACAAAACAAGCATATTCAGATGAAGGTCGTAGAATATTATTCATTTTGAAAAAAGGTTTAGGAGAAGAATTAATATCAGATGAATTAACAGTTGAAGAATTAATGAATAAAACTCCACAAGATTTAAATGCTGATATAGTTAGAATTGAACAACAAAATAAAGCAAATATTAAAAATATAGTATTAGTTGAAAATGATCAAACTCAAATTGTTAGAAGAACTCATAAGGGAGAAATTATTAAAGAAAATGAAAATAATTTTATATCTCAAATGGATGAAAGTATAAATGCAAGAAAAGTTGATCATCGTAGATTTTCACAAGATATTGAAAATTTAAATTCAAAAATTATTGATACTAAACATAATGAAAAAATTGCTTATAATAATTCAAATCCAAGATTAGAAGATGATGATTCAAGTGATGAAGAAGTTCAAAGTGATATTGATTTGGATAGAGATGATGATGATGAAGAAGTCACAAAAAATCAACACCACCACCATAATAATAACAACCAATCCCCACCAATTCATCATGATGAACAAGGATCAGTAACTGAATCATTAAGTGATAACCCTCAAAATACGACACCAGATGAAAATAATTTAAAGGAATTTTTATCAAATGAATCAACTAATAATAATGAACATACCACCACAACAAAAAAACCAAGTTTATCTCCAACATTATCAAGTGAATCAACAACAACAACAACTCCAAATTTACAAAAACCACTACAGGAATTATGGCAAGGTTCATTAACATTCCCCGATTTAGCTCATTTCAAAGCAAAATCTTACTATTATTCATCAACAGATTATATAAATATCCCCACCACTTCAACCTACCAAAATTCAACCAATATAGCAAAAAACATTTTCCAAGATTTAAGATATACAATCCAAGGAAAATTAAATAAAGAAAAATGTGAAAAATATCTAAATGAAATATTAACAAAAAGAAATCTTTATTTTATTGAAATAAAGCCAAATAATGAATTCTACAAAGATGATTTGACAAAACAAACAAAAAATCAAAAAAATTTCGATACTTTATATCATTACCTTTTAAAATATAACAAAGTTGGAGTATTAAATAATAAACCAAATTTTGTAAAAGATTCTTATTTAATGTCTATTGATTTTAGAGATTATAATTTATCAAAAAATTTTAAAAAACATAAAACTCTGGAAAAAATTGGGTTATTTGCTGTATTTGTTGTTAGTAAAGATTATAAACCTACTAGTGAAAATGCTGTGGATGATGATAATATGGAAGATGTAAGAATTGGTTATAATTATCCACCTAATCCTAGTTCTTCAAGTCAATCTAAAAATCAAAATTTGGAATCTATTTTAAGTAATCTTAATTAAAAACTGGTCCAAAATCTCTTGGTTTTTTAGATGAAATTGATGAATTGAAATGCCTTGGTTTGTATTGATATATAGCAATCATGAATAACAACTACGTAATTAATAATACTACTTTTATGAATAAAAATTTAATATCTATTTGTAGAACTCTCTTATACTTTAAATCTCTATATAATTTTTTGTGTTTCAAATAGCGCGTTAAATTAACATGTATATAATAAAAATATTATAGAAATCAACCTTGACCAAACATCTATACAATAGAATCATATTGGTTTTCAATAACTAAAAGTATCATAATGAAATAAATGAGTGTTGAAGAAGATACTCAATTAGATCAAACTGGGTCCACTCAAGAAATTCATCGTGAAAAGACAATAGACGAACTACAAGAATATGAAGAAAAAGAAGAAGAAAGTTATTACAATTCAAGTTTATTCCAAAATAAAATTGATCCCAAAGAAACCCAACTAATCAACAATAAGAACGGGCAAAATTATGAAAATTTACAGAATTTAGAACAAGATGAAAAAAATCATTCACATAATGTTTATTCTCAAGATACTCAAATTTTACAAAATCAAAATCAAGATCAAAATATAATAAATTTGAATTCTCAAGAATCTATTTCAATGGAAATTGTAGATAATTCATCAACTCAAAATCTCAATCACAAGGTCAATGATTTGAATTATTTACAAGAAAATGAAGTTGAAGTGGATTTAGATGAATTTAATAATAATTCATATTTAAATAAAACAACTCAACAAACTCAACCTACTCAACAATTACAACCAACACAACCTAATCAACAATTACAACCGACCCAAGCAGATTACCCACTTAATTTATCATCATTATCACCTAAATTAGATGCATCATCACCTAAAAAAAGAAATATTCCAATAATAACTACAAGACATTATTCAAATTTACCAGATACTCAAATTATTGAAAATAATAATTTAGTATCTACAAAACTAAATTATCATTCATTACCTGATACTCAGATTATACTACCATCCAATAAGAAGAGAATCGAATTATCAGATACTCAGATTATACCAAAAGGACCTTTTTCAAAACAATGCCAAATAAATAATGAACTCCAATCAATCAAAGATCATAAAGACAATAGTTTAAATAATGAAATTTCAAATGTAAATGATACAATAGAAGATATAGATGATACAACCAATCAATCAGACAAAAAATCAGACAAAAAATCACAACCAACAAATTCAATTCATGAATTACCACCTACACAAATGGATTTACCAGATACTCAAATCATAAACAATAAATCACCTAAAAATTCACCAACTTTGAAAAATTTATCAATATCAGAAAATATAAATCCATTTTTAGATTCAACAAATAAACAAACAACTCCAAAGAATGATTTATTTGATTTTAAAAATTTACATTCTCATAGACAAGTTATAAATACTCAAGAAGAACCGGATACTTCATTATTTCAAAATAAAACAAAGGGAACGATTGAAGTTCAAACTGATGATGAAAAAGATATAAGTCACGAAATTGATGAAGAAGATGAGAAAGAAGAAGTAGACGAAGAAGAAGAAGAAGGAGAAGAAACAGAAATACCAATAAATACAGAAATGAGAGATCATTATGAAGATAGTATAATTACTTATAAAAAGAGAATATTATCATATAGTCCATTCAAATTGAAAAGATCTAAAACATCAAATGAAAAAGATGAAGAATTAAATTATAATAATACAACAAAGATAAAACTGTTTTTTAATAGACCTGAATTATTAAAAACTCCAGGTACTCAAATTAGAAATTATTCTGAACCTTTAATTTTTGCATCTCCATTTGATAATTTTCAATCTTCTTCTTCACCAAGCAAAAAAATTGAAAAATTAAATAATGATAATGTTAGTGTTGCTGATCAACTGATTAGAACCGAGGAAGATAACACTACTATGGAAGTTGATGTTCAGTATCATGATGACAATAATGGTCATGATAATAATGGCACCACTAATAATGATATTATTGATGACATTGTAGAAGAGGAGGTTGGTGAAGTTTTGAATACAGATGAGGGACAAAGTATGACTTTGAAAATTAAGAACAATGCGAGACAACAAACACCTCCTAGTTCTCCATCCAGAATGACTCAAGAATTAAGTGAAGATGATGAAGACACTCATATCGAAGATGCAAAAGATGATGAAGAAGAAGAAGATAAAACAATTTCAGAGGCTCCAATAATAGCAAGAAGAAGAAGAAGGAACAATATTATAGAATCACAATCAAATGGTGAGGATACAACATTTATTAATGAAGAAGAAAATTCTCAAAATGAAGTAATATCTGGTATATTACGAGAAGAAAAATCTGATGTTATATTAACAACAGATATAATTAATCAAGAAAGTGTTTGGGTAAATTATAATTTAAAAATGTATACTGGTTATATAATTACAAAATACTCAGATAATTCAATAATTAATTTTTATGAAGAATCATCAACTATTAAAAATGAAGATTTAAATTATTTAGATATTAGAATTGGTGATACTTTAAATATTAAAACCAAAAAATTTAAATGTATCGTAGTTGGATTATCTAAAGAAATAACAACCAATAATATAGATAACGATATTAAATGTATTAGAGGTTATAATATGGTTCACTTAAAGAGAAAATTAAAAGGCAAGAGTAAAAAAATTGAAGATAAAGAATTTGTTATACCATTATCACAATGTTGGATGGAATTAGAAGATTGGATGATTCATCAACAAAAATTTCAAATTATAGAAAATTCTAAAAATTCATCACAAACAGTACAAGCATCAACTCAAACTTCGAATAACCCTACTAAATCAATTTTTTTACCATCAACACCTAAAAAGATATCAAGGCATTCTTCAAATCCTAATGATTTTTTTCCTAAATCATTAACTCCATCCCCCAAAAAATCTAAAAAAATCGTATCACTGATTTTTGCTGGGTTTTTATTTTGCATCACAAATATAAATGATCAAAGAAAAGAAGAACTTAGAATAAAAATTGAATCAAATGGTGGGACTTACTTAGATTGTGATTTATTTGAAATTTTCCAATATTGTAATCATCAAAATAATGGATTATTTTTAAAACCTTTAAATTTTATAACAAATGATTTAAAATTTGGTTGTTTATTATCTTCGAATTATTGTAGAAGTTCAAAATATTTACAAACATTATCATTAAATTGGCCAATATTATCAGATAAATATATTGATGATGTATTAGTTAACAACAAATTGTTAAATAATTGGAAAATTTATGTTTTACCATCTGGTTTTTCCAAACATTTGAATTGTATTACGTCGATGAATTTATACAAATTTTATGAGAATTTTATGAAAGGGTATGGATTAATTGATCAATTGAAACTTAATTCTAATTTATTAAAGGATTATAATATTTTAAATTTAAATATTTCAACTACTTATAAAACCAATTCAAAATTTGAAACTTGTAAATTTATATTTCATGCATTTGGAGTTAATTCATTAACTAATCTATTAGTAAATGAGAATCACTTAGAATTGAAATCAAAAATTCAAGAAATCAACCATAACAATAAGAAAATTTTAGTTTATGATTCAGGAAATTTAAAATTTAACTTAGTTGATTATTTAATTGAAATTTTTAATGATGAATCACACCGTAAAACAAGAAAATCTAAACGATCTACTTCAAAAGATTTAAAAATTGATATATATATTATAGATTGGGAATGGGTTGTTCAATGTGTTATTAGTGGGTTTATTTGGGAACCTAATCAAAAAATTACTGTTAGTTGTTAATATCGGACTTGAATTTTAGACTTTTTTTCAATTTTTGTTTATAACTTTTTATAATCTAATACAAGTTTTGATGATGATGTTGTAATTCAGTGTATGTAGATATTGATGGTCTTAATACAAATTGTAATAATTACTTTTTAAAAACTTAATGTTCTTTTCAAATAAAGACTATTTGTGCTTCAACAAAACGAACTGTTTTCTAACCTTCTTCTTAACTACCTTGGCCTTTAATAATGATAGATCGTAACAGTTTTTTATTTGATTATTAGTAAGAAAGTATCGAAGATCAGGTAGATGATGGACAAGTTTCAGGTTAAGGTTCATTCTGGTTTGGTAGCGTTAAATAGCTAGTTAAAAATCTAGATTAAAATCGAAAAACATTGCAACATCCGAACCGCAATTGTAATTTAAATAAAAAGGTTTACAAAAACAGTAAATAAATATTTTTAAAATTACAAAAAAAACAAATAACAAGATTGAAATAAACAACTAATTCTACTTTCATCAAATAATAATTCAATTGATATTCCAAGTATTGTGTATTAAATTCAATAAAAGTTTCTTCATCAATCAATAAATTATCATTATCACAAAAATTTATCATTAAAAATTTACGTTGGTTGCGAATTAATTATATTATTGAGTCAATTAATTTATAAGTAGGTCTAACCTGAAAGGAATTCACCATGGTTCAATTTACTGAAGCAGATGAAATCAAATTATTGAAATATAAATTACAAAAACAACAACAAATGATTAATAAATTTAAAAAACAAATCAACACTAAATTTGAAGAATTAAATAAAAAATATAATAATTCATTGAAAGAAATTAAAAAATTAAGAACTGATATAGATGATGTTCAATGGAAAAATAAGATCAATGGAACTAAAAACAATAAAACTATAAACGAAAAAGTTTCCCAATTAAATACTCATGAACAAAGAATTAAAAATTTAGAAAAAATAATTAGCAATTCTCAATCAAATGAAACAGGTGGTGGATCTCAATCAAATGAAACAGGTGGTGGAAATACTAGAATTCAAGAAGTGAAATTTAATAATGTAAATGATAATGGTCAAAACCATTCAAATTTGAGAAATAAATTTGCAAGAACATTTAAAAAATTTAAAAGAAATAATTAATTTTACATTATTCATGTTAATGGCTATATAATTTCAATTCAACCAACTAATAAGTATTTTTGTTATCTTCTAATTTGGTTTCAGGGGTTCCAGCATCTATTTTCTAGCTCAATCCAATAAAATATGCTCTTATAAATTGCATTTTAGATTTATAGTTTATGATTTCTTCAATACCATAAATATTTTTGTAATATCCCCCAAATACCTCTTAAAGATAAAGTACAATTAATTAAAATGTAAACAAAATTATTTTTAATAATTTTATATAAAAACAAAAAAATGTGTTGCCAAAAAAAAAACATTTTTATTAATTACAATTATAAAATAGTGCCAACTTTCAGATTACAATACATTAGTCAATTAATTAATCGTTGTTAAATTAAATTATATTATAAGGTTACAAATTTATTAGCGGTCAATATATTGGTATTTTTAAAACAATTTATTAGTTGTAAGAATAGTCAGTTGTTTTATATTTTATAAAATTTCAGCACCAGTTATCACTCAAAAATACTTTGTAACTCATCGTTGTTGAAGCCATGGTTAGATTTGAAGTCGACAGAGTATTAGAGTCAAAAATTGAAGACTTAACTTTACTATTAGAAGACCAAAGAGATGAATTAAACCTTTTTACTAAACAAACTAATGAAAAAATTGAAAGAACTAATGAAAAAATTGAAAGAACTAATGAAAAAATTGAAGGTTTAGAAAAAAATTGTGCGAATCTATTGACTGCATTTCGAGAAATCAGAGATCATCTTGAAAATAATCATTTAATAAATGAAGAAAGAAATAATCAAGATGTTGAAGAACTTAATTCTGAATTAAGTAAAATTAGAAATGATGTTAAAAAACATGATTATAAAACAACTAAAATTAAAAGTGATGTTAAAAAACATACTTTTAATATAAGTAAAATTAAAAATGATATTAAGAAAATTAAAAATAAAATGAATTCTAAACCAAAAAAATCAATCACAGAATTTATTGAAAATGAAGAATGTGATGAATGTGAAGAAAGTGAAGTCACTGAAGAAAGTACACATTTAGAATCTTCAAATCAAAAACCTAAATTCTTTTTTCCTAAATATTTTGGTTCGAGTACTTTTGAAAAATCTACAAAATAATAATTTTATCACCTAATGTAAATAGCTAAATAATTTATCTAATAAATAATTTTATCATCTCTCAAATTCATTACGAAACATTAGTAGTAATTCAAAATTCTCAGCGTTGACAAGATATTATGGTGGAATTATATTTATTAGTAGACTTGGAAATAAACTTACGAAATTATATTTCAATTATACCATTGAGGTATCTCGTCATTTTAAAGAGTTATTTTATACTCATCATAAGTGCTTTAAAACAATGTGAAAAGTTCATAAATATTTTGAAAATTTAATTCATCGTTCTATGAGTAAAATTGAGAGATAAAAAAGATAAAATTCTTTGATATAAGTATACATGAACTTAATAAAAAGTTGAAAAGTACTGAAGTTCGGATTCTTCATTTCTTATCTTAAAATTTTATAGATTTTATATTTGAAATATTTTTCTTTTTTTTTGCAACCAAAATTTTTATATAGTCATTTTAAAAATTGAGAAAATATTTAATATAAATTGAAGGAAGCTTAGCCCGGAGCTCAATTGATATTTCAAAAACCCTTTCAATAAACATTCAATGAGTTGGAATTATAAAATAATAATTTATTATAATTCTTAAGTTGATGAAACGTCAACTAAATAGAAAATATTGTTGGTTTGGTTCTAAGGTTGAAAACATTGGTCATAGGTTAAAAATTTAAATGATATAATTCAGAGCCCCTAAATCGCTTAAGCTACATATGATGGTGTTTCCTATTGTTGTAAACATTTAAATTTTAAATTATGTCATAAATATTATTGAAAAACTGTCAAACTCTTACAATAGAAATTAATGTTTAAATTGTAAATAATAATATTAAATATAATCCCGAGGAATGAAAAAATAATTTATTTTTTTTTCGATTGTTTTTTTTTTTCAGCTTAAAATTTAAAATTTATTCTCTCGAGGATAAAGTCAATAATTTCGGATTTTTATTTCCGCATCGTTTTTTTATCGTATAATTAAAGAGGACTCATTTAATTGTTAGTCATGTTCTATGCTTATTTAAGGCGCTAAAAATGAATTTTTCCTTTTATTAATTATGTTAGTTATGAATTAATTATACTAATTAAATTAGTAGACCAATTAAATCATTCAAGATTCTCGAATAAAATATCCTTCATATTTATTATTTATATCAAGTGACATTTTAATTTCAAATTCGAATGATTTAATTCAGTAGATTGTTTAATTTAAATGATCGACCCGGAGCAATGGAATATAATTAATAATATTAGTTGATTTTGAAATAAACTACCGTATATATTTGGTAGCTCTAGTACTACCCCAGACTATTTTCAATAAACTTTGTGTAAATAAATTAATTGTTTTTCCTTATGAAAAATTAAAATATTTAGTTAAGCTTTAATAAGTTTGTTGAAATATTATTTATTATTATTCTTTTAAATAAAAAATTTTATCAAATCTTTTTTATATAACTTTTTCTTTCTTTCTTTATTTAACTTTTTGTAGATTTAATCAATTATATATATATTCAAAGGGTTCAATTAATTGAGTATTATAACTATATCATTCATTAATAACATTACATTTATTCCTCCTCCCTTTTTTATTTATTCAATTCAAAAACTTTATACTTTTCCAAATTTTCAATTCATCAATCAAATTCATAGAATTCAAAAATATAATATACAATGGCAGCTTCAGCAGTTAAAACAGATCCTAAAGCTAAACAAAAAAGAGGTGTAACAGATTTTGTTGCTGGTGGTGTTGCAGGTTTATTTGAAGCATTATGTTGTCATCCATTAGATACTATAAAGGTTCGAATGCAATTATATAGAAAAAGTGGTCAAAAACCTCCTGGATTTATAAAAACTGGTATTAATATTGTACAAAAAGAAGGGTTTTTATCATTATATAAAGGTTTAGGAGCTGTTGTTATTGGTATAGTACCTAAAATGGCTATAAGATTTTCATCATATGAATTTTATAGATCATTTTTCATTGATAAAGATGGTAAAATTACAACTGGTCAAACATTTTTAGCAGGTGTTGGAGCAGGTATTACTGAATCTGTTTTAGTTGTTAATCCAATGGAAGTTGTTAAAATTAGATTACAAGCTCAACATCATTCAATGAAAGATCCATTAGATATTCCAAAATATAGAAATGCTCCTCATGCTGCATATTTAATTTGTAAAGAAGAAGGTTTTAAAACTTTATATCGTGGTGTTTCATTAACTTGTGCAAGACAAGCAACAAATCAAGGTGTTAATTTTACTGTTTATTCAAAATTAAAAGAATATTTACAAAAAAGAGAAAAAACTGAAATTTTACCAGCTTGGCAAACTTCTGGAATTGGTTTAATTTCAGGTGCTTTAGGTCCATTATCAAATGCTCCATTAGATACTATAAAAACAAGATTACAAAAATCAAGTTATGCAAGTAATGAAAGTGGGTTAGTTAGAATTATTAAAATTGGTAAACAATTAATTAAAGAAGAAGGTATTGGTGCTTTATATAAAGGTATAACACCAAGAATTATGAGAGTTGCTCCTGGTCAAGCTGTTACTTTTACTGTTTATGAATATGTTAAAGATTTATTAACTAATGATTCAGTAACTTTAACAACTAAAAAAGATGCAAAAAAATTAAATTAAATAAACTGAAAAAAAAAAAAAACTAGTGTGATTTTTAGAAAAAAGAATTAATAAAAATTGAATCATACTGTGTGGAAATTAATTTTAGCATAATATAGCATCAACAAAAATTTATAATATGTGTAACATTCCTTTTTTTTTTTATTGTATAAAAGTTTATAAAAATTTTAATTGAAAAAACGGTTAATTAAGTATTGTGAATTTGTAGATTTTTTTCCAATTGGTAATCTGATTTAAAAATATTGCTTGATTTGATTTGAAATTTTTCAGATCAGAAATTTTTCAAATGATCCATTCTACCGAATTTTAAAGATCTACAAATTTAACTACGAGAACACCGTTAATCGGATCCTGAACAGAAAAAGTTAAAACACAAACTAAATTATTTTATTAAATAATATTATATAAATTATTTGATTAAGCATATAAAAAATTTATTAGAAATAAATGAAAACAACAAATCAAGCTAGAACTCAGAATCTAGCTTCAAAAACAAAGACATCAATCACTTGATAATCCTAATTGTAAAAAAATCAATTAACGCCTAACTTTAAATTTTTCCCTCACTCTATTTTTCTTTAAAAAGCTTCACCTTTTGCTCTATGAATAGAAAAAATATGAGATTGAACAGCATCACCTCTTGCAAAAGTTTTACCACAATATTTACAACTAAAAGGTTTTTCACCAGTATGAATTCTAATATGAGTAGTTAATCTATATCTTTGATTAAATGAAGCACCACAATGTTCACAAACATAAGGTCTTTCACCAGTATGAATTCTATAATGTCTTGTTAAATCTGAAATTTTAGCAAATGATTTATCACATTCTGGATGAGTACAATGATGGATTTTTGCATGTGGTCCACTTGATCCAGATTCTTTTTTTGGTCTTTTTGGTTTTGATGATACATTTGGATTATTTCCTGCTGCTGCTGCCATAACTGCTGCATGAGCAGTATCTGGATTTTGAAATTGATTATTTGGATCAATATTTTCTTCATGAAAATTTTTATGTTCTGCATCAATATGATTCATTAATTTTTCATATGATATAAATGCTTTACCACATTTGAAAGCATTACAATGAAATACTCTAACATCTTTTAAATCAACATATGGTTTTGTTTGAGTATTAGTTGTTGATGATTGAGTAGTAGTTGAAATTGTTGGAGGAGCATTTGTTGGTGTTCCATCAGCAAAAACATTAACATTATCTTCAACTATATTAGAACCAAATTGTTGTTGCAGTTGTTGCTGTTGTTGTTGAGCCAATTGTTGTTGTAAATCATGTTGTTGAGCTTGTTGTTGAGCTTGTTGAGCTTGAACTTGAGCTTGAACTTGAGCTTGTTGTTGTTGAACTAATTGATGATGTTGTTGCTGTTCTAATTGTAATTGAGGATCTTCACTTGATAAAAGTTGTTGTTGATGTTGTTGTTCTTGTTGTTGAGTTGTTGTAGTTGTTGTTGGTAAATCATCATCTAATACTAAATCATGATGAACATGAGTTTCATGAATTGCTAAATTTGCTTTTTGACTAAATTTTTTACCGCAAGTACTACATTCATATTTTTTAGGTTGTGAATGAGTTCTTCTATGATTTCTTTTATCAATAACATTTCTAAATTCTTTACCACAATATTCACAAATACTTGAATCTGGATTATCAATATCTTTAAAAATTGTTCTTGTTTGTTTTGGAACTTGAGAATTTGAAAAATTAACACCTGTTGCAATTTCAACTGCTGTTGCTACATTATCAGTACCAGGGATTTGATGGAATGTATGATGTTGATTTGGTGGATGTTGATGATATTGATTTACTTGTTGTTGTTGTTGTTGTTGTTGTACTTGTTGATGTTGATGTTGTTGCTGATGTTGTAATAGTTGTTGATGTTGATGTTGTTGTTGCTGTTGTTGTTGTTTATATTTTTTATTTTGATTATAAATATCTTGATTTAATTTAGATTTTCTTGATCTTTTACCATTAGTTGTATCTGATGAATATTCTTCAGCATCAAAAAATTCAGCATTTTCATCATCATCGTCATCATCATCATCTACTTCATCTGCAGGATTAGGAGCAAAATCTCCATCATTACCTGAATCATCACCATCATCAACTTCAAAATCTAATTCTCTAACGTTGGTATTGGTAGCATCTGGTTCTTTTTTGAAAGTTTCAGATTGATGATTGGTAGTTGCCGTTGTTTCATTTGAATGTTGTACACTATTTAATGTATCATCTATTTGTTGATTTACTGAATCTTCATCTCTACCTCCATTACCTCTTAATGATGCTCTTAATTCTTTTCTTCTTGATGATAAAGTCATATTATTTGAAATATCTATTTGATTGTAAGGAACTCAGTTGTAGAAAAAAAATTGAGGATTTTTTTTTAATTAATTTGTTTTGGTTTTATTAATTATTATTATTACTTATAATATTATAATATATTATTAACTATGTAAAATGTAAACAACACAAAATAAAAGTATACGGATGTAATAGAAAAAAAGCTGACGTTTTCAAGTGTTTTCAAGTGTCAAATCAGTCCCTAATCCAGCTAATATTAATGAACATTTCATGACAATGATAGATGATTGAAATGTCTTCATCACGACTATAAATCTTTTACGGGAAAAGGGCTTGCTTATTTCAGGTGGCGATGCTACCAAAAGTACACTACCAAAATCAGAGTACCTTTGAAAATTAAAATATTTTGATCATTAAGTATTGTAGTACGGATTACAAAGGCTTTGGAAAACGGGAGAAAATTTGCATGTATGGCACCTTTAAAAAGGGATTTACACAATACACCTTTGATATCTGGCTATTGCATAATTCCGAACAATTTTATTTTTCTAGCATTATCTTTTTTCACCAGAAACATAGACTTTGCTATTATAAACAATTTAATCTTTATTTATTCACATCGACCACTCACCGAATTACAAATAGTCTTGATCAATTGACACATATCATCTGTACATAATGTTTAATAGACTTATAAGATCAACAAACAATCTAAAGTATCTCAATTCATCAACCAGTCTAAGATATTCAGTTTCAAAAACCAACCAAAAGTATTTTAGATCACATCTTCACACGGCTTCAAAACTAAGTCTACCTAGGTATTCTAATTCAAATTCTGGCTCAAATAGAACAAGGATAACTAAAGAAATTACACCAGAAGAAGTAGCGAAATTCAAAGAGGCACAAGAAAGAGCAAAACAAGCTGGTTCATTTGATGACATAAATACAAATTCATATCAACAACAACAACAGAATCCTTACTATTCATCACCAACTTCACAATCTTACATACCGAAAAATACAAATGGAATTATTACGCCACAAGATCCAATTTATGATATTTTAGCAGAACCGACGTTGGTGATTGAGAGGTCGTTTGAGTATATGAACTTATTCATAGGTTTTGAACAAGCCAATCAATATACTATAATGAATAGTGCTGGAAATATCATTGGTTTTATTAGGGAGAAAGATATTGGGTTCAGTAAAGTGCTATCACGTCAATTTTTTAGAATTCATAGACCATTTGAATTAGAAGTGTTTAATGTACATGGTGAGCTTGCTTTAATTTTAAAAAGACCATTCACTATAATCAACAGTCACGTGAAAGCTTTATTACCAGGTTATGATGAAAATAATGAATTAATGGTTGAAACCGTTGGAGAATCTCAAAGTTTAAAAGGTTGGCATTTATTTAGAAGATGTTATAATCTTTATAAACTTGAAGATGAAGAAACAAATGATTATTCTCAATTTGGAGAAATTAATGCACCTTTTTTAAGTTTTGATTTCCCAATAAAAAATGAAGATAACCTGTTAATTTCACTGATTCAAAGAAATTGGGTAGGTTTTGGTAGGGAAATGTTATCAGATACTGGGATTTACGTTTTGAAATTTGATAAGCAAAGTTTTGGTAATGATTATATTGATGGCAAAATTAGTAATCAAGGTGTTACAATTGATCAAAGGGCTATTATGCTTGCCTGTACGATTTCAATTGATTTTGATTATTTCTCAAGGCATAGTAGTGGTCATGGATTGTTCTCATTTGGAGGTAGTTATGACGATGTATAGAATTTATATTTTAATTAGATCACTCGTAGTTTTGTTAGAAATTTTATATTTTCAAATTTTTTGGCTGCGAAAAAATTGTTCCATTTTGTGTAACGTTTTGAATCATTTAAAATTGTTCCTTTTAATCATGGCTAGAGTGTACGTATTAAAAAGAATTTGCTTCTAATACGATCACAAAGTCTCATTGATTTGAAATCAATTCACTTATAAATGAGCTCAATTAATAAGAAATTGAAACTACAGAATACAAACATTTGTACAAATACACAATACAAAAGAGATACCATGTATTAACTAAATAAGCTCAACACTCCCAATTAGATTCAATTTATGATTTTTCTTTTCTGTTTTTCGAAGATCTTGACTTCAAATACTTATAGTGCACTGAGCAAATAAGCAATTTCAATCTTTCCATTGAGTTGTCAGACGTACTGTTAGGTTCTAGTGATTTCTGTACAGTGATGATATATAATTGATTGAAATTTAGTGACAGCTTTAGTAGTAGTGAATAATAATGAACTCTTGAATTATGAGTTATAATTTGAAAAGCATTACTTGATGATGAACTTAATTAAGCACAACGAGGTGTCTTATTAGATAAAAAAGTATACCGATGTATTTAAAACTACACTACTAAATACTCAAACTTTAAGCAAATTTTTCATTAATAGGTCGCTGGTCGATATCAATCAATAAATTACTTCAAATCGATTAATTGTATTAAGCACGAACATATACACGAACCTAAATTACTGGTTTCTAATAGACTGAGCAATCATTTCTTGAGTTTTATTTCTACCATCTTGCAAAAGTTTTTCCCATTCATCATCAGTTTTCTCTTTACTTATATTTTTAATTAAGTTTACAATTAATCCAGTATAATCATGTTTTCTTAACTCATTTTCTTTATGCCAACCTTCTCTTTTCAATAATTGATTTTGAATTTCAATTTCGTCATTATTTGATTGAGCTTGTTTTAATTTATTATTAGTAATAGCAAGTAATGAAAATCTTAATTCATTTGCGTCGTATTTTGATATTCTTTCTTGGATTATATTTGGGATTTTATTAATGAATTCATCTTGTGTTTGACATTCTCCATGTTTGATTGGGAATTGTTTTAATCCATCTAATTCGTAAATTTGATTGTTTTTATATATGTACCCAACAAAATGAAATAATCCATCATTTTTATCATCGTATGTCTTGGGTTTTGGCTTATCTTCTTGATGAATTAAACTAGGAGTCAGAAATGAATTATGTACTGATCTGATTATTTCACTATTTGATATAGTTTCACCAATCATTTCTGCATCAAATCCAGTAGTGAACATTTTAAAGTTATTTAATTCATCACCTAATTGTAAATCTTCAACGTTGAACAATATATTTAATACTGCTTGAGTTGCACATGCATTTTGAATAGTTTGATTTGCAAAAAAAATATTTTGATCTATGTAATTTGAATCGTATGAACCATTTATTGGTTTATTTAGTTTGACATATTCTCTATCAAGAGCTCCATATTTGAATAAAAATATTATCCCGTAAATTGGTTTTAATTGTTTTAAAGTATCTGAATCAATTGAATATAAGTCATTTATTTCAACATTTGTAACACCTAATTTTTCAACAAGTTCTGTAAAAACACCCTAGATAAGTTAGTATAATGAATCATTAGAACTTATGCTTTTTTAAAATCACATACAGCATCAGAATCTATAGTGTTCCAGCCACTTTCTGACATAATAAGTAGAGAAGGAATATATATGTTGTAGTTGCAGAAGTAATGAGTAGCTTGTAGATTTTAATCTTAATTAAAACATCACGTGATAGTGTCTCGTAATTGATTTTTCAAAAAATATTTCAAGTTTAAGACAACACGGTTTTATATTTGAAGTTAGTATTAACTTCAGACTATCATTGCAGTATATCAATTAGCTTCACATTTTACGCATCACAACTACTTTTGTTACAACCATATCATTAAATAATACAATATAATGTCAACGAATAAAAACTCAGGTCAACCATCATACATAGACTATTTAAACCAATATAAAACATCACCACCAGTAGAAAATTCACAGATTACAACAACAACAACTATATTCACAATCTTTTTGATTTTGTTAGCTTTTGGATCATTATCAATGGCTTTATTAGGAGATATAAGAAAGAAAAAGTTTATTACTTTTTTGCTTAATTCCATTGTTGCTTCTTTAAGTGTTGGATTTAGTGCTATTTACGTTATGAATTATGTTGGAGTATATATATAAAATGAATAAATATAGATTAATGGGTTAAAGATCACAAGTTTTATAAATTATGTAGTATTAACGAGCTAAATACTTCTAATTTTCAGATTTTCCATAATAATGTAAAAATCCACCTAAAGTTTTACAACCATTAATATAATTACTAATATCTAATTTTTCATTAATTGAATGAGCACCATCATCACCTCTACCCATTGGCAATAACAAAACATCAACACCTAATTCTTTTTCAAAAGTTAAAGTTATTGGGATAGAACCACCTTCTCTTGTAAAATCTGGAACAATACCCCAAACATCTTCAGTTGCTTTTGCAGCAGCTTGGAAACTTTCATTGAAAGGATCAGAAACCCAATAATTCCCATCATGAATTAATTCAACTTTAAAATCATTTGGTGAGTTTAATTGTTTAAATAATTTATTTATGTGATCGAAAACCAAAGAATCTAATTTTTTAGATTCAATATTTGGTACTGTTCTTATTGAAAATTTACCAACTACTTTTGAAGGTATAACTGTTTTAGCACCAGCACCTGAAAAAGCACCTTCAATTCCATGTAAAGATAACGATGGGTATCTCCATCTATGTTTCAAAATATCTTTTTTATTTTGATGTAATGCAGTATCTGATCCTGAAGCAGCATTTAATTCTTCAACTGAAAAATCAATATTATCATATAATTTATCTTCTTTTTCAGTTAATGGAGCAACCATTTCATCAATACCTGGAATAAGTATTTTACCTTGAGAATCAACTAATTGTGACATAACTTTAATTAAATCAGTCATTGGTTCAGATATAATACCTCCAAATATACCACTATGTAAATCAGCACCTGGTCCCTTAACAATTATTTGATAATAATTACAACCTCTTAATCCATAAGTTAATACTGGTTTTGTTGTACCTAACCAATAATTATCTGAAATAGTACATTGATCAACATCTTTAAAATAATTTTTTGCTTCTTTTGCAACTAATTCATCTAAACCAAGAGAACCACTTTCTTCCATACCTTCAAAACAAACAATTAAATTAACTGGTAATTCCCAACCTAATTTATTATGAGCTTCAATAACATTCAACCAACCTAAAACAGGACCTTTATCATCAGTTGAACCTCTACCATATAATATTCCATTTTTTTCATCAACAGTTAATTTAAAAGGATCATAACTCCATCCATCTTCTTTTAATGCAGGTTGAACATCATAATGACCATAAATCAATACATTTTTCTTTTTTGGATCTGATCCAAATTTACCTAAAACAATTGGTGGTAATTTTAAATTTTTATCAGTTACAGGTGGTGGTTGAATTCCTAATTCTTTTAATTGAATATCATGGAAACCCAAGTTAGTTAATTCATCAACTAAAAAATGAGCCATTTCAACAACTTTTGGTCTTAATGATTCATCTGATGATACTGATGGAATTGCAATTGCTTTGGATAATCTTTCAATAAATTTTGGTTTTAATTCATCAATTGTTTTAAAAAATGGTTCTAATTCTAATTTTTCATATTTTTCAGACATCTTGAGTGTTGGAAATAAGTTGATCTAACAATGGGTATGAGTTAATAATTTGATTAGATCAATTGAAGCTATGTATTGTAACAAATATAAGTTGATAATGAACTACTTTTAAAAAGAAGGATTATTCATAAATCTAGAGTGTTACATAGAAAATTGACTTCTCTCTTTTTGACATAATTTTTTATTACTAATGCCATATAAATATTTGGCTAGAAGACAAAATTGCCGTATAAACTTAAATTTAAAGATGACTTATACTAAGACAGTCTAAGGATCGAAATCATTTCTAGTGTAATATATCTGTCTCAAAATAGGTACAAACTTTTTCAACTCTTTACTTATAATTTGTTCACTTAAACTGATATACATAATACAATTAATGAATAGTAATTCTACACCCATGAAAAAACGCGCGCTTTCTTACGCGTCTCATTTTAAATTTCAATTTTTATTTAGTATTAAACAATATTATGATTAAATAGATAATCATATAGATATCAGCCATTCATAAACTTCATAATCACATGACAATACTTATTCAATGGATTTTGATGATATAGAATCAACAAGTTCAGATGACGATGATATTTTTGGATTCAATAAACCCAGAACAAAAGTATATGAAAGAGACAAATCATCAAGTAGTCAATCAAAATTAAGTACTACAGGTATAAAATCATTAAAATTTTCAGATCTACTAGTTAAAAAAAGTAGAAGTCCAAGTCCAATAAAGAATGAATCAAGTGCACCGAAAAACGAATACAGTTCCTCAAGAAAGCCAAATCTTACCAAGAAATATGTCGATTTGCCTACTAAGGGAAACACTAAAGTGAATCATGAAGATTTCTTTAATATTGATGTACCCACAATTTTCAAGATAGATGGATCAAAACTAAATAGAGTTAATAAAGAACATAAAGAGATAAAGAAAATTTTTGAAAATCAGACTAAAGCTGAACAAAATATAAAACTAAAACATGAGTGGCTAAAAGTTCAATTATTACGTGAATTAAATGAAGACGAAACAATTAAAGAATACTTGGAAATGAATAATGGTTCAGCAATTAAAAAGTTTGATATAATACGAGATAACTCATATTTGGAAAAACTTATTGAAAAAGATAAATTGAATATTGATGGATATGGAATAAATCGACATTTTTATTGTTTAAAGAATGTTGAAGTTAATGAAACTACTCAACTGGAATTTAATTCAGCTCTACCAAATATAAATAGATCATTAAAATATCTAATTTCAAATAACCCAGATTTAGCTACTAATTACTTAACAAATTCAAATAATTTGAAATCATTCATATTCAAAAGTTTGTTTCTGACAAATATCAATTATCTAGAGTCGATACTAGACTTAATCAAGGGAAGAAACAAATTCACAATTAGTAATGATGAATTTGATCAATTAATTGAAATATTTGGATTTGACTTTAACCTTCTATTGTATAGTGCATCAAAAAACTCAAAATGTAATAATCTACCTATAAAAATAGATCAAATAAATCAGAATTTGAAACTACAACTACTAAGAATTACAATACTATTTCAACTAATCATGAATAATGAGAAGGATAATATAAACTTTTTCAAATTATTCAAAATTTCAATCTACTTATTGATTGATTACAATTTGAATAAATATGAGCTAATTGAATTAAGTAAATTTGTCGTGAATGTTTTTTCTCAATTGATTGAAGGCTTGGAAGAGAATAAGATCATTAAGCTGTTATATGATATAATAACAAATTTAAGAACTCAATTTCCACCAAAGACTAATACTGAAAGGGTCAAAAAAGTAGATTATGAATTACAATATAATGTGATTAAGCTATTGAATATCACCTTTTTGATGAACAATACACAAAAGTTGCAAGATATATCAGCAAAAATCCATGGAATCATAATTGAACTCAATTTAAAATTTTTAATAGGTAATAATTATAACCCAAACTTAACATCAAAACATTCTAGAGAAAATATATTGTATCAAATATCAAATAATTTAATAATTACAGAAAATATTACAATATCATTACAACAAAATGATTTAGAAGTTGCAGATAAGATCTATTGGTTTTACTATAAATGCAAAATCCTACTCTTTTTACTTATAAATATGTTCAATTTAATGTTAACAAAGAAAGAGAATATAAAACTACTAAAATCCATTAAGGTATCAATTGAAAAAATTCAACAAAATTGTTATGAACTTATAAGAAAATTGGGTGGGATTAATATTGATTTGGTCATTGAAAATATGAATAAACATAATGAAGAGTTTGAAAATTTTAAAGATGATGATTCCATAAATGGCAATTCCTTAAAATATCAATATAGTTTTAATAGAGAAGAAATGGTTAATTTTTTAACTGATATTCATCAAGATTTAAGTTTGGCAATTGATAAATTGGATTATGATTTGAAATTAATCAATAATGATTTATTTTATGGTTCATGATGGTTGAACATAATAGAGTTTTGAGATGTTTTTGTTGCAATTAGTATAATGTTGTATAATTTGAAATAAATTCTCAGTTTAAGTGGTTTTTTTGTAGTTAAAATTTGAATTAACTTGGCTTCACAACTACTTCTCTCACATTTGCAATTCTAGTCATTAGATTTTAATGTTTGAACGGACAAATCCACTTCAGCAGTTTGCAAAACATGATCAAACTTCATTAAATATTGTAGTTTAATCGGTTATAAACTTAAAACGTGTTTAGGAAAAAGATCTTAATATTTGCGCTTTTTTATTCAATTGAGAAATAAATATGAAAATAAATCACCACAATTTATTACAACTTTTTGAATCGTTCACATTTTCAAAATATTTTAATCTTCACTTTTTCAAATCTTTTGAGTTCATTTGGCAAATTTAAGTTCTTATATAAAAATCAAAATTACGAGGTCAGTTTGAAATAAAAATTGTGTGATTTTCTGTAAATTATATGATAAAAGCAACAATTAATAGAGGGTTTACATTACAACAACAATTAGGAATACGGCAAATTAACAATAGATACAGTACAAATATGACAATAGAATCACAACATCAACATCAACAACCACTTAATGATAAAGAATCAACTTTTCCATTAAACAATCAACCAGTAACATATATAAATCCGGAATTAACACAATTAGAAAATTCAAAACCAGGTCGTAAAGTTCACTTACCTTTTGGATATGGACCAGTCCCCACCACAGACTCAAATAAAACTGTATTTTTTTTTGACATAGATAATTGCTTATATCAAAAATCTACAAGAATATTTGAAATGATGCAAGTTAAAATTCATGATTACTTCAAAAACAGTCTTAACTTAAATGATGAAGAAGCTTCAAAATTACATTTAAACTATTATAAGACTTATGGATTAGCTATTGAAGGGTTAGTAAGGAATCATAAAGTTGACGCATTGGATTATAATTCAAAAGTTGATGATTCTTTGGATTTGCACTCTGTATTGAGGTATGATAAACCGTTAAGAGATACTTTATTAGAAGTTAAAAAATCGGGTAAATTTGATTATTTCTGGTTAGTTACTAATGCGTACAAGAATCATGCATTGAGAGTGATTAGCTTTTTAGGAATTGGTGATTTATTTAATGGATTAACTTATTGTGATTATTCTAAATTTCCAATTATATGTAAACCAATGAAAGGTTATTTTATAAATGTATTTGATAAAACAAGATTAGATTATCATGATGGATCTGTTTTGGGTAGACAATGGTTTATTGATGATAGTGAATTAAATGTTAAAGCTGCTTTTGATTTGGGTGTTGGTCATGTTATTCATTATGTTGAGGAGGAAGCTGATATTGAGAAATTGAAACAAAAAGATGATTTTAAGAAATATTACGGTGGTGAAGACCGTAAAATATTAATTTTGAGTAAATTTAACAATTTACCTAAACTTTTGGGTATATAAGGGAAGCTAGTTAGTTATAATAGATTAGAGAAATGGAAATAAATATAGAATATTCATAGATAGTTAAAAATAATGTAAATTTTTATACTGGGTCTTGTTATCTCTATATTTTTGCTGCAAAAAAATAAATAAATCAAAAAAGTTTCAAAATAAAAATATCCACAATTTTCAGATCTTACTTGATCTACTTACAATCATCAACTATTCATTGACTATTCATTACTTATTCTCAGATGACAACAAAAAATCAACAGCAGAAACAACTAAAAGGTAAAATACTATTTTTACACGGGTACACTCAAAACTCATCTATATTTTATGCCAAAACATCAGCATTACGTAAAAAAATATTAAAATTAGGTTATAAATGTAAATATTTAAATGGTCCATATGTGTTAACTCCAGCTGATTTACCAACAACTGATTCATTATCTAAATTTGGATCAACTACAAGTGGAGATGTAACTTATAGAGGTTGGTGGATAAAAAATGATCACACTAATAATAAAGTCGATTTGGATAAATCTATTGAATCTTTGAAGGATTATATTAATAAGGGGATAATCATACCAGATGATGAAATAGAGAATGGGGAATTACAAAAAGATGATGAGGAAGATCAGGAACTACCTATTGTTGGAATTATTGGATTTTCTCAAGGTGCTTCATTTGCAGGATTAATTGCTGAAAATTTCCAAAAAATATTTAGTACGTCTTCACAATTAAAATTTGTTATATTATACTCGGGGTTTAAATTAGATACTTCTGCCAAATCAGGTAATGAAAAATACGATTCATTCTACGAAAATCAAAATTCAGAGCTCAGGTATTTGCACATATATGGAGAATTAGATACTGTTGTTGATGAAACTAGAAGTTTATCTTTATATAATATTACAACTACTAAATCGGACTTGTTGAAACATCCTGGTGGTCATTTTGTACCTAATTCCAAGATGTATATTGATCAAGTTGTCAATTGGATTCAAAGTTTGACTAAAGAAGAGGAGAAAGCAGGAGAAACAAATGGTGGTGATAATAGTGATAAGTTAAAGAATGGGAAATCGACGGAAAAAAATGATATTGATTCATTATTAGATATGATGGAAGGATTTGGAAAAGCTTAGCGAGTTGACGTTCTAGTTTATATTTATACTTTTATAGACTTATGATAGATTTATGTACAATAATTTTATGACCACTAAAGTTCATCATGCTCTACTTTATTTTTCTTTTTGTTCTTAGTGGTTGGTGATTTATATTTCAATAATTTCTTACCCTTTTTAGACAAGTTACCTTCAACTGGTTCAATTCCACTTACTTTGATAATCCATTCTTCTATTTTATTTCTATCATTCAATTTTTCTGATTCGTTGTAAATTTGAATTTCACTTTTGTCGGTATTTAAATAGACTAAGGATGATTTTTCACTTATTGGAATTACTAATTCTCCAATTTTTGCAGGTTGTGAATTTAATTTATTTATTATTGCAAAATTTATTTGTGAAATAAAATCAATAGCTAATGATTTAAAAAGTGGACTTATTGAATTTGAATTTGTGATTAACAAAATCTTATGTTTTGAGTCTTCTTTATTTTTAAACCAATTGATTAAATCAGTTTCATAATTATGTAATTTCTTAACGTAATTTTTCAATCTTGAATTCAAAAAATTAGTAATTGATTTTATAGATCTTTCACCAGTATAAACTTCACTTGCATGTCTCTTTTTTGTGGTTGGTGGTTTTGATGGATCATATTTTGGAGGTCTAAAAACCATTATTGTTGGGAACCCACTAATTTGATACAGTGAACATAATTGTTTATTATATGATTTATCACAATTGACACTAGCTATATTGTAATTAATTTTTGATGTTGATGAACCTAATACTTTACCTAATTTTGTCCATACTGGTTTTAATTGTTGACAATATCCACACCAAGGAGCATAAAATTTTACAATTGATGTATGATTTGTTCCATGAATTATTGTATCAAAGTTTTTTGAAGTTAATTCAAAAATATTTGGATCTGTTGCGTATTCATCTTGTTGTGCTCTTGCTAGTACTGATAGAATTATTGAAAATAGTATTAGTAGTTGACCATGAAACATATTTATGAGGTAATAGTAATCGGATTTTAATTTTTGATTTGGTTGTAAAAGTAAAATTTGAAAATTACGTGGTATTATGCGTGAAAAAATTGGTCTAAATTATTTTGAAACATCGGAATTGCAAATGTTTAACCAGTCAGAGATAATAATTTACAAACGATGAAGTATACTAAATGTTTATATGCCAATTTGTTGGTAAGTATATAGTATGATAATTCGGGAGCAACAAAATCGAAAATTTGCAAAAATCACTTTACGTACCCAATTTATAACAATTTTGATACAGAAATAATTCAGTTTTTATCTGTATTATATCACGATGTATATTTTGAATACAGTTAAGCTGAATCAAAACGGTCGACCACCTTTCTTACCTATTTTTCCACTTTTGATACCACTATTATTGGATTTCACAGATCTTGATTTAATAGCATCTCGATCTGGGTCATCCGAATCTGAGTCTTGATTGGAATTTGAGTTATTAATCTTAGTTGATGGTGTTGGTGACATAGACGATCTTGAATTTCTATTATTAAATGGTGGTGTTGAATTTTTTGTTAATTTTTGAAGATTAAGATGTGGTTGTTGTTGTAAATTTTGTGATTTATTTCTTGTTTCATTTCTCATTTTATTTAATAATGCCTTCATTGCTATACTTCCGCCACCGCCATTACGAGATGTTGTTGATCCATTTTGATTTTGTTGTTGGTTGTTATTGGAATTTCTGTTGTTACTTGTTTCTTTTAAATTATTTATATCTTTCGAGTTTAGGAAATCTTCAATTGTTTGTAAATTATCTGAGGAACTTGAATTTAGACTTTTACCATTTGGTATAACTTTTAATTTTAAAAATTCATCTTGTGTTGTATCATTAGTTGAATTTTGATGTTCTTGTGTTTTAGGTTTCAACCAATTTAGTGCAAGATTATTATTTTGAGCTATACTAAATTGAAATTTTGCTTGTAATTCTTGCTTCTTTTTGATTTCTTCACGTCTATTTGGAGCCATATGATAAACTTCACTAATTAAACATTACTGTTTTTTTTTATAAAATTATACAAAGTGTATATATATTTCAATAAATTTAAATTATGATGATGTTTCTCATCTCTATACCAAATTTGATTTTTATATATAATTTTATTAAAACACTTAATAAGGCTACACAGAAAACAATTTTCAAAAAAATACAAAAGATTGATCACATACTTGTGACCACTAATACATATATATGTCCATCAAGATTGTAATGTATTGCTTAATGATTAGACTAAGTAGAAAAAAAAAGGTCAAAATTTCAAACAAACTCCCAGACAGGGAATTGAACCCTGGTCTACCATGCGACAAACGGTAATTCTAGCCACTAAACTATCTGGGATATTTTTTGTTAAAAATTTTTAGGAGCCTTTATAAATGTATACTTAGTGCCTGCATTGAGCCAAGCTTTAGTATCTTATAGACTGATCAACTTTGTAATTATAAAAAAAAGTGTATCAAAACCCCGGTCAATAGAATCAAACTTAACTGGAGGTAACTTTTAAATTATCAGATAGATCGAAATTGAATAAATCGAAAACAGCGTCTTGAAAACTACGAACATTGAACATAGAAAACAACCTTGTGGGCTGAGAGAGCATGTGAATTAGAATTTAAAACAAACTTCTAATCTAAAATTAGGTCGAGTTCGTGTTCATCCCATCGTTTAATTCGAATAAAAAAACACGTAATAATATTACGTACACGTTCTACTTAATATAATATTTTTTTTTTATGTATGTATACTTAATAAATTATTTATTATTATTGTTTTATTACCAACAAAAAATTTTTCAATTTTTTCAATCAAGGGAAAATAATAATTAATTAAGAAATTAAAATTGAAAAGTGTCTTAAATTTTTCACAAAATAATTTTATAACCAACTTTTTTTTTAACTTTTCTTTCTTTAGATTTAGGATCCATATTAGATTTTAATTTTATATCAATTAGATAAACTATAATCAATTTATTCTAAAAAAATGTCATCAGCTCCAGCCACCAACTATAAAGTTGCAGATATTTCATTAGCTGCTTTTGGTAGAAAAGATATTGAATTATCAGAAAATGAAATGCCAGGTTTAATGTATATTAGAAAAAAATATGGTGCATCAAAACCATTAAAAGGTGCAAGAATTGCTGGTTGTTTACATATGACTATTCAAACTGCTGTTTTAATTGAAACTTTAGTTGAATTAGGTGCTGAAGTTACTTGGTCATCATGTAATATTTTTTCAACTCAAGATCATGCTGCTGCTGCTATTGCTGCTGCTGGTGTACCAGTATTTGCATGGAAAGGTGAAACTGAAGAAGAATATCAATGGTGTATTGAACAACAATTATTTGCTTTTAAAGATGATAAAAAATTAAATTTAATTTTAGATGATGGTGGTGATTTAACTTCATTAGTTCATGAAAAATATCCAGAAATGTTGGAAGATTGTTTTGGATTATCTGAAGAAACTACTACTGGTGTTCATCATTTATATAAATCTTTAAGAGATGGTAAATTAAAAGTTCCAGCTATAAATGTTAATGATTCAGTTACAAAATCTAAATTTGATAATTTATACGGTTGTAGAGAATCATTAATTGATGGTATTAAAAGAGCTACTGATGTTATGATTGCTGGTAAAGTTGCTGTTGTTGCAGGTTTTGGTGATGTTGGTAAAGGTTGTGCTATGGCTTTACAAGGTATGGGAGCAAGAGTTATTGTTACTGAAATTGATCCAATAAATGCTTTACAAGCTGCTGTTTCAGGTTATCAAGTTGCTCCAATGGATGAAGTTGCATCAATTGGTCAAATTTTTGTTACTACAACTGGTTGTAGAGATATTATTGTTGGTAAACATTTTGAACAAATGCCAGAAGATGCAATTGTTTGTAATATTGGACATTTTGATATTGAAATTGATGTTGCTTGGTTAAAAGCCAATGCTAAATCAGTTGTTAATATTAAACCACAAGTTGATAGATATTTAATGAATAATGGTCGTCATATTATTTTATTAGCTGATGGTAGATTAGTTAATTTAGGATGTGCTACTGGTCATTCATCATTTGTTATGTCATGTTCTTTTAGTAATCAAGTTTTAGCTCAAATTGCTTTATTCAATGCCAATAATGAAGAATTTAGAAAACAATATCCAGAATTTGCAAAATCAGGTCCATTTGATGTTGGTGTACATTTATTACCAAAAATCTTGGATGAAACTGTTGCAAGATGTCATTTAGATCATTTAAACGCTAGATTAACTAAATTAACTGATGTTCAAGCTGAATATTTAGGTATCCCACAAGAAGGTCCTTTCAAAGCTGAAATTTACAGATATTAGATCACCTAGCAAAAAAAAAATAAAAAGATAATTAATATAATTCAACATAACAATATTAATTATTTTCAACTTTTACAAAATTAAATAAATTTATTTAAAAATTTTCAACACCATTTTTAACGACTTTAATGATGCATCAACTGTTCATTTTTTTTATATATTTTTTTTACTTCAGGATTTATAATAATTTTTTATTCAGTTTTTTTTAAAAATTTTATTTAGTTATTAAATTATATATAGAGTTTATCATTATATTATAAAATATATAATATCCTCAACGGATTTACAAAAATTATAAGAGAAATTGTAGATTTAATTAAGTTAATCGATGAATTCATAGTACGTCGTTAGATCTACTTGTAAAAAATGCAATCTGTGGGGTAGGCTACATTGATTATTGTACATTTGATGAGCTAGATCTGATGAGCTGAGAACCTGGAATTTTAAACATTAGGTCATTTTGAAGAGATGAACGAAGATTTAAAATAATCAAAATCAAACATCTTTTATTAAATTCTATATTTTAAATACTTAACAAATTTTTAAAACTTTTTATATTTTGTACTCTATTTTTTTGCAACCAAACCCTCTAGTGTTTTACTTACTTGAAACATTAATTTTAAAAGAACTACAAGATCCATCACTTAAAACAATATTAGTTTGAGCAGAAGATCCAGACCCAGTACTTGAACCTAAACACCAATCATAATTTCCACCAAATCCAATTTCATTATTTTTAATTTGAAATTGATTTTTTGAAGCATCAATTGATGAATCACATATAAAATTTTGTGATGAATCAATACCACAACCACCCTTTGATGAACTTATAGAAACTCCTCCAAATGAAGAAGAACTAAAATGATAAGTTGCACAAGTCCCTGAAGTATAATATTTTCCATTAGATATTAAACAACCTGATTTACCACTTAATGTAATATAACCAGTTGCTGGAACTCCAGTTGGTGCTGGACCTGAAGTTTGAGTAGTTGTTGGTTGAGGATTTGTGCCTGAATTACCTTTTGGTGGGAATAATATACCAGTAGAAGGACAATTTGAATTTGATAATGGAGCTATTGGGATAAAATTTTGTTGTAATAAAGAACCTTTTATATGATGGAAATACCAAATTTCACTTAATGCATTATTTGAATCACATTTAAAATAAACATTTTGACCAAAATTTGAACTTAAAGCTTGTTGAATTTGAGTTTTACTATATGTTTTTGAAGTTGATGGAGTTATACCTGCTGCAGTTAACCATTTATAAGTTGGTAATGTTTCAAATAATTGATATAATATTTTATAATAATTATAAACATTTTCATTTGTTTGATAAGATGAATAACATTTTGGTAAAATAGTGTTTATACAAGTTCCATGTTTATTCCATTCATGAGCCCATAAACTATGATCATTTCCATTAATATCTTTCCAAACAGTATTTAAATCATTATATAAAGTAGCATCATTAAATTGATCAACTATAATAGATTGTACAGTTGATCCATCATCAGCAATTGTAGTAGTAGTATCACAAAATTGTTCATATGTACCATCACAATTATCTGGCCATAATCCATGTAATGTAAATAAATCCAGTGGACCAGTTGCAGGATTATAATCCCAAAATTGAGTTTGTAATAAAACACCACCTGGTGATTCAAAACAACATGATGCTGCTGATGATGATGAACATGATATTGCTGCGTCTGATCCACAACTACTATCGAATACTGTTGCTGCTGATGTAATTTGTAATAAGTAATAAGCTAATGTAATAAGAATTAATTTCATTTTTTTTGGTTGTGATAAAATGTTTTGGAGATAGTTAGTGATGGGAATTAAGATTTAATTTGGTAAAATGAGCGAAATGATTGTCTATTTATAATAATTTCTATAATGGATGTGTTCGTTAATTATAAGTTGTATTGTCTAATTATATCGATTAGAGCATTGTTCTATTTCATGAATTGTATAAACAATATTCCGATAAAACATAATAAAACACATGGGAAAGATAATACTGATAAGTACTGTATATAACTGATATGAATAGATTTTGTGTACTTTAGTTGCAAAACAAAAAAACAATTGAAACTCATAGTAAAATAACCAAAAATTAAAAGAATCAAAAATAATTAAATTGATTTAGTCTATTATTCATATTTAAACCACATACCAATTAGTTTGTAGATCAAAAGGCATTTTGAATGTTAAATTTGAAGATTGTTCCAGTTCAAAATACGAAAACTTTGAAAAACTTTTTTTTTTAGGGCCATTGGCCATTTAATAAATTGGCAAATTTTTGGAAAAACAAAGAGAAGAATGTAATCACATTGTTTGTAAAAATTCTCGATTATAAACATAAATTTCGAGTTGATACGTCAATATCCTTTATGATTTGAAGTAGTGACAATTTCAGGTACTAAATAATATATCAATTTTGATAGAAAAGAAAATAAGAAAACGTTTTTTCTTCGTAAATATTTTCAAAATTTCAGTGCCGCTCAAGAGATTGAATCTAAACTAAAAGAACTTTTCTACGGCCCAAATCTTTGAACTTATTTTTTTAAGTTTGTTTTATTGTTCTATTTGACTCATGAAAGGTTTTCTTCTATTGAGTCGGACATAATTTCATCGGGCATTTCCCCTATTTCTTTATGTATAATTAAACGTTTTTTTGATTATATTCAAATATTTTAAATCTTGCATAATTTCATATCGAGTTTAACATGAAATAGAAATGGTACTTAAGTATGTCCTTAATTTCGTATATTTGTAAGTATAGGCAGTATATGTCAAACCCACGGGTTGAAAGTGCTACAAAACCTACAACTACGATGTTTTAGTGACGTCAATCAAGCGGAACTTATATCACAATCTACAAAACTAGTTGCGTTTTAAATTAATCACAAAATAATATTCAACGATATTCGTATTTGATTTATAAGACGGTACTTTTAATAAAGATTTAAGATTTTCAGATTGCAAGCATTAAGAATAATCAAAATTTTTATCAAATTGAATTCTCGCTACCAATCACCTGGAACTGGAAATTTTATACAAAAGTTGAAGATTTTATCAACCGTATGTAATATATAAAAGTACTTATAGCTTTACTTAAAGGGGTTGCTCCTTCGTTTATTTTCGATCTGGATTTGGTACCCATTCAATTATAGTTGTACTCTAAGTGGTTAGAGGTACATCTAATACCACTAACTTATCTCAGTGATTTTTGCATCTATATTTACTAGAAAATCTAGACGTGTCCTTTATTAGTTAAGTATCAATTTTGATAGAAATAATTCAACTGTCCTACTCTTTGGACTTAAAAAATTTTTATCAATTGGTTCTGACATAAAATTCGATGTTATTTAATTCGATAAAGATATTTTGACACATCAAGAAAAAATATGGTACTTAAAAAGTAAAGATAAAAAAACTGTGAAAAAAATTAATAAAGATAAAAAAAAAAAATTTAAAAAATAAAAACAAATAAAAAAAAATTAATTTTTGATCTTTAGAAATCAAAAACTAATATCACAAGATAACAAATAAGAACTAAATAAAATCAAACATGATCTGGTTATCAGAAAGGCAGAGTACGTTTACAATTCCACTAATTGCTTTTATTTTATTACTAAAGATCAAGTCCAATTGAACTTTTTTCGTATTCAATTCATAAATTTAGAAAATTGAAATTGATTTTGAAATAATTTTCAACTAATTTCAACATTAATTCAAATTCAAACTTACTAACAACAACTAAAAAGAATTCGGAGTTGGTTTTACAGCAAGTGGGATTTTTTTTTTCCTTTTCGGAATTTTAACATTTTTCGATTCAAGTTTCTTAGCATTAGGTAATTTATTATTCATTATAGGACTTGTTTTAATAATAGGTCCACAACGTACAATATCTTTTTTTTCAAGACCTCAAAAATTAAGAGGAACAATTTGTTTTTCAGTAGGGATATTATTGATATTGGTAAAATGGTCATTTTTAGGATTTTTAATTGAAAGTTTTGGTATATTAGGATTATTTGGAGATTTTTTTGGTACTATTGTACAATTTTTAAGATCAATTCCTTATATTGGTGATTTGTTGAGTCATCCATTTATAGCTCCTACTATTGATAGATTAGCTGGGATTAATAATACTTTACCTGTTTAAAAGGGGAAAGAGATACTTTAGTGATTTTTTAATAGATTTTTTTTTAAGTTGATGGTGTGGTTCTGGTAAGAATTGTAAATGTTTGTATATTAGTTTATTAATAAAAAAGGTATTTATTTAATTATCAGGTATTTTGATTTATTTTTGGTTCTTAAACGCTCGATTAAGTTGGTTCATTCGACTTTGTTTGATCACTTTTTGAATATTGAATTAATTTAGTTTTTGTAATACTTAAATTGAATATCAAGTAGTTTTAGAAGAACGTACTACAAATTTAAATCAATCTACAAATATTTATTTCATTATTCATTATTTTTCTCTAATTACATTACATAAATAAATACAATTTATCTAAACTCTTTCTTAACACTTCGTTAAAAAAAAAAAATCCGAGCTATGATTACTTTTATAATTCAAATTTAAGCCAATCTAAATCTTTATATTCAACATTACCATTACCTTCACCACCACCACCATTAGGTTTAATAAAATCAGTAAATTGAGGTAAAGAATTTTTATCATTAATTTCCATATCTAAAGGTGATGAATTATTTTCTGTATCATTTTCTTCTTCTTGTTGTGGCATTTTATTTTTCATAATTGAAGATAAATCAAATTCTTCACTATCTTCATCATCATAATCTTTAATTAATGAAGTTATAAAAAAATCATCTTTTGTAACGGTTGTTGTTGTTTGTGGTTGATTTTGTGATATTGTAGGGTTCAACATTATTAATTCATCGTCTATTCCTTGATGTTGTGGTAATGGTGGCTTACTTGCTCTATAATCTTGTAATGCTCGTTGTCTCAATTGTTGCTGGTGTTGTTGTTGTTGATTAGCTCTTGGATGTTGTTGTTGATGATTTTGATTTTGGTGATTATTTGAAGTTTGTGAAATTAATGAAGATGATGAAGGTAATAAATCCATAACATTTATTGGAGTTTCTGGAATTGATGTTGGAGTTTCTTCAAATAATGTTTGATTTATATTACAACCATTATAAAAATTTGGTGAATTTAATGAATTTGGAGTATCTATATTATCTAAATTATTAAAATTTGATGATCCTAAATTAATATTATTAAATTGAGGTTGTTGATTGTTAGTGGGGTGATTATTCATTATGGTTGTTGAATTGCTATTGTGTCTTGATAAATTATTTTGATGAGGTGGTTGTTGTTGAGATGGTTGTTGAGGCATATCAAAGTAACTTGATTGTGGATATCTTTGATTTAACAAATTTATATTATTTGAAGTTAATGAATTTGTTGGTGTTGAAATAGAAGCAATACTTTTTCTTGGAATATTAATTAATGAAGTTCTTCTACTTAATGATTGTGAAGAAATTATTGAATTATTACGTTTTATTGAATTTGAAAATTGTTGTGGTTGTGGAAATTGTTGTTGTTGTTGATATAAATTTGTAGTTGATGGTATTCTATTTTTCATATTGAATGAATTATTTTGTTCAATTGAATTTGGAATACTCACTTCTGATTTTTTTCTTTTAAAAGGTTGATTATCATTGACAGTATAAGAATATGAAGAATTTGATGAAGTCATTGATCCACAAGGTGAAAATGAAGTTTGATTTTGATTTTGATTTTGATTTTGATTTTGATTTTGATTATTCATTGGAATAGGTATACTTTTACTATTGATTGAGTTATTTTGTAAATTTGTATTACTTGCTGGTTTAGGTAAAATTAATACATTTTTCAATCTTTGATTATTAACGTTATTATTTAAAGAATTTAAATTATTTGGTAATGAAGAAACTCCAGGTGATGGAGCAATAGCAATAGGTTGTTTTTTAAATGCATTATAATTGTCAAGTTTAGAATTTATAAATTGTCCGTTATTTCCTAAATTAATATGATTATTATTTAATGATCTTGAATTTAATGATGATGAAGTTGGTAATGAAGATTTTCTTGAATTTCTCTTTTTTATAACATCAGTTTTTAAAGATAATGGACGAGTTGTACCATGTAGTTTAAAAAACAATCCACATGCATTACATAATGTATTACCATCTGAATCCTTTCTCCATAATGGGGTTTTATGAGTTTTACAATTATAACATTCAGTTTCTGTTGTTGTCGTTGTTGTTGTTGATGATGTTGAAGTAGTGGAACTAGGTTGTGATTCTTCCGGTTTTAACTCCTTTAATTTATGTAATGATGATGTTAAGTTTGATTTTGGTTTCAATGTTTCAGTTTCTGAAATACTTGAAGTTGCTGTAGATGCAGATGTATTTGAATTTTGTCTAGAATTATGTCTTGATGAAGGACTGGTTTCTGAGTTTGGTGTTATTGCTTTGAATGTGGTGGGAGTTTCTATTGATGACTTGTTTTGATTAATAGTATTATTACTGTCATTATTATTGCTGTTATCGTTTTTAATTTGATTTTTTGGACTAAATTGATAAGGTTTTATAGTTGAATTTTGTAAATCATCAATAGATAATGGAGATAATAAGTCTAATACATTATTGTTATTATCAATAAATTCTTGTTTTACTTGTTTTATTTGTGGTTGTTGTTGTTGATGATGATGTTGAGATGATTGACTTGATTGATCAATATTAACTGATGATGATAATAAGGAGGAAGTATTAAAAGATTTTTGATTTGAAGTATGATTTAATTGGGTTTTACTATTAATTTTTCTTAATTGTCTATTTTCAACTCTTGGTTGTAAATTTAATAATTTTTTTGCTGAATAAAAAATATCAACTAATGAAGGACCTGAATCAAATTGATTTAAATGATGATTCTTTTGTTGTGATTGTGGTTGGTATTGTCGACTATTAGTACCATCAGAAGTTATATTTGAATTAGTAGTTATAGATGTGGTTGTATTAGTTGTTGATTTAGTTGAAGATGATTTTGATGGTATAATTTTAGAAGTTATTGAGTTTGTTGGAGTTAATGAATTATTTTGGTTATTATTGACATCATTATTAATATTATATTCATTTATAGTAGTAGTACTTAATGATGAAGTTGTCATTATGTGATTTCGAAACCCAAATATTCAATATATAAATTATACCCCCCTTTTGTTTCTTCACAGTTTTTGAAAATTTTTTAACCTCCGAATATATATTAATATAAGATATTGAATATTTATGAATATGACTTAATTCTGTTTTTATTATATTGATTAATTCAAAACGTAATGATTGTTAAATGATGTATTAAGTTTGGTTGTAACAAAATTGTAATAGGTTTTTGTAGTAAAGTCTTATATTTATTATTATTATTATTCTTATTATTATTTTGAAAATGAAATGATTTTTTTTTTTCTAATTTTTTTTCTTCAATAAGATATTTAAACGTGTGGAAATATAAAATTTATAAATAGAATTATAGGAATGAATGAATGAATGAATAATTGACAATTTATTAAATACTAATTATGTAGATACTCAAATGTTTTTAAACAATTCGTTTTAATCAATATTTATCCCCTTTTATTTAATAAGTTGTTAATGATGATTTGTAGTAAAAGTTTGGAATTAAAAAAATTTTTAATGGAAAATAAAAAAAAATTTGGTTGTAAAAACAAAAAAAAAAAAAAAAAAAAAAAAAAAAAAAAAAATTTTTAAAAATTTTAAAAAAATAAATAAATTTCTTTTCATAAAATTTACAATTTATTACACTAAAATTAATATCAATGTTAGTCACAAAATTTGATATAAATCTATTGTCTATTGAAATGATGAATAGTCAACAGAGTGTAAAGAATTACTTTACGGATTAACTGAATCGGTTAATACTGATTGAACTTGTCATTTAATCATGAAGCTTAATTGTAATCTTAATTAAAAAAGAGAATATTAAATCTTAGTATTAAACTTCAGTATTTCTTATTTTATACAATAAGTAGATTTTTTTCAAAGGAAAGTATTAGCTTAATTGTTATGCAATTGATATATTATAAATAAATGAGGTGCTACACATTTACCTACTAGCAATTATATCATCCTTTTTTCATCATGTAGTGATTTACTAATAATTAACCTAAGGTGAGTAAAAAAATAAAGATGTTTAAACTAGTAAATCTCTATTCTTCCTTCAATGCAAATTTCTCTTCTTTGTCTTATAACTTTTAAGACCAAATTTATTTAGTTCTGCTTACAATATTATTTATTTGTTTATTTAATACATTATACTTATTGTGTAATACATTTAACATATTTTACATTTTTTTTGTATGCTCTAAATTAAATTTTCTTAACCAAAATGTCACTATTTCGGTTAAATGAAAAAATTCCAGGTATTTAAAGAATCTTATTATATTGAAATAATATTATAATATTCAAATTTCCAGATCTCGTTAATTCCTTACTTGATTTTTGCAGTTTAAGTTTTGAATATATAATAATGTATCATAGTTTCAAGGCATTAATAAGGTCTAACTTTAAATGAATAAGACATAGAGATGGTGGAGTATAATTTAATTTAGTTTACATGTTAATTGTTCCTTCTGCTTTTTTATTCATATTTTAAAAAATATATATACGATTCAAAATATTATATTCAAAATTTATTATATATTCGGGGATTAAAACAAACTTGTTGTTTATGATTTTGTAACATTTCAAGATTTTTTCTACTCTGGAATTAATTTTAGGATAAATGTTTAATTATTTTTCAATTCTATTATTTTAACTTTTACTTTTTTTAATAAATGAACAAAGCATATGACCTCTTTTAAGGCGATTTATGATTAAAGCTGTGGTTTTTTGGTATTTGTCAGGGCTTTATTTTATTCTCAAATACGTATGAATTGATTCTTATTACATAATTTTTTTTTAAAACTTTCTATTATACTTTGTAAAAAGATTAATTTAAAATAAAGTTCAATCAAATTCTCTTATTCTGAAGCGAGTTACATAAAATGAAGTTTAAATAATTAAGATTTTCTTAAAATTTTTGAATTTTGTACTAATGTGCACCCTTTAATAATAGTTTTTTTTTACCTTCCTTATTACAAATAATTTTTGTATTTTTCCAGTTCTATTTAAAAAATTAACCGCCCCATCATCTTAAATTACCTATTTTAATTTTGTAACATTTCTTTATTAATAAGTTAGCCGTTAAAGGTTATTATAATATACAAATTTAGTTGATGGAAAGGTTACAAAAAGTCGAATTAAAGAATATACAGAATTCTATAAACAACATTTATGATAGAGTTAAGAAAATTTGGTTTTGTATTTCACATATATAATAAATAGAATCTTATTGTTTCTTTGTTGTTGGTTGTTGGTTGTTAATTATTAAATTATAAATACAACAATATTGTGTAACTTGACTGGTTTTAAAATGTTTGTATAGATTTCAGAAATTCGTAATGTAAAGGACAGCATTGATTCTATCTTAAAAAATTGTCAATTCGACAGGGGTTCTTGATTAGTTAAGGGTATCAGTACATTATTCCTTCTCTTCTCTTTAGAGTTGCATACTTGCATTCAATTAGTCTATATGCAACCCTTAAATAACTAAAGACGTTGGCAACAGTATGTAATTAAACATAAATTTTAATTAAAAGAAACACGAGTAGACGACCGTTGGGGGACCCAATTAATTTATTTAGACAATACAGTTTCCAGGTTAATTTATTGACTTTGTCTTATATTTATACGGGGTGTTATTTGTTTGTCTCAATTGTAGAGTAGAACTTAGATGTTAAGTATATTGGCCAATTATAGAATTTGAACATTAATTGAACAACAAACAAGTACCGTCATTGAGTTAGGCTATCGAAAAAAAAAATTATCTGGGGTTGAAAAGATGCAAATATCACTAGAAATGAAAATTAAAAGTTCAACAAATAGAATAAAGGTTACATTTACCAAACTCAAAGTTTATTTTTCAAATTGATTAAAAAGGCACTTTGGAATCACCTTTAGCATATCCATCAGCTATAAAGTAATATAGAAAAAGCTTTAAAGTTTTATTAAATTATTGATGGTTCTTTTTGACATTCGATCTTTATAAAAAAGTCCCCGTCTTATTCCTTTACCTTCCATAGTTAAGCAGCGGAAAATTACGGATTAGAAAGTTGATGTACGGATTTTGCAGTTCGGATGTAGGAGTCAAATAATACAAAAAGGGATCATATATTGTAGATTCTCGAAAAACAGATTTGGCATTTCGTTGCAACTTACTAGAACTAGACAAGGGCAGTAGAGTAAAACACACTAGAGTAATAACAATAAGTCGTTACATAATTTATTTATTTATTCATTTACATAATAATTATAAAATCTTAATTATAAACCCATGTACCTAACTAGATTCAGTTGGAATATTTTTATTATAATGATCATTAATATTAGTATTATTATTAGTATTATTATTATGATGATGATGATTATAATTTTTATTTGAAAATCTACCATTTTTGCTTCTATCATTTTTTAAATTATTTGAATTTAAAGAATCTTGATTTAATGGACTTTCAACATGTAATCTATATTCAAAACTAACTCCTAAAACTCTTTCATTTGATCCATTATCTAAAGTTGTAATACAATTAGTACCATTATCTAAAATTTCATCACATTCTCTTATAATTCTTAAAATTGAATCACATATAATTCTTCTTGCTTGAAAACTTGTTAATTTATTTTTTGTTGTTGAATTTTTTAAAAAATTTAAATTTGAATTCCATATAGATATTATATCTTCATCTTTTCTTACACTAAGAACAATTCCACAAATATCATTTAATAAAATTTTTTTAATTTCTGTGGTGTTTGATGAAGGGATAAAATTTCCAGTTAAAATTTTTAAAACTATTCTTTCCCAAATTAAACTTGATCTTTTTCTTAATTTTTCAATTGATGTAAATGGATAATCATTATTTAAACTTGGTGAGTTATTACCATTTGTTGTAGTTGTTGTTGTTGTTGTTTGATCTTGTAATTTTCTATTAAAACGAAATACCCATCTACCACCACGAGAATTTAATGGATCTTCCCAAACTGGATTTATACCAGTTTTAAAAATTAAAAATTCAGTACCTATACTTAATTTAAACCCATTTTTTATTGTTGAAAACATAGTCCACATTTGTTCAATAGTTATTATATTTTGTATAATTTGATCAAAATGTTGAAATTGTAATTGATTTGTAGTTTGTAAATAAGAATCAACTCCTGGATTGTTTTGTAATTTAGTAGAATCTTCATCAGATTCTATTAGTTGTTGATTTTTTTTATTTCTTGAATGATGCCAAATTGTCCAACAATAAGGTAAAATATGTTCATCTTCTTTTATTGTTGATATTGCTTCTTGAGTTAATTTTATTATATCTAATTTTGGTAATTTTGCAATTTCTAATGATGATATATTATGATTTATATGTTGTTGAGAATTATTATGATGATGATAACTATTAGTATGATGATGACGATGATTATTTGAATATGAATCGTTATTTTGACTGTTGTTATTATTGTTATTATTATTATTATTGTTATTGTTATATTTCGATCTGTAATTTTGTTGTTGAGATTGTTGTTGTGGAGTTGAAGATATAGTTGATATTGAAGAATCTGAACCTTGATTCATAATTCTATTAAATAATGATTCTGCTCTTTTTAAATTTTCAGACATTTTATAAATTAATTATAGTTGATAAAAAACAAGATTGAGATAAACTTTTAATAAGAAAAAACAAATGATGACTAACGGTAAATTATTTTGAATAAGTTAGTTGGATTTAATTAATTAGTTGTGATTAACTGGTGATTAATGATTAATTTAATAATTTGAAATAGTTGTAAAACTTTTTTAAAATAATAAATGAATGCTTGAAATTTTAAATACTAATATGAATAAAGGTAATAATAAAACAAATATATAATTAAATGATGATATGATATTATAAATATAAATAAAGTAATTAGTTAAATGATAAATAACAGTAATGATATGAAAAAAAAAGTAATTATAAAATGGTATATATAAATGGTATTTCTATTTTTTGCTTATAATTCCAAATAATTTTAAAGCAGATGTTCTTTTTTTTTAATTATTAGATTTTTTTTTTTTTATTAAATTTTTTTTCAGTATTTATTTACACTACTTTTTTTTACTTGTTTATTAAGTATAGTAAGATATTTATTATAAAATATTAGTGAAGAGATCCTTTTTAATTACGAAAGATTGTTTGGTAGCTTTGTTTGATTTAAAAGTATAGACTTCTACAGAGTAAGTTTTACAAGATTATTTAAATATTATAAGAGTAAGTAAATTGTTTCGGATATTAAAGTGAGTCTATTAATCAAATATCTTAGTAAAGAGCCAATATTTTACAACAAATTTGCAATTGGAAATCAAAATTGTATTAATGTCAATTAACTAACCTTTCGCTTGAATTAATTGAATCAATCATCTTTTAACTTTTCAAAGTTTGTAAAATATTATACCATATTATAAACATCATCATTGAAACAAAACTCAAAATATATGAAATAATCAATTAATTTTTCAAATTTTAAAATAATTGAACATATATAAACCCCCAATATTTTAGAATCAGTAAAATAATTTAGAAATGGATGATGATGATGATAATAACGATGACTACTTTTAAATGTTGATAAATTTGAATATTGTTTTGTTGTATCTTTGTTAGATTCGTAATACTTTGTTGGTGGTTTTATATTCCTTAAAAATACCAAATAATTTCGTAAATGATAATTTATTTTTCTAAAATTTGAATTAAGACCTAGTAAATTTTTCAAAACTTCATGTCTTTTTTGAAGTAAGTTAGTATTTAAATTTTGATAATTGTTTTATAAACTTTTTGATAACTTACGATTCATACATTGTTTCAATATATAATATATTTTTACATTTAAAAATATCATCTAATAAAAATAAAAGTAAATGAATTTCATGATATAATGATATTAATTTTTGATATTTTTGTTTTTTGGTGGTGTTTGTTTCAGAATGATATAATTGAATTGATTTATTTATTGATATTTGTTTAATTAGCATTGGATCATATTATTTATATTTATTTTGATATTTATTGGTGGTAGAGTGATATTAAGATATATTGAGATTTCAAGCATATTTGGTTTATTTACTTCAATCTATTAAGATTTAAAGTTAAGTTAACTGGTCTTATTAATTTATTAATTTCTTTTAAATTTTGTCTTAAAAAAAAGGTAAGTTTATTATTTCTATAACTAAATTAAAATAATATTTTGTTTTGCACCCAATTTAAGAATTAATGCAGCAACTAACATTTAGCAAAAGATGGGGAATTGATAATTACAGATTTATCGAAGAGAGAATAGCTGAAGTTAGAGTATAAACAAACACATTTGGGATTGTAGAAAAGAGACGCATAATTCTCAAAACAAAAACTCGAATTTCAAATATTCAATATATATATTAAAGTACAAACATTATACATTCAAAAACTTAAGCTTTAACAGTTGGAGTAGTAGTTGAAGTAGTTGAGCCAGTAGTTGAAGCACCAGTACCTTCTTCCTTTTCAATTTCAGCTTTTTTAATTTTAGCTAATCTAACAGCTTCTTCATGAACATCTTTAGCATCTTTTGCAAATGATTTATAATATTGATGAATTTTTAAACCTAAACTTGAATTAGCAGCATCTTCAAAATATTTATATAATCCAGATTTTTCAAAAGTATCTTGAGCATTAGTTAAATGTTGATTTACTGTTGAATTTGGATCTTTTGAATGAATATATTTTTTATCTAAATTCTCCAAAAAATTTTGAAATTTTTGACTATAACCATTTTTTTTATCAAATTCTATACCTTTATCAATTATTTGATCTGATACTACATAACCTTCTGCTAATAATTGAGCTAAAATTGCATATTTTGGTTTTTCTTCTTGATCAACATCATCATAAGTTTTATCACCAGTATGAACTGCATCTTTAGTTGTAGTTGTTGTTGAACCTTTTGATGAAGATAAAGCATCAAAATTTTCACCAGGTCCATCTTGTTTAGCAGATAATCCAACACCTTGACCTTGATCAGTTAAAGATTCAACTTCAGTAACTCTAATAAAACTATTATCAATTTCAGCATCATTTAATAATAATGCAGTTGATACTGCTTTTGGTGAACTAAAATTAATTTCATAAGCTTTAAATTTTGGATCATCTGATGGAATTTCATTTACATTTTCAACTTTCCCACAAAATGAAAAAAATTCAGTCAATTGTTTAACTGAAATTGTTGGTTTTACAAATGTAACATTTACTGAACTCATTATTATTGTTGTTGTGATTGATTTTGATATTTATTGAACTTGTTGATAAATTTAATTAATTGATTGAGTCAATTGAGTGATTAAAATGTAATATATTAATTCAATTAAAGTTAAAAAGAAAATTGTGTTGAGTTTTAAAGTAAAAGCAAATTGAAGTTTATTTATATAAATTTCCAAAATAAATTAATCGAAAATTTATTAAATAATCTCCACCCCCTTAATTTTCAAAAATCGAAATTTTTTTTGGGTCATTTAACTTAAACTAAATTAAATTATATAGATACTATCAATTAAAAATACACAAGGTATACATTAATTAGACTACGTATTATTTTTGAAGCTTTGTTATTCAATTATTCATTATTATTATTTAAATCTAATTTTTAACTACTGGAAATTGAATTTGTTTTAAAACTTAATTAAAGTTTTTGTGAAAAATTCTCCATAGTTCCATAAACAGCAATTTTAAATATTTATTATTTAATATTCTTTAGTATTGAAAGATTGAATATTGCTAGTTAATAATAAAATTGAACAGCTTTTTGTATATTCACTCGACCTTATAATTTAGTCGTTTTTTATTCTATGACCTTCTTTAAAATTTTGAATCAAAAACATATTATTTACATATTTCCGAGATCTTTCGTAATAAGTAATTCAAAGTATTTGTATAATATCTATTAATAATAATATAATAACATAATATAATAACATAGCCAATTTGGCACAAGACTAAATTATTTGATCATTTAATAATTTCACAATTTATGCTGTGATATATATCTAAAACCTCACTTTTATTGCCAACAGATATTTTTGATTTTGGTCACATACAAGTTTTCTGTTGGAACTTTGTTTTATATGCTAAATAAATACTAAACATGAAACTCTTATTTTAGGCGCGCGCGTTTTTTGGTAAAATCTATCTGCTGCATGTGAGTTGTTTATTTTAGGTCAAAACTTTACAATAATTTCATCAGATAGTTGATTGATGATCTGATGATAGAGAGATTGATAATACACATTCAAGTTAAAAAAATTATTAGTCTGCAGAAAATTGTATATTGTTTTCTACATTTTCTTATTAAGCCCATTCTAAATCCATTAACCTAACTAAACTAAATAATCATATTATGTATCTAAATGTAAAAACTAAAAAAATTCTATAATTTGCAACCATTTTAAAATTCAGGACCAACCATTTATAATCAAATTTTACTGATTTCTTATAATAAAGTTTGACCTAAAGCACATCTTCCAATAGCACAAGCTGCACTAACAGTATCCAATATATGTTCTTCAGTATCAGCCAACATTGGATTTGTTTCAACAATATCCAAACTTTGTAATAATCCTGTATTTGCAATTTCCTCAGCAATAAATAATCCTTCTCTTAAACTTAATCCACCTTCAACTCTTGTTCCAGTAGCAGGAACAAATGAAGGATCAATAGCATCAACATCATAACTTAAATGAATTGGATCTTCTCTAGTAGGATTAACTTTATCTAAAGCCATATCAACAACTTTTCCAATACCATATTTATCTATATGATACATTGTAAAAGCTGCAATATTATGTTCTCTAAGAATTTTTTTTTCACCTTCATCAACATCTCTTAATCCAATATATACTAATTTATTAGATTTTAAAACTTGTGGAACCCAAGAAAATTCAGGTGGATAAAATTCTGAATCAATTCCCATTAAAAAACTTAATGGACAACCATGTAAATTTCCAGATTCTGTTGTTTTTGGTGTATTTATATCAGCATGAGCATCTACCCATATAACACAAGTTTGTGGATTATATTTTAAACTTGCACCAACTGTAGCAGTACCTATAGAATGATCACCACCTAAAACTAATGGTAAATTACCTTGTTGTAAAGTTTGTAAACTTGTATCATATATAAGTTTACAACAATCACTTACAATTTTGGAATTTTTAACATTAAATTTATCTTTTATATTTTGTTTTTCAATTTCAAAATTTTGTTCTGAAAGTGGATTTGATACTGCTGTGGACCAACCTAATGATTGTATTTGTTTTTCAAATCCAGCATTTAAAATATATTCTGGACCTAATTCAACTCCACCTTTTGGTTGACCACCTGAAAATGGTGCTGTTATTATTGTTGCCTTTTTATTTGGATGGAATTTATAATCTATTGATGACATTTATGAATGTGTGTGTATATACAATGTATTAGCGATAAGAATAATTTGATTTAAATATGTAAAAATTGATGGAGTAGTTATTTTTAAAAATTGATCTGAAGTTGAAAGAAAAATAGAATTTGTTAAGGAATATAGAAGTATATTTATAATATATCTTTATTATCAAAAAATGATTTTAAAATTTGAAGAAAGTTGTTGTTTTAAAAATTGATTTTATAGATTTAGAAATCTAACGTCTTTATAAGTTTATTAAAAGCGAAAATATAATAAATTTCAATTTTTGTAACTCATTCGGATTATTTTTTTTCTTGTTAAGTATTGCACTAATAATAATAACCGTTAAGTGACAGATCAAGCGAAATTAATACTTTTTGCCATTAAATCAATAACGATAATGTGCACTTCATGAAAAGCCCAGATTTTGAATCTATGATCCTTACACTCCGAACGTCTCCACTTCTTGATTCGATATACTTTAATATCTGTAACTAAAAATAATGGGGGTATGTCATTCTTTAACTTAAAACTTGAAAATGTTACATTATAAAAATTATATGTCTCGGTTGTTAGTTTCCTTTTACAAACTTGATTTGTCTATTAATTTCAAAAGTCAGTTTTCTCATCTGAGACATGACATACTTTCTATTAAAATTAATCTATGAACGAGAGAGAAGTTACATTTTCGACAAGTAAAGAAGATTAAATATTAGAAAGTATCATTTGTTAAATAAATCTTGTTTCAGGTTTAAATTTAATACGTGTAAATGTAAGATCTCATAATATAAACAAATTTTTATATAAAAGTTCCAAATAAACTTGTCTTGTACTTTCAATAATTCGTTTGAAAATACTTTTTATCATTGACTTCTCTGTATAGCGGTAACGTAAGTAATCGTTCGAGCTGTATTGAATGTGGAACTAAAATTTAATATTAAAACACGTATTAAACAATCTCATCCCCACGTTTATTTTATTATATGAGTAAAAAATGGAAAGGCTTATATGCACACCATATATTTAGATTTAATATTCTAAAATTTAAACACAGTTTATTTATTTTTTACAACCAAAAAATTTTTAACTACAACATCAAATTGAGTTATAATCTCATCCTATTCGCGATAATCATTATTGGTTTTTCACCAATTCAAGAAAGGACTGTTATTTATCCGTTCAAAGAAAAAAGAAACTATTAGACTTGATTCCATCGTATAAAATATATTCTTTTGTACATTTTATGCATATATATACATAGATAAGGGGAAATTATTTATATTTTCAACGTTTTTTATATTCAATGTACAAAGATTTGGTAATTTCAAGGTTAAATCACTTATCATTTATCATTTATCATATAGCATCAACAATAGAGTAATTTGGGTTTTATTTACTAGCATCTCATTGCATTCTCATTTTAAGTTTCTTATCAATCACAACATACAAAAAAATGAAATTTGGTAAAACTTATTTAACTCATCAAATACCAGAATGGTCAATTTATTATATGAATTATAAACATCTTAAAAAAATTATAAAATCAATTGATTCAATAAAGGATTCAGATTTAGAATTTGATGAAACAAAATATTTGGAAAGTATATCAGAAACATTAAGTTCTTTTTTTTTCGAAATTGATAGAAATATAGAAGACGTTGATGAATTTTATAATACAAAATATAAAGAATATAGAAGAAGATTGAATAAAATTGTACAAGTTTTGAATTTCAAAGATAATTTAATAAATTATAAAATTGAAAGTAAAGAAGAATTAGATGAGATCATAAGTATATTAATTGAATTAAGAATACTATTTAGGAACTTGAAATGGTTTGGTGAATTAAATCATAGAGGATTTATTAAAATATTGAAAAAATTGGACAAAAAATTAACATCAATACTTAATGAAGGTCAGGTTGATAAAAAAGAACTATCAAATAACAACAAGGAAGCTTACTTATCAACAAGAATTGATGCATTACCTTTTGCAAATGAAACTGAATTAGCTAATAATTTGGATATTATACATAGAATTTTATTACAATTAGGAACTTTAGGATCACTAAGTGAAATTAAATTGGAGTCCTTGAATATAAATAATAACATAGAATCATTTCAAAAGATTTTGGAGGAAGATGATGATGTACAATTGGAAAAACAATTGGGAAGTAAAAGTGAAAAATTTAATATTTCATTATTGAATAAAGCAACATTAAATAATTCCACTAAATGTATTGATTTAATTTGGAAGAATTTATCAAATTTATATGATGTTAAGGATATTAATGGTAGAAATTTTTTTCATCAAAATGTAATAAGTTTGGGGAAACAACAATTTATAAAAGAAGAACAATTGACACCAGGAGATTCACCAAATTGGTTAATTGGAAGTACGAATGGAAGTGATAACAACAACATAAATAACACTAGTGGATTACTATATGTTTTGAACAAATTACAAGATAAAGACTTGATCATAGCAAAAGATCATTATAATAGAACACCATTACATTATGCAGCTCAGTATGGATTAGTACAAGTTACAAATATACTTTTGGAATTTTATACGAAATGGGGTCTTATAGATCCAAAAATTTCAATAGATCAGATTGATACTTGGGGTGATCAAGAGAGTTTGACACCATTACATTTATCGATTATTGGTAAACATCCAAAAACTACTGAAGTTCTTATCAAATTTAATAGTGAAAACACGTTAACATGTCCTGATTTGTTGTTGTTATCAGTTAAATTAAATTCAAGTAGAATTTTAAATTCATTAATTAATGATGGTAAAATAAATATCAACTACACAAACATCAAGCATAGAAATGAAACTGCATTGTATATTGCATCAAAATTAAACCTTATTGACGTCGTTGAATTTTTATTAGAATCAAATGCAAGTACTGAAATTGGTGAAAAAATATTTGGTTGGACTCCAATTTTTATTGCTGCCTGTGAAGGTTATACATCTATTGTTAAGTTATTAATAGATTATGATGCAAATTATGATATTGTTGATGATTCAGGTTGGTTACCAATGGAACATGCATGTTTAAGAGGTCATTTGGATGTTGCTGATTTATTGAAACCTAAAAATGATAAGCTTTTATTGTATGATACTTATCATCCTGAAAAGAATGTTATAAGAATACCTAGTGAAGCAGCAAGTCCAATGCTTATGGCAAAAGATGATGATACTTCTAGTAGTATTGATAAATTACCAGAAAATCATAAACTTGCAGTTAATGAATTTTATAAACAATTAAAAAATAATTCATCAAATAATGTTTCAAGATCAACATCCCCTAAAAGAAGAAAAAAATATAAACCTATTAAATCATTTGGTCATAGATATTTAGGTGAAGATGAAAACCTAATTTTGATCACATTGGGAACTACTGATTTAAGAGATGATAATGTACCAGTAGAATTAAATAAAATATCATTAGCTAAAAGTTTTGCAACTGAATTAGATACAGCTTTGTCATTATCAATTACGTGTCGTCAGAAATTAACAAATCAACCAGTTGAACCTTCAGTGGTTGTTGATTTACCATTAGAAGATTATCATGGAACTGCAACAGATCCAATTTCTTTCAAATTAAGTAATAATTTAAAAGTTGATGATATAATAATAACTTTTGATTTGATACCAACATACCAGGTGAATAAAAAAGTTTTAGGTAGAGCTATTGCAATTTTACAAGATGCATATACAAAAGTTGGACCAAATTTACGTTCATTAAATAATAATATTACTGTTCCAATTATTGAATCAACTAATTTAGATATTTTGGGATTAATTAGATTTGAGTATTTACAAGTATTACCTTTTAAACATCACGCAATGAGTATAGCAAGATCTGATACTTATTGGAAACAATTAGTTTCAACAAGAGTTATTGGTCATAGAGGTTTAGGTAAAAATGAAAGTGGTAGACAATCTTTACAATTAGGAGAAAATACTGTTGAATCATTTATTGCAGCTGCTTCACTTGGTGCATCATATGTTGAATTTGATGTACAATTAACAAAAGATTTTGTTCCCGTGGTTTATCATGATTTTACAGTTGCAGAACTGGGAGTGGATATACCAATGCATCTTTTGACGTTAGAACAGTTTTTAGGATTAAATAAGACAAGAGAAAAATCAAATCATTCAGTTGATGATGAAGTTTTGATAAGATCAAAACCAAGAGCTAAAAGTTCATTTCAATTACAAAATAATATTGGAGAAGATTTTATAGATAAAGAATTTGAAAGTCAAATCAATGAAAGAATGAAATTAACAAAAACTTGGAAAAATAAAGGTTACAAAGGAAATGCAAGAGGTACTTCTATAGCATCAAATTTTGTAACCCTTAAAGATTTATTTAAAAAATTACCACAAAATGTTGGTTTTAATATTGAATTAAAATATCCAATGTTGGATGAAGCAGAACAAGAAAGTATGGGAGAAATTGCAATTGATTTAAATTTATATTTGGATACTATTTTAAAAGTTATTTACGATGAAAATTTAAATGGTCGTCATATAGTATTTTCATCTTTTCATCCAGATGTTTGTTTATTATTGAGTTTGAAACAACCAACTATGCCTATTTTATTTTTAACAGAAGCTGGTACCGCACCAATGGCAGATATTAGAGCTTCATCATTACAAAATGCTATAAGATTTGCTAAAAAATGGAATCTTTTGGGGATTGTTTCAGCAGCTCAGACATTGGTCAAAACTCCAAGATTAGCTCAAGTTGTTAAACTGTCAGGATTAGTTTGCGTTACTTATGGTGTTGAAAATAATGAACCTGAATTGGCAAAAATTCAAATGAGAGCTGGTGTTGATGCTGTTATTGTAGATAGTGTATTAGCTGTTAGAGAAGGTTTGAGGGAACATAATGATACTGTTAAAGAATTTGAAGATCTGAGTAATAGTGAATAGATCTTAGAAATAAAAATATACGAATTAGATTTAGAAATTAAATTTTTTTGGTTTGTAGATTTTTGAATTCTTCATATAACTTTTTGTAAAAACCGCACCGCATTTAAAGTTTGAACAAAAAAGTATACGGAGTATCTCATGATCTCTATTCAATTTTATAACATTCAATTATGTCAGAGGACAACAAGAAGACCAATGAAGATGTGAAGAAACAAACTACAACCACGTCAAAATTTGCAATACCCACTACGCAAAGAAGAGGAATTGATGCAATTCATGTAAATTCAGCAAGACAAATGGTCCAACTACATACACAAGGTAGAAATCCACAATCACAACCACAACCAAAACAAAAACTACCTACAGCTTCCACCCCAAAATTTGCATCCATATCATCATCATTTTCTCAAAAGATAAGTATACCGAATCATAAACAAGATGAATGTAAAAATCCTCAATGTGATCATTGTGGTAAAATTATAATACCATCTCCACAACTGTCTTTTCCTATACAAGATATTCCAAGTATAAAAGTAGGAGATTGGGAAATATATACAATCAAAAAACCAATATTAAATTCAGTAGAATTGGATAATTTAGCAGATACAAAATTTGAATTCCCCTTACCAGAAATGATATTTGGTAATAATTTAGTTAAAATTAAAAATGTTTCATCATTACAAGATCAAAAAGAAATATGGTTTAATGCTATAGATGCATTAGATACTTTAGATGAAGATGTACATTTAAAAGTAAGTTATCATGAAGAATGGTTAAAATCTAGACAATTACAACAAAAGAAAAAATTAGAAAGAGGTAAAGATTTTGGAATAGATGAAGATATAAAAGAAAAAGTATCTGATTTGACTGAAGAAGTTGGGATAAAACCTTATGATTGGACTTATTCTACTAATTATATTGGTAAAGTTTCAGGGTTTATATTCAAAGATTGTACAGATTCCAATTTAGAAATCCCCATTGAGAAATTAACTAAACCAGATCCCATATTATTTTTTGATGAAATGATATTATTCGAAGATGAATTAGCAGATAATGGAATAAGTATGTTATCTATAAAAATAAGAGTAATGCCCACATGTTTATTATTATTACTGAGATTTTTTTTAAGAATTGATAATGTTATATTTAGAATTAGAGATTGTCGAATATTTATAGATTTTGATACAAATGAAGTATTAAGAGAATATAAATTACAAGAATATGATTATGATAAACTTTTAAAAAAAAGTATTAGTAGTGGTGGAAATAATGGTGATCCTAAAAAAAATTTGAGAGATCAAAATTGGGTTAGTTTAAATATACCTACTATTAAACGAACAATAGAACAATGTATAGTTGAATAAATGAACAAAAATTGGGAATCAAAGGATATATTGATCGAATCTAATGTATTATGTCGAATTACATTATTGTAGTGAACATTTTTGCAACCTCTCCATATTATTCTCGTAAAATCAAATCGGTGAATTACACTTTAAACTTAAAGTATTTACGACAAACAAAATAAACATGTCAACCACCTTTTTGTAAAAATCTAAGTCGAGCAAACATTTTACCAGGTCTAACGGATAATTAAACATAAAACAGTGCAAAAATTATCTTTAAAAATTCATTAATTTATACCAAAAATTTAGCACAATTCTTTCTCGCTTAGATCGAATAACTTTAAGCAAATTTGCTCGTGCTTATGACAAACCACGTCTTAAATTTAGGTCAACTACTTACTAGCTGACGCTCATAAATAACCTTGTGCGTGTTTTTATCTACTAGCTGACGCTCATAAATAATATTGTGCGTATTTTTATTTACTAGCTGACGCTCATAAATAATTTAGTGCGTCTTTTTTTTTACTAGCAGACGCTCATAAATAATCTGGTGCGCTTTTTTTGTACTAGCTGACGCTCATAAATAATTTGGTGCGCTTTTTTTTGTGCTAGCAGACGCTCATAAATAATTTGGTGTGCTTTTTTTGTGCTAGCAGACGCTCATAGTTAAGCTTAAATTATCGATTAATAGTCAAAAGTTTACATAGATCTTCTCCATACCGATTGAACCTTGGAAATCAGACTCACTTCATTACATTCAAACTACTAACAAATTAGTCTCATCACATTATACTATAGAAGTTGTTGTTTTATTTTATTTTCAGTTTTACTGACTTGATGGTAGAACAGCTGTTAAAGCAGGCTACTGGTATAGTGGATTGACCAACTGAAAACGATAAGAGTATTATAGGATGAATTTCGCATTTGAGGAAGTTGTAGACCCAGAAGTAATTTTATTAGTTTTGAAATTTGATGACGATTAAATCATTCTGAAAGTGAGGATGGGCCCATAAAAGAGGCTTTTGAAAGTGATCCACGTAATTGATTTATTCACGCTCATATTTGATTTTTTGCGTCTATTTCTCTACGATTTTGATTGTACTAAAATTTGAAACAAATTAAAAAAATTTTCAAGATCTCAAACCATAAAAATAATATACCAAACATCAAATAAAATGTTCAAAAGACGAATAAATCTACATTGTATAAAGAACATACGATCAATACGATTAATTCATACCCTTCCCAAATTACACAATCATGAAATATGGTCAAAAGAAGGTATACCAGGTTTATTATCATCAAAAGGTTATAATACATCATGGACAGATTATCAAAATTATTTATTAACAAAATTAACATTATTAACTAATGGAACATTAAATGAAACTAAAACACCTTATGAAATATTATTAAATACTGCCAAACAAACAACTCAACAACATACATTCCATTATGCATCAATGTCTCATATGAATCATTTTTTTTTCCAACAATTAACAACTTTAGAAGAATCAAAATTAACTAAACCTTCAAGATTTTTAATGGAAAAATTAATGCATCAAGATATCTTGGATATTAATAGTTTAAGAAACAAGATTCTTCATATGGCTGAAAATTCTTATGGACAAGGTTGGATTTATTTAGTTGAAGATAAAAATAAAAATTTAAATTTTTTACAATGTTATAATGATGGTACACCTTTTTATTTTGGTAAAAGACAACAATTAGATTTAAATGGAGGAATAGATGAAATAACATATAAGAATTTAAATAAATTAGAGAAAAGAAATAGTTCTGAATCAGAAGATGATGAAAAATATTTACCAATCTTGGCTATAAATTATTGGGATTTTATGTATATTGAAGATTATGGAGTCACTGGGAAATCTCAATATTTAAATAATTTATGGGATCATTTAAATTGGGATGTTATAAATAAAAGATTATTTCAAATTTAGAAGAAATATTAAAGTTGAAATAGTTCAAATATACTTGTATAAATTATTTTTTTAATAAATGAAACAGAATGCATTATTAGAGTATTCTTGATTTATAATATAGAGTATTTATTGAAGAAAGGCTAACTATAAAATAAATTTGTAAAATATCATTGATTAATTCAACCATGGATTATATTGATAATCATCTAATGATTGGACACCATTATATTTATTGAAGTAATTTGATGGTGCAACAGCTTCAGCATCAGTATTTAAATCTTGGACTGAAATTGGTTGATGTTCATAATCATTTCCATCTGATTTATATTGATTTGTAGAATTTGATAATTTATTACTACTATTATCTAAACCAGCATTAGATTCCCAAACATTTGAATGTTGATAAATTGAAGTATACATTTTTCCTTGATTTGAATATAAACCAGCTGTACCGGCAACTTGTGGAGGTGTTAATGGAGTATCTAAAATTACATCTTCAACATCAATAGAATTTGCATATAATAAACTTCCTCTACTCATTTCCATAATTCTTTCTTCTCTTTCTCTTTGCATTTGGACCCAACTATCTTCATTAATTGAATAATCATATAATTTCATATTAACTTCCAATTCTTTTTCTTCTTCTTGGTCTTCTCTCATGTCTTCTTCTTGATCTTGTTCTCCTATATTTTGCTCTTGCTTTTGTTCTCCTTTTTCTTTCCCTTTATCTTCATTTACTATAGAAGTGCCAAATAACAATGATCTTGGAGGATTTCTTGATTTATTTCTAAATCCATGTTTTGAAATATTGAATAAATGTTTAATTGCTTCTCTTTTTGATGGTTTACTTAATGGTAATGGTTTTGATGTCGGTTTAATAGTAAAGTAATTGACAACTTTTCCATTTTCTAAAGTAATATTATATTTCTTATTTTTTTGAAATAATAATCTTATATCACCATCTTCTGAACCACGAAAACCGTACATTTTTTACTAAATTGATGGCTTAATGTATTAGAAAGATAATTGATAATGAATTGAAGGAAGGAATATATCAAAAATTCTGAAATTTTGCAATTATAGAAAATAATTTTAATTATTATCATAGTTAAGATACTGTTTGATATGCCCTAGTCATATAAATCGATTGTAACTTAAGATTTCTAAAATAAATAAACCTGATCCATATCAATTTTCCAAATCGAATATTCTAGCATTCTTCCAAGCTTGGATCAGAACTCTTAAGATCTATAGTTGATTCATATTATTAGCTTCTTTATTGAACAGTTGATCTTCTGAGATATTATCATCAAAACTATCATTAATGATGCAACAATATTGATTATGTAAAATCAAGCTAAGACGAGCTACCAAATCGTTTGACTTTTGTACCAACTTTATTATTTACGTCTATGCAAGATGAATTAAACGGTTCTTCCTTAAATCAGTAATTAAATTAAATTAGTGATTGCGGGAATTCTATTATTATAGAATAACGGAGATTCTTCTTTTTATAAATTTTCATCTGGGGCTGGAATTTTCTTATCTAAAAAGATAATACAATCAACAAAAATATCTCTATTCATTCAGAATTAAAAAATTGAACTTCTACATTGCATTTAGTTAAACAATATGTATATGTAATGATATTAAACCATAAAGCTATAAAGTATTTAAATATAAATGATAAGTATAAAAAAAAAGTAAAGCAAAATGTTAAGTCAATTGAATTCAATTAACGATATAAAAATTCACGTTTAGCATCAACACCATCTAAAACAAAATTTATAGATCTCTTAATTGGTACTAGATATCAATTCAATTTATTTCTTTTGACATTCACATGAGTCTTTAGTAGCACATTCACAAGCATCTTTACATGAGCAATCTTTACTGCAACAAGCACAATCGGATTTTGAAGACATTTTGAATTAAATTAAAGTAGTTTTAGTATTTGTGAATTTCCAAAGATTTGATAGTAATAATCTGTAATTGAAAATATTGAAGAAAAGAAAAAAGGGAAAAGAAATAAAATATGAAAAAAATTTTAAAATCAAATTGAATGAAATTATTTGATCTATTTATATTCTTTTTAATTTTATAGAAAAGGGGGATCTAATTATTAAAATATGATAAGAGAATTTTAATATTATACATACATGATCGATCTTTATATTAATTATAATGTAAAATGAAATACATATATAAAACGATTTATTATATGCAGGTATATCAAACTATAATTACATGATGAATTAAATTTTCTTCATCATAAGCCCGTACATCAATACTTAACTTCCATTTCTCCACCAATTCAATTTACACTTTTCAACTAAATATACCATGGTATCCCGTGGAATCAGTGAGTAACAACCAATAGGAAATCAATAAAATGGTATGATAACTAAAATAAGTTTTTTCTTTCCCGATTACTCACATGTTGCAATCTCCACTTTTTTATCAAGGATTGGTCATTAATGTTTTTTTTAATCTTTTGTTGTTGATATTTGATTAATATTTTGCAACCAAATTTTTTCAAAAGTTAGCTTAATTTCTAATCAATTGATGCACGCAAATTATTCAATCCTGACTTTTATCACTGAAGTAAACATTCTGTCCACATTTTGGCTTCTGAGTCTAGAACTAGGTAACTTAATTTGAGTCAAAATTTTTATTCAGTTGTAGAAGAAAATTCAAATATCAATAAAGTACTATCTTTGGGTACTCACATTTTTACTCATACATCTTAGAATATTATCAAAATGACTTCTTTGATAAAATTTTACAACAAATCTTTTTTGCAAAACACTGCAACTTGAACAACGTTCATTCAAGATTCACTGAGAGACCAATAAGTGTATTAATAACTCCAGTTCAGTATTTTGGAAGAAGATGGATCTAATCTACAACATTTGAGTTCAGATCATTATTTGAAGTTATACATACATCGTAAGCTATTTGAAATTCATTCAGTAATCAAATTTGTACATGTGATTGTTTATGAAAGACAGAAAATGATTCACATCGTTTTACATTGTAATTAACTTTACAAATCTGTAGTCTTTGATCTTTAAATCATTTGTTGGTATTTCTTTTTACAACACTAAAGAGTCTCTTAGCTTCATCACCTTTTTCACTCACTACTTAGAGTTCATTAGTTGTAAATTTTAAGGAGGAGGTTATAATAGAACGATTGTTCTGAAGAAATTGTTTTTAAAGTGATCAAATTATGTTTGTTAAATACCTCTATTGATAAATAGACTTGTATTAGACCTATTTTGATAATGCATAAAGCTATGCAAAATGTAATTCAAAACATTACGATTCCTAAATTTGCACTATTTCAACAGTGATTATTGAGATTGAATTGTCAATAACATCTTTTAAGAACGCTTCATCAAGTAAGAGAGCTAGTGAATTTTAGCACTTACTTCCTTATACATCACTAGTTTTATATGTTATAATTAATTAATGGCTCTATTAATTATAGTAGATTTTGTGGTTTAGATCTAAAAATAAAATTAGTGCCAACATCAAATATTTAATTATTCTCAACTACTTTAAACAAACACCTACTCAATAAACAAATCAATTCATTAAACATGTCAGAAATTATAGATCCATCATTAATAAAAAGAAAACTTCTACATATATCACAAACAAGTAAATTTACTCAATTCACTCCAAAACAATTATATGATCATCAAAAAGAAATTACAAAATTTTTAATAGAAAATGAAAATACATTAAATTCAATTGAATTATTTAATTTATTAGAATTAGAATTTTATTTAAATTTATTAACTAAAAATGATGATGAAGCTAAATTAATATTAAATAAAATTATAACAAATTTTAATGAAGGTAATGAACAAAAAGAAGTTAGATCACAAAGATTAAAATTTTTAAAATCAATTTGGTATGAAAGTCAAAATGATTTAAAAAAAGCAGGAGAAATGATAAATGATGATCCTGATGAATTAAAATTGAGTAGAAGATTAACTACATTTGCAAGAAATTCAACAAATTCAACTACTGCAACTACTAAGTATATTAATAATTTAATTTATTATTTAAATTTACAACCAAATGATATTTTAACATGGAGTGAATTAAGTGAAGAATATTTAAAATTAGGAGAATATGAAAAATCAATATATTGTTTAAAACAAATTGTATTATATCAACCACAAGCATATACTATATTTTATAAAATTGGTTTGGTTCATTATTATCATTTCTTATCAATAAATCAAAAATTAAATAATATAAATGATAAAAAGGAAAAACTTTTAGAGTTAATGAAACTGATAATTTTATCAAGGGATAATTTTTTAGTTTCTTTAGAAATTAATGAAAAATTTGATAAATCATGGATTGCCTTAAATACTTTATTAAATGCTGGATTAGATACAAAATTAATTAAATTTAGTGAAAATAATAAAGATATAAAAGAATTTATTAAACAAAATGAAAAATTAAAATTAATAGCAATAGAATGATCACAGAATTAGGTATAGAAATATAGTTAAATGTGTAAAATGAGAATATATACCTTTTTATTAAAGGATCGATAACTGTATATGAGTTCGACGTTTACAAGATTACTGAATAAAGTAAAGCCAATAATTTTAAATTCTTACATTTTCTAATCAATATATGTAAACCTATATTCAAAATTGTAAAGCAACACCAACATCAAAAAAAATTCGTAAAAAACATCGTTAGCAAATAAAATAAAACATGTTTAGCATTTACCACCAATCAATTCATAAAAGTTTAGCAAATTCATAAAAGTTTAATAATTGAACCCCAATCATTTTTTTTCACATTTACATTCAGCTTCTGATCCACATTTACATTCTGATCCACAATTACAACCTTTTGAACATTCTGAGTAATTAACTAATTGAGCTGGCATTTTTTTGTAGTAATTATTTATGATTTGTTTGACTAAATTTAAATTGAATTGAAAAATATAATGAAAGAATAGTGGGAAATTTTTGGTGTTTATATATTCTTTGATTTTTTTGTAATGCTGGAGCGGACCTGTATATAAAAAGTTTGAGTGATAAATGCTTTTACTTAGTATAATTACTTCATTTGATTTGTGATGCGGCTTTTCTGAGATTTTTTTGCTTTTGAATGAATTGACAAATTATAATGTGATCAAATAGATAAAATAATAGATAATAGCAAAATGATCTCATGAAACACATCACGTATTTTTCTTTTTCTTGGATCACTCTTAATTAATTATATTCATGATTAGTACGACTCTTTGGCTATTTACAAAATTAATATTGATAATTACCAGAAATTACCAAAAATTAGTAGTACCAGTTAGAAAAAATTACCTCACGCTACATAAAAAGAAATACAATTATATCTGAATGCAAAATTTATTAAATGATGTGATATGTAATTAGATCTATGCTAGTTTTTGTTTTAGTTTTTGTTTTAGTTTTAGTTTTTGTTTTAGTTTTTAGATTTTTTAATTTTAGTTTTTGGATTTTTTAATTTCCTTTAGTAGGTAATAACATTGACCATATTTAATTTCTGTCAATCTTGGACAAGTTGATTTGGCTTTAGTCTCAAATTCATAAGTAATTTGTAATCTAATCGGTGAGACCACTCTTAAATCTATTAATAACAATTTAGGACAATTTTGAATTTTAATATTCGATAGTTCATGTATAAAGTTTCCTTTCAAATCTATGACTTAAATTTTAGGATTTTCAAAAATGAAATCTAAAAAACTTGAACTTTCCAACTTATTAAACAGTAAATCTAATGTTTCTAAATTTACTAAATTTTTAAACCTTCCAATTAATTTCATTAAGTTTGATTCTTCAATTGATAAAGTTTCTAAACTTTGGGGTAAAATCTCAAAATTTAAATAGTTGATATTGCATCTTGTTAAACGAAGTTCTGTTAAACTTGTACAATGTAAGAAATTCAGAATTTTTATATTTGCTTCAATTTGATTGTGGGATGAACCAGTTAATTGAATTTTTTGAATACTTTTGGGAAATTTTACTATAACTTCTTCATCATCTGCTCGGATTGATCCCTTCAAAAATTTTGAATTCTTGTAGTTTGTAAAATCATAACTTTGATTTGATAAAGCTGTTTTTGAACTATTATAAAATTCTAATCTTTCTATACTTGAATCAAATTGATAATTTGCATCTTCACAATTTTGTTTAATTACCAAACCTAATTCCGTTATATTTTTAAAACTTTCATTTTCAAGAATTTCATGAACATCTATAAATAATTTTTTTAAGCTTTTTTGAGGATGAAATTTTTTTATTGGGTTGTTTGTGATATTTAAAATTTGTAGATTGGGAGAAATTTGTTCAGTTATTGATTTAATTAAATTTTCAGTGAGGACTAATTCTTTTAAATTTTGCAACATTTTTAGATTTGAATAATGAATATTACAAATCAAATTATGTTTTAAATTTAAATATTTCAAAGATTCTGGAAATGTCACATCTCCCAACAATAACCCTCCACAACTTTTTATTGTCAAATTTTCCAAATTTTTCAAATTTTTGCTTAACAAAACATCCAATGATAATTCAAAAGTTTCAGTAATATCTAAAGTTTGCAAATTTGGTGAGTTCAAAGAAAATTTAATCATATATCCATTCATTTTAATCAATTTTAAAATTTTTAAATTTTCGGGTAAGTATTCAAATTCATTTATTAATAAATATCTGTTTAGTCCATATCCGATATCTGCTTCGTCAAATTCTGGTAAGTCATTTATATCAATAAAGTTATTTTCATGATTTATGTAACTTTGAAATTCTTTTATTTGAGATTCAAATCCATATTCTAAATATTCTAAACTTTTTGGAAATTGTGTTTTAAAGAAATGTATAAATTTTGGACAATCTATTAATTTTAATGATTTTAAATTCTCATAAGTTTCAATACTTCTTAGATTTAACAAATTTGAGCTATATAAAGATAATGATTCAATTGATATTGGTAAAGTTATTTGATTAAATGAAGTTATTTGATTATATGATTTATCACTTATAAATTCAAATTGTTTTAAATTACATAAATTTAATAAATCCAAGTGATTGTCAAAATCTTTGGGCTCTGTAATGTGTAATTTCTTTATAGATTGTGGTAGGCTTATAGATTTATGATCTTTGAAATTTCTTAATTTCAATTCTGTTATTGTTGATGGTAGTTGTAATTGAGGAAATAAATTATAGAAACATAAATCTAATGATTGTAGACTTTGTGGATATTTAAGATTTTGTAATTGATTTATATCTACAGCTCTAAAATTTGTAGTTAATTTTTCTAATTTGAACTCATCCCTAGCTATGGAATTCATTGAGATCTTGAATACTCTATAATTTTGAAAAATTGAGATTATATCATTTATAGAATTATCTTTTTCAATTTTTAATTCAAATCTTGTATTATTAAAATCTAAAATTTTAAATTTAGGATCTTCTTCTCTTAATTTGGAAATTTCAATCAAAGTGTCAACACATGTTTTGATTGTTATTGGCATATACTTGTCTATAACAAAATTTAAAAATTCTTGAATTGAACATGATCCACTAGATAATATTGATTTACGATTTGATACATATATTTCGGGAAATAATTTTTGATATATTAGTGGTTTCAAATTTTCAATTTTTTCCAAATGATTTAATGTCTCCAGGTCATTTATATTATCTATAATTTGTTTTATGAGTTCTATTGGTAATTGTGGTAAATTTTGCATTTCAACAATCTCTATAATCTAGTGTTCACAATTTGATCTGAACGATGAAGAATACAATTATAAATGTGACCAAACTTGAGTATTTGCCATTTATTTATGTTACTGAAAAGTTGCAATTCATTTGTTTACTGTTTTGATTTATTATGACTTTGTTTATTTTGGTTGTCAAAATTTAATGAGTAGTAGTTATACTTTTATAACCAAACAATAAATTTAAAAATAAAATATCACAAACCCATATTTTACTCGCTACCAAATACTTCCAAGAAATCTTTAGTTTGTTTCAAAAGTCAAAATATTTTGACATTTTTCTTATTGACATTAAACCTCGATATGTTGTATTAACAGGGTCTGAATTGTTAAGTAGTTCAAGTTTGATTCATATCAACCAAGCTGTACTCGATTTATCATCCTTAAAAATTCGTAATTCGCTAAAGGCTTTATATTGCAAACAGCCAAGATTTAGATAATTGAAGGTCTATTCTTTGCCATACGAGTTTCATTGGCAACCTGTCTCGAATATCATGCCAATTTAATTCTTGAGGAAATCATCATTTCTTATCAATCAATCAGAAATTAAATAATCTAAATGACAAGAAGGAGAAACTTTTAGAATTAATGATATAATTTTATCAAGAGATAATTTTTAAGTTTCTTTAAAAATTAATGAAAAAATTTGACAAATCATGGATTGGTTTAAATACTTTATTTAATACTGAATCAGATACAAACTTGACGGTACAATTATATTGAATGCAAAATTTATTAAATGATGTGATATGTAATTCTACTTATGCTATTTATATTTTAGTTTTTGTTTTATCATTTTCTTTTAGTAAGTACTTCCATACATTGAATGACGATATTTATCAACTATACTTAAACCTAAAATTTCTTTCAATCTTGGACAAGTTGATTTGGTACTAGTTTTAAACTCATCAGTTATATATAATCTAATCAGTGAAACCATTCTTAAATTTATTAATAATAATTTAGGACAATTTTGAATCTTGATATTTGATAGTTCATGTATAAAATTACCTTTTAAATTTATAATTTGAATTTTAGGATTTTCAAAAATGCAATTTATAAAACTAAAACTTCTTAATTTATTATTCAGTAAATCTATTGATTTTAAATTTATTAAATTTTTAAACCTTCCTACCAATTTCATCAAATTTGTTTCATTAATTGATAAAGTTTCCAAACTTTGAGGTAAAATTTCAAAATTCAAAATATTGATGTTGCAACTTGTTAAACGTAATTCTCTTAAATTTGTACAATGTAAAAAATTCAGAATTTTTAAATTTGATTCAACTTTATTGTGAGAAGAACCAATTAGTTGAATTTTTTGAATACTTTTGGGGAATTCTACTATAACTTCTTTATCATCTACCCCTACTTGAATTGATCCCTTCAAATATTTTAAATTCTTGTAGTTAGTGAAATCATAGCTTTGATTTGGTAAAGGTGTTGTTGATATATTAAAAAATTCTAATTTTTCTAAACTTGAATCAAATTGATAATTTGCATCTTCACAGTTTTGCTCAATTACCAAACCTAATTCGGTTATATTTTTAAAACTTTCATTTTTAAGAATTTCACGAATATCTATGAATAATTTTTTTAAGCTACTTTGAAATTGAAAACTTCTTATTGGGTTGGTTGTGATATCCAAAATTTGTAGATTGGGAGAAATTTGTTCATTTATTGATTCAATTAAATTTTCAGTAAGGACTAATTTTTTTAAATTTTGCAACACTTGTAAATTTGAATTATGAATTTCAGTAATTTCATTTGATTTCAAATTTAAATATTTCAAAGATTCTGGAAATTTCACATCTTCCAAAGAAGTTACTTTACATTTATTTATTGTTAAGTTTTCCAAATTTTTCAAATTCTTACTTAATAAAACATCCAATGATAACTTATGAGTTTCAGTAATTTCTAAAGTTTGTAAATTTGGTAAGTTCAATGATAAATTTAAAAAATACCCATTCATACGAATCAATTTCAAAGTTTTCAAATTTCTTGGTAAATATTGAAATTCATTAATTTTTAAATATCTGTCTAGTCTATATCCGCCATCACCTCCGTAAAATTCTGGTAAGTCATTTATATCATTAAAAATATTTTCATGATTTATGTAATTTTTAAACTCATTATTAAGAAATTCAAATCCATATTCTAAATATTGTAAATTTTTAGGAAATTGTGTTTTAAAAAAATGTGTAAATTTTGGACAATCTATTAACTTTAATGATTTTAAATTCTCATAAGTTTCAATACTTTCAAGACTTAATAAGTTTAAGTTGTATAAAGATAATGATTCAATTGATATTGGTAAAATTATTCGATTAAATGAAGTTAATTGACTATGTGTAATATCACTTATAAATTCAAATTGTTTTAAATTACATAAATTATATAAATCCAAGTGATTGTCAAAATTTTTAGTCTCTGTAATGTGTAATTTCTTTATAGATTGTGGTAGGCTTATAGATTTATGATCTTTGAAATTTCTTAATTTCAATTCTGTTATTGTTGTAGGTAATTGTAATTGAGGAAATAAATTATAGTAACCTATTTCTAATGATTCTAAACTTTGTGGATATTTAAGATTTTGTAATTGATTTATATTTACAGCTCTGAAATTTGTAGTTAACTCTCCTAATTCATTCTCATCCCTATATATGGAGTTCATTGAGATCTTGAAAACTCTATAATTTTGGAAAATTGAGATAATATCATCTAAAGAATTATATTTTTCAATTTTTAATTCAAATCTTGTATTATTGAAATCTAAAATCTTAAATTTAGGATCAAATTCTTTACATTTGGAAATTTCAATTAAAGTATCTACTGAACTTTCAATTTTAGGTGGAATATAAAAATCATTATCTATTACAAAATTTAAGAATTCTTGAATTGAATATGATTCACTGAATAATATTGATTTACGATTTGATACAGATACTATGGGAAATAATTTTTGATATATTAGTGGTTTTAGTTTTTCAACTTTTTTTAAGTGATACAATGTCTCCAAGTCATCTATATTACTTATTATTTGACTTATGATTTCTATTGGTAAATGTGGATAATTTTGTATTTCAACAGTCATTATAAACTAGTATACAAAATTTGATCTCAAAGATGAAGAATATAATTATAAATGTGACCAAACTTAAGTATTTGCCATTTATTTATATTACTGATAAGTTACAATTCATTTGTTTACTGGTTTGATTTGCTATGACTTTGTTTGTTTTGGTTGTCAGAATTTAATGAGTAATTATACCGTTGAAACCAAAATATTAATAAAATTATCACAAGCCATATCGTACTCGCTACCAAATACTTCCAAGAAATTTTAATTTGTTTCAAAAGTCAAAATATTTTGACAATTTTCTTATTGACATTCAACCTCGAATTATTGTATGAACAGGGTCTGATTTGTTATATAGTTCAAATCTAGTTCATATCAACCAAGCTGTACTCGATTTATAATATATAAAAATTCGTAAGTCGCTAATGGCTTTGTATTGCAAACAGCCAAGATTTAGATAATTAAAGGCTAATTCTTGCCATACGAGTTTCATTGGCTACGTATCTTGAAAATTGTGCCAAATTAATCCTCAAGGTTTTAAGTAATTATGGATTTTAGAGTTGTATAAAAGTATAAAGTGACTTATAAAAATGATAATATAAATGAATACTCATCCTTATCTGTACCGCTATGTGACCGAAAACGGACTGAATAGTGCTACCAACTTAATTTAAAATGACTAACAATATTATTTTGTGTGATTTAGTGTGGGGTGAGAGGAAATTTAGGTCGAAGGCGACTTAAATTAATTGTGGCAAAGGGAGAAATAGAAATAAATTTGAATGATTCAAAAATAATTTATTACTCATTTTTTAAAATTTACTTACACTAAAAATTATTTATTAGTGAATTGTGTTCCAGTTATGTACTATGATTTTAAATATGAGTAATAAATATAATTTATAATTATTACACAATAATTTTATCAATCATCAATTTCTTTTTTATCTTATCAATAAGAAATATATATAAATTATAATTATTATATCTCATATTTGTTCATCTTATCATATATATATATCATTAATCTTCATCATTTATTTTTCAGTTTACTCACTCTTAGTGTTACTAATTAATAATACCTAAATACAATTCAATTTAATCTTCAAACTAATTAAAACAACAAAGATTCAAACTAGCTTTTCCATCAATCATTAAATTCACTATTTTAAAGATGTACTCAGGTTACCAATAGATTATCATTTTTGTTTTAAATTTTTTCTACTTTTATCATTTTTTTATTGGATTAAGTATATTAAAAGGATTATTAAAAGATTGTATTTAAGGAGTTTTAGGTTTCAAGGTTCAAATTTCATTTTTTTAAAATATTAATATTTCATTTCAATTATATAATTATTGAAGATGCACTCACCATATTCACCATCGGTTAAAAAGGAGCAAGGTGTAGCTCGATCACATAGTAATAAGGATACGGGTATTGGAAACGGTAGTGAATGTTCTTTATTAACTCCACCAAATTCACAAAATTCTACCTCATCTATTGATCAACAACAAATTTTAACATCACCAGCAACTCAACTGCTTAAACAACCCACTTCACCAGACTATTATCAAGCAAATTTGAATAAACCACAATTTAATTCCATTTTGGTATATTGTACTTCAAATTTACTTAAGATTTTATATACCAATCATTCAACAATACCATTTGATGAAAAACAAATTAAAATTTTCATTATAGAAGTTTTAAAAAGATCCAAAACATCAATTCAATCATTACAATTAACTTGTTTTTATATTTATAAATTAATTAATTCATTTGCAAATTCACAAGAAGAAAAATCAGTTAAAATAAGTGTTAAAAATTTATTTTTAGGCTTGATCATCATTTCTTCAAAATTTAATCAAGATTATAATTATTCTTTCAAATCATGGTGTAAAATTTGTGGATTAAATATTGAAACACCAATTAAATTACAAGAAAATATTAAAAATTTAAAACAAATTGAAATTTATTTAATTGATTTATTAAAATTTGAATTATATCTTAATGGTGATAAATATGAAAATTGGTGTAATATTTTATTTATTTTTGGATTTGATTTTATAAAATATCAAAAATGTTTTAATTCTGAAGTTATAATTGAATGGGATTTAGATATTATTTCAAATAATGAAAAATTAAATAAATGGTTTAATTTTTTCCAAAATTTAAAAATTGATAATTTAAATTTAATTAAAATTAGTTTTGAATCTTTTTATAAATCTAAAATTGGTGATAAGATATTATATTTTAATGAATCTAATGTAAATAGGAAAAGATGTTTTGATGATAATTATAATGATAATACTAATGAGCTTAATCAAGTTAAAAAAGTTAAAGCTTGCTAATTAAAAAAATATTCAGTTGGTATATTGGTATAAAAGTATATAGTGTTGATCAACTAATGCACATTATTAATGATAACGAAATGAAAATTTTACAAATTCTCCAAAAAATTGTGGAGCGAGACAAAATTCTGTTAGTCGGAAGTGGAAGTGAGAAAAATCAAAAATAGGTCGAGCTATCGCTAGTTTCCCAATGGTAATTTTCTATCAATATTTTCACAAAATTGTCATGATATTTTAGCTAGTTTCCCAATGGTAATTTTCTATCAATATTTTCACAAAATTGTCATAAAAATATCATGACGATTCCTAGAATTGCAATAAAATATGTTGCAAAATTTGATCAAACTTGATCGCAGAATTCTTTATTTAAACTATTTACATTATTTACAATCAAAGTACAAGCAACCATCATTACCCCATTTAACAGGTTCTCTTAAAGTTAAAGGCTTAAATCCATCATTTCGTCTAGAACTTTCTTCTATACTATCATTAATAATTCTCTCAGATTTCCCAATTGAGTAGCCTCTAATCATTAGTCTTCCCTTATTGGATTTATCAAGATTATAAATTTTCATTTCAAGACATTGAGGTAGGGAGCCGAATTTTGGACCAAAAGTTCTATATTCATAATAGTCTGTTACTACCAAAGGTCCAATGACTTCTGGAATTAAGTATTCTGTTATTATGTTTGAGTTAAATTTAATCTTGTAGGCATTTTGTTGATTTGATGTTATTACTGATTTCATGGAGTCTGATTCTAGATAAATTAATTTTTTAGAATCGAAAAAACCATTAGTAAGAAGGATGTATCTCAATTTTTGAAAAATATTCAATTTTGAGCTGTACTTTAGCATATCTGGTTCTGAAATTGATGTTATGTCATATTTGAACGTTGGATGGTCATTTATGTGAATTTCATAATTCTGTACCAATCCAAATAATAATTTTAATACTATATTTTTGATATAAGTACCATAAGAGTTAGTGGATGAAATAATTTCGATTGACTTGAATTGATCTACTTTATTCGATGGTAAATGTTTTATAGTTGATGCAATTGCAGATATTAAGTTCAATTGAGTAAATTCAATATTTGTATAAATATTTTTATTTAATACATCTTGAATTTTAAAGGCTGTACCTTTATCCTTCTCTGGTGTATATTTGTAATTTGTATCTAATGATTTTAAACCTCCTATTATTGTTAAATCGTCTATGATCATACCATTTTTGGGTTTGGTAAATTTTGAATCATAAAAGTTTATTGGAATTTGATTAATAAATGCTGTAAGTACTATTACAGTCCATTTTTTGTCTATTTTAAAATCACAACTTATATTTATTGAATCTGGTTTTACATCATCGAACAAATGCAAAATATTATGATTGATTTCTTCAAACTCAATGAATTCATCATTCATATATATTCCTCTTTGACCTGTCTTCTTCTCCAAATTTTGTAAAACAATCATCCAAATATCATTTAAATTACCATTTCTTAATTTATAATGATCGTATCTTATATCTAAACCAACAGTTAATCTAGGTGATTTTATAGATCTATATATTGATGATTCATTGTTTAATCTTGTTGGTTCTATGTATGATTGTTGATTTAAATATTCAATTGGTACTGTTTTGAAAAAAGATGCAAATTTTAATATTAAATATGATGTTAGTACTATGATTAGTATCGATATTAGTAGATCCATTTGTAATATAATTTTGTCTTTGAGCTGGAGTTATTAATTGAAAATCTGTTGCAAAATAAATAAATCCGCGCGTTGCGTCTAAATTTAAAGATTATTTAGATCACTTAAAACTTGTAAAGAACTGAACTACTACTATACATCACAATATATTCAAATGAGTAGGAATGTATAAGGCCAAATCACAATCATCAACGTCACCAATACTACAAAAGCTATTGAATGGTAATAAAGTAAAAAAATTATTACTTATATTAGGAGTTTGGTTTATAATATTCTACATCAGTGAATCTATTTTACCATATTTGAAAATTCTGAGTTGTAAATGGCCTAAAATTGATACAAATAATGAACAAACTAATATTTTATTAATTGCTGATCCTCAATTAATTGATAATCACACATATCCTGGTAGAAATCCATATTTATTAAAATTATCACAACATACAGTTGATCAATACTTAAAGAGAAATTATAATAACTTAAAAAATTTAAAACCAAAATATACCATGTTTCTTGGAGATTTATTAGATAATGGTAGAGCATCAACTGATGAATATTTTGAAAATGAAGTTGCTAGATTTAGGTCGATCTTTACACCTGATCCTTCTATATATACGAATTTACCAGGAAATCATGATATTGGATTTGGTGATTTAATAAAAATTGATATTAGAAATAGATTTGAAAAAACTTTTGGATCTCCAAATTTAGTTGTTACAATAAATGAAGTAGATTTTATAATGTTAGATTCAACTAGTTTATCATCTACAAAAGACGTTATTAATCAAGAAAGTAAAAAATTTATATCTAATTTACCAACTAAAACAAATCCTAGAATTTTATTGACTCATGTTCCATTATATCGTGATCCAAATTCTGAATGTGGACCATTAAGAGAAAAACCAAAATTTGATTCATTAGGAAAAGGTTATCAATATCAAAATTCAATAACTAAAGAAATTTCATCACAAATTTTAGATTATATAAAACCAGATTTAATATTTTCTGGTGATGATCATGATTATTGTGATTATAAACATAATGATAAAATTAGAGAAATCACAGTGAAATCAGTATCTATGGCAATGGGGATATGGTATCCTGCTGTTCAATTATTAAGTTTTAAAAATACTGAGAAGGGGTTACGATACCAAACTGAAATTTGTTATTTACAAACTCCTTATTATAATGTTGTTATGTACATTATATTGGCTTTGGTCAGTTTTGGATTTCTAGTTTTCCTGAATTTGAAGTTAAAATTAAATCAAAATCAAGGTAATATTTTACCATTAAATAATTATAAGGTTAATACTATTTTAAAAAGAGGTTTGGTTTGGGATTGTGCTAAGGATTCTATTATAGCTGGTGCTTTGGTTCTTTTAATTTATCGAGTATTTATTGTAAAGTGATAATCAGGTTAAAAAGTCAGCCATTATTTATTCCATTTATGACACCATTAACTATAGTATACATTTCAAAATACGTCATCAAGTGAGGTATATCACCTAGTTTATTATTTTCATTAGATGATTTAACACATTGAGTATTCTAGAGTTATAGAGACATGTATGTTGTTCACGGATTTCTATATCAATCGGGAGTATTCATATCGAGATCATTAAAAACGATCGGATTAAGAATTAAGAAAGGTAATAACGCAGATGAATACCAAAATACATATATTAAAATTTTAATCAAAATATAAATATTAGATATAACTTATAATAATTTTATTTTCAAAATCCAAATTTCTTTTTAAAACTTTTGTTAGTTCATATTTTAGATTAATTAGAATGGCAATTCTATAACATTAAAACACCAAACATAATTCCAACAACAACAACAGCAATGTTTGGAATCATTGATTTCTCAACACCAGAAGCTCTGTTACCATCGGAGGAAGTAGTTTCACTTGATCCAGTATTGGTACTTGTTGAGCCATCAGTTTCAATACTTGAATAAACAGCATAAGAACAAATATAATTATTACCTTCAATATCACCATCTTCATGATATTGATTAAATTCTTCACAATCAAAATCTTCTGACGTAGAATTTAATTGGAAATCACCTCTAATTCTTTGTAATGCAGGCATTGATAAATTTGTAATATCTCCACTTATTGAAACAGCTCCATCAACTCTTTGTAAACTTTTGAAGGTGTTTAACATATTTGATAATTGAGAATTATTGAAAAAGCTTAATTCCCCACCAACTGAAGTTAATGAACCAAAATCAACTTCTGTTAAATCATCATGAGCAAAAACTTGTAAAGAGGACCCAATTGATGTTAAACTTGATAAATTTAAAGTTTCAAAAGTATTATAACTAATTTGTAAACTACCATTAACTGAAGTTAAATTAGTTGCAGAAAAATCAACAACATCTTGAATAGTTAAATTTGAAGCCCAATTTAAAGCATTTAAATTGACTTGAGCTTGATTATGATTAAAACTTAAAATTAAAGAATCTGATACATTTTTTAAACTTTCAAAATTTAATTGTGACATATTCTTATTATTATTAATATTCATATATTCAATAGTATCAAATAATGCTAAACCATTTAGATTACTTAATGCAGTATTTGATAATATAATTCTACCAGCTTTTAAAACTTCATTATTTAAATTTAAATTTGCAAAATTTGGTAATGAAACAAATTCTAAATTTTGAGCATCTTTAATTGATGTTAATTCAACAGTTGTTAATTGAGTTAAATTATTAAATTCTAAAAGTCCAGTAATATTTTCAATTTGATTAACTAATACTACATTTATAGTACTTGAATTATAAATAGTCAAATCAGCATTTAATTGTCTAATTGCAGTTAAATCTATTACTGATATATCATTTCCTGTAATTGAAATTGTACCATCTAATGTTGGACATGAATTTAATTGTTGTATCCCGGTTGATGCACTAATTGTAGTTCTTGAAAATGAACATGAATTATTTGTGGTAGTAGTAGTTTCTGCATTTACATTAATAGCAGAAAGTAAACCTGATAATATAATTGAGTTAAAGAATTTCATATTTATGAGTCTTTGTTCTTTCTTTCTATTTGATCGTTAATTATTCTTTTAAGAGCTGTTGATAGTTAAGAAATTAATTGAAAATGATTAGGGATCTCTTGATTCTTTAAATTATTGTTCTTGAAGATTTAGTTGATTCAACAGACTTTCACTAAATCTAAGATGAGATAGTACCTTAATAAAAAAATTATGGAAATTTGAAGAAAAATCAAAAGAACTTGATATTTTATATATATACTTCTGTTTCAAAAAAAAGAAAGTAAATTTAAATTCTTTTATCTATGAAAGGATTAAAGTACTAAACGACAAAATTCTAAAATTGGGAAATGAACATTTTATAATTTTAAAGTTGTTAATTAATAAACATAAAGCATTTTTTCAAATGGTTTAATAATAATTTATTTTCATTTTAAAGTAACAAATCAAATTGTATTTTTTATTTTTATTTTTTGATTTGCCCAGAATATGTTGCAATAATTTTTAAAACTTAAATTCAGTACTAACTTTAGAAACTTAATTACAATATTTGTCTTCATAATATTGTGGTCGTTTTTTACATAATTTGTCATATGAGATTACTTAGTTCATGTCTATACATATGGCCTCATTCAGTTGTTCATACTAATTTAAAATTTGATGATTTAATGGGAAAAAAAAAAACCTTGATGCAAAATAATGCACGCCAAATTCAGGTATATAAGAAATCTTTTGATACAAAAAGATCAAAATGTTATAATAATATTTTTTTAACTCAATTTAGTTATATTCAATACTTTATATGTTTATTATACTATTATAAAGTATTTATCTTTGGGCCAAGTGAACGTGTAAGCCCCTTTTTAACAGAATATCTTTGTAGCAGATTCAATGGCTGATTGACAATTATCAATCTCTGGGTTTGTAAGGTTTGTAACATTAGTTTATTTATATATATTCATTAAAAAATTTAAGCTTTTTTTGCAACATGAACTCATTCAAATTGACTAAATTTCTTGTAATTGCGGTAAAAAATCAAAAATCTAAAACTTCTGTAGCTAAAAACATCAATCAGATGCAACTATTTATTTATTTTAGACTGTCGTACACTTTCACTTTCTTTTTTTTTTCTGTCTCACTTCTCGTCATGTTTCAGATTTCTAGGCTCAACTTGAATGAAATCGATACCAGATTTGTGAAACAATCATCAGTAATCACTCAAAAAAAGTTACTTTCAAATCTAGAGACTGCTTACCAGATACGATATGGGATCTGAAATCTGGAATTTCGAAAGATATTAGCTCAGTCATCGCAATAGATTTGATACTGTAAATTGTTGTTGATCTTATTTTAAATTCAATCTCGACTTTTTTAGCCATTGCTTAATTTGGTAAGTAAAATTTTTGAAAAGTAACATAAAAAATAATTGAATTTAGTCTATAATCATTCATTAATGGATTATTTCTGAAGTTATATTAATCCAAAGTATATATTAATATATAACATATAAGCTGGTGTCTAAAAAAGCTCGCGTAAATCTTTAGTTCTGTAAATGTAAATGTTTAATGATTAACACAAAATCCCAATTAGGATAAATTAAAAATAATAAACAAAAAAAAACGAAAAAAAAATAAAAAATAAAAACAAGGAATTTATTAGTAGAGAAAGAAAGAATTAAATTTTAATGATAGTTTAAATTTGACAACCATTTTACTTTACAACCAAAATATTACACATTTGTTTAAACTATTACATTTGTTGATATAGTTCAATCTTCAAGATAAGATTTATAAGATTCTAACATAATATTATATTACCATTATGTCACAATTGGAAGAATCACATAGTTTAATACAAAATATATCACCAACCACGAGTAACGATTTATTCAAATTAGAAAATGGTATGTTTTCACTGATCAAATTCAGGAATAATTACCTGTCATACATCATGTGCTTTTGATATCTTCACGAATATACTATTTGCAAGTTCAATTACTAACTCAAAAACTTTTAGAATCTGTCGATCTATTACTTAAAGAAATAAATTTTGATCCAGAGAATTTAAATAATGAAGTCAATTCTACTACACATACTAAAAATCAGCCAAGTTTATCTTTGTCAATAAATAATTCACCTACTAAACCTTTGAAATTTCCAAATAATCAACAAAAATCAACAGATCCAAATTCAAGTTCAGATACTTATGCAAGTGAAGATCAACAAATAAAAACTGTAGATAATTTGAAATCATCATTTGATAGAAATTTTGATATTGATACATCAATGGATTTAGGTAAAACAATTTCAATTCCAGATGAATTACAGTTTAATAATAATAATAATAAAAGTAAAGGTTCACCTGTTGATGAATTTTCATTTCAAACTCCAATGACTTCAGCTATAGATTTAACTAACAAAAATCAAAAAGATCAACAACAAACAAATTCAATAAAGGCATCACCTAGCAAATCAATTTTACGAAAAACACCAAGCTCATCACCAAAAAAAGTTGCATTCACATCTACAAATCCTGAGATTCATCATTACCCTGAAGCAGAATTTAATCTCGAAGAATCAAATATACAACAAGAAATTCCAAATTTGTCATTACAAATACCAATCCATCATCAATGGTCTCAGCCTCATTATAGTCATTCTGAAGAAGAAAGTATGGCATCACCTCCACCTCCACCTCCTCCACATACAAGTCAACCAACTTATGCTGAACTTTTAAAACATGATCAAGAACGTGATGATTTAGATACAGAAACATTAACTGATTTAAAATTGAGACATGACAATTTCAGTAATTTATCACTAAATGAAAAAATGAATAATTATTTAACAAAAGGTCAACTATCCTCGAGAATGAATGATCGAGAATTGGATACTCATTTAATTGAATTAGAAAAAGCATCAAAATATAAAACAAATAATAATATTCATGATTTATCTTTGTCACTACAGACTTCAAATTATAATATTGAAAATCCATTAGATTCTTTACAAAAATCTCCAGATGTTCAATTGAGATCCTCTGGTTCATCACAATCTTCATTACAATCATTGAGAGATACAAATCGTGGATTAAACTCAATACCTGGTTCCCCAACTAAAGCAAATAGAGGATTGGAATTAAGAGATGGTATAAAAGGATTGCCAGATTCTGTTGTTGAAGCCTTATTACCACAAGATGAATCTGAAGAAGGTATTGTATTGAGACCATCATTAAATAATAGTAAGCTGCTAGTTGCACAACAAATGATATCCGATGATAATATGGATTCATTCGATAGATCTTTCAGTCATACTGAGCAATCAATATTAAACTTATTGAATAGTGCTACTACTCCTCAAGCAACAAAACTCAATTCACCTGGAGAAAAACAAATAGACATTAAAAAAGAGACAGAAGATGAAACCCCTGTTGAAAACAATAAGGAGAACACTCCGGAAGTTAAAGTTGTAGTTAAAACAGAATCGAATGGATCATTACGTCAAATTATCTCAAGTGAACCAGTTGAACCAGAGTCATTACAGAGAAGCTCACAATTCTCCAGTCAATTATTCAAATCAGAAAATGATGTTCATGTATCAGCATTCACCGGTCTTACTCCAGAAGAAGAACTTAGACAATTAAAGTCGGAAAACAATGAAGATTTACAACAAAATAATTCAAGGGAAATGGATGAAGATTCAAGTCAACAACAAGATGATACTAGAATGTCAATAAGATTTCATATGGATAGTGATTGGAAATTCGAAGACAGTAATGATGGAGACAGAGAGGATAATGATGAAGTAAGTAAAGTACTTGATAAATCAGATGTTATGAAAGAATCAATAAACTCCTCACAAGATGATGATTATGCAGATGCATCGAATGAAATAAGTCAGCATGTGGAAGAAGATGTTGTAACTTTAGCACCACCAAAAACTCAAGAAATTGTCTTACAGCTGAAGGAAGATTCCGAGGCATTAGCCAACTCTTCGAATATTGCTGAGCCACATGAAGATATTACATTACCACAAGTTGAAGTAAACAATTATTCATCATTTGATGAAGTCACTAAGAACATGGATACTATATCAAGTTTTGAGCAATCATTATCTGCAGAAAACGACATAGATAAAAATAAAATGGAGAATTTTATTTCAATTTGGCATAGTCAAGAAAAACAAAAGAAGAAACAAATTCATAAGGTCCCAACTAAACAATTGATAGCAGCATATCAAGATGAAGTCAATCATCGTAAAAATTCAGTATCAACAAATCAAACCAAGATACCACAATCTATAAATCAAAAGAAATTTAAAGAAGTTCATGTTATGTCAAGAAGAATAGTTAGTCCTGATTTTGATGATTTACATTTATCTGGATTTTTACCTGAGATATCAAGAGATTCAGCTTTTAACGATTTACAATTTCCAAATTATTCACAATCTCATAGATATTTAAGTTCAAATTCATTAAATAATCAAAATGTTTTATCTAATATTGATAATAATCCAAAAATAATTGAACCACCACAACCTAAAACATATAGTGAAATACGACATTCTAAAAGATTGAGTTCATCCCAACAACTTATAGATCAAGAAGCTCAGGGAGGTGCAAGGGCAAATACAAATGCTAAAAAATCTAGATTTAGAGTACCAACTTTTGAAATTAAACGTTCTTCATCGATATTATCACCAAGAAATATGTACGATGATATTTTCGATGATGTTATAGGGAAAAAACCACCAACAATAAGAGCAGAGGGTATGAGAACATTACCAAGTATGGATAAAGATGATGTTAAACGTATTTTATCAACAAGGAAAGGAATGACTCAAGATGAATATATTAGTGCAAAATTTATTGAACAAAAATCAAAGAAAAACTCTATAGTTACAGAAGCTGAAGATTTATATGATAAAATTCAGCAAACAGCATCAATACATGATGCTAATATTGATTCTCCAAAATCTCGTCAAGTTTCAACTGGTATTGGTGCTGATGTTTTACCTTATTTAGCTGATGAATTAAGAAAATCTCCAAGAACATTATTATCTAAAAACCAACCTTTCCAAAATGACGAAGTATTATCAAGAGCTAATTCTGTTATAATTCATTCAAATTTAAATAATACTTTACCTGAACCTGATTTTGCTTTAGATTTTTCACCAGAAAATGTTCAACAAGAACAATCTCCTGAAATTGATGAAATGGAAACGTCGCTAAATGCTAAAGATCAATTGCTTGTATTTGATAATGTGTCACCAAAAGCTGAACAACAAATTGACCCAGCTCTTCCAAGCACTCCAGTTCAAGAACACAAAGTTACCTTGCCATTATCAAAACAAAATTCACCAACTAAAAGAAGTCCAATTAAGATAGGATCACCTGTAAGATTAATTAGAAAAGATGGTTCAATAACGGGAATTGAATCTCCAAGAAGAGGTGACGAAGATCATATTTATCATAAGCCAAAACCTTCTTTCACTGGTGAAGAAATTTTTAATCACAAGCTTAGAGATGTACCTCAGCAAAATACAAATTTAGAAGAGTCAAATCAGCATATACCAAGTACAGTTTCTGTTCCATCAGAATACTCTGAATCGAAACAAGAACCAGGTTTACAACATCAACACCATGATCGTCATAGATCAGATCCAAAAGTTATAGATGATGAAATACCAGATACTCAATTACAAGAAAGTGGGAAATTATTTTTTAGAGTTGTTGGATTGAAAAACATCAATTTACCAGATATGAGAACTCAAAAGGGAAAATTCTCAATAACTTTAGATAATGGTGTTCATTGTGTTAAAACTCCAGAATATGAATTGAATTCAAATGCTATTCCAATTAGTAAAGAATTTGAATTAACCGTTGTAAATTCATTACAATTTATATTAACTATGAAATGTCATTATCAAAAACCAAGAGGTACATTAGTTGAAGTACGTGAAAGAAAAGTTGTGAAATCAAAAAACAAATTTGCAAGATTATTTGGTTCAAAAGATATTATCACAACAACAAAATATGTGCCAAGTGAAGTTAAAGACAATTGGGCTAATAAATTTGCAATTGATGGATCTTTTGCAAGATGTTATATAGATTTTGCACAATTTGAACAACAAATTACTGGGAAAGTTGCAAGATTTGATTTAAATTGTTTTAATGAATGGGAAATCACGACCAACAAAACAAAATTAAAACCTTATAAGATTGCAGAATTGGAAGTTGAGATGTTATATATTCCAAAGACAGAAGCACATGAAATATTGCCAACAAGTATAAAGAGTGCTTATTCATCATTACAAGAATTGAATAATGAGATGTCAACATATAATGAAGGTTATTTACATCAAGAAGGTGGAGATTGTGATCATTGGAAAAAAAGGTGGTTTAAATTATATGCAACTTCATTAATTGCTCATAGTGAATTTTCACATAAAACAAGAGCTAAAATTAATTTGAATAAAATTGTTGATGTTCAATATATTGATAAGGAAAACATACAAACTTCTCATCATCAACAGCAACAACCGCAGCAAAATAATAAAGGAATTTTGAAACAAAACAATACAAATGGTGGTAATACTAGAAATTTCAGTGATATTTTATTAGTTGAACATTCATTCAAGATTAAATTTCAAAATGGTGAAATTATAATTTTTGGAGCTCCGAATTATAAAGAAATGAAAAAATGGATTGAAATATTGGAAAATATAGTTTATAGAAATAAATTTAGACGTCAACCTTGGGTTAATTTAATGATGAAAGAACAATTGGCTGCTCAACAACAACAACAACAATGATGGACTTTTTATATAGAATAAATTTGTAATATTATAATTTAATGCTTAATGATTATTAATTAAATGTGTAGACTATACATTATTAGATTATCTATATAGAATGTAATACCAAATGATGTGATACGTTGTAGTTATTATTTCGGTGGTGGAGGTGGGGAAAATCCAGGCATACCTGGTGGCATTTGCATTCCAGGTGGTAACTGCATTCCAGGAGGTAATTGCATACCAGGAGGAAACATATTCATATTCATTGGAGGCATTTGCATTCCAGGAGGTAATTGCATCCCTGGTGGTAGTTGCATATTTGGTGGGAACATATTCATTGGTGGCGGTGGTATTTGATTATTAGTATTAGTAGTAGTATTATTGATATTTAAGTTTTTATTTTCTTGTTCTATAGTTCCAGGACCTTTCATTATATTTGCTAAAATTTTTTGTGGATTAAATTCACCTCTTAATTTATCTTGTTTATGACAATAAGCATTCCAAGTTAATTCATCAAATCCAAAATTAAAATAATCTGATATATCAGTACCTGGTTTTCTCCATGGTTTTAATTTAAAAATTTCTAAATCTAATTGAGTTAATGGTTTTCCTTCTAATTCTGGATTATAATTTATATCTATTTTTGATGTGGATGTAACGGTGGATGTTGTTGGTTGTGGAGTTCCTGTCGTTGATGAGGGTTGTGCTATTTCGGATAGTATATCATTACCTGGAACGGATGGTTTTGTAGTTGTTGTTGTTGTATCACCTATTATAATATCAATGTCGTCTTCATCTTCTTCTTCACTATCTTCTTCTTCATCTTCATCTTCTTCGTCATCGTCATTCCCTTCATTGCTTTTTTCATTATTTGATTGTTCGTATTCAGTGTCTACTTTATCTTTATTACTCTCTTCAGTTCTTGTGCTAGTTGATTCTAATTTTTGTTTTTTAGTTACTGGTTGATCATTTTCCTCTTCTTCATCCGATCCATATAAATATTTATCCTCATCGTCTGAATCGGCCATTTTACAAAATAATTTTTGTTATACAAAATGTGGACCTATAGGTATTTTGACGATTTGATAATTGGTAAAATGAATTTATTATTAATGTATGGAGTTATAATTCGAGTTAATTTTCCACGTTATTGTCTTCAGATTTTAAATTGTGACACGACAATAATCATATTGTTAAAAATTTAATAAAAAAAATTTTCAACTTGAAACATGTCTGAATTTATTATAGAAATTATAAATCGAATAAACTTTCCCAATGGCAAATTAATTTACCATTTTATTCAACAAAAAGTTTCAAGTTATTTCAATATTCTAACAACAATAATTACCAACTAATTATAGTCATCAATTTTCCAACCCTTTCCCCTGATTTAAACACAATAGTAAAAATAAATTCAAGATGTCATTTATAAATATTTGTCGTGATAATACTGATCCATTTTATCGTTATAAAATGCCTCCAATCCAGTCAAAAACTGAAGGTAGAGGTAATGGTATCAAAACAGCTATAGTCAACTTGGCAGAAGTTGCTCGTGCATTAAATCGTCCACCATCATATTTAGTTAAATTTTTTGGTTATGAATTGGGTGCTCAAACTCAAATTGATAGATTTTTAGTTAATGGAGCTCATGATACTGGAGAATTACAAGATTCATTAGATGGATTTATTAATAAATTTGTATTATGTGGTAGTTGTAAAAATCCAGAAACTGAAATTTCATTAAAGGGAAAAGATACTTTAGAAAGAGATTGTAAAGCATGTGGTAAAGTTACAATTATTGATCCAAAACATAAATTATATTCATATATTGTTAAAAATCCACCTGATAATAAAAAAGGTAAAAAAAGTGCTACTGCAACTGCTAATGTTGTTGGTGGTGGTAAATCAATTAGTGATATTGCAGCAGGTCATGAAAATGAATTTAGTAATGGTAATGGTGATGAAAATAATGATACTGAAAATTTCGATGAAGATGATGATTTATTAGCTAAAAAAATCCAAGCAGAAGCTGCTCAATTACAAGAATTAAAAATTAAAGATGATGAATGGGCAGTTGATATGTCACAAGAAGCTATTGCTGCAAGAGCTAGAGAATTAGAAGGTATAAATAGTAATGGTATAAATGGATCATCTACATCATTAAATAAATTTGATGAATTTGGTGAATGGTTAATTAAAGAAAGTGATGGAAATGTTTCAAATTTACCAAATGATGTTGAAATTTATAAAAAAATTGTTGAATTTGAATTACTTGAATCACCTGAAATTTTACAAGTTTTAGGTCAAACATTATTTGATGAAAATATTTTAGAAGAAATTGAACCTCATGTTGGATTATTAGCTAAAATTATTAATGAAGATTCAAATTTTGAAAAATCTCTATTAGGTGGTTTAGAAAGATTAATTGGTATACAATATCCTTCATTAATTTCACAAATTCCAAAAATTTTACATAGTTTTTATGATAAAGATTTATTAAGTGAAGAAATTATTATAAATTGGGGTTCAAAAGTTAGTAAAAAATATGTTTCAAAAGATGTATCTAAAAAAGTTAGAAAAGCTGCTAAACCTTTTATTCAATGGTTACAAGAAGCTGAAGTTGAAAGTGATGAAGATGATGAATAAATTTAATTTTATTTGTGGTTTTTAATTGTTTTACAAAGTGCATAATTGATTTTTTTTTTTTAGCCTAAATAGTTTTTTTAGCTGTCAGAAGTAATGAAAAGGATTGATCATTAGTTATAGAGTTGAACGTTTTTTTTTTTTCTCTCAATTTTTTGTTAAAGATTATTTATTAATATATTAAAAATTGTGTTTACTTATATTTAATGTTTTGGTATTTTGTAAAGTTGAAAGAATTACTCTATATTCCTTGAACTATATTTTATTAATTTTGTTGGAAATGGTTAATGTAGTCATCATCATCATGTTATTAAAAGCGTATTCTAATGAGAGTATTATTGCATAAAAGTTAGTTGATCAATCAAAGATACAGATTTCTTTGAATTGTAGGTGTACCTGGATTTGAATTGTAACCTAGAGCCGCTGAACTTAATGATAATTGCTCCAATTGTTGCATTACTGCTAGATCTTGCGGTGATAAGGGTTGTTGTTGTGGTTGTTGTTGTTGTTGTTGGAAATAAGATGGACTAAATTGTGGTGGTTGATGCTGATTTTGTTGAGACATTGATTGCTGAGCCATAGCTTGTTGAGCATAATATTGTTTCATATACATAGATGGTTGAATTATATATTGCTGGGATTGTTGTAAAGGAATATATGGTTGTTGATTTGTTTGTTGTTGTGAGTATGGTTGATTATAAGAACCAGTATGTTGTTGGTTTTGATTTTGAATATATTGGTTATTATTATTAGGGTTATTGTTGTGGTTGTGATTGGAGCCATTGTTATTGTTGTTATTGTAATAATTCCCAGATCTAACATTATTGTTGTTGTTGTTGTTATTATGATTGTTATTATTATTGTTTCTTCGACCATTTCTTTTCATACTAACATTTCTATTCAATCTACTACTTGATAATCCAACCTCGTCCATCAATTTTTTGTAGTTATGATAATTTATTATATTAATTTCCATTAATAATCTTTTAATAGTTGGTAAATATGGTGCAGCTAAATCTGTTAAAATTGGATAACTAAGTATTTTATAAATGAATAATGGTCCTGAATTTAATGTATTATTATCACTTTCTTGTAAAATAAATTCTAAATTCTCTGTATTACCAAATATTGTATCAATTATAGTTTGTCTTGAAGTTTGATCAATTCTAACATTAAGTAATTTCAAAATTGTGAGATTAGCTAATTTATGAACACATAAATGTTTTATACATGGTAAGAATTTATTCATTAATAATTCAATTTTATGATCACAATCAACAAATGTATCTAAATACCAAGTAATTAATAAACTACCATTTGTATTAACAACTAATTCATTTGCGTATTCAACTATTAATCCTGCAATAACTAGTACTTGTTCATTTGTAACTAAAGTTTTTGTTGGATTTGTTGGATCATGATAACTTTCTAAAATAGTACGAATACATCTTGCACCAAATCTACCAAAACTAATTTCTAAAAAATTATCAATCATTGCTTCAAACACAAAATCATTGTATGGTGAACCAAACTTTATACAACCTTGTATAACGTAATTACCAAATTGATCATTGAATAATTTAACGGAGTATGGTTTTAAACTTGCACCTATTAAATACATTTGTTGATAATCTGATAAACATAAACTTATGACTTTTTGTATAGCCCATGTACCATTTTTATGAATACCTAATTGAGTTAAATATGGAGTTATTTCTTTAACCATCATTAATTTTATTAATGGATCTTTAATTAAAGTAAATAATTTTTGAACAATTGTATTCCCTAAATAATCATGACAAATTTCTGGTAATTCATCCAACATTGCCAAAGCTAATTCTTCAAGATCAATATTTGATAATTCATTATTTTGATCAATTAAGCCAGATTCTTTATTTTCTAAAACTTTTCTTAATTCTCGTAATGTTGGTGAATCAAATTGTCTTAATGGTATTGGGTCTGGTAATGGTCCAAAATTATCTTGATATTGATCGTTTGGATATGTTAAACATTTGTTTATCATTGATTGAATCTTTTTCAAATCAGCTTGAACTGTCGATGATAATTTTGTAATTGATTCCATTAAATTTACTTGCACTGCAGATATGTTTGTTTTAGTAGTTGTATGTTCAAAATCAATTGATCCATCAGAATGGGATTGAGAATGTTTGCTATAGTCTGGTTTCAGCTGTTGTTGAGGTTGTTGTAGTGGTTGTGATTGTGGTGTTTGTTGTTGAGGTTGATTTTGAGATTGAAAATTAGGCTGTTCGACTTTTGCAAAAGCTACATATAAAGTATTTCCTGGGACTATTTCCAAATGATTAAAATTTGCTTTTAAATTCATTGCAGTTTCAATATTTGAACATTCAATTAATGCCAATTTTGAAGTAGTTGTAATTGTGATTTTAACACTAATAACAGTTCCAAATTTATTTTGACTATTTGAGTTATTTAAAATTGAAAATAATTTAATTGAATCAATAAATAATGGTAAATTATCAAATAATAAAAATTTCGTTGGTCCAAGATTTGTATTTTCAAAATTTGTTGTTATAATTAATTGACCAAAGTCAAAATCATCAATTAAAGTAGGATGATTATTATTAATTTCATCAATTGATGCTTCAAATACTGGTGGAAATTGTTGAGGAAATGGATTTTGAGGTTGATAAAATTGTTTAAATGATGAAGAAGTTGATGATAATGGTGCACCCGATCCAAATAATTGTTCATGAACTGCTGGTGGAGTACTACCAGAATAAGTTTGTGATCTAATTCTAGGGGCTGCCTGTTGTTGCTGTTGCAGCTGTTGTTGTTGTTGTTGACCAGTAGTATTATTACTTAACATAAAATTATCTAATAATAAATTCATATCATTTGTTTTATTTGAAACTGAAACAAAAGGTGAGGTAGAAACTTTTGAACTAAAATTTTTCAATAGATTACCATTAAATGGATCATTTGAAGAATTAATTGTAACACTTGGTATTGCCGCATTTGTTGTATATGATCTATTTCTTGAAGATTGCAGTTGTTGAGGAAATGAAGTTGAATCTGTTGAAGGACTTAAAAAATGATTACTATTGTTATTATTTCCCGTATTATTTGATAAACAATTTGAATCAGAATTTAAACTATGATTACTATTTGATAATGAATGACTATCATCATTCCAAATTGAATTGGTTGAAAATAATGAACCTGATCTAACTCTTTTATTTGGTGATGAAGTACTTATACTAGTATTGTTATTATTATTAGTTATACTATTAAAGTCATTAAAATTACTATTAATTGGTGATGAAGATGATAAATTAATCTCTTTATTTGGTAAATTCAACAAATTATCATTATTATTATTATTAATATTGCTGTTGTTATTTAAATAATTATTTGAATCAATTAAATGAATTGGACTATTACTTGATGATGATGAAGGTATATTAATATTATTCAGATGATTATTATAATGATGATTGCTATTATTATTACTATAATTTGTTGAAGTATTTGAATTTTTTGGAGTTAATTGATCTTTTGAGAAAATCGATGATAAAGTTCCTGATCTACTTCTAGTTTGCTGTTGTTGTTGTTGTTGTTGAATTTGATGTTGATCTGAAGAATTTAAATAATTATTCATGATAATTAATAATATCCCATGCAATTAATATCTTCTTATTCTTAAATTTATTATTTATTTGTTCAAAAGAATTATAAAAAGATTGACTAGTTGAATTGAAGAATGAATAATAAATAGATTATTAGTTAACTAACAATATCATATAATAAGTTGATTTTTTTAATTGAATATTTTTGGTTGTAAAAAAAAAAGAATATACGTTGTATAATAAATTAAATAAGTTGACAAAAAAATTAATCAAATAAATTTGTATTGAAAAATCTGGATTTTGTGGGGATTTGATTTTTAACAATTGATATTTATATATATATATATAATTGAATAGGTAATGATGATGAATAATTTGATTAAAGAGTGGTGAATGATAAAAAGAATAATAGTATTAATATATATAATTAATGTTAATTATTATAATTATTTGGTGGGTTTGTAATTATATAATTTAATAATATTAATTATTATTATTATTATGACAGCCCCTATTTTTATATATTTGAATAATATGTGTACACTAATATCAGATTATCATACACAAATTAAATTGTTTAAAGAGTTAAAGTTATTTAGTACATGTTGGTTTTAAACTATAAAGATTCTTAAAATATCATTATAAATTATAATTATACAATGATAATCAAACAAAAATCTTTTTAATCTATCTTGGTATAGAAAAAATGAAGAAAAAAAAATATCTTGAGTCTTTTGAATCACATATATAGTATCGGTAATAAATATATGTAAATTAGTTACATCATGAAAAAAAAAAAAAAATCACGCACAACTTATATGAATTATATGAATGAATTATATGAATAGAAAAAACTTCCAATCATTGGACCAAATATATAATGGAATTGTAAGCCTCTACTCAAATCTCAAACAGATACAATTAATTGCTAATAGAATTTTATTTTAAAACCTTTTCTCTCTTTTTGTCTCCTTTTGAGACTAATTATTTGATTAATTTCTCAACACTTGTGATATCATTAAATAAAATATGACCTCCTTCAAATTTTTAATCAGATTCAATTATAAATGTAACAACAACAGGTCAAAAATTGGAACTTTTACTTTCATATTTCAACAATTCCTGATAATGGTCTTGTCATCATTATCGTATTTTAAATAGAATCAAAATTGATTCTAGAATCTATCAAAATTTTAGATCAATTGTTCCTGTATATAATGTTATAGTAATTAAATTTACGAGATAAATAAATCTTAAACGGTTTTTTTTTTTTTTTGGTTTAATGTAAATTATCTGAAACAAATATTATTGAATGTAATTATTATTTCTTACCGCAAACTTCATTTGAGGTTGTTCAAATTTAATGAGTAAAAGTTTACTCATTGATATCCTATTTGCATCAAAGAGGTATTGGAAAGCTCTTATCATATTTGAGAATAAGCTACAATTAAATTATTGAAAAATCAAGAGCTCTTACTGTAAGATTAATAATTAGTATATTCAAGCACATTTTGCAGTATATAATTTGTGTTGTTGTTTACTACACCATCAGAAGTTAATTGTGAAAATACTCAGCTTTTTATCTTATCATTTATCGAGTTTAGCATCAAGTTTATCCACTTTAACATCAAATATTTTTGGAAATGGTTTACTTTTTGATAATATTATAACATTGGAATTATTACTTAATTGACCTCTTATTAAACCAATTGAAATTAAATTTGCAATAATATTTTCAATTTCTAAAATATTTATTTTATTTATTGGTTCATTTATTGTATTTGTTAATTCATTATAATTTGAAGATATTTCAAATCCAATTTTGAAAGCATTTAATTGAATCATTGAATCATTTGAATTATTATCTTTAATAATATTTGTAATTTTTTTAATTAATTTTAATTGTACAAATTGTCTTAATAATAACATTAATATATATAAATGTTTTTTTAATAATAAAATTTCAAATTTTTTTAAACATTCATCATATTTTTTTAAATTACCTTCTTGAATTGCTTTTAAAAAATTATCTTTATATAAAATTTTTAATGGTTTAAATTTAATCCAAATTGAATTATTTGGTAATTTTCCTTTATTATATAATTTTAATGGTATTAATATTATTAAAATTTGTTGTAATTGTTTACTATCTTTAATTTTATAATATGATAATAATTTTAATGCATCATCTAATAATTTTTCACTTAATAAATAATCACCATCATCTAATGCAATTAATGATTGGAAATATAAATAAGTTATACCATGTTTTCTTGTACTTATACTTTGATTCATACTTGGTAATTTTTGAGTTGAATTTTTAACAACTTCCATCATACTTTTTGCAATAACTAATTTATTCATTTTAAAACAATATTTGACAAAATTTGATAAAAAAAAATAAACATCATTTTTTTTACTTTGTTTTAAATCAGGATTTTTATCATTAAAAGTTAAAATAAAACCTTTTCTTAAAGTTGAAATTAATTCTTCTAATGATGATTTTTTTGATTTTTCATTATTAAAAATTAAATTATTATTATCATCAATTGTATCATCTAAAATTGAATCTAAATCTTCTGGTTCTTTTGATTGTTTAACTTTATATAATAAAATCAATTCTTCAAAACTTGATATTATAACTGGCATAATCCAATTATCACAACTTTCACTTGCTTTTAATAAATAATTACACATTTCATTAAAATTATCAAATGATGAATTTAAACTTTGTTGTATATATATAGATTTTAAAATTTTTAAATATGTTGTTAATACTAGTCTAAATTTATCAGGTATTGAATACATTTGATAAACTGTTGGTACATTAAAATTTTTTCTAACTTGTGCAATTTGTCCTGGATTTATTGTAATTAATGATTTCAATAGTTTTGAATCCTTTTTAGATATACTTGTTTTGAAATCATGTATAAATGCATCTAGTGTTGACATGATTTACAAGTATTATAAGATTTATGAATTAAAATGTTAATGGTTGGAGTTCAATATGAAGTAAAATTAATGATGAAGTAAAGTTATGAGACGTTGAATAATTAATGAGCACTAATAACGAATAAACGTAGTTGTTTCTTCTATTTAAAACTGAATTGAAAGTGTAGTTTTTACAATAATGATATGAGTATATATTCATTAATGTGAATATGAACTTATGTTTTGATAATTAATTACATTAACTTTCGCGTAATTTGGTTGTAAAAAAAATTATTTGATAATAAGAACTAACTAATAAATATTTTTGGTCTATTACACTTATTAAACTCACCGTTGTACGTTATTATAGTACATGTTATAATTTTAAATATGAACTCTTAATCTATATCTTTTTTTACATTTAGATTGAATAAATCAATTGTGGTAACAAATTAAGATATAGATCGTTATTGTATTTCAAATAAATCATCTTTTTTTTTTGCAACAAATTTAGTAGTAACGTGATAATGATACATAAAAAACTATTTTATGTTATAATAGCTTACTACAAAAATCATAATTTATAAATTATTTGGATCATAGCTCTATACTTTACTATTTGTTATTATCATAACTTCTATAGTCATTATGTATCAACTTGTAATATTAATATTACTAAATAATAGATAATACTATAATTAATAACAAAATAAATATACATCCATACTGCAATATTTAATCTAATACTATCAATTCATTATTGATTTTGTATTATCTTTTCTCTTTAGGCCTATTTAATTTTATTACTTTAAGAGAGATAAAAAAAAAAACAATAATATTTAATTATGCAATACTTTAATATCAATAATAATAATATTTAATAATCATATAATTTGACTTATTATTATAATTAACAATAATCATTTATCAATCAATTACCAATTAATTCATTATTAATAAATTGAATCAAATTAATACTTTGATTTATATCATAACTTCAATCAATCTTATTAAGATCAATTTATGTTGATCTATTTTTTATCAATACAATAGAATAATATTTGTGTAAACAATTGAAGCAAATATATTAAATTTAATAACACCATCAATTATTATTAATAATTAATCATTAATTCATACACTTTCTATTAATAAAATATTAATAAATTCAATTCATCTGTACATCATTTAACAATTAATTCAACAGAATTTGATTAAAATTTCATTTCATATGAGTTCACCCACTAGTCTAGAAGATTATGAACAAAATCATCATGCAGAACTATCACCAAGATCAACTATAATTAAAAACCAATCACCTGACTCAAATGATGATGATGAGGATGATGATGAAGATCAAGATATGGATACTCAAATAAATAATCAACAACAACATAATAATAATCATAGTAATTCACTAATACAAAACAATAATATTATTAATAATGATGGCGGCAAACATCAAAATCAATCAAGTACAGATAAGAATTCAATACTACATCAAAATGATAATATTGATGTTGATTTTATGATGGATAATGAATATAATGATTATGAAGAATTAAGAAAAGCAATTGTAATTAAAAGAAGATTATCAAGTATTAAACGTCCTCATGGTCCATATATTGATGAAAATTTGAAAATTAATAAAAATTCTTTATTAAGATTACCAACAGAAGTATTATTACAAGTATTTCATTATTTAGAAAGAAAAGATTGGTATTCATTAGCAACAACTTGTACAGAAATTGCAGATTTAATAATTGAAATGTTATGGTTTAGACCAAATATGCAAAATGATTTAGCATTTAAAAAAATTAAATCAGTTATGGAAATTAATAAGAATAAAACTCATTGGGATTATAGACAATTTATAAAAAGATTAAATTTATCATTTATGACAAAATTAGTTGATGATAAATTATTAAATTTATTTATTGGTTGTCCAAAATTAGAAAGATTAACTTTAGTTAATTGTGCAAAATTAACAAGATCACCTATAACAAATGTTTTACAAGGTTGTGAAAGATTACAATCTATTGATTTAACTGGAGTAACTGATATACATGATGATATAATAAATGCATTAGCTGATAATTGTCCAAAATTACAAGGTTTATATGCACCAGGTTGTGGGAATGTAAATGAAATTACAATTATAAAATTATTAAAAAGTTGTCCAATGTTAAAAAGATTAAAATTTAATTCAAGTAATAAAATTACTGATGAATCAATTTTAGTAATGTATGAAAATTGTAAATCATTAGTTGAAATTGATTTACATGGTTGTGAAAATGTTACAGATTTATATTTAAAAAAAATATTTTTAGAATTATCACAATTAAGAGAATTTAGAATTAGTAATGCTCCAGGTATAACTGATAAATTATTTGAATTAATACCTGATGGATTTATACTTGAAAAATTAAGAATTATTGATATAACTGGTTGTAATGCAATTACTGATAAATTAGTTGAAAAATTAGTTTCTTGTGCTCCAAGATTAAGAAATGTTGTTTTAAGTAAATGTATGCAAATAACAGATGCAAGTTTAAGAGCTTTAAGTCAATTAGGTAGAAGTTTACATTATATTCATTTAGGTCATTGTGGTTTAATCACTGATTATGGAGTTGCTGCATTAGTTAGATATTGTCATCGTATACAATATATTGATTTAGCATGTTGTTCACAATTAACTGATTGGACATTAGTTGAATTAGCAAATTTACCAAAATTAAGAAGAATAGGTTTAGTAAAATGTTCAATGATTACTGATTCTGGTATATTAGAATTAGTTAGACGTAGAGGTGAACAAGATTGTTTAGAAAGAGTTCATTTAAGTTATTGTACAAATTTAAATATTGGACCAATTTATTTATTATTAAAAAGTTGTCCAAAATTAACTCATTTATCATTAACTGGTATATCAGCATTTTTAAGAAGAGAAATTACTCAATATTGTCGTGAACCTCCACCAGATTTTAATGAACATCAAAAATCATTATTTTGTGTATTTAGTGGTCATGGAGTTAATCAATTAAGAAATTATCTTAATCAAGTTATGGAAGAAAGAACTTATCAAATTGATCAAGGTGATATTCATGTATTATTTAATGAAAGAAGACGTCGATTTTTAAATGGTGATGCAGATCAAGAAAATAATAATAATAATGATAATGAAAATAACAATAATAATAATGATAATAATGAAATCAATAATAATAATGAACAAAATAATACTAATCCTTGGGAAGGTAGATTAGGATTACCAAATAATAATAATATCAACAATATTAACAATCATTTAAATGAAGAATTGATTGAAATTAATAGAGAAATATTTAGAGAATTAAATGAAGGTAATATGGGACCTGATGAAATGAGAGAACATTTCCAAAGATTAATTAGAAATCATCATCAACAAAGAATTCAAGAACATCAACAAAGATTGAATAGAACCGAACAACAAATTGATCAATTAGAGCAACAACAACAGAATCAAGGAACTCAACCTCAACAACCTCAACAACCTCAACAACCTCAACAAATTCAACCACAACTTCCAAATCCACAACCACAAACCCAACCACCACAACATCAACAACTACATCAACAACCTCATATTGCACTAGCTCAAATGCAAGCAAGATTACTTGAAAATTTAGCAAGAACAAATAATTTACTTACACCAATAAATCAAATAACAAATCCAGAAAATGCACCTCATATTGAACAACAACCAGTATTTCAAAACCAAGCATTTACTTTAAATCATGATAGAAATCAACAACAACAAGCACTACCAGAACAACAACAACAACAACAACAACAAAATCAAGGACCAATACCAAATCAACATCCTCCGAATAATATGGATCCTATTGATGACAACATAATTCAGGATGATGATGATGGTGATGGTGATATAGTTATGGCATCAGCGGATTTATTTCCACCAATTGGAGGAGGTGATGGTACAGCTTGATTATTTACAAAAACCTATTGACAAATATGAACTTCTAATGGTATAATTAATACTACATAAATGTTGAGAGTTTGAGAAAATAATATGGTTAATATCTACATGTGTTTTGGAATTCTTCAATATATCTTTTGCTGGTCACACACTAATAATTTTTTGCTAATTGTTTATATATTATGGTCATAAGTATGATCTTTACATACAATTTACAGTAGTTGAATATATAAATGTATTAATCAAACTTACCTTGTACAAATTTGGTACTCTAATATAATTTTAGCTAGTACATTATTTGTATATTTCAAATTAGGGTTACAGCCCTTACCTAGTATTTTTGTGTGATAAAATTTTAAATAGAAGAATTAGAGAGAGAAAATAGTTAACTATTGTAGTAAGTAGTTTAATATGCGATAATAATTTTAGTAAGAGAGAAGATTGAAAAAAATAAAAAAATAGGAATTTTCACTTTCTTGTTTTATTTTCATTATTACTACACATCAATAAATATATATAATGTATGTTTCAATCATATAATGATATGGATCATGAACTGAAGTGAAGTGAAAAGAGAACATAGACTTAGATCAAGCTAGGGTGGCTTAATGAATGTTTGAATTAAAGGAGAGATAACAATATGTTCAAGATGATTTCAAAAAATTTAGTGCAAATTTATACGTACAAGTTAAATATATCAGAATCAATTTTAAACTACTACATTTACCTTATTGAAAGCAGATCACTATAAAATAGATAAAAAACAGATTAAGCGAGCGTTTGATTCAACGCAGGTGAAAATATTCGAAAAATTTCAAAGTCAAAAACTACTACACAATCGATCAAATTTCCAAAATAAAACCCTTATTTGCACATCATTTTCAATATACTCAGTCACCATAGATACAGTTTTATTGATCAACGTTTTAACTTCTTAATTCTTCATATTAAATTACTGTTCAAAATATAAAATACTAACAAAATTTTTAATAGGACTAAAAGAACAAAGAAAGTAGGAATTACCGGTAAATTCGGTGTAAGATATGGTTCATCATTAAGAAGACAAACCAAAAAATTAGAAGTTCAACAACATGCAAAATATGATTGTTCTTTTTGTGGTAAAAGAACTGTCCAAAGAGGTTCAGCTGGTATTTGGTCATGTAAAAGTTGTAAAAAAACCGTTGCTGGTGGTGCATATACTGTTTCTACTGCTGCTGCTGCTACTGTAAGATCAACCATTCGTCGTTTAAGAGATATGGCTGAAGCTTAAGAGAAAAAGTGGTTTGGTGGTTTTTTTTAGAATGAATAATAATATTTTGTAATGAAGTTTGTGTAATTTTTTTTTAATGAACTTTTAAAAAGTATATAAATTATGATGTTGTAGTATTGATTTGTAGTATCACTAAGCTGTTGCTAGCATAGTACTTAAAACTGTCTATGAGCTGGTTATCAATATTTTAAATTCAGTTCCTGAGATTAGGATTTGCAGCAAAAAAATAAATTCGTAAACTAATTAAAGTATAATATTGTAACACCAAAAGTTGCATTTTCAAATCTATAACCATTACTTACATGTTGAGTAATGGAAAATCCTCAAGTCATTACTGAATTTAAGTTCCCTAAAATACATACGTTCCCTCCTTTATATACCAAGCAACCAAATCAAACAATACAACAACAACAATTAGAATCATGGAATAATATAATTCTACAATATTGTGAATACTATAAAATAACTTCATTAACATTAGATGGAGTGCCGAAAAATTCTCAAATTTCATCAATAGATATTTCAAACCTACCGTTACTATTCAACAATAAATCAATAAATAGACAAGTCAATTCAGAATTTAAGAATTTAATAATTAATAATTTAATACATTCCAAAAAGGCAGAATATATAAATCATAAGAAACCAGATTTGGGAATTTTCATATATTGGAGAAGTCTTACAGAATGGGGTAATATAATTTATGAATATATAAGTAATACTGGTCAAAAGGGGACAGTTCTAACATTATATGAATTAACTAAAAATGATGATGATGAATTACAAAATGGTGGATTACCTCAAGATTTAAAAAATTTGGATGAATCTTTATTGATTAAAGTTATAAAAGAATATTTGATTAAACAAGGTAAAGCTCAATTATTAATGAATGAAAATAATGAAATTGGTGGAGTCAAGATCGTATGAAATTTAGTGGGTTAGGGTTTTTTGTAATAATGAAAAAGAATACAAAACTTTATTCAAGAAGATGATTTAGTTGACTATTGAGTTAACCAAATATTTTTGTAGCAGATTAGATTGCCTATGCGATTCATTGTTGTTTTGAACTCACAGTGAATGGTAATTTTTCTTGTTCATTTTATTATTTTCAAGAAATTGGCATATATTGAAACATTCATGAATTTGTGCTGATATAATAGGTACTTCTAATTATCAATTATTGCTCTTTATGATAATTACTTTTCATATGAAAAAGGTTAGTTAATGAAGTGTATACCTCAGCTCACATTATTTCTTACTTAACATTTCCCAATTAGGAAGTCTACAATTATATAGAAGAAGAGCATCAAGTAGAAAAAAAATTTAAATAAAACATCAACAAAATTATTTTGATACCTACCTCTTCTTCTTCTTCTTTTTCTTCTTCCCGCTTAAATTCTTTTATTTAAGAGGGCATAGTACTTTATCTACAATTTATTTGTTCATTAACCATATTCCTTCATTTTGAATATCTTAACGTCTTGCATTTTTCAGAGTTTATAAACTTTCATTCAAACAATTAGTCATTTACGTGTTTTGATTTTAATATACGTGTTTATTCATTAAATTTCAATATTCTATTTACTACAAAATCTAACTGAAAAATTTAAATTATGAAGTACGTTGTTGTATCAGGTGGTGTAATTTCAGGTATTGGGAAAGGTGTTTTAGCATCATCAACTGGGTTATTATTTAAAACTTTGGGATTAAGAGTAACTTCTATTAAAATTGATCCGTATATGAATATTGATGCAGGTACAATGTCTCCATTAGAACATGGTGAATGTTTTGTTTTAAATGACGGAGGAGAAGTTGATTTAGATTTAGGTAATTATGAAAGATATTTAAATATTACATTAACTAGAAATCATAATATTACAACTGGTAAAATTTATTCAAAAGTTATTGAAAAAGAAAGAAAAGGTGATTATTTAGGTAAAACAGTTCAAGTTGTTCCTCATATTACAAATGCAATTCAAGAATGGATTGAAACAGTTTCTAGAATACCAGTTGATGATACAGGATTAGAACCTGAAGTTTGTATTGTTGAATTAGGTGGTACAGTTGGTGATATAGAAAGTGCACCATTTGTTGAAGCATTAAGACAATTTCAATTCAGAGTTGGAAGTGATAATTTTGCATTAATTCATGTAAGTTTAGTACCAGTTATACATGGAGAACAAAAAACAAAACCAACTCAAGCAGCAATAAAAGATTTAAGAAGTTTAGGTCTTACACCAGATATGATTGCATGTAGATGTCAAGAAAAATTAGAACATCAAACTATTGAAAAAATTGGAATGTTTTGTCATGTTGGTCCAGATCAAGTTATTGCAGTACATGATGTTAATTCAACTTATCATGTTCCACTTTTGTTAAAACAACAAAAAATTATGAAATTTTTAACAAAAAAATTAAATATTGGAGAAGTTGATTCAAATTCTTTAATTAAAGGTGAAGAATTATTAAGTAAATGGAAACATTTGACAAGTGCTCATGATAAATCATTTGAAACTGTTACAATTGCTTTAGTTGGTAAATATACACATTTACATGATTCATATTTATCAGTGATTAAATCATTAGAACATGCATCAATGAGATGTAATCGTAGATTAAAAATTGAATGGGTTGAATCAACAAATTTAGAAGATACAATGAAGAATGAAAATTTATCAGAATATCATAAAGCATGGCATTATGTTTGTCAAGCTGATGGGATTTTAGTTCCAGGTGGGTTTGGATCAAGAGGAATCGAAGGGATGATATCAGCAACTAAATACTCAAGAGAAAATAATATACCATTTTTAGGAGTTTGTTTAGGTTTACAAGTTGCAGTAATTGAATTTGTACGTAATGTTTTAGGTATAAAAGGTTCAACTTCACAAGAATTTGATAATTATAAAGAAGAAGACAATATTTTACCATCAGTTATATATATGCCAGATGTTGATCAAATTAAATTAGGTGGTACAATGAGACTTGGTATACATGAAACAAAATTTATTGAAAACTCAGATTGGAGTAAATTACGTAAATTATATGGAGGATCTAGTTCAGTATTTGAAAGACATAGACATAGATATGAAGTTAATCCAGAACTAATAAATCAAATAGAATCTAAAGGTTTACATTTTATTGGAAAAGATGAATCTGGTAAAAGAATGGAAATGATTGAATTATATAGTGATTGTCATAAATTTTTTGTTGGTACTCAATATCATCCTGAATATTTATCAAAAGTTTTAGATCCTTCAAGACCATTTTTAGGTTTAGTTGCTGCTTCTGCTGGTATATTAGATGAGATTTTAAAAAGAGATGATTTAAATTATAAAGGAGAATTTTGAAGTTGTATAATTTCATTGGATTTGCTTTTAAATTAATTTTTATTAGATTATAAATATATAAGGTATTTTGTAACATAATAATTAAAATAAACAAAGACTTATCAATCACTTCAGGTACAATTCCTTCGGAAGCTGTGTTTTTTTGATGATCACCTCTTTAACTCTTTGATGTTTCAGTATTGATTTGAGCAAGCGATGAATTAAAGTAATTTCGAAGAGATTTCAGCTTTGATTGATCAAATGAATAACCAACAACTAAAATTAAAGAGATCAAAAACTACAATTTTGAAAAATTTTTATACAAATACATGTTACATAGATTAAAGCCTGAAAAAATTTGCCATTTTAAAAAACTTGTCCTTAAAGATAAATTATCCAAGTTTCAATGTTGTGCATATGATGATTATCTCTTACAATCTTAACTCTTAGATTTGTATCTTGTATTATGTATTAATTATTGTCTTATGTAAATCATTAATTATTGTATTAATTGTAAATACAAACACATAAAAACAAATCATAATTACCAAACTAAATAATCTAGTTTGATAAAACAAAATGAATCCAGTTTTATTGATTAACAACAAGACGAACCACTTAAAAAGGTTAATGCGAAATCAGTTTTATGATAAAGCTGGTACAACAAATGAAGAAGTAGAAAAGTTAAAGCATCAAATTTGAACCATGAAGATGAACATGTATCGAAATATTAAATTATTATTTTAAATTTTGCCATCCATTTTTTATTTTTCTCTTCTTTTAAATATTATCATTATTATCATTGTAGTACGGATGTTAATTGCCAATAATACTTTTATTAATCTAAATTGGTAGCAAGAACCTACAAAAACCCTTACAATTTCGAAGGATTTTTGAGCATAATTTATATACATATAATTTATTATTATTCTTTTGAAATTTTGTCATAAATTTTTTGCACATATTTTCAAAATTATTTTTCTGTAGTTAGTACTATCAATAATTGAAAATTGTATATTTGCTTACTGAATTATTATTAAAAGTATTTCAGTGAATGTGTATTTGCACCTTACTAAAAAATCAATTTTGTAAAATATTTTTCCCATTTTTATTTATAATTAACTCCATCGGATAATAGCGGTTTACATATAGACTATATATATGTATCAATTTCGATCTTCGTGGAAAGCGTGTTTAAAACAAATGACAGTGTTTTTGTAAGGATTAATCAAGTGAAGTATTTATTGTATTAAAACTTGAGGTAAGAAGCATAAATAAAATGTAAACACTTCAAAACAGTATGCTATCCAAATTAAACTTTCGTTTAATCAGAAATGAATTATAGAGTATTATGAATTTTTCTCAGACCACTTTAGACTCAAAAATAAGAAAATGAAAAGCATGAATAGTTTAATAATTATAAGAAATATCTGGGTCTTAATAAATTGTGAGTTTCGATGTAGATTGATAAAAAACTGTGATTTACATATTCAGTTGCAAAACATAAAATAAGTATTTAAGTCACAATTTTCTAAATAATCTTGATAGTCGGTTTACTAAAGAGAAATTAAGTGGAGACTCAAACAGGACCGTTAATAGCGCAAAAATTTTCTCAGGAAGATTGATGACAACCTCATCTCTCTTTTCAAATCTCTTATTCAACATCGATTATAAAATATAAGAAATTTGGTTTCAAATTTATGCTTAAAATAGGAAACACACTCAAGCTCTTTTTTTTTTTTGTAAAACTTTTCATTACAAATTTGATTAAAATTTTATTTTATAATTTTATAATTTTTTACTTTCTTACTTTATTATATTTCTATATATAACCATGATATATCATCATAATTATGGAATAGTTTATAAAATTAATTAAATCAAATTATATAAATCCTCATCTTTTTTGTTTCAAAAATTATTAAAATTATTGTATTACAATCGTACTGTATATAATATTATAGTGAAAATCACACAGAAAGAAAAGCATAAATCGTGTCTTCACCAATCCAATCTCTTAGCTTCTTATTATTATTATTATATACAGTATTTATTATTTATTAACTATTAAAGATTTTTATTAAGCAAAGTAAAGAAAAATAAAAAATCAACAATTTATTACATAGACTGCTTTTCTTTTTTTCATGTTTTCATTTTATATAATATTATTATTCAATCAATACTACAATTTATTTTTAAAAGCTTGTTAAATTTAACGATATTAATCAGATTTTGAGATATTTATAATAAAGTCATGATGATCCATTAAATATTTAAATTCAAGAGGTGGTAGGATTATTTATTTTAAAGTTATAATGAATCGAGGGGTCACTTTAATTATATATGTTACTGTTTTAATTGGAAAACTTTAACAATTACAAATAAATCAATTATTCATAATTTTGCTAAATCAAGTAATACAGTTTGATGGATCTCATTCTAAATTACAATTTTAATTTCAAACTATATATCTTGGTCACTCATTAATACCTCAAAATCATTAAAATGAGCAGATATTAGTCAGCTTTTAATTTGCATTAAATACCGCAATTTATTCAATTTATTTAAATGTCAATACAAATTATTATCAACAACTATAATTATTAATATTGAAGCACAAATTCTTTTACTCAAATTGAAATTTTATTTTCTATAAATTTGAATCATTAATACAAGTTTTCAATTGGAATATCTTATCATTCATTATCATCATCAATGAAGTATTTCTTTTTTCCTTGGTTTAATTTTGTTCAAGTTCAGTGAGTTAAAGATTTTGTTTGTTCTACGTACCTCAGTGATTACAGTTCCGGAATTATGACATGAATAGGTGAAGGTAAAAATATTTGTATTATTAATTTGCATCATTATTAAACTAATTTGAAGATGTTTTAACTTTTTTGCCAAAAAGTAAAGTAGTGTGTTATTGAAGTAACATAAGAGGTACAAGAGTAGATTGATGCATATAAGTTGGCTTCTTTATATTCAGTCTTTGGATTGCCAAATATCAAATGTACTACAACAATTACAAAGAATTAAATAATAGTCATATTTTTTTCACAGAAAGACTTGTTAAATCTAGCAACTCCTTAAACTCAATTTAATCAGTACTAGTTCACGTTATGGTAATGAAGAGTTTATTTGCATTCTTTTAAGACCGATTATATGTGAAGCTTTGCTATTACTATGTAATTAATTTCCTTTCTCCACCATTCAATCTCACATTAATTTTATGCTTAGTGTTTCTGTCAAGATCTAATTATTTTGTGGTCAATTTATGTGTTATCTTTGAGTATACTCAATTTATTTGATTCAACTTGTTGGTTTGTTCTCAATTAAGATTATAACTTCAAAACAATCATTACATTACTTGCATATACTATCAGATTCTTGGAGACAGAATTAGCTTAAAAACGTATTCCCATTTACCATTAGTAACTGTGAAGGTGTTAGGTAGGTTTGTTTCCATAAGTCATCAATATCAATATAATAAATATTGATTTTAACGTTAAACAGTATTCGTATTTTACTTCTTTTTTATCAAAAATTGTTTTGAAAATTACTAATTTTTCATTAATTTTTTTAAGGAAATTGAGCTAGCTAATAAGAGAGACTTAACTTTACCTCAATAGTTAAGAAGATGAGGTTTGCAACCAAATATTTGAAACAACCATAGATAAGCAGCATTTAGCACTTTTTAGGATTTTTGTGCGGCTTTTGGTACAGGAACTACTACATAACAAAAATAAATTTAATGTACCAAACTTATAAAATCAAAAACATTTTAAATTATATTATTTTTAATATATTCAAATTCATCAAAACATCATAAAGTCATGGATAACATTATTATTCAAGTTTTAAACGACAATAAAAAATTAAAAAAAAATAATCATAAACTTAAAAAATCCTTGAAGATCCAAAAGGTAGAATTAGATCAAATGAGATTCTACTATACATTATATAAATTAAGGTTAGAATTTACAGCTAAGAAATTATTCAAATTTTTTGACAAAGAGCTGGTTGATAAAAAAACTATTGATTTTTTCATGAAATGCAATATGAGTAATATTCTAGAAATAAAGGATCTTGAAGAGGATAATCAGTTATGGAAAAACAAATTTTTTACCTTATTGGAAAGAGATTGCTGCTGTTTACAAAAAAGCATTATCAATGGATTTGGTAGAAGTGATAAAGCTACAAGAAGATCAAAAGATGCAGATGCAAATAAAATCCAATTTGATACAAGCGATGAAGCTACAAGAAGATCAAGAGATGCAGATGCAAATAAAATCCAATTTGATCCAAGTGATGAAGCTACAAGAAGATCAAGAGATGCAGATGCAAATAAAATTCATTTTGATCCAAGTGATAAAGCTACAAGAAGATCAAGAGATGCAGATGCAAATAAAATCCAATTTGATCCAAGTGATAAAGCTACAAGAAGATCAAGAGATGCAGATGCAATTGAAGGTCATTTTGATCCAAGTGATAAAGCTACAAGAAGATCAAAAGCACATGTTACTACCAGAGTTGATGACGTTGAATTGATCTACAGAAGTCATCAGTTAGGACCATGGAACCCCTTAGATCCAGCGTTTGCAAAAAAACAATTGCAGCTAGAAGAGAAAATAGTCAGGTTGTTAAACCTTTTATGAGGAGCTTAAACAAGGATCCTGGAGAGATTAATCATTAAGTCAAGCATGAAAAAACGGTATCAAGTACAAACCGTAGTTGAATGTTGATTTGCTTCAAGAGTAATAATGAAGCTGGTTCTATCTTCATTTTAAATTTTCACATGTTAAAAACACATCAATACCTTACCATTCCCCTATTCACCATCACCTTCATCACCAACCCTGTCCTTAAACTCACCTACGCTACCCAGACCAATTCACCGAGTCAAGATTCTTTTAGGAAGGAGTATGACTATCTTTTTTACATAGATCATCATTTCTGGACCTTTACTTGTCACGTAAGTGACGGCCCGAGGGTATTGGGAAAGATTTGGTGGTTCTATTAAAATTGATTTATCACGCTTCAAACTTTAAGATGATTGAAACACAATGTTCAGGGTATTGATTGTTTGAAATAATAAAGTTAGAGAAGATAGAAGATGCTTATATTGAAGATGCAAAAACTGTATCAATAATTCAACTTTTAATTGACACAATATTGACTTAATTAAAGAGTCTTGGATCCTTGAAGCTGCAATTGGTTCTTGTATGAAAGGTGTTATTAGATGTGGTGCTGGTAAAAATATGGTGGTTGTGGTGCTGGTAAAAATATGGTGGTTGTGGTGCTGGTAAAAATATGGTGGTTGTGGTGCTGGTAAAAATATGGTGGTGCTGGTGCTGGTTTTGGTATACGGTTGTGGTGCTAGGTATAACTATGAGGACAGCTAAAAATTTCTATCATTGGTATGTACCCTCATACTCAATGGTAGATCTATATGGCATGTCTAAGTAGTTTTAATATTATATTTTTTGCTTGTATTCTTTATATTGTAGATTTTTTAATGATCAATGTATTTCTAATTCTCTTCCTTTGAATTATTTTATATTTGACAATTTGGCCACTAGTAAAGGAGTCTTAAATTTGATGTTTGACTCAAAATCTAATTGTCTAACTATTGAATTGGCATTATATTTTAAGGTACATATAACTCAGTTGAGCTAATAATGAGGGAACGTGAGGATGCTCTTATATTCTACGTTTGAATTGAGTTTGTTGTGTCTTATTTAATCTTGATTAATCATACTAAAAAATCCTATAAACTATATACAATGGGATTTCTAATCTTTAAATATATTTATATTTTGTTTAATACTTAGCATTTCAGCATCATTCATGCCTATTTGTGATCTTTGTTTGCGATTTTATATTATTATCTCTCCTTTGTCTGCAATTTTATATGGTTCAGCCTATCTGACATCTAGCTTTTTCATTATTAGTCCCATTGTTTTCTTTATTGGTCTATCCCAAATTAATACTAAATCACCTATATGGAGTTGAGTTGTTATTTCATGAGCAGCATTCTTTATCTTTCCTTCTTTGAACTTCAAGTTTAGTTTTTCTTAACCCATATACGAGCTTATATTTAAACTTTTCATTCTCACCAAAATCACCAAATTATTGATTGTAATTTTCGTAATTGTATCTTCCTGTCCTAACCTCAATGCACTAGCATCAACTTCATATTGAGTTTTAATAAGCATCGTAACATTGTTATCTTTCTCACTTAATGAACCTATTTCATAATTTCTTTCTTAATCAATCAACTCTTTATTTCCATCTTGATATGTTAAAGCAATCTTTACTACCGAAAACTCTGTTTCAATTTTTCTCAAATCTCTGCCTCTTCCCACCGACGTTTGCCCTAGTATCAACTAAGGCTATCACTTCAAAGCTTTAGCTTTCTCATTCGTCATTGTTATTGACACTTCAAAATTCTCAGTTGCAATTACTAAGTCGTTACATGCAACTTCAGCAACTTCCAAAATAATTATTTCATATCCTGAACCTTAATTCCTTTCCAACAACAAAATAAACCTTCTCGTATCATATAATTCACCTGTTTCTCAAGAAATGATATTTTCCATATCATTTTTTGTTCTCAATTGAGCAACACCTCAACTGACTTTAAATCTTAAGCAGCTGCAACAACAATTGTTGCTCTCTCTAACTTCTCCAATTCTTCCCATTGATAAAGAACATACCTGATAAAGTGTCAACTACTGCAACAATTCAAACTCTCTACCAATTTAATCAAACACTGATAATGGTGCTTTGAACTCCTAACTTGCAATTGCTATCCCATTATATGCAACTCAGCAACTTGTATAGCATCTATCTTTCTTTAAACCAAAACTTCCATGCTCTAAACCTTTCCTAGGTCCATCTTCGTTTGATCTTTCACTTGAACTTAAACCTTTCTGAAATCTAGCTCTTACCTAGAACCAAATCTGTGAGTACCATTGTTTAATTCTTGACCTAAATCTAAACCTCTTGCACCAATTCTAATCACTGAAACTTTCATAGTTTCCTCTGATTCTTCTATGTTCTATATTTAATCCCTTCCTGAAACTAATCTGCGAGTATCCTTGTTTGATTCTTGACCTAATCAAACCTACCTATCATTTTAACCCCCCCACTCTCAGATTTCCTATCTTAATTATGGCTTGATCAGCTTTCCTGACCACCTGAATCATTTTAAATGACTTTGATTCATCTATAATATCCAATGGACCAATCAAATCCATCTTCTGACATGCTGCTGGCTTTACCACCAATAATCTCTGATGTACCTAAAGCTGTTGACTTTACCTTGAACCAACATCTGCTACAGCAAATCCTGCGTTTAATTTAACGTCCTCGGAAAGGAATTTTTCACTTAAAGCATTCTTGACAAGGCTCATTCCAGTAGAACCTTGATTGTTTATCTTTGTACCTCTATACTAATAATCAAAGCTTTTATGTCCTTCCTCTCGACATGAAAAGCAACCTTCATTTGCTATCAACTGATTGTTCAGGATTTCTCGTCATTTGACCATCAATTAAGTTGTAAGCATCTAATTTCAAATAGTTAATCTTATTCTCGATCTCTACCGAGACCATTTATCAGAAACCAACGTTCATCATCAATAATTCAAAACAGCTCTTCTTGGCTTCACAAACACTTTACCTTTCCCTTCGAATAATATTATCCATATTTAACCAATGAATCATTATTACAATAACCATGCCTTTCACCATCTCACTCTCAGGGTCCCGAAAACTAATGTAAATGCCTTACCATCGTTATTATTTGTTGGCAAATATTTATATACACTAATTTCCTCTTTTGAATCTTATGTTCTATCTGAAGCAAAAGCTTCTTAAGTAGCTTCATCTAAATCAGCAATAGCGCTTGCCCCTGTACCAATAGTTTCTATTCCTGGAATTCCATCCAAATTTATACCACTTGGAATACTACTTGTCATGGCTCCAATATCTATCTCCAAAATATTTATTCCACTTGTTAAAAAAAAGGTTCTATATCAAAGTAGTTTTCTACTACTTTTCCATCTAATGGCTGAAGTTACTCACTTACTATCTCTAAATTTCTTGATTATTTGTTTCGGATTTATTTGCTGAGCTTCTAGTAGACATAATTGACTTTGTTCTAGTGTGTAGGAATTTTTGTTTTGAATTGTCTTAAGTTTTATATATAAGCTTAAATTTTTTCTTTTGCACATTTTCTTATTTTTGAATCATCTTTCCGATGAGCATTGGTAATTACATAATCGACTCTGACATGATAATCACTTGAGATCTCTTCACTTTGTAAAGGCTTTTCCTGAAATTTTCATTTTTGATTTTAAATTGTCGTGAGAATTTAATGTCTCACTTCTACTTTTGTGTTTCGTTTTCCGAATCATTTTGTTTCTGTTTCAGTTTCTCAAAATTTATTTGTATTTTACCAATTTCGGACTCTGGTTTGACCCGCCTAGTAGGGATCTTCTCGTAGGTTATAATTCTACTTTGTTATATCTGGCCAGATTCATTCCTACTTCCTCCTAATTGTCACCAGCAGTGAGTTCGTTTTTTTATCTCGTCCACCACTTTCTGTTATAGGAATTTCGCACTCGCTAAATCCCATTTAAACAGCCTCGTCTCATTTTAATGTATTCAAACTATAAAACCGGATGATAATTAGAACTCTAACTTCTCAATCAAGCTAATAATGAGAAAACGTGAGAAAACTCTTATATTCTACGTTTGAATTGAGTTTATCGTGTCTTACTTAATCTTAATTAATCATACTAAAAAATTCTATAAACACTATATACAATGGGATTTTTTAATTTTTTTATATATTTACATTTTGTTTAAAACTTAGCATTTCAGCATCATTTATGCCTATTTGAGATCTGTATAATCACCTTCATTGACTTCGATTTCCAAGTATTAATGTTTTACCTAATTTATCCTTCGTGTCATTATTAAAAGTTGAAATCCATGTATTTAGAATTTACAACTTGATTATTACGACAAATAAACTACTCAATATTTTTTCTATAATAAATTCCTTTTTTAATTGTCTGTTAAGAATGAGGAAAAAGATGTTGTATAATTACAACAACATTTATAAATAATTGAATATTATTATTGATTATAGTTTATTTAAGTGAGAGAGGAAAAAGTATATATATTTATACTGTCATATGGGAATAATGTTGTAATTAAGTGTAGATTATTAACTATATACTACAAAAGATCTTAATAATAATAATATTTGTTAACATGAATTTTATATCTTTATAATTTTTACCCCACAAAAAAAATGATTTCAATTTGATTAAAGATTTGTTAAAGATTCAAGACGTGAATAATCAGAGTAAAATTTATAATCAGGGGTAAAGCATCAAGGTGGTATAGTTGGTAATATGGAAAGTGCACTATTTTTTGAAGCATTAGGACGATCTCAATTCTGAGTTAAAAGTGATAATTTTGCATTAATTCATGTAAGTTTAGTACCAGTTATACATGGAGAACAAAAAACGAAACCAATTCAAGCAGCAATAAAAGATTTAAGAAGTTTAGGTCTTACACCAGATTTGGTTGTAGATGTCAAGAAAAATTGGAACATCAAACTATTGAAAAAAATAGAATGTTTTGTCATGTTGGTCCAGATCAAGTTATTGCAGTACATGATGTTAATTTAACTTATCATGTTCCACTTTTGTTAAAACAACAAAAAATTATAAATTTTTAAATTAAATATTGGAGAAGTTGATTCAAAGTCTTTAATTGAAGGTGAAAAATTATTAAGTAAATGGAAACATTTGACAAGTGCTCATGATAAATCATTTGAAACTGTTTAAATTGCTTTAGTTGGTAAGTATACACATTTACATGATTTATATTTATCAATAATTAAATCATTAGAACATGCATCAATGAGATGTAATCGAAGATTAAAAATTGAATGGGTTGAATCAACAAATTTAGAAGAATTAATGAAAAATGAAAATATATCAGAATAGCATAAAGCATAGCATTATGTTGGTCAAGCTGATTGTATTTTAGTTCCAGATAGAGTTGGATCAAGATGTATCTAAGGTATGTTATCAGCTATTAAATATGCAAGAGAAAATAATATATCATTTTTAGGAGTTTGTTTGGGTTCACAAGTTGCAGTGATTGAATTTGTTCGTAATGTTTTAGGTATAAAAACTTCACAAGAATTTGATAAATATAAAAAAGAAGATAATATCAGACCATCATTCATATATATGCCAGATGTTGATCAAATTAAACTAGGTGGTACAATGAAACTTGCGATTCATAAAACTAATTATTGAATGTTCAGATTGGAGTAAGTTATGTAAATTATATGGAGGATCTAATTCAGTATTTGAAAGTCATAGACATAGATATGAAGTTAATCCAGAACTAATAAATCAAATAGAATCTAAAGGTTTACATTTTATTGGAAAAGATGAATCAGGTAAAAGAATGGAAATAATTGAATTATATGATAATTGTCATAAGTTTTTTGTTGGTACACAATATCATCCTGAGTATATATCAAAAGTTTTAGATCCTTCAAGACCATTTTTAGGTTTAGTTGCTGCTTCTGCTGGTATATTAGATGAGATTTTAAAAAGAGATGATTTGAATTATAAAGGAGATTTTCAAAGTTGTAAAATTCGGATTTGCTTTTAATTAATTTCAATAGATTTTAGAAATATCAGGTATTTTGTAACATAATAACTAAAACTGGTTATTAATGAGAGGTATTTGACTCTTATGTTTTTGCATGTGTCGTCCTTAATAAACCAGGTTCTTTTGCTTTTGTATCAACTTCGTTTTGGAGGTTTTACAATTCAAATTTAGATTACTTGATTTCCTTTAACTATCTTATCCTAAATGAAGCAAACTCTTACACTATAAGTACGCTCTACTTGAGGGTATCGAAACTACATCAGTAGAAATTCAATTGAGATGATAATCTCTATAAACCAACTATGACAAGTTGTGCTCTTTAGAAAGAATTACACTGTTTATTATAAAACTATCAACTCACAATTGGTAATTATAAAGGCTAAGATTCAGGAAGTTAAAATCAATGAATGTTTATAGATTTGATGATACAAGAAAAACTTTGGAGATTATGCGACCAAAGAGTAATAAAAATCAGAATTCTACGTCGAACTTCTCGCTAATTTAGGGAGGAAAAGCTACTCAATCTACCACAAATCGACAATTAAATAGAAACCCATTTACAAATTACATTTTACACATAAAATTGTTAGTGATCGAGATGATATAAAGTAGTAAACACTGGGATACCTTACTCTCACACTTTAAAACCAGTGTTATCAGAGAAAAATTATCGAGTGTTATGAATTTTTCTTAGATCACTCTAGTTTCAAAATTCAGGATTTGAGCAGCATGTTTTGTTTGATACTTATACTTATAAAAAATATCTACATTAGATAGGTTGTGGGTTTCAATTTAGATTGATAAAAAACTGTGATATACATTTAAAATTTCAAAATCTTATTGATAAGTTTTTACATTTTTACTTTACTATATTCTCAAATAATTTATACTTTTAGTTTATATAAATAATCAGAACAAATTATATAAATATAAATTGAGAATACATAGAACTTTTATGCTGGGTATATTTATTGTAATGTAAATTTGTCTTATCTTATCTAATCTAATCTTATCTCATCTAATCTTTTTTTTTTTTAAACACCCGTACCTCATAACAAAAAAATCATCACAAAAAAATAAATAAAAGTAAAAACAATTACTTAATCTAAAATTATAGAAACATAGGAATATCAATAAACTCTACCAACAAAATCACTATAATGTCAACAACAACCACAATATCAACAACATCAGCTTTATGGTATTCACTTACCAATATAAATTAAGGTGTGTATTAAATTCTCTCAGTGATGCCAATTTTGTATATGTTAAATCATAAAATTGGTTTTACGAATTAAAGAATAGTTATAATCAAATTTTAACGTGGTCATATAGGACAGTTCTGAGTTATTAGTGTTCGTACTTTAGGTACTTGTTCAGCACGATAACTGCAATGTGTGTGGAGATGACCTAGTAAGGGCTAGGGACCCCCTAGTTGCAAAGTTGAGAGCTGTTTTTGCTTGAGTTTGGATTATGTAGTGTCACCCCCTTACTTCGGGCCGTAAGGTTTTCGGTGACGTCCTTAAAAAGGGTTCAAGTGAAGACGGTTCGCAATTAGGATCGGATGCTAGTTTCTGAAGAGTCATTTCCAATACCATTGTTGGTGAAGTTGTTCAAAACCTATAGTGCTGCCTAAAATGAAGGCTGTTTCAAAAACAAAAATAAAAAACATGGCTTTTATAGAGTTAAATTTTGTTTCAATAATTATTTTGAGATTCTGATCCAATATTTTTGAATTTGCATTACAATATGGTATCGCTTTTTTTAACATAAATACTGTCACCATTTGGTATAAATTAGAATCATAATAAAACGATCTGTACGAGGTGTTTATAGCATCCTCAATTTAGAAGTGGAGGGTTGTGGCAATTGAGGACAAATCAACGGATCCAGGTATAGTTAGTCAATCAGGAACTTCATTAACAACTGTCACAACTTTCCCACCAACAATAATTACTCAATTTACTAGTACTTGGACTATAACAAACTCAGAAGGATCAGTTGAAATTGAATCAGGTTTAGTTAGTCAATCCGGATCATCATTAACAACAGTTACTACTTTCCCACCTCCAGTATCTACTCAATTTTTTAGTACCTGGACCGTCACCAATTCAGATGGATCAGTTGAAATTGAATCAAGTTTAGTTAGTCAATCCGGATAATCATTAACAACAGTTACTACTTTCTCACCTCCAGTATCTACTCAATTTACAAGTACTTGGACTGTCACCAATTTAGATGGATCAGTTGAAATTGAATCAGGTTTAGTTAGTCAATCCGGATCTTCATTAACAACTGTTACTACTTTCTCACAACCAATATCTACTCAATTTACTAGTACTTGGACTATAACAAACTCAGAAGGATCAGTTGAAATTGAATCAGGTTTAGTTAGTCAATCCGGATCATCATTAACAACAGTTACTACTTTCCCACCTCCAGTATCTACTCAATTTACTAGTACTTGGACCGTCACCAATTTAGATGGATCAGTTGAAATTGAATCAGGTTTAGTTAGTCAATCCGGATCTTCATTAACAACTGTTACTACTTTCTCACTTTCCCACCACCAGTATCTACTCAATTTACTAGTACTTGGACTATAACAAACTCAGAAGGATCAGTTGAAATTGAATCAGGTTTAGTTAGTCAATCCGGATCATCATTAACAACAGTTACTACTTTCTCACTTTCCCACCACCAGTATCTACCCAATTTACAAGTACTTGGACTGTCACTAATTTAGATGGATCAGTTGAAACTGAAGGTATACTATCCGGATCTTCATTAACAACTGTTACTACTTTCCCACAACCAATAACTACTCAATTTACTAGTACTTGGACCGTCACCAGTTTAGATGGATCAGATCAAACTGAATCAAGTATAGTTAGTCAATCAGGAACATCATTAACAACAGTTACTACTTTCTCACTTTCCCACCACCAGTATCTACCCAATTTACAAGTACTTGGACTGTCACTAATTTAGATGGATCAGTTGAAACTGAAGGTATAGTATCCGGATCTTCATTAACAACTGTTACTACTTTCCCACAACCAATATCTACTCAATTTACTAGTACTTGGACTATAACAAACTCAGAAGGATCAGTTGAAATTGAATCAGGTTTAGTTAGTCAATCCGGATCATCATTAACAACAGTTACTACTTTCCCACCTCCAGTATCTACTCAATTTTTTAGTACCTGGACCGTCACCAATTCAGATGGATCAGTTGAAACTGAATCAAGTTTAGTTAGTCAATCCGGATAATCATTAACAACAGTTACTACTTTCTCACCTCCAGTATCTACTCAATTTACAAGTACTTGGACTGTCACCAATTTAGATGGATCAGTTGAAATTGAATCAGGTTTAGTTAGTCAATCCGGATCTTCATTAACAACTGTTACTACTTTCTCACTTTCCCACCACCAGTATCTACTCAATTTACTAGTACTTGGACTATAACAAACTCAGAAGGATCAGTTGAAACTGAATCAGGTATAGTTAGTCAATCAGGATCATCATCAACAACTGTAACTACTTTCTCACTTTCCCACCACCAATATCTACTCAATTTACTAGTACTTGGACTATAACAAACTCAGAAGGATCAGTTGAAATTGAATCAGGTTTAGTTAGTCAATCCGGATCATCATTAACAACAGTTACTACTTTCCCACCTCCAGTATCTACTCAATTTACTAGTATTTGGACTATAACAAACTCAGAAGGATCAGTTGAAATTGAATCAGGTTTAGTTAGTCAATCAGGAACTTCATTAACAACTGTTAGTACTTTCCCACCTCCAGTATCTACTCAATTTTTTAGTACTTGGACCGTCACCAGTTTAGATGGATCAGTTGAAATTGAATCAGGTTTAGTTAGTCAATCCGGATCATCATTAACAACTGTTACTACTTTCTCACCTCCAGTATCTACTCAATTTTTTAGTACTTGGACCGTCACCAGTTTAGATGGATCCGTTGAAACTGAATCCGGTATAGTTAGTCAATCCGGATCATCATTAACAACAGTTACTACTTTCCCAGCATCCATTACTCCAGGAGTTACTACTCAATATCCCACAACTTGGACAGTCACTAATTCAGATGGATCCGTTGAAACTGAATCCGGTATAGTTAGTCAATCAGGGTCTTCATTAACTACTGTTACTACTTTCCCAGCATCCATTACTCCAGGGGTTACTACTCAATATACTACAACTTGGACCGTCACTAATTCAGATGGATCCGTTGAAACTGAATCCGGTATAGTTAGTCATTCAGGATCTTCATTAACTACTGTTACTACTTTCCCACAACCAATAACTACTCAATATACTAGTACTTGGACCGTCACCAATTCAGAAGGATCAGTTGAAACTGAATCAGGTATAGTTAGTCAATCAGGATCATCATCAACAACTGTAACTACTTTCTCACTTTCCCACCACCAGTATCTACCCAATTTACAAGTACTTGGACTGTCACTAATTTAGATGGATCAGTTGAAACTGAAGGTATAGTTAGTCAATCCGGATCTTCATTAACAACTGTTACTACTTTCCCACAACCAATAACTACTCATTTACTAGTACTTGGACTGTAACAAACTCAGAAGGATCAGTTGAAATTGAATCAAGTATAGTTAGTCAATCCGGATCTTCATTAACAACTGTTAGTACTTCCCCACAACCAATAACTACTCAATTTACTAGCACTTGGACCGTCACGAATTCAGATGGATCAGTTGCAACTGATTCAGTTATAGTTAGTCAATCCGGAACTTCATTAACAACTGTTACTGCTTCTCCACCACCAATACCTACTCAGTTTACAAGTGCTTGGACTGTCACTAATTCAGACGGTTAGTTTTGGTCTCCGAGTAAGGGTGGTAGAAGTATAGGAATGAAGAGAATAGGTTCAGTGATAGATTATGGCTTAGAGTATACAGATACATTAAGTGGTATACAACATCATTAACTACAACCACGATTTTATGATTAGATTAAAGCCACCACCAACTTGGGTCTACCCTACTCAGAAATCAAGTACTTTTGATCAAACTGAATTTCGAACACTCTGTTTGAACGATTAATAAGGAGTGAGATTAGATGTTGAAACAAGGAGGCACAATGAACGGTGAGTTTAGTGTTTTTATAATCCCCAACAGATATTAATTTCCGGCAGTACGAATTTAGGAACTATGAAAGATGATCAATGATAAAGCTCAATGAATTTGAATTCAATTTCAGGACTGAGGTCAGTGAATCCTATTTCCCTGAAGGTGTGGAATATGTAAAGATCAAGTTCCCAGCGTACCCAAAATGATATGAGTTGTGGTCAAATATCCAAGATGTCTGATGGTTATAATAGTGAAACATTACTAAAAAAAAAAAATGATTAACATATTGATTACAATCGTATAAAATGGAAGCTGACTGTAAAGATGATCAATTTATTTCAAGTTTTATAATTCATTTGTGAATGGTGATACGTTTCGTCAGGTAGTGAAAATTTGTTTCAGCATGAGCATACAATCAACAATAACAACGGCAATCATACTTTATCTCAATTAATGCCAAAAATAATTTGATAAGTACTTTGTATACAATGAAACCTTTTATTTCCATTGCATTCAAATAAGATAATAAATGGTTCAAGAAGAAAATAATAAATGGTTCAGGTAGAAGATTATAAATGATTCAAGAAGAACATGATAATTGGTTCAAGAAGAAGATGATAAATGGTTCAAAAGGAAGATAATAGATAGATTTAATAATCTTTAAAATCTGTCGCAAAATGAATAGTAACTTAACGTTATTAGTGTACAAAAATAAACACGTTGAAAGAAAATGTGTAGATAACACTGTTGTTAATATTGGCTGTTTTGATAATGGTGGTGAAAATAATAAAATCAATGCAAAAAGCTCAATAATTGATCTAGATATAAATCATACAAAAAAATAACAACATTTAAAAATAAACAACAACATTAGCCACAATTGGCAACAACTTATGAAACAGCATCAACCACTTTATTTTAAACAAAAATGACGTCTCCATCAAATTAAATCACCATTGTCTCTGAATGATAAATAAATATTATCTTTAGCTAATGAATTGAGAAAGGATAGCGTGAGGAGCTCGCGGTGTGTTTGAATTGGGGTCCATTAAAAAATATAAACTCCCTGAAGGTACTTTCTTTGAAAATACGAGAGAAACTTTCATAAAAAATTCATTGATTGCAATCTCAGTTCATTCAAAAAAAAGATCTCGAATATTTTAAAAAGTTGGAGAATACAATGAACGTATTAATTATTAATCAAAGACATTAATTATGATTTTATTGAATGTCATTTTGGAGAAATAATAGTTGAGTGTAAGGATAATCAATTCAACTCAAGTTATTTAGTTCAATTGTAAATCGAGATCGTTCACATCAACAATTCACATGTCGAGGATTTTATTATGGTAAACATACAATTCACATTAATATTCAAGCGATCGGCCCTACCCTAATATGCAATAATAATCCAATCTTATGAAACTTTGACAACCACTACATTTTCACAATCATTACATTTTTACAACCATCTTTTACAACCATTACAATTATACAATCATTAATTCTCAAGAGTATAATAGTTCTTCAATAAGAAGCATGGTAATTGCAGTTTGATACAATGGCAAGTGTTCTACAAGAAAGATCGAATTCAGACTCAATGATTCTGGTGGTTCTTTTACAAGCTTTATGCACCTTTGATGGTGTATCAAATGAAGGGAATTGTATCGTCAAAACTTGAGAATATTTTTATCATAATAGCATTACTTATAACTGCATTGATACATCAGATGAACGTTATTCAGAGGTGAAGAGTCGAGAGAAATGTGGAGAAAGAAATAGTTCATAGAAAAATGGATGTTTCAATACTGGCGGTTGTTTAAAGTGCCGAATGAAGAGAGCAGGTTCAATAGCAGATCAAGAATTAAAACATGCAAATATTTTACAACCATCAAGTGGTATAGAATAGAGTTGGAGTAGTGCCGACTAATAAGTTCAAATAACAACAAGTAACACCTTGGATATTAAAACCAAGTACTGAATCATCAAAAACCACATTAGAAAACTAAAGAAGAATGGCCTTAAGTAGGAGTCAAGAAGGTACAGAGTGAACACTTTTGTGTATACTAAAGTTTTAAATCTGCACTGACAAATTCAAATTTATTGGAAAAATTTTTGCACATTTGTACCAAAGTTAAAGATGACGGTATGCCTTTGCATGAGATGGGATACAAAGCTTAAGACCAAATCGAATTAAGTAGAAAAAAATTTGTTCATGAAAGAAAGAACAAATTCAGTTTATTCATAAATTTCAAAGTGGGTGAAAGATCTGAAATCAATTGGGCTTCATTGGTTAATTAGCTCATGATTTTACAAATCATATTTAAGTATTACCATCCGCCTAAGTACTGACACAACGTTTTTTTGACTTCTAAGAGAGTGATCTATTGGAGACAATGTCTGAGGTGTAAATTGAAGGAGAATGCTACTGATTGGTGTCAAAAAGTCGCAAGGCTCATCATGGCAGAGGTTTATAGATAACCACATTCCGCTTTGAAGTTGTAGAATTTTCCTCAATTTTTCTGGTTTTCTAATTTGATATTTGATCTATTCGACCCTTGGTAGTTCAATTACCATTGGTTTCAATTGGGTGGGGGTTGCAAATTAAAACTTAGTGGGCTAAGGGTGTACTTCAAAATTTTTAGATTCATCAACTGAATCAGGTCAACTGATGAAGAATAAAGCTACTCAGGGAAGAAAAATTTTGTTAACATTATACTATAAATTATACGGACCTGACATTTTTCATAAATTATTTTCAATTGGTGAACAAGGAGAAGGTGATAAAGATACTTTTGTAACAGCTGCGACAGTTAGTAAACAATCACACTGGTAAGTTAAATCAATTATTAAATCACCAAGTTATTTAAAGAAAGATGGTGAATTCAAAGGTGTTGCAATGGCCCAAAAGAATCCACTAGTTGATGAACAATTATTTAATGACATAATAGTTGATTATTTCGAAAAACTTGGTAGAACCATGAGTGTTGCATATCATCTTAGAAGACTTGATGCTCTAGCTCAAGATGATTTCAACTGTCATAATGGAGAACCAATATTTGCATTACATTGTAATCATCCTAAATTAGTTCCATTGGTATATATGACAAAAGAAGATATTTATGATTCAACAGAAAACATATTGAAATATAGATTATATGACAAATTACATGTACGATAAGATAATAGCAAGCAATACTGGTTGAGAAGAGTTATTAAAAACTGATTTTGAGTTTGAACTACATATGAAGGATAAACTCTATTCAAAAAAGCTACAATTTGAACATTTTAGAAAGAGTGATATTGATCGAGTATGCGAATCTATTAATAATTAAGTCGAATGGTTACAACCACAAATATAACAATATTAAAACATTTGTTTAGTTTAATGTAAACTGATAATGATACATTTGGTGGACTATTCAAATGATCTCTTGACCTATTTACCTGTCTAAAAAGGGTTGTTTGTTACCCACTTCAGAATAAATCTATAGTCTCGTATGTATCTGGCCTTTTTGGGAGTACACATTACCAAATTTTTAAGCACGCAAAACAAAAAATATATTAGATCTCGATATATTCTAAAATTCTGAAACACGCATCTAAAAAATCTGAAACACTTAATTAATATTTGATATGACAAACAAGCTAAATTGCATAACATAATAATTTCATGACTGCATAACAACAAAAAGAGCACTTCAGCATAACAGACAATCAAGTTTAGTATAACAAATTATCAGCCTCAACATAACAAATAAATTACTTTAGCATAACAAACAAATAAATCTAGCGTAACAAAATAGCGAACTCAGCATAACAAAACTATGACTTTAGCATAACAAAATAGTAATCTTAGCATAACAAATAAACAAGTTTAGCATAACAAAAAAACTATTTCAGCATAACAAATAAATCACTTCAGCATAACAAATAAACCACTTCAGCATAACAGAAAAGCGCCCTCAGCATAACAAAATAGCAAATCCAGCATAACAAATTAGCATACTCAGCATAACTAAAAAAATAAACCATTCTAGCGTATCAAATGAATTCCTACCGAAGTAATAAAACAATATCGTTCCATCTATTAATATGTAGGTTATTTTATGCAAATTCGTGTTTGTATGGATTTTGGAAAAAAACATAATACATTTAAAACCAAGCGTAATAATCGTCTCTATATTCATCGTCTTTAGAAAATGATATAAATAATGCATTATTATGTAATAATAGAGAATTGAAAAGAAATTTGCTATTGAAACTGTTAAAGTTTATAATGCAAATCAACACGATAATGTTCCACTATGAAAAAAAAGCTAACGACGTTCAGGGCCCCCTAAGTCTTTGCTGGACAGTATCTAGGAATGGAATGGCGTATGGCTAGACAAGTAATGTACACCTTTTGCACGGCAAACCATCTCGAAATGTATTCTGATTGTTGCAAATAATAAAGAGTAGCACCTGTAAGCATAGCAAAAAGAGCCCGAGACTAAATTATCGAATCAAGTAGTCAGAATGTTAAATGAGCACTACAAATAAAAAAATAAAGAACGGATCAATTTACCTCTATATTAATGTTGGTTACGAGAATTACAAACTATGAATGTCTAGAATCGTTCGAGACGAATATTATTCTCTTTCCACATCGTGCTTGCATGATCCATTTAATATGAGTCGGACGCAAATTTCTTGCGGACCATAGTTGTATAGACTTGTAGAAAATTTGTGGTCAGAAATAACAGAAATCCAATTCGTCTGTATATACTTTACAACTGCTAAAGCTGGCATCAAAATAAAAATGCGAGCATTACATGCAAAATCAAGAATAATCAGCCCATAGAATTTAAAAATTTTTAAGCTACTTAGGTAATATTGCGTCTTGTACCAACCAAAAACCATTGTAATATCTGAGAATTAAAAATACTCATTGACAGCAGGGAAATGGCTAGGTGAAAAATCTGTCGAAACGATCGTTATAACTCATATGTTTAGCCAAACTTGAATCAGTGGTTTGTAAAACGTGTTTTCTAGTATGGACCAGTAATATGGTTCTCAGCGTCAATAAAAGCTAACGCGCTATCTAAAATGAAAATTTTGTAATTTTGCTGATGCAACTCACGGTAGTTGCGCCAAAAAGTTTAGCAAGAAAATCAAAATTTATATGCTCAAAAAAATTTCTCGAACTATTGACCATTAGATCAAATATTGGCGTTGATTCACATCAAATACAAAATAGAAATCCAAGTTTTCTTTTTAATGATTGCATTAAGATCTCCTACATACATTTAAATATCCACGCTAAGTCAATACTTTGAAGCGTGACAATATTTACATGTTATGCAAAAGTCAGACGTTGTACCACGATGTTTCTTTTGTTGTTATTTTCATACCACTAAATTGACATTTTGCTTTGCGGTCACTTTTCTGTTTGATGGACAAACTCATTTGCTATATGCTCTGGTGTTTTTTGCTTAAAAACTTTCTTCGATATGCTAGAACGATTTATTTGTAATTCTGTAGAATCATTTGATATTTCCATTTTATTTGAGTGCTTAGTACGCAAAAGTAATTTATTTTGCAGTATGTTTTCATTTATTTGTTATGCTATTACACCTCTACGAATTGCTAAAATGCCTTTTAGTAGTATTCCAAATTGACCTGCTTGATACCGCAAATGAAATTAATTTGTTATGTTAAAGTGGTTTATTTGTTATGCTGATTTTATTGTTTGTTATGCTAAGACTTCTATTTGAACTAAATTGGTTTTTCAGCAGCTCAATCTGAAATTATCGCTCAGTACATCAAAAACAGTATTACAGTGTATTAAGCATACTCAGGAAATAGTCTTGGAAAAAAATATGTGAGTGCCACAATCTTGAGAATGGTGACGAAGTAGTGTGATAAATATCTGGGCTTCATCAAATTTTAATCGACACACTGATCGTGGTCCGGTTGAGAATGCAGAGCCCGCAAGAAGTTAAGCAATTTTAACGTTCTTGTAAAACTGTACTGCGCAATACGTTATGTTGTTTCAATCATTTGATTTTGAGAGTGGAAGTGATCAAGTTTGCAAAGACTGATGATATTCCCAATTTTTTCTTCTACCATGTTCAAAAGTTTGTGATGTTTAGTAGACAATCAGTCATCATTAAGTCGGTAAGTTGGTTTACAAACTTGTAATTTTTGTTATAACATAGCAAGAAATATATTTGGCTTAACAAGAGCATTTGCTATTTCAGACCAAATTCCAAACTCAAAATTTGTTTAAATAAGGTCAATATTATTCAAACGAAGTTTTAAAAAAATAAGATTGTGAGATTTTGTTTAAATCAACATTTTTGAACTTTACAATGTATACATTATTATATTATATACCTATGAAAAATTTAGAATTTTTGTCCCGAGCTAAATCTCAGATTAAAGTAAAAATAAAGCATGGATGGAACTATCCTGTTGTAGAGGTTTGATCCTGATTTTGACTAATAATATCCCATCCTAATTTTTTATTCATTCTTTCATATTTCAACCTATCTCGATCACTAACACTTGGTCTTGTAGCATTCATTGCTCTTTGAAAATCGTCGTTTGTTATAAAAATATCATCCTTGTTTTCATCTTCGTTGTAAAATCCAGACTCATCTAAATTCAGTAATTCTTGAGCACCAAAGAATTTTCGTTTCAAGGCAGAAACTCCTGCTTCTTTAACTAGTGAGAACAAATCTGCTCCTGAAAAATTTCTGCACTTTACATCACTTGCAATTGACCTGAGATCAATGTCAGAACTTAAGGGAGAATTATTAGCTCTTACAAGCGTTTTTAGTATCTCGTATCTCTCATCTTGGGTCGGTAATTCAATGTAAAGGGTTTTATCCAATCTTCCCGGCCTTAACATTGCAGGATCTATCATATCTGGTCTATTTGTAGCACCAACAACGAACACCCCATTTCTATCATTTAAACCATCCAATTCCGTTAGCAAGGTATTGACCACTCGAGAACTTGATTCAGACATTGAACTGTCTCTTCTTGGCACTAATGCATCCAATTCATCAAAAAATATAATGCACGGTTTGGAGGCACGAGCCCTTTGAAATACTTGTCTAACTGCCTTTTCCGATTCTCCAACATATTTATTTAACAACTCGGGACCTTTAATAGATATAAAATTGGCTCTCGATTCATTAGCAACAGCTTTGGCTAATAAAGTTTTACCACATCCTGGTGGTCCCCACATCAAGATTCCAGATGGCGCAGATATACCAACTTTTAGATACAATTCTGGTTTCTTTATTGGTTGAACAATACACATATGTAATTCAGTACGAATTTTTGTCAATGCGCCAACGTTTTGCCATGTTACATCTGGAACAGTAGCAAATCCTTCTCTTTTGGCTGTAGGCTGAACGGTCGGAAGAGCATTCACAAAGTCTTGATACGTTATACATAAATTCTCCAATTGGGACTTCTTTAATGGATTTGGGTTGCCTTGTAAAAATTTTTGTATTGTGGATAACTTTTCTTCATCAGATTTTCCTTCAAACCTTCGTGATAAGAGTCCATCAGTAAGTTTCCCATCTTTTGAGTCTATCTCCATTAGATCAACACTTGACTGAATCAATTCAACCTGTTTCTCACTCATTGCTTCAAAAATTCTTTTAATCGCGGAGACACCAGCTGCGGTTACCAAACTTTTCAAGTCTGCCCCCACATAACCTGGAGTTAATTTTGACAATTCTTTATAATTAAAATTGATTCCATTCTCTAATTTGATTTTTTTAGTCATTGCTCTTAGTATTGATTCTCTTTGTCCTTCATTTGGAACATTCAAACATATCTCTCTATCGAACCGTCCTGCTCTTCTGAGAGCCGAGTCCAAAGAATCCGGTCTATTTGTAGCTCCAATAACAATAACAGGTTTGTTTTCAGTTTTATCCATTGTTAGTTCATCCATTAATGTCAATAATTGGGCCACTATTCGTCTTTCCATTTCTCTTTGGGCGCCACCATCTCTCTTAGGTGTTATTGCATCAATCTCGTCCATGAATATTAAACAAGGAGCGACTAACTTAGCTTCCTCAAAGATTTCTCTAAGCTTTTTCTCTGATTCTCCTGACATTCCTGAAACTATTGATGGGGCTGAAATATTAATAAATGGAACGTTTAACTCACCAGCTAATGCATTGGCTACCGTGGTTTTACCACATCCTGGTGGGCCGTATAACAAAACACCTCTTGGAGGCTCTACTCCTGTTGATAAATATAGTTCTGGATGCAATATAGGCAAACCAATTAGTTCAAGTAGCTGAGTTGTCACATTCTCAATACCACCAAGCATTGATAGATTGACTTCAGGTAAAGTATAGTTAATTTTACGCTTTTGTTTTTTAGAATTGGACTTTGAAGCTTCTTTCAATTTTCTTTTTGTCCCTGATCCATCATTATAATTGTCTTCTTGTTCTATACCATCTTTGTTAGTCTCTACTTTATTCTCAAAATTCCACATGGACGTTACAGATTTATTTGTTGTGTTAGGATCTCTGAGCTCCATTAAATTGTGATCTAAATCGTTGAAGTCTTCACTCTCTGAGTCGGGAAATTCATCTGTGTTGGCCTCTATCGAATTAGCTTGATGTTCCGCTTCTTCCTCTCGCAATACTCGTAGCACTTTTGCTATAGACTTTTCTAATTGTACCTTTTTGGTTCTTTTCAATGTAAAATCTCTTGATTGGACGTATGATAAAACCTTTGATGTAGTTAAATCACTAGCAGATCCCACTCCAAATGCATTTTCCTCTTGAAATTCATTTAGTTGCTTCTGATTGTAATTTGTCCTTTCTTCAATAAGTTCGCTAACTAAGCTTAATATCTTCTGTTCTATTGGGCCGGTTATCACCTTATCCTTCGCCATCTATATTATATGTCGTTGTGATTTGAATGTAGTATTAGTAGATCATTTGACAGTCATTTATACGAATACTTAGAAAAAAAAAAAAAAAAAAAAAAAAAAAAAATTTCAGAATCTTGTAGTTCTACGATAAGATGATTATTGTTTTGAAATATAAGGTTAATAATTAAAGGAAATGAGTGATATTTATATTAAAATTTTCTAAATAAGTCATGTAATTGAAGTATACAACTATATATGACCTTGCTAGATTTTGATAAACTTTTTTAACATATTATCATCATCGATTAAAATATTTAATTCCTCCAAAGTTATGTTTAACAAAACCATCAGGTTTTCTTCAAGTACTGTACTTCTTGCTGTTCTATTGTCCCAATTATCACCTGCTTGTGAAAAATTTGGTCGAACAATCACGTTAGATTTTAGAAGTACTTCCCAACTATTTCTTAAAGCCTTCTTTGACACCTCTTTTTGATGAACTTTGATGTTATTGAAGGAAGACAATATACTAGCACTTGCACCTGATTCTTTGATACAACTTTTATACTCTGTGTATGCTAGATTAAAATTGACGGTTTCACCATCAAATTTACTTAACCATCTGGCTGCAGCTATGACTAACATCAATTCAATTTCAGATAAGGACATTACAGATGATTGGACAAGTTCTGTATCACTCATATCATTTGTTTTTAAACCAGCCAAATATGGACTTTTTTGCGAAAGCTTTGATACGGACTTCTTAAAATGATTATTTATGTCTGTAAAATTTTTAATTGTATTGTAATTTCGTAAACTATATCGATTTATTTCATCACATTGAAGATTATCCAAGCTTGAATTCCATTTATTACCATAATCTCTCGAATCTAAAGTCTTGATAAATTGCTCGTCCAATTTAAGGTTTAAAATGTAGTCTTCGTAAAAGTTAGAATAACTTGTATGAGGTTTTATTGCTAACATTCTCTGAGAAAATCTACTACTCACCCTTTTTTCCAAATAATCTTTGGCATTAAGGTTTGTTGTCAATCCTACCAAACTAACAGGTATGCTACTATTTTGTGACATATCTAGTAAATTATAAAGCAAAGTTTGCTTATTGTTTTGAGTGAATTTCTCAAATTCGTCAATAACGAAAATTAAAGGCATCCAATTTGCATCATATTCTCCCTGATGTAGATCATTATTCAAAATTTTCAAAATATTTGCAAATGTCTCATTGATTGATTTGGATTCAATAAACAGGTTACTTGAATCAGTTTTATTCCTTTTAAATAACTTATAATCTAGTTGTCTAGCAATTTCTCTTAATGCTAGATTATCATCTGAATGGGTTGCTGAATTCAATTGAATTACTAAAAATTCATCAGGATATTTGTTATTTATTTCACGTAAAACTGTTCGCACAATTGATGATTTACCACTAGATCTTGTCCCAGTTATCAATAATGAATGTCTTTCTTTATCTCTTACACTCTTTTCTAGGAGGTTATGCAAAATGTTGTAACAATTGTTTAGGTTCGATATTTTGACAGCACCAAAATTGCAATTTAGTTGGGATAAAACCTGATTTTTGATTTTTCGAATATCCGAATCCAAGATACATATTTCACTTGAATCCTGCTCCATATTATTGTCAAATTCATCGACTAGACTTGATCGTACATTATTAATTTTAATGTGCTGTATCTTCTTGTATTTATCTAACTTTTTATCAATTCTATGAGTCATTTGTTGCAATAGTTAATCGATACCGAGAAGCTATATGAATGATTTGTATATGAAACTCAATGTTGCATTGATGAATCTTGTGGTTTAAGACTTAATTTGATTATTTGAATATATACAGGATCTCTAGATTTATTATACTTATTTATTTTTCCGATAAAATTTAATCATTTTATCAATTTATTGTAAAAAAGTAAGAGAAAGCACTGAAAATTCAATCCATTACAAATGCTAAGGCTCCTTAAAGGGAAGCATTTACTGTGAAAACGATATAGCATCAAATTAGCTCGGTAAAATTACATAGTTTTCAAAGTTAATTATAACTAACAATTATCAAATTGAGGAAATGTGTTTCAAATTTTGTATCTTGAAATAGTTTGTGTTGACTAAAACAATAAATAATATCAAGAGCATTAACAATTCTGGTAAGATCATCCAACTACCTAATTGGGTCATGTTATACTCAAAAAGCTTTTAAAAAAAATAGATTAAATTCACAAGATATAAATAAATGTATGACGTATTGGTTATTTATCGTTTTCATAAAATAGCAATCATAAATTTGTAACAAATGAATCGAGATCTTACTATAGGTTTTAATTTAAACTTTAATATACTTTTCAAAAAGAAGAAGTGATACATAATTCAATGATCATAGTTTAATTTAAAAATGCCCCACCTCCTTTTTTCGAAAAGTTTTGGTTTGGAATATAAATATGTTGATAAATTCCTCAAAATTTTTTTACATTTCCATTGTATATTATTACATTATATTATATCATCAATTGAACCAAATAGACAGATAAGATGAGTGACCCATTTAGAAAACCAATCAACGAAAAAGTTTCAGAATCATTAACTCCACAATCAGACAAATCAACTTTAGAAAAAGCTAAAGAAGGTGTTACTGATAAAGTTGACCAATTTGCTGCTAAGAACACTAGTGACAATAACAAATCATTCTCACAAACAGTTGCTGATGATGTAACTAAAGGTAAAAAAGATGCTGAAAAAGCCGTTGATGAAGAAAAATCAAAAGCATCAAGTGAAGGTCAAACTTTAGCTGAAACTGCTCAAGAATACGTCGATGCTGCTAAAGAAGAAATCTCAAAAGCTGCTGAATATGTCTCAGGGGTCGTTTCCGGGGCTACCGAAGGTGCTCAAACTGGTGCTGAAGGTGTCAATAAAAAATAATCCACACTTACCGATTACATGAGGAATGGTAAATAATTTTTAAAATTAATACAAGAAATATTACTACATGAAACTTTATTTACTAGAGTATTCTCACTCTTGTAGCCAATTCTAACAGGAATCACGTTTGTGATTGTATATTGACCTAGGACATATTTTTTAATATCAGATCTTCACTCAGAGTGTTCAACTTAATGCTAAAATAAGAGGAAATCTTAAACTTTGAGTGAGTATGTGAGTATGTCGATGTTAGAGCACAATTTAATGCTAGAGATATATTTATCAATCTACATCCAAATATTAGTATACGTGGTATACGTGGTTCAAAATTCATAGTTCGTCTCAATTTATAGATCTCGTAAAATTTGGCGCTCCCCGCCTAAAGATCATCTCTCACAAAAAGTAACTTATCTGTTAGGAACAACTTTTACGTTTGGGAAATTTAATAGTCAGTCAATTAAATGGGTAAACTAGGATCTCAAGTAGACTCTGACTTCTATTCTGATGAAGAGGAAGAGGATGCTAAAGTATTTCCTTTTAAAGCCAAAGCTTTTACTTTTAAATCAGATGAACAAGAGAATGATATTTCAGATGAGGATGATATGAAAGATAACTTTGATCGCGAAGTTGAGAAAGGATTCGAAGATAACAATAATGATAGCGAAGACGACGATGTGCTATCCACTGAAGAATATGACGAAGATTTGAGTTTGAATGAGAGCAATTTGTTAGTAAATAAGAAATTGAAAAAATTAACAACTAAAGAACTAGAGAAAGAAAAGAAAAGAATAAAGAAAACTGGAGTTTGTTATCTATCAAAAATTCCACCATATATGAAACCTTCAAAACTAAGATCAATATTGACAAGATTTGGTAAAATCGATAGATTATTTTTAAAACCTGAAGATTCATCAGTTTATCATAAAAGAGTGAAATATGGAGGGAATAAAAAGAAGAAATTTACAGAAGGTTGGATTGAATTTGTAAATAAATATGATGCAAAATTATGTGCATCAACATTGAATGGTTCAAAATTGGGTGGGAAAAAGGGTTCTTATTACTATGATGATATAATTAATATAAAATATTTGAAAAATTTCAAATGGATGGATTTGACTCAACAAATTTCGAAAGAAAATGAAATAAGAGAATCCAAATTAGCTTTAGAAATTTCTCAACAAAATAAATATAACAAAGCATTCATTAATAATGTTGAACAAGCGAAATTAATAAAAAATATTCAAAAGAAAAGAAAGAGTAATGATGAAAAAGAAGAAGGTCATAATAATCAAGACGACAATGAACTTCGGAGAAGTTTCAAGCAAAGAAAAGTTGAATCGAAAAGGAGTGAAGCACCTGAAGAAATTAAAACAAAATCTACATCAAAAAGTAAACTATCTAGTGTTTTATCAAAAGTTTTATAAATACATTTCTTATAATATTAGTAATTGGAAAATCACCGTTACATAAATTAGAATTGAATTGATAATGCAAAAGCATATATTATAAGTCCATTTTCGGTAGTCTTGTTCTAGATCTGTAATGTTGAAGAAAATCATATCTTGACTGTAATTCTTCTTTATTCGTACATCCCAATTCTTTCATCAATAATAAACTATTTATTGCATCTTCTCTATTAATAGAATCCAGATTTATAACCCTCTCTAATTTCAACCATTTAGAAGTTGGCCACCATGCATCAAATGCTATTGGAGACGAGTTTGATTTGTTGTTAATAATTGGAGTCGATATGTCTAAAGGTTTTTTTTCATAACACTGATTAAAATTTTTAGGTTCGAAATTACTATCAAAATCTGGTTCGTCTTCAAACTTTGAGGCGTTTTTTGCTTTACTAAAAAGACCCGTGGTAGCTAAAGGTGTTTTAGCTTTTTGTAATGAGTCTAGTGTGCTATTGACTTTGTCTAAAATCGATTGTTTGGGAGTGTTTTGATGTTCATTGGAATTTTTGGAATAATCTTTTACTTTCTTGAGTATTGGCTTTGAAACTTTGTTTACACTTTCAAAAGATGTAGTTGATTTGTTCAAGTCTAGACTTTTTGAATCGTTTCGACGCTTACGGTTGTACTTAGTGGTGATTGGTACGTCATTGACCTCTTGTTCTGAAAGGAATGATTTCATATCAATTGCGTTAATTTTATCAAACTTTAATGAAGGTGGAGATTTAACGATTGATTGGTTGATGCCTAAATTACTTCGATAAGTTTTGTTTAAATTCAGTTCATTATTTAATCTATTAATTGGTGATTTTTCTTCACTAACATTGATATTTGATCTAAAATTTGAGAATGATTTTGATGTGAAGTCATTATTTTGTTTATGTTGATCATTTGAATTAATTGACTTTAGTGGTGATTCGATTTCTGTATCATCAAACTCTTCCTCTAGTAGATGATCTCTATTTTTCATGTTTCAGATGTGTTATATCTTGATTATTCAATATGAATTATATCTGAATCTAAATTTATTATGATATTTATTTTTATACAAAGCTGTACTGTATATAAAATACATTAAAAATCAAATATAAACATACATTAATTTTATTAAAAATATTATTTACAATTGATTCAATACAAGTTTTTTAAGAAACGAAATTAATTTCATATTAATAAAAATTCGATGGTTATTTTGAGCTTTTATTATTATTATTTTTATGTATTTGAAAACCTTTTCCTTTTTTTATTCAATTGGTAAAGTAATTATTAATCATATCTTGAAAATAAAACAATCATAATTTGTTACGATTTTGCAACCAAATTTCATTAAATTTTCGAATATTGTTTTTTTTGCTTCGTTTTCTTAACATGACATTTTTTTGACTTATGTTACTATCAGCTCAACATTAAGTAGGTTATCTCATTCCACTGCTTATAATCATAAAACTTTCATCTAAAATAAGTAAAGTCTTGTTTTCTAGATATAATTTCAAAACGATTCGACCTCAATTATCATGTCAAATACTTTATCTACTCCTGGCTCAATTTTTGAATAATTGATTGCTTATAGTAGATTTATTACATCTTTACTTACATTCGTGTTATACTGACCATATAAATAGATAAACAGAGGAATTGACTTTTTAATGCTTCAGTAGCCTTGATCATTGCATATTAATCAATCTCGATTTGAGCAAAAGTAATAGAATAACGTCACAACGTTACGCTCAATCTTGTTCCTATTAAAATAGATTAGAAATTATATTAGTTGAAATTTTTGACTTGACTTAGTTTGTACATTGACTCTATGTTTCTTCTTGTCTCCAATGCAAGATATATATCATTGATTGATTTTGAAATATTCGAGCACCATCGACCTTTGAGAATACAAGAGTTCGTTTTAGTTCCCAATGCATCCTAGTCGAAAATCTTACAAAATTCAGTGATGTGAGTTCGAAATTGTGATTTTACAATCGTTGAAACTTCATCACCCCATTTAATCATTGTTTTAATAAATTACCAACAACCCTCTTGAAAAAGCTTATCGATGACATCAACCACTAAATTTTCATCTTTTCTCTCTTCCAACTCTTCTACATCAAATAGTGTACTGTAATTCTTACTTCAAATAAAACATTGTGCCTATTGAACAAGTCCCTCGGTAGTTGCATTTTTAGTATTATTTGTTTCTATTGAATCAAATGAAACATCAGCAACATCTTAATTCATTATTTCACAATAATGTAAATTAATTTGATATGATCATTTCAAATTCATAAGGTTCGAAATTCATTACACTTGTAATTGTATTGTTTCCTACTCTTAAACTCTCGTAAGTAATCACATCTAAAATAGAATTTTCAACAGATTTTATCAATAGTTTACATTTAAGAATAAAATATAGTATATTAAGTAGGTTTATGATGCAAAATTTCAATGCTTAAAAAAATAATGAGATAATGCGAGGAGAAGTCTTCAGATAATGCCATTTCCTATAGTGTATTATTAATGCAAAAGCTGTTGAATAAATTTGAAACAAATCTACCAAAATCACATCGATGTTTTAGGTTTTGTGGCTTGTTTAAAATCTTTGGTCTGTACCAATTACCTTACCACGTGAACTTAAAAAGATTTGCCAAAAGTATTTATTATTACAAATTATTTCAAAGAGCTTCAAACACTTCAAACTAAATCTTCAATTTCCTTGAAGTTCATTAGCCTTGACTCAATTAGAATATCATGTCTGCCCCATGTCATTGTAAACATTCAGAAGAACAACAACAAACTTTGTCAACTAAATTACCATTAGAATTACAACAAGAATTTCAAAATCCTGAACATCCTGCAAATTTGATTTGTGAATTATGTAGATTATTTTACGATAACAATTGGGTTACAGGAACTGGAGGTGGAATATCTATAAGAGATGTTGATGGTGAAAATCCAGATTTAGTTTATATAGCTCCATCAGGGGTTCAAAAAGAAAGAATTCAACCATGGGAAATGTTTTTAGTTGAATTACCAGATGAAAGGATATTACGGACGCCAAATGATATACCAAAAGAATTAACAAAAAGTTACAAATATAAACCAAGTGCATGTACACCTTTATTTATGAGTTGCTATAAAATGAGAGATGCTGGAGCTTGTATTCATACTCATTCACAAAATGCAGTATTGATAACTTTATTGAATGAAAATAAAAACTATTTTGAAATAAGTCATATTGAACAAATCAAAGCATTACCTAAATTAAAGTTTAATGAAAATACTAATAAAATTGAAAAAATTGGTAATATGGAATACTATGATAGATTGATCATACCAATTATTGAAAATACTCCTCATGAAGAAGATTTAACGGATTCATTACAAGAAGCAATTAAAAATTTTCCTGGTACTTCTGCTGTTTTAGTAAGAAGACATGGAATTTATGTTTGGGGTGAAACTGTTTGGAAAGCAAAAGTTTATAATGAAGCAATTGATTATTTATTAGAATTGGCTGTCAAGATGCATAATTCAGGTATTCCATTAGTAAAATAATAATTGATATATACGAGTATTTGAAATGAAATGATAAAATTAATGATACAAAAAAGTAGTAAAATTTTCCTCAATCTGATGGATTTTGAGTCCTACATACTTTTAATTTTCTTTATTTCAATGGATTTTTGGTACTTTTCAATGGTGAGCCTTTTAATTTCTTCCAATTTGTTTCATTATATAATTCATCATCAATTTTTCCAATACAAACTATCTCATTACCTCTCATTATATTGATACCACTTGGTATTTCTTCATTTTCTTCATTTTCCTCAATTGTATAAATGATCCGTTCTATTGTGTTACTTAGCACTATATTGGTATTTCTATCAAATCCTTCTAGTACTCCTTCAAAATACCTTGCATCGGTTGTGATTACGTGGACTTTTTCTATAATCAAAATAGTTAGTAAGTTTACTCAAGTTTTTTTATACTTAGACTCAATTACATACTTCCCATAAACTCCTTTAAGTCTGACATCAACAGTCACTCTCACTTTCGACTAATATGTAGCCTTCTTATAAAGTTGATATGATTGAAAAAAAACAGAATAATTTAATATGAGTGTTATGATAACAATAATTTCAAGAAAATAACAAATCAATGACGTGACACACAAAAATAAAATGAACACTTTATGACATTGAAGTCAAGGTTAAGCTATTCAATAAACGTCAAAAATTGAAATTATAATTAGATCAATAACTAAAAGTGAGAGTAATCAAAGGTCTCACTTTTTACATAATTGTAAGATAATTATCGGAACTTAAGTTTCTATTACCATCAATTCAAGCTGTAAACTTTTATATCTCTATTTTTCATGTATTTAAATGGTTGCAAAAAAAATTAGAACTTTTTAAAAGAATACAAAATTTGGCAACCAATTTTTTAGATAAGAATTTAATACTTTTTTTGTCGATGATTAAAGAACAATGCTCAGTCAAGAGACATCGGATTCCAACAATATAGATTCCTTCATGTCGTCATTATTGAACAATCGAGGTCAAATTCAAACACAAACACAAACACAGACCCAAAGTACAGATATTTTTAAATCTCAACAAGATACTCCTGCAACTTTGATATCAAGAGCTGCTAGACTAGAGTTAGAGTCTATAACATTAAAAGAATCCCTTAAAAGGGCAGATGATTTATTAAAAAGTTTGTCAACAGAAGGAGCATTACTGAAATTAAATGCGATTCAGGATGAATTGCAAGAAGTTAAAGAAGTGGTTGAACACAGGGAAACTAAAATAGATTTACTTGCTGTTGACATTAAATCGATGGACAAGAATAGCTTGATTTTGAAGAGGGTCAGTGAGGAAATTAACTTGGTCAAAGATAGGCTATTCGATGTTGATATTGTTCTCAAAACATTGACCATCAATCAAGAAAATATTAATTCTCAGTTTGCAAAACAAAATGAAACTTTAAATGAACTATTAGAGAACAAAGATAATATAAATGATGGAATCGACGAAATTAAACAATTTTTAAACTTATTGTTACCCAGATTTGTTAGTCTTGAAAGTTTATTAACTCGATCAGCTGAATTAAAAAATAGTACCAGTATATCACCTTTCTCATCAGGTTTATCACAAGAAACGATTAATAAAGAACCTCACCAATTAAGGAAAAGGAGAAAATTACTATAGTATTCGTATAATGTAATATTTATTTTAAATTAATTATAGGAAAACTATTCAATATTCTTGACCTAACTTAATTGCTAGTTGATACTGTGACTGTTTAATCCAACGTTTTGCAAAACATGAAAAAGGCACGTTTAACCATACACTCTTCGCATAGCCAGTTTACGAGTAGTCGCTCTTATATTATATCAGACCAGTTTTATGCAACCCTATAAATTATAATGTCACAAATCTAGAAACGCTTGAATAGAAACCATACAATGTGTATAAAATCAAGTCATTTGCTCAGTCCCAGATCAAATACACAACAATTTTTGAGATTTAGTAAAAGTACAGCATTGCATTCACTGACCAAGAGCTCCTACTTAAACGAATTGAACTCAATATGTAATAAATGGTACTCATTCGAGCATGAAATGGAACAAGCAAGACAAAAGTCTCTTTGACGTAATGAATAACTCTTTTTCAAACTAAATCAATAATATCAATATTAAGATGAGAACTTAGTGGTGTCAAGCATTTTAAATAATAGTCTGAAGCATAACAAATAACAGCATTCTTGCATAACAAATTAACCCTTCTAGCATAACAAATAACTCTTTTCAGCATAACAAAAACGCTTTTAAGCATAACAAATTAATGGTTTTGAGCATAACAAATTAATGGTCTGAAGCATAACAAATTAATAGTTTAAGCATAACAAACAAATAGATATGAGCATAACAAATAATTCTTTTCAGCATAACAAAGAACAGCATTTTTGCATAACAAATTACTCCTTCTAGCATAACAAATAACTCTTTTCAGCATAACAAAAAACGCTTTTAAGCATAACAAAGTAATGGTTTTATGCATAACAAACAATTGGATCTGAGCATAACAAATAACAACATTTTGCATAACAAATAACTCTTTTCAGCATAACATAAAACGTAGATTCAGCATAACAATAAATGTAGATCTAGCATAACAAAGAACTTAGAATTTGCATAACAAATAAAGTAGATCTAGCATAACAAAAGATTTGGATCTAGCATAACATAAAACAAAGATCTAGCATAACATAAAACGTAGATTCAGCATAACAAAAATCATGGATTTAGCATAACAATAAATGTAGATTCAACATAACAAAAAATGTAGATTCAGCATAACAAAAAACATGGATTTAGCATAACAATAAATGTAGATCTAGCATAACAAAAAATGAAGATTCAGCATAACAATAAATGTAAATTCAACATAACAAAAAATGTAGATTCAGCATAACAAAAAATGTAGATTCAGCATAACAATAAATGTAGATCTAGCATAGCAAAAAACATGAATTTGCATAACAAATAACATCATTTTTGCATAACAAATAACCGCTTTTTAGCATAACAAAAATCGGTTTTAAGCATGACATTGAAAAAAAAAACTTTCACGCATAACGAGATTGATCGCTAGTGTCTGGTCGTCAAACTCAATATTAAGACAAAAAGAGTAAACCCCTGCCAAAGTTAGCTTTGCAGTTTATTACTTAATTAGGAAGTTTAGTAAAACAATGTCCGGTCGCGAGATCAATTATCCAGACACTAAGTTACTAAGCTCCAACAAGTCGGTTTTTGACAGTAAATTCGGAATGCTGATATCACATGGCTATATTGGGGCTGTTCTTTAACGTTTTCTAAGCCGGAAGAGGTGCGATATTTGTGTCTATACTTGTCATTGGGTTGAATTATAAAACGAGTTTAAAATCTCAAAAATTGCAAGTTTCAGCACAATCTTCCGCAATATCAACAATTTATAGCTCTTATATTCTTCTATCCATCAAAATAGTTTTCAAGAGATTGCAAACAAACTGTAAAGTGCCTTGTTGATTTAATTAAAATCCAATACTCGAATTTTGTACCTTCAAATGCAAGTCAATAAAAATGTCAGATAAAGTCAGGTCTCAACTTTCATTTTTGTTCTTTAAAAGCTTAGGCTTCTATTCATCAATTGTATTCACTCGTCCATCCATGATTGGTCCATTTAGACGTATAATTGAGCTTGATGGTGGAGGTGTTTAATTAATACCTGATACAGTATTTGAGCCCGACATCCAAACATCAACATCCGTGCACCAGTTTTATAATCCGAGATTTTCCGCTGCTTAACTATAAGAGGTAAGGAGAAAAACGGATGTTACTTAGTAATACATCCTTCATGCACACATTCAAATGACAGCGTCAACAATTGTATGTTGGATCTGTTTACGCTATTCTCAAGCAAACTAGAGTTAACTGAAGTCTTAAAGTAGTAAAAAGCTTGAAATTTAGATCAATGGGATTACTTGAACCTTAAACTCTAAAAGTACTAAATTTAGCTTTTTAACTACCTACTTATTCAAATGAAGTGTATGGAGACTGTTCTCACAATTATGATTTAATACTTGGAGCATTACCATATGTCATAGTGCCATTAGTTCCATTGGATTTCAGAATCTGAAATTTTGGCTCATCAAATACAAGCTCAAATAAAACCTTGGAATGAAATTTCGATCGCTTGATTTGAGTTGTTTAGTAATGAACAGCTCTTTGACTCTTATTAGTGTCATTATTTTTTGCCTCGATAGTATTTTTGCACTCTATTTTAGCTTGTTGTTGGAGATGGTAAATTAATCCCTGTTACAGTATTTGATACTGACATCCAAACATCAACATCCGTGCACCAGTTTTATAATCCGATATTTTCCGCTGCTTAACTATGGAGTTGATGGAGAAACACGGACTAAACTTCATGATTAATTCAACCATCGAAAACGGTTCAAAATTCGATTTTTTTGAATTTAATGTAACAAGCTGTTAAAGATGTTATGGATCAGATAATTTTGCTTAAAATAGTTAACTTTGAGAGGCTTTTTTTAGTTACTTTAAATTGATTTATTTTTGATATATTAATTATTTAAAAATAATGGTTTTTGTGTAAGATCCATCTTTAATCTCAACGGCTTTTTGTTTCAAAATTATTTAAAAATAAAATTAAATTGAAATAAATATGGCAAATTCGCAAAAAAAAGTTCTTAACGCAGTAAGTTTCTTTTTTAAATCAATAATTTTTGTTACAGTGTTTTTTATAAATAATGCATATTTGACATATAATTGCAATTATATATAATAGATTTCTTATGTGAGTCATCTTAATTTGGCATTTATTTCAAAAAAATTTTTAATTTAGTAACTTTAAAACACTTTATGTCATTTCGGTAATTTTTATTGACTACTATGTTTCATAATACTAATTACATCATGATTCAAAAATTTGAATAGAAAATATGTTGATAATTCATCAACTGATCCAAGTATCTATCAACTCATCCTAGTGTTGTATAATTTAACATTATGAGAAATGGAAAATATACAAATGAAGATCAACTAAAGTATGAAAATTCCACCACTACAAATACATCATCATCTACAACAACGACGAGTGAGAATCACGGAATATGGCAAAATTTCAAGGATTCATTCAAACCAGCTTTAAATAACAAAAATATCAATGAACAAGATGATGAAAGTTTAACGGATCTACAAAAAATAAATCAAAATACATCAAAAACAAAATTACGTAAAGATTTAAGCTCACGTCATATTCAAATGATTTCATTAGGATCTTCAATAGGTACTGGATTATTTGTAGGTACTGGTGGTGCATTATCTCAAGGTGGTCCAGGTGGGATTATGATTGCTTGGATTTTAACAGCTTCAGCAGTATTTGCAACAATGCAAGGTTTAGGAGAATTATGTGTAACTTTCCCAATAAGTGGAGGATTTAATGTTTATGCAAGTAGATTTATTGAACCAAGTGTTGGATTTGCAGTAGGTTGGAATTATTTTTTACAATTTTATGTATTATTACCATTAGAATTAGTTGCTGCTGCTATAACTATTCAATATTGGAGTAGTAATATAAATTCTGATGCTTTTGTTATAATTTTTTGGTTTTTAATTTTAATTATTACATTACTTGGAGTAAGAGGTTATGGAGAAGTTGAATTTATTTTAAGTACTATAAAAGTTTTAGCAGTTGTTGGATTTATTATATTGGGGATAGTTTTAATTTCTGGTGGTGGTCCAAATAAACAATTTATTGGTGGTAAATATTGGCATAATCCAGGTCCATTTGCAAATGGGTTTAAAGGAGTAGCTTCAAATATTGTAACTGCTGCTTTTTCATATGGTGGAACAGAATTAGTTGGATTAACAGCAAGTGAAGCAAGTAATGCTAGAAAATCATTACCAAAAGCTATTAAACAAGTATTTTGGAGAATTATTTTGTTTTATTTTGGTTCATTAGTAATGATATCTTGTTTAGTTCCTTATGATGATAAAAGATTAATGGGTTCAAGTTCAGTTGATTTAGTTTCAAGTCCATTTACAATTGCTATAGTGAATGGTGGTATAAAAGGTTTACCAAGTGTTATAAATGCAGTAATTTTAATTTCCGTATTATCAGTTGGGAATTCATCTGTATTTGCATGTTCAAGAACTTTAAATTCTTTAGCTGAACAAGGAATGGCACCAAAATGGATGGGATATATTGATAGAGCAGGTAGGCCATTGGTTGCTATTATAATTACTAATTTATTTGGTTTATTTGCATTAATTGCCGCAAATGATAATGCTCAACAAGCAGCTTTTGATTGGTTATTAGCATTATCGGGATTATCAACAATTTTTACTTGGTTAACAATAAATTTAAGTCATATAAGATTTAGATCAGCATTAAAATTTCAAGGTAGATCATTAAATGAATTACCATATGTATCTCAAACAGGTATATGGGGATCTTATTATGGATTATTATTAAATTTTTTATTTTTAATAGCACAATTTTGGGTTGCATTATTTCCTTTAGGTGGTAAACCAAATGCTTATGATTTTTTCTTATCTTATTTGGGATTTCCTGTTACTTTAGCATTTTGGATTGGTTATAAGATTTGGAAAAAAAGCTTTAAATTATATTTAAAACTGAATGAAATTGATATTGATTCTGGTAGAGTTGATATTGATATAGATGTTTTACAACAAGAATTAGCTGAAGAAAAAGCTAAATTAGCTGAAAAAAATTTACTTATAAGATTTTTTAAATTTTGGTGTTAATAGAATTATAGAATTTATATAATCAATGTTACCAATGTAAATATATAAATGAAAAGATCATAAATTAAGAGTGTCTGTTTATTCGTTAGATCTCTGTCTGGAACATATATATATTGATTTTGTGTAACAAACAAAATTTAACGATCTTGTGCGGCATCTATAATTTTTTTTCAATATTCTATAAAAGAATGAAACGATTAAATCAAGTAAACTTTAATTCACACAACAACAACAATACCCAATATCATAATTCATGACTCAAGATCTAGAGAAAAAAATAGAAGTGATATCAATAAACGACTCCATCCCCGAAGAAAATGGTCCAAGAGTACCTCATGAACGCCAAGTTATTGATACAATAATTGAAATATGGAAACAAGATCCAAATACTGAAAATTTAGGTGTTAGTAAATTACATTCAATAGTTAAACAAAAACATTCCAATTGGTCATTATCTGAAAAAAGAGTACGTCAACTCCTAAAAAAATTCGGATTATCAACAAATCAAGAACAATTTACATATGCAAAAGATATAAAATCAGAATTAACTCCAGATATAAATTTACCTCCTAAAATTCAAGTTGTAATGACTTCAAAAAGAGGTAAATGTCTTTATGCTAAAAAACCAATTACAAAAGGTGAATTAATATGGGAAGAAAAACCATTATTCTTTATACCACCATTAGCTAATGTTAAATTAATATCTCATGGATCAGCTTGTTCATATTGTGGAAAATTACTTCAACAAACAGAAATGAAAACTGTACTTAAAGGTTTAGATTGTAATGTATGTTCTGAAATTTGGTGTTCAAAAGAATGTAAACAACAAGATGGAGATTTACATTCAATATTAAAACATAATGTATATAATCCCACCACCAAAAAATCAAAATTTATAAATCCAGACTCCTTCATAACACTACAAGATTATTGTTTAGAAGAATCTTGGAATGCATTATATGCTATAACTTTAATATATGCACAAATTTTACTAGATAAATCAGGAACAAAACAAAAACAATTTAATGCAATGGCAAAAGTTTCACAAGATATAAGATATAAGGCATTAAATTCAGGTGGAGGAACTTTTGATAATATGAATGGTGGAGCATTATTTGTTCAAGAACAACAAAAAACTCTTTGGAAAGAAGGTTATGAAAAATTTTTATCTGTATTTCCTAAAAATCCAATCACTTACAAAGAATTTTTATATATGATGGGAACATATAATATCAATAATCTTGATTCAAATATTTATTTAACACAATCTCATTTAAATCATAATTGTAATCCAAATACATCAGTCGATACTAATATAAATCGTATATCAGGATTAAAAGTATTTGCTAAAACTAATATTAAAGAAGGTGAAGAAATAACAACTACTTATGTAAATCCAAATCATACATTAAATCAAAGACAAAGAGAGTTAAGAGTTAATTGGGGATTTATATGTAATTGTGAAAAATGTATTAATGATTCAAATGAACAAAAAAGAAGAAAATCATCTACTTCAAATCAACAAACAAATGCTAAAAATATAAGAAATATGTTAAAAGAAACTAGTGAATCAATGGGAGATAAAGAATTTGAATTAAGTATTCCACAAGATGGATTTAACGGTGAACGAAGAAAATCAGTTAGATTTGATGAAAAAGTTGTCGCTGTAAATAATTAAAATCAAAATTTAATGATTAACGAATTCCTTTATTATGAGATTTTAAATATACAAATTAACCCTAATTAATACCACTTGATAAACATTTATTAATTATGATGTTATACTAAAAAAGAAAAAAAAAAAACCACTTAGCTAAGTTCTATATATACATATATACATAATGATATATAAAAACAACTACTTATGAATTGTCTTTTTCTGGAATGAATCATTCAATTAATCCCAATTTCTTAATTTCATTGTACCATTTTCTTGGAAGTTTGTATGCATTTTAAAAACATCACTCAAAATTTGGGGTTCATGTAAAGTTTTCCTTTTCGTAGCATAAAATATTGCTTTTTGTAAATAATCATTTAATTGATCTTTATAATCAGGATGAGAACATTTATCTATTATAACTTTTGCTCTTTCTTTTGGTGATAAACCTCTTAAATCAGCTAATCCTTGTTCTGTTACAACAACATCTAAATCATGTTCTGTTTGATCAACATGTGGAGCCATAGGTACAATACATGAAACACCTGTTGGATCTATTTTTGATGGTCTTGCTGATGGAGTATGCATTATTGATAATTTGGCATTTCTTAAGAAATCTGCTGAACCACCTAAACCATTCAACATTCTTGAACCCATTACATTTGTTGAATTTGCATGTCCATATATATCAACTTCAACTGGTGTATTCATTGCAATTACACCTAATCTTCTTATGATTTCAGGTGAATTTGAAACAACTTGTGATCTAAGACATAATTTTTTTGAATAAGTATCCCAATTTTTATAAAATTTTTCAAAACCTTCATTTGTTAATCTTATTGAAGTTGCAGTTGCAAAATCTAATGAACCACTTTCAAAAAAATCTAAAAATGAATCTTGTAAAACTTCAGTCCATACAGTTAAATTTTTAAAATTTGATCCTGCTAATCCTTCAACAACTGCATTTGCAATATTACCAATACCTGATTGTAAAGGATGTAAATTTTCTGGTAATCTACCAACTTTAACTTCATGTTCTAAAAATTCAATTAAATGATTTGCAATAGCTTTAGATTGTGCATCACTTTCAGTATTTGGAGGAACTTGATCACCAGTTGTACTTTCAACTATTGCAACAACTTTTTCTGGATCAACTGGTATAGAATTTTGTCCAACTCTATAATCAGCAGTAGTATGTGGATATGGTTTTCTAAAAGGAGGATTTACTGGCATATCTATATCATGAATTCCTTCAAAACTTGGAGTTTTAGTATTAACTTCAATAATGATTTTATCCGATACTGAAATCATTTCTGGTGAAGCACCAACTGCTGGACCTGGAATAATGGAACCATCTTCTTTAATAGCAGTTGCTTCAATTATTGTATAATCTAAATTTGGACCATTTGGTTTATTTCTTGTATAATAACCATAAGTTAAATCTTGAGGAAACATTGATAAATGTTTATCAAAAAATTGAGTTCTACCATCATTTATAGCAGCAGCAATTGGTTTACCAACTTGATGAGGAGCTCTTGATAAAAGCATATTATTTGCGGCCCATTGACTTTCTTCTGGACCTGCTGATGCACCAACAAATAAATGAAAAGCTAATTTATCTTGTAAATTATTTTTTTCAACATGTTCAACTAAAGTTTTTGGAATAACTTTTGGAGCACCAACACCAGTAAAACCAGACCAACCTAAATATTGACCATGTTTAAATAAATCAATACATTGTTCACCAGTTCTTAATTTTTGTAAATAAGGAGCATACCTAACTCTTTGTTTTAATATTGATGACATTATTGAAATTTTGAACTATCTATTAAAAATGAATTATTAATTATTGAAGAATTTGGAATATATGTGGAAATGAAGATTTCTTAAAAAAAAAAAAATGAAATTGATTTATTAATTTACAATAGTATGAATTAAAAATTGGGGAAAAGATTATTAATAAAACCTTTAAATGAAAATATTTATATGAAATTTCTTATTCAAATGAAAATTGTAAATAAATTTGAATAGTAAATGATCTAATTGAATTGTGTGATTGATAAATTATTGATTCAATTTGAATATGATTTCTTTTTCTTAATTGATAGAATTATATTTAAAATTAATGAAAAAATTAAACTCCAAAATGATTCAATAATTAAAATGAAATTATATCGTTCAACAATTGAATAAATTTAGTTGAATAAATTTTTAGATTTTAATATATATAAAACACGTCAAATGTAAGATACTGTAATATAATTAAATATATATTTTGTTTCTTTTTTGATTCAAATATTAAAATTGAATTATAAATTTAAATAAAATCAATTGGTTGTAAAATATATGTTATCAATTGAAATTGAAAATTTATATGAAAAATTTGAAAATTAGAAAATTGTATTTATATTTATATATTTATGAAAAAATTGGTTGTAAAATAAATTTAAATAAATTAATTTACACATTACTAAATATTTAATTATTAAGTATTACAATAATAATAAATAAATAAATAATAGTACAAAATAATTTTACGACACTGATTTTTATTAAATTAATTGAATAAAATAGATTTCGGTAATATGTGAAATCTAGAATAATTATTAAGTAAGAGATCTAATGTAAAAAGTACATATCGCATATTGTTATTACTGATGATCTGTTAACTCAACAGATTATGATATAGATTTGCCCCTCTCTCTCTCTATTTCTTTATAAACTAGTGGATGAGTTGGCAAATTAAATAATATATAATATCAATATTTGGAGTATTTCTTTATGACACATAGAGAAAAGGAGGGGATATTTCTGATTCTATACGATGTTGTAATAATTAATTAATTTTTTGTAAGCCAACAAAATAAATTTTATTTAATACAACCCAAAAAAATTGGATATGTCGTGAAATACTAATATATGACACAAGTATATTTTTAAACCAATGCAATTTTTAATTTTAAATTGTTAGAGTCTAAAAATAAGAATATAATTATAGTTACGTTAAATTAGTTCAATTGTTATTTTACTTTATTATTTGATGAATTAAAAGAAATTAAATAAAAACAAATCAAACTCCGAAATAATTAGACAATTAGATTGTTTAAAACATTAATTAATTTGATTTTTGAAGCACAATTTTTGGAGTATAAACAGAATTTTAGACATTATTAATAAATCAATTAGTCTTGATCCCATTTGATTATCCAGTCATGAGATTTGTAGCTGAGGATGACCAGCATCAAGCCAAGATACTGTCCGCTTTAAGCGTTCGTTACTTGAAAAATTTTACTTAATACATTTAAATTTTTTTTTTTTTCAACGGTTATGAATTTTATTTGAACTATGATACAAAAGGATTCGTTCAGTATTTTATTCTGCACAAATCACGTCATTTCTTTAAAAGGTAAAAAGAAATAATTCATTAACCTCAATTATGTTCAACTAAAACATTATACGACTAAGTCTGGGGTACTTGAATAGACTTATTTACCCATAAAAAATTTGTAAAAAATTTGGTAGCTTATTTTTGTCACTCTAAAACCGTTATATAGCAAAAAAAGAAAAATATTTAATAGTGTTTCGAATAACCGTTTCAGAGTACAAAAACATCAAAAATGACACTATATTATATCCACGGAAAATGCAATAAGTGATAACAAGAACTTGTAAACCCAACACAATATATTAATATGGAAACTTTGATTACTATATTGTACGTTTACATTCTATATTTGATTGCCACAAGACTTTGTTGTACAAAAGAAAACATTATTAATTATTTCCTGGGGTACATTAAAACAAGTCAATAATTTCATGTCGTTTGTTTGGATTTATCTATTTTAATTAAGTTCCGAAAGTTCAAAATTCATAGATAATGCAATGTTATGTATTGTTTCAAATTTTAAAGAATAAAATAAATCAAATATAAGTGAAGAAAAATAAATTATTATATAAGTCAAAATTTTAATAAAGAAGAATTAGTAAAAACTATTATTGAAAAAAACCTTTTTTGACTAAACTAAACAAAACTAATTAAACCTATGATTTTGATTATTAGCTTTAAATCTACTAATTTTAACAGTATTTCCAAATTCATCAATTGGTTCAAATTCTTTATTTTCCTCATTTTTGAATTGTTGTTGATTGATTTTTTGTTTTAATTTATTATAATCTTGTTTAATTTCTTTATTTAAAATATCTGAATTAAAATTATAATCTTCATTATTTTCTAATTCTTCTTCTTCATTATGTATATCATCTAAATCATTTTCAATTATATCGTCTGTCATTATTTTTGTTTCATCAATATCATTGTTTTCGTAATCATCTATATCCATTCCTATTTCATTTGATTTTGAGTCATATTCCTCTATTTTATCATTACTACTTCCAGAATTACTTTTTGAAGTTTTTGCTTTTGATTTATCTCTTTCTTCAACTAATTTATTTACAGTATCAAAATCCTTTAAATTCTCAATTAATACTCCATTATGTTCTAAATCATCATCATACATTCCCATAACGTAAGCTTTCGCCATTGTATCTAAATCTTTATTTAAATTTTGATAATCTAATGTTGTATCTCTAACATGTTGCTGATTATTGGGTATGTCTTGTATATCATTCTCATTATTTGCTAAATTACCAATTGCTTTTTCTTCCTTTGGTTTGTTATTGTTTAAATCACTAATTTTAAAATTATGAACCGGCATTGATTTTTCATTGTTTACTCTTTGTTGTTTTAAAGCTTTGAATCTTGATATTGGTTTTTTTGGTGATTCTAGAATATCTTCATTAGACTTACTCTCAACTATCTCATCTTCCTGGATTTTATCTCCATCATCAATTTTGTCCACTATATCATTAGTAATTCTTTCATCATCATCAATTAAATCTTTTTCAACAATCGTATCTTCAACTGCTTTATTTACATAATTTTGATTGTCTGTCTCTATAATATCTTCATCTTGAGTTTTATTTGTCCCATTTCTTAATCTATTTTGTTTAAATAAAGATTTTCTAGTATTTAATAACTCAGATTTTTTTAATTCTTCTGATACATTTTCAATATCCTTAATATCTAAATTATTCAGGAATCTTACTGATTTTTTGCTCTTTTTATCCTGCGTTGGCGTTTTTTCATTAAGTTCTTCAATTGTGTTTCCATTTGATGTATCTTGTTTATCTTTGTTACCTCTTAAATTCATTATTTGATCATACAACATTTTATTTGATTGATTATGAACGTTATCTTTACCTATCCAGGGAGAATTTTGATTGTTGCCATATAATAATTGATCAGCATAATCATCTTCATCTCCTTCATCGTCTTCATCATCATCAAAGTCATAATCAAAATCTTCATCATTATCGCTGGTTTTCATTTCTTCATCTTGATCCATATCATCAGCTAATAATTCTAACTCTAGTAAATTATTTCTGTCTAAACCAGATGGATATTTGATGTTGCTTTGAGTACTAGTGGATGATTTTTCAATTGGCTGTTTACTTTTTAAATCTTGATGCTCATCTTCATTATAATCCTTGAATGCTTCAACACATATTCTTTTCAAATTAAATTTTTCTTCCGGACTTATTTGTAATTGATCAATTTTATCTAACAATTCATCTTGATTTAAATAATTTTCTTGTAATCTTTGATGTTGTTTACTAGGATTTACTTCCATATCATGAAACAATTGCTTTAATTCATTATCATTTCTAGATATTTTCTCTTTCAATTTTTCATCACTTGTAGTTTCAGTTATTTGGTCGGACTTTTTTTTTTTCAAAGGTGATTCATAATCACTAATATTATCTTTATCATTAATTGCAACATTATTAATCTTTGAATTTATAACATTTCCATTCTCATCGACTTCTTCTTGTATATCCATAAATGGTAAACCTTCTTCATTTAATTTTATTCCATCATCTGGCCGCCGATCAGGACTTTCTAATTGATCTTGAGCTAATTGGAACGCAACTTGAGATTCTTTTTCAAATTGATTTAAATTATCTTGAGTTGCATAAGCTTCTTTTATTTTGGTATCAAATGCATTAAGTACATCTTGCAAGTGTTGTAATTTGGATTTGTTCTCTTCAGTCTTTGGTGATTCAACTATTTCATTTATTTGCTCTAGTATATTTTTTCTTTTCTTTTCCAAATTTATTATTGTTAAGTTTAATTGCTTTAGTAGATCATTCAATTCTGTCTTATCTTCATGATTGTTTGATTTTGTAGTAGATATATTATTCTGATTACTAACTTCAGAAGTGAGGTTTTCAGACATTGATTTAACGTATAATCCGGTATTTGATTATTGATTCGATGAGATGATGGTTCTGATACTTTTCAAATTGTACGTTTTATCTCCACATAATTTTAGATCTTTACTTACGATGTTTAGATCTTATAATAAATCGCTACCATTTTTTCTGTAGTTTCAGATTTTTTATACATTATGGAAGACAATAGAATTTGCAACAAGCTGTAGCGTTGTCGAATCTCGATTATAAACCCCTAAGCTTCATTTTGAAAAATATTAATTGACCGTCCACATTTTTTTCATATGTGCTTTGAATTTAAAGCTATTATGAGAACTGAAATTAGAGTCAATTTGCAGCAAAATTAGACAAAATTAACTATGCATGTAAATTAAATTATTTTTCTGATTATCTATAATCACCTATTCATTGCTCCTTCGCCACCTCTCTTACTCTCCCAATCTTTCAAAGCAGCTTCCCATTCATCCTCTTCATTCATAGGTTCATCCTCACCTTCAGCTGCACCTTCATTTAATTGTCTTTGTTTATTATCTTCTTCTTGTTTATCATATTTTTCTTTCTCATCAATCCATCTTTCATGAATATCAACATCTTGATAACCTTCAGGATTTGTACCACTTTGCCGTATTGCTTCATTCCAAATTGAATCACCACCTATTTCACTTCCAAAACTATAACCATTAGCTTTATCTATTATACTTAGTAGATTAATCATACTTTTTTTATCTTCAACATATAATACTTCAAATGCAACTAAATGGTATTGTTCTACTAATTCAGCTATCATTTCAGTTAATTTGACATATTTTTGACCCAATATTGAATTGGATTCTTTTATTAAATGTGGAGTTAAATAATCTAAGTCTTGAACTTCTGTATAATAATTTAGTTTGAACGGTAGTGATCCATAACCCTTTAACATATCTATCTTACTTATAACATTGACTTGAGGTAATTCTAACTGTAACATTGATCTTAAGGTTAGCAACAATATTGATATATATTGAGATGGACTAGTTAAGTAGATTGAATCTATTAAAGAAACAACACATAGCCGTACTTTTAAATCTTTTGTCAACCGTTGAAAAATTTGATATAATGAGTTATGATGAGTGAAAAGTTCAATTTGTCCAGGACAATCAAATATAATATAATTCTTTTCTTTTAAAAGTTTGCTTAGTTGTTCCATAAATGTATCTATTCCAACATTTGATAACAGTTCTAATGCATACATTAATCCCCCATTTGGTCCTAGTTCAAATTCTTCCATTATAGATTCTAGATCTATGAAATCTCGTATATCTAGTTCACATGGATATGGTAGTCTATCATTTGCAGGATCTAGATTTATTATACACAGTTTTCTTCCAATTGCTGAAAGGAATTGATACATTCCATGACAATATGTTGATTTACCCAGACCTGGTGGTCCAATTACCACTTGACCAAACATATAATGCAATGAATCGATTGAAGTAAGTAGTAGAATAGTATTGATTCCTAAAGATGGGATCTTAGTTTCATATTTACTACTAGAAAATTTTTGGTAGCGATATTTTTCAAAATTGATGGCGAGGAATTTACAATACACAATTTATGAATTTACAACCATTTTTGACGTTTTAAATTCTTCATAAATCGCTCAATTTCAACTATATTACCATGTCAATTGCCACTGCTAATACAAATGAATTAACATTCCTAGAAAAAAATGTTACAGTATCACCATTGGTACTTTTATCAGTAGTAGATCATTATAATAGAGTATCAAAAGATAGTAAAAAAAGAGTTGTTGGAGTAGTATTAGGAGACAATTCAACAAATACAATAAAAGTAACCAATTCATATGCAATACCATTTGAAGAAGATGAAAAAAATCCTGGAGTTTGGTTTTTAGATCATAATTATATTGATGCAATGGGAGAAATGTTTAAAAAGATTAATGCAAAAGAAAAATTAATTGGTTGGTATCATTCAGGACCAAAATTAAAATCATCAGATTTAAAAATTAATGATTTATTCAGAAGATATACATCAAATCCTTTATTATTAATTGTCGATGTTGAACCAAGAAAAGTTGGTATACCTACTGATGCGTATTTTGCAGTAGATGATATTAAGAATGATGGTTCAGCTGCCGAAAAGACATTTGTACATGTTCCATCATTGATTGAAGCAGAAGAAGCGGAAGAAATAGGAGTTGAACATTTATTAAGAGATATTCGTGATCCAGCAGCTGGTAATTTATCATTAAAAGTAACTCAAACTTATCAATCTTTATTAGGTTTGCATCAAAAATTGAGAGAAATTGCAACATATTTGGAAAAAGTATATACAAAAAGTTTACCTATGAATCATACTATACTAGGAAAATTACAAAATGTTTTTAATCTATTACCAAATTTAGTCCAACCAAACGGTACAAGTTTAGACAAGGAAGATAGTCAAAGTTCAAATGAGTTATCAAATGCATTTACTGTAAAAACCAATGACGAATTAATGATAATTTATATAAGTACAGTAGTACGAGCTATTATTGCATTCCACGATTTAATCGAAAATAAATTGGAAAATAAAAAATTAAATGAAAAGAAAGCTCAAGATGCTGATACAATTGTTGAAGATACAAGTATAACGGTAGAATAAATAGAACTCATAGAGTAATAAATAAAAAGTATTTTCTACAATTAATTTAAATCAATCTCTTGATGTAATCAATTAAAATATGACTGGTGATTTTATCTCATATGTTAAAAATTGGTGCTAAGAAAAAAAAAAATATTATATTGCAAATTTAATAAGAATATACAAGCAATAAGATCTTAGAAAATCTCGATCTCAATTCGACATTGTCTACTCCATAAGAACCTATTATATTTGAAACAGTCCATGATAATAATAATAATAATATAAACAGCCAATAACAACTATGTCCCAGAAGTTACTACCTTTATCAAGGTTACACTCAATAAATAACTTTAATTTTTTTTTCCAAAACACCAAAAGAAGTTTACAATTAAATCAAAATTTTATAAATAATCAATTTTTAAGTAGGAAAATTCTAGTACCGACTTTTAAACTGGTACATTCACATTCCTCAACTAATAATGGAAATCATAATCCTTCATCAGTTATAGAGAATGTTGCTTCAAAAGTGCTAACATGTCAAGATGCAGACGCAAAACTGTCTCAAAGTTTTGATGATACTTCCAAAATTCCTTTCAAATTCACCCCAAAATCACCCTCAGTTCCTTCAAAGTCAATCAAAGCTAAAGCAACACTAAAAGAAGAAATCAAATCATATATCAAATTAACTAAACCCAATTTAACAATGTTAGTAACATTAAGTTGTATATGTTCGTACGCTATATCTCCATTAAGTGTTTCAGTTCAAGAATTAATGTTTTTAACAGCTGGAACAGCATTATGTTCCGGTGCAGCAAATGCAATAAATATGGGAAGAGAACCTGATTTTGATAGACAAATGCCAAGAACAGTTGGAAGACCAATAGTAAGAGGATTAATAACTCCTAATCAAGCTTATAATTTTGCTGCAATAATTGGGTCAATTGGGTGTACTATGTTATGGTTTGGAGTAAACCCAATTGTTTCATTACTAGGTTTTTTTAATATAGTACTTTATGCTTGGATTTATACATCAATGAAAAGGAAATCAATCATAAATACATGGGTAGGTGCAATTGTTGGAGCTATACCACCTTTAATGGGTTGGGCTGCATCATCTTCATTATTACATCCAGGAGCCTGGTGTTTAGCTGGATTACTTTATGCATGGCAATTTCCACATTTTAATGCATTATCTCATAATATAGCACAACAATATAAACTGGCTGGATATGTTATGGCAGCAGCAGAAAATCCTAAATTAAACGCGAGAGTAGCATTGCGATATTCCATATTGATGTTTCCTTTATGTTTTGGTTTAAGTTATTTTGGAATTACTGATTGGGTTTTCCCATTTGATTCTGCTATTGCAAATGGTTGGTTAACTTATTTAGCATTTCAATTTTGGCAACAACAACAAAGAAATCATGGAAACGGCAGTGGACCAAGTAAACAAGGTATAGCATTGGCGGGAGTTCATGCAAAGAAATTATTTTGGTGTTCTGTTTGGCATTTACCAGCTGTTTTAATATTAGCAATGTTGCATAAGAAAGATCAGTGGAATAGACTTTACAACTATCTATCCTTTTAAGAGATACTTATATATTCATAATTTATTAATATACTTGTACATACCATTCATGACCTTTTTACAATGTTAATTATATAGGATGTAGACCAACTTTTTGATTGATTATTTTAAAGATAATAAAGCCGCTCAAGATTTGACACGAAATTAAAAATATACCGAGAATTTTCACTAAGATCTAAACCAAGAACTAAAATTATAAATTAGCAGTTAAGCTATCAGTCACTCATTTCAATCAAGTTGATGCAATCATAATGTTTAAATCAAACAATTCAGTGTCAGCTAAAAACAAAAAATATACTCAATCGATCGAAAAAGTACTACTTTCATTTGAATCACTTGAAGAATGGGCTGACTATATTGCATTCCTTTCAAGACTACAAAAGGTTATTACAACTTATATAGATTTGGAATCGTTTTTTGTACCTGAAGCTCAACAAGTATCTTATAGATTATCATTATGTTTATCATCAACTTTACCAAATGGTGTTCATCAAAAAGCATTAAACATATATGAGTTAATTATTGATAAATTGTCAATTGATCAAATTAATGTCGAAATTAATATATGGTTACCGGGTTTATTACCACTATTTTCATATTCATCTATATCCTTGAAACCACAACAAATAAGTCTATTTCAATCCCTCATTATAAATAAGTTAAATTCAGACTCCTTATCAAGACTCACAAAACCAATTATACTAAGTCTTCTATCAGGTTTAGAAGATGAAAATTCAGAGATATTTCAAGATGTTCTCAATTTATTGAATGCTTTCAAAATCAAATTAAATAATGATTCTAAACTTTGGCAATGTATGTTTCTTTGCGTTATTAGTAATCCGGAAAGAAGAGTTGGAGCATTGCAATGGTGTGATAGATATCTACCTCAATTTACAAATACAAAAGAAGATTGGCTATCGAAAGAAGCAGAACTATGCTTGAAACCGGAAGCTGGTCTATTGATTAGAATGTTTGCAATTGCAATAAAGGATTCTGATACATTGATCACACGAGGATTTTTGGATTTACTTTTAACAAGATTACCATTAGACAGCAAAATTTTTGACTCAACTATATCACCAAAAGATAAGCAATTATTAATCATGTCATGTTGTTATGTTTTGGGTAAAGATATGAGTTTAAATAGAAGAGTTTGGAATTACTTTTTAGGACCAGAAACAGAGAATTTGAGACAAGAATATTTCAGAAATAATGCATTGGAGCTTTTGAGCAAAGGATTAATAGAGCTAATATCGTCAAGCTCCACAGAACATAAGTTACGAGCACTAGATATTTCATTTTATTTAGTGATGGATAAATGGGAGATCAATCAAGAATTAACTTCAAAATTATTTTCACCTTATTTGAATGTTTGTTATCAAGAAGCAGGTTTGACCAAAAATTCTCTAAGATTTTTTGAGGAGGTCGAATCATCGTATGTTTGGAAGGAGATAATAAATATAATACTAAACGATGAATACGAGAAGTTGGATTTTGTATTTAAAAATTTTAATTTAAGTGAGGATGAAAAATCTGGATTTTTTGCATTAATGGGTATAGCTTGTCTTTTAAGTGAGGACTTGGATGAAAGGAAGCTTGAGACAGTTGATTCATTATTTACTTTGATACCCAAAAAGTCATTGCCATCGACAAGATTAGATCAAAGTTTATCAAAAATCGACATAGTCGATTCTTGGAAAAATTCTGAGTATTATAAAGAAGAGGAATTAGTATCCTATATAATGACGACTTTGATGCTGGTTTACTCTTCTCATTTCGACATGGTTCATGGGACGAAAATAGGAACTTTGCTCATAAAATTTTTTGATGTTATTGAGTCAAGTGAAATAAAGTCAGAATGTACAAGTTTACTCCTTCACAATTGGACCGACCAACCCAAAAGTTCAATTCCTATCTCACTTGATAGATTAAAAATATTCAATCATGTATCAAAATATGTAAATGATCAAGATAAAGATCGCTTTTTAAATCATTCACTAACAAATTTATGGGCTTCAGTGATATCTCCAAGTTCAACTAATTTTCAACCAGAAGTAGTCAAATGTTTATTTGATTTAAGATTTACATTTCCAATTCACAAATTAACTGGAGCAATACTAGAATTGTTTGTAGATTTATCCGTTAATCAAAAAATCACGGCGTTTGAAACAATTTGGAATTATTCATCTAATTTAGAGGAAGCAAATCAAGTTTTGGAACGCCAATTTCAGTTGATCATGGATGATGTCGGTGACGAGGATGGCAATAATGATCTAGTAAATGAGTCAGTTTCAACTTTAGTTACTAGATTAGTGGATGATAATTTTTCAAGGCTTGTTAATTTAGTTTTGAGTCCAATGATAAATAATGGTTTTGAAACATCTAGCCCATTAGAAAATATATCAGATTTGAATTTTCATATTTATTGCTTGGATATTTTGATTCGCTTGTTAAGTTTAGGTGGTAAACCATTTAAAAATCATTTAGCAAATGTTCAATTTTCTCAAAAAGAAAATATGTCCTACAAAGTTTATTTGATTACTGTATTAAATCAAAGTTTGAAAGCACACACAAATAATGAATTACTTGATAAAAGCATTTACTTATCATTGAGATTGTATAGCAAGTTAATTACTGGTTATGAAAAAAACTTTTCACATTTATTTAATGAATTACTCGATGATTCAATCAATTACATTAATTTACAGCTCAACATTTCACTGGCTGAATCTACAATTGCTGAATACTTCCAAACCATACTTCATTTTCTACAATTTGGTTCAAAGTCGTATTTATTGCATGTTAAAGAACAAGAAAAAGAACCAGTCATTATAAAATTAATTCATTTGGGTATCGAGAAATGTGATTCACCATTACTTCTTGAAAAATGCATGGCACTTATGAGAAAATCAGTTCATGTTTTTGGCGAATCAGTGTTTAGTATACTACTTGCATTAAATGACTCACTAATTTTGAAAATTAATAACTTATTCGATAAATTGATAAGGTTGGATGATACAGAAAACATCGAGTCTTCATTATTCGTCTTATTTGATGGTTTAGAAAGTCTTTTGACGATAACTCATGGTCATTTAGTACGTCCCCATATGAAAGATAAATTAGATAAATCCGTCCCCGATCAAGGTTTTCTCAATAATGTAATGCAAGGAGTTTTTCAAATTGAATCCCCATCAGCTAGAACTAATGAACAAGACAAATTATACTCCACCCTTATTGCATTTCATGATGCAGCGAAAGTCAGTTTTAAAGTATGGAATTGGGCTGATTCAAAGGGTGCTACCGAAAGGTCTTTAAAACATGTTGCTTTCAACTTAAAATTAAAATCAAGAAAAATACTTCAGACTTTGATTGATTTGGAAAGGCAAGAAACTGTTAATTCAATAGTGACATCAGACTTATCAACTGCACTTAAGTTATTGAGCATATTAGATGGTGGAAGATCTCAGCTTACTTTACCATATTTATTCAACTATATTAAATTCAAATGTAATTCAATGGTGAATGACAATTATAGATCATACATTGAGTCAGACGTTGATGTCACCAAATTATCAACATTCTTATTAGCATTTTACGAATTCATGGACTTAGATATAATCTTGGATGTTTGGAGCCAAACAATTGAGTTTTTAGAAACCATATACAGTAATGCCTCACAATTTGAATCAATATTACCAGATATCTTAAGACTTTGTAAAATATTAGCGGTTAAAACAAATAGAGTGAAAAACATCAAAAATAAGAATGCATTAGGTGATTCTTTTACCAGATTGTTCTCTCAATATTTGGATACTCATCTGGAAGCTAAAGAAGAAGAAGTTGTGAAAGTAATCCTTGAATTTATTTCGTCATTTGATGATATATACCATGATTTAGATAAAACAGCCACAGCCATCAATTTATGTATAACTTTTATTAAGAAAAACAACTTGAAACTCGAGTCAATTTCAGAATTACTATTAGCAATCGGTGAAACTCATATTACAAGAAATTGGAAATCAATTACAAACGATTATTTTAACGACTCAGATTTTTTTGTAAAATGTAATAACTCAAATTGGAGAAAAATAATTAGTTTATGGATAACAAATGATAGATCAAAATTTGATGAAAAAGTTTCCAAACTTTTACCAACATCAACTACATCACCTGGTGCATTATTTAGCTGGAATGAAAGCTCAGAAATTGAAATCAAAGTGAACAATTTAAAAAGAGTTTCTTTCTTAATACTTGTTCAGCCAAAAGACTACTTTGTTAATAATTTAAAAGATATATTTGAGAAAATTGATGGGTTATTAGACTCAAAAAATTGCCCGACTTCCATTAGAATTGAAATAACTACTTTGATCAGAGCAATTGTTTTGAAAGTTAGTGATGTACATTTATTACCTCATTGGCCCATGATAAACCACGAACTACTTACCATTTTTGAAAAAATATTGAATTATAAAAGTCCCAAAGAATTACAAAGCATCCCACAAGATTATTTGAGGTTAATTTTATTTGGTTCAAAATTACTTGATGAATTGTTGTTAATTGGTCCTGACGAATTCAATTTAAATAGCTGGTTATTTGTCAATATTGATAATTTCGAAAACAAGCAAGATAGTATACTGATAATAGATAAAATTTCACTTAATTATGACTTTACTTTTTTAAAAAATGAGGCATTTAAATTGAATAATGGAGGTGATGGTTTCACCAAAGATGATGAATCCAAAGAACCACTATTGAAAGGAATTAAAGAAATAAATCTGATAACTCAGTTACGTTTGTTTTTTGATTCTTTAAGTATGATACAATACGAAAGAACTTACAGCTTGTTACCAGTTAATCATGAGACTTGTATTGATGATATATTCAATGACTTACAATAGATTAGATAGAGTTAAGTAGATATAGAAAGTGTGAATAATATACTAATTTTCAACTTCCAAAAGCCTTTTTCTTCTTCAACTTTTGATTCTTCATTGATTATGCTTACTAAATTATTTGATTGATATTTATACTTCAAGAATTATTCGAGAAGATAATCTTAATTTATTACAAAGTTACATAGATAATGTTCTGATGATGAAACATTAAACTAAATAATTATTCAAATTCTTGAATACTATTCTTCGAAATTCTTTTGTTTGTTATATAATATATTGTATATTAAAGAAATCTAAATAGCTATTCGCAAATTCAACTTCTTAATAATCTAAATTGCAAATCGATTATTTCTTTTATTTCTTTATAACTAACAATAATAAATTCTTCATTATTATTTAATAATAATTTTTCATCAATTCCACAATCTAATTTGTTTAGGTTAACTAAAATCTTATGTAAATTTATTACATGTTTCCCCATTGGATCAATATAATTAAATAAATTTTGTTGAAATAATTTTAAAATCTTGAGATTATTTTTATCATTAATTTTTAATTGAAAATTATTATTATTTATAATAAAATTTAATTTTGTTAATAATCTAAATAATCTTGCATTTTCTAATTCTGATGATAATTGTACTTCCATAAAATCGCTAGTATTTTGAGATTCATTTAATGTTGTAAAAGTATGTTCAATAAGATGTTCTTTTATAAATTGATTTAAATTAAAAGTTGATGTTTCCGAAATTATTGATGAATCATTTAAAATTTGTAAAACTTTTGTAAAATCTTCACTTATCGATGTTGAATTTATTATATTTTTAATTAGTATTTCTTGTGAAGTTGATCTTAAATTTAAAGGTAACAAAGTTGAAGCTAATTCAAGTAAAACTTTCCCAATATTATTTATATCTTTCAATTGTGCAATATTTAAATCTTCATGTATTCCCTTTATGTCATTTAAAACATCACTTATCCCACCACTACTTATTTTAATTCTTGAATCACTGCAAATTATAATTTTACTTAAATTAATAGATGCACCAGCACTTAACTTAGCAGAATGGATGGATTTAATAGCATTTACTAATTGAACTAAATAATTCCACAATAATTTTTCAGTAATTGGTTCAACTCTCAACCCCTTTTTATGATGTTCCAATAAAGTCTTGGAATTTGGATAATAGTCAAACACAAAACATAAAGAAGCAGAATCAAACCCCATATTATTGGAACCACTTGCACTAAAAGCCATAGTAGTGAATGCATCTTTTAAAGCAACAATATTTGCATTATCATTTAATGATCTCCATTTTTTAATAGTTTTAAAAGGTGATTCATTTATAATTTCATTACTAGGATCTATTTTTCTTAAAGCATATAAATTTCCATCATCATTTGAATAACATTTAAATAATAAACTTGTAAAACCTGGCCAATTTTTACTTTTTGATTCATATGATTTATCTATTGGAACTAAAGAATGATATGAATTAATATGATCAGGTAAATTCAGATGATGTAAAGATTGTAAACTTGCTTCATTTTTACGATGTAAAATTTCTCTAATTTCATTAGAGATAAACATTTTTTTGGAATTAGTTTCATAATCTTTTATAGGTACAGTTAGTCGAGGTGGTGGTGCTGGTGCATATAAATGATATTGTAATGGATATATAGGACCTGAAGTTTGATTTGTTACATTATTATTAGTTGGTGGTTGATTTGAAAAAAATGATTGCATTGAATTTGGATTCATCATATTTGCTTGTGATAAATGTGATGGAGGTGGAGGTGGTGGTTGTGCTTGTATTGGAGGAGTTGGAGTTGTATGTGATGGCAAATTAGTATAGGGGTTTAATGGTTGATTTTGTTGATTTTGTATAATATTTCCAATTGATCTTGCACTTGATGGACCTATATGAGAAAATCCACTCGATTGTATTGGTAATTGTTGTTGTGAATTCATTTGTGATTGAGCTGAATTATTCAAATTTCCGGTCAGAGGAGTTGGATTAAAATCAAAACTTGAAGGTGTGAATGATGGAGTACTAACATTAAATTTTTTTGTAGCATATGGATTACTCAGATTTGAAGATTGTATTGGATTTTGATATGGATTAAATTGTTGTTGTTGTTGTTGTTGTTGGTCTTGCTGTTGTGATGGTTGGTTACTATCGGGTTTAAATATTGGTGCATCTTTTATATTTGGTGATAAATTTGAAAATTTAGTACTTAAATTATTAATATTCTTTTCACTTGTGAAAGATGGAGCTGCTTCAAAATTAAATTTTTTCCTACCCAGTGAATCATTTGAATTTGTGGATACTCCAGATTGTAAAGTTTGTGGTTGTTGTTGATCTTCTTGCTGTTGTTGTTGTTGTTGTTGTTTATTATGACTAAAAGCACAACCTTTTCCTTGATATTTACAATATCCATAAATTAAAATATTTTTGCAAAAAACATCTTTTGCAGTATCCAAATTTATATTCATCAAGAAAATATATTTGGATTATTTTAATGAATTGATTGAAATATTGAATATTTTTTTTGGTTTGTTTAAGATTGTTTTGATAAATTTTTTGTTTACATATTATTTTTTCCGCTTCAACATATTTATTGTTTCCGTTTGATATTGTGTAAGAGACATTGAGATATCGAATCTTGTAGCACTAGATCCGTCAAACATAGAGAAATTATGATAATGGGCAAATCTACATAGCTTTATGAAGAGAATTTAAAAGTCTAAAGTTTAATAGATATTCATTAAAGTAGTCATACAATGTCTACTTATTTAGAAGTGAAAAATTCATCCCAAATTCTTTCATTTGTCATATTATGTAATAATTCAAAAGACATTCTACCTTCTTTATTATTAGTAGGACTCGATTTATCCAGTTGTTGATAATGATTTAATTCTTGAAAGAAATAATCTAAATCAACATCATTCCATTCAAAATTATCAAATTGTGGTAACTGATTTGAATCTACTAGTGGTTGATTGTCGTTTTGATTGTCGTGTTGTTGTTGATGTTGTATTAGTTGAGTTTTAGGAGATACTTGATTACTTATTTGTCCAGTATGTGGAGAAACTAAAGGATTTAAATGATCAAGTTCATTAACTAAAGTGAAAAGATTCAGATTAACATTCCCATTATTAATATTATATAAAGATTCTTTTGAAATTTTTAAATTTTCAAAATTTTGATAACTTGGATATTTTAATTGAATTATAATTTTAGTTAAATTATGAAAAATTTCACAACAATAATTTGCTGCATCACATTTATCAATTAATGATTGTAAAATTTGAAAACAATTTGATGTAATTTTTAATACTTTATCTATTGGATTTGAATTTCTTATTTCTTCATTATTGAATAATGTATATAAATAAGATGTACCTGCCATAAATAAATTATGAACACCAGCCCATGTATAATTCACGGATTTTGTAGTAAATAATTCATAATAAACATCAATAATTTCTCTAGATGATATTGAAACTTGTTGTAAATCATTCCATGATAAATTATAATTTCTTGGACCTAAACCATGAATATACAACAAAGCATGATGATAATTTAATTTAAAAAAAATTGAATTAAAATCACAATTTATTTGTGTTTTTGTCGGGATTTGTTGATACCAATCATTTAATCTTTGTAATACATCTAATTTCCAATGTTCCAAATCTTTAAATTGTCTTGGGATCTCACTATTTGTTGCATATAAAATTTTGGTAATCTCACTTTGTAATTGTCTAACATTTATAAAAGCTAATGAAATATGTTTATAACTTGGATCTTCAAAATTCGCATCTGGTAATGATTCTTGTGGTTTTAATTTCAGATCATCTAAAATTGTAGGTAATGGAGTATTAATACTTTCATCAGGTATTCCAAATGGTCTATCCAAATAAAAGCAAATTTGTCGATCTATTGAATATGTACACCAAAATATTCTTCTTCTCTTATCTCTAGTATATGGATCTATATTCAAATTTTCTTTTGATTTTGTCTTTAATTCATTTTGTAAATCTAAATCAACACATATTCTCAAAGCTTCTCCCATAATATACCATATTCCAGGATTTGTTGGCCTCATTATAGAATAATAAGCATATATTAATATCCCTTGTAATGCTAACAATCTATCTTGATTTTCTTTTACTTCATCATAATATTTCATTGCTGCTAATCTAAAAGATTCAGATATGTGGGAAGGATAACGTAAATGATGAACAGAAGAAGCAATTGCAAAAACCATATTTAAAAAAAACAACGGTATGTGATATTTTTTAGGCGGTATAATACTATTTGAAATAATTTTAATATCTTCATTTTTACCATTTAACAAATTTTGAAATTTTAATTTATAAGTATCAAACCAAAATGAATCATATTTTTTATTTTTCCAGAATGAATCATTAATTTCTCCATTATTATTTGCAAAATTAAAATTTTTTGATTCAACTGGTCCGTATATTGGTATAAAATAATCTCTTATGAATTCTTCTCTGTGAAATAATGGTAATTGTGCATTACATTGATGGAAAAAAATTTGACAAAATTGTAAAGCTGTTGATTTTGGTGGTAATACTGCTGCTGAATGATTTATTTCATCTTCATCTTCATCTTCTGTAACTGTTCCATTATTTGAATCAATATTTGGTCTTTTTTCATTATTCCTTTTTTGAACTTTAACTGCCGTTGACATTAATTTCAGAAATGTTATATCTCCTTTATTTAAACTAGCAAGATGATGTCCGTTTGTGTTTGATGGTTGTTGTTGTTGTTGAAGATCATTTCCTTGCATATGTATAGTTGGATCTATATTATTATGTTCATTTCCGTTAGCTAAATGACTCAAATGTGAATCTAAACTAGTACTTCCATTTGATTGAAATTCCAATAATTGGTGTTCTAATTTTTTAACAGTTTCTTCTAAATGAACAACATAACTTCTTGGAATTTCTCTACCAGTAACTGGATCAACTCCAATACATTCAACTTTATGAGTAGTGCAATTCCCACATTGAGGAAATTTCAGATCACATTTAATCTTTTTAGATCTACATCTTTTACATGCAGATATTGCTCTTGATATTTTCGAATTATTTGATGATTTATTGGTAGTGGTTGTAGCATCATTTCCATTATCTTTCTTTTGTTTCTTCTTTGGTGGAGTCATATATAGCGTGTCATATGAATTAATATGAAATAAGTTATAGTAATACTGTAAAGTTGTTGAAAAATGAATTACTCTAGTTTAAAATTTGATGTAATAAAATATTTAATAGATAAGAAAAAGAAACCTTAATAATTTTCAAAAATTTGGTAGCATTAATCAGATCTAATTTTCACAAGTAAATTAATGATTTAATTAAGTTGTCTTACCACGTGAAGATTTCAAAGTATCAGTTTTCAAATGTTTAGTCAATGGGCTTCATTAAGAACTCTATTGTCAAATCGAGGTTCTATTTCCTTATTGGAAGCTGACCAAAAGATAATTATAAAAAATAATTAGACTTTATTAAAACCAGATCTCGTAAATTTCATCATCTTTTCATTTTGTGTAATAATATTGTACATATTATACAACATAGATATGGAATAATAAATTGTGAAACAATAAAATTTTATAGACTTGAAACCCAAGATATAAATTCTCCAACGTTGAAGCAACTTTTAAAACATCAAGGTCTGAAGTAACCAAAATAAGAGAGCGAAATAAAAAGATCTGTTTAGATATTTGAAAGAATAAGATAAGAAACAAAAGATCTGAAATGTTCAAGTTATAGTAAATATTATACACAATTATTCATTCAGTCTACTTCCTTCTTAACCACGCACGCAATAACTCTTAATTCTATTTAAACCCACCACTAGAATTAGCATAAAGATAAAAAGCCCCATCAAAGCATGATTTGTGGGGTATTTCTTTCGTAGATTTCAATCTCTCGAATATGTGGGGTAGTTCATACTAGCAGTATTTCGTATCTTCGTATCTATTCAAGATTCACTCGTATCTAGATCCCGATCCACATTTTGTCCGATCCATATCAAAAAACTTCGATCAGCATACCAAAATCTTGAAATCTAGCATATCAAAAATGTTTAGATCTAGCATAACAAAAAAGTTTAGATCTAGCGTAACAAATACATGAAACAAGCATAACAAAGAAACAAGCATATCAAAAACATGAAACAAGCATAACAAAAACCTGAAACAAGCATATCAAAAACATGAAACAAGCATATCAAAATCTATAGATCCAGCATAACAGAATCTCTACGATCCAGATCTTGATCTCGATCTCGATCTCGATCTTGATCTCGATCTCGATCTCGATCTTGATCTCGATCTCGATCTCGATCTCACTCCATCTCTACCACAATAGTAAATTTGGGCTTGAGATCCAGGAAATCTTGATCTCGATCTCATTCCAACCTTACCACAATAGTTAATTTGTGCTTAAGATCCAGGAAATCTTGATCCCGATCTCATTCGAACCTTACCACAGTAGTTAATTTCAATTTGAGATCCAGCAAATCTAAGGTTTTGATCTCACTCCAACCTTACCACAATAGTTTACTTCAATTTGAGATCTAGCAAATCTAAGGTTTTGATCTCGATCTCCTCCCAACCTTACCACAATAGTTTAATTCAGCTTGAGATCCAGCAAACCTAAGGTTTTGATCTCATTCCAGCCTTACCACAATAGTTTATTTCAGTTTGAGATCCAGCAAATCTTGATCTCAATCTCATTCCAGCCTTACCACAATAGTTTATTTCAAATTGAGATCCAGAAATTCTGAGGTTTTGATCTTATTCCGACCTTACCACAATAATTAATTTAGTCTTGAGATCCAGCAAATCTAAGGTTTTGATCTCATTCCAACCTTACTACAATAGTTAACTCCGGCTTGAGATCCAGGGAATCTAAGGCTTTGATCTATTTCCAACATTACTACAATACTTTGTAAAAATATTGCGTTTGATATAACTCCAAATTAAAAAGTTAGAAATATTTTTAACTAACTGTTTTATTATTAATCAAATTGAAAGGTTAGGACAATTATCAATGAGTAATGCATTTTCATATGATTAAAGAACCCTTTAAAATTGCAAACTTCGAGTAAATGAAGATAAAAACTAATACTCAATGATAAATAACATCTTCCAAAATTGAATTCATCTACTCCTTTCTCAACTTATAAAAATCAAATCCTCTTTCTCCTTTTGCATCAGATACTTCATTAGGTAAATTTTCAATCTGTTCCATAATTTTGTTTAATGTTAATGGTGGATCAGGTAAATGATCACTATAAACTAATCTAAATTGATATTTTTCTTGTAACTTTTTATTTTCTTTGTGTTCAGTTGTAGTTGAATCATTATCGACGTCATATAAATGTTTAATAAATAATTTCTGAATTTCAAATGATTTACATAATTTTTGTAAATTTTTAGTGGTTGAAGGTTGGATAAAACCTGATTGTTTTATTATTTTCTTGATTTTGGTAGTTTGTTCTTCATTTATATTGTTGGTTGTTGATTCATGATTTTTTTGTTTGAGTGATTCAGGTATTATTTGTTGACGTAATTTTCCAATTGACCATGTTGAATTTTTTAAAATTTTGTGGACGTTTTGTTTTGTTATTATTTGATTTAATGTTGGTGTTGGATTCATAATTTAGTGATTTTAAATAATATGAATTCTTGATTTTTAAATTGAGTATATTTATTTTATAAAAGTTTTTAATCGATGATTTAACTTTAATTTCAATTGTTGGGAAAAGTAATCATTGGCTATATTGTATTTGTAATACCTTTAGTAATAATCAAATAGTAGTTGATGTTGTTTATGATTATTGATCTAAGTTGTAGTTTTGAGTTATTGATTCAATTCTAAATAATGATTGTAAAATTATAAAGTAATAATGGTTGTTTAATAATTTTTTTGAAAAATTCTTATCAATTCTGTACTTAAAAAATGACACAGATTGTGACAGTAAAGTTACGACTTTAAATTTTTACCCCACAATTCAAAATATTAAACAGATCGAGAACAACAAGATATAAAACCAGATATGAGATATGAGATATGAAACTCAGATTTGAAACAATAGGGTAGTAAAGCCACCTAAGATGAAACGACAGATCCAAAACATGTTCAATTTTACAAACAATAACACTAAAAAATTCGTTAAAAATCATTAAAAACATTATATAAACTATGTAAAAAGAAACTCTATGAATTTACTTACTAAACAATTTCCAAAATTTCTTCTTCTTCTTCTTATCACTACCATTACTAGAAATTTTTCCATTACTTATTGATGAATTATTATGATTATTATTCATACAATTATCAATAGAACTAACTTTTGACAATTGATCCAGTTTTTGCAGTAAAATATCATCAACATTTTCATTTGAATTTGTTGAATTTTTACTTAAACTTTCTCCATTTGCATTTGAACCAGAAAAAGATTTTATTGATAATGAACCATTACTTGAATCTCGATCTTTATTTGTTGTATAGTTTCTGATTGGTTTTTCTAGTCCAAGACTCCATTTTAAACCGGTGGGGCTTGATATTTCTTGTTGTTCTTGTTGCTGTTGAGCTTGTAGTTGAGCTTGTTGTTGAGCTTGTTGTTGCTGAGCTTGTTGCTGTTGCTGCTGTTGTTGTTTGAGTTGTTCACGAACTTCTTTAAATGACATCTTATGTTCTTTTGGTACAATTATTACTTTTTTCTTTTCAACTGGTGGTTCTAATAATGATTTAGTTGAGTAAATTTTATCATTTTCGAATAAACTTGAGCCAGTTATTAATTTTGCAATTTTACAACTCTCATAATTTGATGTAATATCTGTTTTTAAAGTTATCAAATTTGAACATAAATTTAAAGAATTATCAGATATTGTTTTTATTATATTTGAATAATAATTTTCATCAAAGTTATTTGTTTTTTGTAATTGTGATAATTCTAAATCTAAATTTGTTTTATAATCTGTATATTTTTCAGTAATTATCGTTGTTGAATCATATGGCTGAGGATCAATACCATTTGCAGTTGATGTTATACTTGATGCAATACTATTTATTTCATTTTCTGAATTTGATGAATTTGAAGTTGATGTTGCGGTAGTGGTTGAAGATAATGATCTTTCTAATAATGGTGATTCTACTTTTAATTCCGAAGTTTTTTCAGTATGATTTATTTCATTTTGTAAATTAATTTCAAATTCATTCATATTTACTGCTGGTACTACTATAATTGGAAGTGGGAAAATTTTAATTAATCTACCACTTAATTTTGATGATATAAATGTTGAAACTGGTTCTCCAACACATCTATTATGTTTTGATCCAATACACATTAGATTTGGTTCATGTAATTTACACATATCTTTTAAAACTTGTTTTGTTTTACCTGCAACTAACTCAACTGTAAATTTTACTATTAAATTTGGATCTATGATGTTTGTAATGTATGACATTAAATTTTTAGAAATTTGAATAAGATTTTCTGGTAATGATTTATATGTATATCTATCTAATTCATTTTCAAATTGTATTTCATTTATATTTGTCATTGGTGTTATTGAACTTTTTCTTCTTTTTTTTTTATCTTTCTTTTGATTTTCAAATATATTTGGATCAATTGTAGATACTATTATTAATTTATCTCCATTTTCTATAAATTTTTTTAATATCCAATCTAATGCAACCCAAGTATGAATTCTTGAACTTATATATATTAAAATGGTTCTATTTTGTAAAACTGGTGAAATTAATAATTCATTATTATATAATTTATCATATAATTTATGTTGCTTTGTAATTGAAAAACTTCTCATATTGGATATAGGTGTTGATTGATAAAAATTATATTGTGATGAATCTAATTTCAATACATTTTGTTTATTAGTAGTTGATAATTCACCATCCACATTTGTTGAATTTCTTCTTGGATATTTAATTTCTTCAGTATTTATTGAAGTTCTTCTACCACCACTAAGATATTTTGAATCATCTATATTTATTGAATTTCTTCTTGCACCACCACCAGAACCACCACCAGTAGTAGTAGAACCAATAGATAAATAAGAATTTATATCTATTTCTTGAGATTTAAATTGTTTTGGTTTAATTCTACCTCTTTTAATATTATATAAATCCCAACCAACATCATCATCTGAATCTGGTTCACTTTCATCATCAAATCTTCTATTCATATCATCAAATGATACTTTATTTATAAAATATAATTGTTTTTCAGGAGGGGAATGTAAATGTGGGGAAGTGAATTTTATTTTCCTATAATTTGATGATTGTTTATTTATTAAATCGTCAAGTAAATTTGATTGTTGTTGCTTTTTAGGAATTATATTAGTATGATGATGATGTGAATAATGTTTTGGATGTAAATGAGTTGCTTTATTTATAGTAGAATTTATTGTATCATTGTAGTTGTTATTTTGATTTGAAGTTAAAGGTGATAATGAATTTGAAGAAGATGATAATAATATAGTTCTTGGTTTTTGTAATTCTTCCTTAGTTGTAATAGTTGAATTAGTAGTAATATTATTATTATAAGTGTTATTATTATTATTAATTGCTATTAATGATTCTTTTGATGGTTCATTGATTTGTATATTAAAATTATTAACCATAACTTGTAATAAGTAAAGTTTTAAATGAAATATATTATTATAATGAAGAATGAATGGTTAATGTATATGAAATAATTAGCAAATAATTAATAATGATAATGAACTTGTTGTTGATGTTGTTGTAAATTAAAAAAATTATTGGTTGTAAAAAATGTAACAAGGAAAGTATAAATATTTATATCTATATATTATATTAATTAATATTACAATATAAATATAAAAATAAAATATTCCAGGCTTAGAAATCTTCTCGTAACTTAATACAAATAAAGAAGAAGAAGTAATAAATAGAAGTTTTATTTAAAATAATTTAATCTTCAAATTTAAGAAATATTTTATAATATATCAAAGTAATAGTTGTAGAAATGAAATTTAAAAGATTACTTTTGTTGTAGTAGTAATAAATTATCATATAATAATGATTCAAGCAAGTACTTTGAATGAAATATAATGTATAAATTTCTTGTACGTTTTTATTCTTAACCCTTTTCTTCTTTATCCTTAATTCTTTTATTTTTTGTCTCTATATTTAAGAAAAACCTTCGTAAAAATTATTTATATTTTTTTGTATCTCCACAAATTTAAAATTTTGATAATATAGTAATATTATTAAGAGAGATTTACATTATTATTAGTTTAATATTTAATATATTGTACTGAATACGTAATTAGTGTATTGAAGTTTAAATGACCATAGTTTTATTTTAAATAATTTAATAAGATTAAAATACTCTTGAATTAAATAGATTTGAAATCATCAAGAGTGCACAAAATCTATGAATCAGCTGATAACGTATAATTTAGGTGGTATTGGAATCTTTTAACTACTAAAATCTATTAATAGTAAATAAATATAATGGAATAAATGGTAAGGCAGTGATTATATTTTATAGTAACATTTTAATGTGTAAATTGGTTATGTAAATAAATTATTAGAATTAAGCAACGTTTTTCAAGCTTAAATTAGAAACAAATTTTAAATTATTACTGTATGTAAATTTTAAATGATGATTTAAATTTATAAATTTATTTTTATCTTTTAACTAGACGATCTAGATTGGTAGCTCTCTTATCTATCTCATACTTTAAAAGATCACGTGGTAGCTAAAAATAATATGATAAAAAAATGCCAAGATAAAAAATATTTAAAGTATTGATTTAAATTTTTAGCAAGTGTAATAATAAATTTTAATAAATCTTTTTATCATCATAATATTATAATTTATATTAATATAAAATATGACGACCCATTCTCTTCAAATTTGCAAGAAATTTAGACGAAGTTATATATATGAAAGAACAATAATATCTTTTAGATTTTTTTATAATATTATGAAACATACAAGATCTTGATTGTTTAAATCTAAGAGATACGAATTATATTTTATTTTTATAATTCAAGATTTAAAATAAAAACTATTTTAAATAATAATATGTCAATATTGATTTAGTCCCTTTCTTTTATTATATCTATATTCAATATTTATATAATAATATGTCAATTAATGTTATTAGTATAGATCTTATAGTAGCAACTCTCTGAACTAAATAACTAATTGAATAACTAGTATTTTGAATATTTATTTCTGATCACCAGTGAAATCAAACTAAAGTAAATTTACAATGTACATACATATAAACTAGCTGGTTTTCCCAAATATTTATTGTTCAAACAACTTCGTTAAGCTTTTAAACTTATATATATATATATATACATATACATAATAAAAATCGTAATGTTTTTATAAACTTTTTATAACTTATTCAACCAGCTTTAAAGAATAATATTATGACGAAGAAATTCTAGATTTACGTAAAATTTATATAATAAATTTTAATTTTAAGAGTATTGTGATGGATAAAAAAATATTGTACGAATGAAAATAAAATATAACCAACCATTAACAAATGTTTCAGCCTCTTCTTATTACAACTTATTGACTAATCTTACTTCCTTACTTACATATACTAATTATTAAAAATTATTATTACATATAATTAAATTACGAATGGTTACTTTTTTTTTTTTTTTTTTTTTCANAATTTTTTTTTTGTCCCCCTTCGAGACAAATATTTAACTCCGTAAATATTTATAAATATTTCTTTATTTTAACAACAAATATTCATTTACTTTTCTTATATAAAAAGTCCTGATCAGTTGATTTATAACTGATTATATAACGACTTGATTAAATCTTTGAATCTTAAATTTAAATCTATCTTTATTAAGGTATAATTCAAAGATTTCAGATTTTGTGTGTAGGGCTATGACGACATGAAATTTTATAATATTGAATACACAAAACTATATTAAAATTGTCCTCGATTAAAAAAAATAATAATACATTAAAATAAAAAGCAATATTTATTTTTAGTAAACAATTGAAATTTTTTTGACAACCAATTTTTATTTATCATCAAATTTAGAATAAACATTTTGAAAAGGATCTTCACTTTACAGTCATTAATTTATTTTAATTAATATTGACTTCTATTATCTGTTCAATTAATTCAATAAGTGAAATGCCATCAATTGAAGAAAATAATAATATTAAGAATATTAATAATACTATTCATAATAATGGTACAAGTAATAATAATGATATAAATAATAATGGTACAACTACAACTTCAAATTCAATTTCACCAAATGATGAATGGTTTAAACCATTAGCAATTGATGATTATTTAACAATAAATGAATTATCAAGAAAAAACGTACCTAAAGAAAGACCATATGATAAAACTGATAAATATGATGAATATGATATATCATGTGGTCCAATTTTAAGATTAGCAGGTACTTTAGAAAATGGTCAAAAAAATTATAGAGGTTCTATTTTAGTTGTTATTAGAAATTGTCCTAGTTCTCCACCAATTATAAAATATAAAATTGGTCCTGCTTCTTCTGAAATAGGTACTTCTGAATCATTTTTCAAAACTGGTGAATTTCCAGTTACTAAATTTTATGAAGAAGATGAATTTACATTTTTTAGATATACTATTGATTTGGAAATGGTTGATTATGAACAAAAAATTCAATATTATATAAATAATATATTTAAACCAAATTTTCAATTTTTTATACCAAGTTATAATGAAAGTTTAAATGTTATTTCAGTATCATGTAATGGATTTTCATTAGCTTGTGATGCTAAAGAATATCAATCTTCTTTATGGTTAGATGTTTTGAAAAAAACTTCAAAACAACATTATCATGTTATATTGGGAGGTGGTGATCAAATATATTGTGATTCTATTAAAATGCATTCTGAAAAATTACAAGAATGGTTAGAAATGAAAAATCCATTAAAAAAAAGATCCGTCCCTGCAACTGAAGATGTTATTAAAGAATTTAATAAATATTATTTACATCATTATATGGATTGGTTTGGTAAAGGATTTTGGAAAGGGAAAAATTCTAATGTATTAGAAAGTTTATTTCCCTTAGCAATGTCACAAATTCCAAGTTTAAATATATATGATGATCATGATATAATTGATGGATTTGGATCATATCATGATTCAACAATGAGTGCACCAATTTTTACAGAAGTTGGTAATGTTGCTTATAAATATTATATGTTATTTCAACATCAAATGAATCCAGAAGAAAAATTACATTTACAAGATCCTTCATGGCTATTAGGTTCTAAAACTGGTCCATTTATAAAACAAAAAAACCATTCAGTATTTACAAGATTAGGTAAAGAAATTGCTTTATTAGGTTTAGATTGTAGAACTGAAAGAAAATTAAAACAAGTAGTTGATCCATCCACATATAAAATTGTATTTCAAGAATTAAATAAAAAATTAGAAACTAACGGAGAAGTTAAACATCTTTTAGTAATGTTAGGAGTTCCAATTTTTTATCCAAGACTTGTATGGTTAGAATGGTTATTAACATCAACTGCATTAGCACCAGCTAGAAAATTAGCACAAAAGGGTTTAATAAACAAAGGATTAGTTAATGAATTTGATGGAGATGTAGAAGTATTAGATGATTTAAATGATCATTGGTGTTCAAAATATCACAAGAAAGAAAGAAATAAATTAGTTAAAGATCTTATGGAATTTGGTGCATCAAAGGGAATAAGAATTACAATTTTATCAGGTGATGTCCATTTATGTTGTATTGGTAGAATGAAATCTAAATATCATAATCATCCAAATGCTCATTTAATAAAAGGTTCAGAAATTATTAAACAACAAAATCAAGATTTATTACAAAATCCAGAACATGATCCAAGATTAATTTTTAATGTTATATCATCAGCTATTGTTAACGCACCACCTCCTGACGCAATGGCAACATTATTAAATAAAAGAAGTGGTGAACATCATTTTAATAAGGATACAACTGAAGATATTGTTCCAATTTTTAAAAAAGATGTTGATGGATCTTCAAGAAATAATCATCGTTTTTTAAATAAAAGAAATTGGTCAGATTTAGTATTAGCTAAACAATCAATAGATTATAAACATTTGTTTAATTCAGAACAAAATGGTGAAACACCAGTAGATGAAGAAGAAGCACAAGAAAAAGCAGTATTAAGAAAATTACCACAACCTATATTAAATTCCACAAAAGATATAACAAAAGATGAATTATCTCAACTGCAAAAAATCGATTCTGCTCATATTCAATATCCATTATTTTCTGATTCTTTGGTTACTAATTTAAGAGTTGAAACTGATCCCTCTGATTTAGAAAGTGGTTCAACTAGGTATGAAATTTTTATACCTAAATTAGCTGGGAGTTATAAGTTGGATAAAGCACCTGTTAAACATGTTGATGTTTAGTTGCTACTGTTTTTTTTTTTAGTTTGGCATGATGAATAGGATTTATGATTTTTAAAAAATTGTTGCTTGTTTGAATTTTTCTTTTGGTTTTTTGTTTGTCTTTCTTATTTATTTATATTTATTTATCTATATTTATTTATACTTTATACTAATTTATAATGATTAATTTTTTAATTTTATTTAACATACTTTGATCTATTGTCATTTAGTCACATACGTTTTTAAATAGAATTTCAATGAAAAAATTGTGGGGAAGATCTGGATCTTTATAGATTTCAGGTACTTAACAAATCAGATTCTCAGGGTGACAGCAATAGATCTACGACAAATTGTTTTTTGTCCTATAGATTTTGTATCATGTACCTTGTTTCATATCTTACTACATCAAAATCGCACGAATCGTGGGGTAGATCTATGTCGTGAAATTATTGTCTGGTTTAGTGTCCTGGTTCCTGGTTCATATTTTGATATTAATTATTCAACATTATAATGAATCAGATGTTGTCATATTGTCCTATAATAAACAATGAATACCACTTAATCGCAACAACCAAATCTGATTAGTGAATTGTCAAGTAGAGCAATACCTACTACCTGTTTAGTGACAAATGCAATACTAATTTAACTTCAACAATAATAAATCAAACATTTGTAGAAATCAGAGAGCCAATTATAGCATCAGATTCGAATTTGAGTATCTCAAGAAGTTCAGTAGAGTTTGTATTACGTCAGATCATTTTCAAAGATTATACAATTAATTTTCAAACTTGCATCATGGCCAGTTAACGTTCAACAAAATAATCCGATAATCAACCCAACACCAACTTGGTATTTAGCGAAAGAAGAAACAGCCAAAACTGAGAAACATCATTAAAGTATTGGGTAATCCTTTAGATAAAGCAATTCCGCAATTATCCATATTATTTAGAAGTTGAAAGAATATTCATGCAATACCTGTGTTACTTAAACCACAACGATCATACAATCAAAAGAGCATGGTGATGACTAAAAAATAGAGTAAAAAATTAAATACAGTCCATTTTATAGTAACAAATTAAATAAACCTGTACCAAAGTTGATCAAACGTGTTAGAATAGATTGAGAGTTCACTGGAAATGTTAACCAACGAGGAAAGTGAGAAGGGGGACTTTGTATTTACTTAAGATGAAACTACTTTGAATCACTCGAAGATATACTTTGCTATTTCATTTGAAAAGAAATTCACTACTCATTATAATTGCTAGCTTAATACTACATTATTACATTTATTCTCAGGTATTTTAGTTTATTAAAAAAAATACTATTATAACTATTGTGACGGGTAAACAACTTGTCCAAGATAAGGAGTGTTTATTTACAAAAAAAAATGATTCAGTGTTAAATAAGCGCATGTTTTCGGTGTTAAGTATCATTGATGGAATCGAGATCGAAACGTTAGATGTACTGGATCTCGAGTTGAAGTAAACTATTGTGGTAAGGTCGTAACCAGATCGAGATCTAGATTTCCTGGATCTCAAGCCCAAATTAACTATGGTGGTAGAGATGGACTGAGGTCGAGATCGAGATCAAGATCTGGATCGTAGAGATTCTGTTATGTTGGATCTATAGATTTTGTTATGCTTGTTTCATGTTTTTGTTATGCTTGTGTTTTTTATTATGCTTGTTTCAGCTTTTTGTTATGCTAGATCTAGACTTTTTTGATATGCCAAATCTTATGGTTTTTGTTATGCAGATCTTAAAAGATTTTGGTATGCTAGATCTCAAAATTTTGATATGCCTTGTTTCAGGTTTTTGTTATGCCTGTTGCATGTTTTTGTTATGCTTGTTTCATGTTTTTGATATGCTTGTTTCAGATTTTTGATATGCTTGTTTCATGATTTTGATACGCTTGTTTCAGGTTTTTGTCATGCTTGTTTCAAGTTTTTGTTATGGCAGATCTAAGGTTTTTTGATATGTTGGATCTACAGATTTTGGTATGCTAGATCTCAAGATTTTGATATGCTTGTTTTATGTTTTTGATATGCTTGTTTCATGATTTTGTTACGCTTGTTTCATGTTTTTGATATGCTTGTTTCAGATTTTTGTTATGCTTGCTGCAATTTTTTGCTATGCTTGTTTCAGGTTATTGTTATACTGGATCTGAGGTTTTTTGATATGTTGAATCTACAGATTTCGGTATGCTAAATCTCGAGATTTTGATATGCTTGTTTCATGTATATGTTATGCTTGCTTCAAGATTTTGTTATGCCTGATTTAGGTTTTTGGTATGCTTGTTTTCGATTTTGATATGCTTGTTTCAAGTATTTGTTATGCCTGATTTAGATTTTTGGTATGCTTGTTTTCGATTTTGATATGCTTGTTTCATGTTTTTGATATGCTTGTTTCAAGTTTTTGTTATGCCTGTTTTAGATTTTTGTTATGATGCATCTACAGATCTTGATATGCTGGATCTAAGGTTTATTGATATGCTAGATATACAGATCTTGATATGCTAGATCTCAAAATTTTGATGTTCTTGTTATAGGTTTTTCTATTCTACATCTAAGGTATCTTGTTATGCTAGATTCCAATGACTTTTGTTATGTTTATATGGTTTCTTGATATGGATCGGACATACTCTAGCTCGACATTTGGGATCTAGATCCAGCTGAATCTTGAACAGACTTAAGGTTGAGGAGGTTATATCTAGATTTAGATCTAGATTTATTGAATCTCAACTAGATGTTCAGTTAGAGATGAAATGGATCGAGATCAAGATCTGCAGCAGTTTATCTAGATATGAAGTGTCGTGGTAAGAATGTAAACAGATCAGGATCAAGATTTATATGAGTTTAAAGAGATATGAAGTGTCAGATCAGACCAGTTCGATCTCAATGATACTGTTATGGATCTCAATGATACTGTTATGGAGTTGAAGATTCAGTTATGGATCTGAAGATTCTGGTATGAATCTAAAGATTCTGTTATGGATCTAAAGATTCTGGTATGCTAGATCTAGACTTTTTTGATATGTTGAATCTAAGGTTTTATGTTATGTTGGATCTAAGCTTTTTTGTTATTTTCAATTCTTTTGGTATGCTTTGCTGATTTTTTGATATGCAAAACCCTCAAGTTCATGAGATCTGCATACCATAATTGACTAAATTACCCAAAAGTATAGTAGATTTACATATCTATTTTTGCAAATTGTTTTTTGATATGCTTAGCTAATTTTTTGATATGCAAAACCCTCAAGTTCATGAGATTTGCATACCAAACTTGACCAAATTACCCAAAATTGTACTAGATTTACATATCATATTTTTGCAAAATCACTGAATCTTGATTCAAATTGGGGAATCTGAATCTTGATCTGTTTTTGAGATCAGAGAGTAAATTTACATACCAGTATCACTCAAAATCTTCGGATCTTTGATCAAATCCACTAGTTGAGATTTGGATTTAGTTCCATCTGACTAGATTCTTAATCGACATATCAAGATCCTTCAAAATCCTTCTAATGCTTGAATCTTTCACTTAGATCTACTAGTTGAAATCTGGAATCATGAGTATATTTTAAATGTTCATATCTACATATTTAAAAATCTTGCAAAATCTTCGGATCTACCTTTAATACCACTTTTAACACCACTAATGGGAATTTGAAATTATAAATAGATACACATTTATTCTACCGCAAAACTTTAATATCTCACCGATCTTGTAGTCAGATCCGCTTGAATCATTCTTGATAGAAGATATACTCGATTCAGAGATCAAAATATTTGAAAATTATTCGATCTTTGTTCCATATCTATAAGCGTTATCTGTGTGCACTATTGGCATTTATCCGAGAAATGGATTTACATTCAATAATGAGTCAGTGAAAATTTAGTTACAAACACTTTTAAATCTAAACAATTACCAAACTAGCTTTTATTTAATTATCTCTTCAATCATCACTAGCCTCCCTTCTCGAACAATACAAAAATTAGATCGACAAGAATAGCCTCTTTTTTAAGTCACTGTGAAACAATATTAAGATTTTGTGTAACTTTTTCTATTTCCATCTTCTCCATTTTTTATTAGTAATTTTGTGCCACATGAAAAATCAAGAAATTTATCATATCAAACTTATCAACAACTTATCAAACAACTTATCAACAACTTATCAAACAACTTATCAAAGTTATTACGCCAATACTTCAACTATCCATCAATTCATAATGTCGCCATCATGGTCAAAAGATAATAATCAGAATGAAGAATTGCCACCAACTTATGAAGAAGCTTTACATACGCCTTCGCCAGGATCTAGTACAAGCCACCATCAACAACATCAATCAAGTTCACAATCATATAATAGACCATCACCACAACCACATCCTTCTCAAAACTATTCATATACTACATCATCAGCACCACCATCAACTAATCCTAATTTACCATTCGTATATCCAAAGGGATATCATTGTCATAAATGTAATAATACAGGTTATAAAATCAAAAATGGATTAAGTTGTAAAGATTGTTGGGATAATTTATCACCAAGAAATTCTTCCAAGTCAGTAAAACAAAATTTCCATCCTCAATATTTTGGTTCAACTACTTTCATACCTTATACTCCTCCACAACCACAACAAACTTATTATCACGCACCACCGCCACCACCAGTTTCAGCTACGCCATTAAGAGTACCACCAGGTGATCCAAGATTAGGTGGTGTATTATGTGGAAGATGTAGAGGATCGGGAATGACTAGATTTTTATTGGATATGGAACTTTGTCATGTATGTAATGGATTAGGTAGAGTTGTTAATATTCCAACTCCATCACCAATGATGCAACATCATAGACCAAGTCCTGGACCACATCATAGACCTGTTCATGGTCATTCACGTCCTTCACATTCTGGATTTCGTCCTGATGTTAAAAGACGATAGAGAGAGTGATATATTTAAATTGGAAATAAGTGTTTCATACTCCAGTTAGTTTGCTACTTCAATTCATCATTATCGTTACTATTCATTTCATTATTTTTATCGTTACTTATATTCAATTCTAATATATTTTCAAAAGTCAATGCAGAATCATTCTATGTCAATTTTTACAATATCTTCACTTCACAGACTCACATTCTTGTCTTGAGAAATCACTTGCCTCTAGACCTCTAATTTCTCAAGTTTTTTTTTTTGTCTAACTGGTCTACTCTACTATGTTAAGGTCTCATCGTAATATAGAAAAACGCAAATTTTTAATAGAATTTACATCTGCTTATGAAATTCTTCAATACTCGAGAAAAGTAATGTTAGAAGAAGTTCTTACATAAGATATTATATCTCGAACCCCATAACTTATCTCACTAATTAATGAGTGGCTTCAATTAGTAATAAAAGTAATATGAATTACTCATTGATCTTGCATAATCACGGAATATTAAATAAAGATTTGAAGTATTGTTACATATATAATTTTTTGTAGAGTTTCCAAAATTTATCTAAATTAGACGAAATCTGATAATCAACACTTCTAGTAGTAAGCCCATTACTTCAAACTTTAATTTGAAAAATAAAGTTCCATTCTATTGTTTATTTTGTTCTTTATCTAGTTTTAGTTAGAAGAAATTGAAACCCCTCATTAAATCAAATTTAAACGAAACTAAAAGAACAATAAAAACTACAGAGTTTTAAAGTTTGAAGTATATTTTGAAACAATTAAATATTAATAAATAAAAAAGGATAAAATAATATCCTAGTAAATCTTTTATTCGACTATTGATACATATATTAATTCTATAAAATTAATATATGTCAAATAAGTACGCCAACTAAAACGTTTATTAATGAAATTATTATTTTTTAACCAAAATAGCATAAGAAATTACTATTTGATTGATTTCTTCAAAAAATAATCGTATGATTTTATTTTTTATTTGATGCATTAGATTCTATGTCTATTGTTCCCTATTATTTCACTTCTTCTGTCAAAGTTTGGAATAACTAATTGTATTGTTTTCGAGCTCTTCGCTTATCACAATGTTAAATCGATGAGGTTGAAACAAAGTTTGAACCCTGAGTTAAAACTTCAGCATTTGAAATTTTGAATTAATATTAAAGGCATTACTTTCTTACTATTCACATTGCTATCAATCTATTAATAGTAGTTATTACAATAAAAATTTGCAAATTTGTATATTGATTATAAGTAAACATACCTTGAAAAATAATAAATTATTATATTTCTTAAAAAATAAATTAAAATTTAAAATTTAAAATTCTGAAACAAATATGAAATTCTTAAAACAATAGAAAAGTAATATAAATTATATTAAATTACTTGCATAAAATAAAAATTTGAATTAGGAACAATTTTCCGAAACTCAAAATTTTTATATCAAATGCCCATGTAATACATCTATTCTTTATATCTTGAAACGTTTTAAGTAATTTAACATATATTATCTTTTATTGTTTATTTACTTTATTATCTTTATTCTTAATTAACCTTGTTGGTAGTCTATTGAAACAAGTACCTTTTTATTTATTTATAAATTTAATCTGAAACAAAACTTTAAATTATCAAATTTCAAATTATTATATATACGAACCATTTGCCACTTTCTCAAATTTTTTTTTTATTTTTCAAATATTTATCTTATCTTCATCAATAAATTTGTATCATAGTCAATTAATTTAAATTATAGTGTACACTAAAGAAAAAAAAAATGACAATGACAAAATTATCAACAAGAAGAAAATCAATTAGTTCTAATTTTTTAACAACAACTTTATCATTAACTAATTCTACTACTACTACCACTGATAAAAATCCATTTACAAGTAATAATCCATTAATCAATCATGAAGATTTGACCAATAATTCATCATTGAAAACAAAATCTTCATTTTCAAATTTAGAAGAATTATCACAAGATCCAATTAAATCTACAACGAATAATAATGTATTACATGAAACTATTTTAAATAAATTTAATAGAACGAGTAATGGTAAAATATATGAAAAGGATTTAAAAACTATATTTGCATTATTAATAATATCATTAAATTTAAACTCATCAACAACAAATGACACAACAACACAAGATTCATCATCATCATCATCATCAACATTCACTAAAAAACTCAAATTATTCCCAACTACATCATCAACAAAATATCCATATTCATTCCATTTTCAAACAGCAATAAATAAAATGGAAAATTTAAATTTAGAAATAGAATCTCAAAATACAATTACTAAAATATCATATAATTTTAAACCAGATATTTCAAAAAATTTAATTAATCGATTTTATCAAGCTCATTTTTTACATTCACCAGCAGATAGAACAAGAAAAGAACCTAAAATGGGAGTATTATTACAACCTACTCCAAAAGGTTTACAAATTGTTGAATCATTTTGTATTAAAATTGGTCTTAAATTAGATAAATTTCCTTTAGTGATTAATGATTCAAGTTTTAATTCAATGAAATTATTTAATTTTGAAAGAGATTTAATAAGTGATAAAATTATATATTCGAAATCTTTTTTAAAAATTTTGTTCATTAAACTTATTGGTATAAAACCTAATTACTGGTCACCAAATAATAAACCAGATATTATAATAAATAAAAAAGTATCAATAGAGTCTAAAAATCAACAAAAATCAAATCAAAATTTCAATGATGAAAATTTAACTAAAAAATTTTTAAAACCAATATCACCAACTGATCATAATAATAATAATAATAATGAATTAACACCAATAAATTCTTCATCAAGTTCTTCATCTACTTTAAGTCCAGATACAAATATTGGAGGTTTTAGTTTTGCAAAATATCAAGAAAATAAAATACTAGAAGAATCAAATAAAACACCTACCACTACTACAAAAACAATTGAGTTGAAAAACTCGTCATTAACATCTACAGAACCATCAAATATAACTTCCCCATTTTATCACAAATACTTTCTGAATCCAGAATCAGATTCACATATTCAATATTACGTATCATCAGTAGGTGTAAGATTAATTAAAAACAAAATTATCGATGGTTCATCAACAACAACAACAGACAAGAAAAATTTAGTATTAGATTATTGTATAAATGGTAAAGCAATAATACAATGGTTAATGGATTGTACAGATTTAATTCAAGAAAAACACGCTTTGGAAATTTCAAATTTATTTATTAAAGAGGGGTTAATAAAAGTGGTATTAGTTTCTGAATCCAATCATCATTCACAAGATTTCCATCGTGATAATTACTATCGTCTTACAGAAAAGGGATTATCAATAAGTTCATGGGGTAGATCCACTACTGAAACTCCTCAAAACCCAACATTATTACCTAAAAAGATCAATTCAATAATTAAACAAAATATAACATTAGATTCAATAATGAAAGATCCAGCATTAAAATTTCAATTTAAAAATCATCTAGTTAAAGAATTTTGTGTTGAAAATTTTGATGCTTATTGTCAATTAGAAAATTTTTTTAAAAAATTACAATTATATAAAGAATTAAAAAATTTATCCAATATTGATCCAAATTTCACAAAGAGATGTTTAAATCAAAAAAATATATGTATGTCATTATCTTATCAAATTTTTAATATTTTTATTAATGCTGAATCTTCATGTATGATAAATATAGATTATAAATTACGTTCAAAAATAATTAATTTATTAATGAACAATAATAACAACCAAAAAGATGATGGAAGTATTAATGATTCAATAAAGTATTTACAAACTCCAATAGATGAACTCAAGAGATTTGAAAAATTTGAAGAATTTGAAGTTGAAGGTGATTTAGGTGAAGATATTAATCAAGATCAATCTGATATAATTTTAGAAGAATTAGAACAATTATTTAAACAAGTAAGTGATCATTTATATAAATTAATGAATATTGATTCATTACCTAAATTTTTAAATAGTTTAAATTAAAAAAATTATAGAATTTTTACAACTTTAATATTACTACTATTTACTAAAATATATATAATGCAAATAAAAAAGTACTAAAAAAAATGTACATAAACTCTCTTTTAATTTATTGGTTCAATAGTTGTTCCCTTTTTAATAGTAGCCCAACCAATTAATCTCCAATGTTTTTCAATTCTTCTTGATAATGCAATTTTTTCATTAATTTCAGTACATGCAGGAGAAGTTAATTGTAATCTTGCCATATCAGCTTTTACAGCAACAACTCTTGCACCTGTAGCAGTAGATCCAATATTTACCATTAAAACTTCACCAACTTCTAATTTACGAACTTTTGCACCTTGTTTTGAACCTTCAGTTTTAACACCTAATAATCTTCTCAACAAAAAGTAATTAATTTCAATATCTGAATAAATTGAAGGTAAATTACCCTTTGCACCAACAACTTGACCAACTAATCTATCAGCTCTACATAAAGTTGGATCAACTTTTGTACCAACACCAATTAATCCTCCTGGAACAGCAAATTTCAAATCATTATGTTCAGCAAATAATGAAACAATATTTGAAAAAATAGTTTTACATTGAATTCTACCTTGATCATCTTTTGTAACAATACCTGGTCTAATTTCTATTTCATCCCCAATTTTAAAAACACCAGTTAAAATTGATCCACCAGCAACTCCACCTTTTAAATCATCAACATCAGCACCTGGTTTATTTACATCAAAAGATCTAATAACTATTAATCTTGGACTTGCATTAAAATCTCTAATTGGTACTGGAATTGAATTTATTATAAATTGATTAACTGCATCTATATTATATTTTAATTGTGCTGAAATTGGTACAATTGGTGCATTATCCGCTATTGTTCCTTTTATAAATTGTATTATAGATTTTTGATGTTCTAATGCTGATTCTTCTCTCATTAAATCAACTTTATTTTGTAATATTATAACATGTTTTAATTTCATAATTTCTATAGCAGCTAAATGTTCTGAAGTTTGTGGTTGTGGACAACTTTCATTACCTGCAATTAATAACAATGCAGCATCCATTACTGCTGCTCCTGATAACATAGTACTCATTAAAATATCATGACCTGGACAATCAACAAATGATACATGTCTAACTAATTTATATCTCCCCGTACATCCTGGTCTTTGACATTTTGGTCTAATTTCTTTATCTGATTTAAAAGATCTATAACAATCTGGTTCTGGACATTCTTCATTATCACATTTATAAATTTTTGCATTTGCATAACCTAATTTAATAGTAATATTTCTTTCTAATTCATCTTTAAATCGAACAGTTTGTACCCCTGATATAGCTCTAACAACCGTAGATTTACCATGTGCTACATGTCCAATGGTACCAATATTTATTGTTGCTTGTCTATTTATAATTTCTGGTGATAATGGAGTTAATTTTGAAAAATCTATATCTATTGATTGTTCAGGTAATCCACCACCTTCTTCAAATTCTCTTTTAGCTTGTTCTTGTGCTAATTCATCATCTTCTTCATCTAACCCTGCAAATGCTACTGTTTTTTTCCCTCCTCCATTAGTTTTAGATAATGAGTCATCATTATTTTCTTCATCTTGATTGATTTCTTGATCACTTTCAATATCATATTGATAATCATCTTCTAAATTGTCTATGTTACCTCCAATAATAATATCTGGAGTAGCATTTTCTATATCATCATAAGACATTTTGCTACTTGTTGTTGATGTAGTAAATAAATTATTAATTTATTTGGTTGTAAAAGTGCCTTTAATTACTTTGTATTAATATAATATTTCAAATCTAAAATTTTTCAGTCTAAAAAAAAAAATTTATTTTCTGTTTGCACACTACATTTAATATTTAATATATTAGTATAATATAATGGAGATCTATTAGTTTAATCAACCATTATTATTATGACAATACATTTAATCAATCAGATAGTTTAAACTATACTAGTGTGATACAATAGCCCTAAATACTATTATATAGTTTCAAAATTCACTAGAATAATTGGGTGGCAAAACCAGTGAGTCATAGATAATTCAGTTCATGGAAAATCATTCAAAATTTTGGCAGCAATGGGAATGATAGTTGGTATTGGCAATGACGAAGATCAGTGAAAGTCCCAATGAAGCAATTAAAAATTGTTTGTTGATTCAACTGGATTCTCAAATTTGAAATTGATCATTTATATGAATGCTAGAATTTTAAAGTTAGTGAAATTCAAACAGTCATACTGATACTTAAGGAGTCACCATTTTTATTAAATATAGGATTTGAACATGTTGATGAGAAAATTTTGGAAAATATAATTATTTGATGATTTTCACTGGGGTATCCAATAAATTTCGTCAAAAAACGGTAAGCATTAGTATATGAACTCAATAAGGGAGCCTTCAAACAAAACACCTGATTCAAGTAATTTGTTTATATTGATTGGAATTGGAACTTAAATTGGATTAATGTTTTTATCAATGGTGAAAGCTAGCTATAATTCCAAATTCAGTATCAACCAAACATACTCAATCAATTAATTGTTCAATCAATTATGGATATTAAAGATTACGATGTTTCAAAAGTCTGTATTAGATTCGTCAAATATAATTGCTGATGAATTTTATCGGATTTTTTAAACACAATATTTAATCCATTTTCAAGTGGCATCTTTTCAACCTATTAAATTGGGATAATTATCTATGAATAAATAAGAAGATTTGATGAAACAATCTTAGGAATTAATCAATTCAAGTTTAGGAAATATAAAAATGCAATCACTAAAGTGAGAATGTTCATTGAAAAACTAATTTTTAATTGATAAATTTATCTGTAAATTTATCATTTGCATAACATCTGAATAATATATTGTGTTAGTTATAAGTTAGTTATAAGATGTAACAAATCAAAAGTTAAAAATAATTCAACTATCCATCTCCACTGTACAACCCACCCACTCACAATCATGTATCTCATGTACCAAAGTCAAAAATAATTGTCATTCAACCACTTAAAAACTTCCAAGATATTTTGTTTGCTTCACTCCAGACTTTAATCTAAATCATAATCCAATCTTTTAGTCATGTCTGTCTTCAAATGCTGAATTCTCAAGTCTAATAAAATTTTCTTTTTTAACTTTTTTAACCATTGGGTTGGGGAAATGTTTCAGGTAATCAACTCAGGTTATTCTCATGCTTATATGGGTGATTTGTCTCAAAAATATTTCTCAATTGATAATGAAACTAAAAGATTTGGAAATTAAAGAGTAATAATTTTATCATCTATTTGGTTTTTATGCAATGTGAAATGCTTGTTGTATTATGGTTGTTGTTATTGAGATTTTTCAGTGAAAAGAAACTGTACTAAATAATATTTAGTTTTTTTAAATTGGGAATTCTGATCAATATACATGAAGATACCAAAAATATGATATGCTAAATTTTAGTTGCAAAAATATAAATAGTATAACAGTAACGAACTAGAATGAGTAGTGTATTGTTAAAAATTGTTTACATAAGTGTATAATAGAAATAAAATTAATTGGTTTAACAATAAAGAGGAAGTTATTATGAGAGCTTTCATGAATATAGCAAATTTTGCTGGAGGTCGCATATTAGTTTGGTGATAATTGAGACATCGACTAATATTTCTTTTTATCACAAGTAGTAGATTTGTATTCAGATTGCCTTTCATTAAAAACTAGATTAGTAGTTATACAGACTTTGCAAGTATAAAATACTCATTTGTCACCAGAAACACTTATGAAAAACTTTCTAATATTTATTAAATAGTTAGTTATAAAATTTTAATTTATAAAATAATTTCATTTAATCAAAATTGTGAATTACTCACTGTAATTCATTAGAAATAAAATACCTACTATGTTTCAGGTTATGCTACCAACTTGTTCTAATGGTAAGAAAATAATTATTTTAGTTAGTATGTATTTAATATTATGTTGATCTTAGAAAAAAAAAAAAATTAGTTATTTTAAAATTAAACCAATAACAAATTAGTTAAGAAAAATAGTTAAGAATAAACTTAAACTTACAAATGATGAATTGATTAAGGATATATTAAACTTCACCAATGATAAGATAGTCAAGAATAAAACCAATCTTACAAATGATAAATTACTTAAGAGTATATTAAACTCAACCAATGATAAATTAGTCAAGAACAGTCTAATCATCCAAATGATAAAACAATTAAGGATCAACTAAAATCCACCAATGGAAAGATAGTTGATAATACCTTAATGAGTGGTAAAATAGTTTAAATTAAAAATTAACAAATAATTAAGAAAACTGAGAAAATATTAAACCAAGCAGATAACAAGAAAATGGAGAAAAGGTTAAAATAAAGCCAATTGTGAATAAAAGTTAAATGAAAAGAACAAGGAAAGATTTTAATATAAATATAGATGAACTAATCCCAAAAATTACAAAAAGATTTTTAGAAAAAATTTTTAATAGAAGAATAATAATTTAATCAATCAATAATATATCAATAATCAATCAATAATCAATCAATAAGTTCATCCATTATCAATCCAATTATAATAGTTAAATATACCTTTAATAAACGTTATAAACTGTATCTTGTATTAATTATATTGTTATTATCTGTAAAATTACCCCTTAATTATTATTTAAATATTATTTTTCAATCATCTAAGATTTTGCAGAATATGCTGTCCGGGGTCTATTTTTATTTATTTTATATAAAAGACTGCCAATTTTTGGAAACAAATTTAAGAGGAACCGAATGTGCACTTAGGGGACCTACCTTTTGTCCGTTTTATTTGATTAAAAGACGTCTTTAAGTAGGTATTTTATAAACTATTTTATTAAATTTATATCCTAAATCCAAAATTTCGAGGTCATCTAAATTCGAGCCATTAAATCTAATGCTCAGATTAGTTGACATAGAGATGTTTTGTATCTAACTTATGATGTGTAGCATAGACCAATCAAGTTCAATGACGACTCTAAAAGTATTTAATTTTGTAGGATAATCTTGACTAATCAATTTAAAAAAACGAATATAATAAATTTTTGTTGTCCCATATCTAATCAGAGGATTGTTAAAAAATAATTTTGAAACGTAAAAATCACTTATCTTATCAAAAAAAAATCTACATAAAAAATAATTTTTTTAGACAAGGTTTACTATGGATTGAAACAAACTTTATTTTTAAAAACTGATCGTAAATTCAGAGCTGAAGAGCCTCAAAAACTGAAGCCTCAGTTGTCTATAGAGAAAGTACAACGTTTCAGTTGTCATGTAATACATGATTGCTCTATTGATCTGAAACGTATGATTTCTAGATAAGGTCCTAAAATTTAGAAAGTTTTTGATACGACTTTAACGGAAGAGTACATTTGGAATTATGGAAAATGAGTTATCGAATCTTAGAGAATTGGAGATCAAATACTGTACGCTCTACTTCTCTTAGAGTTGAACAAATAATTATATAAGATCTATATAAAAAATAAACTTTTTCTTTTAAAAACGTATATGCAAAAACTTTTTCTCGAACATAATTATAATTTTTTGGTAAATGTAAGTAAATTATTTTTGATCATTGAATTTTAATATCAACTCTAAGATCTAGATCGATACGAGCTGAGTTCAAATCTAAGAAATCTTTCAATCATCATAGATTCATAGATCACAACTTCAAACGTACAAGATTTTTGGTATAATTAATTGAACTTATAATGAAATTTCTTGAAGCAATTAAAAAAGTATTATTGATGATGAAATTTAGATATTCTTATAGTTCTGATCGGCTGTAAATTTTAGTACTTTACTACTCACAAATCTCTAACGAAAAATCTAAGAAAAAAAAAAAAAAAGTAAAGTCTTGAGAAAATAAAAATAATCCGCTAATTTAAAATTAAAAAAATAAAATTTTCTGGATCAATGGAAAATCTTTTATTTTATATATCACATGAGTATTTAAATTATATACTAATATAAGTAAGAATGTATATTAACTTAACTTTAACTTTAATCAAAATCTTAAATCCTATTAATTAAGTCTTGCATTGACAATTCAACTAACAACCAATTATTGTAATTGTTTATAGAGTGAAGATCATTATATATTAAGAAGTAATATTGGCATACTAAGTACTATATGAATACTAAACACTGAATTTGGATGTTGGATTTGAACGAAAGAAAGAGAGACAGAGAGAGAGGAAGAAAAAGTACTAATTAAATAAGTTTTATAGAAAAATTTGGAGATAATTTATAAATAATAGGAGGAATTATAATAATCTCTTATATTATTATTTATTGTATGGTAAGTGTTGTATTAGACCCCTTTTTTAAATATTAAATTATAATTTTGTGGCTATTTAATTATTAGTTAGTTATTATAATTTGATCTAAGTAGTAGTAGCATTAGTGGTAGAGAATTTATTGCCTCGAGAGTATCATTTAACTTATTAAGAATGGAAATAAAGTTGCTTCGAGAAATCTCTTTGGTTGTTAAAGTAAGTGAATAAAACAATAAAACATTTACATATGTCATAATTAAAATCTAAATCTAATTGTCTTAATTAAAAAAGAAATAATTTTAAAACTTTGATTTGCTCTTCTATTTAAAATATAATATTATCACCGTACTATCATTAGTACTACTCTACTTTACTTTACTCCTATAATTATTTATTTTAATACGATAAGAAAAAATAAAAAATAAAAAAAATAAAATAAAAAATAAAAAAAAGATAAAACATTTATTTTACAACCAAAATTTCATAATTTTTATAAAAAGTAACATTCTTTTCTTTCTTTCTTTCGTTCTTTCTTTCTTCTTCTTCTTTTATTCAACTATCAACAACTTATAACTCATATAGTTATATATATATTCATAAACATTTGTCATTATCTGTTAACAATTCTCAAATCATATCTATTACACAATTTCATATAGTTATCTTTAGAAAGTAATTTTTATTAATTAATGTTTCATTTATAAATAAATTTAAGCAACCACTTTTTTTTTTCACAATTATAAAAGTTCTACTAGGAAATCCATTTCCATATATTTATATTTATTCAATCATATAGTTACCAAAAGGATTCATTAAAACCACTTGAGGGGAAATCAATTTTATTAAATTTATTATTAATCTACTTAAAAAAAATATATGTCAAAATTTAAATACCTTAAATATTAAAAAAAATAAAATATAGCCACGGAAATTTATACAATTTAATATAACCATGCAAACAACTCAATTTCAAATCAATAATTTTAAAACTAGTTATTTAAATCAAACAAATGATTATATAATATCAAAATCTTTAAATTCAGATCTTCCTTTATCACCGAGATCATTTCCTACACGACAAGAAGAAATAAAAACCACTCAAAATAATATTATTATTAATAATAATAATAATAATATGGAAAATATAATATCTTTAAGTTCTTCTTCATCATCATCTTCAATATTTTCAAATAATAATCAAAATGAAAATAACTTAATTGATAATAATCAAGATCAATCACATTCAAATAGTAGACCATCAACTCCACCAACTCCCTGTTCATCAATTATAGGTGGTAAAAATTCACAATACAATAGAAATATAATAAATTATGAAAGTTTATTACAAAATTTACCAAATTGTCTGGATTATTTACAATTAATTGAACCAAATCCTGTATCACCACCAACATATGAAACTTTACCACCTGGTGGTTGTCCGAAATATCCGATAAATTTTCCAATTTCAACCTTTGATCAACAATATTATGATATATCATCACAATTATCAACTATTTCATCATTTGACATATCAAGTACTCCAACTAATGAAAAACCACCAACATATTCCCCAGCCATTTATAAAATTGGTATAGTTGCAAGAAAAGTAGAATGGAATAATCCTTTCGAATTATCATCAAATAGAAGTTGGAGATATTTTATAGCAGAATTAAATTCAACTCAATTAAATTTATATAATATTCCAACTCAATATGAAACTCAAATATTTGCATTTAATTCTAAAACAATTATACCAAATGGATATAAATATGAAAAATCAAATAATTCTATTTTTACAAATATAAATGATCATCAATTTTATGATTATGTTAAAAAATTAGGATTATTAGATGATAATTCATATAATTCTAAAAAAAAGGGATTAGTTAGATCATATTCTTTACAACATATGAGATTAGGTTTAGCAACAGATTATAAAAAAAAAGTTAATGTATTAAGATTAAGAATTGAAAATGAACAAATTTTATTAAATTTTGGTTCTATTCAAGATTTGATTGATTGGAATTTATCATTAAATGTTGGTAAAGATGTTTCAATAGATATTTCAGAAAGAGAATTACCAAGATATAGAACAGTACCAAGAAGAAGGAGAAGAAGAGAAAGAGTAGCTGGAAATACTACCAACGCCAATAATACAACCACTAGTAATGGGTTACAACTAATGAATAATAGAATTAGATCATCATCAGATCCAAATAAATTAAAAGGTTCATTAAGTAAATTAAAATTAAAATTAATTAAATCAAGACATAGAAATTCAAGAACTCAATCATTTGGAAGAAATACTCAAAATAACAACATTAATACTTTTACACCATTAGCAGTTAATAGATCACGTTCAGAAAGTGATTTATATAATCCATTGGAAATTAGTGTTCCGTCAACCAATAATAATCATCAACAAAGAAATCAACCAACATTCTTTATAAATAATGGTTTAGATTATGATGGACAAGGAGATGATGATGAAGATGATGATGAATATGATGAAGAATTTAATGAAGTATTACGAAGATCAAGAAATGAAACTTCTGGAAGTACCACTAATACTAATAATAATGATAACAATAATAATGACAATAATGATGATCAAGAAGATATACAAAATATGTCAGATTTACCACATTCAGATGATGAAGACGATGAAGAGGAAGAAGAAGAAGATCAAGAAGAATATGAAGACACAGATGAGTTTTTCAATGAACAGCAACAACAACCTACAACTACCCGTCAACAAAGATCATCAACAATTTCATCATCAAATCATCATAATAATTTATCTTTTAGTTATGAACCAGATTTTAAATGGAATCCACCATTAGATAAACCACATAACAAGAGAAAATATTATAAAAATTGTTTAAGATGTATTAAACCATTAACAATGGAAGATTCTTGGTGTTCAAAACCATTAGTTAAACCAACTACTTTATCACCATTAGAAATGGCTTATTTAAGAATAGTTAAATATGCTGGACCAACAGGTGAATTATTATCTACAAGTTCATCAAGTTCAAGTTTATATTCATTAGGTAAAAAAAATAATGGATCTATTTTTAAAGATTCAACAAATACTGGATATGTTAGTAATAATAATAATAATGGTGGTAGAAGTATGTTAATTTTACCTGATGTTGCATTAACTAGATTACCTAATCATTTCTTGAAAGAATTTTTGGTGGGATCGCATGGATTAATCCCAAGAGAAATCATTTAAAATTTAAAATACATTAACTATTCAAATACATATTTAGATTTTATTTATTCAATTCTACTTTTAAAACATTTTATATTATTCATTTTTTGCATTTTTGCTAAAATATTTGCTATTATTTTATTCATTTATTTTTATAAGCTTCAAGTTGTTAAATTTTAAAATATACATTCTTTTGCATTTGGGTTTTTAGAAAAGTTCAATTTCCCCTCTTTCTACTCCTAAATAAATTATTCGGCCAAAAAATCTCATTCATGTTGATCAGTCTTTAATCTACGATATATTAAAGTTTCAAGTCCAGAATCTTCAAAATCGTAGAGTCAATTATAAGAAATCAAAAAATGATGGGATTTATGGATGTAAATTATTCTTTGGTTGATAAACTAAACTTCCCCTTCAAAATCAGCATCAATAACTTTCTCAACATTTCAAAGTTGTCAATATCTAACTTAATTGATTAAAATTTCTATAACTTGATTAAATAAAATTCACAATTAAATCAATCTTCAAATTATCATTAAGTAAAAGCCTATTGGCACAAAATTATCACATGAACTGTAAATTTTTTAATTACAATTCCAAACTTTCAAGTTTTTTATTTATTGCCAAAATATTATTTTTTAAATGTGTGATTGAAATCATACAATAAAATAACCAAACAGACAAAACAATTCCATAAACTAAAATGAAAACCAGTTTTTTGTCTTGTTGTTTTGATGAAAAGTTTGAAGGATTTGATTTTTGATTATTAGGTTCTGTTGATTGATTATCTAAATCACTCGACATTTTTCTATTGAAGTTGAAAAAGGAAGTAACAGATTTCCTTCTTACTCACGAAAAGTAGATTTTATTTCTTATTTTGAGTTTGTGGTGGTTGCGTATTATACGATTATACTGAGGTGCAATATTATTTAGTTTATGATCACTCTATTATAAGTGATACTGTTAATGTAGTTATAATTGAAATATATATAATATAAGATAAGTTTTAATGAAATTATTTAGAAACACTATATCTAAAAACTCTAAATAGATAATAGGGATGTATAAGAAAATATCAAGTCTTATAATCCAATAAAATGACACGACACGCAATAAAGTATTAATACCGAAAACTTGTGTAAATAATTATTTACCCATTCTAGTTAAAAGTCTAAAATAGTAGACTTCCAAGGATATAAATAGAGATAGATTGTCCAAAAAAAGAATGATTCATTACATCAAGAGTATTTAATAGAGTACATTAAATACATAGTTTTATATGATATAAAAGAGATTTTAGGAAAGTTTAAGTTTCTTATTTAAAAATGAATAACACTAATGAATCAAATGAACCTTGATCCACCAAATTCGTATCGTAGGCAATGGACCAAACAGTACATCCAAACACACAGTTTATCAATATCCCTAACTCTAACCTTACAACACGATTACAATCGAATTTTTTAATTATAAACATTTCTTTGAAATTCAGTCATTGATAAATTTAAAAAGAATTTCAGTCTTGAATGTTTTCTTTTTATGAATGTAAACTCAAATCTCTTCTTGCTACATTTTTATGGTGATCTCATCCCAAGTTTTGCTTCTATTACATGTATATCATTATTTAATTCTCTAATTGCTAAAGTACACCAAATAAACCACACCAATATATCAATCATCGTTAATGTGATAAAAAAAACTTTTAAGTCATTGTCTGATGGATTCTTTAACTTATTCAACATTTTGAAAAAAGCAAAGTAATTTAAACCAAAAAAAAAAATTATGAAGTGGAACCTACAATTACACTTTTTTAATATTTTAGTCCTGGAAAGGTCAAGTGATTGGGTAGTACAGACGTCAATAAGTCAAATTATAAATATGGAGCGAGCTGAACACTATCTAGCAATGGACTAGCAGATGATGAATCGATAAGTGATAATCTTGTAATCAAAATCAGATAATAGTAGGTGAATGGGAGAATGATTTCATAAGTCAGGACACTAATTTTAAAAAGTGTACACTAAATTATTAACTTGAAACGATTACAAAACTTTGAGGAAACGACAATAAATGAGAGTAAGTGGTAGTAAGAAAAATTTAATAAATTTACACAAAATGGTGCATATATTAACTATGTAAAATATTGGAATTTAAAACTACTCAATTTAGATCATTTGAGCCATTGGAGAGAAAGCGCAAATTACTTCAATTTAAACACACTTAAATTACTATTAAAGAATTTATGAATAGAGCTTCAATGAGATGGACATCGTGTTGTTGAGGTTTTTTCCAAAAATGGTATAAATAACAATAGAGAAGAATCACGCGAGGGATACTAAAGGTGTAAGATAAGACTGATCACAAACACTCAATTGTGATTTTACGTATTATCGTTAGATATTAGCTACAAACTCAAATTTTAGTTCAAAAAATTTATAAAGCCTTTTAATCATCTGGCTCATTAATGCACGTTCATAATTAAAACACGGATTATAAAGTTGATAGCTTATTTCTTCCATTTCTTTATTGTTGATATTTTTTTTACATCTTAAACCATGGAAATAGTCTCACTGAAACCAAACAATATCATAATGGTAGTTCTTGATTTGAAAACGGGGAAACCATTAGAAAATCCATCCAAAATTGAATTACCAAAAGAAAAAATCACAAAAACTCAAAAACTAACAGGAGTTAAATTTAGTTGGATATATGATGTGAAAGAATTGATTACAACAACATTAGGTAAACCAGAGTTTGAAGTTGAAAATGAGATAGCTAGAGGTCAATATTTTCAAAGACCTGAAGGTGCAATTGGAGTATTAGTTCAATCGGGTAACGAACCAGCTACTATCAATGGTTGGTATACTGTAAATTCTCACGAGGGGTACTATAATCTTTATGGTGATCAACCTGAATTTACTCAACAAACTTATTATTTAGGTGATACCAACACAATTTTTATAGTATTGTTTTGAATATAGATAATAACATCAAAGTTCTTGGGAGTAGCCTATCTGTTCTTTTGACTTTTACTCTTTTCCAGAAGACTCTTTCTTTGATTATCTCTCATGATATTTTTACATATTTGTCGTATTGATCAAACTGGGTATGTTGAGAAAGCCCAATTGTAGTCAACTCCTATCAAATAATTTTGACACTTCAGTTTGTGTTGATTCTTTCCGTGGTATAAACGAAAGAGGTTGTTATGAGGTTTGAGTAGGAGCTCTTGACAAAAAAAAGCGCTTAGAAAGTGATACCTTGTTGACTAAATAAGTCAAACCAGTTAATATTTTGAGCTGAAGTTATGTTATAAAGGACTTGACAGTATTAACAACAACAACAATCATATTATTGTTGTTTTAATATTAAATAAAGAAATTAATTATTTAACAATCTTTAAAGTTAAGACTAAACTTTTTGTGTCACATGCTAATTATTATAATTAAGAACTCAAAAAGGAAATTTTAAGATATATAAATCAGGGGGGTTCAATTTTTTAGATTTCATTTATTAGAATTTGACTGATCTATAATTAATCTTCAACTATACAATCAAAATTTGAAACTAAAATTTATAAGATCCTGCAAGATGAAAAATAATCGACATTAAAGTTATCACAAGAAAGATAAGAGGCAAATTTTTGTCAAATTAATTAATTATTTAGATCCTTTATTGTTTCTTTTTTAGTCTGAAACATTTTAAGAATTATTACATAATTCCATCTTTTTTTTGTTTATTAGTTGGTTGGTTGTTAATTAATTAATTAATTAATCAATGTATTATGAATGTGGGTTAATAAGTTTGTGATAGATTAGATTTAATTTAATTTTATTACGATATTTTTATTTTAACAAGATGAAATTTTTGACTTATTTGATTAACTTTCTTTAATTATCGTTAAATCTTATTTGGATACATCATTTCCATTTCCATTAATTATATCTATCATCATCATCTTCATCTTAATACTTCATCTGACAATATACCCGTATCATATCTCACATTATCTACAACTACTGGCATTTAATTTCCTCAAAAATCAATAATTTCAAAATGGGTTGTGGAGCAAGTATTCCAATAGATGAAGAAAATGATCCATTTTTACATGATAAACAAATAAATGATGCAATAGAACAATCATTACAATTAAATAAAGCAAATTCTAAAAAAGGTATGAAATTATTATTATTAGGAGCAGGAGAAAGTGGTAAATCAACTGTATTAAAACAATTAAAATTATTACATAAAGGTGGATTTACACAACAAGAAAGAATGCAATATTCACAAATTATTTGGTGTGATGTTTTACAAAGTATGAAAATTTTAATTATTCAAGCTAGAAAATTAAAAATTCCATTAGATTGTGATAAACAAAATAGTAATTTAATTCCCTTTAAGCAATGTATATTAAGAAGTGATGCTTTAACTCAAATTGATACTACTATAGCTGGTGGGAATTCATTTTTAAATGATTATATTTTAAAATATGATGAAAAAATTAAAATTAAAAGAAAATTAAATAGTACAGGAGTTGTTGAATTTTTAGGAGATTCTCAAAAACAACAAGAAGAAGATGATGAAGATGAAAACAACCTAGAAAATATAAATTTATTGAATACAACAAAAGATCAACAACAAAAATATACAAGACAAGATGTAGCAGAAGCAATACATAAATTATGGACTTTGGATTCAGGTATAAAAAAAGTTTTTGAAAGATCAAATGAATTTCAATTTGAAAGTTCTTCTGAATATTTTTTAAATAATGTTTTTAATTTTGCTGATCCAAATTATTTAAGTTCAGATTTAGATATTTTAAAAGGTAGAATAAAAACAACAGGGATAACAGAAACAAATTTTACAATAAATTCTTTCCAATTTAAAGTTTTAGACGCTGGTGGTCAAAGATCAGAACGTAAAAAATGGATTCATTGTTTTGATGATATTACTGCTGTATTATTTGTTTTAGCAATAAATGAATATGATCAAATGTTATTTGAAGATGAACGAGTAAATCGTATGCATGAATCAATTATATTATTTGATCAATTATGTAATTCTACTTGGTTTTCAAATACTCCATTTATATTATTTTTAAACAAGATTGATATATTTGAACAAATAATTAAAAAAAATCCATTAAAAAAATATTTTCCTGATTTTAATGGTAAAAATGATGATTTTAATGAAAATATAAAATTTTTTGAAACTAATTTTTTAAAAATGAATAAAAACCCCAATAGACCAATATATATTCATAGAACTTGTGCTACTGATACTAATTCTATGAAATTTGTATTAAGTGCTGTTGCTGATATGATTATACAACAAAATTTGAAAAAAAGTGGTATAATTTAGAAATTTTAGAGTAATTATTTTGTATATGTATTACAGTTTTTAGTTCAATTAAATTAATAGTATTTCATTCATTTTATAATGTTTTTTTTTTGGTTATAGATGACATATATACACCAAAAGAATTACCATCTTAACATAGCCATTTCATTTTGATTTCTGTTATAATCTAATAAATCTTCAATTAATCCAGTACCAGAAATAACAATATCTCTATCCCAAACTTTAGAACGACCCCAATTTTTAACATCATTAACTGTGATTGAATCAATTTTTTCAAATGATTCTTTTATTGAATGTCTATAACCAACAGCTAAAACTTTTTTAGCAATATCATTAGTTATATCCTTTGATGAAGTTAATTCTTCAACTATTGCAGTTTTAACTTGTGCTTTTGCTCTTGCTACTTCTTGTTCACTAATTGAAACAGATAATCTATTCCATTGTTTTAAAGAAAAATGAACAAAATCATCTATAGTAAAACGATTATGAATTTCAGCATAATAACCCCATAAACCAGTATCAGACCAAGATTTTGAAAAATGATTATATGATTCAACAATATCATATTCTTGTACAATTGAAGCTAATTTAGGAGAAGTATATGGAGCTTTTGTTGAATGTAAATTAAAATTACCATAAATTGCAGCAGCAACTTTAGCTAAATAATAATTTGGAGAATTAATTCCTTCACCATGTACTGCAATTGAAAAATAAGCTTTTGACATAGTATCATCTCTCATTCTAACTTCTGAACCTAAGAAATTAGCAGGTTTTAATTCAGGTTTTGTTGAAACTTTCAATTTTAAATTTTTTTCAATTATATTTATTAATTTTTCATGATCGAAATTTCCTGAAGATGCAATAACAACATTATGATTGACTAAATGTTTTGATAAATGTCTTAAAGAATCTTGTTGTTCTAAATTTGAAATTGATTCAGTTGTTCCAATAGTTGGTAAACTTAATGAATAACCTTGATAAGCACTTGAAGCTAAATGACTTAATACTCTTGATTTTGGATCTGATTCTATTTTATTTGATTCTACAATTAATTGATTTTTAGCTTCTTCAAATTTTGAATTTAAAATAATTTCTTCAGCATTAGAAGCAATTGATGAAATTAATTTCCCAGCTTCTTCAATATTATTATTTGTAGTTTCAGCAATAATACCATTAAACTCTTTTGCATTATGTGATGATAATATAACTCCAGTTGATGGATCTTGTTTTTGAACTAATACATTTGTTGATAATGCTGATACACCATTACAATATTGATGTTCTGATCTTGAACCTGCTCCAAAATATAAACCTACTGTTGAATGTGATGCTTGTGGATTAGTTTCGGATGCAACTGTAATACCATTTGATAATGTTGTATATTTAATACCAGTTGATAAAAAACGACGTGATGAACCAAGATTTTTAATAATTGAAGAACCACGAATCATATTTTATTGATTTTATTAATTGGAATATATGAAGACTTACGATGATAATGAATAAATAAAATTAATGATGTAATTGATATGAATGGTTGATGTATTATTACTAAATCTTCTTCTTCTTCTTTTCTTTTGATTCTATCTAGATATATCAATTGAAATTTTTTGTTATTAATATAATTGGTGAAAAAAATCAAAAATTATTAGTATATATTTGGTAGCTCGTATAATGATTCTCTCTTAGCTTAATAATTTTAATATGGCCAATTAAATAAAGAAGAAATAATATTAGTATAATAGTATGCAGTAATTTAGTTGCTTGTAAAAAGATAAGCCAAATTTGGTAGCATTTATATCATATAGAATATAAATTGTTGCAAAATTTGTTTATTGGACCATAATTTCAATTACATCTGTCTAAATTGTCCTATTATGGATTTGTAAATGAATCGAAGTTCAAATAGCAAATTGTTGCTGTGTTAAAATTCAAGTTCATTGGTTTTACCATTTATTAAAGTGATTTGATTCGTGATTTATTTCCATCACGGAAAACAGAACATGAGAATAACAATGAAACAAAGAATCTAATTTTAGATTACATGATTGTAAATGATTGACGTTTCCCACTCTCAAATTCTGTTTATCTCTTTATATTTAGCAAGCTAGATGGACAATTAAAAACCATATAAAGTTTTGGTAAAAGAGAAAAAAACATATTCAATAATTGATAATGATTCCTAGAAAAGTAGTTTAAGGGGTATTTCAAAATGATTTATGATCTAAGCTCATTGATGATATTGAATCTTGTAAAGTCTTCTTGGTGGTCAAAATTGTTAAAGGTGATGGTTTAACTTATTCAGATAGTATACAATTATTTACGCTTAATTATTTTGAAATTATTTCGTGTCAATGGCCAACATCTCATATTATAATATGAGTTTTCATGAGAAATTACCACTCTATTTTGCAGTCATAAATTAATAGTAATGAAAATTAAGTGAAAATAAAAAATTGGATAGTAATCAGTATACATTTGCTATTAATTTTTGTATGCACAATAAACAATATAAGTAATTTTTATAGTTCAATTTTAATTAATTCTGGTTCTAATGTCAGTAAATCAATTACAACAAATTCTCCAGTTTTTTTAAAATCAGGTAAACTAATTAATCTTATTTTGGAACCAGAATCTGCACACTCATAAATATCTGTACCATACATATCTTGATTTCCAACAAAGTATAAATGTGGTAAATCATTATTAAAGATAAAAGGATCATAATTTTCATAAGGATAACAATATAAAGTATCTGGAGCTGTGGGGACAAAATTTTGCCATTTCATACTTGATTTCATTATTTCTATTGATGTTGATTTTTTTGTACAATATTTCTTTATATCATCTACGTTTTGACCACTAGTTCCTAAGAATCTAATATTATCTAGTTCGAACCATACTGGGTTAGTTAATCTTGATAATCTATCACTCCCCAAAATTGATTGATTGGTTTTAAATAATGCTTTATGTAATGGTTGTTGAGGTAAACAAATTTCTGCTGGATCGTTTTCTCCTGGCATTATTGAAACTGATAAATTTATTAGTACATCGTTTAAAAATTGATCTAATAATTTTAATGATTCATTATTATATTTTGAAATATTCTTTGATCCATAATTATTTGTTGTTATGAAATTTTTTAAATCATTCTCTGCTGTTATATCTTGTATGGGTTCGATTGAATTACCAGCTATGATTAATTGAGATATTGAACCATTGAAAGTTTTATCTTGATCCCCTCCTAATTCTCCAGTTAGATATTGTTTCAATAATTCTAATTTTAAATCATAATGTCCATGTAGTCCAATATTTAGACCAGATACTAATGCTATTTTTGTAGATTGATTTGTGGGTGTTGGTAATGTTAATGATTTTTGTGGTGCACATTTAGGATATATAACATCCATTATTTCAAATATTCCAGCTTGAATTTCAACTCCTAATACTGCAACTATACATCCAGTGACCAAAAGATTATTATTCAAAAATTCTTCATTATGTAAAACAGCTCTACCTGATTCATCTTCCAACATTACTATTGACTGTTCACTTTCATCTAAATAACTTACAGGTACTAAAGGTAATACATCATCACTACCTTTTTCAACATCACTCAAGATATCTAATTTATATTTTGCATCACAAAAAATTGTTCCAATTACCCAACATAATCTACCACTTGTTATATCTAATATTTTATCTTGTTTTATTATAGTTTGATCATTAACTTTTCTTGTTCCATGACCCCATTTTGACATTGCATTTTCATAAATTCTTTGTTTTAATATACTTAATCTATATTGATACATTGAAAAATATTGTTTATCATATTTTTTGCTTTTTGGATCTATGAAAAATTCATTTCTTTTTTCAAATTCTTGGTTAATTGAGCTTTGATGGCGTTCTATAGATTTATCCAGATCATTATTAATATAATTTGTATATGATGGTGACATTGAATGATATTATGTATAAAGATTGAATCATTAAAGAATAAGCTGTACATAATAAATTTGACATGCTAAACGCGTTTTGGTACTGAAACAATTTTACGCGCAGTTGTTAGCACGCGTTTTAAACAAAAGGTATTACTAGCTCATACTTCAAGAGATCATCATTACGAAAGGTTTTTGTAGTAGCTACACTTCATTGTCATTGTAAGCTATATCAATCGAGCCTCTTTTTGGTCTTTATGTTGTCCCATTAATTTGTCAAAGTGTTTATTAATTTAAAGGAACCATATAAAACTTTTCTTATGCATCTCAAGCTACTCATAATGATTATATTAATGTCTTAAGTAAACTGGTGGATCAAATGTACAATGTTTTGATGATTTACCCAATCCTCTTGCTAAAATTGAGTATTGACCAAGACGGAACGTGAATTTGCTCTTAGTTATTTGCCACTAGTTTTCTGAATTCAAGTACAACATTGATATGCAAAAACACCAACATTATGACTTTCTTGTTCTTGAGTAAAGGTTCAATTTGCATTTGAAGTTTCAAAGAAAAACTGAATCTTCCATCAAGCTTAAATTTTACAAAACCAAAGTTTACAAAATCAAAGTTTTCTGAAATACATCAGGTAATAAATGCACTTGATGAATTTCAGAAGATTCCAAACTCAAATCATATTCATCTTTTCTCAATATTTTGTAAAAATGATGTATCAAAAAGTTCAGCATAGCAAAACTAATCAACTCCAGATCTTTTTTCAAGACTGGAATCATAATATTCTGCCAGGAAATCTACTGAACATGACATCCATAATTCAAAACAGCTTTTGAATTCCAAAATAATCCACTATGATACAACCATTTCCTAAACTCTCGATTATTCGTTTAAGAATTAGTTAGTCTAAATTCTAAATTCATTTGGCAAAATTCTATAGGTTTCTAGATTGATTAATATGAATCACCTTAAATTACCATCGTTCAACAAATAAATTAAATACAGTACAAACAAGCTAGCATTACCTTATAACAACAATCAATACTCCAATTTAATTTTTTAAGCCAATTTAAACAAAGGTTTCTTTCAAAATGCACTTTTATCTCAGAGTTTATTAAGGCACCTTGTAGCACTGAATGCTTTGCACTGAATGTAGGTTCATATGATAAAAATTTCCAATTATGCTTTAAATTTAATCATAGTAATAATTCAAGCTGATGAATTCTTTTGAATTTTGAACATCAATTGATACATTATTGTTAATTCGATAATGTATTTGTAATTTTATTTGGTTAACCGTAATGAAGACGTTGTTGTAAATAAAAAAAGTAGTTATATTGAAAATGAAATTAAACTCCAAATAATTTTGATATTTCTGTATAGAATTTACACAAAAACTAAAAGTTGTAATCACTTAAATCTTGTAACTCAACTTGAATTTCAACACAACAGAAGTACCAATCAAATAATAGACCATCAAGTATTTATCATATCATTTGTACCACTAATCAAGGTTATCAGTAAGCTACATATTCCAACAGCAACTAATAGATCATAAACAAATAGCACAATATCATTATAAAAAATGTCAGGACTAGAACAATCATTATTTCAATTAAAATTCACAGCAAAACAATTAAATAGACAAGCACAAAAAGCATCAAAAGAAGAAACTCAAGAAAAAGCTAAAATTAAAAAAGCACTCACACAAGGTAATAACGATATAGCTCAATTATACGCACAAAACGCCATTCGTAAAGCCAACGAAAGAGTTAATTTACTTAGACTAAGTTCTCGTATTGATGCAGTAGCTAGTAGAGTTCAAACAGCAGTTACAATGAGATCAGTCACTGGTAATATGACTCAAGTTATTAAAGGAATGGATAAAGCTTTACAAACAATGAATCTAGAACGTATTTCTTTAGTTATGGATAAATTTGAAGATCAATTTGAAAATTTAGATTCTGCTACTAATTATTATGAATCAAGTACAAATAATGTAAGTGCTTTAACTACTCCTCAAGATCAAGTTGATGAATTATTGAATCAAGTTGCTGATGAAGCTGGTATTGAAATGAAACAAGGGTTGAATGCTGCTGCTGTTGATGTTGAGAAACCTATTGTTAATACTACTTCTATATCTGAAGAAAAAGAAGATCAATTAGCTGAAAGATTAAGAGCTTTAAGAAATTAGAATTGCTGTGTTGTACAACTTTAGTTTTATTTTTCCGGATTCATCATTTACATACCAGGTTCATAATTCAATAATTCAACATGCACCAACAAAGATTCTGAGCTGCCACACTTTAACTGCTAGCATTCACTATTATTAAGAGTATAGTCCAAGTAATAATATAAATAGATTAAAATTATTTAATAAATGTAATAATATACAAAATAATCTGAACTAAGAACCAATCTTTTCTTCTTCATTACGAATAACAAATTCAACAATCTTACTAAAATTCAAGAACCCACGTTGATTTCCTTTTACTTTAATCAAATGTAAAGAACAAGAACTTATCAAATCAAGCACTTCGATTTTAAATTGAAGTTTCTTACCTGAATTTGAAAACTTCTTGGGGATTTCACCCGTAATTGTACCATTTACTTCATCTATACTACAATTAGTGATTGAGCCATCTAATTTCTTAAGTTCAATTTGTGATTTGAGTAGTTTTAATAGTTGTTTGAATTTTAAGGAGGTGTTTATTATCTTGATATCTTTTTTTGGTTCTTCTTGTTGAGTTGTTGTAGTTAATGATTGAAAGAATTTTTTAAACCAATTTGATTTCGTTGGTTTTTGTTTTGGTGGTTGTGGTGAAGGATGATCCAAAAGATTTTTCGAAATAATTGAAATTCTACTGAATCTATTATGACCTTTTTGTTGTTGAGGTGGTTGTTGAGCTTGTTGTTGTTGAGCTTGTGGAGGAGCTTTTGGTGCTATTCTTTTTGGATTTAATGATAATCTTCTGAATAAATTTTCTTTTGGTTCTGGTACAAATGAATCTTGTACTGGACTTGTTATTACGTGATCTTTCAATATTGATTTTTTTCTTTCGGTGGTTGTTGCTGGTTGTTGATCAAGTAAATGAGGTGATCTTGGTAATTGAGCAGTACTGAATATACCAGTTGAATGTCTTGATTTTCTAAAGTCATTATTTAAATTATTTGAATTTCCATTTATTGGTTCATCAATTATTGAACTTTCTACAATTGATAAGTCATCTTCATCATCAAATTCATCATTTATTTGTGCTTGGAAAGTATCCGAATGTTTTGAAGTGTTTTGAATTGTATCATCATTTTCATCCTTATGGTCTTCAATTAACGTTTCCTTTGAACTTACAATACTTGGTTTTTGTTTATTTACTTTCCCAACATCAGCAGTTCTTGAACTAATTAAATCAAAGTTGGATAAATCATTTTCAATCTGGTTGTTATTATTATTGACATGATCTTGAATAACTTGTAAATGATTCGATGAAATATAGGAATATTCTGATTCAACTGTTGTTGCATCTGAATTATCATCATCGTCATAGTTAACATCTTTATGTAATTGGAAATTTCTATGATTCGTTTTATCTAATGAATTTAATGGTTCTTCTTTTGCTTCTTGTTCTTCTTCAACATCATCTTCTTTTATAGTTGTATCTCTAACTTTTATACCCAACCCGGTTAGACCTGAGTTTCTTGATTTATTTGATCTTCTAACTACTGTATTTGAGTTGTTTATAGTTTGATCCATAATTGTAGTATCACCTTCGCCATTTGCAACAGTTTGAGCCATTAAACCCCCAAATGAAAATCTAGAAAATCTAGGATTAGGCAAAGCATCATACTCGTCAGCTTCTGAATTCAATAATACAGGAATTGAACCCATTTTGTTTTGAGTTTTATTCTCATCAATGTTATTGAGCATCGATTTATAATATGAACTTTGAGTACTATGTCTTTTATTTAATGAAGTTTTTGAAGTTGATTTTGAAGGTTTTTCACTAAGTGGTTTTGATTCATCATCTAACAAAATGTCTGCTAAATTTCTTGAACTTGAAGTTTTCAAACCTTTATTAAATCCACCTGATGGTGAAGGGGTAACTAATGATGACAAATTTTTAGAACTTGAAGTTTTAAAATCTCTTGTGAATTTTTTAGGTGAAGGTGAAACATCAATACCCAATTTATGCAAAACCTTTGAAGTGTTTTCATTAATTTGTGGACTGTTATTGGTGTTGGCGGTGGTATTCACTAAAAATTTAGATCTTGATGGTGCCCCTAAAGTTCTTGCTCTAGCTACTGGGTTTGATCTTGGATCTAGTAATGATATAATAGGTGGAGCTGATTCAGTTACTGAACGTTTATTATTGGTATCTAATAATCCTTCAAAATCATGAGCGCTTTGACGTTTACTTAATCTTGCAATTGCTTTTCTTTGTTTTTCTTCTAATTCTTGTTTTAATTGTAATTCTTTTTGTTCTTGTTCAATTTTAATTCTTCTTTCTTCATTACGTCTTTTTTCTTCTTCTTCAAGTAGTTTACGTTTGAGTTGTTCCTCTTTTTGTAATTTCAATTCCCTTGCTTCATTTCTTTGATGAACTTGTTCTGCCAATTCCCGTTCTCTTCTTGCTAATGTTCCTTCTCTTTTCTTCTGGGAAGCAGTTCTTGATGGTGCAAGTGAAACTGGAAATTCATTCTCTTTATCATCATGATCTTCATTAAACATTTCATCACAAATATTTTCGAAATTTTTGATTGATTTATTTCCAAATTTTCCTGATAAATTTTTGTGTCTTTGTAATTTATTTAATTGTGGTGGTCCTTGTAATGGTTTTGTGGAGACTGGTTTCATTGGACTTTTATCTGGTGGAGTAATTGAAATGGCTGCAGCTCTTTTTTTGGAATTACTTGATTTTAATGATGAGCTTGATGATGTATTACGACTTTTATCTTTATAAATTTGAGGCTGATTAATTTTACTTTTATTAAATGAATTTGAAGCTTTAAATAGTTTAGTGGTGTTTCCGCTATTACTCGGTTGTTTATTGGTGATGTTTCCTAAAATGTGTTTCGATGACGCTGATTTTAATAATGATTTATTCGAATAAATTGATGTTGATTTAGTAACTTTCTTCCTTTCGGTTGTGGTTGTTATTGCTTCACCTGTTTCATCATCGAATATAATTGTATGAACTATGGATGTTGATCTTGGCATTGATTTTTTGGCGGACTCACTTTCTAAAACATCATTAGAAGTTAAACTTGCAACATGTTCATTTCTATACTTCATTAACAAATAGTAGAACATCTTTTCGGGACATTTATTTGGTGACAATAATCTTGAAATAATAGTTTTTTCATTACAATTATGAAACAAAACTGACAAATTTTTTAATATCTCTTTATCGATTTTGGCAACTGATTCAATTGGTTTAATATTCAAATGTCTAATATCCAATGTAGTGGTTGATGCATAAGAAACAGAAGGTTCTGGATATTTAGTTAATAATGGGTGTATCAAAATACTATCAATTTCAATACGATCCAAAGGATTAACTTTTAACATCTTGGTAATTAAATCTTTTGCTTCCCAACTTATATCATGAGGAATTATAAATTTCCCATTTTGAACTTTTAATAATAATTTTCTAATATTCTCGTCATCAAAAGGTAAATGACCAGTTAATAATGCAAATAATATAATTCCACAAGACCAAATATCAGAAGGAGCACCATGATAATTTTTGCCAGCAACAATTTCAGGTGATGCATAATGTGGTGAACCACATGAAGTTTCTAATAATTTTTCATTCACTTCTAATGCTGCCATTCCAAAATCTGCTATTTTAATATTTTTGTTAAAGTCCAACAACAAATTTTCTGGTTTTAAATCTCTATGACATATATTAAATTGATGAAGATAATTTATACCATTTATAATTTGTTTAAAATAATTTATTGCTTCAAATTCTTGTAGTTTACCTTTTTTGATCAAGTAATCAAATAATTCACCACCTTCAATATACTCCAATATCAAGTATAAATCATTTTTATTTTCCCAAACATCATATAATCCCATAATATTTGGATGTGACATTAATTTCATTATAATGATTTCTCTCTCTATTCCATATGGTAATCTTTGAGTATCATCTTCACCTTCAATTTCTCCTCTTTTGTATTTTGGATTTTCAAATTTTTTGAAATTCGATTTAGGTACAATTTTAACTGCTGCTAACTGACCAGTTTCAATATTTTTAGCTAATCTAACTCTACCTGTTGAACCTCTACCTAAAGTTCTACCTAATTTCCAAGGTCCTATCTTATTTTGAGATTTTCTCTTTTTTGATGAAGTATTTGTACTTGTTGAAATTTGTGATAATCTTTTCGTTGCATTTGTAACTGATTGAACAACTTTATCAACATTTGTTGAAGATAGATGATCTGACGGTATTGTATAATTAGGATCATACATTGATATTGTATTTTGATGAACAACTGTTGTAGTCATCTATGTTTTGAATAATGAAAATAAAATGCAATTTGGAATAAAAAGTTTGTTGATTAATGCTAAAGTCAAGTAGTAAATCTTGACTCAAATTTTATACAAAATGAAATGAAATAAATGAAAATAAATGAATTAAAATTTATAATTAAACGAATGAACGATGTATTTACACCAACGGTATGTTTTTATTGAATTATTTATTGACCTGTTTATAATACCTTGAAATATTGCTTAATCGGCAACCAGGTTTTTGTTGACTTAAAATAATTTAATTATCAAAATGACAATACTGAATTTAACAAGAAGAACAAAAAAATAACTGTATAATCCAATTTTGAATTGATTCTTGATTATATTATGAATTGAAATGAAAACGTTAAAGTCTAATTCAAAAATTGAAAGTGTTTAAATTATTCAAATCAAATCAAATAAAAAAAAATCTTAAACTTCAAATTCTTTTAAAATTCAAAACTTTCTTTCAAACCAAAAAATTTGTAAAAAATAAATTATTTTAATTTTCGTGTTGTTTTTGTTTTGGTGAGAATTTAATTTGATTTTGTGTTATTTAATTATTAGATTATTATATAGAACTGAAGTCACGTGTTGTATTTGGTAGCCTTTGTTTTGGAATTTTTATTACGCGATTTTCATTAATAAATTTTTAATTAGAGTTCAAAATTAACAAGCCTTATTAAATATATTAGCCATAAGCTAACAGGTTCTATATTGAATAAATCCATGATGTTGATTAAATCAGCTATGAAAAAGAATTACAAAATTTAAGTGAAAGATCTTGAATTTCTAAATTCAAGTCGTAAATATTATCACTATTAGATGTTTGTTCAAGAAAAATGAAAAATGTTTACTCTATTTCTTTTTCTAGAATTGGTTGTTAAGTAGTAGATAGTAAATATTTAACAAATATAGTAAGAATGTAATATTATAATTAAATGTATCAAGTTAGAGTGAGTTGGTATTGCGCGTATTAAAAATCTTGAAATTTTATTATATTTGTAATATTATTAATAAATATTTTGAATAGATTATTAATTGAGACCAAATAATCGGGATAATATTTATAGTTACTTATTAGGTGCTTTTTAATAGTTCGTAAATTTACATACTACTACCAACTAAATTAATATTTCAAATTCAGTTCATTAGTATATTGTTGTTTTTTAGTCTTTTAACGAACAAAAATCGAAAAGTTTCAACCAAATCTGTAGTCTATGATCTATAATATTTGATTCTCAGTCGAAATTAAAAATTAGATTTAATCAAATTATAAAAATTTCTCGACAAGTGACATACTTGTGGTATTTCTCCTGTAATTACAGATTTTGCAGATCTATAATTGTAATTTAATGTATAATACCCGGGTTTTTATACATTACACAGATTTAGATTTAGATTTCAATCTGACATAATTCTGAGGTTTACAAGAGCTTTCTACCTTATTTATGAAAGTTTGACTACAGGAAGTTGTTTTAATAAAAACTTTTTTCATCATCTTATTCATTAATTTATTCATTAAATAATCATAAAACTTTTTCTTGAATACAAACACTTGCTTTATTCCAATTTCATAACAAAAAACCCCTTAAAACTCCCTAACACCAAAACTGATATAATCTATAATACCAAGGTTTAGATTTCAATTTTTCCTTCTCTTCAGCAATTTCCTGTTTAATCAATTCAATATCATGTTCAGATTTACCATTATTTAAGTCAATTTGTGAAGCAGGTATATAAAAACACCAACTTCTAGTCCATAATTTATGACCAACGTAAAACAACAATACTATAACAGCAGCTAAATAAGTTTGGAAAAAAGTCTTTGCGGATGGTGATTTACCAATGGGGAATAAAGCTAACCAAAATTGTAAACATAATACAACGATATTCATAATCAATCCATAGTAAGCTCCAATGACACCAGTATTTGATTTATAACTTAAATCTTCTAATGACTTACCTTGAGCAGCTAATCCAGCTCTATACCTAATAAATGCACCATTAATAGAACCCCATGTAAATAATGTACTTAATCCAGATAATGCAACTAACCAAGCAAATACTTCTTCTTGATATTTTGATGCAGAAACAAAACTTAATAATCCAATAATTGCTGATATCAATATACCAAATAATGGTCGACCTTTCCTATCAACGTATGCAAAATATTTAGGTGCTAAATTTTGTTCAGCTAATGCCAATATAGTTCTTGAAAATCCATAAACTGCTGAATTTGCTATAGCTAATAATGCAACTAATATAACAACATTAAAAACACTAGGTAATCCCTTTATACCACCTTGTCTAATAGCTATTACAAATGGACTTGCGCTTGATCCACCACCACCTAATAATTCAGAATCATTTGCATTAACTAAAGTCCCCAATAATCCCAAAGTTAATAAATAAATAATTAAAATTCTCCAAACAACTTGTTTTATGGCTTTTGGTAATATTTTACGTGCATCACCACTAGATTCAGCAGAAGTTAATCCCACAAGTTCAGTACCAGCTAATGAATAAATAGCAGTTAATAATACAGCAACAAAACCCTTGAAACCATGAGCAAAAGGTGGATTCCAATTTTTACCACCAATATATCCTTGATCACCACCACCACAAATCAAAACAATAGCTAAAATATTAAATCCAGCAATCCCTAAAACTTTCACAATACTAGCAATAAATTCAGTTTCTCCAAACCCTTTATTTCCACATAAATTTAATCCAAAAATTAATACATAAAAAACAGCAACCCAAACAACACTATTAATATTTGAATTCCAAAAATTTATAGTCATTGAACTTGCAACTAATTCTAATGGTAAAACAACAACCCAAAACATCAGATAATTCCAACCCATAGCAAATCCCCATGATTGATCAATAAATCTAATTGAATAAGTTGCAAATGATCCACTAACTGGGAAATTACTTGATAATTCTGCTAAACTTTGCATTGTACAATATAAAAAACTTGAAACAACTACCCATGCAATCAATACTGAAGCTGGTCCTGATTGTTTCAACGCTAATCCTGATGCTACTAGTAATCCTGAACCTACACATCCACCTAATGCTATCATTTGTAATTGTCTCTTTTTTAATGATTGTTTTAATGGTGCTGGTGATTGAGTGGTGGGTTTTTCATTGTTATTGTCTCCTGACTCTAGATCTGATGATGAATTTATTTGAGTGGTTGTTGTGGTTGTGGTTGGTGGTTTAAATGAATCTTTAAAGTTTGTCCATATTTCTTTCGGTTTACTTCTTGTAGGTGATGCATTATATGTATGTGTATTTGTATTTGAGGTTGTATTGTTGTAACTTTGATTACTTGATGCAAATGTCGATGATAAATTATCATCTTCTAGATATTTATCCTTTTGAATCTTAGATGGTTCTGGTGATTGTGACATATTAAATAATGTTGATGACTCTGGTATTTTATTTGATTATCAATTGTGATTTCTATTGATTAATTGTAATTTGTTTAGGTTCTAATAGTTAGATAAGATCTCGATTACAGGATTATATCGTAAAATAAAAATTTCAATTCAACTATAAAGTTGATATTAATAATCTAATTATATTAAAACATATTTATGAATACATAATTAAACTATACTTTCCTTATATTAAAAGATGACTATAATTTTTGAAACTATACTCCGGTGCGTAAAAATTTCTGTACTTCTTTTTGCAACCTTTCTGTTTTTCTTTTTGTGTCACAATCTGAATAAAAATTTCTTTTTCGTTTTAAAATAGAAATTTTAAAAATTATTTTTTGACATTATTTTATTGAAATGAGATTCACTCATACTCTTAATCAAAATAGTAAATGAATAGGGGCAAGATAATTTTTACATCAAAAAGGAGCCATAAATACTGGGGTTGATATTGAGACTATACAGGGCGAAGAAGCACTCATTTTTAGTAGAGAATTCAAGAGGTGTTTTAATTAAGAAGGGCATTTGTTAAATTAAGTAAATTCTCCGGTTAAGGAATGTATAGAATGCCTTTTAAAACTTATTAAGAAATTTTTTTTTTCTTTTATTTGACTTTCTTTTTTTTTTCTAGTCAAGTTAACATACCAAGCTTAAAATTCTTTGAATTGCATTTTTGAATTTTCACGGTTGTTGAATCATATTTCTAATCCTTGAAATATTTAGCCGATAAATTTTAATCATTTGATAGATTCACCAAGATTTTGAGGACCCTTTTCTGAGACAAATCAACTTATAACAGCCATTTCGAATACTACCTCCCTATTATTCTTAGTACGTAATCGCCATAATAATGTTGATGTAAATATAGTCTTTTGACAAACTGTCAAATTTGGTACAACTATTGTAATAAATTAAAGGGACAAATGTTTGCGAGTACTTTTCCGAGAATGTTATCTTTTACCTGGTAAGACCATACCCAGACAAAGCTTGACTTCGAGTGGACTAGTTTAAGTTACACCAGGCAGTTGTTAATATTACAAATTATAGTAGAACTTGAATCCGTAACTATTCAATGCATTATTACATAATATACGAAAAAGATTAAAGTCTATTTTTTTAAAGTCAAAAAAACATAATAATTCAAAGCGATGAGATCATCTATAATTTATCTTTACGATTCTTAATACTCACTAGCCCTGTATCAAAATTCATATCTATTTTGAAGCAAAATTTTGGAGATTTGGTTTTAAATTGTACATAAATCAACTTTTAAATATATTTGATACATGTAACATCAAAGTTTAAAATTTGCAAATTATAAAAAGTGAGTAGATTTTAATGTTGTGATCCCTTAAAAATGAACCAAATGAGTTAGTATATATAATACTTTCAGATTACCAAGTTAATACAAGTCGATAACTCTATAGTATTGTTTTTTGAACAGCAATTGCTCTATTTATTATCTTTAATTTCCCCCACATTTGGTGCAACACATTGGTAGCACTAAGCGGGATTTGATAAAAAAAGCGTTACGACTAATTCGAAATAAATGGAGGGGTGTCGGTTTTGAATTATTCTGAAAAATATAACACTAAAGTTGTAGCAAGTTTTAAAATATTAATCAAATTTATCCAAAAGTTAAACATTTATTCTCCAATTGCCATAATCAAAGAGCTAAGGTAGAGATTGACCAATCGAATAAAAACATTTAGATTTGAAGCATAGAAATCATTAGCAACCAATTGACACAGAACATTCATTATAAACTAAACTCGTATCAATTAAATCAAGATGACTGATAACAAATTCAAATTCAACAAAACAGAAGATATTTCCAAATTGAAAGAGCTCTTTGAGCTTTGTGGAACTCAATGGGGTGGACCATTAACACCAGAAGAATTTGGTACTACAATCTCCAAAGGTTTTGAAGAATTTATAAAATACAAAGGTGGGAAATTAGTTGGATTTTACCTTGAGGATACTTCAAACAACAAAATAGTTGCATGTACAATCATCAGACATGAAAAAGCCTTATATAAACCAGCTGATAGATCAAGTATGATCTCATCCACCCCCGACCCTTCATTATTTGGTGTTAAAAACATTACTGCATTATTAGTTAGTTTTGTATTCACACATGAAGATTATAGAAAACAAGGATTAGCGGAATCATGTTTATCACAAGCTATTGAATCGACTGAAAGTACTATAATACAAGATCTGTTAGATAAAAGTATTGATTCTCATGTTGATAATTTTAAAAAAATGACACTTGATGATAATACTGGAGAAACTGATAGACTGTTAGCAAATTACTACTTGGGTAAAGAATACGTTTGGTTCTTGTATTCTGGTGTTGATACATATTATGAAAGGTTTGGATTTAAACCATACCCAATGGATTTTTATCAAATTCCATTACCTGCATTAACTGAAGGTCAAGAATCATTGATCAAGAATTTGATAGAAGATCTGGAAAAAGATCAACAAACTAGTCCAGATAAAAAATCAAGATCTGTTGGTAAAAGAATCAAATTATTAAATTGGGACAATAAACAAGATCAAGAAGTTATTGAATTTATATTACAAACAAAAGAATTGGAAATATTATCAGAGTTAAACAAATTAATGTTTCATAGTGAATTACAAAGTGATCATAAATCTTCATCTTCATTAACAGGATTAAATAATATTTTGTCAATGTCAAAACAACATGGAGGTTCAAGTAATGTATTATCATCAATTGTTGAACAATCTTTCAATCCTCAAGGTTCGTCGGTAGCAGATGGCCCAAGAAGAAAGTCATCAGCCTTAAATCAAACAATCTCAAAATTTGCAATCAAACCATCATATGCAGAATTCAGAAGTAAAGCAATAACAGAACAAGGATTTGCTAAATCTAAAGAAGAATTAGAATTTGCAAAGATTGAAGGTGCAATAATAACAAATGATTTACAAAAAAGATCTTATTACATATTATGGAATAGTTTAAAAGGTGAATTTTTCATAACTGGAATGGGTGAAATTTCATATGAAAGTGTATTACCAGCAACAAATCAACCAAGAAGAGGCTCTTCATTTACTGGATTAAATGACTTAGGTGGGTACAATTTCCAAGATCTTGACATTTTAATAAGTTTAGCCCTTTATAACGCAAGACACAGAAGTTCAAAATTTGAAAATGTTTATTTTTCAACAAATGATACACCAAATGACATTCCTGATCCAGTAATGTATGATTTTTTTATAAATTATTTACCATTCTCATCTTATGCAAGTGATGAACATCATGAAGCCAAAAAGGAAGAAAAAGCTAAAGGTGAAGAAAAAAATAAAATTAATTTAATTAATAATGGGTCTAAACAAGTTGGTGTCTTACCTATGGTTAGAAAATTTGGTACTAATAAAACTGAATTTGAATTGAACTGGTTAAGTAATGGAATGTGGTGTTGGGGTTAAGGCATTTCAATTTTTTATCATCGAAGTCAACTTATAGAATATCAAAATTTATGTAGAATCATATGTAATACAAAACAAAAAAAGATTTATAGACAATTTTAGTTTTATGTTTCATTTGAAACATCTCTTCTTATATACTTTGGTTTCGTCTTTTGTGTAATTTCAATCAAAACAAAAAAAATAAAAACAAAAATATCATTTCTGTTATCAATAGAATAGACTAAAGAAATCAAATTTCAAGAGGGATACTCCTATACCAAACTAAATGAATACTCCAAAAGATGCAAATGGAGGAAACAATATCCCATTTGATAATTTAGTTCATATTGCAAGTAATATGTCAAGTGAATTCAATCAACAATCAAATCAAAATGCATCATTAAATCAACTACAACAACCTCAATCTCAATCGCAATCTCAATCTCCAATACTTCCTCAACCACTATCATATCAGTCACATTACAATGTTCCAAATTCAACCTCCTCACTTTCCAATCAAGATTCTTCCTTCAACAACAACAACTTGAAAAAACATTTTAGTCCCGAATTACAATCAGCATCTTCAACACCACCAACAACCACTAGCCAACAACAACAACAAACCGATTCCAAAACCAAGATTAAACGTATGGCATGTGTAGAATGCAGACAACAAAAGTCTAGATGTGACGCATATGAAAAACAACCAAATCCATGTACAAGATGTGCTAAAAAGGGTTTACAATGTGATTTAAAATCTGATTATAAAAGAACATACAAAAGAGCAAGAATAGCACAGATTGAAAAAGAATTTATGGAGTTGAAAAAGACACTAAACACTGCTCAAGCTGCTGAATTATTATCCAAATTTCCATCGTTAGGTGAATCTCAAAATGATCAAGATGATTTAATTGAGGCTACTTCAAATGGCCAGTCAGCACCTTCACTAAACAATTCATCAGTTCAGCAAACTCTACAGGGCAAAAGACCAATTATTAAACAAGAATTTACAGATCCATTAACAAACAATTTAAAAGTCAAAACACCACTCATAAAAACAATATCAACAACATCGACAACTGAAGATTTTAACATATCAGATGAATTACTCCAATGTGAAGAAAAATCAGTTGAAGAAATCACAGTATCGCCAAACACAATAAAAGAATTATTTAAAGAATATATTTTGCGATATCACCCAATATTACCAGTAGTTGATGTATCAAAAGGACCAGAAAGAATTTATAAACTATGTCCACCATTATTCTGGGTCATTATATTTGTATCATTAAGAAGATTTAAAGAAGATTATTCAAAAACTTTATTATTAAAATTATCACCTATTGTCAAAGGAATATTAGCTGAAATTATGATATCTCCAATAACAAGATATAACCCCACGGAAGAAGATGAACCAATATATAATGTTAGTTCAGTTTATTCAGTTCAAGCTTTCTTACTATATTCATATTGGCCACCAATTACTTCATCATTAAGTGCTGACTCATCATATAATACAGTCAACACCGGGTTTTTCCAAGCTATCAGAATTGGATTACATGCACCTTCATCATTTGTTTCAGGAGTCCCCACATCAACAACAAATCCAAAACAATTGGGTATATTACAAGAACAAATCAAGACTTGGATTGCATCAAATGTTGCGTCTCAATTTATAGCTACTGCATTTGGATTCCCGGCGTGTGTTCAATTAGATTCATCAATATGGTTTTATAATCAACAAACTAGTGGTGATCTCAAAATCCCACAGAATTTAAAATCAATGTTAGAAATAGCTCAGTTCGAAGATCAAATGGCCAAAGCCCTAAATTCAAATCCTATTGATCCATGTGGATTAATCGAAGCACAAGAAAAATTACCTTTGTTGAAACTATTCGCTAAAAAGTTGGAAAATCTAGAGATATCCATTGGTGAACCATCGATTAATAATTCATCAAAATTTAGAATATTTGAATTATTAACTTCAAGAGTTCATTTATTTAGTTATTATTTTATTGATTCTTTTAAAATGTCAAGTTTTGAATTGCAAAAGGGGTTGATAAAGTTGTACAATTCAGCAGTTTCATTAATCAAATATACTAAAGATTGTCAAACTTTTGACAAAAAATTTATAAAATATTTACCTGGTGTTTATTTATTAAACCTTTGGCAAGCTGCATGTATAATTGGTAAATTAATTCATTCACCATTAAAAAAGTTCATTGATATTACTTTGGGAAAATCATGTTATGAAGCAGTTGTTGAATTAAATGCTAAAGCATCAATTTTAAAACATGATATGGCTTTTAGATCAAGTGGTATAACGAGGAATATGTGGCTGCTTTTCAGAAATTTGGATAATAATGATACAAATGCTTTGAGTATTAGTATAAGAAATAGAATGTCAGCTTCAGTGTTTTTTGACTGTTTGAATCTTGTTAGAGAAAAAGCAGGTATTTCTAAATTAAATGCGAACATTGTTAAGGAAACAAATAATGTTGTTGAAGAAGAAGAAGATGAGGAAGAAGATGAAAATAACCAATCTATAGCTCACTCCGAAGAAGAAAAACAAAACGAAGAAGATGATGATCATGAAAATGCAATTTTGGACGAAGAAGATAAGGATCAAGTATCACAAATAAATGATCCAAAATCAACTGAATTCATGAATACACGAAAACTGAAAACTAAAAGATCTTTATCCAATACAGTTGATGCAGAACAAAAAGCAAGACAAATTATAAGAACAATTCCTTTGGATCCAGAACCAATTTCAGCAGGTAATTCTAAAAGAAGCTCAATATTTAAAGTTGTTAATTCATCTTCTGAATCTTCACCAATGACTAAAAGTGATACTAATAACTCACCAACCATTAATAAGAATCCTCAACAACAACAACTTACACCAGTTATTAACAATGTGTTACCTCAAAGATTTGGAGGTGAAAAACAATCGGTAACTGCTAGTCCACAAATGTTTCAACCACAACAGAATATCAACAATGTCAATGAGGTTAATAATAACAATATTCCATACTACCCACCAGGAACAAACCACTTCAATGAACAATTACAATACACACCAACATATCAGCAACCACAACAAATCCCACAACAACATCAACAACATCAACAACATCAATTAGCCGCACAACAACAATTCGAATATAATCCCATGCAACAACAACAACCTCAACAGCAACAACATCAACATCAAAGCACGTCTTCAAATTTTTCATTTAATGAATCACCAGCTGGTCAACTGGGTTTAGAAAGTTTAGATTTAGATCGATTTGATGGTGAATTATTATGGAGAGATGTTGATAGTGTTATGAATGATTTTGGATTTCATCTTAATTAATGTTATAAGCGGTTAGCATAGTTAGCACATATGTAGACTTAAATTGTATCATGATTTACTTCATAATTTAGATTTAATTACGAAGAAAATACATAGTAATTTCTTGGTGACTTGAACTCAAGTTTCTCGCACCTATCAGAATACAGATCCGCCCTAATTTAGTTCTAATTCGTACAAAGCTTTGCGGTAAAGTAGTCTCAAATTAGTGCGGCTATAAATTATGAGTTTAACTTTTTGTGCACACGGAAAGGAATCACTGAACTTCCCCAACAACCGAGTTTTTGAAACTTCTCGAAAACAAACAAAAATTGGTAATGAATTTTCATTTGACAAAAAGTGAATGTAATTTGTATGAGGTAAAACAGCTCATCTTTTATGTAAATTGAGTTTTCAGCTGTTCAAGTGGACAATTTAATTTATAAATTGATATCAATTTCTTGTCGGAACATTAAAGAAAGAGACAGATATTTTAATAGAAATTCTACTTATAGTATTCAATACGTTTTTAAAGTCATTTACAGATAGTCAAGATCAAGACAGAATTTAGTATTTAAGCATTAGCTATATATCATAAATTCATCTATCCAACTTCATAGGGCAGATCAAGTGTCTTTTTTTGCATAATTAATAACATTTTATTTAATATTTAACATTTACTTTTACATCTATTAGAGTAAAAAACAGCTAAACTATAAAAAATGGGTGCATCATCAAGTATACTAAATGATTTTATGGAAGATACAAATTTCAATTTAGAAGAAATAGATAGATTAAGAAAAAGATTTATGAAATTAGATAAAGATAAATCAGGAGAAATAGACAAGAATGAATTTTTATCAATACCAGGAATATCATCAAATCCATTAGCAACAAGATTAATGGATGTATTCGATAAAGATGGAGATGGACAAATAGATTTTCAAGAATTTATTACAGGATTAAGTGCATTCAGTGGTAAATCTTCAAATTTAGATAAATTAAATTTTGCATTTAATATTTATGATATCGATAGAGATGGTTATATTGGTAATGGAGAATTATTTATTGTTATGAAAATGATGGTTGGTAAAAATTTGAAAGATGAAGAATTACAACAAATTGTTGATAAGACTATAATGGAAGCTGATCATGATGGGGATGGGAAATTAAATTTTGAAGAATTTAAAAATGCAGTTGATAATAATACAATTGCAAATACTTTGACTTTGAATATGTTTTAATTCTTTGGATATTGAATTTATATAAAGATAATGAAAGTTACGAATAAATTTTAGTCAATTAAAACATATCTCTAATATTAGTTAATATTAATATCATAATAGCTCTTTGTTTTTCTGTACTACAATATCCTGAAACATCCACCTTTGAAAAGGTGTGTCAATTTTTCGCATAATCAAACTTCATTTGTAAAACAATAAATCGATAAAATTTCATACCATAAAATGATATGAAAGATTTTGATAGAAAGTTACAGAACTTATTAAAATGGATCAATGACGATGATGCTGAAAATGGTCAGAAGACATCAACAATCTCAACATCCTCATTAAATCAATCATATGTTTCACCTGCTTTAAAAGTCAAAGATGTATCTGGATCAGGTAGAGGTATATATACAACCACAAGCTTAAATTCAAATTTTAAAATAATAAAGGTTCCACATAAGTACTTATTAAATTTCAAGACCGTATTGACTCATTTGTCTAAATACATGAATCAACAAAATTCTTCAATTGATGATGATGAAATTACAAAAATTTACAAAGCGTTTACCAGAGATGAGATTTTAAAACTTACTTCATTTCAATTGTTATCATTATATATTACATTGGAAAAGCAGAGAGGTACCAATTCATTCTGGAAGCCGTTTTTGGATTCTTTACCATCTGAGGAAGATTTTTTATATTTACCAATTTATTATCCGGATGATATTTTAAAATTACTACCTTACACAACAAAGCAACATGCATCAAAAGTTAAATCAAGATTTGAAAAAGATTATGAAACAGTCATAAGTCTATTAAGATCCAAGAATGTTGATAACCAAGTGATAACAAAATTAATTCCAAAATCAAAGTTTTTACTATCTTGGTTGAGTATAAACTCTCGTTGTTTATATATGGATTTACCAACAAGTCATACCCCAGAGGATAATTTCACTTTAGCTCCATATATCGATTTTATAAATCATTCAGATAATGAACAATGTGTTATGAAAATTGACCCTTCAGGTTTTCATGTTTCAACTACTACAAATTACAAAGAAGATGATCAAATTTTTTTCAATTATGGACCTCATTCTAATGAATTTTTATTGTGTGAATATGGATTTATTATACCAAATAATAAGTGGGATGACATCAATATATCTAAACAGCTAATTGAAAAGCTATCTAATTTGCAGATTGAATTCTTAAAGGAACAAAATTACTTTGATAATTATACTTTTACAAGCACTGGACTATCATTTAGAACAGAAGTTTGTCTTGCTATATTACAGGAGAAAGACCCAAAGGAATCAAGGAAATTAAGAGCATTAATTAATGGAAATATAGATAGTGAAGTTTACAAGCGAGGAAGTAATCAAATAATGAAATCAATTTTAAATGACATTAGGCAAGAATCAAATTCAAAACAATACCTAGAATTTGCTAACAATGATGATGGGGAAGACAATAAACTACGAAAACAACTAATAGGAACAATATACAAGAATAGATACAATTTAGCTAGTACCTACCTAAATTCAATTGACTAAATACATAACTTCATAATTAACTATAGGTACTCAATAAATTTTTACTTGCTTCTAAATCCAAATTTTTATTCAAATCAAATTTTAAATTAATTAAATTAACAATCATTGAATTAACAATAGTAGTTCTATTAAATTTCCTCCCCAAAAAAGTAATATATCCATTCAAATTATTAATTTCAGTAGTTTTTAAATTTCTAATATCTTGTCTCATTGATGAACTATTTTGTGATGTTAATTTACAACAATCTATAACAACTTCCAATAACCGATCTTCATTTAAAAATGATGATGATTCGAAAATGTTTTCCAATTGTGTTGAATATTCTAATTTTAATATATCTATACTTTCTTTAATTATTGATTTCCAAATATTTAATATTTCATTTGAATATAAAAGATCTCCATTTCTTACATTATATAATGCAGTTATTGGATTTATACAACAATTTATAATTAATTTTTCAATTTGATATAATAAAAATTGATTATAATTTAAATAACTCGTATTTAAATTTGAGGTTTCTATAATTGATTGAATTAATGGTGGTAAATTACCTTCTTCAATATTTGAGCTATTACTGATCAATAATTTCCCTCTTGATGCATGATTTATAATTTGTTTATCATCAATGAAAACTCCATGAGTAGTTATACCTTCGAAAATACTAGGTAATGATGATTCATTTTTCCAATACCTATTTATTAAATTTTGTTTCATCCCCATTCCATTTTGTAGAATCAATATCTTAGAGTTTGATGTGATTTTATTTAAGAATGGTTTTATAGCTGATTCAGTTTGATATGATTTTGTTGTAATTATTAAATTTTCAATTTCTTCTGAACTGTTGTGTTTTTCGAAATTTTTTGGTTTAACAAATTCTAAATCTATTGATGATAATTCATTTTCTGGATCATATAATCTATTTAATTTTATATTTGTTGTATTCTTTGATAGTGATGAATTTGATGATTGTATAACTTTATTAGGACGTAGTAATAGTATGGGTGAAATTTGATCTTTATATTGTTGTTTCAAATCATGTGCTATAAGCGAACCTATTGAACCAGCCCCTAGTATATGTACCTTTAGTTTATCACCTACTTGTGATTGTAGTATTCTTGACATCTGGTTATGTAGAAATAGTTGCAAAATTAATTTTTCAATTTTTTATACACAACTAAGACTGCGTTTAACTATATAAATAATATTACCATATTTGAAAACTATTACTTTCTTATCTTATCTACACAATAATATACTAAACTAGAATTTCCAATTGACAGTGATACTTCAAATCATCCAAACTAGAAAATGCTTATAGTAGGTTTGACAGGAGGTATAGCATGTGGAAAATCAACAGTATCAAAAGAATTACAAACTAAATATAATTTAAAAATAATTGATGCAGATTTAATTGCAAAAGAAGTTGTTGAACCTAAAAAACCAGCTTATAATAAGATACTACAAGAATTTCAATCTCAAATCCCTAATTTGGTGAATGAAGATGAATCATTAAATCGTGGAGCTTTGGGTACATATGTATTTGAAAACAAATCGGAGTTAAAGAAATTAAATTCAATAATTCATCCAGCTGTAAAATGGGAAATTATAAAACAAATTGCACAATCATATTTCAAACTCAACTCAATGGTAATATTAGACGTTCCATTACTTTTTGAATCTGGATTATATTTAATTTGTGGTAGTATAATAACAGTATCAATTTCACCATCAACTTTACAAATTGATAGATTATTAGAAAGAAATCCAGAATTGACGGAATTGGATGCACAAAATAGAATTAAAAATCAAATGTCAATGAATGAAAGAAATTATAGAAGTGATTATGTACTAGATAATTCTGGTTCACTAAAGGACTTACAACTTCTGATCAAAAAATTGATAACTAAAAGAAAACCAAATTTTGCACTGACTTTAATTGAATGGATACCTCCTTTTGGGGTATTATCTGCATTACTTGTATTTATCACGAGACGAATAGTTGAGAAATATAAAGGCAAAAAACCAAAACAAGAGTAGAGAGCATAAATAGATATAAACGAATAAATGAATAATGTAATGTGACGATATTAAATTTATTGATTTTGACGTACACCACTAACTATATCATCAACTCTAAGTAATAAACAAGCACTTTCAATAGCAGTTTTAATAGATTGTTGTTTAATAACTTCTGGTTCCCAGATACCATATTCATTCATATCAACAACTTTACCATTTTCTCCATCAATACCATAAGTATAATGCCCTGAAGCTTGTTTTGCTCTTAATTGTGATAAAATTTTAATTGGATTACCACCACAATTTTGTATAAGAGTTCTTGGAATAACTTCAAAAGCATCAGCAACTGCTTGATATGGATATTGTTCTATTCCTTTTATTGTTTTAGCCTTTTCTGATAATTTAACACTACATGCCATTTCAGTAGCTCCACCACCAGGACTTAATGATGGTTCAAACATAACATTTCTTGTCACTGCCATTGCATCATGTAAATTTCTTTCAATTTCATTCAATATATCTTTACTTGCACCTCTTAAAATTATTGTACAAGCTTGAGGATTTTTACATTTTGTTAAAAATGCAAAATATTCATCACCAATTAATTCAACTTTAAATTCACCACATTTTGTACCAACATCTGATTCTTTTAAATCTTCAACTCTATTTACAATTGTTGCCCCCGTTGCTCTTGCAATTCTATTATTATCTGATTTTTTAACTCTTCTTAATGCTGAAACTCCACCTTTTAAAAGATAATGTTGAGCTAAATCACTTACTCCCTTTTCCGTTATAACTAGATCTGGTTTAAATTCCAAAAGTTGGTCACATAATAATTTAACTTGTTCTTCTTCAATTTGTAAAATTCTATTCCAATCTTCTTCTTTTGTAATTTCTATATTTGTTTGAGATTCTCCCTTTTTATATTCTAATGGACAATCCAACAAAATAATTCTTGGATTTTCAATATTTCTTTTCATTTTTGGATGAACAACATCTTTATTTAATAATATACCATCTAATACTTCTGAATCAGTAACTTCTCCACCTGGAATTTTTTCAATTCTAACATATCTCTTGACATCAATTTCTTTATAATCTCCCTTTTCAATCATAACTGTTCTAACGGCTTTTAAACTTAATTCACACATTTTAGTTGACCATTTATTTATATATTTTGTACCTATGGAAGCTTGAATTAATTTCAACATTGCTTGATCATTATTTATATCAACTGGTTTAGAAACTTCATGTATAACTTCCAAAGCATCTTTTAATGCTTCTTTTAAAGCTTTTATTATTATAACTGGATGTATATTTTTTTCAATATATGGGAAAGTTTGTGCTAATATTTCTCCTGCTAATATTATAACTGTTGTTGTACCATCTCCAACTTCTTCATCTTGAGTTCTTGATAATTCAATCATTGATTTTGCAGCTGGATGTGATACATCAATTTCTCTTAATATAGCATGTCCATCATTTGTTAATACAATCCCTCCCATTGGATCTAATAACATCTTTAACATTGCTTTTGGTCCTAAACATGTCCTTATAATATCTGCAACTGCTTTTGCTGCAGTTATATTGGCAACTTGTGCTTGTCTACCAGTTTGTCTTTGAGTTGAAGTATTTAAATAAACGACTGGAGCTTGCATTGTGGTGATGACGACTGATTCTCAATTGATAATTAAACAAAACAATTTCCTTCTAGTTATTGTTTTTAACTATAGATCAATGATGAAATGTATTAAAAATTGTACGAAATTTTTTTATTTTTTATTCCATCAAATTCTTTTAATACACGCGAATGTTTAATACAGGGACAGTAGACTAGATATTAAAATTAATAGTACAATTGGAAAGGTATCAAAGATAAGAATAATACAACAGTCAAATGGAAACTGATGATTATATTAATACTAATTTTACAAATATTGATGATTTAAACAACTTAGATTCAAAATTACAACAATTAAATCAATTGGTAACCCGGATCAATCAAGTTGCAACAAATAAATTATCAAATAATACTGGAGAGATACAGAATAATCAACAAGTTGAGGAACCGAAAGTAGATGAGAGTCAATTGAGTAGCACGATTGATTTAATTGAAACACAATTAAGAGAAATAGCTGAATCTAATGATTTAAATACAAATATTTTCAAAATTGATCAATTGATTCAAGAATATGGTTCATACCACAAATTCATTATACTAAAAAGCAAACTACAAAATAAATTACAAATTCAAAATGAAATAGAACATTTAACAAAAGTGTCAAACATTGAGAAACAATTATTATCAAACAACCTATCAGTGAAGCATTTAATTGAAATTAACAATCGTTCTGTAGAACTAAATGATTACTACTTAAACAATGTTGTTGATGAACAGATAGATAAACTAAGATTGAAACTACAAACTAATTTAAAAGATGTCATTCAGAAAAACAAGTGGTTAAACAACGATACAGTATCAAATGCAGTATTAACTTCAATAACCAGTCTATTCAGCGAGTTGATTCAATTACAATCTATTAAAAACATACCAGATTATCCAAATACATGGTGGGGATTAGAAACTTTATTGGATCCAATTATACTAAAATTCAATTATCATTTCGATACTCCAAAAAAAGATACAAATAAATTATCAAAACCTGAATGGTGTTTACAATATATTGAAACTTTTTTAGATGATAATTTATCATTGATTAATATAATAGTTGATCCAAGTTTTAGAATATTAAACAAAATTGGAACTTATGAGAATATAACTTGTTTGTTGATACCCATTAGAACTAAAATTAATAAGATGATTCAAATAATAAATAAAAATATTAATGAAGTAAACACTAATGATAATGCAACTATTGAAAAATATGGTAGATTATTGACTCATTTAATATATGAAGTATCATCATTTGATCAAAGATTAAGAAATAAATATAAATACAATCCAAACGTTACGAACTATAATGAAACAACCAATTTAAAATGGACTGGTATAGCAGGAGATATATTTTTAGATAATGAAAACAAAGCATTTGAAAATTGGTTGAATTTTGAAAACAAATTAGCAATAAAAAGATATCAAAATGAAATCATAAATAAAGAAGATTCTTTTAAAATAGATTATGATTATCATACTACGTCTAATAAATTAATACTAAAACCTACATACTCATCATACGGATTTATAAAATTAATGAATAATTTAAATAGTCATTTACAACAAATTAGAGTATTCAAATTTAATATGAAATATATTAGTAAAATTCAATTAAATTTATTAGATCTTTATTTAAATGAAATAAATAAACAATTTAAAATGGTCAATGACAAATTAAATATAAAAAATGTATTAAACATTATCCCAGGTGGTATAAGTGATGATAAATCAAATAAAACAACAACTAACCAAGAATCAGAAAGTTTGAAAAATTTAGAAAACTTACTAGAAGTTTATTGTTCAACGAAATACGCAATTAATCAAATGGAACAATGGAGTGAAGAATTTTTATTTATACAATTATGGGATAAATATAAATCATTAAATAAGGAAGCTAAAGTTCAAGAAGTAAGAGATTACTATTACAACAATAATAATGCAGATGATCAAGATGATGGGATTTTTGGATCTTTTATTATTGATTATGAAAAATTATTAATTAAAACTACTAATCAAATTAAAAAGGAATTATTGACTTTAAGAGATTTGAAATTGGAATTAATTTCGAAATCTGTTTCTAATTTAGATTATCTAACATTTACAAATTCTATATAGAAAAAGAACAGAAGTATAAGTTGATAATTGAGAAAGGTATAGTCTTATTTTAACCCTCTAAATTAATTTCCTTCTTTTTTCAAGAAATCTGCCATTACCGGTTTTTTAAAGTTGGGTAATTATGTTGAAAATCAACATATTTTAAAAAGTTTTAACTATTCATATTTTCTATACACCTAAGATCTATTGATAATTTGAAGGATATTTAAAATCATTTAATTCATAAAAATTTTCTTTTATAGCTCTAATAGAAACAAATCTAGATAAAATATTTCCAGAACCAGCTTTATCATTTGTTCCTGAAGCTCTAGCACCACCAAACCATTGTTGTCCAACAACTGCCCCTGTTGATTTATCATTTATATAAAAATTACCAGCTGAATATCTTAATTTTTCTTCAACTTTACGAATTATTGACCGATCTTTTGCAAATATTGAACCAGTTAATCCATATTTTGTTATAGAATCTATTGAATCCATTATTTGATCAAATTTTGAATCTGGATAAACGTATGCTGTTAATATTGGACCAAAAAATTCTTTTGTTAAATATTCATGATTTGGATTTGTTGTTTTAATTAATGTTGGTTGAATATAATAACCATTTGTTGAATCGTATGAACCACCACTTATTATTTCTAATTCTGGATCTTGTTTAGCTTGATCAATTGCTGTTTTTAATTTATTAAAAGATTGTTCATGAATAACTGGTCCCATAAAAGAATTAATAGTTTGTGATTCAGTTGTATTTCCAATAGTTATTGTTGACATTTGAGAACTTAATTTTTCAGAAAATTCAGGCCACATTGATTCTGGAACGTATACTCTTGAAGTAGCTGAACATTTTTGTCCTTGATATTCAAAAGCACCTCTTAATGTAGATAATACTGAATGTTTTAAATTAGCTGAATTATGAATTAAATGGAAATTTTTCCCACCAGTTTCACCAACAATTCTTGGGAAATCCCTGTAAACATCATTTGAAACATTATCACTTATTTGTTTATATAATTTTTTAAAAACATCTGTTGACCCAGTGAAATGTAAACTTGAAAAATCTTTATCGTTTAAAACAATATCAGTAACTTGTACTGGATCACCAGGAATAAAATTTATAACACCTTTAGGTAAACCAGCTTCTTCTAATATAGTTAATAATAAATAATTAGATAATGCAGCAGTTGCAGAAGGTTTCCAAACAACAGTATTACCCATTAAAGCAGGTGCACCAACTAAATTAGCAGCAATAGCAGTAAAATTAAAAGGAGTAACAGCATATACAAAACCTTCTAAAGGTCTATATTCAGCTCTATTCCAAACACCAGGTGAAGTTTGTAAAGGTTGTTGACTATACATTTCTTCAGCATATTTAACATTAAATTTAAAAAAATCAATTAATTCAGCAACACAATCTATTTCTGCTTGATAAACATTTTTACCTTGACCTAACATTGTTGCAGCTAACATATCATATCTATATTTTGTTGAAATTAAATCAGCAGCTTTCAAAAAAATAGCAGCTCTATCAATCCATGAAGTTTGTGACCAAGTTAATTTTGCATTTTTAGCTGATTGTATAGCATTTTGAATATCTTCAGTTGATGCTTGTGATACATTAGCTAATATTTGTGAATGATTTGCTGGATTTAATTGTGGTTTTATTTCTGTATCTTTATAAATTTTTTCACCATTTATAATTAATGGAATTGCTAATGGTTCATTATCAGTATCAGTAAATCTTGTTAATGAAGCTTTTAATAAATCCCAATCTTTTACATCATTAAAACTAAAATCTTTAACTGGTTCATTTGTTAAATTTGGAGGAGTTTTAATTGTTGATAATTGTGATATACATCTTATATTTTGTTTAATATTTGGTTTTATAGTATTAATTGTTGATCTAGGTATAAATTTTGAAGATTGTAAAGTTGTTCTCAATCTTAATGTATTACGAGTAGTTGATCTTAACATTCTTGAATATATATAATTGACTTTAAAGACAGACTTGATAAAAAAGAAAAGATAGAATTCAAAACTGAAAATTTTTACTTTGAAATTTATATAAATTTTACTACATTCAATAAAAGTCGATAATTCTGATTTACGGGGTTTCAGATTTGTGTAACCAAAAGTTGAAATATTATTTTTATTCTTCATCTCTTGAGATTTTTGAATGGAAAACACAAGCGAGCTTATCATATTTACTAAATTGGAAAGGTTTAGCTTAACCATATATTATTCATTACTTATTAAAATATATCCTCTTTTATCTTATCTACTTATTTATCTTGTAGTTCTTAATTCTTTCATTTAATTCTAAAATTCTATTATTTACATTTTCCAGATTATTATTAAAATTTTCAATTGTAAGATTAAGTTTAGAATTCAAATTAATTATTGATTCATCCCATTTAATAAAATCCTTGTTTATATTATTGAAAATTTCATTTAAATTTGATGTTAAATTAATTGATTCATTCATTTCATTATGTAAATTATTTAAATTTTTAATTCTTTTTAATATAATTGGTATATTAACTATTGTATTTTCTAAATTTGGTAATATTTTATAGATTTCATTGATTTTTTCATACTTGTTAATATTATTTATTTCATCACTTTCATTATAATTATCATTTGTTGGATCTAATCCATATATTTTTTTATTTAATTCTAATTTATTAATTTCTTTTGTTAATTTTTCAACTTTGGTTATTATTGAATTTGAATTGTAATCTGAATGTTCTAGTATATCTAACTTTCTTTCTAAATCATTTATATTTAATTGAAATGTGGTAGTTTCATTTTCATTTTCATTTTTAATTCCTGATCCAATTTTTGATTCTAGTTCATTTAATTTATTCTCTATGCTACTTAATTGTTTAATGTTTCTTTCATTTAGTTCTATTGGTTTGGATTGGAAATGTAGAAGTTCTCGAATATTAATTGATTCTGGGTCTATTATTTCATCTAGTTGACTCTTTTTTTTACTATTTATCTCCAATTCTTTTGTTTCTTCAATTAATTCATCAACATTAATGTCTTGATTCTGCCGTATTTCTTCCAATTCTCTTTTAATTCTAGCTAGCTTTTCATCAATAGTTTCTTCTTTTTCATTATCTATAATTTGATAACCCATAGAATTTATAACATTTCCTGAAAAATCAAATTTGTTATTATTTATTATATGAAATTTATTAAATTGTATTGTTTTTTCATCAAAATTTATATTTTCAAATTCATCATTTTGTTGTGTAGTGGTAGTATCGTTATCTTCATGATCTGATGATTCAAATATTTCTTGAGTTGATGTATCTATATCTGGTAAATCTTTAAATTTATTCATTTCATTGAATAATCATTTATTGATGTGAACATGAAATAATTGATTTATTTTACGCGTTTTCTTTGCAGCCAAAAATTATTTGATAATTTTGATTTAACAACCAATACAAGTTGAAAGTTCACTACGTTATTGAAGTCTTGATCGTTTCATTAAACATATCTTTAAATTATTTACATAATCTATTTAACGAAATATACTATTTAGTAACAATTTGAACAACATCTTCATCATGAACAGGATGATTTAATCCACATTTTTGAGGAGAATGTTTAGCACTTGAACCCCATACTAATGCATATTTAAATTGATTTTTCATTTCTCTATGAATAGAATCACATACTTCTAAAATTGTACTTTTATTTCTAACAACCATTGGATCATCAAATTTAGGTAAGATACCTCTTCTTTTTGTATATAATCTTAATAAATCTAATTGTCTCCAAATTTCTTCTTTTAAATCATTTATTCCTAAATCTAATTCACATGATATTACTGTTGTATTTGGTAATCTTGCTAATCTATCACATTCTTCTAAACTTACTGAATCTATTTTATTATATACATAAAGACATTTTATGTAAGTTATATGTTGTTCATTTATAACATCAATAAAATCATCTATTGTTACATTTTCATCTTTTATTAATACATGAGCATTTAATATTTTATAATCTTTTAATAATGCAGTTACTATTTTTTCATCAAGATATTTTGGTGGTATTATTGAATTCATTTTAACTCCACCTGTTTTTTTGTATGTGATTGTTACATTTGGTCTTATTTTATTTAATCTTATCCCCATTGATTCTAATTCATTTTCTAATATAGTTCTTTGATCTTCAGATTTAGTTGCATCTAAAACCATTAAAATTAAATCAGAAGTTCTTGAAACTGCAATAACTTGTCTACCTCTACCTTTCCCTTGTGATGCAGCTTTTATAATACCAGGTAAATCAACAATTTGTACTTCTGCTCCATTATATTCTAAAATCCCACCAACTGAAGTTAATGTTGTAAATTCATAATTTGCAGCTTCTGATTTAGTATTTGTAACTTTTGATAAAAATGATGATTTACCAACTGATGGGAAACCAATTAATGAAACTCGAGCATCTCCGGCTTTTGCAACTTCAAATCCTTGACCTCCACCTCCTGAACCTTGTCCTGGTTGTGGTTCTAATAATTCTCTTCTATATCTAGCTAATTTACCTTTTAATAAACCTATATGATATTCTGTTGCTTTGTTTTTTTGAGTTCTTGCTAATTCTTCTTGAATTTGTGCTATTTTCTCTAGTATTCCCATAATTGAACAGTTATTTATATGAAAACTTATGCTTTCTATGACTTGATGGTTGTTGGTTTGAACTTTTAAGTTGATGATATTTAAGTAAATAAAATTGTTTTGTGTCAATTGATATTTTAAAGAGAAAAATTAAATAGAAGAAGACCATCTTGAAATTTATATTCATTCTCAATTAAGAAACAAATTGATCCAAAAATTAAGTCAATAACTTAAACCAAAAAGATTTCACTGCCTTATCCAACCGAATCCGGCCATCATTAAAACAAAACCACCTTTACAAAAGATGCCCAAGACACAACCAAATAAAAAATATATCAAAAAAAACTCAAATAATAATAATCCAATAGAAGTATCAAAAGTAATAAATACAGGTTCATCTTCAAAATTAAAAAAAAAAATAAGAGATATAGAAAGACTTCTTAAAAAATCCTCAGAACCAAATTCAAAATCAAAATTACCAGCAAATAAAAAAATTGAATATGAAAGAGCATTAAAAGGTTTAAACATTGAATTACAACAATCACAATTTAATATAAAACAAAAAACAAATGCAACAAAATATCATATGGTTAGATTTTTTGAAAAAAAAAAAGCTATACGTAAATTAAAACAATTAAGATCTCAATTTAAAGAAATTGAAAAAACTGGAATTAAAAAAGATATAAAAAAGGTAAGAAAACAATTACGACATGGAGAAATTGATTTATTATATATTGTTTTATTTCCAAAATCTGAAAAATATATTTCTTTATATCCTAGTTCAAATAATGAAAATTTAAATGATCCAAATGTGAAAGCAGGCCTCAAGAAGACAGAAGCAAGAAGATCGGAATTTAAAAAACAAGTTGAATCAATGCTTAAGGAAAATAAATTAGATTTTACAATTGATGATATATTACAAAATAAAAAACAAATTAAAACTCTTGAAATTATTAAACCAACTAAAGAAATCGACGCACCAGAGACAAAAGAAGAAAATAAGGAAGAAGAAGAAGATGATTTCTTTGAATAACTTTTCAAAAATTTATAATAATGTATATACTTTACTATATTTTATATCCATTCCATCATTAATACAAGTAATTGTAACTTCTTTACCAAATAATTCATCAGGTACTTCTAATTCACAAGATACAATACCTTTTTTATTAACCAATCTTGGTGATGCTCTTTTCAATAATAACAATTCTTTTTCATCATGTATTATAATAAACCAAGATTCTCTTTGTGGTTTAGGGAAATTTGGACAATATACTTTAAATTCATCATTTAATGGATAATTATTATGTAAAATTTCAACTTTAATTGATTCTTGTTTATCTTGTTTAATTTTAAATTCTCCTGTTGGTAAATGAGATGCAATTTTAATAAATTCTTTTTGATTTTGTTCAGGTATATCAAATTTTTCAATAAATTTATATAATTGACCGGTTTTTAATTCACCTAATTGATTTAATGTTAATTTATATGGACTATCTTGTTTTGTAACAATATTTAATCCAGGTAATGCCGAGATTGGATCATCATCATACCATATTCTTTGTTTAATACATTGCATTAATTCAATAAATGACAAGACAGCCTTATAATAACCCATTTCAGCAGCACCATCAATGAAAGCTTGTAATATACGTAATGATTGATCCAACACAGAAACAGTATCTTGAGAATAATCAGCAATTGGTAATTCAATTCTACTAATAAATGCTTGAATTAATAAATATGCTTTAACATGAGGATCCCAAATAAATTCACATTCTAAATCATTAGCAGAATATCTCATAGCTAAAGATAATTCTAAATTTATAAGTTCTTCTCCATGACGTGTTGCTAATTCATTATATTCAGTAGCTTCACAAAGCAATTGTAAACAATTTCTGAATTCAAAATTGGGGTTTATCTTGTTAACAAAATTTCTCATTGTCAAATGAGATAAATAATAATATGAAGAAATATGTAAAAATGGAGTAGCTATCAATTCATCACCTTTAGTATGAACACATTTCGATTCAATTAAACTATCAATAGTTGTATCAATTAAACCTGCCAAATATTTTGAAATTCCATATTCAGAAACATCTTCAATTCCATAATATGTTGGATTATTATGTGCTCTTCTATACAAAAAAGTCCAAGTTAAAAAATCCATAGCTTCTTGTCTTGTAGTTATAGTACCTGATGAAATTTCTGCACCAATATGATTATCTAAAACTTTATGTAATGAAGATTCAACAGGGAATCCTAAATTTAAAAAATGTTTATAAAATATCTTTTTGGATTCCTTTGTATAAACTATTGCAATACCACTAGTATCAAAAGCTGGTCTACCTGCTCTACCCATCATTTGTAAAATATCAGTTAAATCCATATCTCTATATCCTTCAATTTTAGCATCGAAAAATTGTGTACCTTTTATTATTACTAAATGTGCAGGTAAATTAACTCCCCAAGCTAATGTTGAAGTTGCAATTAATACTTGAATTTTACCTTGTTCAAATAATTTATGTGATATTGATCTATCTGATTCGACTAAACCTGCATGATGTAATCCCATACCAAATTGTAAAGATAATTTTAAAGTTTCATCTTTAACTTTATTTAAAACATCTTCTAATTCAAATTCATCCATCTTTAGGAAGCGTCTTGGATCAGATTCCATACCACATAAATGTATTAAATCTAAAGCAGTTAATCTAGTTTGTCTTCTTGAAGCTACAAAAATTAAAACTGGTTTTGTAGGTGAATGTTGTTTAATAGCCATAAAAGCAGGTTTATTCATTGTTTTCATTAATGGACAAAATGCTAAATTATCAGGAAACCCATCAATATACATTTGTAATGGCACTGGTCTAACAGATTGAGGAAAATTAAATAATCCATTTTTAACACCTAACCAACCAGCCATATCAAAAGCATTTGAAACTGCAGTAGACATACCTAATAATCTAATTGGTTTTTTGGTTTGTGATGATATATAATTCATTCTACTAACAATCATTTCTAAAATTGGACCTCTATCACTTGCTAACAAATGAATTTCATCCATAATTACTAATGATACTTGTTGAACAAATTTACGAGTTTGCCAATTACGTGATATACCATCGAATTTTTCAGGTGTTGTGATTATTATATCAGCTTCTTTAACTTCATGAATACTTGGTAATGAATCACCAGTTAATTCAACTAATTTATGATTTGTATTTGCACAAATTCTTTTCTTCCAATCATCTACTCTTTCCCTAACTAATGCTTTCATTGGAGCAATATAAACTATTTTTGAACCCGGGAATTGATTAAAAGCATGCCATATTGCTAATTCTGCCACTACTGTTTTACCTGAACCTGTAGGTGATCCAACAAATGAACTTTCATTAGTATTATATAATGAATGGAAAATCATTGTTTGCATCGGATTGAAATATTTAAATTTTGATGAATATATTTTTTCAATTTCTTTATTGTGTAAAGCTTCAACTGGTAATGGTTGTAATCGTAACAATTCAGTTTTCATAGTTTCATTTTGTGGTCTAATAAGGTGTTGAAAAGATACTGCATGAACAGTTTCACATCCAATCCATAAATCGGATACTAATTTAACAATAACTTGTGGTGGTAATGGATCACTTAATGGGATCATAAAATCTAATTCATGAGGATTATTTAATTGTCTCTTATTTAAGATAAATTTTTCAACATGTAAAATATTCAGTTTATCTGATTCTTCAACTGTTAACCAAAATATTTGTGCTTGTCCATGATACCTTTCATCCCAAACAAAATCAGGTGTTAAATTAATATGAATTCTCATTACGTTAGTCATGATAGGAAAAATTTCAGAATCAATTTCAATATAGGGGAATTTACCAATTAATTTATATAATGTTGAACCCATCAGTTTATTATGAACTAAATCTCCTAATTCTCCAGCACTCATATCTCTTAAAGTTTCCATTGATGGATTTTTCCCCTTTATATTTCTTAAAATAGGTTCTGGTAAATCAAATTGACTCATTGGATGTTCAAATGACCAAATTCTTTTATCTATTGATTTACATAATGATAACATAATTTCCATTAATTTCCCCCATTTACGATTCATTGCAATTAAAAATAATGCTCTACAAATTCTTGCTGAATTTTGAGCTACATAATTCGAATCAGAAACTAATGCTGATTCTTTAATATTAGCTTGTGATATAAATGCTTGTAATAAGATATTTGTCTTTCCAGGTGGTGAATCAACATCTGCTGCAATTTGACAAGGTGAATCATCTTCAAGTAATTGTTTCAATTCTTTTGCTTCTTCTTCTCTAAACTTTATTGAATCAAATTCACTACTCATACTTATCATTGATAAAATATCAGCTTCTGTAGCTAATGGATTCACCATTTGATTAAAAATTTCAACTGAATTAGTAAGTAAATAAAAATCTGATGCTATTCTACCTAAATCTTTAGGCACTAAAGTACCAGTTTCTTCATCAAATATAATCATTTGTAATAAATGTAATCTTTTAGCACACAGTACAATCATTTCTCTTCTTCTATTAACTAAAGTTGGATCTTCTTGAATTTCTTGCCATGACATAGCATAAGCAAATGGATTTTTTTTCATTCTAGTAATCATATAAGTATAACCTAACCATTGAACACCTTCATCTACATTAGTTACAGTACCTAATGAAATTTCTGCATTTAAATTGTCAATTAATTTTTCCTTAAGTTTTGATTCAATTGGATGTTGTTGAGTAAGTAATGAAATATAATGATCCATTCTATCACTTGTAGTACATAATATACCAACACCAAATTTTTCATATTGTGGTCTACCTGCTCTACCAAAAATTTGAATAACATCTGATATACCTAAATCAGTAAATCCACCTGCTTTTGAGTTATAAACTTGAGTTCCTTTCACTATGACCACAGCCGCAGGTAAATTGACACCCCAAGCTAATGTTGATGTACAACATAATACTTTAATTGCTCCTGATTCAAACATTTTCTCCGTTAGGTTTCTATCACTACGTAACATACCAGCATGATGAGTACCAAAACCATGTGGAAACAACTCTCTTAACTCCTTAGATCTATTCTTTTGTGATGCTTCTCTTTTAAATTTTTCATAAGATGGATTTTCTGAACAATCAAATAAATCTAATTCATTATGATCTTGAGCCATTTGTATAAAAGTTCTTGCTGTTTTAACTGTTTCTTTACGTGAATGAACAAATACCATAATTTGTAGTCCTTGATCTAAATATTCAGATAATTTTGCATATGATACTTTATCTAAATTTTCTCTTGCTGTTTTGGAACCAGTTTTACCTCTAACACCTAAAATTTGTTGTTGTAAAGGTATTGGTCTAAATGATTGATCAAAATAAAACATCCCCACATTTCTATTAACACCTAAAAAATCAGCAACATCCATATAATTTGGTAAAGTAGCAGATAATCCAACAACTCTAATCATCAGTTGAGTACTTTCAACTTGTCTTAAAGTTCTAGCAACCAATGTTTCAATAACTGACCCTCTATCTTCATGTAAAAGATGAACTTCATCAATAATTAATAATTTAACTTTTGAAACTAATTCACTATCACCATTCAGTTTCCTAGTTACAACATCCCATTTTTCAGGTGTAGTTACAATAATTTGAGTTTCAGTAATTTCTTTTCTTGTCATTTGCATATCACCAGTTAATTCTCGAACTTTTATACCTAACCATTGTAATTTTTTTGAATATTTTTCAACAATTTCTGCTGCTAAAGCTTTTAATGGTGCAACATAAATTATTTTAAATTCATCATAATCTATATCTATAGTGACGTCATTATCTTCATTGACAGTTTCTGTTACAAATTGTTGTATTGTATGTAAAATTGTTAATAATGCGACATCTGTTTTACCTGCACCTGTGGGTGCACATACCAACAAATTTTCATTAGTATTATATGCTACAGGGTATACTAAACTTTGCATTTTATTTAAAGTTTTATAGTTTTTGAAAGTACCTTGACATAGAAAATCCATATCTTTTAATTTTATTAAATGATTTGAAGTGGTCCATTTATTTGGCAGCTCTTCAGGGTACGGTATAATTAATTCTTCATTTAATGGATATGAATTTCTTGTAGTTCCTTTTGGTAATGTAAATTTCCCACCGGTTACTGCTGCTAAATTTATAGTATCTTGATTTTTATAAACATGAGCATATCTTTGATTTACTGACTTCAGTAGTATATCTTGATTTTTGGTTTTATTTCTATTATCTATAATTAATTGAGCCCTCTCTTGAGCTGATAATAATCCATTAGTTTGATTAAAAACTTGTTTATTTTGTATTATATTTGATATTAAATCAATTTCTTCAAATCCCAAGATATCAAATAATGAAGATTGTAATTGTTCATCACCAGTTGAATGTGATACTAAATTTTTCACCAATGTTAAAATTTCATCTTCATCTTGACCTCTAGCTAAACTTACTCTTGAACATTCCTTTTCCAAATTCTTTAGTATATGATCATCTTTATCTTGATTTGTGACAATGTTTGACAAGGAATCAATATGAATATCATTAAATTTCGGTAGTATCTTATCAATTGGAGTAAATTTAGCATTTTCATTATCAATATTTATTAATTTTTGATTTGATTCTTGTAATTGAGACCATTTATTCATTGCTTCAACCATTGGTTGCATAGCTTGCATATATGATCCCGTTGAGGATATGTTATAGCTTGACATAATTCTTTAATAGTTGAATAAATAAATTTAACTTAATTCAATCTTATATCATTTTGTTGATATATATATTTTGAAATAATTAATGGCAATATTCAAATCTTTTTATAAATTTATATTTTTTCAGTATGCCTTTTTATATTTTTGTGTAATAAATTAATTATGAGATATTGCAAAATTGCAAAAAAATGTAAATAGTAAATAAACATGAGTAATCTCTGTCTAGTATAGTCTTTTTGTTAATTTCTAAACGCTCAATATTTAAATAGAACTCCATACTTGTTGTATGAAGCATGGTTCAAGTCAGCTCAGTAATTCATCAATGAAAATTCGCATATTTAATAGAATTTAACAGTCATCTTGACTCAATTTTAATCCTTGCTTCATTAAATTTTAAATTTCTTGCTGCCTTATTAATCGTCATTCTGGTACGTTTTCTACTATTTTAACGTCTTCTTCATCATATTGATTCAAGGTCAATATAATTTTATTATTGATTGATTTCATAGTTTGCCAACTTACACGACTGGGGATTTTCTTTCACTTAAACAAAAAAAATAATAAATTTATTTCTTTACAATAAGAGAGATGAGAAATTATATATGAGAAGAGTTTCAGAATTTACAATTTAATAATTATCAATTTATAACAATTCCAACCTACACAACTTCAAATTATATAATGGCTAAAAGTTCATCTAGTCAGAAACCATCCAAGGTAATTTCAAAAAAAAGATCAAGAGACGAAAGTGATATAGAAGAAGAAGATACAGATAAAATAATAAATGAATTAGATGATGAATTTGAAGAAGTTGCAGAATTATTAGGTAATAATATTCAAGATCCAGAAATAGAAACTAAAAAGGATAAAAAACAAAAAAAAGATGAAAAGCGATTACAAGAATTAACAAAACCTAAAATATCGGAAACTGTTGAAATTACAAACAATCAAGAAGAAGAAGATGGAGATGGAGATAATTACCTTTTTGAAAAAGCTGAATTTTCAGAACCTACAATGAAAGCAATTAATGAAATGGGGTTCAAAAAAATGACTAAAGTACAAGCTAAAACAATTCCACCATTATTAGCTGGAAGAGATGTTTTAGGAGCAGCCAAAACAGGATCAGGTAAAACATTAGCATTTTTAATCCCAGCTATTGAATTATTATATTCTTTAAAAATAAAACCAAGAAATGGTACAACAGTAATAATAATAACTCCAACAAGAGAATTAGCACTACAGATATTTGGAGTTGCTAGACAACTAATGGAATATCATTCACAAACTTGTGGTATAGTTATTGGAGGAGCTGATAGAAGACAAGAAGCAACAAAATTAGCAAAAGGTGTTAATTTATTAGTTGCAACACCGGGAAGATTATTAGATCATTTAAAAAATACACCTGGATTTATTTTCAGTAACCTAAAGGCATTAATTATAGATGAAGCTGATAGAATTTTAGAAATTGGATTTGAAGAAGAAATGAAACAAATTATAAAAATATTACCTAATGAAGATAGACAAACAATGTTATTTTCAGCTACACAAACTACAAAAGTTGAAGATTTAGCTCGTATATCATTAAGACCTGGTCCACTTTATATAAATGTTGTACCTGAAAAAGATGTATCAACAGCAGATGGATTAGAACAAGGTTATGTTGTATGTGATTCCGACAAGAGATTTCTTTTACTTTTTTCATTCCTTAAAAGAAATATCAAAAAAAAAATTATTGTATTTTTATCATCATGTAATAGTGTTAAATTTTACAGTGAATTATTAAATTATATAGATTTACCAGTATTAGATTTACATGGTAAACAAAAACAACAAAAAAGAACAAATACATTTTTTGAATTTTGTAATGCAAAACAAGGTATATTAGTATGTACTGATGTTGCAGCAAGAGGTTTAGATATTCCATCAGTTGATTGGATTATACAATTTGATCCACCAGATGATCCAAGAGATTATATTCATAGAGTTGGTAGAACTGCAAGAGGTACTTTGGGAAAAGGTAAATCATTAATGTTTTTAACTCCTTCAGAATTAGGATTTTTAAGATATTTAAAAGCAGCAAATGTACCATTAAATGAATATGAATTTCCAACCAATAAAATAGCAAATGTTCAATCACAATTAACAAAATTAATTAAAACTAATTATTTATTACATCAATCTGCAAAAGATGGTTATAGAGCTTATTTACAAGCTTATGCTTCTCATAGTTTAAAAACTGTTTATCAAATTGATAAATTAGATTTAGTTAAAGTTGGAAAATCTTTTGGATTTGATGTACCTCCTAAAGTTAATATAACAATTGGTGCAAGTGGTAAATCTATAGAGAAAAAACATAAAAAACAAAGAAGAGATCAAAAGTAGATTAATAATCATAGCATATAATATAATATACTTAATTAATGGTAATTAATAGCGCAGTTTTTACATGATCACCTCTCAATACCAATTTATGTTGACAAAGTATAGGTTTGTCAAAGTATTGGAGTATATGTTTGTTAAAGTATTGGAGTCCAAAATTCCTGTTAAATTGAGTGCCATCTTCGTGTTTTGAAGTTTGATGCTAGACTTGACAGGAGATCGTTTCAAGAAAACCAAATTTTGGTCTACTGAAAAGCGCGCGTAAAATAATATAGATAATTTATTACGCGTTCTTCTTATATTATCTATTTTTTTGTTTATTATTATTTTATAGAATTATTCTAATATTAATAAATCAAAAAGATTAACTAGAATCAACTATACTTTATATCACTTTCAATGTCACTAATACGAAAAGAAGTATGATTTAATTTACTCGATTTGTTCGTAGTTTTTGTCAATTACTAACTTATAATTCTTAGCCATCAATACATCGACAATTATCAAATATTAATATAGATCGGATTAATAACACTACGAATCATAATGAAGAAAAACAACAACAAAATCAACAACTACAGCAAAACCAACAACAACAACAACCTACAAATCAACCTACAAATCAAAAAATAATAGCAAAATTATATAGTAAACATGGTAAAAAACCAACAATTTCAATTCCTTATCAAAATGAAATAATAATAGGTAGATCATCAAAATGTGATATAAAAATAAGTGGGATAGATACATCATCAAAACATTGTAAATTACTTCTATCAATAAGTGAATTTTCTCAAAGAATTTATTTAAAATTAATAGATTTAAGTTCAAATGGAGTTTGGTTAAATGATGATAAAATAAATAAATTACAATTTGAAATTTTAAAAACTGGAGATAAATTACAATTTGGTAAAACTGGTGGTTGTTTTATATTTAAATATGTATTGGAGAACGAACAAGATGAATATATTGAAGATATTGATATAATTGAACAAACAAATAAAGATACTTCAATATTTGATGATTATATATTAGGTAAACAATTAGGTTCAGGTCATTATGCAATTGTAAAAGAAGCTAAAAATAAAAAAACAGGAGAAACAGTAGCTGTTAAAATTTTCCATCCAAATAAAACAAACGTACCTAATTCTCAATATAATAATAAATTAAAACAAGAAATGGATCTACTATTATCTATAAATCATCCAAATATAGTAAAATTCATTAAACATTATATTGAACCAAATAAATTCGGATCCTATAATACTTTTTTAATACTAGAGAAAATGAATAATGGAGAATTATTTCAAAGAATAATAACAAAAACAAAATTATCACCATCAGAAACAAAAGCCATATTCAAACAATTATTATCAGGTGTTAAATACTTACATGATAATAATATTATTCATAGAGATATAAAACCAGAAAATATCTTGTTGGATATAATACCAAGAACATCATCAACTCAAATACAAACAGGACCATGGGATTATAATGAAATTGATTTAAAAGTTAAAATAGCAGATTTTGGTTTAGCTAAATTTATAGGAGAATTAAATTTTACAAATACATTATGTGGAACTCCTGCTTATGTTGCACCTGAAATTTTAAATTTAACTAGAAATTATCTGAAAAAAGTAGATTGTTGGTCAAGTGGAGTTTTATTGTATGTTTGTTTATGTGGTTTCCCGCCTTTTAGTGATGAATTATCACCACCAAATATGAAAGAACAAATATTAACTGGGAAATATGCTTTTTATTCTCCTTATTTTGATGAAATTGATGATATTGTATTAGATTTAATTACTAATCTTTTACAAGTTGATCCCAATGATAGATTTGATATTGAACAAACGTTAAATCATGAATGGTTTAAAGAAGAATAATTTAGAGTTTAGAGTTATTTGATTTATCTCAATTAATAAATAGATGGAATTTTAACGTGTATTCTATATACAAAATTATTTAATATTTCCATCACTCTCCAAGTTTATTATTTAGCAAATTGAAATCATTCTCTCTACTTTTAAAAAAAGTAATTAATAATGAATCATTAAATTCAAATTGACCCTTCATTGAATCAGGTACAATTTTGGTTTTATCCAATTTAAAAGAATCCATCTTGGTCTTTAAATTTTTCAAATTTTTTAAAATCTTATTAGCATTTTCCCAATTTTTTAAATTCATATAACAATCAAAACAACCAATTAAACATAGAACATCTTGATTTCTAGCTTCAATACCCAACTTAAACCATTCTAATGCAATATTATAATTTTTAAATTTATTCATTTCTAAAAAACCAAGTGAATTAAAAGATTCAGCCAAAGATTTAGTTGCACTTATTTCCATATGATATTTTGCAAGTTTGGGGTTTGTGTCAATATATAATTGACCTAAATAATAATGAGCTTTTATTGAAAATTGATCCAAATCACATAATTTTAAACATTTTAAAAAATATTGTTTGGATTTTTGATAATCTTGTGTTGGTGGTGGTTGTGCAAAAAAATAATAACCTAAATTATAATAAATATGACCTGCTTCTATAGTATCTGGTTCAACTTCCAAAAACTGCGTGTAGAATTCTAAAGCTTTATTAAATACTCCTTTTTCATAAGCTAAATCACCTGCCATTTTAAAAACTAATGGATGTTTTAAATCAGTTAATTCTTTTATAAATTTATTGGCAGTTTTTAAATCTTCTTCCAATTGTGGTGATATTATTTGATTTTTTGTTAATGATTTTTGTATAGTTTCAAATGATAATAAAGTAATAGCATCTAAATTTCCCATTTCTGCACATTGTTCAATTATTTCATTTTCTAAATCTAATAAATTTTTATTTATTGATTGAGTTATATTTCTTATATTTTCTAAAACTTTTTTGAAAATCATTAAATCATGAGTTGTTATTTTGTTGGGAATTTGGATTTTAGATGGTGTTGATAAATTATTGTATATTTCAGTAAGGACTGGAATCATTTTTGAATAAGTTATTGATGAATCATTGTCAAATAAAATTCTATTGATTGTTCTTTTTGATGGTAGTATTGATAATAATGATGGTCTTGTGGTTGCTGTAGTGGTTGTTGTAGTTGTTGCTACATTTGTACTGGCATGTCGTATAATTGACCGTAGCATTCTTGCCGATGATATGATTAAAATAAATTTGGTTGTAAAAAATTCTATGATATTTTGATATTTGCAACAATATTTTTTTTCTAATCGTAAAATCAAAAAATGAACTACGCAGGTGGTGCGCTTTTTAGTGCCTAAGTCAATCAAATCATTAGAGGATCAACTTACATTTCAAATCAAATTACCACACATAAAATACTTATAAGATTGTATTATTACTATTAAATATTAAAATAAACTTCTATTTTATTTATACACACACACATACACACATTAAATTATTAAAAAATATATCACATTAAGAAAAGAAAAAACTTTTTGAAGAACTGAAATTAAAAAACACACTTTTTTTTGAATTAAAAAAACAACAACAACAACAAATGCAATTTAGTTTTATCATCTGATTCCTCATTCTTTAAAAAAGCTCTACATCATCAAGATGTACTGTTTTATATAAATATATGCACACAACTGTAACTACTCTCTAATTTCCAAAATCCATAAAATCTATTGGATGATTTGCTGGTGATGAATTATTAATTGGTGGTTGTAAATTAGTAATTATGGTAGTTGAAGAATCTCCATGATTTCCAACACTACTAAACTCAGTAAAATCAAATTCATTATTAAGATTCGACAAGTTTAAATCATTGTGACCTAGTATTCCTTGATTCGATTGATTAAGATGAGTATATGAATTCAAATCCTTTTGTTGTTGTTGTTGATCATTATGAAATAAAATTTCTTCTGGAGTTGTTGTTTTTAAATTATTAAGATTTAAATCACCAATTAATTTATTTTCATTACCACCACCATTTAAATTTAAATTATTAAAAGATTGAGTAGATTGAGGAGTATCAGAATGATAAAATTGATTTGAACTAACTGAAAATGGAGATTCATTTATATTTGTTGAATTTGTATTTGATATTGTTGTTGTTGTTGTAGAACTTTGATTATTTTGAATGAAATTTGAAGTATTTAAATTATTTAATTGATCCATTGGTAATGACGATATGAAATTTGATGATGTTGTTGATGATGGTTGAGTATATAAATTGTTGTTATTATTTGAATCATTGAAATTTGTTGAATTCATTCCATAATCAAATGAATTATGTTTTAATGGAGCTATAACATCAGATGGATTTGCAGTCATAAAATTGATTTGATTTTGATTTTGATGATTTAGATTTTGATTTTGGTTATATAAATTATTCTCATTAATGAAACGGCATAAATAACCTAATGAATATTTAGTACCAACAATGACATGTGGAATATTTGCATTTGGATTATTTTGATTGTGAAATTGATTTACTGGGTCATTATAAGCTTGACTTACTTGTTGACCTTCACTGAAATCATCACATATTGACCATTGATTTGTAGTAGAGTTGACTCCGTTGAAAAAATATACTGAAAATTTTGGTTGTCTATTGAGGTAAATTTTCAATTCATTATTGTCTTCATTTTGAGACTTATTATGAATTGAACAGTTAATGATTGAATTTATTGGATAAAAAATTCTAAACAATATTTTAGAACCATTTGATATAGCCAGGAAAAAATAATTTAATTCATGATTCTTTTTAGATAATATCACCAACAAATCAACATTTTGCATTATATTGTTTAAAGTGAAAGGAGATAAATTAATTAAATTGTTTTTCAATAAATTTTCATCATGTATCCCACTTTTAATTCTTTGCCATGATCCAACAGATAATGAAGATGAATCAATACAACAATAATTATCATTAACTTCTATGGAATTTAACTTTGATGGTGATGATAATGAATCATTTGATGAAGTGTTTGAAGAATTTGCTGAATAAAAATTTTGAATGTGATTATCATTTAAATCACCAATAACTGTTGATGATTGTCTTTCATGTTTTCTTTGTTTTGCTCTTCTATTTTGAAACCAAATTCTCACTGCTTTTTCACTCATTGATGCTTTATCACTTATAAATTTTCTACGATCAGGACTTGGATTTTGATTCTTATTAAATTCATTTATAAGAAAATTTAAAACTTCTCCTGAAGCTCTAATTCTTTTTTGAGGTGTATTATCTGACATTATGTATTTGATTGTGCTTTGTTATTGATAATTTATTTATAAATATATATATAGGACGGAATTATGATTTAATTTAGTTCAGTAAAATCTAGGCTCAATTTAATGGTTATCAATAATATTGATTTTGTAGTAGTATAAGTATAATGCTAATAATGACTAAATAAAATAAAATTTTTGAGTAAATAAATGAAAATGAATGATGAATTGAATAAAGATGTATTTGTTGTAATAGATGTATTTGAACGAAAAATTTTTGAATGAATCAATGAATGAATGAAAATGTTTTTATATATAAAAATTCAAAAAAGTGAATACAGGGTGTTACTTATAATATTATTTGTACTCAAAAAAATATGTAAAATTGAATAAAAAAAATTTTTTGTATAGTGTGAAAAATGATAATTGGAACTACCAAATAATGTTTTATCTTATTGTGTGAATGTGATAAATCTGTTTCAAATCAACTAACTAAGTATAGTTAATAAAGATAAGAACACTTGTTTTTTTATTAATTGAAGATGTCTTTTAGGATGATGATTGAAATTGTTGGATAGGAAAGAAGAAAAAAAAAAGTTGTAGATAATTGGTTGTAAAAAAATTTGTATCGAATAAAATTTAATTTTTAATTTTCAAAAATTTTATTTTTAAATTTTTTTTTTTTATTTTTTTTTTTTTTATTTTTTTTTTTTTTATTTTATTTCTTTGAAATTTGTTTTTGTGTAATATTTGAAGTTTATTTTTTTTCAAATAAAAAACTTTTTTAGTAATGGATTTTAAGTTTGTGTAATAAATAGGAAATAAACTTACAAGTTTTGTGTTATAAATAAAGTTTAAACTTTTGTTATTTGTTTTGTATTCAAAAGCATATAGGAAATATGCAAATTAGTTAATAACTGAAGTTCAACTAACTACTCTCTTTAATTAATAGACTAATATCTGCTCAAACTAATTCTTCTGATTTTTTAAAGATTATGAACAAACATCAACATCGACGATGATCCAAATCGCCCTTTAGACAATTTTATGATTGCCCTAGGATCTTCCTAAACAAATAAATAAATAATATGATTTAGGGCGGTTAAATTTTGTTGATTTTGTTAACAAACAAAAGTATTCAAAAAAGAAAACTTAAATCTGAAACCAAATAAGAATAATAAGATTTACTTGTTTATTTAAAGGAGATGTGGGAACTCTAAAATGTTGTAATGTATCAATTGTTAAATACAATATTAAGATTTGTTTAAAGTATCAAAGGTTAAGTTAGACTACTTAAAAAGTAGTGTATTATAAATCAATCTGGATTTGGTAACTTACTTTTATATTTTACACCCAAAATATTATAAAAAGGGTTCGTTGTTTCAATTTGTAGCTGACTCTTTTGTCAAAAAACATCTCATGATAGAATTATACTGAAACCAATTGACGTAATATGATTCACAGCCACCACTTCCCGACTTTTACATTAATATTTACTCCTCAATTATATCTCTGGATCAATTTCAAGATTTCAAAATTTCAAAAGGGAGCCTGAAACTTTCTTTAAAGTTATTATTTATATTGAACTTTAAAAACTTTAAATTTCAAATTATTTTAAAGTGAAATTTTTCAAGACTAAAATTTTTTCTATTCTTCTTTGTCAAAATGAAAAATAATTATCTTTAGTAAATGCAAAGTTTTTTCAAAGAAGAAAGTTCGTACCTAAAGTTTTAAAAGTCAAAAGTTTATAGTTTAAATTTGATAAAAGTTAAACTGTTGTTTTATTTAACCGTATCATATTAGATCGGTTGTAAAATCGTTTCTTTTCTCAAGTTCGTATTATTTTGACAATATTGGGGGAGAACAGAATTTTAAAGATATACTTAATTGTAGTCACTTTACTGTATTGTACAGTACATATCCAAGTTGATGTTTCAAGCTCAAAAGCAGTTTTGTGAATTAACTTAGTCACTTTTTTCAAGTTTTGTTCAATTTAGATTTTGTAATTCGAAACTAAAAAATTTCAATTAACCTTTTTGTATTATATCACCCCCTAAATTTTATGTTTTTTTTTAGTAAAAATTGAGTAAAAATATTAAAAAAATATTAGGTCTCAGTTGATACTTGAAGTTATAGCATAAAAATTAATGATATCATTTCTAAACTTTGACAAGATCGAGAACTTTTAAGGTTCACTTATTCAAACCTTGCATGGTTGAAGTTTTTACAACTTCGCATCATAAATTTTTTTTCATACTAGACTTTTCCACATCTCCTGTTGAACTATCTTTTGTGCAATTTTACAAGTTTGTGTACTTGATTTTAGTAAGTGAAACCAAAAGTAAAACATCATAAATGTCATACAATTGCGTTTTTCACTTTGTAATTTGATAGCAATTTAAAGGTACAAAAATGAAAGCTTTAGTTTTGACTTGTTAGTTTTGTAATTTATTTTTTTTATATTTTTTCTCGTATTTAACCGGGCTTGTTTTCATGAATAGTGTTCATAGTCAAAACGATGGTTCTGAATATAAATTAAAGTTTTACTGGTGAAGTTTAAATTATTTTCAATGGAGAACCAAACAGCAATCTCTAATTTTCTCTCGATTTTTCATTTTTTCTCATGGTCATCCTTGTTTAAACAAACGTTTAATAACAATTATACCTTCGACTTCATGTTTCAGCGAAATCAAGAAATAGAGTCATATAATAGTTAGTTTCACCTAATTGTAATTCAAAAGTAATGAATCGTTGAATTGCTGTGTCAAGTCAATGCAATTACTATGTGCCTAATGTATCAAGTGGTATACAGAGGTTGGGTTCATTAACGACGACTTACCACTAATCTGCCTACATTTGCTGTTCACCTCGGCATTGTAGATAAATTTTTTGGGGAAAGAAACACCCTCTACCACTGCAAGTATTTTGTACATGCATTATTATGAATTATGTATAAAAGTCATAAGATATGTAGGTCAACATGAAAAGTTAAGCATGGAAATGTTTGAAGTATTAAAATTCCCATTTTTGTACTACTTTAGTTTATGATTTGTTTGTTTTGAATTATTCGGAATTTATATTTCCACCAAAACGAATAAATAAATTATTATAAAAGTATTATAACCTTAGCATTTTTATCATATGCAAGCAAGATAGTTAATGGTAAATCTTATCTAAGTTTCATTTTTACAACCTTCGCTTTGGTTGCGATATAGAAAATTTTTTCTGTGTTTACGATAGTCAAATAAAATCAGGTTATATATCCATAACACTCATCAGGTGAATTAGTCTAGGCTCTTTACCACCTCGACGATTGGCGATAAAGTTTAACAATATAGAACAAAAAAGAATCATTCAGTTTTAAGGAGGAGGAATTTTTTATAATAGCCTATGTTGCATTAGAAAAAATTCTTTTTTTACAACTTATAGTTTTGTGTTTGCTAGTTTTTGATAAATTTGAAAGGCTACTTTTTGCTTTAAAAGAGGGACAGTTGGGGGCAACTTTGAAACGGAAAATTAACCTAGCATTGTTTGTTTCAAAAATGGAAATATAAAAACTGTTCAAAATATTGTATCAATTTTTTTTGATTATTGAAGTCTCATTTTTCCGCCAAACTTTCAGATTATCTCTGCAGAATTTTGCAAAAAAGTTCTTTTTCAGAAAATTAAAAAGAAAGTACTTTTATTTCTGTTCAATTTACGCAATTTTAATCACGTAAAGTTTTGGTCAGTAAATATATATCTCGATCTTGCATCAAAGGTGATCTTAAAAATCTGGCTTAAACAAATCTTGTGGTATAAAAATAGAAACTTTCTGTAGACCTACTTAAATTCAATAGGCGATTAAAAAAAAAAGCAAAAAAACAGTTAAGAAGTGATACATATTTAGCTAAGGTTCAAGGCTAGCTAATTGTAAGAATGTTACAAAAAAGCAATAATCAAAAAAAAAAAAATTATAACAATTGGGATTTACCAGAACAATAGGAAAAAAAAACTCAAATTTTATAATAGGATTTATACAATACGAGATTTCAGTTTGTAGTTAAAAAATCCCTTAACAAGATCTAGATAGTTCAAATCGCCTTTTGTTTCTCGATTTCGTTAATCCACACAATTATAAAATTTGCCCTATTTGAGTAAAATCTGTAAACCTAGCATAAGTATATGTGGATGCATAATAGGTTAAACTCTAATACATAAAAATCGAATGATTATTTTTTTTTTGGTTGTTTTTAACACGAAGAGTTCTCCTGGTTCTAGTTCCCGTGTAATTTTGATTCAGGGCAAGCTCAAGTATTTCGCTTTATTTAAAGCAAATTGTCTCAGAAATCTTTTTTGAGGGATGGAATTGTTGAACTTTTTAGGGGGTGATATTTATTCGTTAACTTTTTTAAACTAAACTTAGACGAATACATTGAAAAAATTTTTGATAGGTTAAACTATGTTGAAAAAGCGCAAATCAAAAAGACTTATTTGTTAAATAGATATTATGGAGTTTCAATAGTTTGTGCTATATTTTAGTCCTTGATTTAAGATTTACCTCTTTATCTGATTTCTAGTACTTACAAAATATCTAAAACTACTTTGATCGACAAGTACGTAATTATAAATAAGACCTAATCAATATTGTTCTTGAGTTTCCTTCTCCTTGAAAAAATTCGTTTTAGACTACAGTTCACTACTTTACTACTGAATAAAGTTATGTTTAAAGTTTTGGTTTAAATTTTTCAAGTTTGTGTAATGTAATAATTCCGTTCATAACAACATTACATTTACAATTTTTAGAGAGTACAAAAACGAGATCTTTTAATTATGCAACTAAACCATCAAACAAATATTTCACTATTATGAAGATAAAAACAAATAAAAAAGAAATCATAACCCAGTTAAACAGTTCAATTACGAGAAACAACCCACTTTCAAAACTATTTTAAGCAAACAACGATCGCGTCAAATTGAACAAAATTTAACTAAAACCTTAAATTAAATAGACAAACAATAGTGATCAACTCCATAGAAAGAAGAACATATTTACTGTATGATTTTCCAAAACTTGGTCCTATTACAATTCTCTTTAGCTTATCTTGTAAGATCTTTTAGTTTGATAGTTGAGTTTTATCAATGACATCATAGTTTTTACTAGAAAGATCTATCAAAGATAATGAAAACGTTTCCTATTTTACCTATTTTGTTATAAATAGTCCACATTATAGGTATTCAAACTGTTTAAAAGGATTTGTTTACTAGCTTCTACGTCATCAACAATTCTACTATTGTAACATCTTTGCAACAATCTAAACCTCTAACGAATCAAATTTAAAGACATGACCTTCTATTTGTTGTTTCGATATCGCTGATTTCATTCTGATCAATGTCTCAAATCATATAAATCAAGCCGTCTGGTAGACAAATTATTGAAGATATATAAAACCTCAATCACCTTTTTCTATTTAAAAGTATTTGAGGGGTCAGTCTAAAATTTCGGGGACCTAATGAATATATCCTCATAATAGTTTAAACAATTGGAAAGATAACAGACTAAAAAAGATGAAAAAAAATAGGAACTGCAGAATTAAATGTAAGGAACGTTTGATTTTGCAGGAACAACTAGACAGCTTTCCAGAATTGTAAGAATCCTTATCGTTGCAGGACCTCTGTTGATTACATCTCAGTCCAAACGTCTCTCTCTCGTGTATATCTTTTCAATATCAACTGTTTTATACTTTGTAAATGAATTGAAACATTATACTTCAATTAAAGAAAGTTAGAAAAATAATTTTAACACCCTCTAATATGCATGTAAAATTACTAAAAAAGTTTAATTTGTCTTACATAAAAAAAAAAATGTGAATGTAAAGATCGGAGATATTGTTTTTTCATACAAGAAGTATATTATTTATGACTAGGTACATTATACAATATATGCGCATAATTAATAAATATTTCCTATTTGTTTTTGTATTGAATTATCAACCACTCCAAAATTTTGTTGAGTAAGGATTAAAAAAGATTTTTAATTTAGATTATATATAAAGTTTTAATCGTAACTTCATTTTCATCAAAGTTTTATAGACTAAATAAAATTTACTAAAAAGTATAATTATTGAACTCAAAATTGAAAACTAAAATTGATTTTAGTAAAAATTCGACTAAAGTTTACGATTGTTCAATACATGAGCTTTATTTAATTAATAGTCCAAAATAGTAGGACCAATGTTTCAAATTAATTATTCGAACGTATAATTATACAATTTGTAAATTTTATAAGGAATATGAAACTCATTGGTAACTCGAGATTTGACTTCGCATGTGATAATTTTCATAATACAAGCATTGCTATTGTAATTTGATCTCTTACTTTTTGATACAAACTCAAGGGTTCAGTTGTAAAAAAGTCGACTTTTCAGTCCCGCAATTTTTCAAAAATCAGAAAGGATTGAGCTCAAAACTGACCAACATATCATTAGTAGATTTTAATCTATAAAACATGCTTAGATTTTTACATGTGAAAAACATTTTTGACATCCGTACCTACACTTTAAGTATCTACTTAAACATCCGTACCCACATGTTATACCTTGATTTCTAATTCATTATACGGGGACTAGTTTGTAGTGTCAAAAGATAAGAATAGAGCTAATTTAATCTTGTCATAAAATGAGAAGTCTCCATGAGGTCAATAGTGAGAGATCTTGTTGATTTTAATTGAGGTCTTGGAATTTTTTATTTTTGGTATTTGTACTAATTTGCAACAAAGTTTTAAAAACTTTCATTGACGAATTGTTAAAACTTATGAATTCGAATGTACAAGTAATATTTCAATAGCCAAGGGAAGTATAAAGTAGCTTAGATGCAAGTAATCAAAAGCTTTATATCAATAAAACGGCTCACTACTAATGATATATAACATGAGATCTGAACAGCTATATTATTGTCACTAGCATCTAGCTTCTCAGTTTAAAAATGCCCTAAGCCAAGAGTTGGCAACCTTTTATATCATAGAGTAATATATGTTTAAAATCAGTAATGTACCGTATCGTATCAACTAAATTATCAGAGTCTGTATTTGCATTTGAAACAAATTTTATTGAATCATTAGAAGCAATAAATGTTTTTGATATAGCGAGAAATCAGGTCCGTATATTTTAAAAATAAAACACAAAAATTTACGAACCATCAAAAATCATCGCTTTAATCACTGATGAATCACTACATATAATAAAAACCACTACACAACCAAATAATAATGCAAATACTAAAAGAAAGAGATGCATTTCTACTGAACTTTGAAGTATCAGAACACCTAAAACAAATCAAACATAAATATAATTGGACATTTTCAGAACAAGATGAAATCGAACTACAACAACAACAACAACACAAGAAAAAAAACAGATTTGTTGAATGTGGATTAAATTTGGAAACTATTACAAAAGAAGTTTTGTTGTTTATTACAAACACAAATGAAAACCTTCTTAACCCAATCACAAAAGAAAATTTTAAACAACTCATGGAATTTTTAAATACTTTTGAATTAATGAAGATTGAAAAATTACAAATCATGAATCAATTACCTCGTTCGTTAGTGGTGTTATATTTATTAGTTGAGGATTGTGAAGAAAGGTTTGATGAAGAGAAATGTTTAGAAATTATTGCTAAAATTGACGAATTATTTCCCGTTGAACAAGACGAAGAACAAGAAGAAGCAGAAGAAGAAGATGAAGATGAAGAAATGGCTGAATAAAATCAAAGTCTAGAAATTGTGCATTATTTATATAAATTCATTCATTATCCCATTACCCATACCTAAATCTCCAGAATCATCAACATTACCCTTATTATTTTGGGAATTTGATAATCTTCTAATATTATCAGGAGATGCTAATGAAGCCGGTATAGGAATTTGTCCAATTAACGGTAAAGTCGGTGGATTAATACTATAATTATATAATTGATCTCTAAAATCCCCAAACATCCCCGTTACTTCACCTAATAAACCAGTAACTCCTAAAGAAAATAAACTTTCTGCATTATCTTTTGAATTTATCCATGCTGTATTTATACTATTTTCTTCTTCTGTGGTTGTTGTTTCATCAATTTCATGATTCTTTCGAATCATTACATCTCTAGAAATCAATTTTGTTAAATCTATTTCTTCATCTAATGAATCATTACTTGATATTGAATTCATTTGTGGCTGTTCTGTTGTAGTGGACTTATCCTTCATCAAAAGTTCGTGTGAAAAATGATTTTCTACTAAATGTTGGATTACTGGCCATCCATAAGCATTTGCAAATCTTCTTCTTACAATGATGTTATTATGAGCATCTGGTTTTAATTTTACAATAACTTTTCTCCAACCCATATTCTTATGGTATTCACGAGCTATTTCTTCTTCAATATATTCCAAATTATCATAATCTATACTATCCATTAATTTTTTCCTTATTGAAGTATCGGAACCATTTTCAAATGATGCACCAGCAACAGATTTACGTCTGGGTAAATCCTTTTCATAATAGACTTTATCATGAATTATCGTACTTTCTCTTGATGTTGGATCTATAATATATTTCATTGATGGTAAAGGTGGTAAAATTAATGAAGCAGCACTACTCATAAATGTCAGATGTGGTATACCACCAATTTCTCTTTTCTCGTCACCACCTTCATTGTCTTCATCATTTGCTGCAGTACCATCAATTGTTGTTTGGAAATTCTTATATTGTTCACCATCACCTTTTTGTTTTTGAGGCATGAAATATGATAAAAAAGTTTGTATTGGTGAAAATGCGTTTTCCTTTTCAACTGATTTAGGTACTTTTCCAGTATGTTCACTATCTTCCAAGTGGTTATCTGGTTTAAGTAATGGTGCTAATCCTTTATAATCAAGGTACAATAATGAAGATGTCCTCAATGGCACTATACCATCATTTAAAGCATTTGCATAAACTGTTCTTCTTTTGAATTTCTTTAGTATTTTATGAGTAGATCCCGTTGGTAGTAATAATAATAATGGTTTCGAGTTATTTTCAAGGTATTTCAAACCTAATTCTTGACCCGTTTTCCCCACAAATCCAGCAGTTAAAACTAATTTGACATATAATGGATTTTCATTAACCACTCCCAACAATGGAGATGATATTGTTATAAAATTTATGGGTCTGATTTTATCAAAAAACCATGGAAAATTAACTTTCAAGTAAGCTATTGCAAAAGTTTGTACACAACCTCCCAAAGAATGACCAATAAATGAGATTTTATTAACTTGTCCATTATTTAACATTTCATTTTCAGTTACTAACTGAATAATATATTCTGCAACTCTACTTCCCAAATATTTAATACCACGTTCTGTTTTACCTATATTTCCAAAAAATGCTTTTACAACAACTTCTTCATCTTCATTTGCATTAAAGTTTCTAGCAGATTTGTCAATTTGCTCCTTTAAGAATATCATATCAGCACTTGCATTTGAATGTAATCCATGTGTTAGTATTACTAGATGCTTGGGTTTACCTCGTTGTAGCACTGGTAAGTTCCATAAATCTTTTGTATCCCATTCACTAACACTTAGCAAAGGGTGGAAACTTCCAATTTTATCTGAATTTAAAACTCTATTATTTGGTTGTGCAGCATCATGTAATATTTGTTTTGAAGTCCCCACAGTAATTTCAAAATCTATCATAATTTTGGTATTAAAAATTATTTGTGAAACAACATCCACTATCCAAGAATAATCTTTTTTTAAAGTATGACATGATAATTGTACATAAAACGATTGACCCGGTAGTAATTGTGGTTCAAAAACTGGTTGATCTGCCGTTACGAAATACTTAACATTTGGATCATAATCTGACAGTCGACAGTCAACGTATAAAATATATGGACCAGCTATAATTATATGTTAGTAAATCAATATGTCAATTGAATAATTCTTGGCAATAATTTAAAAACAAAAGTCTTTGTCACCAATAAAGATTCAACATACCCAAATAAATAGCTCTTTTAGAAACAGGTTCTAAATTTTTAACTTTAACCCATAAAGTAGGTGGTAAAACAATTTCATCTCCATCTGCATGAGGTTTAAAATGTATTTTAAATCTTTCTAATTCTCCAACTTTTACTGATTTAATTTGTCTATATAGTATTTTATGTTCCATATTATCTAATTGATCTTGAGTCATTGGTAATGGTATTTTATTAATCTCGTTGAAATCAATTGAATCATCAAGTTTCATGAATATATATGTACAAGTAAAATGTTTAACTGCAATGAATTCAATCTAAAAAATAGTCTAGTCTTTGCTGAATATTATTTCTGTGATTAAATTTTGATAATTCCGGTATCTCTTTATATCATTTATATCGTAATATTATGAATTTAATGTATTAAGTTGATTGAATTTTTTTTTTGGTTGCTTATTTGAATAGTTGTTATGAAATTTTGTAAATGTAAATGATATTATATTTAATTTTGTGTTAATTTTTATTCAGTTGTAATTAGAATTTTCATATGATAAATTTGAGCAAGAAAAAAGATGGAGAAATGTTTTAATTTTGAGTAATAGTTAACAACCAAAGTTTAATGAGTTTTCTAACTTAAACCAACTCCTTTTAAATCAAGAAACAACCAAAAATAGTTCTCTTTTGAAGTTTGGTCATATATACAGAGAACTAAGTATAAATTCTAATGTTAAGACTAAAGATAAAAATAAACCGTTTAAAAGGCTACCAATTACTCTCGTAAATTTATAGATTCTTTTACATAATTTTGGTATTGATATACATACAATTTTTTTTACAACCAAACAAATCACCTCAACAATTTGATGAATGAATCAACCACAACCACAAAAGAAAATGAATCAATAAATGATTTACACGCAGTAGAACTTACAGCTCACTCAATACTAAGTGGCTCACTAGATAATTTAAATGAAAATTTCGAGCTGTTAAATCAATCACAAATTATTTTATTAACAAGATTAAAAATTATTGAAAATAGATTGAACTCGTTTAAAAATTCAGTAGATCAAAATCAAATAGATGAAAAACAGATACTACTGTTGTTCGAAAAAATTCATGAATTGTCAAAAACATTGAATAAAAATTTACAAAAATTAGATACGATTGATACAAGAATTACCAAAATAAATGAAAACCTACAAGATTAAGCAACACTAAATGGTCAAACGAAGTTAGACACAATTGACTTTAAAATTTATCATGATGGATAAGCAGCTACATGGTCAGCAAGTATGAAGCTCATTTAGTCTAGAGTTACCAAAAAAAACCTGAATATTTATAACTGTATTTTTAAAATCCTTTATTCTCTAAAAAAATGATATAAATCTATATGGGAACCCAATACCTTTCAATCCAAAAATCGATAATAATAAACTAAATAAAATAAAAATCAAACTACTAACAACAACAACCGCCACCAAATTAACAGATTGATTTTTAATTTCAGGTGCTCTTTTAATTAATACAACAACCAATATACTTAAAATTCCATACAAAAAAGACATAATTTGAGTTTCAATACCTAATTGAGATTGTTGCCCAGGTAAGAAATATTCAGTTCTGCCATCTGGATGTTCAATTAAATAGGGACTACCTCTTATCTTGTTGAACATATATCCAGTAGTAAATAATAATACAACAATTAATGAAATTATACTCCATGTAATTTTGGAACTTAATGCAATAAAAAAATATTTTCTATATCTTTTGATGAAAAACATTGTAAAAAAACCAACTAGGATGTGAACAACTAATTTAGTTTGATTTATTGGAATATGTAAGTTGATCTTTTGTCCAGTTAAATCTTGAATCCAATTAAGCATTAATGATTTATGATCACCTTGAAAAAATTGATATTCTTGTTTTTCTCTAATAAAATTATTAGCAGCTTTTGAATCAGTTGGATTGAAATAAAAAATTTTGGGGATATTATTTAATTGTAACATACTGAACAATTTCTTAGATTCAGTAAATTCAGATTTAAAGAAATAAATGTTTTTTGGTTGTGATTTTTTACCTTCTTCTTTTGTCTCTATACCATCTGGATGATCTTTAAACCAAGAATCTGCTATGATTTCAAATTCAGGTGCTATTTCACGACATAATACACAATTGATTTGTGATGATTCACTTGTTAAAAATGCTATAATATGATAATCTCTTTTACCGTTCAAGATATTTTCAAAATTTTCATCATTTAGTGGTAATAATTTACGTTTGGATTGTTTCACCGTTTTCAATAATTGTTCATTTGTTAGCCCACATGTTACAATTGAATATAAAAATGTTAATAGTATAACAATTGAAATTTTCATTATGTTGATTTGTTGGAATTATTCGGTATTGAAATATTAAACAAAAAAAATATTATAACTAAGAAAATCTCAACACAACAAGGTTTTATTATATAGAATTACCTGTCAAAATTTATATATGGAGAGAGCTACCAAATTTTGAAAAATTTCTAATATAAGGTACCAAACTTACCAAATCCTAGCTTTACAATGTTACTAATGCAAGTCATAAGAATAAGTCGTAAATTCATTATTTAGAAAATTTGTTTATGTAACTGTAACTTTTTTATCACTAGCAATCTCAACAACACATTTACCAATCCCAGATTCAAATCTTTCAATCAACAAAATATACTCACCAACATTTTCTAGCTTCAAATCAACAAATAATCCATATAGTATATCATTATTAAATTCCTCATTAATTAAGATTGGTTGCTTTGTTAAGCCATTGAATACTGAAGCTCGCATTGCTGGTCTATAATCGGTACATATATTGAAATCAACATTCGGATCATTAAAATGATTTATTTTGAATATTATTGAAGTGTTTAGATTATCTGTTGTGAAATATAACTTATGTCTATTTGTATTGTTCCATAGAAACGTTCTTGTAGTATTAAACAATGACAATTTGGTCGGTGTTTTATTGCAGGTAACTGCATTGGAAGAATTTATCAAAAATTTATATTGTCCTAATTGACAATCAAAGTTTGAAACAACTAATTTATATGATCCCTGACTTAATATAAGCTTAGTTGATTGAAAAAACAAATTATATTTTTCATCCAGTATTAATTTTGAATGATCAAATGTTCTTATTCTAAATCCTTCATGTGATTTATCCGAGTGGAATAAGTGGAAATTGATCGGTAGTTGAGAATATAAACTTAATGTTAATTCAGTTTGGTCATTCACCACCAAATCATATTGTGGATTTTCAATGTACGATGACATTTTCCAATTCCCACCACAACTGTCAGAATCCCATTCTCCTGTAATTAATTGTAAATGATCATAAGAGTAAGTCAGCTTGATAATTATTGAACCATATGAAATAATTGAAAATTTTGCTGACTCATTAGCTGATATGAGTATAGTATATGAACCTGGATCTAGTTTGACTAACTGAAGTCTGTTATTTGTCTCAATCATTGAATATTCCTTTTGTTGTATTGGTGAAATGACTTTGTTACTGGAACAGTAAACATTAATCCTCATCCAAAAATCATGATTTACCGGTAAATGTCTCTCAATTAAAACCCAAGTCTCTTTTTCACATGATACACTATATTGGGTCTCATCAATGATACTCATTTGTTCCTTCTTGACATAAAGAAAATTCTCTTGATATTTGTTAATATTGCTTTTAGGTTTCCAATTAATATAAAGATATCCAAAATGGACTAAGTTATCAATTTTTAAATTTCTTGAAGCTAAATTATCTTGAACCCACGGATTTTTTAAAGTTATACTATCTTCGTTAAATTCTTCTATTAGGTAATCATGCTGACCTATCAAACCTAACTGACTACTAATAGTTTCACTTAATTTACCAGTACCTAAACCCAACGTGACTAATCCCTTTTGATTCAAATACCATAAATCTTTAAAATCTTTAATTTTTGACCCATCTTTCAATTTTATAATTTCTGGTATCCATCCACTCAACAAATACGTATCATTGGCCATATTTGATCCTTTAAATAAATATCCATAACCCATCACTTTCAAATAAGCTTTTTCGATGAAAGCTGGCCAGTACAATTCTGAATCACTGAAAGACTTTAAAATCAAATTACGATCAGAATCAGGCAGCAAAGGTAGTCTATTATCAATCTCAACAACTCTTCGACAACCATTAAAAGTTAATGTAATTTTGCAACATGATGATGGAGTATGGGGTGATATAATTGAAATAATGTGGTGATTAACTGCAACTAACGCCAAAAATGAGGAAACGAATGAACAATTTGCTAATAAATCTTGGTATAAGTTCATCAAATTCAGCTTCTCATCACTCCAATTATTGCTTTCTATTGGTTTGAAATTGAAACTAATATCATTTGGTAAAGTTGTTAGCGACGAATCTTTGTCTTGAAACGTAATGTTCTTGTCAAAAAATATCACATTACGAGAGTCCAAATTTGTATCAAATTCAACTAAAGGATAATAGAAAACTCCATCAACAACTAGCTTGGATGATAACCATAGTAGTTTTTCAGATAATGCTATATTTTGATTTAGACTTTCATAATAATTTAATATAAATTGTGATAATGATTTCAAAGCTGTTGAGTTTTTGTTAGTTTTAGCTAATTGATTTAGTATCTTAATTGCAGAAATTGCTTCTGATTTGGCTTTGGATTTGTCAGCTATAGCATTGTATACATAACTTTGTTCTAAATGGTTCAAGAATTGATTCAATGACATCTATCGATCATCTGGTTGTTTTTAATTGTTAGGTATCTCCATATTTCATTTTTTTGTCAATACTTATTTTTTTTCCGTCTAGACATTAAAATCAACAATATTATCTACAAGATCTTGAGTAAAGAATATCTATGCCAACAGTAGTATTTAGTTAATGCATACTGCAAGTATTTACGATTAAAATCGGGCTCATTAATTTAAGGGTTCAAAAGTAAATGCATTTTGAAATTTAATGAAGGGATCTAGTCGGACTTAACCGTACCATATTCCCGTGTTGTAACGGAGTGATGCTCGTGGTAAATTAGAATTAATACGATGGTCCAAATATTTCCGATATTAAAAATTAATTAATTCATTTCACTCTTTCAATACGAAAATTTAAACTTTTTTAAAACTTTATCAGCTGATATCAGTCTCAAAAAGGAAATTAAAAAAAATAATAGATTAATAATAAGGATTAAGAGAATCATGTCATCAGTTTAATTCCTAGTTGAGCTGTTGTCAATACGTAATAAGTTCAGCATCATTTCAAACGTGTGTAATCAAGTATCTTACAATCTTTCTTGTGGGTTAATCGAATGATTTTTCTTGCACCTATTCCTAGAATTTAAGTTATTATGCGTTTCAGATTATCAATTTGCTTTGTGTAAACTCTGAAAAAAGTCCGAAAGAAATGTAAGTAGGAGTGAGCCGTCCATTCTAAGTCAAATTAATATAAATAAAATTCTCGACAATAAAGACAACTTTGTTTCCATTTGTCCTTCTTGTTAATTGCAAAAAATTGTAGAGATTATGCAACACTATGTAAAATGTTAATTTTGAAGTCTTTAAAAACCCCCTTAATTTATTACTTTGAAAGAGAATTATGAATAATATTATATTTGACCATGAATACATACACAAAGTGTTCTTGCAACTGGCTAAGACTGTATCAAGAATGGGTTGATGTAAACCGATTCGACCTTTAAAATTTTCATAAAATTATCACCTTTTTCTTAAAGATTAATTTTAATGATCTCAAAATATTTAATCTTTCTTTGTTCTAAAATATCTTTGATTTTGTGTTAATTTATTCCCAGAGGTGATTTTTTAACCCGCAATTTAAAAATTATAAATACAAGTGGATTTCTCATCAGATGAAATCAAATAAGAGTGAACGACTACATAACTTAGATAAAAATCTACACACCATCAAGAAAAAAAAGCAAACAATGTCATACACTGTACCAAAAACAATTCCAAAAACACAAAAAGCAATTTGGTTTGATAAACCTAATGCACCATTAGAATACAAAGATATAGATGTTCCAAAGCCAAAACCAACAGAGCTTTTGATCAAAGTTCTCTACAGTGGTGTTTGCCATACAGACATACACGTTTATCAGAATGATTGGCCAATTGAAGCTTCAGCCAATGTTTCTGGACATGAAGGCGCTGGAGTAGTTGTAGCCATGGGAGAGTATGTTTATAATAATTACAGTACTTTTCAGGTAAGAACCTACCATTTACTGTTGTTTTTTGAGGGTTTTATGGTGTTTGGATGATATTATATCAGTTTCTAAAATTAGTGTTTTGGCCATTTTCAAAATTTAAAAATAATTTTAAAGACGCTACCAAGTTTTCATAAAACCAACTATTACATGAATTTTATACTAACAAACAATGTAGAAATGTTAAAGGTTGGGAAATTGGTGATTATGCTGGTATAAAATGGCTTAATGGTTCATGTATGAATTGTGAATTTTGTGAACAAGGTGCTGAACCAAATTGTCCTCATGCTGATTTATCGGGTTGTACTCATAATGGTTCATTTCAACAATACGCAACTGCTGATGCAGTTCAAGCTGCTAAAATTCCTAAAAATGCTGATTTAGCTAAAGCTGCTCCAATTTTATGTGCTGGCGTTACCGTTTATAAAGCTTTGAAAACTGCAGATTTATTAGCTGGTCAATGGGTTTGTATTTCTGGTGCTGCTGGTGGTTTAGGTTCTTTAGCTATTCAATATGCAACTGCTATGGGATATAGAGTACTTGCTATCGATGGTGGTGAAGATAAAGGAAAATACGTCAAATCATTAGGTGCTGAAGCTTATATTGATTACACAAAAGAAAAAGATATTGTTGAAGCAGTTAAAAAAGCAACTGATGGTGGTCCACATGGTGTCATTAATGTATCAGTATCAGAACAGGCTATGAATCAATCAGTGGATTATGTTAGACCATTAGGAAAAGTTGTATTAGTTGGATTACCTGAAAATGCAAAAGTTACAGTTCCAGTATTTGAATCAGTCATTAAATCAGTTCAAGTTAAAGGGTCATATGTTGGTAACAGAAAAGATACTCAAGAAGCATTAGATTTTTTTGCAAGAGGTAAAGTTGATTGTCAAATTCGAATTATAGGTTTAAGTGAAGCACCAAAAGCTTTTGATCAATTAAAAGCAGGTAAAGTTATGGGAAGAATTGTTCTTGATACTAGTAAATAGAATTCATGTTAGTGCCACTAGTAAATAGTGCATAGAGCATATTATAGTTAGTAATGAGTGATGAGGTATGAGGAGATGAAATAAATATATTGTTTTTTGTACTTTAGATTTTGTCATGTTAAATATTTTATTTTAGAAAACTTTGTTTCAGATTTTTGGATTCATGCATACAAGCCAATTTATTAATTACACAAAACTTTATTTTTTGATTCTTTACCTATGACTTCTACTTTAATGTTCTTCAAGTCAAGTTATTTGAATTACGATCGTAATCATTCTTTGTCACAGTGCCACTAAATCTATTTCCTCTATGTAAATTGGTTTATGTCGCCTAAATATTTTTAATAGGAAGGAAAGAAAATAAGTTACATCATAGCTTCAGTCTCATGTTTTGTTAACTGATACTCCACTTTATAAGAGTCCATTGCAGTGTTTATTATACTATTATACTTGATACTAGCAAATAACAAATAAGGAGAAATTCTTAGAAAACCTCTGCAAGTAGTCAGCATATTGATTTTATAGTTAATTAAAATTTGTTGAGATTGAAACTCGAGCTGCTTATAAGGACAGTTTCATAATAAGGTTCAATATATAAAGCACATTACGGGCCCACACCGGAGGTTATTAACCGGGGAATCGACTTACTGCGGTAAGACTAAACTTTTATTTCATAGACTATTAAAGTTCTTATTTAATACATCAAAAACTTACCTTAGTCACCCTTCTTTTGGTTCAATAGCACATTCAATTGTATTTGATTAGTTAAATTCTCGTCATTTATTAACTCAATTGTTTTGTTTTTCTCTTTAAGTTCCATCAATAAATTTTCAATTTTTTTGGTCAAATTTGTATTCATCTTCTCCAATTTTTTGTTACTTACATCTTTCTCTTTGATGATTGATTCTAACTTTTCATTTTTTAGAGTGATTGAGTTTAAGTTTGTAATCAAATCATGATTTTCATTCCTTAATTGCTGATTTTCTTTGATTATGAAGTCTAAATCTCTATCTGAAGATGATGAAGATGACGGTGGTTGGTTTTGAGGTTCAATATTTAGTAAAGCAGCTGGTGATGGGGATTTTGATGAATATGAACTATTATGATCATTCTGTTGCTTTAGGTAATCTAGTTTTTGAATTAATTGTTGGTATGCTATAAAGTATGCAGAATCTTTCTTTTCTATATCATCTCTTATCTTTAGTTTATTTAGTATATTATATGACCAATCTTCTTTGTCCATTTATTATTTGAATCATCAATTGATTGAGTTAGTTTTTGTCTTGAAATTGTATAGTAAATTTGTTTGTTATCGTTAAGTTAATTAATTTGTGATCATGTATTTTTAAGGCACATTTTTAAAACTTCTTAAGTATCACTTTAAACGACAACAATCAACTTATACATGGGATTATGTCACTAAGTAATGGTGCCAACCATACTCAATCAACTACTACAGACAATAGCAACCAACTCACAGAAGAGATAAGCCAACCTCAAGTTATAAAAGAAGTCCCAACAAATACAAACACAAACGATCTAACAAAGACTAGTGCATATTCGATATTCTCATGGTATAATAATAACAACACGCCTCCACTAATAGATCCACAGAATAATGTTACAGATAATGACTTGCATACAGCAGAACCTGCCAATAATGAGGCTCTACCGAGGAACAACACCACAACACAAACCACATCATGGTATTCATTTTATAGATCATTTTTATTTACAACTTCAGAATCACATGCAATAGAACATATACCTTTACTCCAAGAAACCACACCATTGATTAAAGAAAATTCTCAGGAAGAAGAAACTACTAATACCTATACAAGTTCCTATTTTGGTTGGTTTAGTTGGATTACAGGTAATTCACAAGAAACACAAGAAGACGATGCACCAGATGAATCAAGTGAAGCTTATTTAGCAGCAAAAGTAGCAATTGAAACATCAAAAGAGGAGTGTCATTATATTTTCAAAACTAATGATGATTTCAAATCTTACGAATTAAGTGTTAGTGGTACATCAACTGAAGAAAATCCAGTTCATATTCGTTCAAAAAAGTATAAACCAAGATCAATGAATGAAGTACTTGAAAAAAGTTTGAAAAAACCTACAAGTCCTGAAGAAATACACTATAAGGTGACTCCGACATTTGATAGTAATTATAGAGTCATCACAACTAAAACAAAGCTAAGAATTATTTCAAATGATTTGATTTGTGGTTATAAGACGGAGAATCATTTATACAAAAAGACACCCGGTCAAATACTAAACAAATGTAAGAGACTAAAGAGAGTTGTCATTATTGGGGTTCATAACTTTTTACCAACCAAAATGGTGCGGGCACTAATTGGTGATTATACAGGAACTTCAATGGAATATGTTAATATGGCTTCAAAAGCTGTAAAATCATGGTTGAGTTCAAATTATTTAGATTATAATGAAGATGATATTGAGATTCAAGGAATAGCAATAGAAGGGCAAGGTAGAATAAGCAAATCAGTTGAAGTATCCAGTAATTTGCTAAATAATTATAAAGATGAGATAAGCAATTGTGACTTTATGTTTGTTGTTGGTCATCTAACGTCAAATGCTATAGCAATTAATATATTGGCAAATTTATTACATTCGAATCATCATTTGAGGCATAAAAAAATTGCAGTGTTAAGTATGGCAGGTAATTTCTTGGGACCATTTCCATCACATTCATTAAAAGTTGTCTACAGAGCATATACTCAATTGGAAAATGAAATAGTTAGAGAAATGTTTGAGTTTGAGAAAAAAGATAGTGGATTAAGTATTGAATTAAACGAATCCATGAAATTGTTAATTTCCTACAATATCAAATTTATATTTACAAGTTCTGTTGGAAATCCATTTATACCTTTATATTCATCCATGGGATTGAGCTATGATCATCCAAATATTTATAGAAACGTTTTTGAAGGTGAATCAATACCATTCATATCATCACTTTTGCAATTGATTTGCGTAATGAAGAATCTAGGACAACAAACCGACTACAATATAATCAAAGACTTTAGTGACAAGCTAGAGACTAGTAAAACCACTAGACAAATATTTCAAGAAGAAAAAGTATACATAGAAGCTATCAAATTTGCATTAGAATCAACCAACTTAACTCATCAAAATAAGTTAAAGATTAAAAACTCCAAAAATTTTGTTATCACAACCAGCAACAATGTCACTGATCAATTACAATTCCAAAATAATTTACCATGGAGTTTAAGATCTTTGGTTAATGATATTTTGAAATTTAAACATATAGAGAACAAGAAAAAAATCATTGATTTGATTACTGAGTTCAAGCAATGGGAACCAACTTATAAGCAATATAGAGATATAAAGTATTGTTTAGAAGCTTTAAATGATTTTGAATTGAATGAATTAAATATTTAAATAGTGAAATATGCAATAAATAATTTTATTACACAAAAACAAATAGTAAACAAAACTCTTACTTTGAACTATTCGAGCTTAAATAATTAGCATAACAACATATGAAGAACTCCTCGATTTCAATCATTCACAATGGTAAATTTCCGTTTGCAAATGACCCAAATTCAATTTTGGCATGGTGTCCCAAAATGAATTTAATCTTTATATCTATGAACAAGACTTCTATTTGGTGTTATAGAATTGATGGTGAAAGAATTTATTCAATAAATAATAGATCAGTTATAAAATCAATTGCATTTTTTGATAATTATTTTTGTTTATCTGGGACCGACCACCTAATAAAAATATACGACTCAAATGATGGGAAATTAGTCAAGACATTGGGTGGCTGTAAATTTTTAAACATTCAATTTATTAATTGGGTCAATACTGACCATAAGCTAGAAGATGATCTCATTATGAGTCTACCTAAAATATATACAATGTCAAATACTTTAAACTACCTAGTAATTAATGATAGCTACTCCATCGGTTTATATTTCAACAAAATGTTAAATATTAAATGTCCAATATCATATCAAATTACACAACAACTTTCAAATAATTTATTCCAACAAATATACCTTGACAATAAAAATAACTTGATTTCTGTGAATATCAATACAAGTTCTAAAAAACTATACGTCAAACTGATCTTAATTATCTGTCATATCATTGAATACATAGAAGTTATGGAAAATACCGTAAAACAATTAGATGAAGAACTAAAACCATTTTATGTTTTGTTCGATAGATATTTAGCAAATTTAAATGAGGAATATAAAGGGGATTTAACACAAAATTTAACTGACTTATTATTAACAAATATCATACCCGAATACACAAAAGATTTTTGGGTCAATCAATTTGGTGAAAGAGGATATAAGAAAATGAGTAAGTCCTTGGAAACAGTGTTTGAAAATTGTCAAAAGAAAATATTTAACTACTTAATATCCCCAATTGAAAGAATAATTTTATTGCTCAATAATCTAATTGGTATCAGTAAATGGAATAATGTGCTAGGTTTGGAGATAGTTGATTTAAGTTTAATTCTACGAGATAGTCAAACACTATTAAAATCATTTTATCAATTCATATGGAGTTTAAAGGACGAAAAAGTGAAAATCTCAGAATTTATTGGTTGGTGGAAAACAATAGTTGATATGTTAAATGATCAAGATTTCAACAAGTGTTATTCTACATCAAATTTAATAGAATATATTAATTCAGACCTACTAAGATCAAAAAATTTAAATTATTACCGTTATAGCTTGGATTTGATAATACCCGCTAATTATGATGAGGGCCCATTGTTTTATGAAATCGAACTTCTAAAGACGTCGTTCGACAGAATTCCAGACCAAGTCGATACCCATCATGAGTCAATAATCACTGTTGAATTTTTAAGAAATATAAACCTAAGCAACGACACTAGCTTAAAGATAAGTCAATGGGAGGACAAAACAGTAATAACATACATAGATGAGTCAAATAATCTAATTTTATCAACTCCTGAACAAGATTTTGCCAAGATTCCAAATGTTATAGCATATGAACATAGATCAAAAGATTTAATTGCATTAACCAAAGAACATCTTTTAGTTGTTGATACTTCTTCGTCAATACCAATAAATTTACCAACTTTATCATTTGAACCTAAAAAAGTTAGATCCAATAATTCTTTCGTGTGTCTCGTTGATGAAATGAATTCAAATTATGTTATTTTAAAAGTTGAATGATTTAATGCTAGTTTATATTGGTTATCGACTAAGTAGTATTGTTGTTTGATATACGCTAAGTAAATTCTTTCAAAGAAATCATTAGCTAATACACTTTCTCTATTAATTAACTTTCTGACTTGAACACTAGTTGTGTTCTCTTGCCTTTTCTTCAATAGTTGTTTCTGAAAATTAGGATTAATGCCTGATGTATATGAAGTCATCAATTTCGTAAATTGATCTTTTCGAATTGGTTGATTTTTTTCCAAAGCACTTTTGACTAACGTAACCGTGTCTCGTAAATTTGTGTCAAGACCAACTGGGTGTTCTGGTGTTCCCATTTTTGTAGGTAGATGTATTACTTCGAATGGATGCTTAGTCAAATTGAAGATTGATTCATTCATTAAAAACTTATAAGCTTTCTCAACGTCATTAATTAGCCGTGGGACTGAAGATGTTTGATCACTGTATTTTGTGAAAATTGGAAATGCATTCTTTTTAACTTTATCTTTACCTTTGACATGATCAACCAATCTAAAAGGTGACTGTAATTTTTCATGATACATTGAGATGGTCTTAGTATCTTTGGTAAGCTCATCAATTATATGCATTGTTGGCCAATCCTTTTTAACTTGCATATATGGAATATTTATAAAATCTCTATACCATTTAGGTTTGCTATCTTTATATATTGCATCTAATAGTAGTGGTATACTCTTGTGGTATTTTTCATATTGTAGTATTTGGGTGAATATTGTTTCAAATATTTTGGTTTTACCTAACTTATAACGATGCTTTAGCACAGCTGATCCGTCTTTAATTGCATTTGTAGGTAGTGGTAGTCTTCGTAGTTGTCTTTGTAATGATTTATAGGATGGTTGCAACATAGGTCCTGCTTCAAATAAAAATTTGGGTCCATTTGGTAGTTGTTTTTGATTCAAATATTTTTCAATTCTTACAACCAAATTTGATTTTGCAAAACAAATATCAAACACGTCTTTAATAATTCAAAATGGCATTAGCAGAGAAAGTGCTAAGAAAGATAAATAAGTTAGGTTTAATTCCCAAGGCTAGGAGACTTCTACCTAGAATATCTTTTGTTTTAGCGTTATTTAGTATTATATGGTTAATTACATTACCTCAAGATGGAAATTATAGAAATTGTTATATATCAGAAAATGCATTAATGCCAGCACAAGTAAACTCATACTTTAGAGAAAGTGAATGGAATATTGTGCGTGGATACAGAGATGAAATACACAAAATGGAAAATGAATCAATTGAAACTAGAAATAAACACCTAAAAGAATGGTTAATTGATTTAGGATTACAAGTTTCAAGTCATAAAAATGGAGTTGCAAATGATACATTATACGCGATTATGCATGCTTCAAGAGGAGAAAATACTGAGGCAATGGCGTTGGTCGTACCTTGGATCAATTCTGATAACGAATATAATGAAGGAGCAATGGCTTTGGGGATAGCATTAATAAGATATTTTCAACGTATTTCAGTTTGGTCAAAAAATATTATATTGGTGATACCTCCAGATGGTGAACAAAGTTTAAGGTCTTGGGTCAATGCGTATCATACAATTTTAGATGATACAGCAGGATCAATTGAAGCAGCAATTGTTATAGAATATGGTAAACAAGGTGATAATTTTGAATACTATGATATGTTTTATGAAGGATTAAATGGTCAACTACCAAATTTAGATTTATTAAATACTGCAAACTTGATAAGTCTGCATGAAGGTATGAGTTGTCATATGCAAGGTATTAGTGATAGAGCTATAAATTATGAGAATAGATTAAAAACTTTATTCAAAGGTATATTGAAATTAGCCTTGGCTGGCTCAAGGGATGTTCATGGACATGAAGCATTTTCAGGATGGCAAATACAAGCATTTACAATAAAAGCTAAGGGAACAAAAGGTCCAGATATTACTCAGTTTGGTAGAATTGTTGATTCTACATTTAGATCAGTTAACAACTTATTAGAAAAATTTCATCAATCGTTTTTCTTTTATTTGATGTTAAGTCCCAAACATTTTGTTTCGATCGGTACTTATTTACCAAGTGCTGTTATGTTAGCTGTAAGTTACGCTTTAAGTGCACTCAATGTTATTTTAAATTCAGGTATCGACATCAATGAAATTCCACAAAATATTACAAAATTATTGACAACAGCTACTTTAATTGAATTATTTTGTTTGGTTTTAGCTATGGTGATTCCACAATTACCTGATGATACTATTAATATAGTTCCAACAATGGCACAGGGTATATTTGGTTTATTCATTGTCAGATCTTCCAAAGCATCAAAAACAACTAGTTTCACATTAATTGCATTTGCTTTGTTAATGATTGCATTGTTGATAACTGCCTTATTGATCGTTCATTTTGCATTAGCTTTCACTATTGGTATATTAGCACTTCCATTAACATTTATTCCACTAGTAATTGAAAAAAATAGAAAATTAGCTATTCCATGTTTAATAGTATCAAATCCTTTCACCATAGTTTTAATAGCACATTCATACCCAGAGTTTGATGATATATTTTTACAATTAGTTAGAGCTTGGACTGAATTACAATGTTGGACTTGGTTGGTTGTCATACTAGGTTGGTTTTCTGCATGGTTAATGATTGCATATGGTGCAGCAGGAATATATAGTAGTCCACCAACACTTGAAACAAAACCAAAAGATGTAAGAGAAACAAAATTGGAAGAGTCATCAATTTAATGTATATATACAGGTTTACCTTTAATTTATTAGATCTCTATTTACTCTTGTTTAAAATCAATAACTAAACCGGGACTATTAGCCGTTGTAATATAACAATACCCCAATCTTGTTTTTTTCGAAGCATTTGGATCAATTTGTGAGAATATAACATCACTAACAGCTTTTAAATTTGACATAATTTGAAAATCACTAAATGTACAATTTCCCACAGAAAAAGTTATATTTGAATCTTTTTGTTTAATTTGGAATGACCTTAAAATATTTGTTATTGAATGTGGATCATCAGTTACAGTCCCCTTTTTCTTTGTTGGTTGTAATCCAGCTGGACCCAAAATTCTTGCAACACTTCTCAATTGACTTTCCATTTCACTTGTTGCGAATACATGAGTAAAATCACTTGGTAATAATTCTTGATTTATGAATTTATCAATTAATTCTTTCCCACCTATATTTTCTGATCCTACTAAAGGTTCTATCTCTGATATCATTGATTGTTGAGTTGTGAAAATTAACGGTTTTGTCTTTTTATTTACAGGATATGGAATATCAACAGTTCCATTTATTGGATGAGCACCTTGCTCTTGACGTACATACAAATGACACGTGATTGTTGTTTTGTCCACTGGTTTACCTACTTCAAACGATCTTATAGTATTTAATGCTTCTGCAATAGGCATATGTAATGGATGTTCAATTGGATTTTCCAAAGATTTAAATTTTAATTCTTGTCTTAACTTTCGTTTCTTCTGTTTGTCTTTTTCTCTTTGAAGTTGTGTTTTTATTTCTTTGGTGTGTACTAAGGTACGTTGTGATAATTTGACAGAATGTAAGACATGCCTTATTATTGGCTGACGGGGTATTAGTCTAAACATTGATCTTGATAAGTTCTACTTCCTGACTGATTTGAAAAAAAATTAGTGAAAAATTGAATTACAAAGAGAAATTTTATGCACCAAAATATGCTACCAAATTATTTACATTAATTTTTATATACCAACAACACCTGTTGATTTAAACTTTTTGATGAACCGTATTACACTAAAGATCACTATTGAACCAATTGGACCTAATAGCGGCAAAAATACTGCCAACTTATGTTCACTTGGGAAGTAAGCTTGCTGGACCATTTCTTTTTCAAAAAATGCTTTATTTGATGCTTGTTCAGCTAACGCAGAAAATTCAACTGATTTATTTTCAATAGCCAACTTAATGTTTTCTAGACACTTGAGAATTTCTTGTTTTGTTTCTTCTGGTACTGTAATTTCATTTAATGATTTCGATAATTTGATCAATGATTTTAAATTATTTAATGAATTTTTTATATTTTTATATATTAATATTCTCTCTAATGAGTCTAATTTTATTTGTAAAGATTGTGATCCTTCTGGTAATCCGACCAACTTAAATAACTGGTTGGTGAAAATATTCATTATGGGTATCAAATCTTCTTTCAATAATTTTGAATTTGACATCATTGGCATGTTTTTGTTGAACAATTTTATACCACCCCATTGAGAAATTAAAAATGAGTTAGTTTTAGAATTTTCTATACTTAATTGATTATCAGGAATGTATACCAAAAAATTTATGGTTGGATTTATATCAAAATTGACCAAATTCCAGTCATTAAAATTTATGAATGTTTTCAAATCACTTTCAAGTATGTAGTTGTTCTCATAGTGTTTAGAAAGTTTTGTATAATATTGAATTTGAGTATTAATTGTAAATGTTGTAATATTTTTTAAGAAAGCTGATACTGATTGAAAATGATTTAATGCTTCCTCTATTTCCCAGTTTATATTTTTCCCATTCTCAGTAAATAATGAAAAGACTAAATTGTAATGAGGACTATATGGAAATGCAACACCCAAAGAATATTGATCAGTTTTGAGTGCTTTTAAAGTTTCCAATTCATCTTTGAAAACATTGTCAAATAAAACTTCTTGAACGTATGAATTGTAGTTGTTTTGTGATTGAGCTTTGATGACAATATCCCTTTCATTAGTTTCAAAACTATCTTGGCCAGTTGATTCTTCCAAATGAATTTGATATTTAGCCTGTTCTGGTCGATCGACAATTTCAATTTGCCATTCCTTCACCAACTCAGGATATTTCGCTCTAAACCCAGATTCAATTGCATTATAATCAAGTGGCTCATTAGAATATATAGGTATTTTATATGAAATTGATTCTATGTCAAAATTATTGACTTCATTAACTGGTAAATCTGCTCTGTAAATTGAAGTTGTATATAAAAACAAAGGATAACCTAAGCCAACAATGAGGGTGATGACCACTACCGTTATTAGATCTCTAATGAATGATATATTAGAAGATTCTTTTGAATCCTTTTTCATCTTTGAATCTTGAAGAAATACGTCTTGTTGTGAAATAATATGTGTTTTGATTTTGATCTAACAATATTTTACTTGAAAAAAAAGACACCAAATATTCACGTACTTTTTTTTGCAACATTTTTGTCTACGTAATGTTTAAAAAACCACCAACAACCAAGGCTTCTGCTAATATCAAGTCGTCAGATCGTAGAAAATTACTAGCTACGATATGTCAAACATACAATTTAAACATAGATGAAATTTCAAAAGAAGGGTTAGAAAATATATTACCATCAACAAGTAAAAAAGCAACCTTTATATCATCAACTGGTATTTCAGGTACTTTATATTTGAATGATCAAGAGTTACCAACATGGTTTCAGACAAGAGATTCACAGCTATACCCATCCATCTTAACTTGTTGGAAATGTCCATATATCTTACCATTAATAAAAACTCATCCTCATGTTGTTGAAGTATATTTGGGAAAAGGTGCAGATTTAATGTTGCCTGGTACAATTCCCCCATTTGATGAAAGAGCTACAAAATATTCAGTTGTCGGAGTTGTAAGTAGTGATAATCCTCATAGAATTATGGCCATAGGAACCTGTAATTTGAACATGACTCAGTTCGATAATGTGGTTGGAAGATCTGGTACAGCAGTAAATATTTTGCATCACTATAACGATGAGTTGATGAAATTAAATAAAGAGATTGACGTAGAAATACCTGACACCGTGGATCCAATTATACCGAAGAAAGAGGTAGAAGCTGAAGAAGTAAGTGGAGAATCCAAGAAAGAGTCTAAACCAGCAGATGAGGAAATCCAAGAGCACAATATGGAGAACAAAGAAGAGAATGAGGAAGAGGATGAATTAGCTGAAGAAATAGAAACATTAACAGTTGAAGAACTTGACAATTTTTTCGTACGTTCATTACTTCAAACAATAAAATTAGAGAAATTAGAGCTTCCAATGTCAAGTAACGTATTTTCAACGTTCATATACAAAAATTTACCAAATATGGACTCAAAATATGCCAATATAAAAAAAACATCATGGAAAAAAATATCAAAATTTTTGAAAGAAATGAAAAAATTGAAATATCTTGATATAAAGGGTAAAGATGAAGATTTGACTATTATAAGTGTAATATCTACAAATTCATCAGTAATAGAAAACTTTGTGCCTCATAAAATCAACAAACCTAAAAAATCAGGAACTACAGATTTACAAGACGCAATAATGACCATAAAAACATTGTACAAACCAACCAGTAAGTCACGAATGTTCTTTAACAAAATTAATGAGGAGTTTGACGCATTATATACATTAGGTGAACTAAAATCAAAATTTGAAAATTATATAAAACATTTCGAATTGGTGGTTCCAACAAGTCCCAAAAATATTTTAATTGATGAAATAATAAGTAAACCAATAAATAAACCAGAAGGTACACAAATGGCAAGAGATCAAGCATTTAAAGAATTTCTACCAAATTTTTCACCATATTATGAAATGATATCAGCTGATAAACAACATAAAGAAATTTTAAAAGGTCAACCACCAAAAATAAATATTGTTACTGAAATGAAAATTGGGAGAAAAATTATAACTCGTGTAGGCAATTATGATAAATTTTTTATAAAACAGGGTGTATTCAGTGAAGAGTTAAGGATCAAATGTTCTGGTTCAACCACAATCTTGGAGGATGATCAAATTCAAGTTCAAGGTCCTCATGGCATGTTAATTATAGAGTTATTGAAGAAAAAAGGTATACCCCTTTCATGTATAGACTTTGTGGATAAAGTTAAAAAGAAGAAGAAAAGATCATAGATTTATATATTAATAAAATAATTTTATTAAGTAAGAAGATTAATACGTAAATTTGATTGAATGTGTATTTTTGAAACATATTTTGGTAGCATTTGCAAAATTTTTGGTACTTTTACATCTCTTAGTAAAAACTTCCAATTTCAAAAAAAAGTTGTGGAGGTTCCCCTCTAAATTTACCCAACATGATAAATGATACAGACTAATTACAGTATTCAATTCAAGGTCAATCTTTAATCGGATGATGTAATTCTAATGGACGGATTCCACAAGTGCAGAAACATTTCATCGCTCTATTTTTCGCAGCCAAACTCATATTTCTACAAGAAAGTTTTTTTTTGTTATTCATTAAATTTTTATCTATAAACGCAAAAAGTATAAGAGAAATAAGTAGATAAACCACGAAAGAAACAAAATCAACGACGTACGCTTTTTAAAACCAACCCGAAAAACCAACCCAGATACAAGAACCAAATTTTTTTTTCTTACTTCAACCAACCTTTATTCAATAAATCAATAACTTGAGAATCAAAATGAGAATTCAGATGTTGTCTCATATGATTATGATGATGTCTTTTGTGATGGTCATGATCTTCTTCGGATCCAAGGTCAAGATCTTTTAGTTGATGATAATGGTGATGGTGGTGATGATGATGTTGATGATGATTTTCTGGGAATTTTGAATGTTTAGGTGGCTGATCTATTTGTGGTGCACTGCTGTAACCACTTTGACTACTTGAAGATAATGATGATTGTGAACTTCCTCGATTTTGAGTTGTGTTTCTATTTTCTTGATATATTGATTCATGATTTAATTGTGAATCTGATTGAGATTGTTGATGGGTTGGATTGAAATGAAACTGGTGATTGTTGAAATGTTTATTTTGATTCTCTTCGTTTGTATGAATGCTATTGTTGTTATAGGATGCATTAATTTGCTGATTTATATTAGCTCGTAAATTATTTTCATTAATTTTATGGGTATTATTTAAATTTTCAGATTTTAGATTGTTTGAATGAAACTCATTTGAATTGAAATATTTATGCAAAGGTAAATTATAATTAGATAGTGAATTGTTATTATGATGCGGTTGGGAATGATGATGAGGTTGTTGAGGAGGTAGCGGGATACTATTGTGTTGATGAACATGTTGATGGTGGTATGATTGTTGGGGTAACTTTGGTTTCTCACTCAATGGTAAATTAGTAGTAAGATTTGAATTGATTAAAGTATGTAAAGAATGATCAGAATAAATTTTATCTGACAATTTCAAATTTTTTAATCTTGTATCATGTGAAGGTATATTCACCAAATTTAAATTTTCCAGAAAATCTAAGCTTTGATTATTATTCATTAAATTATCACCTTGATATGAGTTTTTAAAATATGAGATTAAATGATATCTTTGATTTGTCTTTGTAGTTAACGAAAACGATTGTTTTATTAATCCATTATTTTCTTCCTTTTTGGTAAATTTATTTAATTCTTTATACTGTAGAAAATTTCCATTATAGACTTTTGATGCTGACCAAATTTTACCATCTGTCCATCTTTTCATTCCACAAGATGTTTCATTCCATATGAAAATTGTATTGGGTTTTATAAATTTTGATCTCTCTAGTATGGTTAATCTTCTATTAATTATTGGTATCATTTTTAATCTACATGCTTCGATTAATAATAATGCATCTAGTATTGAGTATATTCTACCAATATACGTAATTACATGACTGTTTGATAAGTCATTTGATTTTGGTGGTGATGGTGAAGGTGAAATAGATGATGATGAATGAGACAAAGAATGACTTAATGTATTTGCATTAATTGAGGGATTTAAATTTGCATACTTTTCTAAATTCAAATGTGGTAATTGTTCTTGTGGTAATTGTCTTAAATGACTTCTATTTTTAGATTTATTATCTAAATCTTCCTCTCCTGATGATAAAGATGACGATGATGAAGATGATGATCCGTAAGTTGACGGAGTAGTAGTGTTATCGGTATTTGAATTTAAACTTGAATCTATGGTGGAATATGAAGTGGAATTGTGTGAAGTAATTGAATCTGAATTCATAATAATTTTGTAAATATTACTTTATTCTTCTTTGTAGTGCAGTCTTGCAGTCTTTCTTTATTCGTTTGATATGATGTTGTTTAATAGTTTTAAATAGTATATCTGTAAATATTTGATTGTGACAAGTTTTATTGCAATAAGTGATTTAAAACATTAATCAAAGAATGAATACAAAAAGATTCAATTTTATGAAATGAAAAACGAAATTACTCTTTCTTTTTTTCTATTGATATTCTTCTTTCAATACATTGAAAAGCAATGTATATAAAGTTTTGAAGTAGGAATGTGGAATGAAAATTAATTAATTTTTCAAATGAATGGTAAGTTTTAATCTTTTAGGTTTTAATTATTTTGCAACTAAAAAAAACAATTGTTTGTAGTTTCCAAATCAAATATATTAAGTTTGATGAAGAAAAAAAATTGAAATTTGAATAAACAAGAAGTTATAAAAAGAATGATAAGTAAAAAATTTTGGAAATTGATCTTAGTTTATTGTATTTCTAAACTAAAAAGAAAGAAAGAAAGAAAGAAATATTATAACTTTTATTAAAAAATTATTGAAAAAAAGAAATGGTAAATTATAAGATTAAAATAATTCCTTACAATAGTAAGACAAAAATACAAAAAATAGATTATATTATTTTTATAGTACGTTATTATTATTATTTCAAAGTTAATCTTATTTATCAAACATCATATAAATTTAAAACTCTTATAACTTCTTTAAATTATGATACAAAAGATTAAATTCAAAGTTGAAGTAAATTATACACCTCATTTGTCAATAATAAAAACTTTAATTTTAGTTAAATTTGCTAAATGTAATGTTAAAATTCAGGGAAATTAACATAAACTACATATACTATGTATGATTTATACTTAGTCTAAAACTCTAATTTAATTGAGTTTAATAAATAAACTAAAGGTTAATAGAATTTATAAAAGCATATATGGGGTGTTATAATAAATTTAGATGTGTTTTAAAATAGAAATTAAAATGGTTTGATATAAAAATGAGAATTTCAGAACAAAATTTGGTAGCACAAAGTCAGAACTAATTTATTATCATCTAAAAAATGATGTTGAAAACAAGAGTATGTAAAAGTTCAACAAGACTTAAATTTTCTTCAAGTAAAAGCTAAATGGGATTAACTACTCTATCTAATCCAATATACTTTCTACAGGTGGCAAATAAAGAGTTTAGTTGTCTTAAATTAATTTTGTGTACTCTAATTCAATTTGGTCCAAATAGGTTAAGATGAAATTTAGTTCGAATTGTTCATAACTCAAAACTAAAAAAAGTTTTAATTTAAAATTAAACAAAAGAAAAAAGTTACGAAAATATTTTGAAAATGTATGAGGTCATATATTTTTATTTATTGTATTGCTTTAAATTAAATACAATTATTCACATATAAATTTAGAATTACATACCCATTTATTTGTTGGATAATTAGAATATAATATTTCAAACTTGATAATACAATTGACAATTGTAGTAGCAAGTAACTACTAATTATAAGCTCATCGAGCCGAGGGTATTTCAAAGTTTTTCTTGTAGATACCAAGAAAGAATTAAAAGATTGTCTAATTTTCCGTCGTAAAATATTATATATTTGCAAGAAAAAAGAAAAATCTGAAACAGAAATTATTATTTGATGTAAGAATTGATTTATAATAAATCTACGTTGGATCAAATTGGTTTTCGGATCAGATATTGTTCAACAATTCACTTGTTAATTTGATATTTGTGAAAAAGTGAAATTGAACAGTAATAACTCACGGGAAATCTAATAATTGATTCTTAATTTTCCAGGTGAGGCGAGTAAAATTTGTATGTAGAATCTTTTTTTTTTCTGCATCTATTGTTAAATTACCTGGAATAGAATTTAGGGGGTTTATGTTTGATTATAATTTTCCACGCCTCAAGTTTTCAATTCGTTTCACCTTCAACGTTTTATATGATCCGTCTTGAATGTAACTTCAACTAAGGCTTTACAAGGAAATTAATCATCTTATACCCTTTTAACCACTCGTGCTAGAGTTTGGCCATAATTTAATTGAAGCTATAAAAAAAAAAATTGATAATAGTTTTAGGAGGTGTAATGGGGTGTCAATTTAAATTTTCTATCTGATTCAAATAAGGTTCACAAAGTTTACTCAATTTGTTAATCTAAATGAAAGTAGTCTTATATGCTCAGTTTATTATTTATTGTAAGATAGTGTATAGAATTTTATTGTTAACTTACATGACAAAAGTTTATATTTCAACACTTACGTAATTTGTTTTCAATAATTAAATGTCATAGCAATGAAAAAAAAAAAAATAGTTCAACAAGCAAATTAAAAAGAAATTAAAAATTTTATTCGAACAAAAACAAAATTCCGACGGACTTGTAACGAGTCCAAAATGGAAGTATAAAATTGTTTTATAGTTTTATTCTTTGAAACCAAAAATTGAAAGTAAGACACAAGTTTCACTTTAAATTTGAGTTGCTTTGTGAATGTTTTTACAAATTTTTCTTCTAATTTCGTGGGGCAAAGAAGATTTTTCTTTTAAAAAATCTAGAAACAGCTCAAGATATGAGATTAGATTTTTTTGTTATAATAATTTCAATTTCGCTTCTTTTTTTAATCTTGATTATAATAAATCATGATCGAATTATTTTTCTGAGATTTGATGACAAAAACAGGAAATGTACAATTATCCGAGAAACTGTTTACATTTCCGTAACTACCGTTAGGAACAATTAATTGCTGAAAGTATAATTTCAAATCCTAAATTTAGAATAATGGTTCTACTTTATGTCAATGAACGTTTGCAGTTGCCAATATTAGCATTCTAAGTCGCCACTTTTCGGATATAACAATTAACTTCATTACTTAGTTACCCATTAATTATCATGAAGATAGTTTGTTGTACTATAGATTGTAATGACCAGCCTTTTTAGTGGCCGAAAGGCTAGGCTTGTAGAATTTTGCGATAATGTGGTATAGCATATGATTAAAGTCGAAATGCCATTAACCGGTGAACTTATATCTACTTGTTTATTTTCTGTTGGACATTTGCCATACCATTTTCAATTAAACAAAGGAAAACATTAAATCCAAATACCAAATTTTCATAACGTTTCCAAAACGAGCTTATATTGGTCTCATTATATTCCCTCACTAATTCTGAGTGTTTTATTGTTTGAGTGACTTTTCCTAAAAATGTGTTGCCGATTTGATGTGGGTGCAAATAATATTCGTATACCGTCTAGCTTTATTTTCAGAGAAAAAAAAAAGCTTTCAAAGAGTAAGTACGAGTGTTAAAAGTCTACTTCAGCATGTTATACATTACACTATTTACAACTATATATATGCTGACCAACCGCCATACATTTGAGATAATCTTTCAATTGAAGTTGCCTCTTGAATTAAAAAATCAACTTGACCATGAATATTCATTACCAATCCTTCATCTTCATTAATTAAACCTCTAATTTTTTTTCTAACTTTTGATAAATCCTTTTGTGGTTCTGAATTAATTTTCCAATCACATAATGGATCATATAACAAAGTTTCTAAAATATTCATTAATGATTGTTCATTTAATCTCAAAAGTTTACCAGTATGTTCACAAGAAATTCTGAAACTTCCATCCACTCCAACTATTCCCATTGCGTCTATCATATTTTGGGTTAATCTAAATGGAACAATTTCTGGTGTTGGTAAATTCAAACCTTTTTCAAATAAACAATCAAAATCTATATGTAGTATTGATCCATTATTTTTGAAAAATAATATATTCTCACAATGTCTATCACCTAACCCTATTAAATAACCAACTATTGACATAACTGCTGATGATCTTGTAAAAGAATTTCTTGCCATATACCAAGAACTTGGATCTGGAAATGTTTCAATAAACCATTGATGTAAAACTGGTGGGTTTTTATCGCACACTGATTTAAATAAACTTACTAAATTATTTAGTGACCTGTTATCTTTATTTTTATCAAAAAATTGTTTTTGAGCTTGATTTATAGTATTGAAAATTTGTCTTTCATTAACAACTTTTCCATTTCTTTTCCGTTGTTCACTAACTATACTTTTCATTGTTTGAACATTCATCACAAATTCAATAACACCAATGTTCTCAGATAATGGTATGACTGAGTAATTTGCAACATTTAAATTTCTTTTCCTTGCTTCTGCACTTGTTGATAATATTCTATTAACCATTGTTGTAAATTCAACAACTTTCGCATCTTTTCTTGTATCATCACTTTTTATCATTAATCTATATGGTTTACCATCTGAACCTTTGATTGTAATTTGTCTTGGCATTTGTAATGAAAAGAAAATATTGACTTGATCTGAAAATCCATTAAATGTAACTGAAGCACTACGTGGAAATGCTCCTGAGTATGAACTTGCTTCTTTATGAGGTATTCTAATTTGCAAATTTGATTGGACTGGTATAACTAATTGGTCATAAGCTCTATTGATATCGGTGAAATTAAAATATTTACTCAAGGACAATTGTCTAACTCTTGATGATTTGTTGACCGATTTTTGAGCAATACTAATAAATTTTGCAAATAAATCTTGTGCTTCTAGAATTAGAGTTTCATAATCTTTTCTTTTTCTAGCATTCATCAAAATCTTGTTGACTCTATCTTTTCTTTTTTGATCACCTGAATATGTATGTGATAAAACGTACCATAAACTATGACGAGGATATTCAGATATTATCGTTGCAACTATTGTAGATAATAATTTATAAGATGGTTCATGTTCATGAACAATTCTTGATAAAATTTGAGTTATAGCAGTATACCAGGCATATGTAGGAATTGTTTTCAAACCATCAGTTAAGTCTTGTATAATTTGTTTCAATTTTTTCTCTCCAATTTTCTTATGTTTAGAAAGTTTGGCAAAATCTAACCAGATCGTAATCAATTTTGGTAATGCTTCAAATATAAACAGTGAACCAATTGAAACGGCACATATGAAATTTCTAACTGTTAATTGTTGATAAAATCCCGATTCATCTTTTGAAGAATCCATCAATTTATTGTAATATTTCCCAATATCATAACTTGAATTTTCATACGTCTTATCTAGTTCAAAAGCTTTTGTGTATTCTTCAATAATTTGATGAGCTGATAAATGATTTGATTCATCTAACCAGTTGGCATATTGTAGTTGGATCTTAGCCTTAAATTGAGTATTATTAATCTCAGTGTTTTTCAATATTTCTGATATGTTTTTAATTGCTTCAGATTGTTTACCTTCAGCCCATAATAATTTCGAGTATTCAATATTTGCAACAGGATTTTCTAAAGCCATAGCTTTTACGATTGAACTCGTTGAAACATCTAATCTTCCATTCTCTCTGGCCAAACTTGATTGATGTAAATAAATTTCAGAAACTTTCTTGTCGTTATTAATAATTTGATTTGCAACTAAATGAAGTGTTAAAATCTTATTTTGCGTATCAAAATCTTGATCAACATTACTCAATCTTAATCTCAATTGATCTGTTGTTTCATCTGATGATTTTAATATTTCACCCATATCATATATTGAATGTAATTGATTTAGAAGATTAACATTTCTACTAAAACTTGATGATGTTGAAGAAACTAATGAATTTCCAATGACTTTATATAGGTTTTGCATTGAATCTTCAAAATTACCTCTTTTATCTTTGTCATATAAACATGTAATATAACGTGCTAATTCATAGTTGACTAAAGTTTCAGTATCTTTAGGTTTACCCAATGAATCAGTTACTTCAAGCCATTTTGTCAACTGATCAGGTTTACCAGAATATACAGCAGATCTTAATCCTACTAGTGCCCAATCCAATGGTATTTGATTCAAATCTCTTAAATCTGTGGTACCTGATAAGGTTGACAACACTTCGTCATAAGATCCATATTCATTTAATGCTTTTAATAAACTTGTACTTTTTGAAACAGATTTTCTACCAATATTAGAGACTTTAAATGACTCTAAAGCTAAACTCCAATTGTCACTATACTGAAAAGTTTTCAATTTTTCCTTCACATTATTTGATGAAAACATCTTCAAAGTACCATTCAATGCATCATAATCATTAATATTAGCATACATATTTTGTAAAGTTTTTGCAGCATCTATATCACCAAGTTTGAAATCTGAATCAATTTGACCATCACGATAACATTTTTCGATATACAAAATAGTACGTTCATAAGAATCACATTCTGCGGATTTAATTGCAATTAAATCCATACCAAATGCACCAATAAATCTTGTAACTAAATCAATCTTATCGAGCCATACATCAGTTGAAGAGGATGAGGAACTGGTAGTGTTATTATTATTTGCAATTTGAGTTGTGGCTGATAACCATTCGTTACAATAATCAAATACAGTGAAAATAGTTTGAAAGCATAATTTTAGTTCTTCAGTTCTATCAGAAGGTGAAGCATTAGAATCTATGTTGAAAATATGGTTGAACTCCTCTAACATCTCTTGTTCAACTGAATGATTCAAACATAAAATATGACTTAAAACAACATATTTGAATAAATATTGACAAATAGAAATATCTTGATCTTTTAATAGAATTGCACAATTTTGAAATATCAATTGTCTAGTATTTGGCTCTTGAGTTTCACCGTGAAAACTCCCCTTTTTCAAAAGATACAAAGTTATATCTACTAACCAAGTTTCATACTTCATACCAGTTTTATAGTATGGAAACGCAATTGGAACTATCTTTAATTTTGCAGCCGCGGTATATTTTGAATTCATTAACGGAGTTAAGGTAGATTTTGCAACATCACTAAATTTTGACCAAATTGAATTCTGAGAATCTTTAATTTTATCTTCATTTAATTCAAGTATTTGTAGAAATTCTTGCATTGCAAAAGCTGCAAATAATTGTTTTTGTGGATCATTTGATGCCCAAAATAGTTTCAAAACATGATTTTCAATAAAATCAATTAAGAAACGGGAATTTTCTTTTTGGTCTTCAAAATTTTGTTGAACTATTATCAGTTGTTTGACCGTTTTAAAATGAAATTTGTTTGCATCTAATGCTCCAAATACTGCTAAAACTCTCGCACATTCTGATGTAATTTTTGGATTTTTGTTTTTAAAATGTGACGCAGTATCTAATATTGTTCTTACCAAAATAGTTATTGTTTCATGTAAACTTGAGTCTTTGAAAATATCCTTTTGACAATTTATTTGATACTTGTTAACATAATTAAATAAATCAAATAATGCTTGCTCAACTACATATTGATTTTTAGTACCTAATCTTCTACTAAATTCTTGAAATATTTGTAATCTTGATGGAGTTTTCATATTACGAAATTCCTTATTAAAATTAAAATTAGCCATATAATCCAAAAATGGAATAGATAAATAGTACAATGAGAACCTATTATATTTATCTTGAATTTCCTTATAAATCTTTTTCAATATCTCTATTGCAATATTTTGAGCATCTGGACCAAAAGTTTGAAATTTTTGAAAAATGATGGAAATGACAATATCAATTAATGAAATTAAATGTGAGGGTGGTAATCTTTCAACTAATTCTCTCCAACAAGTTAAAGTTAAAACATGAAAATCTGGCTCTTCCAACATGGCTTGTAAACAAGTTGATAATTGACCTAATGCAGAAGTTAAAGCAACACCATGATTTCTAATTAAATAAAGTATTGCTTGAAAAGCACTTCTTCTTTCCATATATGGTTTGGCACTTTTTAAAGAATGAGTAACATCACTGAATTTTTGAACCAATAATAATATTTGTTCTTCAATTAACATACTTGCCATTTTACCCTTTTGAGCTCTTTGATGCTTTTGACTATGTGAATTCTTAGCAACAATTTCCAATGCTGATATGATATTTGTTAAATTTCGAATATTACCGTCATCATCTACTTGGATTTCTAATAATATGTACCAAGCTATTTCACCAGCGGAAGTAAAAATTTCTTCAGTTGTTACCTGCTTATAATCTGGACAATTACTACTTAAAACTTTGATAACATATCTTTCATTTGAAGAATCTTGCACCAAGTATAATGCTAATATTCTAGGTAAGTTTTGAGCCAATAATTTTTTGATTGACATATCTGAGGCATCAGCAATTTGACCAATTATAGTAGTATCTTTAAAATATTCAAGTAATTTCGGCACCGTATATTCCTTAGTCCTGCTAAGAAAATAATCACGTTTCATATTGATGACTTGTAGTAGTTTTTCACAAACCAATGGTTTAGTAATAATTATAGCTGCAATTGTAGATAAATAAGGTGATAACATTTTGTATGGTGAGATTTTTTTGGAGTGAGCAATATCCCAAAATCCAGAATAAGCATAATTTGAATGTTGATCATTTGGTTCACCTAACCAATCAACTAACTTTAAATATGATGCAAATAGTCTGTTACCATGTGATACTTTTGCCAATTCAACCACTGAAAAAATTGTAGACTCACCAAAATGACGACGATTTCTGGAAGTAAAATCTATTTTCGTAATTCTTTGAAATATAAATTTAAACATTTTATCATGCTGTGATTCTTTACATTCTCTTATGAGGTATAATGGTAAGATTTTGGTGATGATCATCCTTAAGTTTCGGTTTGAGTGAGTTTCTAAAATTTGAAGCATTATACTTATTAATCCATTAAGTGATTCATCATAATTCGGTAGATATGTCGTATAATAATTGTACAACATGTTGAAAAAGTTGCATGCAATTAATGGTTTTGACTTGATATAATTCATATTTGGAATGAAAAAATTTGTTATAATTTCATCTAGTATTAATGACTGAGTTGTAGTTTGAACATTTAATCTATATCTACTAATCTCCTCATTTGAATCTACTTGAAGTGCTGGAAATTTACTTAGCGCAGTAAGCAATGTGAACATCGTTGCATCCTTTTCAACTTCTCCAAAGTCTAACTGAACCAAATTTCTCACATATCTGATCCAGTGAATTTGTTTTTCAGTTTCACTGGAATTAATTGGTGCGATATACTTGAATTTTTCAGGAGTTATAAATTCAAGACTTTCCATGGTAGTAGATTCATGATTCAACTTTAGCTTTAAATCATTTAGTTCTTTAGATGAATACTGAAAATTTTTGAAATCAATGGGAGAAGCATCAGTTATATTTATTAAAAAGTTATGCTTTGACTCTAAATGATAATAAATAGAATATATTGTACTCTTAATTGATATTGGAAACAGGTTGATGTAGGATACTTTACGTACTAATCCCTCAAAATCTAAAATTGAAATAAAATTGGGTACTAGGTTTTTATCGTTACAGTATGAATAAATTTTAAATAATGTGATTGAAATTGATTGTACAATATTTGGAAATTCGAATCCATTAGTTCCTGTTGCCAATTTTTTAAAATCTTGATTGATTAATTCCAAAATTTTCATTAACAAAAGTTGAATCTCATTCCAATTAATCAAATCATCTATCAAAATATTATCCAACTGATTTAGCACCAATAAACTTTTAAGGTTATCAATCATTACCAAGTTTTGTTCATTATATACCAATTGCGCATTGTCAAGAATTTGCCAAAGTTCTCTACCAAAATTTTGTAACTTTAATTGATATGCGCTTGAATTTAATGATAACTTTTTATTAATATCATAATCATTGACAATTGAATACAAATGACAAGATGAAACTAATTTTTTCAAGTATGTAGGATTATTACATGATGAAACATTTTCAACACAATGGTCAATATCAAGATTTAAAGACCTTATTAGGTTTTCTCGTAGTAGCTTTATAAATTTGTAATTATGTAATTTTGTTGATACTAAGTCAATATTGTGAATAATTAAACTCTTTAACCGATTAACAACATCCGGCTTTGAATTTGTGGTTGAAATATGATGACCAATAAATAATATAATCCATTCGTAAAGTAGAATTTCTTGAGCCAGAATTAATTTTGTATTTGAAGTTGGTATATAAATTAAGCTAATATCCTGATATTTTAATGAAACGTTTAATAAATATAATTTCTTGCTTAAAACTAATTCAATAGTATCTATAATTTTGAATAGTATATCATCATTATTTTTGTTGTCTACTTGAGTTATATCAATTAATTTAGAATTTAAAAATTGTAATAAATATAATATTAATTTTTTAAAGTCTGTATCTTGATCACTTATATTTGTCTTGATATCAGATAAAAATTGTAGTAATTCTTCTGAACTCAACTTTTGGGTTGAAGTCATATCATAGTTGAATTGTTATAAGTGTGAATTGATTCAATGGGTTGTGATTGATGTAAAGCTTAACGTGTAGATTTATTTGCAACACTTTTTTTATTATGTGAAATATTACGCGTAATACTAACTAATAAAATAACTGCTAAATATTAAAAAAGAGACATAAGAACACCATAATTTACATCAAACACTTTATCACACTAAATACTAAAATTAAATTTTCATATCCCATTCACTTCATAAACTATATACTATATCTCTATTTCAAAATGATACTTTAAACCCCATTTATATTTGGAAAAAAAAACACACTATTATACAGATTAAATTTTTTTATTATACATTACTTTTCAAGTTATTGACCATAATTAATAGGTCTTTTAAATAATAAGATATGAGGTTCAGGAGCATGAGTTTCATAATGAGCCCACCCCAAACTTTGAGTTATTCCTAATCCTCTCCATTCTTCTTCTAACAATATTCTTAAAGTTCCAGTTTCTGGATTAAAATAATCTTGTGGTATAATTTTGAGCATATTTTTTGGTAACATTACATGTCTATATTCATGAGTATCATCACTATATCTTGGACTATAATGAATCATATCTTGAAATTCTAAAACTTTTGCTCTTTCTGAATCACTTAAATACCTTGGTTTTGATGACATATTTCGAAGTTCTATTTATGTAGGTTAATGTTAGATTGTTATGTTAGATTGGGTCTACTTTTAAAATCGGATGTTTTGTGGTTTGAAAAATAGACGATTTCAAGTTAATGTTTGAGATCTATGTGGTGAATTGATTTAGTTGTTAAGTAATATGTTTTTAATGCTAATGATAAAAGAATGCTATATAATCACGAGTGAATTGAAGTTAGTTTAATATGAAGTGAAGTATAAATAAAGAAGTTGTAAAACAAGTATTGATATAAGTAATTTAACTTAAAAAAAGAGACCATATAATTTTTTTTTCCTTAGACATAATAAATTTCTATTAAGGGTTTTTTTAATTAGAATACGATTTTATACACGCGTGAGTCTTATCTAAATTTAGATTTAAAGCTACATGTTTTAAAAAAAAACAGGGTTGACACTGATCTTGGTAAGAAGACCTAGACTTTCTCTACAGCTTGTAATTGAGTTGTCATTAAATATATCATTAGTCATTAAAAATTTTATAAACAACATTACTTTCCACCCTAATTAACTCTATCTTCATATTTTCTACCAACTCAAGATCGATGCGAGCCAGAATGTGACGATGATTTATGCAAGTGTGAGTGTGAATGTGTTGATGAAGATCTATGAGATTTGTGTCTATGTTTCTCGTCAGATTTATGCACCCTTCTTGATGATGATGAAGATGATGAACTGCTTTTATGATCTAGTGCTTTATCTTTACTAAGTGCTTTCGATTTCTGCTTTTGTTGTTGTTGTCGTTTCATCAATGCCATAGGGTCGTTCTCTAGTATTGATGAACTTACACCTTTATTACTTAATCCTGACCCAATAATTTTATTCAATCTATCATTACCTGTATAACCACTACTTTTTGAACCTCTCTTGTGAAAAGCTTGATTACCACTCAACAAACTTTCAACTTCCTTTTTGCCATCAGTAAACTCAGCATTACTTTCAATAAATCCACTTGAATTTTTTGTTTCTTGTTCTTGTTTTTCAAAGGGAACGTCTTCATACATCCAACTTAATTTTGACACTTTTAACTTTTCATTATTTGATAAATGGTTTTCATAATCTGAACCATACTGCAATTTCAATAAATCAAGATATTCTTGTTCTTTTTTAAATTCTTCATTTTTGACCTGATCTTCTTTGAGTTGTTTCAATTTCTTTTGTTCCAACTCCCACACTTTCGTTTGATTTTTAACTAATTTTGGATTCCATGATTTTTTTAGATTTAGATCACCTGCCATTTTGAGTTATAGTTCGCTATATGATACGGGTTATTAGTGATTGCATTGATTTTTTGGTTGTAAAATTATACTAAATATATTATTTTATTTTGCGCAGCATTTTTAGATAATAATACCGCACATATTTTGAAATGCCATTATCAAGAGGCAAAAAGAAATGAATATTACATACAAGAGAGCTCTTCTACTTAAAAGTTATAAGTTTATTAATTAAAAGCATAACTTATATATAAACTGAAATCAGAAACAGAAGCAGCTATATATTTCTTCTTATTGATCTAAAAAGATAGCAAAGTAAAATAACACCAAAAAGTTCTTTTAAAAACCATGGATTTTAATATTTTTCTTTGGTAATTGAAGTTGAGTAGTTAAAAATTCACTAACTTTGGTTCTTTGATCACCTTGTAATTGAATAACTTCTCCTAAATCATCATCTTTAACGATATTACCATTACAAGCAAAATCTTTTTTCAAAACTTTTAAAATTTTTTTTAAATCATATTCATTTGGTACACCTTGAACTGTTGTTAATGTTTTTCTACCATTACGTTGTTGAATACGAATATGAATATAATTAGTTGGCTGAGCTTCAGAATCACCAGTGTCGGCGAATGGATCAAATGCGTTTAAGTTTTGGATAGTTGACATAAAATGTTTCAAATGAAAGATAAAATAGCTTTTTCCTTTCTCTTTGTACTAAAATTTAATTTAAATTTTATTTAGTTGATAATAATAGTAAACCTTTTAAATTTAATGAATTAATTATAAAATCAAAGGGTTGTTCTTTTAAATAGTGAAATGAAATATAGATTTTTGATAAATTGACTTTATATAATTTAATCTAATTTAAAACTAGTCGATAAGTAATAGTTGTGTATTGAGATATTTAAAAATAATTAAATTTTTTTTTTCCTTTTAAACTTAAAAATATTTTTATAAAATTTGACTGATTAAATTTTTTTAGCCTAATAATTAATTAATATATAGGAGAAGAATTATTTGAATGAATGTCAAAAATTAGTTTCTTTTTTAATGACACAACTTTAATTTGCGACTTTATCGAAATGGAATTTTAACACTACTCTCTAGATTTACCCTGCTTAGTTAAATATAATAATATTGAATAAGCATGTGATATGAACCAGTATTATTGGGCTTCCTTCTTTCTTCATTGGAACATTTTTATGACCACCAAATCCAATTGATAGCTAATGTCAATTTTGAGAATGATTTCATGGATCAATTCGTTGAATCAAACCATCAAGAGAGTAAAGATCTCTTTAAGTGGCAAATATTAGTTACATTTCGTAAAAAATTTAATGTTTAATTAAATCTAATAATACAATCTATATCTAGAGAAAAAATAAAATACCCAAAAAAATAAAATTCAATTTCTTAATCAAGTTATTAATCAATATTTTTGAAACTTCAAATCATAAATCTGTTACAAATTAAGTAAGAAAAAAATTATTTTATATCTTGATTGATAAACTAAGAATTTTCAACAAAATTTACATGTAATTATTTTTAATTGTTTATATAAATTTCTTATTATTTTCTCTTTTTTTATTCATAGTAAATTTCTTGATTAAACTGCAAATCCCAGGGCCAGGTTTTAAATAGACTTAATCAAGTAGAGTTCATTTTTTAAGGTAAGAAAATACATCAAACTTTTCATACTTAGGCTAATTTTCATTCAAAGAAATTTCGGTAATTCATCACTTGACAACATTGATAAAGTTCAATATTTACTTTCATTTTAAATCAATTTATTAAATTAATTGCTATTAATTTTTCTGTAAAATCATTTTCTTAATTTCAAAAAAATTACGGAGATTTTCAAAATCAAAAATTATTTTAATTTATTAAGACTAAATCAAGAGGAGAAAAATTACAATAGTTCTGTTTCAATCTCATCAATTTAGATCATATACTTTGAAAAATCCAGTAGACCAGATTCAGCAAATCATAACAACTACAATTATCATCAATTGAATCAATCAACGTACCTAATCAATTCACTTTTAGTTTCATAGATCCCCCTATCATAAATCCAATTCAATCAAATATATAGATCAAAGATAAATCAATCATGAGTACTAAAGAGAAAATTGAAATTGATTCATCAATAAAAACCCCAAAATCATCAACAACAGTAACACCAACAATATCGAAAGATGAAATTTCCAATAACAACATAACCAAAAAAGAACCAGTAGTAAATGAAAAAGAAAAGAAGAAAGAAGCATTTATAACAAGAACAATATGGACATTAATAATGATTACCTTCTTCTTCATTATATTAGCATCAGGTCATTTACCAATTATAATAATGATTTTAATTTTTCAATTTTTAACTTTCAAAGAAATTATTGCATTAACTTCTGAGCCTGCAAGAGATAAAAATATTCCTTATAATAGATCATTAAATTGGTATTTCTTGTTTACTACTTGGTATTATTTAGATTTTCCATCATTAGCTGATTTTTTCCAAGACAAGATTTATTCAAATAAAATTTTAACATTATTGGTTATAAATCATAAATTTGTAAGTTATACTTTATATATTGCTGGGTTTATATTTTTTGTTTGGACTTTAAAGAAAGGATTTTATAAATTTCAATTTGCTCAATTATGTGTTACTCATATGACTTTATTGTTGGTTGTTTTCCAAGCTCATTTAATTATTGCCAATATTTTACATGGAATCTTTTGGTTCTTTTTACCTTCTGCATTAGTTATTGTTAATGATATTTTTGCTTATATTTGTGGTATTACATTTGGAAGAACTCAATTAATTGAAATTTCCCCTAAAAAAACAGTTGAAGGATTTGTTGGGGCTTGGATATGTACAGGTATAGCAGCAGTTATTGGTTCATATGTATTATCAAAATCTGATTATTTAATTTGTCCAGCCCAAAATTTATCAACTCATTTATATAATTATCCGTTATGTGAACCAAATCCAGCTTTTATACCACAAGTTTATCAATTACCTCAAAATATAATTGATTTATTAGGTGGTAACATTGAAGTTATTACTTTTAAACCTATATATTTCCATGCAGCAAATTTGGCAACATTTGCTTCCTTAATTGCACCATTTGGTGGTTTTTTCGCAAGTGGGTTAAAAAGAGCATTTGGTATCAAAGATTTTGGTGATACTATCCCGGGACATGGTGGTATAACTGATAGATTTGATTGTCAATTTTTAATGGGTTCATTCACTTACTTATATTATCAAACTTTTATAAGTAATCATAATGTTAATTTAGGTAAAATCTTACAAATGGCTATTATAAATTTAAGTTTACCTCAGTTAGTTCAATTAGTTAAAAGTATATTAAGATATTTAAATAGAGAACAAGTTATTGATGATGCAAAATTGAAAGTTATTTTTGATTTATTAGAAGTTTCAACTTAATGATTTGAAATAAAAAAACAAACAAATGTTATACAAAAAGCCTTGAAAAAAAGATACAGGAAAATAAAAATTGTTTTAAAAAGACAACTATAGAGTGCAAGTTTTATAGTTTTAACAGTATTATTGTAATTTAATTAATATTTAATTTATTGTTTAGATCAATAATTGTAGATAAATTTTCTCTTCTGTAGGTATTGAACTTGATTATGTCAGATCAGATCAACAGTAAAATTTTTCAGAATCCTAGATCTGATTTAAATCCAGGTACAATCTTTTTGTTTACTTTTTTGACTACTATCTACAAGGCTGAAATTAAAGCTAATGTAAAATTGTTATTTTTGGTTGCAATATTTATTCGTAAATTTGTGCTCAAATTAATTTTTTTTTGTACTATTGCGGTGTTTCCTTTTTCGTGAGAAACTTCCAGCATCAACAAGAAAATTATTACGACAACAATAATGATTAATTCCCAAGCCTAGAACGCTGGAAACACAGTTAGAACAATGGAGGGGTATTTTTATGTTACTTGGACTTGGTACTTGGGTGATTGTATTGCCATCAAGAACTAATTTCAGGTTCAGTAAATGGCCCTACGGTAATTATTTTTGATACGTGGAAATGTTAATGAGTAAGTTCATTCCTTCAAATTGGTTTGATTTCATCAGATCTGAAATCCCACTTCATGGATATCGGATCAAGATATTTACCAACTGATTTGGGATCTAATCATCTTATTTTAAATTGGATCAGATCATGATTCAAATATTTTAAAACGTATAGCATAGAATAAAAAAAAAATTGTGAAACAAAATCATACTTGGCTGGTGTAACTAACCAAAAATGTCAAATAACAAATCAATGACATAATTGATTCACATTTTGACATCCTATAGAATATTCTTCAATTTTGTTGCAGAACGATAATTCTACTTGTTAAGAACATATTGTATTTCCTAATTGGGATTTTGCTGCGCAGAAAATTCTAATTATTATTCCTGCATATGCAAAGAAAATCTGGCTGCAAAAAAGAAATATTTATTATCATATTATCAAATCAGATCAAACAAAATTAAAAATATGAAGGGATCAATTGAAACAACCAGCATTTCAAATATGATAATTGAGAATATAAAAGATTAAAATGATCCAATGTTTTATGGTTATGTTCAATTTTTCTTTTCCTTCTTATTTTACCATCTAACTATTTACATTCTTTTTGATTTAAACTATTTACAACCAACTTAAGTCTTTCACTAAAGATAAATTACACATTCGTTTTATAATAACAAACTTATACAGTCTTTAAACTTATCAACTACTACTACATTCGATTATACTTTTTAAATTTACCCACATTCATTATAATCAACACACTCATTCAAAAATGATTTCAATAATATTCACATTCTTTTTAATAAATCTCATATCAGCATTACCATTACCAGCAATAATAACGAGATACCATACAGCAGAAGCAGTAACTCAAACGATTTTAAAAACTACAGGTACAACAACAATTTGGTTACCACCAGTTGGTATATATATTAATCCTGATGGAAGTTCATTTACAAGTACTATAAGTGATGGTCAATGGAATACTTATCCGGTTACTTTTACATCAGTTGTTAATAAAGGTGCTGCTAATACTCCTGCTCAAGCCGCTCCAACTACTACTCAAGCTGCTGCTCCTCAACCTCAACCAACTACTACGCAACAACCTGTTCCTCAACCAGCAACTACAACTCAAGCACCACAATTAGTTCAACCAACTACTACTTCTATTCCACAACCTGTTACAACTCAAACCACTCAACAACAACAACCACAAACTTCAACTGAAGCTCCTCAACCTGCACCAACTACTTCAACAACTTCAACAGCTCCACCAATTTCAACTGAAGCTCCTCAACCGGCACCAACTACTTCAACTACTTCAACTACTTCATCATCTACCACTACAACCTCAACTTCAACTCAATCATCATTGCCATCATCTTCAGCAGCCGATGGTGCAGGTTTAGTTGCAAATTTAAATCCACCAAGTTCAATAGTTTATTCACCATACAATAACGACCGTAGTTGTAAATCATCAGATCAAATCAATTACGACTTAGAATTAATTGCCAGTAAAGGAATTAAAAATATAAGATCATACGGTATTGATTGTGGATCATTAACTACTGTATTACAAAAAGCTAAAGAATTAGGTCTTAGTGTAAACCAAGGTGTCTGGATTTCTGAAGCTGGTATTGATTCTGCTGATTGGCAAATTGAACAATTGATTAACTATGGACAACAAAATGGTTGGGATATTTTTAATTTAATTACTTTTGGTAATGAAGCTATAAATTCAAATTTTATTACTTTACAAGATATGCTTAATAAATTTAATCAAGTTAAATCAAAGTTACAACAAGCTGGATATAATGGTTATGTAACAACTGCTGAACCACCAGCTACTTATATCAAATATCCTCAATTATGTACACAAACTAATATGGATATCGTTGCTATAAATCCACATTCTTATTTCAATGCTAATATAAGTCCTGATAATGCTGGTAATTATGTTACTTCTCAACAATCACAAGTTGCTGGATTATGTAATAACAAACAAGTATGGATAACTGAAACTGGTTATCCTTCACAAGGTTCTACATTAGGGTTAAACACTCCATCTTTAGAAAATCAAAAAATCGCTATTGAAAGTATTTTGGATAAAACTGGTGGTCAATGTACTATTTTGACTACTTATAATGATTTTTGGAAAGATCCTGGTCCATATGGTATTGAACAATATTTCGGTACAATTAATTTATTTGGTTAAACTAATTAGACTATTGATTTTCGATATAATTTATTCGCTTGCATTTTTCATTTTTCATTTTTCATTTCGTTTGGCCTGGCATTACTCATATAGAATTATATGATATATATTTATAAATAGAACAATTTAATAAAAAAAAATTACAGAGGGAATTCCTTTCATTTATCTCTACTATTTCATCAATTCATTAAACATATTACGTACTTTAAAAATCAATGATTCTTTCTGGGAAAAATTCATCAATCAACTCCAAATAATAAGGTTTCAATTCATCAACATTATCACAAACTTTATCAATCTTAGAATACAAATCATACTTATTAAAAGCTTTAACAGCTTTTAACATTTCTTTATCTTCATCATTCATTAAATAAGAATAAGCAAATTCTTGATGCCAAGGATAAAAAGAATGATACCTAATCATAGCCAAAGCTTCTTTTGGTAAAGTTGAATGTTTTTTAGCAACATGATACATATATTCATCATGACCCCAACTTAACATTACTTTATCTAATCCACAATGTTTGGAATATATTCCATACTTTGTATTATATAATGGATTTAAAAAATCAGAATTTTTAGCAAAACTTGCTGGAAATATTATTCTTTTTGAAAATTTACAACCAACTGGGAAAGTATCACCAACTACGTCCCATTGACCTTTTGAATCAAAGAAGTATAACAATTTACCTAGATCATGAATTAATCCAACTAATTGAAACCAACGTGGTTTACCATCTTTTCTAATAGCCTCAGCAGTTTGTAATGCATGATCTATTTGAGATAATTCAGTATCTGGATCACTATCATCTAACAATTTGTTCAATTTCTCCAATCCTTCCCATACGGACATTTTATCTCTTGTCTTGGTCTTGAAATTAATTCTTGCTTGAATATTATAAGCTACTGTTTGTTTTTCATGTTGTTCTTCATAAAATTCTTTAACTCTATCACATGCTAGCTCATACTGTCTAAATGCCTTTTTGTCTATGTTTTTGTAGTATTCTGTTGTAGCTTGCCAATCTTCATCTATAATTTCTTCTGATTTATCTTGTATCTTAATTTCGTCTTCTATTGAAATTGGTTGTGATTTGGATTTTAGTGTGTTCCGTAGTTTATTCACATTTAAAACTTCATCATCTATCTTCTCTAGTATTTGACCCTTCCTCTTCTCGTTTAAAGATATATCTATGGTTTCTTTTGGTGTATTTTTCGTGATTTTCGATGTCATATCATAATATAATGTAAATAAGAGGCTAATTACAAATATTTTTTACAACCACTTTTTGTGTTATTATGGTCTTCACAAAGAAATAGCCATTCAAATTCAGATTGTACAATTACAACTCAATAGATTTGTAAAACGAAAAACTTTTATTAACTATAAATTGTAACGTTACTAGTATACAGAAGTTTCAATAGCAAGTGGGGGGTATCAAAAATCAAGTATCAAACTTAGAATAATGCCACAGCAGCACCAATTAAAAATAATGGAACTGTTACAAAAACATTATTAGCAGAACCTTCAAATACTGGGACAGTACCATTGTTACCATTACCAGCTAATGAACTTGAAGCTTGTGGAATTGGTTGTGGAATAATAGTAGATGTAAGTTCAACAGTATAAGTTTCAGTTTCTCCTTCAATTGTAGCTTTTGAAACGGAAGTAGCAACAGTAACTGATGGAGCAGCGGTGTTACCATTAACAACTGGAGCTGATGATGATTGAGCAGCAACGGTTGGGTTAGATTCTACTGGTGATGATGATGATGGAGCAACAACTTTGTTAGTTTCTGAGGCAATAACACCTGGTTTAGTTTCTGAAGCAATAACACCTGGTTTAGTTTCTGATGGGATACTAATGATTGGAGATTCTGATTTTGGATAAACTGGTACAACAACTTCTGAAGCAGTTAAAGGACAATAAGTAGTATAAACAGTGTGAACATCTGAAATAACAATTACACCAGTTTCAACAGCAACTTTTGAACATTTATTTTCTGAACATGAAGTAATTGTAACTAATGTGTGTTTAATATCGGTAACTGTTGATAAGACTTGACCATTTGAGTTTGATCCACTACCATTTGAACCTTGTGAGTTTGATCCACTACCGTTTGAACCTTGTGAAGAAGAAGATGATGAACCAGCAGCACCAGTAGTGATAACACCTGAAGAGGTAATTGAGACTGAGCCACCGGCAATTGATGATGATGACAAGGCTTTAGTTGTGGTGTTTTGGTAACCAGTTGATGAAAATGAAGAAAGAGTGACAACTGATGATGATGAGACTTTTGAGGTAGTAGTAGTAGATGCAGATACAGGTTTGTTTGAAGTAGTTGATGATTCAGCGGCAGTTTCATTAACAGTAGTTGATTCAGAAGCTGGTTCATTTGAAGTAGTTGATGATTCAGCAGCAGTTTCAGTTTCAGTTTCAACAGGTTCAGAACAAGTTTTTTCATTTAATACTTGTCTAACTTGTTGTAAATAATTTTCACCATCACCATTAACATTAGCGAAAGCACCTGAAGCATCCCATAAAGAAACACCACCGAAATGTTTGTCACATTTAATTTCATCAATAGCTTTAGCTAAATCTTCTGAAGAAACATAACCATTAATATTATCAGTAGCTGGTACACCTACAAATAATTCAATGTTTGAGTTTGGAGCTGAATCAGCAAATTGTGACCAAGTTTTATAGTTGAAAGTACCATCAATTGAACAATAATTATTATAGAATTGAATGAAAGCATAATCTAATGGAACTTTTTCTAATAATTCACCAACTTTAGCATCTGGATAAACACATTGTGGTGAAGCTGATAAGTAATATTGTTTTGAACTATCGAATTTTGATTTTAAAGCAGTTGCTAATTCTGGATAACCAGTATTTGAACCTAATTCAATATCGAAATCAAACCCATCAACAATAGCATCATCAAAAGGTCTTTCATTATCTCCTTGTCCATTACCAAATTTGTTCCATAAAGTATCAGCATATGCAGTTGCTTCTGCAGCACTTGAAAATCCATAATTACCAGCTGCTCCACCTAATGATAATAAGACTTTTTTACCTTGTGATTGACAAGTTTTAATATCTTCACCAATAGCTTGACAATGTAATAAACCTGATGGATAAGTATCACCACATTGATTTGCAAAATTTACATTTGTTGGATCTGGGAAATCATTTAAAAATGATAATAAAACAATATCAGCATCTGAGTTGTCACAATAATGAGATAATCTTTCTTGACCAAGGGCACCATTTTGACCCCAGTAAAGGGCAACATTATTTGCGGCATAAGCTAAAGTTGAAGTAGCTAATAATGATAAAATTGAAGTTGATAACATTATTTATTTATGATAGTTTAAATATATATATGAATCTGTAAACGAAAGACTATGAGTTAGTTTTAAATTTGTTGTTGAGTTAACGAAAGACTATGGGTGAGTTGATTAGCTAATTTAATTAAAAATGTAGTTGATAAAACTAATTTGAAATGAAAAAAAACTATTTGTTTATAATTTGTAACTTGAAATAAATTAAAGTAATTCAAAAAAAAAAAATTCTATCAAAAATAAAAAATTATAAATGGAAATTGTTTTGATTTTATAAAAAACCTAATTTATTCCAAATTGATCTTGTCAAAATATTTTATTATATAATTCTCCAATTTATTTAATTATTAGTTAATTCAATTTTGTTTATACTAAAATTATTGCAAAATATTATAATTACACAAAATTAATTTAGTTACAAAAAATTAAAAATAATAAATAAATAAACAACTCTAATAATAATAAATAAGATATTATCTTCAGAATATAATCCTTCTAAACTTAAAACGCATACAAATAAAGCTTAAACTTCATTCGTTTATGCTTTTGAACATTATTCAGATCATCAATTTATTATACTTTGAGGTAAATGAAAGTGAAAGATTCATGATATTAGATCTAAATCTTCTTAGCCTCAATCGTAAATCATCGAATATTTTCTTCGTGTACGAAAAGTTTTTTTTATTATTCTGCATTAATAATTTTAATATCGTGTTTTTCAACAAATGCATTTTAAAACAATAGAATTTTATTATCCAATTATAGAAGCATAAATATTAAATTTTAGTGTCATAACCTTTAACATTAGTTGAGATTATTTAGCAAGGAAAATGTATAAAGTGTTAAAATATCAACCAGATTTGGGGTTAACCTATATAAAAATGAAAATTCGATTGATTTTAAAGACTTTTTAGTAATAAAAATAAGTAGAAATACATAAATTACTGGATGTTAATTAAGAGATGAAGTTATGACTGGTTTTTGAGTATTGGGCCATTTAATAAGTTTTACTTAAATTTAGTTGAGCATTTGATTCAGATTTAAGCTCTAATAATTCAGGTCCTATTAATAAACCTTGAGATTCAGGATCTCTAGATCTCTATACACGTATTTTTCATGACGAATTAAGTAAGTAATGATCTCGTAAAAAATAATAATCGAGAAAAAGAAAAAAATAAAAATTCTTAATTTGGATTTGATTTAAAATTAAAGTTGAGAGTACAGCAAAAAAATAAAATTTTTTTGTTTAATAATCAACAAATGTTTATCAAACAGTTTATAACACAAATAACAATATTAGCATAAAGTTAGGTTATGTAACTCACATCATCTAGTATTTTTCTTGGCTTAATCTGTATTAATTAATTTATATTCCTTTTTAATTCTATTTTTAAAATATGCCAAAGTCAAAAATGTAACTTTGATTATTTTTAAAATTAAATCTCCGTATTTGTTAAACAATTGGATTTGCAAACCCTGATTTTTCGAAATAATAGAGCCATACGATCAATCGGGGCTTTAAGTTTTTATTTTGACAGTTTGCATGATGTTTTCATTTATACGATTTTGTTTTATGAGGTTGTGATCACATCACTATACTACTCGATATAAAATTTTACTTTTTGTACAGATTAATATGACGAGTCAAGTTATCTGACAAAATTTTGATAACTTCATCTAAAATTAGTTCAATGATTCGCAGTACTGAACTATAAACAAATAAAAATAACAATCACTTAAAATAAACGCTTAATTAAATTCACAATTCTTTGCAAATTTATAAGGCGATTTTTAGTATTTATTAACTAAAATATTACTTCTGCGCTTGCAAGTAGAATTTATCAGAAACAATTGAAAGAACAAAATCATCAACAATCATTGCGTCGGCTTTATTAGTACACCAAATTTACCTCGCGTAAATTTGTGTCAAAAGTTTACTTTTGAAACCCTAAGAATTATTTTAAAGAGTATTGCTTTCTTTATACTTGCTAAAACAAGCATAATAAGGACCGTAAATTATTACGATCAGATTGTACAGTTATGTCAAAAATCTCTAAAATCTGGAGTTATTTTGTATCACATGAGGAACAAATAAGGTGAGGAGTAATTGATTTAGTTCTGTTTATAGTTTATTAATTTCGAGCCAGCTTAATTGCCTCAAATACTAAATTACGCTAATTAATGCTCTCCGTTTTGTGGTTAAATCGGTAGTTTTTGGCTAAAGATTTATCTTTTCGATCTGACCCAAAATTTAAAAGTTTTGATCTAAAATTCACTCTTGAAAAGATTGGAAGTAACGGAATTGTGTCAATTTATCGAAGCTCTTGAACGACAATGCTCTGTTTGAAACTTTAATTTGATCTCGATTGATTCTTTTTGATTGTTTGACCTAAAATTTAAGATCCACTATCGATTTATAAAATTATTTACAGCCATTAAAAAGACTACAAAACCTCAGTGATACATTCCTAATGAACATTCAAAATTAGTTCTTATCATAACCCAATGATCAATGCAGCTCTCTTTAGAATGAAATGTGGTTATTCGCTTTGGTATTGTTGATCTTTTTCTAAGGGATTTAAAATCCGTTGATTATGTGGCTTCAATTAAGTATTTATCAAATCTAATAAATTCGTAAAATTGGTCTAACTTAACATAAGATAACTATCCTCATTCTTAATCCTACATCTTCTATAATAAACCAGAAAGCTAAATTACCAAATGGACTACGTTACAAATTTACCAAAAGAAGATCCATCAATATCAACTACTTCAAAATATGGATTAAAATTTTATGATCCCGTAAAATACTACGATTTCCATATCTATTATTACGCTCACAATCCAAAATCATTTAAAGAATCAGATGAATTAAGAGCTAAATTGATAAGAGATTTCCCAGAAGATTCAGCAAATGGATCAATTTTAATTAAAGTTTTACCAAATGATAAAGTAATTGGACCTCATGCAACTCATTTTTGGGAAGCTGATGTACAAAGACCAGAAGTATTTATAAAAGTCTTAAGTTGGTTTCAAATTCATCATGGTAACTTATCAGTACTTATACACCCACAAACTGGTGATGATATTAAGGATCATTTTCATCATGCTTTATGGTTAGGTGAAAAATTACCTTTAATTGATATTTTCCCAACTAGTGATGGTGCAATACCTGAATTTGGAGTAAAAGGTGGTAAAAGAATTAAAGTTGAAGATTATGATGATTTCAAAACTGTAATTGAATAAATATTTGATTTATGAAATATAAAATAGATATCTACGACCAATTATTCAATGAAAGTTTATCTTGAAAATTTAAAGTTTAATCAATTAGTTGAACCTAATCTGCGACAACAACTTAGATCAATGATTTGAAATGTCCCAATTTTGTCAAATACTATACAAACAAGCTTTTTCTAATATAATCCGACTGCAATAGATGTTGTAGTCGTAAATTAAATAGTAACAATACCTATTAATAAAGTTTTATTAATGCGGATTCATATCTCTTTAAATAATTTGTGTAAAAAATTTCAAATTTCCCTCTAATCGCATAAAACTTTAAAATGCATAAAATTTAAATTAAAAAAAAAAATTCAATTTCTAAATCTATGAATATTTTTTCTTTTTTTCTTATAATCAAAATGTTACTTAATTTATAAAACATTGAAATATAACCAAAAAATTTCAAAAATATTCATAATCTTAGATGATCTTTTTAGTTTGAAAATATCGGAAATCATTCAAATCAATATTATATAAACGAAAAACTTTTATATTCATATCATTTCATTTCTTTATCGTCAACTATTCTTATTAATCATTACTATCTTTTAATTCAATATGGCACAACTTTCATCACAAGGTAATAATGCTATTATATATCTAAGTTATGCTTTCATGTTAGCCACTGGGTTATTTTTAGCTTGGAAATATGCAACTAAAACTGATTTTCTTTCTTCAAATGGTACTCAAAGAGGTTTACCATTAGCTTTAAATTTTATTGCTTCAGGTATGATTATAAATTAAAAAGTTAAAAAAAGAAAATTTTAAAGAATCATCAAAAATTATTTGGAAATCACTAGTTCAAAGTTATAGACAGGAATTTGATGGGTTAATACTATTTAGAAAAAATTTGGAGCGGGTATTTTTAACATACAGTTAAAGATTGAGAAAACCGTTCGAACTCGATCAAGTTAATACTTGCGTGAGGATTCTTTGTTTTTTTCTTTTATCAAAGTCAATTGCTACGATTTCTAAATTTACTAACCAACCTCTTTTTATTAGCTATGGGAGTTGGTATAATTTCAACATATGCTCAAATTGCAAATTTATCTGGATTACATGGATTATTAGTATATACATTATGTGGAGCTATTCCTATATTAGGGTTTGCAGTACTTGGACCTATAATCAGAAAGAAATGTCCACAAGGTTTTATTTTAACTGAATGGGTAAGACATAGATTTGGAATAGTTACTGCTTTATATTTATCATTTTTTACATGTTTAACTATGTTTTTGTTTATGGTTGGTGAATTATCAGCTATAAGAGGTGCAATTGAAACATTAACTGGATTAAATGCATTAGGAGCAGTTATAGTTGAATGTGGTGTTACTACAATATATACTTTTTTCGGTGGGTTTAGAATTAGTTTTATTACTGATAATTTTCAAGGTGTTTGTGTATTACTTTTATTGATTATATGTGCTTGTGGAATGGGTTCATATATTGAAATTGATCCATCAAAAGTCGGTCCATCTGGTTTATTAAAAGCTAATAAATTAGGTTGGCAATTAGTTTATATATTATTTGTTGCTATAGTTACTAATGATTGTTTTATGTCTGGATTTTGGTTAAGAACATTTGCAAGTAAAACAGATAAAGATTTATGGATTGGTTGTTCAATTGCTGCTTTTGTTACTTTTGTTATTTGTACTTTAATTGGTACTACTGGATTTTTAGCAGTTTGGTCAGGAGATTTAACCGTTGGTGATGCTGATGGATATAATGCATTTTTTATATTATTAGCTAAAATGCCAAGATGGTTAGTTGCTTTTGTTTTAATTTTTTGTATTGTTTTATCAACATGTACTTTTGATTCATTACAATCAGCAATGGTATCAACTATATCAAATGATTTATTTAGAAATAAATTACATGTAAATTATACTAGAGGCTTGGTAATTTTAGTAATGATTCCAATTGTTGTTTTAGCAGTTAAAGTTGCTGATAATATTTTACAAATTTATTTAATTGCTGATTTAGTAAGTGCAGCAGTTATACCAGCTGTGTTTTTAGGTTTAAGTACTAGATTTTTTTGGTATTTAAGAGGATTTGACGTTATGTGTGGTGGATTAGGTGCATTAATTGGTGTATTTATATTTGGTACTGTTTATTATGGAAGTGCTAGAGAAGGTGGTAAATTATTACTAGTTTGGAATGGAATTTATGATTCTGAAGATTGGGGAGCTTTTGGTGCTTTTGTAATTACTCCAGTAGGTGGTATTATTATAACTTTATTTGCCGCTGGTGTTAGGATTTTAGCTACTTATGCTTATTGTAAAGTTAATGGTAAACCTTTTACTGCTTTAGATAAACCTGAACATGATGAATTCACAGATATTATTGAAGATCAAACTATATATCCCAGTGAAGATGATAAGAAAAGTACATAATTTAGAAATTAGATAAAAAGACAATTTTATAGATATGTAGCTAAATAAAAATATGATGAAATTTTAGATGAAATTAGTTCTTTTAATCTATTCTTAAGTTTTTGCAACCATTTTTAAAAAATTATATGACTTACACAAATCTACAAAACTTGTGCGAATGGCTCTCATTTCTACAATTTTTGCTTTGGTGTAGGCTGAAAAACTTGGACTTTTAAAATGAAGACGATCAAATGGCTACGTAGTCATTAATATGTTTCACCATGTCTAGCAAGTTCAATATGTTTCATTAATCTTGCGCTACAAGACAAAGTCGTGTAAGAATAAACAAAGTTAATTTGCAGCTAAATATTTGCATACCAAACATTGTTAGCATATAAATAATTTTTTTTTTCCTTTTTAAATTCATTTGTATTGTATTATTTTTCTTTCCTCAATTGATCACCAAAAGCTACTTTTATCCATACAATGACCAAAAGCTACTTTTATCCATACAATCACCAAAAGCTACTTTTATCCATACAAATGTAGATTTATTTATTTATTTATTATACTAACCTTCAGAATTCTAGCTTTTATTATCAATTGAGGAATATTTGTGAGACATTTACTGACATAAATATGGGACTAATCTGAGTTGAATACCTAAGATGCTTTCCCAATCCAATGGACAAATTAATGACTTTATTAAACTTGAAGACCCAACCTTTGGAGACAAATTTAAGTAATTGACTTGACTATGAATTAGATTAGACACTGGAGTTGAACAAGTGAGATATTTGAGTATTTTTGATAGCTGGTTGACAACCTTTTTTGACTTTAGTGCTTGATATACATGATTGTGAGTAGACAGGTTCTTTGGTAGAGATGAATAGTTAATTTTGGTTCAATTTTTTGATTTAGTTCATTTCAATAGTTTTGAAGTAAGAATTTGACGAAACAATATACACTTCATTGTTTTTACTTTAGCTTGGATTCAGTATTTCAATGTTAAAAGTTTTCAATTTAAGGTTAATTATAATGATTTCAAAACTTGATAAACGTTAAAAGAAATTGAGAAATGACGTTCGATAATAACATCTGGATACAACTAAGGTATCAACAGCTTAATTAACAAATAGACAAGTTACTTCATAGAATTTACCTGATTGATGGTGATGATAAATGAAGTGATAGTTAATACCAAAAATATCAGATCTTCACTCAGATCCATGAGTACTGCACATAAATTTAGTATATAGAAACATGCACATTTTCTTAAATATCTTATCAAATAAAAAATTAAGTGCAATAAAAGATGAAATCTATTCAAGCAATTGAAAGTCTACTATAATCATATATATTCAAATTCAATAACTCATTAGTAATATTTTACAACTCAATTGATCAACTATCCATATAGAGAAAATGATTTTCACTGATGTCCCATCATCAAAAAGATTAATACAAGTTATATGTGCAATAATATGGTGTTTATTATCAGCAGGTGTAATATTTGGATTTAGTGCATTGAAAGTAGTTTTGATTAAAGAATCAGTTTATGAATACTTATGTGATTATCATACAGATAATACCACCTTATTTATACAAGATGAAAATGAAATTGTTGCAAAATGTACATTACAAGATTTAAAATTAAATAAAATATTCACTATAGCGGCAGTATTAACTAATGTTAGTGCGTTATTAATTGGATTTATCTTGGATAATTATGGACCTAAAGTTTGTGGATTTATAGGTGCCGGATTTTTATACTTGAGTTGTATTATATTCACTTTTAGTAAAAACCTAGTACAATTATCATGGTTTGATCCTTATATAATGGGATATAGTAGTTTAGCATTAGGTGGACCTTTTTTATTTATATCAAGTTTTTCATTATCTAATGCTTTTCCTAAATATAGTGGTACTATATTGGCATTATTAACTGGTGCATTTGATGCATCAAGTGCTTTATTTTTAATATATCAAAAATTATATTTTACATTACCTAATTTTAATTTATCTAGTTTTTTCAAATTATATTTGATTGTACCTGTTTTTATAACTATTGCTCAAATTTTATTAATGCCTTGGGAATCTTATCAAACTTCATCTAGTGATTTACTTGATGTTGATAATGAAAACACAAGAGAAGTTGAACAAACACCAGTTTCAGAACAAAATGAATCTACCCCATTAATCAATTCAATACCACATCCAGATCATCATGATTTGAGAAGAAGAGATTCTGTAGGTGATGCATTAAAACAACCTTATTTAAATGAAGGTGAAGCAGTATTGGAACAAAATGGATCGGGGGTGTTTGGCATTTTACATGGTTATTCAGCACAATATCAAATCAAAACTTATTGGTTTTTATTAATTTGTTTGTTTAGTACTATACAAATGTTGAGAATTAATTATTTTGTTGCTACTATTGGATCACAATATCAATATATTTTTGGTTCTTATGAATTATCTAAAAATTTGAATTCTTTTTTTGATATTGCATTACCTTTAGGTGGAATTATTAGTATTCCATTAATTGGATTATTATTAGATAATTTTTCAACAATTTTAGTGTTGAATGTATTAGTAGGTATTTCATTAATCATTGGAATTCTAGGTCTTATCTCAAATTATGCATTAGCAATAATTGGTGTATGTTTATTTGTTGGATATAGACCATTTTTCTATACTGTTATATCAGATGTATGTGCAAAAGTATTTGGTTTTGAAACTTTTGGAACAGTATATGGATTAATTATGTGTATAAGTGGTGCAATAAATTATGGACAAGTTTATTTAGATTATGCAACACATACGGTTTTTAAAATGAATCCATTCCCAATAAATTTATTTTTAATTGGTGTTTTTGTTGTTATAAGTTTGATTACTTTAATTTATGTACATGTTCAAGGTGAAGAATATACAAAAAAAAAGTTAGATAGACAAAGAATAGATGCTTAGATAGATTGCAGTTTTACTAGATAGAAAATAAAACGTTGTTATAGACTATTATATATTATACTTTCTGATCTTGCAATTTGTAGGTGTACTAAAGTCAAGATTTTGTAACATGATCTAAGTGATTTAGCCGCACAATAATTTACGAGAGAAGAAAAGTTCATATGAAACATATAAAGATTTTTGTCATATTTTAGATACTTAGATTTTCAAGTAATTTTTATTCGTCAATTTCGTTCAGTGATTGCTTACTAAGTGCTTCGAACTAAGTCGCTTTATATCATAATTCAAAGGATACTAATTCTATGGCTTTAATATTCATCAAAATTTACGAGACTTAAAATTCTTACAATCGCGAAGTTTTGTATTGGAACAAACTAAAAAAAAAAAAACGTTAGTTACAAATATTTCAAATACCAAGAATTTTTATAAAACTAAATAACATTTAGGTACCATCACATACGAATAAACTTTATAGTTTAAAAAACCCTGTTATCACTACCCAAAGCTAAATAACCATTATTTATCAAACAACATCCTTCATCGCTAACATTTAAAAACCAAATTCAAATATCAAATAAAGACAAATGATATGACAAAGAATTTACAACCATCAACATATACATTCACTATCCTACTACTACTACTATTTCTAATCAACTTAACATCAGCGTCAAGAGGAGATAATCTATCAGAATTTCAAGATTGTCTAGAACAATGCACATGCGATAATACACCATCACAATATAAAATATGGTTTTGGTCATGTTCATCAAATTGTAACTATTATTGTCAACAATTAGTAAGTGATTTAAGATTGAAAAATGGGTACCTGATGCTTCAATTTTATGGAAAATGGCCATTTATTGTTGTTTTTGGTATACAAGAATTTTTTTCAACTATTTTCAGTATGGGGAATTTTATAATAAATTATTTGAATTTTAAATTAATTTATAAACAATATCAAATTAATAATGATAAAGAAATTAAATTGATTTATTTCCAATATTTGATTTTATTGGGTGTTAGTATGATTGGTTGGATTTTTAGTATTATATTTCATATTAAAGATTTACCAATCACTGAAACTTTAGATTATTTTGGAGCTTTTGGAATAATATTAGCTAATTTAAATGTTATCGTTGTTAGGTATTTCAAATTGTTTAAACAACAGCAAAGAAATAAATTGGTTATATGGCAATCCTTTTTAATTATGTTATATATTTTCCATATTTTAAAATTATCAAATAATTGGGATTATACTTATAATATGAATATTAATATGGTTTGTGGATTATTAGCTATGATATTTTGGATATTACATAATTTAAACATTATTAATGTCTACTCCAAGAATTTAAAATTTTTACAAAATTCAATTCAAGTAATACCATATGAAAACAAAATACTTAACAAGTTAAACCCCCTAATAAAGTTTTTAAATTTAAATCAACTTTATAAATTTCAAATAATTCTATTCATTCCAATAATCAATAATTTAATTCTTTTATGTGGAATTTTTTTAGAAATAAAAGATTTTGAACCATGGTTTAGATTAATTGACGCTCATAGTTTATGGCACCTTTTAACTATTGGTCCTAATATTGTTTGGTTTGATTGGAATATTTGGGATATAGAAATTATGAAAATTCTTGAAAAAAAATAGCATCTAGCATTTATTTAATTAAAGGTCGTTAATAAACAATCGTAGTATCTAATGTAATAGTAAAATTCGGTTCATGTAGAGAAAAATAAAATACGTAATAGTTGTGTAATTTACTTTTAGTATGTATTAACTGTAATTTTATTAAATCTATAGAAGACCGAAAGGAACGTAATTAGTTGGAAAAATAACGGGTATGAAAATGGTGAAGATGAATTCAACGTAAAATAATAATGAAGTGAATGAACGATAACACCAAACAAAATGTGTTGTCAAAATAATATGCAATAATGAAGCGGGAAAAAGAAAAACTGATGCAATAAGAAAAAATCAAACTAACAAATAACCAACCAAATGATCATTATACTAAATTAATAATATTTTTTTTTTCTTTTAAACCATGATGATTATTTAATGAAGAAGAACTTGATGAATTAATTAATTTACTTCTTTTTCTCTTTTTTAAATAAGAATTTATAAAACTTAACATAAAAAATACCAAACTTATAATTATAAATAATCTTAATAAATTATCAAAAGATATTAAATTTGATTGATCAAATTTTATAATTTGTTTTAATATATCAAGAATTTGTAGTTGTTGTGGTTGTTCTTGTTGGTTTAAAAGATCTTGTGGTAGTTGTTGTTCTTCTTGAGGTGAATCTGATGAATAAAATTGATGTTCTTTTAATAAATGTGAATCTGTAGATGGTTGTGGAATCATTATTAATTTATTATTGTATTAATTTATTATTATATATATGATATATGAGTTGTTAAAATTAAAATGAAATATATGATTTTGTTATATGTAATATTGATTTATGAAAAATTATTGGGATTATACGGCTGATAATAAAGTTTTTAATGATGACGATGAAATAAAGTAAACCCTATTATATAAAGTTATGAGATTTATTCAATATAAAAAAGGGATGTTGAATTTAAAAGTATAAAATGTAAATCTCGGGGGTTGGAGATAATTAAATTAAAATGATGATGTATAAGTTGAATAATAAAAATTACGAGAAATTTTATAAAATGGAGATATAAATTGTAATTTATATCAATGATAAAAGAAAATTGATTATCTATAAACTTATAATACTCAAACTCATATAGAAATATAAGTAAGTAAGAAATGCAATGCAAATTTTCATAAATTAAAATGAGTTGAATAAAAATAAGTACAAAAGATAATCATCAATTGTATTGTATTGTATTGTGTTAAGTTAATTGATGTATTATTTATTATAAATTAAATAATAAATAATAATAAATTAATAAATAATAATAATTTATTAATAGAAATTATATAATAATAGAAATGATTACACTAAGACTAAATATCAGCTACCATGTGGCACTAATAATAATAATAAATACAGTCTCTAATCTAAAAATAAAAGAAATGTTAGTTAAAAAACAAATAAATAACATTAAAAAAAGAAATTAAACATCATTAATTATATACAGTATAAGTAAATATACTAATAATAGTTAAGAAATATCTTAATTGTAAAGTACTGTTGTTTGAATGACTACTAATGAAGATATAGCCCACAATGTATTTACTTAATTGTTTATTTACCACTAGCTATTAATAGATCTAATATTTAATCTATCGATCGCTTAGATTTAAAGGGTTGAAATACAACATTACATTTGGTTGTCAAAATTAAAGTTTTTTTGATTATTTTATTTTGTACCTAATTTAGAATTTTAATTATCAAATTTAGTAAATATATTTTTTTTTGTTATTTTTTGTTTTTTTCGGATTAATTTTTCTAATTTTTTTGTGTATTTTAATTTTGATCATTGATATATTATTATTTAAATAAGATAATAATATAATAATTTTTTGGAAATTTTGTTTACTTTTTAACTTGATTCGATCAAGATATATTTCATTTATTGTATAGCAATGAATAAATTTTACAAGTAACAAACCATTATATATCACAATCTCTAATGATTTTATCATTTAGTTTTAGTTTGATCGACAACTCCCTTAAATTAGCCTTAACTATGTGACTGATGGGTATTCAAGATAATTTTAAATTACCACATTTAAAATATTAAGAAGATTTTTAAAATCAACAGAACTAAGGTTTTAATTAAATTTCAGTTGACAAGAAAAAAGCAATGGTATAGGAGAAGTTGTGATCCCTTGAAATTTAAAAGAATATATAACATTGGTTGATGATTACTAAACAACTCGAACTTGAAAGGGATTTAATTAAATTCAAACCTTAAAAATTTTGCACACAACTAGGTTCTATGGTATTCTATCTTTACTTGTGCCTATTATTTACTTTTTTGCTAATTGATTACGTATTCCTTTAAACCAACTCTATATACTTTGACATCAATTGAACTACTAAGAGCTATTGCTTTGACTTATGTAACTACTATGTTATTAAATAATTTTAGAGTGCAATTTTTGAAATTTCAAGTACAAAACTAATAAATTTACTGCTCTATCTATAATATTTGAAAGATTTTTTCAAACACAAAGGTAAGTATAAATCTAGGCTAATTTACGATAAATACTGGTTTTTTTTATTCTTTATCTTTTTTATCTGTTTTGTTGTGATTTCAATATTTCCAAAATTCACAATTATAAATGGCACAATTTAAAAACTTTTTGATGTGAAATCTGAATATTGTAATTTTGAATCCATTACATCGATGTATAGAGGTTTGTTTTATTCTTATTTGAAAAAAATTTTTCAGTTTGGAAAAAACGGATAAGTATCTAGCAACTTTATAATACCAGTTACCGTAATTTCAAATCCCTAATCTCGTTGTTACTCCTTTGAAAATTTCTCTAATGCAAAATAAAAACCGTTAAACATAGATCTTGCTACAGATTTATAACTAAATCTATGTGAGTAACTGTAAGTTTCGGTATTCTACGATTCGTATTTTTCAAAAATACGACTTCTCCTGTTGCCTTTATTGCCTTTTATTTCCCGAATATAATTACATTGTTTTTGAAGTATTAACTCATTAGAGATCGCTATATGTTCATCAATTTACAGAATTGGTGAACTTAGCAGCTTGATGAAGATAAATGTATAAAATGTGTAAATGAAAAAAAACGGGTTGTAAAAAAAAATGAAATTTGCGCGATGTTAAGAATTGAACGCATTTATTAAAAACGAAAATAACACTATAAAATAAAAACACAATGAATTGAAATAATATATTTTTCGCAACCAAATTTTAATTTTTAGATTTTCCAAATCTTTTAAAAAAGCTGTTTTTGGATCTTTTAGAACTTGTATTAGATATAGTAGATTCAAGATCAACATTATTAGTATCATAATTTTGTAAATTATAACTTGGTTTACAACCGAATGAAGTTATTGACATTGAAGTTGGTGAAGTATTTGAAGAATATGAATTAAATGATTCATTTGTGAATACTGATCCATTTCTTTTAGAATTACTGGTTTTTTCTGAGTTTATTGAATTTATCAGATGATTTCTTGTGGTGGTATCATAATTTATGGAAGCGGTTGTTGAAATATTTTTTGGAGTTGATGAAGGTGACATTGAAGATGGTGATGGTGGGATTGTAAAAGATGCATAGTTTGATGATGAAGAAGTTGATATGCTTGATGATCTACGACGTGTATTTGGCGAAGTTAATTGTTGTTGTTTTTGAATTTGATAATTTGTTGGTTGAATTTGATTTTGATTATTATTTAATAAATTTTTAAAAATAAATTCAAAAAATTGTTTCCAAGTTGTTTCAATATCTATTGGTAATTTAAATGATTTTAAATTTGATATAATAACATCAATTAATTTTAATAAAATGAAATTAAAATTATAAATTTGAAATTTTTCAGAATTTGATTGATCATCAAATAATTCATTAAAATGATTTTTTAATCGAAATAAAACATCATAATCCGAATCAGTGAAAAATAAAAAATTAAATCTTTGTAATTTATTTATTTCATCATCTTTAGTTAATCCCTTAATGTTTGGTTTTAAATTATTCATACTTATTAAAAAAAAATTTATAAAATTTTCAAAAAATTCCATTAATTTTGTAATATTTGGGAAAATATCATAAAATGATCCACCAATTGACATACTTTCAAATTTTAAATCTTGATAACAATTATTCCAAAATTTTTTACTTTGTATTATTGATCTAATATTTAATTTCCCAATATTATGTAAATTATTCATACTGTTTGAATCAAATGGATCTGCATTTATAAATTCAATATTTTTTTTGGAAGTTCTTTGAATAGAGTCAGTATATTTAAATCCATTTTTATCAATACTTTTTACAACTAGTTCATCAAATGGTTCAATTGATTCGAAATATGAATGTCTTAGAATTTTTATTTTATTTATACCAATTTCTTTATTTAATTTTAAATTTAATTTATAATTGATTTGAGTCATTAAATTCCTCATACATTCATTATATTCAATTTTAATTAAATCAAAATTTGAAGTTTTAAATTCAACATATTTATTCATTGTTTTATCAAATTTCCACTTTTTACCATTAATGACCATTACTTGTAGGTCTGAACTTTGTGTTTGAGGTTGTTGTTGTGATTGTTGAGGATTTGTTTTTGTTTTAGAAATTAGTTCTAATTCTTCTTTTGTTTTTGATTTGAAATTTGAACTGTTAGAATTTGAAAAGGTAGGAAATAAAATAGACGAACTCATTGTAAAATATATAATTTTGATAATTTGGTAATTTGACTATAATTATATATTGTTCTATTTTGTAAACTTTTAGTTTGAGCCTTCTTTGTATATTGGAAAAATATTGAACCGATTAACTAAAAATATCTAAAAATAAGGTGTTTGTTTCAGGTTTAAACTTGTAACAAAAAGTTTAAAAAGTAATTTTCTAGAAATAAAGCCCACGTTTTCTCCAGAGATCCAACAAGTTTATATATATAGAGGTTCTAACCTTCCCTCAGACGCGTCTCGAATTGGTATCAACATTTTTTTAACTTCCAAAAAGGTATGCAAGTTGAACAATTAATGTATGAGTTTAGTTTTAAATAATTCGTTACTTACTAAAAATGAAAAATTTAAATTTTAGTTTGAAACACAAAATCTATGAAAAATCTCGTATGGCTTAAACTAAAATTATTTTTTAGTCTAAAATTTTATTAATTAATTGCATAAAGCGAAACTTTTGAATGGAGATTAGAATTTTATTGAATAAACGCCTTTTAAATCATATGAGTTCTAACCAAAATTTATTGTTTAGTGTGGTTATTTTAGACTTATTGTTTAATCAGTTATTGTTCAATTTTTTCGTCTAATTTTTTTATTATGGAGAAACTAAAAAATCCGAAGAATTCTAACCTAAAACAATAACCAAGTAGTTGCGTTTTTTACGTTTATTATGAACAAAGAAAATCGTTTCGTCAATATTCCCATTTGGTCTAGAACCTAGGTTCTCCAGTTTGTTGAGAAGTAAAGTGATAAATCAAAGCTTTTACGAATTACTGTCAAAAATGTTTGTCAAAATTTGCTTCAACGTCATCAATTATACTACAGTATCAATTCTCATCTTTAAAAGCTTATCATTTGACGATTTGATCACCTTAGTTTGAAATCAATTTTGTAACAAACTTTTATACAGAGATCAATTTAGTAATTGAAAATTTTTTTTAATTTAACCCTTTTGAAACATTTTGTGTTACCTCTTTTCTTCAACAACTAATTATTTAAGTTTAATTACAGATTTTTATCATAGATCAAAGCTAATTCCTAATTTTGTGCCGCTCAAATGATCGTGAACAAATAATAGGAGATTCGTAATTCATCAATATACTTCTTAACAACAGAGGATCGTCAAATAATAGGAGATTCGTAATTCATCTATATGCCTCTAAACTACAAACAATCGCAAACGATCAGCGTTTCTATAATAAAAGATCATAAGAATTTTTCCAAAATAATAAGATCCAGAAGTTTTGTGGATGTATACAAAGATCAAAGGTCTACTTGTACCTTTCAAACTTGAGAGAGACAGGTCTCACAGATTGTACCTTACCTTACTTTTTATCACAAAAAATTTTCAAATCAGATCAAAATTCAAAACCAAAAATTTAATTAATTTTTCAATTTTAGTAAAAGCAAATATTTTTAGTGAAAAAGTTAATTTAGACTTTTGTGCCTTTCGGTTATGACCACTTCCTTTTCAACTTCCTTTTTGACTTGAACTTTAATTATTCAAACATATCTACAACCTCTGTGTAGAGTGATAAAAATAAATTTAACTGGAATAGGAGAATTTGTTGGTTTTTGATAATTGATTGACTTTCAGTAGAATTATATTGGTGACAACATCCCAGAGGGCATCTACTAAATGACTTAATTTTATCAGAGGATATTCTTGAAAAAATTGTAATCCACTGGAAGAAAACTTTAACGGTTTTTCATTTTGCTTAAGCATTCTCTCCAACTCAAATGTAGTGCCGTCTAATTCTCGATCACAATACACAGTGCCTCATTTCAACGTGAACAGATGGAACGTTCGTAAAATAAATTTTTAGAGATAAAAATTGGCTCGTACGGAAAGTTTATCACTGACTTGAAGAGTTGAATCAACCAATAAAGAGTCAACTTTTTATAAATCGATTAAAGAAAACGTTATACTTTTTTGATATCATCAATAAGGTTTATAATAATCAAATTGATTTCCTGTACATCAAATATGCTTTTCTCTAAAATTTTGCAGCAAATCTCACCAAATCCCCAAAACACTAAAAAATTTTAAATAAGTACCTCATAAACTTTATTCAAACAATCCATTACCCTCAATAGAAGTGACTTAAACCACAACTATCGATATCAATCATATGCAAAAGTATTACAAAAAGGATTGATAAATCCTCTCGCAAGAATATGAGAACAGAAACCACCTAAGCTAAGTACTAGCGATATATACAAAAAAAAGTAGAAAAAAAAAACTCGAAAGTCTTTACTCCCTTGCGGGGAATCGAACCCCGATCTGCTCGGAACTTACAACACTTTAAAATATTGAAAGCGAACCGTGATAGCCATTACACTACAAAGGATGTGAATTGGAAATGGAAAGTATAAAATATATCTCCCTTGCGGGGAATCGAACCCCGATCTGCTCGGTGAAAGCGAACCGTGATAGCCATTACACTACAAAGGATATTTCATAAGCTAAAAAGTGGCTTGGTTTAATATAATCCCTATTTTTTGTGCACGTTTTTGTGTTTTTTAACGATTTATTTTACATAATTTGTTGATTTTTGATGGATTTTCGTAAAGTACCGACTTTAAAGTCCGTCGATATATCAAAAGTTTCTATATTTGAGAGTTCTACCGTAAGATTTATAATTTGACGACGTATTATAACATGCATTACTTATTAAACTTTAATATATAAATGAATCAATTATTAAGTTTCAACGAAATTTTTATCAATATCGACCATGCTATTATATGATAATTTATTATTTTCTTTACCATTTATTTCAAAATTTTCATCATTTGAAAAAAAATCAGTATTTGGAGTTGATCCTAAATCTTTATTTGTTGTTGTATTATTTGTAGTATTATTTGTAGTGTTATTAGATGGCCAATTTAATAAAGAATTCGTGGTATTATTTCTACTTGCTCTATTTGGGGATGACGTTGTTTGATGTTGATCTATATGGATTTTAAAAGTTGAGTCGTTGACTAATTGATTTAATTGATCATTAATTTCATCGTTTTCGTCATTATCATCGCTTGAATTTATGTGATTTGATAAATATGGTGAACTAGGCATATTAGCTAATGACAGTTTTGAAGATTTTGGTGAATTGTTGTGGTTGTTATTATTGTTATGATTTTTATTTGATGATGATATTAAATTTTGTAATTGATCAACTGGAGTTTTAGAATTAGGACTATTTGAATCTTTTGGAGTAGGTTGAGTTAAAAAATTCATCCAATTATTATTTGAATCTTCATGAATTGATTGTAATATTGCATCAAATTCATTTAATGTATTGTTTGTTGCTGCGTCAGTTATATTTATTGGTTGAATTGGTGGTTGATTTTCTTTATCTTCTTCATTATATATTTCAATAACTCTTGTATTTAATTTTGTTGCTTTTCTTGCATCATTTTCTTCCAAATTTATAATTCTTGTGTTTGATTTTGTTGCAATCATTGGTGGAGTATTTGTTGGTAATGGATCTATATCTGTAGATGGACCTCCATATACATTTAATTGATTTAATAATTCATGATAATCTGGAGTTTCTCCTGTTGGCGTTGGATTCAAATTTGAATTAGCACTTGAATGATTGTAGTTGTTATTATTGTTATTGTTGTTATTATTATAATTATTATGATATTTATTCTGAATTACTTGATTAATTGCAGATGGAGTATGAGAAGGAGTTGGAAAATTACCAGGTGATGAAGCTAGATTATTCTTTTTATTAGCAACAGAATTCAATGAATTTTTGATTGGATCATCATTTTTGGAGTTACCATTTTTCATTTTAATCTTTTGATTATATCTTTGTTGTTGATTATATTTTCTTACAACATGTTCAGGTCTCATAAATCCTTTATTTTTATAAAATAAAAAACATGCATTACATAATGGTCCTAACATTCCTTCATAATGTTCTTTATTAAATTCTGTTGCTCTTATTAATTGTGAAAAATGAGGTTTAAATTCAGTTTCAAAATATTTCCATGCAATTGAATTTGATGTACGACAACATTTATTTATACAAATCAATCCATGATTTTCTGGTAATTTAGTGTTTGGAATTGTATGAGTTCTTTTACTATCTAGGTCTTCTGGTAACTCTGGTGGTGTATCTTTTTGATTATTGGTATTGGTTGTAGTATTATTAACATATGGTGGTTGTTGTGGAGTATATGGTGAAGTTGATTCAATATTATAATCATCGTCTTCCTCTTCTTCTTCTTCTTCTTCTTCTGGTAATGTTTCTTCATTTTCATCACCAACTCTATATTCAGGATCATCCGATGAATAAGTTTCTTCATTGATTGGAGAAGATATAGTTATTGGAGTGTTTGTAAACATTGATCTTGTACGAACAGCTCTTTGAGGTAGTAATTGTGATTTTTGAGTCATTATAGGTTGTGAAGGAGTTTGATTTGAGTAACGTTTTTGTTGTTTCTTTTCTTGTTTATCATCAAACACAACTTTTTCTTGAAAGAATGATGCCAGTTTAAATCTATTTTCAACATTTTCTCTATTATAACGTGAAGAATTAGAATTTTTATCTGCTTGTTGTATGCTTTGAATATTTGAATATGAAGGTAGTGATAAAGTTCTAGTAGCTTTAGCTGCAGGTACTGAATGTGAAAAAGTAGATGTTGGGGGTAATTGTTTATGCATTGAATCATATGGTCGTTTTCTATCCATTTGTGATGTGTTGATAGTTGAAAGTGGTTGACGTATTTGTGATTGTTGAATTTGTTGATTCGGCTGTTTCGGTGGCAATTTTTGTAATGGAGCGCCTTCTATTGTATGTAATTTTAATCTAATTTCTAAAGTTAATGATGATGCATTTGATTTATTACCAAATAAAAAATTAGCTGATACATTTTGACAAACTCTTCCAGGTATTAGACATGATTCATTTGATGATATCAATTTTGATACTACACCATTAGAAACAAATGGTTCATCTGGTTGTTCAGTTATATCTTTATAATAAACAGCATAGTCTTCTGAATGTAATTTAAAATTTTCTGGATTTGATTTTAATAATTGTTTTATACAATCTTTTAATTCAAAAGCTCCTAATAATATTAATTCAGGTTCTTCATTTATTGAATCTTGAATAGGTATTTGAACAGTTTGAACTGAAAATTGTTGAGTTGATCGACATAAAAAAGTAGTAGAATTATCATTAAAGGAATATAAAATTTTAATTTGCATTTGTTTATGATCATCTTCATTACTCATATTAATGTTTTAGAAGGTATTGATATGAAGTTTGGTTGTTGTTGTTAAAAAATTGGAAAATGAGAATTTATGAATGACCGCAAGTTAAAATTTTGTTGGTGTTATTAATGATATATAATTTTGGTTGTCAAAATATGATTGATAATGCAAGAAGAAAAAGTGATATAAAAAAAATTAATTCTATTAATGAAATTCAATATGATAACGTTGTTGAGAAAAAAAGCAAACGTAAGTGAAAAGAAAATTAAATCAAACTATCATAAAAAACTGAATTGAACTTGAAATTGTAGAAATAATGAAATTAGTTGAATTTTTTTTGTTTATGGTTGTAAAAAAAAATATATATATATATAAATTTATTATTTTGATAATTGTGATACACACCAAATATTATTATTAATATATGATATATGATGGAAGAAGAAAACAACAAATATTTGTAGTACGACGGATTTTTTTTAAGGATCATTGATATCATGAGTATTGACTTATTCAATCTTACCAATTATTGGATGTCAAACCCAATCTCAACTTCGAGACCTTCAACTTACCTCTTTACTATAAACTGATTTCTTTCATACAACTTAAAATCAAAACAACGCGAGTTAAGTATTAATAAAATAATAAGTTAAATATTACACAAAAAATTCAAAACATCATTTCGCAACCTAAATCTTTATTATTAGAAGTAATGTATATTTACGAGTCTGTGTTAAATTAATTAGATTTTTAATAGGTATTGTGAGTATAAGAATCTATAGACTATAGATAAAATTTTACAGGATTTTCCCTTGATACAATCTAATAGCTAAATCTTGCTAATTTCTAACAAACATCTCAAATTTACATTTTATATATGTACATTTTATTATAATATCTATTTTCTATATACAAATAATTATTCTATAAGTTCTATATACATTCAATTTTTTTTTAATCCATTCCAATAATACTTCTAATTTCTTTAATATTTTTCGAAGCAATTTCTCTAGCTTGAATTCTTCCCTTTGAACTAATTTCATCAAGATAATCTTTATTTTGTAATAATTCATCATATAATTGTCTTTTATTATTAAATTCATTTATAATTAATTCACTAACGTAATCTTTTAATTGTTTATGATCTTTTAAATGCTTTATTTCAATTAAACATTCTTTTATAGATTTATCACTTAATCCTGATATTATATTTATTAAATTTGAAATTCCTGGTCTTTTTATTGGATCATATTCCCATTCACCTTGTATTGAATCTGTTGTTGCTTTTTTAATCTTGAATTTAATTTCTTCTGGAGTATCAGTTACATAAACGCAAGAACTTTGAATTGGATCTGATTTTGACATTTTTTTTTCTGGATTTTTTAAACTTAATATCTTTTTAGCAGGTGTTAATAAAGTATTAGGTAAGGGGAAATAATCCACACCATAAGCATGATTGAAAATTTTAGCAATATTTCTTGTTAATTCTAAATGTTGAGTCTGATCATCTCCAACAGGTACATGAGTTGATTTATATAATAAAATATCAGCTGCTTGTAAAGCAGGATAGCAGAAAACACCAGCTTTAGTTTGTTCCATTACTTTTTCATCAACTATTGAACTTGATTGGTTTTGTTGAGATTTTGATTTCCATTGAGTCATTCTGTTTAGTTGTCCCATACTTGTAAAACAAGTAAGATACCAATTTAATTCCAGATGTTCAGGTACTGATGATTGGAAATATAATATACATTTATTTATATCTAACCCACTTGATAATAAACTTGCAATTGCTTGATATCTAAAATCTTTCAATTCTGAACCTGGTTTAAAACTTGTAAATGCATGTAAATCAGCAACTCCAAATATAAATTTACTTTCTGGATTATTATCTGATAAAGTTCTCCAACTCTTTACAGCACCTAAATAATTACCTAAATGAATTTTACCAGTTGGTTGAATCATTGAAAATACTCTTGAATTTTTAGGGAGTGTTTCATATTGACCGATTTGTTGAATTGTTGATTTGGCGGTGGTTGACAGGAGCCTTATAAATGATGACTGCGCTTGCCGTATAGATTTTGGAGTACATTTCATTATTGATTGAACTTATGCAGATTGAGGTGAAAAAAAAAACCTGATTTTAATTCTATCTACTTAGGCCGCACAACAACGAAACTTACAGATACTTATGAAACTACAATTTATCTAAGTAGCTTTCGAATCTATTAATATTACAAGTACCTTCCTTTTTACTATTATTATTATTATCTATTATTACATACTTACGTTATCGGTATAATTCGTATTAAGATTATTATTATTATTATTATTATAATTATTACCATTCCCACCATTATTTGTATCCATTATAAATCCACCAACAACATTATTTATTTGTATACCATTTTTCATTAATCTTCTTTCTAATTTTAATCTTTGTAATTCTCTCCATCTATTTAATTTTGAATATTCATGTAATTTAAATCCAAATACTCTTGGAACATAAGTATCTTTTGAATGTATTGGAATCATATTGGGGAAATTTTGAAAGAACATTGCAGGAAACGACGTACCAAAATATGCTCCATCTATTACTGAATGTCTACCTGATTTTGGATTGTAAAGGTCTTCACATTTTGAACAATATAATTTTACACTTGCCATTCTTGGTTGATCATTAAGACCTATTGGTAATAAAGGATTTAATTGACAATGTACTCTTGGACAATAACCAAAATCTCCATTACGGAATTTTTCAAACATTTTATTTAAACCTCTTGTAGTTAAGATATATCTTGCATGTATTAAACCATATAATATTCTTGCATTATGTTCTAAAACATCTCTATGTTCTTCAGGTTGTGAATCAATATCTATTACATCAGTAATAATATCTATTAGTGTTGGTAATTTTGAAACTTCTTGATTTAATCCTGTTAAATTAAATCTATCTCTTATATATTCATCATCAATATCACAAAAATATTCATTTCCTTTTATACCTAAAAATGAATCTATCCAATATTCTGTAAAATCGGAACTTGAATCCGTCACATATTCCTCATTAGCCATTTGTTTGGGTATTGGGAAGTGGTAACTTTATCGTATTCTCAGATTATCAGCTTTGGTAATCTCTCTTATGTTTGAAATTTATTAACTGTTAGTTTTATTTTTTTTTTCCTTCCTTCCTTTTGTTAAAAGATTATTTATTAAATTATCTTTTGTGTACAAAATTAAAAATTACGATTTGATTATCAAACATAAACAAAAGAAAACTGGAAAACCATTAGATGTCATTGAGAAGACAAAGTACAATAACTCAATCATCTAGTCTTCGAGGAACTAGGCCAGTTAGAAGAGATGCATTTCCATATCTAGATAATAGAGAAATAACGTCATGTTTGTTAGAATGTGAATTTAATGTTTCACTTGATTCAGTTAGTAAACCAACAAGTGAATTTATAATGAATTTATTTACATTATTTATTGAATCATTTATGGGGATAGATAATTTAGATGAAAAAGCAAAAGATATGGCTAAAAGAAGATACCAAATAATGAATCAACAAGATACTGAAATAGAAGTTGAAATTAATGGGAATGGAAATAGTTTAAATAATAACTCAGAAATAGAAGTAACAACTACTGATCATTTATTAACTTTATTTCGTTTTGCTCAAAGATTTTTTCAAAATATTGGAGTAAATGATCTAACATTACCGGATTTAACAAGACCAGAACCTTTAAATACAAGAAGACTACTAAGTGCAGTTGTTAACTACTTAAGATTTAGAGAAAATATATCAAATGATTTTGAACAAATGGCATTGGAGGCAGAGGAAACTACTGCAAGAATACGAAATTTACAAGATTCAAACTCCAACAAAATATTACAAATAAATGATTTAGAGAGAAAATTAAAATTTAAAGATAATGGGAGAAGTCAAGAACCAAGAACTGATTTACAATATGTTTATAATTATAATAAAAAATTGGAGTCAAAATTAAGAGAATTAAAATTATTACAAGAACAATTAACAAAACAACATGATGATTATAAGTCTGAAAAAAATATTTTAGCTACAGAATTATATGATTCTGGATTCATCTGTGATGAAACTGCAGGACAAATTGAAAATCTCAAAACTTACAAAGAAAAAGATATTGATAACTTAAATATAATCGTTGATGATTTAAATCAAGATTTGGAAGGGATAGTAAGGACTTATGATACATTTGATGAACAATATCAAAATTTAGGTAAGACAATAAATTCAATAGAGATTAATGACAAAATAATAAATGATCTAATAATAATATCAGAAGAAATTTTGAGACTACTTCAAGAACAAGATTACGAACACAATAATGTCAGAATAAACAACGATAAGTTAAAAGACTTAAACGTAGAATCTAACGATTTACAAAAACAAATAGAATCCAAAAATGAAATACTAAAGAAGTATGAAAAAAAATACAAAGATTTAGACGATCAATATCAGAAAAAGCAATCAACATTATCACAAAAGTTAAGAGAAGTAAATGATCAATTAGATGAAATAATGTCTCAAAAATCAAAACAAAATGATGAACATAAAACAAAATATAAAATTATTTTAAAGATTAGAAAGGAAACAGACGATCTAATCAATAATTTTGCAAAAGAAGTTAAATCAAATGAGATAAAAATGAATCAACTCAAAATGTCACTAACTAAATATATGGAGAATTTAAAAAATAAACTTGATTGATAGAATTTACATTAAAAGTTATGTATGTTTCTTTTTACATTTTTTTCAACGTTGTATTATTAATAAATATTTATAAATGTTCTTTTTAAGTTGTTGTTTTATTTTTTAATACTGTCTTCTCGTTCTCTGGTAATCTCCCTTCATTATTGCTCAGCTCTACTTCTTCGACTCCATTCTTCTTCTCGGCTTCATCTTTTTCCTCTTGCGGTTTTGAATCTTGCTTCTTCGGTATCTTTTTGGTAGTTGTAAATAAAGAGGTAACGAAACAAACAACAGCCAATGCTAAACCGAAATAAAATACATTTTTCAAAGCTTTCATTATTTGATCCAACACTAATGACTCAGCTTGTGGTGGTAACTCATTAATTGTCCTTGGATTTGATATCAATACCTTTGGTGGAATATTCTTTAATTCATTATATCCATCAAAATTGTTGGTAATTTTTCGTTGTAAATTTTGTAAATATGCAGTTCCAGTTAATTGATACAACAATTGACCTATAGTAACAGTAATAGTTGATGCAACATTTCTCATAAAATTAACAAATACAGTAACCATAATGAGAGCACCTGGTTTGTCTTTTGGTGCACCTAATTGAGCACTCAACAATGAACTTTGAAATTGTAACCCAATTGAAATACCCAACACAATTAAGATTCCAAATCTAACACCCAAACTTGATTGTTTATCTAATAACAAAAACAATCCAGTCCCCACTGGTGCTAAAACTCCAGATAATATCATTGTCCATTTAACTCTTCTTGTAAAATTTATAAAAAACGAATTACACATAGATGCAACAGCAACAGTAATCACCAAGGGTAATAAATCAATCCCAGATTGTAATGGACTAGCATGATGCACCACTTGGAAATAAATAGCTAAATAAGTTAAATTACTAATAAAAAATCCAAAATTAAAAGCAGCACTAATAACTGCCATCATTATAGCTGGTGATTTAATAAACTCAGTATATATGATTTGATTTTGTGAATACCTAAAATTCCATATCCCAAAACAAATTAATAAAACTCCACCAATAACAAATAAACAAATTATAGCAGGTGAATTCCAAGCAAATTCAATACCTCCAAAGGTTAATGCTAATAATACTAATATTAATCCAGAAGTCAAAAAAAAAGTTCCCACGAAATCAATCTTGTTAATTTTTTCTCTAAAATTTCCAGAAATTTTTGGAGGATTGAAAAAAAATATCAAAAGCACAAATGCTACTCCTCCAATAGGTAAATTAATAAAAAAACACCATCTCCAAGTAACTTTAGACAAAGCCCCTCCAATCACTGGCCCAAGAACTGATGAAACACTCCAAGTCAAACTTATAAAAGCAAAAACTAAAGATCTTTTAGTGATAGGAACGACTTCCGTCAAGATGATCAACACTGTCAGCTGTACTGCTCCACCACCTAAACCTTGTACACAACGGGCTGCTATAAGCATATCCATAGAATTACTAAGTGCAGCAATTAATGAACCAATTTCAAAAATTACAATTCCAGCTAATAAAGTTTGTTTTCTACCAAAAGCAATTGAAATTTTCCCATATGAAGGAACTAAACAAGCCATAGGTAACATAAACCCGGAAGTAAGCCATCCAACTTTTTCAAATGCATTAAATTTATCTCCAACAGTTGTTAAAATTGTTGAAACTATAGTTTGATCTAATGCTACTAAAAATAATGAAATTATACCTGAAAAAATCGTTAGCACTAATTGTAAACCTGTTAAATGTTGTTCATGAGCTTTTGTTCCATCTCCTGCATCTGCTTCTTTGAATTTTTCTGTATGTTGTTGTGATTCTGTTGATATTATTGGAGTTTCTGTTGTATTTTCATCTTTATATGGTTGTGGAGACGATGAAGATGATATTGATTCTCTTGATTCTCGTCTCGGACTTATTGATGTTCGAGACATTTTTTTTTTCTGTTTCCTTGCTTGTCTTATTGAATATGTTAAATGTTTATCTAGTCAAACTTATTCCATAGTGATAATCTATAGTTTGTCTTGCAAATATTATTGTGGTTTAATGATCTCACCTTCCTTTTTGTATTTAATGTTTTTTTTTTTTTTTTACTTTTTTTCTTTTTCCACATTTAAAATTGAATGTTAAGCGGCTAAAGCGCAGTTTCAAATTTAAAGTTTAAGTTTTTTTTTTATTACTAGCCTTATGTAAATACTAAAGTCTTATTTGATTTTGCTAACTTAAGGAAGGACTTTTTATCAACAGAAATATGATATCTAACCACTTTTACAAGTTCTGTCAACTTGAAGTTAACCATGACATCTATGTAAATTGTTGGTTCATTTATTGTAATTGAAGGTATTACTGATTTTTAGTTTTTATGATGCTCCTGGATTTTATACTTTAAAAGTATAATTGAAATTGATATCAAATATTTGCATAATTTCTAAAATCTCAGAAGTCGATTCAATTATAAGCAATGACCTTGAATTTTATTGTTTGCCTTCCATACTTTAAATCAATGAATTGAACCAAATCAAAAATTGATTCAAATGGTACTGACAATCTCCATTGAACAACCTGCCCATTCACAGTCACGTATCTCAATTGCTAAAGTTAAAAAGGGTTCTTACTATTTTTCTAAATATACTCGATTGCTCCAGTGTCTAATCTAAATCACAGTCCAGGTAGTTAGTCAAGCTTTTCTCCAAAGGTTGGCTTCTCAAGTGTTAAAAAATCATTACTTTGTACATTGGATTGGAAAAACATCTTAGGTATTCAACTCAAATTGTCTCCATATTCATGTGGGTGAAATGCCTCAAAAAAATTTCTCAATTGATAATGAAAACTAGAATTCTGAAGGTTAGTATAATAAATATAATAAATATTTCTACATTTGTATGGATAAAAGTAGCTTATGATCATTGTATGGGTAAAAGTAGCTTCTGATTATTGTATGGATAAAAGTTGCTTTTGGTGATCAATTGAAGAAAAAAAAATTGTATGAAATTTGAAAAAGACGAAATTAGATCTATATTTAATATAACTTTTTGCAAAAATATGATATGCTAAATTTTAGTTGCAAAAACTCTTTTTTTTTTTCTTAGTAATTGTCAAAAATCTGGTAGCACAAGTTCTAGTAAGTAGACGCGTTTTTTATTTACTTTAAATAATTTTTTTATATCTGAAACACTTGAAACTTATAACTACTACTTCATTAATAAAACATTATACCAAGACAACCATATCATACGCATATCTAAATAGACTTCAACTACCATAATGGAAGCATCTACGATAGCGGTGCATTGGCATGATGAAAACAAACCAATATATTCAGTTGATTTTCAACCAACAAAAAATCAATCAGAACTGAATAGATTAGCAACAGCTGGAGGAGATAATAATGTTCGAATTTGGAAAGTTGTTGGTACAAGTATTGAATATTTATCAACATTAATAAAACACACTCAAGCAGTAAATGTCGTTCGATTCAATCCACTGGGAGATGTAATAGCAACAGCTGGTGATGATGGTCATATTTTTTTATGGAAAAAAAATGATACTATACTGAAAGATATGAATAATGAGAATGATAAAGATTTGAAAGAAAGTTGGCAAGTTGTTTGTGTTATTACTATAGGTGATGAATTATCTGATTTATGTTGGTGTGAAAATAATTTTATTGCTGTTGGATCATTGAAAAATGTATTAAGAGTATTTCGAATTAGAGCAATAGAATCAATGAATTATAAAGGCACATTAATAAAAACATTTGAAGATAATGATCATTATGTGCAAGGTCTAAGTTATTCGAACCATTATTTATTTACTCAATCTGCTGATCGTACAATTATAACATATAAATTTGAAGGTGAAGATATTATAAAATTACATAAATTTCAAAAAATTGGTAATGTTCAAATGTATCAATCAGAAAGTTTACAATCATTTTTCAGAAGATTGAAAACTTCACCCGATGGATCCTTATTAATAACTCCAGCTGGTTTGGACGAAAATGGATCTCATTGTATATATATATATTCTTTAAAAAATTTATCTGATGGTCCAATAATAAGATTAACTGGGTTCAACAAACCTGCTATTGCTATTGCTTTTAATCCAATAAAATATGAATCAACTAGTTTACCTTATACCTTGGTATTTGCTATAGCTACAATAGATAGTGTTATTATTTATTCAACAGAAAATAAATTCGCACCTTTGGGACAAGTATCAAATTTACATTATCAAGGTATAACAGATTTGGTTTGGGATAAAGATGGTTCCAAATTAATTATAAGTTCAATTGATGGATTTTGCTCAATTATAAAGTTTGATACTGGAAAATTTGGTACTCCCATAAAAGCTGAACACATTGTAAAAGAAATCAGTCAAAATATACCATTAAAAGAATCAACAAATATTAAAGCATCACCAGAACATAAAAAGACTCCTACCATTGATACATTTTTCAATAATTCTAAATCCAAACAAACACCAAAAAAGGAAAAAAAAAGAATTACACCAACTTTAATACCAAAATAATAATCATATATATATAGGGTATATATGCAAACATATATAATTATATCTATATAGATTTAAAATGCTAATGAATTAATGAAAACTTACTTGAAAGGTAAATCTTGTTTATTTTGTAATTGAGCAGCTAATCTTTTCCTTGCATTAATAATCATTTCATTTCTTTTACTTTGTAAAGAATTATCATTTGTTGTGGAATTTTCATCAATATCATATTTATCAAATAGATTAATATTATTTTTAAATGAAGAATTTGATGATTTTGATTCTGTTGTGGTTGATGAATCAGGTATTATTGGAGGTGGAACATAGTTTGGTGGAAATGGTAAATTACCTAATTCCATATATCTATTTACTGTTAATTCAACAGATCCTGTATTTTCTAAATCATAACGAACTTGTTCAACTGTTAAATTTGGTGCTATAGTTTGTACTACTTCTATCATTGAATCAGTTACATTTCTTCTATTTCTTCTTTGAGTTGTGGTGGTTGATCTATTAGTTGACGTGGATGTACCTTGATTATTTGATGATGCTGAAGTGTTGATATTAAACTCATTTGATTGTGGGATTGGTGATATTAACCATCTTAGGAAAATAAATGCTATTACTATTGTAACTACGAATAATACAGTTGATGAATCCATAATGAATAATTATTTAGTGATAAATTGAACGTATTCAGTAAAGAAAATAAATTTATTTTTACAACAGAAATTTTCATTATCGCTCGGACTAAGAATTTTATAAATATACATTAATGAAACTATACAAAAGTTATTGAAAAGTTAATTTAAATTCTTTATCTTGATGTTTTACTTTATATAAAAACCCAGTAATTATATCATTTTCTTTAGCATTTAAATTCATAAAGTGATTTTTAACATGAGAAGCGAATTCTTTTTTATTTAATTTGCTATTTTTATTAACTCTACTTTGTTTTTCTTGATTTCTTTTAGTATATGTCTTTTTACCAATTTCTGAATTTAAAATATCAGAATTTAATGATTCGGGTCTTGATAAATTAAAATTATATCTATCTTTATATGACCATAATATTTTATTATTAAATTTTTCAAAATCGAGAGGATCAACTTTGGGTTTATCTCCTGGTCCATTTGAATTTATATGTCTTTGTAAATAATTTTGTTGTTGTTGTTGAGCTAATTGATTTTTCTGTTTTTGTGTTGTTTTCGATGTTGAAGTGGTTGTTGTTGTTGTGTTTGAGCTACCGTTTGTTGTGGTGCTTTGAGTATTACTTTCTTTATCTTTATTGTATTGACGAGTTGTTTCCGATTCTGATGCTGAATCTTTATGTCGATTGGCCATTATTTTTAGATTGTGTGGTTATAAAGGAATGAAATTGTAAAATGTAAATATTATTTGAGGCTTGTAGTTAATAAATCTGTTTAGTTTTGTTGTTTAATTTAATATTTAATGATAAGTTTTGATATGTGAAAATACCTGATTATATTTTTTAAACTTTTTCCTAGATTAATTGATGACTATAAATTAGCGCGCGTAAAAACACCATGTAAAGAGATCTAATTGAGACAACTGCTTATCACAATACTTATATAAGGATACCATATTAGAATGAAAACTTTTATTGACTACTTAACTAGTTCAAAAAATCATCATTATAATATAATTCTATCTCATAATCAGGTTGAAATTCAGTATATAAAGTTTCAGGATCACCATCATTAAATTCACAATAAGTAGCTTCTTTATCACCAATAATCTTAAGAGATTCACCAGGTAACAAGGCTTGTTGAGCTAATAATTGAACTTGACATGATTTTTCCAATAAGGTAAACAAATAAGCAGCTTCATCAACAGTACTTCCAACAGTTAATAATCCATGATTTTGTAAAATTATTCCCTTATTATCACCTAGAGCTTGGGCAATTTTAATACCTTCTTCTTCTTCTAATGCAACTCCTCCAAAATCTGTAAAAATCGAATGTTTTTTATAAAAAGTACAAACATCTTGATTAATCATATCTAATAATTTACCCATACTTGACCAAGCTTTTCCATAAGTTGAATGAGTATGACAAGCTGCGTTGACATCAGGTCTTGCTTTATGAATAGCACTATGAATAGCAAAACCAGCAGCATTTATTGCAATTTGATTCCCATCTGGTAAAATCTCACCATTTTCATTAACATGAACCAAATCACTTGATTTAATTAAACTAAAATGTTTACCTAATGGATTTATCCAAAATGTGTTTGGATCTACTGGATCTCTTATTGATATGTGACCTGCTGTTCCTTCAGTATATCCTTTTCTACCAAATACTCTGAATGCTCCTGCCATATGTTGTTTAATCCATTTTCTTTCATCTTTTTTATTTGTGAATTTAGGAATTTGATATGGATGTTGACCACCTTTTGCAATGTTATGTGAACCTCTTGTTCCTAATTCGTAACCTTTTGATTCTCTAGTAGTAGTTTCTAATTGAGTTGGTGACATTATGTTAAGTAGTTATTGTTTTAATGGTTGATTTATAGAAGAGAATTTGGATGGGTGCAAAATGAACAGATTGTAAGTTTTTATATCAATTTAAATCTTTTACTTATCTCTTCAATTTGTGTAATGTTTTAAGTATTAATTTAGTTTTGAACACTATTACACTACTCACCCAAATCATGAACGTTATTTTACAACCAAATTTTTGTATCAAGTTTCTTGTCTGGTACAATTGATGTCAGGAATGTACTTGAAGGCTACTAATAAAAGCATAGTCATAGCACGAGCTTTGAAAAGTGGTGTGAAAGGTGTTTTGTTGGCCAAAATTAGTCTCCACATGGGTTGATTTCTATATTAACGGCGCTAACCATAAAGAATTAGCGGCTAAAAACAATGTGTCTCCTAAAGGTATGTGAAAGCAGTTGTTGTGGTGCAAGTTGAACAGATTTAATTGTTGCCTCATATCAACTATGATACTTTTTGTCGCTCATACTACAATATTAAAATAAATACAGAAAATTCTCAAGAAAATTTTTTTGCATCAATTTACTAAATATATCAAGTCTTGAGATTTAGTTTCACTATAATTCAAACGGGTACAGAATTTCTTGTACCTTAAAATTTTGCCAACCTCACACAAGGGTTTCATGCAACTAATTTATCAAACTTTTTAGGATCTTACATCACTAAGTATTGTTTCAGTCGTAGTTGAAATCATTTTATTTACATAATTGGCGCAAAATGGAACGAAGCACACAAACTTTATTTTTTAAAAAAGAGATAGGTGGTGTGAATGAGTAGTTCAAATTTTTAGTAATATTGCGAATATATTAAGAAATCGTATACAAGAATAAACGGTGTTAGTAACAATTAGAAATATTAAGAACAATCAATTTTTGAATTATAATATTTTATTATAATTACATAGTTTTAAAAAGAAAAGAAACTCAAAATAACATTGAAAAATTCATTTCTGGGAAGAAAGCTTAAGCTTACAGATTTAACTTAAAGTTCAACACAAATGTTAAGTAGATTGTTGCATTTAATCTACATTCAAAAATTAATCTCCACAAATGGGGAGAAATTCGTCCTTAATTACAAGGTTTTCAATATATTTTAGTTATATAGATAACGGAAATTTGTTGTCAATTTTTTAGTCAAATTTTAAGGGATAGCACTTCTTAATTTCTGGAACTTTTGATATATCCGGAGGAAAATATAAATAAAAAAACGTAAAAGTTACACAAAAAAGTGAGGCGAATTAAACTTTCTTTCTTACATCACAAATCAATAAGATTAAGTTACATCATATGCAATGATAAACTGTAATTTCAACGAGATTTCATTCCTTGTAGAAGTGATCAAAGGAAATTCAATCGGTAATGGAAAATAGAAAAGTGTTTTCACAAAAATTACTAGAACTGTCAAACTTAAAATCATGGATTTGAACTAAATCTTTAATCTTTTTTTAGTCACAGAAAATAACGGAATAATTTTAAATTGAATTGGAGATCTTAAAAAACTTAAAAAAAAATTAATTTTAGTAAAGAACACACTACCACGTTTTAAATTGTATTATACTTTATTTTTAAGATCAACGACTAAAGTTTAAAAATATTGCATTAAATTTTGTTCTTTATCAAATATTATATATGTATAATTGATTAATTAACTATTGTTTAATATTGTCTAATAGCAATTAAGCAAAGTTGATCTAATTTCAAAATTATTATAATTCAAAAAGAACAGACGAACTTTAAATTATTTAAAACATATTGGTCCTAAGAAATTAAAGTTTACTTATTGGATCTAAGTCCAACTAAAAGGCTAACTTTATAGTAAAAAAATACATAAATGACATAATCACTTAATTCAAATAAGCCCAAATGATATAGCAATCAAACTAATATCTCATTTCATTAATATAGAAAAACTTTATAAATCGTTGAAAACTAGCCATAAATAATTTGTGTAATAATAGAGAGAAAAACATTGATCCGGAACATAAAAAGTTTTAAATTTCCATCAAAACAAATAAACATATACACAAATTATATGTAACAATAAACGGCTTAGGTAGAGAAGCATAGTGATGATCATGATTACTAATGGGCTCAGGCAGTCTTTATAAATTGTCTTATCTTTTAGTGCTTCGCTTATAGGATAAAAATTAAAGATATGTTTAAACTCTTAAACCAACATCAATAGAAGTCGGAAATAGTAGAATATTTCAATGGTTTTGTAATATTTTGGGGGTGTTTAAATTTCATTTTATTTGTTTTATTTCATTCAACTCTTAGACAATATAGTTCTGTTAATACCTATAAATTTAGGAAAAAGAAACTTTTTTAATTTCAAATACATGTTTGAAGAGATTAAATTAAAATAAAGTAAGGGTGTAAAATAATGTAACATTTTTATAATATTGATTATTACAATTATTTACAGCTATTCCTCACTCATTTAATACAAGTCCTTTTAAGACACTTGAACTATATCAATCTAAATGTATAGTTCTTTAAATCTATCTTTTAATCTATCGTTTGTAATTCAAGATTGTTGATACATAAAACATAACTTGTTAAATTGTAATTTGAATATTAAATTTTTTTTTGTTTTTTTTTTCAATTCTTCATTTAATAAAAATAAATAAAAATAAATAAATATAAAATTATAAATAATTTAGCAAATTTCATATTTCCATATTTTTCCAAATAATCTTTTTTAAATTTATTTACAACACCAACTATTTTATAATCTAATATTGTTACCATTCAATTATTATTAAATAGTTTAATATATTCCATTAATATATTCATTCAAATTAGTTGTATAACTCAGAACACTATATTTCAAAAGTTTAATAATTGAAAAAGATTGATATCAATTACACATATAAGTAGATCAAATATTAAATTTTCATTAATCTTAACTCAAAATAAGAGTTTAATTTGATAAAAATATATATTTAAGTTTTCATATACAGTCAAATTCTGTATCAGAATCTCATACATTTACTACTATCAATATTTCTACTATAGAATAGTTGAAAATGGTCATATCGATAAACAATACCCCACCATCGAATAATTCTTCACCAAATGAATCAACAACTTCGTCAATTTCTTCATCATTGTCGACCACAAGTAACAAAAGACTAAGAAAAATTCCACCTGAAAAAAGACAAAAGGTTTCAACAGCTTGCGATTCTTGTAAGAAGAGAAAATTTAAATGTTCAGGTTCAAATCCATGTGATTTATGTTCTAAAAAAGGTTATGAATGTTCTTATACTATAGTTGATAAAAGATCATTGAAAAGTGAAAGAATGTTGAAATTAAAACAAGAAAAATTGCAAAAGGAGAAAGAAGATGAAGAAAATAGAAAGCATCAACAATTCAATAATCCAGTACAAAATCAACAACAAAATCAAGCCCCATCTTCGATTCCAGTTCAATATCGTTCTTTACCATCTAACAATCAAAACATATCTTATCAACCACCAAATACTTTACCATATCAACCGCAACCACAAGCACAACCTATGAATAATCAAATACAAGGTCAAAGTTCACCTCAATATAACCAATTACCACCACCTCATTTAATTCAACCACAACAACAACCTCCATTTGAACAACATAGAATTTCTCCAACTTATCAGAATCCAAATAATGGTGGTCCAAATATTCCAAAATTAAATTATCATCCACCTCAACATTCATATATATCTCCACAATCTACTTATGGGGTAAGACCAAATTATCTGGCTCAAAGATCAAGTTATACCGGTCAACCTTTACCCCCGATGCAACCACAACCTCAAGGTCTCCCACAACAACAATTTACTACTAACCAATATCAAAATGGCTTACAACATCCACCACAACCATCACAAGCAATTCAAAATGATATTAAACAGAAGCATGAACAAACTGAACAACCTCAACCACCACCAGTATTCAAAGCTGATAGTGGGAATGGTATGCCAACTCCAGAAACTACACCAACTGCAATAATTGACAATTCAGGTAGTACATATGTTCCAAAATCATTACAACCATTTTTATCATTGCCTATTGAAAAAACTCCTAAAAAGACTAGTAATGGTGGAAAAGAAGAAGAAGAGGAGGAAGACGAAGAAATTGACGAAGAGATGGAAAATAGCGAAGATGATGGAGCAGAAAAAGATGGTGTATCAAATCAAGCAGGTAAAAGTTGTATATTATTAAATGACAAAACTGGCGTCTTTAGATATATGGGAGAAACAAGTCCATTAAGTGTATTGTATGAGACGAGAAATATATTTTATCAATACGTTGGTAAAACAAAATTAACAGAAGATTTAAGAGGTTGTCCAGTCACTGATAAACCTTTAAAAGTAAGTACAAAAGTAACTGTCAGTTTACCATCTCCACAAGATAGAGATATCTATATTGAACAATTCAAAAGAAATATTAATGATACTTTTTTCATCTACGATATGAAGAAATTTTATAAGGATATTGTTGAACCAGTATATTCAAATCCAGATTTAGAAGAAAATGAAGTTAAAAGAGTTCAATTATATTTTGTTTTAGCTATTGGTGCAACTTATTATGATTTTACTCAAAAGATACCTGAAGCTGAATTAGGTGCAAAATTCTTTGATTCTGGATTATATATGTTACAATCATTAGTTGAAGACTCAGAATTATGGTGTGTTATTGTACATTATTTACAATTCCATTATTATCAATCAATACTTAAGAAGTCAACTGCATGGATTCATTTAAATATTGCATTAAAATATGCTCAATCACTTGGTTTACACCGTAATTTTGTTAATGAACAATTTTCAAAAAGTGATGAATGTGAGTATAGAAGAAGAATTTTTAGAAGTATATATTCTTCAGATCGTATATCATCAGTATTCATTGGTAGACCATTAAGTGTTAACAATTACGATTGGGATGATTCAACAAGGTATAAAGCTTCTAAATTTTTAGTCACAAATTTAAATTTTAATGCTAAATGTCAAATTGAATTAGCTAAAATAAGTACATTAATTGGTAAAATAGTTGCAAATTTTTACCAAAATAGAATTATTGATATTAATAGAACTAAATCTTTAGCAGTTCAATTAAAACAATGGTCAAAAAATTTAGATCCATTATTAGGTATTGATAATATTTTGAAGCCAACAGAAATTCCAAATAATGAAGATGGAGGAAATACTCAAATTATTTTACAAACTCATTTATTACAATTATATGCAATTATGTTATTATGTAGACCATTTTTCATGTTTGATGCAGTTAGTAATATTAACACTAAATTACAAAGTTCAATAAAAGATAAAGAAAGTTCAAAACAATTTTGTTCAGCTGCAACAAAAGCATCAATATTAGCTATTAAGTTAATGAATCATTACATAAATACTGCTTTTAAAGAAGTTAAAAGAATGGAATGTTATGTGATAATTACTTGTACTTTTTACAGCTCAATTATTATTGGTATAAGTATATTAAATGGAGGATTTGAAGAAGAAGGATATTCAGAATCTGATTTAATTAATTTATTAAAAAATGGAGTTTATGTATTATTACATTTCTCAAAATGTAATAAAGGAGCAGAAAGATATGCAGAAATAGGAATAGATTTAATTGACGCTTTAGTAAATAGAAATAACAAAAAATCTAAAACAAAAGAAGAAGAAATTTTTGATTATAATAATATATTAAATGGATTTAATTTTGATGAAGAAACAAACAATGATATTCAATCCCTTATGGAATTCCAACAATTATTTGTTTCACAAGAAATTGCTCCTTCTGTTGCTGAAAGTTCAAATATGCCTTATGATTATGATAATTATGATTTATTTTTTGGTGATAAATATTAGATAAATAATTAGAGATTTTTTAGTTCTTTATTTTAAATAGTATTATTGATTAGTTTTAAATGTTATTATTAGGTTTTTTTCAAAACTTGTACATCTAGAACTCTTTCTTTAATCGGTTGGAAGTACTTGATTTGGTAAATTGATTTTATCTGTCTAATTTTGATTTTGCTATTTTTAAGTTTTGTGATTTGATTTGAAAAAAAAATTAGAATGCTTTAATTTCATTTGATTCAATTCTATATCAATATCATCTTTACCTTTCCAAAAAAATCATCCATGAAGAAATGAGACTAGCAAATTACTTCAATTCAATACTATCGTCATTATTTCTTGTATTATCATTTTTAACATTAGCATTAGCATCGCCAGGTGACGATTTATACGCATTTCTGGATTGTATATATCAATGTGAACAAATTACATGTAGAAAAAATCCATATAATCTTATACAAGAAGAATTTTATCAAGAATTTCTAGATCAAGGGGTAGAAATACATTATTACAATCCCAATTGGGAATTTATTAAAATGCCATTACCTTTTTTTTTACGGGTGTTAGGTTGGAATTGTGAACTGAATTGTGATTATCAATGTCAAAGAATTATAACTAATGAAAGGTATAAAAATAATGAAGAAATATATCAATTTCATGGGAAATGGCCGTTTTTGAGAGTATTTGGAATTCAAGAATTTTTCAGTGTTTTGATGTCATTGGGAAATTTATACGTTACTTATAAATATGGATTTAAAAAGATATTGAAAATTATAAATAATAAAAATTTACCAATACTATTAAGACAACAATTTTATAATATTTTAGTTGTTACTATTGTAACTATGTTTGCATGGATTGCTTCTACTGTTTTTCATACTAGAGATTATCCAATTACTGAACATTTAGATTATTATTTAGCTGGTGCAACAATTTTATCAAGTTTTCATGCTTTGGGTGCAAGATTATTTGAGTTCTACAAGCAAGATAAAATTTTGTATCGTTGGTCATTCACGATTATTTGCATATCAGCATATATATATCATGTTCAAAGATTATATTTTGATTGGTCATATACATACAATATGAGAGCTAATATATTTGTTGGATTATGTCAAAATATATTTTATTGTTTAATAGTTTTCAAATTATATTGTAAATATTACAATTTAGAACAATCAGAACCAACAAAAGTTAATTTAAATCACCTCAATTATTTAAATTTTAAAAGAATTATATTACCTAGTTTTTATTCAAGAAGTTCAAAATTATATACATTATATCCATTAATGTTATGTACAATAGTTATAATGGGAATGATGTTAGAAATATTTGATTTTCCTCCAATATGTTTTGATTTGGTGGATACTCATAGTTTATGGCATTTAGTAACGATTATACCTGCGTATATGGGATGGTACGATTGGTTGATTTGGGATGTATTTGAAAATGTTTGGGATGATTTGAAAAAATCTGAAACTAAAAAGAATGAGTAGGGCGTTTTTGATAGATCTATAATTTATTTTTTGGGGTGGACTTAATACATAATAATAATCTTTAATCTTGTTTCAATCACTTAAATTTTCATCTTCTGGGACATAAGGTGGTGGTTTAAACCATTCTTGATCTTCTTGTACAAATTTTTTAAATTCTTCTTTATCATCAACAAATTCATATAAATATTCTAATTCTAAATCATGAACTTGTCTACCCAACATAACTAAAGTATGTAAAGGTTCACCTGAATCATATTCACTTAATTGTTTTAAAGTACCTGCTTTAAATTTTTGAGTTGGTGAACCTAATCTCAGTACAGCAATACAAGGAGTATTTTCAGTATATGCTTTTTCATTTCTTATATTTTCAATTTCAATTAATTGTTTACAAGCAGTTTGAATATTCATATATCTTGGAGGTTCATAAATTAATTTACCTCTTGCCATATTTTCAATACTTTGTTCTTTAACTTTTATATCTAATAATATTAAAGTATGTAATCCAATTTTTCTATTTTCCATAATTTTATTATAAAATGAATCAGGTTTCCAAGAATCTGTAAAAAACACTAATGAAATAGTTTGTCCAAATTGATATAATTGTAATCCACATGCTCCTACTGCATTCATTACTGATGCATTATGTATAGTTTCTATTTTGATTCCTAATTCTCGAGCTCGAATAACTAAATCAGTATGTGTTGTTGCACCAAATGGATCACCAACAACTAAAAATGCAATATCTTCCTTATCTGCATTTCTTAGGATGTCATCACTTCCAGTTTCAACTAATTCTCTATCCGCTAATATAATTTCTCTACCATAATAATTTTCTAAAGTTTCTTGATTTGCAGTCATTAATATTGATGTATATGCTTCTAAATATACTCTTGAACATTTTTTAACTGTCTCCAAGCCTCTTACTGTTATATCTGATTCATGTGATAATCCAAGTCCTATAAGGTATAACATTTTAAATTATTGTTTTTGATTTAGTGGTGTTTCAAATATTTAGATGTTTCATATTTTTTTTTTTCAATATTTCTCATCTTATCAGTTTTGCAATATTTTTATTAATATAGAGAATATGTAGATTTTACAATATGAAATTATTAAAAAACTCTTTGGTTAACCGTCTATATACTATACTTGTACATTATTTATCATCCAATTGTTTATGATGGTACATCACATAAACTTTTTATAATCTTTAAAACATCAGATTGAGAAAATTTCTCACTAACCAAGTTCATATCATCTTTATATATATGAGTATATACATTTCTTAATACATCTTCAAATTGCATTTGTAAATTCTTTAAATATTGTCTTGTTTTAAGTAAGGACCCATCATCATTTAATAATTCAATTGCTGATTGAATTAATTCTTTTTGTTCTAATCTTTCCTTTGGTGATCTATATTTATATAATATTTCTTGAACTACAGTCATTTGATCATTTTGATCATTTTGTTTTGATTTCTCATTTAATAAATGTATTAATATGGGAAATGATAATTTACCTTCTATTAAATCTTCCCCAGCTACTCCTTTCATAATAGAATAATTTGAATCTATTAAATTTAAATAATCATCTCTAATTTGATATATGATTCCACATAAATTAGCCATTTTTTCAATCCAATAAATTAATTGTGGAGATTCAATTTTGGTACTTAAAATTTTCATTAAATTACAAGTTAATCTAAATAATCCACTTGTTTTAAAATTAATCATTTTTAAATAATCTTCTAAAGTTGGTAAATTGTCTAGTTTTGGTAAAAAATCTCTCCAATATATATCCATTCCTTGACCTTCATGTAATCTTTGCATTTCTTCAGTTAATATTTGATATAGTTTTAAATTTATAACTTGGTTCTTATGAAGTTCAAGTTCGGGATTAGTTGGACCCAAAAGAGGAGAACTTCTCCATATATGACTGAAATCAATCAAGTCTTTACATAATTTATCAACAATGGTGTATGCTTTAAAATAATATAAATTTCCACAATTTAAAGTTAATGGTATTCCAAATTTTTTATGAGCAGCAGGAAATCCACGTCTAAATTCTGAACTATCTTCAATATCATCGATTAATAATGAAGAATTATGTAATATTGATATAATTTCATCTATATATTCTAGTATTTTTTTATTTTTTATTTGAAATATTTCATCATTAAAAGCATTTAAAAATTTCGACCTTATTCTTTTATTATTACTTGGTATTGAATCTAAATATTTATATGGTTGTTCGATTTTTTTTTGGATTTTAGTTAGCGGTTCTAATTGTATATCGCATATCGATATTTTGATTTCATCCATTTATTTATGTATTTGTTTTTCTAATATGATGTAGTTGTTGTTGGTGATAAAAGTTGTTTTTGATATTCAAAGTTCTTGATCCAAATAAATGTAAATAAAAAATATGTGTGACGTATTAAAATTATTTGACAACCAAATTAACTATCTAACACATTTTATAAAATTACATTTCTAATTACATTACCAAATACAAATAGAATAACATTATTCAAATTATCATCATTTTATTTACTACTTCATCAAACAATTACTCATCAAAAATCAATTTGAAAGAAAAGATTATAATTAGTTAAATATCAGATTTATGATCTAATCAAATTTGCATACCTTATTATTTCCTTAATCATTACTCATACATCATAACCCACCAATCTATAAACCTTCAAATTAAATCAAATCTATTAAATACTAAGAAAGTTAAATGGATGCATTTTGGACAAATTTACCACCAATAACAAAAGGTTGGTGTATATCAACATTAACAATATCAACATTAATTACATTAAAGAAATTAAAATTCATAAATTTATTATTTATCCCCGAAAAGATTTTCAATCAACAACAAACTTGGAGAATTATAACTACTTTTATAACATTTAATGAATTAAGTTTTGATTTGATTATTGTTTTATGGGAAATTAGTCATGTTTGTTCACAATTAGAAAATTCATACTCGTTAACAAAATCATTGTTACCTTACACAATAGTTTCTAGTTTTGATCAACGACAATGGGATTTATTAAATCTGTTTATTGATAGAAACAAGAGTATTGATTTTTTATATTTCTTGATACAAATATGTATATCCATAATTGCATTAGCTACATATTTATATTTTAAATTTGAAATAACTATAATAAATTTAGGATCAATATTATTACAAAGTTTAACTTATTATGATTCCAAAATAACTCCAAATAGACAAATTAATTTTTTTGGTGTATTAATTATAAATAATTTATATTATCCTTATTTTATTGCTTTTTTAAATTTATTAACTCAAGAAATTTCAAAATTTGAAGAAATTACAAATAATAATAATCAACAAAATCAAGGAATAATTAGTAAAGTAAAATCTTTTTTCAACAAACCTTCATTTTGGATGTACTTAATTAGTTTTGGATTAGGTCATTTTTGGTGGTGTTCTAAAGAATTAATACTAAAAGATTTACATTATGATAATAATTTTAATTTACAAAGTTTAAAAATTAGATCAAATACTTTAAAACAATATCGGGTATGGAAATTTGATTTTGTTAGAGAGTTATTAGTAATGATATTATTACCTCCTTGGTATTGGATAATTATTTCTAAAATTAAAAATAATCAACAAAGAAATCAAATACAACATCCTTTATAGGTTTTTTATAAATACATATATTATATGAATATATATTATATTATATTATATTATATTAAATTAAAAAATAATTAATTTTACGCTCTATATTATATCACTTTATATTTTTTTTTTGGGGAGTTGTATTTGTAGTTTTTTAAATCTATTTAGTACCAACATCTTTTAATTTATTAAGTTGTTCTGATAAACCAGCTGGTAAATCAACAGTTTCTGGTTCTTCTTTAGTAGTGGTTGAAGTTGAAGAAGATTTTTTATTATCTTCTTCTTGTTTTGGAATTTCTTGTTTCTTTTTATCACTTGGTGTCATAACTAAATCAGCAAAATTTAATCTTGAACCCTTTTCATCATCACCATTATTATCTTCATGAGCAGTTTCATTCCATTCTTCCAATTCCTTTTGATGTTCTCTTTCAATAGCATACTTAACAGCTTCTAATACATCATTACATAAATGTTTTGGTTTATATTTTGGTTCAGTACCTTCTTGATAAACACCAGTTTTAACTAAAATTGAATGCCATGAAACATCATGAGAATTTGCAAATCTAATATCTGATTCTGGAGTATCACCAACAAAATAAACTGTTGATGCTGGTGGTAATTGTAAAGTAATTTGATCTGGTTTTCCAACTTCTGCTATTTTACCAATATGTTTTATTAAATCTTCATCTTTATTTTTTGGATCATTTTTATTAATATCTTTTTTACCACCACCAACTAATAAACCATTTTTTTCTTCATCTTCATCTTCATCTTCTTCATCTTCTGAATCTGAAAATGAATAATTTTCTAATTTTGATTGATTTATAATTTCTTCTCCATCATCATTAATTAAAATATCAGCATCTTTTGCATTTGGATCATTAATACTTAATTTTTTTAAATGTTCATCCAATACTCCTTGTCTCCAATGAGCTAATACTTTATTTGCAAATTTAAAAGTTCCATGTTGTGGTTTACCAAATCTATTAACTTTTAATTCTTTACCAGTATGTTCTCTATATAAAGCAGCAGTTGAAACTTGTAAAGCTCCCATACCATATCTTGATAATTTATAATTTGTTGCCCAAATAAAATCAGAATGAGCAAAATAAATTTGTGGACCTTCATCAAAAGTTTTTGATTGAGTTCCCATAACCCCATTTTTTGATAATAATAATTCTAATATTATTTGTTGATCAGCTGCCCAATTTCTTGAATCTGCAAAAACCATTATAGCATCAATTGGAGTTTTACTAAAATCAACTTTTCTTGTACAAATTTCTTCTTCTTCAGTTAAATCATGATATGGAGAAACTGCTGGATTCCATTTCATTATATCTAATGGTGTATAGACATTTTTAAAACCATAAGATTCTGCAACATTTCTACAAACATTTCCAACACCACCAACAACTAATACATTATTATAAGTACCAACTAAATCTCTCATTGGTGTATGACCTTGAATAATTTGTTCTTCAGTTATAGTACAATGTAATCTTTCACTTAAATCATCAGCTCTTTGTTTTTCTGGTTTACCACCACCATTTGTAACAAAAATTGAAGGAACTTTAATTTTATATTTATTATCACCATTTAATAATTTCATTGCTTCAACAGCTTGTGGAATAGTATTTGGACCTCTTAATATAACACCATCAATATCAAAACAAAAAGCATAAGAAGCAACTCTTTCATGATCAATTACAGATTTTTTTTTTCTTTTAATAATTGAAGAATTTCTTGATAATTTAGCTAATGAATCAACTTTTTTTAAATTTGCTGATGATGATCTATTTAAATTACTATTTGAATTACCACCACCATTATTTTTTGATAAATTTGATGAAGAAGATAATTTTGTTAAACCATTTTGCCAATTATTTAAATCAGATAATGATAATGAAGAAACTCTATGTTTTCTTGCTTGTGGTGTTAATTCATCAATACCATCATTATTTAAATATGATTGAAATTGTGCTCCACCATCTTCTTGAATAACTTCATCTTTTGATTGATCTTTTGACATTTTTGTAATTGATTGATTTGATCTATAGTATTTAATAATAATCTATGTTGTAGAATTGTTGTAAAAAAAAATTTAAATTATCAATAATTTCAAATAAATAAATACAAAGTTGAAAAATGTAATAAAATTATAAAATAAAAAATCTATTAATAAAATGAAAAGTGAATAGATTAATAATTTGAATTATTAGAAATAAGTTTGATTATTAATTTTTTATTTCTTAACTTGTTAAATCGTTGAAATGTCGAAATTTGAATTCGTTAATTGGTATTATTCTTAAAAAAAAAAAAAAAACTTGAAAATTAAACCACCCAAATATATTTTCAATTAAGGAAATAATAAAACTTATTTATATATTAATTCTTTATATATTTTTTTCAATTTTAAACAAAAAGATCACAATCCTAAGAATAATTGACTTGTAATCTATTATATGTATAATATGTAAATTTAATCTATATTTAAACTTGATCGTAAATTGAATTGTTTGTTAAATTCAATTATTGTGCTATCTACTGTTAATATATATTAATTAATTAATTGAAAAACAAGAAAATAAAAAAAAATTTGTAAAATCAATTACATCATAGAGAATCACACGTATATAATAATAATTTATTATATATTATATAGGAATTGATTAACAACATTCTATTATTATTATTTAACGTCTGTTTTATCACATTCATATTATATTAAATACAAAAGCCATTTTTAACAAGTTTTATTACAACACAAGCACGAGGCTTTTGAACCAAAATCCAATCCCTTCTTTTTTTTACGATTAAGGATTGATTATAAAAATTTTTTGCAATATTAATTGGTACGTTATACATAATTTGCATATTACTATAATTGCTATTTGATTAAAAGAAATTGATATAATGTTTTAAGACAACTACTTTTCGAAAATTTATAGTTTAAAAAAAGTAATATATACCTCGAAATATACGGAGTTCAACTGTTGATCCAATAGTTACAAAGCTAAAAGAAATTGCTTACTATTGTTCTCTTTTAATTTAAATTTATCAACTTAAAGTTTGATAGATTGCAAAATTTTAAATAGTACATTATTCACAAATCATAATTTCTTGACGACAAGCATCGGAATAAGAAATTCGTTGTAATAAAACTTTGAAATAGACATATTATAATTAAGGGATCAAGAAAATATTATTTCTTAATATATGATAATAAGTTTCTTTTTGGTTATTGATAATAAATTTATAATAATTTATTATTATACCGACTTGTTATATTTATTTTAATATTTTGTGTTGTGTTTCAATTATTGCTATTTAAAAATTTTATATTTGTGTTTTCAATTAAAACCAATTTTATTATGATATTGAAAAACATTTATATTTATAATCTTTGATCGAGTGAATAAATTTAATTCATATTACAGAAATAATTTATAAAGAGAGAGTCAATAATATTTCGATTCAACTTCTTATATTATTTATTTACGGAAAAATATTTACAATTTTAACTGTTAATAGACATATAATTAATTAATACTTTAATAAATTCAGTCGTTCATTGCAACATGATAAAATTTTATAACCTTATTAAAATTATAAAATAACTTTAAACAAGCCAAAAAACAAGCCAGAAAAGTTTAAATCAACAATAAAAGTTAAGCTTAAGTTTAGCAATTAACTCTCTATTAATAGAATACGCCAAACAAATGAATTAATGACATAATATTTGATTTACTATAATTAACAATGTAAGACATTAAATTGTTTAATTTTTGATAATGTATGTTAGCTATAATTTGATTTGATTAAACATATATTTGTCTAATTTTTGCTATTATCATTGCCTGTTTGAAATAACGTTTTGCCTCAAAGTGGTCCTTTTTCAGAAACTTTTTCACATCTCGCAAACAGTCTTGAATGTATTGAAATTCTTAAATCTGTAGATACACATAAATGCATTTAAATATCAAATTTTACCTTAACGTTATTTGAAATTATAAAATTTACGAGATTATTTTGATTAATGACGTCGTTCTAAAAGCAGATAAGATATAGCAATTACGACAACATTAAAATTAATATTAATTCATCGCTAATGCTAGAAAAACTTCTTTAATTCAAATCGTTAATAAATTTACTTATGCAAAAATTCATAAAAAATTTAACTTCTTCATTGACTTAAAGCGCAAACCTAGTATTACTTTACTTTTACAAGCATAATTCTTTATAAAATGGACCACTTGGAGTAACTGGTATTACTTTCATCTTTTGAAAGGTAAATCTCGAAAGTACTTAATACTAAAGTTTAATTATTCTTGAAGGTATCAACTTGCATTTAAGAATTAAAAACTCCGAAAAATAAAGAAATTGCTACTTGGTCAAATATTTAAGATATTTTGTGATAAAAAAAAATTATTTAAGTCCGAATGATTTTTACAACCTAATCGACGGATAATAAATTCTAAATCTTGAGGATAATTTAGATTTAAATAAACAAATATTTGAATATTTATACATTAACTTGAATAAGAAATCTAATTAATGAATTTGGTCTGCAAATATCTTTTAACATGATTAATTCATTTGAATAATAATAATACTGTTTGCAATTAGTTGATAAAAATCAATCAAAAAAATAAAAAGTATAGAATCAAATTTGATACTATTAATAAACATTCTAATATACAAAATTCTATTATTAATTAAAATATTTATAAGCATGTGAAAATAATTTAACTTAATAATACTGTATATAATTAATTGATACGGTAATAAAATATTATAGAATAGAATATTTACTTATTAAAGAAATCAAAATACCCCACATATTGGAAATTATATATTGACAACCAATATTGTTGATACTCTTTTATTCTTTTTTAAGATTGATTTAAATGCTATTGAAAATTTATCGTATTTGTTTATAAAAGAATAAGGAATACAGAATAAAGAAACAATTCAACAATCGTTTCAAATCCTTTATTTATTCAACAATTGTTCTATAACTAGATCTCAGATCTGATAATATAATTTAGATTCAATATATCTTTATTTCATTTATTAATATTCAATTGATTTCAAAGACTAATTACTAATTATTTTTCATTCAACAATTATATCAATCAATTCAAATACACCATGATTTCATTAAGAGGATTCTATATTTTACTAAGTATTCCAATTAAATTATTATTAGTATTAATAAAATATCCATTTTTTGGAGGATTAAATGAAAAATTTAAAAATGATTTAAAAAATTCATTAAAATTACAATTATTTAGATCTGCTATAAGTATACCAGTAAAAGATGCAATATATATTAATATATTAAATAATTATTCATTAATTAATAAATTATTAAAATTCTTGTATCCAAATTTAACAAAATTAAATAAATATGGTACTAGGTATGATAAACAAAGTATTTGGTTAGTTGAAGCTCCAAATAGATCCAAAAAAGATCCAATTATAATTTATTTACATGGTGGTGGTTATTATATTGAAACTCAACCATCTCAATTAGAATCTTTATTAAGTATTTATTATTTATTAGATAAAGAAAATCAATCAAATTTATCAATTTTACATTTAGATTATAAATTAGCAAGTAATGGTCATATTTTAACAACTCAATTATATCAATTAGCTGAAACTTATAAAAAATTAACTGAAGAAGATGGTAATTCAAATATTATTTTAATGGGTGATTCTGCTGGTGGTAATTTAGCTATAACTTTTTTACAATATTTAAAACAACAAAAACAAAAACAAAAAACAAACAATTTAAATATTATATGGCCAAAATCTTTAATATTAATAAGTCCATGGTGTAAAATTCATCCAGAACCTCATAATAATACTAAAGGTTGGTCATATTTTGAAAATTCAAAAAGAGATATGATTCAATATAGGTTTTTTCAAGAAGTTGATAGACAAAAAGCTATTATTGGAGATTTAAATCATATGGATTTATTAGTATCACCTGGGAATTTACCTTATAAATATAGTGATTGGGATGATATACCTACATTAACCCAAAGAGGTAATTCAATATTTGTTATAATGGGAGAACATGAAGTATTTAGAGATGATATTTTAGAATGGTGTCAATATGCAGTTAAATCTCCATTAATTAAACAAAAATTAGATTCAAAAGGGTTAATAGATGTTAAATTACATGAATATAAATCAAATGACCCAAACAAACCATTAGTTGAAGTATTTATTGAACCATGGGGTGTTCATGATTCTGTATTATTTTTTGAAGATGATATTATAAACAAAGTTAAAAAAAATAAAAATTTGAAAATTGGTACATTAGATCGTAAAAAATATTTTGGAATTGTTAAAATTGTTGAATTTTTAAATAAAACTTTATCTTCTTCTAATAATGATAATTTACAAGAAGAAGATGGATCTGTTGTTTTAGTTAATGGTGATGAAAAAATATAAAGAATTTGAGAATTTGTAAGAATTTGAGAATTTTGGAATAATAAAAACTTAGATTAGATTTTAAATAATGTTATTAGATTTTAGAAATTTAGAAATTAGATTAAAAATTATTTAGAACAAGCTGTAGATTTATGTAATCGAACAAACTTAAATAAAAAATTGTAGATTAATCATATCTAATAGAGATTCAAGATGGAAAAATAAATTAAAATTTATGTAAGTTAGATTCTCAAATCTCATTTCAAAAAACCCAGAGATCATATTTACACTCTGACTTTTTAATGTTCCACAATAAAAGATCTGAAGACTGGGTAAATAAATCTATTGTTCAGAATCTTTTAAATTTGAATTGAAAAATTGAAAGGAAATAGATGAAACAAACGAATAAATCAATCTGTAGACTTCTGTAATTGAAGAAACCTAGAAATTTTAAAACTTACAAATCAATTTGATCTATAGTTTAGGTCTACTAAAATAGAAGAAAAAAGTTGGATTTATGCAAGTTAAATTCTTCAAATCTCTTTGTTAATAAATTCAGAGATCTTATCTAAATTTTGACATTTTAATACACAAAAATTACAGCAAATCTAGTTAAATTTTTTAAATCTCAATTGACAAATTGAGATCAAGTCTAGATTCCTTTACTTCACCTAATAACAGTATTCTTTTTAAATATTTAGTTCATTTTTCCATTTTGATAGAATCTAAAGATTCAATAACTAAATATTGAATAGATCTTGACCTTTAAAAAATAAAAAAGGACCCTTATAATTAATAATGCAAAGAACCGCAAAATTATGTATAATAATATCAATATTCTCGAGATATGAAATTTTTGATTATGTAGCTTATCTGAAATTTGAAATTATGTAAGTATAAATTGTCATTAGTGACGTAAATCTAATTTAAATACGTTTTAACTAGATCTAGATACATAATTGCTAGTTTCCAAAATTACTAATTAAAGGAGGTTTATCATATAATTAATTTCTGATTTTTCCAGAACAAAATAATAATATACATTGTTTGTTTAATACTTTATACATTCATAATTTCCATTAAGTAATTATTAAAATGAAATTAGACTTAAATTGTTACGGATATGTCAATAAATTATGGCTTTTCAAGAATTTTACCAATAAATCCGGTTTAGTTACTTTTAAGGATATTTTTTTTGACGGTTAATAAATTAGGTATCTTTATTAATAGACAGGTTTGGGGAAATATGAACTAGAAAATATATAGAAGGCTTTGAAATTCCACTTCCAATTTTACTTCAATTCATTGGATTATCACAAAAGCATTTATTCATAATAAAGAAGTTTACAAGATGGTCTCATTACATGGTTTATTAGTACTTGCTAGTTTTTTCATTGAAGCTTTTTTTTTAATTTTATTTTACCCTATTAGAGGTGGTATAAATGAAAAATATAGAAATAATTTAAAACAATCTTTAAAAGTATTATTTAGTAGAAAATCATTAGCTTTTCCCGTATTAGATGCAAAAATTGTTTCATTTTATACAAATTCTGCATTACTTTGGTTTATTGGTAAAATAAAATATCCAAAATTAACTTCTGGTTTAAATAAATATGGTGAAAAATATGACTCTAAGAGTATTTGGTTAGTTGAAGCATTAAATAGAAGTAAAAATGATCCAATTATAATTTATTTACATGGTGGTGGTTATTATTGTCAAACTTCATATACACAAATAGAATCATTAATTAGTATATATCATTTAATTGAACCATCAAAAAGATCAAAATTATCAATATTATTATTAGATTATAGTTTAGCTTCATATGGGAATCAATTATTAACTCAATTACATGAATTAGGTGCTGTATATCATAATTTAACTTTTAAAGATGGTAATACTAATATCATTTTAATGGGTGATTCTGCTGGTGGTCATTTAGCAGTTACTTTTGAACAATTTTTAAAAAAACAAAATAATTCAGCTATACCTTATCCTAAATCATTAGTATTAATAAGTCCATGGGTTAAACTTTCACCAGATAAAATTCAATATAAACCAGGTCATTCTTACAAGGAAAATGAATCAAGAGATTTAGTTCAATATACTTTTTTCACAGAACCTGATAGAGGTAAAACATTAGTTGGTAATACCGATATTTTAAATAATTGGACATCACCAGGTAATTGTCCTTATGCAGAAAAAGATTGGAAAGATATTCCTACTTTCAGTCAACCAGGTTATTCAGTATTAGTTATAGTTGGAGAACATGAATCTTTCAAAGATGATATATTAGAATTTTCTCATTATGCATTAGGTAGTTCAATAAATTCAAAAACAATAGATGGATCATCAAAAGGTATATTTAATGAATCAAAACATTTAGAAATTTTTGATTATAGTAATGGTCCATATGTTGAAATTGTTGTTGAACCTTGGGGAGTTCATGTTGGTTCATTATTTTTAGAAAATGAAATTATTGATTTATTAAATAAACATCCTAATTTAAATTATAAAAATTTAGATGATTATCAATTTTTTGGGATTAAAAGAATTGTCGGATTTTTAGATAAGACTTTATAAAGATTACAATATATAAAATTGGGAATTCAGTTATTTTGAATAGGTCTACAAAACTTGTGATTCTAAATCTTAATATTTGAGGGAGGTTTTTAAAGTCAATATTTAGATTTTGTTATACTGTAATATAATTCTTATTCACAATTTTAAGATAAATTAAGTTGATTCTGAATTAAAAATTGATATCAAATTAATTGCTAGGCTATGATATGCTTAATTGTGTAGCTAAATAACAAAATTAATATATATTATAGATCCAATTTGCAACTATGTTTTAATTTTTGTCCTACTTTTTTCTAATTTTTGTTATTAAAGTTTGTTTTTTTTACAACTAAATTCAAGTATAACAAACTTTGGCAAAAAAAAAAATATTCAATATTTATCTATTTACTCTTTCTTTACTTAGTAAACACAAGTTTTTACTTCTTTAATTATTTACTAAATATAAATTTTTTTCATACATATGTAGAGCTTATTTGTTTATTTATTTATTTATTTTCAGAATTCAGAATTCAGAAAATGTTTTTTTTTTTTTTTCCTAAAATCAACATTTATTCTAAATATAAAATTCTCATGTTTCAGTATTGTCAATTCATGTGCCACAGAATTTTAGTTTGCGACATGAAAAATTTATATTACATAAAAAAAAAATTATTCTTCAAATATCACATTTGTTAAAAACCCATACAAATCTAACTTCAAAACCAAGATCAACCATCACTCATCACAATGATATATTTAAAAACGTTACTAAACGTAATAGACAACTCAGGAGCTCAAGTAGTAGAATGCATAAAAGTATTACGTCACAACCCCAAATCATGCGCTCATATAGGTGATCAAATAACATGTGTTGTAAAACAAGCAAGACCAACAACCACTGAAGGAGCAGCAGCATCAAATCGTGTGAAAAGAAGAGATATATGTCGTGCTGTTGTTGTAAGGCAGAGGGCTCCCTTTAAAAGACCAGATGGATCAGTTATTAGATTTGATGATAATGCTTGTGTTTTAATAAATAAAAATGGTGAACCTTTGGGGACAAGGATTAGTTCTGTTGTTGCTAAAGAATTAAAAGATTTGAATTATAGTAAGATTGTTTCCTTAGCTCCAAAGACTTTTTAGGGATTGCTTGGGGTAAAAATGTGTAAATAGAGAGATTCAATTTTAATGTACAAGAATTAATTAATGTCAATGATTAATACTTACAAGGAAATGATGAAGAAATTAAAAAGTAAGTTTATCATCAATATCATCATCTTCCTCATCTATTCATACTTTTTAATGTATAATTTCTATATTTTCTCTATAAATTTTTTTTATCCATTTCTTCATCAATCTTAGTAGTTGCTTCTTCAGTCTTTCCAACAACCCAATCGTAAACTTGTCTCATAAATAAAAACTGAATAAAAGCCACGATCCCAACGACAGCAAACACAATAATTCTTGAACTTTCTTTTTCCACATTCATAAATTCATAAGGATATCTACCACCTTTATCAACATCTATTAAATTTTTTAACAAAAACCAATAAAAAGTAGTAAAACTCACAACAAATGCTAATGCTGTATTTATACTTATTGTCCATTTTGGCATAAATATAAGATAATCAATTAATAAACTTACTATTGGCATTAAATGAATTGATAAATCAGTTATAATTGGCATTTTAAATTTTGATGGATCTTTAGTTAATAAATGTAAAAAAAATAATCTAAGAGGCCAATAAACACCAGCAACAATACTTTCTAAAGCTAATCCAATAGGATGTAAATCATTTTTTAATAAAAACAAATATTCTGATTTAAATAAATGTGCAATTGCTCCAATAACAAATGTAATTATTGAATAAATTAATGATAAATTAGTTAAAAATTGAAATTGTCCAGCATCTTTTAAATGTGGTGGTAATTCTACATATATCATATTTGTATAAACTCCATAAAATCCAATTATAATTGATAATATATCTATTACTAAAATAATTGGGTTACCTACTTTTCTTCTAGGGTGGGTTGTTATTATTACTTCTTTTTTTATTACCGTTGACATTGTGAGTTGAATTCTTCTATTCTATCTAGTGGTTTAAGTAGTTGAGTTGAAAAAGGAATGTTTAATATTTGTTACTTTTTTCTAATATTTTGATATGTTTCAGCTTCTATTTGTGATGTGTATTGAGATCTATAATATCGATTAAGATATTTCTAGTCGTAAAGTTCAGTATTGAATATTTAAATCTCAAAAGATATTATTTAATTATTATAGTTTGAACTAGTAATCATATTATAGCATATAAATAAAATAGGAAGTAGCAAGAAAATCGTTGTATATCATATTATTTATAATATATTAATAGTATTATGTACGTAATATAATTTTCTTTTTTAGTCTAACTTTTTTTTAGTTATGAGACCATGTGTTTTAACTTAAAACTTTAATTTTTTTTCGCTTTATTTTGCAATAATTGCTACAAGAGAATTACAGATCTATAGATTTACAAAGAAAATTAAAGTAAAATGCTAAATAATAGTAATACATTAAATACATGTCTATATATTTGATTATTCATCATGATGATGTTTTCTAAAAAATCTACTAAAAGATCTTGTTTTTGAGGAAGATCTTGATCTACTTTCATTTGTTAATCTCAAAAATTGAGGATCTTGTGCATGATTTGATCTACCTCTTTCTTCATTTATTAAGTTAGTATATGAAGAATTTCTTGATGTTGTTGGACTTAAAAATCCACCACCATTTGATTTTTTAGGTTTTTCCTTTTTATTATATGGTGATTCATCCATTGGAATTTTTTTAATCCAATTAATAAAATAATCTTCTGAATCTATTGGATCTTTTAAGGTTTCTATGTAATTATATGTGGGCTTTACTATAATAACTGGTACTAATGCACATTCTAAGAAATGTTTTGATAGCGATGATTTACTTAAAAATGACATATACCCATGGTTGTGGTTGTGATTTTCTTTGGCGTCGTTATAATGATGAGTTCCTATAATCATCATTGATGGTGTATATTCTGAAATTGCGTTTTTTAATAATTTTAATGGTTTTCCAATGACTATTTCAAATATGAGAGAGATCTTTTTGAAGTGAACATTTAATTTTTCAAAAATTTTCAAGTTGTAATTGGCTTGAGCTTTATCTATATTTTGAGCTTTTTTCTCATCTAATACTTGTAGTATAATAATCGTATCTCCATTAATAATCATTTCGTCGAATAACCATTCTATAGCTTTTGTACTCTCCAAGTCGTTGTTAAATCCGACTAACCAAGTTTTATTATTTCTTCTAAATTTAAAATCTGGATGTTTAAATTTTAAAGTTAATGATTTTTTAGTTCCATGTGGTGTTGTATCGAAAGATACACCTCTTGATAAACTTGGTTTTATCTTGTTGGAATTTGTACTATTTGAATTTGTTAATGAAGAATTATTTATACTATCAATGCTATTTGGGTAGTTATTTGTGGTATTTAAAGTTAATAAACTTGGTGAAGATGACGAGTTTGATATTCTAGGTGGATTTGTGCCAGTAGTTAAAGGTGAGCCAAAATGGAAAGTATTTTCATCATCACTATTTACAGGTGAAATGATAGGTGTGCCATTGTTAGAACTAACCGGACTTGAGATGTCAGGCGATAATATTCCGTTGTTATTGCTGTTATTTGAATCATAATCATCATAATATAATCTACCTAATAAATCAGTTGAATTATTTTGTTGTTTATATAATTGTATAGAATCATCACTTTGATGATATAATTCAGCATTTAATCTAGTATTTCTATCTGTCAAAGTTTCCTTTTTTTCCTTGGATTTCTTTGAATTTGATTTTTTTAAAATGTTACCTTCTCCATTAGAGTTTGGATCTTGAATTGGTTGTTGTTGTTGTTGTTGATCTTCTTCTATTTCTTCTGTGGAACTCATTAATTTCTTGTACTAAATTAACAGATCTAAATGCGATAAAGCCGTTTCAAAGTTGAATAGATATATATTTCCGAGTCGTTTGACTAAATGTTTATGATTATTATGAATATGTGTTCTTCACTTTGAATATGCGTTGATTTATGTATTAGTAATAATATTTCCTATTAATCAATAATAAATATACTAGATAGATATGTACCAATTTAAAAATCTTGAAGCATTAAAGATATGAAAGTAAGTAAATCCTACACGGATTTAAAGCTACACAAAAGCAAAAAATAAATAAGAAGGTGATTTTTTCTAAAATTTGGCAACCCTCTTTAGATAGTAGTTTTAAAATCAACCATATTCGTCCAATGCGAAGGAGAACTCAATTTCCTTCAATATAATTGATTTAAAAGGATTGGTTAGAAAAATAAAGTTTGCAATAAGTTTCTAGTATTTGAAAAGTCTAGCAACGCGTAGAGGTGGTGACTATTAAAGATTCTAAACTTGGGTCCTTTTTTCCTACACAATGTCTACGTCGAAAATGAAGAAAAACTCAGAAGCTACATCCATTACGTCAGGTACAATTATCGCAAGAGTCATTTTAATTAAATGTTTGTCCAAAACTGGAAGATCTCTTCTCAATACTTACAAGATCCAACTGGAGACCCAGCCCAATGGGGACTTGATAGACAGTTATATAGATTCCCTCGAGTGGATTTGCTATAGCATATTAACTTTATACTTGAACTTTGGAAACAATAGGATAATCAAGGAATTTGATCAATTGTTTAAGTTGGTTATAGATACCATAAGTCAGAACCAAATTTTAAATTGTTTGATGTTACCGTGTTGTATTATTATTGGTTATATTATCATTGCCAGATATTGAATGTTGCTAAACAATCCACCACTATCGATTATATAGGGAATGATTTATATGAGAAATTAGTGCTATCGATTCAGAGTGATGACTGAGGCACCAAATGTGTGTTAAAGTAAGGGTGGAGTGAATTTCAAGTACGAAATAGCTGCATTTTCCATGAGGATTTTATAGTTAAGAAACTAGAATTTGAAAATGACACAAACTAAATATCATTATAATTAGATTCAATGGATAACTTCAGCGAATTAAAGTAGTTACTATATTCAATTAAGTAGTGGCATGATTTAGACGTTACCCCGTTACTACGGATTAATATATAAACATTAAACCGGGTTTTATGTATTGGTTCAATCTATGTACAAAAAGAAAGTCCTCTATAATAATTCAGATCTACCATTATTTACATTTGAATTTTTTTCAACAATACCCCATAATCTATCCATTTTAATACCACCAACATTATCAACTATATAAAATTCTCTTTTGATTCCGGTGTTCGGGTTTTTTTCTTCCCAAGTAGTATAAGGTTTATAAACTTTAGGTGGTGGTGATAATTTTAAATTTGGATTATTGGAGATTTTTAATAACTCATTATATGTCTTTCCACCTGTAAATCCTAATTTTTCAATAATTAAATTCTCATCATTTACTAAATTGTTTAAAGTCTGTGGTAAGTTTTTATTATATAATCTGAAAATTCTAGTAACGTAATCTCTTGATTTATATTGTACTAATAAAACAGGTATAAATACACCAATTAACAAACTATAAGCAAAAGAGTCATCAAATTGTGAACTTTCAAATAATAATTTAGATCCATAAATCCCAATAACTGAAAAACTTAAAGTTAATCTCTTTAACATTGATACATATTTTGAAGCTGGTGCTTCATATATGGGAGCGTATGATAATCTATATTGTGGAGGTAATTGAGTTTTGAAAAATTTATCCCTTTCTTGTACAAATACTGGATCTTCTTCCAAAGTAGGGGACCAGGGATTATTATCACTTATTAAAGTATCTGATTCAACACTATCATCATTTGATTTGAAAGATTTTACTTTGAATGGGTTTTGAATTTGTCTAATGGATGAGGATGATAATGATTTGAATGGTATCAATTTATAGATATAAAATGACTCTGGAGTAATTAATTTAGACTGTTGATTTAATATTAGTCGGAACATTGTTTTATGTTATTATGATTACCCTATTAAATTTGGTTGTAAAGTCAACTAAGTTTATCTTTCCTCTGAAATTTTTCAATTAAAAAGATGAATTAATCTCTGTTTTCAATTATAACTTCTTTAGATATATAAATATAAAGTCTCAATATAATCCTTGTCTAATTAATCTCTTAATATTTTGGTTGTAGAATTTTTATATTTTTCATTATCTTTAACAAAACAATTTAAATCATAGAAGAAAAGAGAGAAGAAATTTTGATAATCAACTTTAAAATAAAAGAGACAAAAAAAATTTGAGGAGCATTACTTTAATTTTTAATTATTTTAATTGAAAAAGATAGAGATTTATTATTATTATTATTATTATTCTACAACTACATCTTTTATCAATCAATTGTAATTTAATACTATCCTTTAATCATCATATATTCAATTCTTATAATCAATTAGATAAATCAATCAATAATAATTTAGTATTACCACAACATAATGGATTCTGATGCAACTGAAAGATTTGTACCTGAATATCGTCGTACTAATTTTAAAAATAAATCACGTTTCCAAAGTGATGAATTAAGAAGAAGAAGAGAAAATCATCAAGTTGATTTAAGAAAACAAAAAAGAGAAGAAGTATTAGCCAAGAGAAGAAATTTCCAACATGATACTAATGATTCAGAAGATGAAGAAGAATTTAATTCAAATGTAAATAATGATGAGAATCAATTTTATAATAGATTAAGACAAGATTTACCTAAAATGATTGAAATGATTCAAGCTCAAGATTTTGATTCTCAATTAGCTGCAACGGTTAAATTTCGTCAAATTTTATCAAGAGAACATAATCCTCCAATTGATTTAGTTATACAATCAGGAGTTATACCAACTTTAGTTGAATTTATGAAAGATGATCATCCAGATATGTTACAATTAGAAGCAGCTTGGGCTTTAACAAATATTGCTTCAGGTAGTTCAACTCAAACCAGAATTGTTGTTGAAGCTAATGCCGTACCATTATTTGTTAATTTATTGTATTCTCAAAGTTTAGAAGTTAAAGAACAAGCTATATGGGCTTTAGGTAATGTTGCTGGTGATTCTGCTGATAATAGAGATTACGTTTTAAGTTGTGGAGCAATGGAACCAGTTTTGAATTTATTTAATTGTACTAAAATGTCATTAATTAGAACTGCTACATGGACATTATCAAATTTATGTAGAGGAAAATCTCCTCAACCTGATTGGAATATTGTTTCTCAAGCTATTCCAACTTTAGCTAAATTAATTTACTCCGTTGATTCAGAAACTTTAGTGGATGCATGTTGGGCAGTTTCTTATTTATCCGATGGTACTTCTGAAGCTATTCAAGCTGTTGTTGATGCAAGAATACCTCACAGACTTGTGGAATTATTAAATCATGAATCTACATTAGTTCAAACACCTAGTTTAAGAGCTATTGGTAATATAGTTACAGGATCAGATTTACAAACTCAAATTGTTATAAATGCAGGAGTATTAACTGCTTTAGCTCCGTTATTAAATTCTCCAAAAGATACTATAAGAAAAGAAGCATGTTGGACCATATCAAATATAACCGCTGGTACCTCAGATCAAATTCAAGCGGTTATAGATGCAAATTTAATTCCACTGGTTATAAGATTATTAATTCATGGAGATTATAAAACCAAAAAAGAAGCTTGTTGGGCAATATCAAATGCATCATCGGGTGGATTAACAAGACCAGAACAAATAAGATATTTAGTTAGTCAAGGTTGTATTAAACCATTATGTGATTTATTATCAGTAGCAGATTCTAAAATAATTGAAGTTACATTAGATTCATTAGAAAATATTTTAAAAATGGGAGAAATGGATAAAGAAGCTAATAACACTACAGTAAATGAAAATGCTTTGTATATTGAAGAAGCTGGTGGTATGGAAAAAATATTTGAATGTCAAAATAATGAAAATGAAAAAATTTATCATAAAGCTTATAATATTATTGAAAAATATTTTAGTGATGATGAAGATCAACAAATTGATGATGAAAACATCGTACCTGAGACTTATGGAAATTCTTTTGGATTTGGTATGAACGATAATTCTCAACAACAACAAAATTTTGAATTTTAAAAAATTAAATAAAAATACAATGAATTATATTTGTTATTACTTTATCTGTTTTTGATGAATATTTTGGTTTTTTGGTGTTTATTTTTTTGGTATTTGGTTTAGGCTCAAACCTTTTGTTTTAAGACTTGTGATGAAATTATAATTATTATTATTACAAACAAACTACTATCCTCATCTTTTCTTCTCTATATATATTCATACTTACCTCTCATTTACTTTTAACTCTGGCATCTTCTAATAAATATTTAATTTAATATGTTCATGTAGTATTCATCTCTTATATTACATAATCTACTTTATTATTATCTCCTATCAAATTCAACTCTAGAAATGCTGCTACCAACTTAGATGATAAGATTCTATACATTAAAGATTTTTCAAATTTATTGCAACTCCACTTACCACGTTTAGAAGTTATAGATGTATTAATAGACAATTATAGATTAAAGTAACTTCAAGTATGTCAAATAAAGAAGATACTTCAATTCCAATTCCTGTTATAGAACAGGAACAAAAAGAACAATCTACTCATTCAAGTAATATACCAATTCCATCAGATCCCAAAAAACATAATCCTGTATCACCATTATCCTTATCATTACCAGATAATCATGACACTGATAGTATATCAAAAGTACTAGCAGATACTCAACCACAACCAACTCCAGCAACCGAGAAAGCAATTGCATCATTAGCTCCAATGTTGGAAAGCTTTACTCCTAAGACTAACGCAGAAGATTCTCAATCAAGATTGAATTCAATCTCATCATCGCCTGGAACATCAACTTCAAATGGTGTTGAAAATATGACTATAGATGAATTCCAACCATTAACTCATGAAAATTTATCAGGTGTTAAATCTCATTCTAATCTGTTTTCAAATATAAATTCTGCAGATGGATCAAGATTGAACAAAACATTATCAAATTCTTCAAATACTTCAAGAAAATCTTTCAGTCAAAATACAAACAAAGAATTTGTAAAATTACCAAAAATTGGTAAAATCGGAGTTTGTGCAATGGATGCAAAAGTTTTGTCCAAACCATGTAGAAGAATCTTAAATAGATTGATTGAAAATGGAGAATTTGAAACTGTTATATTTGGTGATAAAGTGATATTGGATGAACAAATTGAAAATTGGCCAACTTGTGATTTCTTGATTAGTTTTTTCTCAACTGGGTTCCCATTAGATAAAGCCATAGCTTATGTTGAATATCGTAAACCTTTTATAATAAATGATTTAGTTTTCCAAAAAGCACTTTGGGATAGACGTATTGTTTTAAGCATTTTGAATCATGCTAACGTTCCTACTCCAGAAAGAGTTGAAATCAGTAGAGACGGAGGTCCATATTTAGAATTAAAATTATTGGAAAGATTAAAAGAAATCGGGTTCAGTGATGAAAAATTACATGCTATGAGTAATCAAAAGGAACCAGATTGGGAAATGGTTGATGATGACACTTTAAGAGTTGGTGATAAAATTATCAAAAAGCCATTTGTGGAAAAACCAGTTGATGGTGAAGATCATAATGTTTATATTTATTATCCAAAGGCGACTGGTGGTGGAGGTAGAAAATTATTTAGAAAAATTGGTAACAAATCATCCGAATTTGATCCTGATTTAACATCACCAAGAACAGATGGATCTTTTATATATGAGAACTTTTTAGATACGGACAATTTTGAAGATGTTAAAGCCTATACTGTGGGACCTAATTTTTGTCATGCAGAAACTAGAAAATCTCCCGTGGTTGATGGTATTGTAAGAAGAAATACTCATGGTAAAGAAGTTAGATATGTTACTGATTTAAGTGATGTTGAAAAAATTATGGCGAGATCAGTAAGTGCTGCTTTTAAACAAGCAATATGTGGATTTGATTTGCTAAGAGTTAATGGGAAATCTTATGTTATTGATGTTAACGGATTCTCGTTTGTTAAAGATAATAATGAATATTATGATTCTTGTGCTAGAATATTAAGAGATCTATTTATTGATGCTAAGAAATCGAGAGATTTAATGAAAACAAGAGTTCCTAAGTCATTACAAAGAAGTCAATTCGAGGAGAAAGAACAAAAATGGGTATTTAAAGGGATGGTTAATGTTATTAGACACGCCGATCGTACACCAAAACAAAAATTTAAATATTCTTTTAAATCCCCAGTATTCATTAGCTTGTTAAAAGGACACACTGAAGAAGTTATTATTAGAGCAGTTCCAGATTTACAGATTGTGTTGGAGACTGTTAAAGTTGCGGAAGAAAAAAAATTGGAGGATCTTAAAAAGTTGAAACAATTAAGATTGGCTCTCGAAAAGAAAATGAACTTCCCTGGTACTAAGATTCAAATTAAACCATCGTTAAATGATCAAGAAGTTGTTGAAAAAGTCCAATTGATCTTGAAATGGGGTGGTGAACCAACACATTCAGCAAAGCATCAAGCTACTGATGTAGGTGAACAAATGAGACAAAACTTGAAATTATTGAATCGTGAGGCATTGAATGATGTTAAAGTTTTTACATCATCAGAAAGAAGAGTAATCACCAGTGCTCAATATTTTACAACAAGCTTACTAGGTTTAACTGATGAACCATTACCTGAAGATTTCCTTATTGTTCGTAAAGATCTTTTAGATGATTCAAACGCTGCTAAAGATTTAATGGATAAAGTAAAGAAAAGATTAAAACCATTATTAAGACAAGGAGCAGAAGCACCATCACAATTCACATGGCCTCCAAAAATGCCACAACCATTTGAAGTTATAAAAAGAGTATGTGAATTAATGAATTTTCATCATCAAATAATGAATTATAATTTTGAAACTAAAAATGTTCAAGAATTTCAAACTTCTTGGTGTTGTGGTGAAGATCCTTTCTTATTTAAAGAAAGATGGGATAAATTATTTCAAGAATTTATAAGTGTTGAAAAAACTCATCCTTCAAAAATTTCTGAATTATATGATACAATGAAATATGATGCATTACATAATAGACAATTTTTACAAAAGGCATTTGCATTTGATCCAAATGATGAAAAATTATTAGAAAGGTTAAAAGAATCATGTGGTGGTACTGCTACTTCTTCTGGTTTAGTTAGTGAATATCCTATAAATATATTGGCAATGAATAATTTTAAAATCCCAGATACTTCAACCACCACAAATCAAAAAGAATCAAGTTCTTCACCAGGAGCATCAGCTGGCTCATTGGGTTGGGTATTAAGTGGAGCAACAATGGATGGATCAAACAATAAGGCATCAAAACCACCACAAAATCCATTTGATCATCCAACTTTTGCAAGATTAAGAGAATTATATAGATTATCAAAAGTATTATTTGATTTTATATGTCCACAAGAATATGGAATAAAAGATGAAGAAAAATTAGATATTGGATTATTAACTTCATTACCATTAGCTAAACAAATATTAAGTGATATTCAAGATATGAAAAAAAATATTTCATCACCTTCAGTAGTTACTTATTTTACTAAAGAAAGTCATATATATACATTATTAAATGTAATTTATGGATCTCAATTACCTATGAAAATTGCAAGAAATGCATTACCAGAATTAGATTATTTATCACAAATTGTATTTGAATTATATGAAGCAGATGATCCAACTTGTTCAACAGGTAAAAAACATAGTATAAGGTTATCATTAACTCCAGGTTGTCATACTCAAGATCCTCTTGATGTACAATTAGATGATGATCATTATATTGGTTGTATACCAAGATTAAGTTTAACAAGACATTTAGATATGGATTTAGTAACTCAAAGATTAAAATCAAGATTTTCAAGAGTTTCTTTACCTAAACAATTCACACCCGTTAATATTTCTAGTCCATTAGTTAGTGGATTATAGAGAATTTGTATTAGTTTTTGTATATCTACAATTAATATTTATTTATTAATATATTAAAATTTTTATTAAATATTTCTATTATAATTATATATCGTATCTATATGTACATCTTATTGTAATTAAGCATTTTCATAATTTTCCCAATTATCAATGATTTTTTTAATCTTTTCAGATTTAGTTAATTCATAAACATTTTCAAAATATTCTTTAGTTAATTCAAATGGTTTTGCAGTTAAATTGGGTATATATTTACCAATTAAATCATGAGGTTTTATAGAAGATTTTGGGATTTTTTTACACAAGAATCTTTGGAATGGTTTTACACCTGACATTAGATAAGATGAATGGAATGGAACTGAAATTCCTTTTAATGGTATAACTGCAAATCCTCTTTCTAATTCTATTGGTTGTGGTTTTTGTTCTGATTTAATCTTAACTTCATCTATTATTTCATACAAATGATTTGTAACTTCTTCAATTGATAATTTTTCTTGTAATTTAACAATATCAATTTTATTTATCTTGAGCACATTCAATACATTAGTTAAAGTATCTAAACATCTTAAATCACCAGCTGCGACATATTGTTGATTTTCAACGTTATAATTAACAATTTCTAACAACCAGCCAGTTCTTTTACTTGTTTCTTCAACAACAAATCTTAATGCTGCATCATTAAAAGTGGCACTAATTCTACTTGGATTAATAGCACACATTCCATAATTTGAACGACCTAATTCATCTCTTGGTACTGCAACTTGCATAGTCATACCTCTATAAAAAACAACATCAACTAATGATTCAATAGGCATAACGTTAGCTAATGAACTTAATGCAGAATATTCACCTAATGAATGACCAGCATACATTATATCTGATGGTATCAAACCTTTTGATTTTATATCTTCGTAAGCGGCTTTTTCCATTAATGTTAATGCAGGTTGAGTAAATTGAGTAGCTGATAATAACCCAGTTGGTGATACAAAAGTAAATGAATTGGTATTATCATCAATATCTTTGAAAATTTTTTCGGATTTTAATTCACCATCTTCACCTATGGTTTCAAACATCATTCCAATATAATTGTCTCTAATGATTCTACCTTTTGCACCACCAAAATGTATAGTTAATTCATTTGGATTATTTTGTACAATATCTAATATGGAGAACCCGTAATTGTTAATAAAATGTTTATCAGCTTTATCCCACACTTCTTTTGCAACTTCTGAAGAATTATATAAATCCATACCCATCCCTTGTTCTTGTGAACCTTGACCAGTAAATACATATGTAGTTATAGGTTGTTCAATTTCCGCTTCACCAATTAATACTGGAGTATCAGTTTCAATATTTTTAGTTTGAACTTTTATAATTTTACGTCCATTAATCATACCAACATGTTCCATAGTTGTTTGTAAAGTATCATTAGGTAATACCATACCAACAAATTCACATTTAAAAGCACGAACTCTTGAAGCAACATTATTAGCTGCCCATTCTTCAACTAATCCTCTGATTGAAGCAGATGAATACATTCCATGAGTTATAGTACCTGGTAATTTAGCATAAGCGGCAAATACTCTTGAAACATGAATTGGATTATAATCACCAGAAACAATAGCATATGGTTCATTTGTACCTGGAGCTTTTGAAATTAATTCTTCACTTGAACTTATTGGAATAGTATTTTCAAAAGTAACTGCTTCTTCAATAGTTTTACCATTTCTTGATAAATAATCAGTTACTGGATTACCATATGATACACCAGCTTCGTAATTTACTTCACCAACTTGGATAATTTCCTTTGTAGGTAATTCCATAAATACTTGACCAGTAGTTATAATTGAGGAATATACATTAGATGATTTGAATTTATATGTTGATTCACATCTGAAAGTTAATTGATCAAATTCAACATCTTTAGTTAAATGAAACCATTCTTTTGATCTTAAAACAGCTAATTCTTTTGAATTTTTAAAAGCAACTTGTACTGGAGTTTCAGTGACTTTTTGGAAAGTATTTTCATAATCAACATATTCACCTCTATATAAAAATTGTGATGAAACTTCCATAACTGGTTTACAATCACGATAAATAGTACCAACAACTTCAACTAATTTACCACTTGGTTGATTTAAAACAGCTTTAATTTCAGCTTTTGTAGATACAATATCATCTTTTTTCAAAGGAGCAGCACCAGGAATCATTTTATAACCATTTGATAAATGAACTAATTTTAATAAATCTCCATCAACTGTTTTTGGAAATATAGCTTTAATAATAGCTTGCCATCCAATAACAATAGCAAAATCCATTGGTGCTAAGGTAACTTTACCAGGTCTATTTACAAAAGCTTCACATTTATTACCTATAGCATGAGTAAATTCAGCAATATCTTTACCAGTAACTTTAATTGCACCACCTAATATGTGTTCTTCAACATTAATATCTAAATCAAATGGAATTCTAGAACCAAACCATAATTTCCAATAAAATTCTTTAATTCTGTGATTTCTAGTAATCATATCTTCAACAATTGGTGCAAATCCATCTTCTGGTTGATATTTATATATGAAAGGTAATGCAATTGGGTCACCATCTGCTGTTCTATGTTCAATTAATTCTAAAATTATAGAATCTGGTTTGGTTGAAGAAATTTTAACAACTGGTACTAAATCACCTTTAACTTTTTCATAAACTGTTAATGTGTTGGTTTTACTATTGATAATAACTTTTGAATGAGGAGCTGGAGCTAAAATATCATGTACTGAATTTGAAACATGTTTTGAGCCTTGTACAATTCTATCAGTTGATATAAAGGCTTGTAACCAATTAATTTTTGATCCAGCTAATAATTTCAACCATTTTGATTTTTCAGGTACTTTGGACTTAATTTCATATGTAGTTTCAAGATCATTGTGATCAATGGTGACATTAGTTAATGATTTAATTTCAACTGGTTTTGAACCACCGAAATATTCAACAATTGGAATTTTAGATTCATCACCATTATATTCATCAATAATTAATTTTTTGATATGACCTTCATGAATATTATCTAAAATTTCACCAATTGGTTCATCTACTTTATTAGTAAATTGACAAGCAACAGGACCATGTAAAATACAAGTTCTTTGAACATCTTCATCAACAACAGATTCTAAATCTTCAGATTGCCATAATGAATCCTTTTTAAAGAAAAATTCAAATCTTTCATCTAAAACAGGAACAAATGGTGCTGGTTTTTGTGTAGGTCTCATTGCACACATCAAAAAATAATCACAATCTTCTTCTGAAATTAATTGAGTTTTAGCTAATGGGAATTCTTTAAAGAATCTAGCAATAAATTCATATGGTTCTTGTAATTGATTAAAATTTTGTAAAATTGAAATCTTGGTGGTTGTTGAAAATCTCTCTTCAACTCTTCTTAAATAATCACCAAAGAAATTTCTTAATGAATTATCAATCCATCTTTTGGATTTTTCAACATACATTAACTCAATTAATCTATTTGCAACTTCTTGATAAGTCATATCTTGTAAATCACAAACACCTTGTGAATTTTTACCAAACCATGGTTTTTGAGAATCTTTATTTAATTTATCAATTATATAATCTTTCTTTTTAGTTAATGCTTCCATTAATTTATTTTTTGGTAGATTGAAAATTGTTTCATCCAATTCTTTCCAAAATAAAACACCTCTAGTTGCAATTTTATGAATTGGTTCTCCCATTTCTGATTGAACAGTAACTATACCACCAGTTGGTTTTTTATAAGTTTGTTCCCATTGAGAATCATCAACACCTGTACATTTTGCAATCAATTTTTTGGCTTCTAATGAAGTTTTAGCTTCTTTTGCAGTCATAACTCTTGAACCAAATAATACACCATCAAATGGCATTGGTGGATAATTGAATTTTTTAGACCAAGAACCAGTTAAATATGGATAAGTATCTTCATCTGAACCAAATCCTGAACCAGCAACTAATATAATATTTGAACATCTTCTAATTTTAGAATACATTTGTATAATTGGCTGATGGAAATCTTCAAATGAATGATGACCACCACCTCTACCACCAGTCCATTGTAATACAATTGGGAAATTTGGGTGTGCTTTTGCAATAGTAATAACTTGACTTATAGAATCAATTGAACCTGGTTTTAAACCTAAATGAGTTAAACCTAATTCTTCAATATATTCAGTTGCAACTTCTAATGAAGGAACACCAGCACCAATAGTTAATGATTGAACTGGATAACCTTTTTCCCTCAATTCTTTAATTAATGGAATACCCCATTGTAACATTCTTGGATTAACATAAATTAAATTTATACCTAAACTATACCCTGGTTTTATATTTTTAACAACTTCATCAATTGCTTCAGTCATCATTGGAGCAGTGAAATAACCACCACCTGCAATTTCAATATGATAACCTGCATTTATTGAAGCAGCAACAATTTGGGGATTTACAGTAGTTGGAGTCATTCCTGGAATCATTAATGGAGCTCTACCTAATAATTGTGAAAATTTAGTATTAACATAAGTTTTACCATTAGTTGTTTTAATTAATGTTGGTTTAAATTCTTGTAACCAATTTGTTGCCCATTTAATTTGTTTATTTTCTGATTTATTAAAAATTTCATGTTTAAAACCATATTCATCATCTAATGGATTTGAATCTAATGAACCAGCAATAATAATCCTTGCACCAGTACCTTCTTTATTTCTATGAGTTAAAACACCTAACCCAGAAACACCACCTGGTCCAAAATCAAGTATATGACTTGCTTTATGATTTGTTGCTAATTCCCAATGAACTGGTAATTCAGTAATTAAATTAACTAATCTTTCATTTAAATTTTTTTCATCTTGTAAATTTTTACCATCAAAAGTATCATAAACTGGAATTTTTAATTTATCAAATTTTAAATTTGAAACATCTTCTAAAATCAATTCAGTTGCATCAGCTAATAAATGGGAATGAAATGGTGAAAAAATCGGTAAAAATCTATTTGTACATTTCAATTTTCTTTCACTAAAAGGAATTCTTGATTGATCTAATCCATTTGGTGCTTTATTATTTCTTAAATTTAAATTAAAACCATATAAAGATTCTGGTGGACCTGATAATACTAGATTTCTTGCACCATTAATTAAACTTATTGCAATATGTTTTTCTTTTGGTAAATGATTATTTGTTTGTTCAATAAATTTTTTAACTTTATCAATTGATAAATCTCTAACTGATAACATTGGTGATGGTCTACCTTCACCATTATTTAAAGAATCTTGTAACATAGTTGGTGGTAAGGTAGTTCTTGGATAAATACTCAAACATCTTGAACCAATATAAAACATTAATGAACATGCTTTTATAGAATTTGATAAAAATGAAGACCAATCAGAAGAACTTGATATCGCAACTGCAGTGATTAAACCTTGTGAATGACCAGTTGACCAAGATATAGAATCTCTAAATTCACCAGGATTTATACCCAAGATTTTACAAGTTATTGTATAATGACATAATTGAATTATACAAATTATTGGACATGAAACAGGAACACTTAATAAATAATCTTGATCAGGAGTAGTTTCTGGATGTTTTAACCATCTTAAAATATTTAAACCTTGAGTATAAATTTTATCAAATTCTGAATTTTGTTTAACTAATTTATTTAATTCATCAGTTATTGGAATTAATAAATCTTCTACAATTAAATTTTGATATAAATTATAAATTTCTCTTAATTCTTCAAAATAATCATCTGTATTACCTTGACCACCAAAAATTGCAGCTAATTTTGCATCACCAGTTTTAGAATGATATAATAAATTTGAAGATTCATTTTTAATATTATTGGTAATTTGTTGATTACATTGATAATAATTTTTAACTAAATTTTTGATTTTTGTTGTAGTTGTTGGATAATTTTCATCTTGTAAAATTTTAACAGCAAATGAATGAATATCATTATTTGATAAAAAAGTAGATTCAAAATCTTTTATTGAATTTTTTAATATTTCTTCTTGATTTGGTTGTAAACTTATAAAACCTAAAAATTTACCATATAATTCTACTGGACTTGATGGTTCATTATCATCAGCAAACCCCTCAGTTGGTTCAGGTAAAGTTTTTATAAATTGATCTTTTAATTGTGAATAATTTATAAATAAATTATGTGGTACTAAAAAAGTATGTTCAATTGATCCATGATTTAATTGAAATGGTCTATGAGTTGACATCTTTTATTATTATGTATAAATATGTGATTGAATAGTAAATTAAATTAAATTGGATTAGTATTGTGAATAGGTATAAATTGAATAATTAAAAATGAATATATTAATGAATGTAAAAGCTGAAATCAATTAAATGATTTTTGATTTAGTAATGATTATAATAGTCTAAATTTGGAACGACCAATTCAAATATGAAACTATTCAATTAATACAAAAAGGAATAGATCTGTAAAATAAAAAAGACAAATATATCAAAAGAATGAAAAAAATGATTATAGATAGATAAGTAGTTTTATAAATATAATTTACAATTTTAGCCATCGTCATAATATAATATATTTATAAAAATTAATTTGGTTGTAAAAAATAATATTTTAATGTTGGTTAAAAATATTACCTAGTGAAAAAAAACACCAACAAAAATAATTTATAATTTTTTACACAAAAAAAAATAAAACAATTATTTACGGGAGAGCTTTTAACAAAGAGAAAAGAATCTATCTAACAATAAATGAAGAAATATACAAATTTAAGGGAATTATAAGGGATATAGTATATGGAATTTTGATCAATAGTTATGCATGAAGAGATTTAAGCAATAGGTTTTATTAATACAATTTAATACTATATTCAAAATCATCTTCATCTAAATTTATCCGTTTATTCTAAACTTATAAATTAACAAGAAAATCTGAACTTAAAATTCAAAAAGAACTTCGGACTTTTTTTAAAAGATTTATACACAAAAATTTATTATTGTATCTCTTTCTGTACGTTTTATAAAAAAAACGTTGGTTGTATTAATTGGAAACAAAAATTTGAAAATCAGTTGGTAGCTACACAATTTGTTATAAATAGAAAGAGAAACCCAACACTTTATATATGCAAAAATATTTTTTGAATGTTGGTTTAATAACAAAAATTTAATCTGGAACAACAATTTTAATAATAAAATATTATATTTATTGTCGCATTTGTATCAAATTTTATGACTTATATATTGGAATTAGTCTTTGCCTCCTTATTATTGATGCAAAACTATAATCATTAGTATCTATTGGAAAGGTTATTATTAATACCCTTAATTTTTTTCTATTTATTTCTCTTATACCGCAAATCCCAGTCTAACAATGAATTAAACTTTAATCAAAGAATTTAAAGTTAAAGAGTTCAACTAATTTCATGAATTAGTTTAAATAAGATTGTCTTGTGTTAATTCTTTTATCCCATAGCCCAAATTAATAGTACAAATTTTGTGGATTGTTTTTTGAAAAAATTTGGTTGCAAATTGAAGCAAAATATTAAAAGAATTGTATATATGACACTTTACCATTTTATAAAATAGTACTAAACAACTTCTCCTGTGAACCGTATTTACCACTGAAATGATTATTTATTTCACTTACTACCAAAAAGATTAATTATTTTGTCAGTACCTTACAATCTATTCAATGACCATGTAATATCGTATTCATTCTTTACAACTAAATTTTAATATGAGCTCGTACCATTTTCGCATAGTGTCTTGTCTTAAAACGCGTCGACCTGTCAAATAAATTTCGTTTTGTTAGTGAGACACAAACAAAAAAGATAACAAAAATTTATTTCTTAAGAGATATAAAAAAATTTGATCCCTCAGTATCAAATCATTCAAAATTAAATCTTTATATTACAATATCTATATATTAAACCTTTAATAAAATGTCAAGACTAATATTGAAATCATCTTTGGGATTAGGTAGTTTAGGAATAGCTTCATATTTCTGGGGTTTAGGAGGTAATAAATCAAATTCATCTCCATCTACACCATTACCACCATCATCATCACCACCAAATTCAAATTCAAATTTACCAATAAAACCACCATCTACACCAACACAACAACAAGTATTTGATCCATCATCAATAAATCCAGAAGCATTTTTTAAATATGGGTTTCCTGGGCCAATACATGATTTATCACCACATTCAGAATTTATAAGTTGTTATGATAGATCTAAAAGAAATCCATATTGGGTAGTTGAACATTTAACAAAACAATCATTAGCTAAATCAATTGATAATGGAGATAGGAAAAAATCCATTTTCAAAGAAGATGAATCCATACCTGCAAAATTTCGTAATAAATTACGTGATTATTTTAGATCTGGATATGATAGAGGTCATCAAGCTCCAGCAGCAGATGCAAAATTTAATCAATTAGCAATTGATGAAACTTTTTTATTAACTAATATATCCCCACAAGTTGGTGATGGATTTAATCGTGATTATTGGAGTCATTTTGAAGATTTTATACGTCGATTAACCACAAAATATGATGATATAAGAGTAATGACAGGTCCTTTATATTTACCTAAATTAATGCCAGATGGGAAATACCGAGTTTCTTATGAAGTTATTGGATCACCACCAAATATAGCTGTCCCTACTCATTTTTTTAAGTTAGTTGTTGGTGAAAAAATCGGTGATAATCAAATAAGTTGTGCTGCTTTTGTTTTACCAAATGATATAATAAATAATAATACTCCATTAATACAATTTCAAGTTCCAATTGATGCATTAGAAAGATCTTCTGGTTTAGAATTATTACAAAAAATTCCTTATTATAATAAAAAAGATCTTTGTAAAGAAGTTAAATGTGAAATTATTGTTAGGGAATTTCCTAAACAAGTTAATAATGTTTTAGCATTACCTTCTGGTGGGAAATGATAATAATGGAATAAGGTGAGTCTTTAATAACATGTATAGATTTATAGATGACTTTGCTTTCAATTAATAAACGAATTTTGATTAATAAAAATTGAGGCTTTTAACTAATTTCAAGGAAATTACAAGTTTTAGTAAACAATCTTGTTTCAGATCTTGAGAAGCATGTGTAAATTTATGAATGCTTTTGCTTTCACTTAATAAACAAATTTTGATTAATGATAATTGAGGCTTTTTCCTTATTTTTCAAGGAAATTACAAGTATTGTAAACAATCTTGTTTCAGATCTTGACCAATAGCCCCATTAAAAGATCTAGAGAAGATATCTACAGACTATAATTATTTTTGGTATAATATATATATTAAATTAAATTTTACTCTATTATTATGATTACTAGTAGTAGAACAACAACAACGTTATTAAACAAAAATAAATGTAAACACTTTTTAATTTTTCAAATTGATAAAACTGAATTAATCTTTATTCTTATTATAAATTAAGCATTCAACAAAAAAAGCTTTCTCTATAATTTTAAACTTAGATTAATAAAGCAACACCAGCAGCAACAGCACCTGCAACAGCAAAAGTAGCACCTGAAGCAACATTACCAGCATTAGCTGATGAACCACCACCAGTAGAGTTTTTACCACCTGCACCACCTGCAGCAGTACCATTAGAAGCACCACCAGCAGCAGTACCATTAGAAGCACCACCAGCAGCAGTACCATTAGCTCTTTTATAAAGATCAACATCATCTCTTTTAACTAAAATTGATGAAGCTGATTTACCAGCTAATTCTGAATATTCTGATGGTGAAATAACAACAGTAGTAGTGGTTGGATGTGGAGTTTTATTGAATCTACCATATTTATGAGTAGTTTCAGTAGCATAAACAGTAACAATTGGAGCTTTTTCATGATCTTTTGGTCCTTTACCTGCTAAAACTGAAGTAGCAACAAAAGCTAAAGCTGTGATTGAGAATTTCATTATTATTAGATTAATTGATTAAAGGTGATTGAATATATGTTTAAAATTAATGAATGGAAAAAGGTATTTCTTAGTAGTAATTGATTATAAAAGATACTTTTTACCCTCTTTTAAAAGAAACTCTAAAGTAAAAAACTCAAAAAAAAATGAAAAACTTTTTGGTGAGAGAGAGAGAAAAATCAAAAATATTTTAATCTTAGTGGAATATTTATTTATTTTATTAATTTTAGTAAATTAAATGTTAGTCGTGTAAAAATGGTAAATTTTATAACCATTAAAATAATTAAAAATTCCCTCAATAAAAAAAAAATTATAAAATCTAAAATAAACCAAAACATAAACAAATTAAAAAGAATTATTAATATAATCAATTTTTAAATTATGTCATTGGTTCAGATGCTTTAAGATTAATTTATCTTTATATACTTTATTACAATTTTGAGATCTGACCCAGACCTTTACAATTTAACCGTTTAAGATAGTTTCAATTCGTCTGAGAAGAGATGCACAAATAATTTAATGTAGTATCGTTTTATTTCTTTGAGCAATGAATAATTATAGGGGGTTTTCTTAATTCTAAAATGCCCACGATTTATCTTTTAATTTAAATAAAATTTCTTTTAATCAAAAAAAACGTATTATTAATAATATTTCTAATCAACTTGTTTTATTTTTTTCTTGACTATGAAAGAAATTGGTATTTCATGTTAATTGAAGACGGCAACTATATATTGCAATTATTGATCCGTGATGAACGAGATGGTTAAGTTTTTTGAGAGAAGAGGCTAATTCAATGCTGGTAGACGATCCCGGTTTAAACTTTTGAACCATAAGAATTTAAGAATTTGTATGGCTTGCTTTTCTTGATTGTGCATATATTCTAATTTTTAACTATTGATTGTTTGATCAATTCTACACTACTCATGGTATTGTGTGTGTTTTTTTTTATTACCGGTTAATATAACCGATTAAAGATTTATTATTTAATTTTGTTTAATCAAATAGGACTATTAATTGGTCTTACTCATTGATCAAACAACTTACCGTAACGGTTATTGCGATTGACCAATCTATTTACGTATTCTGTCTAGAGCAAGCAAACACTGACTATAGGCAAATAGGTCAATACATTGAGACTGCCTGGTGTTCTTTCAATTTGTTCTGTTACATCTTAATTAAATTTTCTGGTTTTCTCGGCTGATACAAAGATCAAAGTATAAAATTTCTTTTTTAAGACGATAACGCTTATTAACAATACTAAAATTTGAAACAATTTGATTATTATGGGCTTAAACGAAAAAATGATCTTACTTTGTACCTTTTCATTTTTAATTCCTATCATATCAAAGTTTATCCGGTTATATTTGATGAAGCTGTTTAGAATTAATGATAGATCTTTTGTCGCCTTACCTATAACTTAATGCGGCACTGAAATAAATTTACACCGTTTTGTCCTAAACTATGTTTTGCTCGGTTTTGTTACTTTGTTTTAAAACCGAATAAATCAATGTAGTACTCATACTTGGATTCAAGTTTGATATCAAACGGATGAGACCAGTTTACATCTCATTCTGTTGTCGTAATCAATTGAATGTTTGATTCAAAGCAAGATTCCCAAGATTTTATGAAGCTTTATCTTTGCTATACGAATTGGCGTCCCTATTCCCTCGCTTAAGGATATGTACATCAAGATTATTTTTCAAAGATTTTGATTGATTCACTTGAATTTGAATTCATTCAATTCTCTGCGGAAGAGTATATGTAATTTGTGAGTGAATGTAGTTTATAACTTGAATATTCAATTAGATTTAAGCATTTTTATATCTAATTTAATGTGACCATAAATTGACATAATCTCAAAAACTTCTCATCTTTATTGCAGCTTATTAATGATTAAAGAATTTTCATAATATAATCATTCAAGTCTTTGATAGCATTTGGAATAAAAACAATCCAATACATTTGCACTTTCAAATGAAATTCAAAAACTACGAATAGAAATGATTTATAACTTTGTTGCAATTGAAGGTCTAAAAAAAATAAAAAGGTGGGCAAATTGGAAACTAAATGCTATGGGTGTTTCAACTTTTGAGCTTTTTTAAACTTTTGATTTACTGTAAGGCAGTTTAATGAGTTCATTCGAATGATTTAGATGTCAAAAGTCAGTGTAAATTGTATATAGATCTTTGTAGATTATTCATTTTCCAAATAAATCAATTTTTTATAGTACATTTAAGATGATGATTTTTATACCAAAACTCACAAATTGTATACGAGGGATAGAGCAGGTAATTATTTGAACGATACGGTATCATCAAGAGTATTTTAAGCTGCTTTATAGAACAGGAAAGTTCTGAGCTTGACATAACAAATTTTAAAACAGCCTTTTTTGTGTAGCGTTTTACATCGAATTTTCTGTAGATCCATACTTAAGCTCAAATGTTGCAAGATTAAACAAAATTCAAAAAATCTTTTACATATTATTCAAAATGAAACATGCATTAAAATAATTTTTTTATTAAGCGCTTTAAAGTATAAGTAATATGAAATCAACCTTCCAATGCATATCCTAGATCAATACCTTCAAATTCATTAGCTAAATCAACTAATTTTGATTTTAACATTTTTAAATTTTCATTTTGAGATTTTAAAATAGGTAACCATTCAGCAACTCCATGTTGTAATATACCTTTTGCTCTTGATTTTCCAAATCTAACATTACCATAAGAACCATGTATAGTTAATCTTTTATTTTTAGATTTATAAGCAGCTCGATGTAAAATATTATTATTATAAAATACTAAATCACCTGGATTTAAATTAACTATTATTTGATTTGTAATAAATTCTTTTCTTCTTAATGAATCAATTGTTTTGGATCTTTCTTCATCTGTTCTAATTCTATTATGAGATTTAGGTATAACTATTAAACAATCATCATGAGTTAAACTTAAATTAAATTGAGCTCCAGCAAATGGGTAAGTTAATAAATCTTTAGCTTCTTCTTCTGGTGAAACTTCAGGTTTTATAGTATCTCTATGCCAATCTAATTCAAAATCAGTTAATGGATTAATTAACATATTTAATAATTCCATAGATATTTCATTTGTTTGAATTTGTAAAATATCAGAAACAACATTTAACATTTTATCATCAGCATACAAGTCATGGAAAGGATACGATTTTTCACCTAAGTTTGGATGTAATAATCCTGAAACACCCCATATATCAGGATTAAAATTTTTAGGCCATGGTGGATATTGTTTTCCTCTTGTACGTACAGTTTGTATATCTCCTTTTCGAGCCATATCAACTATTATTTCACTTGCTTTTGTATATTTTTCTATTTCTTCTGGTGTCAAGAAATTTTCAATTATTGTGAATCCATTTTCATTGATTTCGTCATGATATTTATGTGGAAGTTGAGTAGGTACTGGCATTATTCAAAGAAAGTATTTTTACTTGAATTTCAAGTAGATTTTAAATAAATTTGATTTGAAAAATTGATAATTCTTATATAGTCAAGTTGGTGATAAAAAACTGGGGTAAAAAAATCTAGATATTAATGGTTTATTTCAATGTAACCTTGTGACATGTAATGATATATTATAATTTATCATTTTTGACTAGTGATTTTGTAAATTGGACTGAATAGAACAATGTAACGTACTAACAATAAATTTAAAAATAAAAAGATTTAGATTCCGCACTCAAGAACGGAATATTTCTACTACATTTTTGAAAAGGGTCTATAAAAGGTTAGAATTACATTCATATGATTCAATACTTACCTTCAAGGAGTATATACTCTAATAAATTTATGAACTTATTAAATATGTATCAAATAGTAACAACATAACAGTGGAGAATTAAAATAGCGGACAATTAAAATAATCTATTAAATTATGCACAATTTTTTTCAGTTATTCATAAATACACTAACATTCATATTCAAATGACCAACATCGTCCATAGCTTCTTCTTTCTCATTAGCAAACTCTTTAGCTAATAAATCTAAATTTGTATTCCTAACTTTAAATGAAATTTCTGTTGCATTATTCAAATTGGAGCCTAGTACTAAATCTTCTTTATTGGCCATTAGTATTTGCAAGTTTTCTTTAGATAATGATTTTTGTGAATTTGATTGTGCTTGTTTTTTTGTTGGTTTCTTTTTTGTCAAATCTGGCCAAATACATTCTTGATTTCTAGATATGCATGCAATACAAATTGGTGAAGTTTCATCACATTTTTTTCTAAAATAATTGGTTAGTATATTATCCAATTGATACTTGATCCAATGCTTTGCAACATACTTTCTTTTTCTGCAGTTCAAGCAACCGGTCTTGCTTCTAAATCTTGTACCTATTATGTTATTGATTTTTATAGTTTTTTGTTGAAATCCATTATTGTGAACTGTTGAATTTTGTGGAGTTGGACTTTTAGTTGAATTTTTGGTCTCAAATGAAAGTGGCAGTTGGTCTATTTTGGTAAATGATGACGAGTCTAGTACTGAAAACATGTTTGTAGTGGAATAAGTTACTAAGGTAGATGATTTGAAAGATAAATAAATGAAAATACCTGGAAACTTTGAAAAATTGTCTGATAAGAAAAAAATTGGTTTATGTTAAACGACTTTTTGTGTCACTATATTTTACTAGACTTCAATAAATAGATACTTACCACTTAAAGTTTGCAATAATTCCTCAATCAAAATATTTTTAGAATTTCATTGAGAGGACTTTTGTTCTTAAAAGTAAATTACTCATTACTAAATGGAGTCACATGAAAAACGAATCACTAAAAACTCGAAGTAAAAGCTCGTTAGTTGCAAAAATTTGGAGTCAATTGGTAGTTTTGCAATTACCACTCAATATTAATATTGTTAAGAAATTGCCTTTAAATTTTCGAACAAAATACGATAAGATCAATCAGATAAAACATTATATATCCTACCAAAATTCAACAATGTCAGGAGCATCTGATTTTTTAACAAAGGGAATTGATTTGGTTCAAAAAGCCATAGAGGCGGATACAGCCACAAGATATGAAGAAGCATATAAACTATATTACAATGGATTAGATTATCTTATGTTAGCAATAAAATATGAAAAAAATCCAAAATCAAAAGAATTAGTAAAATCAAAATTCACTGAATATTTAACAAGAGCAGAACAATTGAAAGATCACCTAGAAAATCAACAAACTAAATCAAGTTCTGCTGAAAATTCAGCTAATGGATCAACAAAAGCTAAAAAATCTGGAAGTGGAGAAGGTGATGATGATGATGCAGATACAAAAAAATTAAGAGGTGCATTAGCTGGTGCCATATTATCAGAAAAACCAAATGTTAAATGGTCAGATATTGCTGGATTAGATTCTGCAAAAGAAGCATTGAAAGAAGCAGTTATATTACCTGTCAAATTCCCACATTTATTTGTTGGTAATAGGAAACCAACTTCTGGTATATTATTATATGGACCACCAGGTACTGGTAAATCATATTTAGCAAAAGCAGTAGCAACAGAAGCCAACTCAACATTTTTCAGTGTATCTTCATCAGATTTAGTATCAAAATGGATGGGAGAATCAGAAAGATTAGTTAAACAATTATTTACAATGGCAAGAGAAAATAAACCATCAATTATATTTATAGATGAAGTTGATGCATTATGTGGGCCAAGAGGTGAAGGTGAAAGTGAAGCTTCAAGAAGAATCAAAACTGAATTATTAGTACAAATGAATGGTGTTGGAAACGATTCACAAGGTGTATTAGTACTAGGGGCAACAAATATTCCATGGCAATTAGATGCTGCAATAAGGAGAAGATTTGAAAGAAGAATATATATAGCTTTACCAGATGTTGAAGCAAGAACAAGAATGTTTGAAATAAATATCGGTGACGTACCATGTGAATGTACTCCACATGATTATAGAACTTTGGCAGAAATGACAGATGGTTATTCAGGTCATGATGTTGCAGTTGTTGTAAGAGATGCATTAATGCAACCAATACGAAAAATTCAACAAGCAACACATTTTAAACCAGTAATAGACGAGGTAGATGGTAAAGAAAAATTCACACCATGTTCACCAGGAGATAAAGGAGCTCGAGAAATGAGTTGGATGGAAATAGGTACAGATGAATTAAAAGAACCAGCATTAACTATAAAAGATTTTATAAAATCTATAAAAAGTAATAGACCAACTGTTAATGCATCTGATATTTCAAATCATGTTAAATTTACTGAAGATTTTGGTCAAGAAGGTAATTAGAAAATATAGACTTTTGCATCGTTAAAATTTAAAAAATGTTGTTTTTTCAATTCTAGAATATATGTTAATTAATACAAGAATTAATACAATTTTTATTACACTTATACAATTTTTTTTTTCGTTAATATCTCTGTTTGTAGCGACTATGACTTGGATTTCTTGTTGGTGACCTTGATCTAGTTTTTTTCAATTTATGAGCAAATAAATCTTCTTCAACTCCTCTTTTTTTAGCGAACAAATCTTCGTCGTCTTGGTTTCTTGTAGAACTGATTTCAATTCTTCTTCCATTTCTACCTTTAAGTTTGTCAGCGAATAAATCTTCTTCTTCGTCTTCTTGTTCAATTGTCGTTGGTGTTTCATTTTCATTATGACGTTTGAAATAAGCCTTTTTGGAGAATAGGTCTTCATTATCTTGATCATTGTGATTCATGGTTGGTTCTCTTTCATGTCTATTTCTATTAAAGTTCTTTCTTCTTGGTCGTACTTCTCTTTCTGGTTCACCATGAAGTAAATAATATCTTGAAAATTGTGATGCATTTTTAATTTTTCTATCCAGTTGAAATGCTTGTCTTATTTTTAATTCAGTAAAAGTCTCATCCTCGTCTATTGTTTCTGATTCTTTTTCAGGTAATCCTAATCTATTTGATAAACTTTGACTTTTACGGAATTCTATTATAGGATTATAATCTTTTGCATCAACTTCTTGTATTATTTCATCTATAATATCTGGATCATTTTCGTCGGTTGTTAGTGCTATATTTCTTACTTGTCTAATTGCTTTTAGATTATCTTGATTTGTTTTGAAAACTATTACAACATTTGAATCATCAATCCATTCTACTCGAAAATTTATTTCATCTTCTAAAGGTATTTGATTATATATGAGTTTACCGGTTTCTGGATCTTTTGAGACTGTGTAATTAAGGTAGTAGTCAACGTATGATTTAATTTCTTCAGTTGATAAATTATCTACTCCATTTAATCTAAATGCCTCTGGTCTTAGTTTTTGTATTGTACCATTATGTTCAACTTCTATTGACAATTCCTCTATTTTAGCTTGATTTTCTTTTTCATCATCTAATGATTTAACTATGAATCCTCCATATGGAGCTACCTCTGGTTCGTTCATAATTATTTTGGATTGTTTTGTTATATTTTGTTTTGGTAATGGTATTCTACAAACAAAATAATCCTGAAAAATCTTTTTTTATCGAGTTCTTAAGAGGTTTCTTGTCAATATTATATTGATATACATTTGCAAAATGATCTACAAGTTTTTCTTAATACTTTAGTTTTAATCATTAATTCATTAAATACTATTACAGGAACGGAAGCATTAATCATTCCATTTCATATATGCAAAATATCGATCGACACGCAATAATCAATCCTTCATTTCTACTTCTTCAACAACTTCAACTTCTTCCTTAGCATCTCCATTTGAATCTTTCGTGATAGTTTCAGTAACTTCTGATTCTTGTATACTTGATCGTGGACCTTTCGGTATTACCTTCTCGTTATCATTATTGGTGCCTTCTCTTATAAATAAAACATTATTACATCTGATAAAGATACTACCAATTAATTCTTCCCTTTTGTTGTCGTCTTTTTCGTATATTATTTCATAAGTGTTATCTAGTTGTAAATTTAGGTAATTATCTGTAGACATTAAAATTCCTTTATACTCTGTTTTGTTCCATTTCAATCTTACTATGACTTGCTTGCCTATCAATGATTTTATGAAAGGTTTTGGATTGAGTGGTTGAAACTATAAGAAAGTTAGTATTTTAGCTTAGTCAACTTTATCAATAACGTAATATATACATACACTGGACATTGATATAGTTGTGTTGTATTTTGTGGGTTGCAATGATAAAAGTCAAATATGATTTCAATTTTTTTCTTTCAAATTTAATGTAAACAACACGTCAAAAATCAAAGATTCAAACTTATCAAGAACATTCACCAAAAGATGAGTAAAATAACTCAAGTTTTCGTAATAGGGGGTCTAATAAGATTTCTACTACCTGTTTCAGTACCTTCATTAGTACCAATTTTATCATCATCAACAGAACTATCAACTCCAATCACCTCGTTTAAAGCATTACTAGAAGCATTTTATTTTTTAGATCATAATATTAATTTATATGATGGTGGGGTAAATCATCATCCTCCTTTATTAGTTATACTATTATCATTTTTTGACTCATTGCCTTATTCACATGTTTGGTTTGCTTTGCTTTATACAATCACTGACTTGTTAATAGCTGCAAATTTGGTCAAAATCAATCAATGGTACAATCATTACAGATCAAAAAAGTCAGGAGCGAGCAAAAAGTACCTTGGGTTTAACGATGACTTGATTGCGTGTTTCTATTTATTCAATCCTTTAATATTATTGACAAATTTGAGTTATTCAACAATTGTATTTACATGGTTTTTCACAATTGAATCAATAGTTCAAATAACAAAAGAAAAAAGAGTACTTAGATCAATGATATCATTAGCAATTGCAACTTATCTTTCTTTCCATTCACTTTATCTATTACCTTCAATACTTGGGTTAGCATATGCATTGTCTTCAAGAGATACGATTAAATTTTTCACAGTCAATATAAGTGCTTTCTTGACTTTTCTAGCAGTTTTGGGCTTTGCTTCATATGCATGCACGGGGTCATGGTTATTTATTGATAAATGCTACTTGACAGTAATATTGTTTAAAAAAATCACACCAAACGTGGGTTTATGGTGGTACTTGTTCACCGAAATGTTTGAATTCTTCACACCGTTTTATACCGGCATGTTTAATCTTTATTCAGTCGTTTTTATCATACCAATAACATTGAGACTATTTGAATATAGTAAAAGTCCAAAATTGGGAGATTCATTTTTATCAATTATTTTATCAATGTTATGGATTTCATTCACAAAATCATACCCAACTATAGGAGATTTAGGTCTTGTTTTATCAATCTTACCAATGTTCAAAGATACTATTTTAGCTCATTGTAAACTTTTGTTTATATCAGGAATGACATTAATAATTTCATTAATACTTTCACCTATTTTTTATTATTGCTGGATTGTTTTAGGTAATGGTAACTCAAATTTCTTTTATAGTATAAATCTCATTTGGGGTGGAGTTCATATTTTAATATTAATGGAATTAATTTGGGCTCAATTGATTGTTGATTATGGTGTTGAAAATAATTTATCCGATACAGAATTAAAACAAACAACTTTGGCACAACTATAAAATTAATGTAAATAGAATTAAGTAAGTGATGCATACTTCACAAAATCATCAATTGACATGTATATTACTCTAACTTGCCTTGTACAATTAGTTTCATGGAAGTCTACTCTATCTTCTTAAGCTAAATCAAATCACGTGACTCTCTCATGCTCCAATCAACAAATGAGAATTTATAATTTTATACTTTTTTTTTCCTAGTGTATGAGAGAAAGTAATTTTTCAATCTTATATAATTAAAAGACAACCTAATTGAAAACCATCCCATCACATAATTACATATTCACAATGTTGTCTCGTTCTTCAATTCGTGCTTACAGCACCATACCTAATGCCATCAAAATTACAGCAAAAGATTCAGTCAACGAATTGACTAAATTAGCAGTTGTAATTGATAATGCAGGTGCTAAAAACGGTAAACTTGGTACATCACATTTATTATCTAAATTTGCATTTTTAAGTAATGGAAATAAATCAGCTTTACGTTTTACAAGAGAATCAGAATTATTGGGTGGAGATTTTTCAGCAAAACCAACAAGAGATGGTTTAGTTTTAGAAACTAAATTCTTAAAACAAGATTTACCATATTATGTTGAAGAATTAGGAAATGTTTTATCAAATACAAGATATACTCGTCATGAGTTTGAAGAAGTTGTGTTACCAGCTGCCAAATATGAAGCTCAATATGCTCATTCAAATTCACATTTTGCAGGTGTAGATAAATTACATGAAATTACTTTTAGAAAAGGTTTAGGTAATCCATTATATTATAACGAATCAACTCCAATTGAAGTAGACGAATTAGCTCAATTTGCTCAAGATCATTTTACTGGGGAAAATATAACTATACATTCAGAAGGTGCAGATGAAGCTGATTTAACTAAATTTGTTGAAGAATCAGCTTTCTGTTATTTACCAAAAGGTACAAAAGATGCCACTGTTCCAACTACATTTTATAAAAATCAAGAAGCTAGAATACCAGCTACTGGTGCATCAACAGCATTGATTGGTATTCCAGTTAAACCAGCTGATTTTGGTAAATATTTAACATTAGCAGCAGCAATTGGTACACATAAATTACCAACTATAGTTGGTCCATTATCTAAGATTCCAGGTGCTACATCACAATTACATAAACATAAAGAAGCTGGTTTGTTTGTTATATCAGTAACTGGTAAAGCAAGTGAAGTAGCTGAAGGTATTAAACAAGCTAAAAAAGTTGCTGATTCAGTTTCTTCAACTGATTTACAAAATTCAGTTAAATATGCAGAATTATCTGTTGCATTACAATCTTCATTATCAAAACCATTAGACATTAAAGTTCAAGCCTCCTCAGCTCCAATAAAAGATTTCAACTACGTTGCAGTTGGTGATTTAAATGTATTACCTTTTGCTTCTGATTTGTAAATAATTTAAATATCAAATTTTTTACATAAAACTATAATACATATATAATTTGATCAAAAGAATTTATTAGAGGATTGAATCACCCTTTCATTAACATTCGTACATTTTAATCGATATATGCTTCTATCCATTTGGATGCTAAAAATACTTTTTTTCCATCCATTGTTTGCAGTGTAAATCCTTTAACTAGTGTATCAAACGACGATCGTGATAATTTCTTATTTTCTGGTAACGTAATTGAACAACATGAATCTTTTAGTTCATTTAAATCAACTTGTAAATCATCTCCATTATCAAGTTTGTCATCATTAGCAAAAACTTTTAAAGAATCATATATCACTGATTTTTCTTCAATAAAAGAGAATTCCTTTGCAAGTATATTTGAGAACTGGGCAAACGTTATACCTTTCTTTGAACAATCTTTATTATCTATTGTTAACATTTTTGTAAGTTGCGAATCTGTTGGTTGTTTTAAATCAATTGATGAATATATATTTTTAAGATCTTCTTTCGTTATTAGTGAATCTCTTGATTCTCCATCTATTAATGTAAAAGCATTTCTTATTTGTGTCTTTTGATTTGCTGATAATGAACCCAAACTAGTCATTGTTGAGGTTAACTATTTGTTGATCAAGGAAAGTCAGATCAACTAAATCTTTTGTTTACTTTTTTTTTATCCATATTTTACGCGTACCACTTAATTAAATCAGATCAATCCAAATTAAATGTTCAATGGACACGTTATATAATCAACCAGTAGTAGTTGATAATGGATCTGGAAACTTAAAAGCTGGTTTTGCTGGTGAAGAAAAACCGAAAACATATGCATCAGCAATTATTGGAAGACCAAAATATCAAAAATTAATGGCAGGTTCTTTAATTTCATCAACAAAAGGATCAATTTCATCATCATCAGATTCAGATATTTTCATTGGAGATGCTGCCCAAAATAATAGAGGTCTACTAAGATTATCATATCCCATAGAAAATGGAATTGTCACAAATTGGTCAGATATGGAAAAATTATGGTATCATATGTTTGAACAAGATTTAAAAATCCAACCTTCTGAACATCCTTTACTAATAACTGAAGCTCCATTAAATCCAAAATCAAATAGAGATAAAATGTGTCAGATTATGTTTGAACAGTTTAACATTCCGTGTTTGTATTTATCAATTCAAGCTGTTCTAGCATTATATGCATCAGGAAGAACTACAGGAGTTGTAATAGATAGTGGAGATGGAGTTAGCCATGTTGTTCCTGTATATGAAGGGTTTTCACTACCTTCCTCCATAAAAAGAATTGATATTGCAGGTAGAGATGTCACATCAAATTTGTCTTTCAACATACGGCGAGTTTCAGGAGTTGCATTGCAAAGTAGTTCAGAAATGGAAATTGTTAGATTAGTTAAAGAACAATGTTGTTTTATATCAAAAGATCCAATAAAAGATGAAAAACTATATGGAGCTCATTATTTGAGAAAAAGCAATGGTAAAAGTGAAATTTTTGCAAGTTATAAATTACCTGATGGTCATGAATTGAAATTAGGTGTGGAAAGATTTAGAGCCCCAGAAATTTTATTTAATCCACAATTGATTGGAGATGAAAGTCAAGGCATTCATGAATTAACTTCATTAGCTATAGCTAAAACAGATCTTGATTTGAGACCAATATTATATCAAAACATATTACTATCAGGTGGTAATACTCTACTAAAGAATTTCGGAGATAGACTTCTAAAAGAATTAAAAGATTTACAAGATACCAATGAATCAAGTAAATCTATATGGAACACTAGCAACAATGACACTTATAACACCAAAATGAAAGTTAAAATCTACGCACCACCAGAAAGAAAATATTCAACATGGATTGGAGGTTCAATTTTAGCAGGTTTATCTACATTTAAAAAAATGTGGGTAACTTCAGCAGAATATCGTGAAAATCCTGAGATAATACATAAGAAATGTTTATAGAAAAGTCCTCATTCAAATACAATAATATCTATCTCCAAAATCGCCTAAACCAGGTACAATAAATTTATCATCATCTAGTTTTTCATCAATTCCACCAGTTATAATTTTAACTTGAGGAAATTTATCATGAAAAGCTTTTATACCTTCAGGAGCTGCCAACAAGTTCAAAAAGAATATCCTGTCCATTCTAACACCTCTTGATAATAAAACTTCAACTGCCATAATTGCAGATCCACCAGTTGCTAACATTGGATCTAATAAAAACACATATCTTTCACTTATGTCTTCAGGTAATTTTTCATAAAATAGTTTTGGTAAAGCAGTTTCTTCATCTCTTTGAATTAATATTTTCCCAATTCTAACTGATCTACAACAATCTCTCAACCCCATTTCCATAGATTCTCCTGCTCTTACTATTGATACTCCACAAATTTTACCCAAGAATTTATATCCATTATATTTATGACCTCCATGACATTCTATTATACAGTTTTCAACTGGTAACTGATTTAACCCTTCCTCAACTAATAATCTTATAATTCTATCTGAATAAAAAACAAAATCACCTCTTTTTGTTTGTTGATCTCGAATTATACTATAAAGTCCAATTAATTGATTTGTTTGTGGTAATAATATAACATTGTTATTGACTTCTTGACTAACTGACATTTTAATTGATTTGCAATCGTTCTTTGTAAGATAAGAAATATTTTATTATATAGAATCTGATTAAAAGATAAAAAATAATTTTTTTTCGGTCGATTAATTCATCGCGAACGGAGTGATGGAACGGCTTATACTGAAATTGTTCTACAATCAATCTACAATCAAATCTAAGATCTCTAAGATTTATTTCATATAACACTAATGAATACAATTAATTCAAACATTTATTACCTACTGATCTTCTTGTACAAATGGATTGTCAATTATTTCACTACCATTTACCGGTGATATAGTCAATAGACTCGTACATCTTACAACAACCAACCCCAAATCTCTTGTTTTATCAGTCAATACATCTTCATCTTCTGGATCTAAAAGTACAACGTTAGTATTAAATTTTAAATATATTTCTTGAGTGGAATTACATACCTCTTATTTGTTCTTTAACATCTTCCAACACCAAATTCATCAATTGATCGAACCCTTTCAATATACCTGTTACTTGTCTACCTCCAACAAACCTTACTCTTATTTCTTGATCTTTATATTTATTTAAATCTAATATAGCTTCTCTTTTTGGACCTTCTGATTTAGGTCTATCTTGATTTTGATTTCTTCGTCTATTCTGTTTTTGATTGTGTTTCCTATTATCGTTCTAAAGCAATCAAGTTAGTACTCAATCAATTCAAAACCGGCCTATTCAATGCTATACATACTCCTTCTGACATGGTTGTGTTATTATGATGTATACGATATTAGTATGTTGATAATTGAAACTAAAGTTTACCACTATTTTTTTTTCTCTTTCCGTCCTGAAATATTTTGGTAGCAGAATTTTTTCACTAGGTTTGAATGTTTCAGGATTCCTTGATTCAAACGTTATCCACAACTCAGGCTAAACTGATATTTTTAAAATGATATATTCTATGTTTAGCCGTTGAATTTATTCCTACCTGTTGCTGAATTCGAATAGCACAAAACCAATTTTTGCTCAAGGATTTTAATCAAAAGTTTCATCGAATTTTGCAGTCTAGAGAAGCTATATAATTCTCAACAGTATCTACAATTTTTCCAATTTCCAATGTTGTATGTAATATTTACAATGTTGTGTTCTATATGCAATATGTACAAATTGTGAAAAGCTGGTGTTACCTATTTCGTATCCGGTAACATCTTAGTACTTTATACTCTGTGCCTCAATCAATTTTCGTTTATACACCAACCCCTTTTATTTATTTATCTTAATACTCATTTCTCATCCACATTTGCTTTCTCTTTTGTCTATCTGTTATAAATTTAGGTACGTTTATTTCATTCTTGAATTTCTTCTGTTTCGATAACTCAGTTTTGAAAAAATATACAAGTTTTGGTAATTCAATATTAAATTTTTTACTTAATTCTTTAAAATTCCATTTTTGAGGATCTTCAGATCTTAATGCTTTTATTTTCTCTATAGTTTCTGACGTTATATTGTATTCTCTTTCATTTGATGCTTTAAATTGTCTTATGATTGGCATATCCAATATTATATCATGAGATATTTTTTGTTGTTTTGCTAATTCTCTTCTTGGATCATTTGGTGGAAGAAAAATATATGGGGTTTGCATTGATGGTTTTATTATTGCTGCTGGTGGGTTATATACTAGACCTTCTTGAGTTTTAGGTTTGAAATTGAATCCTGATCTTTTGGAATTATATTTGTTTTTGGGTATTGGTTCGTATGGTATATCTTTTAGACTATTGTGTATTCTACGTATGGACTGCCTTATCATTGTGGTGTTGTGATTTGGTTGTGAGTGATTATGATAGTAGATAAATAAGTGGATGAATTAATGATAATCTAGTAGACCGATACTAAATAGAATCAATCTGAAAAGTTTTTCACTCAAAATAATTTTTTTTTGTTTCGTCGTGTGCTAACAATACAGAAAATATATTTTGTATCAAATCCTCTCATTTTGCAGCCAATGTTTTAAGGTTTTGAAGACTAATGTGGCATTGAGTATCTTACTAGCTCGTCTTTGGTTCTTCGATTTATCAAACTTAAATGCTTTTTGCACGCGCTTCGACAATCGATCTCATGTTTTTCTCCTGATTCAAGAGTGTAAAAAAGGAAGGTATGATTTAGTAGATCATATTCAAGAAACCAGCTAGTGCTCTAACTAGCTCAACTTCAAAAAAATATACGTGACCATTATCAATTATGATACGATGCTAATTTGTCTAAGCCTTAGGTTGGGAAGGACAAAGTGTGACTAGTAGAATTAGATTGACGTTGCGAAAATGTATTTAGTATATTATAGTCTGAGCTCGCACTTGTCTAATTGCAGCAAGTGGAGATCCTTAAGAGAGGTGAATTCTAGCTCTTACAGGCATGGATAAGTAGCTTGGTTCATTTTCAAAATAGGAAATATTTTATATTGATACGGACCACATTTTTATTACAGTTCCGTCCAAAATTATAACAAAATTGCACAAAGTAAATAGGAGAGATTAATCCAGGCTTTATGATACTGTTTAAACCAAGCCAATTTTTTGCTCAGAAATATCCTTTGTAGTGTAATGGCTATCACGGTTCGCTTTCACCGAGCAGATCGGGGTTCGATTCCCCGCAAGGGAGATATTTTATATGTTTCATTTCCAATTCACATCCTTTGTAGTGTAATGGCTATCACGGTTCGCTTTCAATATTTTCTAGTGTTGTAAGTTCCGAGCAGATCGGGGTTCGATTCCCCGCAAGGGAGTATCTTGAAAGTCTTTTTTTTTACAAAAAGATTTTCATAATGTTTTTGTTTTTTTTTTCACTTATCTAAGATCAGTCTAGTCATGCCGTTTCAATCATTTCAATATACAGATTGTGTCAGGTTGTTCTGAAAATATAATTCTTAAAGTTTTCTATTATGAATTTTGCAACTTTTTGCAACAAAATTCGTTAGAAAAATTACTTCCTGAATAATTACAAGCGTAGTATGCTTTTACCTAAAAGCTGTTCTTTTAGCTGTCTCGTCAATCTCAAATACTATCAAAATTATTTAGGTATAAGGCATAAAGAGTAGTCAATTGAAGATTATACGAAAACTAATGGATCTAACTATTTTAAAAACTTCAAAAATGACAAGAAAAAAAATTTAAAAATTCTCCACAAATTAATTAAAACAAAGTACAAAACCATATACTTTTACGAGATGAATAAATTGATGTACTTCACAAGGCTAAGAACAATATATACGACCTTTTAGAGACGCTCGTGAAACATAGTCATCAAACCTTGCTGATATTGTAATCTCTTTTACTGTTTTGAGAATAGCTGAAGTAAAAACCTGCACGTGTATTACTACTTCATCGTGATAAAATAAACAATAGATTAAAATTCTCAAAGCTCTTTTTTCTCCGAGAAATTATAAATATTGTTTCAGCCCTATATATTATGAGCATTATCTTAGACAAATATTGTGTCTTCGTTAAAAACTTAGTAATAGTAATACATATTGATCATTCAGTAACTCATAGTCACTTCTTCTACATATTTTTGGTATATCATTCAGAATCAAACTTTAAAACTAATTAGAATGGCAAATCAAATTTAATAAATTTAATGAAAATAAAAAAGAAATTTTTTAAAAATTAAAAATAATAAAAAATAAAAAAAATAAAAAATTTTAATTTAATTAAAAAAATAAAATAATTATCATTAAATAATATTTCAATCTGTCAAATTAATCTACTACCAGCTAAAATATATATACTTTTCACCAATATTACTTAAGACTATGATATAGTAACTAATCAAACAAAGATACATTTATTTGCTATACAACATTCGTTTTTAAGTCATTAATTTGGTGAATTATCTCAACTTTAAATTTCATTAACTTGACTCATCTAAACAATCATTATCTAAGAAATCAAAGATGAAATTTGCTAAAACATTAGAACGATCATTGATAGATGAAGACATTCCAGAAGAATGGGTAGAAGCAGCAATCCAGTATAAATCCCTTAAAAAATGTATAAATAAAGTTGTAAATGAATTAAAATTTTTAGGATTAGAACAAAATAAATTAAAATTATTAATTAATGATAAAGAAATTGATATTGATGATACAAATACAAATAATCCTATAGTGGCACAATATACTTTACATAAAGCTTCTTTAAATTCTCATGATATTATACCTATACTAAAGATTATTTTGGATTTTAGTGATGATAAAAATATTACAAATGATAATATTAATAAAATATGTCAAGAAGTGAAAAATAAAATTGAAGGACTTTTGAATGAAGATAATAGTTCTAGTGATGATAATAATGATGAGAAAATTATTGAATTAAAAGAACAAAATGATGGTGAAATCAAAGTTGTTTCAAGTAGAGAAGGTTCTTTATCACCACCAATGAAAGCATCTACATCTCCACCCTTGGATCCAATCACTTCACCAACTTCTTCACCAGAAGTACAACAACAATCGCAACAACCACAAGCAGAGCTAACAGCAGTGCCAACTCCTTTAAAATTAAATACAGATGAAAATTCTATAAGTATTGAAAAAAGATTAGAAAAATTAAACATAGAAGAACCACATACTAAAAAAAGAGAAATCAACATAATACTTAATTCTGATTCAAAATTTTTTAAAATGTTAGATGAAGAATTAAACGTACTTGACAATTTAAGAAAAACAGAAGAAGATAAAATTATAGGAGAAATAACCAAAATCAGTGAAAATATGAATCTTTCAAAAATGAAACAAGCTGATTTATACAAATGGAGAGAATTATTCAAAATTTATTTAGATTCAGAAGTATATTTCAAATATAATGAATTAAATTATAAACAAAAAAACAACGAACAAATAGTTTCCAGTTTAAATCAATTCATGAATAATGTAAATAAATCAGGTATATTAACTCAATTTAAAAAAAAATCAAGTATTGTTACATTTAATCAATTCATATCAATGAATTTCCACTTACTAAAGATGTTAAAATTTCAAACAATAAATACAGAAGCACTTCGTAAAATCCTAAAAAAATTTGATAAACAAACTTCCTTAGGTATTCAAAACATTTACCCCAAATTAATATCATCAGACCATATTTTTGTTAGTGGTAAATCAATAGCTCAATCAATATGTTATATAATTCAAAATTCAGTCTTAAAATTAATACCACAATTAGATGATTATTCATGTCCAATTTGTATGTCAATTGCATATAAACCAATAAGATTATCATGTAATCATTTATTTTGTGTTCGTTGTTTAGTTAAAATGAAACAACAAGATAAAATGAGTTGTCCAATGTGTAGAAAAGAAAATGCTATATTAGAAGCTGATTCAAGTAATTTAGATTTAGAAAGTATGGAATTAATGAAAAAATATTTTCCAATTGAAGTTAGAGAAAAATTAAAGGAAAGAGATAAAGAAAGGTATAGAGATTTGAAAGGGAATAGTGATGATAAATGTGTAATTGTATAGTTTTTTACAAATCTAATTTATTTATTTAATTTTTGTTATTATTTTGTATCATATCTTTATTCCAGTGTTGTTTCTTTGGACTAGTAATGATCAATAATTGATCTACTCGAATTTGCCAAACTCCTTTATGAGGTTATATATCAAAAAATTTACAAATTTGCAACCACCAAAAGAAGTCAGATGATCAATATTCTAAAGGTGCAATCAAACTAGCACTATTTTTTTCTCTGATAAACAATTTGGCACAGTTGCAAATTTCCGTCTTTCTCGCCTCAAAAAATTTGGTCCGGTAGTGTAGCTGGCATCACTCTAGATTCTGATTTTAATAAATTGGAATTTCTAGCAACGTGAGTTCGAATCTCGCTCGGACCTTTCTTGGGCTTGACCTTTTTTTTGTCATTTTTAGTATCAAATTTGTTAAGTAGAACTGAACTAATTTGATGTTAACAGGTTCAAGACTGATGTTCATTCTTGCAATCCAAGGGATGTTAATAAAGAGCTATATTATAATTGTCATAAATATTTATTAATTTAAAAAAAATTTTTTTACATTTAAAAATTTGTACAAACCTATATTATATATATGTAGTATAATTTAGTTAAAAAGATTTATTGAGTGTCTTTAAGTATTTGTTGAGCTAATTCTTGAGGAGTTTTACCTTTATTAATTTCAATTCCATTTCCTGTTTCATCATCTATTATATCATTATTTATATTACTTCCCTTGTTAGTATCTAATTTATAACCTTTCATTGCTTTTGGTTTTGATTTTCCTGATCCAATTAATTCTTCTTCATTATTTCCTACAATATGACCTTCATTTGCAATTCCACCTTTTGGAGCTTCAACTATTCCTACTCCCTTTTGTCCATTTGAACCTAATGCTAAATTTCCTGCTAAATCTAAATTTTCTGAATCTTTATTTGAATTCTTATCTACTCCTTTTACTATATTATTTAAATTACTACTCTCTTTATCATATTTGTTATTTGAATTTGAATTTAGATTATTATTGTTGAGATTATTTGATGATGATGATTGTTCTTCTGATGGTACTAATTCATATAATACTTCTGATTTTTCTTTTAAATCTTGTGATACCCAATACATCAAGAGACCGAATATACAAAACATGAAAATATACCCCATTAATTTTCTTTTTGGAGAATTGAAAAATATAATTGGTTCTTTTAAATTTTCATATGGTGATGAATGTTTTTTCTTTGATGATGGTTTCATATAATATGGTCTTGGTAAACCATTATTGTTATAACTGCCTTGCATTTATTGGTTATGAGTTTTAGATTTGTATTGTTTCTTGTAAATATATTTGATTGATTTATGATAAAAACTTTTTATTGATAAAGAAAAAATAGATTTTTCAATGTTATTTGATTATGTATCGAATAAAAATATATTTTGTGGCTTGTTTTTGTACTATTTATGTTAACGGATAATAACGAGTGGAGAATTATATGCCTTGAATCAAAATATTATCAATCAGTTATATTTTTAAATAAGTATTTTATTGTAATATCAAATAATGTGAAAAAAAAAATTTAGGTCTGTATTGAAAATTGATATAAAATTAATTTATTTGTTTTGTTTGTTGATTTTAAAACTAGTGATTTTTTTTCAACTATTAATTATTCAATGATTTTTTCTTAGACTAATTCTAGCTAATATTATAATAATAGTTTAACTAAAAAGTAACATGAATTTAAACACTAAACTCAAAAAAACCTTTAAAATAACGCCTGTCAAAGACTCACTCTTTCAACTCGCCTACTAATTTCATAATAATAATAGTAAGTAAGTCCTTATACAATAAAGAAAGATCATATAATTTTAGATAAGACACGTCTTACGACAAGTATTAGAAAATATTAATAATTAATAAATTGTACGTTTACCAAAAAAGAAAACAATACAATTTGAAAATATTTCAAGGGTTTTGTGTATTAGTTCGTATTATAAAAGTTTATTAATTGAGCTAATGAACATTATAGAATAAGTAGAAGTAAAGTTGGACTTTATAAAACTTAGTACGCGTTGTTACCATAAAGTTGGACCAAAAAGGTGTTTATCTGTGGGAACGGTTGGGCCAAATTACATTTGTAGTTAATCTTTTTAAAAATTAAATTTAAGATTTTCAAGTATTGAATTCTAGATTCTTTAATACTGTATATAATTAATATTTATACATATATATTTAAGTAATATTACATATTGCAGTATATTAATTTTTTATAACCAGATTTTCATTTTTTACAACCAAAATGAATTTTATTTTTTGCAACCAATTTGGGAACCTGGAAAATCTAACAACAGTCAGTAATGATATGGATTTTATTCATTGCAATATTTATTAAATATACATATTCAATCCCACCATCATGTTTCTTAAGCTGTATATCAGAAGTTTCTAAAACAAATTGTGAATTTAAATTAAGTAATATTGGTTGTATATGTTTAAAAGAAGATCAAATTGTTGGTTGTTTAATCGATATTTGTCCCTATGGAACTTTCAATAGTGCAAGAGATCATTTTTTAGGTACATGTTTAGAACATGGTAAACCATCAATAACAAATCCTTATCCAAAACCTGCAACTTATCCTCCACCTGGTTATATTGAAAATTTACCAAAAGTTAAAGATCCTCCTTATGTACATCAACCACCTCCTTTACCTCCATCACCACAACCAATACCACCACCACCACAAGAAGAACGACAACCAGTAACACCACCACAAGATGAATATAAACCTCCATTACCTACTCCACCATTACCTGCACCACCTCCAATTGACCTACCTCCGATAGAACCACCAGCTCCTCAACAAGATAGATTCAATGATATTAATTCAGATCCATGGTTTAAAGACCCTATTGATAGAAACATTTATGATTCAAAACGTCCAATTGAATGGGAAGAGACTGATTCATTAGATAATAATGGTGATTTTATAATTATTAGAAAACCCATAAATGTCCCACCAAATTTGCGTGATAAATCTAAAGTTGGGAATATAAGAAGGGTAAAAGTTCAACAAGTGCCTAACCCAAATCAAAAACATCATCATCAAAATTATTATTTGGGCAACAACAACTTGAATAAAAACTTCAAAGATTTAAATAATAAGATTTTGTTCAAAACTAATAGAATTATGGAATCATTACAACCAAAAGGTAATAAATTATACCACAACAAAATCCGTAAAATCCAGCCCATTCAACCCCCTCCAAAATCCCTTAACGTTGCACAAGTATCTCAAAGAATCAAACCATCAATTCCAAAATTTAAAAGATCACTTAGAAATGAATATAATACCAATCACATCAAGAGATTAGCAATGAACTAATTCCAACTGAAGTTTTCATCTATCCAAATATATTTCTATAAGTCTTTTTATCTATTTTTATATTTTCAATAGTATTTCTAGGTACACTAACTAATCCAATTTCTCTAACATGTAAGTTCTTTGAATTAAATTTATCTTGTGAGGTTTCATAACAATTTGATATTAACAAGTTCCCAAATGGATCAATTACAATTAATATTCCTTCTAATAATCTATTATCTGTTAATTTTATATGAAAGTTTGATCCAATGAATTTATCTGGAGTTATTATTTTCTCATTTGATTTTGACATTTATTGAACTGATTATTTTAAATTACAGTTGTTACTTCGAGTTTTTCAGATTCTCTCGTCTTTAAATCAAAATATTTACGAAATTTTTTTTCACAATTTTTTCAACTCTTTTTCTTCTTCTTTAACATCAATCGCAGATTCACCCTTTGTATAAAATATAACTTATTTTTACTCTATTGATAAGCTATAGGAAGGATTTACAAGTGAATGTAAGCGTAGATTAACCGTTAAGTTGGAGCACGTTTCTGGGCGCCTGATGTTGACATTTTAATATGGGACATTGGGAATCAGTTGTGACTACATTTTGTATTTGAATAAGTAGGAAATTTTCCATTCTTCAATGGGAAGTTGACATTTACTCGGGTAAATTAATCGTGTATAATTTTAGAGACGATACTTATTATAGTGTGTTGATCTCTTTATGTTGATTCTTAATTTTGATCTAATATTAAATTTACGAGCTTACTTCTTTTCCTTAACTAATGGCTAATGAATAGTTCACAACAACAACATGAACTAACTACAATATACAATGAATACTCAACATACTTCACCAATTGTTCTTTGAACTTAGACGCCAGATATTTAGATTTAACCACGAAGGAAGGTGACAAAATAAAAGTTACAGTAAATAATCAAGGTTGGTCAATTAAAAATTCGAATAACATCATATATGAAACTTTTGAATCATTAATGCAAGCCATAAGTCCATCATTTAGGAATCAGTTTGGAAATGAGCTAGCCAATAGATTAAATCAATTACTACAACAACAAGAATAATATATACTTCAAAAATTAGAATATATATTTTAGAACTATTTACAGATTTCACCCAATCTATTTCTTCTTTTTATCACCACCATGTTGACGTCTAACGAATGCCTCAACATCGTCAACATCTCTTCTTGACTCTCTAATATAATAATGAGCAGCTCTTGGCATATATTCTTTTGGCTTATATAATACTTCAATATTTCTAATATTTGGATTATATACGGGTATTCTAATTTCAGATCCAACTCTATTTAATTTAGTTCTTAATAAGATATTAGAACCTAAATTTAATTGACCTCTTTTAATAGCTATTATTCTTCCAGTTACATCTGATCTATCTAAATATGTTACTTTTATTATATCTCCAGCTCTTAATCCCTTGGAGTAATTTATTAATTCTCTTCTTTTGCCTGTTGGATCGTGTTTTTCCAAAAGTTGTTTGTGGATGTATTTCATGGCGCTTTCCCCATTTCTTCTTGGGGGTAATGGTTCATATACTGTGGGTAATGCTATTTTAAAAGTTAGTATTTATTTGATATTGTTGAGAATTCTTGGTGAATGAACATACGTTTTCTTAAATAGTGAAAAGCTCTTGCTGTCGTTATTTGAGTTGATCTCAACCCTAGGGATCTGGATATAGATGAGAACATTTGTGAGGCTAGGTTGGTTATTGGTGATTGATTATGTTAATCAAAATTTTTCATGTACTTTAAAGTTGATTTTTTTCGCAGTACAAAATTAAAAAAACAATATGGAGCTCAATTACATAACAGATGAATTGTACAAACCGATATGTAAAGACCAACTTATAAAATCTACATACCTTGCATCATTAGTTTATACATTAGAATTATGCTATATTAAAAAATCGAATATTAAAAACGAGGTTTTCTTTTCCTACCAGTAAATTTAGAATCTTCAGCCACTATCCTACCTCTACGTCTCATAGTTTCTTTCTTTCTATTTATAAATTCTTTTCTAGATTCCATTAATTTCCTTTTTTTCCTCTTATTGCCTATTTCTTCAGGTGCATCCATTTCAGCTCCTTTTAAATTTATATTTCTTTCAGTTATACCAGCAGTTAACACCAAGTAGTACTTTTTATTCTTTTTAGATTCTGGTTCATCTATAACTAATCCACCTCCAAATCCAGCTACTTTGGCACTGGACATTATATTTTCTATCTGGGTATCATTCAGTGGATAAAATTGTGCAACGAATTTCCCACCTCTTTTTAATGATGCATATAACGTATTAAAAAACAACAACAATCTTTTTTTTGGGTCCACGTTGGAAGTATCTGCATTACATAGCCATTGTATAGCTGATATAGATATAGCAGCATCAAAAGTACCTGCTCGAAAAGGTATACCATTTCCTAAATCTGCTAAAAATAAATCACCTTCAACATCTCTATCTAGTCCTGTTGCTAACATACTGGGTGATATATCCATCCCTATCCAATTATAACCTTCTTCTGTTAATATTTCTCCCGAAAGACCTGATCCACAACCTAAATCTAATATAAAATGTGGTTCGTCTGAATCTAAATTTAATAACTCTAGTGCTCGAAGTGTCATTTTCGCCTGTATATGTTGTACACGGGTTGATGATGTGTATTTGAATGATTCTGTGTCATTGTAAAAAACTTCCGGTGGTGCTAATTCTTCTGGTCTTGACATATTTTGTAGTTGTCTTTTAATTAGCTTGTTGTTTCAATAATTGATTTACTTCTTTTAAATTTTGTGTCTCATAAAGAGATGATGGTTTCTTTTACGCGCACTTAAATGCGTGAAACATTAAACTATTTTGCAACTACAGATAAAAATGATTGTTGGTATATACATTTTCTATTCATTAAATTCATTATTAAAATCAAACCTATAAACTTTTACTTAAAAATGAAATTCGGAGTCGTCATCTTCTTTTTCATTATATGGATAAGGAGGTTTCCTCGTCAACTTTTTCTTTTTTAAAGAATTATCAAAATCAAATCCTTCATGATCATTATCTTCATCATCATCATAACTTAATCCATTAGTTCCTTCGAAATAAAAACCATCGTTCTCATCATCTTCTTGATTACCATATTCATCTCCCTTTAATGTATCATCATAGGATATTCGTTGACCATGTTTATCGAATTTCTCATTTTCTTCTTCTTCACTTTCCATTTCTGATGGGTATAATGATTGATCAGCTGTTACTATTTGTCTTACTGATTTTGGTAATCTATCTGGTCTATAGAATCTTAAATCTATTCTACCGATTAAATATAACATGTTAACAATAATTTCTAAAGCTCCCCACCAAACATACATCATTACTGCTGATCCAATTGGTGCTCTATCATACTTCATTCTTGCTTGAAAGCAAACTACAGATCTTAATATAGAACTTGTCAAAATTATAATTGTAGTTATAAATATTATCAACATTGAAACATTATGAGTTAAATCACCTCTTTCATTACTTAATCCTTTAACAATTTTGTAGTGATGATGAGTAGCTGCGATAACTCTAATCGCATGTCTATGATTATGATTTCTTTTCATAAATGATATAGCCGCTTGTTGAGGTTCACCTTTTTTAACAAAATAAAATGGTGAAAATGATTTAATCCACCATGGTTGATATGTATATAAATTTTCATCTTTTCTTGTTGGTTTGAAAAAAAATGCTAATCCTATTAATGAGATAGAAGTTAATGAATATAATATAATTAATATTGAGCTTGCTTGAACTACTTTCTTGTATCTTGCATAGTTTGGTTCTCCCAAAAGATATAAATTTATACCGCTTGATGCAACAATAGTCATTGCTACAACACCAGCAACAATAGCATAAAGTGTCAACATTGGATACCAAAATAATCTTCTTGAACCTCCAACAGGATGTCTCCATGTAAATATTCTTTGAGCTAAAATTAAATTAAAACTTGCTATTAAAACAGTAGGTAGAATTAAAAAAACTTCACTTGTGATACCAATCCCCGTCTGTGTCAAATCTCTTGACCATTGAATTCTTAATCCAAACCCCAAAACTCTACATATATTATAAAATATAAAACCTAGTTGTGGCCAAAAATAATGACCTCTTGAAAAATTTATTAAAAAAATGGCAATATGTGCAATAGTAACGATCGTGAAAAAAGTTGTAAATATGGCAGATGGTGCAATATCTGCTGAAGTTGGATAATCACCAAATAAATTATATTGTAATGATTGAGTATAATCAACCATAATTGGTGGAATTTGAGACCCCACTAGATTTCTTGCTTGAGCTGATAAATAATGAGATCCTGTTCCATCAGCTGGATAGTTATTTTGATAAGATAATAGTCTCATTAAACCATGAATGGCTGAGTATTCATGAGGATTTGGAAAGTCCGACATTGGTTGTAGATATGTGAATTTGAAAATTTTATGAAATGAAATGCAAACGATTTTGAAGTCTTTACTTTTTGTTGAATAAACGAATGAATAACTAATAAAGGGTATAAAAACAATCAAAGTTTGAAAAAATAATAATACATGTAAATTAAATAAATGAATGAAGATTTAAAATTTTAGGAAACTTCTTGATGTAATGAATGAATAAAAATGCAATTAAAAGCAAAAAAATAATATGGAATTTAAAACAAAATAACTGTGAAATTTTTAATGTAAATGATAGTCCAAAAGAATTAAAGCATCTAACTATGAGAATTGAAATTGTAGAATAAACATTGTTTTAAAGCAAAGTCATCGATTGCATAACTTCTAAAATTAAAATAACTTAAAATATAATCGTATAATTTTAGTTTTATTGTGACATATTTTTTTTCAATTGATATACCTAATTAGGAAATTCATGATATTTATTAATTAAATGAATCGATATTTAATTGCAGTTTGGATTCATGTTCATGTAACCAACAAATAACGAATAGCTTTCTGTTGGTTTCTACTGCACATGAGTGTTTACTATTTGAGCTTAAACGTTAAGGTTGAATTATTTTAAGATTAAAAAAATAAAAAAACGTTATCAGTCCAAACTTTAATTTGAAACAATAAAGTTTATATTTTTCCAATTCAATTTAAGATAAAGTAGAATGCGGATCTAACAAACGTTTGGATATAACTTGATGGTCTAATTCTATCTTTCTACAGTTGTGAAGACCTGTTTCTACGAAATTGTATCGATATACCTGAAAATTTAAAATTTTTCAGATAAAACAATAGACAATCTAAATTGCCAAATGATTTGCCGTCTCAACATTTATCAACAATTTCACTCGACTTTACCACTTTGAGAGATGAACTCTGCAAATGTTTGTGGTTCATAATCAGTAATTTTCTCACGTGAAAACTTCTTAACAAAATATCATTAGTTCTCCGATACTTGCATATATTTTTATGCGAGTTACGGTGATTAAATTGTTCTATTGTTTAGAAATATAGTAAAATTTTTTTGAAAAATGTCACAATATGCCTCAAAGGGCCCAAGATTAATTCGTTCAGATTAATATTATAGTACTATGACTAAACTTACTATGAAACTGAGCTTTTATCGACTATATTTACGCAGGAACTTGTAAACATCTATTACTTAGGTACAGTTTATTTTTGTCAGAAAAATTAAGTTGGGCAATTTAATGTTTCCAAAGAAGAAATAGACATCTATACTTGTCCATTTTTATTGAGCTCAATTCATAGATATATTCAATAAACAGGGTAATGTTCTTGATGATACATTGTCATTACCAAAATTGGCTTCAAAATAAGAACAAAATCTAGAAATATATCAATACGAGTTGGACAACAGAAGATTGAGAGACCTTTATTAAAACGATTTACTGCTCAGATTCTGTAGTTCCACTGGTTTGGCTAATTCAATTAGTAGAATCATATATTAACAAAAATAGTAGTATTTATTATATATAGTATCATGAAACAAATTTATTATGTGCAGTATCAAAATCGCGTCTTAATATTTATTTTTCATTAACATAAGTTTACCAAAAGATCAGATCAAGTAACAAATACAACATTCAAATGCCAATTGCAAATATAGACTGTTCACCAGTACATACACTACTACAAGACTCAGAACCGCAAACAAGCTCAAACGTAATATCAACAAAATATGGATCAACCCTACTAGAAATTCAAGGAGATTTAAACCTACCATCACATAAACCTACATGTTCACTCCAAGAATTATCACCAGAAGATCAAGCCAAAATGTCAAATTTCATAACAGTAGATAAAATATATGAAGCTATAAAATTCGGTCATTTAGAGTTCGACTCAAAGGATGAATCAAAAGTCACTTTATTCATTGGTAAAAGTCAACGATTAATTGGTAATATAGTTAAATTAGATACACCTTTGGGAATATTGAAAATACCGAGAAAGCTACATGATGATAGTGATAGTGATGGTATGGATGTTGATGAGGATATACGGATGATTGATATTATACGGGCTAAAATGATTTTTAAACAACGTCCTTTACCAATAATGTAATTCAATTGTATATGATTTAGTTTTGTTAATGAATAATTTGCATATAAAGAACGTACCATCCTCGAAATTTCAGAAAAAATCAGTAATGAACTTGTCTAAACTCCTCTCTTCGATACGTATCTCAGTATATGAAAATTCTACACTCAAGAGTATCAGTATCATCAATGTATAATAATATTGAATTAGTAAAAAATAATAAATTTAAGTCTCTATATTCTATATAAGTCAATAATTATCCTAAATTTTAGCTCTATGATCCCATTTAATCTGAGTATTCAACTCAAATCCAACATTATTGGGATCAGAAGTTACAATATTTTCATAAATCTGTTTAATTTCTTGTTTAGAGAAACCCAATATGTCTTCCATATAATTAACAATATTTCCATATAATTCATTAAATAATTGTATAGTAGCTAACATAGCCTCGTATCTTGAACTTATTAAATTTTTGAAACCATCTTCTTCTATTTTCCAATCTTTCCTTCCTTGACTTATCATATTTTCTAACGCGTCCCCTTCTTCATCATTACCAAATTTTGATCTAATTTTATTTACTGCTTCGATGAATTTTTCTTTCAATATTGGATGTTCTGGTTTCAAACCAACGGTAGTTAATTCATATTCTTTTGATAAAGTGTTTTTATCAACTCCAGCTAATAACAAATACATCATTCCAAATACCCCAGTACGATCTTTACCAGCGGTACAATGAAACAAAAATGGTTGATTTTCTTCCAAAATATATAAAAATATACTTCTAAATGCTTCTTTACCAAATTCAAACATATCTTTATAAACATGAACATAAGTTGACCAAGATGTCATTAAATTTGTATACCTTAACGCTATAGCTTGTGGTGAATAATCATCATTAGCGTAAACTGGTGTATGATACCTTGTAATTCCATATTCAGATAAATTTGGTGGGTACCCATCTTTTGAAACTTCACCATCTGATCTTAAATCAAATATTGCTTTTATACCTAATTTCTCAATTGTTTTTAAACCATTATCAGTTAATTCTGAAATGTTTGCACACCTAAATGCAACGTTAGGTTTAACGTAATATATTTGATTCTTGACTGTAGGTTTTAATTCAAATGTTGGATGCAAGATTCTCCAACCACCAATATCTCTAAAATTGCTCACTTTTTCAACATTTTTCCACCTTGGTACACTTCCAACTACTTCAGTAGATACAAGAAATCTTTCAAATTCATTCTCGGGAGATAGAAATTCAATAATATAATCCACTACTAAACTATTATAATTAATTCTTCCCTTTTTAATAGGTAAATGTAACGGGTTAATTTCATCTAAATCATCGTCTGGTTCTATTTCTTGGAATCCATAAAAATTATGATCAGCCTCAGGGATTAATTTTAAAGTATGTGATTTGGGGCCTCTATTTAATGCATTTGCAAAATTTGCACTATCATATTTTGGGATTATTTCATCATGTAATCCATATATACTCAACACTGAAATGTCTCTTGATAATTCACTTAATTTAGCAAAATCAGGTTTAGATAATGTTATAATTTCTCTTGCGGCTAAATCTCCCTTTATATGTTTCCCATATCTATAAAATCCAACATCTGATATATAATCATAATCAACAAAATGTGAATACCTTTCCAAGACAGTTTTGGAAGTATATCTTGCTGCACAATTTATTAAATTAGGTACAATAATTGCATTAGAATCTCCCATTTTCAATAATTCATCTTGTTCTAATGCCCATAAAAACATTGCAACTCCACCTCTTGAATGAGAAATAATAGAACTTATAGTTAAATCAATATCCAATCCGTTTTTAGATCCATCTCTTAAAAATTCAGCTGAAGATTGGATATCAGCAACATCTTGATTTAAATGTCTTCCTTCTAATTTATTTTCATTATCATCAGAATCTCCATTTCCTCTAAAATCAATTCTTAAACTAAAAATCCCCAATTCTTTAGCTAACCTATGAGCTAATTGTTTTTGATAACAATAATCTCTATGACCTCCTTGACCATGTAATATAATAGCTGCTTTGTGAGTAACAGGTGCTAATTCTTCTTCAAAAGGATTATCACTATCCATTGAATGAGGTATTGCTAAAGTAGCTGCTACTCCATTGAATTTAACTTTAATCTCTCGCGGTGGTGGTGGATTATATTTTTCTGGAACTGTCATTTTTGAAGTGAAATTAAATAAAAGTTGGAAAAGTAAATAGTAGAATTATGAATTAAATGTAAAAATAAATTTTGAATCTATAAATATAATGTCTATAAGTAAGTTGAATGAATTAAATGAATGAATATAAGATGCTTGATGATATTTATAGTAGAAGATTTATAAAAGAAGTCAAACTTGAGAAATAAAGTTCTTTTTCAAAACCGTTAAATTATAAATAATGAAAAAGAAGCTTATGATAATTTCAACTGAAAATCGCACGGTTTTAAATCAGTAAATTTGTAACCCCACTTACTTACTTTATGATAAAGCCGATTAAAAAACTTTAAATTATTTTTGAAGTGTCTGAAATTTATTTTAATGTCTAATTTTTTTTTTTGACATATTGTTGAATTACTTCAATTCTATTAAATTCAAGGAGAAATGAAAAATCGACTAGTCAGTCTTATAGATGAAAGTAATTGTCAGGTTTGGTAAACCACTTCAAACCAATTGATTACGAGTAAAGTACCACTAAAAGCGGTTGTAAGGGTAAATTGATAAATATGGAACAAAAACTAAAAAAGGTGCGCGTTACGTTGAGCCGCTACTACTTAAATTTAGTAAATTTTTTAAACGTGCGCTTTTTATCTTAATCAGATTCATCAATGGATTAAAGTATCAGACCAAATATCCAAACTAAATGAATCGTAAGTAAATGAATCATTCAGATAGAGATGCATATCTACAATTAGGTGAGAAATTAAATCAAAAACATTCAGATCAATTATCAACCCAGCTACAAATTTTAAGATCAGTATTAATAAATTTTATTAATGAAAATGGTGAAGAAATTCAAAAAAATCCTGAATTTAGATCAAAATTTAATGAATTAAGTCAACTGATTGGAATGGACCCTTTAGATGTTTTGATTTATTCTAATTCTACTACAAATCAAAAAGAAAATTATAATAATTTTTTGATTGGATTATCTATTAAAATTGTTGAAGTATGTCAAGAAACTAGAGATTTGAATGGTGGATTAATCAATTTAAATGAATTAATATCAATACTTAAAATGTCTTTTGAATCAACTATATCAAAAGATTTAAATCTAAAGATAGAACTAAAAGATATTGAAAAATCAATAACAAAATTAAAATCAATGGGTAAAAATTATGAAATTATAACTATAAATAATATAAAATGGTTAAAATTTTCATCTATAGAAAATTTATCAAATGATCAAATTAAAATTTACGAATTATGTGGATTCATGGGTGGGTTTGTTACGCATAGATTAATTAAAGATAATTTTGGTTGGGATGGTATAAGATGTAAAAATGTAATTGATGAAATGATAATGAATGGACTTTTATGGGTTGATTCTCAAGGTGGTGAAGAATGGCAATATTGGGAACCTTCTTGGATATCACATTAATTTGCCTTTTTCTTGGTTTTCTTTTCTAACCAACGAGCATTTATTAAGTCATAGCTATCAGTCCTTTCACGTTTTGATAATGGAGTATATTGAGCAAAAGCTCTTCCAACACCATCTCCCAATGGTACCATATTATCACTAATAGCTTCATCATCTTTAAATAACATATTTTGCATGATTTCCAGCATTTGAGATTTTATTTGTAAATCATATTCCATACCTATAAATCCATTCATTAATTTATGAAACTTGTAGTGGTTATTGAAAGTTTTCCATTCCATTGTTGGGAACTCACAATCATATAACACTAGTGGTATATCATTTGCCATTTCATATTGTGGTTTTGTGGGGTAGATTGAAGTATTCATTAGCTCCAAAATTATTTCAGGTTTTTCTAATTTTTTACCAACTAAAAATAAAATTGCAATCATACATCTAACTTGATGCCATAAAAAAGCAGTCCCAATTAAATCAAAATAATATAAATTATCTTTGAGGTGTTTAATTTTGGCACTGTAAATGAATCTTGTAAAATTTGTAATTTGTTTTGATCCATCTAATTTACAAAAATTTCTAAAATCATGTTCTCCTTCATAGTATAAAGCTGCCTTATTCATTAATTCTATATCTAATTCATTTGCTTTGAATAAGTATCTATAATGTCTATTTTTACATGAAAATCTTGCATCGAAATCTGGTGGTGGTCGTAAACATATTGAATGAATTTTTATATCTGGTGGTAAATTTGCATTAATAACTGTAAGGTAGTCAATTTCTTGATCATCCAATTCTGGATTTGCTTGCTCTTTTTCGGTTAGGTTAGACCTCAATTTTATAGATATTACTTGATTCATTGCACTTACTCCCTTATCAGTTCTTCCACATCTTGAAAATTCAGTTTCTAGTATAGGTTCTGGAATCAATTTGATCTTGGATAAACATTTTAGTATAGTCTCTTCAATTGTAGGTAAGGGTGTATCTTCATATTGGAAAGCTAATCCATTGTAATTCCAACCCAAATATGCAAACCTGAGAGCAACAAATCTAAAATTATGTTTGGTCCAGTCAAATTCTTTTTGTTTTTTAGTTGGAGTTAATGTGTGGTTCTCTAGTTTTTGAAGTTTTGCTATTAGTTGATCTTTACTCCATTTTGTATAATCTATTGGTTTTGTCATTACGGATCTAGTGCTATATATTAAGGATCTTTTCATAAACCATTTGTAGGTGATTATCATGTACTTTCTGAATTTTGGTTGTAAAACAAAAACTAAATATTTTTGCAACACAAATTCATCTAGTCATCTCTACAATGAAATCATCAACAGAATCATTATCATGGGAGAATTTAAGATATGATTTACATCCATGGTTGAAATACGCAATACAGTCGTTGGGATATCCAACAATGACACCAGTTCAAGCATCAACAGTACCTTTATTAAGTGGAAATAAAGATGTTATAGTAGAAGCAGTAACTGGATCAGGTAAAACATTAGCATTTGTGATACCAGTACTAGAAAAGTGTTCAAAAAGGTTATTTGCAAAAGGAGACGAATATGAACCATTAAAGAGAAATCATATACTAAGTATTATACTATCACCAACTAGAGAATTAGCTAAACAAATTCAAATGGTATTTGATCATGTATTGGAGTATTTACCAGAAGAAGTAGGTTCAATAAAAACACAATTATTAGTTGGATCGTTAGGAAATGTAAGAGAAGATCTTGAAAAATTCCAAGAAAATCAACCACAAATATTAATAGCAACACCAGGTAGATTACTAGATTTCATGTCATCACCAATTCCAAAAACATCATCATTAGAAATAGTAATATTAGATGAAGCAGATAAGTTACTAGATTTTTCATTTGAAACTGATGTCATTAATATACTTAAGAGGTTACCAAAACAAAGAAGAACTGGATTATTTTCTGCTACAATTTCATCAGCTGGCAATACAATTTTCAGAACAGGGATGAATAACCCTGTAAAAATCCAAGTTAAAACCAAAAATTTTCTAGGGGAACAACAAAATGCACCAACTGCTTTAACATTATCTTATATGTTTGTTGAACCAATGGAAAAATTAAGAACTTTATTAACAATGCTAAAAAGTTATGATTTCAGAAAAGTTATAGTTTATTTCCCAACATGTACTGGTGTTAAACATTTTTATCAAGTATTCAATTACGTTGCTGGTGATCAGGGACTGCAGTTTTTCTCATTACATGGACAATTAAATACAAAATCAAGACTAAAAACTTTGGAAAAATTCATGGAAGGAAATGATCTAAACACAAAATATTGTTTAATGACAACAGATGTAGCAGCAAGAGGTATAGATGTTCCAGATGTTGATCTTGTGATACAAATTGATCCACCAACTGATCCAAATGTATTTTTACATAGATGTGGAAGAACTGGGAGAGCAAATAAAGTAGGAAGAGCAATAGTTATGCTAAACAAGGATACTCAAGAAGAAGATTATATTGGATTTATGGAAGTTAAAAATATTTACATGACTGAAGTAAAACCACCAACATTAGAATTCCAAAATTTATCGAAGAAGTTAAGAAAGTACATGTTAGAAGATAGATCAAGACACGAATTAGCTATAAAATCATACGTAGGATTTATAAGGTATTATTCAAAACATATAGCAAGTTCCATTTTTAGGTTAGCTACACTCGATTATTTAGGGATTGCAAAAATGTATGGATTGTTGCGATTACCGAAAATGCCAGAATCAAAATATATAGAAGATATACCAACAGATGGATGGTTGGGGGAAGTTATAGATATGGATAATTATTCATATGCAGATAAAGCACAAGAAAAATCAAGATTAGAAAATTTGGAAAAGGAAAAACAATTAAAAATAGATAATGCTAAAAAACGTAAAGAATTAAAAATTAAAAATGAAGCATGGTCAAGTAAAACTGAACATAAGGAAACAAAACAAGAAAGAAAAGATAAAATGAAAAGAAAAAAAGAAGCTATTGAAAAACAATTAGAAAAAGAAGATTCAGATCAAGAAGAAACTCAACAAGATTGGAAAGATATGATAAGGCAACTGAAAAAGAAGAAATCACAAACTACAATGCAAGGATCTTTTGATGATTTATAAACATTTTTTATAAACATTTTTTATTTCATAAAATTTCATATATTATATTTTAAATCTTTCACTACTTGATTTAATACCATCAAATATAAACAAATTATCTAAAGGAATATATTGAGCAGTAGTTAATTTCAAAATTTCTTGACTTGCTATCCCACCCATAAAACTACTTATATTATGATAATCTGTAGAATTATGAGCTAATACTTCTTTAATTATTAATAATTGAGATTTTGATACTGTTGTTGATGAGATTTTTTCAAATATTTCTAAAAATTCAGAAAGGTTTGATGAATTTGGTTTTTGGTTGTGGATGTCGATATATTGATTGAACGCTATTATTGATAAGTATATACTAATAAAATCATTTGAATCTTCCATTAAACTTGATTGTGGTATTAAATTTTTAGAACCAACAGTTACAAATAATAATTGAGTGTTTTTACAAAAACTCGTTATTGATTCCTGGTTAATTATTGATGTAGGTTTATCAATTTCTTTACATACTTCAAAAACTTCTTGTGTGAATAATTCTTGATCTTTTGCAGCTTTTGTCTTGTAGAGGTGAGCTAAAGTAGTATAATTTTCTGAATTTGATGCCATATCTGGTAATTTCCCCGGTAATGGTAACACACCAAATTTTTCAATGAACTTCTTAAGAGCAGCTATGTAGATCCAAAAATTTGATGAATTTTTATTTAGTTTATTTGTTGTTATTAAATTTTTAATACTTTCTGGTATTTCTGTTTTTTGAAAAGCTCGATGACATGATTGAATAGCTTCTATAAAATTAGTTTCTAAATTAATGTTTCTTGATAATGATTCAATATATTGTTTAAATTGCTTTTTTTCATTGTATGTTGAAGGAGGTTGAGAATAAGTTTTTTTCCAGTACTGTAAAGCTTTTATAAATATTATAATATAAGGAACATGAGAATGTTCTTGATCATTGAGGGTAATTAAATCAAATGAATCTGCATATTGTTGTAATTCTGGCCATGGTTGATCTATTCTTAAGTCATATAATCTTGAAGGATCATGAGTTTCAATAACGGTAGTTTCATTTGATAATAAATTCATTGATGCATAAAATCCAATAGTATTTACAATTAGTATTGGTATTTGTTTTGACCATAATAAATTAATTAGTTCTTGAAGGTGTGGAGTATAATCACTAATAACAACACAATTAAATTGATCCCATATTTTAGATTTTAGGAGTGATTCAATTGATTCATTTATGGCGTAACCTTTAACATCTGAATTTAGCTCGTTCAAGTTTTTAGTAACACATGATGCAACATTTTCTCCAATATCATTATCTCTTATAAAAAAATTTGATGAACTTATTGATTTTGTTATTTTACGATTATCAATTATAGTAAATTTCCCGATTCCTGGTAATATTAAATTTTTCAATATTTCTGAACCAGTTGAAGTAGCATTTATTAATGCAATATGACTATTTTCTAATTTCAGTTGACCAATTGTTTCCCATAATCTTAATTGTCTATCATATTTTGCTTCTTTATCAATCATTATATATATCATGAATAATTAAGTAATAAAGTGATTGATTAAATCTATTATAATTTATAATTCATTATATTATATCAAACTATCTTTTGATACTAAATAAACAATTAAAATATAATAATTTCTTAGTAATTAAAATACTTGTGAATTTCTCTAAGCTAAAGTTTGAATTAATTGAGCTTTAAAAATAATAATTATAATTTATTTCTTACTCTACTAATTTTAGTTAATTTATTCTGAAACAGATTAAACGAGTAAAAATCACATGACTGGTCACATGAAACATATCACATGATTAGTCACATGACTACTCGGGCAAAAAAAGTATTTTCAACATCTGAACGTGCTGAAAAAAGCTTACCAAAAAGAAACAAAATATAGTAGCTACCAATTACATGGCAAATGTTTTGTGCAACTGAAAAATTTTAACTAAGCTACTTAACAATAAAAATAATTTAATTGATTCTTACTTACTGAGATGCAGTTGAGCTCTTAATCTAATTTAACCTTTCGCTCTTATAAAAATTTTTTTTTTTTTTGCAATTTTTTCTACTTTTTTTTTCTGAAATCATCAATTCAACTTCAGATTATGTCTGCTTCTAGTGAATCAAAATACTCTACAGAAGTATTGTCTGAATTATTAAGCAAGTTACAAGTTGCTGATAATAAAGATGAAGCTGCTACAAATATTTCAACTTTTTTAAATTCATCAATTGTTGAACACGATGTTCCAGTTGAATTTTTCAAAGATTTAAAAAATCAAATTAAATCAAAAGATGCTAAAACTGCAATTGCTGCTTTAGATGCTTATAAACATATTGCTTCACAAAATGGTTTATCACCATCAGTTGAACCATATGTTGTAGATTTAGTTGATGAAGTTGCTTCAAAAGCTGGTGATAAAAATAAAGATGTTCAAACTAAAGCTTCAGAAGCTTTATTAGCAATTGCTCAAGCTATTACTCCAACTGCCGTTAAAGCCATTTTACCAAAATTAGTTTCTAATTTACAATCTACAAACAAATGGACTGAAAAAGTTGCTATTTTAGCTGCTTTATCTCAATTAGTTGATACTGCTAAAGCTCAAATTGCTTTAAGAATGCCTGAATTAATTCCAGTTTTATCTGAAACTATGTGGGACACCAAAAAAGAAGTTAAAGATGCTGCTACTGCTACTATGACTAAATCAACTGAAACTATTGATAATAAAGATATTGAAAAATTCATTCCAAAATTAATTGAATGTATTGCTAAACCAACTGAAGTTCCAGAAACTGTTCATTTATTAGGTGCTACTACTTTTGTTTCTGAAGTTACTATGGCTACTTTATCTATCATGGCTCCATTATTATCAAGAGGTTTAGCTGAAAGAGATACTGCCATCAAAAGAAAAGCTGCTGTTATTGTTGATAACATGTGTAAATTAGTTGATGATCCACAAGTTGTTGCTCCATTCTTGGATAAATTATTACCAGCATTAAAAGCTAATTTCGCTAACATGGCTGATCCAGAAGCTAGAGAAGTTACCAATAGAGCTTTAAATACTTTAAGAAGAGTTGGTGCTGTTACTGAAGGTGATGTTTTACCAGAAATTTCAACTGCTGGTGATGTTGAAGTTACTTTAGGTGAATTAAATAAATTATTAGAAGATCAAAAAATTGCCAAGAGATTTGAAGTTGCTTTAAATTATATTGCTTCAATTGCTGGTGATTTAGTTGATGAAAGAGAAATCCAACCAGAAGCTTGGTTACAAAATGTTTTACCTTTCGCTACTATTTTCTTACATGAAAAAGAAGCTAAAGAAATTATTGAAGAATATAGAAAAAGAGCTATTGATAATATTCCACAACCACCATCATTTGAAGATGAAGAAGATGAAGGTGAAGATTTATGTAATTGTGAATTCTCATTAGCTTATGGTGCTAAAATCTTATTAAATAAAACTCAATTTAGATTAAAAAGAAATAGAAGATATGGTTTATGTGGTCCAAATGGTGCTGGTAAATCTACTTTAATGAGAGCCATTGCCAATGGTCAAGTTGAAGGTTTCCCAAGTCAAGATGAATGTAAAACCGTTTATGTCGAGCATGATATTGATGGAACTCATGCTGATACTACTGTTGTTCAATTCGTTATTGAAGATGGTGAAGTTGGTTTAACTGAATCAGTTGTTGAAGATAAATTAAGAGAATTCAATTTCAGTGAAGAAATGATTAGAATGCCAATTCAATCATTATCAGGTGGTTGGAAAATGAAATTAGCTTTAGCTAGAGCTGTTTTAAAAAATGCTGATATTTTATTATTGGATGAACCAACTAATCATTTAGATACTGTTAACGTTGCTTGGTTAGTCAATTATTTACAAACTTGTGGTATTACTTCAATTATTGTTTCTCATGATTCTGGTTTCTTAGATAAAGTTTGTCAATATATTATCCATTATGAAGGTTTCAAATTAAGAAAATATAAAGGTAATTTATCAGAATTTGTTAAAAAATGTCCATCAGCTCAATCTTATTATGAATTAGGAGCTTCAGATTTAGAATTTAGATTCCCAGAACCAGGATTTTTAGAAGGTGTTAAAACTAAACAAAAAGCTATTGTTAAAGTTTCAAATATGACTTTCCAATATCCAGGTACTTCAAAACCTCAAATTCAAGATATTAATTTCCAATGTTCATTATCTTCAAGAATTGCAGTCATTGGTCCAAATGGTGCTGGTAAATCAACTTTGATCAATGTCTTAACTGGTGAATTATTACCAACTATTGGTGAAGTTTATGTTCATGAAAATTGTAGAATTGCTTATATTAAACAACATGCATTTGCTCATATTGATAACCATTTAGATAAAACTCCATCTGAATATATCCAATGGAGATTCCAAACTGGTGAAGATAGAGAAACTATGGATAGAGCTTCAAGACAAATTAACGAAGAAGATGAACAAAATATGAATAAAATCTTTAAAGTTGAAGGTACTCAAAGAAGAGTTCAAGGTATTCATGCAAGAAGAAAATTCAAAAACTCTTATGAATATGAAATCTCATGGATGTTGGGAGAAAATATTGGTATGAAGAGTGAAAGATGGGTACCAATGATGTCTGTTGATAACACTTGGTTACCAAGAGGTGAATTAATGGAAACTCACGCTAAATTAGTTGCAGAAGTTGATATGAAAGAAGCTTTAGCATCAGGACAATTCAGACCATTAACTAGAAAAGAAATTGAAGAACATTGTGCCATGTTGGGATTAGATGCAGAATTAGTTACCCATTCTAGAATCAGAGGTTTATCTGGTGGTCAAAAAGTTAAATTAGTCTTGGCTGCTTGTACTTGGCAAAGACCTCATTTGATTGTTTTAGATGAACCAACTAACTATTTGGATAGAGATTCATTAGGTGCATTATCTAAAGCTTTGAAATCATTCGAAGGTGGTATCGTTATCATTACTCATTCTGCTGAATTCACCAAAGATTTAACTGAAGAAGTCTGGGCCGTCTTGGACGGTCGTATGACACCTTCTGGTCACAATTGGGTACAAGGTCAAGGAGCTGGTCCTAGATTAGAAAAGAAAGAAGATGAAGAAGATAAATTTGATGCTATGGGTAATAAAATAGCTGCTGCTAAAAAGAAGACTAAATTAAGTTCTGCTGAGTTACGTAAAAAGAAGAAAGAAAGAATGAAGAAAAAGAAGGAATTAGGTGATGCTTATGTTAGTGAAGATGATGAAGACTTTTAAACTTAACTTAGTTTTGTAAGTTGTATAGCTTTGTTCTTCTTTAATTTATCATTATCATTTTATATAGAAGGTTTATTAGTTATTATTATTAATATATTAAATATTTGTTTTAATGGGTTTGTAGTGAATTGTAGTGATTTGTAGTGATTGAAAGTAATTGACTGTATTATATATGATGTAGATAATCACAAATTGTATGTAAATTTAGGGGTTATTTTGGTTAGTCAATTCTAGGTGAATAGCCAATTCTAGGTGAATAGTCAATTCTGAGTTAATTAAGTAAATTCACCAAAGATTTAACTGAAGAAGTCTGGGCCGTCTTGGACGGTCGTATGACACCTTCTGGTCACAATTGGGTACAAGGTCAAGGAGCTGGTCCTAGATTAGAAAAGAAAGAAGATGAAGAAGATAAATTTGATGCTATGGGTAATAAAATAGCTGCTGCTAAAAAGAAGACTAAATTAAGTTCTGCTGAGTTACGTAAAAAGAAGAAAGAAAGAATGAAGAAAAAGAAGGAATTAGGTGATGCTTATGTTAGTGAAGATGATGAAGACTTTTAAACTTAACTTAGTTTTGTAAGTTGTATAGCTTTGTTCTTCTTTAATTTATCATTATCATTTTATATAGAAGGTTTATTAGTTATTATTATTAATATATTAAATATTTGTTTTAATGGGTTTGTAGTGAATTGTAGTGATTTGTAGTGATTGAAAGTAATTGACTGTATTATATATGATGTAGATAATCACAAATTGTATGTAAATTTAGGGGTTATTTTGGTTAGTCAATTCTAGGTGAATAGCCAATTCTAGGTGAATAGTCAATTCTGAGTTAATTAAGTAAATTCACCAAAGATTTAACTGAAGAAGTCTGGGCCGTCTTGGACGGTCGTATGACACCTTCTGGTCACAATTGGGTACAAGGTCAAGGAGCTGGTCCTAGATTAGAAAAGAAAGAAGATGAAGAAGATAAATTTGATGCTATGGGTAATAAAATAGCTGCTGCTAAAAAGAAGACTAAATTAAGTTCTGCTGAGTTACGTAAAAAGAAGAAAGAAAGAATGAAGAAAAAGAAGGAATTAGGTGATGCTTATGTTAGTGAAGATGATGAAGACTTTTAAACTTAACTTAGTTTTGTAAGTTGTATAGCTTTGTTCTTCTTTAATTTATCATTATCATTTTATATAGAAGGTTTATTAGTTATTATTATTAATATATTAAATATTTGTTTTAATGGGTTTGTAGTGAATTGTAGTGATTTGTAGTGATTGAAAGTAATTGACTGTATTATATATGATGTAGATAATCACAAATTGTATGTAGATTTGGCTGCGAAAAACTTTTAACTTTGCGTAACAAACTAATTAGCTTTTAGTTTCAAGAGAAATTTATAAGTACAATTTTATGGGGGTTTTATATGAGCTGAGCAAAAATTCTGAAAATTTATTTTGTATTGATAGGAAGCTTAACGTTTAAAATCATTGTTGTTTCAGATTCTTCATGGAATTGAACTACAAATAGATCATTTACTTCTACTATTAATTTGCTTCAAATTAAGAATTTTGAGAATAAAATATCCTCGCAACCAGAATTATTACTAAAAAAAGTATATTACCAAACTTAATGAAAAATTACATCAACTTATTGAGATATATTACATTGGCTCTTTCACAATTAACATTTTATAATAAAAACTTACAATCATCAGATTTATTATTATCAAAAAATTTTAGTGATTATAATGAAAGACCAATGTGGAATTTATCATATGCTCCATATTCAGTTAAATGTCCAAATCATAAAATAGTAAGAGAAGCAAATGATGTATGTTCAATCAAAATTATTTATAAAAATATTTACTAACAATTTAGACAATTTGTGAAAAAGAAAAACATTACATCCACAATCGAAATATCAAAACAGAAGCAATAATAAAATCATTAATGTATAGAAATAAAATACCAAATTTTGATATTGAAAAATTTTGGTTGAACAAAACAATTCCATCAAGAATTGCAATTGCATTATCTGGTGGTGGATATAGATCGATGTTGATTGGAGCAGGAATAATTTCAGCATTTGATGAACGTGAGATACAAAAATTAAATCATTTAAGTGGAATTTTACAAGCTACAAGTTATTTTGCGGGTATTAGTGGTGGAGCTTGGTTAGTTATGTCACAATTTGTAAATGATTGGCAACCTATTAGCACAATTTTAAAGGAATGGAATTTGAAACAAAGTTTATTAGAAGGGACATATGATGTTGATAAAGAACAACTCAAGAAAAAGATTAGCAAAAGAAATATATTTCAATTACCTAATGAATCTTTAAGCTGGTTTCAAAGAATGTTTGATTCATCTGAAGGCACATTTTTGGAGTGTATTCGATTTTACAAAGAATTATTAATTGAAGTTAGAGACAAAAGGAAAGCTGGATTTCATATAAGTCTAACTGATTATTGGGGTAGAGCATTAGTTAGAAAATTATTTACAACATCAGCAAGAACTCCAGGTACAACCGTTACAGCTGCTACTAAACAGCTAAAAACTTTTCAGCAATTTGATCAACCATTTCCAATTATTGGTACAATTGCTAAAAACCCAATAGATAATGAAACAGATCCAATGAAGAAATTTTCAAGTTTAGATAGTCAAGTATTTGAATTTAATGCATTTGAATTTGGTTCTTGGGATAACAATGCATTTGTTGATTTAGAGTTCTTGGGACTGAAATTAGAAAATGGAATTTCAAAAGTAATAGTAAATGGTTCAAATTTATGTATATCTGGATTTGACAATGTCGGTTTTTTAACAGCTACATCATCATCATTATTTAATCACATTTTTAAATTTGTGTTCAACTATATTGAGAAAAATCAACTGGAAACAATATTATTATTAGAAAACATTTTAAAATTATTTGGATTTAGTCAAGAATGGAAATTTTTCAATACTCCACAACAACATCCCGATCATGCATTATATTCACCAAATCCATTTTGGAAATTTGGTTCATCTCATATTGCAAATATTTCAGATTTATACTTGGTAGATGGAGGAGATGATGGACAAAATTTACCATTCCAACCATTAATTGGTAAAGCTAGACAAATTGATTTAATTTTGGCGTATGATGTGAGTGGTGAATTTTTCAATTATCCAAATGGATCAGTTTTGCAACATACTCACAAAAGGTTTTATAATAATGCAACTACCATGTTTCAGATTCCGATTTTTAAAACTCCAAATGGTTCATTTAAATCAATATTCCCAAAAATACCTACACCAGAAGAAATTATGGATCAAAAATATAATGAAAAGCCCATTTTCTTAGGTTGTGATGTTGAAGAAGATTTTGATGATTTTGAAGCCCCCGGTAAAACTAAATTGTTTGATTATTTCCCACCAATAATAATGTATCAATCAAATTCAAATTACATACATAATACTAATTATTCTACATTCAAATTAAGTTATAATGATACTGAAGTCAAACATATCTTGGATAATGGATTTGAAATTGCAACTTTTTATAACTCTTCCATATTTGCTACTTGTTTAAATTGCTTCATACTAAAAAGAGAATTTGATAGATCAACCACACGCAAAGTACCTAAATTTTGTCAAACTTGTTATCAAACGTATTGTTGGAAAAAAACATGAAGTTGCCTAAATTAATGTAAATCTTCATATCGCGAGAAAATCTTGTTGTTGTTGACTAAAAGTATAAAATGTAACACTTTTTAAAAATGCACGCGAAAATTAATATTATTATTATTCTGTTGAAATATTTTTATTAAGGGATTTAAATAATAGAAGTATTATAATTATCTATCTATCTATCTATCTATCTAATCATCTATCCATCTACACATTAACAATGGCTGGTGTTAGGAATTTAAGAATAGTTGGATTAACCATATTGGTATTAGTATTAATATTCATATTACATAGAACAGGATCAAATGCAGCTTCATTAGTTCATGCACAATTGTCTGATCAAGTACCAAATAAACATCATGCAATATCAAATAATGGACCACCAATTTCAAATGATGCTAAAAAGAATAAAGTAGATGTTTCAAATAATTTAGTAGATTCCAAAAATGATGAAAAAACAGATGAAGCAATTAATCAAGAAATATCGAAAGATAAAAGTGAAGAAGGTATTAAAAAACCATCAACTGAAAAAGAAACCACTACTAATGAAGAATATGATCCACAAAATGATTTAATTAAAATAAGATCATTATCACCAATGACAATTTTCTCAAAAAGTTATTGTCCATTTTCTAAGAAATTAAAGCAATTATTTGAAAAATATGAAATAATACCCCAACCAAATATTGTTGAATTAGATTTACATGAACATGGAGCAGAATTACAAACTTATTTACTAGAGAAGAGTGGTAGAAAAACAGTTCCTAATGTTTTAGTTGGTTCATCATTTGAAAGTAGAGGTGGATGTGATGATTTTGAAGCGTATCATAAGAATAATGAAATTATACAGGTTTTAACAGATTGGGGTCAAGGTAGATTATCAGTAAGTAAAAAAGATACTCCATCAAATGCTTAATCTCAAACAGTGTATAGAATAAATGAGTAATGTTTTTTTTTTTTATTTTAAAAACTAATGTAACATTAAAAATGATTTATAAATGAACTATACACATTCCCATAAACTTCTTAAAATTTGGAGAAACCTTTTGATTTTGAAGCAGTTGCAGCAACTTTTAAAACATTAAATCTAACAGTTTTTGAAATTGGTCTACATTGACCAACAGTAACTACATCACCTTCTTGAACTCTGAAAGCTGGTGAAATATGAGCAGCAACATTTTTATGTCTTTTTTCATATCTGTTATATTTTGGAACATAATGTAAATAATCTCTTCTAATGATAATAGTTCTATGCATTTTAGTTGAAACAACAGTACCAGTTAAAATTTTACCTCTAATTGATACAGTACCTACAAAAGGACATTTTTTATCAATATATGAACCTTCAATGGCGGCTTTTGGGGTTTTGAATCCTAAACCAACATCTTTATACCATCTTTTGGTTTTTCTGTTGGCTTTAGCTTTTGGATTAGTGAAGATATGTGGTTGCTAAATTAATGTTAGTATAGATGGACTAAAATACTTGAGAATTTAAAACTTTTGTGAGAATGATAAAATGACTTAGTTTTAAAGTTCTGAACGTATAAAAAGTTCAATGTGGTAGTTGTATCGTGATTCTTACGGTGTTGATATCGCATCTCAAGTTTTGAACATGGATTTACTTGATTTTGACTTTTAACTTTGATGTAGTTTAATTACTTCATTTATATCTCCAACATGGTTTAAATTCTCCTTATAATGTTTCTTTTACAAACCTTTTGGAAAGCTCTTTCTGATTGAACAGTTAATTCGGTTGCCATGATTTAATGTTGTTGTTCTATAATAACTTTATCAGTATACCTCTTTTGAAAATTTAAAAAATTTGAAATACTAGAATGAGAGAGAGTTTGTTAGTACTAAACAAAGAGAGAATAGCTTAACTATGTGTATCAGGTGGTAGCCCTATTGACTGAAAAATATAATATAGGGTTTCAACCCTAATTGTTTTTTTAAGCGCACTTGAGATGTTTCAAATTACTCTGATTGTCGGGGTGAGTTAATATCTTGTAAATGCTCTTATATAACAGTGGAAATATAATCTAAAAATTGTGTAAAGCTTAAAGTAAAAATTCTGTCTTTTAAATGTTACTAATCTTTCGTTGTAGAAAGTTTAAAAGATTAAGGCTGTAAAGATCAATAACAAAAAGGGTTAAATGCATCAGCATCAAAAAAAGCAATGAAAATACTATCAATTTGAAGTTGATACTATTATCAATATGATGCAGTTGTAATCACTATTGACAAGAGTATATTTACTAGGATTTACTATCCATCTGAAAATATGATCAATTTTGTGTTTAGAAAGATGTAATAGTATTAAAGTTGCAAAATCACAAAATCAAATAAATTCGTACCAAAATGTGTAAGATTTGTTCCGTTAAAAACAGCTTCTTCACCACCAAGCACGGAAATGAATTGTAGTATTTTGATATAAATGAAACAGATTTTTAGTTTATAGCAGATGACCTTTACTGTATTCCATGAGCTATTTAAACTTTTGATCATCATAGTAGAAAGTCAATATTTGGAATGCTTTAAAGAAGCAAAGTCAAACGTAATAATTAGTCCAATGACTTACGTAGTGCTTGTATTTCTTCTATGATCAATTAATTGATGTTTCATGCTGGTTAAATTAATAATTTATTTGACATATAATATTTCTTTTTTAGTGCGTAAAATATTAATAATTATTTATTATTAGTATTACCAAATTAAGCAAACATATTAATAAATTGAGATTTCGTATATCAAATTAATATAATCTATATTTCACTTCATAACACAATTTATAAAACTAAATACTTGAAATCAATACAACAAACATCAATCAAATATATTTTAAAGATCGTAATAACAACCATATAGTCAATCGTTTTATATGAATACATCAACAAATAACGTTGTAGCAAATTCAACAACAACTTCAAAATATAATTTTCTACCTAAGTTTAATCATCATAGCAATTTAAATCATAATACTGTTACTAATCAATCTAATCAACCACAATCAAGAGTAGTATCAAATGATTTAGTGGATTCAATAGCAAATAGTTTATCATATAATAGAACAATAAGTTCATCTTCATCAATACTAAGTACTCCAAGTAATAATATTCGTAAATTTCAACAACAGCGGCAACAACATCAAAACCAGCAAAACCAAACTCAGAAAAAACATCATCATCACAATCATTCAGATAAAGACGAAAAACATAGTAATCGAATATCAAGAAATGGACAACTTATAAAAAATAAATTACTAAATTTACATCAATCTCATAAACAATTACAACCAAATCCAATTCAAACTCAATCTACTTCACAACAACCTCAACAACCAACAACTCAAAAGTCATTACACAATGCGGAGTATTATACGAGGACTGTAATATTTCCAGAAGTATCAAGTGATGAAGAAGATGAATCAAATGATAATGATGAAACAGAAACAGAAGATTTTGAAACATTTTTCAAAAATTCAATAAATTCAATACCCGGATATACAAAAGGTGAATTAGATGTATTAATTAATCAACAAGAATTAACTCATGAAGAAGAGAAAAAGTTATTATTAGAGTACAAGAGAAAAGAAATGACAAAACAAGAAAGATCATATATGAAAACAAGTTCATTATCAATAAGAAGACAATTACAAGTAACTCAAAAGAAGGAAATTCTCACAAAGATATTTGGAAACCACAACAAATTAAACAATGAATATATTACAAATAATAGTGAATTTTCATCATTTAATAATAATTTTAATTTACAAATGGTTTTCAATGAAGATAGAGAAGAAATTTTTCATTTATTAGAAGAAGATAATGATTTTAAAGTATCAATGGAAGAATTTAGAGAAACGAGAAGAACCGACGCAAAGGATAGGGAATTAAATGATGAATCTGATGAAGAATTGAATTACCTATTGAAGAAAATACCTATAAATAAGAAATAATGAGACTAATGACAATACGTTTTTTTTTTATGTAGTAGTTAATATAATAATCAATGATTAGTACCGAAACTAGCAGAGTCTTTGAACGGCTGAAACGTTTGTATGAACTCTATCACAATTTTGACACAGAATTGATCAAAATTATCGTTCAATGTATACAAATACGCGGCTAAAACTTGAAACTCTTATCATCGAACTTGAATTCATATTAATTGGATATTAAGTGATATACAAGATCTTGTAGAAAGCTACTTTAGTTAAAATAAGATTGGCAGCTCAATTGGTATGATACTGTTAAAAACTACTAAAGCAGCTTAGTTCCGGCGTCATAAACTGGAGCAGCGGCATGCTATTGAATTCTACCATATTCTTTCTAACAGTGATCTTACTTGACGTAAAAATGATTTGACTACACCGTATTCTAATAATATTAGCCGTAAGATCAAACTATTACATGCTGAACTGGGAGATTCATACTAAAAAAGATCATAATAACATATATAAATTAAAACGTTGCTGAAAAGCAATTTAAATAAAAATCTAAAAGTTTCATAATTTTGCTTCTAGAAATTTATTTTAAATTTTTGTTTTGTAATCATAGGAAAAAAAAATTAACCACAATACATCATTACATACATTGCATTAATAATAAATAATATTAAATTATATCATTACATCAATATTTATTTATTAAATATATATACTCAATTGAATTATTTATATAATTCTTTTTTTCTTTTTTCCTTTTTTCCTAAGTTATGAATAATATCTTAAGATCAACTACATCAAGATTAATTCAATTAAATAAACATTTAGCAACATCAACTTATAAAATGGCACCAACTAATTCTCAAGTTTTAAAAAATTTCGATTATTTAGTAATTGGAGGTGGATCAGGTGGTGTTGCATCAGCAAGAAGAGCAGCTAAATATGGAGCAAAAGTATTACTTATTGAATCAAATTTCAATAAATTAGGAGGAACTTGTGTTAATGTAGGTTGTGTTCCAAAAAAAGTTATGTGGTATGCTTCTGATTTAGCTCATAAAAAGGGAGACTTATATCCTTATAAATTAGATAAACAAGAAGAAAAAGTTAAATATGGAGATTTTGAATGGTCACAATTTAAAGTTAAGAGAGATAATTATGTTACAAGATTAAATGGAATATATGAAAATAATTTAAAAAAGGAAAAAGTTGATTATGTTTTTGGATTTGCTAAATTTATAAATTCTCAAGGTGATGTTGAAGTTACTTTAACTGGTGATCAAAAACTCCCATTTTTAGAAGAATCAAAAGAATACAAAAAGGGTGAAAAATTAATTTTTAGTGGTGATAAAACTCTTATAGCTACTGGTGGTACTGCTATTATACCACCAAAAATCGAAGGGTCCGAATTAGGTATTACTTCCAATGGATTTTTTGAATTAGATTATCAACCAAAAGATGTTGCTATAGTTGGAGCAGGTTATATTGGAGTTGAATTTTCCGGAGTGTTCAATGGGTTAGGTTCGAATGTTCATTTTATTATAAGAGGTGATACTGTGTTACGTTCATTTGATGAAATTATTCAAAATACTATAACTGATTATTATACTGATAAATTAGGTATTAATATAATAAAAGAAAGTGGAGGAGTTGTAAAAGTTGAAAAAGATTCTGGATCAAACAAAAAATTAGTTACATTAGGTAATGGAGAAGTATTAAAAGTTGATGAATTAATCTGGACAGTTGGAAGAAAATCATTAGTTGATATTGGATTAGATAAAGTTGGTGTTAAATTAAATGAAAAGTCACAAATTGAAACAAATGAATATCAAACTACTGCAAACCCAAAAATCTTTTCAATTGGTGATGTTATTGGTCATGTTGAATTAACTCCAGTTGCTATAGCAGCAGGTAGAAAATTATCTAACAGATTATTTGGAGGTGAACAATACAAGAATGATAAATTAGATTATAATAATATCCCATCAGCTGTTTTCTCACACCCAGAGGCTGGATCTATTGGTTTATCAACAAAACAAGCTATAGAAAAATATGGTAAAGAAAACATCAAAATATATAACTCAAAATTCACTGCTATGTATTATGCAATGATGGATAATGATAAAGATAAATCACCAACAGTTTATAGAATTGTTTGTTTGGGACCTGAAGAAAAAGTTGTTGGATTACATTTAGTTGGTGATTCAAGTGCTGAAATTTTACAAGGATTTGGTGTTGCTATTAAAATGGGTGCTACTAAAAAGGATTTTGATAATTGTGTTGCTATTCATCCAACTTCTGCTGAAGAATTGGTTACAATGACTTAATTTTGACATGACAAATTTTCATTACTTTTTATTCACTAATTTATATAAATTTATACATATTTTGAAATGAAATATTCTAGGATAGACTAATTACATGAAGTACAACACTGTAAATTCAATTAGTACTCTATGCAATGCAATATGTGATACAAAAGCAGCCTTATAAATCTACTTTAAACACTAACCAATAGTGGAGTAATTAATGCTCTATTTAATGATAATTTCTATTAATTAATGAAACTTAGCTTCAAAAAGTTGAACCATTTCATGAGTATTCTTCTCTTTAGTTCAACCTATTGTTTTCTTCTTTTTGGAGGAGGACCTCTAATTGGAGGTTTTGGTTTATCACCAGGTTTCATAAAAAACATAGGAGCATTTTTTAAAATATTTGGAACACTTATAAATTTAATCATATTACCTCTTATAAATACTTGATCCATATGTTGTGTAGATCCATTTTTCCCCGAAGTTATCGTTACATCATATAATGAACTATTCATATTATCTTCATTATCTAATAATTTTCCTCTATAAGTGTCTCCATTATTTAGTTCTATTGATATTATGTGGCCCTGTGCTTCGTTTAAGAGTCGTACTGGTATTGATGCTGACATATTTGTGGGGTGAATGGGTTTGTTATTTGTAGGGTGAATGGGTTTGTTATTTGTAGGGGTAGATTGGTATGATTTAATGTGTTTGGAAATTGATATTTGATGTTTCAAATGTTTTTAATATCTTTTGTGCCTTTTTTCGTCAAGTTGAGACATAAATTTTCCGACACTAAACCTATTCTGATGCACAAGCTGTTGTGGTAAAATATGTCATTTCAAAATTCCTAATTTTTTATATCTTTCCTACACAAAGTATAGTTCACAAATTCCTGTTCTGTATCGAAAAGCAAATGTAAATTGTATGGGGATAATTGACACTAATGACGCAGTTGGAGAGGTATTCATCTATTAAAACTTTTTTGGTTGTTAGGTAAGTAAATTTGGGTTTGTAAAATATACAAAAGATTTAAAAGCGTGTAGGAAAAGTAATCTCATCATATTACTGAATCAATACCTATATCATTAAGAGAACAAGAGAGATTTACTAATAAGAAACTTTTGGTTTGCCACTTTTATTTTAACTATTTGTACTTGGTTCAAATTGCTCATTATTTTGGTTTCCAATTGTTGCAAAATAAATTTTGAGTGATCAAAAAAATCTGTAACAAAACCTTCACCGATGTCATCTACAAGTGAAAAAGCTCTTTTGTGTAGGGATCTCTCTTTAAGAATACGAATTTTTACATGCTAATAGTTGAAAAAGCTTCCAATTTTGTAGATCAACAATTTATACCAAATTGAAATGTTTATGCAGAAATGAAAAAAAATCATGCGTTTTGAAATCAAATTTATACTTTCGTTTTATTGTCATGTAACTACTATACATGGTTTCGAATATGTTAGGCTTTTCATATAATTTGACAATTGGATGGATTTATCGGTCTTACAAATTAAAGTTTTACCAAGAAATTATAACAAAGGAATAGTACATTGAAATGAAACTTACAATAAAGTGTCTAACTTTTTTTAGCAGTTAGACATAAACGACTAAAAGTAGATCTTATTATAATGGGCATTAAACGAAGAAAAGTTGAACTTCTTAACTCTAAATTATTTGTATTCCGAAGAGGGTCCGATTAATCACTTGTGAAATATAATAAATTTAAGAAAAAAATGTTCAACCTTTTCCGTTATAATGCAGAAAACTTCTTGTCTTGTTTGAACCAAATTTATCTTCAAATATCTAGATCCATTTTAGAGCTGATCCTGGATTTTTTATCAAGATATAGATTATATAATGATGATGTAACACTTTTTTGAAAAAAACTAGCGCTTAAATTATTTAGTAGAAATAATTGTGTCAAATTATTATTTTATTTTAAATTTTTAGATCAAAAAGATAAAAAACAATTCTAAAACGGCAAAAGGACTTTTTTTTTGGAGAGGGCAAATTAATACATTATACATTTAGCCTTAAATATTCATCAACTAAAAGTCAAAAAAGAACAAATCTGAGAAAGTTTTCAAATATCATTTTGGTAATGCCTATTCCTATTTGATTTCGTCTTAAACTCATTCAAAAACTGTTTAAGTGGTTAAACTTCTTGAAAAATTTAGTTTTGAGTTTTTTGTTTCAAGATAATTTGCAAATGACTCAACTCAATACGCAAAATGTGAAGGATAACATTCAAAGTAGATCTTCTTACTCTATAAGTAGATTTAGAGATGATAAAGATATAGAAATGATTAATTCGCTAACCCGACTTGTCACGGAGATATGCCCTTTTATATTGCCCCATTTTTATAAAATTTTATAGGAAATTGAAACCATATCAAATTCACATAACCAAGAAACAACCATTCTGCGTTGTTTATACTACATGTTAGTAATTTTTTCGTACTTGTCAAACTTCTTATATAATTATTACATTATACATATTTCACAATAAATGATACAAGATTGATTAAGTTACTTAACACAAAATTAAGTATTTTTTAAAATATTTTTAGTTTAACAACACAATATAATTTATACGTTTAATAGCACAGTTCGATCCATTTATATATATTTAAATACTTTTCATTATTAGCATACTCAACAACTATTCTTCTGCTCACCACCCAACTTTGGTCGCATCTCGGAAGTCAAATTTATACAATACCAAATGTTCATTATCATCAATTACTAATCATTAATTAAATTTACAACCAACTTTTACGACCAAAAAAATTAATCTCCGTATAAAAACTTCATTAAAAAAAATTGGATTGTTCAAACATGGTACAGCCAAGTGCTACTACTTCATCCAACTCGTCAATACCTGCTGTAGCTAAACCAAAAAGACAGAGAAATAGAACTCCAAAAAGTTGTCTACAATGTTCCAAAAGAAAAATATATTGTTCAAAAGAAAGACCAGCTTGTAGTAATTGTATCAAGTATGCAGTTGGTCATTTATGTTCATATACTTTACCACCTTGGGCCGAAACAAGCAATCAAGATAAGGATAAACTACCAAGTAAGCAACAATGTAATATGAACCAAGGACAAGCAACCACACCTGTGAAAATACAACAAACCACTGAATACAAACAATTGAAACAGGAGAATGACAAGTTAATACAATCACAAAGAAAAGAAATTGATGACTTGAAGAGACAACTATCAGTTTTGCAACAATTATCCCCCAGAGAAACCATGAATAACAAACAACAAGTCTCATCATCGTTAGGATGTATTGCGATTACAATATTAAATAAAATTAGTCCGTTAGCGATTACTTACTCAAACAGTAGAATAAATATGTCAAATGACTACACACTAAATGTCATAACTAACTCAAACATCTCAAATAAATCTACATATATTGATACATATTCATGGATTAATTTAATAAAGCTTGATCCTCAATTAACTACTTTATGGTATAAAATTACAAATTTACAAAAAATGTATCATGTATATAAAATGAATATTTTGAAAGATAAGAATACAAATCATAAAAGTGTTAGTGCTGGTAAATATCAACCACAATTAGAAGATGAAAGACCTAAAAAGAAGGCTAAAAAATCAAATTTCAAAATTAACGAAATTGATTTTACATATTCTTTACAACCATCAGCAATTATTAAAGATTCGTCAATTACAAGTGAGGAACATAAGTGTCCGGTAATTGAATGTGATTTTAATTTCATGACAGAAGATCAAAATCAAACTACACCAAGTCCATTTAGACAGTCACCACTACCTACAACACCAGCCAATAAAACAGGTGAAATTAAAATTGAAGAAGACAGTTTAAAACTACAATCAAGTTTTGCAAGTAAACTAACTCAAAAAGTAGCATCTTTGTGGGATTCACTTATAAACTTACCGAGAGGAGAAGCAAAATTAAATATTCAACAAATTCATTTTTTATTAGATTACTACTACAACAGTAACATAGAAAGTAGAGAAATCTTATCATTTTATAGGTTTGATATACAAGCAGTTTTTAAAAAGACATTTAATGATGAAGTTGAACTAAATTTACCACAACAAAATTCAGATGTTGATTATTTGGTAAAATTGAAATCCCTTGGGATATTTCATTGTATGTTGACTATAATAATTGAAGAAACATTATCAGAAGTTAGAGAAATTGTGAAACAAGGTATAAACAAAGACTTATGTTTACAATTTGAAGAAATTTTTCCAAATGAAATGACTTTATTGGGATTAGGTGTCAAACAAAATAATTTACTTTATATAGTTCAAGAGATGTTAATTAATTTTGAAAGTAATTGCAGAGATAATTTTGATAAGTCACTTTCATGTTGTGCGTTAACTGTTTGTTTGTTAAATAGAGAAATTGATGACTATAAAAAACCAGGATCAAGTATCTCAGATACAAAGATTTCATTTACTTCAATTTTTACCAACTTTTTACATATTTTATTAGATTCACCTTTAGAAATTTGGAAAGATCCAGAATTAGTCGAGTTAAAATCTCAATATAAGAAAAGACAAAAAGATTTGAAATTACATTTTTGTTACCTTTGGACAAATATTGTTAGATTAACTAATTTAGTTATGTTGAATTTTGTACCATTTGTTAAACATTCAGAATATTTAGATGGTTTATTGCGTAGAATTTACACAAAAATTGAGCAGGTAGATCTGTTGCAATGCCACTTAAAATACTTAACAAAAGTTGAAGAAAATGATTTGATCATAATGTTACACGTTCATTATTTGATTGGTGATATTTCATGTTCGTTACATCAAGGTATACTAAATTTAGGATCAAATAAATTAACAATTTACAACTTACAACAATTGATAAAACAATGTCAAACTTGGATAAATGATTCTGGAGTTCAAAGATTAATAGAAATTAGAAAATTTGAAATTTTAATCATACTCGATTACTTGTCATATTTTATGACATACATCATGATGCTTCAGAGTGAAGAATTAATGGATAGAGATTTGATAAGTAGTATCATACCTGATATTTTCACAAAATTATTGCACTTGGTTCAACAACTAAAAGTAAATCCAAAGAGACATACTCAATATGTATACTCTGTGGTAACAGAATTATTAACAAGACTGATACAATTTATTGTTGGATTAATTTCAAGAGTCAGAGAAGATAATAAGCAACAAGAACCTTCTTTATTGAAACAGAATTGTGAAAAAGTCATGTTGAATAATAATATGGTAACACCGGCGGAATATATGAATCATGTAACTAATGAAATTAATGGCATTGTCTCATTTCTAAATAACGTTTTAATGAATAAAGAAAGGTTGTTCAAATTAACAAAGTTATGGAAATTTTATATCACATTAACAAAAGATTTAAATTATGCAAATATTCATGCAAGTTTACCAGAATTCAAAAACAATACTACTGCTGTTTGTCCAGTTTTGTCTTCTGATTCAATGTCACCAAATGCTTCATTCAGACAAGATTCTTTAACATCCAACACTCCAAATTCTTCTACAATGTCATGCCCTGTAATTCATAATAGTTCATCATCATCAACGACAACTTTCTCACAAAATAGTCCAACTAGTTTTAATTCCTTGACCTCAAAAATATCAAGATGCCCCATATCTCACATCACAACACCAATGAATAATGATGAAGAAGTCAAAATCTCAAATTTTCCGGCCCTAGCATTACAACCATTCAATCACAAAATGCTTTCAAATTCACAGCAACAACAACCAAATAAAAAAGCTAAAAAATGTCCATTTGATCATGTATCAATGATGAAACCTAATTTATACCCAAATCAAATTGAATCAAGTGTTAGAGGTAATAACCCAGTTCAAGATAATTTCAAAACTTATTCACCAAGTCCATTAAGTAGTTCATATATAAGTACCCCGCCGATAGTGGCTCAACAACCTCCACCACAACAACCACCACCACAATTTCAACAGCAATTTGCTCCAACCAATAGCAGTCCTGCAGTCAAACAAAACCTAAGCGAATTCGTGATGACTGATTCACAGTCAATACAATTAAATCAAATGAATCAGCAACAACAACATCCAATACCAATAAACGATATAAGCAGTGATTCGTTGTTAAATCAAAACTCAAATCAACCATTAGATAATAACTTAGATATGTTAAATCAATTTAATGACTTCGATTTTGATTTCTTGAATCAAGAAAATCTTATTGAACATTTTAATTTTATTAATAATTCTTCAAGTAATGATTTAGGATTTGGTGCTTTTAGTGATTCTAATAACTTGACAAATGGTAAAAATTTTAATAATGGTGGTGTTAATAATATTGAAGGATTTTTTCAATAGGTAGATTAATGTATTTGAATATTAATGAAAATTATGAGTATTGTTTGTAGGAGTACTTATCTCTACATTTCAAATCTTTATATAAAATATACAAATTAATATAAAAACATTAAAACAACAATATACAAATAATAAACTAATAAACTAACAAAAACACTTGAAAAATTTAAACCTCGAAATATGACAAATAAATCATTTGACAAATAATCATTAAAGTAACCAAAAATTGTAAAATATTAACAGAATATAAATTAATTTAGTAAATGAAACCAAACAATAAATTATTATTAAATGAAGCGAAATCTGAAAAAATAAATATAGTTTAACAAAAACTGCAAAATAATAAAAAAAATTAATAAAAAACCTCCCACAACTTTTCAACCGGGTACATTAATTGGTGGAGGTGGAACTTGAGGAGGCATAGGACCAGGAACAACAACAGCTACAGGAGGTACAACCCCAGCAGGTGGTGGAGCCGGCCCAGGAGGTGGTGGTACAACTTGAGCTTGAGGAGTATAAGGTAATGGGAAATCATTATGAACTTCATGATTCTTGGCTTTGAGGTCGTAATCAATTTTATCATCTTGTTTACCATGTTCTTTTAAAAACTTCTCATGTTCTTCGGGTCCTTTTTCATGATGTTCTTTTTCATGCTCTTCTTTATCATGTTGTTCTTTTTCATGATGTTCTGTACCGGGACCAGTTTCATGTTTTTCCTTTTGATGATGTTCTTTGGAGTAATGTTCTTTTAAATGACGTTCTCCTCCGTAAATTCGATCTTTTGCGTATTGATCTTTAGCTTTTTCTTTAAAAAATGAATTCTTGTCGTGTAATTCTTTATCTTTTAATAATTGATCATGTTTAAAAAATCCACCTTTACCATCAGTTGGTTCAACTTGTAGTTGGAAAATATCTCTCTTATCAAATTTGAACTTGTCATCATCTAATTCATCTTTTTTGTCTTTATCTTTTTTACCTTTTCTATCATGATCAAACTCTTTATAATAATCTCTATGATGATCATTTTCTCTTATGTATTCATCCAACTCATGCAAATCATTATAATTTTCACTATCACTGTATTCATCAGCATCATGATGATCAAATGCTCGACCATGTCTACTAAATCCATATCCATCATCTTTATGGTGATCTTTTCCATGATGATTTCTTCCATCATCAAATTCTTCATGTAAATCAAATTGATGATGTTCAGTTACATTTTTATTAAAATCTTCTTCATATTTTTCAACTTCATGTCTTCTATCAAATTTCTTTATTCTTGGCTTCTTGTTTGGTTTATCACCATGCTCTTTATCGTGTTCAATTTCATGGAAATAATCTTTGTGGTGGTTCTTTTCTTTTCTATATTCATCCTCTTCATGTAAGTCCTTTTCGGTATATTCGCCACCTTTATCATCCTCTTCATGATGTTGTATAGCATGACCTTCTTTATCGTCACCAAAATAAATATCCTTATGATGATCTTTATCATGTAATTTATCATGATCATCTTCATGTTCGTGTAAATCAAATTGATGATGTTCAGTGAAATTTTTGTGATAATCTTCTTCATAATGTTCAAGTTCATGTCTCTTCTCTTTCTTTTTCTTTTTCTTTTTCTTTTCATCTTTTTCATCTCTATCATGATCATACTCTTTAAAATAGTCTTGATGATGGTCTTTCTCTTTAATATACTCATCCAACTCATATAAATCTTTAGAAGTTTCTCTATCACTTAAATTATCCGAATCATGATGATTAAAAGCCCTACCAATTCTACTAAATCCATGACCATCATCTTTGTGGTGATCTTTACCATGGTGATTCCATCCATCATCAAATTCTTCATGTAAATCGAACTGGTGATGTTCAGTAATATTCTTGTTAAAATCCTCTTCGTATTTTTCCACTTCATGTCTTTTATCAACTTTTTTCTTCTTACCTTTCTTTTTACCCTTTTTTCTAGGTTTCTTTCTAGGTTTAGGTTCAGGATCTTTTTCATGTTCTTTTTCTTCTTCTTTTTTATTATCTTTTTTGTCATCTTTTTTGTCATCTTTTTTATCATCTTTCTTATCATCTTTCTTATGACCTTTATCATGATCAACTTCATGTAAATAATCTTTATGAAGATCCTTTTGTTTCCTATATTCATCTAATTCATGTAAGTCTTTTTCAGTATTTCCATCATCTTTAGCATCTTTTTCATGATGATCAATTGCATGTCCTTCTTTATCATCACCCCAATGATCATCTTTATGATGCTCTTTATCATGAAATCCATCCTCATCGTCTGTATGCTCATGTAAATCATATCGATGATGTTCAGTTATATTCTTATGATAATCTTCTTCATAATGTTCAACTTCATGTCTCTTGCCATGTTCTTTTTTTGGTTGCTCTTTATCATAATTAAGTTTATGCTTGTAATCCTCATGAATTTCATTTTTAATATCATTATCATCAGCTTGATGCAATTCTTTTTCTCTACGAGTACCACCTTCTACATGAATTTCATGATGGTCCACTCCCTTAAAGTTTCTATCATGTTCATGCTCATCCTTATGATGCTTTTTATCATCATGTGTAGAGTCCTTTTCATGATAATCCTTTTCAAATAAATCTTTTTTGATATCAAAAATATCCTTATTGTGGACTGCAAGTTTGTGTTGTTTATCATTATTGATATTAATCTCTTTTAATTCATATTCATGAGCTCCTTTAATTTTTTTATGAATTTCTTCTTCACGTTCTGCAACTTCATACCTTTTAACTTTCACATCATCTAGTTTTTTGTCACTTAATCGAAAATCCTGTTCGTGTTTTTCCTTTTTTGTTTCGTGAACTTGACTTTCATGATGTTCCTCTTGTGACTCACCATTACGATGTTCTTCTTTTCGATAATCTTCTTTATGATGATCTATTTTATTCTCTTGACTTTCTGATTCGTGAACTTCTTCACCTTTTCTATATTGTTCATGTTGTTCCTTTTTATGATCCTTATAATCATTCTCATGATGTTTCTGTTCATGATCTAAACCATTATGTTTTTCTTCAAAGAAATCTTTCTCATAATCCTTGTGTTTGATATCATGATGTTCAGTACTATGATCAATTGTAGCATTTTTATATTTTACAAAATGATGTTCCTCGTGACTACCTTTTTCAGTCTTAACATGACTAGTTTCTTGATGTCCACGTGAAATATCATTAGCTGGGAATGGTAAAGGTCTTATGATTGGTGGAGGTTTAAAATCTTTACTGAACTTAGGTGACTTGAACTTATCATCAAAAACTTTATAAGTAGGTGGTTTAGGTTTATCAAATGAAAATTTCTTCTGATCAAAAGCTGGTCTAGGTCTTTTACCGAGTGCTTCAAATACATCATAACGAGATAATGAACCACCATCAACCAAAACAGGAAGTAAATCCAAAACAAATTTATTTAAAAACGAACTGACATGTGAATCTCTAAATGTTAATCTACTAGCATCAAATTGTAAACCACTGGATTGAATGGCTATAAAAATTTCCTCCCATGGTACGGATCCTTCATTTAAAAGTCTAATTGCTGTATCAAATAATCCCCTTCTAACAACTCCATCATTCAAGGAAAAAGTTAAAATTTGATTAATTAAGGCAGAATCTTTTAACGATAAAAAAACTTTCATTATTAAGTCATCAACACTATCACCTGGCCCAACATTCGCAACACTTTGAGCTTTAAATTCTAAATTTGCAGCAGGTTCAAATCTTCTTGGTAATATAACCAGCTTCCTCCCGTCCAATGAAGTAAACTTCAAATCACGTTTACCTTTGCTACCTTTATCTGACTTTTCCCGAGTCTTTTCTACATCTTTTTCTTTTGACGATTTATTATCTGGTTGTGGAGCTTCAGCTTCACATTTTTCACATTTAACAGTGGTAGTTTCAATAATTTTTCCTTCGTCTTTACTTTGGGTAGGCTTTACTTTTAATTCAGTAGACTTACTAACAGCAGCAGATTTATCTTTAGCCGCCTCTGTCGAAGCAGTAGATTCAACAACAGCAGGTGTGGTTTTAGATGGAAGTATAGTTGCAATAGGAATAGTAGTTGCACCTTTGTTTTTTCTGAATTTATTCTTCAAATTCCCAACATTCAAACCACTTTTGAGTCTATTAGTAGCTTTGTTTTTGAGCTTCGCAGTTGCTTTACCTGTAAGTTTACCACCTCCAAGTACTCCTTTAACTTTACCACCTCCAAAAGCTCCTTTAACTTTATCAAAATTGAACTTTCCGGTCTTTCCTGTTGGTTTAGCAGATGTTTGAGTTGATTTAATTTCCTCTGTCGTTGATGGTTTAGCTGATTCTTTAGCGGTCTCTTTTGGTTTGGTAGTTTCACTAGACTTTGGTGAAGGTTGTACTGTTAATGTTACTTTCACTTCTGGGGTGGCTTTAGCTTTTGAGGTTGCTTTTGTTTTTGATGTTGATTTTGCTTTGGATGTTGCCTTTGCTTTTGATGTAGCTTTTGCTTTAGAAGTTGCTTTACTTTTAGAACTAGTTTTTGAAGTTTTCCAAGCTGATCTTGTTGGCGAAGCAGACTTAGATTTCTTTGAGATTGGACAGTCTGGATCTTCTTCTTCTTCCTCCTCTTCTTCTTCATCTTCATCTTCGTCCTCATACTCATCGGATTCTTCTTCGGCTTCCAGTTTGGTCTTACCAGCTCCAGCTGTATACGTAGTAGTAGCGACATAAGTGGTCTTAGTGGATGATTTGGTTGAAGTTGATGATTTAGAAGTCTTCAATTTTTTAGTAATTAAACCATCTTGATCTTCTTCATCTTGTTCCCCGTCAACATCACTTTCTTCTTCCTTAGCAGATTTTGTATCTTTCTCTTTAGAATCTTTTTCTTTTTCTTTAATGGTTTCCTCTTCAACAATTTTCGAGGTTTCTTTTTGTTTCTCCGCAGTTTTGACAGCTTTTTTGCTAGATTTAATTGTGGCCTTCCTGGCAAATTTGTTAGCTAAATTCAACCATGCGGCAGCTTGAACTTCTATATCATCATCTTCTTTTGGTTCTTTCCCCCAATTGAAACCCAATCTAGCTGCTAAAGATCTGTTTTTAGTTTTCTTTTCATCCTTAGATTCTTCTCCTTCATTTTTATCTTTCCCATCCTTATCAATTTCATTAGAAGGACCATATTTATCGTATTCACCAAAATCTTCTTCAACATACCCAGAATATCCACCATTGAAATCAGCTTCTTCAGATCTCTTGTAAAATTCTATCTTGTCTACTTGAGCTTTACCTCCGATTGAACCTTTACCAAAACGGCCATTCTTAACCAGGTTTTCCAATTGATAGTCATTTAAAGAAACTTTACCTTTAAGTTTGGGATTAACGTTTGTCAAACTCTTATCATTATAGTACGCATCCTCACCATCAATTTCATAACATCCACAATCATTTCCAGATTTAACCGGTTCTGGCTCTTCTTCTTCTTCGTCATCACAATCGAAACTATCATTTTCTCCTGATTTTATTGGTACAGTTGTTTCATAAGCAATAGTTTTAACAATAGTTGCAGTAACTGGAATCTCAACAGTTTTAAATTTTTGAACAGTCTTGATTCTTTCTGGTACTGGTTCATGAATATATGGAGCTTCTGATTTAAATGATGACTTGACCGAGGTTGTACTTTTCGTTGATTTAGATTTGGTTACTTGTTGCAGTTTATCCTTATTTTTTTTCAACAAACCTTTCAATTTCTCCTTCACATTGGAGGTATCTTTCTTGAGAGAGTTTGCTTTTCCATCATCACCTCCAGCATCTTTGCAATCATCAGTAGTTGCTCCTCTTTTTGAGTGTAACCTAATCATTTCATTGAATTGATTTTCTTTTCTTTTCTTAAGAATTTTAGAATCAGGACCTAAATTTGCTTCATAAGTGTTGTCCATACGATACTCTTCTTTGTTATAATCAAGACGATGACCATCCTTGGTTTTTACTCTACCACGTTCAGAACGGTATCTTCCATTATCACCACCGCGAATATAATTTTCATCTTTTTCTGGTTTCCATTCTTTCTTTAGCTCCTGATCATTTGAACCTTTAGATCCTTGATCATCTCTCCAATCATTTTCAAGATCTTTTCCCTTGTTACGGTGTCTATCTTTATGACCATCTTCGTCATTCCAATTTTCTTCAGATTCTAAATTTTCAGGTCCATGTTCACCTTTCCAACTTTTCTTAAACTCTTTTCCTTTGTCAGATTTTCGATCATCGGGTCCATGTTCTTGAGACCAATCATTTTTAAAATCTTTCCCATTATCAGAATCTACATCTTCAGGTCCATGTTTCCAGCCTTTCTTAGTCTCGTGATCTTTACGAGAATTTACATCAGGATCAAACTCACCTTTCCAGTCTTTCTGATCTTTTCCTTTACCATGCTTAGAATCATCAAGTTCATGTTCACCTTTCCACTCTTCATCAAATTCCCTTCCTTTCTTATCTTTGTGATCTTTGAGTCCACGGTCTTTGATCCCGTCTTTATTAAAACCTTTTTCTTTCTCGTGACGATTCAAGTCTTGATGACCACGTCCTTTAGTTTTATCATGTTCACTTTCTCTTCCCTTTCCACGATTTAAATCCTGGGGTCCATGCTTAAAGTCTTTTCCTTTACGGTTTAAATCATGATGTCCATGTTCATCATCTTTTGGTAAGATTTTAAATTCTTCATCAAAATTTAAATCCTTTGACGAGCCATTATGAAACTGTTCAGATTCATCAATCTCTCTACCTTCACGGAACTTCTTCTCTTGTTCAAATCGATGTTTCAATAACTTTTCCAATTTTTCTCTGTCTCGATCATATTTCTTACCATACTTGATATTCCAATCTTTTCTAAATTGATCTTCCCATTCTTTATACTCATTCTCCCATTCATCGTCATGATCTTCTTCATCTTCTGAATCTGATGAAGTATAATTTGTAACTTTTTTGTTGTATCCTAATTTTGCTTTACTCTTGTTACGTAAATTCTTACCTTTTCCTTTTAATGGGTTATAGTTTTTACCTGTTCCTTTACCTACATTTGCGAATAATTTTTTCCAATCATCTAAATTAACAAATTTTTTAATATCATCAATTGATAATTTATCTCTTTTAGAAACTTTGGTACTTTCATCAACACCCAAATCTCTCTTAACATTTTGTTGAGTATCTAAATTATTATCAAATCTCCAAACATCAATTTGTTCATGAGTGGTTGTAACACTAGCTGTAGGACCAAAAATAGGAGCAACTCCATGACCAGTTATAGTTGTAGGAGCTGTGGTGGTTGATATAGAGGTAGTAGTAGCTGTAGTGGTAGTAGTTGGAGAAGGAGCTGGTTGGAAAACAATTGGTTGATAACCGATAGGAGCTGGGAACTGACCAACAGCAGCTGCTGGGTATTGATTCAAAGGCTGTTGACCACCAGAAGCTGGAGCGATACCTGGATAAATTGGAGCTGGATAGAAAACTGGCTGTTGTTGTTGTTGTTGAGTTGGTGGGTTATTTGAAGATTGATGTTCTCTATCTCTATAGTAACCCTCACTTACATGTTCACTTGTATGTCCAACTGTTGAATGATCGTCTCCTGAGTGGTGAGCATCATCATCTTCACCATTTACATCATCAACAGAATCCTTGAGTTGATCCAATAAAACTAACATTTCACGTAATATTGAAACTTTATCCAATGTAACATCTCTTCCAACAGTCATCAATTCCCAAAACACATCATTAAAACCTTTCAAATCGTGTTCGTGTTCTGCTTGATAAGCTCGAAGACTACTGTCATCAACATATTCAACATAAGCTTCTACTCTATTATTTATTGGTTGATAAGATTGTTGTTGTGCTGGAACATTTTGTGGATTCTGATCTGACTTTGGTTGTGTATTTTCCCCCACGGTGATTTCATTTGGAGCTGGTGGTAAATTGTCAGTTTTAATAGTTTGGAAAGGAAGTGGAGGAAGTGGGAATTTCCAATGGAAAATCGGGAATGAAAATTGACGTTTAGTTGTAAGTATTCTTTTTCCTGAAGCATCAAATTGATCTTGTGGTTGCAGTGGATTTATGAGTTGACCATTTGGTTCATTCCTATTATTAATAGATAGTGATAAAACAATTGAAATAACAAATAATAATTTGTGAACTTTCATATTATTTGTTGTGAATACAGTCAAAAGACCAAGATTTGTGAAAAAATAAGTTGAATCATTGATGGAATAGTGAATCGGTATATATAATCATTTCTAAGATTGTATTAAATTTGGATCACTTTCCTAATTTGATCAAGGATTTTGAAAAAATGATCTCAGTTCATCTTTTTTGGTAATAATTAATTTTGAGATCTAATCAAAATTTGTAATGCTTTCCGAATCTAAAGTTAAAGTTAAAGTTAAGCTTAAGCATTGAGTCAGGTATGAAAGTGCAAGAAAAATTAAAATTATGCAATAACTTCTTTAAACTTCTTTAACGACTTCATTTTTATTCTTTCTTCTTGTTGCATATTCGCTTAATTAATTTTGAATTGAGAACTCCATATTTCAAGAAACAGAATCAGCCGCACTATTTACGATTTAGACGAAATTGTAAATGTCCAAATTTCTGAAGTTTTTCACATGTCATAAATTATAAAATAATGACACAATCTCCATATTTTTTGGTCTCTATTTAAAATGTCATGCGCATAATTCTATTAGTAGAGTATGATAATACTAAAATCAAATATTGCTACTCTACTTATAATATTTCAGACTTTAAAGTCATCTTATATAGACCAAATAAAATATGATTAAACTATTTAAACCACGAATATGTTTAACAAAACCATTATTGCCGTCTTTAAGGCTAAATAATACCTTTCGTTTATCAAGAACATATCACTATTACCCAAAACTGCCAGCATATTCAATACGACAATTTGCAACAACTGGTATAAAACCAGATACTATACCATTAAATACCCCAAAAAAGCCTAGATCCAATGGATACAAAAAGTTGTTTTATATAGGAATAGGTCTTGGATTAACTGGAACTATACTTTATTATACAAATGATAAATTCAAACATACAATTTTGACAATAGATAGAGTCGGAGTGGTTGTAGTTGCCATGACTAGGTGTTTTGCATTATATAAAGAAACATTAGGACAAGAATTTAGTAGTCCAGAAAAACGACAAGAAGCATTATCCAAAACTCATCAAAGAGCTGCAAATATAACATTAAAAGCATTGGAAAAAAATGGAGGAATATATATAAAATTAGGACAACATTTATCAGCATTAACTTATTTATTACCACCAGAATGGACAGAGACAATGATCCCATTACAAGATAAATGTCCCAGATCATCAGTTGAAGAAATTGAAAAAATGTTTGAAACAGATTTAGGTTTAAATTTATCAGATATATTTATTGAATTTGATCCTAATCCTATTGGAGTTGCAAGTTTAGCACAAGTTCATATAGCTAAATTAAGAAGTAATGGGGGGAAAGTAGCAGTAAAAGTTCAACATCCAAGTTTAAAAGAGTTTGTACCATTAGATGTTGAATTAATAAATATGGTTTTCAATCTTATGTATAAAGCATTCCCTGAATATCCATTAACTTGGTTAGGTGAAGAAACTCAAAACTCAATATTCACAGAATTGGATTTTACAAAGGAAGCTGAAAACTCCAAAAGGACTGCTGAACATTTTAAAGATTTTACATTTTTGAAAATTCCTAAAATTTTACAAGATGAGAAAAGAATTCTAATAATGGAATATGTATCTGGTGCAAGATTAGATAATTTAAATTATTTAAAAAATCATGATATAGACCCGTCACAAGTAAGTACTTGTTTAACTCATATTTTCAATGATATGATATTCACACCAGATGTTGGTTTACATTGTGATCCTCATGGTGGTAATTTGGCTATAAAAAGTGTACCTACAAAAAAAGGATATAATTTCGAAATTATATTATATGATCATGGACTTTATAGAGATATTCCATTACAAATAAAACGTGATTATTCTCATTTTTGGTTAGCTGTATTAGATAATAAAATTCCTGAAATGAAAAAATATGCAAATTTAATAGCAGGTATAGAAGGTGAACAAAAATTTAAAATTTTTATAAGTGCAATAACTGGTAGAACTCCAGAAGCTGTATTAAATAATGAAATTAAAAAGAAAAGATCCAAAAATGAAGTATTTGAAATTCAATCACAAATAAATGATGATAATTCTGGTGTATTGGAAGATTTAATGGATATTTTATCAAATATGCCAAGAATGATTTTGTTGATTTTAAAAACTAATGATTTAACAAGACATTTAGATGAAAATTTACAATCTGAATTAGGTCCTGAAAGAACTTTTTTAATAATGGCAAATTATTGTGCTAAAAATGTTTATGATGAACAAAATGAATTAATTAATATAAAAGATACAGGATTAACTTGGGTTTTTCAAAGAACTTTAAATTGGTTTGATTATCATAAAAGATTAACTACATTATTTATTTACGATATCTTTTTAAAATTTCATAACCTTAGAATGAGATGGTTTTAACTTTTTTGCATATTATAATGTATATATACAAATTTATTTATAGAATATAAAAAAATTAGATACTACTCAATCCTAATTTTGACGATCTCTTCTAATTTTATCTAGTAAATTATTAATTCTTGGACCCATTGAAGGTTGACCAGTTTTAGTTTTTAATTTTAATTGTTGTTTTCGTAATTCTCTTATTTTTTGTTGTCTTGCAATCATTTCAATTTTTTCTTGAATTTCTTGTTTTTTATCATGTCTTTGTCTTGATCTACGCTCTTTTGCTATGGCTGCCCTTTCTGCATATGTTAGTCTTGGTGGTGGATTAGATTTTGTATATGTACTTGATGATTTGGTTGGTTTTTTATGTGATGATGTTTTTGCTTCTTCCTCTTCTTCTTCTTGTTCAGCTTCAGAATCATCTTGAGAATGTTCCACTTCAGAGTCTTCTTCTTCATGATCTAGTTTTCCTTCATCTCTAGGATGTTCATCTATTCCTTCCTTTTTCAATAATTTAAAATAGTTTTTCCTTAATCTAGCTCGATGAGTTAATGCTCTTTGTATATCTTGTGTTTTAGCTTCTTTTCTATCTACAAATTTCTTTCTATTTTTAGTATTGTATTTACTTGAACTACCATTACTTGGTTGTCGTCCGACCATTTTTGTATTTGATGTGTAATTTGAGATAATTGTTATATAGTTTTATTGAAGGGACTTCTGTAGAATTATATTGGTATGTTTGATTTAAGTTATTTTTGTAATCTAGTTGATCATCTTTTAAAGCATATCAATTTTTTTTTTTAGTAAAGAATAAATAAAATATTGTATTTTTGTGTTACAATTTAAAACGGTTAAGGGGGATTTTAATTTAAGCTTAACATTTTAAGGGTAATTTGTAAACTTGAAACTTCAATTAAATTATATTTCTTTCCATTTTTATCCATAGATTTTCAATGAACTCAGATCATTATTGTATCATAAAATAAATTAAGAGTCCATGAATACTGCATTCACGAATATTGATCTACCTCTGATAATTGGGCTCTAAAGAATTAGGAAGCTTTTGAACTCAGTTCTTATATTCTCCCAACAACTGAAAATTTCATACATAATGACCAATTGACTGCCATTATAAAATAAACTTCTCTAAAATAATTTCTTTTCATTAGTTCTAATCTCTTCACTGGAGATTATAGATTAATTTTATTAACAAACTTTTAATTTAAATTTGGTCTCACTAAAATTTTTCAACACAAAACAAAATTATTTTTTATTTTGACAATTTAATTAGAATATTATCTCTACAATAGATCAGAATATAATATCCAATATTCATTCAAGAGTACATAAAGTTCATAGAAACTCAAGCATTATCAAACCAAAGCTACATTAGATGCTAACGATTATATAACGAACACTTTCTAATTACAAAACTATACATAAAATTATCAAGCACTATAAATCATGACCTCAAAAGTGCCGAATCAACAAAAATATACTTCATTAACTCAACAAGATCTACAAGATGACCTAACATCAATCAGTAATACATTAATTCCAGAATCTTCAACTTCCAATAATAATAATCATAACAATCACGACACAAACAATACAGAATTATATAATCAAGATAATCCAGAAAATGAAGAATTTGAATTAGAAACTTTAACAAATTTAGATTATGAAATATCAATTGAACCAGATGAATTAAAAGATCAAGGTGGTTCATCAAATATGAGAATGGCATTTATGAATATGACAAATTCAATTTTAGGTGCTGGAATAATTGGTCAACCATTAGCTTTTAAAAATTCTGGATTAGTTGGGGGGATAATAGTGATGATTTTATTAACGTATCTTATAGATTGGACACTTATATTAATTGTTAAAAATTCTATATTAGCTGGATCTAAATCTTATCAAGATACTGTTTATAAAAGTTTTGGTCTAGGTGGGAAAATTGTACTATTATTTTCAATATGTTCTTTTGCATATGGTGGATGTATGGCCTTTTGTGTTATTATTGGAGATACTATACCACATGTAATAAGAGTATTTTTACCAACAAGTTTTATAGAAAATCAAAATTGGAATTGGCTTATATCTAGAAATTTCATTATAACAATTTTCACAACTTGTATATCATATCCATTAAGTTTAAATCGAGATATTTCAAAATTAGCAAAAGCTTCAGCTTTCGCATTAGTTGGTATGTTTATAATTGTTTTATTAACAGTTATTAGAGCTCCTTTTGTTTCTAGCGATATGAGAGGTGAAATAACTACTGTTAATTATATAATCAATAAAAATATTTTTAAAGGAATATCAGTTATTAGTTTTGCTTTAGTTTGTCATCATAATACAATGTTTATTTATCAATCAATAAGTAATAAAAACTTAAAAAAATTTCAAAAATTAACTCATTTATCATGTATTATATCAATGATATTTTGTATGATTATGGGAATAAATGGATTTTTAAATTTTGGTTCACTAACAAAAGGAAATATTTTAAATAATTTTAAAAGTTCAGATAATTGGATTAATATTGCACGTTTTTGTTTTGGATTAAATATGTTAACTACTTTTCCACTTGAGATATTTGTTGTTCGTGATGTTATTAAAGAAATAATCTTTTCAAAAAAAGCAAGTGTACAAGGATTAACAAGTTTTGATTTTGAATTATCTTCAAAACAACACTACATAATAACTACAATTTTAGTATTTAGTTCAATGAGTGTTTCATTATTTACTTGTAATTTAGGTATAATTTTGGAACTTATAGGTGCAACATCAGCAAGTTTAATGGCTTATATATTACCTCCACTTTGTTATATGAAATTAAATTTTTTGGAATTGGGTGGTGTTTGGTCAAAATTGAATAAAGATGACAAAAAAAGATTTGTGGTAGGTAAATTTATACCTTGTGCATGTTGTGTTTTATTTGGATTTATTGTTATGTTTATTAGTTCTGGTATGACTATTTATGATGCTGTTAATAGTAAAGATACGGGAGATCATTGTGTTATTGATTAGACATTAAAAAATATAGACTTAGAGTAGATGAATATTTAAAATTGCATTACATTACTTATATTAAATTATTTATTCATCTTCATCATCAGATATAATAGTTCTTTTCTTTCTTGGTGCTTGTTGTTGTTGTTCATTATCATCTTCATCATCTTGTTCAATTTCTCTTGATCTCTTTAAGTGAGTATCTGATTCAACAGCAGATGTATTTGAAGAAACTTTAGATAATTGTTCATTTAAATGTTCATCAATTGATACATTATCCGATTCATCATTCGATTCAGCTGCAGATTTTTTCTCTTTTTCTGATTTTTGTACGTCTTCTTCATCATCAGGAACAAACAAACTAACTTCCCTCACAGCAGAAGCAACAACATTGGAAACTTGACCACCACTTTGTGATGCATAATTAGCCCATACTTTTTTAAATTCTTCTAACTTAGCAGAAGTAGTTATATTACCATTTTCATTTAATAATTGTCTTAATTTTTCTTCACGAGCAAAAAATTCATCATCGTCGTCAGATTCATCATCTGATTCATTAACAAATTCTGATGATTTGATTTTATCTGTAATTGAATCTTCCAATAAGTCTTTGGGGATGCTTCTTTTTCTTGTTGTTGTTGTTGTTGATTCTTTAGGTGGTTTTGATTTCTTTGTGGTGGTGGTGGTTTTGGATCTTCTTTTTTGAGCTTTACCTGGTTCTAAGTTTCTTGATTTGTGTGTTTGAGAAGCTTGTAGTTGTTGTTCTAACTCATCCAAATGATCCAATTCTGAAGTATTATGATTTGTTGAATTTGGGTTTGCAGCTAATTCAAAAGCAATATCATTATCTTCGTCTTCTTCTTCTTCTTCATCTGTAAATCCATTGTATACTCTATCTTGTTGGGTTTCTTGACTTTTTCTCCTAGTTTTATCTTTCAAAAAATCTTGTTCATATAGTTCACCAGTTGATAAATAACATTTCACTGAAGATTCTTCAATTCTGGGAAACAATACCTCTATAATATTAGGAAATCTAGTTAGTGCAATTTTGAATTTTTTCATAAAGTAATATATAAATTCTTCTATCTTATATCGTATTGATGAACCTCTTGGTAAATGGTTCTTTAATTTTGATATTAAATGCATAAAATCTAATCTAAACAATCCATTATAATCCTTTTTAACCACAAATAGTTTATGGAAATAACTTAAACATATTTTTATATCGTCATGGGATAAATCTTGAAACCTTGATAAATATTCAATATAAGTAGTTACAATAGATTGATTGAAAAAACGAATTTCAGTCTTTTGAAAATTTAATTTCCTTTCCTTTGTAATCTCTTTCAAATTTTCTTGTATTAATTCATCATCAGATTCATAAATTGCTGTAGAAAGTTTAGTTTCATTATCTCTATCTAAATCATTAACTCTTTGTTTATTTTGTTTCTTTTGTCTTCTTTTAGTTTGAATATATAATTGTAAATCTTCTTTTGCAAATGATTCAAATGATTTTAATATAATTGTTATAACATGAATTGATTCACCTAAAAATCTAGGCGAGTGTTTAAATGACATTTGTGGAATTTGTACCAAAATATTTAAAAAATCATTAAATGAAAATAATTTTCTAATAATACCTTCAGCTAACTCTCTATCTATTTCATATTGACTTTGTTCTTCTTCTTCTTCCTCGGTGGTTTTCTGTTTTCCAAATATAGAATTTGAAATTTGTAATAATTCTTTAAAACAAATCATTGCAACATGTAAAGAATTCCATAATTTATTAGTAAAAGAATTTCTAAAATATGTAACAATTAAAATGAAGTTAATTTCACTCAAAGCTGCTCTAACAGAACCAAAATCATATGATTTAGCACCACTTAGAGTAATTTGTTCACGTTGATAATTTAAAAACCATGCAATTGTGAAAAAATAACTTGCATTTGATAATTCATCAGTTTGAGAATAATCAGATTGACTTGTTAATTTCGATGCCATTATTTCAATAAGATTGTTGAAACAACCACCCGATAAAAATTCTTCAATAAATTTACCTAGTAGAATTCTACCTTCATTATTTAAATATATTGGTGTTGTAGTTTTAATAAAATCATCTGAATCATACTTAAAATGATTCTTGTTTTTCCATGTCTTGGACTTATCTAGTTTATCCATTGTACCATCTGCTCCAGCTAATGCTTCTTCTCCAGAAACAACATACGAATTTGAATCTGATGATCTTATTGATAATAATGTACCAAATTTTCCATGTCTTGTTGCAATATTTGAAGTTTGTGCTTGTTTCTTTTTTGTCTCGGTGGCTAATAAATCAGATAATTGTAAACCAATAGTACTTGATATTGGAGCTATTGGAGCAGTTGCACTAGCAATATTTGCATCCTCTTGTGAAATCTTTTGTAACACATCTTTTGATTTTAAACCTTTCACCATTAAATATATACATTCGAGACAAATTTCTCCAAATAAATCTTTATCAAATTCTGAACCTATTGAACCAGATATTGTAAGTAATAACATTAATACTTTATTTTTTTTAAAAATTCTTAATACTTTATTTATTGATATATCATCTTGAGTTATTCCAGCTGGTAAATCTGCAGTTGCAACCATTGATTTATTTGTAGATTTTGATGAAATAGAAGAAGTTGGTGGTTCAATTGCTAATAAATTTCTTATAAGATATAATACCAACCTTAATATTTGATTATCCCTTGGTTCTCTATCAATTTTTGATTTAGCAATTACTGGTAATACTAACCTTATAACTGCTTTTAAAGTTTGTCCATCATTATGATTCAAAATATATTTCTTGTAGATTATATGATTTTTTTTAATATTTGTAAATAATAATTTTTGATTATCTGATAAATTATTATCAAATTCTATAGGCCATGTTAAAAGTACTAAAATTTCTAAACATGATAACATAATTTTTTCCATTGACATTTTGTTTTTTATAATTTGCTTTTTTTGCATTTTATATTCCCATTGACATAGTATTATTATTAAATCGTTTTGAACTAATCCACTTTCTGAACATGCTATTGCAACTTCATAATTATTTTGTTTTTCATCAACTGCTTTTATCCATCTCTTGATATCTTTCAAACATGCTAATGCATCATGACCCAATTTATATGGTGAAGGTTTTATATCTGAAGCATGATCAATACCTCCTAATGCAGATACTAATACTGATATATGAGCCTTTAATAATTTTTGAGCTTGAGTTTCATTTGGTTTTAGGGTGGTGGTTAATTTTCTTATTTTATCTTCTTCTGGTTCTTCTTGATCTGATTCTTGATCTTGTATTACTACGGGATTATTATGTGAATTTATTTCTTTTAATTGTTTTTCATCTATAATTTTTAATTCATCTTCATCACTATAATCAATAAAATCATCAAATTCTTCTAAATCATGATAATTTTCTTCAATAATTGAATCAGTATCTGAATTACTCATTAAATATTGTTGAAGTTTAATTGATTGAGTAGTATGATTTTAGCTATTTAAAAGTGAATGATACAAGTATATGAGTAGCTTTTGATATACTATATTGTATACTCAAGTATGTAATATTACGCGTGTATATAAATCAATTAATATATATTTTAATAAATAAACAACACGTCTAATTTAATACTGTATATAAAATTTTTTGCAACCAATGTCTCATTTTTGCAATGAAGTCAAAAGATATATTTAATTGACATTGAAATGATTTTTTCCCCACACAAAATATTTATAATAAACTTTAATTTTTATTAATGAGGAGTTAATTAATTATAATAGTTATGAGTATTTATCAAAAATTATTAAAGGGTTTTATTGAATTAGTAAATCAAATGATCATCTAATGTATATATATACTATTAATAACTGTTATTAATGATAACAATGTATGAATATAAACTTGAATACTTATTATTAATTGATTATTTCAAATCTTCATTTTAATAATTATTTAAATCAAAATTAATTGATAATTTATTTAAAATGATTTAAATTAATTGTAATAATATTGTTGTTAACTCCTTTTTTTATTAATAATTAAAGATTTTTTTGTTTTTTCGATTCCATATGTCCAAAAATCTTAAATGGTTTTTACATTAGATTATCATTTTTTATTGAATTGGTAAATTGAAATTCAAACCATTTTGATTTCGATTAATAATATCAATTTATTAACCTAATTAATAATAAAATTTTTTTTGTAGGTTGTTTTATAATGATTAGTTGTAATGTAATGTAATGATATCAAATAATTTATAAAGTCTTCTATAATAATGTACAATATATGTAGAATGTACTTTAAAAAACAAAAAACTCCGAAATCTTAAATTTTTTTGGTTAGGTTTCTTTTTATAAATTTGATTTCAAATATTATTATTATTATATTGATTCATTATCAATTTCTATTTTCTTTCCAATATTTTATTTTTACAAGTTTTTGATTGAATTGTAATTTAAAGGTAAAATTATCGCCAAATATCAATATTATAATAAAGAATATGTATTAATTGAAATGCAAGACGTAAGGCTCAATTATTGATTTTTAAATGCAATTTTTCAATTGAATTATAATAACAATAATAACAACTTATATATTATTATGAGTACCTTCTATCATTCTTCTGTTCTGTTAACTGTTTATAATGAATTATTATTATTATAAAATATTGATAAATTGTTAATAATAATTTATTATTATTAATTTAATATTACAATTTATAATAATAATAAACAGATTATCTATTAAATTTAGTACTTTTAATCACCCCTCATTTCCATGTACTAATATATAATATTAAGTAAAAATATATTATTATGAGTAGAAATTATCAAGTTCATGATGTACTTATAGAATTAGTTATACATATATTATTATATAGTTTGAAGCATTCATCATTGACTTGTCTCCCATTTACCTAACAACATCTTATTTCAATTAAAATAGAATTTTTTCCAACCTGATTAGAAACTAAACTCTTATATAATTTTACTCTATATACTTAAATTTATTATTTATTAAAATTAAAATTTGTGGGACATTTTTTGTTTTTCTTTAACAACCGAATATTAAAATTCATATTAAAAGAGACTGTGAGAAAATCAAAAAGACAACATTTTTTACAACCAAATTAGATTAAAAGATCAATCTATTCTATTTAACAAATTGTTCATATTATTATAATATTATTAATTATTATCATGTCAACAAATCTATCTCATTCAGAGAATGATGATAATAATCTAAATAATAATAATATAAATAGTAACAATAATAATAATAATAATCCAAATATCAAAAATACTAATAATAGTAGTAACCTAAGGTCAAGTTCAAACTCAAATTCAAATTCTTCAAATTCATTATCAAATCAATTAAATAGTCAACAAGATCAAAATTCAAATATATCTTCACATTCAAATATTGAAAATTCACAACAAACTTCAATAACCAATGACAATAAACCAAATTCAAATACTCCGAAAATTAAAAAAAATAGAAATAGAATATCAGTAAGTTGTTCAATATGTAAAAAAAGAAAATCAAAATGTGATAGAGCTAGACCTGTTTGTGGTTCATGTATGAAAAAATCTATTGCTCATTTATGTCATTATGAAACTCATTCTTCAAGACAATTTATAAATAATAATGGAAATAATATTAATCAATCTCAATCTCAACCTAATTATAATTCTAATTCTAGTTCTAATCAACCACAACAACAACAACCTCCATTTTCAAGTAATTATGGTCCACCTCCTTATTATAATGATCATTATAATATACAACGACAACAACATCCACCACCACAATCACAACCTCAATCTCAAAATATACCAGGACCTGCCCCTCCTCCTCCTCCTTTTCAACAACAACAACAAGGTCCATTACCACCTCATACTCAACAATATCCTATACCTCAATCTCCTTATTCCTCAGATCCTATAAATCATATCAATAATAATAATAACAATACTTATTCACATCCACCACAAGCAGCACCACCACCACCGCCCCATTTACTTCAACCACCAGCTCCACCTCCTTTACAATCATATTCTTCATATAATTCAAATCATCATCCACTGCCATCTGCAATGTATCAAACATCTAGTTCAAGTCCACCTTATATAAATAATCAAAAAACTATTCCACCTCAATTACCTATTCCTACACCTCCAATGCTTAATAGAAATTCTCAAGATAATAGTAAATCTAAAATTCCAAGTCCTCCAAAATCTGGAAATAATGCATTCAAACATAATCTGACAAGTTCTTCAAGTTCATTACCATTACCTCAACCTCCTTCTGGTCCAGCACCACCTATATCATCAACCACCATCACCAATGAACATAGAAATTCAACATCAAGATTAAGTATACCATCACCATCAAATTTTATGAATAATTTATCACCTCAATATCAAAGTGGAAATACTAGTTTTATGACACCTCCAATTACAAAATTAAAAGCAATGAATACAGAATCAATTCAATCACCTTCAAATTTTTCAAATCAAAGACCTGGTGGTTCAATATCAAGTCCTGCTTCTTATTCCTTAGGTAAAACTCCATCAATTCAATCAAATAACTCACCAAATTTTAAAGATTCATTATCATCAAATCCATTAGTTTCTATACCTTTAGGACCAAATTCATCATTACAAATAAGTCCAGATGATAGAATTAATGTTTTTTCAAATGCAAGTTTATCATTAAGTTGGGAAGGTCCAAATGGTCAATTACAAGGTTATCTTTCATATATTGGATTAACAAAAATAGATCCTTTCATAACCATATTAAGAAATTTTTTAGTCCACCTTTTCAAAACTGGAGAAATGGCAGATTTTATTGAAAGTGACACCACCAAAAAACGAAGAAGTTCAAATGGTTCAATAACTTCAGGTAAAAAAAGTGAACAATTATCACCAGCTCATAAAAAGCATAAACCTACTACATCACAAACAAGTCCCGCATTTAATCCAACAGCAATGGGATTAAGTGATTCAAATCAATCCAAAACTGATGGTGATATTAATAAATTATCTAAAAATGCTATAAATCATTTAAGAACTCAACCTGGAAACTCACTAAATGTTTCTTCTCCAATTGATGATTTCTCACCTAATACAAACACTAATAATAATAATAATCAACAACAAGATAATCCCAAGCCATCACTTTTTATCCCACCAATGGAACTATATGCTTTAGCAAATGATTCACAACTGTATTATTCAATAGTTGAAAAATATATTTCATCAATTTTACCAGATCAATTTAATCTGTTTCAATTATTTTGTCGGTTTTTCAAATATGTTTATCCCTTTGTACCTATTATAGATGAAAATTCATTAATTGTTGATGTTAAAAATTTATTAAAAAATTTCCCAGCTTTTAGTCATGATAAATGGACTACCTTAAAAATTAAAAATGATAATGATTTAAGAACTTTGGGAATATTTTTGTTAATTTTAAAACTAGGATACATGACATTTATTCATAATGATAATGTCTATAATGATTATAATGAAGAAGAATTATCAATAATATCAAATATGCAGTATATCACTTCCGATGTTTTTAAAAGAGCTATAAATTTATGTATTGGAAATAGTTTAAATTCATCAAAATCAACATTCAAATTAGTTCAATTATTATCATTACTTTATTTTTATAAAGAAAACTCGCCGGATGATGGACATGGAATATGTGGTGCTGATTCTCAAATATTATTGGGAATTACAATGAGACATGCATTATCTATTGGTTTGAATAGAGATCCTACAACTTATTTAACTCATGATAATATTACTAAAAATCCTGGACTTATAAAAACTTGGAGATATTTATGGCATTATCTTGTGGGTACAGATGCAGTTAGTTCATTACATAATGGTACAAATTTGAACCTAATGAATTTGGAGATTAGTGATGTTCACCTTCCTTATGAATCTAAAGATAAAACTGGTCAATTAAATGAAGTAATTAAAAAATCAATCACCATTTTCAAATATTATCGACAATTAGTTAAAAAGATTTGTAACGTAACTGAAAAACCAAAAGTAATGGATATTTTATCAGATACAAATTATTTAGAAAAGATATTTTTTGATTTTTTTGGTAAGGATTTTTTCAAAGCTGAAATATGTAAACCTGCTAAATTAAATCCTCAAGGTAATAATGGTTGGGAATCGGGAAGTATTGAACATGAAGAAACTTTTATAAAAGTATTAAAATATTGTATTTTTATTCAATTAAGAACTAATTTATCAGGACTTTATTATATGATTGCCATACATTATGAAAATGAATATAATGAATCTAGAACACCTTCCGTTAATGCAGGTATTGAATTATTTAAAATTTATATTAAATCTGTTGTTCAAATTGTTTATATTATGTCTTATGTATTAGACAATTCGGTTGAATTATTTGGAAAACATTATGATTATATTTTAACATCAGCTAATGAACGATATATGATAAAAACTCATTCATTTTTAACTAGTTTTTTCGTGAGGTTATTACATCAAAAAAAGGATCTTTCATTTAAAGTATTTAAAGAACCTAGTTTTATTCCTAGGTTAGAAGTAATGGATACATTATTCACCATGGTTCTTCTCGAAGCAGAATTATTTGTTGGTAATTTTAAAAAACTTTCTAGAACATATATAAACAGTTACAGATTATATATAATGACATATATTATATTAAGACAATGTGTTGAAAATCCAGATGTATTTTTTGAAAAAGCAATAAGTGATCAATCATTTTTCCATCAAGGTACAAATATGATTGAATTTTTCACTATAGCTGAATTACAACATTTATGTCAATTATGTAGTAAATTAAGAAATGCAAAAGATGAACAAAATAAATTAAAAATGGAAAGATTAAAAGCAAAAGGTATAATATTAAATGATGATCCACCACCAACTAATGATCTTTTAGATTTAAATAATAATGAATCATCAGAATATTTTAATATTGATGAATTTAAAGATGATAATTTATTATTTGATTCAAACAAAATGTTTGGTGGTAGTTCAATTTTAAGTTTTTTCGATGATGAAAAAATTTTTAATAATTTAAATAATTTAAAAGATGATATTTTAGATCCAATGGCTTGTAATGATGATTTAATTCGATTATTTAATATTTATGGAGATTTTGATGGGTTATTAGGTCTTCAATAAAACTAAAAAAAAAAGATAGTAATATATGTATAGAGATTATTTAATAAAAAGATTTTGTATTATTTTTGTAAAATAAATTAAAAATTGTTCATTATTGTCTTTAATTATTACTATTTATTATCCCTAACATTTCTTCTAATGGTAAACTATCAAATAAATCAAAATCTTTTAAAGCTTCAACATCAATTAAATTAGGTTGCTGAGATGTAACTTGTGATGATTGAAATTGTTGTTGTTGTTGTTGTTGTTGTTGTGGGAATTTATTATTATTATTTATAAGATTATTTATTGAAATTGGTGAATTTTGTTGATTAATTTGTTGTAAACTTGATGATGAAGAATTAGTTGACCAAATAGGTGAATCTCTAATATTGGAATAGTAAGGTTCACTATTATGTCTAGTTAAACCAACATCATTTGATGGTTGTGATTGTTGTGATTGTTGTTGTTGTTGTTGTTGATCTTCTTCATTCGTTGTCGACTTTTTATCATATTTTAATTTCATACTAATCCATAATTTATCAATTTCTTCAGAATTCATAAATTTAAAATCATCTAAAAATGACCAAGATTCATTAGTTAATGGATTTGATACAACGGCTTCTGTTGGTGGGAAACCTAAAATGTTTGTTTCTATTACATCTCCTTCTTTTAAGTATGTTGTTGATTGTGGAGTTTTAGGTTTAGGTGATGATGATTCATTTGTCTCAACGGGTGTAAAATTTGTTGTTTCATTTTCATTATGGACTTCATTATTTTCAAAATCAACTTCAACTTCATTTTTTTCATCTAATCCATTACAATTACTAGTCATACAATTTTGTTTTTGGAAAGTAGTAAATTTTTTTAAATTTGATTCACAAATTTTAATAATTTCATTAAGTTGAGAATCTTCTAAATCTAAAAATTGATGAAGTTCTCCAGGTTGAAAAAATTTCATAAAATTATCATTGTTTATACAATTTTCCAAAATATATGAATGAGCTTTAGTTATCCTCCAAGCATAATAATAACGTTGACTTAATCTTGACATAGCCATAAGACAAATCTCACTTATTTTTTCAATTAATTGACATATTTTAACATACTTCAAATACTTCTTCTTGTATTCTATATCACCACCAATAGCTATGTTCTTGACGTGATTTGATTCGTTAACGTACCTCATTGTATATATTGTTGCTTTTAATCTAATGAGTAAAGCGAAATTGAATTGAGACATTTTGTGAATCATTGATTGAATTCCTGGATTCAAAATAAGGTCTACTGTTATTGATGAACCAAAGTTTTTGTGATTGTTATATAGCAATTGAAAAATGTACGGGAAAAATTCACCATAAAATATACTTGATAACTTTTTTAAATAAAAAAATGCCAAGTGTTTGGAATTTGGTACATTTTGATGAGATTGAGCTTCGTAATATAAATATAAGTGATAAAATATCATATTTAAGAACATCTTCATGTTGATATAATTCTTACATTTCATGGTCTTAATAAATGGGTATGCGTAATTATCTTCATCATAAGGTATCAAAAAAAATTTGAGTATACCATAATTATCATTTAAAAAAATTTCAAAATCACTAATCATTTCAGTTAATTTGGCAATTTCCAAAGGTCTTTTCATATTTAAACATCCATTTAATATATCAACTAATTTGTAATGGTATTTTTCAAAATATGCAAAAGTTCCAATAACGTGTTTTTCCAATTCAACGTTTTGAATATTATTATTTCCCAATTCATAAAATGGTAATCTAGTATCATACATTGCTTCACTTATCCCCAATTGGTTCCCATATTGATACCCTTGAATTAAATCACAAATAATCATAAAAAACCATAATTTTCTATGTAAATTTTGTAATTTTTCATCTTCTTTTATATCATCATATTTTATAGTTGTTCCATCTCTATTTAAACCTATAGCTAATGCCATTTGGATAGATAATGCAGTATATATTTGAGAATCAGCACCATCAGCACCATCACCATCCTCGGGTGAAAACAATGAATGTAATCTTAACAAGAACGTTAATTGTAAAACAATTAATGAAGTTCTTCTATACAAATCAAATTGAGATAGACATAGTTTAGCTTTCTCAATTAATTTTATGTCTGGTGGATTGTCCAATATGTATTTTAATTGTGGTGATTTATTAGCGTCATTATTTGTTGACCTATTAGAAATTAATGAAATATGAGCTAATCTAATAATAATAAATAATACACCCAAAAAAGCAAAATCTAATCTTTTTTCAATATTTAATTCTTCAATTTTTTTTTCTTCATACCCTTTAGATCCAATTAATCTTTCCATTTCTTTTGTATATTCAAATTCATCTAAAATAGGCAAATATGGATACAAATATTCAAAAAAGAAATCAATCGATAACCAAATTATTTTTTGATTTGGTAAATAATTTTTCAAATTCTCAATTAAATTTAATTCTTCTTCAATTTTACCCTTCCCATAAGACATGACTTTTGAACAACAATGGTTTTTCCCATGCTCACCTCTCTTATGCTTATGTTCATGAACATGATGAATATGATCATTTGGATTTGAAGTAGCATTTTTGTCTGATTCATTAATCTTATCTAGATTATCGCCAGGAGTAGTAGCACAACGTACATCAGGTGCCGATTCTCTTTTTCTTTTACATTCTTCTGATAATCTACTAAATTTACCACCACCTCTACCACCTCTTACTTCCAGTTGTTTAAAATTGGTTTTAATGTTTCCATATAATCTTAAATCATTATATCCATCTCTATCTATTGCTTTTTCTCTAAAATCATCATCTATGACATTAGTTTTAGGATCTTGTAATGATGATATAGGACTATTTATTGATGTTGCACCCGAAGTTCTTGTCTTTTCTTTTGTCGGTGGTTGATGATGATGTAATGGTTTACATTTTATATGTCTTGGTGTATCTTTTAAAATTGATCTATTTTCTGATCTTAAATGTTGTAAAAATTTCCATGATAAATTTAAAGCTGGATCTTTTTTAAGAAATGATAACCATGTAAAAGGTCCATGATTGTATCTTCTATTTATTTCTTGTAAATATACTGATGAATAATCTGAATAAAAATTCATTGTCTCTTTCGGAGTGGTTTCATTATATGGATTTATTCCAATAAATGTTGAATTTGATGAGTTTGTTGAATATGAGTCAAAATTAAAAATCGGTTTCTTTTTGGTCTTCTTTGGTTGTGTCTGTGGTTGTGGTGGTAATGGTGGATCTATTATTTCTATAGATGCTGGTGACGATTTGTCTTGTGAAGTAATATTAGTTTCTAATTCTTTTAATTTAGATTTTAAAAAATTTAATTGTGAATAAACATCATTATCATTAGATGAATTAATTGGCAAATTTGGTGGTTGTTCAACTTCTGAATCAACTTTCTTCTTCTTCTTTTTAGGTTCACTCACTGACTCAGTAGAGGATGAAGCATTCAATCGTTCAACATTAAAATGATCACTATCTTGTTGAGCTCTAGTCCAAGTTGGATTTTGATATTGACAAGTTGAACCATATTTTATACATGAGTCACAAGGTTGTTTTCTATCACATTTAATTTTTCTTTTCTTACAACTTAAACAATTCAATGATACTCTATTTCTTTTCTGTTTTGGAGTTTTGGTTGATGGAATTGGTTGTTGTTGTGAGTTTGAAGTTTCTGAATTTAAATGTTCATTTACTCCTGTTTTGGATAATTGGAATACAGATTCCATTATCTACCTGATTAGTTAATTGTATGATTATCTGATACACAAAGTATTGAATAGACTGAGTAAAATGATGAACTATTAAATTGATATCAATTAATATAAAAATGTTGACAACCAAAAAATTAATTAACAAAAATTAAATCCTACATGTATTCGGTGATAAAATTTTTTTTTTGTTACATCCTAAATAAGATTTTATTAAGTATTAAAAAAGAGCTACCTAATTCCGGATTAGTAACGGAATTTTTTTGTTTATTAAACAAACAAAAAGATAATTGAACTATTAAAATATCAAACCCTGCGATATCAGTTACTCATAAGAGTTATAGAGTTGATTGAGTCATTCTTGATTTTTTATATCTCAAAAAGCAAATAAAATTGGGTGAAACTAAATTAAATCTTTGAAAAAAAGTAAAAAATTCTAATTAACTTAAAGTATTTGGTAGAGTTTGTAAGCGAAATCTTAAAAATACTCAAACATTTAAAATTTAAAATATTTAAAGTCAAAAGATATCTTGAGAAACCAGTCATTCAATTAAACTTTTTCTTATAAACTTTAAAACTTTAAATGCCTGTCATTTTTATACTTAAACTCTTGTGGATCTTTAAAGATATTTATCGAGGAATGCCAAGTTATTAACCCTTAATACAAGAAAAGACCCATCAGTACCGCAATATTAGCAAAATAATATCAGGGTACATTTAACAAGAAAATAATTAAGTGTACCTGAATATAAATCATATTTGAAAAAAAACAGGGTATTTTAGAATGCAGAATCAAAACACAAATAATAAATCAAACATAAATTTACATAAACTTGAAGTTACGGAAATATGATAAATAATAAAATATTTTTCATAAGTTTAAATATCTCCTCAAGAGGTTAAATGATGTTGAAAAAAAGTAGTAAAGTAATAAAAGAAGAAGTAATTAGTTGAAATAATGTTTTTAATAATCTTATTAAATTAAATAACTCTATATAATAATATAACCGTGAAAAAATAAACCCAAAAGATGTTAAAATATTGAACTGAAAGTAATAAAAAATGAACCAGCATTAAATATAATATTGTTTTTAGTTGTAGTGTCTTTTTCTAAATTCTAATTGAACTATTATTAAATTTTTTTAATAATTCATTTAATTCAATTTCTTCTTTCATTGCAGTAAATTCAATAATTGGATCAACTTCCATTGGTTTAGTTAATTGATTTAAAGAATTTGAAGAATTTGATGAACTTATTGTTGTAATAGCTGAATTTGTAGAATGTAACAGATAATTTGATTCTATTGAATTAATTGAAGTAATTGAACTTGTAGAATCTTGTCTATAATGTAATTGATTATATAATGGATTTTCCTTTTTGATTGAATTTGATCTTGATGATGAATTAGATGAAGTTGATGATGATGATGATGGTGAATATTGGACTTGTTGTTGTTGAGCTTGAGCTTGTAATTGAGCTTGTTGTTGTTGTTGTTGAGCTTGTTGTTTTTTCCATAATTTAATTTTTTCTTGTTTTAATAATTGATTCTTTATTGGATCTAAAAATGAACCTAAACTTTCAATCATTTCACTATTTGAAACTTTTAAATCCCAATTTAATAAATAAATTAATTGTCTTTCCATAAGATTTATATCTTTAACATTAAATAATCCATCAGTATATTTTGCCCAATGTTTATTTTTTGGTGAAGAATCATTATGAAATTTTGAACTTAATATTAAACAACTTAATAAAATTCTATGTCTTGTACATGGTAAACCTTGAGCATTTTTTGGTAATTTTTGTTGTAATTTTTTTAAATAAATTAAAGTTGCCATTAATGTTCCAGTATAAACATTTGTATATTTAATTAATTTTGTTAAAAAAGTCATTAAACTTGGTAATTGTTTAATTGTATTGTTTGTTGTTGTATAAGTTTGTGATTTTGTATCTTTACATGGTATAACTTGTAATGTTGCAACTACTAATTTATGAATCATATCATGAGTTATTGGACCATTAAGAAAAATATTAAGTGCTTGTAAATCAATTGATGAAACCATTTTAGCTAGTTTATGTTATTATTATTTGATAATTTAAGTAATTAAAGTGAAAATTAAAGTTGATGATGATAATAAAAAAGAAGAATGATAAATTAAATTTTTGAACATTTGAGATACTTCTGATGGTATATATATATATATCCATTCTTGAAAGTATTATAATAAAAATAAAAATGATAATTAAGTCTAAAAGGAGTATAATAATTGAAAAAATTATAAAACAATAATAAAAACACAAAATCTAAATCTCATTAGTAGAAAAATAATTTATTATTTAATTTTGAAACACAATACAAAATCGAAATACACGATAAATTTTTGATTTACTAATACAAAAAATCATATCGTTGTATATACAACCAATATATACCCTTGATAATCAAATTAAATTGAATCATTACGAAAAATCATTGAAATCAATTCAATCATGATATCGTAAACTATAACAAGATCTAACAGAAATTATCTCAAAAGATTTTAAAGGATAAAAATTAAGAATTTCCCTTAATAATATCGCGTTTTACACTGATATTATTAATAAATAAATATATGAAACACAAAATTATGAATAAATAATAATCTTTAAAAATTTAAAGATTTTCAATTTTATTATTATTTTCTTTTTACGAATAGAAATTCGTTAATTTTTTTACTTTTTACAAGATTATATAATTATAATTTTAATATTTAAAACAAAATAAATAAAAAAAAGGATTTATAATACATTAACTCACATATCAAAATCAATATTTAAAGAAATCTGTAGATACAAAGATTTATTTAAAATCTTTACTCTACTTAACAACCTCCTTTATATCATGAGATTTAAACTTCATTTTACTATATTTAAAGTTTTTGAAAGTGGAGAACTTTAACTATAAAGCTAATGATTTTTCAAAGCTCCTTTTTAATTTTTCTTCAATCTACCCTGTCAATTTATTATAAATTAGTGGTTATTCATTTTACCTATACTATTTCCAATCTTTCGCTTTACTAGTATTATTAGACGATTTTTAATTTAGTATAATTTAATCTAGAACTTCTAACTTTTAGAATAAAACCGTTAGATTAAAGAACAATAGGATGTTGAGTTAATTATTAACGTGACAGAATTAAAATTAGGGGCAAGATCTTTTATTCTTTTTAGTTCTGATACAAAAAGTTTTATATTTTTTAATAATACGCGTATAAATTATGTAGTACGCGTTTGTTTCAGATGTACCTTAAATAAATTTAGCTGAATTTTTTATTATGACGTTTTACGAATACCAAATTAATAATAAGTCACACGTAAAATTATAATAGTAGCCATTAATTACGAATGAAACAGTTTCAAATTAAAATTTGTTGTAATTACAACTCAGTATTACGAACTAGAATTGCAAATTTGAAACATTGTAAAAAGTAATACAGATCCACATCAAGTATTCAAGTCAATATTTGTAGTGGTGTTTTAGAACGTATTTGACGAATTTGTAGATGATCTCATAAATCATTTCTAAATGTAGTAAAATTAATTTTGTCAGTATAAATGTCAAAACGTATTGACAATCCTTTTTCCAGAAAGTACGTCAAATCAAAAAAACGATCAAAAATTTAAGAGTTCACGCGACAATTCTTGAGTTTTCCCCTTATTTAATTTTACGTATGGCCGATCTCATTGAATTAATAAGTCGCGTGAAAAATTTACGCCTCTTTTTGCCCTTTCGTACTAGCCTTTCACGCGAAAAATTATAACTTTAAGTCGAAAAATTTAATTTTTTGAACAAGGCTTGCAAAAAATAGAACATTAACTTAAAATGGATAAATTTTATATTTTTTGTACAAGGTAATTACATTTCTTAATTCGTATTATTTAAAAGACGATGAGTATAATTTATAGGAAATAGCATTATAATCTGAACGATCTAGATTTTATTTTTAATTAGATTTCGTTATTTAATTAGGTTTCTTAATTTGGTTAAATTATATGCTTTCTACTTCTTATTAAAAAATATCAATTTAATCGAATAAAATGGCTCTACAGAAAAGAAGACACTTGTTTAGATCTTTAATTAGGTTTCTAGTTTTGGTCAAATTATTCAATTGTACTTGTAGTACTTTGTCAAACTTAATAATTTACTTCTTCAATTTACGTCTAAATCTTTCTTTAAGCATGCAGTGTTAGATACCTTCTATAAGGGATCTAATGTACTCGAAGTCGTAGATTTTTAAATTTAGTAGTGATTGAGAAAAATACATTTTACTTTTATTCAATTATACAAGAGAATTTCAATACCAAAATCATTTCATTCAAAACTAATTATAAAAAGGAAAAAATAACCAAAAACAAAATTGAAAAATTCAAACTTTTTAAAATCAGAAATTTGGGTATACTGGGTCTGTCATGCTATGAGTTATCAGACTGGTGCACAGCGTTTTGTCATCATTATAAAAAGAATTTGAAAATTTTTCAAAAATAATTTTTTTTCATTATAGGTATATTCTTTCCTTAAAAACTCTATTGAAAAATCACATAAATAGTCGAATAACCATTACTCTTGTATCCATGTAATTATAATTGGCAAATGAATTGAATTTATAAATTTGATTTGTTGTTGTTGATGAAAAAGAAAAGAAGAAAGTGAAAAAAAAAAAATTTTTAAACATCTTTCTGATTTTTATATCAAAAATTTTTTTGAAAATTTAAAGATAGTTTTGATTTTGTGTAACAATTATACAAAAAATCAAAAATGGAAGCATAGAGGTGAATGAAATGAATGAATTGAAAATTAATAACCAATCGTTTATTACAAATTATTACATTTGTAATAAATAAAAGGATACAGAAAATTTCAATTCAAATAAATAAATCATAATTTTAATAATATTTTGACATTTATTCAAATTTGAAAGAAAGAAGATGGAATTATATGGGATCACCCAATTTTGAGAGATGTAGAAGAAAAAGACGACACCAAAATTATCTTCTTCCACCTCTAGATCCACCTCTGGATCCACCGCCTCTAGAAGATCCACCCCTTCCACCACCTCTTCCACTATCTCTTCCACCTCTTCCGGAATCTCTTCCTCCTCTAGATGAACCGCCATCTCTTCCTCCTCTAGCTGAACCTCCATATCCACCACTTGATGAACCACCATATCCACCATTTGATGCACCTCTTGAATCTCTTCTTCCTCCAGGTCCTGAAGGTGGTGGAGGAGGAACAGGATTAGTTGAACCTCTTGGTAATGTTCTACCAAATCCACCTGATGGTGCACTAACACTTGAAGAACCAGCACCATGATGATCACTTCTTGGAGTTCCACCCAATGCTTCATTAATAAAACTACTAGTGGAGTTACTGGCAGCAGCAGCAGCAGGAGCAGCAGTTGTTGTTGTTGCAGGTGATGATGCACCACTTGGAGCAACTAAATTTACACGTTCAGGATTAACGGAACCACCAGTTGGTTTTTTAGTAGCACCACCAGAAACATTACCATCATCTCTTGGACGTTTTTTAAAATCTGATGGATGATATTCATCTTCTCTATGACTTGTACTTCTACCACCACCACCACCAGAAGATTTTTCAAATTTACCTTTTGATTTAAATGAATTACTACCACCACCACCACCTCCACCTCTATGAAATCCTCCACCATTTCTATTGTTGTTACTATTATGTTGAATGCTTTTCAATGTTTGAGCCCAAGCTTCTTGAGTTGATGCAATATTTTGTTTCATATAATCTGCAACGATATCAGTAATATCTTTTTTATTGATACCCAAAATTTGTTGAGTTAATGGAGCTTCAGGGAAATTAACTTTTGATTTAATTTTTTCAAATCCAATTAAATTATAACCTTTTTTATTCTTTAAATATTTTAAATATTCTTGAGTTAATAAACTTGTAAATCTTTTCAATGGTTCATTATGACCTTCTAAAATTTTAAAAAATAATTTATATTCTAATGGTAATAAACCTAAAAATAAATTAATTTCATCTTTTGATTCTTTAATTCCCTTTTGATTGTTAATGAAAAAATCAATAATAAATCTAGGATTTGATTTTGATTCAAATTCAGACCAATAACTAGTTAATTTATTAACAATTTGTCTTTCAATTGTAATTGGATCTCTACCATTAAGATAATTAACAATATCACTCATTGTAATATTAATAAATTTTGATTTAAAATTTTGATTATTTTGTCTTAATCTTTCTTTTAAAAATCCAAACATTTTTTTAGATTCTAAATCAGTGATAAATTCAGTTGCTAAAATTTGAAACATACCATCATATTCATGAATAGTTCTTGGTGATGGAAAATTCCCACAAATATGATCATAATTATAATTTTTTTTATCTAAAAAATAAGCTTCTGAACCATTAAAATGTCTTAAACCAATTTCAACATATGCTTTAATATCATGAAAATTATTATCTTTTGGTGGTGAAGCATTTTCATAAGCTTTTTTATATTCATTTGAAATAATTTCTTTTTGAATTTGGTAAGTTTTTAAATATTCTCCATATGCTACTTCTTCTCCATCAACTAAAATAGTTTCTCCAGTAATATCAATTGGTGATCCTTCTTTGATTTCTTTCTTGACTACAACATTAGTGGTTTCCATTTCAACATCATCATCTTCTTCATTAATAACAATTGGATTAGATTTTGAGGATTGTGATTTAAGAACACTAATAGGTTGTTCAACTTGAGCCATCTTTATTATAGATCATAAAATCAAAGGAGTAGACAACAATTAAATTAATCTTTCAGTGATAAGTATCAAAAAAATATGATTTGATTAAAATTGAACAATAAAACAAAAAGTAAGTTGGGGAAAAGTTACTTATAATTAAATTAAAAAAATATGATGTGTTCGTCAAAATTTTCTTTAATTTAAAATTAATTTCAATTTAATTTAAATTATTCTCTCTCTATTGTTTCAGATTTAATTAGATTAAATCAAGTCTTTTTGTTGTCTAATTAATTATACTTAATATTAATGTAAATGTACGTTGAATTAAACTATGAACATAAATCCCTTAATTTTATTATTTATTACTACTATTAAGTATTAATTAAATTAGCCCTTAAATAAGAAAAAATTAAATGGCAAATTCAAAGCTACCAATTAAATTGAAATTTTCAAAAGAACTAATATAATAATTTATTATATTTTGAATAACTTTAGGTTGATAATGAAAATTAGTAAATTTACATTTAAAATTTCAAAGGACTAAGTTTCAGATCACTTTAAACGGAAATACAAAATTTCTTATTAACCAATATAAAAAGACTATATAAAATTAATAACAGTGGAACCTAACCGCCTTAATAATAACCCAAACCGTATTTTCATTATTCATTACTTTGTTACTCAGTTAATTCATCATTAATATTTGAATAATTTATTTTTAAATTTGTTCTTCTTAAGTTACGTCCAAACATTTTTGGTTTCTTTAACCAATAAACTCTTTTAAAACTATGATCTTTAAAAGGTTCATAAATAACAGCATCTTTATTTTTAAATTTTTGTTTTAATAATGGAATTTGTATAGATGATGAAAAAGTTGTTGCGCTATTACCTAAAGATTTTGAAGTTTTAAAATATCTCCATAATCTAAATTTTATAGTATGACCTATATTTTTTATTAAATTTTTCATAAATTTTTGAGTATCTCTTGCAACATCATATTTAATTTTGAATAAAATATCAATTTTATCTTCTAAATTCATTAAAAATAATTTATATAAATGATTCCTCAAATTTCTTTCTCTTCTTTTATTTAGTGGTAATAAAAAATAAATTGGTAAAATGCTAAAACTTTTCCAAATGTAAATCGTACCTGGTTTTTCATTTTTAATTTCACATAATATAAATTGATTTGATTTTATGTAATCATTATGGAATTCATTATTATTTAATAATTTCGCATTCGAACTTTCAACTGTAGTTTTGATTTCATCTAATAATAATTTTTTCATTATCCTTATTTCTTGTTCAATTCTATTTGTAATTTGATGATTATTTAATTTTAATCTCTTGTAATTTTCAGTATTACTTACTTGTATGTAATTTCTTGGAATTCCTAACTTGTTGCTAAGATATTCATGAGTTGCTTTATTAACTTGAATTGTTGGACTAGCGTAAATTCCACCTCTATTATCCGATGTAAAATTTTTATTTTCATAGTCGTATAATTCTTTTAATGGAGTAACTCTACTTGGATCAATATTAATTGAACCATCTTTTTCTGTAAAATTTAAATCGAATTTCTTGACGTTTATCTTATCACCAAATGATGGTAAATCTTGTATAAATTCTCTTGGGTATATATTTGAATCCATTTTCCTTAATGGTACACCTATCAAAGATCTATCAAACCCCACTACATTATATGGATACTTCATTTTATCATTTATATATTCATAAACTGCATTTTCTGGATTAAATTTATCAGTTTCATTTCTTCTTAACATTTTAAATTTTGTTTGTATACCTCGAATAGTTTGTCCCAATAATATTAAATCATTATTATAGTCGTAAAAATATCTTTTTAAGTATTTTTCATGCATTTCTTTATTTGAATCTAGTTTTGATAAATTTGAATACATATCATTAATTTTAGTCATTGATAAATCATCTTTATTTAATAAGTTAATTTGATCAGGTAGTTTTTTGATTATTTTCTTGGAATCTATTCTATTCTTATTTTCAAATGACATAAAAGGTCGATTTCCATCTAATGCTAATTGAAATAAAAATTCTTTATTTGACATATGAGATATTGATTCATATTCTGATAATTGTGGTATTTGATTTATCAGATCTTCTTCATCTTGATCTTCTTGTTTTGTGAGTTGTTCTTCTTCTTTCCCATCTTCATTATTTTCTATTTTACCTTCTTGTAGTGATACTCCTAAAATTTTGAGCATCTGCTTAGATTTTTCATCTTTACATAGTATTGATGATTTATTAAAATGACGTAGTTGTTGATTTTTGGATAGTGTTCGTATTGTGTTGATCCTTATCAGTGATAATAATCTTGACATGTTTTAAAATCTATAAATGAATAAATAAAATGAATATGATCAGGTATAATAAGTGCTTTGGTATGAATAAATGAACTTGATAGATAGTTGATAAGTAATGAATATAATTATAAATAGTTAATAATAACTTAGTAAGTAATAAAAATAATGTATTTAAACTTTATAATATTAGTTGATAAGAAAATTAAATAAAGAATCATTTGATTTAAAAATTAATATAGGTAGTGTAAATTTAGTCAAATTAATGTATTACTTTTACTTAACTATATAAACCGAGTTCGTTAAAGCCACAAACAGACTATTAATCATATCTTTGAATAACTTGGCCTGTATGACTTCACTGGGAAGGAACAATTAACAATCAGACCTTGAATTAACATGAATTCTATAAGGTGTGCGATTAACGATGTCATGCTAGTTTACAGCTATCAGAATTCATACCAAAAACAGCATCGTGTTTTGGAGACAGCGCTTCCCTACACGATGTCAAGGTTTAGGTGCTTGACGAATCTACTGACAGCTGAGCCTATAACGTATTCGAAAATTAAAGATCAGAAGTTTAGAGATCAGCACTATAGATTTTATTAGTTGTTTTCACAAGGAAGATTCGAGCCTTATGCCCAAAATTTTATTCAAACCATTCATTTCTATAAAAAAATTGAGGCTTAATATATCGACTAAAGTAAAACCTAAAGTAGTTTGAAATGGTAAGAATATTGACTGAGTTGTTTAGTTCTAGTCTACTATTTCATATTTTGCAGCTAAATAATTCTCTAACACAAATTCAAACGAACTGAAAAAAAAAAAAAATTATTTTCAATCAAAATCAACTATACCAAATTCAACCAACCAAATATCTATTCAAAAAAATGCCATACAAAAAAGTAGGCCCTCCACCAAAGAACCTACCACCACTCCCAAGACTAAAAGTCCGTAGACCAATACTAGGTAAACAAACAAATCAATGTTTTGTATATATGTCAAGTTTATTAAATTGTTGGGCATCTAATGGTGAAGGTAATTCAATTTGTTTTGAATTTGAAAAAAATTTGAAAAATTGTATGGAAGTTTATAAACCTGAAAAGGAAAGCATTAGTACTATTAATTATCATGCTTCTAGGCTATATCCTAAATTGAGAGGGAAGAATTAGGTGAATAATTTGGTGGTGATGGATGGGATTTTAATGAAAACTTTATAATGACTGGATTTTATTTTGAAAATTTTATAGAATAGAAAGAGATAAGATTGGTTGTTGTTAACTTGTACATAACGAATTTAATGAATAAATTATTTAATAATTGGACTTTTGTTTTAGCAAAGAACAGCTATTGGTATTAAATCTAACTCTATAAAAATTAATTTCTAACTCTAATTAATCTATTTAAAAACTTTACCATCAGCAATTTCTCTTTTTTCACCATTAACTTCAACTGGTTCATCCCAAGCAAACATGTTATCAACAAATTTTTTAGTTTCTTCTTTTGAACCATCTAATTTAGTGAATTCATAAGATTCCCAATCTGGTGCAACATCAAAAGCTGGAACATAATCTTGACCTCTAACTAAAAAGGCACCAGTAATACCATTATTATTGTTTTCACCATAAACAACCATACAACCAAACATATATTTAGTTGAAGCTGATAATCTATTGAAAAAACCACCAACTAAATTATTTGACATAAAAGTTAAAGTTAATTCATCATTATATTTATAATCAACTTTCCATAATGACCATTCTTCGGGATCATATTGATTTTTCCAAAACCATGGAATAGCAGTTTCTCTAGTTTCTTCATTTGAATAAACTCTTTTCCATTCATCTAATGGAGCTTTTGGTTTACCTAAGGCTTCTAATGGATGTTTTGGTTTTGGAGCAGCAGCTGGTTCTTCATCTTCAGTAGCAGCAGCTTTCTTTGGAGCGGCTTCTTTTTTAGCAGCAGCTGGAGCTGGAGTAGTTTCTTTCTTTTTTTCTTTTTTTGGTGGAGTGAAAACTAATGGTTCAGCACGAGCTTCAAAACCTTTAAATCTACCTTCCCAAAATGGAGCTTGAGAAACAGTTTTAAACCATCTATTGATACCTGGATATTGCTTCAAGAATGGAGCACCTAAAACTGATTGTAAACCAAGTGAAACAGTAGCAGCTGAGAAAATATCAGCATAAGTTAATCTTTCACCAACTAAATAAGTAAAATCATTTAATCTTGATTCTAAAATTTTAGCAACAGTATGAGCTTTATTTGAATATTCATCATTGTTTTTTTTGTTGAATGGAACTTTACCAGCAGCCATATAAAACATTGGAACAACAGCTTCTAACCATTCTTGATTCATTAATGATAAATATTGTAAAATTGAAGCATATTGTTGAGCATTTTTACCTAATAAACCACCTAATTGATCTTTTGGAACTAATGAAAATAAATATGAAGCAATTGCAATAGTTTCAGTTAATGAATAACCTTTTGGACCTAAGAAAGCTGGAGTTTTATCTAATGGAAATTTAGCATGATATTTTTCATCTTTATCATCAGTTAATTTAACATCTAATTTAAAATGTTTAATAAGATCTTCTAAGACGAAAGATCTTGGAGAAACTTTCAAAATATATAAAGTACCGGCTGACATTATCAATTGAGTAATTGGTCGTTAAATTGAACTTTGGTTGTAAATTCAAAAAAAAGTGTTGTGAACCTTAAAAATTTTTTTTTTCCATAAAGTTCATCGAATCATCTTATTATATACAAAACAGTATACATTTATTTTCTTTTGCAACCAAATTTTAAAAATTTAAAAATCAATGAGTAACGGGGTTTTTGAAAACTTCAATTGTGTAATCTACTTCAACTAAGCCTCGACAAATGAAAGTATTAAGAATATACATGATTAAATACTGTCAAGCAGTAGATCAAAACAATTCAAGAGTTACACGTGTGAAATAGAACACTTCATTGTTAGGCACGTTAAGAGGTGATGCTATTGGGTAATTTATTTACATTATAGCTCTCTATATTTGAGTTCGATTCAATCTCATTTGATTGATTCAACAGAATTGAACAGATCAGTAGTAGAACCAAATTGTACATATCATATATTTAAGGTAATGATGTATTCAAATACCTCAATATCGGAATAAGATTAATTAATACATTATTTCATTTACAAAACTTTCTGTTGTAAAAACTCACTAAAGTAAAAACTTTAAAAGAATTTTAATAAAAATTAGAAGAATAAAAAAATATTAAATTTAAGACATAATAATTAATTTGAGACATATAGTACATAATAAATTGTATACTTTATTAATATTTAAATGGATGGTTTAAATAGTGCTTTTGGGAAATCATAAATTCAATATAAATACATTTATATTAGTTAATAGCAGGAGTATTCTATCATATTCCTTTTGAATCTTTTAAATTTACAAGATTGTATCAAAGTAAGATTATATTTTACTAATAAAGGGTCTATCGTTATAATTTCTGTTATAATATGTCAAATTTAATTCTTTCACAAATATTATATATTATTAACAGAAATAATAATAATTAATTATTATTATAATAGTTGACAAGAAAGAAATCCATCAAAATCTTATCTTTAGATTTCTTTGAATTTCTTAATTTGTTCAAATTTTTATTTCATCTTGAATTATTATCAAATTAGTAGATTACAAATTTATGTTAGTGATATTATGTAAATTTTTAAATCTTAAATTTCTATTCTTTAAATTTTAAAAAGTTTGAATAATAAAATCTAAGCTTTAATAAAAAGGGTGTTAATCAATTTATTCTACAAATTCAAGATTAATAAACAAAAATATTGACTTTTTACTTTCAGCAATGACTTATAGAGAACGATATTACAATTTTGTATAATTTCTTTGTATAACTCAATCAATTAATATGGGTTGTAAAAATATCTAAATATTATTATCACTCACGTATTAAATTAATTATTTCTAAGCCGTATAGCCCAATATTTAAAATTTTTTTAATTAATTAAATATTATATTCAAATATCCATATTTTTTACAACTAACTTCAAAACACATTTCCTATCGAATATTATCATCATCTATATGTTTCATTAAAATTTTATCAAATACAAAGTTCACTAAGTTTTAACTGACTATTCAAAATTATCAACATCTAACCACAAAATCAAACAATCGAAACTACACCATGCTATTCACGTCACCATTTATAACAATATTTCTAATATATCTAACATACTTCATTAATCCTTGCATATCAACATTTATAAAATCTCATCCATGTTCAACAAAACAAAATCAGTCAAAATTACAACCATTTATAATAAACGTTGCATTAGATACACATCAAAAGAAATTAAAATTTTTTATAAATTCACAAGTAGCATTATATGATGGAATAAATACTGATAGGAATCCAGCTATTACTAATTATAATTCTACAACCAATAGATCTACTTCACTACAAGTACAAATAAATTTTATGGGTAAACAATTTATAAATGAAACCAAAAATTTTTGTGATTTAGTGTCTGTTAAAAATACAACAAGTTTTAGAAATAGTCCAAGATTTGTAAAGAATAATAATAATACCACGAATAATAATGATAATGATAGCGATGATCCTTTAAGTCCGATGAATATTATGTCAAATTCTACTAGCAATGAAACTTCAAAAGCTCAAATAAGTAATATAAACTCATTAATAGATCGTATGAACCGAACTTCATTAGGTTCAACTGATAGTACCATCACTGAATTATTTTCAAATTCTACAGGAAATTTGGTTCAGTGTCCATTATATTATAATGATTCAATAATGATTTATTACGAAGCTGATGTTAGTGAACATTATCATAGATTAGGATCCTATCAAATTGTATTCAAAGTGCTAGATAATGATAAAGATTCAAAATGTATAGGGTGCTCAAAAACATATGTGACTCCAGTTCAACCAGCTTTTATAAATGATGCTATAACAATAGGTATTTTAGTGATTATGGCAGTTTCTACAATTGTAAATATATTTACTGTCTCATTTTCATCATATCAAGAATCTACAAATCCCTATTTATTTAGGGCATCAACCATATGTAATGAAAAGCTACTAAATCAAATTGATGCAAGCGTTCCTGATATTATAATGTATCTACAGTACGCATTATTCTTAGGTGGATTAGATTTATTATACCCCGGTTTTTATCAACCAATGTTGAGTCAAATTAGTTGGTGTGCTTTATTAAATTTTTCAATCATTGGTAGTTCCAGTCCTTGGGATGATGAAGATGAAGATAATGTTTATGTCACTATGGCATCTGGTGGATTATCAAGTTTAACTTTAGTTGGAAATAATAATCCAATAGTAAATAATTGGCCAAATTTCATGGCTATATTGTTAATCGTGATTGTTATTGTTATTGTTGGCAAACAGTTATTTATTGGTGCAAAACTTTTATTTGATAAATTTATTGAATTAACTTGTAAAAAAACTATTAAAAATCCTTCACCTTTTCAATTTTGGTCAAAGAAAAATGTCTATTTAGTTGCTGGTCAAATTTTACAAATGTGGTTGGTTGTTTTTGGAATGCCATTTTTAATATTAAGTTCATTTTTATTTTTATCTGCTAATGATATAAATGGAAAACATCGATCGTTAACTAATTTTGGTATGTTAAAGAAAGGGGTTTTTTCATTTACAACTCCATATAATGAATTAATAATTCCTAATAAAGTTTTCTCATTTGGATTAAGAGCTTCGTCACTTGAAGGATTTCATCAAGCACCAATTCCGAAATTTCCACTTATTGATGGTCCAGATAAACCTAAAAAGACGGATAATGATGATAATTGGTTAACTTCAGCACCACCACCAAATTCTACTTTCAACAATACCTTATTACATTCAAATTTAACACTTGGCGGTACAAAATTAAAAGGTCATGATTGTGATTATATGAATATATCAAATGCAAGTGTTGCATTATCATCTATATTATTTTCAATCTGGATTTTATTTATTGCATTTTTCATTTTCCATTATTTACTTTCATTTTATAAATCTATGAGAATTAAAACATCTTCCAGAATTAATAAATTATATACAAACTTAAAAACTATATTGTTATGGTCATTTTTGTACTATGAATATAAACCACAAAGAGTTAAATGTGTTATTATTAATTTAGCTATATTATTTTCAAATTCAATGGTTGTTGGTTTATTACAAAGTCATGGATTAGTTCAAGTTATATTGTTGATTATAATTGCAGTGATTGATTTATTTCAAATATTTGTACTAAGACCTTATTTTGCTCCCTTAAAAATTTGGTCAATTAAATCCATGTTCCCAGTTGCAAGATTTTTATGTGCTATGTTATGTATTGGATTTGTTAGAGAGATAAATGCAGACGAAGCAGTAAGAACTATTATTGCTTACATTCATTTATTAATTCACGCTATTGTTTCATTTATATTCGTTTTCCAATTAATATTTTGGTTTTCTAAAACTTGTGTCACCATTTATAAATCTCACAAAACCAAACAAGAAGATAAACTATTACAACAACTAAGTAATATTGATTCAATTGATGAGTTTGAAAGACAATTTGAATATAAAGCAATAACTAGTTTTGCAAACAAGAGAGCCACCAATAATTTAAGAAATGAAACAACTGATTCAGATGTTTATTCAATGGATGGAGTTGACGAAGAATTTTTATTTAGAGGTGGAGTTCAGGCAGCAGACAACCTAAATTCAGATGATATTATATCAATTGCAGAATCTCAAACTTCATTTTTGAGACAACAACATGAATCAAATTTAAGAAAATTAAAGAATGATTACAAGGTAAGAGAAGCTGATCAAATTTATGAAAAATATTTCGTTGATGATAAAATTGATCCAGAAGTTAAAGAACTTTGGGAAAGTAGGAAAAAAACAGGGATAAATAATGGAATAGGAAATAGTAAATTTGATGATGCACCATCAGCATGTGCTACCACCACAGCAACAACAGCAAGTCCAATATTTTTATCAAAATTGAAAAAAGTAGCAAATCGTGGGACCACCAAATCACCAAAAGAATCATCATTTCACGTTTCTAGACCACGTCAATTAGTAGTTAAATCATTGCAACAAATACAACAAGAACAGCTCGAAAAGCAGCAAAAATTAAATGAGAGATTACAAAAACAACAAGAACTCGAAAATCAACAACCTCAAGGAATTTTCATTGTTAATAATGATGATCAACATTATTCTGATGATGAAAAATATTCATCTTTATCAAATTCAATTTTTGAAAGTACTTCTTCATCGCAAGAAACTACACTAGAAAAAGAATCAAATTAGGTCAAATGTATTATATCAAAATTTTCAATTCTTCAAAATGTATTGATTGCATTTATATTATTTATTTTACAGGTATATTTTTTTTTAGATTATTAGATTATGGATTTCATGTATTCACGAAAGTTAGTATATAGAAATCTATTAAAATACGAATTAATACGATAAGATTTATTATCATAAGTCTAAATATTTATTGTTACAATTTTTGTTTCTTGTTATTATTCTCCTCTTTATGAGTACCATTTTTATGTTCTTCTCCGTCTTGAATATCTCCTTCATTTTCAGTGGTTGTTCTCTTTTTCAATATTGCTCTAATTAATTTATCATCATCAATTAATTTCACTTTTGAATCTAATGTTTTACCAATTGTTGAAATTCCACCATCTTTACAATTCTTTAATGCATGATATTCAGATTTCAATACAATTTCTGACATTTCATCTCTATTCCAAATTTTCAAAATTTTATCAAATGGTTCAGATGCATAAATAGGGTACTGATCTAATCTAATTTCCAAAATTTCTTTGAAATTTTTTAAAAATTCAGTAGTAACTTTTTTCGATGATATGAGTTGATATATTTTGAGGTATGTTCTTTTAACAGGTGATATTTTAATTTGTTGATTTGATTTCAAAAAGGTAGTTAAAAATTGAACCAAAAAAATCAATTCTATAATAACTTCACCACTTTTAAAACAATCATAACTATCAATTATTAATTCAACTCCTTCATTTGTATCTTCATCTTCTTCTATTCGTTCTTCATATGATATTTCACCCAATATTTCAAATAACAAGTTTAAATCATCTTCACTAACATTATATTTCTCTAAAAAGAATTGTTGTATGATCAGTAATGGAATATCTCCAAAATCAAATTTTGAACCTTCTGGTTCCACATAGCCGTACCTTCTTAAAATTTCTGAATTGGGGTGATTCGAATAAGTGTTGTATATTTGTTCACCTTGTTTAATATCTTTGATACTCGTCACCACTAAATAATCAGATTCATGTATTACTACTGCATTATTATAATTTGTATCTGCATTTAGTGTATCTGCTAATGGTACCATTGATTTTAAATTCCCGTCTAATAATATTGAAATTTCTTCTTTAGTTTCATCATCTTCAATTTCTTGAATTTCGTTAGTGTTGTGATTCTCGTGTGCTAATTTATCTTCTTGCGAGTCAGTTTTTAGTTGTTCATTAATTAATTGGTTTTCTTCATCATCAGTTAATTCAACGTCAAAAGAATATGACATTATTAAAGTTGCAATTATATTGTATTCATCAAATGTTAAATCTTGTAATTCAGTAATTTTAAGTTCTTCAATAATTTTTTTAATTTGTTCAAACATCTTTTTAGCACTATCTTTACCAATCCTTTCCAAAATATATGAAGGTTGTAACATATTTAATTCATTTGAATCCCAAAACATCAATTGATTAAAATCAGATTTACAACTTGGTAAAATTTTTAAATAATCTTTCCATTTACTTTTATCCTTATGTCTTATTTCATAACTTAGTATTATAATTAATGAGTCCCAATGATTTAATCTAATTATTTTTTGTTTTAAACAAGGGAAATTTTCAATTATTAAATTTTGTTTTAAATTTATTAAAATATTTTTAGGAATCTTGGCTAATATTTCTCCATTTTTGATATCTTGTAATGCTATAACTCCTCTGCCTTGATTTATTGATGTATAGTCATATATTGTAATTTTGGGTGATATTTTTACTTGATTTTGTTTTAGCCATCTTAAATATAATAAAGTATTTTCATTAAATTCATCTTTTAAATTCGAATTTAACGACATGACTCGAGGTTTTAGTTGGTGAATAGTGTCTTGTGTAATTTGTTTCAAAAACTGCAATGTATTTTGCAGTCAAATATTTGGTCCTTCCCTAATTATATAGTATAGTTAATTTTTTTGTGATGATGATGATCTTTGTTTTCGTTATGATGCTTTTTTTGATAAAAGATTAACACTTTGATATTTATTTGAAAATAAAATCCAACTAATCTCCTTTATCCTCTATAACTATATGATTTAGAGTAGTATTGTTATGAAGTTTCAGATATTTAGTTAATTATCGGAATTTTCTATTATTCCATATAATTCCGATTTAATATTTTTTAGTTAAACTTTAAATTTTTTTTATTTTTTTATTGAATTGATTTGTGGCTAATGAGTAATTGAAAAGAAATACAGTATACTTTGTAATTACTGCAAGTAAATAATAATGCACTTGAAAGGATTCACTTTACAAAGGTAATAACTTAATTGTAAATACTCGGAATCTTGAGACTGATTTTGTATAATAATTAATTAATTATTCCGAACTTTGAATTATACTCCAATCAATTGAGTATTTCTTAAAGCAAATTCGTTAGGAATAGATCTAAGGATTTTGAATCTATGATTTTGATAGAATTTAAACTTAATTTCCAATTATTGTAAAAATATAATCTTCCAAAGAATATTGATTGCTTATTTATAAGGAAAATCTGATTAAACTTGTCAGTCTACGTTTGGTTTAATTGATATATATATGGATGTTTTAATTTTATTTCAATGCTTTATAGTTGTTACTTTTTTATTCCCAAATAAAGTTTGATCATATAATTTTGAAGTTTTTTTAAAATTTTGACTAAAAAAATTTTAAACTTATGATCTAATAATTTTAAATTGACTAAAACCAAAATTTAGACTAGTTTAAATTCAGTTTGAAAATGTTCATGAGTTTAGGTATTCGATTAGTAAATCATTTGTAATATACTTTAAAAAAGTCAATATTGTTTATCCCTCTCTTTATAGTTAAAATTAAGTAGTTGATCTAATTAAAAGTATAATAGTATATTTTATATTTAATATACAAAATGAGTGGAGTTAAAAATCTATTTATTTGGAAATTATAAGAGATTATTCTATATAAAAATTAATTTTGGATTTATTTTTTAACTAGGCCCAAAGTTAAATAATTCCCGGAAATCTGTTTAACCTTATTTGTATGTAAAATGGAAATATGACATAACAAACTTTAAAATTTTTTTCACAAATATCCATATAATCTTATTCGTTTTTTGTTCGTTAACATCATCGATAATAGATTCATTGCTGGTTGTAGCAATCAGACATTGCATATTTATCAGTTGTCTTTTATGAGGGGAGAGCTATGGAAAGTTTGCAGAGATCGTTGGTGACGTACGCAAGTGACGTACGCAAGTTTACTTTTCCATTCAAACCTAAACATGCCATAAAGTCATTCATTACTCTTTTTTGACCACCTTTTATTGAGTACATCTGTTACATTATTTGAATTTGATATAAAAAGAAGTTTTGAACCGAGCAATCTTTAATAACTCTGAAAGTTGGTCTCCAGTCCTCAATGTTGACGTAAACTGTAAATCAAGATCTACTAACCCTTTTCAAAATCTAGAATTCTCTTTCAACTCTTTTTATGATCTAAAAATTTCTAAACTTCTCTAATTTATGATTATTACAAGCAAACAATTAGTAATATTAGTCTAAATGAGGATAACCTAATTTTAGTCAAATGTAACAAAATGATTTAAAAAATTGTCTTTTTTGACATGTTATATTATATCCCAACATTCAATTTTGAAATTTTAAATTTGATTTTAAGTAATACAAATGCCAAGTGTTTCATATTGTAATCAAGTTTCATCGATTTTAAATACGTTTTCAAAATGCATTGAATACGTCACATTACAGATTGAACTTAGAATTATGTTTATAATGACTAAAAAACTTTAAATTACTTTAATTTTCAAATAGTTAAAATCCTCAATGGAAAGATTTTCAAATTCAAATTCTCTATAATTATATTTTGCGCTTCAATGGAATTCAAAAACTTTAATAGAAAAATGTAATAATTGTGAAAAGATGTCAAAATTCATAAGCCTAATTCAACAATTAGATAGAAAATTTCAAACATCCAAAGACATTACAAGGTGAAAAAAAAAAACGTTACATTTGTGAAACAATTTTAAACTGTTCTCGTAAATTCTTAAACGAACAAAGTTTTAAAACTTCGCAATAATTCTGGTAAAGGGACCAAATTTAAACGAAGTATTTACGGACATAAAACACTATTTTCACAAAATTTATAACAATAATATGGCGAGTACACCTGTACTAAAAAGCAAATTACTCGGGCCTGTTTCATTCGCCTAAACTTGTTATAGGATTCCTATATAACTAAAAAACTTAAAAAAACTTTAATCTTTTTAATTTGCATTGGTCTAAACTTTTGACTAAAATTTATTAACATATTAGTCAGAGTAAAATGTCATGTTTTATGATAACAATTTTTTCTTGACTTATTATTATATGAACTTGCTAAGATATTAGTAAATTTTTAAAAACATATTTCGTCTTTTTTTCATTAGTTTTTGCAATCTAAAAAACAATAAAAAATAATTGAAGGGTATATTCATCCTCTTACTTTTCTTGTCAAGTTTAAAAAGCTTAAAATGTAGCAAGGCTTCTTCAACAATTTACGTGAGTGAAAGCTTCTAACCTCTGTCAATTTAAAACTCCGTGAGTTCTAAAAGGGATGAAAATTTATCAATGGAATTAATTGTTTCTTTTGATCAAAGCTAATTTATTAAGCAGAGATTTTTATTTCTTATGTTGTGCAATCAACCTACCAATTACTTTAATATTTTTTTTTTGCAAGCCTTATTTTAAGAAATCCAAATCAATTTTAATTTAAGTTATGAGTGAACTGAAAAGTTTCGATTGGAAATTTTAAGTGATCGAAGATATAGACTCTAGTTGTGCATATAGTCAAAATCTCACATTTTTAAAAAATACATGTGTTTCAGGTTTAATTTCTTTTTCAAAATTTTATACGTTTATTGATTGTCCATTTAGCTTACATTAAATTCAATGAATTTAGGGAGATAAAGTTTTTACAAATTACATTTACCTCTTCGTCATCAACACATTAATGTTTTGATACAAGGATAGTCATGAATCATCGTCAAAGTTTTTATCCAAGAGCACCTCCACAGAAGCAAAACTCACAGATGCCTAATTGGAAGTATTTAGAAACTCAAAGAAACTACAAGATTTATTTTGATAAATCCAATTGCGTATTTATTCTTTCAATTGCTTCAAGTAGATCTTACTAGGTAGTTTTGAGAACTCGGTTTCTGACATTCTCCTTCTCTTTTTATAGTTATCATCACTAGTCGCAACGGCTAATAAATTATTATTCAAGTTGATATCTAATTTTGCAACACTTTCAACTGAGACTTCATTTGTTTCAATCTCTCTGTTGATAAATTTCAGATATTGTTTTAATCTTTTCCTTTTTTTGATATCCCATAAACATATAAAACCATCTGACCCTGCGGTATACAATAGCGTATTATTTGAATATGACGTTGGTTTATTGAATGTTATTGAATTTATTGGATATACTATATCAGTCTCAGTTGCTGGATCATAATGTCTATGTGATTTGAAAACATAACTCTCTTGTATTTCTGTATTATTGTCAGTGTTATTAAAAGTTTCAATTGATACTCTACCATCAATGGAAGAGACCGCAAAGCCTTGTTGGTTGGGAAATACCTTAATATCGGTGATCTGGTACTTCAATCCAATCTCTCTCGTCTCTATTGGTTTTTGTAAATTATTTGAATCATATATTTCTAGTATATTTCCAGTTAAACCTAGTATTAAATATTTATTTGAAGTTTCCATTGTTATTATTTTTCTTTTGTTTTTGATTACGTTTATTGGTTTTTGTAGTTTTGAATCAATCACTTGTAATTGACCATTGAACGAACTTGCAATAATCGTACCATTTGATCCAACTTTTAAATTGTTTATACCACTCTGAAAATCGTTTTCATCAATATTCTGACCCATATTAGGACCTAAATTAATATTCTCAAAATCAATTTCTTTGACTGAACCATCTAATAATCCAACAACAGGTATATTTGACTCCGTGTAAAGTAAACTTAAGGGGGTTTCACTAAGTTTGAATTCAACTAATGGATCTGTTGTTGGTGGTTCATGTAAATGATTAATAAATGATTTACAATCATATAATAAAATTTGATTATCCCAAGAACTTGCTAGTAGCCTTGAATCATTTGGATTATTATTAAATTTCAAGTCTGATATTATATCCAACCCAGCTGGTGTTGTTAATTCTACAAATTCTGAATTATAATTATTTGACATAGTTGACTAGATGTGTAGCTTCCAATTCCTCCGGCTTAATGATATGAATTTGCTTGATTTATTTATTTATGTATGATAGCTTGAGTTAATAGTTTAATAAGAAATATTTGCAATTAAAATTAATTTTAAAACGTAATGACTACTTGAATCGGTTGTAGATGGAATAGATTAACTGAAGAGTGGTAACATGATTCAATTTAAGTCAATAAGAATTTTATCAATTTGTGTAATATTATGAAATATTATAAGATTTATATTAAAACACAGAACAGCGAATGCTATTCACTACGCTTGTTTCTTACGATTGTCATTGAACTTACTCACTTATTCACACCCATTGAATATAGAGATTAATTCATTTAAAGATCCTCAAACAAGTGGATCATCCTTCTTAAAGAAAAGCTCTCTGTCTTCTTTATATTTTTCACGACATTGAAAAAAAATAGATTAGATGGAGTTACACAAAAAAATGATTTTTTTTTTTTTTCCTGAAATCAACATTTATTCTAAATATAAAATTATACATAGAGAAATGTAGGATACCTAACCTAATGGTATCGAAAGGTAATATAATTTGTGTTTCAAATTTTGAAAACTATACAGAAGATAAACATTTATCATTTCCATTTTTTACATTATAAGAATGCCACCGTCAAAACTCAGAGATGTAATAAAAAGCCGACAAGGTTCTATAATAACAGTAGCTGGGCCAATGGTGCGTTATTCAAAACTACCTTTCAGAATACTATGTGGATTTTATGACGTTGATATCATATATACACCAATGATACTAGCCAGAGAATTTGTTAGAAATGAAGTAGCAAGATATTCGGACTTCACAACTAATGATCAAGATAGATGTGTTATTGTACAAGTTGGAGTAAACAATGTTGAAGATTTTATGAAATTTGTTGATATGATCCATCCATTTGTTCAAGGGATTGGAATTAATTGTGGATGTCCTATACCTCTTCAAGTAAGAGAAGGTATTGGAGCTGCATTAATGAGTGAACCTAATTTGGTTTCGAATTTAATCAAGACTGCTAAATCAAAATATGGTGATAAAATTTTCATTGATACCAAGATAAGAATACATAAAGATTTGAATGATACCATAGAGTTTGTTAAAAAAGTTCAAGATGCAGGAACTGATATGATAACTATTCATGGTAGAACTAAAACTACAAGATCATCAGTACCTGTTAATCTAGATGCGATAAAGTTATTAAGACCTTATATAAAAGTACCAGTGATAGCAAATGGTGATTGTTTCACTTTAGAAGATTGTAATAAAATTGTTGAATATACAAAAGTTGACGGAGTAATGTCGGCAAGAGGTATACTAGCGAATCCAGCTTTGTTTAAAGGTTATAACAAAACTCCTTGGGGTGCAGTAGAGATGTTTATGGATTTAACTACAAGTTATGGTTTACCATTTAAAATTTCACAACATCATGTTTCACAATTTTTGGAAAATATGGAAATATCGAAAAAAATAGTAAAGCAGCTTAATGATTGTAAAAATATGATTGAAATGATTGATTTAATGGATGATTATTTTGTTGTGAAAAGATCAAATGAAGAAAACTTTGCAACTGCAATAGAACCACAATTTAGAAATCTACAGAAAGATGAATTTGTAAAAAAACCACTTTATGTATAATTCTTACTTATATATTCATTATACATGTACTTCTAGTTTTATTTTCAACCTTGTAGATCCCAACTAATTTAGCAGCTAATTCAAACATATTATTTCTTAATGAAATGACCACAAATTGAGCATTTTTAGTCCGTTCTTTTATATAATTAGCAACAATTGAAACATTTCTAAAATCTAATGCAGCATCAATTTCATCCATGACATATAAGGGAGTTGGTTTATACAGATGTAAAGCAAATACCAACGCCAATGAACTTAAAGTTTTTTCACCACCAGATAAATTTGATATATTTTTCCATGATTTTTTAGGTGGCATTACACTAAATAATATACCCTCTGAAAATGGATCTAAACTATCAACTAATTCTAACTCCGCATTACCTCCCATTGTTATCATTCTATACATATCTTTTAATGTCATTGAAATTTTACTAAAACCTTCCGTAAATTCATCTAATCTTTTGCGTTTTAAATCTTCACAATAATCTCTTTTTTCATCACGTTCTTCAACTGCTCTATTTAGATCAGACCTTCTATCATTGTATTCATCTATCTTTGTTCCATACTCCTTCAACAATTCAACATCTACTTTTACTGTAGCCATATAGTTATTTAATTCTTCAATTTCAACAGCAACTGCTTCTAAATCAAAATCTCTGATTTCTTCTTCACTCAATCTTTCCAATGCATTGGTTTTATATTTATTTTGTTCTTCTTCATCTAACCAGTAGATGTAAGGTGTAACATCTCTTACTTCTATTGCATTTAACTTGTTTTGATTGTCTTCGATTAGATGATGCAATTTTTTAAGTCCACTTGTTACTTTCTCCAATTTGTTTGTAATTTCAACTTCAAATTGTTTAAATTCTGCTATTTCTTCTTCTTTTTCTTCGATTTTAACTCTTATGACTTCTAATTCTTCATCTTGATTCTTTTTATCATTTTCTACTTTAATAATTTCTTCTTCCAATTCTTTGAGTTTCTCTTCTACCACAGCTTTTTGCTCCTTATTTGAATCATAATCTTTTTCTATATTTGATTGTTCTGTTTTAGCATCTTCTATAGCCTTTGTATGACGTTTAATATCACTTTCTAGTTTTTTGACTGCCATTCTATCACCACTTGTTTTCTCATTAACAATTGAAATTTGTTTCTTTATTGAGTCAACTTTTGAGTTTTGAATTTTCAAATCCGTACCTCCAGCTTCCATAATCTTTTTTTCAAGTATTGATATTTGATTTTCTGATTCTGCCATTTCATGTTTTAAATTTCCTTTAGTTCTTTCTAAATTATCAAGTTCATTTTGTTTGTCTTCGATTTGTTCTTCAAATGGATTATTTTGTTCCATTTCTCTTTGTTCAACCACCAAATTCTTACAAATTCGAGAAACTTCTTTCATTTCAGATGCTAGTCCAGCTATATCCATCTTTAATTTATCCACTTCAAGTCTAGTTTCAGGTTCAACATTTTTAATTTTTGCTAATTTACTCATATCTTGATTATAATCTTGTTGTTCTTTATTAAATTCAGATTCCATATCTTGTATTTCGCTCCATGCCTTTTTTAAATCATCTTCATCAAAATCTGGTTGATTAGTTTGAGCTGAAGTTAAACGCAATGCTCCTCTCATTACTTGATTTCCACCACCTGACATTGTACCAGTAACATCGATGACTTTACCATCTAAGGTAACACATTTACATCTTCTTGCTCCATATGCAACTTTTTTAGCTTCATTTAGATCAGGTGCAACCAAAGTATTAAACATCTTACTATAAAATGCTGGTGCAAATTTAGGATTCACGGGATTAATCAAATCAAACAATCTTTTAATTTTTGATGGGTCTCCAGGTATGCTTATAGGAGAAAGATCAAAATTTCTTAGTTTGTTCAAACAAATGAAATTTGCATACCCGAGTCGATTTTTTCTGAGGTAATCGATACATGCTTGTGCAGTTTCAACTGTTTCAACCACCATAGAATCTAATCCCGGAACTGCAGTTGAAACAGCTATATCATATTTATCATCAATACTACCAAGATCACCTAATTTGCCATAAAATCCTTCAATTCTACCTGATTTACCTAATTTTGTTAAAGCTGCCAACACACTGTTTTGATTTTGTTTAGTTTGGAAAATTTGTGATGAATCATGATATTTGTTTTTAGCTCTATTAATTTGATTTTTCATTTTTTCCATTCTTTGCTTTCTTGAATTTGTTTGTTCTTCACCTAATGAAATTTGTTCTTCTATAGCTTCAAGAGTTTGTTCTTTCTCCTGACATTTCGCTTCTTTACTTTTACCTTCTTGCTTGATTGCAATAAGTTTTTCTTTATTCTCCTCGAGTTGTTTGAAAATGCTGTTCTTCTGAGATTCTAGTATATTAATGCTTGATTTAACTAATTGGATCTCATTTTCATTCTGTTTTAATTTTGTATTCCATGGTTCTAATTGCTTTTGTAAATATTCAATTTTTTGAGTATATTCTTTGGTTTTGCCAGTTAATCTTTCACGAATTTCATGTAACTTGTTCTCTTCCTCTTCCAAAGAAGTGTTGAGTTTTTCTATTTGAGATTTGTATTGTTCTGATGAATTAGAATATGTTAATAAACTTTGATATGAAGAATTTAATGCATGTGTCAGGGAATTTATAGTTTTTTGAACTTTCTTTAGTTTATTTTCAAAATTTTTTGATTTTTCTTCTAATGCTACATTTTTCTTATTTACTTCCTTTTTCTGTTTATCAAGCTTCTCGAGTTCATTTGTGAAAGATTTTACAATTTTTTTGATCTCAGATTGTTTGGCGGTTTCTTCTTCAATTAATTTAAAGACTTCGTTATTTGCTAGTTTCTTCTCTTGCAATTGTCTTTCTAAATCATCTGCTTCAGTTTGTCTCTCGTTGATTTTAGTTTCAAAATGATTTATATTATATTGAAATTGAATGCTTTTATGGTGATTTAATTTTCTTTCCAATTCTAAAAATCTTAAAGCTTCAACTTTTTTTTCATCTAATGCTTCTTTATCTTTTTCAACCAAATTAAATCTATCTGCTTTTTCTTGACATATAGTATTCAATTCTTCTATTCTAGACATACTGTCTTCTATCAATTGTTTATATTTAGTTGTACCAATAATATCCTCCAAATATTCCAAAAGGCCATCTTCACCTTCTTTCTCAGCTTTTGCTTTCATTTGTGCAATTGATTCCACTTCACCTTGCAAAATTAAAAATCTTTTATGATCTAAATCAATTCCCTGATTTTTTAGTAGGGTTGTAACTTCTGTATAATTACTTCTTTTGTTATTTATGTAATATTGTGATTGGTTATTAATTGTCGCCCTTCTTGATATTATAAGCTGGGAGTTCTCAACAACTGTAACTGGATCATCATGAATCATTTCAAAATAAATGTCTACCTGACAATAATCAGCTCTTCCTGAACCTGAATTGTGAATAAGTTCCGAAATTTTACCTTGTCTCATTTTGTTTGCTTTAAAACCAAAAACAAATAACATTGAATCAATAACATTCGATTTTCCACTACCGTTCGGACCAACCACTGATGAAAATGAAGTATGAAAAGGTCCAATAATTTGTTCCCCAGCATAAGACTTAAAATTTGTAAGTATCAATTTGTTTATAACTAGTCTTGGTTTTGATTGAGGAGTGGTGTTTTGTGGTTCAGGACTTGCTACTGGTGTATCTTTTTCATATTCATTATTATCAAATATAGGTTCTTCCGAGCTTTCATTATTTATATCCAATTGATCGTGTGATTCTTCTTCTTCTTCTTCTTTCTTTTCTTGATTTGTATATTCTTCTGTAATTTCGCGTTTTGACTTAGGATCATTCGTGAGATTTTCTGGATCAATTAATGTATCTACTACCGTGTCTGTTACTATGTTATTATCATTATTTTCATTTGGTACACTATTTAAATTTTCTTCCTCTTCGTTATCTTTGTTATTATCATAATCACTATTATTTATAAATGTAGTATCATCTTCATCATCTGATATGATTCTTTTTCTTTTCATTATTTTAAGTAATCAGTTGTAAAGATCCTTAGGTTGTAAAAAAAAAAATATAATAAAGAAATATTTATTAAAAAAGTAAACAAACAAAATTTATTATTATAAAAAAATAAATAAGTGGTTATTATATTACACAAAATCATTGTCGTTTTTTGTTGTCAGGACATCTTATTCTTAGAAACATTATTTGGATATCTTCTATTTTGATTATTACCATTAGCTCAATCACTCATATCTTTAGTTACAAGACTACTGTAACTAATCCTGCTTCAAAATGCCCAAGTCAACTTTGTATTTGAAGTTCGGCAATAAATTCAAAAACCAGTTTATACTAACCTTTTATTCAGATTTGTCGTTATTCTTAATTGCATCATTATTGTCGGAAATAGGTGGCAACCCTCTTAAATTTCTCTGTATCCTTTTTAATTGTGATAGTATAGCAACAGTTTCACTGTTGTTAGAAAACCCTTTCGATTGATTTTGATTTTTAACATTTAATGGATTATTATTAAATTCACTTGCCTCAATAAATTCTGTTAGTATTGATTCAGCTTCATTTTGCAGTATATCCTTTGTTGTATTTATTTTTACAGTTGTTGGGGTATTTAAAGTTGAAGGTATCACTCTTCTTGTTCTATTTGTTGATGACATTGTAATATTGAATCTTGACTGATGAGATAAATCTAAAATTAAACAAAAAAATAAATTTAGTGTTTTTAAGAGAAAAAAAATGAAAAATTTCAAATATCACCAAATAGTAATCTAAGGTACAATACTACAGTCAAGATCTAACTACTAAGTTAACCATTACAACACTTCAATCATGCTTCAACATCTAATTAAACCCCAATTTTTGAATATACAGAGATCAATACCAACATCACCTATACTAAATAACTCAATAATTAATTCATTCTCCTTAATAAATATCATCCAAACAAGATTTAAATCAAGAGGTAATACATATCAACCATCAACACTCAAAAGAAAAAGAAAATTTGGATTTTTGGCAAGACTTAGAACAAAAGGTGGTTTAAAAGTTATAAGTAGAAGAAAAGAAAAAGGAAGATGGTATTTGACACATTAATAAATGGAAAATTATTCAACGAAGGTTACGAAATATATAAGGTGAAAATTGTACATAGCACCAAATAAAAAATAAATATTATTTTTTCATAATTATTTATGCTTTACCTAACATTTTTGAATACTGAACTTCAATTTCATGGACTAATTTTTGTAAATTAACAATTGCCAACTCGTGAGTAAAATTTGGAAACTTATTTCTATTTAATCCAAACCATTCTAATGGTGGAGTTGCATTTCCTAATTCTTTTAGTTGTGGAGCTTCAATGATTGGAGGAGCTAATGCGAAATATTGATATTTTGAAGTTTTTTCAACTTTTTCCATAGTTACTTTTATTGCATCATCAATATCTTTAGTTGGATCTTCTGCATTCAATTGTTGTTTTAATGTAGATGTTGTACTTTCATTTTCTTCTTCAAATTGTTGTCTATTTTGACGATATTCCATTCTTGAAGCTAATGCATTTGAATGAATTAAATACATTTCTCTAATAAAATTAACTGAACCTAAGTTCCAACGTATATCAACAGTTCCATTAAATGTTGATTGATATAAATATTCAATAAGATTTTGATCATTTTCAAATGTCCTCATGGAGATTTTGAAAGATGGGAAAACGAAAATTGAACCACCTTTTGCTTTACATGCAATATCTCTAAATTCTTCAACAGTACAGCTTTGAACAAATGATTCTTCAGTTTCTGGAACATTTGATAACGATACTTTCAAATCGTTGAATTTGATATTCAATTCATTTGAGATTCCCTTTTTAAACTCATTTTGTTGAAATTTTACTTTTGAATCATCTAATTTAACAACTAAGACTTTTGAATTATCTAATGCAGATGGATAAACATGAATTAAAATTTTACCAGCTGCAACATGAATGATTGTTTCTAATTTTTTTATAGTTTGTAAGATAGTATTATCTTTATGAGGTTTTTGGATAATTGATTTTTTAGATGAATCTCGTAGTGTTTCCTTATAAGATCTTTTATTATCTTGAATCATTCTCGAAATTGTGTTGCTAATATCGATGAAGTTAGATGCTGTCAAAGAAGTCATATAAATTTCAACAGTCTTAAATTTTGAAGCAACAAATAAATGATCTTTAGCTATAGCCAATTCATTCTTCCTGTTGTATATATCCATTGAAAAATTCTCTAAAATTGCAATTGCGATAACATGATAATCAAATGAAATTTTCATCAGGAATTTACCAACTCCACCTGAAACAGAAATTAATGGAACATCCAATGTTGACTCATCTTTCAATTTCCAACTAATAGAAGTATGTAAATTCATATCTTCTATTGAAATAAATCCACCCAACCTACCTTTCGATGTTAATGCAATTGAATTGATACCCATTTTTAAATCCTGTGACCAATCAGCCAGTTTTTTTGATAGAGCCCAAAAATTATCAATTATCAAATTACAAACACCTAATGATTGGCCCAAATCAACTTCTAAATTTATAGTATTGATAGCAAATACAACAACCCAAGGAAACGCATAACTTGTTGAAACTTGTTTAAATTTAGATGAAATATTCTTATGTTCTGCCAACTCTGAAGGTGCTTCAACCATTTCTTCTTGATGATCATATAAGTCAAATAATTCTTTTGGAAACCATATATCTTTAAATAAATCAACATCCTGATATTGTTTTACATTGATATAACTTGAAACATTTGTTAAACTACCTGAAGATATAATTTGGGAATTGGAACCAAGTTCAAAATTACTCAGCAATGTTAATTGTTCAACTTTCATTGATGCACTTATATCTCTTGAATAAATATGTTGTAAAGATGCGGATACCCAATCTAATAATAAAGACAAATTTAATGAAGATTTTCCAGGTTCAAGGGTGTTCACTTGTATAAAAATGTTTTCCAACCCAACGATTGCTGCAACTTTGGCTGTTGGTTCACAACTTAAAGTAAGTGTTTGTTTTTCAATTTTAGCTCCTATATGAATTTCCATTTCTTTTAGTAATGAATCAAAGTAGTCATAATCATTATTTTCTTTTGGCTTTTTAACATCGTTTGATGGTTTTTGCATTAATTCTTTAACGCTTGTAGCTAAATCTAATAAAACTGGAACACATTTAGGAAATAATATATTTTCACTTGAAGAAGTTAATAATTCACCAAATAATTTTTTAGTCTCACCATCGTCTATAAATTTGAAAGCTGTTTTAATTGCAGGTGCATGTAAAAATAATGAAGGTTTGTCTTCTTGTTCCTCCTCAATTCTATATATCATAACTTTTGAACCAGCAAAAGTTGATGAAAATTCAATTGATTGGTAGGGTATATCAATATTGGATTTGTTTGATTCTGTGGTGAATTCCTCACATGCAGTTTTTTCAAATTTATCAATTATTTGTTTCACATTAGTGGCCAGAGTAGCTGCTTTTTGAATTATACTACCTATTGAAGTTGATAAAAATCTAACATCAATTTCATCACCATTAACAGTAACACTTAAATGTTTTGATGATTTTGATTCTTTTTCTATAATATAAGCCACTTGTAAAATTGGAAGGAAAGCTCGATTTAAACTACTTCTTTCTGATTCAGTACTATAAAAATTTGATGACTGATTACCATTAGCAACAGATACATATGATCCAATTAATGTAAACTTTCCCAAACTTTCTTCGGTAGCAGCAAAGAATTTCTCAGCTCCAACTATAACACCTGGATATTCTTTAGACTTTTCATTAAATAACCAACCAAAACAAAAATTATATGATAAAAATTGGAATGCTGCAATTCTAGAATAAATCATTTCTTCAAAACTATTTCTGCTTGCTTGTGTTGATGATGCCGGTGGCGGTTTTGTTGTTGCTTTAGGTTTCTTCAAAGTTGGAAGAATTTTTACCACTTCATTTAAAAGTTCCAAAATTGAAATCACTGTTAATTCAGATAAACAAACTCTGCAAAATTGTGATTCCACTTGTAAATTTTGTCTAATCGATTCTGTATCATTGAAAAGTCTAATTGCAAAATTCAACTCCAATAAATTGGATAAACTAAGTGGTACACCTTTTGCAAGCACATTTATTCTAGCCGCAGCAATTGAAATATCTCCATAAATTGGTACTTTAAAAAATAATGATACATTAGCAACATTACAAGCAGCTCCTTCAATAGCTACACTAGTATTGATTTTGTTCATAATAGTTGCCAATTCCAAATAATCATTTTGAAAATTAATTTTAAATAAAGTAGGTTTTTTCTTTCCCACAATTGGTTTGTTTGTGGATTCTGAGGGTGGTATAAGATTTTGTAATTCTTTTACTTTTTGTCCAATTGTATCAACATCCTTCATGGCAAATATTAAACTTCTTATGAGATTATAAGATTGGATTTTAAAATAGCCTAATGAGATTATTGATCTTACCATCAATGTGGAATCCAAATCTTTGAAGCTAGTGTTTGTCCAGAAATCTGAACTTTGAAGCTCAAAAATGTAATCTTTCTCATAATTTAAATTGCTTTTAATTCTCAGTATTTGAACAGATATAGAACTTGTTGTTGCTTCTATATTTGTATCGAATATTGCAGCTGAAATTTTCAAAGGTTTCAAAATATCAACACCAATTAGTATTTCACTAATTTTGAGTGATAACAAAAAAGATGCTTTCTCGGTGGTGACTTCTTGTATATTATTTTTTGAGTCTGGTATTAGCAGCTTAATATAGGAAACATCATAATTCATTAACTCTTTTAAAGCAATAACAGAATCAAATATCCTTGTTTTTGAAGCTTTTAGATCAACATCAATTGTATTGTTTTTGGAAAAAACAACATTTAACGTATAAAGTTCTTGATTCAACATGATCTGACTTGCACCTCTTAAATTAGCTTGAAAAGCATCAACATTTAATGCACCAGTCGTACCATTTTCCAAAACTTGACATAACAAATTTTCAAATTTTATTTCGATTGATGCTGTGATTATTGAAATTGATTGTTTAAAATGAGCAATATCGACTAAAAAATTTGGAATTTTAATTGGTTCTTCTTTTGTTGTTGGTTCTTTTTTACTTGAATCAGGTGGTTTTAATGAATTAGCCAAAGTTAATAATTTTGCTGTAATTTTACTATCATAAGAATTTATTCGACAAACTAATTCATCTTTTATATAATCAACTGATATCCCTTCAATATTCATATAACAAGGGTTCTTACGACATCTAGATTTAAAACTAAATTCGTTTAATGCAAATTCAAAATTCAAATTTTTGGTCAAATCACCTTCAGTTATACCAAATATATGTTTAAACATATATATCCTTTGTTGTGGGTTAGCTTCCCAAATTCTCCATCTTGAAAAAATTTCAACCACTTGCTCAAATGCATTATTTGGCAATTGATTCTTCAAATTTACCAGATCTAACCAAGATGGTGGTAAACTTTGTAAAATGTGACGTAATCTTGCAACTACTTTCCAACCATCAAAAAATCTTATATGTTCCTTTTTAGCTCTAAGAACATATGCTGGACGTGTAAGTACATCAGGATCATGATCAATATAATAATCAGAAGAAGCAACAGTTAATGCATAAATCAAACTTGCATGTTTAGATCTTTCAGATTGTAAATTATCCAAATTTTTTAATTCTGATGTGATTTGATCTTTCCATTTATCAATGTCCGATTTCCAATCATGTTTTAAATCAATATCTGTATCTATAAAATCAGCTTTAACAGATCCAACAAGATCATCTATTTTCTCCATCCACACTTCAATATCTTCAATTGATATATTAAATTTTTGTAATAAATTAATGTTGATTGAACCAAGATGCAAGGCTAAGGAAAATTCTTCATGGGTATGAATTTCTCCATAATTTTCAAAATATTCAGTTTTATTTGATAAGGCAATGGATAAATCTTTAGTATTTAAGTTGACTTTATTATCATCGTCTAGCTTTATACATAAATTAACATCATGATTAACCACCCTTAAGTTTTTAACAGCTTTTGATGATTTTAGGAAGTTATTTAGCATTTTGATTGTTTTTACTCCTATTTTATCCATTACTGAATCAATATCAAAATCTTGAAGCTCTTTTAGCAAAGCTATCAATACCGAGATACTCTTCAAACTCATTTCTGAATCAACATCACCCAATTCCAAAATTAAATTATCATACTCTGTATCTGGATCAACTTCATATGAAGGAGTAAAATCTTCATCTCTATAATCTAATGCTGGTAAAGTGGTATCCTCATCTTCTGTAGATGTCAGATTTGTCAAATCATCAATTAAAGGAATTGGGACTTCCGGAAGTGTAAATGAGGTGAGGAAACTTCCTTTGTTAGCATCATAAAATTCGTCTCTATATTCTTCAAATAAAAGAAATGGGGACCGATGAAATGGAGCATCATTATCCCTTATATGTAGTTGTTGAGTATCTCTTCTTCCAACCATATCAACCTTTTGACAGATATTTGAAAATACTAGCGAAGTCCTCAAAGTTGAACTAATTTTTTGGGAGTTAAACACGTTAAGATAAATTTCTGGTATGGAAACTGATAATTTATTTGAATATCTCATATTTGATATGTCGTTGTAACCCAAAATTATATCTAATAATCCAATTTCAATTCCACCACCTGAAGATGTGCATAATTTTATTAATATTTTTGGACACCTAAATGAAAAATTAGCTGCGTCGAATGCTGGTGGAAATGCTTCATCCAATGCATTTTCTTGGTCCAGAAAACCAATACCAAAATTTGATAATCCTGAACTTAAAGCTTTTACAAAATATGGTTTACTATCAATAATCCAATCTCCACAATAGAAATCCCATTTACACCAAAATGTTGTTTCAGTTGGTGGAACTCCAAACGCTCTATGAGCATGTACACCAAATCCATCAATTGACATATCAATATGAGAGCACAAATGAGATTCAGTATATTCACCAACACTCATCATTGAACTACCATCACTTTCTCTCACCAAAACTCCTGATGCTGGACCAAAATCAACTTGCATATCCATATAATAGTTACAGAATCTAATATCAATATCCAACATATCAAAATTAAGACCAATATGGGATGAGGAACTATACAAATGTGTTGGTAATATAATCAACCCATTTCTAACTTGAAATTTAAATAGTACGTCAACATCATTTTCAAACTTGATCATTTTCCAATATGATTCTTCTTGTTCTGGAATTTCACTGTTGATACTTTCTTCATTATTATATTCTTCAAAGGTTTTAAAATGTATATGATCTCCAAAATAATTTTCCCTTAAAGTGAAAAGGTACCTAATAATAAATCCATAAAATTTTAAACTTAATTCATCAGCTATACAATTGATTTCAACCAAATTTGTGGTGTTGATTTCAACTGCATTATAAAAGGTATAAGCTCCATCAATGGTGAAATGTCCACTTTTACCAACAACATTTGTTTCTTTTAGGTATGCATTAACTGTATGCCAAGGTGGAGTATCTAAAACTAATTCAAAATATGGTGTCCAAAGTTTGTATGAAACTGTAGTCTTTTTGGAGAAGGCCCCATTTAATGGAATGTTAATCTCTGAATTAAACTCTTCTCCTTGAAATGATAAATATTTATTATTATCAAAATCTCTAGGATTATCAATGATATTACAATCATTCACATTAAGAAATACTTCATAATTTATTAATTTCCAAGAAATGTCATAACAAAATGGTCTAAAATATTCATATGGTTGTGGATCGCCCAGGGCAAAATCAGTAAATAAATCAGAAAACAATAGTAGGTGCTCTCTTAATAAAAACACCCTAGGATTTAAACTCACTTGATTGAATTTCCAGTTACAAAGTCCATTCCACTCCAAGGGTAATGCAATATCAGCATTTATTTCATGTGAATCAGCTAAAAATAAAACGTCATGATTCACGGAACTTCTAACTTCCGGATTATTGAATATGACTTTTAATTTATTCGGCCATTTATCTTTTTCAGTCATAAATGACGTAAACAGACCTATGTTTGAACCTTCATCTACCTTTACTTCTAACCAACCAAAAGGTCTAGTTTTATGGTTTCCCTTATCTTTACTTGATTCTCTTGTAGGAATTCTCAAAACTAACTCATCTCGAACAATTACTGCAAATTTAAATCCATCATAATCTCTTTTGGATCCGCATTTCTCTTTTGGTGCTGAATCTTTAGCTATTGAGGGGAATAACATATTTTGTAAGGGAACTCTTTGTTTATCAGCCCAAGGACCATAATGCATAGTGCCATTTGATATTTCAACTTCGACACCGCTTTCTGCCAATGGTGAGTTATCTTTATTTGGTCCAGGAGAATCATAATAATAAACTACTCTTGTCATTGGAGAATCAAGGATTAAACTATATTTAGCATATTGTTCATCATTTATAACTTCTTGTTCTTCCACTTCTCCAACATATCTTTTTAAACCGTGCCAATTGTAATTTGGTGGTAAATCTTCATTGTTTAATTTTTTGTGAATCCATTTAGTAGCATGTAAAAAGTTATGCCATATTTTGTAATGCTTTTTCGGTGATTTTTTAATAGTATTGGTGGTATATCGATTCTTGTCATATCCAATATTTGGTCTCATCCATATTTGGAAATCATCAAATTGGATATCGTGAATTAATCTATAAGGATCTAATGGGTTGGGAGCTTTTGCTATATCAATTAAACCATTAGCAGCTTTATAAGAAGCTACTAGTATTGAAGGAGTGGTAATATTTCCAATAACAACTGCTCCTTTTTTGACTCTTAATTCAATGGGTAGTATTTGCAATAATAACATTAATGATCTTGAACGTGTTGGCGCATCAATGTTGGTGGTGGTAGAAACATTTTGATGGTGATTTTGATAGTTTTTCAAATTGTTTAGTATATCATCATAAGCTGCAGTTCGATTATACATAAAAATTTCTAGTCCGTCCACAACAATCAAAAATCTTGAAGGCAGTTCATCATTTATTTTTTGGGTCACTCCACCAGTTTCATAATCTGCTTCCCAATAAAAATTTGATAATTTTGTTAATGAAATAAACCAATATCTCCAAGTTATGGTAGTGTTTAATATAGATATAGTTGTATCAGCTGATGACATTGTCAAATTCTTGAAAAATAGTCTACCACCTAAAGGTGATAATTTTAATGAATCAACATGAAGTCTTATACCATAAGTTTTCCATAATATTAATTTAAATAAAAATGAAAATATAAATCCTAATAATTTATGGAAATAAAATAAAAATCCAAGACCAAGAACTAGAACCAAAACCCAATCAACTAAATATATCCAAAAGGAAACACTTATTGTTGAAGTAGATGTAACATATACAAATTGTGATTCAAAGGCCATGCCATGGTGGTTGTAAAAATAAATATATAAACGCGATAACTGATTAAAAATATTAATAATAAGTTATATTTTATTTTTAGAGCACAATTTTAAAAAAAATATAAACATTACTTATTACTTTGATTTTTCTACAACCAAATACCAACCAAAATGTCAAAAGTGTTTGACAATACAGAGAATGAAAGAACTAAAGCACCGACAAAGAATTCAATAGTTACTCAGAAATTCAAAAGAATACCCCTTGGTGGTAAAAGTACTAATACATTAAATAGATCACAATCAAGTTTAGCTCCAAATAAACCTTTATTAGTTAAATCAAATTCAACAATTCCAATATTCACTGAACCAGAAGAACCACAATCTCAACCACAACCCGAAATACGGAAGAGAATATCTCCAGTACCCGATCTATCACCAATCAAGAAACAAAGAATAAATGGATTTGAAACTGATTCATTAATTAAACCTGAATTTGCTCAAAAACCATCACCACAAAGAAAATCTCCAACACCAAATTTAATTCACGTCAACCAAGTCTATCAAAATTACATGGATCCTATAAAAAGACATTCAAAACCGAAAAACATAGATGAATTGGTGGAAAAACATTGGCAAGATGAAATTGAATATATACCAAAACAAGAAGTTTATTTTTCGACTCCTATACATTCAGACTCTGAGTTAAATTTTGATGATGGAGAAGTAGAAGATATAACAGAAGAAATAGGGTTAGATTTGGAAGATTTAAAAAATTTACTAGATTAAGGGAATTTCGCGGATATTTGTTAAAGTACTGGTTTAAATATTGATTTTTGATGAAGAGAATTGTCTTTACATCACTATCATTCAACTTGAGTGTGTATCAAGATTTTGATGAATGCTTAATTATTAATTAGCTATAAATAGATCTATATATATACAAGTATATTTACATATTTATTGTTGGGAACATTGAGGTTGCTCTTGTCTTGGTTGTTGTGGTTCTTCTAACTCTGGGACTTCTTTAACAATTGAAAAGTCAGTATATAATTCAACATTTGCTTCATGGATTTTTTCTTCTGTTCTTGTTGCTGGTATTAAGTTTCTTAGTTTTTCAAGATCTCCCTTCTCAATATACCAATTATCTTTTGGAAATTCTATATCAACTTTTAAATATAAATCTCCTGTTTTTTCTTTAAACCAAGACTTGTTTAATTTGGGCATTCCTTCACCTGATATTTTGATATAATCTCCAGGTCGTATAACTTTTTTAGAATGTATTTTAATACCTCTACCATCCAAATGTTCTATTGTATTTTCAAACCCAGTTAAAGCATCTACCAAAAAAATTTTAAAATCTACTATTAAATCATCACCTCTTCTTAGGAATGTTTTGTGAGGTTTACATTTATATTCTAATATTATATCGCCAGTGATCTTTCCTGGGTATTCATCACTTTCTCCCTTTTTTCTAATTACTCCTTCACTAGCTGAACCTTTTGGTATTTCAAATTCTAAAATCTTGGTTTCTTCAACTACTCGTAAACCTTTACATATTTTACATCTATCTTTTGTTCTATAAATTTTTCCAGTTCCATTACATGTTGTACAATCGACATAATCTTGTGCTACTAATCCTGGTGCAACTCTTCTGATTTTTCTAGTAAATCCTTCACCATTACAAATACCACATTTTTTACTTTCCACAGACAAAGATTTTAGTCCACTTCCTTTACACGTTAAACATATTTTATTTCTCGTAGATGTGGTTCTAATAACTTTCCCCAAATACAATTCTTCTAATGTAATTTCTATCTTAATATGTGCATCTTCAGTTTTATTTCTAGGTTGTGTTTCGCCTCTGAAAAAATCATAAAAATCATTTGATCCAAATTCGTTGGTGGTTCCTCCATAAAATTGTTCAAATGGTGAATCTGTATTTCCATAAGTATCATAATTTGATCTTTTGGTTTCATCTATTAAAATTTCATAAGCAAATGATATTTTTTTAAATTGAATTTCTGATTCTTCACGATCTTCTTCAGCTACTTTATCTGGATGATATTTTAAAGCTAATTTCCTATATGCTTTTTTAATCTCAATCGATGTGGCTGAAGAGTCTATTTCTAATATTTCATACAAATTTTGATCATCCATTTATGTTAGTAGAACATCATCAATAACTGTAAAAATTTATTGATTTGTGAAACAGTTTTCAAATATTTTTGTGTGATGTTAATACTGAATTTTTGAAAATAACGTCTTTCGAATTTCACATACTCTTTTTTTTTGTTTCATCTTTCAAATTCAACTACATTCACCAAAGCAATAACAGGTAATGATTAGAGTTCGGAGTTCATCGAAACAAATTAAAGACGTCATCAAAGAAATTGAATGAGCTAAAACAATTTGATCATTTTGATTGTAAATGATCATTTGCAAGTAGCAAGATCAACTTAGCAAAAAAAAAAGAGCGCGGTAGAGACAGGATTCGAACCTGCGAGCCTAAAAGGCAAATGCGTAATCTTTTTAAGATGGATTCCAATACTTATTAATTCTGTTCGAGCTCCACGTGAACCAAGGTTTAAGTGAACCGAATTTGAATTACAAGCATAATGTTGGTCACCTGATGCATCCGAAATAACCACTATTCGACACTACCAAATCTTGAACTCAGGTTCTCATAATCTTGTGGAAAAGAAAACAGGTCGGACAAACCTAAGTTTTTCGTCGACGTTGAGGCTACCAGACAATAACGGGACTCAGAGCCAAAAAAAATCGATGAAACAAAATTTGACAAATTGATCAATTAATCGCCTCGTTGGAATCACCAAATGCATTCGAAACATCCACTACTCCCCTCTACCGAACTTTAAACCCAGGTTCTTTTGATGTTTTGGAGAAGAAAACAGGTTGGAACGACATGAGCTTTTCGTCAATCTGACCACTACCGACTTTCTGGGTGGAAATTTAAATTTTTAATAATGTTAATTAATCTTGTTGGGCAGTCGAGTAATTGAATTAGATGCTATAAAAAGTGTCTCATTTTTTTGTTATTGCGGTAACCTATATAGTGCATTCAAAGCTAACCTTTTGTCATTGACTCTATGATGAAATCTATGCAAATTTTTTTACACTAGAGTATTGTTGAATAAGTAGGCCATTTCTTTTAGTTTGATTCGAGATATAAGCTGTATTAGTCTTCTGGAACAAAGTAGCATTAGTAATAGGCAATTACGCTCCATAACGCTCTATGAATACTCTGAAACAATTTGCTTATTAAATTGTGTTTCACATTTTTTCGCAGCAATACGGAAATAAATTTTACAATTGCTTACTTTAGATTTTGCAAAAGTAGGAGGAGTTCAATTTTTAATTTTTTAAATAAAATCATTTCGTTCACTGTTGAGGTGTCTAACAGAAACATAGAAAGAACAATTTGCCTCAGTTAATGATCGGAATTTAAAATTAAAAGTTTCCAGGCAAAGAACTGTCTTTAAGAGAATATTGATAAACACAACTCGGTGTTTCAACAATTAGATCCAGCATTACCTTAGCTCAAAAAATGCCAAAATAGTACGTTAGATACTTTATTTGTCGTGATATTACATATTACATATGTTATTGAAAATCTGAATTCTTCAATTGAACTTTGATTATTCTTATCGTTGTATTGCGCACGAGATTATTAACCAGGTCATTGCTAGCTATCCACCAACTAGCTATTCCAAAATTTCAATTTTTATTTTTCCAGTTGACATCATGTATATCATACAATCATTTTGTTGTCTATTATAATTTTAGCCTAGCCTGATAGTTGGTAGTGCACTCAAGTTCAAAAATACGTCGAGACCTTTTAGAAATTTCAACAAACAAAAATTAAATTAAAAATGAAAGTAGTAATAGTTAAAGCAATATAATAAAAGATTATAAACAACCATGGTATGTTCAAAGATCAATTGAAACGCAATAATTTTTTAATTTCAGGAGCCTCAATTACTAACTAATGCACAGTCGAGATCAGGGTATGTTTCTCAACATTTTCAACATCTTCCAAATTTTCGAGATGTAGTACTAACCAAGCAATATTAACAGAGTTCAAGTTGCTGATGAATCACTTACAGCATTTAATGAATTAAAATTAGGTAAAAAATACAAATTTGTTATTTATACCCTTAATGATGCTAAAACACAAATTGTAGTTGATGAAACATCAACTGATGGAGATTATGATTCATTTTTGGAAAAATTACCAGAAAATGAATGTAAATATGCAGTATATGATTTTGAATATGAAATTGGAGGAGGAGAAGGTAAAAGAAGTAAAATTGTATTTTTCACTTGGTCACCAGACACTGCTCCAGTAAGAGCTAAAATGGTTTATGCATCATCAAAAGATTCATTAAGAAGAGCATTAAATGGTGTTGCTGCTGATATTCAAGGTACTGATTTCTCAGAAGTTGCCTATGAATCGGTTTTAGAAAGAGTTAGTAGAGGTGCTGGATCTCATTAATAAATATTCTTTTTTAGTAATAGTATATTATTATTATCAACGCGTACTCAAAAAAAATTATATTAAATGATAAACACAACTCTACTAGAAACAAATGTCTAAACTACCACGAGCTACACTAGCAGAAAAGATCAAAGTTTTAGACTTTTTCCATTCATCTCATAGCTCTCAACTAAAGACGGTTGATAGATTTAGAAATGAAATCTCAATAAGTACATCATCATTAAGTGAATGGATTAAAAATGAAGAAGATTTAAGAACAAGATTTAGTCAAGATGATTTTAAAATGTCTAAGAATAGTAAAAGAAAAGCAACTTTCAAATATGAAAAAATCAACAAGGCAATGGATAGATTAGTACAAAGTAGATTGGAAAAAGGAGAAGTCATAAATGAACCAATACTTCGAGAACATTGGTCAATTTATGCTCATCAATATGGTGTTGATGATCCAAAAAGATTACATAGTTTTAGTCATGGTTGGTTAAGTCAATTTAAAAAAAGACATGGATTGAAAAGACCTAAAAAGGATTCGGAGGGTGTCGAATTTTCAGATGTTGATCCAGAATTAAAAGAAGTAGCTCCAATACAATTACCACCACAACCAATTTCATTACCTGTACAACAACAACAAGAACAACCGCAACTACAATCACTAGGTCAAGCTCCAATTCAACCACCACGCCAAACGCAACCTCAAATTCAAACACAACCTCCACCTCCAACTCAAATTCAAGTTCAACCACCATCTGCTCGATCACAACCACCAGTACAACAACCATCACTGGTAATTACAGATGTCGAAGTAGAAAGATTTATATTTGTAAACGCAGACAAATTTTTTCATCAACATCAATTTGATTTCCCCAAAAGTTTTGTACATTTTCAAAAATTAAAAGAAACATTCTTTGATGAAAAATTTGCAGCAAGAAATGGCTCACAATAAAAAGCTACAATATTAGATAGGGTGTTTTTGCAAAAATTTTCATGATTTTGTCTGATTTTGTCATTTGTAATAGCTATATAACAAAGAGGCTTGCCTCAACTATTCAATTCTTCCACTTAATATATACTCATTAAATTTATTGATCTATTGTACTTATTGAAATTTATGGCGCCGTATTAAGCCTCTTCATAAAACCTGCAATTATTCTTTTTGGATGTTCAAACACTCTTTCAGCTCTGTACTATATTTTATTTGTAAAATCAATTTCATTAACTTCAATTTTCAAACTTGGTTCAACAATAATTTCATTTTTTTTCTCACATTTACAAGTATCACATTGTTTTGAACATTTTTCTTTAGTTGTGGTTGTATTGGTTGATTCTTTATTAATTTTATTTTTTAAATCTGGATTTGAATCATGTTTTGCATAAAGATAATTTCGAAGGGCCATTTTTGTGAATTATTATTAAGTAAGAATATCCGAAATATGGAGAACTTTAATTTTTAAGTCCAAAGTGTAGAATGTGTGAATTATCAATCACACGAAGATTATCACCAACAATTTTTAGATTCTTTTGATAGATTGAATAAACAATTAGTGATAGTATTGATAAAGAAAAGATAGTCTAAAAGATAGAAATATTTCTAATTGCCTGTCATGGAACATTATTCTAAAATTGAATAATAAATAAAAAATAATGGTATGATCTTTAATTGACACAAAATCGGAGAAGTTAATAAAATAATAATTTGTTAAAAGAGTTAAGTTATATTAAATAAATTATAAGATCTAATCTATGATTAGCTCAAAATTTTGTACTGCTGTAGTTACTGAGGTTTTATACGTAGAATATGAAAATAAGGGGAAACATTATGGAATTAGGGAGCACCAGAAATTTACATTGAGAAATTGCCGATTCCTACAAGGCAATAACATTTAAAAGTAATGTTACATTTTATTAGCTATGAAGAATTAAAAATTAAACTAAGTAGAGGAATTTTTTGGAGTTAGTTTAAACCCTATAATCATAATACCCAAAGCTATAGTTAAAAATTTAAATTTCAAATTATCATCCACCAACTCTTCTTTGTATTTGTTTTTACTCTTTTTAGTTTCTTTACCCAACACATAACTTTTTATATGATTTAACATTCCCATTTCTTCTTCTTCCAGAGACAGTGATTCCTCTTCAACAGAGGCAAAAGATTCTTCTTCTTCCAAAGGTGGTTGAAATACTTGAGATGCAAATTTTTTAACAATTCTATCATTTACAAAATTTTGTTGTTCTTGTGGTGGTACTGAATTTATTGAAACACTTCGCAAAACTCTTTTTTCATTTATTAGTAAATTTTTCAGTTCTTCTATTAATTTTGCATCTGAGTATTCAAAATTCATTGATTGTCTTTTGGCGAGTTTTTTAATGTTTTTCTTTTGTTTTTGGAGTTCAAACCCAATGTACGACAACAATTTTTCATTATGTAACTTTAAAGATTGTAATTCAAATTGTAATTTTGTAATTTCTTGACGAGTTTGATTACCATAATAACTTGATCTTTTGGAGCTGGAATCAATTTCTATAGATTCAGTTTCATCAAATCCATTTAAGGCATATAATGCTTCATTTCTATATTGGTTAACTTCATCTTCCTCCAAAAGTGGTTCTGAAGATAATCTTTTTTCTGATTGTGTAGTATTTGTTTCAAATTCAACTTTTATGGGTATTATATCATGAGAATTATATCTTACATGAGTTGGTTTTAATGGGTAACTTTTTGTAGTTTCTGGTGGTGCTAATTTGAAAGGTGATAATACAAAATTTTTGGTCAAATCTATTGGTAAGGATTGTCTTTTTAAGTACTTGGATTCTGGATCTGGTGGAGGAGGAGAAGGAAACTGGAAATTCTTATTTAATTCAACTGATTCCGAACTTGAATCTGTTTTTTGTGGTATAAATTCATCCATTATTTCTTCGTCAGTGGTGGGTGTATCTTGTTGATGAGTTAAAAATTCAATTTGATCCATTAACACTAATTTAGAATTCTTTTCAACATCAAATTGATTTTCAAGAATTTTATAATCTTTAAGTAATTTTTCGTACCTGGAATCTTGATCTGATAAATTATTTAGGTTTAGTAGTTGTATTTTTTTACGAAGTTCTTCCACAACTTGTTTATACATAATTTCATTTTTAGTTGATATTTCCTCTAGTTCTTGTAATTTTAATTGTAGTTGTTCAATTTGTAGTTTGTATTCATTATTTTCATACTGCATCAACAAAAGTTCTTCCTTTTTGATGTCAAGTTCTTGTTGCACATGTTGTTTTTCAGTCTCCAATTGATCAAATCTTAAGATTATATCAGCAAATCGTCGTTCTAATTCTTCATAATCTTTTCCTTTATTTAGTAATGAAGTATTGGCTGATAAGATTTTTTGTGGCTGTTTTGATATTTTGATTGGTTCTTGTGTTAGTATAGTTATATCATTATTTAGGTGATTGATATTTTCATCCATTATGACAGCATGTATATATAAATTCGATATTGATTGATTAATTTGTAATTAAGGAGAAATAAAGATTTGATTGTTTACATCTATTTAATTTTTAAAATTCTTTTTTTTCTGTTTCTTTTTTTTCTTAAGTATGTAGAATTAATTTATTTGTTATCGCTAACATTTAGATTTAAATTTTAACATGAAACCACAGAAATTCAGAGATAAGTTTTTACAAATTGATCTAAAAAGTGGTATAAAGAAAGAAGGATAGACTAGCGATCATCAACGCCCATTTTAACCTCTACACAACTCATTAAACCCTATAACTCAATTCATCTTGTCAAGATTTAAATCGTGTTGTTAGTTTGTGTAATATATAATAAAATTTGTTTTGGTTTTAACTCAATAAGAAATTATTATTATTTTAATTACCGGTTATTATTACATCGTTAAATTTCACTCGTAACTTCATTAATTTTTGAAAGTATTATATACTCAACTATTTACATGGTAAGGACCTTCCTAAGATGAATTTAATGCTTGTTCTATTGAAGTACCAGGATTCAAATTATGTTTTAAATCATGTTTTATTATATTAGCTCTTAATATTCTTGGATCTTTTCTTAAAGTTCTTAATAATTGTGATTGTACATTACTTGATGAATCAAATCCCATTATAAAATGATAACCTTGAAAATGTCTTTCTTGTTCTTTTGATATAATTTTTGGTAATGGTTTTGATCCTAAACTTGTTATATCTCTAATTATACCTCTATTATTCAATATTAATTTACCAACTGTACTGGCGATTTTTGTAGCTTCTTTTGTGACATGTAATGGGTCCGTTATACGAGCAATAGCAAACAATTCATAGTACATTTTGTTGATGATATTGGTGGTTAATCATTATGAATTTAAAATTTTTTTTTCACCAAAATTATTTATGAAACGAGACTGATTGATTGATTAGAGCTACCAACAAAATTTGCAAAAAATTGATAACCTACTTGAGCTACAAAAGGGCTAGAATACTTAAATTAAACACTACTTAGCCTTGAGAATGAATTAACTGGCATAATGAATCTACTTGCCACTTCAAAATGGTAACTATTTCAAAATTTACAGAGTCGTGTACCCGACAAATTTCTGTTACAGACCTCACGTGCAATTATAAATAAGAAAGATTGCAAAATTTCAATAACTTACTAAATATCATCAATTACACCAATCAACCACTTCAAAAATGGCTACTAATATTACATGGCATCCTAATTTAACTCACAGTGAACGTGCAACTCTTAGAAAACAACAAGGTGTTACAGTTTGGCTTACAGGATTATCAGCAAGTGGGAAATCAACAATTGCTTGTGCATTAGAACAATCTATTTTAAATAGAGGTTATAATTCTTATAGATTAGATGGAGATAATGTTAGATTTGGATTAAATAAAGATCTTGGTTTTAGTGAATCTGATAGAAATGAAAATATTAGAAGAATTAGTGAAGTTGCAAAATTATTTAGTGATAGTTGTTGTGTTACTGTTACATCATTTATAAGTCCTTATAAAGCTGATAGAAATTTAGCAAGAGAATTACATACTAAGGATAATTTACCATTTGTTGAAGTTTATATTGATGTACCAATTGAAATTGCTGAAAAAAGAGATCCAAAAGGTTTATATAAAAAGGCAAGAGAAGGTATTATTAAAGAGTTCACTGGTATAAGTGCACCTTATGAAGCCCCAGAAAATCCAGAAATTCATGTTAAAAATGATTCAATTTCTATTGAAGAAGCTGCTGAACAAATTATAGATTATTTATTAGAAAAAAAATATATCAGTTAAAAAAGCTGGTACTGTAAGTAGATTTCGTAAAATATATAACTACATTAATTTATTACTTCTTCAAACTATCTAATCTTGCTTGTAAATCATCTTCTCCTATAGCTTGAGGTGTTCTTTCCTCTTGTTCTACTCCAGTAATTCCACTTGGTGTATCCTTTAGTGTTGTATTTAAATCAACTCCAATTTCATCCAAAACTTTACCTAATATTTCATCAATTTGTTCTTCTTCTCCTAATTCATCATCATCCATTGCCATTGCATCATCTATTGCATCATCCATGAATTCTTGTTTTTGATCCATTAAATCATTTTCTTTTGCAAATTCTTGTGCTATTCTTGATAATTGTGGTAAATTCATTGATTTATTCATACCAGATAATACTCTAGTGGCATCTCTCATTGACATTGCCATTTGTTGATTCGACCTTACTGATTGTACTCGAAGAGAAATAGCTTGTAGTTGGGCCCTCATTGAATTGAATTTATTGATATATGATTTTGTTCTAATTAAATCTTTTGCTTGTATTTTAGCACTTGATATTTGTCCTTGTTTTGCTGATTTTTTAATATCACTGATTAATTTCTTTTCTTGTTGTTGTAATTTGGTGACTTCTCGTGTAAGCTCTCTTTGAGTCTTTTCTAAAGCTCTTTGATTCTTTCTAAGTCTTTCTTGAGGCGTTAGCCTCTTACCAAATGCCCATTCAAATAATTGTGACATTTGCTTGATAAGATAAGCAAAAGAATACAGAAATAATGAACGAGATAATTTAAGTAGGTATTTAAATTATATGCAGTATCAAGATTTTGCAACATTTTACAACCAAATTAATAGAGCTGCTAATACAAATTACTAGATCATGTATTATCCTATTATAGTTTACTTTTGTCGTTATACATTAGCTTTACACTTTTTTCAGCCATCCCCAAACCAGCTTGATATCCATAACCAGAAGCACCATAATTATGAATCAATATTTTTCCACCATCAACTACTTCTTTTTCAATTCTAGCTCCTCCGGTTCTACAAGGTCTTAATCCAACAGCAACTCTTAAAATTTCCAAATCTTCAATTTTGTTACCATGTGGATTTTGTTCCAAAATCTTTGGAAAAAGCGTAGTTGTTCTTTTCAAAATATCATCAGTATAAATTTTTAATGAATCTGGATTCCAATCATGTTCTTGTAAAAATCCACCTAATATCAATTGATCATGAGAAAATGGTCTTTTGATAATGTATGTTGGCTCTCTATTACCCCAGCTTAATACATTTTCTATTATATGTGGAGCTTTTATTACAACAACTTGTCCACGACCTGGATGAACTGCTTTATCATTAACCAATTCTCTAGCTCCAATTCCTGTACAGTTGAATACTACCTTTGTATCATCACCAAAAGCTTCTTTGATGTTGTTTAGTTTGCTTCTACTGAATGAAATATCTTTTCTCTCCAAATACAATTTAAAGTGGTATAAAAATTTAGGACAATTGAAATTCCAAGATAAAAAGGAAATCCCATAAGCTGAACCTTGTGGTAAATTGTTAAGTTCTTCAAAATTTTGTAAATAACTCTTTAACGAATTAATTTTAGCAACACTAGGTCTTTCATCCCAAAATTCAGTAGATTTATATCTATCTAATCCATTAATTTTACCCACAGCTTTTTGAATCTTACCTAAATTTAAATATGTATATTTATCAAATTCCAAAGTAGCCTCATCGTCACCAGTAATACATGAAAAATTCCCACCTGCGTAAGGTGATGTATATTTTATTGATTCATCACCTGGTAAATATTCTGCAATCACTGAAATTTCTTTTGGTGATTCTCCGTGTTCAAGTAAAGTAAATGCTGTGTATAATCCTATAATTCCTGATCTTATGGAGTTAGTATAAGCGTTGAAAAAGTTTTGGTGGTTTTGCATACCCTACTATTACAATTCTGGTCATTTGTGGTGGTTGTGCTGGTTGTGCTGGAAACAGTAATTGAAAAATTGAGAATTCCATTATATTTATATGTAAATTCATATTGCGCTAAATTTTCAGAAAAGATAAGCGAGATCTGAAAAATAATATTCGGAGTTTATACTACATTCATTAAAGGTACAGAAATCTACGTTATTATATAATTCCGTTTCAGCTATTTATTAGGAAACTAGCTAAGTGTATTAAAAATTTAATCCAGCTGCAAATGAGGAGGTAATAGATTTAATATCATCTTCAATATTTTCACCTTGATATCTTCCACCATCATATTTTTTATCTAATTTATTCAATTTTGAGTAAAAATTAGCACTTATTGAATTTGAATTATCAAAATATTCAGTTTTACCATTTAATGAGGGCCATAATTCATTATTCAATTTTTTAACTGTTCCATTTTTACTTGATTTCATACCACTATTACTATGACTTATCATACTTGCTGAATCAAAATTTGTTGATGAAAAAGTAGTTGATGGTGCTCCAAAACCCTTTTTGTTGGTTTTTGTTTCCCTAGCAGTATAATTGTTTAATTGAACCATTGACAATTGTAAATTATCTAAAGGTCCATCTACCAAACACCCCTTTTCTCTAAAATGAATTAATAAATGATTCCATAATTTATTTCTACATAACGCTCTTGGATTACCCAAAACTAACAAACCATATTTTGCCCTGGTCAATGCAACATTCAATCTTCTTGGATCACTTAAAAACCCAATACTTTGTGAATCATTTGCCCTAACACAACTTAAAATAATAAAATCCTTTTCACGACCTTGGAAAGCATCAACACTGGTAATTTCAACTTCTAAATAATCATCACGTTTATCCAAGATAGTTGAATTCATAGACATAAATTGAACCAAATAAGCACGTTGACCTTCATATGGAGTTATAACTCCAATTTGTTCTGGTTTAATACCATCTTTGAACAAACGAGTAATAATTCTTTCAACATTCATTGCTTCCACTCTATTCAAATAAGAATTACCACTACCACTTAATTCCTCTCTACCATAATTTGCCCAAAACATCATTGGAGTATCTAATACTGGCCATGGAAACATTGCTTCATCAACTAAACGATCTTCACTAGTTACACCGTTTTGTAAAGAACCTTCATAAAACATATTACTTGGAAACTCAGATAAACATGGATGCATTCTATATTGAACTTCTAACCTAATTGGAACATGACCCAAAAATACTAATCTTTCAAATAGTGACTGTTTTAAACCTGCATCTGCTGCTTTTCTATCTAATATAACAGGACCTAATTGTTGATGATCACCAACTAAAATAACTTGTTTTGCACCTTTAACAATTGGAATTAAAACTTCAGGTTCAGATGCCTGAGTACTTTCATCAATTAAAACAGTTCTAAATTTGAATTGCCCCAATCTCTTGTCAGCTGCACCAACACAAGTACAACATAAAACTTCACACTTACTTAAAACTTTTAATTCAGCTGCCCTTAAGTTCTTAATGTAGTTTTTAGAATCTTCCATTGATAATTCCCCAACTTCATTTTTTAACTTTATAAGCTTTTTCAATTCTCCCTTTGATGATTTATCAACTATATTATGCAATGCTAGATGACTAACTGAACTTTCAACATCTTCTCTTGATTTAGCAGTTAATCTAACAACTCTCAACCCTAAAGAATCTAATTTAGATGCCAAATGATCAACTGCAACATTTGATGGTGCACAAACCAAAATTTTCTCTTTGTTAAGTTGTGACAAATGATAAATAATTGTTGCTGAAGTAACAGTCTTACCTGTTCCTGGAGGTCCTTGAATCAACGACAATGGTCTTTGTAATACAGAACGTACTGCATTTGTTTGTGAGATATTCAATTCGGTTAATTTTGGATGTGAAAACCTTTGTGGCATTTCAATATCAAATTCAACAGGTGCAACATCATGACCTAATAATTTATGATATAAATATGAAGATACGGATTCATCATCAGTTGCAAAATTCTTCATAGCTTGTTGCATACGATCATATGAAGTTCCTTTCCAAACAAATTCTGCAGTGAAATCAGTTGTTAAATTAGTCGGTGGTGCAATTTTTGAAGCATTCAATTCCAAAGTAAATTCTTCTTGATATGAATTTGGTAACCTCAAGATAAATCCATGACCTTCCCATGGTTCTCTTTGATTTCCGTTGTATCTCAAAATAATTTCATCTCCCACTGCGACTTTCAAATCTGATGTTTCATAAGTTGACAAAGTGAATGAAGCTAAATGTTTGTTATTTAACCCCAATGCCCATTTGACTTGAATATGTTCCAACGCTTGAGACTCCTTAAGATTCTTATCGTAATCAGCTTCTAATTTAACCAAAGGTCCAAATGATCTTTGATATTGGAATCCATCATTATATCTCATCAATATCGGTAAGACTTCTTCTTCTTGTACATCAGTATTCTCAATATCATTAATCGTCGCATCTCTATTCAATCTCCATTGAGCTTCTAATTTTGAAATTTGTTGTGGAGTTATCAAAATTGAATTTATCAAAGCTTCTTCTGTTGGTTGAGGTGCTAACCACGATAAAAATTGTCTATCTTCTATAAGTGATTGCCAATGACTTGTATCCCAATTAATATCTTTCGATCTTGCACATGGTAAACGACATAATATTACAACAACTGATTCTTGTTTTGCTGAAACAAACCCCAACATAAATACATTCTTGTTTCCACAATTATAACATTCTAAAGTAGTATCACCTAAATCTGATTCTTCATGTAAACTAACTTGATTATGACGTGACATAACTAAATGAGTAACAATATGAGAACTTGATGAATTAGTTTTGGAATTACAAAACCATTTGTTACATGTATTACATTTAATAACTGAATTTGGAGTATGTACACCACAATAAGCACAAGCATGTTCTATATTTTCAATAGGATCTGGTTGTGGTAATTCAGATTCATCAAAATCATGTTTACGATCTTCATCAAATGGTTGTTGATTATGAGTTTCAAAAGTGGCGACCGTTGAAGGAGCTTGAATTCCACTATATTCAAAAGTATTTGACTCCATTCTTATAAGTTTTTATATGAATTTATAAGTTTTTTTAATTGAACTTTTTTCTGTTATTGAAAAATAAAAAATGATAAAATTGTCCGGTAAACTGTATAAATTAATTCTTCTTCTCTAATTTTAATAAAAATTTATACTTGATTTTATTCTTAACTAAATAAATACATTTGTAAAAAATTAACTTTATTAATATTATATGATGTATGATAATTCAATAAGTATTTGAGTTAAAATAAAGTTATCTTTCTATTAATTTACAATCTATTAATTTACAAAATGAGTGTTAATATTTTTTATTGATTTCTATAAATTCAAATTTTTTTTTTCTTCTTTACTTTAATTTATTGGTGAATCTGCACTACTTACCGCTGACTCAAATTAAATTAAGAGGTTTTCTTATCAATTGATTGATGAAATCAACATTAAAGGGTTCAAGTAAAATTCTGATTATGTGTCATTGACTAATCTGTGACTTCTCACGAGATCTGTTTAAAACTCTATTTAAACTTTTGGCTCCTTTGTAAATTATAGGATTCAGCAAAATGATTAAGTTTAGGAAATTATGGGGGTTATTTTTTCCTAAATAACAGTAAGTTCAGATATCAAATAAACAAGATTTGGTTTTTTGAAGTAATGAAAACATAGGAAACAATAAAGAAAAACATTCAAGTGAAAGTATATTGTTGAAGGTATTTCCAAGGTTTGTGCCAATTGTTTAAAAGTTATTCCAATAAATTTTATGATCGATTCGTTTAATTAACCACCATCAAAAAGTCTTTAGATTTTCGAAAATCAAAAGGGTCTTCTTCTCCATTAAGTTTGTTATTTTCATTAAGTAACAATTTGTATTTAATGTCAATTTGATGCATTAATCATAGCATAATTAAAGTGCATTGATATGCGAATAATTAATATTATACAGTAAATTATAAGACATTCGCGTTAAACAATTAATTAAGGTACAATATTATTTTGGCACTTAAGTTATATTACATACATAACATAATAATTTACGTAACTGATAAAATATATGAATTTCTGAAGAATAGTTGACCTTTTAATTGTAGGTTCAATTAAAGAGCTAGAGTTAGTAGATCTTTGAGTATAATTAACTTCATGAAGATAGCATAACATAATTCTTATTTCCACAAATTGAAAAAAAAACGGATCAATCAAATTCAAATAAAATTTTTAACTTTGATTCAGATCAATTTAAGTAAAATAACATAAAAATTATTTGTACACTTTATTGTTCAGTCTTTTAATTAAAAAATCAAATCAAACAATCGAAATTTCATTTAATTTGACTTATTTCAATATTATTAAGCGATATTCTATTACATTTATACTAAATATGGTTACCAATTTCTTTATTGTCTTTGTAAGTACTTCATTTTAATCACTAAATACATTAAGAATTATTCTCTAATTTTTTCTTGGAGTTGGTCTAAATCCTAAATAAAATCGTATATTTTTCACTAGTCTTTATTAAAGTTAAACTAATAAATAAATAAACAAAATCTTATATCTTTTAATTATTCAAGTTCCTAAAAATCTTGTAGAAAAAAATGTTGTTGATGTTTTTTAAATTCTTGAATTTATTTATTTTTTTTTACATAGAAAAAGAAATTTATTGTTACATGTAATTATTTTATTTACTTATTTATTTTCAAATTATTTTATCAACATTAAATTTAATCCATACAACCAACCAGTCAATTTAATCAAAGTGATAAACTTACGTGTAACACTATTTAATTCAATTACATACTTCTAAAACATTCGTTTAGGTCAATTATTATTTCAAATTTGTTAATTTTATCAGATCTTTTTAACAACTCATATTTTACAACCAAATTTAAAAAAAAACACGTTACTTGTATTATAATTTTACCATCAATTATGGATTATAAATTACCTTATCATAGAATCATATTAAGAGATAAAGGATTATTTGAAGGTAAAAACTTCTCAGTTTCAACTGACTCAATTAAATGGATTCAAGTTTATTCATTATCTATCACTGAACATGGTCAATTATATTCATCTGATGATCAAGATAATCATTATTTATTGTTACAATCTTTACAATCATGTTCTATACAAATTATACCTAACTCAAATGTATCAAATCAACAACCACTAAATCAATCTCGTCCATCAATATCGAATAAAAGATCATTCAATCTAAAGAAAAATGGCAACCAAATTGAAAATAATGAAGAAGAACCTCCATCAATTTTTATAAAAACTTTTGAAAATGATAAACTATATATCAGAGTTACAACCAAAGGCAATTTTGACAGTTTAATAAGTTCATTAATTGTTTGGCAAAACCTAAAACCTCAAGGGTTAGCTAAAAAATGGTATAGTGAAAATAAAGTTATAAATCAAACAAATACTCCACATGAATTATTAGTTTGTAGATTCAAAATATATGGACCATTACCAAATAAATTTAAAAATGTCAATGTTATACCAGGTCCCAAAGCTCCAATATATCAACCTAAAATTGATGATTTTACTACCTTAGCTGAATCTCCACCTCAATCAAATGATAATATAAATGAAGGTTGGTTTTATACAATGGGTGCTCTAAACTCAAATGGGATTTTGAATTTCATAAGTGAGTTAGATGGTACACTTCTATATTCGATTGATATAAAGACTATATTAAAAAGTGAGATTAGAGAAGTTCATAATTCGATTTTCAATAGTTCGAATGTATTATTTATTGGTCAATTAAAAGAATTGCGTTATAATAACGTTATAAGAACCACCACCACCTTAAATGCTGATCAATTATTAACAAATTTCTTAACAAGAGATGGGAAAATAATACCCAATAATCAAAGAATATTGATTGACTTTCCTTTACACATTGATTTAGAAGATTGGTTCGTTGGATTGAATTATTTTGCAAGAAGAGAATACATTGGGTCTTTCAATGATGAATCAAAATTATTAGAAGGTGTTGAAAAACCTCATTTGGCTGACTATAATAAAGCAAATTTCAGAGTTTCCAAAAAAGTTACAATTGATATAATTGAGGCTAAATTTGAATCCAACACCAAAAAGAGTAGTGGAAAAATATATGCAGAAGTTAGGATGTGGGGTTATCCATGGTCAAGAACAGCTATTGTTGGTTATACTAATAATCCATTTTGGAAAGAAGAATTTCTGACAGATTTACCTATTTCAACTCAAATGATTCATATCTTGATAAAAAAGTGCTCAACCAATGACTCAACATATTCAGCAAATGATAAATTGATAGGAACAGTTTATGTGACGCCAGATATATTAACCAAACAAATTAAAAGCAGCTCCACTATAATGACAAGTAGTGAATCCAATGGAATTCAAGTAAATTCAATACCTATGCAAACAAGTCCAAGTCATAATTCAAGTCTTGATATTGTGAGATTATCGATATATGATCCAAATAATATTCCAATTGGTAAACTCTTGGTTCAAGTAAATTTAAATGAATATCATATTTTATCACCACAGTATTTCAAACCTTTAGAAAAAATGTTAATGAATGCACCATTAAAAGATTTAATCAAATTTTGTAACGAAAATGTACCAGCATCTGAATTTGAAAGAGTAAGTATAGTTTTGTTGGATATTTTTCAAAGTTTAGGTGTTGAAGATGATTGGTTTAAATGTTTGATGGAAAGTGAGTTGGTAAATATAGATATAATTACAAGAAAGAATTACCACAAACGAAATAGTCAAGAAAATGGAACAACATCTTCGCAAAATAATGTTTTCAACACTTTATTCAGAGGTTCATCAATTTTCTCAAAATCACTTGAAAAATATAACATCAGAATTGGTCAAGAATATTTAGAAAAAGTATTTGGTGATTTCTTCGCTAAAATAAACAAGGAAAAGAAAAATTGTGAAGTTGATCCACGATATGTAAAATTACAAGAACGTGCCAAAAGAAAAGGGATAGTAGTAGATGATGACCTAGATGATTTAGAATCAAGTGATGAAGAATATGATTCAGATTTAGAAAAAGAAAAAGATGAAGCAATAAAAACAATGGTTGAACAAAATTATCAAAATTTAAATGATTATGTTGAAGATATTTGGAATAAAATATATATTACATCAAATGATATACCACAACAAATTAAAACACAACTTAAAAATTTTAGAACAAAAGTTGAATTAGTTTGTGAACCAGATGATAAAATTACAAGTTTAAATTGTGTTAGTGCTTTTATATTTTTAAGATTTTTCTGTCCAGCTATATTGAATCCTAAATTGTTTTATTTAGCCAAAAATCATCAAACTGGTAGTACTCAACGTACTTTAACTTTAATTGCCAAAATATTATTAAATTTAGCTAATAGACAAGAATTTAGTCCTCATAAAGAGCCTCACTTAGTTAAAATGAACACCTTTTTAAGAAAACATCAACAAGAAGTTTATGATTATTTTGATAAAATTACTGGTCGTAAAAATGATTTTAATGAAAAAGTTTTAGATTTAAGTCATGAAGTTAAGAGATTTGATTTAGGATTAAATCAAACATCAAATGAATTACCAACAACTCCTTATCTAATTGATAAATATTTAAGATTAACTGAAATTGTTCATTTATTGGATTATTCAAAATATTCAAGAAGTAGTAGTACACCAATGACACCATTAACAAGTCCACTGAAAATTTTAGAAACAAATGAAACAAACGAGCTAGATTCCATAAAATTAGAAGAATTAACTATACAAAATCAAGATAAAAATGTTTACCAAATTGGATCATTGGAGTTTGAAAAACTGGAATTTTTAGATTTAGCAGGAGATAATGAAACTGAAGGATTTATCAAGTCATTATGTAAAGGTAATGAAGAAATTTTTTCATTTATAAATTCAAATATAACGTTAAAAGATATTCAAAAACAAAGTACTAAGATAATGAATAGAATAAATGAATTAGAAATATATCTTGAAAATTATGAATTCCCAGTAAATTATTATGGTGATCAATTATGGTCAGTTTTTACAAAAGATATCTTATCTAAATGTTGGCTAGATTGTTCAAGAAATTGTATAATCTCCAGTGAACTCAATTTAAATCATCAATATACAAGTATGAAATTTTTAAAAATAGAAGATAATGCTTTAGGTAGTTTAAAATTAAAATTTAATGATTCAACAAATAATAGTAATTCAAATTTGATTCAACAACCTCATCAATTAAGATCAAATCCTTCTATATCAAGTTTTAATGATAGCTCTTCAATAAGTGGTACAACTAGTAGTAGTATAAAAAGTTCAGTTCGAAAATGGTTTAAAAAATAGATAAATTTATTAAATATATTAACTAATGTATAATTATAATTTTTATGAAAAGAGTTCTTGTAAAGTTGTCTAGTAGTTGCAAATTGTTTTGTATAGTGTTAGTACTGAATAGCTCAAAAGCCAGCTGCTTTGAGACGTCTAGAATGATCAATCCAAGGCTTACGTTATTCCAAGGCTGATACTAAAGAAGCCCGTAGTACAAATTGGTTAATTTGTGTAGTGGTACTGCCTTATATATGTATGACGAGTAAATTCTATTTTATAATAATTCCGTCTCGTAAATTTTATATGAAGCGTGTTTTTAAGACAAGAACACGTTTTTTAAGCTTTATAAAATTATGTTTTTAGGTTTCAATGATTTCTACTTTTTTGCAGCAATATAAATTTTATGGTAGTTGTAACTATTAATGATCACTTGAGTGTTACATTCAAAGTTCTAGTTTACTGACTTTATCAATTTTTCAAAAATTTATGATTTTGTGGTAGTATGACTACTTAAAGTCACAAAAGCTGACCTCGTCAAACACCGATATACAATTACCTCGATCAAGAAGATTTCTAATTGACTAGATGGAAGGGGTTGTCTTACTTATGCGAACAAGCTCAACGTGTAATCCGTCTCCTATTTCATAAATCCATCTTATACGTCGGGACCAACCGGTAGGTGATTTTTCTTTATATCATAATATAATAGAAAGAAAAATTTAATCTGAGATTGTCGAAAAGTGCATGATTGCTAAATGGCTTATAAATGATCAAAATTGAATCTTAGGTTGCGTTTAGTAGAGTAATGACTAGAAAATTTTAATTGGAATGTGATAAATTTGGCTTTTGGAAAATGACCAATTTGTATGCTACGCAGGTCTCTACTATCTCTTGCCCAGTGAATATTTTAATTCTTGATATTGAATATCGGTAATAAAATTATCGCCCAAATTATAAAAAATAGCACAGAGACAATAAATTTTAGCGCTCTCGTTTCACAGTAATCGCACACTCAATCACAATAAATTTATTTTAGTCCTAAATGTCAAATTGATCCGTATTGATTTTCAAACGGTTTTTATATTTTGATTTTTCTGCTGAAAAAACAAAGATCAAACGTACTAAGATGTAAATAAATACGTGATGAGCACATGAAGTCTTTCACTAAAGGTTTCATATACAGAATATTAGTGAATTATTAATAGGATTTCAAGCATAATCACAAACTTCATAAGTGATCAAGCCAATATTCTATTAATAATTCTTCAAATACGTAATTGTTAATAATATTATAATATTATTTATTATCTTAATAAAAAAGAAATTTTAAATTGTTGAAAATTTAAAAAAAATAAAAAAACAACAAAACAACAAAAAAAATAAAAATTAAAAATGAAAAAAAGAAACCTTTGAATATTAATAGAATTTAATCTCATTAAAATCTAATTGTTTTCTATCACAATAATTTCAGAAAGATATTATATCAATAAATTATCTTTTTCATCTTATTTATCAATTCATATTATCATTTAATTTCAAGAAAAGGACTATAGAATTAATTTCAATTCCAGGTTTAATTTAGTTTAGTTGATTATACATCTATATATTTTTCATTTTAAATTTTATTCATTTTATTAATTATTTTTCATTTATAATTTGTTTTAAAGGAGCTTTATACCTACTTATATACTTTCATATAAACTTATATCACTACATAACGTAATGACATCGGTTACTGAAGAAGAGATTTTAGCATCATATCCACAAATAACTGCACCATCAGATATAACTGGTGTTACATCTAATTTAACACCAGAACAAAAAGAAATAACGATTGAATTAAGAAAGGAATTGGTTGCTTTAGGTTTTAAAGATAGATTAGATGATGCATCATTATTAAGATTTTTAAGAGCAAGAAAATTTGATCTTACATTAGCAAAACAAATGTTTATTGATTGTGAAAATTGGAGAGAAAAATTTGGTACAAATACTATTTTAAAAGATTTTCATTATGAAGAAAAACCAATTGTTGCTAAGATGTATCCTACATACTACCATAAGACTGATAAAGATGGTAGACCAGTTTATTATGAAGAATTAGGAAAAGTTGATTTAATTAAAATGTTAAAAGTTACTACAGAAGAAAGAATGTTAAAAAATTTAGTTTGGGAATATGAATCAATGTGTCAATATAGATTACCTGCTTGTTCAAGAGAAGCTGGACACTTAGTTGAAACTTCTTGTACAATTTTAGATTTAAAGGGAATATCAATCACTTCTGCTTATAATGTTATTGGTTATGTTAGACAAGCTTCTAAAATTGGTCAAGATTATTATCCAGAAAGAATGGGTAAATTTTATTTAATAAATGCTCCATTTGGATTCTCAACAGCTTTTAAATTATTTAAACCATTTTTAGATCCAGTTACTGTTTCAAAAATTTATATTTTAGGTTATAGTTATTCAAAAGAATTATTAAAACAAATACCTCCTCAAAATTTACCAAAAAAATTTGGTGGATTTGATGATGTTACTGATGATGAATTATTATTAAAAGATGTTGGTCCTTGGAGAGATCCTAAATATATTGGACCAGAAGGTGAAGCACCAAGATCATATGACATATAAACTGAATAAAAACAAAGCTTGTGTATATTATTATAAATTTTATCTTATATCAATTCAATACAATTATTAATTTATAGATTAGAGTTTCTTTTTGTGTTATACTTGCCCTCTTTTAGTTTTAAAACTTGGCTGCGAAATTTTTATTTTAGGGGTTGTTTTTCTTTGCAAAAGATCCAAAAGATAAATCAATCATCAATGTCATCAACAACTTCAAGTGTACCTATTCTGGCCAAGGCATTCAGCGAAGTTGAACAACCTGACTATTATTTAGATCAGAATTTACAGGTTGTAGAAACTAAAGAAGACACTAATAAAGAACCACGAAAATTCAAATTATTTAATAGAAATTGCAAAAATTTTATAATTGCAATTATAATGTTGGCTATTGTGTTTATATTAGCTATTGTATTTGCTATAACTTCAAGTAAATTGGTAAATGATCCAATACGAAATGGGTTAAAAATTGAAAAATTATCAAATCATAAATTTAACCACCTAAATGCTATAAGAACTAATTTAATAGATAAATCGTCACCCACAACTTCAATAGGTGATTGGAATTTGGTATTTTCAGATGAGTTTGAGACTGATGGTAGAACATTTGGTGAATTTGAAGATCAATTTTTCACAGGTATGGATTTGCATTATCAAGCTACTAATGATTTAGAGTATTATTTACCACAAATGATCACTACAAATAACAGTAGTTTAGAAATAAAATTTGACAGACTTAATTATTCTGGTTTCAGTTATATTTCTGGAATGTTACAAAGTTGGAATAAGTTATGCTTTAACAAACAAGCAAGAATTGAAGTATCAGCTAAATTACCACCTGTAGAGTTTGGTTTATGGCCAGCTATATGGTCTTTAGGTAATTTAGCAAGACCTGGATATTTAGCAAGTACTGATGGAGTTTGGCCATATACATATAATGAATGTGATTTAGGTATAACTCCAAATCAGTCAACCACCAATAAAGATATGTCATATTTGCCTGGACAAAAGTTAAGTAAATGTACTTGTTTTGGAGAAGATCATCCTAAATTGGGAGTTGGTAGAGGAGCTCCAGAAATTGATATTATTGAAGGATTGTTTGAATATAATCAAACTTGGGGTGTTCAAACTTTACAAGTAGCACCATTTGATGAATGGTGGAGACCAGATTATGATTATATAGGTATTGAAAATAATAATGAAACTATTGTAAGAGAAGATGTCGGGACAATTTATCAAGAATCAATTTCATTAGCTACAAAGTTAGACTTGAATAAGTTTACCAAATTCACAATGGAATACCAAAGTATGGAATATGAAAATAGTTATGTAAAATTTGAAATTGATGATAAGCCAACATTTCAAATAAATGGATCAGCATTACATTCAAATGAATTTATTGGATTTAGACAAATATCAAAAGAACCAATGTCATTAATTTTTAACTTGGGATTATCACATATCTGGAACTCAGAATTAAATGAAACAAAATTGGATCTACCTGCGATTTTGTACATTGATTATATTAGAATTTATCAAAAACAACTTGATTTAACATGTGATCCTCCAGAGTATCCAACTAATTCATACATTAATTCTCACGTTAATGCTTATACTAATCCGAATTTATTAACTTGGAAAGAAGCTGGATTTAGTTTTCCTCGTAATTCTTTTATTGATGATTGTAAAAGTCCGATATTTTAAATCACCGTACTTTTTTTTTTTCAAGCAATATCATTTAATTTTTCACAATCATTCCAAATATATCTTCACAACAAATGCTTCAACAATTTATACTACTACTATTTATAAATTTAGTAGTATCTAAAACTCATACATTTGATTGGAATGTTGGATATGTTGACGCAAATCCCGATGGAATGTACCCAAGAAAAATGATTGGAATAAATAACCAATGGCCTAATCCTACTATAAAAATCAAACAAAATGATAGAGTTATAGTAAACGTATATAATGATTTACCAGACCGTAATATTTCAATACACTTCCATGGATTGTTACAAAGAGGATATAATGGAGAAGATGGTCCAGAAATGATAACTCAATGTCCAGTTGCTCCTGGTTCAACTATAATTTATGATTTCGAAGTTAGTGATCAAGCAGGTACTTATTGGTATCATTCACATAGTGGATCACAATATGGTGATGGATTAAGAGGTATGGTGATTATTGAAAGAGAAGATGAACCTTATAAATACGATGAAAGTATTGATTTAAGTGTAAGTGATCATTACCATTTACAAACTACCAAGATTATTAAATCCTTTTTAAGTAGATATAATCCTACTGGAGCAGAACCAATTCCTCAAAATAGTTTATTTAATGAGACTAAAAATGTTACAATTGCTGTTGAACCGAACAAAACATACTTGTTGAGAATAGTCAATATGGGATTATTTGTTTCTCAATATTTGTATGTTGAAGATCATTCGTTCATTGTTGTTGAAGCTGATGGAGTAACTGTTGAACCATATGAGGTAGACTCCATATATATTACAGTCGGACAAAGATACGTTGTATTGCTCAAAACTAAAGATACAGCTAAAAAAAATTATAGATTTGTTAATATTTTAGACATGGAAATGTTAGATTTTGTACCAGAAGAATTACAACTAGTTTCAACAAATTACCTTCAATATAATGAATCAGGTGCAAAGCCAAAACATTTACCATATTATAATTTTGACATAGTTGAAAAATTAAAAGGATTTGATGATTTTTATCTCAAGCCATTAAATCATGAAAAATTATTACCAGAACCAGATATGACAATTCAAGTTAACTTTACAATGGAGGTATTAGGTGATGGAGTAACTTATGCTATGTTTAATGGTAAATCTTACGTACCTCCAAAAGTCCCCATTTTATATACTGTTTTAAGTGCTGGAGACAATGCAAATAACGCGGTTGTATATGGTACAAACACAAACTCTTTTGTTTTACAAGGTAATGAAACTATAGAACTTATATTAAATAATAATGATCCAGGTAAACATGCATTCCATTTACATGGACATAATTTTCAAGTTATAGCAAGAAGCGAGGGAACAGAAGATGATGAAGAACCTATTGTGTTTGATCCACATAACCCAAAAATGATTGATTTCCCAGAACATCCAATGATTAGAGATACTGTTGAAGTCAAACCTAACGGATATTTTGTTTTACGTTTCAAAGCTGATAACCCTGGAGTTTGGTTTTTCCATTGTCACGTAGATTGGCATTTAGAACAAGGATTAGCTTTAGTTTTAATTGAATCTCCAGAAGATATTCAAACATCACACATTTCAAAAAATCATAAAGAAGTATGTGTAAACAATAGTGTCCCCACTAGAGGAAATGCAGCAGGAAATTTAAACTTTTTAGATTTGAAAGGTCAAAATTTACAACAACCTCCATTACCTGATGGATTTACTACTAAAGGTTACATTGCTATGACTTTGTGTTCATTAATTGCATTGTATGGATTATGGTCAATTTATAGATATGGAATTGAAGATGTTAATAAGGATACGGTTGTTATTGATAGGTTATATGAAATTGTTAATGAGTAAAATCAAATGAAATTGGGTATATAGGTTAGAACTTGATAAAAAATATATATATATTTATGTGGTTCTAATAATCTTGTTACTTTCCAGTATTGCATAATACAATAAGTTGTTGAAATTGAGATAGTGTAAATGATTCGAACCTCAAAGAAAGCTCAAAACTGGAAGTTGAATTTATCTGGAGGTTTCCAAAATTGAAATAATTCCCTTCATTCTAACTGTTAACTTTCATTTCTGTAAATTTGGTTGTAAAACCATAACTAAGTTAAAGTAAAAAACAAACATCAGAACCGCAATACTAAAAGATTGATGTCTTGCCTCAATAAGGAAAAAATTAACAAAAGACCTTCGAACTCTGAAATAATCAAGAATACAATCAAAGAACTGTTAATGTCATCATGATAGCTACAGCTGGAGACGAAGTTAGATTATATTATGAAACTATTAAATCACATCGTATGACTCGGAAAGAAATTGCAGAACTTTAAAAATTAGATTCAAATTTACAAAATTGTTCGTAATTTAGCTGTAACATATGGACCTAAATGGGCTTTTGACTTAGCTTTAAAAGATGTGAATAAGAGTAAAAAAAAAGTTAGAGAGAAATTTAAAGGTTAAGGGTTTACTTCAGTCTTTGGGGTTTAGGTTATGTATGATGTGAACTTGCAATTTGCATAGATTTGTTCATATGATGTGTATGACTAATTGGTTAGAATATCGTAAGTACTGGTTCGAAACTGTTTTCAAATAATATTTTGAGATAAGTGCCTCTTTGAGATATAACATATAAAAGTTTGATTAGTATGGTATTACTTTTGGGTTTATTAATGATTCTAAGATTTAGCATATATTACAATATTATTAACATATTAATACATAATATATAAATATTATATAATAAATTACATAATCATGTCATAAAAATTTTTCTTCAACAAAAAAATTAAAAAAGTGACAACAGAATTCAAACTCAAAACAAATTATTGTTTTTGTTTTTGTTTTACTTATAAGTAGATTTATAATTTTACAACCAATAATTATTTGAATTGAGAGTATATAAAAGTCAGACTTGATTATACAAAACACAACAAAATAACATTTCAATAAAGGCAGAATTGACCAAACAACTCAAAATCAATTGAATTAAATAAACAAATCCTCAAAGGTCATCTTCATTACTTTCTGAAACACTTAATCATGTCACATTCAAAAATTAAATCTGAATTAGCCAAACAGCAGTCACTTATAGATAACGCATCATCTGATATGCTTCCATCAATTGATTATCAAGGATTAGCTCAAGAATCAGCAGCGGTTGCAGCAGCAGCAGCTTCGAGTAGACAAAAACAAAAAACTCCACAAGAGCATCATCAACAAATGTTAGAAATACAACAACAAAATCAACAATATTCACATCAAAATGAATCAGAACCAAATACTCCAACAACTGAAGTAGAATCTCCAAATGATATTGAAGATGAAGGTGGTGAACAAGATTCAAATCATGTAGATAATATAAAAAATCCTCATAGAATTAAATTATCAGCACAAGATGTAAAATTAATATTATATTTAATTGTTGAAACTAAACCTTTTAAATATGTTGGTGATAGATCATTAAGTCAAACCAAGAAATGGGAAATTATACAAAAAAAATACTTTAATTTAAAATTTAAAGAATTACAACATAAAAATTTTGTTGTTCCAACTGTACGTACTTTACAACGTCAATTAGCAGCAGGTGTTAAAAAAGCAAGTTCACAAAGAAGTAAAGATGATATACCTCATCCAATTCCACCAACATTAGAAGAAATAGATAATGATAATTATTATAATTTTGCAACAATTGATGAATCAAGTCCACAAGAAGAATTAGAAAGTGCATTACTTGATTTACATCATTTGAGTAACAAGATAAAACTGTTAAAAATGCAAAGTAATAGTTTAATTAAAGTAAATTATCAACCAAGAATTAAATCACAAAAATCTTCAACAACAATAGATTCAAATGGTAAAGAAACAACCAAAACAACAGAATCAAAAGATTTATCATCACATATTGAAGAAATATCTAATTTGTTACTTGAAAAATTTACAAATTTAAAAAAAGATGTTCAACAAGAAAATGCAAATAAATATGAAGAAACTTTTAATGTATTAGAATTAGTATTTCAACATTCAAATGAATTAAGAAATTTTATAAATGAAGAAAATTTAACTTTAACAAATACAATTAATTCATTAGTAGAAACTCATTTAAATAAAATTGAATTTATTAAAAAAGAATATAATCTAAAACAATTAGATTTGATTAAAAAATTTGCTGATATTTATCAAGAAGATCTATATAATAATGATGAAGATTCTCATCAATTATTATTAGAAAAAATTAATTCAATAAAAGAAATAGTTGATGTGTAGTTGTAAAGAAAAATAAATATAAATTTGTTATGTATTATTATTAATTAAAACTAGATAAAATTACAAAATTATTTTTTTTACCTCTTAACCGTACAAATAGGTTTTTTTGCAACCAAAATTCAATCAATCAACAATGAATTTGTTAATCATATACTTTGTGGTCCTCGTATCAAGTTACTATTTCCCGCAAACTGATCAATCAATGGAAGATAGTGAAATTGTTCGTAGATCAGTTCAAGAATTACATGATATAGATGCATCAACAGATTTAAATGAATGTTTAACTTGTAAAACAAGATTACAAGTTGGTAAATTTTTATCATTAACAAGACCAGACTTAGTACCACAAGTTTTTTCTACATGGTGTGTAGAAAGTGGTCACGATGAAACTCAATGTCATATGAATTATGGTTACCCAAATGATGAAGTTAGTGCTACTGGTTCTGATTTTACAAAAGTTGTTGGATTAATGAACCCTTCAGGAATAGATGGTGATTATTTTTGTTATTATCATGATTCGAAATGTCATATTTTACCAGAAACTCCAATTATAGATATGGACAAGATGTGGCCAACAAAACCAAGGAATTATTTACCACCTGATAATTGTGGAGAAAACTTTCATGTTTTACATATAAGTGATATTAATTTACAATTAGATTATGAAATTTTTGCTGAATCAAATTGTACACAAAGTTTATGTTGTTCTTCAAATAGTAGAAACTTAAATTGTAAAGCTCCACCATTTAATGAAAATGTATTTGATGGATATTATGATTCAAGTTACAAGAAAAACCACTTCGAAAAAGGTAAGTACTTAGATTTAACCAAAAAGTTAAAAACTCCAACTTGGTCACCTGCTAAACAATTTGGTGAATATTCATGTGATACACCAACATTATTATTAAATTCAACTATGCAATGTATTAGAGATTTACATCAAAATCATTTAAGTTTTGAATTTGCAATTTTTACCGGTGGTACAGTTGATAGTAGTGATAGAAGTTTTATGAATAAGCAAAAAAATGTTAAATCACAAGAAACTAGTTACAAAATTTTGAAACATTATCTTGATGATTGTGATGTTATTCCTACTTTTGGTACAAGAGATGTATTTCCTGTAAATCAATTACCACAAAAAAACATTAGTGGGTCCAATAATTATCAATGGCAATTTGATTTAGTAGCTGATCTTTGGTCAGAATTAGGATGGATCATTCAACAGCTAAACAAATTAGATATTCAAGAACTGGTTTTACTATACATACAAAATTAGGTTTGAAAATAATTTCATTAAATTCAAATATTTGGAATTCTAAGAATTTATATAATTTTTGGAATGTATTAAATGTTGATTCATTTGGAGTTTGGAAATTTTAATTAATGAATTAATAGATTCAGAAAGAAATCATCAAAGATGTTGGATTATTGCTCATTTACCACCAAATCATCAATCATTAGCATTACCAACAAAAGTATTTTTAAAAATCATTGCAAGATTTTCTCCAAAAGTTATTGCTGCAATATTTTTTGGTAATATTCATGATGATTCTTTTATTATTCAATATGAAGGTGATGGTACAGATGATAAGACATTAGAAAATGCAATGAATCATGCATTAATTGGTCCATCAATATCTCCATATACTGGTGTTAATCCTGCATGGAGATATTACTCAGTTGATAAAGAAAGTTTTACAATAACAAATTCTTTTACATATTATACAAAATTAACTGATTGTACAACTAATGATGGAGCTGAACCAAATTGGGATTATGCTTATTCAGCAAGAGATGTTTATGATCCAGAACAATTATGGCCACAAGATTGGGGGTTAACTACTGAATTTTGGCATCATGTTGGAGAAAGAATTAATAATTGTCCTGAAATAAATTTATTATATCAAAGATTAGAAACAAGATGGTCACCTTATTCATTTATAAATAATGATTCTTATTGTAAAGTTACAAGTTTTTCAATGGATTCAAAAAAGAAATGTATGATTACTGATGATCAAGATGATTATATTGAACCAATGATTCCAAATGATTATATTCCTTTAATTCATGTAAAAGATAAATCAGTAGATTATATTCAAGTAGAAAAACCAGTAGAAAAAAATTGTGATAATAAAGATGATGATGAACCAGGTAATGAATTTGATGATGAAATTGCAAAAAATCATTTCGAATGGAAATTACAAGATATTAATCAAAATGATACTTCTGAAATTGTTGTTCCATTCCCTAAAAAGCAAAAAGGTAAAGCAATTCATTTGAATCGTAAAATTAACTTTGCTAACCAAAGAATAGCTCAATTTAATTAAGTTCTTTTTTATTATACTCCGAATCTAATCAGTTTGCTATGTTTATGTTTGTAACACAAAAATGAAATGAAAATGAAAAATATTATTTTGTAGTACGAGCTTTAAATATTTGTGTTAACTAAAACTCTTATTTTTTAACTAGAATCACAAATTGATAAATGCCGTTGTGACAAAAGTGAAGTAACAACCTAAAAGTATTAGCCTACATTGTAAAGAGGAGTAAATAAGTTTAAAGAGTTTGTTAACTAATAAAAGATTGTATCATTCATTTTATAAACGTTTAATCTCATAACCTATTTAGTAAAAAGAAGGTTATCACCAAAAGTTAAAAATGGTAAAAAAAAGAAATTTTATTATTTAAAGGAAATATAAAAAATGTGCTAAAAAAGTTTAAATTGTGTCATACATCAAATTTTTACGACAAAGCCAAAAAAAAAATTGACGTAATTTTTTTATTTCCTTCTATTTTTTTTTTCTCTCTTAATTTCGTAAATCTTTTTTTTTCTCTTCATTTCCCCACATTTTAAATTTCAATTTAAACCCTTTTAGGAATCAAAGTTTTTTTTAAGTAAAGAATGCACAAAGTATTAAATTTAGAGAAGAACAAAAAAAAGGTTATTTAAATTTATTCAAAATTATTTTTCAAGGGTATAATAAAACATTCATTAATAAAATTTCTATACGTTGTTTAGTAAAAAATAAATAAAGTAAAGTAAGTCCAAAGTGTTTTTTTTGTAAATATTCAAATATTTGATATCATCTAAAATAAGTAACCGAAAATATAAGTAAATTGTAAAACCGAAAAAGTTAAAAAAGTGATATACCGAAATGTTTGTAGTAAAATAATGTGACCGAAATAATAGTAAGCAAACGAAAAAATGTGAATAAACCGAAATAATTTTAGTAACCGAATGATAAGATGAATTTGAAGATGATATCAAATAATTTGCAAAACCGAAAAATAAAAATCAACGATGAATGAAAAAGAAATCTAATGGGTATAATAAATGAATAAATAGTTAAAAAAGCAATTATCAAAATTGTAAAACCGAATGAAAAATAACCACCAAAAATTGAAAAAATAGAACCAGAAAGAAATTCTCTATATGTGAACAAAAGTACCTAATTCAAAATCATCTTTAGAAAAACAACTTTGTTGTTGAGATTGAATAAATTGTGATTGATTATTTAAATAATCTTCAATACCACCATTAGTTTTATTATTTAAATCATTTTCTGAAATTTCACTATATGGAGTAGTTAAAGTTTCTAAATTTTTTAAATCAATTGAAATTTGATCATTTAATAACATAAAATCATCTAAACTTACATCTGAATAATTAGAATCTGATGATTGCATTGGATATGAAGTATATTGAGATTGTTGAGATTGTTGAGATTGTAATTGTATATGAGATTGTGATTGTAATTGTGGTACTTGTTGTTGTAATGATGGAGTATATGGTAAACTCATTGATCTTTCATGTAATTTTTTATTGTTATTATGTTGTGGTTTTTTTATACATGCTTCACTAACTGTTCTTTGATGTTGTTTTGGTTGATAAGATTTAAATTGAAACTGACCAGCAGTTTGTTTTTTTGAAGATTTTAAAGGTGAAGGATTTGAAGGTAAAGGTTCTTGAAATGGTGATTGTAATTGTTGAGAATGTGGAGAATTAGATGAAGATTGAATAATTTGAGATTCTATTGAAATTTGTTGTTGAATTAATTGTTGTTGTAATTGTTGAATTTGTAAATGTTGTTGTAACATTGCTTGTTGATAACCAAATAATTGTTGTGATAAAAATTCTTGTTGTTGTTGTTGAGCTTCATTGTTTGTGAAATTTGGTTGTTGAGGTGGTTGTTTTGGAGCTTGTGGAATTTCTTGTATTTGAGGTTGAATTGGAGTTTGTTGTGGTTGATTCCAATCTATACCTAAATTCATTATACCTAAACCTAATTCTAAAGTTGGACTTGTTAAATTTGATTGTGATGATGATTCATAATTTTGTTGAGTAGTAGTAATTTCTTGTTGTGATTCAAATCCATTTATTGTTGGTAAATCAAATATAGAGTCATCTATAGATGATAATGAATCTTCAATAGATAATGATGGTGATGGTAATTGTTCAACAATTGGAGTAGCATCAATTTGTTTTTTAATGGTTGGAGCAACTAATGAAGTTGGTGATTCAATTTCTTCATCTGATTTTATTGGTGATAAATCAACAAAAACAAAATCTTTTGGTTTACCTGGTTTATTTTTTGGTCTTCTTAATGGTGGTCTTTTAACTGTAAATTTTGAAGCAGCAGCAACAATTTTTAAAGAATTATTTAAACATTCAACTGAAGTTTGTGAATGATTATTATTGTGAGATGTTGAATTTGAATTTGAATTTGTTGAAGATGGAGTTCTTTTAACTCTCCATAATTTCTTACCGTTAGCTGGTGGTAAAACAACGCTAAAAATTAAAGGTTAGTATATTGTAAATTTTTGGGCATATAGATGTGATGATATAATTCTTTTATGTTTCAACATACTTATTTGAACTCATTTTATAAGTTTTTTTGTTTTAATGTATATATATGTAAAAGCAATGGGAGGGTATAAATAATAAATCTTGGGTATAAATTCTAAATTAGTAAGTGAATGTAATAATTTGTTATAATTGTGATGGTATAAATATTGAATAAAGTAATGTATAAATGAAAAACCAAAAGAAAGATAGAAAAAAATTATAAAATTCAGGAGGGAAATTGTTTGATTATATATTAAATTTTTAGAAATTCAGGGATGAATGAGGGTTTTAATTGGAAATACATAATGGATATTAATAATTGTATAGTAATTCAAATAAATTGTATAATATATTATTGAAAATATATTTATTGAAATATTTATTTAAGATTTTGTGTAATAACTAATTTAAAATCAATAACTCTTCCTAAAAGGGTAATATGTTAAATTTCTAAAATGTATAAATTCTTAAAATATTTGACTAAATAAGTTTTTTTTATTTTTATTTTGTGATTTATAAATTATCATCACTAATTATCATCAATAATTATCAATAATAATTAAATTACAAAAACTAATATACCAAAGGAATTTAAAATTTTTAAGATTTTATTATTTTTATTTTATTGATTGTTTTAATTTTTATTTAATATCAATAAAATAAAAATATAGTTTTAACTTAATTGATGGGTTATACGGTTTTTGTAATAACTTGTTGTATTACTTTGTTGAGATCATTTAAAATTTCAATTATCAACAACTTAACAACCATCTTGTAACAACGGTGTTTTAACATCAAAAATACAACTTCTATACGGCTCGAAAAGATTATTTGACACAAGTATTAATTAACAATTATCGTACGTACAATATAAATTGAAATATTATAATTTTTAATTAATTCATGGCAAATATTGTAAACGTTTGATATTAATAATGACTTATACCTGATGTGGGGTTCGTACTGAAGAATTTAAATGAAAAAATGAAATTTATTGATAATTTTTTTTTCTCTCTCTCTCTTTTTTTGAAGTATTATTTAAAATTAAAATTAAAGTTAAGAAATTAAAGTTAAGAAATAGAAATAAAATTTAAAATGTAAAAAGTCTAAAAATAAAAAAAAGGGTAGCACAAATTAAAAAAAATAAATTTTATTATTTAAAATAAAAATAATATATTGCTTTAAATATTTTAACACTACTTAATAATAAAAATTTAAATTGCTTACTTTTATAAAATTCAAACCGTTTTAAATTTAATCCTAAATTCCTAAATTCATTACCCCTCTCAACAAATAAAATTATTTAAGTTTTTGGAGTAAATAAAAAAAAGGGCTTTATAGAATAAATTTCAAAGAATTTTTAATTAGTATCATTAACATTAATAGAGAAGAAGTTTTACAGGAAATAATCTTAAAGGCAAAATATGTTTTGTCGTTGCCTTGTGTTTCATAGTAACTCTCGAGAAATTTATTTGGTTGTTTCGAAGTTGTGTTGATAATTTTGAAATTTTTACTCCGATTTAATTTTTAGATGAGAGAGACCACCCACAAATAATTTTGACAATTGGAAATTATACTCCGACAATCCCAATCATAATGCAAGATAGTATTTTTTTATTGAATACTATGGTTATTATATTACTTACTTACATAGTTAAGACAATATAGTAAATGTAAATCATTGTAAATTTGTATTGTTTTATTGTTATATTGAATTTTTTTTGTTTATATTTTTACTTAAATTGAAAATACTTCTAATTATTTCTTTCATCAATATAATGACATTCTCAATTTTTGTGAATAATTAAATTTACAGTAATAATTATATCATCAATATCTGAATTTAACTTCTTTTCATTTTAATCAGTAATTAATCAATTGAAACAAAAGGAGTTATAATATTTGAGAATTATTATAATTATTTTGAAAGATAACTTTTGGTTTTTTACTACTCACAAAAGATGGAAATATGCTTTGTGACTTATAATATTTTTGATTGATTTTTTATTATAGTAACTTGAAATTTAATTGGTTATAAAATATTACGTATTTCTTAAAAGGCAACCAAAGAAAATCAATTACACAAAAATGGAAAAATGTGTGTAACCAAACTACATCATCATCATTAAATATTTAATCATCAACTATTTAATACCTAACCTTTGAACCTCATAAACGAATGACATATTCTTACAATAGTATCATGCATTCAATTAAAAATATAATGCAACAAATATAGATCATTCAAGAAGATCACCGCAGCAAATATTTACATTCTCTTCTCAAGATTTACTACAATAAGATTTTATTTTTTTTTGTTTACTTTTTAACTTATATAAGCAGATTCACTAAGTAATACAAAAAATGAATTATGCACTCAATTAACTTAACTAAAGTAGTTTAGTAATTGAATTCAATTTTGAGATAATAAGATGATACAATTACAAATTACAAATTATAAATTTCATTTGTTCAATTCGTTTAAATCAATTTTGTTACACCACTAAGAAAAAAAATCTTGTTTTTGAAACATATTATTTTAATTAGTGCCGCCCTGATTTTATAATATTTCGTACAAGAATGAAAAAATTAGAGTAACAAAATGAACTAAGCTTTACTGAGATTTTGTAACGCTTTCGTTATCAACTAATGCTAAACTAATTTTAGTTGTAGATTAGATATTAATTTAATATAATTACGAATTATTAGTATCAACTTACTAACTAATTAAAATCTTTTCTTTCATCAAATATATATTTTATTTTTGTAATTTTTTAGTTTGAGACGCGTCCGAGACTCATAATTAAAATTTTTTTATTGTTCAATAAAAGGTTTGGAAACAAATTGATTACACCTATAGGTATTACAAAACCTATCAATCACAAAAGTTAGTGGTGTAACTTGATTACTTCATCAGTCTGACTTGAGCAACACACAATTGAAATAAGATTTTTTGTTGGGAATATATTTAGTAGTACCTCATCTTATTTAAATTGAAACATCAGTTTCAAATTTCATCGAGCGGCTTTAAATTTAATTTTTCGAAATTTTCTTCGAGCTTCGAGGAATTTAAAATTATCAAATTTCTCAATTGACAAAATACAATAATTTAAAGATACGTCAAGAGTGGGGCAAAAAGTAGTTTAGGATTTAACCTTTAGCCTTTAAACTTTCTAGAAAGGTGAAGTCAAAAACTTAAAAGGTCAAAAGTCAAAAGTATAAAAATCAGTCAAGAAAGTTAAAACTTATTTGAAAGCGTAGGGCTAAAATTTTAAATTTTATATACCAATATATTATTGAAAATAGCCTTTTGATTTGAATCAACCCCTTTCCACCACAACAATGATTAATTCAGAGGGTTTTTGATAAATAGATTTAATAAAATATCTACGGGTTTAATCAATTGAATCTAAATTTGATCTTCTAATCTAATAACACCACCTCCACAAACTTTTTTTTAATTATCGGATTAATGTAGGTAACGGTAATAAAAACAAATGTTAATAAATTGTTTTGCAACAATTTTTAAAAAATAAAGTTATTTACAAATTTTAAATTTTGATTCAGATCAATTTGATTTTTAGAATTTCGTAAATGAATGAATATTGTTACAATTTGTAGTTCTTATCTGATTAGTAGAAATGACTAAGATAATAGAATATGATTATCAAAAACGTATGTTGTAATAGTATGTGAATGTTAAACGAACATTGGTAAATCAATACGATACAATACTTTCTATACGTTTCATTCATACATTCCTCATTAGTCTTTTTTAAAAATTTAAGGGCAACCTTCTCCATCTCTCGTTTAATTTTTTTAAAATCCATGACATCACATTTTGTGCTGAATTAATTTTAAATCAAAAAAATCCCTTAATTTAAACGTCTCCAAAAACTTTGATTAAATCCTACAAATATTAATAGTTAACCATCAAAAAACCCCAACAAGAATCAGAGAAAGTCCCCAACCAAAATATGTGAGTGCCCCACTCGAGGTTATCCATGCACGTAATTAAGCTAAATTTATAAAAATTTAACCCTGGTTGCATGTTACTAATTAGTAAAAAGCAGAAAAACTTATTATGCAAGAGCTGCAAATTTTAACAAAGAATTTAAAAAAACCAATTAGTTCATGCATTTGTGCTAATTACCTTTTTAGTTACTTTTGAAATTTGCTATGGCCTAATTAGTTTTAAAAAAATATCGTCAAACTTTTTCAAGGGTTATGTTGTTTTTGATTTTGTTTTACAAATTTCATTATAACAAATGCACAAATTTGATTGCTAAAGAATCATTTATTGTTATGTTTACGATCTTTATTACTTACATATTACTAACATCTAATTAGTAAAGATCAATTGATACATATAATCCTCCAATTATTTATAAATAGATAATCCTTATATTCAAGTAAAGTTGTCATTAAAATTTTATTATAACAGCAAATTTAAAGTTTTTAACTCTTACATTAGCAAATTAAAGTAAGTTGATAAAAGATTATTATTTTTAGACAGATCTAGAATATAAACTAATATCTTAGCAATACACTTCATAATTCAAGATACGAAAAATTGTAGTAGATGTAGTATCCTTGTTTTAAAAGTTAATTGCAAGTTTTTTTTTGCAATCATAGAAATACACTAAAATATTATATTTCTATTTCTACTTCAAGATTTACAAATGTATTGATAATCTTTAAATGACACAAATTATGACAAATTTTTCGAATCGAAATTTGATATACTCAGTAACTCCAAATACAATAGCCCCACTTCGACTGATGGGAACCAATCGTTTAATGAAAAAAACTCCTTTCTTTCAAGTCTATTGTACTTTTTATAAAAAGCTCGTAACTAGTATAATTTTTCTTACTACTACTATCATGTAAGACAATAGAGTATAAATTTTTCTTGATTTATTGTTTAAGAATAATAAAATTAATAAGTAAATTAGTTACTATGTAAGATTTTGTTACACATTTTAATAATAAAAATCAATTTAGTAATGTCAAGAGTGGAGTAATAATGAAATTTATCTTTGAATATCAAAATATGTATCATACTTTAATTTAAGTGACAGAAACAAAGTTAAAAACTTTAAAGATTAGTAAAGTATGAGTCGGTAGAATGGGATTTGGTTTATAGTAAGTTTTAATCTTGATCTAATCAAAGGGTTTTAGTTTATGGAGAAATGAAATATTCAAATCAATATCTTTTAAATTTACCCCACCAATCTAAATTCCATAATTTTTGACTAATTGGTAAAAATCTACGGTAAAATAGGCTTTAATCAAAAAGTATTTAACAACTAGTAAATCTATTATTAAAACCGTTGACTTTAATTCCATTAAGGACGTAGTTAATTAAAGTAGTAAGCATTTTTTCGAGAAAAGAGAGTAAAATTGATTGTATAAATCAAACGTACAAATGTACCAATTTTACATTATTAATTTGACTAAAAATTTTTGTTCCATTTTTCCACAATTCCCACTTTATCCTCCAATCAGTTGGTTGTAAAGTAGTAAGTTCTCAAGAAAAGAAGTTTTATAATGATAATAATAATGGATTTTCAATCTTGTTGGTATTTGAATTACGAATATAACGAAAAAAAAAGCTTAAGTGTGAAATCAAAGAAATTTGATGTTTGTTGAGGCAAACGTACTTTCCCCCTGAATTTTGTTCTCGAATTAAAAATTGAAACACTTGATAAAGAATATTACAAGTTTCCGTAGGTTTCATATCCAAGTCTGCCGATATTTGACTGATCCTACGAAGTATTTATAATCTAATTAATTTTTACTCTCTATTATCTGATTATAATGTTTCTGATTTAAAGTATAAACTTTTTACCTGATTTGGACATGTAATTGAATAATAATAAAGTTTAATAATATTATTGAAAAAAAGGGTTTACTTATAAATATTTTATCTTGACATTATAAACGTTCAAAATTTTCTTAATTCTATTTTTGAGTTTATGTTTGGCATTTATGGAATATGATAATAAAAGTTTAACCTTGAGCTTAAAGTCAAATTGATCTTTTAAGAATATGGATTGTCAAAATCTTAAAATTGATTGAGTTTTCAAGTTACATTTTTTAGAATTTATTAGTAGTATAAGATTTGAGATTTTGTGTAATTTTATCTCGGAGAGTAGTCTTATACTATATTATCAATGATATCACCTTATCAAAACAAATCATTTAATCAAAACGTTAAAATATAAAAAGCATAACGTATTCTACCTTCTACCTACTTATTAACACTTATGATTCACTCGGAGCGCTATCGGATTAATTTCTAAAAATTGCAATTCTATACAGAGAGAGGAAACGTTTTTAATACCATTAGTATGCATTATATTACCTATCTAAATCTAATTTGTTTTAATTAAGCTTCCAAACTAGGACACTAAGTTACAATCGAAAATCTGTCCTTTAATGTACTAACGAAGATATTGGCCTGACCATTTAATATTCCTCTCAGAAATTATAAACATTTTTTTTGTTTGATGAATAACAATTCTATTTAAAGGACAAATGAGCTCAGTATAAGCAAAGTGAGTCGTGTGCACATGAAAATCAATTATTGTGAAACAGTGTTTGCTTATTTGATATTGTCTGAAACTTTATGGTGATGACCATCTGCTCATTAAAACATTGACCAAATTCTTCGATATAATAGTAGCGAGCCATAGTTCGTCATACCACTATTAATAAAACCAATAAAACGCATAGTACAACCACCAATATCCCAATACACCAATTACTTGCAGTTTCTTTATTTCTTTCAATAAAATGATTCAATCTCTTCATATTCTTATTCAATTTATTATCAACATGATCTAGTTCATAATCTAATTCATCTAACATGAAACCTTGATCTTGTAATTCATCACCCATTATAGTTGCTTGTTGATTTAAATTCATCATTGTCTTGTGGATATCATCTAATTGATTATCTTGTTGACTAATTAATTCTTGTTGTTGATAGTTTGTCATTGTTGGAGTTTCATCATTAAATGGATTTTCTGGTATTTCACTGTCTTGACTTATCCTGTTGGACATTGTTGTTACATCTCTTAGTTTTTTATTATCCCATTTTTGTTGTATGCTTGTCTTTTTGTTGTTTAGATCTCTTAAAATTTGCTTTCGCTGATTTATGTCTGTTGATGTTAAATTATATAGTTGTGGGTTCGTTGCACTTAACTCTAGAGCTTCTTGTAATTCTTCATATGTTTCTTGTAATTCTTCATAATTATTTTCAAAATCTTGTTGTAATTCTATTGATGGTTGATGCGTTGTTCTTTGAGATATGATTGACTCTAATCGCTGTATAACTGCATATGCATCATCTTTTACACCATTGAATGGATCCATTTTGCGATTAATTTACTTCGGTGGTCTTGATTTCTTAATGATCACAAACTTGGATTTTGGCTGTACAATATCAGTATCGAATATCAGATTATTTTTTCTCCACTGTTTGTTACTGAAAATTTACAACCAACATACCAAAAATGAATATCAATGATCTAGTACAAGAAAGGGACTCAACTCCTCTAGCCGAGCCAAATGGAACGGAGCAACAACAATTGAGCAATCAGCAGGAAATTAAACAAGAACACGAGGAAATAAACGAAGAGAGTGAAGTCAATAAGCTAGATACAACCACCAACAATGACAATAATCAAGAACCTCAAGAACTAAAAGAGGATGAAGTAATGGAAGAAGCAGAAGCAGAAATAACACCCCAACCAATAATTAAAACAGAATTAAGTGAAACTCCAAGATTGACACCACAACCACAAATTCATCAACCTACAAACAACCAAAACAAGAAACTAAAACAAGAACAACCAATTATAGAAACTTCAAACTTACCTCCATTACATGAAATAGTAGGTGGCTCATCAATACGAAGATACTTGAATAAACATTTAACTAAACATTTATTGGATGGATTAAAAGAAGTTGGGGATATTAAACCTGATGATCCTTTACGATACTTGGGTGAATTTTTAATTGCTAGATCTGATGAACAAAAGAATAATGGGGGGTAGAATTCATTGAACTTTTAAGTTGCTCAAATGAACCTGCAATTGATGTGCAAAATTTTTGATTAAAGTCAATTTTGTAGTTTTGTATATAGTCAAATTTAATGAATTAATGAAGCTCAACAGTCCTAATTGTGTAGGCTATAACTATTTAAACTCTTGACTCGATAGCTTTTTATTCAAAATCGGATTCACTCGCTAGTCTGCTTCATTTGCTTAATGGCAATTTTTAGTGAATGAATTTAGAAGTAAACTTATGATTGCAAAAACGGAAAAATAAAAATAAAAAATAGATTAATTTATTATATAGAAGCAAATATAACTTATCCTTCTTATCAGTTCAATCAAAGATGTCGAATACATCTTCATCAACCACGACATCAAAGCTAGACCCACATCAACTAAGGCCCTATTATGATCATGATACTTTTGATGCAGGTTACTCAGTAATTTTTAAAAAGGGAGTAGGATTATTTGATCCCAAAACAAATAAACCAATAACTTCAAATTTATCTAGTAATGTGATCGACAAACAAATAAATAATAATTTACATAATCAACCTGGACTAATACGAAGAACTTTTGATAGACAAGGTGGGTTGGGTTTACAGTCTAGTGGTAGTGGTGATAAAAACTTTTTATATGACTTAGAATTTAATGAATATTTTGATACTAATAATATCCTTGAATTATTGAAAAATTTAGTTTGGAATTTTGTTAAAAGTTATGCAAAAGTATTAATTGCTCAACCATTGGAAATAACAAGATTAGTTTTACAAGTTGGTAAATTCCCCAATTTAACTGATAAAAAACCCACAAAAGATGATAAACTGAAGAAAAGATTATTGGATTCCACTCACTCATTATCGTCATCAACATCATCTGTTAAGCAAGAGAATGATCATTTAAGTTCAAGTAAAGTTGGATTTGCACAAGATGATGATGAACCAATTGATTATTTCCAGCCACAAAATGATCAACAAGTTTGGGCTAACCCACAATCAACCTTCGAACCAATGACACCTGCAAAAGAATTACAACATTCATCAACCGTAACAAGTAATGAAAAATTTGTACCACCACCTTTAAAAAGATTAAGTACAAGAAAAAGAATTAAAGTTTTCAAAATACAACCAGTATCATTACATACTATTGATATAATGTCAGCTATAGCCAACAAGGATTCATTTTTTGCATTATTCAGAGGTGTTAATGCTTCATTTATATATCAAACCTTATCAAATACAATTGAAGCATGGATCACTGGATTTTTATCACCATTTTTAGGTATTCCGGATCCTTTCTTTTTGGATTTAACTCACTCAAATGATCCATTGAAATCATTATGGTTATCTGTTTCAGCTTGTGTCCTCACAGGAATAATATTAATGCCATTAGATTTAATCAGAATCAAATTTATGATTACTCAACCAAATAATACATTACCATTACATCAGGACAAAAATGAAGATTTAATAGAAAAGGCAGCTGAGGACATACTACAAAACACAAGATCAATAAGAGAATCCATAAGATTTTTCCCAACGTACTACCTCAAACATCCACCAAGTCCAATAGTTCTATTAACAACCTTATATCAATTATCAACAAGTATATTTAGAAAAATGGCACCATATTTATTATTTATAAAATTTAATATTGATTCATATTCATCACCGTCAATTTACACTTTTGTGAATCTTATAAGTTCAATTTGTGAATTTTTCATAAAATTACCAGTTGAAAATTTATTGCGTAAAGAACAAGTTAAATTTTTATTAACTCCAAAAGCGCAAGATCCAAAAAAGATTATAACAATTGTAAAACCAGAAGAAAATTTAATTGTTGAATTTAATGGTAATATAGGTGAAGATTTACAAGATAAAGATGAATCCGTTTGGGTTAAGATTAAACAATTAGGATTATTTAATGGTTGGAGAGTTGGTCTTTTAAATGTGGTTGGATTCTGGGGTTATAATATATTAAAAAATAGTGGTAATGAATTAAGAGAAGAAAGATTATAAGGTAAATAATAAAGTAATGACGAATAAATATATAATACTTGTGTATATAGATTATTAAATATTATTTTTAGCTCTTATAATGATCTGATAATTTTTCCTGATTTTTTAAAGATCTTTATTATTATCAAGGGAAAAATTTGTATTATTGTTAAATGTGTAAGGGAAATATTGAAAAATCTGAAAAATCTGAAAAATCTCAAAATATAATATTGCAGCCACAATAATTTCCACAAGAAAATTGGTTGTATTATTATATAATATTCCGATCCGATTTGAAAGAAGAAGCTATATATTATATGTAATAATCATTAAAGATGAAATTTTAGATTTATCTTGGTGTATCAAGCACAACCATAATTTTAGTCAAACATGAGTCCAAGTAAAACTTCAAATGGTACAACCAATGGTTCAACTAATGGTTCAACCAAACCAAAAAAATTATTAAAATTATTTGCTTTTGAAATGGGTACTCCTCAATTACAATGTACAAATTGGAGTGATCCAAAGAATAATTCAAAAACTTACAATACTTTAGATTATTGGTTAAATACTGCTAAACTTGTTGAAAAGGGGAAATTTAATGGTATATTTTTAGCTGATGTTATGGGTCCTTATGATGTTTATAATGGTCCAAGAAATTTTGAAGCTGCTGCAAGATCTGGTGCACAATTCCCCACCATTGAACCATCAGCTTTAATTGGTGCTATGGCTACAGTCACAAAGGATTTAGCTTTTGGTGTTACTTTTGCAACTTTAAGTGAACAACCATATCATTTAGCAAGAAGATTAGCTACTTTAGATTTGTTAACTAAAGGACGTGTTGGTTGGAATATAGTTAGTTCTTATTTGGATTCAGCTGCAAGAAATTTATTGAATGGTGAAGATTTACCACCACATCACGAAAGATATGACAGAGCTGAAGAATATACCCAAGTTATTTATAAATTATTCTTGAGTTCATGGGCTGATGATGCAGTTGAACAGAGAAATGGAGTTTACTCTAACCCAGATAAGATAAGAACTATTGATCATGTAGGTAAATGGTTTACTGTCCCAGGTCCAGCAGTAGCAGAACCAAATAAATATCAAAGATTACCAGTATTAATTCAAGCAGGTACTTCAAGTGCTGGTAAATTATTTGCAGCTCAACATGCCGAAGTTGTATTTATTACACAATTTTCACCAGAAAGATTAGGTAAAGAAATAAAAAATATCAAGCAATTAGCATGGGAAAAATTTGGTAGACCAGAAGGCAGTATAAAATTTTTGCAATTAATTACTCCTATAATAGGTTCAACTCAAGAAGAAGCAGAAGCAAAATATATAGAAATTCAAAAATATGGAGATATTGAAGGTGCTCAAGCTTTGTTTTCTGGTTGGACTGGTATAGATATAAGTCAATATGGTTATGATGATGATATTACTGCAGTTGGTACTAATGCAGTAAAGTCATTTTTAGAATTATGGAATAAGAAATCACCAACTGATTCAGATAATGTTAGAAAGACTAGAGCTCATATTGCAAAACAAATTACTATAGGTGGATTGGGTCCAGTATTCTATGGTACCGCAGAATCAGTAGCTGATGAAATTGAAAGATGGGTTGAAATATCTGACGTTGACGGTTTCAATATTACTTATGCTTTACAACCACAAACATTTGAAGAAGTTGTTGAATTCTTGGTTCCTGAATTACAACGTAGAGGATTAGTATGGGAAGATTATCCAGATTTAGGTAGACCTTTAACTTTTAGAGAACAAATTTTTGGAGTTGATAGAGAAGATTCAAGTTTCTTATTAGATACTCATCCTGCGCATAAATTAAGATGGAGAGCTGGTGAATCAAAAGAAGAATTTGAAAGTAGAATTAATAAAAAAAGAGAATTTGTTGAAGAATGAGGAGAATAATACAAATCTTGCTTTTACGAGAATTTGACTTAATTGTATATAATGATATGGTTTGTTAATGTTTAATAATTTGTTTTGTAGTTTGTTTTATTATTATTTATGAATAAATTTTTGGTGTACTTAATAGTTTTTTATCGACTTCAGACGCCTTTTTTACAAATTTGTAGATCTGATCCGTATGTAGAAATTTCGTATTCGAATACTACATAATCTTTCACGATAAACGAATTAGTTATGAACCACAAAACGTTTATTGAAGAATAACATAATAGGTAATAATTTATCCCAAATCTGGTTTTATGAGAGTACAAAAGCATTTACTAAAAATTTGAATCTAGATCCTAAAATTTTACTCAACGTCTAAATCATTTCATATCTAAATTATCATGGATCCTGGTTCTTATCGAATCAAATCTTGAACTTTGATATATTATTCACGTTTAATGATTTAGATTGGGATTGTCGAACCATTTAAAACAGATTTGATGCTCTTTTGTCGATCTGATTAAATTTAGTCTCTTTTAAAAAGGATGAGGAATTCCAAGGCGTTTTTTTGTCCCATTTGAATTTCTGAATTCAATTTTTTAAAAAAAGATAACGTACATTAATTGTATTGTATTGTCAAATAGGCTTATTATTTGGTCTATTAAATCGAATATTGAAATTAGTGATTGGATCTTCAAGGAATTTCACATAAGAGCTTGAAGATTCCCAACCCCTACCTTTCTGTTTTGATCTTCATTCATAGTCAAATCCAAGGAAAATAATTAGTCAGTTAAAGCATTGAGAACAACGCTCCAACTTATTTGAACTTTAAGAATTGGTACATTATTAAATACTAAATCACAATAAAACATCGTTTTTTAAGTAAAATAAGAACAATCCTTAATTTATAATAATTATTAAAATTTACGAATAATCCTTAATAATATAATTCTTCTGGTTTTATTTCTCTTATTAAAAAGATTTACAATCTATTTTTAAACTTTGGTGATAAATTCATTTAAATTGAAATCTTATCATGTATGAATCTATATATTTAACTGAACTTAATTTCTTCCTTTTCAAATCTTGATTCATTTTATTAGCTAATTTCACTTGAATTTAATTTCTTTTTACTTATCAACCAATCTTCAAATCAAACTATCAACGATCCAATCTCATAATAAAGTTATGGAATTTATATAAAAAATTATTCATCAATTATTTTTCTAATACTACATATATCTTAGATTGTAATAGAATTCAAATAATTTTCAATACTTAATGATGATCAATCGACATTACTTAAAATTACTAGTTACCATAACATTATCATTCCTAATATTATTCTTTTATATTATATTACAACAAATAAAACCAAATATCATATCACAAGATGCTTTATTAGTGGATCAAATGCATCTATATGAATTTTTGAATGGCGAAAAACAAATCATATCAGATTTAGAAATCTTCAAGTGTAGAAAATTTTCACAAAAATGTGATGAAAATATTCCAAATGAATTTATTTTATTAAGACCACCACTCAATTACCATTATCCAAAAAGTAATAAAGATTTTTATAAGTTTGATTATTATTTAGGTGTGAAATTTGCCAAAATTGATGGAAGCTCACAATATTTAGAAAATTTATCATTAATTAAAAAAGATGGATATAAGGAAGTTACATTAGATGATTTTACAATTTATAAAAAAGTTTTAGTTACAAATGCTGGAAAACCTTTACCTGATGATGTATCAATTATAAGATCAATGGATATTTTATTTGGTAGTAATGATTTTATAGATTCAAGGCCGAATCACGAAGCTTTACATTTATCTGATGATAATTCGATAAATCCGATTATTTCTTTTGAGAGAGTCACCAAGAATGAAATTAAAGCATCAGTGAAAATAATGAAACAAATTGATCAAGTTAAAAATGACAACACTATAAACACGGATAAAGAAAAGTACAAAGTTTTGCAATTATCAGATTTACACTTTGGTCAAGATTTAGGTAGATGTTCAAATAACAAAGATAACACTAATTCAGAAGATCGTCAAAAGAACAATTGTAAATCAGATTTGAGAACTACAAAATTTGTTGAAAAAGTAATAAGTAAAGAAAATCCAGATTTAATTGTGATAACTGGAGATTTAATAGATGTAAAAAGAATGATTGACTATAAATCAATATTATTAAAATCATTACAGCCGATATTGAATTCACAAATAAAGTTCTTATATACATTCGGAGACGAAAACTTATCAACCGAAACTAAAAAATTAATCATCAAGTTTTTATCAACATTACCAAATTGTCTCAACACTCCAATAACTGAACCAAATTTAATTCATGGACTAACTAATTACAATTACCAAGTAATAAATGAAAAATATCCAAATCAAGTATCTTCAATAACAGTTTTGGATTCTCAAGGTCATTTTATTGATGAATCACAAATCAATTATTTGTACAGATTAAACAACATTCATCAAGATTCAGTCTATAAGTTATTATTCTTCCATCATCCAATTCCACAATTCAGACCAGAAGGTACTTTCAAAATCATAGGATCATACAACGAGAAACATGCGTTAGATACAAAAACAAATATGAAATTCCATGATGATATAATTAATTGTAAATATAACGTTGTTGCAGTAGGTCATGAGCATGAAAATGATGCTTGTATATTATCTGAACAAGTGAAAAAAGCAGATGAAATGAAATCTATATGGTTATGTTATAATTCAGTTACTGGAGATTCCGGCCGTACTGTTATAAATGAAAATTATGTTAGAAAAATGAGATTGTTTGAAATTGATTATGAACAAAAAAGAATTTTGAGTTGGAAGAGGAAAGAAGATGATAAAGCTATATTTGAACCTCAATTGATCTTTAAAAAATAATTATGAGTGTAGAAATTTTAATGACTTTTATGATGAATGATTTATGATATAGTGTTGTTGTTTTACTTTATATATATGAAAGATAATAAATGTATAATTTTACTTCCAAATGTTATTCTTTCTGTTTATTGTGTCAGTTAGTAAGTACGATATATCTGTAACACAAAATATTTTTGTGTGTACTGTATATAAATTTGTTACAATTTCACACTCATCTCTAGCTACAATCAAAATCAATTAATCAATTATCAACTCGATCAAATTCAATCAAACCACATTATATAATTAACAATCTAATAACAATATTCACATACAATGGGAAAAGCCAAAAAGACAAGAAAATTTGCAGCAGTTAAAAGAACAATATCAAAAAAAGATCCACGTCTAACATCAAATCAAAAAGCCATCATACCCAAAAAGGATCCAGAACTTATACAAAATATCCCACAAGTATCATCATCCCTATTTTTTAAATTTAACGAAAGTATAAAACCACCATATCAAGTCCTAATAGATACAAATTTCATCAATTTTTCTATTCAAAAAAAAATCGATATAATAAGAGGTTTAATGGATTGTTTAATGGCAAAATGTATACCCATAATAACTGATTGTGTAATGGCAGAACTTGAGAAATTAGGTGCCAAATATAGAATAGCTCTCAAACTCGCAAAAGATCCAAGAATTCAAAGATTAAAATGTTCACATTCTGGTACTTATGCTGATGATTGTTTGGTGAATAGAGTTATGCAACACAAATGTTATATAGTAGCTACTAATGATGCTGATTTGAAGAGAAGGATTAGAAAAGTTCCTGGTGTTCCTTTGATAAGTGTTGGTGGACATAGTTATGTAGTTGAAAGATTACCTGACGTTTTTTAGTATCTTGATGATTTAGTAATTTCAATGCATATAACAATTTAATGATAGAGATATATCTCGAGTAGAATAATATGATAATTTAGCTCTATGAACTAAACTCTTTCCAAATGGTGTTGATGGTGGATTGTTCATTTATAATTTTTTGGTTGCAAAAATCAAACTTATGAGAAGTGCAGAACCGAGATACCTTATTTACAATTTAAGTAAAGGTTAGAAGAGCTCCTATTTAGGCATCTTGCCCTGATGTATACTAGCATATGAAGAGAAGAATGCTAAATAGAATAGAGTTTATTAGACTGGAAAAAGTCATATGTACACTTTCGCTAAATCGAGATTCAGTTATATGTCCAGAATGACCGTAAAACACAGCTCTCCTATTTCCATATGAACAAGTGACATCTAAGCTAGTCTAGATTCTTAGATTGCTTTCTACAGTCTCGTGAAAATTAATTTCAAAGGTCATATGAAATTGGTTATGTACTTGGAAAAATCGGTTAGTTTAAAAAAGTTTAATTATTTACAAATTTTTAATAAAATATAAACATTCACGGTTGGAACTTATTTCGTGTTTAAGTTAGTCACGTCAAAAAAACTAAGTATGATTAGTTTCATTTAACTGTGAAGTGAAGTGAAATGAAAAGTATTTAGGCGTGTTTCTATTTTTAACTTTTGACGAAAGCTGGTTGAAGAGGTTTTATATATTCTAGAATTACAATAAAATTCTCGGAATCGGAACACTAATAACTTTTTTATTTTTAGTATAATCTAACAACAACAATATTCGTAGTTTTTAGCTAAGACTTTTCAATTCTTTATCTTACTAAGAAAACTAAGTTGTTCCATGAGCTTGACCTCACCTAGCCCTAAGGCAAAATCAAACTATAAGGTTAAAGTATATAATTTTTTCTTGGTAGAAAAAAGATTAAGTTTAAGACATTTTTTGATGTATGTAATATCTTTACTAGCAATTTTATTTTTTCTTCTTTAGTAGTTGTGGCATGTTGAAAAAACGTTTTAGTCTGAGATCTCGAGGAATATTTCGAAGATCTAGAAAATCTCAAGATTTGAGGAAAGAGGAAGATACTACAGCTAGTCAATTTCAATGAGAAATTGTGAATTATTATCGATTTATTAGTATAAAAAGTTTAATAAAAAATTTATTATATTGTTAGTATATAGTAGAACCCTGTAAAAAATTAAAAACTGTAATAAACTTTGAAACTCTTTTTAAAATTGACTAAACTAGATCCAAAATGACTTGAATGAATCATTATGGTGTATACGCCAAAAAACTAGTTAAACAACACAATTAAATTAAAAATAATGTAAATTGTAAAAAAACATGTAAAATTTAGAAATACAAAATATTTAAAAAAATGACTTTATAAATTAAAAATTCTTTTATTAAAAAAAATGAATATATGAAAAAGTATGATTATTAAAAATTGAAGTGCAAATTGTTTTGGAAAAATCCTTCCTAGATATCTATTCTAATCCCGATCTCCCCTTTTTAAATCTCTATAATATTAAGTGTGAAATATGAACATAATGTTTTTGTATTACATGAATTTTGTAAATTTTATTAATTAAATAATTGATATTCTTAAAAAATTACACTTAATATAATAAAGCAACAGCAGCAGCAACAATAGCAGCACCACCATAGATATTAGTGTTAGCAACAACACCGGCATTGGCTGAACCAGCACCACCAGTTGAGTTTTTACCACCTGCACCAGCAGCAGTACCATTTGAAGCACCACCAGCAGCACCGGTTGAGTTTTTACCACCGGCAGCGGCACCACCAGTTGAGTTAGTGACACCAGCACCACCGGTAGTGTTGTGGAATTTAGCTTGGATTGATCCAACTAAGGCTAATGAAGCAATGACTGATGAGAATTGCATTATTGATATATGTATATTATTAGTTAATTAGTTGAAATTCTTTTAACGAAAGATAATGAATTATGAAAAAGAAGAAAATTAAATCTAAAAAAATCATGAAATTAATGGAATTTAATCTATTTTTATATTACGAAAATTTATTAGAATTGAAATTCATAGAAATATTTCCGCAAAGATAAAAAAATAAAAATTAAAAATTAAAATTTAATTATTAAACCTAAAAAAGAAATTTAGACTTTTATTATGACACAAAATTTATTTTTAAAACGTGAAATAAAATAAAATTTAAATTTAAGTAATTACACATTTTTCACCTGATAATTTTTATAATTAATTAACTATGTATTTACAGATGTTTTACATAATATTACTCATACAAATTTAAAAATAAAAATTAAGACATTTTGTAGAATTAAATGGAAAAATTAAAAAATTAAAATTTAATTAAACAAAAAGAAACACGAAAATTAAAAAAAAAAAAAAATGTGTAAAAATTCGAATAAAAGAAAGGCTTAGACTTCTCTTTTTTCATTCATTCAACAATTTCAAGATATATTTTCCTAATGAAGTTAATTTATTACACACCATTTTTTTTAATTCAAGATTTAATTCATACCGCCATACCCTGAAACACCTCTAGTTCTTTTTTTAGATTTTTAAATTATTGGTAAGAGTAGTTACAATTTTGGGGGAAAATATTGAAGTCGCCTTTGGGCTATGTCTCAAAACTAGTTGTATTTATTTGTCCTATTACTGATTAAATTAGTCGAGAGCTTTAATTACGTGATGTGGCCCATGTGTTCCACTGCAATGGAAAAATTCATATGATTTTCTTTTCATTAAATTATTATCAATTATTACACGATAAATTGCCCTCATATTATAAGAAGATTTTCATACTGCATATTTCATGTTATTTTACATCTACGTTCAAACAATTAAATAGGAGATTTAAATTAACTACAGAAAATTGTGACACGAGATTTTACTACGACTTATCCACAAATTACATCTAATAAAAACCAAATTTTAATAGTTTGCTACATTCTTTAATAACTCACTTGTATTTTGATTTTAATATTTGCTTGTTGCATTAAAATGATTTTTATTTTTACATTCGTTATAAATTAATTTTGCAACCAAAAATTATAGAAGAAAAAAAATTATTATTTCGGATAAATTAAAAAGACAATTTTTTTTTTTTCTTATATTATGTATTTGTACTACAAAATTTTATAATATCTTTACAATCTGATGGGGGAACAATTTCAGCTACTCATATACTTAAAATTCTTCTTTGCTACACATAATTGTGTAATTACCATCGTTCGTCTTATTTCGATAGTTTCATTAACTTATTGGGATTTTTTAAAACAGTAGCAATCTTTAAAGTTTAAGTTTTTGCTAACCCTAGATTTTAATAAAATAAAGTTTTTTAAGGCACCAAAAATATTATTTAGAAATAATAGAAGAGATGATGATGTTGCAGAAAATAAAAATATTATAATTATAATTTTTCTATTATTAACATTTACTTTCCATCATCAATACGTTTGATTTGAACTCTATTATTTAATTAACTTGATAGACATGATTCAAAATTCTGATTATCAATTAACGTTATTTAATTATTAATTTTATTTAATTGATTGTTCTTCCCCACTGATAATATAGAATAATTTATTTACACCCCCTACTAAGAGTACCGCATATTTATTTTTGCCAGTATAATGTTATTATAAAAGACTGTATATAACGTGACGTATTATATATTTTTCAATATGTGTGTCATAAAAATTGAAATTTTACAATAAATATTATAATTATGTGTTAAATTAATTGCATATATAATAATTATTAATTACATATTTAATATTTGTAAGATATATTACTTCTAAAGATAAGGTGAGACATACGAAGTTATGAAGAAAATAAAATATGATAAGAGAATCATTCAACTGTATTACGAAAACATTCACACTAAATTGATCACACTACCTTTATCAAATTCAATTAAGGCAATTTTAATTCTCCAAATTAAAATGGCTTAATATTTTAATAAAAATTAAAAGCCATAATGAATGGTTTTGTAGACCAACAAAAGTGGTATATAAAATTTGCCCACACGTTTCTTCATATTTTAAAAATCATTCATAGTAATATATTTCAAGAGTAATAATATTAGACTAAATTTATAAAAGTAACTAAAAATAAATTTATTTCCAATTAAATTTAATTTTGATAAAGACTTTAATTCAATCTACTTTTAAATTTCTGGGCTGTGTGTGTTATTTTCAAATTTATCAAATTTAGTAATTTAGGGGTGTAAAAAATTAATATGATTTGATATAAATTCATTAATGTCGTTTTGAAGTATTTTTTTCTATTAATTGAAAATCGACTGAAAAAAGGTTATTTCGTTCTATTTTCATCTTTATCGTACGGCTTTAGTTTTTAAATATAAGCCAATTTTGTAATTTTTAAAAAGCTTAACTTTTTTCTTGTAGTATTCTAGACGCAAGTCAAATGAAAGTTATAGTGTGACGAAGTGTGACGAAGAAAGAGCGATATAGATTACCTTACTTGATTATACTAATTTTCCATAGGTTGCAAATTTGGTAAACCTTAAATCTTTTACAACTTTGTAACATTAAACTCACGATTTATTAGACTAAACACCACAGTTTTATAACGGAGGCTAGTCTGTTGATTAAGGCGATCTCAAAGCGCAATCGTAGTAGATTCGTTCGTAAGCGAAACTTTTTTTACTAAAACGACAATTAGTTAACTAAACATATTTGACGACACCTCAAAAGACACACAAACCAAACTTAACACAAGGCGGTTGAAATTTCTATTTTTAGAATTTTTTTGTACTACTTGCTTTGTACTTCAGCATTTAATCAAATTATGAAATTTTACAATAAAAAATTTACATTTAATTAAACGCGTCAAAGGGGTCGATGGATTTGCGTATTATATTAATATTTTAGACGTGTACGTCCTACTAGATCGAGTTAAATTTTTTGATGATAATGTATGTTTCAGTTTCCACCATTTAAAATTGTTTTTTAAGTTTATTGATCTAATAAATATCAAATCTATTACGTAGTACGCTCGAGGATCTATGATCTGCAAAATTTATTGTTAATACCGCGATCATCTGAAATTTCAATGTTTGATTAGATAACTTATGATTTTCTTTAAATGCAGGTATAAAGTATAAACATTTCTAATTACAATACTCTTTTACTCTTTGTTAGTCTGTGAGTAATTAATATTGTTCCCCAGACTTTGAAATAAAACAATTAATCAACTGTAACAATAAGCTAAAGACTCATATTTTTTCAAATTGGACCTTGATTGTAAATTAATTTACTAATCATTTGCCATAATTGTTGGTTGCAAGTACCACTATCATGCAAGATCGATGATATTAGGGTGATATTAAAAAGTTCGAACACCTATTCAAATTTGTAATTTCGACTAGTTCTAGTTCTATATTATTTATAAGTGTTGCAATTTTTTTCGATCACATAACTTCTTTTTGCAACCAAATCTGAGATTTGATTTCTCCCTTATTTTTTTACAACCAAACTTAAGGAAACTACAAACATATGCATATCAAAAATCAGAGTAAGTACACACTAATTATACAATTAAACAATTTTAAACAAGAATAAGAAACCACATCATCATAATTTTAAAGTAAATTAATTTAAACTTAAAAGAATAATGTAGAAAATTGAATTAATTGAAATCTCTTGTAAACTTTGATTGAATTGTTCATTAATTTTCAATTCATTTTTTAAATTATTAAGTTTGGCATTTATCAATTATAGCTTAGTTATAATCTTATTGTTTTGATAGGATGACTAAAGCTAAAGTCAAAGTCAAAAAGTTTTTAGATAAATTAATTCAACCTCAGCTTAATAACGATAATAATAAACCAATAAATAAATCTAATCCAAATTATAATCCATATACTGATAATTCAAGTTCAAAAAGTTTGAATAATTATAACCATCAAAATGATATAGAAGAAATACCGTCTTTATCTTATAGTTCATTATCATCAAAATCTCATGGAGAATTTAACAAAAATCAAGATATTACAATATCATCAATAAAGCCAAGTTCAGTCGAAGAACCACCAAGTGTTAAATCAGAAATTAGTTCAATTAAAGAAGTTATAAATTATCGAAATAATCCAGAAATAAATCAAAAACCACCACCTCCACCAAAACCAAATTTTTTAAATAATCATCATGGTGGGAATAAATATAATTCTCATTTGAATAATAATTGTGTTAAAAATGACGCACAATGTATTAAAAGAAATATCATAAATAATTCATTTGATGATTTTTTAAATAATCAAAATAATAGATCATCAACAAATGCCAATTTAAAAAAGAAGCTAAATAGTCAAACCATACAAGAAGAATCTGATGATTATGATTTTAAACTTTTTCAAAATAAATTAGAATTAGATGTTGAAGAAGAAGAGGATGATTTTTATTCTGCTATAAAAGTTGATAAATTTAGATTTTCAACAAGAGGTACTTTATTAAATTATAAAAGAGGTAAGAATCATCAAAGTAGTAGCGGATCAGATAGTAATGAGAAAAGTAGTAGGGTTCATAAGAATTCAACTAATAAAAATCAATATTTGCCGCATACCAAGAGAAGAAGAAGAAGAAAACGAAATGAAGGTTTAAAATTTAAAGCAAGTCAATTTCATTTTACTGAAGAAGATGAAGAGGAAGAAAAAGGAATTGACGAATATGATTTACATGATAATAGTTCTTTAGTATCAATAACAACTACAGCCACTGTTGCAACAACAACCACAACAACAACAACAACCACAACTGCACATCAAAATAATATAGGCTTTACAAATTTAACAACTGCACTATCATCAACATCAGTTTTTGAAACAACTACAACTGCAATAGGAACTCCAGGATCTCCTTTAATTCCACTAAATACACCAACCAACCCAGTCTCGAATAATAAAACTAGCACAACTAGAACGAGAACAACTACTACAGCAACATCTTTTCAAAGAACAACTACTCAAAAGACTTTAAATTCACAAGTTTCACAAAGAAGAAGATCATCATCCATAAAACAAAGCAATAATTTAGATAATTATAAGGTTAATATTATACCAGATATCGCATCTTATCAAGCAAGTTTCTTAAGACAAAATAGTTATAGTTCAACACATGCATATAGAGAGAATGAGCAACTAAATAGAGGCAAAGATAGACCAAAGTTGAATAAAAACACCATTGAAGATGATGCAGGTTCAGTTTCTGGTAATTCAATATATCAACATCGACAAGTTGAAAGTAAGAAGATTCTGAGTTGTATGATTCATGATGATTCAATTAAGGCAAGTTTTAGTTCACATGCATCAATAAAGGATAATGAAAGCAGTAACGTTGAAGAGTTTGAATCTTATGATATCGATTATTTGCTTAATCATTTAACTTTTGATACTGATGAAGATAAATCAAAATTGATTCAAGAAGCACAAGAAGAAGCAATAGTAGAAGATGGACTCATACAAGAATCTCAGCAAGTTGAAACTGCAGTTGATGGTCAATTAAATTCACATGGATCTGAACATTCTACTAGCTCTTCAAATTTTCAAAATGATGATCATAGATGGTTCAATAATGTTAAAGATAAATTCCATTATTACAACAACAAATTGAAGAAGATCAAATTGCATACCAGTCACAGCAACACAACTAAACAAACAAATGAAGTTTCTAATCAAAATGTAGTATCATCAATACTTTCACCAGTAACGTTACACTCAAATGATGTAACATCAAATGATTCTCAAGATCAAGATTCAAACAATACCAAATCAACTTTAAAATTAAGTAATGTTAAACAACAACCGTCAGATTCATCCAAAAATCAAAAATCTTCTAGTTCACAAATTTTACAACCTACTTTTTATTCGCATGAAAATAAACAATCACTGAAGATTAATGTTGTTCAAAAAAGTCGACTGCTGCCGAACTTGATACCAAATGGTACTGATCATAAGAATGAACTCAAATTGAATGGATCAATGCATGTAGAATCTAAAGAATCCAAAGAAGAAAAAGAGGAATTATTCATCATATCAGGAACTAACAAGATTAAAGGTGAAGATTTATCAGGTGCAATATACTACATACAAAATGAACAAAAAGATGAAGTTATAAAACAAATGACATTTATGAATGGTTCACAACAAAATCTTGTAAAGACAACAATAAATCAACAAAAACATAAAAGTCATTATCAAAAATATCAAAATTTACAAAATTTAAAACAAATTAAAAATCATTCATTTTATAAAGTTTATCAAAAACAAAATTTAAATGGTTCAATTTATCAAATTTTAGAAAATGAACAAAGTAAGTTTTCAAATAATGAAAATCGAATAATTCCAAAGATTGTTGAGTTGGATATATCTAATAATGCTTCTTCTTGTGGTGGCGGTGACAGTTTACAAGAGTATAGTTCGAATGATGGTGATGATGAACAAAGTTTTAATGAACTTGAATCTAAATTAAGTATATAGACGACAAATATACTATAAATAATTTATTATTTGACATCAAAATACTCTATAAACATCATCTTGTCTCTTCTTTATTGACTCAATAAATAATCTCTTACTTTATCTAAAGCTCTAAATCTATGACTTATAGTGTTTTTAATTTTTTTATCCATTTCAGCATACGTCTCTGAAAATCCTTTTGGTTGAAAAACAGAATCCCAACCAAAATTAGTTGGTCCTCTACTAGGTACAATTTCACCTTCTGTTCTACCTTGGAAAATCTTTACTTCTTTTCCTGGACCTTCACAATATCCAAAAGTACATATAGCATTAGCACTTTTATCTTCAAAACCTTGTAACATTTTAACTAATCCTACTAATCCAATTGATTTAACGAACCATTTGATATACGGGCCCGGTAAATCGTTATAAGCAGTAAATCCTAAACACGTATCTTCTACTAATACTGGACCACCTATTTCTTTTGCAGCTGATAAAGCTTTATGTCTTGTTACTTCTTCTATAGTTCCTTGAATTTCATCAAGATGTAGTGATTTATTTGTGATTGTAAATTTACCTATCTTGTTTTCATTTTGTGGTGAGGTTGATAATATTGCTATTACTTCTTTTAGTTTGTTTTCGTTACCTGTTACAAATGTAATTGTTTCTAATGATGACATTTTTGTTGGTTGGTTTAGTCTAAAGAAGTTGCAAAATTAGTAATAGTTTTTTTTTTCGCAAATTTGTTTTAGATTTTTGAATCGTAGATTAAGACTCTTTGAATTAACTTCGTCAGAGATGTCAGAGAAATAAAGAGATCAACTAGAATGTAGTTTTAATTGACAAAATGACGCAATATGACTATAATTTATATTAATTTTATGTACAGCTAAATGAAGACCTGTTGTTTACCCGAATGACTTCAATCTATTTACCTAATCTCTTTCTTAAAGCACGTTGAGCTTTTCTTCTCTTTTTATGTTTATGTTTTTTCATCTTTAATCTTCTTTTACGTAAAACAGAATCAGTATATAAAGTATTATCAAAAATTTCTCCATCTTCTCCCAATATCTCAAATCTAAATTCTTCACTTCCCTTTGAATTATCTCCAATTATTTCAACATTGACTTGGATCGGTATTCTGGAGGTTGTTGGTGTTTGCAATAATGATAATGGTGTGAATTGTGATGTTGATAAGATTGTTGGTTGTTGTATTGATGATGTTAATGGAGGTATTGAGGATAGTATTGATGACTTTTGTGGGATATATGTTGATGCATTTCTTAATGTGACTAATTTATTTATGTTTTTGAAAGGCGATAACCTCGTTAGCTGTCTAAACATCGTTGTAAGTGAATTGATTAGCTCCAGTTTTTAATGATTTGAAAAATTGAAAAATTTGTGAAATCTTATAAAAAATTAAATAGTAACAATCGAAGCTACCAAATCGTACCAAATACTTTGAACCATACGAAGTCGACCTACACATACTGAGACCTCTAAATTTTGTCTATTTTTTATAAACGTCTATAAATCTATTTCAATATTGATCAAAATATCATCCGAACATGTCACTATAAATCCATCTTCACCACTAACTCTATTTGAAGAACTGACATTACCAGTCATTTTACTAGTCCAATTTTTAACATCATATTTCAAACCATCACTACTCAACACCACCGATCTATCACTTAAGGGAAGTAATCCACAAGTAGGTATTGAATCTTTGGGTCGATAAAATATTGATCTTGAAGGATATTTAACATAATTAGTACCTTTATATAATAAAAATAATATATCAAATTCTGTTATGAAAAATAATTGTAAATTTGGTTCTTGTTGGTGTAAGATATATAATTGGTTAATTGATTGGATCGTTTGATCAAATCTGCCACCTATTGCTGATAAAGCATATACTCTAATGTCTATGTCGCTTTTAGCATGAAACACTTTTTCCCAAGTTTCATCTAAACCACTATCATCATTTATTTCTGGCCAATCTTGGTTGTCTTTCTCCAACAAATAATGCAACTGTATACATTTTATTGCTTTTTGAAAGTCTGTGCTATACTGAGTTTTTTGCGGTATTATTTTAGCTCCTTTTGCTTTGTAGTATTCTTTGACATTATCGGTCAAGGAATCAAAGTCTCCAACTATATAGTTGGGTATGTATTTCGACCTCAATGTTTCGTCTTTAAAAAAATTATATAATCTATTAGCTCCTCCATCGGCACATACTACCAATTCGCAATGTCTCCATATACTAAACAAATCAATTGAAAAAGATTGATTCAAGATAAGAAGTACATTTTTATATTTTGCTTCAGTTGTTGTAGATGTTAGATATGCAAAGGGTTCAATTATATGATGTGAAGTTGTACTTGGTGGTGGCTTTACCTCTACTGTATCTAATCTTTCAGTGACCTCTTCTTTAAGTTTAGCCTCCTTTGACATGATAAATATAATTAAGTGAATAATAATAATTGAATTCTAAGAAAATATATTGTACTGTATAATTTTACACAAAATAAATCACACATATTTTACAACAAACAATTATCAGATAAACAACTTTGTTAAGATTAGTCTCAATCATCGAGTAAATTCTTCGAAATGAGTGCAGAACCCACTGCTGAGGCAGCTCCGCTATCACAAGCATCAAGTTCAGCTCAACCCAACGAACCACCAAAATCATCATCTCAACAACCACAACAACAATCACAACCAACAATAGAGAAAAAAGAAATAGTACCAAGAGATGTACGATTACTTCATCTAATATTTGCTACTCAAGGTATACAAAATTATCAAGACCATGTCCCATTGCAATTAATGGATTTTGCTCATAGATATACAAAATCAATTTTAAAAGATGCTCTAATATATAATGATCATTCAAAACCATCAACAAATTCAAATATAAATTCCAACACAAATACAACAGTAAATACAGATGATATAAGATTAGCCATTGCAGCAAGAAGTAATTATCAATTTAAACCAGTACCACCAAAAGAATTAATGTTGGAATTAGCACAAGAAAGAAATTCAAAACCTTTACCTCCTGTTATACCAAAATGGGGATTGAATTTACCTCCAGAAAAATATTGTTTAACTGCAAGAGATTGGGATACTATTTATGATGAACCTGATGTTAATGAAAAAGAAGAAAATAATGGTCAACATCAAAAGAAAAAATCAAAAACTAAATAGAACTGATATGTTAGTGATATACAAATTGTGATATTATAGCTTACTGCTCTCGTTGATCACTACTTTACTCTATAAGTCGTTATTTTTAAAGTATGAATTACTTTATCTCTATCTTTGAAACTTCTAAAAAATATGGCTATGAAAAAACTGAAAAATTTCCAAAAATTATAATTTACGAAATCAACAACAACGCAATAAAAAAATATATATATTATATTATTTTATAGTCTAAGTATTATCAATCAAATTTAATCTATTTTTTGAGGAACGTTTACCTAATCAGCCTAACATATAATTAAATCAAGCGATTTAATGCTACCTCCATCATTAGGTTCAATTCCTGAAGTAAAAGAAGATTATCCTGGGGCAAGTCTTGTAGAAAGAACAGCGAGACTTCAACAATTTATTGAATTAGGACCACCAGATTTATGTAATATTTATAAACATTCAATTAACACCAAGAGAGAAAATGGAGAAATAGGTACTTTTTTATATTTTACAGGAGTTGATACTTCATCAATTGCTTCAATAGCAGCACATTTACAAAGTTTAGCAAATTTAATGACTTCAAAATCTCAATATTGGTTTGGTGAAAAAAAACATTGGAAAGTTCCTCAATTGACTTATTGCAGTTTTAATTCATTTAGTAAAGTGGATATGAGAGTTACTGTTCATATTCCAGGGAAATTTGAAATTCAAATTATAAATCAAGATGGTAAAATGATTCGGGATAAATTAAATGAAGAACAATTGGATAGATTCTGGACTGAAACTTTTATAACTTCTATTATTAGAGCAGTATTAGAAAGTGAAGATGGAGATGATGTAAACAAAGTTGGGGGAGTTGTTGAAATAAGAAAGATTAATCCTTTTAATAATGGTATAGTTTCAAAAGAGTTATTAAACAATTTTTTAATTGGATTCGAAGAATTATTTTTCCAAGGTTCAAAATTAGGATGTACTGTTGATATTCCACAACCAACTTTAGTTAATAATTATCTTGTTGATGGATTTTTAAAAGTAATACAGTTAACTCAGTCTTACGATAGAGGCTTAGAAATCATGGACCGTATATATAAAATTGATCCAAGTGTTATATCGATTATTGCTCATTTACAATTATTAAAACAAGATGAAATTGAAGCTGTCAAAACATTGTATAAAGGAATTCAAGATAATAAGAGAGATTCAAATACTTTAATATTACAAGCTGAGTATTGTCTAGATAAAAAGAAACCAGATATGGCATTAGAATTAGCTAAACAAGCTGTAAAGTCATCACCGTCGGATTATTCAACTTGGTCAGTTTTAGTCAAATGTTACACGAAGTTAGGAGATTTTGAAAATGCATTATTGACATTAAATTCATGTCCAATGAACTCACACAAAGAAAAATACCAATTGAAAAGAGTTGTCCCTATAAGATCTCATGATGACTTACATTTACCTTCCCCAATGGACGTTACATTAGATGAAGTATCCAATTTACAAAGTAATGATATAAGTTTTGAACATAGAAATTTGGATCCACAATTATCAAACTTACCAGCAGCAAATTTAAAAACAACATATGCAAAAGCTTATGATTTATTAACTGAAATTGTAAATAAGACTGGTTGGGAACAATTATTAAAATATCGTGCAAAAGTATTTGTAATGGAAGAAGAATACAGAAAAGATAAAAAAACGTCGAATGGTCATTTAAGAAAAAATTCCACACAGTCTTCAGTTAATGTAAATAATTCATCAATAGTAGAAAGTGATGTTGACTCAACAATTGCAATTAAATCACCAAGTCAAAAAAACATTGATGCTGCAACATTAGCAGGTGATTCAGTTGTACCAACAGATGGTGAAATCGATTATGATGATGAATTTAGAAAAAAGAGATTATGTGAAAGATGGTTAGATAATTTATTTATGTTATTATATGAAGATTTAAGAGCCTTCACAATGTGGCAAGCAGAATCAGTACACTTCCAAGCACAACAAATGGAATACAAAAAGACAACATTAGAATGGGAAATATTAGGATCTATAGCCTATAGATTAAAACATTTTAAAGAAGGATCAATAGCATTTGCAAATGCATTAAGTGGTAGATTTTCAGCAAAATCTCAAAGAGAAATGTTAAAATATTACCTAAAAGAAAGAAATAAATTATTAACCAAAAATACAACAACTTCATCAAATAATGCAAATTTTATACAAAATTATCAGAAATTAATGAATCAACTAAATGAAAAAATATTGGAAAGTATTGTCAAATTATTAGTTTGGAATCATAGATGGTACCTGGATTTCTCACCATTTTTATTGTTAAGTTTGAGTGATTTAGTTGCATGGGAGGGATCAGTAAAAATCGAAAGTTCAATAACTGCATTATATAATGAAACTAAATTACCCGGTTCAGGAAACAAAGATTCTTCAACTAGAGAAAGCTCAAAAGATTCTAGTAATAATGATCATTTTGTGAATCATGGAATTATTTCAATGATGAAAGACTTTGATTCTGATTATATTAAATTATATAATTTGTCAAACGCTGATGAATAATAAAAGAAAAATTATGGTATTTTTTAATCGGTATTTGTAAAATTATTGATTAAACTCTTAATCATGGACTCTTTCATCAATTATTCTGTAAATCATTTAGGTAAATTTGATTCCACCTAAATAGAAATAAAATTAATTACATCACCATTATATACCCGAAGTGCGCATAATTTTATTACTGTAAATAAAATAAGTTTAGTATTGTGATCAATAGAATCAAACGATTTAATAATTTACAACTTCTTATCTATTATTAACTTTTAATAAAAATACTAGGTTTTACCTACTCAATATACTCATATTACAAATCAAACACTTACAAAATGACGTCGCTTCCATCATCTATTGCATTTGGTGAAGAAGAGTATGTAAATATTACTAGGAAATTCTTAAATATGACATACCAAAAAGATTGTCAAAATCTGGGGAACATTCAAAGATGACCATGTTTACAATATACTAACTTACTTTCCAAAGAGAACCAGATCTTATAGATAAAATGTGGGAAAAATCAAAACAACAACCATTAGTTCCTATTGGATCAATTTTAACAGCAGGAGCAGTAATATTAGCAGCAAGATCAATGAAACGAGGTGAAAAACTAAAAACTCAAAAATATTTTAGATATAGAATTGGATTTCAAATGGCTACTTTAATTGCATTGGTTGTAGGGGGTATGACTTTGGGTACAACTGCTAGTACAATGGAACAAAAAAAGACTAAGGAAGAAAAATTAAGGGAAAAAGCTAAACAAAGAGAGAAATTATGGATTGAAGAATTGGAGAGAAGAGATGCTGTAATACAAGCTAGAAAACAAAGAGTTGAAGAATCAAGAAAAGAGTTGAGAGATTTAGCTAAACAGGGATTTGATGAAGAGAAAGATAAATTGGTTGAAAAATCTAAATTTGCAAATCAGAAGAAGGATATCTTTAGTACTAGTAATGATGATGAATAGTTTTAGTTTGGATTTGTACCATTCTGTCTATATCTGTATATATATAATGACAAGTCTATATAGCATTTGATACCTTTACTATTTGTAAGTTTGATGGCTGGAAGTTGCCTTGATTTTTTAAGGCCCTTGTCTAAGCTTTATACCTAAGTTTTATTTTGCCTAACTTAAATTTAATGTATCAATCTATAAATTACCTGTAAACATCTCTTTAACCCCAATACCAACTTTACTAATATTTCAAAAAACATGAACTGAACTAAAACTATCTTTGGAATAAGGCAAAAAATAGTCTCACAAACTTAATGCACTTACTGCTAATTTATCTCGGTATGTTTCTAAAAACTCTATTTTTGAAATAAATATTTCTTTCCTCTTGTGATAAATATGGGAAACTTGGTAATTTTTTAAATTTTGTAAATTGATCTAAATGTGTCAGAATCATTGACAATCTATTTATTGCTGGTTGTGATGGATGTGACATAATCTAAAGTAAAATAATTATGATTACGTTTTGGTAAATTAATTCTATAAGTAATAATGACTGAGGATTAAAGAAAAAAAGTACGGAATAAAAGTATTTTAAAAATCCCAAAATTTTATTGTATTTGGAATAAATCATATCTCGTGATCGGACTTTTTTTGCACCCAAATTATTTTTCTCTTACTAATATTGATTTAAAAACTTATATTTAAAAGGAGGGGAATTATAACTATTTTGATTAGCACTATCGGAGTCTAACATTTGTCTTCTGTATTATAAAGCTAGGCTTGGGAATATATAGTGTATCTGAACATAAACTTTTAAACCAACTCGGGTCTTATCACTTATAAAGAACTTCTTTAAGAAAAGTAGAGTCAAGTAGTAAATTTCCTATCTATATGTGTCAATTAATCATTCATTACGTCTCTATACTCTCTTAAGCTAAAATGTTTAAAATACCTATTGATCTAAAATAAAATTTTTAAATTCAATATAAGCTTTATCTAAATCATCATTAACTATTATTAAATCATGAGCACCAGTTTCAGCATATTCCATTTCATTAGTAGCTGCATCCAATCTTTTTTCTAAACTTTCCTTGGTCTCAGTACCTCTACCTTCTAATCTTTCTCTTAATTCTTTTATAGAAGGAGGACTTATGAAAAGGTATTTTGCATTTAAATCAGTATTTTTAACAGATTTTACACCTTGCATATCAATATCCAACAAACAAATTTTACCAGTATCTGCAACATCTTTAACTGCTTTTATAGTTGTACCATAATAATTTCCTGAAAATTGAGCCCATTCAATAAATTTATTATGTGCAATTAAATCTTTAAATTCATCAACTGTTACAAAATGATAATCTTTACCGTTTACTTCCCCTTCTCTTGGTTTTCTAGTTGTATTTGATACTGAAAAACCAAATTTATTTGGATATTCAGCAAATAATTTTTTCAATAAAGTTGATTTACCAGTCCCTGAAGGTCCTGAAATAACAATTGGTCTAGTGGTTGTTGATGTTGACATTTTACGGTAAAATGAATTGGAAAAACTTGGTATGTAACGAAACGATTGACTTATTCTTGACTTTGAAATCAATTTGAATAGATATCAAATGGTTACTGAGTGATTAAAGGTCCAATTTTGAAACATTTCTCAAAATATAAATTTAAATTATTTATAAAATTTTTTTTTTTTTGTTTTTGTTTGTGGTTGTGTAACTGAAAATTGATGAAAAAAGAAATTTTGATCCACGATTTAAATAATTAAATAAAATAATGAAATAAGATTTAGACGTGTTATATTCGTAAATTAAGTTGATATTGAATGAAGTTTGTAGATACCCATTTGATAGTGAATCATAAATCACTTAGAAAACACTATGACAACTAAAAACTAAACATCAGACCAAGCATTTTAGTAACTTCAAATTGGTTGATGAAATAAAATTTTCTTAAGTTGTATATCCTAAGAATCAGGTGAAACGCAGCATTTCTATACAATTAGTAAAATCTAAGACTAAACATGTAAATAATTTATGAGGAAATTTAAAGTAGATGAATGCTTAGGTGGTTCCCATTTGACCATTTGTGACCTTTAATATCATCAGCGAATTGAATTATTTTGATGAGAGTAGATTTTGTAAAATTGATTGTCTATTCTTTAATTTTTTGCAACCAATTTGATACCAAATTTAACAAAATTATTAGTTAGGTTAAAGGAATGAATACTGTATAATTACCAAATACTAGCACCAAGTTGAACTCTTAGCAACAGCAAATACAACACCTTAGTGGATATAATGGATCATTACACCCAAGCTTATGAACCACCTTTGATTAATGCTTAATACACAATTATTATACTAATTGAGAGTCGTGTGACTTTCACAAAATTATATTAAGTGTTCTATATAATTTTTTTCATTTAGGTTCTTTAACTGAAATCAATTTTGGTCGCCAAATCAACTTATCAAAACTTACAAAAATAATTTTCTAAATGTCATCACAAGATCAGGCACTACAGCAATTGAGTCATGCATTAACTACGATGTATTCAAATGCTCCAAGAGAGGAGAAAGCAAAAGCAACGAATTACTTAGAAACTTTTCAAAAATCAAATGAAGCATGGAACTTAACTCATCAAATACTTCAAAATAAATCAAACAATAATGATCCACAACAACAACAATTACAAATATTTGCAGCACAAACTTTAAGATCGAAAATCATATATGATTTATTATCACAAATACAAGTTCAAAACTATAATGATTTGAAAAACTCAGTCATACAATTGCTTACATTATACAACGCACCTCAAGATAAACTAATACGTACTCAATTATCAATAGCATTATCACAATTAGCATTACAATACTTATCTTGGAGTGACGCAATCAATGAAATCATATCAATCTTATCAACAAATGAATTAATTTTGGTTTTATTGGAATTTTTAAAAGTTTTACCAGAAGAAATCTCAGATGTTAAAAAAAGTCATTTAACTGATGAAGAATATAATAAAAGATCTCAAGAATTAATAACCAACCAAGTGGAACTCGTAATTGGAGTTTTGAAAAATTTGGCCGAAGGGAATACTAAGAATGACCAACAATTAAACTCAGCTATATTGGATGCATTAAATAGTTGGATTACAGAATGCCCAATTGATCAAATTTTAACAGTTCATTCATTAACATCATTAGTATTTCAAAGTTTGTCAAATGATGCCACTTTTGATAAAGGTATTGAATGTTTAGTTACAATAATTCGTGAAACAAGAGATATAGATAATTATGAAATAATAGATGCATTATATCAACAAATATTACAATTAAATTCATTTATGCAATCAAATCAAGAAAACTTGGAAGATCCAGAAAAAATGGATGGATTAACTAGATTATATGTTGAATGTGGTGAATCATGGCATGCATTAATTGCAAAAAATCCAAAACATTTTAAACCATTAGTTGAAATACTTTTAAATTGTTGTAAATATGATGAGGATTTAGATGTTGTGAAATATACTTTTCAATTTTGGTATTTATTAAAACAATTAATTGTATTACCTAAATTTGAAGAGGCAAGAGCTGTACTCGGAGATGTTTATTTACAATTAATTTCAGTAGTCATCAAACATTTAACTTATCCAATTGCTGAGAATGATAATGATTTATTCAATGGTGACAAAGAACAAGAAGATAAATTTAAAGAATTCAGGTATGAAATGGGAGATGTATTAAAAGATTGTTGTGCAGTCGTTGGTGCGACCAAGGCATTACAAGTTCCATTTGAACAAATTCAATCCATATTATCAAATTCTTCAGGTAATTGGCAATACTTGGAAGCACCTTTATTCTCGATGAGAACTATGGCAAAAGAAGTATCAACAAAAGAGAAAACCATACTACCTACTATAATGTCATACTTAGTAAGATTACCAGAGCATCCAAAAGTCAGATATGCAGCTACTTTGGTATTAGGAAGATACACTGAATGGACTGCTAAACATCCAGAATTTTTAGAACCACAATTGAATTACATAACAAAAGGGTTTGAAGTGGCAAACAATAATAATGATATAATGATGGCTACCTCACACGCTTTAATGTATTTTTGTCAAGATTGTTCAGAATTGTTAGTAAATTATTTAGAACAATTGTATTTACTTTATGGCCAAGTTAGATCTCAAATTGATCTAGAATCAAGTTATGAATTGATTGATGGGTTAGCTCACGTTGTTGCAAAAGTACCGGAAGATAATTTGTATAAAACTTCTGAAATGTTTTTGGAACCAACTTTAAATTCTATTAATGACTTAAATGCCAAAAATGATAATTCAGATGAATTAAATACTCAAATTTCAGAACAAATTGAAACCATAACTATTTTCATTGATGTCTTGAAAATTAATGAATTTGATAAACCAACATATCCAGTGGCTACTTTATTTATAGAAAAAATCTGGCCATCAATAACATCAATATTACATAAAAGAGCATCATCAATTAAAATTAGTGAAAAATGTATGAAATTATTAAAAAGCGCAATGTTATCATTTAGTTCATATTTAAATTCAATCTTACCGCAATTTGCAGAAATTTTACATCAAGGATATCAACAAACTCAATTTGGTTGTTACTTATGGGTTTCAGGAGTTGTTATTAGAGTTTACGGGGATGAAGATGTAAACTCAAAGGAAATTACTCAAGCAGTTTTAGAATTTTCAATACATCAATGCCAAACCTTTTTCCAACAAATTAAAAATTTAGATTCTAATAATAATGTTAAACAAATTCCAGATGTAATTGAAGATTTTTATAGAATGTTAAATGATTTATTAATGTTTTATCCATTTGAAATTATTCCAAATTCAGAATTTTTAGATCAAGTTTATCAAGCAACTATTATAACCTTAACTAAATTGGATGAATATAATCCAATAATATCATGTATTCATTTTAATATTGATTTAGTATCATGGGGTTTAGAACATCCACCAATTTCATTATTTGAAGATAAGGATACAGAACCTTTGAAAAATTGTATAAAGGAATTTTTGATCCAAAAAAATCATGGATTCGAGTTGTTAAAATGTATAATTCATGGATTAATTTTCAAATTCCATAATGACATTCAACAAGATGCAAGTGATTTAATTTTAAAAATCTTGGTAGTATGTCCAAATATTGAAGTAGCAGTTGGTTGGTTAAATGAGGTTGTTATAAATTTACCAAATATTCATGACGGAGAAACTAATAGATTAATTCAAACTGTTAGTATTGCATTACAAAATAAAGATAATCGAAGAGTAAGAAGTGCTTTGAAAGATTTTATTGGTTGGTATTCAAGAAAAAATGTAACTAGGACTATTTAAGTAAATACTCTAAATAATCATGTATTATGAAAATCTATGAGTTCTATTGTTTGTACATATTTTTAGTGGTACTATTGCGAAATGAAAGCAACTGGTCTTTCATCGTGTAACTCTTATTTGTGTATCATTTAGTTTTACCGTCAAAATTTAGTCAAAACAAATAAACTCTACAACGTATATTTTGTACCATCTGATTTAAAAAAACCTCATCTAATTTGTTTAAAGAGACTCTCACAGAGTAATACGTTGGGTGAGGAAATAAAAACAGACAGATTGTATCAATATCTATTGTGACTTTGAGATAACTAATTATTAAAGCAAAATGATTAGCGCGACAGTTGTGATGGATTGAAAAAATTGCATTTTCGTCTGTTACAGTTTGAAGTAAATAAGAAATTTTGTTTGTTTATATTTAAAAGAACAATAGAAATCAGAAAATTTGAAACACAATACTAAAAGATTTTATATCTATATCTTAAATGTTGTACATTCTTATCTTAAACGACTCCAAAATTAGAATCTCCGTCGCTATACGGCATCAATTTTTCATGACCGCTCAGCAAATAGCAACATTAGTACAAAATTTTCTTTTGAATCATCCAAAGTCTTTTGTCTTGTTTACTCCGAGTAAAAAATACCGTGTAAATATGGGGCGAATATCTTCAAGCTAGCGCGAAATCCTTCATTACACAAAATTAGTAGTTTGCAACTATTTCATGGGGCTAATTCTTTCTAAGTTTCTACTTAATCTAGATTTGATCTGAAATTAATCACTAGGTTACCATAAGTAACCGGTTTTTTCAGCTCTTTTAGGGTGCAGGTTTTCAAGTCAGGAATGTCAAGAGTATGTTAAAAAACAGCAAAGTTTAAAATAATTTTATTGCTTACAGATTTTTCAAATCAGCTACAGATCTAAAGAAACAAGATATCCAATTAATTGATCCGATGATAGGAAGAAGATTACTTTTGATAATTAATTAATTTAGACCTTCTAAATCAGTTTTGACGTTTTTACATTGAACTAAATCTTATTTTGGAAAGATTTTTACTAAAAATGGTTTTAGTGTCATTATTAGTGTTGGCTACTCTTATTTTTCTTACGTCGTGTTTTTAAGGTACCAATATTATTTTCAAAAAAAGTTGAAAAAAATTTTCTTGGGATAGGTAAAACGCAAAATATATTTGAGGTCTTTTTTCAAGTAATTGCTGAACCAATTTAAACAGAATAAAAATTATGAATCACAGATTAAACATAATAAGGAAATATTGAAATTAGTGTTATAAAAATTTGTTTTGGTTTGAAGATTAATCAGTCATCGTATAAAATTTTACGCCCTAATGCAACAAAGTCAGTAAATTTACTGATTGCATTTTGATGTAATCATACGACAACAAGAATGTGCAATAGGGTTTTGATCGTCAAATTTTTGCAATATAGTCTTTATTATCAATGTAAACAACAAACGTATGGTTCGATTTAACGTGTCTCGTCTTAAGTAATATTTACGTCAAAATATTAAGTTTGTGTAATGTTTCATTAATTGATTGCAAAATTTTAATTTTAATCTCATTAAGAGAAATATTTTGTGATTTGGGCAAATTAATTGGTAAAATTTTTGGATTTTCAAATAATATATAAATCAATGATATTCTCCATATTCATAAAATATTTTTCTTTTTTAATCATCAACAAATTCTAATTTCCAACTATCAGTCTTTCGTTTATAATTTATTCAACAATGCAATTTTCAACTATTACTTTCGCTTTAATCGCCTCATTTGTCGCTGCTGATGTTTCAACCGTCACTGTTGAATCAGAAACTTTAGTTACTATTACTTCATGTGGTCCAGAAAAAACTGAATGTCCAGCTTCTTCATTATTACAATCTTCATCAGCTGCTAACAACTCAATCCCAATTGGTGTTTCAACTTTTGAAGGTGCTGGTGTTAAAAACGTTGCTTACGGTGCCGGTGCAGTTGCTGTTGCTGCTTTATTATTATAAATTTAATTTTATGATAAAATTATTTAAATGTTTCTAGAGGTTTTTTTTCATAAGTATTAATTTGATATTAGTACTCACAATCTAATAAATTCATGATTTCATTTTTGCATATTCTTTAAAAGTAAAAGAATCAATATTCGGTATTTAATTTTAGATTATATATTTATATAAGGTATTTTAATGGTTTAATATTTCAGTCAATATTCAAAGTTCAAATAATTGTAATGTAAGAAATCAATCTCTCTACAACTTTATAAATTTCGAAATAAAATAAAACCATAAAATAAATTAAAAACTGAAATAAACAAAATATATAAATAAAATTTAAATAAATGAAGAAAATAAACTAAACTTTTGTGAATTTGAAAAATAAAACAAACCATATCCTTGAAAAAAAGTGTACTGTAATGGGAATATAAAAAAATGTAATAAAAAAATAATAAATAACGAATTGATAAATTTAAATCGAACGAATGATCATATAAAATGAATGAGTTAAATGAAACCAACACCATTAATTCATTCAATGTTATTTTTTTTGTTTTTTTTTTTTTAGAATATATTATAACCACCTCTTATATAGACTTACAAGACTATACCTCTCCATTTCCAACTCGTGGGAAACAAAAATTATGGGCCTCCAGCTGCTGGAACAACTTGAATTGATGGTTGAACAGCAGCGTTAACCTTGGAACTTGAAAGTTGAGCAGGGGGAGCATTAACTTTTGAACCTGATCCAGTTACCAAATGATCTTGATTGACACTTGACTTTTGATCTAGCACCTTGGTATCAACTTGTTTTGAGCGATTCTTTGCATATTCTTCATGTATTTGAGGCCCTTTTTCATGATTTTCTTTTGCATGTTCTTCTTTCTGATTTAATTCTTTTTCATAATGTTCTCTACCTGGTGAAGCTTCATAGCGATCAGTTTCATGATGATTTTTTTCATAATGTTCTTTATAATGACGTTCACCTCCATAAACTTGATCTTTTAAGTATTTATCCTTCTCTTTTTCATTTGCATGATCATCTGTTTCATGTAACTCTTTACTTTTAGCTATTCTATCAACTTTGACAGGTTCTTGTAATTCTTTCCCTTTAATAGGTTTATCAACTTTAACTGGAACATCTCTTTTATCTTTAGAATCAGTATGATCAAACTCCTTATAATAATCTTTATGACGATCTTTTTGTTTTTCTTTTTCATCATGTGAATGAGATACTTTTTTCCAATCTATATCATCTTTATAATCTTCTTCTTTATGGTCAATCTTGTGTTTCTCATGATTTGAAGTATGATCTTCTTCTTTATGATGTGCTTTACTATCTAAAAATCCATTGTCATTGATAGTTTCTGTATGATCAGATTTATGATGCTTATTGAAATCTTTATTGTAATCTAATTCATGATGCTCTAATTCATGCTTACCATGTTCAATTTCATGCTTATGACTCTTTTGTGTTGATTCAGCCTTATCAGATTTTCCATGCTCATGATTATCTTTTTCGTGATCAACTCCGTCTTGATGATTTTCTTCATGATGATCCAACTGATGGCTTTCATTAGTTTTTTCACGATCAATGTCACTACTCTGATCATTCTCACGATGAGTCCATTCATCCTTATAATTTTCATGCAAATCTTGTTCATAATGCTCTAATTTTGCCTTTTGTGAATTTTCTTCAAAACGTTCCACTTCATGTCTTTTTCTTTTATGTTCAAAATCATGGAGATAGTTTTTATGTTTCTCTTTTTGTTTTTCAACTTCATCTACTTCATGAAATTCTTTATCAAAATCAAAGTCACCCCTATCTTTTTCGAGATGATCAACTGAATGTTCGTCTTTATCAGCTGAATGCTCATAGATCTGATATTTACTTTTACCATTATGATACAAGGAATCACTATATTCTTCAAAGGAGTAAGATTCATTGTGCTCAGTTTTATTTTTATGAGTATCTTCTTCATAATGTTCAAGTTCATGTCTTTTTCTTCTATGTTCAATCTCATGAAAGTAATCTTGATCAAAATTGTTTTCAATCTCAATATCAGCTAATTCATGTAAATCTTTTTCATCTTGATTTTTTGGTGTATGATCCTTTTGGTGGAGATCTTTTTCATGATGATCTTTGCTTTTTTCATAAACTTTCTTTTGGTTATGTTGCTTTTTATAATTTTCATCTTTTTCATGATGATTTTTTTCGTAAGTATCCTTCAGCAAAGCATTGTGATCATGCTCATGTAAATCATATTCATGATGTGAATCATTATCTGTAGTCAACTCATGATGTTCTAAATCATGTAAATTCTTCTCATTCTTGTGACTTTCTTTTTCAAATTGATCTAATTCATGTCTTTTTAAAATTAAATGACCTTTTACATTGTTCTTTAAATGAAATTCTTGATCAAATTTATCTTTTTTCAACTCCTTATGATTGCTTTCATGATGCTCCTCTCGTTGTTCACCTTGGCCATCAACCTCCTGGTGATGATTTTCTTTGTGATGCTCTTTTCTAAATTCATATTTATCACCTTCATGGACCTTATCATGAGTTCTTATTTGTTCATGACGATCTCTTTCAGTATCATAATATTTACTTTCTCTATCATCATCCTTAAATTTACCACCATGTTCACTGGTTTTGTGACTTTCTTTTTCAATGTCTTTATTTTTAGCTTCATGTTGATCAATCTCATGATCTAAAGTCCTATTACGAAATTTTATGAAATGATGTTCTTCATGACGACTTTTTTCAGTCTCAAGATGTGAAGCGTCATGGGTACCCGAACGCAAGCCATGAGAATGACCTAGTGGTTGAATCTTTGGATGAGTTGTTGGAACAGGTTGAATTACTGAATGAGTTGTTGGGACAGGAATAATTTTAGAATGAGTTGTTGGAAAAGGTTGAATTTTTGAATGCCTGTTACCTCCCTTGTGAATAGGTGGTTCAGGAATGAATTGAATATCATCATATTGTAATCTATCAATCACTTCAGCAGAAGTCAAAGAACCCTTTTTCAATAAACTAGGAATAACTTCTAAAACAAATGCAGCTACACCTTTGCTAACTTTTGGATCTATTGTAGATAGTTTTTCCGAATCAAGATTGAGACCATGATTGTTAATACCTAAAAATACATCTTCCCATGGAACTGTTTTAGAATTCAATAATAAAATGGCAGTATCAATGAATATTTTTCTGACTTCTCTATCTGTTAAGGACAATCTTATAATATCATTAATCAAATCAGATTGTTTTAATAAAAAAAACACTTTTAATAATAAATCTTCAGCGGAATCACTTTTATCTAAACTTTGAGCAAAAAATTGTTGATCGTAGTAACCATCATCTCTGTCATTACTGACAAATCCGTCTACGTTGCTAGTCCTCCCTGCGTAATCTTCTCTTTTGCCTTTACTAATACTTTTACTTGTTGTACCTTTAGTGTAAGTTAAACCTTTTGTTGAGATAGTTGATGTTTTACCCTTTCCAGTATTGATATTAGATCCCTTACCAGAGTTGAATCCTTTTCCAGTGTCAAATCCTTTACCAGTATTGAAATCTTTTCCGGTATCTTTCCCTGATGAGTATTTATTATCTACTTCCCATCCATCATCATCACAATCGGTGTCGCTATCATCGTTATAAGTCTCCTTGGTATTAACTTTATTAACACTTTTACCAGTACTCTTACCAGTACCTTTACCACCACCTTTACCTTTTCCTTGATCTTGACCACCTTTACCACCTTTACCTTTCTTGAATTTATCTAAAAGTTTTGATTTACCGCCCATCATTTTACTTTTCATTCCTCCTAATTTCTGCTTCAACATTTCTTTCTTACCGCCGCCTCCAGCACCTCCTTTTGAATTGCTCCAGTCATCTTCATCTTCATCATCAGAACATGAATCGTCGTCATCTTGCTGAAAATTTTTTCCTCCTTTATTATTTCCCTTACCACCTTGGTTTTTTCCACCAGATTTATTACTAGATTTTCCAGAATTTTTATTACCGCCTTTTTGACTTCCACCTCCACCAAATTTGATGAATTTGTTTTCATGTGCAATCTCATATTCTAAATCCCTTTTACCTTTTTTACCAGATTTTCCATTTTTTCCTTCGTTATGTTCTTCTTCTGGGCATTCAACAGCAGGAGCTTCAGCTTCTTCAGTTTCTTCACATTCTTCAACCTTAACAATAACTTTGGTGACAGTGGCAGCAGGAGCAGCAGGACCAGCCTTGGTTGGAACAACTTCTTTGTCACCACCTTTACCTCCTTTAGAAAATTTAGATTTTAAATTACCCATATTCATTTTACCACCCATACCACCTTTAGAAAATAAACCTTTTAATTTGTCCTTCATACCGCCACCAGATTTACCACCTTTTTCTTCTTTTGATGGAATTTCTTTTGATGGAATCTCTTTTGATGGAATTTCTTTGGCTGGAATTTCTTTTTTAGGAGCTTCTTTGGCTGGGGCTTCTTTTGATGGAGCTTCTTCTACTGGTTCTTTGATATAAACTTCTTTGATCACAGCAGGTTTTCTTGTTGGAGCAGCTTTGGTCGGAGCAGCCTTAGTTGGAGCAGCTTTAGTTGGAGCAGCTTTAGTTGGAGCAGCTTTTGTCGGAGCAACCTTAGTTGGAGCAGCTTTTGTAGGAGCAGGTTTAGTTGGAGCAGGTTTAGTTGGAGCAGGTTTGGTTGGAGCAGCCTTAGTTGGAGCAGCCTTAGTTGGAGCAGCCTTAGTTGGAGCAGCTTTAGTTGGAGCAGCTTTAGTTGGAGCAGGTTTAACTGGAGCAAGTTCTTCTTCTCCTTCTGATTCTTCAACTTCTACACAAACAATTTCTGGTTCCTTTTCAGGTTTAGGTTCAGGTTTTGGTTCTTCAGGACAATCGTCTTCTTCTGGTTCCTCTTCAGCAGGTTTGCTTTCGGGTTTTTTAGGTTTGACTATAACTTCATATTCTCTTTCTGGTTCAGTTTCTGGTTCAGGTTCAGCTTCTTTAGAAGGTTTAGGTGCAGGTTTAGCTGGTGTAGGTTTAGGTGCAGGTTTAGCTGGTGTAGGTTTGGTTGATGGTTTAGCTGGTGCAGGTTTAGCTTCTTTTGTGGGTTTAGCTTCTTTTGCAGGTTCAGGTGCTTTGCTTCCACCTTTTTTGCCACCCATCAAGTTTTTTAATTTACTTAAATCTCTCATGACAAGTTCACGTTTGGAAATTTTATGTTGTTCACCGTCATGACCTTTTTTTTGATCGTGTTTTTGACCAAGTTCAAATTCGTCACAGTCTTCTTCTTCATGACCTTTTCCATCGTGATGATCTTTTCCACCTAAATGTTTTCCGTCGTGATGATCTTTACCACCTAAATGTTTTCCGTCATGATGATCTTTTAAATCATGATGATCTTTAAAATCTTGATGTTCTTTAAAATCATGATGTTTATGGCCACCTAATTTTTTTCCATCGTGATGATCTTTGCCATGATCTTTTCCATCATCATGATCTTTACCGTGATCTTTTCCATCATGATGATCTTTGCCGTGATCTTTTCCATCATGATGATCTTTTCTATGATCTTTTCCATCGTGATGATCTTTGCCATGATCTTTTCCATCGTGATGATCTTTACCACCTAAATGTTTTCCATCATGATGATCTTTACCGTGATCTTTTCCATCGTGATGATCTTTACCACCTAAATGTTTTCCGTCATGATGATCTTTTCCATGATCTTTCTTTGGAGTTGGTAATGGAACTGGAGTTGGAGTTGGAGTTGGGGTTGGAGTTGGAGTTGGAGTTGGAGTTGGAGTTGGAGTTGGAGTTGGAGTTGGAGTTGGAGCTGATGTTGGAGCTGGAGCAACTTTTTTTGGAGCAGGAGTTGAAGCTTTTCCATCGTGATGATCTTTACCACCTAAATGTTTTCCATCGTGATGATCTTTACCGTGATCTTTTCCATCGTGATGATCTTTATCGTGATTTTTTCCATCGTGATGATCTTTACCGTGATCTTTTCCATCATGATGTTCTTTACCGTGATCTTTTCCATCATGATGATCTTTACCGTGATCTTTTCCATCATGATGATCTTTACCGTGATCTTTTCCATCATGATGCTCTTTACCACCTAAATGTTTTCCATCATGATGATCTTTACCATGATCTTTACCGTCATGATGATCCTTACCGTGGTCTTTTCCGTCGTGATGATCTTTACCGTGATCTTTACCATCGTGATGATCTTTACCACCTAAATGTTTTCCATCGTGATGATCTTTACCGTGATCTTTTCCATGATCTTTTCCATCATGATGATCTTTTAAATCATGATGTTGTTGACCACCTTTACCTTTACCATGTTCAAAATGATCCCAATTACCATGACCATCTTTTCCATGATCAAATTTCACATTTTGATGATCACCAACAGATCTTCTAGTTAAACCACTTTTTCCACCATAATAAGTTGTTGAAGATTTAGTATTGGTGTAACCATACCCCTTTTTAACATTATCATCATCACAATCTGAATCTGATCCATATTGTTTTTTATAAGTTGGGTTATAGTTTGGATTGTAATTTGGGTTATAATTTGGGTTGTAGTTTGGATTAACGTTTTTACCATAATTATAGTTTGGATTATATCCTTTATTTGTACCGTAATTATAATTTGGATTATAGTTTTTACCGTAGTTATAATTTGGATTATAATTTGGGTTATAATTTGGATTATAGTTTTTACCAGGATAATTTGGGTTGTAGTTTTTACCAGTGTTATAATTTGGGTTATAATTTTTACCATAATTATAGTTTGGATTGTTTGGATAATTTGGATTATAATTCTTTCCAGTGTTATAATTTGGATTATAGTTTGGATTATAATTCTTACCATAATTAAAATTTGGATCATAGTTTTTACCATAATTATAATTTGGGTTATTGTAGTTTGGATTGTTCCAATTAACACCTTTATTGACACCATAATTCTTATTGGTATTATATTTATTAGATGAATCCCAACCTTTATTATATCCATTGGCATAATCTTTTTGTCTTTGTTCAGCTTCATCATCAGTATCACATTCACTTTCATCATCTTTGCTATCTTTATGATCTTTATCTTTTTTATCACCTTTTTTAAACATACCTTTCAATTTATCTAAACCAATTAAATTGCTCAAATCTTCTTCCTTTGGAGTAGCTGCATCTTTTGATTCTGCATCTTTTGATTCAGATTCTTTAGATTCAGGTTGTTTTTCAGCAGATTCTTCTCTTTTAAATTGATGATGAGATTTTGGAATATTTTGAATTTGTTTTGAACCATCAATTGAAGTTTGTCCATGTTTACTATTAGCTTTAATAACTGAATGATCGATACCATCTTCTTTCAAATGTTTAATTTTATCCAACATTAATAAAATATCCTTTAAGATATTAATCTTTTCCATAGTTAAATCTTTACCAATAGTTAATAATTGCCAGAACATATCAACAAATCCACCTTTTGGAGTTTTAAATTCAGCATTAAAAGTAGGATCATTTTCAACAGGAGTTGCAACAACAGTTACAGTATCTAAAGGATCTTCATCATCACTATCTTCAAATCTTAATTTTGAATTAAGATTTTGATTCATTGAAATTTCAGCATTTTGTTCTTCAATTGACCAATGTTCTTCTTCTCCATTAGATTTTGATTTAATAAATGGTAATTTTAATTTAAAAGATTTATGATGTTGTTTAATTAACCTTGTATCTTTATTATCATCCTTATGATGATGATTGTTGATTGCTAATGAATTAGCAACGGTAGCAACAACTAATAAATTTAATAACTTCATTTCGCTTTATTATTTGTTAGCTAAAACCTTGGAGAGGAGAAAGGAAAAAAAGGGGACCATACATAGTAGCATGGACCTTGGGAAAACCATCATTCTTATATATGAAATTGAATCAACCTTACCATTTTGAGCATAATTTCCTTAATTTTGAATAAGTGTTCAAGTACAAGAAAAGAAAATGTAAATGTGAGAAACATTCATCTTTAGGATTAATGGGGAATTTGTTCTTCTTCTTTCTTTACTTGAATTCTTGTTGATGGAAATTGGAAGAGATTGAAATCTTGTATTCCCATATTGAACCTCGTAAATTTTGTTGATTTTGTGTAATATCTATTTTGATTTTGAGGAAGTTTATAAATTTTGCAACTAATTTTATACAGAAGTATAAGAAATTTTACATTTAACCAAACTGATACTAATTAATTAAAATATGTATTAATTGAAAATTAGTCATTAAATAAAGAAATAAAAATAGTCTTATAGCAACGTATGTTAGGTAATTGATTTTTTGAAATTTTTAAAAATTTCCAGAAACCAATTCATAATTTTGATTTCTAGTAGTTAATCTTGTTCTTCCTCTTCTATTAAATTTCCAATTGAAATTCCAAATTTTTGATTTTCTCTTAAACCTACTAAATTCTTCAATACTTCCATTTTTCAAATTAAAATCATTAATAATTTCACCATTCTCTAAATCACTCATTGATTTCTTTTCATGAATTATTGGTGGTTTCCACCATTTTAATTGTAATGAACTTAAAACAACACTAATTGAACTGATCATCATTGCAATACTTGCAGCAACTGGTGGTAACATTAAATTGAAAGGTAAAAAACATCCCATTGCGAAAGGTAACATGAATAAATTGTAAATAACTGCCCATATGAAATTTAATTTAATCCTTGCAAAAGTTTTGTTTGAAATTTTCAATGCATTTATAACTCCATGTAAATCTGTTTGATTATGTTTATTATTCCCAATTAATACAATATCTGCACTTTCTATTGCAATATCAGTACCTGAACTTATTGCCATTCCGACATCTGCTTTTGCTAACGCTGGTGCATCGTTTATTCCATCTCCAATAAAAGCAATTCCAGCATTTGATCCATATCTTTCTTTTAATTCAGTTATGACTTTATCTTTGTGTATTGGTGAAACTTCATAGAATATATTTTCTTCAAATATACCAACTTCTTTACCTATTTTTAAAGCTGATCCTTTATTATCACCAGTTACCATTCCAATGATATATCCTTCAACATTTCTGAGATATTCTATAACTTCACGAGATCCTTCTTTTAATGAGTCAGATAATTCAACCAACCCAGAATATTTATCATCAATGACTACATAAACAACTGTATTGCTTGAGCTTGAATGATTAATTTCTGGTAATAAATTCTCAAATCTATCTCCAATCATCTTAATGTTACCTATGTTCACATCATATTTCCTTGATTTTATCGTGATTGTGGCCTCGATACCTGATCCAATCAATACATTCAAAGATTCAATATCTGTGTCAAAAGTATCTTCTTCAAAAGTTAAACCTAATTTAGATTTAGCCAGTTTGGTTAAAGCTTTACCAACAGGATGTTCTGAATTACATTCAACAGATCCAATTAATTTCCACCAATCTGACTCAGTTAATTCTGATTCTTTTAATTCTGCCTTGTATTGAACTAATGACATTTCACCAGTAGTCAAAGTCCCAGTTTTATCAAATAAAATAATATTAATTGAAGTTGTTTTTTCCAAGATATCTGCACCTTTTATTAATACACCATTTAATGCACCAACTCCAGTACCAACCATTACAGCTGTTGGAGCAGCTAAACCTAATGCACATGGACATGCAACAACAACAACTGATATAGCGATTTGTAAGCAAACAAATAATTTACCATTTTCATTCAGTTTAAAAATCATTGGTAAACCATCAGGATGAATATTATAACAAATAATTGACCAAATAATAAAAGTTATAATTGATAATAACATAACTGATGGTACAAATCTCGCAGCAATATAATCGGAAAATCTTTGGACTGGTGCTTTATTAACTTGTGATTCTTTAACTAAATTTATAATTTGATGTAATTGAGATTTTTTACCAGTTTTGGTAACTTTCATGTGTATTAAATGAGGTCCATTCATTGATCCTCCAATAACTGGATCACCCTTTGATTTATATACCGGTAATGGTTCACCAGTAATTAAACTTTCATCTATTTCTGATTCTCCAAACACCAAGACACCATCTGCTGGTACTTTCCCACCCGGTAAAACTATAGCTACATCGTTAGGTTGTACTAAATCAATTGAAATATTTCTTGTTTTAAAATCTTGAGTGAATTTATTTGATTTTTCATTTTCGGAATCTGAACTACTATAATTCATTGGATCATCAATAATTGTACACATCGAAGGAGTCAATGATAATAAACTTGATAATGCAGTTGAAGTTGCACCTTTAGCCTTATTTTCCAATAATTTACCAAATGAAACAAAGCATACTAACATTACTAAAGTATCAAATAACACTTTTGGTGGATTTTCAGTTCTACCATTCCAAACACTTAATATTATTGAAGTTAATGAAAAAATATAAGTTACCATTGTTGATATACAAACCAATACATCCATTGATGCACCTTTGAAATTTTTTCTCAAAAATGATGCAAACTTTTTAATAAAAGTTTGACCTAAATGAAATTGAACATATGTTGAAATGACTAATTCAATTAATGTAACTACATACAACCCTTTAAATATTACTAAATTTTTCCAAAATTGAGTTTTTTCAGTATGTACTAATATTATTACTGGCACTCCTAGTATCAAACTTTGTAAAAAAATATTTGTCCAATATTTTATATCTTTAACTTTTGAAAGTAAATTTAATTGTGAAGCTGATGATTGATCAACGGAATTAAATACAAAAAATTCTATATCATCATTAATGTTGTTAAGCCCATCAACTATATCTCTTATACCAATAGATTTAGAGTCATAAATGAAATTCAATTCACTAGTTAATTCTTTAACATCATTATCATTTTCTATAATTAAGTCTTGCGCAGATTCCTTTAGATCATTTCCTAGTAGTGTTAAATTGTAATCTTTAATGCCAGGAAAACTTTGTATCAATGCTTCAATATTATATTTTAAGTCATGTAAATCCATCTCCGAATGTATTCCAACAATTTTCAAATTAACTTCCTCTTCTTCGATGTTATCTTCGTTTGAACTACTGAAATTGTCATCTATATCAACACTCCGTATAGACGTTACGTCAAATCCACAATCTTCTATAACTTCTTTTAATTGACTTGTTGATATTAAAGATGTATGTTTAACTAATGCTTCTTCAGTTATTAGTGATACAGATACATAAGTAACCCCTTCTAGATTTTCTAATGCATTCGTTATAGAACTGGAACAAGCTCCACAAGTCATCCCTGATATTCCGATAGTAGTTTGTAGTAATTTTGTTGTGGTGGGTTTTAAAATTGAGTGAGGTATTTTATTCAATTGTGCATCAAATCCACAATCTTCTATTATTGATATTATTTGATCTAGTGGAAAATTTTTTGAATGAGTTATTGATCCATTTTCAGTAACTAATGATATAGATGCTTTTGTTATACCAGGTTGTGATTCTAAAGATTCTGTTATACTTGCAGAACAAGCTCCACATGTCATTCCTTGAATAGATACTGATGTTTGAATAGTTGGTATTGTCGATGAACATATTTGAATATTTGTTAATCCTATATCTTCAAGTTCTTTTAGTATTTGTAATTCATTTATATTATTTAATTGATCTGATCTTATATATAAATCTTGATTATTAATTCTATAAGTAATTAAATTTTTATAATTTGTATTAAATATATTTTTAATTTTATTTAAATCTTCTTCCTTAGGTTTATTTGATAATTTATATATAACTTCATCTTGTGTTGACATTTATTATTATTTTATGTTTGAATATTTAATATCAAATTACTTTTCAAAATTGTTGGTTGTCTTTTTAATTTTATGAAAATATTTGGTTGTAAAAATAAATTAAAAAGGATTTAATTTTAAATAGAAAAATAAAATTTCGGTTGTAAAAAAAAAAAAAAAAATTAAATAAAAAAAAATAAATTTAAATAAGCTTTTGTGTTACTTTCTAGAATATTATTAAATGATGTCTTTTAAATAACCTGATTAATAATTGTATTACAATAATATATAATATGTTTATTTATCATAATCCACAACGGCTGGTTGAAGCAAACTAGTTTCAGAAGTCATCATATAAAATAGTTGTTTTTTTCAAGAGTTTTACAATAAAATCGTAATATTTAAATATATACAATATTATTAATTAGATCTTTAAGATTAAACATATTAATACATTTTATTTATATACAGTACTATAATAAATTTTTATTATCTATTTAATCTACATACTATTAATTACTAAACACAATTAATAATAATATTAAAATATGATTGGATTAAAAAACATTAGTTTTATAAATCGGATATTCAATTTATTTCAATTATATGATAATTGGTTTTATTTTGATCGTTGGTTTTGGATACTTACTATCACCAACTATAAATAATGGTTTATTGAATCATATTAATTAAATCATATTTCATTTTAGTATTTTTATTCGTACTCTTATTCTTGTTCTATGAAGAATAAAATAAGAAAAAATTCTAAAATTAAGTTGTTATTTATCCGAGTATGGGAGATACTTTTTTTAATTTTATTTTAATTTTACCTTGATATCTATTTACTAACTTAAATTTATTGAGAAACTTTATATGCATTAATTCTACTAACATCGCTATTAATTACCGTGATATTTATGAGATAGATGTTTATAAGCTTGTTTAGTATTCAAAACTTTACCATTATCATCTTTATAATTTAATTCAACTTTTGGATTATAAGATTCAAATTCATTCTTACCTCGATTGTTATTGTTACTGTTACCAATTTTTCTGTTTTTAAACCTATTACCATTTCTTTCTGGTTGTTGATTCTCTTCATTAATTATATTCTTATTTTTCAATCTTTCATCTAATTTCTCTTCAAAATATTTTTCTTTTTCGACTTTTGATAAATTTTTATATTGTTTATCTTTTTCCAATTCTTCTTTTAATACTCTTTCTTCTATCTCAGTTTTTAATTTTAATAGTTCTGATTTTTGACTTAATTTTTCAATATATTTAAAATTACTTGATGATGAGGTATCATTAGTGGGTACGATCTTGAATTTTTCAGAATTATTATCTGATTGCATTAAATTTTTGGATTGTAAAAATTTCAAAGTATCTGCTAGACCACCTCCAAAATTTGGTTCATTGTTTTCTTCATCATTAGTTGGAGTAAATGATGTAGATGAAGTTATTTCTCTCTTTTGTTCTCGACCATCATCATTTGAATTCTCAACTTTCGTAGCATGACCATTCTGTTTTGCACCTTTATCTTCTTCAACTTGCAACATATCTTCAATAGGCTCACCATCTTGATCATTTAATAAATTTGTATCCAAATTGTTTAAAAATCCAATTGTATCATCATAAATATTATCGACATAATATTGTCTTTTCATGTTAGATTCTTCTGACTTTTTAATAGTCTGCAATTTCTCATTGGCTTTCGCTTCATTTGCTGAATCATTTGGTTTGATTATTTCTCCTCTTTGCCTTTTCTGTCTTTGTTGTTTGGTAGTCCTGTTTACGGTTATTGATTGATGTAACTCATTTTCTAATTCTTCAAAATTCAAATCAATTTCTTCTAATGGATTTAAATCATCATCCTTTATTCTTGTCGTTCTAGATTTACTATTATCCAAAGGTTTTTTTTTCTTGAATTTTTTGAATTTGATAGGTTCAGGTTGAGACCATTCAGTCGCCGATTCATCATCTTTTTTGTTTTCAAATATATCAGTGAATTTAGTAACATTTTTGGGTTTTGATTCTTCCTCTCTAGAAGGTTTACGAGCTGAATTTAGTTTGATAGTTGAGTTTTTAATACTTATGCCATTGATGGAGTCACTATCTTCAACTTCATCGTCATCTGGTTGATACCGCCTACCATTAAATTTCAACATATCTGCTGCTTTTTTCTCCTTTAATTTATTCTTTACTTTCAAGGCTTGTGTTAATTTTTCGTTCGTCAATAAATCTTCTCCTTCTTCATCATCTAAAATATTTGAATCTTGTAAAGTTAAAATATCATTATTTTTTAAAGTATTTAATTCTTCAAGGTTGTGATTGATTTTGGCATTTACCTCGTCGTGATTGTCGGTATTTTTAGTTTCAATTTTTTGCTTTTTTGTTGAATGTTCTTTTCCTAAATTATTTAACCAATTATCAGTATCCAATTCTTCTTCATCACTTTGAATTTCCATTAATTTACGTTTAGTCGAGGAAACTTTAGCTTTCGCTATTCTTTTGGATAAGTCATTATCTTGATTGGAATTTTGCAGTTGAATCAGCTGGTAATTTGATTCTGTGGGTTCAGTGGGTATTGGTTGCAATCCTAAGGATTTCCGTAGTTTATTAGTTTCTTCAATTGATAATTCTATTATATTATTTGATGATGGAGTGGGTTCAATTTGTTTCTCTGATTCATTTTTGGTGATGGGAATTGGTTTCAATCCTAATTTAAGTCGTAGTTTGTTTGTTTCCTCGAGGGATAATGATATATCTTGTGACATTTTACCTGATTATAGCTTTGGTTGTAAATATTCACTTAAATGTATGAAAAAAAATATGAGATTAATAGATACTAAAAAGATAATATAAATTAGGAAATTAATGCGGCAAATAATTTATTTAATTAATTATACATAATAAAATAATTTTTAATTTTTGTTTTGTTTACATTTCTTTAAATAAAATTATTTACAACCAAATTTAATTTTCGAATTCAATTTTTAATAATATACAATTCAGATGATAATCAGATGAGTGAAATTGAATCAACTCAATTGAATATCCCCTATACATCAACTACTATAAATCGTGATAATTTCAAATTTCAAATCAAACAAATTATTGGAACATCAGCCAGAACAAAACAACAATTATCAATTCAAGATGATTTAATCGCATATACTGCAAGTGGTGGAGTAGTTGTAAATAAAATTAATAAATCAAATAATGAAGTTATTAGTCAACGATTTTTTTGTGCAAATAATAGTACAAAACATAATAATGATTCTATTGGAATTTCATCAGCAAATGCTTATTTAGATATAATTAAGGGAAACGTTACAGGAATAGATGATGAAGTGAAAAAAGATTCATATGGGTTTCAAATAACTAATGAACCACTAGAAATTTACGGAAACTCATTCTCATCAAATGATTTTGAAGATAATGCACCAAATAATGGAGCTTCACCATCAAAATTAAAAGATAAAGTTAGATCAATTAATTGTATTACAATATCACCAAATAAAAAATTATTAGCAATTGGGGAAACAGGTTATCAACCAAGAGTTTTAATTTTTTCATTAGCTCCAAATTCTCAAGATTCTCCTATTATGGTGATATATGAACATTCATATGGAATTGACAAGTTAGTATTTTCACCAGATTCAAAAAATTTATGTTCCTTGGGTGTTATTAACGATGGTTGTATCAATATTTGGAAGTTGACTTTAAGTGGGATTGTACTACAAGCAAGTAATAGATGTTCAAATATTATCAACAAAATTCTTTGGCATGAAAATTTGATAATAACTATCGGTTTAAGATTTATTAAAATATGGAGTTTTGAAAATAATAATTCTAATAAACCAATAGTATTGAAAGGAAGAAATGCTCATTTAGGTATATTAATGAGTTTAAACTTTATTCATATGAGTATCTTGAACGATGATGAAGTCTTGATAGTAACAAATTTTAATCATTTACTAGTGTTAAAATTAAATTTTGATTCTCCAAAATTGGTTGCATTGAAAAGTCCTTCAGAAGAATTTTATTCAATTTGTGTTGATTATATGAATGAATTAGTATGGCTCGGTGGAATAAATGACAAAATTACAAGTTTACCAATTAAAAATTTGACTCCCGTTGAATTGAATACTATTAATTTACCTCCACCTGAATCATCAAGTACAAAACTACATCAAAAATTAAATGGGATTTTTGGAGTCTCGTATAGTGAACTAAATTCATCTCAAAAATTAATTTTACAATTGAATGAATTTTCCAAAGACTACTTAATATATCTAAGTGAAAATGAAGAAATTAGATTTTATAATAAAGAAGACTCCAACTTGGATAAATTATTAACTAACTCCATCATCAATAGTATAAGTGGAGTCAAGAAAAGCTACAACAAGGATTACCTAGTTTTTTCAAAAGATGGAGTAATCAAAAAGTTAACTGACTCATGTGATTTGGAAAATCTACTACAATATGATATTCCTGGTAATGAAGTTATCACAAATACTTTAACTGCAGTTGAACACTTCAATAACAAATTTGTTTTGGGAGATAGGTATGGGTCCTTGTATATAGTTGAAAAAGTCATCAATGACGATCAAGAAAGTGAAAGCAATGTCATTTTTCAAATAAAAGCTCATACTTCTACCATAAATAAAATATTGTATTTCAAACAACATGATCACGAATTGATTTGCACAATATCAAGAGATAGAACAATACAAATGTTTGTTAATAAACCTGCTGGTTGGGAATTATTACAAACTATACCTATTCATAATGGAAATGTTTTTGAAATTTCACTTCATGAAAATCAATTGATTGTTTGTTCAAGTGATAGAACGATATCAGTCCATACTATTAATGTTGAACCAGATTTAATGTTAACAACTTTTAAAATTATTACGTTGAAATCTACTCCAGTTGTAATTGGACTATTCGAGAATGAGTTAGTTGTATCCACAATTGATAAACAATTATTAATATATGATCTTAACTTTGATCTCAAAAGATCAATGAAATTAACGAATGAGAAGCTTAATGAAAGTTTGCTTGTTGAATTAATGGTAAAATATCAAAATTTATTAATTGTTTCGTGCTCAGATAAATCTTTAAGAGCATTTGATTATACTACCGGGAAGTCAATTGGTGTATCATGGGGTCACCTGGAATCTTTAATGGCATTGTTTATCAATAATAACGATGAAATTATATCAATTGGTAATGACGGTTGTTTATTTGCTTGGTCAATTAATAGTAATGAAAAAATAAGACCTCAATCAATAGAAAGAAGTTTAACTGATGAAGATTTTCAACCATTATATAGTAAAGTTGCAAGGAAAATATTACCTACAGTTCCAATTGGATCGACTTCACCAAAAGATACATCAATTGATAAAAATACACTCGGTGGGGTAATCGGTTCAAACAAAGAAAGTTTAACAAACAAGACACCATTGATATCACCAGATACACCAACTCCAAAATTATCAACAGCTACTTTAAAAAGAATGGAAGCTAAGAAAACTCAATCCACTACAACATCACCAGCAAGATCAAGATCAGTATCACCAGTTAGATCATCACAACCTCAAAAATCAACAACAGTCACTACAACATCAACATCAACAATTCGCTCACCAACTAGACCAACGTTTCCATTACATAAATCCCAAAATGCACTTAGTGGAATTACAAAATTAAATCAACCATTATCATCACCAAGTCCAGCAAGACGCGGACCCACATCTCCAAAGTCATCTGTAGATTTGGGATCAAGTAACAAAGCAAGACCTTTTATTCAATTAAATAGTAGTCCGACAAGAAGTTCATTCAAATTTAATAACACTTCATTACCCAATCAAAATAATACCACATCAAATAATAACTCATTAACTCCTAATACAATTGATTTTGATTCCACTATGAAGTTTATGGATAATTTAATTGAAAATTCATCTAAATTTAAGGATGATGAAAAACAAAAACTTGTGAATAAACTAAATGAACTAAAACTAAAATTAGGCGTTAATCCAACAAACGAAACAGATATATTAGAAAACTACTCAAACAAATTAATATCATTAGTCGAACAGAAATTAAACATTGCAAAGAATGGCCATACTAAATCACCTTTAAATAAAAGAGATTTTTCCAACAAGAGTAATAGTGGGATTTCTCATGATGATATATCTACAATTATTGCAACTAATGTTGATTTAGATTTGAAAGAAATTAATAGTAGTGTTTTATTAGATGATATTGATTAAATGAAAAATGCAAAACTGAACTATATACATAAGAATTATAATAAATGCTAGTAGTTGGTTAAAAAATTTAGTTTCTTGGTTTTATTGTCGCTGACTCTATTGGATTTGAATTTATTGATTCATCTGCTTGCTTCCATGGATTTTCTTTGGTCTCTTTCTCTATTACGCTATTCTCTATTTTCAGTGGTTCTTCAATCTTCCTACTTTCTCGTTCAACTCTATCCAACTCATCTTGTAATTTCATTTGATTATCCTGCTCCATCTGTAACTTCTCAAATTGCCATTTATCATCAGCTTGTTTAGCTAAAACTTTCAACTTCTGTTGTCTAACTTGATCCCCCACCAATTCATTTAAAGTAGGTGGATTGTTCCTCGTTCTACGTAGCCATTGTAACCATTGTGGTGGAATGGTTTTAAAATAATCAACCTTAAACACTTGTTGTTGAAATGGTTCTAATTTTCTTCTTAATCTTGATAAATTCCCATCGATTGTAAATTCCCAATATGTATTACCTGCTAGGTCATAACCTACAAAAAATTTCCGACGGAATGGGATATTTCTTTTAGATTGCCATTTATGTAGGAGTCTTTTCCAAGGTGAATGTTTTTGTTTTATTATTTCCATTTTGTTTTGGAGTTGGTTGTGAATTAAATTGGTTTTGATTATAACTTGTGTTTTTGTGATAATTTAAATTTTATTGGTTTTGATTATAACTTGTGTTTTTGTGATAATTTAAATTTTAGATGATGTTTCTTTCGTAAAATAAAAACCCCGTAAAGAATACATAATTACATCATTAATTTGAATCATACATCAGCTAGATTAGCTTACATTACGACAGTCAATATATATTGATATATATTGATACTACATACCACTAAAATACATTAAATATATCATGAAGAGAATATGAGTAAAAATAAAAATCAATCAAATAACAATGACACAACAAGAAACCAAAGATCAAATACAATTACCAAGCTCAAGAACATACTACCAGCACCAATAGAATTAAATAATGGAGAATCATTAGAAAGTCATAAACAAAACCATAAGAGTCACATTACAGATGTAAGAATAGGTGATCATCATTTAATAAAGGGAGATTATGGATCATCTTATATAGTATGGCAAATTAAAATTACAATAAATGATTTAGATTTTTCATCTATAATTTTATATAAACGATATAGCGAATTGCTTCAATTTTATAATGAATTGAGAGTGAAATACAACAAAACAGCAGATTCCAAAAGAAAGAAATCGAAAAATCGAGTAATTAATGAAATAGAAGATGAAATAATAGATCTAGAAGAGGAATACGATGATACATCAAACCTAAACATTATAATACCAAGTCTACCACCAAAAGATTCATTAAGTTTTGATAGGTTTATTATAAGTAAAAATTGGCTAGAAGAAAGAAGAAAAGGGTTGCAGTGGTTTTTAAGTTCAATATTGTTGGATCCAATTTTACAAAATGATCCAATTGTTAAGAAATTTGTATTAGATGAATCTAAGTAAAAAATTCATAGTATGATTGTTTGAAATCGTTTAAGCTTCTTTGTTATGTAGAACGTACTAGAATTATTTGTCAATGTATATTTAAATTTTACTCAACCTAAAAGAAATTTTTAAATTATTAAAATTTTGCAGCAAAAAATAAGCATACCAAATATTTTGCCATTTGATATATTTACAAAACTAATTTTCTACTTTTTTCAAATTGGTTTGGAAAACTTTTTCTTCTTTAATTGATCACCAAACTTTTATCCATACAAATGTAGAATTATTTATTTATTTATTATTACTAACTTCAAAATTCTAGCTTTCATTATCAATTGAGAAAGATTTGTGAGACACTTCACCCACATAAGTATGGGAACAATCTGAGTTGACTACCTGAGACGCTTTTCCAACCCATTGGACAAATAAACAATTTTATTAAACTTAAGAAACCAACCTATGGAGTTCAAACATAACTAACTGACTGGACTGTGATTTAAATTAGACACTGGAATGAAGCAAGTGTGATTTTTGGTGCTTTGAATAGCTGATTGACGACCCTTTTTGACTTTGATATTTGATATACATGACTTTGAGTGGACAGGATGAATGGCAGAGATGGATAGTTGGATTGCTTTTCTGATTTAATTCAGATCAATGCAGTTTACCAAACAATATAGTACTATGACTTACTTCCAAATAACCAGTTTTTAGGTTTTTAAATTATGATACTATCATATACAAATGCTGTTACTAACAATAAAATGAAAGCTTTTAAAAATTGAGTAATTATTATTATTTGATAACTTTAAACTTTTGGATTAAAAGCTTGTTCATTATAATTTGACTTAATTTTGACATGAATGATTAAATAGGAATAATTATTTCTTGACTCATCAAATATTTAAATTGGATGACTAAGTGAATTAAATTTTTATTTGCAATTTCATCCAAATTTTTCGCCATGATACGAACCAAACAACAAGATAACATTGTATTAAAATATTAAAAATCATATTTTAAAATTGACAGGTTGGAATAATACTTGATTAATTAGCTATAAAGTTCATTTTAAAACCAACAATTTCTACAATTTTCATATTCAAAAATGTTTGTAATAATTAAATAGTAGTAGTTGGTGGTTGCGTAGATTCTGAAATCACATATGGTGCTTTTGATTCATATTGTTGATTTTTTGATAACAATTTTCAATATTATTCTGGATTATAAACTCAGTAATTAGTTTTTTAACTCATTCATTTATTTAATTAATGGAGTAACCGATTGTTTTATGTGGTTTTTGAGGTATTTGTTGAAGATTGAATAGATTGATTCACACCGTAATTGATCAAAAATACAGCCGTGTGCATTTAGTATTAGTCGCAGAATCAATTTTGATGACAGTAACATCATACCCCCTTTTACCCCTTAACAATCAGAAGTGCTTAAATTTAACAATCATAAATGGCTTAATAACGATTTTCATTAAAGAAATAGAGCTACTTCAAAAGTAGGCAAGTGCATACGCATATTTCAAAAGTTTCAAAGCAAATAAATATTACAATTGGAGTTAAAAAATGATACATATTTGAACTAATTTAAATTTGAAAAAATACTAATGAGTATATCACTATCACATGATAATTAATCGATCAAAATAATAGCGATCAGTAAGTAATAATTATATATAATCACTTCTCGATAATAACTAGATCATTTCTGACATGCATATATAGTAATAGTTTATACCATTGGACTGATGATTTAAAAGTCCAGATCAAAAATCAAGTACTTATTAATAATATAAAACATAAAAAAAATCTTGATATAATGATTAAAATAAAGTCTAGAATAATTTTATGATTATTTATTTTTTTAGTTAATATTATGTAATCATTTATATGTGTTATTATATAAATATTATATAATATTATATATAAAAAATTACGTAATAATTGATTTCAGAAATTCTCCATAATTCGCATTTCTTTTTTTTTTTTTTTTCCAATTCAAACGTCCAATTTTTTAAAGTTTGAAAATAAAACGAATCTAAATTTTAAAAACATTTAGTAATCAAATTACATCTCATAAATATTAAATATATATAAATAGATCAATAATTGTCTCAATTTATACATAAACTATAGAATTAATTCAAAAACTCAATTGTATTATAATCAACTCAAATTTTATATATTAACAACTTATTATTAATCAACTTATAAATCATTTACATACAATTAAAACATGGTACATCATAAAGTTACAATTATTGGATCTGGTCCAGCAGCTCATACTGCAGCTATATATTTAGCTAGAGCTGAAATTAAACCAACAATGTATGAGGGAATGTTAGCAAATGGAGTAGCAGCAGGTGGACAATTAACAACTACAACAGATATTGAAAATTTTCCTGGTTTTCCACAAGGTATAAATGGTACAAAATTAATGGAACAAATGAAAGAACAAAGTGAAAGATTTGGTACTGAAATTATTACTGAAACTATTTCAAAATGTGATTTATCAAAAAGACCTTTTAAATTATGGACTGAATTTAATGAAGATGAAGAACCAATAACTACAGATGCTGTTATTATTGCAACTGGTGCATCTGCAAAAAGAATGCATATTCCAGGTGAAGGTGATTATTGGCAACAAGGTATTTCTGCATGTGCTGTATGTGATGGTGCAGTTCCAATTTTTAGAAATAATCCATTAGCTGTTGTTGGTGGAGGTGATTCAGCATGTGAAGAAGCTTTATTTTTAACTAAATATGCTTCAAAAGTTTATTTATTAGTTAGAAGAGATCAATTAAGAGCTTCATCAATTATGCAAAAAAGAGCTAAAAATAATGAAAAATTAGAAATTTTATGGAATACAGAAGCAAAAGAAGCAAAAGGTGATGGAAAATTATTACAATCATTATTAATTTATAATAATAAAACAAAACAAGAAAGTGAATTAAAAGTAAATGGTTTATTTTATGCTATTGGTCATATTCCAGCTACTAAAATTTTTGAAGGACAATTGAAAATGGATGATACTGGATATATTGTAAATAAACCAGGTACTGCTGAAACTTCAATTGAAGGTGTTTTTGCTGCAGGTGATGTTCAAGATAAAATTTATAGACAAGCTATTACTTCTGCTGGTACTGGTTGTATGGCAGCTTTAGAATGTGAAAAATTCATTGTTGAACAAGAAGATTAAGAAGTTTAATCTTTTCTTTATTTTACGAACACTAATCTAGGTAATTTATACAATGTTATACAAAACTTATAGAAATATATATATATAATATAAAATGCATATAAATATAATAATTTAATCATTGGTAGTAAAATGTAGTAAATAGTGCAACATTATTATTAGTGAGATATTATTTGAATTTTGCAACGAAAAAATTTTGCAGCCAAAAAAATTTAAAATTTTGATCCTTCAACAAGACCATATGGATTATAATTTTGATTTTTTCTTTTATGTGACTTTTTAGTGAAATTTTTGACAGTTTTACCATGATGACCATGTTGATTTTCTTTATATCTAACTTCGTACTCTTCTTCATCAGAATCATCTGAATCAATTGTAGTATCCATATTTTCATAAAATGGTGAAGTTTCCAAAACTTTCGATAATTGAGGATTTGATTTTAATTTTTGTTTCTCATGTCTTTTTGAGGTTTTTGCAACATAGTGATTTCTAGTTTTTTTAACTGATTTTTGGATGTTTTCATTAATTGGTTGTAAAATTGAAGAATCTGGAGAATTAAATTGATTTTGATATTGTTGAGATACATCTGCTGTTGGATCTGGGAAATTAAAAGATGTATCTGTAGTAGAAATTGATTTAGTGTTATTTACCAAATTATTTGTATCGATATTTTGAGTTGGGTATCCTTTTAATGGTAATTTCTGAAACTCATTTACGTAGCAATGGTAATCTTCTTCATCTAAATGATCATGAAATTTAAGATATTGCTGTAAAATATTTGGTTGTGGATTGAAATAAGTAAATTCTCTCTTAGGTTCTTCTTTTAGTTCTTCTTTTAGTTCTTCTTTTAGTTCTTCTTTTGGTTCAACTACTTGAACTTTTTTAGTCTTTTCTTTTTTGAGCTTACTCCATATTGATTTTTTAGGTTCAGGAACTTCTTTAGTAGTTTTGGATTTTGATCTTTTTGAACTTTGTTTTATAGGTTCTTCTTGAATAGGTTGCAAAATTTCTTGGAATACCAGTTCATCATTTTCAAATTCCAGACTTAAAGTTGAACTAACAATTTCAGATCTTATATTGGTATCTTGTAAACTTTCATCAACAACACTTTGATTCGCATCTTGTTTTTTTGTTGTAATATTAAAACTAATACTTACTGATAAATCCAAATCATTTTGTTCATTTCTGATAAAATTATCGTTTCCAATTCTTGCAGATTCAACTTTTATAGATTTAAAACTAGATAAAAAATTTTGATTTATTGATAATGATTCAATATTATTCCCACCGTAAAAATGTTCTAATTCTTTTGTTATAGCTAATGATAAATGATATAACATAAACATATCTTGATTTGATGTTTTAATATCTAAATTTTTTGCGTACTTTGTTCCAAGAACGTCATTTGGTACAACTGACGCGTTGGGGTCTACTTGCTTTTTTGATTTAAATCTCATCTGAATTGATCGTTATTTAATAAATTATTAGTTTGTTGTTTGGGTTACAATTGTTTGATGTAAACTGAAAATGTGTTGCAAAAAAACATCATTTACTATAAAGATTTTGTGTATACAAAAAGTAATAAATTACCTACATTTTTACAACCTGAGCTTATTAACAAAAAAAACATCAATAAGCACAGAATTGAGCTTATAAGTCAATCATTCTAGAGACGAGTGGTTAAATTAAAAATCTTCGATGTCTATAGCATCAACTGTTGATTCAAAACTTATTGAGCTTTAATTTTGGCTGTGTTACATAGTAAAGTTCTCAGCTTTTGTGTGTAATAATAATCAATATTTAAAACACTTCAATTATTGTAACTACTATTATCTATTATTATTATTATTATCATTATAATCAATCTTATCTTATCACTTACAACCTTCACATTTAACAAATTTATCACACATAAGCAACCCCAAAAATGTCATTCAATAGTCCATTTGATGATGATCTAGAAAGAGTAGCAACAAATCATTCACATAAATATAAAGATTATCCTGAATTTGAATCATTATCTACAAGTATTGAAAAACAATTACATCATATTAACACAAATCAATTAGTTGAAATAAAAGAAGAGCTTTCGAACTTTGAATCCAATCCAACTTATCAACAAATATCGGAATCTTTAAGTGGCAAATTTAAAAAGTTAACAGAATCTTATAAGAAATTAAATGAATTTGTTAAACAATTGAATTCAGCTATAAAAACAGTTGAGAATGATCATGAAGATGTTGAAATTGTAAATTACCTAAAACAAAAAGAAAACATTCAAATCAAGCTAATAAAAGATAGTTTAGCAAATTTTAAAAATTATCAAAGAAGATTTGAAACAAAACAAGCAAGTCAATTGCCACCACTATCCTCTGAGGAAAGAGCCACATCAACAGAACAACTACAACAGCAACAACAAGTCCAAATAGAGTACGAACCAATAAATGCAGAAGAATTAGAACAACAAACATTATTAATCCAAGAAAGAGAACGAGAAATTCATCAAATTCAACAAGATACTCAAGAAATCAACAATATTTTCTCAAATTTATCATCTATAATAAATGAACAACAATTTCAAATAGATAATATTGAAAATAATATTTTTTCATATAGTTCAAATGTTCAACAAGCTTCAACGGAATTAAATAGAGCTCAAAGATATCAAAAGAGGTCAAATGGGAGATTATTTTGTTGCTTGTTGATATTGATTGGAGTTTCAGCTTTCATTATACTAATACAATTGATTTTCTAATTATCTAGATACTTTTTACAAATAAACGTGTTAGTTAGTTATACCTATTCCTCTTCCACGTCCCAAATATTGACATTACCGTCATCACCTCCAGATATAACGACTTCTTTACCATTATCTAAAATTGACCAAATCACGCTATTTATTTCATGAACTCCGTGTGATAATTCAGTTATACTCTCTATTTCCCATTTTGATTCACTTATTTCATTATATACAACAATTTTACCATCTGATCCAGCAGTCACTATTTTACCAGTTTTAGAAGACCAAGCAACTGAATATATGGGTAAATCATGAGCTTTTGGTAATATACATTCTTGTTCCCAAACTACTTCTGTAGTGTGTCTTATTGAACTTGGTAGATTCGGTTCCGAATTATCTTTTTGTTCTTCTTCTATTTTATCTTTTGAATACCATATTCGAGCAGTCAAATCATCACTAACAGAAACCAATCTTGTCTTACCCTTTATAGCGTTTGGAGATTTGGGATTCTCAAATTTTGAACACCAAATAGTACCTTCATGACTATCCAATATTCCAATACATGACCAATCATCATCATCAAAATCTTGCTTATAAATTCTTATAGTATCATCATATGAAGAACTAGCTAATAAATTTGAAGTAGGATGCCAAGTAACATTTTTAACATCTTGTGAATGATCATTTAATACAGAAATACATTCAAATTCTTCCAATGTCTCTGGATCAGTTTCCCATATCCATACAGTTTTATCTCTTGAACAACTTGCTAAATATCGTCCACTAAAATTCCAATCAACTGCTTTTATTTCATTCTCATGACCTTCAATAATTGCCATTAAATTCCATTCGTTTGAAGGATTCGCCAATATTTCCGCCTGATTCTCTACAATTTCCTCAATATCATAATTCTCATCAGGTTCATCAATTCCCCAAATCGATATAGTAGAATCAAAAGATCCCGTAGCTAAAGCAGGTAAATCCAATATATTCAGTTTATAATCTACCCCACCTATTGGAGGCTTGAATGAAACAGTTCGTATAGATCGTCTATGCGTATCTTCAAGATTTGCTATCTGTGGGAATTTTGATTTTATTGATAATCTATATATTTTGGAGGATTTATCGGTTGAAGCAGTTGCTAATAATGGTAATGTTGGATGTGAAGCCACGCTCCATACTTTGTCATCGTGAGCTTTAATTGAATGTAGAAGTCTGACCATTTTTATCGCTGTCCTTGTTGTATTTTTTGCAATCTGTGGAAAAATCTGAAACTGTTTTTTGGTAAAAATATTGTGTATAATTGTTTAATGCAATTTTTCACAACCAAATTTTGAAGAGCCTAATGTTCAGATATACAAAGCTAAAACCAGTACTACGAAGGTCCATATGTCGATCCCACATAAGATTTAATTCTTCAAAGAATCCAAATCACAACAATGACAAAAATAGAGGTGATAACCAAGAATCATCATCTGAATTGACCAAGAAAGATCTGAATCATGATATACAAGATTTCAAAATAAAGCAAGCATCTTCAAAATCAGCACCAGCACCAATGGAAAACACAGGAATAGAGCACTTGCTTAAAAAAGACAATAAACCATACATACCTAAATTTCAACACAAGAGAGTTACTTTTGATTATCCAGAATTACCAAATGAAGATGAATACAATAATTTAGTTAAAGTACCTAAAAAAATAACAAGATGGTCAGCATACGTACCTAAAATTTTAACAGTCATAGCAGTAGCTTGGGGTGCATACACTTTAAAAGTGTGGTACTTTGATAACCCCGAAGAAGGAGAAAACAGTAATGATTTATTAAGTCCCAATGAATTCCACAAATTTATAGTAACTCATAAAGAACAAATAGATCCAGACCACTTTATTATAGAGTTGAAACCAAAATACGATAGATGGGAATTAAGTTTTGAAAGCAACCCCGACTCCAAATCGGTATGGAATGGTCAACAATTTTGGTCAGTTGAAATAAAACAACCTGATATTAATGTTGTTAGATCATATACCCCATTACCTTTACATTATTTAAAATCTGAATATACAAGGTCTGGAGAGAGAAAGCCATTATTAAAAGTGTTGAATCCAGAAGTTGATGATGTCAAAGAAAAAGGAACTATGTGTATTTATGTGAAAAGATATCCACAAGGTGAAGTATCAAGATATATTACATCAAGAGAAGTAGGTCAAGAACTAGAATTACGAGGTCCTCAAATAGAATATAAGTTTCCCTACCATCCATTAAATAAATTACATCAAAGACCTATTTTCAAAGATTTACCTTCAAAAGTTGAACCAGATAATTTTATTGAATCTATTAAAAAATATAATAAGGTACCAGATGTTGATAATTTGAATTTTTATGCTGCTGGGACTGGGTTAGCACCAATTTTACAAGTATTATTTTCTGAAAACCCGTATTTGGGATTTGTTAACATTCATTATTCAGCTCGAAAACCTGGAGAAATTGGAATTCTAGAAAGATTTTTATTTTTTTTACATAAATTAGATCGAGTCAATGTTACATATCATTTCGATAGTGAAGGAAAATCATCAATAGTAAACAAAAATGATATAAATAAACCAGAAATTCCAAATTATTATTCACCAAAAAGAATAGAATCTTCAACTTCGAATTTATCACCAGAAGAAGCATTACAAGTACGAATGAGTATATTAAAAGGTGACGAACATAAATCTGAAGTTATTCAACAATTAATAAAATCAACTGAAGATAGAGGAGAAAGATACGACACAGCATTAGATCAAGCTAAAGTCACATCACAACAACCAAAAAAGGCAGCAGCTTTGTCAATTGTATGTGGTCCTGATGGATTTGTTGATTATGTAGCAGGCTCAAAAGATTTAGTTACTAATAGTCAAGGAAAAATTGGAGGCTTACTAGGTGAAAAAAGTTGGGATAATTCAAATGTATATAAATTGTAGATAGATATAAAAAAGTTTAATTAATAGAATTTGAAACAACACCATCCATTTCATCATTAATCATTCCTATTTTATTACCAAAATGATATAATACTCTTTGAGCATCTCTATATTGTGAACATAAAGTTATAACTTCTTTTAATAAGTCTCGCTTATTCAATCCACATATTTTAGGATTCCATTCATTAGTTTCATCATCGTTATCAATCGGTCCTAGTAATTCATCACATATCTCATATAATTTAGCTTTAAATCCTAATTCACAAATTCTTTGTACATATATTTTGAAGTATTTATATAAATCTTTATTTTCACTTAATAATTCACAACATAATATCCTATTCTCCAAATGACTAATTGAAATAGTATTTTCTAAACTTTCAAACCCTTCTTTCATTAACATATTTTTAGAAATTTTATTGAAAAATTTCCCCCTACCAGTTCTTGTCTTTCTCAAAATTTCTTCATTTGTTTTATTTTCCAATAATTCCAATATAGACTCTTCATCATCAAACATATTCAAAGATTGTATGGACTTTTTACCGTCATCTGCACTATCCCAATAATGAGAACCAAACAACCACCATGATTCAGTTATAGTCTGCCACATTCCTAAATCTTTATTAAACAAATATCCTGACCCATTCGACAACGTAACTAGCGGTATGCCTAATGATGTTATAGCACATAATGTAATCGTATCAGATTTAGATAATCCATCATCTTGAAATTTTGAACCTAACTCTAACAACCCAGATATCAGACAATTAACTTCAATTTTTTTGTTCTCCAAATTCCATACATATAACTCACCAAGCGAAGTAACTGCCATTAAAAATTTACCATGACTTTCTAAATATGAAATTGGTGATCCTAATATGATTGGTGGTAGTAATCTTTTACCTGATAAGTGAGAATAAGTTAGAATTTGTCCGTCAATAGTAGCTATGGCCCAAAATACACTTCCTTCACATGCTAATTGAATTAATTTAGGTACGAAATCACACCATATTTCTTTATCCTTTTTGAAATAAGTAACTCTTGATGGTTTTGTTTCATTACCTGATCCATTTCTTATATCTAATGTGAATAAATCATCATTGCTTTGACTTTTCAACTGGAATCCAAATCTTACTTTGGGTGTAGCTAATCTGGCTTTAGCAAATGAAGTGTTGGGGTTTATTATAACTGATCCAATGAATTTCACAGGTTCCATTTCTCTTTTCGGCTTCTTAACAACCCCATTTGAATCTTCTTCTCGCCTTCTTTTTGATCTATTGAATTCGTCAGATACTGAGTATGATGGTTTATCAAATTCCATTGAAGTTTTGCCTGTAACTGATATTGATTCTGCAGGTGTGGTTTTCAAAAAGTTGGTTGAGGATGAAGTTGATCCATTATTTGTTAGAAGTGTTGGTTGAATTCTTCTTTTACCATTTTTTGTAGTGGTTTTTTGTTTGTTTAGATTAATCTCATGAGTTGATTTTGATGCTGGTTTTGTTGTGATTGTATTACTTGATCTTGATTCGATTGGTGGTGTTTGTTTCTTCGTTATTTCTGTATGAGTATCATCTCTAGGTTGTGTGGGTTTTATAATCTTTGGTTCAATTGGTCCTTTTGAAGTGGTATCTTCTTGATCAACCTCGTCATTCTCCGTTTCTTTCTCCTTTTCAGTGGATTTATCTTCTTCTTTATCGTCTTCAATTTTTATGGCATCGTTTTGATCAGAGAATTCAAGTGGCGCCATAATTTTCCTATTACCAGATAATTGATCATATTCATATCTATAGTCCAATGATCGCATTTTTTCAGTGGTGAATTTTTTTAGTTTATTGACAACACTATCTTCGACTTTGTAGCCCAACTCATGATCCTCAAAACTTACAATACCCAAATTTCCAGCAGAAGTACAAAATATTATATCATCACTATCAGTCCATGCTAAGTCATAAATTTGAGCATTGTTTACTAAATCCTTTAATAAAATTAAAGGTGATGCATTTGAAGTATTCCAAACTGCAAAACTTTTATCTGAACCACTTGATGCAATTATATTATGTAAGTTTTCTTCATCATTTTCTTTATTTGAATAAATTAAAGGACTGAATTTGACAACTTCACAACTTAAATCATGACCAACCAAACTTTCTCTACTAGTCCAGTTAGAAGTTGAAGATATCAATGAAAATAATGTAGTTTGACCTTTAGTTGCTGTTGGAACCGATAACAATTCTCCATCTGGTGACCATGATATTCTTTTATATTTAACATTAATTGGATTTTTACTGAAAAATCTTGTAATTTTATTTATACATCTGAATTTGTACAGTCCGCCAGAAGATTCATATTCATATTGGAAAATATTAATTTGTGTATCATCTCCCACAGCCACAAGGTAATTGGTGGTGTTATTGAATGCTAAACTTCTTTGTATAACTGGTGTCTCGTTGGAAATAGGTTTTAATTCTTGAAAAGTTTCTCTTTCGATATCGATTACATATATTTTTTCATCATTCGTACTCCATGATACTAGTCTTCCATCTCTCGAAATTGTTAAATCAACTAGTGGTGATAATTTGGAGGTTGTTTCTTCATTAAAGGGAAATATATGCTTATGATTACTCTCCTGAAGATCATGAAAATGTATATTTCCATTGATATCACCTGATATAAATTTGGTGGTTGAGTTAGGAAGCCACTTTAGTATATTTACTGTTGTATCATGACACGATATAGTATGACTTGGTTGGAAACGCTCAATTTGTTGACATTGATTTTCTTTTGAGACTGATGAATCTAATTTTGAAATACTCAATAACTGTTGTAAATTCCAAACATTAATTTTATTATCAATTCCTCCCGTAATTAAATTTGTGTTATTGTTATTGATACCCAAGCAATGTATTTCACCATCGTGGAAAGGTTGTGGTAGTAGTAGATACTTCATGTATCGACTTATGCTGTAATTGCAATAGTTTTTTAATTATTGTTTATGTAAATAAATTTGAAACAAGAAATATTTGTCGCAATTATTTTGTTACAGTATTTTTGATTTATGAATTTAATAGTCAAATTTATTAAAAAACTATTCAAATAAAAGCTACAAGCACTTCATGATATTGAAATGGAACCTATATGACAGCAGTTACTAATAAATTAGCTAAATATAACAAGCTCGTTGTACCAATTGGTATTGTATTTGGTTTAGCATATTTAAATTTTGCATTAAATTATTCCTTGGGCTATAAAGAAGTTTATAAACATCATTCAAATTCAATTGCTATTATACTTTGGTGTTTAAGTGGATTTTGTCAAATTTGCATTTTTGTTTATTGGTTCCTAATTTTATATGTTGGCCCTGGCAAATCTCCAAAATTTCCACAACTCAACTTATATAACAATACAGATTCAGTTGATGAATTATTGCCAGTGCCTGATGTATTTCTTTGCGATGAATTTGGGTTTCCTCAATATGACTCCCATACTCAATCAATAAAAACAGACAGATCATTTTATTCAAAAAATTTGGAGTACATTGTTCTAAAATATGATCATCATTGTTTATGGGTCGGTAAAAGTATTGGATTAACTAATTATGTATATTTTATGAAGTTCTGCTTCTGGTTTTTAAGTTTGTTTATCATCATGTTAATCTATACTGCGTGTTACACTAGATCATCAATCTCAAGAGGTGAAATTAATCATAATTTTATTATCATGTATATCGCATGTGGGCTATGGTTACCCATGATTTTAGCTTTATACATATCTCACTTAAGATATATTTGCTTAAACATGACTACATTGGATGATATAACATTGGGTCAAAGAAAACGTTATGAAAGGTATAAAGAAAGAAGACAATCAGAAACTACTAATCCTTGTCTAAATCCTAGAAAACCAAGGAAAGAGAAAGGCATTAGGTATGTTAGTGTGAAAAAGGACAATTTTAGATTGATTGTAAAATATGATATTAAAGAACGACCTTTTGACATGGGTTGGAGAAGAAATTGGATAAACTTGATGTTTAACGGGAATAGAAATCATGGAAGATCAGATAGTTACTACACAAACACAAAATTAATACTTTCTATAATCCTATTTTTGTGTCCATTCATAGAAATACCAGTTGAGATGAGGTATAGACAAAGACAGAGCCATCAATTTGATGTTGAAAATTATCCTAAATCTATAGAGAGAACCATTGCTGAATATGATTGGTTTTCAAGTAAGTACAATTCTGCGTTTTTGACGAGGATTCAAACAAAAGTTGATGAAAAAGACTGTTATATACCTAGTTATCTAGTCGGGAAAGAGTTATAGTTTAATATATAGATTTAATCATACTCTTGTTTTTATTTGTGCTCTGTCAAAGAAGATGAGTCGAGAATAAGTCGATTTGGTAGCAGAATACCACACACTTAAATAAATATTCTGGAAATATCTGATCTACATGCTATTATTGGAATTAATTAAATATCATGGATTTTGTTGGAGAAATAGTTGAACACGAAATTGAGGCTCCAGAACCACCAAACGCAAACGTCTCACTAACTGGGTTCCCAGATGCTAAATCAAAAGATGGTCAAAAGATTTCGAGATGGAAATTAAAGAGCAAATTAGACAAACCTGAAAAAGCAGATTCACAACCAAAAGAACAAATTCAAGATGATCCAGAGCAAAATCTTTCTGAGGCGGAAAAAATTGATAGAGAGAATAAGGAAAGACTATCTAGAATGTCTGAAAGTGAAATACTAGCGGAGCAACAAGAACTTTTGAAAAATTTAAACCCTAAATTGGTTCAAAGTCTAATAAATAGATCAAAGAAAAGAGAAGAGGCAAATGAGAGAAAGAAAAGTCTAGATCACAAAGATCACAACCATAGTCATGATCATCATCAACATGCAGAGGGTTATAATGGATGGATTGGAGAGATGAAAACAAATAAAGGAATAACAGATTTGTCTCAATTAAATAAAGAAGATGTAAATAAAGCACTAGGTATATCTGATAAGAAAGTCAAATTTGATGATGATAACGTTAAAACAATAAATTATGAAGATTTAGATGATAATATGGAATTGGATCCAAATGGATGGGAAGATGTAACAGATGTAAATCAATTAATGAATTCAAATGCAGTAGCACCTGAAGGCTATCAATTAAATAATGATGATGAAGAGGATGAAGAACCAAATGATACAGTACATTTTACAAAACCTAAAAATGAAGATATAGATTTAGATGATCCAAAATTTTTCGATAAATTACATGAAAAGTATTATCCAGATTTACCTAAAGAAACAGAAAAATTATCATGGATGACAAAACCACTACCGGCTCAGGTATCAACAACGTATGAAAGTATATCAGATATGAGATTCGACTTTAAAGGAAATTTGATACAAATCAGTATAAATGAAGAAACTGAAGACTCAAAGGGAGTCCCAACTTATTTAGGTTTACATCATCATTCAGAAAATCCTCAATTAGCAGGTTATACTTTAAGTGAATTAACTCATTTATCAAGATCAGTTTTACCAGGTCAGAGATGTTTAAGTATACAAACATTAGGAAGAATACTACATAAACTAGGTAAACATGAATTTAATATTCTACCTATTACTGAAGAAGAAGAGAATCAAGATATCAAAAATATGATAAGTACATTTGAAAAAATGATGTGGGATTTAATTGATGAACTAAGAATTGTTGAATCCTTGGAGGAAGCTGCTGATGAGAAGAAAACTAAAAATTTGTCAGTCAGAAATTATGCTATCGAAGCATTATGGCTTTTAAAAACCGGTGGAGGTAGACCGAAACAAAGTGAGGATACTGTTATAGAAATTATGTAATGATTTTAATGAGATATTTTAATGATAAATATAGAATTGTAAGAGATAATGTAAGAGATAACAAATGTCAATAATCAGTGAAAGAAATGAATTTAAAATTTTTAACTCATTTCCAAAAAGCATTTAAAACTGTAATTTGGTAAAACATTTCCTACAAGAATGAGAATGAATACGAAAATATCATTGAAATCAAATTTTATACATTCAAAACGAATGAAATTATTGAAATCAATTTCTTAAGTTATTCACCTCTTAAGTATTCAAGTAAGAAAATGAGAAAAACTTTTGAGCAAAGAAAATACCCCAGATTAAGGATATCAATAACAAAAACTGTTAAAGAAACCAAAAACAATCAATGAATAAATTCATAAATGAACAAAAAGATGAATCTCACTAAACATTTCACTATATTTTAATTCTTGATTATTATTTTATTCTACGCACATTGACACATTGAATCGATGGTTCTAATGAAAGATAAGTCCAAAACTTGTATCGAACAACTTAAGTTTGTGCGAGTTTCAATATCTCTACATAAAGTTGTGTGATCTGTTAGAATGAATGTATATTAAGTGGTATATATGAATTTGTATAAATGACAAATGAAAGTGGTTGAGATAAAGAGTTGACATAGCATGAAAATATTTGAAAAATTTAAAAGTTATGAAAAATTTACGAAAGGTAGTTTGGTAGCATTTAAATTCGGATTTTATTAATAATGTTATTACCATTTTACAACCAAATAGTTCATTTCAATATTCATTGTTTAATCCACCATTTCATCGATAGTTGTCATTCAGAGTGGCCAATTATTTTTCATAATACACGCAATCACAATTGAAACATGCTCCTGTCAAAAGCATTTATAATTTTGGGTTGTATATTCAATTTTGTTCAATCAATATTCATAGAGAACGCATTCACGACAACAGAATCAATAAATTATTTATATCAAACTCCATTATATAATTTACATATACTAAATAATGATTTATTGGTAGCTAAAAATAAAGCAAATCAATTGATTGGTATAGATTTAACAAATGAGAATTCAATGAAATGGAATTTAGGTGATTTAGTCAACGATTATCAATTGATTTTCAATAATGATGAAATATATGGTTGGAAAGAGAGTGGAGGAAATGAAATAATTAAAATTGAAACTAATGGATCCTTTGAATATATAGATGTCGGAATTGAAGTTGGGCATTTGTATAAAGTTCAATATGGAGGTATTATAATGTTAGGAATTAATGGTGAATTGATTTTCATTGATCAAAATAATAATTCTCATAGTATCAAATCAACCGGTGTATCTACAGTTCTAATAGATAGCTATCAAGGAAATATTTTTTTGGTTATAAATGGGAAAGAAATTTTGAAACTTACATCCTCAGGTGCATTTATAAATGAAAAATCGATAACTTTAGATTCAATCAAAGAGTTTAAATCTGGAATTGCTTTAACTCATAATGATCAAATTTTTAAAGTTGATCAACAATTGAATTTTAAGAGAATTGAGAATGATAGATTCAATAATTTAGCAGTCATAAATTCGAATTTCTTATACTCAAAATCAGCAAATAATGTAAAATTAATCACAATTGAAAAAAAAGTTGCAAAAGAAATTCACAATTTCAAGACAACTTCTTTAGTAAAATGGTATTCCAATCCATTTAGTGAAATTTTGATAGTAAGTGATGACTTGACTAGAATATTCTACGATTTAAGTGATTTCTTATACACTAAAAAATCAGATAGTATTAAAAAGGTGCAGTTGAAATTAGAACGTGATTATCCATATGATTTTGTAATAAAAACCCAACAAAATGACTTAGGTTACCTTGCCTTAGATGACAACCTAAATGGTGAATTATTTAGTTTATTTAATGGTCAAAGATTGAAAACAATTTCTCCATCAAAAAATCAGTACTCATCGTCAAAAGATTTATATATTCTTATTGATGCACCAGAAAGTGAACAATCAAAAATTGAAAATGAACACTTATCGAAAGAATTTAATAATGGGTTGATTTTCACCAATTGGTTAAATAGAGTCGTTACCCATTTAGCTGATGTAGGCAGATTTTTTGTTGACATTCCAAATTGGTTTACCAATATAGATTCTACAAATTCCATCTTCAACAAGTTAGTTGTTTTCTATGATGATAAAATTGGGAAATTAATTGCTGTTAATTCACATGATGAAGGTACTGCATGGACTACTGATATAGGTAGTGAAGAAATAATATCTTTAAAGCAATTAAATGAAGAAAATAATGGAAACATCATTGCATTATTCAAAGACACCATCCATATTATTGACCCTAATGATGGGAAAGTTGTTGAATCATTTAAAAATAACAATTATCAAGATGTCAAAATAGTGGAAGATCACTATGTATTAGAAAATGAAACAGGTTTTTCCTTGTCCTCACCAGTGGATTCAGATATTTCATTGTTCAAAAAAACCGAAAGTGAATTGATTGGTCATATAATACCACAAGGAAAAACAAGCTCCATCAAAACTTGGTCATTTCATTTCAATGATCCAGTTGTTCAAATTGCAACAATTCCTAAAGCATCAAAAATCTCATCAGTCGGAATCCCATTAGTTGATAAGAGCATATTATACAAATATTTAAATCGAAATTTAATAACAATTATAACAATGGAAGAGAATTTAAAATTGTATTTAATTGATGGGATAACTGGTGATTTATTATACACATATTCTTCCCAAAATGAAATCATAGATCCAAATTCAATATCATTGGTGATTGATGACAATTGGATCGTATATTCATATTTCACGATCTCACCAAGGTTGGAACAAAGAATTAACGTCATAGATTTATTCTCAAACAAACAAAATTCCAAAATAACTAAAATCTCAAAACAATCATTCATTTATCCAGAACGTATATTAAAATTATCATCAACTCAATCAAAACATGGAATTACTATTAAATCCATTGTGGTATTAACAGAATCAGGATCAATAGTGGAAATTCCTAAATTTATATTAAATTCAAGAAGACCAACCACGGAGATGAAACAAGATGATTTCGGCAATGATTTTAAATTATTTCCTTATGATCCAATAGTACCTAAAAATCACAATCAAGTTATAAATCACAAATATCAATTAAATTCAACTAATGGAAAATTACTAGTTAAACCAACACAATATGAAAGTTCATCTGTAGTTTGTTATTTCAACTCCCAAAATCAATTTTGTTCGATTTTAAAACCAAGTTTATCTTTTGATTTATTAAATAAAAAATTTGAAAAGGGGAAATTGATAGGAACTATTGTTATTTTAATTGTAGGGTATTTAGTAAGTAAACCTTATGTGAACAAGAAGAAATTGAAGAGTCAATGGTTGGATTTTAAGTGAGTTATATAGATATAGATAGATCAATAATCTAACATAAGTGTATATTAAAATTAGTTTAAAAGAATATAGATTCTGATTTTTCTACTGATTCTTTTTGTTGTTTCTCATTTTCGAAAATTAACCAGATCATTTCGTAAACCAAGCTCGAGACTAAGTAATTCTTCATCTTGTTGATCAAAAAAAATTCACCTTGGTCGTATTGGTTAATAATGAAATTCTTCGGAACCTTGTTAAACTTCTCTATTATTTTGTATAACTTCAAATTTAAAAAATTCCAATTCTCATTGTTGAGTATAATGGTGTATAATTTATTGAAATTCAATTTTATTTCATGTGATTCTTCTGTTGATATCAATGGAGATTTGAAAACCCTCAATAATGTTAGTAATGTCAATTCCATGGGAAACTTATAGTAGATTGGTAAGTTTAAGTAATTTTCTTTTTCATTAAACTCTTCAAATTTAGAAACAATTTCAAAACAACAACTGACTAATTTATTCAAGTACTGTTTATACTCTGTTACTGTGATGTTTGATTTTGACATTGAATATACGAATAATTGTAAATTTGTATACAAGATTGAAAGCTTGATTAAATTTTTAATTTCAATCAGCTGATAATCTTCAGATTGGTTTTCTATTAGTATTTTATTTAAATCATTTAATATAATTTCAAACATATTAAAATTTATAAGTTTTGATGTATTGATTTGTATGTCATTTAAAACAATTGATTCATCTAATAGGTTATCACCTATTAAAATATTCATGTTCTCGTTCAATTTTGATTGAATCATTGATATTTTTAATAATGAATTAATGTATTGATCTGTTGATGAAATTTCTTCATTTTTATTGTTGTATATATCTATATTTGTTGACTTGTTGATAATGTAATCTTGAGTAAATCCATTATAGTTATTGTTTGATAACCCTAAATTGATCAACCAATAGTTTGAATTTATATTTATAAATTTATATATTCTTTCTCTAATAGTGTTATTGAGATTAACTTCTTGACTTAAATTTAATTTTGTCTTGTGACTAAACTCATCAATAAATTTTAATTTATGTAATCCAAATTGTAATGACAATGTTTTCATCAAACTTATATATTTAATACTCAAATTATCTGATATTTTACTGTTGTTATTAGGTAAGGGCCAAGTAGTTAATATCAATAAAGAAGATATGATGTATAAATTTCTAGGAGTCTGAAACCAACATTTTTCAACAACTAATTGTTTTACATGCTCACACAAAGTTTGATAATCATTTGATGAATTTTGATTATGTTGATTTAATAAAGATGCTAAAATTATGGACCAAAATGTTAATTCATTTTCTTTGTAAAATTCTTGTAAATTTATTGATTGGAAAAATGATTCGGGGAATATTGGTAAGAATTTGTTTAGGTTTATTTCATAATTTGTAAATAATTGTTGTGCTTGTTTGTGTGATAAAATTATTGGTTGGTATTTCGTATTACATGATATAATAAATTTTGAAGGGTCATTAGGTTTTATTGAAAGTTGTAATTGTAATTCTGTCGGTATTTCTTCTGGTGATGCATATGGAGTATTTAAACATGATTGAATTCTTGAAACTGGCGGAGTTATAGATCGTATTACTTTTGTTTTCTCCTTTATTTGTACTTCCTTTTTTTGTATTTCAATTTTTGATTGTTGTTGTATCTGTTTACCTCTTTCAATTAATAATTCAACTTGTGCATTTTTTCTCTCAACTAAATGATCTAATTGTTCCCTCAAGTCTTGTACTTCACATGATAGTTTTTCAACAATATCAATTGATTTTACTCTACCAGTTGGTTTATTTATAATTTCCAAACAACAATTTAAATTTTTTTTAAAACAATGAGAACATGGTTGTGGATTTGTTATAAATGCATCACATTTTGTCTTATGTTGTCTACATCTTTTACATGTCTTTAAGATTTTTTCTGATTTTGAATTTAATTTAGGGATAATTAATCGAAGACGATTTTTGGATTGTAGTGACATAATCATTATAATATTTGGTGGGGTGAATATTTAATTCTGTGAATATATTTATTTTATCCAATTTAAAGTTTGGTTGCAAAAAATATGTGTATAGTGTGACTTATTACTAGTTTTGTTGATGTAATTCTTTCAATATTTAACAATTCTGATTCAAATTTTGTTGATAAAAACTTATTGATAGCGTTTATATTCTTATTAAAATAAATTTGATAGATAATTCAACATCAATTATAATATATTATTATAATTCAAATCAATAGATCGGATTATACATATTTGTTGTTTTGTGCTTTATAATAATTTTTTGTGATTACAAGATTTTAGTAATCATAACTTATTCAAAATTGATTGGTTAGTTTATTAGCTGGAGGATTTGATATTTTTTAATACCGATAATCGCAGTAATTTGGTAGCTTAAATTCTTTTAAAATTTGCAGCCATTATAAATTAATAATAAGAATAAAGAATAAAAACACGTATGAAAAAGACACTAATTTTTTTTGTTTAATTTTGTTTAACTTCTTCACTCAATTGAACGAGAGGTTGTGTTCTATGTCGATGCTTTTTTACTTTGAAAAGCTTGTCGCCCATGATCAAATCAGCTTGAATATCAGATCAAAACATGTTAATCGATGGTCATTCTTAGTTTCTAATTTCTTAACGTGGTCTCTTTTAAAATAGCCAATATGATATGGTGTTAATAAATCTAAAGTAAATTAATTATAATAAATGGATGAAAGTTTAACCTCTAAATAGGCTGTGAGATAAAGAAAATTTTCACAAAATATAGCGCCCTAAAAAGGGGGAAGAAAATTTTACAATCCCGAACATGGATTGATTCACCATTTATATTTAAATTCGTAATTATCACTTGATACGAAATACTTGATCAATTGAGCAGTCGGTAATCGAAAACTTTAGTCTAAAAAATACAATAACCAATCAAAGATAACTTATTTGTAATAAACTTATTTTCAACAATATAACTAGGTGAAACAAGAGTTCAAATTTAAAATTAAACCTTGACTAAATCAAGGTTCATCAACAGAAATTACAAATATTTTTTCCAATATCAAAAGCTTACTAGGTCTTTATTGCTAATTAAAGGAAATTAATTGGTGAGATTGTTTACAACAAAGAATTATGAATTTACATATCCGAGATCGTATTTTGCTCTATTTTCGGAAAGTAATAAATTTGATTTTGAATAGCACCTACGAATAAAATTCTATGTAATACTAAGATTCGTTTCATATAAATTGTACTAGCTTGGTATTATTTTTACCTCGTTAGAATTTTGTCGGATCTTTAATTTAAGGAATTCAGTTTAATAATCTATCGAGACATTTTGAGGATTAGTAAAAAATTTATAAAAATTTGCAGCAAAACTAATGTGAAGGATGAAGAGTTTAATAATACCAAATATCTATAGAATAAGAAAACTAACGGTTATACTCGGACCAAAAAGGTCTCTATTAGTTTGAAAGCTCAAGAACCTCGAATCATGATTGCACTAACTGATTTTTTTCACGACCGTTTGACTTGTAAAACCAGCATAACAATAAACATTTGAAACAAGACTAATTTGGTAGCCTAAAACTCTCTCGTATTTAATTTGTGTCAATTTTGAGAAAGAAATGAAAGATCAACTTTTGCAACAGCATTTTAAAATAAGTCATTGTCAATTTCTTTCATTAATGCTTTGAATCATTACGTAAATAGGACCCTGAAAACCCAAGTGAAAATTAGCATTCTATAAATAACTAAACTTATATAATGCCCAAACAAACAAAAAAGCAAGCGTTCATAGTAAACACTTCATCATCATCATCGTCATCATCGTCAGCTCCAATAAATACATGCACCAATACGAATAAAACAACGGCATCAAATTTATCACAAGACCAACTAAAATCAAAACATCTTTACAATCTTATCCACACAATTCCACAATCAAACCCTATTTCCAAAATATATTCATTACAATTTGATAAATTAAATTCAATAAAATCTTTAAATGTACCATCACAAATAGATAATAAAATTTGTAATAAATGTGGAATATTATTAATACCTGGATTAAATATGACTATTAGAATCAAATTTAGAAAAATGAAACAAACCCAAAGAGATAATGAAGTGGAAAATAATATGTCTAATAATAAATTAAAGCAGAAATGTTTAAGTTGTGGGAACATCAATTATTTTGAATTGAGTAAGAATACACTGTCTAACAAATCTCAAATCGATAACTCCGGAGTGCTCAACCAAACATTGCCTGATCATAGTAGTATACCTCAAATAAATGTGTCGGAGAAATCAAATGTTAAAGAGAATGTACCTCAAAATGAAGGTGAAAAGAAAGAAGAAGAATTAATCCCAGATCAAGTACAACAAACTACTGAAGCATCAACTCAACCAAATCGAAATTCAATCCCAGAACCAATACAAGAAACATCATCATCATCGTCACCAGCAACAATTACAGCCAAAAACAAAGCAGCAAAAGATAGATCAAAAAAGAGAAAAGCAGAAACCAATTTATTACAATCATTAAAACAAAGAAAATTAGATCAAGATTCCAAATCGAAAAAAATCAATTCATTAAATTTAATGGATTTTTTAAAATAACATCTACATAGTTGTAATTTTTTTTTTTAAGTAACCCAAGAAGCTAAATGTGATTGTTGTACAGGTATTTGTTTTTTATCTTTATAATTTTCTCTTACAACATATCTTAACCATCTTCTTCTTCTATAAATTTCATCATCATTAATAATCTTTACATTGTCATTTTTTTCATTATTTTCATTTTTCACATAAATTTTAGTTTGAATTTTTTGTTCATCATTACTTTTATCATTAATTTTATCATAAATTTCATCATCATCATAAATATAATCATTTTCAAATTTTTCATCAATTTTTTCTTCATCAGGTATTATTATATCGTAAGCCCATTTTTCATCATCATCAATAAGTACCAAATCTTGAATTAAATTTGATTCAACCCATTCAGAAATATTAAAATCAACTATCCATTTCGAAGTAGGTAGAAATTTATAACCAATTGGTGGTTTTATTTCTTTTAAAGTTTCACATTTATTTAATTTGATTAAATGATGTTGTTTGGATGAATCTTCTATATCTTCTTCATTTTTAAGGATTGTTTCATCATCTATTTCTTCTAATGGATGTTGTTCATTTAATTGCTTTATTGCATTATTGTATCTTCTTATAACTGTGTTTACGGTATAAAATTGATTTGAAAATCCTATAGGTTGCCAAATTTTAGTTCTTAGATTTAATTTTTGTAGTTCAAATATTTCAACTTGTTTTAAAGTATCTTGAGATAAAGTTGATTCATCTTTATCAATATTTTCTTTACTGTTATCATGTTTAACATTTTCATCGACTAAAATTGAAGTTAATGTATTTTCAACTTTGTTCACATAATTTTGAATTTCCAATCTTGTATTCTCATCATATACTTTATCCAACAATTGCGATCTTATTTTAGGGTGCATTAATATAATAAAAATCCAAACTTGGAAAATAGACCACATTTTAATTATCCAACTATGTTGAATTAAAAACCAAATTATAGAAGGTAAACAATAAAGATTCACAAAAATTAAAAATAAACATCCCAATACTATAAAAGAACTAATTTTTTCATTTTTAAAATATAAATAATCAGTAGTTAACCAAATCATAAAATCAAAACTTAAAATATTTAATTTCATAAAATTTTGAGTATCTGTTAAATTCATAAAAAATTCTTTACTAAATAAAGGTACTGGTTTGGGGATTTTATATAATTCTAATGGAATTGTTGATGGGAATGGATTAGTTTCCACAAATTCTTCATTAAATGTTGGATCTGGTGGATATATCAATAAATAATGTGGTATTAATGTATTTATAATTAATGAAATAAATGGTAAACAAGTAATTAATATAGGTTTTAATATTATATGAGTTATTATAAGAGTTATACCTAAAGTATAATAAGGATCCATCCAATTAACATATTTTATAATTTGATTAAAAAAAATATAAATATTTGAATTTCTTTGATGTAACATATTTGAATTTTTTTGCATTATTGCAAAACTTAAAGGTATACGTAAATTTGCCATACTTTGACGATCTTTTAACATTTTGGTAGTTTGATCATCATATATTTCATTGGGGATAATCATTTGAATTATTTTTTCCATTAATTTATCTGCATAATAATTTGGATTTGTTGAAGAATTTAAAGAAGATAAAAAGGATTGATCTGTTGGTTGTGATGAGTCTGTTGGTTTTGGTGCTTGGTTATTTGTAGATGTTGTTGTTGAATCATTATTTTTTAGATTTGTAGTTGATCCATCTTTCCAAAATGAACTAAAATCCAAATCTAATGATTTACGCTTTTTAGGTGGTGTTGATTGTAATTGTTGATGTAATGATTGATTAGAACTACTAGTTTTTAAAGTTGATGTGTTTGATTTATTGACTTTAGATTCATCATCTTCTATAGATAATATATTTCCTAATAAATTAGATACACTTTCCATTTTTTGATTTTTTTTACGTTTTAAATCTTGTGGCAAATTTTGAATATTTTGTAATGTTTGAGTTAATGAAGATAATGAAGGTGGTGTAATTGATGTTGTGAATTTAAACTTGGTGGTTGGTTCTGTTATTGTTGTTGTTGCTGTTGTTGAGACTGTAGTTTGTGATGCTGACTTGGTTTTAGTAGATGATTTCGATAGCAAGTTTGATTTAGGTTTGGCGAAATTTTGATCTATATTATTTGTAGAATCCAATTCGGTATAAATTGATGCGGAAGTGTTTCAGAAAATTATAATATTCAATAACTTATTATCCCCTATAGTAATAGATCAAATGAGCCTTTGTGAATAAATTATGGTTAATGAAAATGATGTAATTGATTCAACTTGAAAAGTCCGAACTTTTTGATTTAACACTCTATGACCAATTGTAAGATTGAATCAATATGATTGACCACTTAATTGACTACGTTGAATTCAAAGAACTTAATTTCAAAGTAGATTCAATTGAAGTTTATGATATAGAGTTAGGCTATCAATAAATAAATTTAAAGAAGTTGCAACTTTAATTTTAATAGTATAGTTACTACGTTAATTTCCTGTATATAGTAATAGTATATACCAAACCAATTGAAGAAACAGAAGAATTGAAAAAAATCAATATTCGAAATAGATTTATTACAAAAATATTTTATTAATCATTAAAAGTACTTGAATTACATATCATTAAACATCTTTTTTTAGTAAATCATTAACATTTATTTAATTCCAGTGGTGAAAAAATTTTTAAAGGACAATTATTATTCCCAAAACTAGTAGATAAATTATTTTCATCAAATGAATTATTTGGAGTTCTCATAGCTGTTCTTAATTTTTTAGCTCGATTTTCAATATCACTAGTATTTTCTTCGGAATCTGATGATGTTGAAGATTTTCGTTTTCTTATTAATTTTGGATTTTTTGTAGTAGGTTGTGGTTTTATTAGTTTTTGCTTTTTTGTTGGTGTTACTGGTGGTGTTAATATTTCTTCTTTTATTATTGTTATTTTATCATCTTTTGATTGTTGATCTTCTTGTTTTATATATGTGTCTTCTTTTATAATATTTGGTTTTTCTTCTTTAATGGAAATATTCGAAAAAGGTTCTTGTTTGATTTTCGTGGATTCTTGTTTAATTTTAATTGATTTTTTATTAATTGGTTTAATATATTCTTTTGCACAATTTTTTAATTTCTTTGAATCAATTTGTTCTTGAGTTAAAAATAAATCAGGTATTTCACTTTTCAATAATTTAATAAATTCATCACAATCACATAAAATTTCATAATCTATAAAATTTGACCATTGTTTACTTAAACTTGTCTTGTTTACAAATATAACTTTCCCATTAGGTTTTTTATGAATTTCATTAGCTAATGATTTTACTAACTTTTTAACCCCATCTACTTTTAAAGAAGTACCCATTATTATTAATAAATCAGGTTTTAATTTTAAATCATTAGATAATCCTAAACTTAAAATTTCCAGTTGTGGATGATTTTCTCCATATAATACAATATCTGGTCTTAATATACCTATATTTCCAGTAATTCTTTTACCTGAATAAAGTCTTTCTTCATATTTTGCATAACAATTTGAACATTCAGGATTTAAACCTTGATTGAATTGTGTTTGATATTCATTTGACCAATTGAAATTTTTAAAACATTGAGTACATGATAATTTATGTAAATTTCCATGTAATTGTATAACATCTAATGAATTCCAATTTTCTTTAAATTTTTGATTTTTATTGGGTATGATTGCACTAATACTATTACAATTTTTTTCATTATTTTCTTCAAAATTTGAAATTTCAATACCTAAATTTAAATTTACATTTTTTTCTAAAGAATCAATATTTTGAGTATAACATCTTAATAATTTTCCTTTATCTTTTAAATGTTTTAAAAATTTATGAGTTTCAGTAGGTTTTGCTAATAATGTACTCTTATATAAAGATTCCATAAATGTACAAAATATACTCAATGATAAATTATCTCTAAATAAATTAATATCAAATAAATCTTGACCTCTTACAATTGCTTTTGGATGTTTATGTTTGATCATATTATATAATCCATCACTTGATCGGAAATCAGGTATGCCTGCATTACATGAAATTCCAGCTCCTGTTATAACTGTTGTCTTTTTGGATTTAAATATATGTTTTATTGTTTCATTTAGTAGTATGTGATCTTCTGATGATAAGGAATTGATACCATTTATTAAATCTATTGACCTTATTGAGGTTGAATTGGTGGATGAAGACGGCATTGGAAGTTGTTGTCGCTCAGTGGGTTTGGGTGATTTATGTTACTGCGATTAATAATCAATTAAATCGCTGATACAAGTTGTTAATTGTGGTTGATTATTGTAATTTGTTGAAATTTGATCTCTGTAATTTTTGGTTGTCAATTTTTAAAACTTTAAAATATTGCAGCAAATATAAGAAAATTTAATTAGTTGAAACTAAAAATGGTATAAATTGATTGATTGGAATGATTTAAACTCGGTTAAATATTTATATATTTTGATTAAAAGGAGTGTATGGTATTATATATTGACTTGAATCCGATTAATGTAGTTTTGGAGCTAGTTGATACAGGAAGAAAAGTGATATATATTATAATGTTAATGAATATTATTTTATTAATCTTTTCTTCCTTTACTTTTAAGTAACACAAAAAAAATTTGAGAATTACGAGAACTCTAAAATAAAAAATTTAATTTAACTTAATCAAGACTAAATCAAAACAAACCTTTACTCAATTCATTAAATGCCATTAATATCAACATTTTGTGCTATATATATTATTTCTTTGTCAACCAATGATATTATGCAATTTTCCATTTAATTAAAATAAATAAAAGTGATTTTATTTGAATTTTTATTATTATATTTAATACTATAAACTAAATAAAAGAGCTTTAAATTATATAATTGAAGGAATTGATTTTTTATTTATTAACCACTTTGACTATTAACAGCTAATTCCATAATTAATCTTGTAGCTAAATGTAAGAAAGGATAAGCTGAAAAGGATCCAACTTCATCTAAATCTTGATGTTTATAATCTAATTTATTTTGTTCTGATTTTTCTTGTTGCTGTTGTAAATTTTTAATTTCATCTTCTGATTCCCATCCATCAAATTTAAAATCAACTAAATAATTATTTGGTTCTAATTGAAATAATTGTATTTGCATTTTCATTAAATTTGGAGTTGATGATGATGATGTTTGTTGTTGATTTGTTGTAGTAATATTATTATCATTGTTGTCATTATTTTCATCTTTTATATTAGTATTATTATTACTTACATCATATTTCCATCTTACTCTTATTGTCCATAATTCTTCCTCTGTTGGTTTTGCCCATTCTGCTCCTAAATTTTTTAATGCTCTATAAATTTCTCCCATAACATCTAAAGGATAAGATCTTGATCTTATACCAAAATGCCATCTTGTTTTAGATTTCTTTGTTGGTTGTGGTGGTTGAATTTGAGAATTTGGTTGATGTTCACTCATATAAGCTCTATGTATTGATGGTAAACTTGATGGTAATATTGCTATAGTTGAATTTGGTAATTGTGATAAATCTGGTACTGTTGCTAATGTTTGATAAGTTAATGATTGTTGTACACCAGGAGCAGTACTTGTTGAATGTTGATTTGTAAAATGATTTCCTCCATTTGTTCCTGATGGTGGAGGAGAAGAACTTAAAAAACTTTCAACATTATTCAGTTTTGATTTTTTTAAATCTTTTACTAATGAATGATTTTCTTTCATTAATAAATAAGCATCTAATATTTCATTATTTTGATCTTGTGGTATACTATGTTTATTACTATTTTCAATAACATTTATAATTTCATCTCTGTCATAACCCATTGTTACATTTAATGCTCTTATAACATCTTCATCAATATCAATTTTATTATGTTTATCTTTTTGTTGTGGTAATAAATAATCTGGCATATCTTTTTTAAACCATTCATCTTCCATTATTTCATGAATTGTTATTCTATTTAAAGGATTAACAACTAACATTCTTGTTAATAAATGTTTTGCACCAGAACTTAAATAATTTGGTAATGTATAAACACCATTACTAATTTTTTTAAATAATGCAGGAATAAATTCATCATCAAATGGTAATCTACCACATAACATTACATATAATATAACACCAGCTGACCATACATCAACTTCTGGTCCAGCATATAATTTACCAGATATAACTTCAGGTGCAGCATAATTTGGTGATCCACAACTTGTTTTTAAAAAATTACCATCAGTCATTATATTAGATAATCCAAAATCTGCAATTTTAACATTTAATTTATCATCTAATAATAAATTTTCAGGTTTTAAATCTCTATGAACAATTTTATGTCTATGACAATATTCAACTGCAGCAATAATTTGTTGAAAAAATCTTCTTGCTTCATCTTCCGGCATTTTACCAGTTTGTACAATATAATCAAATAATTCTTTACCAGCAAATTCAATAACCATTATAATATCATCTTTTGATTTTATAACATCATATAATTTTATAATATGAGGATGTCTTAATAATCTTAAATAAGAAATTTCTCTTTCAACTCTACCTTGCATATCTGATTTTGCTAAAGTTTTACGATTAATAATTTTTAATGCAACTCTTTGTCCTGTTGCTAAATGTTGTGCTAATTTAACTTTACCAAATGATCCTTCTCCTAAAGTTTTTATAACTTGATATTTCCCTATTCTATTTTCTGGATTTAAATTAGGATCAATTGGTGTTTGTTGTTTATCTGAATGATGATGTCCATGATGATGATGGTGATGATGACTTGAGCCTTGTTGTGACTGTTGTGACTGTTGTGATTGTTGTGACTGTTGTGACTGTTGTGACTGTTGTGATTGTTGTGATTGAGCCTGTGGTTGTTGTACTGGTTGTTGTACTGATTGTTGTTGTTGTTGTTGTTGTTGTTGTTGTTGTTGATTATTATTATTATTTTGTTGAGATTGATCATAATCTGGAGGTGCTTGATCCATCTGTATATCTTGTGAATCAGACATTTTATATATATTATCAATTATGATATATATTAAATACGGAGTTTTTGAGTATTATGTTGTAAATATTAATTTATTAAGATTTTCGTTGATAAAAAAATATTACTACTATTTACATAATTAATTATTCATTTATGTATGTGTTCACTTAATAATAATTTTCTTCACTGATTAAGGAGAAAAATAATTGAAATGTCATAAATATACTCAAGACATTAAAATTTTTTATGACATTGACTAAATTTGGTCTAGGCATTTTTTCCATACTTTCTTCTTCAGTTGAAGGTTTTGACATCTTGTATTAGGTTATCAGTGAATTACCCTTTTACTGAGTATTTTTGGAGACTTCTTAATTGCTTTTTAAGGCAGATTAAAAAATTTGGTTGTAAAATTGTAATCACTAATATATAAATACTTATAATAATGAAAAAGCTGCTAAAGTTGCAAATCAAGGTGTTATACCACCAGACTTATTATTAATTGTTAAAGTTAAAACTGGTTATCTAGAAGTACTACCATCAGGTGTCGTATGTTCATAAGGTTCAAACAATAGTCCAAATTTACTATAATGTACAAGTTAGGTAGTGTAAAATTAAACAAAAATACTTATTATTAAAATGTGTTTTAGATTTTAATTAAATCCTGTATATAAGATATAAATCAATACAAAGTTATAAATTCATAGTAGATAATAAATAATTTAATTAAATATGAGTATAAATACAAATTTATAAATGAAGTATTAATAATAAGACGCGTTTGATTTATAAAGTATTTTCAGTTAATTACAAAACTCATGTTTGTATATATTATTCTATTCATTGGTGTTTTTTAACTAACTCTTTAATGGTAGATAATTTATCATTTAAGATTTAAGCAATACACATAACAATTATAAAATCAATATACACATCACTAAAATTATATATAAAGTATTAACTAATATCATTTAATGTAATTCTAAATTCTCCACTTTAATTAATATAAATATTATTACCAATTAAAATTTGATACTCTTAATAATCTCAAGTATATACAAAAAATCAACCCCGCAAAATTTCCAAAATATTTAATTACCACTTTAAAACATTTTTATTACAATATTATAAATTAATATAAATATCATTAAGTTTTACTCAATTTTTTAAAAAATTTTCATTTGATTTCTTTATTTTACCAACAGCTTTCTTTGAATCATTTATCTTTATTTCAATTTCGATATTTCAGAACGATTTAAATTATAAGTTAGTTATAAACAACCCACTAAATTTAAAACATTTTTCATATAAGTTACAATTTACAACCATTTCAATTTTAATTTTTATTCTGTTTTATTAATTTATTAAAAACTTCAAACTTTAACTGTCTATGTCATTTTTAAATACAGCTATAAATAATTTACCTGAAACATTATTAGAAACGACCAATTATTTACAAAATTTATTAGACAATGATAATCAATTATTAGAATATTTAAATAATCAAGGTAACAATTCTCAAAATTTAGATACAATTGACAATCAAAAACAGAGTTACTATATACCAACTATTGAAGATTTTTCAGTTCATGATACAAATAGATCACGTAATAATTCAATTGATTATTCATCATATTATGATACTTCAACAACAACAAATTCATTTTGTACTCCAAGATCAAGTTTTACAATAAATTCTATTGAATCAGAAATTGAAAATTTACCATCTTGTTTGAAACCAAATATTTGGAAAAATGAAATTATTATTTCTAATCCATTTATTGATCAACAATTTATCAAACAATATCAACAACAATTACCAACACCAAAATCACTCAATACTCAAAATGATATACAATTACAGATTCAACAAAAATTAAATTTACTGATTCAATTAAAAGAAGAACAAAAATTAAAACAACAACAGCAAGAACAAATTGAATATTTCAATTCAAATTATATTAATAATGAACAACAAAGTTTAATTAATTTACAAAATCAACAATCTAACAATTTCAGATCTTCTCAATATCAACAATTTGATCAATATCCAATTTCACCAAGTGATTTACCAAATTTTTATAATCTGCTTGTACAATCACCACCACCACCACCACATCAACAACAACAACCTCAACAACAACCTTATTTAACATTTAGAAATTATTGTGGTAATATTTTCACTGTTCCTTTTAATTCTAGATTTTTTATTATAAAATCATATAATATATTAGATGTAAATGCAAGTTTTACTCATAACATTTGGACATCAACAGAATTAGGTAACAAAAGATTGGATAGAGCATTTAAAGAATTACAAACATCAAATTCTCAAATTAAAGGTAAAGTTTTTTTATTATTTTCAGTAAATTCATCAGGAAAATTTTGTGGAATTTCAGAAATGAAAAGTTGTTTAGATTATTCAAAACAAAGTGATATATGGTGTGAACAAAGTAAATATAAAGGTATATTTCCTGTTGAATGGTTATTAATTAAAGATGTTCCAAATAGATTTTTCCAACATTTGAAAATCCCTGCTAATGATTTTAAACCAGTTACTAATTCTAGAGATACTCAAGAAATTCCTTTTGATATTGGAATTTCAATGTTAAAAATTATTAGTTCATTTAAAAATAATGATTGATTAGTTACAAAACTTAAAATTTTACACTCGCTTATTAAAATATTATTTATTTATTTCAACCATTCGATTACTATTGTACATAATTCTCTAATATTATTAAAAGTTACTTGATTCTAATATTTATTCAATATTTTGTAAAAATGCCTAACTCTTTATTTTTTTAAATTATTTGGTTGCAAAAAAAAATTCGGTGCTGGGCTCTTAATTTAGCGCGCGATTAATAATCTAAATAATCTGATGTTAAATTAAAGCAATAACTTAAATTTGCAACACAACCAATCACTCAACAGTAACTAAATTTTCACAAATGCTAGCTTTCAATAAAATACCCAAAAGAAAGTCAACACTATCAATAAGGAATCTCACCAACTCAACAATAAGTCACCAAAAGAAATCATCAAAAAAGTCAAAAGAACCACCTAAAAAAGAACATACATTAGAATCAATACAATATGGTCCACTTTCACAAGCACAACAAGCTTATTTAGATAGAGTCATAAGAGTAGACCAAGCAGGAGAATTAGGAGCCAATTACATCTATAAAGGTCAATACTTTATATTAGCAAATAAATATCCTCATTTAAAACCAATATTAAAACATATGTGGGATCAAGAAATTCATCATCATAATACTTTCAACAATTTACAAATAGAAAGAAGAGTTAGACCTAGTTTATTTACACCGTTATGGAAATTGGGAGCGTTAGGAATTGGAATGGGGACAGCATTAATTAGTAAAGAAGCTGCTATGGCATGTACAGTTGCTGTTGAAACTGTTATTGGTGGTCATTATAATGATCAATTACGTGTATTAATGAATCAATATGGAGTTGATATTAAAGATAAAGAAACTGGAGAAATTTTAAAAACTGAAGAGTTGGAAAGAGATTTAAAAGTTAGTAATGAATTAAAAGATTTAAAAAATACTATAAGTCAATTTAGAGATGATGAATTAGAACATTTAGATACTGCTATTGAACATGATGCTCAAAAAGCTGTTCCTTATATGATTTTAACTGAAGGTATTAAATTGATATGTAGAGGTGCAATTTGGACTGCTGAAAGAATATAGAATAATAAGAACTTGTAAATCATATAGAATCTACAATAAGAATAATAATTAATTAAAATATTGAATTTATTACTATTTTGTTATCTTTTTGATGGTGGTCTAATCCCAGTTCTATGTTCATCAGGTTTATGCATCAAAGTAATAGTAGTTCCAAAATCACTTGAATAAACAAATTCAGTTTTTGAAGGAAACCAACAACAACAACTAAAAGTCATTGAACCACTTTCACTATTTGGCATTTCAAACATTTTTGTACCTAAAATTTGATCATAAATAAGAGTATTTGAATTTTTTTCAAAACTTGTTGAGAAATAAGTACCATCTCTTGAACAAGAAACATTTATGATTGATTGATCAATATCTGTTATTAAATTTTTTGATAATAAATTTGAAGTATCCCATAAACTTATTATTCCATCACTTGCTCCAACTACAAAATAAGTACCTTTTGGAGATACACTTATTGAATTTGTAGATGATCTATGACCTTTTATTATTGTTTTTAATTTATATATTTCTTCTCCCAAATCAGTTGATTTTTTATTTATATTTATATTATCATTTATTTCATATATGGGTAATGATCCATCATGTAATGCTAATATAAAAAATGAATGTTCATAATTAAACCATTGTAAATCATATATATGATCATTAATTTTAAAAATTTGAATTAATTTATAATTATTTAAAACTGAATAAATTAAAATAGTTGAATTTTTATCAATTGCAATTAAAATTTCACCATCTATTGAATATCTTACAATTCTTAAATTTTTACACAGGGTTTTTAAATTATTTATTAATTTACCATTTGAACTTCTCCAAATTTTAATATTTTCATCATTTCCAACAGTTGCAAAATCATATTCAGTTTTTGGATCCCAACTTATACTTTCAACAGATCTTAAATGTGCATCTTCAATAATAATTGGATCAAATAAACCTTCGGGAAAACATTTATATAATCTTAATGATTTATCAGTTCTTGATACAACCAATCTTGAACCACATTGATTTATTGATATAGTTATTACTTCAGTTGATGATTTGGTATGATTTCCTATAGGTTTATCTACGTATACTATTGGTTTGAATTTTTTGAAAAATTGTTGATTATGATTTATATATTGTGATGGATCATTTATATTCATTTGGTATTAGGTGATTGATACTGAAATGTATTTAAAAACATGAAACAAATCTTTAAATCGAGTCGTAAAATAAAAAGCTTCTCTGCTACCAAGCGAGAAGCGAAAAATTCGTGAATTTTAATTTTAATTCAGGACTACCAAATTTTTTTATTTTTTGGAAATTTCTGATTCTATTTATATTATTAACCACGTATCATATATTAATAGGCAAATCAATAATATATCTTACTTAAGAAGATATAAATAATTACAAGATATTAATTAAATGTCATCTTCACGACCTAAATTAATATCATTAGATGCATTTGCAAAAACAGTTGAAGATGCAAGGATAAAAACAGCATCAGGAGGAATAATAACATTAATTTGTATATTAGTTGCATTGATATTAATAAGGAATGAATATATTGATTATACAACAATAATAGCAAGACCTGAATTAGTAGTTGATAGAGATATAAATAAACAATTGGATATAAATTTAGATATAAGTTTTTTAAATCTACCTTGTGATTTAATATCAATTGATTTATTTGATGAAACTGGTGATTTAAAATTAGATGTTATAAATTCTGGTTTAGAAAAGTATAGAATTTTAAAAACTGGTGGTAAACAACTGGAAATTTTAGATGATCAACCAGCATTAAAAAGACAAGTTCCATTAAATGAAGTATGTACTGGATTAAAGGAAGGAGAAGAAGGTGAATGTGGATCATGTTATGGAGCATTACCACAAGATCAAAAACAATATTGTTGTAATTCATGTTCAGCAGTAAGAAGAGCTTATGCAGAAGCTAATTGGCAATTTTTCGATGGTGAAAATATAGAACAATGTGAAAAAGAAGGATATGTTCAAAGATTAAAAGATAGAATTAATGAAAATGAAGGTTGTAGAGTTAAAGGTAGTGCTAAAATTAATAGAGTTGCAGGTACTATGGATTTTGCACCAGGATTTTCAATGACAAAAAATGGGAGACATGTACATGATTTATCATTATATATGAAATATGAAGATAAATTTAATTTTGATCATATAATAAATCATTTATCTTTTGGTAATGAACCAAATAGTGCAAATGATTATAGTTCATTATCAACATTAGATGGACATTCATTTTTGGAACATAAGAAATATCATATGAATAATTATTACCTTAAAATAGTATCAACAAGATTTGAAACATTAGCAGGTAAAGAAAAATTCGATACAAATCAATATTCAGTAATAACTCATGATAGACCATTACAAGGTGGTAAAGATGAAGATCATCAACATACAGTTCATGCAAGAGGTGGTGTACCTGGAGTAGCTTTTAATTTCGATATATCACCATTAAAGATTATAAATAGAGAACAATATGCTAAAACTAGATCAGGGTTTATATTGGGTGTTGTAAGTTCAATTGCAGGTGTATTGATGGTGGGAGCATTGTTAGATAAAAGTGTATTTGCTGCTCAACAAGCTATTAAGGGAAAGAAAGATTTGTAGATTAGAAAAACTTAAAAAATGCATTACATTACTGTTTAAAAGTTTTTTTTTTGAATTTGTATTATAGAGTATATAAAAAAATAGAAAATATAACATTTTACGTTGGTTTTGAAGTTTTGTTAGGTTGACCTTTTTTTTAAAGTCTATGTACATTTATGCCAATCTATTTACACATCACTTAATAAATGCAGTATATTTGAATAATAATCTTTTGATAATATATCTTTTAATTCATCTTTAGTTACCCATTGATATTCAATTTTAGAATCTTGTGGTTCAAAAGCTCCCGAAAGAATATGAGATTTTATAAAATATTCTTTATTTGAATTATGATGACATGGAGTTTTTGATACATTAAAATAATTAATTTTTTTACCACCTATTTTATATAAACCTTTTTCAGCTAATTCATGTAAAGGTAGTAAACTAGTTGATGATTCTTCTTGATTGAAATTTGGTAATTTCCATTGATTTTCTGATTTATTTTTAATAATTAAATATAATGTTCTATTTAATTTTCTTTCTAATGATTTTAAATCATTTAATTTATCAGCTTCAGTGATTCTTGAATTTGGAACTATTTTCCTACTTATTTCATTTTCTTTTATATTTGATTGATCTTGTCCCACCATTTCATCTTCTTCTTTATATGTTTTAGGAACTTTTATATATTGTCTAAATCTTCTATCTCTTAAATGTTTTAAATCTGGTTTTCCCAGTGGATATAATATTTTTGGATCATAACTTACTGAATTTTTATTCAATTGTCTATATCTTAATTCTCCCATTGTACCAGTTTTAAAATAAAACCATTTTGGAAATGTCCACATTAATCTTCTCCATAATTCTGATTGATATTTATAAAATTTTGTTTGGAATGGTGTTAAATCTTGAGTTATTATTGGTAGACGTGATAATATTAGGGTTGATGATATTGGTGTGGAGGTGGTCGTGGTGGTTGCAGCTGATGTTGAGTAACATTTCACTGTATTTAGTATCGTGCTCCTCATGATATATATAAAATATGAATTGGAGTTGATTAAATTCAACTTAAACTATTAGATAGATCTACTTACTAAAGTCTGAAAAATTTTCGTAATAGTTAATTCTATTTTATGTAAAGCTACCAAATACTCGCTTATTTAAAAATCATCAATCAAATTTTTCCTCAACCAAATAGTTTCCCACCACTTTTTTTTTACAACCAGCTTACTACGTAAAATTTCAAATACAAATAATAATATCGACGTATTATAATCAATCAATCAAACGATACTCAAAACGCAACCACAACAATTCAAACTAATAATAAAGTTTTATTTTTGTATATATATATATTTTCTGAAATACTCGTATCATTAGGCTTGTAAGTCATTCAAAAAAAGTAGACATAAATTAAATTTGCAAAAAAATACTTTTTAAGTAGCTAAATCAAAAGGTTAATTCAGAACATAGTATTCAATTATATAAGAGTAATTGCCCGATTATTTATAAGACCATCAAAGTAATTTATTATTCTCGTAAGGAACTTTATACTGTAAATTACAATCAAACTAACACATCATATAAATTGAAAAAAAATTTTGTAAAAGAATATAAATATGCTGATTGAAAGATTTGATAAAATTCTTAAAGAATTACCAGGTTTACCTGCACCGGGAGTTTCTGGATCTCGTATTAAAGAATTAACTCAAATTGCAGTAACAGATTTAAATAAAGAAAAAGAAAGTCAAATTATTGCAGCTCTTTATTCTAGTTGTAAATCAGCTCAATTATCACATAAATTAGGTACTTTATATGTTGTTGATGCAATTTCAAGAAGATTAAAAGCTGAAGCTACTAATAATAATGAAACTGTAAATTCAAATGCACCTGAAGGTACATATGCTTCTGCCGTTTATAAAATTGGAGAATTGATTGAAAGTTTAATTGATAATTCAATGGAATATCAATTAGATCCAGGAATGATAAATAAAATTGGTAAATTAGTTGATATTTGGGAAAAATATGAAACTTTTGATCCAACTATTTTAAATAAGATCAAAGATAAACATTTTAAATCTACAACTCCACCAGGGACACCTCCAAAAACTAGTGTTGAACCAACTAAACCAACTTCGGAAAGTAAAGAATCAAATAGTATATTACTGGCTTTAGCTTCTCTTGCGAATACTGGTTCTGCTAATAATCAAAATAACAATAATTCAAATCAAACTAGTACTACTAGCGAATTGTTAAATAACTTAGCTAATCACCAACCGCATCAACAACATCAGCAACAACAGCCACCACAAGAACAAGCTATCTTCAATATGTTACATCAAATGCAAGGTAGTGGTATGGCACAACCACAACAACCACAACAACAGCAATATCAAGATCCATCTTTTATTAGTCTGAATGATTTTAATGTGGGAAGACGTGACGCTCGTGAATCTCATATTGGTGGTGCTGGTAGACGTGATAGATCAAGATCCCCGAAAAGAACAATTAAATCCCCAATAGCTGCTTCTTCATCAGTACAAGCAATGCAAGCAAATTTACAACATTTAAAACAACAACAAGCTGCTGCCGCTGCTTCTGCTCAAAATAACTCTACATTTTCACCAAATCAACAATATCAACAAACATATAATCAACAAGTATCACCTCAACAACCACAACCACCACAACAACAAAATCATTATCAAGATCCAGCTTTTGTTCCTCCATCAGCAATGGGAGGAGAAATGAATTTACCAGGAACTCCTCATTATCGTCCAAGAAATGTTGGATTTGATCAAACTGTTCCACAAGGTACAATTAAAGTATTATCAAGAACCTTATTTTTAGGTGGTGTACCAAGGAATATGGATGAAAGAACTTTGGCTCAAGTATTAAGACCATTTGCAGAAATTCAATCAGTTATACTAAACAGTGAAAGAAAACATGCATTTGTTAAAGTATATTCAAGAAAAGAAGCTGAACAAATTATAACATCTTTTAATAAAGATAATCAGTTACCTTTAAGAACTCGTTGGGGTGTTGGATTTGGACCAAGAGATTGTTGTAATTATCAACATGGTATATCCATTATACCAATTCAAAGATTAACTGAAGCTGATCAACAATGGGTAGTAAAAGCTCAATGGGGAGGAACAGGTGGTCAACCAATTTCAAGTGGTATGGTAGTTGATGAACCAGATATTGAAATTGGAGCAGGAATATCATCAAAAGCAATGTCCAAAAAAATGCCAACTAATTCTGCAAGAAATGGACCTAAATCAAATAGACCAGGTGAACCGGATGAAGAATTTGTTAAAACTACTTTAATTCAACAACCAGCTATACAAATGAGTCATGGTACAAGACCAGATTTTGAAACTTATCAACAATCATCGGTAAATCCATTACAAGGTTTATTTAGTGGGAACAATAATAATGCATCTCCTCAAATTCAACAACAACAACAATATCAACAACCAGTGCAACAACCTCAATTTCAAAATAATTTTCAACAACAACAATTACCAACAGGTATGCCACAGATTCCACAATTTCAAGGCAATCCAATGGCTGGTGCTGCAGCTCCAACTGTGCCAGATCCAAGTCAATTCCCACCTGGATTTGCTGAATATTTAATGAAAGCTATGCAACAACAACAACAACAAAATCCTCAATAATTTGAAAAAATTCTAGGATGCTTAAATTACAAAATGTACAACTAATTTATTTGAAATACGTCACAATCTCTACATCTCTACGCAATTTTATAGCAATCATCAAGCTCAGAATAGACTCAATGGGTCGATTACTTAATACTCGTGTGAGCTTAAACTTTTTAAGATTCTTCATCATGTTAATTATGAAAACGCGTCTAATCTAAAAATAGTAAACACAAAAAATATACTGTTAAGTTCTCTAATATATTAACTAGCATACTATATCAACAATACTACCACATATGAGTAGTAAGCAATACCCTAGCCTAAGACCTAATGCAGGTAGAAGAACATTGGGAAGCTCACCTTCAGCACCAGTAATAATAAGTGCACCCAAAGATGAAACGGGGCTCCTTCCATACAGTACCAGAAAAGCTCTGGATAATGTATTAATGAATAGTCTTTCATCATCACCATTCAAAGACATAGAGAAACCTCAATACTCAACTAAAAGGAAACAAGAGAAAGAGAAGAAAAAGAAAGAAAAAGTCATCCTAATACATAATACAAACGGAGGTTGGACTCCAAGTCCTAAAAAAAAGAAAAGATCCATACTAGATAGTTCAAGTCCCCTCAAACAAGATTCAAATCCACTAGAAAGAAATACATTCCCCAATTTTCCAATAAATGTAAAAGACAATGATTCAGATGATGATAATGATGATGGATTTGGAACTGTTTCAATTCAAGACATAAAAAAGTCACCTAAAAAAACACCAGAAAAATCAGTATCAGAGATAAATTTAGATCTAACGGATGATGAAGATGATGATATATTTAAAACCGTTAAGGTCAATAAAAATAAACCTAAAAAACCTTCAAAATCACAAGATGCAAATATAGAACCTGTTAATTTAATCCACGAATTTGAATTGAAAAAATATGGAACCAAAAAAGATATACTAAGGAAACATAAACATTTAAATATTCCCCACTCAATAAGATCAAGAAAGAAATTATTAAAGAGAGCATCAAGATATTATAAAGTCATACCAGAAATACTAGCAGGTAAAATAGATCCATCGATATATTATGAGAGAGCTAAAAGAGAAAGTGAAAAATCAAATCATGATACAATGATAGCAAAAGATAAATTAAAAATCAATTGGGAATCTTTTTATGGTGGGTACTACGGGTTCCAAAGACAATCAATAATAGGTAGTGATATTTTCAAAAAATTTGAATCTAGTCTAAAAAAATCAAGTTCTTCAAATAATACAGTTAAATATTGGTCACCTTCAAGTTTTGCTATTCATGTGCTAGCTAATGAAATTATTATAAGATTGATTATAGAAGATTTGAAATGTAATTTTGAAAAAGCTGAGGAGGTTTGTCAAGAAACTACTGATTATGGTATTATTATTGCAGATCAAATTGAAATTGAGAATGATCTTGCTTTTGATGATAATTAATGATGAAGAATTTATTGATAAATTTACATTTAAGGTTCGTTGAAGTTACTAACGAGGGCATGATTAATTGCATTTATAGAATATTAGTAATTGTAATGAATATATAATGATTTGCATATAAACTTATCAATCATGGGAGGACTTAAAAAGCGCAGTTTTAAATCTTTACGCGCGTAAATCAAGTTCAAGTCACATTATGAAAATTCAACTTATCAAATTGAATCATCCAGTTTAATCAACTTTAATAATCTCACAATTTTGTTCCAACACTTGATAAGGCCCAATTGGGTAACAATAAGGAACTTAATATCGACCAAAAAATTATTTCATAGTTCTCCTTCAATGGCAACAGACCAAGTATTTGTAAAAGAAATCTCAGCTACTGCAATAACCGGTAAAGATGCATGGAATAGACCAACTCCACAACCAATTAATATCTCAATATCCGTGTTAACTGATTTTCACAAAGCTTCAGTAACTGATAAATTGAAATATAGTGTTAATTATGCAGTTTTAACTAGAAACATCTCGGATTTTATGAAATCAAATGAGCATAAAAATTTCAAATCTTTAGGTAATATTGCAGAATCAGTAAGTTCAATTGTATTAAATGAGACTAAAAATTCAGGAAAAATAGCCAACATCAAAGTCAATAGTCCCAAATCGGAGATCAGAGCAGACAGTGTTGAATATGAAGTGATACGAAGTAATGATGAAAGTTTACCAATACTGGATATTTATAGAGTCAAAAAGCTAAGATTATTAACCATTATTGGAGTTTTCACCTTTGAAAGATATCAAAAACAAATAGTTGACATTGATCTAGAATTCAAGATCATAAAAGACGACCCAAAATTAGATTTTCACAAGATTGTTTCGAATATTGTAAATTATGTCGAAAATTCAAATTTTAAAACTGTTGAAGCATTAGTGTTCAAGATAGGTCAATTGATTTTTCAAAAATATGGAAAATTTGGGATTGAATCTGCTGATGTTAAAGCTACGAAACCTAATGCATTTAGTCATGTTGATGGGGTTGGGGTAAGTTCATTAGTTACTAAACAAAATTTTAAAGATGCTCCTGATTTGGAATTGTCTCATCCTAAAGAAATGCCGAATGGATTTGATTTACCAGTTGAAAGTTCAACAACTGACGACTTTAAGGGTGATCATGAAGCATTTATTGCATTTGGGTCAAATGTTGGTAATCAAATACAAAATCTTAATAAATCATTGGTTTTACTAAAACAACACGATATTTCTGTTGAAGCAACTTCTTCATTATATGTGTCCAAACCAATGTATTTTCTTGATCAGCCAGATTTTTTGAATGGAGTAATTAAAGTAACTTTCAAAAATCATTCACCACAAGATTTACTAAAAATTCTAAAAGATATAGAGTATAGTCATCTACAACGTGAGAAAGAAATTGAAAATGGTCCAAGATCAATTGACTTGGATATTTTATTATATGATAACGTACAATTAAACACTCCAGATTTAATCATACCGCACAAATCAATGCTTGAAAGAACATTTGTACTACAACCATTATGTGAATTATTACCGCCAGACCAAATCCATCCTATTAGCGCAGAGCCATTTCATGAACATTTAAAACAACTACTATTAAACGAGCAAGATTCAGATTTACAAAAAGATTCAAAATTACTACAGATTAATCCAATACCTAGATTATCAACCAAAGAAAATATTTTAAAATTTGATCAAATAAATTACCAATCACCGACTCTAATCATGGGAATATTGAACATGACACCTGATTCGTTTAGTGATGCTGGAAAGTATTACAATAGTGAATTGGAAAAAGTGGTGGTTGAAGTTGAGAGATTGATTAATGAAGGTGCTCAAATTATTGATATTGGAGGTGTATCGACAAGACCCGGAAGTATTGAACCACCTGAGGATGAAGAAATTGCAAGAGTATTACCATTAGTTGAAAAAATTAGAAGTTCTTCAAATCCAAAAGTTGCCAACGTTTTAATATCCATAGATACTTATAGGTCAGAAGTTGCCAGAAGATGTTTGTTAGCTGGTGCAGATATTATAAATGATATATCAATGGGCAAATATGATGACAAAATTTTTAAAGTTGTTGCAGAATTTGGATGTCCTTATATTATGAATCATACAAGAGGTACACCAAAAACAATGTCTTCATTAACAAAATACGAACCGAATAAAAATGATGATCTTATTGAATTTTCAATTGATCCAAAAACGGGACAAGAAGAAATAAATTTAAAACCTGAGCTAACAAATTTGTTAAATGGCGTATCAAGAGAGTTATCCTTGCAAATTTTAAAAGCATTTGCTAGTGGTGTTAAGAAATGGCAAATTATATTAGATCCAGGTGTAGGATTTGCTAAAAATTTAGAACAAAATTTGGGATTGATTCGTAATGCATCATTCTTCAAGAAATATTCGATTCAAATAAATGAGCCAATAGAGAACTCATCAATTTTACAAAACAAACATTCATATTTAAGCTTTAACGGAATGAGTGTTTTGGTAGGTACTTCAAGAAAGAAATTCTTAGGTACACTCATTGGTCAGACTGAAAATTTACCAGCTGAAAGAATTTTGGCTACTGCTGCTACTACTACTGCTTGTATTGAACAACATACTGATATTTTAAGAGTTCATGACGTTAAAGAAGCAAATGATGTTGTGAAAGTAAGTGATGCTATATACAAAAACATTATATAGAGATTCGGATTTACGAAAAGTTATAGAGTTTATGAGTTATGATTTCTAATGTCTAATTGTAGATATGTATTTTAATGTTGGCTATTTAATTAATCTACCTAATTCTATTGGGTATGCCTAATCTGATTATTGTCTTTTCTTTCCTGAAAATCGTTTCTTAACCTTATTACTAATACTTTTATTCCAGACAATCCCACTCATAATAGATCTATGAAATCCATAAACATCATGAATATTTGAATCGCCATTTAAAGTATGATCATTAAAAGTGGAATCTGCTAAAGTTTGTCTTTCTTCATCAGTCATACCAGTTAAATCTTTTAATTTATTAGATTTCATTTTTTCTCTTTGCTTAGCTACAAATGTTCTACATTTGTTTATTTCGTCTTGTGATAATGATCCAAATCCGTATCCTCCTATTTTTTTAAAACAATGATCAATTAAAATATTGGGATCTAATAATTGTTTAGGGAAATTTTGAGTGAATTGAAATAATTCAATTTGTTCATTTTCTTCTCCTCCTTTATTTCTTAGCTGAAACTCAGGTGCGTCTAAACAAAGCTTGAAAATAGTTAATGAAATTCTGAATATAGTTTTACTATTCTCGTAAAATAATATATCCCAAACCCTCAATACTGTTTCAATTGGTAATATACCAACAAATAATGACATAAACCAAGACGATGTAACTAAAGTAACTGGTGGTAATCTTGTTAAAATTTGATCTTCTTTTAATTTTTCACCTTCAAAATTTGTCCCCAAAATATCCCATAAATCAGGTATGTATTCTTTAACACAAAGCATCAAAACTCCTTGGTCAGTATGAACACCTTCCAAATTCGCCAGATGTACTTTTGGTATTATACGTTCTGTTAATATAACCAACATCCAAAATGATTTTTCTTCATTCATGAATAATAATAATAGTCCAGCTAAAAAATTCAATGATTGACAATAACCAATTTGTGGTTGATAATGAGCAAATGCAACAAGAACTCTCCTTAATGATTTTATAAGTTCCGTTTCATCTCTTTCCGTAGTTGTTGAATTTGCAAATGATGAAGTTGATGAATTTATTTTGGGCTTATTTTGAAATTCTATTATTATTGAAGAATTGAAATATATATTATCAGGAAATGTTCTAAATAAATCCCTTTCTATAATTTCCGTATCCTTATTTTTTATTTCATGAGTTGCTTCAACTAGTTGTTCATAACTTATATTTGAATTTGACATTTTTTCATTCCCTCCAGCATAATAAAACCATGCATTTCCTCTCCATTCAGGTGGTATTCCCTTACGAATTAATTTTTTAACTTTATCTGATTTTGGTGGGAATCTTGTTGGTATTATATTTTGATCTATTGAGTCTGAATCAGTGGTTTTGTAAATTAGTCCGTTTGTTTTCATAAGTAATTCCCATTTATGTTTTCTCTTTATTGAATAATCTGAATATTCTTTGAACCATTTATTGTAATCATTTAATGTTATTTTACTATGAGAAGAAACTTTTTTAAATCCGTATCTATCTATGTTGGAGTTTAGTATTTGTTTATCTGATATTGATGAAGTTGGTTTTATATATGATCTACGATTTGTGATGTTTGTATTTATTGACGATCCTTGCTCTAACTGAATTGTTCCAGTACTTATATCTGTATTGTTGTAATTGTTATCATTGCTTGGCGTAGTTGTTGTATTGTTTATGTCTAAACCGTTAATTCCTGGGTTTAGATCATCTGGATCAATTGATTGAATATCTATGTAGCTATCTCTTTGAGAAGGTGATTCTGCCTCGTAATAATTCAATAGTGAAAAATTTCTTGAATATGATGATTCTTTTCTTTGATGGGTATTTTCATTGTTGGTGTTTATAGATTTATGTGGCAGCAAGTGAATACTTTGTAGTTTTTGTTCATTATTACTATTGGGATCATTATGAATAGTGGCTGCCATTATTATTTTACTAAATTATAGCTTTGAGTAAATTCTCCGAAAATATTCTACTTGATGATTAATATGATTAGCACATTTGATGATTCCAAATTTGAGTCCGGTAAATCCTTAGCAGTTGAGATTATTAGTTGAATGTGTTTCACAATAACTTTATGTGTCAAAAGTAAAATCAATCTTTTAAATTAAATTCTTGATCTGAAATTGTTAATAGTGAAAAGAGAATAAAATAAATTATTATTTTCAATACTTTTAATGATAATATAATTTCTTAGCAAGAAATCAAATAGAATCAGAATAAAATTGAGATGAAAACAATATTAATAATACTTCAACTATAACATATATCATTCATTTAACTAATATACTAGGGCTATTCATTTTTTGATAATACTACTTAACTCGAAGAAATGTATTGGAGAAATGATTGGTGGGGTGATGATCCTTATCCATCATGTAAAGAAATAGAATTAAATGAAGGTATGATAATATCTCATGATTTTGAATTTCCAGTTCAATATATTTCAAAAGCCATTTATAAACAAAATTGTTATGCAGATATGATACCAGTATTAAATACAAATGTTGGATTAGTTATTGATAAATTTACTGAACCATTACCAATAGTTTCAAATTCATGGTATGATTTTACTCAAAATAATATAAGAGGTTCTTTTAGTTATAGTGTTGTTTCCATAATATATGCTATTGCTGTTTCTGCTGTAATTACTTGGTTTTTAACAATATTTGTTTTAACTAATTATACTATAAAACCTTCTTGGTTATTAAAAGCTTCAACTTTATTATCCTCGGTTTATATGTTAGTGGTTGTTATCAGGTCAATCATAATATTGCATATACAGCAAAGAGAAGGTTATTTACATGGAGCAAAGTTGTTAGCAGAAATTAATGGTAATAGAGCAATCACTATAATTGATTTAATTGTTGTGTTTCTTCTACAAATTAATCAAGTTCAAATAATAATGAGATTATTTCAAAGACAAAAAGATAAACGATTAACTTTTTATATTGGAGTTTTAGCTACTTTAACTTCACAAGTTATATGGGGAGTTTCACAATTTTATTCATTTCAAAAAGATGATGAAGCTGGTGATATTTTACCTGCTTTTATTTATTTAGTAAGAATTGCAATGGCTTTATGTTACGCTGCAATTATCACAGTATATTTTATAACAAAGATACAAATCATCATTGCTAATAAACGGATTTGGTTGCTAACGTTATTAACATTAATATTAATCTATAGTCCGGTTGCATTTTTCATTGCAGATGTATCAAATGCATTTATTTATGAATTATCCGAGATATTTTCAGTTGTAAATTATGTTATTGGAGTAGTGATACCTTGGGAATGGTGTAATAAATTTAATTTAATAATGAAAGCAAAAGAAAAAGAAGGTGTTTTAGGTAGAAGATTTTATGAAGATGAATCTTATGAATTAGATCGATTTGAATTATTTGTTGAAGAACAAATTCCAAGAGATGGTACGAGTAGTGATGAAGAGGAAGATGATGATAATGATAATGAACATAATGATAGAAACCACAATAATAATAATAATAATGATAATGATAATGAGAATACTAGATTAACACAAGATTATAAATCACGACAGTCTTCATCACCTATTAAAAGTAATAATCAAAGCAAATTCAAAAAAGCTTACCAAATTTCAAAATTAGCTTTTATATCTTTTACAGATAGTGTTATAGCTGCTGGTTTTGCTATACCAAGATCTGTAAGTGTATCAACTCAATCATCAAAAGGAGACAGTAATAATGAACATGAAAGAACCACTGGTACCACCAACACGCAAAACACGCAAAGAAATAGCTACACAAACCATCCAACAAATCATGAAATGGTTCATACTGCATCTAATTTAAATTCACAATCTTCAGAAACTAATGTTGCTTCTTCAATAAATACAAATCCAAATAGAAATAGAAGAAATATTTATGTTTATGCTAAAAAGGAAGTTGTTGTTGATTTAAGTGATGAAGAAAATTAATTTAATCATAGAGTTCATGTAATATGTATGTAATAAAATTTTATTTATAAATATATGGCATAGTACATTATGTTATTAAGTACTTTAATATCTGTAAATAAATAACAATATAATATCTATCCGAAATTTTGAATATCAAAAAATTATCCGAGTGTCGTAGTATAAGATTATATGTCACGACGATAACTATATTACAACTACGCGTTAAAATACATCTCTTCTTTATCTCTCTCTCGTTTAACAAAGAGAGAAAGAAACAAAAAATTATACGAAGTTGTTTACTAAAAAATATTTTTTTTCACATAATAAAAGAAATAAACTTACCATCAAAAATTTTTTAATTCTGACAATCATACGACTAAATTGATTGATTCTCATTTTTATTCGTTTCAAATTATTTATTATTTGTTCAATTTGTATTTATAAGATTCAATATATATATATATATCCAAGATTTTCGAGTATTTAAGATCTGAAAAATTTGAAAAATCAATCAATCGTTTATCATATCTAAGTTTCATAATTTTTTTATTTGTTATTTATTCATTCATATTAATTCTTGATAAATCCATTCATATATAGTATACAAAATTATCAAAGATGGCATTAGTTGATTTAACATTATACGCATATAATTTCTTTATGACATTATCAACATTTCAACAAATCTCATTATGTATAATTATACCATTCATTTATAATATACTATGGCAATTACTATATTCAATGAGAAAAGATAGAGTACCATTAGTATTTTATTGGATTCCATGGTTTGGATCAGCTGTACAATATGGTCAAAGACCTTACGAATTTTTTGAAGAATGTAGACAGAAATATGGTGATGTTTTTGCATTTATGTTATTAGGTAAAATTATGACAGTTTATTTAGGTCCAAAAGGTCATGAATTTGTTTTCAATGCAAAATTAAGTGAAGTAAGTGCTGAAGATGCTTATCAACATTTAACTACTCCTGTTTTTGGTAAAGGTGTTATTTATGATTGTCCAAATTTTAGATTAATGGAACAAAAAAAATTTGCAAAATTTGCTTTAACTACTGATTCTTTTAGAAGATATGTTCCATTAATTAGAAATGAAGTTTTGAACTATTTCAAGTCATCTGATTCTTTTAAATTAAAAACTTCAAATAAAGGTGTTGCAAATGTTATGAAAACTCAACCTGAAATTACCATATTTACAGCTTCAAGATCATTATTAGGTGAAGCAATGAGAAAAAGATTTGATGAAACTTTTGCAGGATTATATTCAGATTTAGATAAAGGTTTTACTCCGATAAATTTTGTATTCCCAAATTTACCATTACCTCATTATTGGAAAAGAGATGCTGCTCAACAAAAGATATCTGAAACGTATATGAAAGAAATCACTAAAAGAAGAAAAACTGGAGATATTGATGAAAATAGAGATTTAATTGATTCATTATTGGTTCATTCAACTTATAAAGATGGTATTAAAATGACTGATCAAGAAATTGCTAATTTATTAATTGGTGTATTAATGGGTGGACAACATACTTCTGCTTCTACATCTGCTTGGTTTTTATTACATTTAGGTGAAAACCCGTCTTTACAAGATGAAATTTACAAAGAAATTTCAGAAGTTATAAAATCAAAGGGACAAGGTGGTTCATTAGATGATATAACTTATGAAGATTTACAAAAAATGCCATTAATTAATAACACTATAAAGGAAACTTTAAGAATGCATATGCCGTTACATTCAATATTCAGAAAAGTCTTATCTCCATTAGTTGTACCAAATTCAACTATGGTTGTACCAAAAGGACACCATGTATTAGTATCACCAGGTTATGCACATATAAATGAAAGATATTACCCTAACGCATCAAAATTTGATCCTCATAGATGGGATGAAACATCAACAACAACAACAACAAACAAAGAATCAGATGAAGTTGATTATGGTTTCGGTAAAGTAAGTAAAGGTGTTTCATCATCTTATTTACCATTTGGTGGTGGTAGACATAGATGTATTGGTGAACAATTTGCTTATGTTCAATTAGGTACTATATTATCAACTTTTATTTATAATTTGAGATGGAAATTAAAGGAAAACAAAGTACCGAATGTTGATTATAATTCAATGGTCACCTTACCTGAAGAACCTGCTGAAATTGTTTGGGAAAAAAGAGAAACTTGTTCAATATAGTTAAGGCATTTTAAATTGATACGATTCATAGGATAATTCTAACAAATATTTGTTTCTTATGTAGTTTTATAATATCACTTATTTATTTTAATATTAATAGACCATATATATCCAAACATGGGAAATTTGAATCGAGTCTTGTCCGAAATTTATTAATTGATTTAATTTGGAAAGTACATTGAAAATGTGAAACAAGAGAACACAAAATTAATCTTTTGCAGTAATTGTAATCAAACTTTGACTTCTCGAAATCGCAAATTTCATATTTATAGTTGCATCAAAGCTATACAAATCATGACAGTGTATTGGTGATTACCTTTTTGATCTCACCCTCAGTAAACTTAAAATCGAACCGTTTTACTAGTAATAAAGATCTGTACATCATTGATGAATAATTTATAGAATTTGATTTGCTAATAATTTAATTCTCTATACTGCATATAAAAGCATACTATTACATATTTTTTATAATCTAATCTTCACGTGAGTCAGATTATATTAATTTTTTAATTTATTTTACAGTTTGAATATATACCAAACGAATCAATTCTCAGACAATACAGAGCTATCCGAGTTTTCAAAATTTTGGCAAAGGTATATCGTAGCCTCTTAAAATTATATAACACGGTGAAAGAATAAGTTTGCTAAAGTCCTTACTCATAAAGAAGAAAATCATCCTAATCATCACATCTTACCCACGTAGAATAATTCTGAATTATGTTCAAAAAATTGATACGACCATCCACATTATCATCATCAATACGAGCGTTAAGTCATAAGGTTCCAAGCTCAAGACTCACCAACAAAAGGTCCCCATTTATACTATCAACTTATTCGCAAAATAATCTTAAATCATCATGTAAATATTATAGCACCAATTCAAATTTAACAGAAGAACAAATAGAAATTTTGAACCAGGAACGAGCAAAAGACAACGTAGACGTTTGTATAGTAGGAGCTGGCCCTGCAGGTTTAGCAACAGCAATAAAATTAAAACAACTAGACAACGAAAAAGGAAATGGAGATAAAAGAATAATAGTATTAGAAAAAGCGGCAGATTTTGGTAGTCATATTGTAAGTGGGGCAGTCATTGAACCACAAGCATTCAGGGAATTGTTTCCCGATGATGAAAGAGATATCCCTTTACCTGATGATATAATTACTAAAGTTACTGAGGATCATATGAAATATTTAACTGAATCTGGATCATTCCCATTACCTGAACCACCACAATTAACAAATGCTGGTAAAAATTATATAACAAGTTTAAATAATGTTGTTAAATATTTAAGTGAACAAGCTGAAGAAATTGGAGTTGAATTGTACCCTGGTATCTCAGTTAGTGAAATTTTATATAATGATCCTAAAACAAAAGATACTGTTATTGGAGTAGCTACTCAAGATATGGGAATTGATAAAAACGGAGCACCTAAAGATACTTTTGAAAAAGGTATGGAGTTTAATTCAAGAATCACTGTATTTGCAGAAGGGTGTCATGGATCATTAACTAAAAAGATTATATATAATTTTAATTTAAGAGAAAATTCCAATCCACAAACTTATGGACTAGGTATAAAAGAAGTTTGGGAAGTTCCAGCTGAAAATTTCAAAAAGGGGTATGTGGGTCATAGTTTAGGATACCCATTAACAAAAGATTCACAAGCGTATGGAGGTGGATTTGTTTATCATTTCGGTGATGGATTAATTTCCATCGGTTTAGTCATTGGATTAGATTACAAAAACCCATATATTTCACCATATCAAGAATTTCAAAAAATGAAAAAACATCCTTATTATGCTCAATTTTTGAAAAATGGGAAATGTATATCTTACGCTGCTAGAGCTTTAAATGAAGGTGGATATCAAAGTATACCTAAATTGTATTTTCCTGGTGGGTTATTAGTTGGTTGTGGAGCTGGATTTTTGAATGTTCCCAAAATTAAAGGAACTCATACTGCTATTAAATCTGGTATATTAGCTGCTGAAGCTATATTTGATAGAATTAAAGATACTGAAGAAATTGAAGATGAAGATGAATTTTTGACAACTATAACTGAAAATCCTTTAGTTTTATCAGAATATGAGACTTCTTTCAAAGACTCTTGGGCATACAAAGAATTATACGAAGTAAGAAACGTAAGACCAAGTTTTAATTCACCATTAGGTACTTTAGGAGGATTAGCTCATTCAGGTTTAACAACATTGATCACAAAGGGGAAAGAACCATGGACTTTATCATTCAAGCATACAGATTCACAAGCAACTGAACCAGCATCCCAATTCCAACCAATAGATTACCCTAAACCAGATAATGAAATTACATTTGATATTTTAACTTCTGTTTCAAGAACTGGTACGTATCATGACGAAGATGAACCATGTCATTTAAGAGTTCCCAATCAAGATTTACAAAAACATGCCGAATTAAATTGGGAAAAATTCAAAGGTATTGAACAAAGATTTTGTCCAGCTGGAGTTTACGAATACATAGAAGATCCCACAAATGAGTTAGGAGTTAAATTTCAAATAAACTCGCAAAATTGTATTCATTGTAAGACTTGTGATATAAAAGTACCTTCTCAAGATATTGATTGGACTGTTCCTGAAGGTGGTGATGGTCCTAAATATTATATGAGTTAAGTTTGGAAAGAGATTTTGTATATAAGAGATTATGTATTTATTCAATTTAATTATTAATTTATATTTATTTATTAAATTATTATATAGTACATGGTAGAAGAATTGAAATTACGACTTTTGTATTTGTATATCAATCTAAGTAAATTTAAGTTAGTATAAATTTCTTCAAAGCTGTTTGAACTTCATTTGAGATACATACAGATAAATAACCAGTTTTTCTGGGTGATATAATTACCAAATCAATACCTTGTTTTTGAAAATTTTCATTAACTTTTTGTACGTAGTTTTCCAACGTTCTGACAGTTCTTTTAGTATGAGTGTAAAGTCCAAATAGATTTAAGACCTCAATGAACATACAGCCTGTTAGTATGTTAAGTAAATTCTCTACAAGATTCCAGCTTGAAAATGGATTAAAAGCTACGTATAATTGTTCATTTATACTGCTGATGATATCATGTAATTGAACTTTATCAATGTCCAAACCAACAACTTCTGAAGTTACCCCAAACTCATTATTATCAAAAACTCCAATAACTTCTTCTATTCGTGGTTCTTCTCTTTTAATTGCACCTTCTTCTTCACCAGGATAAGATAATGAAAATTGAGGAATTAAATCAGAATAAGAAATTGAATTATAACATCTCGGTATCCTTATAATTCTTGTATTTGTATATGTCGATGAATTTTGATCCAGGTAAAAATTTGGAAAATGATTTATGACTAATGAGATTTGATTATTTGGTAGGTGCTGTTGTGATGATAAATATTCATGATAGTTGAAAAATACTAATGGAGGTGTGTTTGCTTTGTCATTATTGGTGGTTGCTGTATTATATTTGTTCGTTATATCATTATAAGATTGATCATTACTCATGAATATTTAATAATTGATCGTTAGTAGAGGACTTTGAGTTGTGCAATGTATTAATATCAATTAGTAAACAATTGTTTGTATCTCCTGTATATAAAATAGCTTTTTTACTACGATGAAGTTTTGATTTTTTTACAACCAATTTTTTTTTTCTATTTTCACATTCTTCTTTCTTTCTTCTTCAAAATCAACCACCAGAAATCAATATTCAGCGACCAATAATCGATCATGTATTCAAGGTCCATATATGATTAATTTAATGGTATGATATAATTTCCGAAATTTCAATGTTTCCATGTTTATATAACTATTTAATGATGATACTGAGTTGTTAAGACTCCATAGCATAAACCCAGCTCAATTGATATTTTGTTTATGATAAGAATTGTTATTTTATAATATCTGATATTTAAATTATAAAACCTTAAGGGAATTGTTGAAACTGTTGAGTTGTAGTTACTAACATTTTTTGAATTTAGAATTAATTTTCAATGATTAGATTTTATATAGATATTTGAATACATGATAACTTTTTGATTGAAATTTAAGTAATTTTGTAGCTACACTCTCTCGCTTCTCGAGAGCTTCAAAAAGATATTCTCTTAATGCCTATATTGTAAAGTGATACTTTGGTACTTCTTACAAGTTTTTGCAACAATTTAATTCTTTTTAATTAAATTATGCGTGAAAAATTTGAAAATTTTCAAACCGATTTATTTAAAATTAATTTGCAACAACTTCAATAATGTTACCATATAAACAAGGAGCCTTGAGGATAAGGCTACCTAGATCTAGATGTATTGCATCTACCTTAATTCAACCAATAAGGTTTCAGTCTACTCAATCTCAAATACAATCACAACCACAAACAACAATCAGTAATTCTACTACATCAGTTAATTCAAACCAAAATCAGAAATTCAAATCTAATTATATAAAAAGAACAAACCCTAAATTGAATGATATAAGTAATCAAATAAAATCAACATTACAATCAGATAATTTACAGGAATCAAAAGAAATTTTTGAAGAAGGTATCTCATTTTTAAGAGAAATTCAACAAGATGAATTTATAAACGATCGTGAATTGTATTTTTCATTTGTACCTTTAGCTTCCGAATTATTATATAAATTGAAAGAAAGCGACGTAAGTAGCTTGGAAAACTTACAAAATTTAATCAACTTGTTTGTCAAATATCGTATTGCTCATCAAAGTCATTTTACTGAATTAGCTCTCCAAATATTGAAAAATCAAGATGATACCAACAAATTTCAAAAATTGATTCAATTATGGGTTCAATTTGTGGAATACGATAAACTAAATTATACACCATACGTTCAATTTGAAAATATCCCAAATCAATTTCAATATAAATCATTCCATTTACCAAATATAGTGTTTTACAATTATGTTTTATCTTGTCCTACTGGTAAATACTCAGAAGAAGACGCTGTCAAATTCACAATTAATGGTAAAATCCCATTATATAGAGATGTTATGAATACATTAAAAGATTTAAACTTATTTGACTCAGACCAATTCAATAAGTTTAGATCAGTTTTAGAAAATGAAAGGAAAAACAAAATCAATCCAAATAGTGAAGAAATGATTCAAAGAATTTTTAAATCAGTGGATAAAAAACAGTTAGATAATATATATTTAGAAATTGCAGAAATTTGTTCAATTCGTGATTCAAAAATTGATGAAAAAATAATGATACAATTAATGGATAAATATTTATATTTTGATGAATATGATCAAGTATTTGGTATGTTTCAAAATATAATAAGTTCTGGGTTAAAACCTTCAATAGATGCGTGGAACTTGGTATTGAGAGCTATGATTAATCCAAATAGGTTTCAAGATGCTAGTTCAAAACAAAGAGAAGAATTGATGAAAAAATTTGAGAGAACTTTAAAGACAATAACTGCTAGTGGATTACAATATGATGCTGGCACTTTGAGTTCAATAATTACTGCATATGCTACTGCCAATAAATTTGATGTTGCTGAAGATTATGCTAAAGAGTATAGTTCATTAGGAATCAATAATATAGCGAAAGATGGTATATTAAGAGGTTTAATTTTCAACAATAAAATAGATGAAGCAGAAAATAAAATGAAAGAATATATTAATGAGGGTACTAGTTATAAACCAAGTAGTGGTACAATGAATGATTTTTTGTCTTACTACTCAAAAAGAAAAAATTATAAAGCAATGTTTGGTATTAATGAATTTATGCAAATGAACAACATTGAAGAAAATGTTGCATCAATTACTACAATGATAAATGCATATTTCAAATACCTTATAGCAATTGGTAAAACTCCAAACCTATTAGATTTATTAAATACTTTAAAAGGTGCAAAACATTTAAATGAATATTCGTATGCATCTGTATTAAACGGTTTAGTTCAATCAGCAAATATTGAAGCTGCAAGACAATTGTATAAAGTGTTAAGAAATAAATTCCCAAGATCCGCTTGGATCCAAAGTAATATGTTAGCTGGTGAATTATCATTTGGTGATATTTCAGCTGGTGAAAAAATTTTTAATCATTATATTAAAAACATTAGAAATGATGTACAAATTTGGAATACATTTATAAGGAATGTTTTAAATCGTGATGAGAATTTAGCTTTCCAGTACTATCAAAATTTAAAAACTCAACAAGGATCAAATGTAAAACCAAACCAATATACTTATCATTTTATATTAAACCATTTTTTTGCTAAAAAAAATAAAGAAGCTATACAAGGAATATTACAAGATATAGCGAGAAATCCACCGGCTACTTATGGCACTGAATTACCAAGATTATTGAATAATATCAATAACAGAGTTGTTGAAGTACCAGCGTCAGTTTTACAACAAATTAAATAAAATACAGTGTATATAAACAATCAATTACATGTATATAAAAAATGTATAATTAATATAAATACAATATAACATATATTAATTACATAATTTTATAATAATATACTCCCCAAAACTACTATACAAGAGAAGAATCAAAAATATCGATATTACAAGCAAAGACTATTATCTTTGCTCTTCACCCATTGCTTTTCTCCAAGTAGGACCAGCAAAATCAATAATTCTATCTTTAATACTACCAAAATCATCTAAAGCAGGTCTTGTATCCAACATAAATGAGGGCATACCAGTTTCTTCATCGTCAGGAGCTCCATAATAATCAATGATATATCTAATTTCCTTCCATCCTTGATTCTTACCATTGCTCCTTAATATAGTCCAATCATGTCTATCGAAAGGTGGGATTGAATTAAAAGTTTCGGGAAATATTTTACCTAACCAAAGATATATTTGAGCTTTTGGTGATAAATCATGTGGTTTACCTGTGAATTTCTTCAATCTTGGTTCAATTTTAGTCTCATCAGTATATTTATTTTCCCATTCCAAAATTTGTTGCCAAGCACCTTCATTTAAGAAATTATGAACTTCAACCATTGATTCAACTGCATCTTCAGGTATTCCTTGACCTTTACCCTTTGATAACATAGCATTGTACATTTGTTGTGGTGATGGATATTCCCATAATCCTTGATCTGAAGTTTCACCTCTTGGAATTGTAGAGATTGTTCTTTCTGTTGATAATTTTATTTTTTGACCTGGTGCTAATTCACTTGATATTGCCATTGGCATATTGTTTAATGGATTTAATACTTCATCGTTTGAATTATCTGTTGATGGTAATACTGGGCATGCTGGTTTTGATGAAGTGGAAGTTGATTTTGATTTAGTATATGATGAATGATCAATGGGACATCCCAGTATATTTGATGAAGTTGTTTGTGTTATTTGACTTGGTGCTGGTGCTGCTGTTGAATTGAAATCTTTATTCTCTGCCCAGAACCAACCCATGACCGTAAATTATGATGTTAAAATAGTTGTTGTTTAGAATGGTGAATATGTTCTGATATTTGTATATGATGATAGATGAGCTCTGATTACGCTTTTACTATTTTTTTTTTCTCTTTATTACCGAGAGAAATGGAACTCATGAAAATTTCTTTTAATATTATATGATTACCAAAATGATCCAGTTCTTTCGAGACTTTTCGTGAACTATTTTTAATCCTCATCCCTGTCTATAGTTTACTATCAGGGCAGTTCGACACGATAAGAGGTTAAATACTTATAGACTTAGATAATTTTAAATAATATTTTTTATATATGTGCTCGATTTGTCACAAAAGAACACTAAAAGAAATTGCAAATCATTTATAAAGAACATTAGAAAAATGTAACTACTAATCGGCTGAAACCTAAGGCTCAGTGTTTTGTCTACATCATGTACTTTTAAGAATTGTCTGCATGACAACAATTTATCATATTAGAAAATAACAATTGCCCAACAGCGTTAAACTAAATTTGAAACTACAACATATTTCTTGACTTGAAATTGATAATATGACCAAAAAAAGCATTTGTATATACAACCCCTCAGATGGTTGTAATGTCAACCAGGTCATTCCTAGAATTTAAAGCAACGAATGAAGGATACATTCATGATTTGAATTAGTTTCTTTTCATTACCAAATAGGTAAAACATGCAATGATTGAACAAAGAGATTGTAGAGTTTCAGATCCTTGATTTCGTAAATTGGGGATATTATTAAGACAAAACTTTAAATTAATAGCTAAGTTGTCAATTAATGATTTTAGTGAAATTGATACGACTTCTTAAATTAAATTACCCAAACTTTAAATCTGAAACAAATCACGAAAAAAAATAATTTATTTTTAGCCTAGAGAAGATAAATAATTAAGGTCTTTGGCAATCTATTGCTTTTATAAATCAGTCACTTTAATTTTAACAAAAACAATACTCCACTCTTACTGTAAACTTTTAGTTTGTCTTTAATGCAAAGTCCTTGTTTATTCTTGAGTATCAATTGGCAACACTATCTAAATTCAGCGCCGTACCTTTCAAGCAAGACATGCAGAATAATGCTGAGCTGATAAAACCAAAATGATTTGGACAGACACTGACATTCATCTTGCTACTTGGCTCATGTTAACAATTTGGTAATTTTACAATCATCAAATGTTATGATTAACTTGTAAGTTTTTTACACATTATCGTATTTGTTTCATAATTGTTGCAAAAAAATTGAAAAATTAAAATCTCACTAATAAAACCCATGGTTCCAGAGACAGTCTTAGTTTTGACAATATCTCTGCTTAAGGTAAGAGGGTTAGTCAAAAGGAACTAAGGAGATGCTTGGACTTAATCTGAGATAGCTAGTTAGCAAGATAAATAATATTGCTGACCTCGTAAAGTGAAACAAAATTAACCAAAGCCTAGAACTAGGTGTAAATAATAAGATGATTAATTTATTTAATTTGGGAAATAGACGATGTTCTTAAGTCCTAGGCACGTGAGGCAAATATACACCCAAGCAGCAAGTATTTATCAGTAAGATCTTGCATTCAGTCCTGGTAGATAAGTAAAATTGATAACAGAATTGTTACATGCGGCTCAGAAATTGTGATAATAGAATAATTTGCAAGTAAGGAAATAATGTATTGCAAGATTTACTACGATAATCAATATGTACAAAATGGACTTAACTAAATTTTCCAGGAAACAAAATTTGACGATTAACGAGATTGTCATAGTAGAAAGGGTCTTGACGTTTTACGAAATGGAATATTCTTTAATTTATTTTATCTTTCCTTAATAAGTACGAAAATCTTGAATTCATGTCTGCAAATTACATCATAAACTTTTAGTCATTTTTCAGTTTATTGTTATTGGTAAAGTTATTCTGGAAATCCAAGTCCTATTCAGTAGCAACAAATTTAAGCACCAGAGAGTTGATTACTTATTTAGTTGTCCAATTTTAACGTTTCATCTGTAGTACGGTGGTGAATAAATAAGTTGTGAGACAAATGGACCAGAGATACAAACTATTCATTTTCCATTAAGTTCTTTAGTAGAAGCAGACTACCTTTTTGACTTTTTCACATGTTGCAGTAACTATACGCCTTGATTAATTCACTTATATACACGATGAAATTGGAGCCATAAAAACTTAAAATATATACAGTACAATAAACTATCAAATTTAAATTTAAAAGAGAGACAATATCTGAAAGATTGACGAAGGTAAAACCTAAAACTCTTTTTTAGGAAAAAGAAATAAATTGTATTTTTCAGTTCCAATGAAATTAGTTCACAATCTTAGTTTGTGGACTTGAAGGTCGCCTTTAATTTTAATCAGAAGACAAGGATTAATATATACATTCATTAGTTCTGTACGTTTGATAAGTTCTAGGTAATTTTAGCTCGATTATCCTACGACTTTGTGCTTTATAGGTATGGAAATAAGTAATTATTTGCATTGTAAGTGATTACTTCCACGCTAAATTGCGATCCTATATAATTAACAACAAATGGTGGTGATTAATGTAGTGGAATTTAGTTGACGTCAATGGATTGTTCAACTAATTCACGTCATTGCCGTTACTTAAACTTAAAGGGATCGATCATTAATTGGATACCTTCATTAGGGAATTTGAAGTAAACTTTTAATCTAGATTCCAAGAGCAAGTTAAGCATTCAATTTTGTTTAACTCAACCTCTTTTAATTCAACAATAAAAAGCTTATTAAACAACTTAATAGAGTAATGAAATTAATTTAGATTGAAGATTTTAACTATTAAACGAAATATCAACAGCCTTTCATTAGACAATAGCTTAAATATAGAAGCAGACAATGTCTTCAAATAGTAAATCAGACTGTCATATTTCATACCTTGAAAAGATGTCTGAGATTTTTTACATATAAAATTTGACTTTAATAGTTACAAATAGAAAAGAAGATTTTGCATAGAAAAGAATTGTCCAATTATGATTAACATTCTTTCATGAACTTTTATTAATTTCAGTTCAGACCTAGACCTCCAACAAGCTTCTTCGTCTAATTTTTTAACAGTTTGAAGTGGATCTACCAGCAAATTATTATTATAATGATGTATAATTATTCTAATTTCTTTTCTTGTCTTACATTAAATTCATTAACAATAAGAAAGAACTCCTCCTTAATTCTCGTTTAAATTTTTTTACATTAAAGATCAGCATATTTCATAAGGTCAATTCTATTGTTTCAATTGAGTATGATAAATTCTTTATTAATATGAAGTATTACAAAAGTACAGGGTGTTGTATTGCGCTTCGAGGTGAAAGGATTTGGGTTTATAGTCTTTTCTTGTAACGATACTTCAATTGCACCCGTTGGTTTAATTCAATAATTACGTTTCTGATAAATGAATGGAATTAAGTATACAGTCATTTCCGTTCCCTTTCTGACTGAATATCTTAAATATAGTTTTTTTCTTAATAAGTTCAAGCTTTTATTGTAAAAAACACAGGACAGTAATAGTCTTAGATAGTCTTACTGCAAGACTAGAATTTACATTCTTTAATCTAAAATTTTTATTCTTATTCCCACTGAAACTAACTTAAAGACAAAATTCCAATTTTAATTTAACCAATCTTTTTTAGGTAAACTTGAGCTTGATAGTTTGGAACAAACATATAGATTAAACTTATAAATTTCGTGTTATTCAAAATTGCAGTCTAAATTGAGGCACAAAATTAAAATAAAATTAATGTCCGTTCCAAAATGACTGAAATTTTGAATTTTTATTTGTGTAGCTATTGTGTCAAACAAATAGACCTTATTGACCATATTTAGTTTACTCTCCTGATTCTTTAACCTTGTTTGTCAGATTCTAGAAGACTGAAATTCAAGTATCGTTCGACTTAAAAGTTGAACAATGTGATCTTTCTGCAAAGTTAATGGAGGATTGTTAAATTGTGGAAAAATGAAAAGTAACGGTTTATGATAATTAGAGTTTGAATTATCTGGAACTCTTGAAAATGTAAATTAGTGTTGGCCTCTCCTTAAATTAACGAAAACAAGACGTAGAATTTGACTTAATTAATAGTCTAATTAGTAAATTTACGAATAAGCTTGTAAATAAAAGAGACAAACTTAACAAAACTAAAATTATAAAATTATATACAAAATCTAACTGACATTACTTTTACCTTCCAGTCAAAAGACAAAATAATAACGACAAGGAATTACACAATTTTACAATAAAATTGGTTTATCCGGCTCGGGGGAGTAATTGTATATAAACGAAATTTACATTGTCTTGATAAAATTCAGCTCTCATGCAATAATAGTGATTGTGAATATCTGAAATTTTAATAGTGAAAAGTGATTATTTCCCATCAAAATTATTGAAACCTCTTTTAACAAGAATTTTGATATGAAATTTGACAAGACAGAAAGAAAAAAAATTCTACTAATAAAAAACATTTTTGTCTGTAATTCAATTTCTTCTCGGTCTTTGTCCCCCAGTTTTTTTTACAATAATTTAAAAATGACAGAAGCCCAAATAATTTTTGTCTATTCAATTTCAATCGTCTAAACTTGGTACCTAACTTTGTGTTATGAGATTTTTAATTGAAAAATTTACTAAGAAATAATCAGAATTATTTTGTGTCAAATGAAACTATAGCTTAATTTAGTTAATTAATTGAAAAATCAACATAGTTAGTATTCTATATAATATTTTTACAATAATAATATTTTCAATAGCCAATGACTTATTAATATGAATCCCCAATCTATTATTGAGATATTATAAAACCATGAAGCTAAATTAATCGCTTCACCACTTTGATACTTTAATCTACTTAAAAAATATATTAGATCAAGAATTGAAATTTTCGTCGACCAAATTAAATTCAAATTTAGATCTATAAATAACTATTATGGTTAATTCAATTTTTTTCTCCTAATTGTTACATTTTGTTTTGCTCTTTAATTTAACCTAATCCAGCTAATTATTTAGACCAATAGTTTAAGAATAGTGAAAATGTACGTTTTCATTCAAAAATTTAAACTAACAATTTAGTTTTAGTAACTTTTTGATTCATATTAATAATTTAAGTCTTAAAATTTTTTTAATTTATCTTCAATTTAATTAATTTTTATAAATCAAAAATAATATTTTTTTTATTAGATTTTTTCAGTCTTATGTCAAATGGGAAGTTAATGAAAAAGATAACAGATATCCATTTCCGCTAAATTAATTGAAAGGTCAATTTAACTCCTTATTTTTAATTATGGTTATTTATCATACTCACTAAATTATGAATTTAAATACCATTTGTTGCAATTATTATTTGAATCAATTAATAAATATGGTAATTCTAAGAATCTTTCATTAATTAATAGTAATCTTTGCATTGTTGAGCTCATCGCCAGTAACATTCTACACATTAATTACAGTCGTGGTTTTGAGGATTTACAATAGTTGTAATATACAACAATCTTATTGAAAGCCTTATCTTTAATTGACGACGATCGAGTTAATAAAAACTCTTATGTACTTGATGTCTGATAAGTTACACAAATTCTAACTAAATGCTTTTAAAAAGCTAGTAAAAGCAAATTACGCAAAACCAAATGTAAGTCTAAAATTTTACTGAACTCCGTAAATTTCTATTATTTACGCATCTACTTGCATAGTAAATACTGTATATAATTTAAGTTTTAGCTTTAAATTTAATTTACGAAGAAAAGAAATTTTGAGATCTTTTATTTTTTATTCATCTTTAAAATTAATTAGTGTGTAATTATGTAATTAAACTTAAATGTCTTTTAAAAAAAATTCATATCACTATTTTGAGTTATATTCAGTTTACTTCAGAAAATCGAGCCAATTGAAACGGATCTTCTTTTTTTTCACAATTGATTTAAGTCAAACTAAAATCGTATATACAAGTACTTAGTTTATCAACCTGCCATATTATATCTTTGTAATCTATAATTTCAAAATCTGATATAGTTAAGAAATTTCTGTAAAAAATTTATCAACGTTAAATCAATGGGGTAAGTAAGGATATAGGGGGACCAAAACTTGATTCAAGAAATTAAATAACCAAAACGATCGTCCCCAAAGTCTTGATTAATGCAAAGAAAATCATCAAATGTGCCTCTATGCTTGGTATACAGACATCTTTTTCTTAACTTGAATTTTTATTTTTTATTTTTCTTAGGTTATTAAAATATAATATTCTTTCCCTCAGACATCAATATGTCACTAATATTATAAGTAACACTTTGTTAGTTTAGTCTTGTGAGCCTTAAAAAAAAGACTTTCTACCAATGACTCAAATTCATATCTAATGAAAAGAATGAACAAATAGATCAACCATCTCATAATTATGCACCATATAAAATTAAACTTATGCATCAACCAATGAATTATAATGTTCACCTAATCCATAAGAATGCTTGTAATAACCTAAATGTAAAGTAGGATTTGGATCATCATATACAGTATCTTCATTTATGTTAATACTCGAAGCACCAGCTTGATGAATTATAATACAACATTCAAAAATTTTACCAAATGCTAAAATTTCCATATCTGATCCCCACATCGTCGTTGTTCTTAATTCGTTACAATATTCTTCGATATCTTTAAGTTCTCCAGTTTTTTCATCAAATAAAAAGGGTATAAAATCGTTTCTATTCTCCAAGATATACTCACTTGATATGTTTCTTAAATTTTGGATTGTTATTTCATTTGGGTTTGCCTGGTGTCTCTTTGTTAATTGATCTTGTATCGAAGCAAATAAGCAATTACCATCAGGTTGAATCTCAAAAACTTTTAAATTGTTATTAGATAGTATTTTGTTCATTGAATCAATTTCAATTTGTCTATAATTTATTGAATTTTCTGATTCTTTCTCTGCTTCTTCTTTTATTCTATCTATTTCTTGTTGTCTTTTGGCTAATCTTTCCTTGGCCCTATTTCGTTTCTTAGGACCAGTTGATGAAGTTGTGGAGATATTTGATGATGATGAGGAAATTCGTTCTGATGGTAATGAAATTTCATCTTCCTCTCTTACTGATAATTGAGCAAGCAATTGTTCTGGTGTTAGTTCATCATCTGCAGCTGTTAAATTGTTTTCTCCGTTATTTTCAAAAGCTGCTATTTCTTCTTGATGTTTTCTTTTCAAATTATCTTCAAGTTCTTGACATTTTGTTAGAACATTTTTTCTAGTTTTTTTGGTTGCTTGTTTCTTTAAGCCTGTAACTGTGGCTATAAGGTCTTTGTTTTCCTTTTTATGACGTTGTAGTATTTCATCATGAGTCTCTTGTTGAATTTCAATTTGATCAGCCTCTTCCGTACTCATTTTTAAAACTATTGCCTGACCTTATTATTAAACTTCAATTGATGAATTTGTGTTTAAAGCTTGAATTGAGATGAGTTAACTGGCTGAGATGAGCTTTCTCTAGTAAAGTTTGTGTTATTGAAAATTTTGCTCTGTGTATTGTAGAAGTTGTATCTTTTTGTTTGCAAAGATAAATTTAAGTTATATTAATCATTGAAATCATCTTAATAATTAAATTCTAAAAATTACACATATATAATAAATATTTCGCATACATTATCAATTTTGTTTTTTTGACTGTCGTTGAAATTTTTCACACTAAATAAATTTTGTTTCACTTTTTAATATGTGATTCATAAGTTACATTAATAAAAACAGCTCTTAGTTACCTTTGTTAATAGCTCATCTAGAATGAAGCTTGCGAGTAATTTGAAACAAAAAAAAACACATGAAAATTGTAATATTGAATTTTGCTAGTTGAAGATAATCAATTATAAAATTTAAAATTTGAGAACTAGAACATCTCTACATGAAACTCGATCTACTGTTTGAAAAATCATATAATGTATATTTACACATTAAAATGAGTAGAAAGAGACGAGGACTTAAATCCAATATTTTGAATTTCAATAAGTCTTTCTTTATTTATCCAGGGGAATAAATTCCCTAGCCTTAATTTATGTAAAGATCAGGTTGAAAAATTACATACATGAAAAATATTAAGATTTGTGAGTTTGTGTTTCAAAATTTTAATGTATTGCAAATCAGTCTCTTCTTTTAACCGTTTACCATAAAAAAATGTATATTCAGAATATACCAAAATTATATTTATAACCTTTACATTACTTTATCACTATCTGACGATTTTAATTAGTCTATTAATTCATATAATCGTTTCAAATAAGTAATGCACTCCTTTAGATGGTGTGCTTTTGTTTTTTTTCTTTGTTACAAATTGTAATGTTTGGTAAAGTCACAAGCTCTTTTTCAAAATCTCAAAGTACTGTGATTCCAAAATTAGCTTCACGAATGTCGGTATCTCCTATTTTCAGCCAACTGATTATTTAGCAAACTTTGGTTAGGAATTTTTTCACAAAACAATTCAATTAAATTCTCAAGCTTAAATTACCTAGTTTTAGAATACAAGCCATTTTTATTGTTGATCAAAGACTTTATAACCTAAAATTGGGCTCAAAAGCTTTTCTATGCTTACTTTTAGTCTACTTATTGTATTAGCATTCTTCTTTTTTGAATAATTAGATTTAGTAATTTCGGAATAATTAAAATTGCAAAAATGAAAAATACATTTGAAACACAAAATCAACTCTAATAAATTTTTTTTTTAACATTAGTTTATTAATTTCCTTGTTTTCTGGTTGTAGGGTGATTAATTCTTACTGTAGATGTTAATTGATCAATTGTGACCTAGAATATGGTTTCTCAAATGCATCAATAGTACTAGATCAAAAACGCACAATTTTCTTTGTTGTACAATTAGTATATATGTAATCATCACCTTATATTTATGTAAAAGGTCAAAATAGTTTATCTAAATTTCTCGAGCAACATAATTATATTTGTGAATTATCAAGTTACAAAATTGTGCTATTTAAATACTTATTCAATCAGCGAAGGCTAAGTGTGTATGCTCAAAACTTTATTCTAATTATAAATAATGCCTGCACTTTTTGTAATATTTTACGACTTCGCAAAAACTGGTAAAGAATTTTCATTGAAAGTTATTTGAAAGGAGGTGTATAGAGAGACAAAGCTTTTATTGTATGATAGCATGTTATACATTGTTCTTGATTTTTTACTTATATATTTGTATTTTAGACATAGTTTAACAATTACCGTTTCTTTTTTTTTTTTTCTATTTTTTTAGTTAATTGTTATAAAACATTGCTAGTTGGAATACAAAATCAAAAAAATTGTTGAATGTCCATACTCAACTTAAACACTTGAAATTCAGTTCTACATCTGAAAAATGCTCAAAATAACAAAAGCTCAAATTCAATAATAGTTACTAAGAAATAATCTAGCCATCCAGGGATACGAATAAATTTAAACAAATTAACCCAAATAAATTAATACGCTATAATTTTTTTTGTGACTACAGATACCTCCAAATTTGGGCCATTTGATTTAAAACTTTACTAAAGAAAATACAAAAATTGGGCCACAATTCCGCCTTCTTGACTTTAACAATTCCGCATTCTATAGTATTGTATGAATCAAAATTTACTCTTACACATCTTACTATACTGTATGTTTCATTAATTTTTCAATATGCCAAATCAGATAATGCAGAAACTGTTGAAAAAAAATTTATGTCTTTTGAATAGTCTGCTGCGCAAACCACCTTTAACAAATCAGATTTTATACGGCTCAATCTAAGTTTCAATTTTAATAAAATTTGATCAATTATGGATCTCGTGGTCTCTCTAATCTATTGCAAATTTTCAAAATTTATATTTAGCTTTTTTATAAAAATTAGATTAAAAAAATTAAGATTTAAAAAATCTTAAATATTAAAAATAAAAGTTTTAAAAATATGTCAGAATCTTCTATATAAATTCTTCCAATTGTTTAAAAATAGAAATAGAATTTAATTTTATACATAACAATAAGGAGTGTTACAAATTTCAAGATTAGCGAACTTAAAGTACAATATTGGTTAAAAATCCTTAATAGTATTAGAATTGTAGAACAAAATTGTGATTAATTAAGCAACAAATTGCATGTAACAGTATTATAATTGAAGATTTGATGATTTTTCAAAAACAAAGTAACACCATGTGAAGATTTATCAACTTAAATCAAATGTAACTTTGGGGTTTCAAAACTAATTCAACCGTTATCAGATTATAACTTTAGTTGTAAAGGACTATCTATTGTATTATATATGAACTAAAAGATTAAGACAAAAAATATATGGCTAGTAAAATTAAAATGTTACATGGTAGCGACTGACAACAACTTCTGACATTTTATTTGCAGCAATTTATTCATTACTTTTACAAAGTATAAAGAAGTTTACTGTTTCAAACAATTAAAAAATGGTATAGGAATAAAAACAAAATTAGTCCGATGATATACCTCTAAGTTTTCGTTAGTAATTCACTCTAGTCCGAAACATGGAAATACTATATTGATGGAGATATCGAATGCTAAAAGAGAATTAATTGTGCATTAAAAAATAAATTTAAGAAAAATTAGTTACCGAATTAAAAATAGTAAAACAATTCTTGGAGTTACTTAATTGACTGGTTGAGTTAAAAGCTTTCTTTCTACTTCGTTTTCAAATAGTGATCGATGTTTTCCATGTAATTGTGTTACGTTGATATAAACTTGATTAAATTTAATCTTTTAAAATAGAATGAAAAACGTTTTGTTTTATAAGGCAAAAGAAGAGAAAAAAATTTATACGTTATTTACTAATTAAATTTAAATTCTATAAAAGAACGCAAAATTAAATTAAAAAGAGTTTAAAATTAATTAGTATTGTCTCATAAATAATTAAATACTGTAAGTTAATAGATGTCATCACCAAATGCATACAATTTTGAAATAGATTATCAAATTATCTATAATATAATCACATTACTATCTTGGAATACAAATTGTAAAAAGAGATCTCCTTAAAGTTGAATTACAGATTCAATTAATTAAAATTAAAAAGGTGGTGACATTTTAAATAAAATTGACTATAAAATAAAAAACCTTAAAATTATTATCTTTATTTTCTATAAAGTGGAAGGGAATCAAAAATTTATTATATAATAATTATCTTAGGCTAAAATATATTTATTATAAGTAATTAAAATGATTTACTAGTTATTAAAAAAGGAGTAAGTTCTTTTTTCTTTTTCCATTTGAATTTTTGTGATTTTCATAATGAAATTACTTGAATAAAACAAGAGAGAAAAATTAAACCTAATTTGTAAAACATAATAGATTTACTCCTATAAATATAAATAGTATACACTATTGTTGGTTTTAGTTGTACTATTTATGATTAAACACTAAAGTAAAAAATTGATTAAAGCAGTAAAGTATATCCTCATAATATTTGACAAAAATACTCAAATTATACAAATGGTTTATTAAGTAGTAACTAGCAAAATTAAGATTTAGATTCAAATCGCGAGATCTCGATCTCAATAAAAGTACTTATAGTAATATAATAAATAAAATCACCAAATATATTTAAAGTTTTAATTTAAGTAAAGCAAACTCTCTCATGATTTCAAAAGGTTTTTTCAAATTATTATATAATTATCTAATCTCTTTATTTGGTTAAATTATTTTATTTGAGAATTAATAGTATTGAATCAACCAAAAAATGTCTGAAATTCTAAAACAGACAGAGAAAATAAAAAAAAGTACTCCAATTTATATTAAATATTTTTGTGTTTCAAAAGTTACACACCAACCGACATTTTTTTTTAATTTTTAAAAATAATAAAAAATATTTAAACTTTGAAACACAAATTTAATTTCTTATTTTTGTGTTAATTATTTATCTAATAACACAAACTTAATTTTTTAAATTTTACTTAGCTTTCTTAAATTAATTTTACTTTTTTTAAAATTAAAAATGAAATAAAAAATAAAATAATAGTTTAAATTTAAAACACAAAAAAATTAATTTATATTCTTTTCATTACTATAATAATAATTTAAATGTATATAATATTAAAATCTATATATTCATTATTTTATTATTAAAATTAGAAAAAAAGAGTTCAAAATTTCAATTTTATATATAAGAATCTATAAACTCCCTCCTTTTTTTCATTAATATTCAAAATTTTTCCTTTCCACTCTTTTCATTCATATCATCAAATATCAACTTTATTATAGTTGTATATAACATAAATATATCTTTTCACTTATACCATTTTTCATCTTTTTCCCAAAAATCAACCATCATCAACCAATTTTTTTTATTTATTTCTTATACCATCAACATTAGAATAAAGAATAAATTATATCAATCCTTTACTTAAGAAAAATTCACAACATTCATTAGGACTAACTTACAGATTCATTATTCAATCCTAATATTCTCTAATTTCTGAACAAAGCTTTAATTTTATTTTTTCAGATAACTTTTAAATTAATCTCGTTCTGCTGAATTTAGTCGAAAGAGCATTTGAAAAATTCATTATAGCATTAACTGAAAAAATTACTTTGAATTAACTTATAGTGTTGCTTTAGCTAGTTTAACTCGATTAGGTTACTCAACTACACAAGCTGTTCACAGATTTTTATTTTTCATCATTTATTTCAATTTTCAAGAAATAGATTATTTTGCTGCAAAAGTTCTAGAGGAAGAAATTACAACAATCATTTGCTGAATCATATCACTTTTTACTTGCATATATTCATCAATTGTTTCAACTTAAAGGTTTAATTTTTTTTCACTAAATTTTTTTGAATTTTACAGTTTAATTTGTTTTTTACATAATCTTTTGTTGGTTCATTATTCATTCAAAATTTTGCAACATTATAAATTTTTTGCATTAAGAACTTTTATCATCGTACATTATTTTTATAAAGAATCAATTTAAAAGCAAAATTGAGACGTTCTAATTTACACAATCACTTCAACACTCAATCAATTCTCATTAACAACATTCATTCGTTAACAATTAAAAGAATTTTTAAATTAAAAACATCAATTTAAATTCATATTTGTTTTGAGAAACAGACTTTATTTTACAAACTCAATTATCTTCTTTTTTTGCATACGAACAATTTTTTAATTGTTTGACCCAATTTTTACGTCAAATATTTCATTAACGTTTTCATTACATATATTTTATATTTTTCATATTTGCATATATTAGTTAGTACTGGTTACTACTATTTTGAACAACAAACCATTTATTAAATTAGTAGCTTACAATTATAATCAATTATTGTTGGCGTCATTAGTTTCAATTTATTGACTGAATTATATTTCTTCCCCTCCTTTTAAAGTCATCAAAATATATTTCAAGACACACATTTTTTTTTCAATATTTTGGTCATTGATTTAAATTGTTACACAAAATCCAGAATATATTTTACATAATAAAATTTTGGCAACCAAAAACATTTTCATTCCCCACAAATTAAATTTATAATTTGAATCACAACTACTACTAAATTTTATTATGATATCAAACTCTCCAGATGCTTTCCATCATACAAGAATGATGCAGCTGCAGCTCAAATCATCAAATGCCAAATTACAACAAATGGAACATAAATCACATAATAATATTGTATCAGAATATCAATTAAATATGTTGGAACATTTATTATCAATTGAATTAAATACTTTACCAAACTTATTATTAATAGAACAACAACCAGAAATCAAAATAAGTATGAGACCGTTATTGTTGGATTTTTTAATGGAGGTTATAACAATTTTAAATTTATCAAGATCAACATTTCCCTTAACAGTAAATTTAATTGATAGATATTGTTCAACTAGAATTGTTAAAAAGCAACATTATCAATTATTAGGATTAACGAGTTTATGGATAAGTTGTAAAAATTTAGATTCAAAATTCAGAATTCCAACATTAAATGATTTAAGAAAAATCTGTGTTGATTCGTATAATAAAGAATTATTCATAGAAATGGAAAAACACATATTAAAATCATTAGAATGGCAAATAAATAGTCCAACTTTTGATTCATTTGTTGATGTATTTTTAAATTTATTAATATCAACTGGTGATACAAATTCATTAATTATAAAGAAAAATTTTCAAAAAATTAGAATTTCTTCATATTATTTAGGTGAATTATTTCAATTTTATCCAAATTTATATTTTGAATATTCTTCATCACAAATTGCTATATTAGCAATAATGTCAAGTATATCAACATTGGTATTACCAATAAATATTATGAATATTTTAACATTTTATAATTCATTATTAGATAATCAAACTATAAAATTATCAATTGAAAATTATCAACATGTTTTTAAATTAATTAAAACTTTAGCATTACCAAATAGTATACAACAAAAATATGGTATTACCAATAATCAATACAACAGTTCAAATCAAAACAATAATGATGGTTCAAATAATTTGATTTTCAATAACAACAAGAAGAATAATTTAACTAATAGACATTTACCACCAAAAACTCCAAAAGTATCTATGCCTTTGACCCCAGGACCAAGTCCAGAAGAGAAAATTGATAGAAAAAGACGCTGTGATACTCAAATGATGGATCAACTGATGGTAAATAATATGAACATCAACAATAATAATGCTCATTCACAACAACATCAACAACAATATGTAGATCATAACAATCATCAATATCAACACTCAAGAAAGAAGAGTTGTATAAATTCTGGAGTTAGAATATAGCTATAAACTTTAATATATAAACTTCAATTAGAATAACTAAAAATTTGGATCTCTATTGTAAAGAATTTTTTACTATACAACTTTAAAAATCAAATCTATCGTCGCGTTCCACGTTTTCGATTAATTTTTCATTATAGGGGTATGGTCAAGATAGGCTCGTTGAAAGATGTATCAAGTTTCAACAAATTTGCATCAATTAGTTTGCATTTTAACTACAAATAGAAAAATTTGGAAACAAACATTTGTTTAATTCTTTGACATACAATATCAAACAATACGTTTGCTATACATCTAGTGAGCCTTCCAATTATTCAGTTACCAACCAACTGAAATTTTACAAAAGTTTAATATATCGACTTTATTGTTTTTATAATTCTACTGTTTTTTGCAATAAATTGCAAATTAAAAATCTAAAAAACTAAAAGCACTTACTAAAAAAGTTTATTTAAATTTTGCAATCAAAATCTTAAAGACAAAACACGTATTATTTAATTTTAATTATAGAACGTATTGTTTAGATATAGAGCAAGTTAATCTTTATCTTTGGGGTTAATCAAACCTCGATGGATTGGCTTTTATAAAGAACAAAGGGGAAAAAGATTAGATTTACAAATTAAATTAATTGAAATTTCATGTTGACTTGTGGATTGAATCGATATTGTGGAAATCAAATACTATCAAACAAAAAGTATAAAATTTTACAACGAGGTATTGTCTTTCAGTGATATCAAATTGAATTTTATTTTAAAAGTTTTAGAATCGTCTAATAATAGCCAAAGACATAGCCATAGACGTTGTTTCAAGCAAAGAAATTAATGTTCATAAAAGGTAATTTAAACTTATGAGCAAAATTATTCAAAAGCCATATAAACGTTTTAATTGAAATTAACAACCCATTTTTACGCCTTATTGTTATACACTTATTCGTAATATACTATCAAATTTCATAACTACTTTACTACAACCGATATATATATATATATATATATATATATTCCTTAAATCCATTACTATTCGGATATTTTTCCATATTTTCTTTAGGTTATGAGAATTTAAATTTAATATAATCTAGGAAATTACTTTAACCGAAAAAACGTATAATTGAAAAATTACTATCGCGATCTTTAAATAATTAAACCTATGAGAAATATCAACTCAAAGAACTCACCCCAATTATTTAACTTTAAACATTTAAAGATTTTGATTCGTAATTTTAAACTTTATTAATTAAATTAAGTTAGTTAAGTCACTTTCTTGATTAAATAATAATTATGCCTAAGTTTAATACTAGTATAAATCAAATTATAATAATAATTGTAGTAGATTTGGTAATTTTATTCTATTTTAGTAAAAATCTATTAACATAATATAATATTCTCGTGTAAAATTTATTATTAAAGCTTTTTTTACTTTACACGAAATTTTAATTATTAGGATTAGACCTAAATCTGATAATTCATTTCCTTTTCCTAAATTAAGTTGATTAAGATATGCATGTAATTGATTAAGATTACAAGGATATGGGCACAGATAAATTAAATAAATGTAGAACAACTATTGATTGGAAGGCATCAAAAAATTTTTTTCAATGTAAAAGGTAATATCACAAACGAGATTAAGTAGATAAAAAAAGAAATTCTTATTGAGTCTTATCAAATATACTGAGGATTCAAATAAAATATAATTTTACACAATTTAAAATCACAGATCAGAAATCCCCGTATCTCAAATAAATCTCCCTTCCCCTTCATTTCAACTTGATTAATTTCTTTTAATTTTTGCAAAAAAGTTGAACCACCTTAGCCAATTCTTTCTTTAGCCTTTAATAAAATCTTCAATTTTTAAAGTTAAGAAAAATCTATTGTTTTTAAAACGTTTGAAATATTTGTATATAAAAAAGAAAAATTTATTGTGTCTTACTTTACAACCATAGTAAGATTTTCTAGAAATATTCAATTGTGAGACAAATTATTTTATTTCTAAAAAGTAACAAAGTAACGAGAACAATTAAGTATTGAATATAAAACTGGTGATGAAATTGATAATATTTATAGATAATTTGCTGGTCTTTTCAACTAAGTTGTTAATTAGACGATTAATTAAAAGTCGTTATGCAACGAATAGGGTACTAATAGATTGTTTACAAAGATTTTCTATTATTAAAATTATTTGTAATGTGGTAGTGTGATTATTGTTGAATGAACTGATAATTATAATTATACTCGATACGTTATATTAGCTAAATTTGAAATTAATGTCTTCTATTATAAAAAAGACATTCCAGTTGTGTAAAAATGACAATTGACAATAATTTGTGATAGATTATATGAAATTAGAATCAAAATCAAAATTATTTAAAATAACGTAAACCTCTCTTAAATCAAAATATTAAATTATAAAAAAAGTGGACATAATTTATTTTAATTTTATAATTTAGTGTCTGAAAAATTATTAAATTTCAAATTTTTGACTTAAAATCATAATATCTTCAGTCAAAAATATTTCCACAACTTGATTTTTTGTCAAATAATAAAAATGTCAAGAACTTGGTAATTAATTAAAGTTGTTATATCTATTTGAAACTAAAAATATCAACAATTCCGATAATATATTTTGAAGGGGGGAGAGGAGAGGAGAGATGTTCGTTGACTTTGACACTATAGTTAGTTATTAGTCCATTATTACTAATAGATTATCAACAGTTAATACTCTATGTAGTTCTTGCTTTAATTGGTCTCTTTAGCTATATGATAAAAAACGTTCAATTATTCATAAATCCTTGAAGATAAATCCGAAGAGTTTAATGAAAAATTAATCAACTGACAAAAATCGCAGTTATAAAGTTAAAGTTTTCATGATTATCGCTTCTTTGTATTCTTCTAAAAGATAAATGATAGAAACAATTATCAAACTTATATAATACTTTCAAAGTAAATGTATATCATGTTAATATATAACTCATGCTAATGAAATTCCATTACATAATTATAAAAGTAATGCATGAAAAATTATATATGCATAAGAAAATGCATGTTTTAATTTTGTGATCATATTGAGCTGAGATTTTGAAAAAAGGGGAAGATTACAAGATAACTATTTAATTACCATAGTTTATTTCTAATCTTTGCACGAGGCTATTTTTTTTTCTTGTTCGTAGAGTGGTTTTGAGAAATGAAAAAGGATCAGGTTTACCGTTGAATTAAACTGTTTATAGCTGAACTTTTAAAAGTAGTTTGAAATAGAAGTATATAGATATTAAATTGTTCAAACTTAACTATTGACGATTTATATAATAATCGTAATATGAATTAAAAATTATAATTATTTCTACTCTTTTTATATGGAGAACATAAATTCACCTTCAAAATAAAAATAAAAATTAAATAATAAAGCTTTTACTTCGTAAATATTTTAATTTTAAGTCTATTTTAGTCGAAACAACTTAAGCCCAATAAATTATATTTTAACTACAAATCGTATGGACTGATGCTATTGACCATGTATCTCTTTCAAAATATATTTGGGTCTACTGCCTTAAAATAATTTCTACGTTTCTTTCCGAGTAATTTTACAATTGGGTCTTTACACGATTTCATTTTGTCCTTGAGATAATGAAGCCTATTCTATTGGAATACCGTTGAAAATTTCATCTTCTGATGAGACAAAAATGAATGCGAATAGAGATTTGTCAAAACAAGTTAGAATAATTTTGTATCTTGTTTAGATATTTTTAGAATTCACCACAAAATCTTATTACAACATATTTATTGGATAATTGTCCAATAAATTTATCATATAACCATAAAGTATACACAAAAGTTATAGTATTTGCTTCTCTACATTACGATGTGCAATCTAAATAATATTTTGTGATTGAAAGTACTCTCCTTGAATTATCAGCCTTAACAAGTCGTTTGATTGTCTCAAATTTGTATAGTTGATAGGAGTAAAAGGAATTGAATGCTAGAAAATCGTCTATCTATCAAGGTGAAATTTAGTAATACAATTACACATTTGAGATCGAAAACAATACAAAAAGGAGAGACAATTTGGAGTACAAACAAATAGCACTAATCTAAAAGTATCTCAAAACTTAAATTTGTACCAAATGTACCATATGACATCAAAAATATCAGCTTAAGGGATAAAAGAAGTATACAATACATGAATATTATATATGTGTAACAATCGTAACTTTAAATGTTTATTAATTCTAGAATATAGAGATTTGACAGGTAAATTTGAAGCATGATGAAAAGTAAAATTTGAAGATAAAGTAGGGCCAAAAATTCAGACTGTCCTTATATTATAAAATTTAATTACGAACCAAAAAAATCAAATTAAGAGTCAATGTCTCATTATTGTCTTTGCATCAAATATAATAAAATATTGATGTCTTAAATCAAAAATCAAATTTCGTAAAAAAAATTTTGATTTAGCTTAAATACAGTAGTTAAAAAGCAATGATAGTTATTTCAAATTATTCCTTTGGAGCATATTTCTTATTTCGGACTACTTCGAATTCAAATAAAGTATAACCTTCTTATATGCTTGCTTTCTATTAAGTTCAATTTTGCACAATTCTGAATAACTTGTTTTCCTTTTTGTAAAACTTTACTAACTAAATTTGTGTTACTTTATTGATCGTCGTATTACTGAAATTTAGTTTTGTACTATCAAATACTTTATGTGTATACTGTAAAGAACAATAAATTATACGTTTGTCTCTACCCAGAGTATAAACTTAATACAATACGTTTTTATCGAATAATATACGTCAACATTAGATGAAAATTTTTTCAAATAGCAGTCCCACAACGTTACAATTGTCGGTTTCTGTCAATAATAATTGACATTGAAAAAGCTTGCTAAATGTTTGTTCAGCACTTCTTATCTACTTATTATTAAAAAAGTTTAATTATTCAAACTCTGAATATATAAAGTTCACAATTGTTCAATGCAAATAGTACATCTTACATATTTGGTATGAATTGGTATATAATTAAACCAGATATTAGTTTAATGGAAGGTTATTACTATTAATCACATTATTATACCTTTCAAATTCAGGAAAAATTCTGTTTTTTTCAGACACAAAACAATATTTGAAATAAAACTGAAAAGGGAAAAATATGGGATGATACTAAATCTACTGATTTCATTTACAACAAGCTAAATTTAAATCAATTACTAAACTACTATCAATCCTGAAACTTTAAATATGGATTTATAATCTAAATCCGCGAAAAATACCAATTAAAACAAAAATTAAATACGCAATTAATAAAAGTTTGACTATCCTTGAAAATTAATTTCTAAAATTTCATAATGTCACAATCCCCCTCCTTGAAAAGACAAAAATTATCAAAGAATGAATATTCAGGTTATATAATTAAACCAGAAGATAAAATAGATGAAATTTCAAAAGATATCACACCAATTGAATTTTTCAACGAATATATCAAACCAAGAAAACCAGTTAAATTCAATAAAGAATATTCGCAAAATGCTCAAACGACAAATGAAATATTATCAAATTTATCAAAATTTAAATTTAATGTCTTGTTAAATACTTTGAATTATGATGAAGAACTACAGTTACAAGTTGAAGAAAAATTTGATGGTGGATTTGGATTAGGTAAGAAAAGAATTAATATGAATATAATTGAAATATTTGATGAATTAAAAAGTGGTGATCGAGATTTATATTTAACTACCCAGTATAAAGTTGGAGATCATGATGTGAATGACGTTGATGAAGAGGCAAAAATCTTGGATGAGGAAGACGAGGAAGAAGATGATGAAGAGGAAGATCAACAAGTCATGTATGAAAATATGTCAAATGCATCGTCAATTGACATGAATAATTTAAAAGACGATTTTGATGAATTCGATGAAGAAGGTGATGGAGAAGTAGTAGAAGAAGAAGATGGAATCAACTTGGAGAAAGAAATAGAACATAAGCAAAGAATAGAAGAATTATACCAACCACCATTGACAAATCTAGCCAATTCATCAATATTACCAACAAATCCATCCCTCATACCCAACTTAATCACACAACAAATCAATCTATGGATGGGTAAAATATCAACCACTACAAAATTTGAAATCAACTCATCAAAACCCATCGAGTCATTAGATAGATCCATCCCATCTAATGGAACAAGTTCAGGTTTACATCATGATCATGCTGATAATTTATATATTTTGATACAAGGTCATAAAAAATTTACCATATATTCACCAAATGACGCTGAAAAATTATTTACTGTTGGTGACATTTTTAAAATTTATCATAATGGATTAATTGATTATAATAGTGATAAAAATCTTGAAGGTTCAATTCGAGATGATGGTGCTTTACTTGGAGAGATTTTATATTGGAAGAGGTCAAAAGCTGAAGATCCAAAGGAGATTGAACAGTTGGATAAACTTATTGACAAGCATGAAGAGGAACAAAAAAGTATTAGGGAGCAAAAGTCGACGGAGGAAGCATCATCAGCAAAAGATCCACCAAGTTTTTCAAATATTCCACCAGCTTTACTACACTTGGATGGAATCAAGGATCCAAAAATAAAAGAACAATTAATGGAATTTTCAAACAAACATTTCCCAGGATTCTTAAACCTCAATAAAATGTCAGTTCTGTTATATCCAGGAGAAATGTTATACTTACCTGCAGGTTGGTTTCATGAAGTATCAAGTTATGGTGACATTGTCAAAGAGCAACAAAATACTATTGAACAGATAAATGAAGAATCATCAAATATTCATATTGCTTTAAATTATTGGTTTGTTCCACCAAATAATATGGATTTTAATAAACCTTATAAGGACCTGTATTGGAAAGAAGATTGGGAAGTTACTAAAAAGGCATTGGATGGATTAGGTAAGAATAATATGCATAGTTAAAAAGTTTTTAAATACATATTTGAATAATGTATATAATAGCAGTGAGCCGCACAACAATCTGACTGATTTTGTGTCGAATCAATTCTGACATTTTTTTTGAGTATGATTGGTAGCTTGCAATTTCAATAATTTTTCAATGTTTCGGATTTCCAAATTTGGTTGCAAAAGTTAAAAGTAGTGTAGATTGGGTAAATAATGAAACTTGCATGAAAAAGAATAATTCCGTTGATCTCGGATTTATTACTCGAAATGAATTATTGAGTCTGTAGCCCTAATTTTTTTTTTTTCAAAGCAGTACAGCAATTCGACAAGAAAAATACCAATATACCAACCTAAGACAAAAAGTAAATTGAATGATGGTGGCTCAAATATTCCTATCTATTGATGATCTACTTCTTGTTGATAGTTGATGAAAATGAATTTATTCATCAAACAAATCTAGACAAATCTCAGATCTTTCGTTCAGATCAGGACTGGTATTATTATTTTCAGTAACACCCCCTCTTTTGTTACTACTGTACTTTGAATTACAATTTAATGCAGACTAAATATCGTAAATTTTCATAAGATAAGGAGGTAAAATTAGATTAACTGGAGCGATATCGGCTCCACATTTTTTTATGAAAACTAAACTCAACTGAAGGTGAGTAGATCAAAAAAGTAGGATCATATTAACTCAAGCTCTTTGTCAACCAAGAATAGAAGCTGTGAATCGTGTGTCTAATAAATAAATCATTAATAGTAGTCATCATAACTACTAAGGCAAATATAAATATGAACACAAGAATGAGAATGCCTTTAATTAATGAGCTTTTAGATCTAATAATAAAAATATTCCACAATAAAAAACGAAGATAGAATTCTACACCCCTAATTAGGTGATTATTTATTAGTTATTTAAAAAAAATTATGAAACTTATTCTCTTGCATAAAAACAATTTTAACTAGATTCTTATACAATTTTTAACACGATGTTGTTAAATAAATTTTTATAAATTAGTTTATTGGCTAAACATCTCTCTTGTCAACAATTCAAAAAATTTTTCAGTAAGATTAAATTGAATAGGTTATCAACGGTTATCAATAAATTATTCTAAAATATTTTTTTATTTCATACATAGTTCTAATATTTCTTTAATCTAATCATTTAAGTTAATGACGTGTTAATATTTTTCTTGATTCTATATATATTATTAAATGAATGAAAATTATTATAATTTTTGTGTTTATCTTTAAATCTAATCAATCTAATAATAAATTTATTGCAAATAAATTGATAAGTACTGTATATAATACTATTATGTATTAATTAATCCAAATAAAAAAATAGGAGAAGGGCACAAGGAGAAATTAATTTTCAATTTTTTAGTCAATACACTACCTTTTTTATTTGATTAATATTAATATTGATTATCTTAGTTAATTTATTAATAGAATACTAATAATTAATTAATCTAATTTATATCCTTAAAAAATAGAAATATTTATAAATATATTTATAAATTTTTTTACAACCAAATTATTTAAATTATTTATATATTACTTACAACAACAACAACTACTTACAATAGATTATTATTAATTATACAAGTTTATTAATTTCATTATATTTGATATAAATAAAGAATTACATAAAGAATAAAAGATATTCAATCAACATACGATCATTTCATATATCATAATATTTTTTTACATTTTTTTTTATTAATAATATTTCGAATCACAACACACATTCTTTACTTAAAAATTTTTATACATCTTTTTATATCTAACTTGTTGTTATAATATTTTAATTCAAATAAACAACACTCTTCAACTGATAAACAATTATTAATAAATATTTAATTATAATTTGTTAATATAGATTCATTCATATACATTGATTAAATTAGGAGAAAATCAATTAAATTAATCAATTAATCAATCAATCAATCACTCAATCAATCCAATTTTATTTTACAAGGAAAAGGTTGAAGAAGTTGTATTCATATATATATATTACTTCAAAAATAATACATTTATAATTTTTATTTACTTTTCCATTTTTTACGACCATTAGATTTTTATATTTAATACTGATAATGAACTAAATTCCAATTTTGGGTTTATTCGTTTACGATTAAAGAAAGAAAGTTTATTAATTGAATAGAATTACATATTTTTTATTTACTGATTATTAAGAAGGACCAACTTTTTCATATATTAAAGTCCTTTTTTATTTACGAGATTTTTTTAACATATTACATATTTACGATTTTTTATAAGATTATCATTAGGTTTTATTTTTACTAATTAAAAAGGGGAATCATCAAACTTAACTAATTATACAAATTCATTTAATCAGCTTTATCTACATTTATTTTTCAATTTTTTTATATTATTTTGTATATTAAAAACAAAAAGGTTTAAAAAAAAAACTTAAGGTATTTTCAATTTTATTAATTTTTATTTTATATAAAACTACATTTTAAAGAGGTTACGAAATTTTCTGTACATTATTATTATTATTATTATTAAATTTATATAACATCATATATTATATAAATTTTAACAACCTGGAATATAGAAATTATTGATTAATTTTTAAATTTCAGATCATTGAAAAAGAAAAATTACAAGATCTAGATTTTCAATTGTTTCAACAAACTAGAAAAAGAAACGAATAAAGATTCACCTAAACAATCATGGCATTAACCGATAGACGTCCAATGGCATTACCAGTTTCTGCTTCACCAGTTTCTCCCTCATTTAATCCAAATACTTTGGGGATTTCAACAAAAACAAGAAATAATAGCTTACCATTACATCCAACAGAGGAAGAAAAAATTGATGAAGTTGAAGAACTTGAACATGATGAAGAAAAACAAAATTCAAATGAAGAAGAAGATGATGATAAACAATCAATATCTTCGGAATTGGAAAAAATGGAAATTCAAAATGAAAAAGATCTAGAGAACTCATCAACTTCAAGAAGCGCTTCCCCAGAATCAATTTTAGACAAAGCTAAAACAACTACAAGAGAATCAACTCCTCCAACAACTATTTCAACTCCACCATCATCTCAAGGAGATAACGATAATTTATCAACTAACTTTACCAAAAAGGTTAAAAAGCCAAAACCAATTTCAAGAGCTCCAATAGCGACTGGTATTTCAACTGCAATTCCTGTAACTGGTGAAAAACCTAAACCAGAACAAAAAGGAGATGCTTCATTAGAAGATGATGTTTTATTTGCAATTTTTGTTATATTATATGAAAGAGATCCTGAAGGTCAAGGATTCACAGTTAAACAAATTTGTGATATATTAGTTGAGGAACATCCACTGATTGCTCAATTATCAACAAAAACTTCTAATTTAGTTAGTGCCAAATTGAATGCATATGTTAAAAGAGTTGAAAAAGGTGATACAAGTTTGAAATATGCCATTTCAAGAGATTGGGCAGATGCTTCACCAAAAAGAATGGTTTATGTTTATCGTGGTATATTAGCTCCAGGTTTTGAAGTTGTTGCTAAAAAATTGATGGATGAGATTAAGCAACAAAGAGGAGAAGAACAAGCTCAAGCACAGGCTCAGGCGCAAGCACAAGCACAAGCACAAGCAGCTCAAGTTGATTCTCAACAAATTGAAGGTGAACAAGATGAAGAAAAATCATCTGGTGCTGCTTCACCTAAATCATCTACTAAGAAATTTGTAAAAGAATTACCATCCACTACAAGTTTCAATGATGATTCATTGGAAGCTGGTAAACAAGCATCTTTGGCCAAACCAAGGAGACAGACCATGTTTGATTTAGGAATCACAAAACATTCATTTTTTGAAACTGGTTCTGGGTTTGATAAATCTAATTTATTTGTTCCTTATTCTTCAGCTCCAGTCACTGCTGCATTAAATGAAGTTTCAACTACAACAGATTCTTTGAAAGATACTTCAGATATGGAATTAGATGAAGAAGAATTTGAAGGTGTATTTGCAGATAGTGATCAAGATGATGAAGAGGATGATTTCAATTTAATTGAAACTATTCGTAAAAATGGTAAACGTTCGAAATCGATGTCTTATTTATCAATTACTAAAAAAACCAAAGTTTTAACTGCCGCTGCAGCTGCTCCAAGAGCTTCTAGAGCACCAAGTTCTCATAGTCCAAATGCTGCCGCTGCTGCAGCTGCCTTACATGCCGCTGCATTAAGAGCTATATCAAGAACTTCTTCAACATCAAAAGATTTAGATTCAAATAAAAAATGGTTAAAAGTTATTAGATCTGGATTTTTGAGCCAAGATATTGGTGCTCCTGAAGATACAAAATTATCTGATCTTGATAAATTTTTCAATTAATATCATGAGTTAATGACTTTTTTTTCTATATATAAAAAAGAATAAATTTTATATTGTTTTTATTCAATTACGTCAAACAAGTTTCTGTAAGCGTCGAACTCTTTAATTTGAGTGATACTGAGTTAGTTCACCAAAATACAGATTTTCTATGCAGCATTTTTGCATTAAAATTTTAAGCGAAAAAAATCAAATAGATCCATGCTAACTAAATTCAAATTTAAATTTTTGACTGTTCACAAATTTTAAAATTGTTTCTTTGCTTTCAACCAACCATCAAATTAGATGAATGAGGCAATTTTGAACTGCATTGGTTAGAGCTGACACTGAAATTTTAACATGTAGACTGAATTGCAACTTAACTCTAGACCTTATGATGTTTATAATAATTTAGATAATCACTACCAAATGATTTACGGAGATTTTTCATGATTTATTAAATTATCAGATCTTGTGAAACTACAAGATAAAAGAATTGCATGTTCAGACAATGCAATGCTACATTATCTAGAATATCACATATAAGAAGAAATATAATGTCAGAATCATCATCATTAACATCATCCACAAATGGAGTTAAACGAACAGGTTCACCATTACAAAACGGAGAATATAAACAACTGCAACAAAAATCCGTAACTAGAGATATAAATGGATTTAGATTAAAACAACAAGATATAGATAAATCAAAAATATTAGATGAAGACCCAACAAATACTACAACAACAAAGACAATAGAAGAAAAAGAAGCAGAAGGTGCTGAATACGTAATAGAAAAAAATTTAAGAAAAGTTTCACCTTATTATTATACATATATGACATATTGTAAATTAAGATGGAGAGATCGTACATTATTAGATATTTTCACTGAAGAATTTAGAGATAGAACTCCTGAAGTATATGAAAAGGCAATAGAATCTGGTTTAGTTAAATTAAATAATAAAGTTGCTGATTTAAATACTATTGTTAAAAATGGAGATTTAATAACTCATAGAGGATTTAGAAGAGAAGCTCCAGTTACTTCTTCCCCGATAAAGATAGTTTATGAAAATGATGATCTTTTAGTGATTGATAAACCTTCAGGAATACCTGTACATCCAACAGGTAGATATAGATATAATACAGTAACAAAAATTTTACAACATGAACAAGGTAAAATTGTACATCCTTGTAATAGATTAGATAGATTAACTTCAGGTTTAATGTTTTTAGGTAAAACTAGTAAAGGATCAAATGAATTTATGAAACAAATAAGAGATAGAAATGTATCCAAATATTATATTGCAAGAGTTAAAGGTAATTTCCCCACATCAGATATAACAGTAGATAAACCATTATTTACAATAAGTCCAAAACATACTTTAAATGTAGTTGATTTAAAACAAGGTAAAGAAGCTAAAACTGAATTTCGTAGAGTTTCATATGATCCAAAAACAAATACAAGTATAATTACTTGTCATCCATTAACTGGTAGAACTCATCAAATAAGAGTTCATTTACAAAATATTGGTTTTCCAATAGCAAATGATCCAATATATTCAAATTCATATATATGGGGTGATAACCTAGGTCTTGGTGGTGAAGCATATTTAGAAGATGTTAAACTAAAAATAGATTCTATAGGTAAAACGAAAGAAGCATCAAGTTGGATTCATCCAAACGAACCAGGGGAAATATTAACTAATGAAATATGTCCACAAACTGGTCTACCATTATATACTGATCCTGGTATTAATGATTTGGAATTATGGTTACATGCATATCAATATGAATCAACCGATGGAGATTGGTCGTATAAAACAGAATGGCCAGAATGGGCTATTGAATCAAGTAGGAAATTTATGGAATTAGCTTTGAATGAAGCTCGTAAATGTGGAGAAACTCAAACTCAATATAATGTAGGATGTGTTTTAGTACTTAATGGAGAAATACTATCTACTGGATACTCTAGAGAACTAGAAGGTAATACCCATGCAGAACAAAATGCACTAGAAAAATATTTCTTAGTTAGTGGTTCTAAAGATGTACCACCAGGGACTGAATTATATACAACAATGGAACCTTGTTCATTAAGATTAAGTGGAAATTTACCTTGTGTTGATAGAATTATAAATTTACCAAATATAAAATCAGTTTTTGTTGGTGTTGTTGAACCTGATGTTTTTGTTCAAAATAATTCTTCTTATCATAAATTAAAATTGAAAAATATTGCTTATGTTCATATACCTGGGTATGAAAATGAATGTTTGGATATAGCTAAAAAAGGTCATGAAAAAATTGGAAAAAATACATAACTTTATAGAGTTCTGCGATAATCACTTATTAACAAAATAGAGCCATTGAGCACACTTTTTGATTGTAGTAAAATTCAGTTCTTTCATTACATCATAAGATCTAAACTTATATTATATGTATATATAAATAAAACAAATAATTTTGAATAATGTATTCTAAAGTCTAAGATATCCAAATAGTTAAATTATGATCATCATTTAATTCATCAATAGCTAAGCTCCAATCATCATTAGAATCTAAAACCACAAAATCTCCATCTTCATCTTTATACCTTAATTTATTAACTAATATATCATCATTTACTAAATTACTATTTATTATTTTATTTGTAATTTTTATATATAATTCATTAAATGATATATGAGAATTTACCACAAGATCTTGTTGTAGATGAGAATTATTATATATTAATTTAATTTGTATATCAAATAATGGTAATTTCAATTGTTGTTGATGTTGTTGTTGATGTTGATGATTATGTATTGATGAAGATAATGGAGTTGTTGAAGTTGTTGATGATGATGATAATCTTGAATTTGATGTATCTCCTACTGATCCTGATTTTGATCTTGAATTATTTCTCATCATACTGAAAGTTGATGATGATGAATGATGTCTACTTCCGTTTGATGATCTATGCTCGTTATTATTATTATTGTTACTTTGATTTTGAAAATTTGTTGGTGAATCTGTTGAGTTTCCAATGTAATCATATATGGATGAATCATTTGTATTTGTTGATGATTGTGAATCTCTTAATTTTTTATTTATGTGATTATTCATTTCATTGGTCTTTAAATTTCTTAAACATTGTTCCCATTGATTTCTCATTTCTTCTGTTCTATATTTTAATGTGAATGATCCACTTTCCTTTTTACCTGACCAACTTATTATTAAAGTATACCCTTGGTTTATTGATGATGATGATGCACTTATATTGTAAATTTCCAGTATATAAACTCTGCCTTTTAATTCCAAAGGAGATTTATCATTTTTACCATTTATTGATTCTAATAAATTTGAAGTTGATTGAGTTATATTTGCATTTGATTTTTTTCTTGATCCAAATTTACGTTTTTCTGATTTATTTTCTTTTTCATTATTTAATTTATCCAAATCAATAAAGAAAAATATGATTTTTTCAAATAAATAAGCAACATATTCCTTTTCAGTATCTGAATCTTTAACACCTACTATTCCATGATATAATAATTCTCCTTGATCTCTTAGATTAAAACCTCTCCAATTACTTACTCTCTCTAGTAGCTTATTTAAGTATTCTACATTTTCTGCTCTTCTTTGTGCTTCATTTACTTGATTTGCAACTTCTTTCATTGCTGATCTAGCCATTAATAATTCATTGAACGAACTTGATTCTTCTTGTTGCTGTTGTTGTGGTTGTTGTGATGATTCAGGAGATGTTTTAATTAATTCATTTAGCAATAATGGATATTTACATAATCTTTGAATAGGTTTTAAAATGTATGATTGTAATTCAAATCCAGGATCTATTAGTATAGATGATTTTTTCAAATTTGTTGCTTCTTTTCCTATTAGATCAATTGCAGTTAATTGACCAATTGTCCAAGGTTCATAAGCTTTAAAAGGTCCCATACTTGCATGTATAAATATTGAACCAATTCTTTGATATTTTATAGGTACATTAATATTACATTCTAATCCATTTAAAAATTTTCTTTGAAAATCAACTATTTCGTTTAAGTTAGGGAATAATGTATGAATTTGTTCTGATGATAATAATTCTGCATCATTTAATTCATCTCTATATCTTGTTAATAATTCTAAATCTTGAACATATTTTCTTTCAGTTTCTATAATCTCCCTAAATACTTTTGATCTTTCATCAGTTATTGAAACATCTAAATTTATTAAATTTTCATCATTTTTTTCATCTCCTGTTGATAAGTCTGATACACTGTTTTTTCTTGATAATGAATATTTATCTAGTAATTTAGTTATGACATCCACGATCTTTAGCAAATCATGAGTATTATCTGAATAAACATTTGATATAGTAAATAAATCATCATCTTCAATTTTTAAATTTAATTTCATTGCTATTATAAATTCATAAACTGATTTTTTACAAATTCTTAAATCATCAGAACTTATTATTGATATTTGATGATCTGGAGAAATATAATTAAAAATTAAACATAATGGTGCACCTTGTTGAAATAATTTCCATAATTGAGTTGCTGGATCAACATTTATATTAGAAGGTAAAACACCAGCAGTATAAGTTAATAATGATTCACTATTATTTGTATTATTTGAATTATAAGTATTATTACTACTACTATTATTTGTATTTGTCTGATGTAATCCATTCCCACTATTTTGAGAATTTTCTGAACTTATTGATAATCTATTCATTGATAACTTGAATTTTTCTTGTGATAAATATAATGATTGTTGTTCACATAATTTTTCAGCATTTAAATAAGCTAATTTCATAAATGGTAACATTCCATCTATTTTTGATAATTTTCTTTTTAGGTATTCACATTTGAAAAATAAATGATCTTTTGGTGAACTTTGTTTATTAAAATTATTTAAATTTAATGGTCCTGAAGAATTAATTCTTGATATTGATGATGAACTTGTAGTATTATTATTGTTGTTATTGTTTAATGATGAATTCAATGATAAGGATGAACTTGTTGAAAATGAACGAAATGGTTGTGGTGGATGATTTTCTACCATATTGGAATTGAATTTATATAATGTTTACTATATTGTGGTTGTAAAATAAAGTTGAGAAGTCAGTGAATTTAATTATAATTTATTATATTAAAAGTAGTGGAATAAATGATGAAAGATAATCAATTTATATGATAAAATGTTGACTAATATAAAGTGATATGGATAGTGGTTGTTAATAATTTCTTATACTCAATATTGATGATGATAGAACAGTTAACTTAATTGTTGATATTTGATGGAGTATTATTATTATTATTATTATTATTCTATTTAAAGATTAATTGAGTATAAAGTTAAAAGTAATTACTTATTATTTTTTAAATGATTGAATATATTATTTTGATATTATCACTATTAAAATCTAATAATAATATCAAATTTTTAGTTGGTTGTAAAGTAAAGTTTTTAATAAATTGGTTGTAAATTTTATATATTTGTATATAATTTGTATATATAATTAATTTGTATTGAAAAAAATTAAAAAATTTAAAGAGAGAGAAAAATAGAACAATTTTTATTATACTAGTCTAATATTATAAAATTCAGTTTTAAAACAAATAATATTATTATTTTAATGTTAATATTTATTAAGTATTTGATAAAAGAGATTACATTAAATACTTTTAGCTAATATTAGATTGATTTCTATTAATACATCCAATTGGCTCTCGAAGACTGTTAAAAAAGTTCAGGTCAATAAGTTTACAAATTAAAACAAATATTAGTTAATCTATTCTCTCCCTTTTTATCTTTGGTTAGTTACTGGAATTATAATTAATATTAATATTAATATATTAGATTTATTTATTAATAATATATTTATAATACTAAGATTTTGTATCATAATACACGACTATATTTTTAAATCTCCTATAGTCTATATATTGAAAATTAAAAGTTGGTTGCCAAATATTGATTAATTATTGATGTTTGAAAGGATTAACTCAATTTGTAACTCGATCTACAACTGGTTTTTTTACAACAGTCTGCTATGCGTAATCGTTACGTTTGAATTGAAGGTAGAGGGTTCTAACATAGTAAAAAACGCTATTATTCTCAAGTGTCCATAAAGTAATGCTTTCATAGAAATGAGAGCGTTTTTACTGTTATATATTTAAATAGATAGACAGTTACCAAAGCATTATATTCGATCAATAGGCATCTTACTTGACTTTAAATGCTCTCTTTCAATCTTTCATTTAATTTGGTTGTAAAATGTTTTAGTTCAATAATAATTTTTCCCCATACTAATTACTCTACATTTTTCCTGTATATGAACTACATAATACAAAATAATATATTTATAATATAATACATTATAAAGAGATATCAGATTTAAACTATTAATCAAATTATTTTTACAACCAATTTCATTAAACTGATTCATATATTTAATACAACTATTTAATACATTAAGTACAGCACTTTATAAGACCACAAGATGCTACAGCTATCAGAAGGTATGATTACAAATAAAGGCATCAAAAATGAATTAGGTGCCAAATTAAAATCATTCAAATTATCATATACTAACTATCAAAATATAGATGATCAACTTAAGGATATGTGTCCAATCTGTAAAACAGATAAATATTTATCACCAAATATGAAATTTCTAATAAATCCAGAATGTTATCATAAAATTTGTGAATCATGTGTCGATAGAATTTTTTCATTAGGTCCAGCACCATGTCCATATCCAAAATGTGGTAAAATATTAAGGAAGAATAAATTTAAACAACAAATATTTGAAGATTTAAAAATAGAAAGAGAGATTGATATAAGAAGAAAAGTTGGTTCCATATATAATAAAACAGAAGAAGATTTCCCCAATTTAAAAGAATTTAACAAATACATTGAAAATATAGAGGAAATTGTATTCAATTTAAACAATGGAATAGATGTGGAAAAAACAGAACAAGAATTAAATAAATATGAACAAGATCATAAAATTGAAATATTAGAAAAAAATATGAGAGAATCTCAAAAAACAGCGGATATAAATAAATATCAAGATTCAATGGAAAGATTAAAACAAGAAAAATTAAAAATTCAAAAAAAAATGGAAATAGAAGATTTAGAATTTTCAAATATTCAAAAACAAGATCTTTTAGATAAATTAACTAATAGTTCAATGACAAGTGAAGAATTAATAAAACAACAACAATCTCAATTATATAAGAGAAATCAACAACGTAAAAAACAATTGCAACAAATCAATAATCAATTAGATTTGAAATTTAATAGTGTGAATCCATTACAAAAACAAATAATTGATGGTGATAATTCAATAACTCCATTTACTCCATTCCAAGGTGATAGAGACTTGAATAAAAAATATGATATATTGAAAATACCGAATACAATTGATGAAATTATGAATATTGAAAATACTAGTAAAAACAGTTATCAAGATCCTTATTTGTTTGATTTAGCTAAAAATAAAGAATATTTGGGGTCAGGTTGGAGAATTAATAATATTTTTGAAAGAGCATTAGATGAAGCATTTATCGGATTAGGTTGTAATATTGAAAGAGAAAAATCTATAACGACGTAAAATTTAAGAAACTATAGAAATTGTATAGAATCTATGTAAATTTTAATGAATAACTTTTTAATGATACAATTATTTCCAAGTATATTTCTAAAAATCCATAAATTTAATTTCTGGATGATAATAAATAGGACATGACCAATAACTTCTCTTAACATCATCCCAAATAGATCCATCTTCTTTACTTTCATGCTTAAATAATTCTTCAGGAACTTCAACATCAATAAATTTACAACATAATCCATAATTTTCCAAATCCAATTCAACTAATTTTTTATAAACTTCATAAATAACAATCCTATCAGCTCCTAATCCATTGAAAAATGAAAATATACCATACGGTTTTAATAACCCCACAACTAAATCAAATAATTCTAACATATCTTGATAATGTTCTGAAAAAGTATCATAATAAATCCCATTGAAAAAAATATTTTGTGATAATAATTTAGGTAATTCATCTTGCCAACGTCCTTCTAATATAATAACATTGGGCTTTTCGTACCATCCGTCATCACGTAATTTTTTTAGTACGTCAGGGTGTGCTTCACATATATAATGATTAGTTGGTTGTTCTTGTTGTATAAAAGTATCAATGATTCCCATCCCAAAACCAATATTTAAAATATTTATCTCTGAATCTTTTTCACTTGGTTCTATATATGATCCTTTAGCCAATGAATCACTTCCCATTTTCATTATTTCAGTTTCCCATGACATCATTACTCCATCTTTTCTATCTTTTGTTACTAGAGCATTGTTTTTATATTCTAATTTTGTGTTTAGGTATGATTGTTGGTTTTGTGACGGTGCTTCTGGTTCATCATCTATTTCTATTGACTTTGCTGATTCTTGGTTCTTGGTGCTAGTTGTTTTTTCCATTGTATCTGATTTTTCCGTAGGTTCTTTAATATCATCTTGTTCTACTTCCTCTTCTTCTTTGACTAAATCCGGTATTTCTACATTTTCTTCAATTTGTCCAAATGCTTCATGATCTAAATCATCAGTATCTTCAATAACTTCCATATCAAACTCACTTACTTTTCTCAATAATAATTCAGCTCTAACTCCAGCATTTACTATTTCTTGATATATTGGTAAATGTTTTAGATTTCTTTTGATTAGTATACAACCTGGGGTATCATTATTTATATCAGTAAAACACCAACCTGCTCCGTATTCAAATAAAATCTCTACCATTTGTGTTACTATTTTGATTTCTTCTTCTAATAAATCTTTGGGTATATGTGTACATATTAGATGTAATGGGGTCGTTGTTGTTGTTGGTTCTGATTCGATATTATTTGTGAAATTGTATGCTTCTTCAATTGTATAAGTTGCTGGTATGCCATTTTTTAAATAGTAGTTTAGACTATCTATATATTTTGAGGTAATTGGTCTCTCAGGAATTTTACATAGATCATGTAAGTCAGACATTGTCTGTTGATTGAAGCACTGACAAATTTAGTCTTTGATGATCATCTTACATACTAATTTTTTTTTTTTGTTTTTTTAGTGATTTAAACGAGAATTTGAGTTAGGGGGTAATTTTAATTTTTGACATTTAGTGATTAAAGTATAATTCAAAACAGTAATTTGTGATCATGTAAGTAGGTTAAATTATAATACTAAATTATTTTTTGACATCTTACATCTATATGCTAACGCAAAATTCCTGTCATTTTACATGATGTATGTCAAAATTAATCCAGATAGAGAATAAAACTTACTTAAAGGTTTACGCTATGGTTAGCACCCCAAGAGATTTTATTACTTGCTTTTAATGTATTATACTAATTACCATTTCTTAGTTTAAACTTCCTCAAAATTGCCGTTACTGAAAAAGTAACATACCTGGGGACTAACGGTTGCATGGTTTACTCAAGACTTTTAAAGTTTATATCTTTCATGTATAGTCTATTTCTCTATTTCTTTCCTTTTCCCTTGGATATATAAACCATGTTAAGTTATTTAAATCTAGGCTACAAGATTGCAGATTAACAACTGATTTCAAATTTAAATTTCAACAATTGAAATTAATTGACTTTAAAATTGAAAAGAAACTAACTTGAACTCTTTGGCATAAAACTTATTGAATTTACCCCAATCACGACGTGGATAGTCAATGTTTTAGTTTACTGTTAAAAACGTAAAAATTGTTATGTTAAAAAGAAAAATTAAGAAAATTTCAATCTTTTTTTGTTATTAATTTTTCAAATCGTATGTTTTTTGTATTTTTAGTAATTTTGCAACTTCATTATTTTTGTACTACTTTGTTTTTGCTTTTGTGCGAAATTTCTAAACATCTAAGAAATAATTAATTTTATAATTTTTTATTTTGTATCTTCTCAAATTATAAGAATTTTTCCCCATATTTTTTAGCTTATTATTATTTATCCTACTATTTTTATTACTGGTTTTTCTTCTATTAAATCTCAAGATTCCAAGAGTCCAAGCTTCCAAGCCTCCAAGACTTATATCATAGGGGTTTCAAATAAGGCACATTATATTATTTTAAAATAATGGCTTAATTTTTTATTTAAAATATAATTACAGCTCGTAAAAATAAATCATTTACTATCAAAGAATAAATTAAATGAGCAAAATAAAGTAATTTTGTCAACGGTATTAATTTTTTGATAAAGCAATACAGATCAAGATCTAAATAATAAAATTTTTTCCATCGAATATCAAATATTGCAGTTTCTTACTTACTTCCATAATTATATATTAGAAGTCCTTATTATCTACAAAACATAATAAAATTTCTATTAAATAAAAAATGGGCTAATTTATTGCTTTTCATATAAGCTCGAATTTGAAATTTTACATTAAATTGCATGAACAAATTGTCAAAACTTCACAACAATATCGCATTTACTATTTCCATCGACAAAATACTTAAGCGAAATCTTGGAAAAACTTTAACTTTATATTATCAAATTGGTTTGTATTTAATAATATGTGAAGTTATGCCTACACCAGAAGAACAAATTCCTTCTTCCTCTACCAAATTCTAAGCATAATTTATTGTTTTAAGATGCATTAAAAAGCAGTTTCCGAAAGAGAAAAATTGATAAAAATTATAAAACACTAAATTCATATTATTATTGAAATTGATGGTTATGGAGCTTGTCAAAATTGGAATAATTGAACAAAGTTTCTATTTCATCATTAATTTTTCTTATACAATATATCTAATTCATTAAATTTCATACGTAAATGAAATATTTCTTTTCGTCAAGTCATTCCACATACTCTTACATTTTTTAGATAATATTTTATTTTATTTGTTACTTTTTCTACTATTATATTCAATAACGTATCCATAATAATGAAATGTCTAAAAATATATACATATAATTATTTTTGGCATATAATTATTACTATGTTAACATACTTATTTAGGAATCTAGATACTCAAATTTGGAAAAAGAAAAGTCAAATTTATTCAGTTTATTTCTTTACCAAGTATCATTGAAAAAATTTAATTATCATTGGATTGAGTTTATGACTTCTTGATTTAAGCTTTTTTAGTTTTTTTACAATAGGTTTCATATTAATTTCATTAATTTTGAATTAATTAAAAAACTTTTATTTTGAACTAAAATCATAAAGAAAAAATTAAAAAAAAAAAAGAAACCCCCCAACAATTGATTGAAACTTTTATCATTTATAATAACTTTCAAATCAGGTATTCATTCAATTACAACTTACAATTTTTTTAATCTATATTTTTTGGACTAGTCAGTATACACAAGGAATAATATCATCAAAATTATTGAAACAATTGATACTTAACTTATGATATAAAACGAATGGCTTCTTCAAAAAATACAAATAATGATTATAAAACATTCTTGACTTCATTGTATGATAAAAATGGTAATAACATGAATAATAAAAATAATAATATTAATAGTACAAATAATGGAAATGTAAATTATCAACAACATCAATTGCATTCACAACATCAAATAAATAACACAAAACATTCAATTTATGGGAATTACAATCAAGACCAATCATCTGGAAATATAACAATCTTACAAAATTCAAATTCAAGTTTAAAATCAAAACCAACACCTGATTATGATATAAATCTTGCAATACAATATCAATCAGATCCAAATCAAGAAATAACAAATGCTTTTCAAAATCACTACCAAGAACCAAATATAAAAACCGAAGCTTGCTCACATGACCCACATACTCAATGTGAAGATCATCTGTGTTTAGTTTGTCGATCAACTTCATCATTAAATGAACCTACTAATAGTTATAAAAAAGAACCACAAATAAAAAATGAAACTTATGATAATAACTTAGGTAGTTTAAACTTTCAAAACAATGACATGAGCAACAGCAATAATATTGGAGTAGATTTCAATTACGGATTATCTTCATCATTTAATCAATATTTAATGAATAATTCATCAAGAAATGGGTTAAGTTTAAATTCAGCATCACCGCCGCTTAACAATTCATTACCTACAAATTTTCAAAATTCATTTTCATCAAATAATGCAACAACGTCTTCAAACATCAATGATAAAGATTTACCAAGTAACACTGACTTTATAGCAAGTGGTGAATCTGGGACCAACTCATATTTGATATCAAATGAAGCAACAAATTTGAATTATAATCAACTAGATAATGATGATATACCACTACAATCAAATGAATTAAATGATAATAATAACCAATTTCAAACAGAATTGACTACATCAAGTTTTTTGATGAAGAACAACAATCTAAATCAATTCAAGAACCAACTAAAACAAACAATATCAAACGATATTGGATCAACTTATTTAGACAACAATAGTAATGAAAATACCAATTTAATTGCAAATAATCAAAATAATCATCACTTTCATAATCACCAACAACAAATTTCATCATCAACAGCATTATCAGCATTATCAAATACCCCCTTAGCATCACCGTTATCAATTGATAATATCCACAATAAAAATTTAATGGGAGGAAGAAACTCAGTTGATTTACCAAATAGTAATCATAATAATGTCACATCATTGTATCAGAATAGACCACTTTCTTCAAATTCTCCATCGTCTGTTTCAACAATATCTTCAACTCAACAAATTCAACAGCAGCAGCAGCAGCAACAACAACAAATGTTACTACAGCAACAACAAGCTGGCATGTTCAACTCCATGAATAAATCAAGTTTGAGGTCAGTTCAACAACCAATAAATTCATCATCTTCATCAACTCCAGTTTCACCAATGAATAGCTCATTGAATAATAATCCAAATGAATTAAGAAGAAATTTATCAATATCCAAACCAAATTCAACTTTAACCAACACAAATAACAGTAGCTTAAAAAATTCATCATCTTCATCATCTTCATCTACAAAATTCCCACCTATCAGTAATATTAGTCAAACTCAAAATAATTTATTACCTTATGAAAACGATAATAATTCAATAATTTCAAATTTGGGTACCAACAATAATGATATTAATACTTTGAATAATAATTTAAATAATTCTGAAGTATCATTAGTATCAAATACTGATACATCAAAAAAAGTAAATAAAAATACAAAGCATCGTACAAATAGTACAAATGGTAATAGTCAAATCACAACAAAAATACATCAACATATAACAACCACGGGAGGAAGAAGAGTTAAATCCGCACATAATGTAATTGAACAAAGATACAGAAATAAAATAAATGATAAATTCAATGCATTACAAGAATCAGTGCCAACTTTAAGAATATTATTAATTAGAAAATTAAAAGAGAAAAAATTAAAACAAAGATCATTATATATGCAACAACATAAAAATGACAATTATGAAGAAGATTATGAGAATAATTCAGACACTGAACAGCTCAATAATAATATCCCAGCTGGCAGTAACTCAAACGGTATTCAAATTGATGGATTATTAAGTATGAATAATTTAAATGAAAATGAGATTATTAATTTAGAAGGCTTGGAGCCAGCAAGAAAATTAAATAAAGGAACCATATTAGCAAAATCAATTGAATATATAAAATTCTTAGAAATCAAAAATTTCAATTTGAAATATGAAAATCAGAACTTAATAAACAAAGTAAAAAGTTTAGGTTTAAATATTGAAGAAATAAATAATGAATTCAATAATGGATTAAATTCAATAGGTATAAATCAGAACGGGAATGGAGTAATGTTAATGAATGGATTAAGAAATAATAATCATTTAGATATGGATGACGATGATATTGATGAAGATGACGATGATGACGATTAGTTTGTAATAGCAAAAAAGTAGATAATAGTTACAATATTTGAGATTCAAAACCACTAAAACGAGGTCAAGGTTGATGTTTCATGTTTGTTTTTGTTAAATCAAAAAGTCAAAAAAAAAAGTTGTATAAGTAAATAAAATTAAAAAATAAATTTTTTTCTTCGTATAGATTATTAATTTGAGGTTTTTACTCTTATGTCATTTAAGATAATAATTACATGCTTGACGAGCTTATGTAGATGAACGCCAATATTATGTTTTGCAGCATTATCAATGTAGGTGTAAAATGTTAGGTGGTATTTTTGAAAATGATGGTATAAATTTCGAGAATGAACTGGTAGCTTTCATTCGGAAAAAAAAGAAATTATGAATGAGTCGACTGTTTTAAAATTTTTTTCAATTTGAATCATACAAACTATTATAATTAATCTTACAATATAAATACTATCTGGCCAACTCAGCTCCATTCATTAGTGCTGTTGCATTTTTTCTGATATAAGGTGGGAATAAAAAAACTACAGATGTCAGTGGAGTCATTTCAAATAAAAGTACCAGCATCATCAGCAAATATTGGACCAGGATTTGATGTTTTAGGAGTTGGTTTACAATTATATTTAACTATAAAAGTTACTATAGACCCAAAACAAACCGATTGTGAGGATGCATATAATGCAAATATATCATATGAAGGAGATTTAGCTGAAAAAGTGCCGTTACAAAGTGATAAAAATTTAATTACTCAAACTGCTTTATATGTTTTAAGATGTAATGGTATTGAAAAATTCCCAGTGGGGACATCAATTCATGTCAATAACCCAATTCCGTTAGGTAGAGGATTAGGATCAAGTGCTAGTGCAATTGTGGGTGGAGTATATTTAGGAAATTTGATTGGAAAATTAAATTTTGATAAAAATAGAATGTTAGATTATTGTTTAATGATTGAAAGACACCCTGATAATATAGCGGCTGCAATGCTTGGAGGATTTATAGGATCATACTTGAATGAGTTAGAGGGAGCAGAATATGACGCGGTTAATGAACCGATAGACTATGTATTACCAACATCAACAACACCAAAAGATAAAATTATTACAACACCACCACCAAATCATATCGGAGAATATTTACAATACAATTGGAATAAAAAAATAAAATGTGTAGCAATAATTCCTAATTTTGAAGTTAGTACAGATAAATCAAGATCAATACTACCTCAATCATATGAAAGAAAAGATATAATATATAATTTACAAAGAATTGCCATATTAACACAAGCTTTAACTCAAGATCCTCCAAATCATAAATTAATTTATCAATCAATGAAAGATAAAATTCATCAACCTTATAGAACTGTTTTAATACCTGGTTTAGATTTAGTATTATCAAAAGTTGTACCTTCGAAACATCCGGGGTTATGTGGTATTTGCCTTAGTGGAGCTGGCCCTACCATTCTATGTTTAGCTACTGAAGGATTCGAAGAAATTGCATTAGATGTTATAGAGATTTTTAAAAGTGAAGGTATTAAATGTGATTGGAAAATTTTGGATTTGGCGTATGATGGTGCCACTGTAGAATATTTGTAAATAGAACTTATAGACAGATAAATACATACTTTCACCATACTATTCGTAGCATATTAAGGCAAAACTCGATCTCTCTTAATACTTAGACACTCAGTAATAGTTAACGAAATTTTACACCAATAAAAAAATAGAAAGCGAGAAAACGTTAAAACGCAAGTCAAATCTGAAATATGATATTGATTATATACATACTGTCAAGTCTATCAACATCTATTAAACAAACTAGACTACTACTTTATTCAATTGAAAAGTTTGGATCAGAAAAAAAATGGCTGAATTAATAGTTGATAGTAATCCAGATCTCAGAACTAAATTAATTGAACAAGATGTTATAGTGGAATCACAATCACAACCAATATTATTAACAAGAGTTGAAATAAATGGAGGAGAATCATTCAGTTATGAATTTTTCAATAAATTATTGAATCCATTATTATCAGAGGGGGATTATACTTTATCTCAATTGACTAAAAGAATTGATGAGACATATCAACATTTAATTGATACTGGAGTATTCAAAGATGTTAATATCGTTTTAACTCCAGATTATTATTCAAATATACCAGCACATATAACTTCATTTAATCATGAAAAATCATTACCTGCAAAAATAATATTTGAGTTGTCCAATATAAACTTGAACATAAATGAAACATTTTTAAATTTTAATAATGAAGAATTCTTAAATTTAAAATTAAATCATATTGATAATAATTTTAATGAAAATGCAGAATTAGTATCAATTGGAGTAGACTACAATCCTTATAAACCGTATGATCATTTATTGACAAATTTGAAATTTATATCAGGTTTGAAAAATCCATCATTCAAATTTTTAATCGATATTGGATATAATACAAGAAATAATCATGCTTGGCAAGATTTCAAAGAGAACCAATTGGGTGGAAAACTTGGTTTATTATATAAAAAGAGAAGAGAATTTGATATCTTCACGGGTTTTTCATTATATAAAAGAAACTTGTTTGACATTGACGATGGAGCTGCAGATGATTTAAAATTTTTTGGAGGTGAATTTTTGAAATCAAGTGTTTTGAATAAATTCAAATATGAAAATTTCAAGTATTTGAATTCTGTTACCAAGAATTTCCCGGTTAGTGGTATAAATTTCAAAGTAAAATCGGAGTTAAGCTCAATTCAAGAACAAAACAATCAACAAAACAGAGGTGAGTTTTTCAAATCAAGTGTTGGATTTAATTTTTATAGCTCAATTTTCAATAATTTCTTCACAACTAAAATCAACGGAGAAGTTGGTGGTATATATTCATTCAATTCGAAATTTCCAATACATCCATTAGATAAATTTTATCTTGGAGGATATAACAATAATAATGAAAGTGATAACTACTATTCATTTTTAGGATTCAAAAAGAATAGTATTGAACCAAATGGTGGGTTACAATTTTACAAATTTCAAACAACTATCTATTCCAAAATTCCTTACTTCTTATATGCACCAAAAATAAATAACGAGATTATAATAGAGAATGATCCAAATCCTTTAAGGATCTATGGAACTTTCTTGATAGGTAATGCAATACCTCATATATTATCATCAAATTCAATAAAACAACAAAAAACAATATTGAGTGATCAAAATCCTGCTATAAGTTATGGATTTGGTTTAAAATATTTTAATAATTGGGCAAATTTTGATATTGGTTATTATATTAGTTCAAAATTAGGTTTCAATAGTAATAGTGAAATTTCTGGTATAAAAGATGGTTTACAATTCTCAATAACAATTGGTGGATCAAATCGTAATTTATAGAAGAAATAAAAGAAGTATTGATGATTTTCACTCGTATCTTTCTCTGTTGATTCATCTTATCTAAAATTCTATACTGTTGAAAATAAATTGGCTGCGAAATATTATGCAAAAAAAGAAATGTTAAGGAGTTACGCGTATCGCGATATTAAATTCTTAGCAGTACTTTTTCTACTACATAATTAAATTAACAACTAACATAATCATACCTTTAAATCTTCATATATAGATGGGAGTTAATGGTCTACTACAACTACTAAGAGAGATTCAAGACCCAGGATCATTGGAAAGATATAGAGGGAAAACATTAGCAATAGATACATATGGTTGGCTACATAGAGCTTTAATTTCATGTGCAGAAGAATTATGTTTAGGTAAACCAACAAGAAAATACATAACGTTTGTTATGAATAAGATACAAATGTTACAACATTTTGGTATAACCCCGTATTTTGTATTTGATGGAGCGTCATTAAAGACGAAATCAGAAACAAATCAAAAAAGAAGAGACATAAGAAATGAAGCAAAAGAATTAGCTAAAAAATTCAATGAATCTGGTAGATCTCATTTAGCAGTAAAACAATATATGAAGGCGGCATATGTTACATCACAAATGTGTAAATCTATAATGTGTGAATTAGATATTTTGAAAATTAAATATGTTGTTGCTCCATATGAAGCTGATCCACAAATGGTTTACTTGGAGAAAATTGGATTAGTCGATGGTATATTAAGTGAGGATTCAGACTTATTAATATTTGGTTGTCAAAAATTGATTACAAAATTAAAAGATGATTCAAGTTGTGTTGAAATTAATAGATCAGATTTTGGTAAAGTTAAACAAATACCTTATTTAAATTGTTATAGTGATGAACAATTAAGATTGGTCGCAATGATTTCTGGTTGTGATTACACAAGAGGTGTCAACGGTGTTGGATTAAAATCTTCATTTCAAATTGTAAGGAGGTATGTTACTTTACAAAAAGTACTTATTGCATTAAGATCAACTGGTAAAAAAATACCTGATGGATTTGAAGATGAAGTGGAAAAAGCAAATTTAGCATTTCAGTTTCAAAAAGTATTTGATCCAAGAAATCAAGTTTTAGCAACACTAAATGATATACCTGATACATTGGAAATTGATGAAGTAGTTTTGGAATCGTGTTGTGGTAGAACTATAGAAGCAGAAGTCTGTCAGAAAATATGTAATGGTAAAATTGATCCAAATAGTCATCAATTATTAGTATCAAGAGAACAAAACATCCACGTATTGAAATCAGCGTCAATCCAATTATCGTCAAGAACCTCAAACAAGTATAATCAAACTACAACAATTGATACAGCTCAAAGATCAAAATCCGAATCATCAATCAAAAATAATAACAATAGATCAATATTTGACCTACTAAAAATCTCAAGAAAAACGGTCAAAACATCTGAAGAGATAGAAGAAGAAACCACTACAAATGTCACGGTAAGCCGAACCTTGAAAACTCCTGAAAAACTACCATTTAAAAGACCCAATATTGTTCTTGGTACAAGAGAATTAAAAATTTCACCAACAACTAAAAAAATCAAGAAACTACAGAATATCACCAATTCAACAACTGCAAGTAAATTTTTTGGACTTAACAAAGTAAGATCACCGCCATCAGATAAAAAACCCGCAATTACGAAGGAAACCACCCATCCTATCAAAAATACGGCCACTACAAAAGTAACTCATACTGTTTTACCAACTCCCAACAAAACCGTCAACGAGTTTCCTGATTGGGATTCTAGTTTAATAAATGACTCAGAGGTACCAGATGAATCACCTACAAGTCAAAGTGTCAATGTGGAAAATATATTGGGTGAGTTAACAGATAATGATTTAGAAGATAGCAAGAGTCAAGAACAAGAATCAAAGGAAGAGATAGAAAACAAAAACGACTCAAAAGAAAGCCAAGAAGAACAAATAATGGATTCACAATTTATTGATAGTCCTACAAAACCTACTAAAAAACTCACTAATTTAAACTTAAAATTTAGTCAAGTATCTGATTGTGAAATAAGTGAAGAAGAATCAGATTTATTTAAAGTCAATACTAAAATTATTGATTTACAACAATTTGCATTTAAAGGATAGATATATTTATAGCATTATAGAAAATTCCTAGTCAATTTTCTACCTTTTCCTCCATACATGACGCTCTGTAGAGTATTCGAGAAAACGATTAAGTCGTAAATATGAAAAATCATTTACTTAAAGACCTCTAATTATAGAAGCACCAATAGCTAATCTAGTCAACTTACCTTGTAGAGCCTTTGCGTCATCATTATCCTCGCTGGTGAACTTAACATCATTTAATTTATATGTCTTCTTGAATTTTGGAATGTCAACCATTTTTAATAGTATTTCGTCATTGATTTCAACGTGGTCTCCCTCTATTATTTCGTTGATTCTTTTTTCAATCTCTTCTGAATCCACATCCTCATCTTTTTTTATAACTTTGATAATTATAGTTTTTGGACAGTCTTCCAGTATCCCAAACCTTTTAATTGCATCTGAAATTACATTTACTGGTGATAAATTTAATAGAATTTCAGTGTTTAAATTATTTGCTTGCATGTTTTGGTTGCTATGATTCAAAATTGACTTATGAATACTATTATATAGTTGTTCTTGAGAAATTATGTATTGAGTGTTTAAGAAGCAGTAGTCGTATTTTTTGTTTGCATTAATTAACTGTTGTTTTATTTCTTTAATATTTTCTTTTGACACATTTGTAAATAGCTTTATTAGTATTTTGTACTGTGGAAATTGTGGAAACGTTATTAGATCTCTACTATTTGACATAATTGAGGTAGGTGATGATTTTCCGGGGTATCGATTTTTCAAAAGATGTAGATATTGTAATTGTATACAATTATCGCTTACAGTTATTTTTAGGTTGAAAATTTCATAGTACATCCTGTAAAGAATCAAACAAATTTAAAATATAGCCATATACTAAATACTAATGGAATGGATAATACAACGAAGCATGTGGACGTCAAGGAGGTGCTAGAGACTTTATTTACAGATACAGACAAATTGACAAACTCTTCAGATACTACAAACTTAAATAATCACCAGAACCAATATCCAGAATCAATCTTACAAAATTCAAATAAAGGTAATAAACTATATAATTCTTTCCAAAGTTATTCACCTCAATTTGTGAATACGGAACCAAGTTTAATTAACAAGTCTCTGGTAATACGATGGCCCAATTCCAATCTAGAGACAGTTCAACATCTAATATTAAATCACTGGTTAGAACAAAATTCAACATCAACCTTAAATTCAAATAATTCACAAGACAAATCTAAAGTATCAAAATTAACAGCAACAAGAGGTCGAGCGAATAAATTATTTACGTGGGCTTCCAGTGATGAATATGTTGAAATGAGAAAGAAACAATTGAATAAATTACGAAGAGGAAGTGGGGTATCTGATCACTCAAAATCACAAATTAATAACGACAATGACCATAAAGCTTCAGAAACCGACATAAAATCACAAGCATTACAAACACTGCTAAAACTCAAATTTAATAAAGATAAATCACTAAACAAATTATCACAAATAGTAGAGAACGAATCGAATAAATTTATACATTTAAGAATTCAAAAAATAAGACTACATCATAGTGAACAAATTGAAAAACAAATTAATGAAAGAAAGAAAAAAGATTATGAACTTTATCTCAAGAAATTAAAATTAAAAGAAGAAGAATATGAAAAATCATTAAGACAAGAAACTGCACAAAGTAACTCAAAGGGTAACTTTTTTGGAAATTTATTTGGATTCAATGCCACAACTACTACATCAAATGATAAACCAGAAACTATTGAACCTGATATCGATACCGGCAGTATAAAAAATGGACTGACGAGTAGTAATAAGTCAAAAAGATCCACTTTATTTGGAATGCAATCATTATTTTCAAGTAATAGTAATAAAGATAATCTGTCAAGTCCTAAAAAGAACACCACTACAGTGTTTGATGCTGACGATCGATCAGATACTCAATCTATAGCTGGACTGAATCTTGAAAATTCAATTGTGTCGGATAATAATGGAAATGAACCAAATGGTGATAAGAAGAAGAGTACAGAGAATGAGACAAAATTGGAGAGCTCGCTTGAAATGTTGAATATAGATGATATGGAAAATCTACGATCAAATGGTGTCACGACTCCAAATAATAATTTCAAAAATTATCATGACAACTCGGATAATGAAGAAGACAAAGTTGAAAATAACGATGATGAGTTTACTGATTTCACAATGGCTACCAAAACGAATGGAGTTAATGGAAAAACCCGTACTGATACTAAAACTTCGCATAATTTTTTCTCCATCGATCAAGCTCAGCTGCAGAGTGGTTCTGGTAATCATGAGGAACTTATAGATTTATTTGATGATAGACCACCATCTAAATCAGCTACTCCTCCTGTCATAAGATCACCTACTGCTTTCGATAATGAATTAAATTTACTTGATTTATAGATGTTGTATTATTAAAAAAAAAAAATTTGGAACTTTAGAACTGCATATACTCTTAAATTATATTTCGCTAACAAACTTTAATTTTTCAGATCATTAATCATTTAAAGCTAGACTTCAAACAACTAAATCAAGTCAAACTACAGTCATATATTCTGCATGATACCGATATAATTATAACAATAATTGAAGAATGATATCAAGGTTGAAAATAATAACGAAAAATGGCAGAAATCTAAAACCTCATAGATTATATGCAACAACAACAACATTATCCACACCAAATTTAGAAATGACAACTCTTAATAATGGATTAAAATTAGTAACGGATTCGACTCCAGGACATTTCAGTGCATTAGGAGCATACGTTGACGCAGGTTCAAGATATGAAGATCCACAAAACCCAGGATTATCTCACATTCACGATAGATTAGCTTGGAAATCTACAAAAGATTTTAGTGGGTTACAAATGATTGAAAATTTATCTAAATTAGGTGGTAACTATATGTGTTCTGCCCAAAGAGAAAGTATGATTTATCAAGCTAGTGTATTCAACAAAGATGTTGAACAAATGCTAGAAGCAATTACTCAAACTATAAGGTACCCCCAAATAACAGATCAAGAATTGTTAGAAACTTTGCAAACTGCTGATTATGAAGTTCAAGAGTTGGGATATAAACATGAATTACTATTACCTGAAGAATTACATTCTGTTGCTTACAAAAACAATACACTAGGTTTACCCTTATTTGTACCGAAAGAAAGAATACCACTAATTACCAAAAATGATATAATAAATTACCATAATAAATTTTTCCAACCTCAAAATATAGTCATTGCAATGGTTGGAGTACCTCATCAAATAGCACTAAGTCTAGTTGAAAAGAATTTTGGAGACTGGGAATCGAACGGAATTAAACCAGATAAGGGAATCAAGAATTATACAGGTGGAGAAATATCCTTACCACATCAACCTCCATTATACGCCAACCAACCAGAGCTTTACCATATGCAAATTGGATTTGAAACTACTGGGTTATTAAATGATGATTTATATTCATTAGCTACATTACAAAAATTATTAGGTGGTGGATCATCATTCTCAGCTGGTGGGCCAGGAAAGGGGATGTTTTCAAGATTATACACTCAAGTATTGAACAAATATCCATTCGTTGAAAATTGTATGTGTTTCAATCATTCATATTTAGACTCTGGATTATTTGGTATAACATTGAGTCTTGTACCTGAAGCTGGACATGTTTCATCACAAATTATAAGTCATGAACTATCTAAATTATTACAATTTGATGAAAAATCAGGTGGATTAAAAGAATCTGAAATAAAAAGAGCTAAAAATCAATTAATAAGTTCTATTTTAATGAATGTTGAAAGTAGATTAGCTAAACTTGAAGATTTAGGTAGACAAATTCAATGTCAAGGTAAAGTAACAACAATTGATGAAATGGTTGAAAAAATAAGATCAGTTGATGTTAAAGATTTAAGAAATGTTGCTGAAAAAGTTTTAACTGGAAATATTAAAACTTCAAGTGGTACAAGTTCTGGTCAACCATCAGTTGTTATGCAAGGCGATAGAGAATCATTTGGTGATGTTGAATATATTTTAAGGAAATATGGATTAGGGAAATTCAATGGACCTGAAATTAATGACCCAAGAGATTTTTCTAAGAAGAAATCTTGGTTTTAAAATAGATATGTAAATAGTGCTGTATAAAATCAATTAGATATATTTAATTTATTATTAAAAAGTGGGTATTCTAATGTGTATTTATCTACAGTATTTAAATTAAATTTAATCTTTCTCTCAACTCCAAAACTTCCTTTCGCAACATCAACATATTTTCATTTAATTGGTTGTTTTTCTCTTCTGTGGTTTTAAGTAAAAGATTTTTTTCAATATTTTCATTATGTAATGAATCTAACGAAGATTTGTAATGATTTATTTTATTTTGATAATCGAAATTTTCATCATTATATTTTTTACTTAATTGAGATTCATTGCGAATTCTTGTTTCTAATGAATTATTTGATCTTTCTAAATTTTTAATGATCTTATCTGAATCCTGTTTTGCTTGGATTGATAAGTCTAAATTTTTGGTTAATTTTGAAATCTTATCTTCTAAATACTTGATTTGTTCGTTACTGTATAGTTTCTCTTCGAGAACGTGAACTTTTTTAGTCAATTCTTCATTAGTCTTCTTTAACGAATAATTTTCTTCTTTTGATATTAATAAATCATTACGAAATTTTTGTTGATCTCTAAACTCGGAGGTAGATAACAGTTTTGATTGATTTAATTCTTTTGTTAAAATTTCTTGATCTTGTTTTTGATTCTCGAGGTGGATTTTAAGGAATGAAATTTCTGATGCTTTTTGTTCAAGTTCAGTTTGTTTTGATTCTAAATTAAAATTTAGTTTTAAATTATCTTCTTCTAATTTTTCTTTAGCTTCAAATAATTTATCTTTTTCTTCATTTATTTCTTGAACTAATTCTTTTAATCCAGTAATTTGTTTATTTAATGATGTTATTTTTCTTTCATTAAGTATCTTGGAATTTTCAAGTGTTCTTAATTTATCAGTTAATTCGACTATTTTATTTTCTAATTCTTCTTCTTTCAAAACTGATTCTTCTAATTCGTGAGTTAGGTTCTTTTTCAAAATTTGAAGCTCTTCTAAATCTAATGTTAATTGTTTATTTTCTTTGATTAATACTGTTTCATTTGATGTTTTGAAATTTAAATCCTTGTGTAAATTTCTTATTTCATCTTTTAAATTCTCAGTTGTTTCTTTATTCTCATAATTCTTAATGTGGTAAGCTAATTTATCTTTTAATTCATTAGTTTCTTTAGTTGAATTCTCAATCTTGGTTTTATTTTCTTGAATTGTATGTTCCAAATTTTCAATTTTAAATCTTGATTCTTTTAACATTATTTGTGAAGTTCTAGATTCTTCTTTTGCTAATCTTAATTGACTTCTTAATTCATTCATTTCCTTTTTAGCTTGATCTTCTTGTCTTTTAGAAATTGTAACTGCTGATTCTGCTAATTCTAATTTTTTGAAATATTCATCTGATCTTTTTCTATATAAATCCAAACCTTGAATTAAATCATTATTTCGTGAAGTAACATTTTCATATTTAACTTTTAAATGAGCAATATCCTGTTCATAATCCTTCATGGAACTTTGAAATTTAGATTGTTTAACTTGATATAATTCATCTTCTGATTCTCTTAGCAAAGATTTTAATCTTAAAATTTCTGATTTAGAATTACTTAATTCTGCTCTTGTTGATTTAAGAGTTTTGTTCATATCTTGATATATTTGTACAAAATCCTGATTAACTCCACGAAATGCCATTGAGCTACCTAAACTTTCACTTCTTGTCATTGTTGTATTAGGAGAAGAATTTTCACTCGATGAATCTGATGAAATTAATCCTTCAATTTTATTTTCTAATTGATGTATTCTAGCTTGAGATTCTTTGTACTTTTTTTCAAAATCATTAGTAGCTGAATTATTTAAACCTCTTGAAGATTCTAATTTGTTAAGTTTCTTCTGTAACTCAATTGCATAATTTTCAGCTCTTTGATAATTCCCTTGTTCTTGTTGTAATCTCAGTTTTAAATTATTAATTTCTTTATTTAATGCTTCAACACTACCATTAATTCTATCACCAACAGCCAAAGATCTTCTTTTTGGAGTTATATCACTACTTAATAAAGATCCATTCATTACTCTTTCCTTTATGAGTTGTAACTCTTCAACTAATTTTCTATTTTCAAATTTTTCTTTTCTTAATGATGCATTTTGTTCATTTAATTTTAATTTTATGTGTGCAAATTCTTCCATGAATTGAGGATTTGGTTGTAAGTTTTCCTTTTCTGATTCAATAGTTCTATATGCATCTTGTAAGTTGGAAATTTGAGAATTCAATTGAGTTATGGTGGTGCTATGTTCTTTTTGAGCTTTTTGAGATCTTTCTAGTTCAGATTTGATCTTGGCGTAATCGTTGTTGAGTTGTTTGTGATCTGTTATAATTTGTGTATGTTTGGATTGTAGTACTTCTAATTCTTTAAGGTGTTCACTTTCATTAGATTTAATTTCTGAGAACTCAAGTTCTTTCGATTTTTCATTCTTCATTTGGCTTTCAACTGTTAATAATTCAGCTTTGAGATTTTTTATCTTTTTCTTGTATTGTATAATTTCATCAGATTTAGTATCAACTTTGTTTTTCAATGTAGTTACTTTTTCTTTGGCTTCTTCAATCTTCTCTTCATATTTCAACTTTTTAGAATCATGATTTTTGAGTTGAGTTTTTAAAGTTTCAATTTCTTCTGTGAGTGACTGTTTCTGTTGCTCTAATTGTGATATGGTAGACTTAAGATCTTTAATTTCTGATTCAAATTTTCCTTGAGCTACAGTTAATTCGTCATTAGATTCTAGCTTTGAATTTAATTCACTAATAGTTTTTTCATTAGCTGAATGTTTTTCTTTCAAACTATCAATTAATCTTTGTAAACTTGATACTTTATCTTCATGATCGGTTATTGTCTTGTCGTGTTTATCTTGTAATTCACTCAATAAAGATTTTTCATTACCACTTTTGAGTTTAAACTTTTCAAATTCACCTTTTATTGAATTCAATTCCTTTTGAGCATCATCAAATTTACTAGTGTTTGAGATTAATTCTTTTGATTTTAATTCATGTTTATCATGTAATTCTTTCAATCTATTATTTAACAAGCCTGCTTCTTTTTGTAATGATTGATTAGTTTCTTTCAAAGTTTTGATTTTGTGCTCTAATTCACTTATGATTTTGATCGATTTTGTTTCATCATTTCTTAGTTTTTGTAATTGAGTATCTTTATCTTTGATTATATTGTTGTTTGAAATTATATCATCTTCTAATTTTTGTAATGTAGTTTTCAATTTTTCATTATCCTTGGTTAAAGTATCTTTTGCATTTTCAGAATCTTTGAATTTCAAAGTCATTTTATTTAAATTGTCTTGAACTTCTTTTGAATCTAATACTTTAATAGAATCTTCCAACAAGGGTTTTAAATGGTAAAATAATTGCATCCATGGATTCTTTTGAGATTCTTCTATAGTTTGCATTGTTTTAGCTATAACTTGACTTGATTGTAATTTCTTGATCTTTTGTCGTATATCCTTTCTGACAAGATTACCACGTATAACTTTTTGTAAATAAGTTAACGTTGATTTTAATTTTAAATCTCTCATTGCCTCTAATTGTCCTAATATGCCATTTTTGAAAAAAATCTTAGTTAATCCAATCTTATATGTCTCATTATTTAATCCGCTTTCTTTCAAGATCAATTCACAATTTGTTCTTTCATTTTTAGTGAATTGAAATTTATCATAAATTATAGAATATCTGAAAATGAATTCATCAAACATTAATTTATTTGGATATCCTGCTCTTGTGATTCTTATACCTTCTAAAACACCATTACATCTTAATTGGTTTAAGACTAATTGTTTATCAAATTTTTGAAATTTCTTCTCCAAGTTTGGTAATATACATCTTACGAAATGTGGTTCAGTTGATTCTAATTGATCCATAAGGTTTTTCAATTGATCTTTATGTTTTTGAGATGCAGTTCTAAGTTTTTGAGAACCATTGGATGTTTTGACTATTGTTTCAGTTGATGCAAAGTTTTCCACTATAGCTGAATTTGATGAAGTACCCAACAATTGTATTAAATTTTCATTTACAGGATCAGTATTTTTCTGTAACCAATTTTCAACATTGTATTCAACTCGTCCAGCATAATGTTGTATTATAAATCCGTTTTTATATTTATTTTCTGAAAATTTCTTGTTTTTATTATTACCAAAATTTGAACTTAATTTTAACATAAATTCTTTATCTGAAGATTTAGGCATCATGCATTCTTCATCCAATAATTTTAGAATCCCCATTGGAGATCTTGTTTCTATAAGATCTATTGTTGGTTGTAAATCTTTACCAAAATCTATAAACTCCCATTGTATATTTTCTCTCAAATATTCACTTTGTTCCAATATGAATGAATGATGATTGAAAAATTGTTGTAGTTTTTCGTTTGTATAGTTTATGCATAATTGTTCAAATGAATTTTTTTCAAATATTTCAAAACCCGCAATATCTAATACACCAATGAAATTTCCTTGAAATGAATTGGGGTTGTTTAAATTCTTATTAATTTTGTTGATTATGAATTGAAATAATTTTTCATACAAGTATTTTGCAAATGCATCTATGGAAAATTTGACTTCGTTTGCCTTTTTAGATTTCGTTATAAATTCTTTACCTGCTTTAACTTTTGGTTTTAATAAATTTTCTTGTAATGCAGAAACTTTTATACCTAACAAGTTAGCAATTTTTTCAATTGGTGAGTCCTTTGTAAAACTAGCTTGTTCAGCAGTTAATGAAGTGAATTTTAAATTTCCTAGATGTAAAATTATGGCTAGTATTTGATAAACTAATTGAGTTTGTTCTGAAGTAAATCCCATAATTTTAAAAGCTTCAACTAATAAATTAAATTCTTTAAAATCATCAACATTATCAATTTCTGATTGTCCATTTAAATACAGATATGTAGATAAGTCTTTGTTTAATCCTAAACTTGATAAATTTTCATAACCTTTTAAAAAATGATAAAAAATGTGATAATTTCTTTCTTCCAGTGATTGACTTACAACTCTTGATTTTTCCAATAAGTAATAATCAATATTTGCCCCTGTTAATTCTCCAATTTCATTAAAATATATTTGAATAAATTTCCCAAATCTTGAAGAGTTATTATTCTTAATTGTTTTGGCATTCCCAAAACTTTCTAAAATTGGATTTGCTTGTAGTATTTTATCATCTATATTTTTAACATGATTATGATGATCATTATGATGGTTATTTAATGAAACAATTGAAGAAAGATATTGTATTATCTTTTTGGTGTTTTCAGTTTTACCAGCACCAGATTCCCCAGTAACCAATATACTTTGATCTTTTTTATTACTTAATAAATTTTGAAATGTATTTTCAGCAATTGCAAAAATATGAGGTGGTAAAATTTCATCATTGGGATTATTTACAGAATGATATTTCTTTAGGATTGAATCATTATATATGGGTAACAGTTTGTATGGATTTATAGCCACCAAAAATAAACCCGAATAAGTATAAATTAAATCATCAACATATCTTAAATACATATTATAAACAACACTTGGTTCATTTAAATGAGTTAATTCTGCCATATCATTACATTTATCAAATTTTGTAGGGTTACAATTCTCTAATTTTGACTGTTCAATCACTATTGTTTTATTATGTGGTGATTCTATTTGCACTTTACATTTACCATCTTTCAAATAATCTGTTATATATCCCTTTGTGAATAGGTCTTTATCATTGGGCACCCATACCCAGTTCTTGTATATAATTTCTCCATCTTCTGCTTTTGGTTTAGTCATGTATGAAGTAAATATTGGTTTTATTGATTATTTTGATGAAACGAATGGCACGAGATTTACTAGTGTATGTTTTGTACTTGATGAGAATGGTATGGTAGTATACGATAAATGTTTGAATATAATATTTTAATGTAGAAATTGGTTGTAAAAATCAAAAATTAGAAAATTGGTTGTCAAAAATAAATATTTAATTAGTTAATAGTAGTAAAAAAAGAAGATACAATAATATAAAATTCTTCATTAATAAATAATTTAATTTTGTGTAATTGTTTACAATTAATCTATTTTAGTACAATAGATAAATTAGACGCATTATAATAATTTATTATTTTCTTAGATGATTAGATTAGAATTAATTCATTAAGTCATTCAAAGTAAGAACTAAGATTGTACATGACGGGGTTGTCTTCAAAGTTTGATAACTCTTTTTTCAACAAAATATATGATGTAGAAATAACTGGGGTGTAGAAAGTGTAAAATCTTTAGTAAATTTTATTTTGAAACATTTTCGCACTAAATTGGGTGATAATAAACAAAGCATAAACAAGAAAAATATACATTTAAGAAGTTGTAAGAAAAGAAATTATTTTCAATAACTTAGACCCTAACTTTTCCTACAAATCAAAGTAAGAAATATTTTAACAGGTTTTTTTTCACAAGTTTCATTTGATGGATTCTTGCAACTGATTTATCTATTCCTGATCAAGACGCGTCTTAGATCTCGTAAAGTTTCAGTTAGATTTTGTGTCTTCAATCTAGTCTTTTTTTTTTGCAACCAAAAATTAGTTTAAAAATGTAATTGGTCGCATATATTTACTTGCAAAAAATTAGACCAAAACTAAATACCACAAAAAAAAACAACCAGAGATCAGAAAACTAGCAGAATGTTTAATTAAAAAATTAATATATTAAAATATACATAAGCAAAAAGCATCGAAATGAAAACATTAAAATGCCTTTTGTAGTAAGAAATGAATCATTATATAAAAATCATAACAAAAAATACAATAAAATAGGAACTTTCTTAAACACAATTTAAAAATGTTGATGCATTAAAGGAGAACTATTGCTTAATGATGAATTAGTAGTAATAACAGGTTTGATAGGTGAAAATCCATCCCTATTACTTTGAGATTGTTGCTGTTGTTGACCTTTAATACTTGCAGTGTTTGCAGTTCCTTTTTTTCTAATTTTTGATTTTGTTCTTAATAAACTCGGTATTGATTGTTGTTGTTGATCTGGTTTTCCAATAAATGAATTTACGGAGTAATTAATTGGAGTATTACAATTTGAATTTATATTTGAATTTGAATCAATATTTGTAGATGATGAAGAATTTGATCTCTTATTAGAAAATACCAGGTATTGAGAAGTAGCTGATGGTGGAGTAATTGGCGGGATAATTGAATCTGTTGATGATGTGAATGGGTAGGGTGATTTAGGAGTTTTTAAATGGTTTCCATATAAAAAATCTGATTCAGATGATAATAATAAACTAGTTGATGATGATGTCAAATTAAATTCATCTAAAAAATCATTTGGGTTTGATAAATTTTTTGGAAAATTTATTAATGATTCTATTGAATTTAAGATTCTTGAATCTATTGAATCAAAATTATCTAAAATTGATTGAATTGATGATGTTGATGATTGATTTGAATTGTTGTTGTTATTGTTATTGACTGTTGAATTTTTAATTATGTAATCATTAATTTGTTGAATTGTGATTGAATTTTTTAAGTGGAAATTCCTTAATACTTGTATAACTCCCAAATCTTCATATTTTTTAGTTAATACTTCAGTTACTTTATTTAAGTTGATAATTAAAATCATTGCAATTTTTTTAATTGTAATTAAACTTGATTCATCAAATCCATTTAAAAATGATCCAATAATTTTTGGAGATTTGTTTTCAATATCTTCATCAAATGTTGTATTATGGGTATCATTAAATTCATTATTATATTCATCATCTTCTTCATCTTCGTAATCATCATCATCATCATCTTCTTCTTCTTCTTCTTCTTCAACTTCATCTACATCTGTTTCTTCATAATCAAAATCTAAATCAATGTCATCATCAATACTTGAATGTCTCATTATATTATTTGATTGATGACTATAATTACTTTCATTATTTTGTGAATAAAACATGTTGGTGTTTGATAACTTAGGTGGAAATTTTGGAATTTTAAATTGTTCTTGATGTTGTTGATATTTGTTTTGGTGGTTTTGTTGTTGAGCTTGTTTTTGTTGTTTAAAATGTTGTTCTCTTAATTGATTTCTTTTTGGGTCTATTATATGTTTTTCAATTAAATTTTTCAAACTTAATGATGCATTTGGAATTTGTAACATTGAACAAGCTAATAAATTTGAAGTAATTGCAATTAGACTAACTGGTACATTTAAAAAGAATTTATCATATAAAGATAATTCACATAAAAATCTTCCAATAGCAGTAACAGCTGATAAAGTACTTGAACCATTATCATTTTGATGATTATATTTACATGGAGTTAAATTTGAATTTATAATATTTGAAAATTTTATAGATAATTGTAAACAATCTTCTAAAGTTGGATGACCAATTGACCATTCTAAAGTACTTAAAATATGCATTTCCATTTGAACAAACATTTCTTCATCATATGCATTTCTACACATTATTGTTAATTCTTTTAATGTTGGAACTCTTGATTTTTTATCTTCATATTTACCAGCTATCCATAAAGCAGTACAACCAACTAATTGATAATGACGTTTAAAAACAATTCTTTTTGCACAATATCTATCTATAATATTCATACATAAAAATAAAGTTTGTGGTTGTAATTTAAACGAAGAATGTAATTCAATTAAAAAATCAATTAAAAAGGGTCTCATAAACCATTGAACTTCAGGTTGTAAATCAATCATTGAAGAATTTATTGTAGTTTGATTTTCTAAATTTGATAAAGTTTCTAAAAATTCAATTTGATATTCTTCAGTTAATTTTTTATTAGATTGAGTTTCTAGCATTTCTAGCATTATATTATATTGACGTGGTTTTATATTATGAGGTGGACCATATTTCGGTCTTTGTTGTTGTTGTTGTTGTTGTTGTTGTTGTAAATGTTGATCATGATGGTGATTATGATGATGTTGATTCAATTTTTGTTGTTGATAATTTGACATATTATATAAATGCTGAGTAGTAGAATAGGAAAAGCAAAACAAAAGCAGTTAAAATTAGTAGCAGTGACTTATAATTGAGTGTTGTAAAATTTTGAAAATGCAAATTTATAAGGTTTTAAAAAAATTGGTTGTAAAAAATATATAAAAAAAATTTGGTTGTAAAAAGTATAAATGAAAGTAAAGCGAATGAATGAGTGTATAAATTTAGTTTAAAAATAAAGGATGCAAAAAGGATTTATTCAATTTGTAATAGTATTTATTGTTGAATGAATGTATGAAATAATAAATGAGTGAATGAATGAAATAATCTATTAATTCTTTTTAATCATATAATTAAAATTTTTTGGTTGTAAAAATTGAATTGATCTTCGAAAATATTAAATACTAATGTTTGGAAATTAATAGTATGAAATTTAATAGATGATATATGATAATGAATTAGATTATATGAATAGTCTATTATAACCAACGTAATCTGAATGAATAGAATACTTGTTCAAGAAAATAAAGTCTGAATATAAAGTGGAATTTATTTTATAAATATATTAGATTGATTTTGAATTCTATTAAATTAAAATTAAAATTTAAATATCTAAGATTTACGTGAAAGAAAGTATTAGCCCTTTTACAATTTAATTTATTATTATTATTATTAAATGGAATCTTTCACAAAGTATTGAAATATGTAAGTTAGATTCTAATTATGATTGTATTTATCACGAATAATTAATTATAATAATTAATTAATTATAATAATAGTAGATAAAATTCCCCAAATTAGTCCTTAAATTGAATTATGAGAATAATAAATTTATTCTTTAATCTACGTTTTTGTATTTCTTCTTCTATTTAATAATAATGAATTTTGAATTGATGTTTAGATTGTTTGGAAATATTATTTTTAATTTTAAAAGGAGTATTTGTATTAAATTATAATTTTTAATACGCGCGTATAAATATTACAATAATAAATTATTTTAATATTACACAATATTCTAGAAAAATAAAGAGGTAAAATTACTAGAATTTGTATTATATGTATGTATTGCAATTCTATTAATATTAGACGATATATATATATATATAAATGTTGATTCTCTTTATTATAATAACATGAATCTCTGAAGTTTTATGCTATATGTCTTTAATTTTTAAAAAATTTATACTAAGCTCGAGAATTTCGTAAATTTATTTATAAAAGGAGTTTAGATTTAATTTGTGTTTCATATTTTCAATTACGCTACCAAATAATCTGAATTTTTTATATTTTACTAGTATAATATAAATTAACATTTAGCTTATATAAGAATTACAGTATATATAATTATTGGAAAGTAAAGCAATTGAGTAAATCAACAACTTCTCTATAATATATCATTTCAATTAATTCAATATATAATCAACAACATACTAATCTTAAAAACATAAAGATTCATTATTAATAAATTTTATTATTACGCGAATAATGCATTACTTTACAACTTAAAAAAAAAAATGTATAATTTCTTAAAATGTAAAATAAAAAATTAAAAATAAATTTGACATATTTTTTAAAGTCTAGAAATTAATAAACTTCATACCATAGTAAAATGTTTAATTTACTACTAATTAAATTTTTATCACTCTGAGCTGTGGAGGTTAGATAGAATTACAAGCTATCAATCTATTTTAATCAAATGACCTCGCACAATTAGCATATTCATTTACACAAACTTATTAAGACGGAGAATATAAATTTTATTAAAAAAAATATATAATCAGACGCGTCTTTACTTAATAAAAAATAACACAACAACCCTTTTGTAAATCTTTTTTAATTTTTTTGCAAGAAAGACAAATTTGTATCACTTTATTTTAATAGTCTAATGGCTTTGAATTCAATAATATATAAAAACTTGCAAATATATCCATAGCAACTATTTTAAATGTTTGTGATTTTTTTTTCTTTAAGAAACGTATTTATAAATTAATTCTTCTTTCTATTTTTGAGATTTTTGTTCAGTTATTGACCTAAATATAGAAAATATATATTTCTCCTGTTTAAAAAAAGATCAATAAATTTACATATAGTCAGAAATTTATATCGTGTTTTGTATAAATCGATATTCTACAACGAATTTTGCGTCTAATGTATTTTCTTTTTTAATAGTAAGACGTTTTATTATATCTCCTTAACGAGTGGCTCTGTTTATATATTCCATCGGTTTTATTTATTAATTAATCCTACGTGAGTTTGTATTCAATAATATTATATTGTTAGTTGTTATACACTAATACTATTTGAAAATACTTAAAAACGTCTAAAAAAAAATACTCATTAAATTTCTATATGCTTTTTACCTTATACTCATTTTTTACATAGCTCCTCTACCTCTACCTTGTTGTGCACCATTATTTTCATTTTGTTCATTAGATATTGTTTCATCAATACTTAGTAATAAATTAGCAGCTTCAGTAGCAGATTCAATAGCATTAATTTTAACTAAAGCAGGTTCCCAGATAAAATTTTTCATATTATTTGAAATATTTTCTAATTGAAAATCAACTCCATACCAAATTTCACCTTTTGCATGAGCACTTCTTAATTTATTTATAATTTCAATTGAATCTAATCCTGCATTTTCACATAATTGTCTTGGTATTATTTCAAGAGCTTTTGCAAATCCTCCTATAATTAATTGTTGTTTACCTGCTATTGTTTTAGAATAATCTCTTAAATATTTTGATAATTCCATTTCTATTGCTCCTCCTCCAGCAACAATTTGTGAATGATTTACTGCTCTTTTAACAATCATTATTGCATCATGTAATGATCTTTCAACTTCTGCTATAACTTGTTCTGCTCCACCTCTTAATATTAATGTACAAGTTTTAGTTTCTGGACATCCTTTAAAAATATTATATCTTTCATTACCAATTTGAATCTCTTCAAATATTTTACATGTACCTAAATCTTTTTGAGATATATTTGAACATGTACTTTGTATATTACCTCCTACTGCTTTTATAACTCTTTCCATATCTTCATTACTTACTCTTCCTGCACAAAATATGTTTCTATCAGCAAAATATTGAGTTGCTAAATCTCCAATTGGTAATTTTGATAATACTATATTTGCACCAGATTTATAAATTGATTCTAATTTATTTAAAATAATTTGCCATTCAGCATCAACTATATCTTGATAATCTTTAACTTGTTCAACTCTAACTTCTGCATTATCTTTTTCAGCTTTTAATTCTAATTCAACATTTAATGATAATATTTTTGGATTTTCAAAATATTTTGGTTGTTGTTCAAATCCAGCATATGAAAAAGTTTTTTTAAATGCTACACCATCAATAAATAAACTTTCTTCTAATGAACCACCTGGAACTTTTTTTATACCAATTAAATTTTCATCTAAATCATTTTGATCAAGACTTAATACTGCATCAACAACCATTTTTGTGAAAAATCCAGAATTTGAACTTATTAATTTTGATGACATTGCAGTTGTAGCACATTTTTCTAATAAATTTCTAAATTCTTTTGAATCAACATTTTTTTTTTCAATATTTACTGAAATTTCTTTTATTTTATTTATACATAACTCGCATGCTTTTCTATATCCTTTTGTAATTAAATATGAACTTATACCATCTTCAATTAACAGTTTTGCTTCTTTTAATAATTCTCCAGCTAATATAGTTACTGATGTAGTACCATCACCAACTTCTGCATCTTGAGCTCTTGATATATCAACCAACATTTGAGCTGCTGGATGTACAATATCTAATAATTTTAAAATCGTTGCACCATCATTTGATATAGTAGTTTTACCATTTGAAGAAACAATTAAAATATCTGAACCAAATGGTCCTAAAGTTGGTTTTAAAGTATCTTGAATTGCTAAACATGCATTTATATTTGTTATAATTTGTCCCTTTCCTTGAGATGTATCAGTACCTTCTTTTAATACAACAATTGTTGGCGTTTGATTTGAAAAAGCCATTTTAATTCAATTGAATGAGATAAATATATACAGATCAATTGTTTCGAATAAGTAGAAGACTTTTTTGTTTCAGATTGTAGAAGATGTTGGAATAATAATAAGAGAAAAAAAAATTATTATAGTATTATGGCTAAGATTAAATTTTGATTGATTTACACTACTACTTATAAGATATATGAAACAAAATTTTTCAAATATCAGACATACTAAATTTACTTACTAAGTCAATTAATCTGACCAAAAAATTACCCATTCACAACCCCCTACACAATGATTTCGCAACTAATACAGAAAAACATAATACTAAATCCAATAATACGAACTCAGAAAAGATGTAAACAAGCAGTATCAATGGCAGGTGAAGTAAATTTATCATCAAGAAGAGTAATGAGGAAAATCAAATTAGGAAAAGCAAGACCAGCAATAATGTATCAATTCGATACCTTAGTAGAATTAAGTGATGGTTCAGTTATAAAAAGAAGATCGCAAGCTCCCAAAGATGAAATCAGAATGATTAATGATCAAAGAAATTCATTAAAATGGAATCCTCATAGATCAGATTTAGATACTTCAGATTTAACATTGACTGGTAAAATAGGTAAATTTAAAACTAAATATTCTGGTTTTTCAGGAGATGAAGAAATAGCCGAAACAGAAAATAATCAAAAAGAATTAAGTGTTGAAGAAGAAGAAGCTCAAAAATTGAAAGCTAAAAATGCAGCAAAAGCAAGAGATCAAGAATTATTTGAATTAATGGGAGAAAATGCTCAAGAAATTGTTGGAGGTGGTAAATTATATGATAGAAAAGCTGATAAAAAGAGATTTAAATAGACGAAAATATCTGTAAATAAATTAGTTAATTAATGTGATTGTACATATATACAAGTTTTTATTGTAAATCTATAAATGCTCTTTTTTTCAATACTCTTTTCAAGTAATTTTGATCATCATAGTAACTCAAATACTCAGTTATCGTAGAGATTTCCCAACCTGATTTCCTAAATTCATTTATTGACCATCTTAATATGATATTATCCTTATCAGATAAAGCTTGACGTGATACAATTTTTAAACATTCAATAATTCCAAAATTATTTAAAGATAATAATTTTTCAAATTCATTTAACATTTTATATTTTCCAAAATCTATAAAATTTTCAATTTTATTTATTTGATATATTTGAAAATCTAATTTTTGCATAAATTTAATTAAATACCTTGATGCTTGTTTATTGTCTATTTGAGAAAGCTTTTTAATTATTTCAATTGTAAATGATTGTAGTATTTCATCATTAAAATTTAATTTCATGAATTTTAAAAAAAGCTCTTTATAAAATGATTGAATCTTATTCTGATCTGTCTCCAAATCTTCAACATGTCTGAATATAGTCAAATAACTTTTTTTACTAATTTCTAAATTCATTCTTCTAATCATTGATAAAGCTTCATTTAATTTCTTTTCCTGTAACAACTTCTCAACAATTAAATTCAATTCATCTTGATTCAAATTTGAATGTTGAAAAATAATTTCTATAATTTTTTCAGAATTTAATTCATCTCCAATTGTAATAAAACCATTTAGTAATGAAGTCAATGATGATCTTTTTAATGGACTTGATAATTGTTTAATTAATTCTTTAAATTTTAGAACTGAATGAGTTGAATAGTAATCTAGTCTATAGTTTAAAAATTCTGGTAAATCATTTATGAAATCTGGAACTGTTTCGATTTCTTTTGCTATTGAGTTCTGGTCATGATGTAATTTGAAAATTTCTGTTATTAATTTGACAAGTTCTTTAGTTTCTGCCTCTGGAATATTCGTGATCATGTCTTTGGAGATTTTCCATATTTGTAAAGCTTTTATGATATTATTATTTTCAAAATTAATCCTCAACATTGAAATTAAAATGGAGTTAAATTGTTTTGAACTGAAATCTTGTAATGTCCTTTCTTCGTGTAGTTTGAAATACAAATAATTTGAATAAAATTGTCCAATTTGAATTGATGTAAGATATTTTAAACTTTTATATAAGTCTAGGGTATTTAATTTGAAATTTTCTATGACTTGTAAATTGCAATATGAATTTATGGGAAAGTCTCTTATCGAACTGTTTTTAATTACATTTATTAATAATGATATGTCTTGATCGTAATATTTGATATTGTTCTCCTTGTATTGTAATAATAATGTTGTTGCTAATGAAAGTTGATTGGTATTGATTAAGTAGTGTAAAAAATTACGTCGTATTTGACTAATGCTATCTGATATACGAAAATTTTTGGGCAATATGTATTCCCCTTTTAATAGTTTCACACTTTGCATGACTAGTTTTTCATCTTCTCTAGTTATTACTTCGACTAAATCAGTCATTAAGTAATTTGATGGGACTTTCTTTATTAAAAATTTGGACGGTAGATTCTCTTTATTCAATTTTGTAAGATCTTCAAGAAACGTAGCTTTGATTGTTGGGTAGGTATCTTTTAGGTTTTTGATAATGTCATAGTTTGTATTGGAACTTAAAATTTGCTGGACTCGATTTGGTGAAGCATTTTGAATGTCATATAAAAAACTTGAAGTTGAAAACAAACATTTTGTGCATATAAAGATCTTTGGGTTTACTTGTCGTATTGGTATTCTATGGTTCATTCTAGCTTGACATCATGCCAATATAATGAGCGTGTATATATAGTTGTGGTGATCTGATCGTTTGAAATAAATTGGTTGTAAAAATTAATGTATGTACAATAATAACATATTTTTTTTCAAAATAATCATCTTGTGAGCGGTAGCGTTTTTTAAAAATTACCACTTAACAATCTACATACAAAGATCACAAGAGTTCTAAAAATTGAATAAATATAAATAAATACGTCTTGTTCTAACTTTTGTCTATTACATATACCCAATTTTTATACTAATTTACAGTCTCCAAAACCAAACCCATACATAACTTTCTCAACGTGTTTTCTAATTAATGGCCAATCTTTTCTTCGTTGAACAAATTCATAAATTTCTTCTTGTCCAAAAATTCCATTAAATTTAGATAAATCACTAACTAATTTTCCTATAGATTTTGAGTCATCACCACTTATTAAATACAAATTACCAATTTTTTTCAAAGCTTGATATAAAGGTACAACTAATCTCTTGTTAGTCTTGATATGTTCAACTATGAAGTCATAATATAAGTTTAAATCTGAAATCAAGTTAGTTGCACCTGCAACTGATATTGTTCTCTTCTTAAGGAGTTTGACAATTACTTGAAAAAATCTTTCTGCAATTTCTTGTTGAAAAACATCAACAACAGATTTGTCTGCACTGTCAACTAGTAAATCCATATTTTCTTCTAGTAATTGAGTAGCTCTCCTTGCTGCATCTGTGGTCCCAAAACTTGTAGTTGATTCATCTATCGGATTATAATCTGTATCTAATAAATGTTCTTTAAATGTATTTTCAATTTGATGAACTAATAATTCAATTCCTATATTTAAACCATCTGCAACATTTTTATCAACTAATGCTTCTAGTTTCTTTTTACTTTGTAATGAAGGATTTAGTATACTATTTTCATGTTTAATAACTTGTTTGTTTAACATCTCTTCTTTGTAAAATATGTCAATCATTTGAATAATAATATCTGCCATATTAATCAAATCAAAGAAAAGTACAATCGGTTCTGCAAATTTTTCATTATGTTGAGTAGTATAAGTTGGCGAATTGGGATTATAAGTTTGTAAGTAAGTTAAAGCTTTCTCGAAACCAGGTCTTAAATGCTCTAGTCCAATAATTTCCATTACATCCATGAAAATATCTTGAGTAGACTGATATATATCTCCACGTAGCGATGATATTGAGAAGTCTTTGAATATTAGTAGCCTATTTAAGGAAGATCTTGCATTGTTCAATAAATCAACAACAACTTCAGGACTGAAAATCTTATCTAATGATTTAATATTCTCTGATAATATTTTAGCTTTTGCAAGCATTTCTGCATTTTCTTTAGATGTTGTATCCTTTAAAGTATTCAATGTGAAGACATTTTTGAAACTTGTTAAAAAATCATTTTTTGATTCGATTTTTACACTCTCCAAAATTTTCAGCGAGGCTTCTGCTTCTCTTTGAGAAATTTGTTGATTCCACTCCACTAGTTTATCTTTTGCTGTTACTCTAAATTGTGAAATCTCTTCTCTCAGATATTCTGCAGCAAATGACTCAAACAGCATATCTATTAGTTCACTTATTAATTGATTATATGGTTCACCTACATTTTTTGAAGGTTTAAATTGTGATATTAATGTGGTAGACAATTCATTATAAATATAAGGAACAACCTGTAAATACAAGCCATACTTTTTTGATGATTCAGTAATTACCATAACTAATTCATTTAGTTGATTTGCTATCAATTCCTCACAAACTTTATACATCATGGGAACAGATTGAGGAAATATTTTATCAATAATTTCAGATTGTTCATTGAAAACATTGGCAATATTTGCTATCAATTTTCCAAATTCATCATTATTTATTACATTATCTTTAAATAGACTTTCAATTGTTGATTGACTTAATCCAAAAATTTCTTTATCCTCATCAAATATACTCTTTTGTAGAAAAAAATCAATTAATGTTTGCTGATTTTTTAGTGAAATTAAAATTAATACAAATTGTCTAGTCTTTTCATAATCTTCAATATCAAAATGAATCTCCAATTCTCTTAACAACGCATTCTCAAAAATTTCAAATAGTTCAAATAATTTATCATGTACAGTTATTCTTGATTCCTCATTATAGTCTATCTTGTTATATGACAATAAATTCGATAGTATTTTAGCTTGTTCTTCTGGTGTCTGGAAGTCTTTAAAAATCCTCAATTTATCATACCCCTTGTTTATTAGTAGTTCATAATAATATTTCGATAGGCATTTATGAATTTTTAGTGTTTGATATTTTGCATTTTTTGGTGATCGATAAACATAATCTAAACAAGTTAATGGATTATCTAAATATGGCATTTTAGGATTTCTTCTAATTTCTTCTTTTGTGATGGGTATTGCTTTACTCCAAACATCCATATTTTTCAAAAAGGAGACCCAAAGTTTATTATCATTTACTGCTTCATAAGTATTTTTTGAAACTAATCCAAATAATAATAAATCTTTAATTGGTAAATAATTGGCAATATTTTTAGCAATCAGTAATGGTATTACATCTTTATTATATACATCAATATCAGAATTCCATATCACTTGAGCCATTACCTATCATTTATTATGTATTTATTAGTTGTTTAATCTTGAAGAAATTTTGTAAGTTTTAAACTATGATGTGTTTCATATAAAGATTTATGGAAATTCGAATTTTGTGAAAAATAAAAATAAAAATACAAAAATACAAAAATTAATTATTATGAGATATCTCAAGACCAAATATTTTAATAAGATTATATAACAACTAAAAGAAGTACTTATGATTCAAATACTATAACATTAAATTGAAATCTTCAATACTATACACATAAAGAAATGCTAAGATTTTTAATACGGCATCGACCGATAATAATAAATACATACATACGACATCATTTAATTCAAAAAAGATTATATTCCAAAAATTTTTCATTCTTTAATAAAAACCTAACTCCATCATTGCCTGAAAAGTTTACAAATTTTGTTACGAATATTTTAACTGAACAACATGATAAAATTTTAGATCAACCAGTTCAAGAATTAATTGAAAAAATTCCAAACTTGAAAAAAGATTTAAAGAAATCTTTAGATTTTGAGAACAAATTATATACTGTTTTATCTTATGATCCTGTTTTAATTGATCCAAGGTTATATTTACATTTTTACTATCCTGAAATCAATGGACCAATGAAACAATTATTAATCGAAAGACTTCTATTTCATCAGCAATATGTTGCATGTTGGGAATTATTTATGGGGGAAACACTAATAGATTTAGATGACTTTTTGACAACCGTTAGTACATTTTTAACTAAACAAAATAATAAATTTGCAATTATAGACTTTATACTAAGTCAACCAAATTTTGAAGAGAAAGAAACTTATAAAATACAAATTATAGATTCACTTGTACATATTTTTAATATTAATGCTAAACAAGTACTTAATATTTATCACGAAATTAATGATTTACGAACTTTTAATGATATTTTAAACTATAATGATAATGGTTTTATTGCATCAGTTATTAAACTAAAAAGAATCATGAAAATACTGCTATACAAAGGGGCCACCAAGCATCAGATTTATGAAATTCTAGTGCAATATCCACAAATATTAATTCAACCTGGCTGGGTTAGTTGTATACTACCAAAATTTGAATTTTATTCATGTTTGTTATTTGATGATTTACCTGAAAACATTAAACCTTTTATGGAAGCAGTTGAAGAGATTTTATCCACAGGTGTTAGGTTAAACGATGTGGATGCAACATATTTATTACATTCGAAGGTGAATCCTTTTGCATTATTCCTGGCTTATAGATTGTCACCATTACAAAAACAAATTCTGAACCATATTGTCAAATTGATGCTTAAGGAACCAAGAAATGAGGAAGTTAAAGCTGCGTATTTAATTTCCATGAAACTACTCGACTTACCATTAGCCATTGAATGTTTAGATTTATTAATTCCAGATGAACCATCAGTTTTAACACTAGTAAAACCATTGGAAGAATCGATGAAGAATAATATTGTGATGGGGCTAAAAAACTTCAATTCAGCTCATTACATCGAATTGATTCCTTACTATAGTAACAATGTCAAAATTTCAAGACACCTAATTACAACATACTCAGAATCAATTCATGCAAGCATCGAAGATTTCAACAAATTGGCTCTTATACAACCTCAATCAAAACAAGCAATATTAGAGATTTTCAGATCAGCATTATTAAGAAGCAAATTTATTGATGAAACTTTTTTTGCTATCATTTTAAATAGTATCTTGAGGAAAACAATTACCAAAATTGGAGATTTCAATACTTCTTACGAATCCTTATCATCAAATGAAAAAAACACATTTCACAATTCGTTACGTTCATTAGCACAAACAATATCACTTTTAAATACCAATGACATTGCATTAGTAATGGATATTATTCACAAAACTTTTGATTCAAATTCCTTCTACTATAAAAATGATCCAATTGCAAAAGAATATTTACTTAAAATTGTTTCACATGATGTTTATAGATTCATACTACGTAAAGAGAACAAAATTGAGTTACTTCAAGACATAATGAGTAAAATGCAAACATCAACATTTTGGGTAACTTACTGGCTTCTTTATGCAACGGTATTAGATGATTATGGAAATTCAATAAAATTGTTGAAATATTATTCAAATGATAAACACCAACTAATTCAATATTTTCCAGCTTTGGTTTCAGGTATTTTAAATTCAAAAAATTTGAATATAAATAATAAAATTAGATATATTGATGTTTTCTTGAAAGAGTCAAAAAAATATGGATTTAATAATATTTTAAAAATGAAAAATGGATTTGAAATTATAAATTATTTTAAAAAAGCTGCTAGATCTAATCAATTGGACGATGAATCTATTAAATGGTTAATTCAATTTAGTAAAAATAACAAATATCTTAGAAGAGTTATGGCTAATGTTAGGGTTAGTAAACGAGGCAAGAAGGACTAATAAATATTTTTCGATGATTGAAGTCAGCTTTTTAGATTTAAATATGCCGAGCTGAATGTACAAGTTTATAATAAACTAACGATGGTACAATTTAATTTCTCTGTAATTCGTATTATCTTTTTTGTGTTGACTGATAATTAAGCAGACGAGAATTTTGAAAAATAAAGTTTAAATTGAGTTTGGTAGACAGTCCACCAACCTAGCATGTCCAAGACTTTTGGGGTCACACCACCTATATCAACAGACAATCCAACTCCAAAAGAAAATGCATTGAACGAATCATTGGTACAGGAATTAAAAAGTAGAGGTTCGTTTGAAAGTGAATCAGCAACAAAAAAAAGAGTCGAGGTTTTGTCATTGTTTCAGCGATTAGTACAAGAGTTTGTGTATGAAGTTTCAAAAACCAAGAATATGTCAGATGGTATGGCTAAAGACGCTGGGGGAAAAATTTTTACATTTGGTTCTTACAGATTGGGAGTTTATGGTCCCTCGTCCGATATTGATGCACTAGTTGTTGTACCGCGTCATGTAACAAGAGAAGACTTTTTCAGTGTATTTGATCAGATGATTCGAAAAAGGCCAGAGCTCGAGGAAATTAATGGTGTAACAGATGCTTTTGTTCCGATTATAAAATTAGAATTTGATGGTATATCAATTGATTTAATCATGGCTAGATTGAATGTCCCACGAGTGCCATTAGATATGACACTAGATGATAAAAATTTACTAAAAAACTTGGATGAAAGAGATCTTAGATCCTTAAATGGTACTAGAGTGACGGATGAAATTTTGCAATTGGTACCAAAACCAACAGTGTTTAAGCATGCTTTGAGGTGCATCAAACTATGGGCTCAGCAGAAAGCGGTTTATGGTAATGTGTTTGGTTTTCCCGGAGGTGTTGCTTGGGCCATGTTGACGGCAAGAATTTGTCAACTATATCCAAATTCTGTTAGTGCCGTAATAGTGGAAAAGTTTTTTAATATCTATACCAAATGGAGCTGGCCGCAACCTGTGTTACTAAAAGCAATAGAAGATGGTCCACTTCAAGTAAGAGTTTGGAATCCACGTCTATATTCGCACGATAGACTACATAAAATGCCCGTCATAACACCAGCTTACCCGTCTATGTGTGCTACTCATAATATAACCAACTCAACTCAAAAAGTGATCCTATCGGAGCTTGCTAAGGGTGCTGTTTTGATGAGTGAAATTTTCAATGGTACCAAAAATTGGTCTGATTTATTCAAAAGGCATGATTTTTTCCATAAATATAAATTTTATCTTTGTGTGGTAGTTGGAACTTCAGATATTGCAGAAGAACATCATAAATGGCATGGATTCGTTGAGAGTAAATTGAGGCAATTAGTCATGAAACTAGAAGCCACTGAAGGTGTGGAGCTAGCACATCCATATGTCAAGGATTTTTCAAATATATATTTTTTAGACGAGCGGACACCCTCAGATATCATTAACTCATATGGAACTTTGCTGGGCGAAAATTACTTGAAGGAGTTGAATGTTCCGACAGCTGAGAACGATACTGGCAGCAAGCTTTATTTATCAAAATACTATATTGGATTGGACATCAGTTTAAATAAGACGCTGGATGGATTAAGAAAATTGGATATTCAATATCCGTGTTCAGAGTTTTATAATGTTTGCAAAAGCTTTACCACATACAGAGAAGGCACCAATTTCATTCAAATTAAAAACGTGAAGCTTTTGGATCTCCCGAATGATGTATACATTGAGGGAGAAATAAGACCAAAAAAAAGCACGAAGAAAAGAAAGAAAGAAACCACAGATGAAACTCAGAAAAGAGCCAAGAGTGAAATACCAACACAATCATAATTAGATTAAATAAATACATCATTTATTCTTATAAATATACATCTTCTACTGTACCTGATGCGAGTTCATTGGCTCCATCTACTTGCAAACTATCTAACCAGCTATTGTCTAACTTAATGTCCAACGAATCCAATAACCAGTCAACGAAAGTCATATTGTTGTTCTTTTCTTTTAAATAAATATTATACGATTGGGTGTATTGACTCCATGTATCTCGATTTTGCTCATTTGTCCACAACTCTGCAAGTTTACGGGATAATTCTCTTTGATGTTCCGGATTTGATATTGCTCTGCTATAAAATGATCGAAATGCTATAAAGGAGTTTATTGGTTTCTGTTTTGACCGTTTAGTTTTTCCAGGTTTAGAAATGTCGGGAGACCACTGTAATTCATTTAGTACACTATAGTCAAGCATTAGCTGTTGCAACTCCTGACTAGGTTTAGGAATTTTTGGCAATGATGTTAGTCTAAAAGTTGGTTTTCCAGTGTCAAGCAAAGTGGGAGTGTTCGCTCTTGGTATGTTATTCTTATTCAGAAGCTTGAATAGTGTTGTAAATTCTTTAGGAACTTTCCTTTGTCTTGGTCTTTTAGACCCCATCTGAATCTTTAATTTAATGATTGTGGTAAGTAGATATTTGAACTCATTAAATTATATAGTATTTAAGGGATCTGTTTCATCTGAATATAATGAAATATAATAATTTATTATTTTGGCAAAAAATTAATTAATTTCAGAAATATAAACGGCATGCGTCAAATTTACGTAATCATATTTTGACTACTCTTGCCACAAGTCTCGGCAAATTAGATAAAAGATAAAGGTTAAATATTTAAAGGAAATGTGCAAATTGTAATATGATCTAGTTATATATTCCCTGAGTAATCATTTGAAATTGATCGTACAACCTTGTATAAACGCTATTTAAACTTTTATTAATGAGCGAATACTCAACAAATTGATCAATCAAGTCATCCGGTAATTGTAGTTGAAGTCTTTGTTCCAACAATATACTAGTATTTTCTCCATTGTTGAAACAAGGAAGATTTGAATCTTTCTGCATTAACTGTACTATACTCACAATTTGATTCCATTCTTTTCTTAAAACTTTAAAACAATCTTTGCAAACTTGAACAAATAATTTATAAAATTCCGAATCAAGACCACCAAGTAAGTCAACATATTCTGAGGTCAATTTAAACGGAGCAGCTTCAAATCCAATATTTGAACCTGGTGAATTTCCCAATAAAAATCCAAAATCAATATGAATGATATGACCTTCATGATCCAACATAATATTACCATTATGTCTATCTTTAATTTGTAATACATAACATATGATAGAATAAGCAGCTAAACTTTTTGCAAAATTCTCTTGAGCTAATTTATATCTACGAGTATTTGAATCACCAAATAATTTCTCAAAATAATCTTGTAAAGTAAATATTCTGCCTCTCGCGTTCTGGCCACTTGCAATTGAGAGTTCTGTTAAGGACTTTTTTATAGAATGAATTGACATAGCATTGGTGATTGTTTCTACTAATCCAGCATTTGCACTAGTGATTAAAATTCTCATTTTCTTAGTCCAATAAGTAATTCCATGCTTTTTCCAAATATTGGAAATCATTGTTATTAGTTGACAGGCAAAAGATTCTTGAGGTAAATCATCTCCATTTTTAACAATAACCGAGCAAAGATCCCAGTTTTTTAAGTGACCGTAAGCACTTGCCTTTCTAATTCTTTGTTTTTTTGCATTCCAATCTTCACTTATTTTGAAATCATTTTCTAATTTTCTTTGACCAGCATCTTGTTCATCGGTTTTCAATTCTTTCATCTTCTCATAATCAATTGTTTCAAATTGATCTTGTAGACTTATCATTGATTTCACTATTCTATCTTTTATGGCTATAAATTGTTGAGTGTTTGATTGTCCTGAACTTTCCAATTGCTGAAGCATCAATGATGCAATTCTCGTTTGATCCGCTAGAACCAGGGTATCTGCTGTACTTGAAATAACGGGTGTTACAATGCGGCTACTTTTATCATCATCCAGTGATGACCTTCTTGAATCATTTTCGGATTTTACTTGTGTCCAATCTCTACTGACATTTCTTGAACCAAGCATGGGCAATTCACCCAAATCAGTTTCATCATGTAGCATATCTGGTAATTTTTCCATAGATGATATACCCCTCATGTCATTTGAAAAGGACTCGTCATCTGTATTATTTGACTCATAGCTACGTTTTGATTCTGAGGTTTGTAATCTTGAATTAATAAGGTTTTGGTTATATTCTGTAAAAGGATTAAAATCAAGTTCGTCACTTAAATATTCAATAAGTAACAAATAAGGTACTCTTTCTGCTGAGTTCAAAACACAAGCCTCATTGATATTTAGTTTTAAAATTTGATGAAATTTTTTATTTTTCTTACTTGTAATTGGTAATAATTGAGGAATGTCAATTTCTGAAGGTAATAAGTTTTCATTTATTATTGACAATTCAGCTCTCAAGGCGGAAACTCTAGCTGCTTTCGGAACCTGTGACATTCTTAATGAAATATCCTGAAGTGACATGATAAATTCCGTCTCTTTTTTTGAATAATTTACTCGTAGAATTTTTAATAATTCCGAATACAGTTTTGATTTCGAGGACATCATTTGTGCTTGTACCTTTTTTGATTGAGTATCTGTTGAATTTCTCATTATATGTAAAGACATCTCTGATTCTGTGGACAAAATCTCAGGTCTTGACCAAGTATGTGTCAAGTCAGGTAACGACTGGGAACTTCTATTTAATTCTTTTGATTTTAATAGGTCTAAAGGTTTTGATGATGATTGTTCTTGTCTTAATCGACTTTTCTTGGATTTTATGACAGTGTTTACTTTCAAGTTGCCATCCACATCTGCAAATACACCTACTTTTGGAGAACCATTCTTGTACAGTGATCTTTGATCATCCTCATCTGTTGTATAAGCTTCAGAATCTTCTGGCAGAAAGATCACTAAAGATTGTCTATTTATTCTGCTTGTCTGAAGGTTTTTCATCTCTTGACTAAGTTGTAATAGATTTTCGTCACCATCCTTGTTTTGTTCTTCCGTCGAGATTTTTTGATTCTTCATAGTTAAATTTTTAGTCAAATTTTTTTGAAAATTGGCTAGTTTGAAAACGAGTGATTTTTGCTGTTTAGCTTGGGATTTGATAATTGGAGCTACATGTTCATTAAGTATTGGTAAAGCAAAAGAAGACGCAATTGCCCCACATAATACTAACGCTGGCTGTAAATTTTCTCTAAATTCTGAATTTTTTGAACTTAAATCCTCCACATTAAACAAAATACTCTGTAATTTATTTATAAATTTCCGAACAGTTTGAAATGCCCACGAAGCTGGATCATTTCTCAATTCAAATAAAAAAGCTTGAAGTACCCAAAACACTATTAAACTAAAATGAGGAAATCTTGAACAATAACCTAATAAAAATTCTTCCAAAGCCATTGAGTCAGTCTCAAAGGTGACAAGAAGTTGAACAAATTGTGGTATAAAAAATTCTAACTCATCATAAGAATACGAGTGTAATCTTTGAACTAACGCATGTTGAACTCCAATATTTTTACCATTCTCTCGTAGTAGATTTATACATTGTAATAAGGAAAGCTGAGGGGAGTAAATTTGCTTTCTCAATTCCTCATTCTCAGACATTTGCTATTCATGTATTTAGTGAATTAATGACGTGAATTATTAATTAATAATAATATCTATTTCTTATAATTTTTGTAAATTTATTTAATGAAAAATAATAGAACACTTTGTAAATTTTTTGACTTTTTCTTTTCTTGTCTCGTTAATCAAGAGCTGCATATTCTGTCAATATAAAAAAATATTGCACATTATCGATGTTTAATAACAAGACAGAATAGCCCTGAGCTTAGTAAAATAAGAATAGAGTGAAATTGTTGATTGTCTATGAACAAGAAAGAAAAGATCGCAATTGTAAGTGTAAATTTAACTATAATTATAGTGAAGAATAATTAATAAATAAAACCAAGAAGAGAAAAAGCAAACAGTCTAAAATTGAAAATAATGATCTTGTACGAATCCTTGAAAAAGCATTCTTCAAGTATAATGATCGTTCAATGAAAACATCTAAATTAATTTAAATTATCACCAGGACAAATGATTTATTGTTTTTTAAAAGCCGGAATTTCGAATTTTTCATCAAAAACTTGACCAGGTATAAAAGGAGCTATGCTTAACACATCTTCAGTTAACTGTTGTGGAGTTTCTGATAAGTTTATGTTTTTGTAAATAATGTACTCCAAATCTTTAGAATTCTTCCCATTATGATCAGCAAGTTTAAAAAATTTGGGATGAAATTCAACACCATCTTCAGCTCTTTTCTTTGCCATTTCACGTTGTTCATTCTCAACTTTATATTTTTCTTCAGTTGCAGTTGCATGATCTCTACGTGAAAGTGCTTCAATAGTTGGTCTCCATAATTTTCTTGATTCGTACGGAGATTGCTCCTCTAAAGGTCTAACTTTTGGTTTGACTGTAATTGTCTTGTGTGTATCAATTAAAACATCCTTTTTACCAGTCTTAATATTTTTTATATCAATAATATCATTCCATTTACCAGTAATGTGATACAATTCTTCCGAGGTTGCGCTATCTTTAATATGACCTTCAATTGCATCGTATGTACCACTAATGAAACCTTTGGTTTTAAATTCTATGTCTGCTTCTAATCCTGATGCCTCACACCTAACAACCATATGATCACCCAATTCGGTTTTCATTTTACCAAATAATATTCCTCTCACATATACATTTGGCTGATCCATAACATATTGTTCATCTCCCCAATTACCAAGAGTTACTTGACCCCATCCTTCCATAATAGCTGCAGAAGAATTACCTAAAAATCTAGATTTTGGAACAACGGTACCATCAACTCTAATTTTTTCATCAGGAACTAGATAAAAATAGGAAGATTTTGGTGGATGATGAGAAGTTTGCTCTGATATATAATAAGCTGATCCAGCACCTTCTGGAAGGTCATCCCAATAGCAAGTGAAAGTTTCTCCAAGTACTGGATTGAGTGGTTTTTTAACGGCTTTTGGAGCTATATGCCAAGAGGCAAGGTACCATCTTAATACATTAACAAATCTAAGTAAAGGATCTTCTGTATGATTGGCTGCAATTAATAGATCTGGGATCTGGAAAAAGTTAGTGATTCTTTCAAGCATTGACTTCTTTTCTAATATGAAAGTAGGAAGTGTGATCTTTGATAGATCCATTCCTGGTCTCAATTGTGCAATAATTCCCATTAAGATTGATTGCCCTTCATTGTCCATTTCATCAATATCATCCGAGTCAGCAGCAGATGTAGTTGTAGTTGTTGAGTTTTCCAATGGCTTCTCGTGGTCATGATCTTTAAGCTTGAGCTTTTCTAACTTAGAAGTTAGTCCCATTGAATTGTGGTAGTGTTTTACTGTCTTTTGATCAAGTTTTAACTAAAAACGGCTATTGTGATAGCAAGGGATTAATTTTGATAGTTTAAAAATTGAACATAACACTACCCTACGAAATCTAATTTCTTCTACAGTACGAAATACCACCTTGAAACTTCAATATGATTTGCCTAAATCGGTACTTTACAACAAACTATCATTACATGCTCTCGAAATATGAGGTTCTACTGTGAGACTGAATGATCAAATGAAATATGATATTTAAGACATTGTGCGTGATATTTTTTTTGAACGGCATTAAGCTGAAACATGTGAAACAAATTTGAAATAATATTTCAATTATTATTTAACAAAGCCCAATTCCCTTTTTAATCTTTTAAAAGAAAGAGGCACTTGCTGGCTTTCGACTAATCAAAGTATGGAATCGTCTTTAACATTTTTGCTGGGATATATAGTATCATTGTGTACATGTACTGTCGTCAACTACGAGGTCATTAGTGAAAAGGTGAAAGAGCTAACTGATATGGTCAAATTGATATCCTTGAAAGAATTAACTGCAGAAGATCGTAATACGATTTTGAAAATCAATCAATGCACAACTTTACTTGGAGAAGTTTTAGCGGATAGAATAAATGCTCAAAATACAACTACCGGGTCAGATAGTCTTGAAAAGGCCATTCATGTTTCAGAGGCTGAAATTATGACTTCACCGGAAGAAAATAAAGCAGGATTAATCAAACCAAGTGGGAAATATAAGGTCAACAAGCCATCAAAAAGATTGTCAAAAGTAAATTTAGGATTTTTGGAAACTTGGTTTAGAGACAATGCTGACCACCCTTACTTGAATACTCAAACTTTAAATTCATTGATCAAAGCAACAGGCTTAAGTAAATCTCAAGTACAAAATTGGTAAGTACTGAACTTTAAATTCTACGTTTGGAAGTTATACTAACCATTTTAGGGTTTCAAATAGAAGAAGAAAAGAAAGGAACGTCAGAATCACTCCAGAAATTGCAACTCTTATATTATGATCAACACCAATAATTCCATATTCTTATATACATAGGTTTATTTTTAGCCAATAGCCTCTCTTCCTCCAATTCAGATTGAATAACTTCTAAATCAACTTGTCTTCTACCACTATCCAAATCAATTTGATCTAAATTTTTATAAATTTTCCAATCCTTACTATATATTTTATGACCCAAATAAAAAATTAATATAACAACAGAACCTAAATAATTTTTAAAAAAATTCTCAGCATTAGCTTTACCATTTGAACCAAGAGGAAATAAAGCAACCCAAAATTGTACACCAAGTACCAATATTAAAAATCCCATTGAATATATTGATCCATATATTCCCAATTTTGAAGTAAAACTTAATTCTTTTAATGATCTATTTTGTTTTGACATAGCCATTCTAAATCTTAAATGACATAAACATATATTAAACCATGAAAAAATTGTAGCTAAACCTGAAACACTTAATAACCAAGCAAAAACGGTACTTTGATCTTTATAAGCAGCCAAGAAACATAATAATCCAAATACTGCACTTAAAGCTAATCCAGCTAATGGTCTACCTTTAACATCAACATATGCCAATATTGAAGGTCCTAAACCTTGTTGACCTAATGATTGAACAGTACGTGAACATCCATAAACAGCTGAATTACCAACTGAAACTACTGAAATTAAAATACATGCATTGAAAATTGAAGGTAATGCATAAATTCCAGCATCTTTAATAGCAATAACAAAGGGACTTGAAGAAACATATCCACTACCTAATAAATCTGGTGAATTATAAGGTACTAATAATCCAATCATTGTCAAAGATAAAAAGAAAAATAAAAAAATTCTCCAAAATACTTGTCTTACAGCTTTTGGTAAAGTTTTAGCAGGATTTTTAGCTTCCAGCGCAGCTATACCACACATTTCTGAACCAGCCATTGAATAAGAAGCAGTTACAAAAGTTGTTGCTAAACCTTTAAATCCATTGGGGAATGGAGCTTTATCAATATGCCAGTTTTTTGCACCAATAAATTCCTTTTTAGGTCCACCACCAACAACTAAAACAACTCCTAAGATAATAAATCCTATTATGGCAATAATTTTGAAAATAGTTAAATAATATTCAGCTTCTCCGTATCCTTTTACACCAAATAAATTAATTATCATTATCAATACGTAAAATATTGCAACCCAACTTGCAGGATTTATATCATTATTCCAATAACTTATACACATTGCAGCAGCTACTAATTCCAAAGGTAATACAATTAACCACATTATAGCATAATTCCAACCAACTGCAAAACCCCAACTTTCATCAACAAATCTCGATCCATATTGAGAAAATGCACCATTTACTGGAAATGCAACACATAATTCACCTAATGCCATTATAGTACAATAAACCATTGTACCAACTAATCCCCAAGCTATAATTAAACTTGCTGGTCCACCTGTTCTTAATGAACCTCCAGATCCAATTAATAATCCAGTACCTACACTTCCTCCTAATGCAATCATTTGAATATGTTTATTTTTTAATTCTCTATGTAATTCACCAGATGGTTCTTCTTCATTTGTTGAATATTTATCTTGTAATTCTAAATCATGATTATCACTGTTGTTAGTGTTCTGTAGTATACTATTATTTGATGACTCAACTATATGGTTATCTGGTATATCTGCTCTTTTAAATGAATCCTTAAATTTCTGCCATTTTGACATTTCATTAGTTTCGATACTTCCAATATGTTGGCTATTCAATGACTCTTCATTCTTCTCCAAACTCGACATTTACATATGAATTTGAACTATAATGATAAATACAATGGTAGTTTATAAAATATAATTAGTTTCTATCTTTTGAGATAAATATATATACTAACTTGAATCATGATTTTTTAATTTTCTAAAATTTAGATTATGTAAGTATGGGGAAATTGTAAAAAAATTTCACATAAAACGGCATTTATTATTAATAGTTAAGAAAAAGTATTTGTGAAAAATTGTAAACAAAAAGAAAAAAAAAAGTATTTGCAGCCAAAATCATTTGACAGTTTCATTATTTAACAGAATATAATAAAATTCCAGACTAAAATAACTAGTGAAATATCAAATTTCTGCTTTCATACAAACATTGGATCTATTTTGAGATTTTATACAAATTTGCAACCATTATATATATCTTATTACTTTTTATATAATAAGGTATTTTGACAGCTGAAGCGATGATTTAAAAAATTTGAAACACAAAAATTTTAAAAAAAAGTTAAAAATTGCCTTATGAAATATCCTTGAAATAGTCGTGTATGAGAGGATTAATAAAGAAAGCTCCAGCATTGAATCAGTTATAGTTGGTAAATCTGATAGTTAAGTAAATGCAAAATATTAGAACAATCATATATATTAATAAACAATATGTTTCATATTTAATTATGAAACATGATCCATAATTTATATTTAATTAAAAATTTGGGGAATTAATTAATTCTGCTTATAATAATAAATTAAAATATAATTCGTTATTAATCGGTAAATTAAGGTAATGATAATAAAAAGCCGCAATGTAATTTAAATCTCGTATTTTTATATCAATATTAAACTTTAAAATTAATAATATTTTATGCAACAGAACATTTGTATTAAGTTTCATAATTTATTATAATCAATTTACTTGAGGAATCTAGTCTCTTTCTTTTAGTGCCTATCAATACTCTTTGGATTTTTAAATTTGATTATATATTTGGTCTGTGCTTACGTTAGTATTCTTTATACAAAGTTACTTAAATACAGGATAAATAATTAAATATAATTTTCAACGGAGACCCCTTTTTTTCTATTTGATTAAATTCCACTTTTTGATAGATTATATCATACGATATAGACTATATTGGCAATTTTTTTATTTTAATTAAAATTGGTTTCAAATGGAGATTTGCTTAACTTTAAAAAGTTATTTGGTAGTAATTTTAAATCAGCTTAATCAGCTTGTAAATTACTAAATTGGTGTTTTATAAATTTAATATTCAAAAAGATACGTTTCACGTTTTATTGAATCGGTTGATAAAACACTTGTTTATATAGACTCGGTAATATAAAAGATTAAAACTGTCCCAGTTAAGAAAATATATGAATTTATTTATATCGTAATATTAATAGTAAAAAATGTTAAATTTTTAAAGGTAAATCCTTAAAATTTTGAAGATCAAATAAAAAGGAATATCAAACTCTAGAAATTTATAGATCTCAATAGATCTAAAGATGTAATAGATACTACAGTATATATGTCCTTATATTGGGTATAATATAATTCATACAAATATTATGTAAATAAAAATACTATTAAAGATAATATTAAATTATAAAATACTACCCTCTATTATTATTACATATTATGATGTATTTATTATTTATATTAATATTATAATGATAGTGTACAATTGATCAATTTTAATCATATTAGAAAAATTAATCAAAAAATTATAATCTTTTAATTAATTTTAAATTGGGAGAAATATTTAACCACATTTTTATATTTGATATTATTACAATTTTGAAATTTATTTTATAATTTAATCAGTGGTATTTAAAATATAACATCATACCATATACATATATATAATACTAAAGCACAATTTAATCATATTGATAATACAAGGTAAAGTAATAAAATAACTCAAATTCAATCATCATCGAAAAATTAAAATTTCATCTACAAATTTCGAGAAAAATCATGACTTTCCCACAATCAACTCCTAATTATTGGCAAGGTTATCAATCTCCAAGTTTAAGTGTAAATAATAATCCAAAACATGATTTATATAATGATATCTGTGAACTAAATCAAGAAAATGTGACTTTATTTAATGATCAACAACTACAACAACAACAACAAAATGATCAAACATTTCAATATAACAGTAATCCAAATATATATTCAAATCCAAACCATTTTCAATATGATACTAATAATATTAATGAAGAAAATTTTAACTTTTTAGATCAACAACGTCAAGTACAACTTCAACAGGAAATTAATAATAATAATAATAATGATAACAATGGAAACGTACGATCACACCCATTGTCTCAACAGCACATTAATGGAATTGGAAGTATCACATCTAATGGCTCATCTCCAAGTCAAGGTCATATTGTCAATAATTATGTATCACCAGAAACTTCAGGTACTTCCGAAACTTCTGTAAATGATATGGATGCAATGAAATTAGAGTCAAATTTAAATAATACTTACAATCCTTCATCAAGAAAACTTTCAACAAAATCTAAAAAACAATTATTAGATGAACAAGATGCAATATTAATAGCAAGAGATGATTCAGAATTAACAGAAGATGAATTACAGTTAAAAAGAAAAGCTCAAAATAGAGCAGCACAAAGAGCATTTAGAGAACGTAAAGAAACAAAATTAAAAGAATTAGAAAATAAATTATTACAAAGTGAAGAAGAAAGACAAAGATTAATTGATCAATTAGATATTATAAGAAAACAAAATATTTCAATAAGTTCAGAAAATGATTTTTTAAGAAATAATGATGGATCAAATTTTTTACCAAATTCAAATTTAAATACTGTAAATAAATTTGATTTCCCACAAAGTCAAGAAGAATTTATAGATCATGTTATGAAAGGTACTGGTCATGATATTGATCAATCAAAAGTTAATACAGTTTATAATAAAGAAGGTAAAAAATTATTAGCTTTAGGTGCAGTTTGGGATTATTTACAAATCAAAGCAGAAGAAGCAAATTTAGATTCAAATTCAATTGATTTTGTAGAAGTTATGAACAAATTAAAAGGTAATGAAAAATGTCATGGATATGGACCTGCTTATCCATTAGATTTGGTTAATAAAGTTATTGAAAGTTGTATTGAATAAGAATATTTAATGAGTTTTATGTGTGTTTTTTAAATTTTGAGTTTTATGTATGGTCTAGTTCTTTTTTTTGGTATATTTTACTATGTATTTTTAATTTAATTCTAGTTTTTTTTTGAGAGATTGTTTCATTGTAATGTCCACTTTGACAAAATGTACTAGTTCCCATTCTTTTCTATTCTTTCGAACTACTTTAATCTGATCATTGAAATGTTTCAATCGTTCTTAATTCTCATATTTCTAATAAGTATTAAGAATATTCTAGTAAAAAAATAAATTTTGTAATTCTCTCTCACTAAAATAACTAAAATAATTCTCCACTATAAATTTTGAATAGTAAAATAAATACGACCAAACCAAATAAAGTCATTAGATCAATTCATTGTATTTTAAAAAATTTGTAATATAAAATTCAACTACTGAAAATGTCAACAGCTGATGAATATAAAGCAGAAGGTAACAAATACTTCACTGCAAAAGATTACAAAAAGGCAATTGATGCATTCACAAAAGCTATAGAAGCTTCATCAACTCCAAATCATGTATTATATTCAAATAGATCTGCTTCATATGCATCATTAAAAGATTGGACACAAGCATTAAAAGATGCAGAAGAGTGTACTAAGATTGATCCAAAATGGGCCAAAGGTTATAATAGAGTAGCTGGTGCACAATTTGGTTTAGGAAATTTTGAAGATGCTGAAAATGCTTATAAAAAATGTTTAGAATTAGATCCTTCAAATGCTCAAGCAAAAGAAGGTTTAAAATCAGTTGAAAATGCAACTAAAGCAAGAAATTCAAATGGTGATGATATGGGATTGGGTGCAATGTTTAATGATCCAAATTTAATTACAAAATTAAAAAATAATCCAAAAACTTCAGAACTAATGAAAGATCCTGATTTAGTTGCAAAAGTTTTACAAATTCAACAAAATCCAAAAGCTAATGCTACTCAATTATTAACCGATCCAAGATTAATGACTATTATTGCAACTTTAATGGGTATTGATATGGATTTCCCAACTGAAGATCCAAGTGCAGCTGGAGCTGCAAGTGCTTCAAAAGAAGAGCCCAAATCAACTGATTCATCATCATCAAAACCAGAACCAGAACAATCACAACCTAAAGAAACTTCATCAAAACCAACCACTAGTGAGACTCAAAAAGAAGAACCAATAAAAGAATCAAAACCAGAGGAAGATGAAGATGTCGAAATGCAAGATGCAGTTCCATCAGATAAAGATGCAGCAGATAAAGCAAAAGCTGAAGGTAATGCATTATATAAACAAAGGAAATTTGATGAAGCAATTGCACAATATAATAAAGCATGGGAATTACATAAGGATATTACCTACTTAAATAATAGAGCAGCAGCAGAATACGAAAAAGGTGATTATGATGCAGCTATTAAAACTTGTGAAGAAGCTGTTGAACAAGGTAGAGATATTAGAGCTGATTATAAATTGATTGCGAAATCATTTGCAAGATTAGGTTCAATTTATTTGAAAAAAGATGATTTAGAAAATGCAGTTAAATATTTTGATAAATCATTAACTGAACATCGTACACCAGATGTATTAAGTAAATTAAGATCAACACAAAGAGAAATAAAAATAAAAGAAGCTAATGCATATGTAAACCCTGAAAAGGCAGAAGAAGCAAGATTAGAAGGTAAAGAATATTTCACAAAACAAGATTGGCCAAATGCAGTTAAAGCATATGGAGAAATGATTAAAAGAGCACCAGATGATGCAAGAGGTTATTCAAATAGGGCAGCAGCATTAATTAAATTATTATCTTTCCCAGATGCAGTAAGAGATTGTGATATTGCAATTTCTAAAGATCCAGATTTTATAAGAGCATATATTAGAAAAGCAAATGCTCAATTATTAATGAAAGAATATACTCATTGTATGGAAACTTTACAAGAAGCTCGTGAAAAAGATTCAAAATTAGGTGGAAAAAGCATTCATGAAATTGATACAATGTATAATAAAGCAGCAATGCAAAGATTTCAAGCAATTGATGGTGAAACTCCTGAACAAACAATGGAAAGAGTTAGTAAAGATCCTGAAATTGTTAAAATTTTACAAGATCCTGTAATGCAAGGTATATTATCTCAAGCAAGAGAAAATCCTGCTGCTTTACAAGATCATATGAAAAATCCTGAAGTTGCTAAAAAAGTTAATATGTTAATTGCAGCTGGTGTTATTCGTACAAGATAGATTAATGATTTAAAAAGAATATATCATTTATATATTATGCTCCATAGTAATCAATTGAAATATATAATTTTGTAAATAAACAACGCCTCTTAGAGAACAGGTATCCTTAAATTTTAATAATTCTTGTTGTTTTATGCCGTGAATAATTTTTCAAATCTTTAAGATTTTGAGTTCATGAATATTACACAAAACAAAATTTAAAGTAATATTATAAAAGTAATTTTAAAATTGTAACATAATAACACCCCTCGTATTTTAAAGTTATAATATTATCAAATGGGGGTGTTAACATGAAACTTCAATCAAATTTAAACTAAAGAACAAAACTTTAAAGACTAAAAATTAAGCGAAAAATGTGTTTTGAATTTTAAAAAATTAGGCTTTTTTTGCAACCAAAAGATTAAAAAGTTTGCAAAAAAGCAAGAGATAAATTTTGATTTTTTTATTTTTTGTTAAATTTGAAAACGTTTTATTTTATTAATGTTACAAAAAATTATAAAAAATGTTATTAAAAGAATATGTAATTTTATAGTCTAATTTAGTCTAATTTTTAAATGCAAAAAAATGTGAAAATTAAAATAAATACAATTGATAAAGAAAGTTGTTTTTCATGTTAACTGAAAGAATTGGAAATATATTGAAAAAATTTGTAGATAAGATTGGTTATTCTTCTCGAATGCATTTTAATCTTGTTGATTTTGATCTTGATTTCCAACACCTTGGTTTTGATTATATTCATCTAATAATTCTTGAATTTCAAAATTTGTAGCATTTCCAAAAACATTAACAAAAATTTGTTGACTTTGATTATCTTGATCATTTGAATCAGTGAATTGTGGTGGTCCAAATGGAGGATTAAACATTTGTTGTTGTTGTTGTTGTTGTTGTTGTTGTTGAGAATTTTGTCCTTGGAAATTTGAATATTCATTTTCAGGATTTGTTGTCATTACTTGAGGTATTTGATTTGAGCTTGACATAAATTGAGCATGTTGCATCATTGATGGACCCTGGTTTATTGTTGACTCCAGATATGGTTGAGTATAATTATTTGAACCAGTGGGGAAATTGTCATGTTGAGGTGCTTGTGGGAAAAACGGTTGATGCATATGATGATTTGAATATTGTTGTTGAATTTGTTGTTGTTGCTGAGCTTGATGCTGAGCTTGTTGTTGAGCTTGTTGTTGAGCTTGTTGTTGAGCTTGTTGTTGAGCTTGTTGTTGAGCTTGTTGTTGAGCTTGTTGTTGGACTTGTTGTTGTTCAAAGTGATCTTGTTGTTGTTTTTCAAACTCTTTTCGTTGTTGATGTTGTTGTTGTTGCTGCTGATCATGTCGTTGTTGTTGAACACTTTTTTGCAGTTGCAGACGTGAGCCAATACGTGGTTTATATTGAGGTGTTTTAGGATGGTTTGTTCCACTAAGACCGGTTTCTTGTTGCGGAACTTGTTGTCTTTGTTGTTGATAAGCATAATCGTTCAATTGGTCTTCATATTCTTGAGTTCTAACTTGAGTTGATGTCAGAGGTGAAATTGCATTTTTCAAGATATTATCAATTTTTCTCTCAACTAATACATTTTTATTAGAACCACCTGATGTATTATTAGTAGTAGTTGATTTAATTGAATCTCCCGTTGTGGAATTATCATTTGATCCTGAGCCAGATGTTGAATTTGTAGTTGAATTTGAAATGTTACCATTAGTTGAACTAGATTCCTCTGATAATTCATTAAATTCTCCTATAACATCTTTCCGAATTTGAGCCAATTCATTATTGTTTTTAGCGCCACTATCGTCAAATGGCTGCTCAATATTAGCGTTGACAATAGCATATGGTCTGAACCATTTCTTAAATACGTCAGTAGTTAGCTGAGAATTTATACCTAATTGATTTTTAGATGTGAAAAATTCAGGAAATTGATTTTGTAAGTCCAAATGCTTTTGAGAAACTTTATTTTTACCAAAAATTCTGTTATGCATTTCTTGATCAGTTATTATATTTGAAAAGATTTTGAGAAAGTACCGGGAAATTAAATCATATAATGCTTGTCTAACACAATTTCTTGCAATCTTGACCGTTTTACTCTTGTTTTTGTACGCAAAGAAGCAGAATGAAATTTCAATCATTAGTTTCAAATCAGATTCAGCTTCTGGTGTATTCGGATTTGCAAAATGAACACTTGCTAAGTGCATAAATGCTGCAAATGGGTAATACAAAAACCAACTAAATGCAGTAAAATACATTGTTTTCATATTGAAACTTTTAGCGACATACAATATTGTTCTTGCACTTTCATTCGCTAAATTTCTAAATTCTCTCGCTTTTTCAATTAAATGTCCATTATCATCAGTTTCAATTATTGGTTGAAATGCAACTCTATTAATAGTCAAGAAGTGTAAATAGAATTCAAAATACATCGACAAGAAATTCTCATAACCAGAATCAACAACCAATATTTGTTCCAACGGTTTATTTTTGGACTTAAATAAAAATCTTGAATCATTATAAAAGCAGATAGTGATTGGAGGTTCTGCTAAATCAGCTAATTCTTGCATATGTGTATTAATAGTATCAATATGAGCAAAAATTGTTGATAATCTATCATTTTGAGCTGACACACTATAAATCAAATCATAAGTTCTCATTCTAATTTTAGTTAATCGATAAAGAAAATATGCAGCACATTGATGCAAAGTTCTTTTTTCTTTCATTTCATTTAATTTTGATTCATCTAATTTAGATCTATCATCCCACAAAGATCGAATCAATTGAATATTGGAATGCATGATGGTTTTTGTGGATTTGTCCCCATCTATAAGAGCTGATAATTCATCCTCTCTAATTTGAATTGGTTTACCATGACGAAAACAATATCCAACTTCATAAGACTCACAAAACCACCATAAAGTTTTTCTTGTCTGTTGCTCTTGCCAACTTAATCCCTCATAAGATTCTCTTCTATGTAAGGCTAATTCTTGAGCATTCCTCATGGCTATTGTCAAAGGTAAATAAATTACTTTAATTGACGAAGTTATCAGCTGTAAATAAATTATAAATAATAGTAGTGCTTGAACAGTTGAAATTCCTTCACTTAAAAATGCGAGTCGATTGTAATAAAAAATCAGTGAAAAAAAGCACTTAGAATCTAATTCCATTAATTCTTGATCACTCAAATTTTGCAAGGCTTTACCAACTGGTTTACCGATTTTTTTGATTTTATTAACATTTCTTTCATCAACAATTTGTGAAATACATAAATTTATCAGACAAGTCATAATCATTAATTCTGACCAAGTAAATGACCTTAATTTTGAATTGGGACCCTTTGTTGGAATTTTTTTCTTGTTTTGAAAATATTTTTGAAACAAATCTTTTAGATATGACGCACCACATATATAAGAAGCCATATATAATTCATCAAACCTACTCAAAATTTCCAATGGTAAAATTTCATCAGCAAATGTGTTATCCATTAAATCTGTTCTACTTCTCAAGTTTGTTTTAATTGGTTGACTAACAGAGTCAAGAAATGCCAGCGAAAAGAAATCGTATATGTTTATAATTTGTTGTAAATCTTTTGTTTCAGATTTGTGATTAGGACCTAGTCCAAATAAAATATTATCAAACGATGCTTTTGAAAAAATATCAATTACTGAATGGGAACCAAATTTATTTAATAAGACTTCTGGATCGGATTTTTCATTGTATTCACCTTTTTCATCTATATCCTGTAAATATGAACTTGAGGGAGGAGGGTTAACGTGCTTAGCTTTTGGCCGAGCAAAAGTAATTTGAGGGGATTTTCCTTCAGCTATACTACTATCATTATCGTCTTCCCCATCATTAGTATCAACATCTATATCATCATTATCTTTCAAATCATCATTAGTGTTACTTTGATGATTATTATCTATAATTCTTATTGTATCAAGTACCGATAATTTTTTAGAGTCTCGAAGACCTTCTGTTAAATTTGCCAATAAATTTTCTATATTTATTAATCTTGTATCTAGTTCCTTTATTGATTGGGTTTTATTCACCTTATTTGAATTTAATGACGTTGCAGAATTTGCTCTTGGTGCCCTTGGTTTTCTTTCAGAATCGCTCACATATACACAGTCATTATCATTATTCTGTTGACAATTTAAACATGGATGACCACCATCACACTTGACTTTCTTCTTACGACAATATGTACATGCTTTTGAAACTCTAACTCTTTTTTTTCTTAATGGTTGTTGCAGTCCAAATTGTTGTTGTTGTTGTCTACTTGATGACAAATTTGGATTATATATTGAAGAATTACCTTCACTTGGTGATAATGCAATTGTTGAACTATCTTGGGTTATAGTACTCCCATCAGTGATTGAAGGCACATGATTATTGGAACGATTAAAGAATTCTAAGCTATGAGATATAGATGAAGGTTGCTGTAAATGATTGGAAATTGATTGATAATTATCTTGATTATCTTCTTGTTGTTGTGCTTCGTCTTCTTCTTGATTTTGTCGCTCAGTTTGTTGTTGTTGTTGTTGTTGTTGATCTGATAGTAGCAGTTGTGGATTATTTATTTGAAGTTGTTGTTGATTTGAAGTTTCTTGATGATTATTTTGAGGTAGTTTTGGGGAATCAGACATTTTTAGTCATTGAAATAAATATGTATTTGCTTCCAATAAACAATTTAAATTTAAATTGACTTCAAATCAATTGATTGTTTCCAATAAATTAAAAATGACTTATCTGTTCTAAAATTGAGAATGTTCTTTATAATCTATTTTGGTTGTCAAAAAAAAAAAAAAAAAAAACAATTCTAGTTGAANTATAATAAAAAAAATAATAAACAAAATAAAAAAAAGCAAAAAAAAAGCAAAAAAAAAATAATAAAAAATAAAAAATTGAAAGTAAATCCTCTTTGTTTCAATTTATTCATTAAAGCTATACTCTATGGATTTGTTTCTGCAAAGTTAACGTGGCTGATTTTCAGTAAATGCCCTTAATTTTTAAGTATTAATCACTCAATAAAAATAGTATATTATAATGATTAATTTATTAAATAAAAAAAGAAAAGTATAACTAAAAAAAACCCCAAAAACTCAACTTAAAGAAAAAAGGCGAATATGAACAAAAAAAAAAAAGATACTAAATTTCAAATTTCTCGATCGAAATAAGATAGACAATCATGTATACGATGTTTATCAAAACTCTTGTTTAATTAGTTTCATGCAATTGGTTATAAATAAATCTTCCTACTGAGACTAATAAATTATTTTCATTGAAATTTTGGTTTAGGTTTTCAAAAGACATTCAAATAATATATTTCTTTAATTTCTAATTTCAAAAATTTTATTAAACTTTAAACTTTTAAGTTTTGTCTTCTTTTATTTTTTTTTTATATTTTTTTTATTTTTTTTTTTTTCTATATAATTTTAATATTTTTAATATTAAAGATTTTTATAATTTTTAAACTTTTTTTCTAAACTTAAAAAATTTGAATTAAAAAAGTTAAATATCTAATTAATGAATTAGCTTTAAAATTCTCTTATATGGAAGTATCTCTTACTTTAAATTAGATCAGTTTTTCATGTTTTTTTAATAAACTGAAAATGTTGTTGAAAATTGAAACAATAAAGTAAAAAAAAATCAAACAAACTAAAAAGGAAAACTTATCACCAAATATTATGTCAATCAACCAAAATAGATTTATGCTACGGAATCTTTTTATTTTCTCACATTTTTGTTTCCAGTCAGTTCCAATTGCTTTACAAGGATTTTAAAGTTATCATGTTAGTAAAGGAATGGAAATGTGAAAAGATTTAAAGAAATTTTACTCGAGATTTCATGCATCTGCATTGGACAAACAAATTTGAATTTTACAATTTTATTGTTAATAAGATCGTAGAATCTTACTTGCTATTATCAAAAAAAATTCCATACAATTTTTTAAAAAAAAGAAAAACAATCTTATCATATTTTGTGTTAAATAATATCAAATAATTATATTTTGTTATGCACTCTCTACATCTTTACATATTATGTATATTTCATATATAATGTATAATTTAAAAATTGACTATTGATATCACAAAAATTCAAATATTTATAATACATCAATTGAGACTCTGTATTATTATTTTTCTAATAAAGTATGAAGTTTAAACTTAGTATATGCAATATGAAACTATAATAATTTATTATAATTGAATAATTATATAATTTAAACTAAATTTTAAATGTTTAGTAAATAATATTTTAGTTTAAACAATTGCACAATATCGGAATTTTATTGATTTTCAAATGTGTTTAGCTCCAAACATAGTATAACACTTCTTTGAAAATTTATAAAGAACTATCAAATTGAAAAAGAGGAAGTTTTCAAAATTGCAGGTTACAAAGCTATAAAAAAAATTTTCAAGTAAATTTCAATTTAACAAAGAAACAAAAGTCCAAAGTATTATATCAGATCTAGTTTCAAAACGGACTTATTATAAATTTATAAGAAGTCGAATCTTGAAAAGTGGCTAAAGAATTATTCAGAAAAATTTAAAGTTTTGTAATTTTTTTTTTTTTTCTCATTTATATTATTTTTATTATCTTTTATTATAAAGTAGTACAAACCCAAATTGTTATTTTAATTTCGAATTTCGTATTAGTTATTCTTAGGGAGATAAGGATTTTACGGGATTTTACTTTGCCGTTAGGAGGCTTTTTTTACTTAATTAAATTATTATCGTATTAAGAAAATTTTTAAGTATAATTTCAATGCAAGACAAAACATGATTCAATGTTGTGAATAAATTTATAGGTAATTGCTTGAGCATAGAATTTCATAGTTTCTCATATGTTCTGACATTGTTGATTATCATCAATAGACGACTTCATATTGATTCTAATTTTGACTAAATATGATCAGTTCAATCTTAAAACAAATATAAAACTAACATTACCATTTGGAGATTGAAAAAAAAAACATTAAATAAATTGACTATGAATGTTTAGTGTGTTGTTGAAATTTTGAAGTTTTTGAAATGTTTTGTTGCATTTTAAAATATTTTGCTGTTAAGCTGAACCTTTACTACGAAAGATAGAAATAGAAATTCACTATTCATATTTACTATTCACTTCATATTTATTATGTACTTCATAATTATTATGTACTTCATATTTATTATGTACCATACATCTTTACATTGAAAGTACTTTATAAGGAGAAAACAGATGTTATGCGATACTTATAGAAATTTGATGCCAAAAATTACGTTCTTTGATTTAATTCAAACATTATTCTTTCAGTAATACTGTGATACTGCGATTTCATTGATACCTGAGATTTGCATATTTTGAAACTAAGATTTTATTGTAATCGTAATATGCTTTTTGAGGACATGTTGGAAATGAGAATCCCATATAGACACTCAAATTTGCCACAAAAGGACCTGTTTACTAGTTAAATATAAATTTTAAAAAAATAACTTTTTTTAACAAATTGCTGCTAGGGGGTTTTTTGCAATCCACAATAAGCGACTTTTTGAATACCTCCTAATTAGTAAGTAGTATTCTCTAGGATTAATTATGAACCATAGTGGCTGGTATTTTGTGGTTAGTTCACAATTGTTGATGCTGTGACTTTGGTCATAGCAAAAAAATTTTGATGGATTATGAGCTGCTAGCTTATGATCGACAATTAAACTTTAATTTACAACCATGTACTTGATGCGCGAATATGATTTCCCAAGTTTGACTTGAGGTAAATTAAAAAAGAAAAACCTTTTTCACATGAAGCTAGACTGATTTATTCTCGATGATTATATAGTCTATTTATATTTTTTTTTTCCATAAAAGTTAACTGATTTTTTACATATTTCTTTACTACAAAAGCTACAAGTCTTTCCTTTATTCTTTATAATTAAGAATTTAAAGTTTTAACATTTTGAATATTTAAGCTTTCTCGCTTAAAAATTTTCAAAATCTCTATTATTTATAATATAAACTTTGTAATAAATAAAGTTTAAAAAACTTTATTCTATATTAGGGTAAATTAAATGATTTAGAGACAGAAGTTTTTTTTCTCTGCATAATTCTCAATATCAAATGGATTGGGATCTCAAAAACAAAATTTGGTCCGATATCCCCAATTATGTTTCAAAATTATATTTAAAACATCAATGATGAAAATATATATATACTTGTTACATCGATGACACTAACCCTTGCTCTAAATTACTAAACCTTTATACTGAATTTTTAAAGCTTTTTTTAGACTATTCCTAAAATTTAGTTCAAAATTTAAACTTATTCAAAAATTTAAATTTTTTTTTAGTTAAAAGAATAAGATAACTATTACTAAAAGAAATCATAAATAGGAATTTTTTCAACAAGTTGAATTCAAAATGATTATTAATTCACAAAATATACACAAGTCCAGCTTAGTTCCAGTTTCAGTACAAAATTTAAAATTTTTTAAAGTCTTTCACAAAAATCTACCACCACATTCCTCAAAATTTGTTGGAAATTACTTTCTATGATATATCTTTACCTTTTATGCATTTTTTAGCAAATACTATTTAAATTTATAAATTTCTATAATTCGGATATTCTTGGTTCCTAAATTTCCAAACCCGGAAAACCTGAGTAAAGCTCCATCCGATATCCGGTACCAGATCAAACTACCTATTGCCAGCAAAGTATTGATATCGACAGTTTTTCTTTCAAATTTTTGTCAGAAATCTCAGTATACTCTTGTCTACTCTTCGAAAATGAAGACACAAAATTTTAATCATAGTTCATCAAATTCCCAAATTATTATCAAAAAAGAAATTGGGCATACTATTCATTTGATTCAAAATTATATTTGAAACTCCATCATCATTATAAGTTTGAGTTAATAAATCATAGTTATCAAAAAATTGGGTTGGTGAGGGAGCTAAATTGGTTCCACGGTTCGTATCATTAAAATTATCATTAGTATCAGAGTTCAAGTTTTGATTTGGAGTGTTATTGACATTATTGATATTACTGTTTGATCTCACATTACTTCCATTAGGTTGAAAAAACAATTGATCTTGACCTAATTGGCCCGGAGTGAACTGATTATATGAAGGATGGGCCATTTGAGGTGATTTTTGTTGACCAGGTTGATACTGTTGTTGTTGTAATGGAGGTAAAGTCTGATACATTGATTGATTGCTTTGATCTGAGGAAGGTGAAGTGTTAAGTGAGTATTGTTGTTGACCATTTCGATCTGGATGCATTATATTTGAGACTGATGGATTATATCTTGGTGAATTTACATATGGACTTACTCTATTGCTTGAAGAACTTCTTCCACTTGTCAGATCATACCCAAATGGTTTATAACTACTATCATCAAAAAGTGATGCACCAATAATACCTTCATTGAAGTTGTCATATTTTGTAAATAACTCTGGAAATTTAGTTTGCAAACTATTCAAATGATCTTGTAATGCTTTATCATCTGAAAAATCAGTAATTCTTGAGCTATTTTCATAATTTTTAATAACAATTCTCAACATCAATTTTATAAAAATTTGAGTTGATATATCTTCTTCACCTTGACCCAATATAGCTTTGATTGTATTGACCTCAGTTGATAACCCTTTAATATCAAAGAATCCTAATGAAGATTCTATTAACAATCTAATATCGCTTGGTACTTCTGGAGCGGATGGATGATTCAAACAAGCACCACATAAAATCATGAAAGCAGAAACTGGTAAATACGACAACCAATTATAAAAAGTTACGGTGGTATTTGATTTGTTTAATTGTTTTATTAAAACCAAAATTGTTCTAGCAGAATCTAATGCAATATTTCTAAACTTCAAAAGCCTATCATCAATTTCTAAAGATTTTGTTTTGAGAATAAAAGGGAATCTATTGATAATCATTAAATGTGAAAAATATGTCAACTGTAATGCTAAAACATTTTCTTTTCTTCCCTTCGACCACTCATCGCAAGCAAATTTGAAATTTGTGTCATGATAGAAGCGAGGTCTTTCATCTTCTTCAGACCATCTAGCTAATTCCAACATTTCTGCATTCAAACTCTCCAATGTTGTTGCTAAAACTTCAAAATCTTTTGCTTGAGCAGTAGCCTCGAATAATGAATGATAAGAATCTGACTTAATTCTAGCTAATAATAATGAAAAATAATGATAATAAGATACATTAAGAGATTCTTCATTTTCCATGGTCTTTAAATTTCTCAATAATCTATATCTTAATGGCTGAGTTGTATCGCCCAAAATCGCTTCATCAGCAGCACTTAAACAAAGTTTACGTTTTGGATTATCACTTTCCGATGGTACCACTGAAAATGCATTCGCTGTGGACAAACAAAATTCCAACATATCTTGATCACTATTAGTTGTAACGTCATTCGTATTAATAGTTGGGGGTTTTCCTCCTCTAAAACAAATTTCTGTATCAAAATAGTAACAAAACCACCACACTCGACGTCTTCTTTCTTGTTCTTTAAAATTTAAATGTGCAAATGAATCAGAACGATGTAAACCTAACTCTTGAGCATATCTAATTGCAACCGAAATGGGAATGTAATTTAAATGACTTGTGATCCAACTAAATTCAAGATAGATAATAAATAATAGTATAGCTTCTACTGTTTCAATGCCTTCACTTACAACACATAGTCTTTGATAGTAATATATAGCATTGTTGGTTAAGGAGTCCAATAACTTAGATAATTTAGTTTTCATTTCTTTAGTACCACCTGAATCCAATTTATAAGTTAATCCGATCAATAAAACGCTAGTCATAATTAATAATTCAGATAAAGTGAATCTTTTTTTCTTTTGAAGATTTGAAGGTTTATTATAATATGATTTAAATAAACTTTTAATATGAGCCACGTCTACCAAAATACTAATGGTGTTAAGTTCTGAAAAATAAATGTCAACTAATTCAAAAATCAATTTTGAATCACGAGGAAAAGGGGATTCTAATAACCTTTTTCTAGCGTGAGCATCAACTAGCGGTGGATCTACCCATTTAGTCATAAAATGTCTCATTTTTGAAAGTAAAAAAATTGGTAAATTTCTAAGTGGTCTAATATATTCTGGTCCATCTTCACTTAATGTCTGTTCCATCCAATCTAAAGATTGCTTTGAAAATATGATCAATATTGAATGAGACCCAGTATATTGATGGCCACTTTTAAGTTCAACTGGATTCATTGAGTATGTATTATTAGTTATGTTTTGACGGCGTGGTCGAAGTTTGCTGCTAACACTTGACGTTAAATTTGAGTCTTCAGTTGCCTCTGAATTTGTTTCTGAACTTTTTTCAGAGTTCAATTCTGCTGAAGGATTTGCTTGACTAGCTAGCAATTCCATAGTTTTTGTCATTTTCTCCATAACTTTTTCTAGTTTCTGCATTCTTTTATCCAAGACATTTATCTCAGATGAGTCTTCGTTTTTCTTGGGCGTTATATGGGTTGTAGTCTCCGATTCAATTGGTGCAGCTTGGTCAACATGTGGAATTGTTTGTGCCTCTTCTTTGTTCACCAGCTCTTTTTCCTTCTCATCTTTTTCATTGTTCTCTGATTTACCCTTTTTGGATTGCTTTTTGGACTTATCAAGTTTTTGTTTCTTCTTAGGTGGCCTTTCAGAATATAAACAGACCCTAGGTCTCTTAGATCTTACACAATTATCGCAAGGGTAAGTTCCATTACATTTCACTTTTCTTTTCTTACATTCTTGACAAGCTAATAAAGTTCTTATTCTTTTTTCACCACTCTGAGTAATATTTGGATTGAACGGCTGAGTTGATTTACTCGTGTCTGTTGTTTTATTCCTTTGGTCTGAAAGCTTTTGATTTACTACAGGATTTATTAAATGATTAGTTCCACTGAGATTACTCTCTAACTTTGTTCCGTTTTGATGAAGTATGACCATCTTGACTTCGATTTGAGTAATGAATAAGAAAGGTTGCAAATTTTCAATTGATTATTTATTGTGATGGTATAATTGTTATTTGTAATCTTATATCTTGATATAACAGAAGAAAAATTGTTAGTAAAGATTTATTTTATCATTAAAAATAGTGTATAAATTTTATCCGAAAAATGCGGATAAGAATTTCAAACAAAAATTATTAATTAAGACTTTGCATATTTCCATAATTTCCTTGATTTTTAATCACTTATTATAAGGAATAATTGAGTCTAAATATAGAATAAACTTAAAGTTTTAAGTTAAGTTGATTAGGAAAATAATAGAATACTTTATTTTATTACAGCCTCTTTAAGTGCTTGAATACGATTAAAATTTCGAGGAGCAAAATTTCTAAAAATTGGAAGTTGTTCCCACAAAGCTCACAAAACTTCGGAAGTTTGTAAAAAAGGTTCTATATATTTCAGTAATATATATATTTCTGAATTGTATGTAACACATAAGAATTAAAACCCAGAAAAATCTCTTACATGAACTTAGACCAGATTAACAGCATCATAAATTATTATTTAAATTAGCACCATTACTGAAATTCACAGAATTCGCAAAATCATTAACATCATTAAAATTATTAAAATTGAAGTTAAAATTAAAATCATTAAATTGTTGTTCTTGTTGAATTAAATTTTCAAAATTACTAAACAAATCAGCATGTTTAGACGATGATTCAAATCCATTACTATTATCATTGAAATTATCAAACTCAAAATTATTCAAATTTTCTGAAGTTCCATAAGTATTCATAAAATTTGAAAGTATTGGTCTAACATCTGTATCTAAACTTGAAAATGATGAAGTTGATGATGTAGTTGGAGCATTTGTATTATTTTCGTTGGTGTACATTCCAATTGCATTATTTTCATTCGATAATTTCTCAAGTTCTAATGAATCATTTCCCGTCATTTTGAAAACTTCTGGGAATTTGTTAAAAACTGAATTAAGATGATTATTTAATTCTGGTACTATATCATAAAATCTTACACTTGCTTGTTTTTCCATAACATCAACTAAAATTCTTAAAAATATTCTACTCATTAAATCACAAAACATTCTCTTATTGTCCAAATTTATACCTTGAGCTCCATTATATGCAAAAAATCTCAAGGATGCTTGAATTAATAATAAACTATCCAGATATGATGAGCTTGCGTTCGGGTAAACTAGACAATTTCCCAATAAACTCAAATAAGCGGCCATTGGATAGAAAACTAGGAAAGGAAATGAGCTTTCTTCAACAGCTGATAATATGTTGGGATCAACTGATAATTGTAAAATTTTTCTAGCTGCTTTTAATGAAGTATTACCATATGCTAGTAACCTATCATCTTCAATCTTAAAATCTTTGATAAATGGAACTCTATTTATGGCAATTAAATGTGAAAAGTAAGAAAAATGAAATTCTAAAGTATACAATTTTGCAGTTTTTACATCACCTGGAATGCAATTTGCAGTAAAAGATTTTTCTTCAAACGTTGGTCGAAGCTCAGGTGCAATGAGTTCTGCCAATTTCTTCATATTGTCATTTATTTCATTAACAACTGTTAATATACCTTGAATACTAATTCCTGATGGTAATTTTGAGTACAATTTACAGTAACTTTTGGCTTTAATTCTAGCCAACATTAAGGAAAAATAACCGGCATAAGAATCAGGACCGATTGACTTAACTTCTTCAACAATTTTTTTAACGTTTTTCATATACTTTTTATTAGCAAATAAATCTAATGGAATTGAAAAAATACTTGGGTCAGCTTCTGTTAAAGTTGAAACATCCTCGTAATTGATTAACATTGGCTTACCACTTTTATAACTAATTTCCACTCCAAACATTTCACAAAATGCCCATACTCTTCGGCAAGTCAATGCATAATTTTGATCATCATCATTTATGTATTCTGCTCTATGAATACCATATTCTTTTGCATAACTAATCATACTGCTTATTATTCCGTAATTAATGTGAAAATCCGAAATAAATGACTCATTGACAATCAAGGATAATAATGCTAACCCTTGAACTGATTTAACACCTTCATTTTTAACAGAGACAAATTTATAATATTGCATAGTTGAATCAAAAAACCTTGCTCTCATGTTTTCAGCATCTTTAGTTGTCAATAAAGATAAATTGGGATACAAAAGTGGATCAATTTCAGTAGCATTTGTGAATCTTGAGAATGCTAGTACTAAACTTGAACTCATTATCAAGAATTCACTCATTGAGATGTTCTTTTTTAATAATTCAACATCATCATTGTAAAATTGGAAATACTTGTGGAATATTTCTCGAAGTGTACTAGCTGAACAGACAAACGTTGGTGAACTTAATCTATTATAATACAACTCTATAGCTTCAAATATTAGATTTTTTTCATACTGTTGTAGAAATATAGAATTTCCATCTTTGATTGTAGTTTTTTCAAATAATTCATTTTTTGACCTTTCCATAGCGTTCGTTAAAATCATTGGCATCTTCCTTAAAGGTGAATATAAATCGTCAGTTATAAAATTTGTATTAATTCCTGTTATTTTGTTTTTTAGCCAATCTAGTGATTTTGCTGATAATGTAAAAAATAATGAATGAGTTCCACAATATTGTGCTAATCTATTTTTCATTCTTGTTGTAAAACAAGTTTTATCGGATGGTGCAAGCATTTCTTTCATTATTTTTGGATCTTTTATAACATCTTTAACATTATTCAGTTCGTACCCAAATAAATCTGTGTCTAAATCAGTTTCTTCAACGTCTTCAAAAACCTCTTGTACTTCTTCTAGTGCTTCATCTTCTTCGATTTCATCACTTGAATTACCATGCTCTGATGAAAAAGACAAACTACTTTCATGAGAATTTCTATTGTTAATTTGACTTAGTACACCAGATCTTGCTGATGGATCTAAATTTGAAACAATATTATTAATTAGAGATTCTAAAGCGTTAATTCTTGAATTCAATTCGGTAACAGTTTTATCCTTTTTAGTGACTTTTGCGGGTGCGGGCTTTTTAGTATTGATTCTGTCGCCATTTGAAATATTGGTGGTTGTAGTATTATTTGGTTTTGTTTCTCTTTTTTTACGTGGTTTCTGAACTAGTGTATATACACATTGACGATTTTTATCAGCACATTTTTGACAAGGATTTTCACCATTACATTTTGATTTTCTTTTCTTACAAAAATCACAAGCTAATTTAACCTAAAATAGAACAGCTGGTTAGTATTGCTCCTTCTAACCGTATATAAATGGATAAATAGCTAGTGCAGCTAACTTCTAATCATTCGGGCCCAAAAAAAATATATCTACATACTCTTACTCTTTTCTCCCCACTTTGAGTAAACTCTGGATTGAATGTTTGCTGAATAGTTGACATTGTACTATGATTTTAATGGGGCATTAGTTTCAGCTTAGCCTGTTAAAAAAAGATCTCTTTAAATGCTTCAAATGAAGTAAGTGTATAAGTAAGTCGGTGGCCAAATTTATAATAAAATTAACTAAAATAAATTAATTTTAACTATTGATAGACAATATAAATTTTTTAACCCATGCAACATTTAAAATTTAATATAACCCTTATTAAATTTAAATCTTATTAAAGAAAAGGGTTTTTTTTTCATTAAAAATTTTCAATTAACATGAAGCATAAGTTAAAAAAACAATGATAGGTCTAGTAATTAAACATTGTAGGTTCATAATTTCTCAACTTTTACTCAGAAAGTAAATCTTTGTCATGTCAATCCCTTTTATTTATTATTGTAACTTCAATTGAATATTTTAAAAAAATCTAGATCTTGTCCTTTTTGTAACTAGTTAATATAAATTACAAATAATAATAAAACAGTAAAGTAAGAATGAGAACGAAAATATTAATAAGTTACCTGAAAAATGTATTGAAGATGAATATTACTCGCCTATATTATTCTATTATTTTAGCATATAGCTTCATATTAATTACACTAATCTACCGTTTTTCACAACCCAACAACATAACATAGCCAGTATTTTTCTCAAAATTGAATGGAAAGTGTTTTTTAGTGCCCAAAAATTTGATAGTTGTGTAAGTTATTGATTTAAAGTACGTTTAGATTCGTATCTAGCTATAAGGTCTAAGTTATATTCCATAACAAACAATACTTATAAGTCAAGTTGGAAAAATATTAGTTAAGCGATTGATGGTTAAAAGGCTACCAATTGATCCGACTTTTTTTTCTTTTCATGAAACTATGAATTGAATATCGAAAATATAAAATTAATCTAAAGTAATTTCTCACATCAATTTCATTAGAGTATAGCAAAACCAACAAGAACACTCATCAATGGTGTCAAAAAAGGCAACTCCTATTTTTGCAAATAAGGAGGATGGCAATTTCAGAGAGGCTTTAAAATTATATGATCTGAAACAATACAAGAAATCATTAAAACTAGTGGATGCAAATTTGAAAAAAAATTCAAATCATGCAGAATCATTAGCATTGAAAGGTTGTATATTATTTTATACTGGACATAAAGACGAAGCTGGAACATACATAAATAAAGCCATCACAAAAGACTCTTCAAATTATTTAGTTGATCATTTAGTTGGATTATATTATAGAGGGTTAGAAAATTATGTTGAAGCAGCTAAATGGTTAAAAGCAGCTAATGATAATGGATCTCCTAATAAACCAATATTGCGTGATTTATCGTTTATGCAAGCTCAAAATAGAGATTTTAAAAATTTGGTTGAAAGTAGACAACAATATTTAGAACATGCACCTGGGTTTAGAGCAAATTGGACAGGTGTAGCTATAGCTCAGCATTTAAATAAAGATTATAATGGAGCAATTGGAACTTTAAATAAAATCGAAGGAATAATAAAGGATCATTTAACGGAAAATGATATGTATGAACATAGTGAATGTGTGTTATATAAAATTCAAATTCTTGCAGAATCTGGAAAAATTACAAACGCATTAGAAGCATTGGAACATGATAAAGATAGTATAAAAGATAATTTATCATATTTGGAGTATAAAGCAAAATATTTATTATTATTAGGGAACAAAAAGGGAGCTTCAGACATTTATAGAGAGCTTTTGAAAAGAAATCCAGATAATAAAGATTTTTATACTTTATTAGAAGTTGCATTAGATATATCAAATGAGCTGCCAGAGATTCGATTAAAACTTTATGAAAAATTACAAACATTTTATCCAAAATCAGACCCACCAAAATATATTCCATTAACATTTTTACCATCTGATTCAATTTTATTTAAAAACAAATGTCGAGACTATATAATACCTCAGTTATTAAGAGGTGTACCTGCTACATTTGTTAATGTTAAACCATTATATCAAGATCAAGATAGATTGAAAATTATTGAGGAAATTGTTATTGATTTTCTTGAAAATGAAGCATTTAAAAATCCAAATCCAACAGTCACTGTGTGGACTTACTTTTACCTTGCACAACATTATTTGTACACAAACAATCTTGACCTAGCTACTAAATATATTGACTTAGCATTAGATCACTCCCCAACTTTAGTTGAATTATACATCATAAAGGCGAGAATTTTAAAACATTTGGGAGATTTGCAAAAAGCGTCTGAGATCATGACTCAAGGACGAGAACTTGATTTACAAGATAGATTTATCAACTCCAAAGCAACAAAATATTTACTAAGAGCTAACAAAGTGGATGAAGCTATAGATTGTATATCATTATTCACAAAATTGGATGAAGGTGCAATTAATGGATGTAAAGATTTACATATTATGCAAGTAAATTGGGTAATAATAGAAAGCGCCGAAGCATACGCCAGAATTTATCATGAATTAGAAGAGAAATTGAAAGATTCCACATTTGATAAAGATAGTGAAGAGTACGAACATGCATTAGAAGAAATTGAATCATATAAAGGCTTAGCATTAAAAAGATTCCAGGCTATTCTCAAAACTTTTAAAATTTATTACAATGATCAATACGATTTTCATTCATATTGTTTAAGGCGAGGAACACCAAGAGACTATATAGATACAATTAAATGGGAAGACAAAATCAAATCATCACCTGTATATATTAGAGCATTAAAAGGATTATCGGAATTATATTTCGAATTATATGAAGAACAACAACATTTATCAAAATCTGATACGAAAGAAGATGATTTCAAGATTAAAAAGAATGGTAAGAAGCAGAAAAAGGCAAAAGCTCAAAATAACAAAAAGAAGCTGGAACAACTGGCAAAAGTAGAAAGTGAAAAAGATGATCAAGATCCATTTGGAGTTAAATTACTTCATGAGTTACAAGATTCGGACATTATTGAACAATTATTTGAATTATTCCAAGATATGAATGAACAAGCACCAAGATCAAAATTAGTGTGGGAAAATTTATTTAAAATTTACTCAGCTCAAGGAAAATATGTCTTGGCGTTACAAGCAATAAAGAGTTTAGATAAAGTTTTAAACTCAAGTGGTGATAGGAAATTAAAAGATATTGGTGAAAAGATAATTACACTTTCGCAAACTACTCAAGAGGATAAAAATGCAAATCAAGCAATTGTTAAGGTCGTTGAAAAAGGTTTAAATTCAGCATATCCAGATTTTGAAAAATTATCAATCTCGGAATTTACAGAAGTATATAGTCAATAAAATTTAATAGATTAATATTAGGCATAATTACGGAAGTAATCCCACTTGTAGTTAATTCATTGTCTACTTATTGAATTTATGAATTAATCCAATTATCTACTTGACCTCTGGCAACACTACCAGCTAAATTTAAAGTTTGTCTACCTAATGGGAAATAGCTCACACTATACCAAACAGCAGATAATAATTGAATAGCTGCAAAAACAATTGACAAAAGTGTACTTCTCAAACTTAAACTACTTATTAAAGTTATAATGATACTTGCTCCAAATACAATTGTGAAAATAATTCTAGTTGATGAAAACAAATGTATTAAATAAGCTTGAGGACCTTGTAATACTCCAAAACTAACTAAAAAGAAAATCGATCCCAATGACCAAAGTAATGCAAATTTTCTAGGTTTTAAACTTAATATAGGAAACAAAAATATACAAATAAGCCAACAACACAAAGATCCAGCAAAACATAAAGCAAAAATTAACATTCTGTCCCATCTAGATAATTCAAACATTCCTGGATCAGAACTAACATAATTTTCATCGTCTTGTAAATATATTGATTGATTTCTAAAAGGATTTAATTTCTGTAGTTTTGTTTTGAATGAATTTGATTCTTCTGGTTGTGTTACTGGAGGTGGTAATGGAGCTCCGTCACTTTCATCTTCTTGACCCAATGCTGTATAACGATTGGTTTTAAATGATTTGAAAAATGACATTAAGTAGTATAATATGTACAAGTTTGGTAAGAATTATAATCTGAATTAGCTTCGGATTTAGATATTGATAACCCGCATGAAAAAAAATGTCATATTTTGAGTGTTAATAATTTATTATTACGATTTTAAATAATCACAATCAATTAATAAGGCGAATTCAGATATTCAACTACCACAAACATGTCTACGCCATCTGCTGAAATAGAAGTGATTGATCCAGAAAAGCAATTTGTCAAGACATACGTTGAATTAATGGAATTATCAAAAAATGCGCCATTTGATCAATTTTATTCAACTCATGATTACAATAAATTATCATCATTAGGTCCAAGTTTACCAAAATTTAAGTACAATTTTCCAACAACATCAACAGATCAATCTTTTACTGATGAAACTCCAAAAATAGCGAAATTCAAATCTATAAAACCACCTTTCAAATTTTCAACAGAATTGAAAGTCTCACCAAATGAATCTATTTACAAAATTAAATCAAATTTAATTGAATCGATTGAAACCTTAAAATCATCAAATATAAAACCACGAGATTTAAAATTAATGGTCAAATCGAAAGTTGCTCAAGATTCAGCTACATTATCTACATTAATTGGTGATAATCAAGAAATAAGTTTTAATTGTGTTATTTCGAATATACCTTCTACAACAACAACTAAAGAACCAGAACCAGTAATTCCTACTTCAAATGACGATCCAGAAGTTGAACAACCATTTGCACTTTCTTCAACAGCTTGGTCCAAGATATATGAAATTATATTGAAAGATATTAATGATCCTGCCAAAGCTAAAGCATTGGTTCATAAATTCCAGCAAGATATATAAAATTAAATTAATATAATGGATTTTGAATTATTCTCTTTTTGAATAAGTTTTTTTCTATTTTCCTTTTCTCCATTCTTCGTATCTTTTGATAACTAATTCATTCAATGAATGACCTTCTGGTCTACCAACTCTTTTCTCATATAAATAGTAGGAGGCAATCCCCATGCCAACTCCAATTATAGGATCTAAAGTTCTTGAAATTAAATAAGGATATTGCATTGACATGATTGTAGAATATGTAATGAGTAAATAATACTTCTTATGAACGAGTCGATATCAATCACCTTAATCTAATAATAATAATGCTATGTATATACTCAACTTAAGTCGTGTAAAATTTATGAAACTTTTTTTTTAAGTATGGAAAAATTTTTAATTTTTTTAAACAGAGTTTATAAAGAAAATTACTTGTAATTACAAAATTCATATATTGATTAAAAATAGTTAAGTAGTTTAACTCGAAAGATCAAAGTATTGGTAGTTGGATATTAAAAAAATAGTTAGATAGAATGGCAGCAGTATTTCCAAGAACTTGTTTCAAATGTGGTGAAGTTGGTCACGTTGCTGATGATTGTACACAAGAAGAAAGATTATGTTATAATTGTCATAAACCAGGTCATGAATCGGGTGATTGTCCAGATCCAAAACAAACTACTTCAAAACAATGTTATTCATGTGGTGATGTAGGTCATATCCAAACTGAATGTCCGAATCAATCTCAAGGTACTAAATGTTATAATTGTGGAAAATTTGGTCATATTTCAAAAAATTGTGAAGAACCTCAACAAAATAATCAATCACACTCATCATCATCATCATATAAAAAACCTTTTGGTGGTTCATCAAGAGGTGGTAGTTCTGCAACTTGTTATAAATGTGGTGGTCCAAATCATTTTGCAAGAGATTGTCAAGCAGGTGGTGTTAAATGTTATGCTTGTGGAAAACCAGGTCATATTTCAAAAGAATGTCACTCATCATCAGGTGGAGCTAATTATGGATCAAAAACTTGTTATAATTGTGGTAAATCTGGTCACATTTCAAGAGAATGTACCGCATAATTATTGTTTTGCTAAATCTTTAATTTTTCTTTCTGTTTTTGTATTCTAATTTTTTTTTGCATATATACTTGATCTTCCAATGATATTTTAATCTATAATTTAGTGGATGGAATTTTTAAAAAAATTGTTTATAGTGACTAATTAGTTTTGGAAATTGAAAAAATTAATTTTAATATTTGGGTCTTTAAAATGTTTTCGAAATATTGTTGAAATATTTTTGTAGAATTTTAAATTATTTTATATAAATTTTTGTGGATAAAAATTACCTAATTTATATAATAAAGGTTATTATAGAGGTTATATAACTGCTATAATTTCAAAATTTTTAATAAATTAAACTAAATGTAATTGTCATAACCCGGAAGGTTATAGATGAACTGAAGTATATAAATTGAAAAGTATTGTTATGAAATATAATACAATGACCAACAAAGCAACACAATAATAAATAATAAAACTCTACCCGAAGTAGTTGTACCAAACCATAATGAAGATCCCATAAAGTAATCTACAATTGGTCTAATAATACTATTGATGAAACCGTCAAGTTTTGTTGGTTTTAAATATAATGTCGTAGGCCCGCTAACTACATTAGTGTTTGCTTCTAAAGATCTTAAATCTGAGATATTATCAAAATTAGCAGAAGCTGTCAAACCTGAAGGTAAAATTTGTAAACATCCTGATAGTGGTGAAATTATCAGTTTTGGTGGATTAAAAGGAATTGAAATATCTAAATATACAGGTCTATGATCTGATAATAGAAGTGAGTCTATTGCTCCATATTTTTTAACTTCTGGTAAATAATAATGTAATTGACTCTCGTATGTGGTATCATTTGAACCTGGTTTTTTCAATAATCTTAAACCTAAATTATCATTTAAAATCTCTTCATAACTTGATAAATATAATATACGATCACACCAAGATGGAGATCGTTTTGTATTATAAATAGCTGTATTAAGATGATACTTGTAAGTTGGTCTGAACGTTATCTTTGCTTCAGAAAAATTTTGTAAAACCCCTCCATCTATCATACTCTTCTTTAATTCATCATATTTATCAACTAAAGTCTGGATCTTTTTTATATATTGTGCATCATTTGTTGGTATTTCCAGTAATGAAAATAATTCTTGACTTTCTGCACTATAAGACTTGTAATCTTGTGTAGTCCTATAGTTTAAATCTCCCATTATGAAAACATGATTTTTAGGTTTTATTAATCCATATCCATCTCCAAAATCTAATGACCTTATTAAATTATATAAGTTTTGATTTCTTTGTAGATAGTAATACTCCCCTTCGTAGGCATTTAAATGTAATGTTGCAAATGATAACTCAACTGAATTTAAACTATTAAATCTACCCTCGGGACAATAAGTTACTCTAAATCCTACTGCCCCTTTTAAACTCAGATATCCATATCCACAAGAGCTTGTAGCAGTTTTAACTTTTTGAAATTTTGAAGTGAATGGACTAATAAGAATCATTCCCGTGGCTCCTAAAAAGTTCATAGATATAGTTTGAAAGCTTGATGGGTTTTGATATTTCTCTTGTAAAGCCGACTGTATTAACCCATTTAATTTAATTAATTTGGAATTAGCTTCAGATGTGAATGAACTATCTAAAATTGTACAAAACTCTTGAAATCCAAATATATAAAGTGACGATATATGATCTGGTAATGCTTCAAGTAAATGAGAAGTGAATAGATCTGGTACTAAATTTTGTTTATTGCAATTGTACGTTAACAAGAACAAAGAAAATGGTTCTGGAGGTTGTGAAGACTCAGGCATAGCTGTCAGTTTGTGAGATTGTAATTGATAAACAGTTTTAAAGATGAAATTGTTTATTTAATATTGCTGTAGATATCCGTAAAAAAAAAAAAATGTGAAACAAACTAAAAATTCTTAAATACTTTTAGACAATTAAGTTTATTTGTGATATCAATTTACATTAATTTTACAAAATCAAATGGCAAATGACATCTTTTATTGAGGCTCAAAGACTTTCATTGGAAAATATACATGCCATAGAGGACGCAATAACTAAACGAGTACTAAGAAATCCGGAATTAATACCCGAAGATTTACAATCAAAACATGGTGGTAACATACTTCCGCAAAAGCTGAATTCATCATACACCGAAAATTTAAAACTTCTACAACAACATGAACTTAACTTTTTTTTAGAAGAACATTTGAGACTACTTAAATCCATTTTTCACTGTTTCGAGGATGAAAAATATATGTATGAGCAAGAAGTTCAGCTATTAAAAGATGATACAAATTTTTCAAAGTTTGATAAAATGGCTGAAAATATTCTAGATGGGGAAAATCAAGATGAAGTAGCAGCAAATATGAAAAATCTTTACTCATCCTTCAATACTAATAATCCAAGTAATATTCGATTCAAAATTAATAAGAAAACAAATAAAGAAAAGAGGCTAGTGAAAAGAAAATTTATATTGAGTTCAGCAGCAAGTCATTTGAATGAAACCAATTTCGATGAAGTGTTAGAATTGAAACCTTTTTTTGATATTTATAATGCAAATTTCACGTCAAAAAAGAAATCTTATATGGAGTTTCTCTATAATTTTCAGAATTTTCCTTACGAGATTACAAATCATTTGTATGATGACTACTTAAAAGATCTTTATAATTATTTATGGTCAAGATACAATCTATTGAATCCTTTAAAGAACTCGGATAAAATAAGTAAAGAAGTAAATGCCATGTCCTCAAAAGATTCTGCAATCGGTCTAACGAATACTAATCAAGTGTCAAATTTATATTGTAAAGCGTGTTTTAAGTTGTTCACAAATCAAAGTGTTTATGATGGTCACTTAAATGGAAAAAAACATAAGAAAAATGCGGCAAAAGTTGGTGATGATACATCAAATGGGAATTCAAATTTATGGTATGAAAATGCGATTAGAGTTTTAGCTAAGAATCTAGAGCAAGAAATAAATCATACAGAGAAAATGACAGTTTTATCGGAAAGAGAAAAATTCATTGAAGATCAAAATAAAAACGATATGGAAAATGAATTTACTTCGGCCGAGTTAAGTTCAAGTGATGAAGACAATTCAGAGGAAAATGATTCAGATTCAGATTCAGAACTTTTTAAAAATTTACCATTAGGGCCAGATGGATCACCAATACCATACTGGTTATATAAATTGCAAGGTTTACATAGAAAGTATACCTGTGAAATATGCGGAAATGTTTCTTATCAAGGTAAACAAACATTTGAAAAACATTTTAATGGTCAAAAACATATTCATGGATTGAAATGTTTAGCGGTTGAAGAGGAGGATTTTCCATACTTTAAAAACATAACAAGTATTGATGAAGCTCAAAAATTAATTCAAGTATTGAGGAAACAAAATAAATTTGAGCAAAATGAAGTTCAAGATGCAATTGAAGTTGAAGATAAACAAGGTAATGTAATGAGTTATGTAGATTATGTAGATTTAAAACGTCAAGGTCTAATATAAGATTACCATTTCAATCAATATGTCGCGTCTGAAACGGCCTAGTGAATAATAGAAAAAAAAAATTGTGCTTTGTAACATTTGAAACTCTTCATTGCAAAATTATATGATAAGAAGGGCGTTGAAAAAAACTAAAATGAATGGAGTCTTTGCAATATATAAACCATCAGGGATATCATCAGCAAATTTTATAAATGATATACAAGATTTGTTCACAAATTCAAGAAAATTTGCATCAGATTTAAAAGCTGCAAGAGACAAAGTATATTATGATCTAAGTAGAGATAAAAAGTGGCAAAAAAGAGCAAGGAAGAAAGCTGATTCGACAAAGGTGAAAATAGGTCATGGTGGAACATTGGATCCTTTAGCGAGTGGTGTTCTAGTTGTTGGCGTTGGATCAGGAACTAAGAAATTACAATATTATTTAGCTGAATGTCAAAAGACTTATGAAACAAAAGCACTACTTGGAATATCTACAACTACAGGAGATTCAGAAGGGGAAATAATAACCAAAAATGAAACTGAGCATATAACTCCTGAATTGGTAATTGAAGCAACTAAAAAGTTTATTGGAGACATTAAGCAAACACCACCGATTTTTTCAGCATTGAAAGTCAATGGGAAACCATTATATGAATATGCAAGGGAAGGCTTGCCATTACCAAAAGGTATCAAAGTACGAGATGTTAAGGTGCATGATATATCGGTTGTTTTAGATGACTTACTTACCAAAGATCACGAGTTTACAAAGTTAGAAAGTCAACTAGACGAAAACGGAGTACCAAAAGAGCATGGATTAATGAACAACCCAACACTAAATGATTCGCCACTATATTTTTCAAGACAATACTTAGAAAAATCAGACAAATCAAAAGTCAATAACCCAAGAATACTAGCCGATGGTGAAGAATTGCCTGAAAAGCTACCTTTAATACATTTTATTTCAGATGTGTCATCAGGTACATATATCAGAAGTTTAATAAGTGACATAGGAAGAGCATTGGAGCTGTCAGCATATATGGTAGAATTAATTAGGTCAAAACAATCAGAGTGGGAGTTGAATAAGAACGTCTTTAAATTTGAAGATTTCAAAAAAGATGAAAATATATGGGGTCCTGTGTTGCAAAAAGTGCTTAAAAATGGTGGTGAAAATATAAATTTAGCTGAGGAGCTTGACGAAGCTGAGAAAACTTTTAAAGAGGCAACAGAGGATGAAGACGACGAACCTACAGAGAAAGTTTCTGTTGGTGATAGTGAAAAAACTGAAGATGAAATTCATAAAAAGAGAACAATTGATCAAGTTGATTAAATTTAATTTGCAGCAAAACAAAAAAAATAAACTTGAAGTACATAGTATAATTGCATAGAATTTTTTTTTTTTAAACTAAATAGATAAAGTAATGAAACAATTTCTACGATATTTAACTACACATACAAAGCATGCTCAATTCTATGCTAAATCAATTATAAATCCAATAGATTATAAACTAAAATTTCCAACAAAATTCATACCAAAATCTGTGTTGGTTTTTTCAACTCCTACTAATTTACCACAAATTATTCAAGATTCAATTGATTTGTTTCAAAATGAACAATTACAAGTCATAGTTGCAGGGATCGATACAATGATTCCATATTCTCATAGAAATGGTGTTAGTGAATTATGGTTGGACCAGCCTATAAAAATTGGGGCCTCAACGTTGTTGGAAGAAAAAGATAAATTAAATGAACCACCAAGAGAAAGTGATGGATTAAACCCTGTAACTGCTAGGAAAAATTGGAAAAATATACTGGGGAGTTTAAATATTAAATTAAAAAATGAAATGGATGCTAGTATTAGTCTAGCAAATACTGTTTTTTCAACTGGTTCAATTATTACATTATTTTATTTTGATCCAATATTAAAAGTTGCACATTCTGGCGAACATTTATGTGATTTAGATATTGAGTTACCAAGAGGTGTAGTTCCAACACACTCGTCGGTCTTAATTGAAGATAAATGGACTCCGTTGTATCCTGGAGAACTGTTCAAAGTAACGGGTTGTGCTGGTAATTTACTTAAAACTATTGAGCAAAAACCAGCTGCCAAATTCTTGGAGAATAATGATAAGCTTATGAGTTTAGGAAGTAAAGAAACAGAGGTGTATGTCAAATTGCGTAAACATGGAAATTCATTAGTTGAAAGGTTCAAAGTAACTGCTGGTGGTGGCGGTTGGGGTGTAAAAGCTGATTTAATAGCATTATCGCCAGAGGCTAAACCTAAAAAGGGAGATGAAGTTGAGTTTTTCATGGTAACACCAGATGATAGATATTTATCAAAACATAACGATGGAAACATAAGTAAATTTCAAAATTCTATAGCATTTGCAAGAAGTTATGAAGAAATAAATTTCAATGAATTTGAGGAAGAAAAAGAGCATGTTTTTGAAAATGTCTTTGGTTGTGGTTCTGAGCATGGGTTTGTTTTTAACGGGGTCAAGCATGATTCACCCGGTGAAGCTATCTATATAAAATTATAGGAAGGTATAAAGATTCATTTTATTTTATTTATTCGTGTACAATATTTCTACTTTCTTTACTTTCTCTACTTTGTTTTTCGTAATGACCATAAAATATATCACTGGTGATCTATTCAATCATAAAGCAGTTGGTAAATCAATTGTGTTAGCACATGCTTGTAATACAGGAGGGAGTTGGGGTGGTGGTATAGCTGCTATTTTTAGAAGAAAATTTCCAGTAGCAAATCAACAATATTCAGAGTATTGTCATAAAAACTCAAATTTATTAGGTAAAACTTTGTTATTAAAAGCTGATGATTTTGAAAAAAGTAAAATTTACATAGCTTGTTTATTCACGAGTGATTTCAATCAAGGACCAGAGAAAATTGCTTCTTATACCACAGATTCCTTAAGGGACTTATCAAAACAATTACAATCCTTAAAAGATATTGAATCTAGTAAAGATGGGAAAAAAATCGTTAATATGCCCAAGATTAATGCGGGAATTTTCGGAGTGCCATGGGAGTTGACTGAAGAAGCATTAAAGGAAGTTGATACTTTGGATTATAATGTATATGTTCTATAAAGGCTGAGTATGAATGTTAATGATCATGTAAATATTGATTGTAAAATATCGTAGGTCGTGTAGATTCAATCAAAACATTTTAAAACGTAGTGGCACCAAAATTATAACAGAAACTTGAGTTTCGTTATCTTTCTTTTTTCTTTGATAACAACAATTAAATCAATTCTATAACCGAATAAAGATGGATGAACAATTAATTGCAACCATTAATAAGTTACAGGATGCATTGGCTCCATTAGGCGGCGGATCATCATCACCAGTCGATTTACCACAAATTACAGTTGTTGGATCGCAATCTTCTGGTAAATCTTCTGTATTAGAGAACATTGTTGGTAGAGATTTCTTACCAAGAGGAACTGGTATTGTTACTAGAAGACCATTAGTATTACAGTTAATTAATAGAAGACCAACAAAAGAAAATAAAAAGGATTTATTAGATATCAATGCATCGGAGGATGGAGGTCAATCAGAAAATAATGTTGATGAATGGGGGGAATTTTTACATTTACCAGGTAAAAAATTCTATAATTTTGAAGATATTAGAAATGAAATTGTTCGTGAAACAGATGCCAAAACCGGTAAAAATTTAGGTATTTCACCAGTTCCAATTAATTTGAGAATTTATTCACCACACGTTTTAACTTTAACATTAGTTGATTTACCTGGTTTAACTAAAGTTCCAGTTGGAGATCAACCAAAAGATATTGAAAAACAAATTAGAGATATGATTATGAAATTTATTTCTAAACCAAATGCAATTATATTGTCAGTTAATGCTGCAAATACTGATTTAGCAAATTCTGATGGTTTAAAATTAGCAAGAGAAGTAGATCCTGAAGGTTCAAGAACAATTGGTGTTTTAACTAAAGTTGATCTTATGGATCAAGGTACTGATGTCATTGATATTTTAGCAGGTAGAGTTATTCCATTAAGATTTGGCTATGTTCCGGTTATTAATAGAGGTCAAAAAGATATAGAAACTAAAAAGACAATTAGAGAAGCTTTAACTAATGAAGCTAATTTTTTCGAAAATCATCCATCTTATAGAGCAAAAGCACAATTTTGTGGTACACCATATTTAGCTAAAAAATTAAATGGTATATTATTACATCATATTAAAAGTACATTACCTGATATTAAAATGAGGATTGAACATTCATTGAAAAAATATCAAAATGAATTACAATTATTAGGTCCAGAATTAGCAGAATCGCCAGCTTCAATAGCTTTGAATATGATTACAAATTTCACAAAGGATTATACTGGAATTTTAGATGGTGAATCAAAGGAATTAAGTTCACAAGAATTGAGTGGTGGTGCTCGTATATCATTTGTATTTCATGAAATTTTCAAAAATGGTATAACCGCTTTAGATCCATATGATCAAATTAAAGACGCTGATATTAGAACAATTTTACATAATACCTCAGGTTCTGCTCCTTCTTTGTTTGTTGGTACATCTGCTTTTACTGTATTAGTTAAACAACAAATTAAAAGGATGGAAGAACCATCAATAAGATGTATCAATTTGATCTTTGATGAATTGGTTCGTATATTATCTCAAATTATAGGTCAACCACAATATTCAAGGTATCCAGCATTAAAAGAACAATTATCAAATTTTTTCATACAATATTTAAGAGAAGCTTTAATACCAACTAATAATTTTGTTGTTGATATTATAAAATCAGAAGAGACTTATGTTAATACTGCTCATCCAGATTTATTAACTGGTACACAAGCGATGGCATATGTTGAAGAAAAATTTCATCCAAGACCACAAATTCAAGTAGATCCAAAAACTGGTAAACCTTTACCTAATCAACAACCACAGCAACAACAACAACAAATACAATCACCAAATCATGCAAATATACCTAAAACTGATGAAAATAGTAATGGGTTTTTTGGAGGGTTTTTCTCATCAAAAAATAAAAAAAGATTACAACAAATGGAAGCTCCACCACCAGTATTAAGAGCAACAGGTACAATGACAGAAAGAGAAACTATGGAAACAGAAGTTATTAAATTATTAATATCGTCATATTACAATATTGTTAAAAGAACAGTTGCTGATGTTGTACCAAAAGCTATTATGTTAAAATTAATTAATAGATCAAAAGATGAAATTCAAAAAGAATTATTAGAAAAAATGTATAATAATCCTGAATTACCAGATTTAGTGAAAGAAAATGAATTAACAGTACAAAAGAGAAAAGAATGTATTAGAATGGTCGAAGTATTAAAAAATGCTAGTGAAATTGTTTCATCTGTATAGATTTGTAAACGGGTAGATTGTGAAGTAAGCTATATATCTGTAGATTTTAATAAATATTTTTAATTCCATTTCAACTTAAAATTTGCTACTTTTGGTATTTCTAATTTTACTTAATGAAAGCGTTACATATAAACGATGTTAATGTTACTTCAATAGGAATTTTCAATTGATAAAATAATAGAAATGAAATTTTATCTAAAAGTTTAGATCTAGTAATACTAAATGTATGACTATGTAAAAATTAGAGCTACCTGAAAAATTTATTTGTGTAAAATGACTACAATCAAGAATTGATAAAGAACAATAAGGACATACAGCGGTTAAATATATTTCTTAATTATATTGTGCGACTTTTAATTATGCAATTACATGGAGATTTAAAGATTACGAAAGAAATAGAGATCAAATTATATTGAAAGCTTTTACAATAAGTGATTTTTGAAAATGGATAGTATTTAAATATTAATAATAAGTCATAAACAATAATTGCTTATTGATTTGTAAGTCAGATATTCATTTAATCTTATTTTCTAACTTCTTGGCATTCTATATATAATTTCCAAACATATCCTTCAATTATTTTGCTAATTATATCAAAGATCTTTTTTGGTCTTTTAATTCTTTTAATTATTTTAATATAAAATTTTAATTTTTTGTTTGTTTGTGACCTGAAAAATTTTTTATTTTTTATTTTTTTATTTTTAATTCTTAGTTTTTTTTTACTTTTGCTTTTCTTAAATTTATTTTTTTACAACCAAAACTTTTCAAGCAATCCAATCAACTTTAATTTGATATAAATAGATTCTTATTTCTTTAAATATTATCTTTACAAATTTCAAGTGAAAAGTCAAGACTCCTGTTTAATACATCATTATTGAAATTACATTTTAAATCAATATAAATTCTTTACTCCAGTTTGATAGAGTCATCTACTATTATCATTAATTAAAGCTTAAATTTTTTCAAGAACATCATATTTAGTTGTTCAAGAAAAAAAACATATTCAAGTAATATTCAATACTCAATAGATCATTATCAAATTGAGTTCAACAATCTTTGAATCCTCGGTGGTTTTCCAATAATTTTTATGCGTAAGAAAGAGTCACGACTAGATCAATTATTCTACATTAATAAATTAATCGAACCTGGGTAACATCAACTATACGTATTAAAAAAAACTCAACTCATTATTATTAAAATCAAAAAGATCAATTAATTTTTTGCCTATCTTGTCGTTCCAAGCATCAGTTTACATTACTTATCAATTTTTAATTCGCTGACATCGATAATATCATTACATTTTTATTAACTCATTCAATTCAATACTCGAAATAAAATCTACAACAAAAAGTATTTTATTCCCACTTATTGATAATTTTTTTGAAACGTTTCTTGCTACTTCTCTTTTCGTTTCATTTTTGATATCATTTTAATCTAAAAACTACAAAACTTCCACATTAAGAGTAAGTTTCAATTTCAAAAAAAAAAATCATTTATTTCATTTATTTAAATTTAAGAAAAAAATTTACCTGAAAAAAACTATAATTTATGGTTGCTCCTGCTTATCATCAAGACACCTTCGTTGATCATGAATTATCCACAAATTTAGATTCAACTTTTGCATTTGAAGGTCCTGAAAAATTATTAGAAATTTGGTTTTGGAAATCAGAGAATGATTTACCATCAAATTTAAAAGAAGGATTAAGATCTATTGATTTAAAATCTTGGGTCAAGATTTTGGATTTAGTTAATTGTAAAATTTTATCAATGAAGAGTTCAAAATTTATGGACGCTTATTTATTGAGTGAATCTTCATTATTTATTTTCCCACATAAATTAATTTTAAAAACTTGTGGTACAACAACCACATTAGCTTGTTTGGATAAATTATTTCAAACTGTTTCTAAAGCTTTGGGATTCCCAATGTTAAGTAAAGAAATTTATAAAATTTTTTATTCAAGAAGATCATTCATGTTTCCGGAGAAACAAATTCATGTTCATAAAGATTGGAAAAATGAAGTATCTTTATTGAATGAGTACTTCATTTGTGGTAAATCTTATGTTGTTGGTAATTTCGCAAGTGATGATCATTGGTATCTTTACTTTGGTGGTAAAGAAGAGGATAATCATTTTGGTTGTAAACATCATCAAAGTTCAATTGATCAAACATTTGAAGTTTTAATGACTGAATTAAATCCAGAATGTGCAAATAAATTTATTTATTCAAGAAAACCAGGTCAACAATCTGAAGATGAAAATACTGATTTAGGACATGAATTAGGTATGGAAACTATGATTGAAACTGAATTAGATTCTGTTTTTGAACCAACTAATTTAAATACTCATTTACCTTCACCATCATTATCTGAATCATCAGAAGGAGAGTCAGATATAGAAATCGATGAAAAAGAAGTGGGAGGTAAAAATTCTGGATCACAATCTACCACTACAGATTTTGAATTTATTCATGACGCATTTGCATTTACTCCATGTGGTTATTCATCAAATTCAATTTGTTCAAATGTCAAAGGTGGGTTTTATTATACTTTACATATTACCCCAGAATCAGGTTGGAGTTATGCATCATTTGAAACAAATTTTCCATTTAATGATTCAATTTCAATTATGACTGTATTAAAAAGAATTTTAAAAATTTTTGATCCAAAAAAATTTTCAATGACTTTGATAAATGAAAAGATCTTGAAAAATTCTACATCATTAAATAACAATTTAATTGAATCTGATGATAATGAAATTTTTAATTTATTAGGTTATAAGAAAAATGAAAAAATCATTTATGATTTGAAAAATGAATATAATTTATTATACATGAATTTTGAAAAGAAATGTTAAGTTGTTATGCTTTGTTTCAAAAGTTTTGTTTACTTCATCTTCTTATAGCAGTAATTACAGAGTATTTTACATTTAAATATATGACAAATGTTTTATATTATAAAAGACCTCTAAGGTGTAGAATTAAATTATATGGTACAGTTAAAACATTAATTTCATTTTTCTCCATAAATTTGCAGCAAAGTTTTTGTAAATTCAACCACACTATAAAGAATCTTTAATAAATAATGTAAACATCCGTACACCAATACTTTAGGTCTATGCAACATTAAAATACAAACTTATTCACAATCATCAAGTAAATAACATTAAAAACTAACTTAAACACAATCATCCAGTAAATTGTATTCATAGATATATTTAGAGTAAGTACACTTATTCTAATGAAAGTTTTTGATAAAAACATTTCAAATGAACAAATTAGTCGATTGACAATTTGAATTTCTTATTGAACATGATGACTTTCAATTGATCATACAAAGAAGTGACACCACTAGCAGAGTTGAACTGAGGTTGTTATTCGATTCATTAATGATAGGAGTTTTATTTGAGCTTTCTTCTTCAATAATGTATGTTTGTTAACACTTTATACTACTTACTCTCGCAAAAATTTGCATAAAGAATTAACATCCGTACCACAAATTTTTGTGCAACATTAAAATTTTGTTTCAACAAATTTGCACCGACAATGATTTTCAGAATTCAACAAACCTACATCAACTCATATAGTCAATTGTAAAGGTTTAAATGTATATATTATATTTATCAACTCATATAGTCAATGATAAAGTTTTAAATGTATATATTATATGTATATATATATTTTAAGCTAAATACACTTATTTTATTGAAATCTCTAGATAAAAACATTTGGAAAGAATAAGATACTCAATTAAATGATCTATTTAAACTTTTTACCGAAAATGATAACTTGTAATTGATCATATAATGAAATAACTAAAGCACCGGCAACTCCCCTCAAGATATTGGCACCACAACCTTTGAATAATGAAGCGACACCTTCAGCTTTAATAACTTGTTGAGCACAATCAATAGCACCTTTATATTTAACGGCTTGACCTGAAGTCATCATCATTCTTCTTCTAATAGTATCTAATGGGTATGAAGCAGTAGAAGCACCGGTAGTAACAGCCCAACCTAATAAGAATGAAGCTAAGAATGAACCTTGTAATGGACCAACTAAAACAACTGGTTTTAATGAATCATATAAACCGAAATATAAACCTCTGTAAACAATAATACCAACAACTGATGGACCAAAACCTCTATATAAACCAGCAATACCATCAGTTGCTAAAGTTTTTTTATAAACATCAATTAAACCATTGAATTCTCTACCTTTACCATCACCTTTAGCAGATTTAGCATCATTAGCTAATCTAGTTCTAGCATAATCTAATGAATAAACAAAAGCTAATGAAGTTGCACCAGCTAAACCACCTGAAGCTAAATTACCAGCAAACCATTTCCAATAACCTTCATTTTTTTTGAAACCAAACATAGCTTTGAATTTATCTTTAAAAGCAAAATTTAAAGCTTGAGTTGGGAAATACCTAATAACATTAGCAGTGTTACCTCTCCAGAATGAAGCAATACCTTCATCAGCAGCAGTTCTTCTGAAACAATCAATGATACCGGTATATTTATGAGATAATCTACCTTGTTTTAACATTTCATCTTGATTTTGAATTAATAATTTAACTCTTTCAATTGGAGCAGCAGCAGTTTTTGAAATAGCAGCAGAAACACCTCCCATAAGGAAATCAATTAAGAATTTTGAATCCATCTTGAATTGTTATTTTAATTTGAATAGTTATTTAAGTTTAAGCCTTAATGGTTGAAGTAAAAGTAAAAAAAAAGAAGAAGAAGAAAAGAAGAAGAAAAGGAAAATTTTTATATATTTTTAAATTTCGTTAATTAAATCTTCATAATAAATTTTTTATTTTTTTAATAATTTTTATTTTTATTATATTTTTATTTTTTTTTTTAATTTGATGTTGAAAAATTTTTCAGCTTATTTTTTTTTTTTTTATTATTTTTATTTTTAATATTTCTAATTGTGTAGTACTACCATAATGATTTTTAAAGTAGTACTACTATTAAAACTGTTTCTGAAAGTCAATGTCGTATTACGACATGTTTTATCTAGGTAGTAGTAACAACTTACACCAAAGAAATATGTTTATAGAAAATCAAAAGTTTTTATATTGAATAAGAGCAATTGACCTTCAAAAATTATAGAGGATTTTATGGTCATGTTAATCATTTCTGTTAAATTCATAATTAATTTATACATTTCAACGACCCACAATTCAATTGCAAGGTTTGTAAAATAAAGTATTTTATTTGTACCTGGATCAAATCTAGATAATAAATTAACGACTAATTTCTTTTTTTCTTTTTAATTTGTAGTAACGGTTTATTACGGGTTAAAATATTAAGAAATATTGAAAAATATTCAAATGGTTCAATTTAATTGGTCAGTTTATGTAAGAAATATTAAAAAATATTTTAAATGTCGTGAAATGGAAAATTTTTATTTTTTTTCTTCTGCAGATTAATTTGGTCGACTTTAATAAATTTTTTCTCGAGTTTCCCGACCTATAATTGTCCCCCATAACATGAAATATTTACGAATCTATTGCTTTGATCTAATGCATCATTTCTTTTTTTTTGAAAATCGTTTCTTCGAATTTTACTTAATTTAGTTAAAGCTAGTTTGACCATTAATATGATCTCGTGCCAACTACTTATATCTTTAATCACATTTATGACAAGAACTTCTGGTGAAGTAAAGCTGGTAAAGTTTTTGTCATTACATCAACTTTTATTTATATAACAATGTCATCTCAATACAGACTCTTATCTTTTATACGTAGATTTCAAATCTTATCACATTCAAATATAATATTATTATTTGGTACGTGTATCGTGTTTTGTGCTAAAAAAAGAAAATGTCGTTTTTGTTGGAAAAACTGAAACAAATTTAGTTAAATCGAATTTCTGATTTTTTACTTAACATAAGAAATTAAACTATTATTTGTAAATAAACATTCTCATTCATGTTTGAGTGATGTGAAGAAGTGAAATAGTAGAAGAATCAACCGGTTTGATGATTATTACGTTTTGAGCCTTTTCAACTGTGAATTTTTTTTTCATTGATAATAAATAAATAAATATCGCACTTTCAATTATTTTTATATTTTTCTTTATTTAAAAAATAACTCCGATATTATAAAAAAAAGTTATTCCGAGCTACTCTACCAAAAGTCTGTTTAAACTAAAATGACAATAAACTTAGAGACTGAGCATAATTTGTTTAACTCTTTCGAAATTATTTGCTTGCTATCACACGTCGTGCTATTCTATTTTTTTAGGCTCAGACGACAAGTTTGATTTTTTCTTCATTCAAGAAGTTCATATTTCAGCTGAACACATCCGCGTTTTTCAATTTAACCGACCAATTTTTGTTTTGTTACAGACTACTTTTGTGTCACAAGTGATACGGGATGTATTACACTTAATGATATACTTATTACAGGTATATAAAGCTGGAAAACTAATCGTGTAAGTTCAAACCGTTTCTCTAATCACCATTTATATGTACTGTACAAAATAAATTAAAAAACATAGTAGAAGAATAAGTCAGTTACAAGTTTTAATTCTAAAAATGAATGCTAAAAAAATTATATATTTCACACAATTTGATAAACTATATAATTCTTTTTTCTATTTATACATTGATGAAATTCTTTTATGATTTTCATCACTAATACTTGAAATTCTATTTTGATTATTACTAAAATCATCTAGGGGGATTTCTTCAGTTTGTAAAGATTCATTCGTACCATTTAAATTATTTGAATTATTAAAATAATTATCTGAATTAGTTCTCTTTTGGAAAATTCTTTTCATTGTATTGTTGGTTTTCCTTCTTATTGGTGCAAATGATATACCAGGTGGTGGAGTTGGTGGTTGATATTGATTTTGGTTATTTAATTGATCAAATATTTCTCTTCTATAATTATCTTCTTCATTTGATGAAGTATTTTGTTCATTCAGTTTTGTTTTTGGTGCACTTCCCATTGACATTCTATTTAACATATTTGTGGAATAAGAACTTACTTTTTGTCTATTTGGATCAGTTGGATCATAATTGAATGGGTAAGCGGCAAAATCTCCTCTTTGAACACATTCTCTAATAATATCAATATCTTTTGGCCAAAATATCTTTTGTACAAAATCATAAAAGAATCTAGGGATTAAACAACATAAAATACCAATAAACATACATGCCCAAAATGATGTCATTCCAAAGATTTCTGGTGCAGCTTTATAAAATTCTCCACTTGAAGATACTGTTGTAGTCCATAATCCAGTCCAAATGAAAATGATTAAAATTGAAATACAAACAATTAATGTAGTTAACCAATCCCATCTATATTGATGAAATAATAAATAACAATTACAGGAGATACAAGCAATACAAGTGACAATAACACCCATCCAAAATCTATGATCTACTGGTCTACCACTCATAACTGGAAAGGCCCTAAGGTATAACAAATATGGAAAGAAAAATGATATAGCTGATTGATAAAGACCATCAAGACAATAAATATAAAACTTCAAATCACTCATTTCACTTCTTAAAATTCCCGATCTGTATAATTGTGGTACTAACATACAAACTTTTGCATCAACATCTTGATCAAATATACCCAAAAAAATAATTGGTAATGAAGTAAAAGCTAAATTATAAAACATAAGATAAGTAAATTCAAAAAGATAAGTACCATCAAAATCACAATATATACCATACCAAAATAATGCAATATTAAAAATTATATTTTTGTAGAAAAAACTTGGAATCATTTCACTAAATCTTTTATAAGACCAACGTCCATGAGTTAATAATAATCTTGCTAAAAATCGAAATTGTCCTAATGCATAATCAGATGACATAACTGCTTGTCTACCTTCTTCACCTGCTATACCAACTCCAACATCAGCTGCTTGAATCATGGCTACATCATTTGATCCATCACCAATTGCTAAAGTCATAACATCAAGTGTGTCTTTAACTAACTTAACAACAGCTGCCTTTTGAGCTGGTGATACACGACAACATAAAACAGCTCGACATTTTTTACACAACAAAAGAAACTTTCTTTTGGTGTCTGGATTTAATAATGCAATTTTTAATGCATCACCATCAATAACAACACCATATCTTTCATCAGGTGGTGTATGATCATCAATAGCTGCTTCTTGTTCTTCAAATGATCCACTTGCTTTGAAATGTTTTTCAAGATAGTATGAAATAATAGTATCAATTATTTGAGCTTCAGCATTACCGAATCCAAAATTTAACCCTAAATTTTCAGTTTCTTCATCTGAATAAGCAGTTTTAATAACTAATAAATTCATATCATTACCTAACAAATTACATGAAAACCCAATATTTATAGCAGTTTCAACTTTATCACCAGTTAAAACCCATAATTTTATACCAGCATCAACTAACAACTGAATAGCATCGGGTACACCATCTTGTAATCTATCTTCAATTGCAGTACCACCCAACAATATTAATTCTCTTTCAATAGAATCAGCAACTGCTTCCATTTTATTTTCTCTATCTTCCAATGCAGAAGCAGCAATTTGATGCCGTTTATTCCATTCGATATATTGGTTCCATGATAATTCTCTTTCAGCTATACATAATGTTCTTAACCCTTCTGTTGCATATTCTTCTAAATGTTTTGCAGTAGATTCTAACATTGCTGGATCATTATATTCTTTTGAGAGTCTTTCATATATTATTGAATCTGCACCTTTACAAATAAGCAAAGCTCTTGGTTCATCGTTTAGGTTTTCACCAGGTATTTTAATAATACAACTCATTCTTTTTCTAGTTGAATTAAATTCAAGAGTGTTCAAAACCTGATATTCTTTTGTAGTTCCTAATTCATCAACTAAAAACCCTTTTTTGGTAGTACCTTTAAAATTAAAACCTAAAGATCTTGCAGTACCCACCAATGCAGCTTCATCTGGTGATTGAGCTTTTAAAATTAATTTATGAGGATTTTTATCACTTTGTTCCGTTAAAACAGAATGACATAAGGCTAATGCTAACATAAAATGATGATTTGCTTCTTCTTGTTGTTCACCTTTTGATCCCATCAAATCATCAATAAATTCCAGTGATACAAATGTTAATTCATCATCATAAGTGGAGTTTTTTGATATATCATGTAATTTTTCAATCATTTCTTGTTTATCTTGACGTATTAATTCTTTTTCATGTATAGCTTCAGTTTCAACATCTATTCCCATACGTTTACGTAAACCTGCCAATGCTTCAGTATAGGCACGTCCATATGAAACTCCATTAACTGTACATTTTTTAAATTCCATAACATTCTGAGTTAATGTACCTGTTTTATCACTAAATACATATTCAATTTGTCCTAAGTCATCACTTATAGACCAAGATTTTGGAGTACATGGGAAATCTAAATTTGGATAATACATCCCCACATCTGAATAAATGAAAAATGCTTGTGCAGTTTTAATAATTTCAATTGTAATATATAATGAAATTGGAACTAATGATTGATATAAAATTAATGCAACAAAGAACCCAACTAATCCATTTAGTGCTGGTGTACCTGCAATTGTACCAAATTCAAAATAATCTCTTGAAGTTCCATGTTTTGTATAATAAACCCCATTTACCACTGCTGAAATAAAACAAATTATAAACAATAATAAAAAATTTAGTAAGACGTAATAATTTAATTCTCTTGACATTCTTGATTGTTTTGTTGGTGTAACACCAGCATTTAACATAATTTTAGTATCATCACCAGTAAATACAACTATACCAATTACCCATTTAGTATTTCTTAAAAAACAACCACGCAACAAAAGATTATTAATTGTTATTGCTTCTTGTAATTCTTGTCCATCTCTTGCACTATATCTTAAATTACCCTCGTAGGAATACAAATTTGCATGTGGTCCTTCCGAATCAACTTGAAATGAATGATCCATTAAATCATCAGCTTTTGTAACTTTATCATTTACTGAAGAATATTTTAATGCTTGTTTAACTTTTAAATTTGTTTCACCATCAAGATTTTTTGTTTCCACAAAACAACAATTATCATCATCACTTGTTGATAATATTACTAAATCAGCTGGAATTTCATCGTTATTGTAAATCCTCAAAATATCTCCTACTTTAACATCTTTCCAATATTTTCTAACAAATTTTAAAGTTTTTGGAGTATAATGATGTTGATGACTTTCTCTACGTTGTTGTTGGAATGATTTACGTAATGTATCACCAAATGGATTAGTATCTTGAGCTGTGGTGGTTGGTGTTATTATATCACTATCAAATGATCTTCTACCTTGCTCTTCATTTATATTATTTTCTTCATTATACTTTTGCCTTATCTTATTGGCTCTTCCCTCTTTTGTTAAATTTCTTTTAGATGCTCCCCAAAATCTCATCATTTGCTTGGTGTTCCATTTCTTAAATTTTCTCCACCATGATATTTTTTCGTCATTAACATTTTGATTTTCATAATTATATGTTGAACTTTCATTAACTTGTTCCAAAATATGAGTATATTGATTATTAACCTCTAAATCAGTTACTGTTCTTCTTGAATCTTCTATTGCATCTTTAATAGCCGTTATTATTACAATTACAATTAATGGAACAGCTGCCAAAACAGGTGAAGGTACACCAAAAATATCAAATGCTCCCAATATAATCAACACTAAAAAGTATATATTCGCTATATTATGAAAAAATTGATTAAAAATATTTTTTGGTAAAAATGTTAATGGAGTATATTTTGTAGTTCTTATTTTATTTCTTGGATAATCCGTTATTGGTTTGCCAGATTCTGGATCTAAAAATTCTTCTGGTAATTCTCTGTTAAATACAACTGTTCTTTTTTCTTGTTTCCTATTTCTAAGATCTTGAGAATCTGGATCTATTATATCTGAATCAGAATCATTTCTATGCGATGGATCTGGAAAATCAACTGAATGGGTATTTGGTTTTCTTATTGATAATATTCTACCTCTTAACAGTTTATGATGATGATGATGATCTTTATCATGATGAATTGGATGTAGTATCTTTTTTAGCGTTTTAGATCGACTTACATTTTCCTTTTTAGGTCTTCCTTGTTTATTTCTTGTTGTTCCCCATCTATGTCTTTTTGTTGGTCCATCATGAGTCTCTAATTCTTGATCTTCTTCTTCTTCTTCTAGATCTCTTTCTAGATCTTTAGTATTTTCATGATCTTCAGTAATTTTTGTTGGTTTTTCATATAATTCATCTTCTAGTATAGTATCATATTGATCAAGAAATGGCGATTTAGGTTGTTTTGATGTAGAATTATTTGACAGTGATGAAGTTGGTGGAGTATTTGGTATATATGAATTATGACCATTATTAACATGGTTATTATTATTATTATCTGATGGTAATTGAAATCTTAATGAAGAAGATCTACCACCTTCAAATTTATCAGTATTTAATTGAGGTGTTGGAGGAATAGAATCATCACTAAATGTATTATCTATATTTGGAGTATAAGGATTTATATTAAAATGTTCTTCATTTGGTGATTGTAAAATTGATGAATGATCTGTTTCAAAACTTTCATTTGGATCTTGAAATGGACTTAACTGATTATTATTATTATTACTATCACTATTATTATTATTCTTATTATTTCTATTTTTTGATAATTTACCAAAATTAGGCATTATTCACAATAATTTGATAAATAATCTCAAAAAATAGAAACCAATAAATAATAAAAATTGGTTGTCAAAATTGTCCCTTCAAATTATTTAATAAAAAAAAAAATTTGGTTTCTAAAATCAATAATATATTATTAAATTAAAATTAAAATTAAAATTAAAGTAATAAAACTTGAAAAAAAAAAAAAGATCTCTCTCTTTAATAATAAATTTTTATTAATTTAAACCGATCTGCCAAAAAATATATAATAAAATGTAATTTTATAATATAAAATAATAATATTATTAATTCTATTATAACAAAAAAGTACTATTTGTTCCACTTTATATTTTTGATCTTTACTTTGATATTGATGATGTTATGAATTGAATAAAAGTCATATATATTTGAATATATATATATATATAGATATATTGTATCAAACTATTTTAAATATGAAATTTATAAATCTTAATTGAAAAAATATATTAAAATAAAATTAAAATTTAAAACTTTAATAGATGAAGAGTTTTTTAAATTCAATGATGATAAATGAATAATCTTATACAATTGTTAATGTTAAACAAATTTTATAGATTGAAATATATAATTATGATATAATTGTTAATGATGATGAATAATAATAAAATCAATGATGAATAATCAATAATATTCAATGAATGATGATGATGAATACTTTTAAAGAATAAAATCTTCGTAATTTTAAAACCAAAATATTAATTAAATAATTAAAATATTTAATTCCGAGTATTTTTGTGTTTAACTAAAATAGACAAAAATACGGATATATTATTTGTGAAAAAGCTTTTCTTAGATTTGATATAAAATGTTAAGGGGTCTTTTTTGAATTAGAATTTTATATTTTATAGAAAATAAAATCTATAGTTTACTAAATAGATCTATAATTATAGCCCTTCTTAAGCTCCCGCTATGGAATAATTTTATGATAGCATATATCATATTAAAGGATTATATTACTGAAAATTAATTATGAATCCTCGTCATTTAAATTAAGGAATAAACGGTTATAACAGAATTTTTTTTATTTTGTAAGATTTTTTTTCTTTTTTATTTTTAGTAACTTAATTTTTTTTAGTTTCTTAATTTTAATTTTTTTTTTACAACCAAATTTTATACCATTTGCAATACGTTTTTTTCTTCATTGCTTTTAGGGATAGGTTATTACCAAAAGTAGTGGGATTGGATTGGTTGTATAAAAAGTATTTTAAATTTACATAACCAATAGATTAATGAAAAGAAATCGTAATTCAACCAGTAATGGGATTACTTACATTTAAATTATAGCCGTTTATTTTGCATACTTAGAAACAAGCTTTATACTAAATTTGATCTAAACTAAATTTATCAAGATCTTTCAAATGCTCTCACTAGATTCGTAGGGGGGCACAACATTTGATAAATTTGGTTCAGCCTTAATTGTTGATAAACCCAAACTTTAAAGTTTGATCATAAACTTTGTAGTGCTTGAACTTCTCTTTTCAAGTATTAATTGAAGCTATACAAGCCCTCATGGAAGAACTTTTTGTCAGGATTTTGCTACTCGATATGTTTACTGGAAAAGTTGTTATAAATCGTAACCTCATTTGGGATTTCAGTACTTTTCTGATAGAATAAAAAGGGACACCAAATATCCGAATTCGGATAATTTAAACTCTTAACTGTTATATTTGTATATTATTAACCAGTTAATTTGCACTAAATTCTACTAAAATTGACCACATGAGGCTTTAGCAAAAGCCATGATGCGAACATACGAAATTCGGGGACTTTGCTTTAAGCGTCGACCGCTTTTTAGTTTTATGGAACAAACTCCAAAGTGAAGTTTTGTAAATGGTTTAAGTGACCACAAAACAAAGCCAATTTGATTCAGAACTAACTTATAGCCAATTCCAAATGATAATATTTTTTCAAAGTAATATTCATTCTAATTCATTATTAATGCACTATTCAACCTATTTAAATTTAATACAACAGATTTTTTATTCTTTATTTGTAGCATACTTAACAGTCCATTCTTGAGCAACTTGTACAGCTTTTTTTTCATCTTTTTTCCAATCTTCAGCAACATCATTAGCTAAAGGATCATCAGGATTAGGAGCACCCAAAAGAGCTTGTATACTTAATAAAATAGTTCTAATTTGTAAAGCAGGTGACCAATTATCTTTTAAAACATCTAAACAAATTCTACCTAATTTATCAATATTTGGATGATATATTTTAGTTAAAAATCTAACTTTTGGTGCACACATTGGATAATCATCTGGTAAATATAATTCTAAATTAAATATACCATTTGCATAAGGTGATTGATTTGGACCATCTATTGTAACATTAAAATGTCGAAGATTATCTTCTGATGGGATTGCTGTTATACCTGGTACTGGATCACTTACAAGACGTTCTGTTTCTTTAAGTATTCTTTTTGGAAGTGCTGCCATATTTTATTTGAAGTTGTGATTATAAATAAATTGTGGAGAATTTTGAAATTGAATTAATTTTGAATGAAATAGATGTAGAATTGTTGGTGTTTTTAATATCAAATAAAAGCTGCTGTTTAATGATGTATTCTTGATATGCTATAGTTATTGAATCAACTAAATGATGTTTCAGGTTAGACTTTTAAATCTGTTATTGATAACAATTAGTATTAGCGTCAACCAACTTTTTATTTTTTATAAATCGATAGGTCGTGTGAGTTTGAGATTATTTTATATTAGTAGCAGGTTACTAAATTAATAAATATGAATATGCAATATAAGTAAAATTTATTAAAGAATATTAAAGATCAATTCATAGATGACAATATAGAATAACTATCAAAACAATTAAAGCGATAAATAAAACTGACATTCATTCATATAACAGCACCGATTCCCAAGAATGAGGCAAAATCTACCACAAGGTTCACCAATGACCCATAAATTCATAGTTGGTACTATTGCAATATTTTTAGGAGCTTATGTTACATATAAAGCAGGTTCAGATTTTCAATTTGTTAAATTTGAACCTCATTCACCAGAAGAAATAGAGAAACGTAAACGAGAAAAATTTCAAACTAAAATGACTGTTAAAGATACTACTACTTTAGATTTAACTCCTGAAGCAAAGGAAAGAATTATGAAGAAAGTTAGAGAAAAACAACAATTGGAGCAACAACAAAAGGAACAAGAGACAAAATAATTTAAGGGTTTCATAAACTGAAAAACGGCCTACTGTACTGGAAGTTATGAACGAAGATGGAACTGGTAGAATTTCACAACGCGTGGTATAGATTATTGATAATTGATTCACCATTGGTCTGGACCGGTCAATCTGGCAACTTTTTCAAAAGATAGATTTAAGAATACTGGAGAAAAGACTACGGCTAGTATATAGTATACTTAGACACATATTATTGAGAATGGATCAATAGCTGAGTACATAGTATATAGTACGTAATTAATCCGTACAAAATTTGGTAGCCCCTTCAATTGAAAACCTGTCTTTATGTAAATCGAAATTCGTGAACAACAACAACTTTTTAATAGTCAAACAACACTTTAAAAAACAATTCTACACAATGGACTCGTTTTCAGATTCTGGTGAACTATATCTGATTAGATACCAATTTTATACAAACCAACATCAAAAAGTCACAGAATATAATTTGCAAGATTTTTCACCAGAAAACCAATTAAAAGTACTTGAATATCAAATTAGATCAACAATAGAATTAAATTTAGATGCTTCAACCCTCATAGAAAATGGACGTACTATTTTCCCAGATGATGGGAATGTGTTTCAATTATTACAAGCATGGAATGACTTAAATGATTTTGGAACTGATGATTCAACATATTTTGAAGATTTAAAAGAAGCAAAATTTGAATTACAAGCTATATTAACTACTTTTTATTTAATTAAATTTGAAAAAGATTTTGATCAAGGAATACAATTTTTAAATAATTATCTAGAAAATTTAAATATTTCTACAAAATATAATGAAATTGAGATTTTCTTAGTGTTAATTCAATTAAATTCAATAAAAGGAAATTATTCAAAAGTTAAAACCATATTTATGCAATTAAATCAATTTCCAGATTTTGTAAGAGATAATATAATTTATCAAATTATAGAAAGTTGGTATAAATCAATTCAAAATGGTTCAGAAAATTTAAATAATTGTTTTTATTTTTATGATGAAATTTTAAATAATTCATTTAATGATGATGATTTAAAGGGGAAAATTCATAATTTATTAATATTATTTATTTTAAATTTACAATTAAAACATTATCCTGAATCTCAAGAAATTTTAAAACAAATTGAAAATTTAAAATTAGATAATAATGAAAATGATATAAAGATTAAAGATGAAGAATTTGATGATTTATTAGCAAATAAAATAACTTTTGATAGATTAATTAATTTTGGTAATGATTCAGATAAATTATTAGAAGAGTTGAAAAATATTAATAGTGATCATGAATTAATTAAGGATGAAGAAGCTAAAAACGAATTATTTGATTCTATAGTTTCCAAATATCAAACAACTCCTGTATAGGATATAGTAACTACAATCATTAAATACAAAAAAAAAGAAGTCATATTAAAATTGTAGAGAATACATATAAACGATTTATATGTAGCTAGATAGAAACCAATACTCACCACCAAGAACCACCTCTTTTAATCTTCTTCAACTTGTATTACATCACCATTTTCATTTAATTTTGAACCTTCAGCTAATATTCTTTTTTCAATTTCTTTTAATTCATTTTCTCTTTCTAATAATTCTTGTCTTTTTGTTATTAAATCTTGATGAACTCTTTCTTCAAATTTTTTTAATCTTTCTTCTTCTAATTTAATTTGTTCTTCTTTCATTAAATAATCTGAAGATTGACCATTTTTAGATTGATTTTCTTGATTATTATGATGTAAATATCCATTACCATTTGTTGACCCATGTCCATTATTACTACCATTTAATTCAAAATTTTGTTGACTTGTTGTAGTATAAGATCTATAACTACCATCTTCTTCTGAATTATTTTTATTCATATATTGGAAAGTTTTACCTGATAATGCTTCAGTTCTATAATTTTCATAAATTTGATCATGAGTAATATCCTTGAATTCATTTAAATGTGTAATTAACAAGACATTTTTCAAAATAGTAAAATCATTAAAATCTGAATTATCAATATTAATTGGTTTAAATTCTTTATTTAATACTCTTAATTTAATAATATCATCAACATCAACATCTTCATCAGTGGTTGTTGTATTAGGGTTTCCATTACCACTTGGATTTCTTCTATATTCATTAGCTCCAATAACTGCAAATGGTAATAAAGAATTTAAATATTTATTATATTCAATAATTTCATCATCAATATAATCAGATTCATATTCATATTCATTAAATTTATAATAATTAATACCATATTTATTTAAATCTTCTAAAATTAATTGTTTATTTAATTTTAATTCTGAAGGAGTTAATGAATCAGCTTTTGAAATAATTGGTATAATATTAACTAAATTATTTATATGTTTTAAAAATTTAATATCAATTTCACTTAATCCATGACCAGTTGGATTAATTAAATAAATCAAAATATGAATTCTACCATCTTTAAATCTTGGATTTCTTTTAACTCTTGATTCTTCCAATAAAACTTCATCAAATTGATGTCTTATAAAATCAACAATAACTCTAAAATCATCATTACAATTTATTTGATTTGCAAAATTTGGAGTATCAATAATATTTAAATTTATTTTATGACCTTCATTATCTTCTAATTCAACATTTTCATTTCTTAAAGTTAATTTTCTTTGAAAAGGATCTTGATTTATTGTTGAAGAAGTTTGTACAATTGAATTACCTCCACATAATGTATTAATTAATGTTGATCTACCAGAACCACTTTCTCCAACGATCATTATAGAAAAATTAATTGATTTTTTTAAAATTTTTCTTTTTCTTAAAGCTGATGATGATATATTATTATCTATTGAGCAGTTCATTTTGAATGTAGTTGTTGTTGAATTGGTTTACGAATGTTGTTGAAATTTAGTTAAAAAAAAAGAAGTAATAAATTTTAAAAAGGAATGTGATAAACAGTAAATGGTATACTTGATATGATTTAATTGATATGGATGATTTATATATGAAAATGTTCTGATTAACAGATTGTATTAAGATCAGAATCTGACCAAATCTAAATAAAATAATTTATTGAAATGTTTAATTAAATAATATTCTAATAAAACACACAATTCAATAAAATAAAAATAAAAATAAAAAAATAAAAATTTTGATTTGAAACAAAAAATAAAATAATATTAATACTTTAGAACATCCATACATCAATATTGAAATCTTATATTGAATACACGTCTAATAGAATCAATATTTAGTTAGGACCAAGCAATAAATTTAGATTATCAAAGAAACTAGGAAAGTAAGAATATAGTATCATTGCATAATGATTGAGTAAATTAGTTCAAAAAGAACTTTCCTATTACATGTAGTTGCATTTGTTATCAATTACAAAAACTGGTTCGATAATCATACGCGTTTCATATTCAAATTTTATATGATTATTTCAATTTCGTAGCTAGTTCTAAAAATATTTCTTTAATCAAAAAAATAATACCAATATGAAATACATTTAAATTCACTGATAAAATCAATGGTGGTTTAGCTTTTAGAGTAATCAACTGAATTTTCAATGGTTGTAACGTCACCGTCAGTGTAGAACTCCAAATCCTTTGTGTGGTTTTGAAAATTTTAGACGGCAAACTTTTCAAGACTGTCATAATAATCAATAAAGCCTTTTGAGTGTAATTTGTATGAGGCAAGTCGCTTCGACTCTTCAACTTAATTAGATATTACGATATTATTTCATTCGTACCTCAACTTATAAGACATAATTTTTAGTGCACAAAATCTAGATCTTTCTATATTTCGCAACTGTGAAGAACTTGGACCACTTACTTTTACTCATCAAATATGTTATTACAAACAATACTTAGACAATCAAAAACGACTCAATTGTTTTCATTCAAACAACAATTTAGACTTTTAACTAAATATTCCAAAAATCCAAAAATTTTTATTCATGAAAACCCTCCAAAACATTTTAATTTCTCATTATCATCAAAACCAGAAGCAATAACCATAGGTTCATCAACTTCAAATGATCCAACCCCACAAGATTTTAAAATAAATGATCAATTCAAGCAATTACTAGATAAGACATTTGAAACTAAAATATATGATGATTTTTCATTTATAATGGAAGCAGGTACAAATGCTGATTCATTTATGCCAATTTATGATTTTAGAGAAATTCCAGAATATTCAAGACGTCCTTATATTGAAGATGTATTTGGTTATGTACAAGTTGATAGTAAAGGTAAAATTCAACCACAAAGTTGGCAAAAAAATGAAATGTATCAAATTTGTAGTGGTAAAACTGGATTACCTCATTTTAGTGAGTATATGTATGAAACATTACAAGAAGAATGTGAAAAATGAAGAAACTTCAGAGAGTTAGAACAAGGTATAGAGACTAATTGATAAAATTATCTATAAAATTGTCCATATACTTATTATCTATTTACTTGTCTATTATAGATTTTATAAATTTAACAACATCAATTAATTCTTCTTCACTTGTAGAATGAGCTACTCCACTATAACTATGAAAATTTAAATTTTTAAAACCCAATTTTTTATAAAATTCACTTGTTTGTTTACCATAATCATAATTTATCATTGGATCAACAGTACCATGACCTTGAAAAATTGGAGTATCATAATTTATATCTTTTGTATGTCTTGAAGTAACTTCATCACTAACTCCACAAAATCCTGATAATGCAATACATCCACCAATTTTAATTTTCAATAAAGTTAATGTTGCTAAAGATATAGCAGCACCTTGACTAAATCCACCAATTATAATTTTATCAGCTGGTACGTTAAATTTATTAATTTGTTCATCAACTAATCCTTTTAATACTTCACAACTTTTAAAAAAACCATCAACATCTTGTTTTGCTTTTGCTGTACCAAATTCATAAATATCAAACCATGCGGGCATATTATATCCATTATTTGCAGTTATTGGAATTGTTGGTGCATTTGGAAATACATAATTTATTGATTTTGATTCTGGTATTAATTTAGTTTGTTCAATTAATTGAGCCATCCAACTCCAACCTGAACCTGAATCACCTAATCCATGAACCATTATTATTGCTGCTTTTGCAGGTAAAACTGTTGCATTTATTCTAATTGCTGAAACACTCATTGTATTTATTGTATTTATAGTGAATAAAAAACTGTTAAAGTATTTGAATAATAAAACTAAGAGTAAAATCTTGAAATATATTTGTCTTTAAGTATGATGTTGTAGTTTGATTGATCTCAATTGACTAATATATATTATTTGTTTTGAAGTTTAAGCTGATATTTTATGGAATATATAGAATTTCTCTGTGTAACTATTTGAGTTTGAAATATTACCGATATGTCGTGTCCAATTCAAATTTGTAAAACAAGAGTAAAGCTTAGTAAAATTTGTAATCAATATGATTTTTTTTATGTATGCCCTTTATCTATGAGGTAATGATGAGTAAAAAGTATTCAAAGTCAATTACTGCATATCTTGATAAAAGATATTTCAGATATTAGTCTAATCAATGAATTTTTTGTCGTCTTCTTAAAAATTGTAATAATTTAGCTGCAAAATTAACAGTAATTTTAGTAAGCAATGAAATTAATTATAATAAACAAAAACAAAATCAACTGATGGTGATTTATCCATGCAGTGAAAGTTACACCAATACCACTTACAACCAAATGCCTCTTTATTAGGAGACATTAGTAATAATGACAATTTTTTGTCGTATATTTATTGATTGTAGGACTTGGGTTTGCGGAAAATTTTCAATTTATTCATTGATGACATAGGTGTGTGGCTAATTCTTTCAAGATTCTGTTGTGTACCAAGGATTTGAAAACATTATTTTTACTAACGTTTTGATACTTGTTATAAACTGTCAAACTATGAGACTAGCTAAAATCATATTTAATAATAAATTTAAAAACTTTTGAAATATATAAATATTTAAGATGTAGAATCCCAAAATTGATAAATCTAAAATTAATTTTGTTTGAATCATATCTAATTTGATTAATTTAGATATTTTCTTTAATTTCAGATTTTTGATATTATGAAAATAAAACTATGATATTTAAAGTTTTTAAAGTTTAAATTAAAATAGAATATGGAGTTCATACTTAATTTATAAATTTTCATTACATCACAATTAGATTATTAATTTCATAAGCAAAACAATGTTAGGTAGGTGTATAGCTTTTTTGTAATTTTCAAATAAATTTTGGATCAATTGTTATATTAATTTTTTAATTTACGAGAAATTCATTTTAAATATTCCAGACGTTACAAAAAATAAAATATGGGGAAAAGTGAATAATGATTGTTAATACGAAGATCTGTCTACGTTCCCAACATCATAAAACTCCAACATTTATTGTACACTCTTAAAAACTATTATTAGTTTTGAAAAGAAGAAACTCATAAGCTTAAAAATATTGTTTATAAAATATTGAACAATTTCAAGACAGACGGATATACCATTTTCGATTAGTAATTTTATTTAGAACATTTTAATTTAAAATTAAATTTTATTGTTTTCAAGTTTTATTTTTGTTAATTTGATAAACTTATTTGAATAATAAGCTAATCTAGAAATGCTAAGAAAAAATAAAGTTGTACGCATATCAAAAAAAATTACTTCATAGTGAACTAAACTATAAAATTTAAAAACTTAATAATTCAATATGACTTAGATTTAAAATAATTGATCATTTAAATTTTGATCGTAAATAAAGAATTATAAAAGAAGTTATTAATAGTACTGATTTTCAGGCGTTTTTGTCTCAGATTATAAAAAAGAACAATCTAGATTAGGTTGTAAATTGTTGTCAACCACCTGTAAAATAAATAAATAATAAATCAAAAAACTTCCATATACGGCTGTATACAAACAAATATTGAATATAATAAAATAAAAAAAGTATAATTAAATAAGGGAGAAATTATTATAAAACTAAGTATTGAATTAAAATCACAAAAACCAAAAACATTATTAATTTTTGATCATCAATAAATTTTGAAATTATTATGAATTCATTTTCAAATTTATTATTATTATCAATAATCTCTTCGTTTCCTTATATTGATATAGCTGTTCGATAAATATAATAAAAATAAGAATAATAACGGTATTATTTATTAATCATTTAATGACTTCTTTGAGCTAATCAATAACTATTTTTATCACCAAATACTTCTATATAATTGACTTATTATATAATGGATACGAAAGTTTATAAAACGATTTTTTTTCCGGACCATTTACTAATAATAAATGTTCGTTTAGTTGTTTATTCCTCAATTAATTATTTTAAGTACAGTATTAGTTAAACTTTTTAATTGAAAAAACCTGCAATTTCAACCAATTGATTAACCAAAATGAGATTTAATCTTGAGAGCTAATTAGTTCTGTATATAAAAACACCATATGCATTCACTTATGACGCAGATCTAAAACTTAAATCCTGAATTCAAATTTTCTAAAAATTCTTTTAATCTCCTCAAAAAATTCTAATCTTTTAAATATTCAGTAATTCGAACAATAACAATTTTTTAAGAAAATGGGAAAGATCTTAGTTTTAATACATTGACAATAAGTTTGATAAAAGTTTTTTGGTAATATTCAATTATTATTTGCAGAATTACAATTAAATGATCAACATATTATTTAAGTAAAACTACATTAATATACTTTTAAAGTTACGATATTATTATTTTTGATTAAAATTAAGGGTTTTATTCTTTTATTATTTATTTTGATATAAACCATAATTTAATTAAATAGATATTTAGTATTGTCACAGTCTAAGAAAATTTGAATATAGCCTTTCTTTACAACTTGAATTAAAATTAATTTATTAAAAACTAAAATATTAACTTATAAATGAATTTGAATTTTCCCACATTTTGATTATAATATTTTTTTTTTACTTTTTACTTGTTTTACCTTTTTTTTTTCTATATACCAAATATATGAATTTTCATATTTTTTTTTTTTTGCACCCATAATTTTATTTCACCAGGACTTAAAGTACCGCCAAAAAATAACAAATGATTTCAAAACTTTTAATAAGTTATATAAGTCGTGGTTTACAATTATTATTTTCAATAATTTTATTAGCTGTAAGTGCTGCATTTTTAGGTAAAATTAATTGGAATTATCCAAGAGTTTCATATAATATTGCAGTTTCAGTTTTAACATTAATTTATTTAGGTTATATAATTTCAATTTCAGGTTTTTTAAAAAATCAAACATGGCCTTTATTAATTATTATAATTGAATTTGTATTTTGGATATTTTATTTAGCTGCATGGGCTTCAATTGCTGACTTTATGTGGGCTTCAGATTGTGGAAATTATTATTATTCAGATACCAAGACTGCTTGTCAATTATATAAATCAATTTTACCATTTGGATTATTTAATTGGATTTTATTTAGTATTGATTTGATTTTTATAACTATTTATATAATTATTCCATATATTAAAAATGGAATTTTCAATCATAGTTTACAACCAAAAGAATTTATTTGGGGTTCAATTTTCCTTAATGGAGAAGTTGCAACTGATGTTGTAAATAGAATTGAAACTCCTGATGAAGAACAAGCCAAAGCTGAATTAGAAAGTGAACCAAGTCAAGCTCAAGCTCCAACTCAAGCTAATTATACCAATACTACTACTGAAGTTCAACCTTAATAAGTGAAAAATAAAAAGATAATAGTACATAGAGATATTAGTACATATTTTAATTACTACCATTAGAAAAAAATTACTATTTTAGTAAAATCTATATGAAATTTATATCCAAACTCTATTTTATGTGTTAGTTGTAAATTGCAGGTACATTTAATATTGAGACTCACGTTGATCACAAATAAATTTACTTCAACTGTTGCAAAGTAATGTAAAGAAAAAAAATACACCAAATTTATGATATAGCCACTCAATGATAAATTAAAACATTCTAATTTATATGCAGTACTTGAGTACTCATTTACGAACTTTTTATTTTAAGAATTAGCATTTGTAAATTAAATGAGACGTGACAGGTTTGAGAAATTTGGACCTACTTTTGTTGAAAATCTTATCTCTCAATTGGTGAATAATTCATAGATTGATTTTAAGGGGGATTTGAAGAGCGAAGTATAGTTATTTTTCCAAATTAACTAATTAGACTATTTAACTTTCAATGATGTAATTAAACAGCGTAATTCATGACTTATCATAGACAATACTTAACTAAATACTTACAAGCTGAAGTTTTTAAAGAGCTACCAAAAACCCAACATATACTTAGTACCAACCATCTACTGAGATCGAGCTAAGTTAAGTTCGCACCATCTGTCTATCGAGTGAACACTAGTTATTGCTTGTAATACAAATTATCACCACAAAATCAAAGCTTGATTCTCGTTAATTTCAGTTTTTATATAATTCTAAATTCTACAAATGTTACTAGATTGAATCCACGATTAGAATTAACCAAAGATGGTTGCATAATCTATTTGTCCGGTCAGCATCCAATGAAGAAGCATGTCATATGTATAACATTTGAAGCAAGAGATTTGCAAAAGGTCGATTCTGTTCATGATCAATTTAAGAAGGTTTTGCTAATAGATAGATGCCCAACCTTCTTTTTAAAAATATAGCGTTACCTAGTATTTCACGTAGCTGGATTAATTTCCAATATAGATTGTTGTACTTTTAGGTCTCGATTTATTGTCCCAACCAATGTTTCACTATTTGAGAGATCAATTAAAGGGGTATTTCATACAACCATTAAATTTGTCGTGTATATTCATAGCCAGTATTCTCTTTTTATTAAACCAGAAAGGAAGCAGTTCTATCTAGCATCTTAACAACTTTGTTGTGTTAAAATGCAATATTCAAGTGCATTAATCTCAATAGTAATAATTTTCATAAATGTGTTAGTTTTTTTTTGTTTACAATTTTTAATTTTTTTACAACCAAATTTTATACTTTTTACAACCACTTTTTCTTTTTTATCATAAGTTCAAATTCATCAATAACAACGCCAGTATAAACAGCGCTACATTTTTGAGGTAATTTTGAGTTAATAAAATCATCAAAATTCATATCATCAAACATTTTTTGGGAAAAAGCTTTGTTTGAAGTTATTTTGTTAAGAGGTTAAGAATTTTATTTTTTATCACATTTATTAGTTACATTAGTTTCAGGTTTTTAGATGACTAACGTTAAAGAAAACGTATCAATAACTTTTCGTGTTTTTGAAACCGTATTTGCAATTATTTTAATTGGGTTATCTGCTTCGAACATTGAACGTATTGATGATAATGTTACAAGAATTACTTATACACTAGTTGTTAATGTTCTTGACATATTATTTTTTGGTTATTATGGGTTTTTTATGCCAGTTGCAATGAATGGTGAATCACCAACAATTGTTATTTTATTAGCTGAGCTTGCTTTTTTCACCATGTATTTAGCTTCTTGGGGTTCTTATGCAGCAAATTTTCCAACTTGTGGTGATGGTAATGTTAATTGGGGAACAACTTCAAAATCAACTTGTCAAATTTATCAAGCAACAATGGCTTTTTCAATTTTTGAATGGGTTTTATATGCAATAGATTTACCATTATTTTTAATTTATAGTTATGCACCAGAAGTTGCAAGATATGGTATTTTTCATTGTTTTAGATTAAGTCCTTTCTTTTGGGGTGCAGTTTTTACAAATTATCCACCAACTACAAGACGTCGTTGTTTAGGTTTATTCTGGAGAAAAAGTGATAGTGCAATTAGTTCAAAACAAAATACTAATACTGGTAATACTTCAAGACCAGCTGGTCCTCATAATGCTGTTGAAACAGATAATGCTGGAGTTTTAAATGTTGAAGATGATGTAAATGATGCTGGTGTTGTAAATTCATCTGAAACACCCAAAACTCAACAAGAATCTACTGTTGCTGTATGAAATCTTGATTTATGCTACTGCTATTCGTTTGGCTTATTTATTAATTATAATTAATCAATAAATGAAAAGTCCTCTCAAGCACTTGTTAAATGTAGAATGTTCTACGGTAAGTTGTAAATTTTTAATTCAAAGTCAGGACTTATATGAGAAATCTACAGCCCCTTAAATTCCACAGACTGAAATCTACAAGTAATTAAGTTCCAAATTAACTGATGAAACTGACATTTCTAAGAATACAAGAGACTCATCAGTTATTGGGACAAAAGAGCAGTTCATTCGATCTTCCAAAATTTAAAATCCTACTATGTATAATCTAGTATGTAAATTCTAATATCTACTTTAATTTATTTATCATTAGTTTCTACAGAACCTTCTTCATCAAAATCATCCTCATCTTCATCAATATCATTATTAACAACTTCTTCATCAATTTCATCATCATTTATATCAAAATAAGCTTCATCACCATCATTATCAGATTCAATTGAAATTTTACTTGCTTCCCAATTACTTAGTTGATGTTTATCTTTCAAATCACCACCAGTTAAAACTCTTATAAGATTTAATTTTTTCGTATGTGATAATTTATTAAATTCACTATGATCTCTTTTAAATTCTTGAATATCTGGTGAATGACCTATTGATTGACCAACTCTAACTAATGTTTCAATTGAAGATTTTGAATTTGATAAAATATCTGAATCTAGTATGAATTTATGTTTGTTGAATAATAAAATAATTGTTGATCCTCCAAATTTGAAATATCCAACTTCATCACCTCTTTTAATTTCATCACCTGGTTTGACAGTTAAAACTATTGATCCTACCATCATTGCTCCAACTGCAATCATTAATACTGTGCCAAATTCTTTTGTATGTATTGGAACAATACTTCTTATATTTTCTCCAAATACATCTAATTCACTTCTTATAGCAATTGGGTTTACAGTGTAATATTCACCATTTATATCTTTAATTTCTCCAATTTTACCACTAACAGGTGAATGAAATCTATGATAATCTTGTGGAGCTAATCTGAAAACACCAATTGATAAATCTTCAGTTTTGAAAGGAATATTTAAATTATCTTGTAAATCACCATTAAATAATTTTGCTACAGTAAAATTTCTACCTTTAATCCATAATTCAGTAGCTTCGTCAACAGAAGAATAAGCAACACAACGACAATCAGCTGGGGAAGAAACTATCTTGTCATTCGTTGAATCTTCAATTAATCTTGCATTTGGTTTTAATTTTCTATAAAAAAATTCATTGAACGTAGGATACTCTTCGGGATTTTCAATAAGACATTCTTGTAAATTTAATTTATGAAATTTTATAAATGAATCAATGTCACCTTTTGATTTTGGTGAATCAAATTTTTTACCTTGTTTTATACTCAAACTTTTTAATAAAATTCTAACTCTCTTGGATTTTGCTTTGTCTAATCCTTTATAAAGTAGTCTAATTCCTAGTCTGACATAAACACTCATTTTTTCTTCTAAAATCAATCCAGTAAGTCTATCTTGAACTAAAATATTTGCAGAGTTACCACCAAGTTTATATTTCCCATAAGTTAATTTTATCAATGCTTTCGAATACCATTTTTTAGTTGCTTGTCTTGGACTAACATATGAAGAAACCAATAATTTATTAACAATACTCCAGTCTTTTGAAGCACATATAGCAAAATGAGTAACTATATCAATATCTTGTTTTCTTGAAAATCTTTTTTGTAAACAAATTGGACATTTTTCAAATACAAATATTTTATTTGAACTTTGATCATTTAGGTTGATATGGATTTCCAATTGATCTATAATTTCATCATATGTAATTAAATCATCAGGATTTTTATTTAAATTTTTATAAAATGTTTCAACTAATTCATCACTATTTGTTGTACCTAAAGTATCAAGTAAAGATGCCAATTCCAAATAATCATAAGTATCTGAGTTTTCATTTTCAAAATCGTATTGTCTCAAAAGGACATTCCAAAATTGTTTTCTTAATTCATCATATGTTTCAAATCTAACTCTAATTTTTAATTTTGGTGCATATTTTACCATATATTTTTGATCATGTAAATCTAAACTTAATGACATAACTCTAAATTTAGATGTATCAACAGTAGATTCAATTATTTTTCTACGATTCATGAATTTTTTCTTTTTAACTGCTTGAACTATATCATCATCTTCCAAAATTTTAACATTTGAATTTGAAGGATTTTCATCATCACCAGTAGTGAAACCAGAATCCAATTTATCAACACTCAATTCTGATTTATTTCTATTCAAAGTTGTTGGTTGTGCAGTTGCAAATTCTGTCAAATCTCTTAACGGTAATTCAATATCTGCAACTTTATCATGAAATGAAAATTGATCTTTATCTAAAACTGAAAACTGGATATTAAAATTATTTTCATGTGGCAAAATTTCAAATGCAACTCTTTCATTGAATATTGGATTTAAGGTATGTCTTTTCCAACTAGTTCTAAAAGTCTTTTTACCGAATGTGACAACAACAAATGGATCCATATCAAAACTTGTTCTAGTTAAATTTTTGACTGGTGGTAGATCTTCACATGAAACAATTTCAATAAATACTACTCCCAAAACTTTACGTGAATTCATTTCAAATTTGTTATCTACACCCAATTGTTTAATTCTCATTTTTCTTTTAATTCTAGTTGATCTTTTATCTTTCTGTGTAACGTCAGAATCACCCAACATATCACTCATTCCATCAGAAGATATAAATGAAGATTGTTCAGACATTGAATTTGCATCTCCGTTATTATTGTTCCTAACATTTAAAAATTTTCTATCGTGTGCAATCTCTTCACTAAATGCAGAAGAATTATCTCCATTAGGTTTTGATCGTCCTGTTGCTAAAGAATCTAAATCAGAAATATCAAATAAAACATCTTCGTAAAATCCTTGATCATTTGGTCTTAAAGTATGGAAGTTGTGTTCTTCGGAATCATCAATTAAATTGTCTAACCATTTTTTAAATTGAAGTTCTGTTTCATTAAATTTTAAATTTCTTAATCGATCCACCAAATTGAGTTCCTTTTGTTTAAATTTTAATTTTCTTTTTTTAGTTATTAATTCAAATGATAATAATAAAGATCCTGTAACAAATGCATGAACTGTAGAATTTGAATTCAACTTATACCATTTTAATTCAGTCTTTTCTGTAAATTTACCTTGATTTAAAAATAAATCTTTAACACTTAAACGTAACTCACCTAAATAGTTTTTAAATCTCTTATGTTTATCCCACACTGATAATACCAAAAGTTGATTTATATCACCGGATTTTAAAGGAACTAATATTTCGTCATCCCAACTAGGTTGATTAGTATGAGTTTTCCTACAAGTTGAACCTTTAAAACTATTCATTTTAGCAACTAATATAGGGTTCGTATATCTATGACGACTTTTCTTAGTTGATTCTTCATCTTCATTTGTAGAAACTAAATCAGCTGCTCTAAATGCATTAATTTTCAAGTATAATTTATAAGGTGATGATGATGACGAAGTTTTGTTATAATCTGAATCATAACCTAAATTAATTGATGAAGCATTTGAATCTGATCCACCAGAATTTGAAATTGATATATTTGGAGTAATATTATTTGATTGTGATTTATGAGGGAGAGTACTCATTTTGATGAAAGATAGCTTAGAATTGCTAAATCAATTTGCTAGTTTTATTTTGATGTAAAAGGTACTGGTGGATCTTAATGGCTAAAAGTTAAACTTTTTTTTTTCAAATCGTATTTAAAATCAAATAAAATGATTTTATATTAAATTATATCTATTAATTAAATCGAGATCATTTAGTTGTTGTAAATTTAATATATTTTTAATAAAAAGGCTTGTTTAAATTTAACAAAATGAAATATTTACTTTTAACCGTAGATACATAAAATTTACCGAGAAAAGATAAAAGTGAAAAATTAATTAATTTCTGAATTACGTAAATACTATTTAGATAATATATACAACAAGATAATATTCATCACATGGCTACAAGAAAAAAAGGTCGATACCTAAGATTTACTTGTCTAGGAACAGCACTTTATGCATTTAATAGCCGACTTCATAAGTGGTACTCTACAGCATTTTATGATTAACTGTTTTTTTAACAAGGGCGGCCAGGGATCAATTTATCTATGACCCTAAACTTATGAGAAAAAAAAAAAAGGAATCAAATCTTAGGTCTGACTTACATATACTACGAATAATTCAGTTTCACTTACACCGCGAGATCTGAGAAATCCAGTGGCCAAATTATCATATCAAAATAATTTTCAGTAGTGTAATTGCAGATCCTAAATTATTTATAGTCACAAGATATTTTAGTCAATAAAGAATCTTAATCTAGATTCATGTAACATTCGATTCTCAAAAAAAATACAAAAAAATGATCTAAAGTCAAAAGTTGACAACAGAATTAACTTAAACCAATTTTTAAGGAGAACTTGTCTTGTTGTAACTCATTCTAGATTGTTATTGTGTAAAGTTTAGGGTTGGAAATATCGAAGAAGTTTTGTGATAATTATGACCTGTTATAGCTTGAGACTTGAACTGTGCCATGCCAATTGAAAAGCGTTATAAAAAGAACCTCTAAATACATCACTAAACTTACCTTTTAAAAAACGATCCCCAGGACCATTTGTGAATACCAATTTCCTTGTATCTTACTATCCTTGCAATTTAATTTTGATCAAGATATTTTAGTAAATAGAATAAATCAGCTACCAGTTGAGGTTTCAGATTTGTCTCCTCTTTCTCGAATTCGAAATTTTAGGGATTTTAGTGACACGGCTGTAAATTTATATTATAAGGGCTATGTAAATTTCAGTATCCTAGTGAAAGATCAACTAGTCAACATAGAAACTACTTGTTTAACACTTAATCTCTTAATATCGGTGTAAGTTTGTCCAGTACCTACAAATAAAATTGGAACTTTTGTGGCCATTACCATATTTATCATTGTACCCACTAAATCACCAACTGTATCAACTTTTGAAATAATGAAAAAATCCAAATTTCTTCTATTACCAAATGCATTATTAAAGTTTATTGCTTGTTCAACTGAATCCGTACCAACTAATGCTTCACCAACCATAATAATTTTGTTAGGATTTGCAGCATCACCAAATTTCTTTAAAGGTGCCATTAATTTAGCATTTGAATGAGTTCTACCTGCAGTATCAATTAATACAACATCATAGTGATTTTCAGTAGCATAAGCAATTGCAGATTTAGCAGTTTGAACAACATGATCACCACTACCATAACCCTTTTCAAATAATTCAATCTTAGATTTATTTGATAATTCCGAATTTAAATTATTTAAATTATTTACATGAACTTTTAATTGTTCAACTGCACCCGATCTAAAAGTATCACAAGCACATATTAGTACATTAAGATTATTTTGTAAAAACCAATAAGCTAATTTAGCTAAATTAGTTGATTTTCCTACCCCATTTACTCCAACAACTGATATAACATATGGACGACCTGAATCATTTCTTTTTATTTCATACAACAAGTCAGTTGAAACATTTGGAGTTAAAACTTTTGTAAGTTCATCCACTAATGTTTCTTTATATATTTTCATCGTGACTTTTTTACCAGATAATCTTGATTTAATTTTATCTATAATTAATTTTGCAGTACTTGGAGCTATATTTTTTGACATCAATTGTTCATTAAATTTTTTGGATACTTCATCAACATCAATTGCACCACCGAAATACGATCCAATACGACCAAAAAATCCAGTTGGTGCTTTTACTTCTTCCTCTTCATCGTCATCAGATTCATTTAATATATCATTTAATTCTCTCACTAAAACAAATTCATCTTCTTTTTTGAATGCAGCTGCATCATTAACTTTATAATCATTTCTGTTATCCGGTATACTTGATTCACTTTGTGCTATTGAATAATCCAATGATTCACCCTCCGTATATTCTACCATTTCTCCATTATTATCCCATTTTCTCATTTTCTTTGATGATAGTTGTTTTTGAATTGGTGGTTGTCTTTGTGGAGCTCCATTTTCGGTGACTGTTGGTGTAGGTGTTGTTTCTTTTGATTCAGAAGATTGCTTTAATTTGATTAGATTATTGAATTGTAAATCAACTAAACTTTTGAGTTTTTCTAATTCTTCATTCTCCTCCAATTTCTTGAATGTTTTGTATACTCCAACTAATGTTTGTCTTATTTTGGCACTATTGATGGTAGATATAGCATCAAAATATATGGATACGTATATGTCTTCTTTGTTGTAACAATAAAATCGTTTATGATTGATAGTTTGAGTTGTAAAATTTTGATCTAGATCTATTTGAGTTTCATTGACAATATTTGATATGAATTCATTGAATGGATATATTTTATTATTTGATTGATATTCAACTAATCCTGAAGGTCTGAAAATAACCAATGACTGTGACATTAATTTAAATCAGTTGTGGTTTTATCTTTTGAAAAATATTATTGTACACCAATTTTTTGAATATTGAATCGCAATTGAAAACGAAATCGAAAGAGAGAATTTAAGAAAATATTAATATTGTCACTCTCTTTTAACACTTCAACTATAATTAAATTCCAGTTCAATATTACAATAAATCAACAATGGCATATTATCAACAACAAGTTAACAATCCGCAGAATATGCAGTTTTATCAGTCCAATTATTCATATCAACAATCACAACCACAGCCCACAATGGGTTCAATGGATACCGGTTTCAATAATGATGTAAGTGGTCAAATGGGAGGAGGCGAGTTAAAACCAGGATTATTAGCTGCATTTGGTACACTGGGTTACCCTGGTGAACCACCTTTATTAGAAGAATTAGGTATAAATTTTCAACATATTAAATCAAAAACATTAGTTGTTTTAAATCCATTAAATAAAGATATACCTAGTGATATTATGAGTGATTCAGATTTAGCAGGTCCAATATTATTTGTTTTATTGTTTGGTACTTTATTACTTCTAGCAGGTAAGATACAATTTGGTTATATATATGGAGTTGGATTATTCGGTATATTGAGTCTACATTATTTATTTAAATTCATGAGTAATGAAACTCAAATTGATTTGATACGTTCAGCATCAGTCATTGGTTATTGTTTATTACCATTGGTTTTAATAAGTGTCGTTGGAGTTGTATTAAATTTAGATAATTTAATTGGTTATATATTAAGTGCAATTGCAGTTTTATGGTGTACTTATTCAGCAAGTGGATTTTTTGTATCAGTTCTAAAATTGCATAATGTAAGACCATTAATTGCTTATCCTTTATGTATGTTTTATACTGTATTTGCTTTAATGGCTATATTTGTTGAAAAGACAGAAATTAAATAGAATCTTTACATATATATATAGTTTAATTAATGCATTTAAAACAGTATAAAAAAATCTGTCGCTCGTAATGTTTGAAAAAAAATGAAGTTTCAAATTTCAAAATATGAGACCACCACCATGAAAATATCAACCACGTCAATGACTCTACGATATAGTTTGTTCAAGCGACTAAAGCTGACAAAGCCATTCTATGTCACTACACCTATATTTTATGTCAATGCATCACCTCATATTGGTCATTTATACTCCATGTTAATAGCTGATACAAGAAGTAGGTGGGAAAAATTAAACCCAAATAAATTCTCATATATGTTAACAGGTACAGATGAACATGGATTGAAAATACAAACAGCAGCTGAAAAGCAAGGGATTGATCCAAAGGTTTTAGTCGATAGAGTTACAGGGAATTTTAAAGAATTAAGTAATAAGTTAGACATTAATTATGACAGATTTATTAGAACAACAGACAAGGATCACGTCAATTTAACTCATTATTTCTGGAACGTCATGGAAGAGAAAGGGTTTATAGAGAAAGGATCACATAGTGGGTGGTACTGTGTCAGTGATGAAACATTTTACCCCGAGGCAAATACTGAAGAAATCGAAAAAGATGGTAAGAAAATCAGAATATCGTCAGAGAGTGAAAATGAAGTTGTATACCAAGAGGAGACCAATTATTTTTTTAAATTATCAGCATTTCAAGATCAATTGGTTCAGTATCTACAAAACAACCCAGACTTTATTAAACCACAACATAGATATAAATTTATACTTAATGAATTAATGACAACAAAATTACCAGATCTTTCAATTTCGAGACCATCATCAAGACTAAAATGGAGTATAGAGGTTCCAAATGATCCATCTCAAAAAATTTACGTATGGTTTGATGCCTTATTAAATTATTTAACAGCCACTGGTTTTCCAAATGGGTTTCTACAAGATTCAAAATATATCACACCAGAAGATAATTTATGGCCAGCCACTCATATAATTGGTAAAGATATTATAAGATTTCATTGTATATATTGGCCCATATTTTTATTAGCAGCAGGAATAGATTTACCAAAACAAGTGATAGTACATTCACATTGGTTATGTGAAGGTTTTAAAATGAGTAAAAGTTTGGGAAATGTAGTTGATCCAATTGAAATTAGTGAATACTACGGTATTGATCCTGTTAGATTTTTTTTAATGGAAAATTCAAATATTGAAGATGATTGTAAATTCAGTGAAACATTATTGGAAAGATCAAGAGACTCTTTACTTGGGAAATACTGTAATCTTTTAACTAGAATTGGTGGTGGTAAATTTGATATTAGAGAATCTGTTGAGTACTGCAAAAAAGGTAAATTTGATGATATTTCACAACTAATTCAAAACTATAGTCTCAAAAAGGACATTGTACCATCCATATTACAATTATCTACTGATTTGCAAGATGATATTAATAATTTATACACTCAAATGGATGAAAAAATTATAAACTTTGATTACATCAGAGCAGTACAAACTTGGTGGCAAGTAATAAATCAAGCAAATCAATTATTTCAAATTTCAGAACCGTGGTTATATATTAGAGCTTTAAAGTCATCTAGCGGGCTAGATGACAAAACAATTGAAGACTACAAAAAACTAATAAATTACTACGTATTTTTATGTTCAGAAACAATAAGAATTTCATCAATTTTAATCCAACCAATTATGCCAAATTTATCAAAAGATATACTAGATAGATTGAACATTGACATCAATATGAGAAACTCTGATTATGTTAAAATTGGTGCTGATTTAAATTATGGTGATGGAGCTAATCTGAACAAACATAAATTACCTTTACAAAAATTACAACCTCGTGTTAGTGACAAAATTGATGATTAATTTAACTTATAATTGAATTGTATATAGACTTTTTCTAAAACTGTACATATAGAAATACATGATGTCAATTTATTGTTTTTGACTAGAATGATTGTGAGACCAAAACTTGCTATTCGGATAAATTTCATGATATCGTTAAATGTATGTTCATTAATCCGTCAATAACCATCAATCTCATAACCTAGTAATAAATACAAGCTCAAAATTTTACTAAATGATTATCTAGAATATGCTGATCACAGATGCACATGAATATAGGGTGCAATGTTATATGTGTATGCAAACAAAATTGCAAATATTGTTCTAAACAAATACTTGTGATCACAAATATTGAACAGGCATAACATACCGAAATAAGCTATTCGTTCCTTAAACAAAAAAAATTCGTTACACAAGCTCTCTAAAGTTGTCTCTTTTTGGAACAAACAATTATAACAAACAAAAAACTAGTCTTTGTACGTCAAAATAAACATCAATTCTTTTGACACAATAGAAAAACTGTAAGTAAAAAGAAATTTTTGTGAACTATTTTGATTGTTTCAACTTTTGCAAGATATTTATAATGTCTCGGATTTAAATCCATGTCAATTTTATACATGTAATTAAAGTAAACAAGGCACTTTGTATTACAAATTCAGGTAAATGGCAAAACCAAATATATAGCCAGAAAATAGGCTATACCTACTTAAATATAAGACAAAGGGTTAAGTGATAATTTGTCTTGTTTGTTTTAACAAGGCGTCTTTGATGTTTAGAATTGTAGTACTCTTATTTTATTGATATCATAAATTGAAGATACTTAGTTGATGCTCTAAATACCTTGATTGATTACTATTTATTGAAAGATTAGAAAGATTTACAAATTCCATCATTCCCCTAACCCAATTAAACATTTTTACATATATCATAACAAAATGAGCAGTATATTCAAAATTTATTAAGCATATTGACTATATTACACAACAGAGAGAGACAACAAGAGAAGAAAAGAAATTTTTGAAATAGCCGTTAAAAGTCTACAAACCATAATTAATTTAATAAGTATTACATTTACTATTGTTTTAAATTAGTAAAATTTAATTAATTATACATATGAACAATTAATGAAGATAATCTAAATAGAATTTGAATAACAATTTTTGAACTTGTATATCGTTAAAATAATGATTGAATCAATATTAAATACCCTACTTGGCTTAGAGTAGATACAAGGAATCTTATTTACTTAGCTCTGTCAATTTACATTATGTTTTCAATTCATTTGTTTATATACAAATTGACCTAATAATTATAATAGCATGTCCGACAGAGCGGTATTTCAAATTTCTGTCAGTAGAATTCAAAGTATATTGTCTTAAAGTAGGTTAAGATACTATCAATATACACAATTAGTATATTACAGTAATGACTATAATAATTTAATATGTACAATCTAAAATATCAAAAAATTAATCGATTTATTACTTTTGTGCAAGATTGTTATTATATTAGAAAAATTTGAAAATTATTATTTGAAAATAATAAAGTATACGTTCTGTACTTTATTTAATTCAAATCCCCAACATCAAATCTTTAAACGAAGGTGCGAAGGTTTATACAATATGAGCTCTACCCATTATTATCTTTCATGTAGTAATGTATAAATTAAAGTGGAGTTTTCACTGGAAGAAAAGAGACTTTTTAGATATATGGTTGAAAAATATTTCATAATTTTTCAATGTTTCATTGATAAAGAACTCCAAGTTTCAAACTCTCACAGTTGATGAAGTGATAGACAACATATATGAATTGAGCAATTTTTTACTAATTAGTATTCTCCCCTTACAAACAATTTATTGAACTGTAGCATTCTCAAATGTTTTCTCAGTTTGGTTTTTTTTAATTTTTTATCAATATGAAATGCAATATTACATTAAAATTTTGTTTTAGAAATGGAATAAAATTTACCACAAGATCTTCGAAATATCAACAAATGTTAATTTTCAACCCCTATTTTACCCACAACTCTTATTGTTCTACTTTCAAATTTATGTATGTGGACTGTAGGTTTGTTTTTGTTTATTTTGTTCAACGGAACATTTTTAATAATTTTTGAAGAAAACTACCAAATTGGAGAAAAACAATAGATGCAACATATCAATAAGACTTGAACAAAGAGAAAATGAATAATCTTTATACAACCTTTTGGTAAAAGGGGATTTTATACTCAAAGTGGAGGTTTTAATTTTAATTTTGCTGATTTTGTAGATCTTTTTTGATAGTATCTTTTGTTGAACTAAATTACAGTATTTTCTATTCTGATATCGATACAGATCTAATTTAAATTTAAAGACGTGGCTAAGAATTATCAATTGCACAAAGTTGAAAATCAGTAACTTTTTTTGTCTCACTCAAATATTGTAGCTCCCTTAATTCAAGGCTAATCTAGTATTTCCATTAATTCAATAGTGAAAATTGTTTACTTCGCTTTATAGTCATTTAAAGAACGACTATATCCCTTGCTCTCTTATAGTTTTCTTTTAGATTGAGAATAATATCACACGTGAGGATAGGTCGACAGTTGCATCTGTCAATCAAGATGGCTAGGATAGCAATGAAGAATCTTGTTATTTGTAAGAGAGCTATTGTTTTTAAAAGATAATCAATAAAGTGTAGTTCCAATAAAACGTTTTTAATCTTTTACTAAAACCTTATAATTAGGGAAAGTTTACGGTGGGTGAAAATTAACCTCCATCGGATATCAAATTTCGGGGGTGACATAAGCGTGTTGAGGCCGGTAAAGCTTAATTTATTGAGCACTAATAATGTAACGCCAACATTAATAAATAGCAGAATTACTTTCAACATCAAGCAATATTAAGCAGGTGTGTTGAAGTCTAATTTTTTTAGATGGATTCATGACTTTTCAAATTGCTAGTATGAGAAACATATTGACAATTTAAATGGAGAGGCTACCAGCTATTTGATAAACTTGGTATAAAAAGAATAGAAATTAACCTTTTTGTAAAACGCAACCAGTTTTTTTTTTCGAGGCTATAAAGTCACGTTAGCGCAAAGTATTTGGTAGCTCATGGGGGTTATTTTTCCCTCAACAAAGTTTACTCGTAAATTTCGTTTCTTTTTAATATCAAATGCTATTGTTATTTTGGATTGCGATTAATTAATTAATATCTCGGACTTTAAACTAGGCTAAGACTACAATCAACAATCGGAATATGTCACCACATCAACAGATTAATTGATGTACAATCAATGGATTATTAAGTCTGTTTTGATTGCCAAAATTAGAAGGTCATATCCTTCTTACAGAAGATAATCAAATTTTGTGTACTAGAAATTATGTAAAAATTTGAAACAACCCACAAAGACCATTACTTTCTTATCAATCAATTTTTGTATAAGATTATACTATTCAATTAAATGTACTGCTGTAACTTGTTTGCTGTCACTTCCAAGAGTATCGTGATCTACAGAGAATTACAATTCATAACCCACTTATTAAGTTTACATATAATTATACATATAGTATTAACAATAGAAATCAAAAGAAAAAACAAACTATCAAACAATAAAAAATGTACCATGTTTTCCCATGGAGTCCTATAATTTTGATAGCATCGATTGACATAAATCAAAAACAAATAAGACTACATGTTTCATGTTGCATATACTATACCCAAGTATTATAAACATCAACAACCATCTTTGACCCCACTATCAAATTAAATGTCAAAATCAGTTCATTTTCATTGACATCCCACCCCTCAAAATTTGTTTATTCTCTGGTTTTTCTCATTAAAATGTTGCATAACAATTCGGTCTTGAGTTTGCCTCACATGAGTATACAAGCTAAATATATGACATAGAATACTCTAGTTCGTTGACTGTAAGAAATTATTTACATCATGTCATTAAGCTAGTAAGTCATTAAGCTAGTATTTGCTGAATTGAACAAAATTGTTCTAAAAATCACCCATATAATTGCATATCAGTTTACCCCCTGAAAAAATGTTAGTGCAACAAAAATGATACATCAATATTTTTTGATAATATACCAAGTAAAAAAATGTTAAGAAAATTTCCAAAATCTTGATACTTAAAATATTTTCCAGATTGATCGAACTCGTTGTCAAAATCTACATCATTTTCTCTTTTATGTTACATCCTATACAACATTTCTTGACTCTCGATAGTTTTCTTTGATATTATTTTGAACTAATCGTACTCAAATTACATCAAATATTAAATAAGAATTTACTTCATTTTCTTAATCTTCGGTACAATCTATTAGACAATGCACCTTGCGAATTGCATAGAAGTATATCAATACTTTCTTATAATCTATTGAGTCTCTTTGCTATTTTTTTTTCAAAAAATATTATATTTTACCCCATATTTTTCATTCATTATTCTATACAACAAAAGATACTTAATGGAACCAAATATATTTCATTCCAGAAAAAAGATAAATTTCATTCTAGAAATTTTATGTAGGACTGTAAAAATTACTCGGTATCTTGTTGTTCTATTTATTTCTTACACGATACATAATATAATTAAGTTTTAGGATACACCATAAACTTTAATTAAGGTTGTATACATTTACTACAACAAAATAAATATATTATTTATTAAGTAAACAAAATATATTTGCTGGTGTAAATGTAATGTAATCATACTTATAACTTTATCATCATGATATATAATTTACGAAATTTAACTAAAATAAATAGAAAAAAAAAGTTTAGTAAGTAAGAAAAGAATAATAAAGAGACCAAAAGAAAGGGTGAGATTTTTTTTTTTATTAATAATCTTTTTTTTACTTATAATCTAAAGTTAGACGGTAAAACTTATCTCTCATATAGTTTACTATTTACATAATGAAATTATGAATATGGAATTCAATAGATTGATTTAGCAACAATAACTGATCATTTAAGGAAATATCTAAACTTAATGGACTACTAATGACTGAATTTTACTCCTCACAGTTATCACTATGGGGGTTTGGGGTTAAAGGATAAAATTTGACTTTCAATTCAATCATATCAAAGGGAAATATTGTAAAATATTTTAATTGTGATTTCATGTTTTAGATCAAGTCCGATAAGTAACATTGTAAACATTTAAATGTTTAACAGCTAGTAAAAGCAAACAAAAAAATAATAATATAATATGTAAAACATATAAGACTAGGGTGTAAATTAACTAACATGAACAAATAGTTAGTAGATAGTATTTAATATAAAATCAATTTAAAAAAAGGGGAATCTAGAAAAATAATATTGTAATAGAAATCAAACAGAATTCCATATTCTTTCTATTTAAATTTATTAACAAAATGGAAAAAACAGAAAATGGAAATATGGAACCAAATTAAACTTAAAATTTTTTTTTTTTTGTTTGCTTTCTTATAAATCTGATATCTACGTATTTTAATTTTATAAGATCATGAATATTTGTTATGTTAGAACTAAAGTTATTTATAATATTGTTGCTCGCTTTACTCTTGTTAATAATTTACCTCGTGGTTTTTCTCAAATCAATCTTGTTAACTTTTAAGATAATTTTTCACTCTCTCCCTTGTTAATGTTTTTATTCAATCATGAATTTACTAAATAAAATAATAAAATATAATAATTTTAATTTGAAAAAAAAAAATGACACAAATAAAAAAAAATAAAAAACAAAAATAAATAAAATAAAAAATAAAATTAAAAAAAAGGTTAAAATATTACACAAAGTAACAAAAGTGAAAATTTTTTTTTTATTTTAATTTTAATTTTATAAAAAAAAATTTTATTTAATTTTTTAGAATATAAATGTATATAATTTACATAATATATATATCAGTTAATACACCCAACTTTTTATTATATTAGATTCCTTTTTTGCTTCTTTTTTCATATCATCAACTATTCCATTTTAAAACATTGGGATTATTTAATTCATTATATCCAACTATAATTATATTACTTTAGATTAAGTTTCAACATACTTTATATAAATATATACACAACTATATATTTACAAATTATTATACATATTATTCAATTCAATTTATCTATTTATTAATTCATTAAATTCTATTAATTCCAACTATTTATTTATTTATTTTATTTTATTTATTCATTAATACTACTTTCAAAAATGTCTACTTCAGTACAATTATCAACTCGTAAGTCTAATAGAATTAGAAACTTAACACCTAAAGCAATAACTAACAATTTAAATTTTTTAGTTTCATCACAACAACAAGAACAACAACAACAACCAATAAAGTCACTAAAAAGATCTAGTGAAGATAATACATCTACTATAGATTTGAAAAAAAGGAAAAAATCAAGTACTATAGAAGAAGAAGAAGCAAAAGAAGCTGCCAATACTGATAAAATAGATCCAGTTGAAAAATTATTATCATTAACAAATATGAATAATGATTTTATATTAGATTTAGATATAACAGAACCAAATTCACCAATTTCAGATTCAATTAAAAATTCTTCTTCCATATCATCTAATGGTTCTATATCATCAATTATTCCAACTATTTCATCAAAAAGATCATCATCATTACATTCACTAAAAAATTGTTCATATAATTATGAAGATTCAGAAGAGGATGAAGATTTAGAAGAAGATGAAGAACCAATTGAAATTGAATCTGTAAATTTTACTCAAATTTTACAAGATAATATTAGAAATTATTATAAATTAAAATTACAAAATCAATACAAAGATTCTTTTACTTTATTAAATAATAAAAATTTAAATATTTATTCAGGAGAAAATTTAAATGTTATAACTAAAGATTCAAATAACACCACTGCAACACAATCATCATCATCATCATCCGTTCCATTTTTCAAGAATGTAAATTTTGGTAGATTTAAAGAATATTCAGTTGAAGATTTTGTTACATATGGAGAAGAAGAGGAGGAAAAGGAAGAAGAAAAAGAAGAAAAAGAATTACAAGAGCCAAAAGTGGAACAACCAAGTATCATAAACGCACCAATCGATTCAATAGAAGATGAAGATCCAATTTCAACAACAGTTTCACCAATATCATCACCAACTACATCAAATATAAGTCTTACTACTTCGACCAATACTACACCAGCAACAACCTCCCCTATGAATTCAAATTTATATATTCCAAAATTAAATAATAATTGGTTTAAAAATCAACAATCATTATTATCATCATCATATAATCAATCATCATCACAATCATTAAATTTTGATATTTCAAATGCTTTAAAAAAACATAGTTTATATACTGCAAGTGAAATGGTATCAACTGGTAATTTTATGATTAATGATTTTTACCTTTAAAGTACAAGGGTTCTTTAGGCTGGCTTAGGAATTTATTTTACAAACAAAAAGTTATATTTGGTTCTTTTTATTTTATTATTTAAAGTTTTTTCAATTCATATTTACATTCGTTTAATTAGTTATTTTTTTCAATTCATTTAATTTAATAGTATACTTTTATATAGATTAAGATTACAAAATTACAATTGTTTTAAAATATATACAAATGAACTTGTAGGTGTTTACTTTATATTTCGTCTCCATATTTCGGGTCTTTTGAAAAAGTAATGAAGTAAGATTTATAAAAAAATTTAAATTATAATTGAAAAATTTTTTTATTACACAAATAATTTTTTTAATACACAAAACAAATTTTTAAGTAGTACAAATTTGATAGTCAATATAAAAAATATAACACGATCTGCATAAAAATTAATTTCAAAGTTGAAAAATTTTTACATTGACACAAAATCTAAAAGTTTAATTTATTTAATTGTAATTTATAATTTTTATTAGACTATAATATTTAATTATTACTATAGAATTATTATTACTTATAGAATTAATTTAATTAGTTAATTTCATTATAATAAAGTTATTATTACGTTTGTTGTGAAGTACTACAAAGTGAAAATTTTTATTAATATTCCATAAGTTAAAGTTTATATTCATAACCTTAATTTAAATATACGTATTACATAGACATTTTGGTATAGTTCAGTAATTAGTGTTTGCCTTTAGCTTTTAAATATCAAAATTAATTTAACAGACCAATTAACAGACCAATAGCATCAATAGCTTATGTAATAATACAATATTAAGTACCAACTTTTCTTTGTAACTTACAATCTATTTACCCTGAGAATTTGAGAAAATTACTAATTTTGTCTCATACACAAAACACAAAATAAATTATGCTAATTTACTTTAAAAAAATTTTTTATGTTATAACGGCATTTTTGATATATTTCTTGAAAAAAAAAAGGGAGTGAAAGGGGGTAATTAAATTTTTAGACTAAATTAAGAAAACGAAGCCTTTAGAACGAAGGCAAAATCTTTTTACTATTCAAGATATATAGGGGCAAATAAAATGTAGAAATCTTGCTAATAGAATCATCTTGGTTGAATTGTACAATATAAAATAGAAACTTGAAGCATAGAATAAGTTGAAGTATTTGTTACGCAAAATATTTAAGTGGCAATTTACATACTGTAAGAAAACAAGTTTTAATAAGTGAAAATTTTTTTTTTGTACTAAAGGGGTGCAACTAATTGTGAGACACTTTGATACTCAAAATCTATATTGAGTAAATCACAAATCACTGTTACCTCATTCACTGAATATGTGTGTGCTTTGTAAACTAATTCCAAATGAAACACATAGTTACTTAACCAGAGATACTTATTGAAAATGAAAATAAAAAATTTTCACTTATTAAAAAATATTCACTAAAATTTAATAATTAATTTAAAAAGTGAAAAATCTAAAAATAAATCAATAATATTACTGAAACTATTGAAAATTAAACCAATCTAAAATAAGTTAATTGTCAAAAGACTTTAAATTTTTGATTACACTAAACTATATTTATTTTTGATATTAATTTACGTTTTTGCTTTCACTTTAGTTGGTATCGTCTTTTACCGTTTAATCGTTTTTGTTAATTTTTTAATAGTTTTTGTATTTTCTTTTATTATTTCCTGTTAATTTTTTTTTTGTAATGTTTCTAATTTCCTAAATAATAATAAATATTTTTGTTTACTTTAGACCAAAAAGATCTTGTTAAGTAAGGTAATAGCTAGAGGCATATGCATGAATTAAGACTTTGAGTATTATTATTACAATTTCCATTAAGTAGTCAGTAATTTTAACAGATTAAAAAAAATACTTAACCTGGCTATTTTATTTACAGAATTCGCTTAAAGAATTTTCACTCGTTTAAATACACCGATCTTTACAAAATAGTAATTTATTATATTTTTTATTAATATAATTACCGAGTTGACAAAATATTTTATTATATTTCATGTAAATCTACCGATTTTAAAAGTTATTTTAGCTGCTTTTATGAAATATGAATAATTCCTTTTAAATTAAACTCTCGGAATTCTGAATTCAACTTTTGTAGAATTTCACACTTCAACAATTGGATAATTCATAGATTTATTTAGCTTAGGTATTATCCCGGTAAATTTTTCAAAAACCACTGGAGTTTTCAAAATAACTTTTATTCGTTTTTAAACTTCTTGATAATTTTTTATTTTTCTTTTAATTACATAAGTTTTACACTAGGATATACAGTTAAGAAATATAGCTTAATTATCACTTGATTTTCTATTAGTAATGATTGATTAATTTTTTACAAATTTAAAGCGGAACTTATTTGCGTGCGCTATTTTGGTAACCACCGCTCTATTTGTTTCTTGACTATATTATATTATTCAAGAATGCTTTGAATCTTTTATATAACAAATAATTGTCAATCTCACTCTGAGTTGTGTCCTGTGAGATGAGAATTCTGTGAAATGAAAATTTTATCGCATCAAAAGAACATAACAAAGTACACAATACTGGTGTCTGAAGAATAAGAAATAAGCACATCAACAAACTAAAACCATAAATCAAAAAGAAAAAGAAGTAATACTGGAACATTTGAAAATGGTACGGATGACAAATATACAGTTATTTGGTTCACAAAACATTATGATTTTATTGATTTTGAACATTGACGTTGATGATATATCCTCATTTATTAATAATAATTACAAAACAGATGAATAAATAACAAATAAAAAATAAAATCTCGTAAATTAAATATCAAATAAGAAATTTAAAATTAAGCACTTAATAAAATTAATTTCGATTTATATCGCAAAATCAAAAATTATATTTTTAGACAACCATAAAAAAAAAAGATCACAAATGACGGAGTAACTTTTAGCAACACTTTAAATTACAACCGGTCAATTAAAATTCATTTATTATCAATTCATCAATAACTTTCATCAAATTAGAGAATAAGAACTTATTAAAATGCAATAATGGGTTTCTTTTCTTTTCTTTTCATATATTTATTGGGATTAATTAGTCCTTTTCTTATAATATTACTCATATTCAATTATGTATTAAAAGATGTTAAAGATGAAGAAGATCATGATTTAAATACTTTAAATAGTGATGATTTAAAAGCTGGAGAACTTGAAGAAAAACATCAATCCGGATTAGAAAGTTTTAAAAATGGTTGGATATTTGTTACAAATGAATATATTGAAAGTACTGATGAAATTAATCGAAATACAACTCCAATTACTGATTTACCAGAAAATAAATCTGCATATTCATCATTATTTAAATTAGTGAATAAAGAACAACAACAAAGAGAACAAGAATTATTAAATAACCCTACAACAGAAGATGATGATTTGAAAGATGATGCAGCTTCAATTCATTCAATTCAACCATCAATTACTCAAACTTCATCAACTCCAACACCCCAACCTCAAAAACAACCAACTCAACAATCTACTCAAGCTATGAGACAATCATTGAAAAAGCATAGATATTTTGCAGTTTTGAAACATGGGAATTTATTTTTGTATAAAGATCAAACATTAAAAGATGTTAAACATGTAATTGTATTGAGTAGTTATTTTGTCAGTATCTGGCCAAGAGATTTAACTGATGCACAATTGTTTACAAAATATACAGCAATTGCTTTGATCAATACCAAAAAATTAAATACCAATGCAGGTAATTCTGATTCAAATTTAGCAGGAAGCTTTTTCATCTATTGTGATTATGTATCAGATAAAGAAGATTGGTATTTTTCATTAATCAGAAGTACAAAATCAGACTCACCTAATAATAACATTGCAATTCCATCGAATTTAAGTCCTAATAAATTTGCAAATACATTACATTTTTCAACTAAAGAAATGATAAATTTAATTCAAGCATTATATAGTTCAGAAGGTCATTTACAAACGAAGTGGATGAATGCATTAATTGGTAGATGGTTTTTAGCAATAAAAGATACTCAATTTTTTGAAAATTATATATACACTAAATTAAGTAAAAAATTGGATAAGATCAAAAAACCAGGATTTTTTGAAGAATTTCAAATTACAGATATACAACCAGGAAGTTCTGCACCATTTTTCACATATCCGAATTTAAAAGAAATTAATCCTGATGGAACTTTAGTTGTAAATGGTAATGTATCATATAATGGAGGATTATCAGTAACAATAGCAACAAAATTAGATTTGTCATTTGGTACAAAATTAACAAAAGAAGTTGATTTGGTTTTAAAAATTACACTAGTCAAGTTGGAAGGACCAATTTTAATCAAGTTGAAACCACCTCCAAGTAATAGATTTTGGTATTGTTATGAAGTTGAACCAATTTTAAATTTTAAAATTGAACCAATTTTAAGTACGAAATCGTTAAATTATAGTTTTATTACAAGTTCAATTGAGAAAAAATTTAAGGAAGCTATAAAAGAAAGTTTGGTTTTACCACATTGGGATGATATTGTATTTTTTGATACAAAAGATGAGTTATATCGGGGAGGTATATGGAAAAATGATGATGCAAGTGACGAAAGAAATGATGATCAACAATCAATAATAGAAACAGACACTACAAGTACTATAACTGATCAAATGATTGACTCAAAAGCTAATTTGACACCCACTGCCAATCAAAATAAATATGCAAAATTGTCTAAAAATATTACTGATTTAACTAAAAAAATGAAAAAGAAATCATCATCACCATCAACCGAAGATTTCCAAAATTCAACTTTAGCTGCTTCTCAACCAACTAAGGACTCGAATAATACCTCATCAGTGATGTCAAATACGTTCAAAAAAATTGGCAAATGGTATTTCAAAGAGGACAGGAATGCACCACCACCTCTTCACGATCAAGAAAATGTACAACAAGTTACTGAAAAACCTACCTTATCAGTTCCAACTACATCAGGTCCACCATTACCAAAAAGATCAAATTCAAATGCCTCTACATCAACAACAAATTCAACAAAATCAAAAGAACAATCAAATTATCATCCACCAGAAATGATTTCAAAAAGAAGACCACCAAGAAAATCATCAAATGCATCAACATCAATTTTGAAAACTAATGATAAATTTAATAATAATGGAATTGGTGCTGGTGGTAATAGTCCAATTTTACAAAGTAGTTCACCACCAACAACAAATACTGGATTATCTACTGCAACTACACCTCCACAATCTAGACTTCAATCACCATCTTTTAGTTTTGCGAAATTTGATCATACAATTGATTCAAATATTGATTTACCTCCAGCATATTTAGAAAATGAACATCATTTCTTGAATAATAATACCAATATTTCTACAAACACCAATACTCACAACTCAAATTCATCAATTTCATCATTATCAATAACAGCTTCACAATTAGCAGCATCAAGATCTTTTAATTCCTTAAATAAGATAGATGCAACAAGCTTAAAAAGAAAACCAAGTTCAACATCAACAGTACAAAATACTACAACATTAAACACTAATCAAGAAAACGACGAGGACGAGAAATCATATAATTTCGATGATTCATTACCAAGTCATTCTCAAGGAGATTCGTCAATAGGAAGAAGCAAAACATTAAGAAAACCACCACCAAAATCACCAATTTTGGAACCAACTACTACCACGACAATTTCAAATAATATTAATTTATCAAATTCTAATAGTTCATCTTCTAGTAATAATCCATTTAATGAATTTTTAAAAAATGAAGTTGATGAAAAAGTTGAATGAAAATGCAAAAAATTAAAAAAAAAATTTGTGTATACTTTAATGATAGTTTGAATAACGACGTAAATATCACTCAATAATGTTCATGACTCTTCCATTTCTGAGATCGAATAATTTATAATTGAAGCGATAGCTACCAAGCGGGTGTTTCACATTTCCTTTATAACAGCCATCGAATTTTCAAACATATTTGACACTATGTCATTATTAAATTTATAGAATATTCGGTCAACTGAAGAAGTTAGATTTGAATGATCGAAAGTTATTTCCAATTTCAGTTCCCAATTTTACATTAAAAAATTGATCTCACAAAAAATGATCTTGTAACAAAGTAAAATATTCCAAGACAGTACAAAAATTTAAAAGTACGCGTCAGATTTTTGAAACATATATGAATTTTGATCTATTAAATGAATCATCAATAATCATCACTCAATAAGACTAACCAACCCAAATCATGTCGGATAAAAATAAAGAGAATTTACCATGGTATGTAAGTCACATTAATCAATTTTCAAAGTTTTAATCAACAAACACTAACTATATCGTAGGGTTGAAAAATATCGTCCTGATAATTTACAGGAAGTTTATGGTCAACAAGAAATAGTTACAACAATACGTAAATTCCATGAAACTGGTAGAATCCCCCACTTATTATTTTATGGACCACCAGGTACAGGAAAAACATCAACGATAATAGCATTAGCAAAAGAAATATATGGACCAAATTATAAAAATATGGTATTAGAATTAAATGCATCAGATGATAGAGGAATTGATGTTGTACGTAATCAAATTAAAAATTTTGCATCAACAAGACAAATTTTTACAAATTCTTCAAGTCCACAATTTAAATTAATTATATTAGATGAAGCTGATGCAATGACATCAATAGCTCAAAATTCATTAAGAAGAATAATTGAAAAATTTACAAAAAATTGTAGATTTTGTATATTAGCAAATTATTCTCATAAATTAAATCCTGCATTAATTTCAAGATGTACAAGATTTAGATTTCATCCAATAGATGAAGAATCAATAAGAAATAGAATTAATAATATTATAATTAAAGAAAAAATAAATATAACTCAAGATGCAATAAATTCATTATTAAAATTATCACAAGGTGATATGAGAAGAAGTTTAAACGTTTTACAAGCTTGTCATTCTGCATGTGAACCAAATGAAATAATAGATATTGATATGATTTATAATTGTATTGGAGCTCCACATCCTCAAGATATTGATTCTTGTTTAAATTCTATATTAAAAGATGATTGGACTACTGCTTATATGACATTAAATAAATATAAAATAACAAAAGGTTTAGCATTAATTGATTTAATCTCGGGGTTTATTGAAATTTTAAATGATTTAGATTTAAAAACTCAAAATAGAATTGATTATTTAAAAGGTTTAAGTGATATTGAATATGGAATTTCAAAAGGTGGTAATGATAAAATTCAAAGTAGTGCAATTATAGCTGTTATAAAACAAGCAATGGAACATGAAGGTAAATAAATAAAAATTCTAAATAAAAGAAAAGTAATTAATTTTAATTTGTAATATTTTTAATTTCTATAAGATTTGTATAATAATAACTACAAATATCGTTAACCAATTATTTGCAATTAATTTTAATCCCCAACTTTTTGGTTTAGGCATTTTACCAACATAATTACAACTTGGCCATTGATCACTTGTATTTAAATCCCAATAATAACTTAATGAAATACTTTCATTTCTAGTTGGGCATAAAAACCCAAAATCAGCTGGACAATCTTTTACTATTGCATGACATACATTTACACAAGGTAATACTTCATAATAATCTGAATTTGGAGAAATTGTATCTCTCATAAAGGGATTACGTTGATTTGATGAATTTCTTAATTTATATCCTGTTGAATTTTTAGTGTTACATCTAGGTATAGATACAGCACATAACCAATCTTTATAACTTTCAGCACAATCTTCACAACTTTTTAAATTTGAATATATTGCTTCAGGTACAGTATCACATGGAATTTGTTGTAAAGCTTTTGTAAAATTTTCATATAAATTTTGAGCATAATTATCATAAATATATTTTGTTGCATTTTTATCATCATTATATGCTGGATCACCTATTGCAGGTACACTATAAGCAACTCTATTACAAAATTCTAAATCATAAATTAATTCACAAGCTGTTCCAGACATTGTTTCAAATTCAAATGGATGATATAAAGCTCCACCAAAATTTGTCCCACCATAATCTGCAACTATATAAGCAATATATTTTGTAGATTCATTAAGATTTCTAATCATAAATTGTTGTTGTAACCCACCATTCCTAGTAGTAAAAGATGATTCAACATTATGTGGTCCTCTTATAGCTGGACCTGATCTAACAGCACACCAAGAATTATTCATACCTTCAAAATAATCTTTATATTCTAAAGAATAAATATATAAGAAATATTTAGAATTTGAAGCATTAAATTGTTCCCAATCATTAGCATGAGCTGTTAAATTATCAGTTACAATCAAAGCAGTATTATCATCTGCATCAACTATTGATCCAAAACTTCTATCATCCCATTGAAATACTAAATCATTTTGTGATACACCAATTTGATAAGTCCAACTTGCAGTAATATTTGTATTTTGAGGAGCTCTTACCGCAATATATAAGATTTTTTCATCATCAAGTGGATTAGGTATTACTGATGTTGGAGTTGCAGATTTTGTAGTTTTATCAATTGGTAAATCAGCCAATGCTTGAAAATAACCATATTTAAATAATTTCATTTGTCCAACTTCATTATTTGTAAACATTGTTGAATTAAAACTATAATATACTGCTAAACTAGTTTGATTTTCAGGTAAATTATCTGGTTGAGTACATATATTACCTGATAAAAAAATTAATAATTCATAAAATTCTCCTAAACCTGATGAAGTATTTACACTAAATGAATAATATTTAACTTCTGATTGTAAAATTGTATCTATTATGGGTGTGAATTCTTGTAATCCTTCTGATGATGTCTTTCTTTTGGTTGTATCAAAATGTTGTACTTCATTTGTTATATTTTGTTGTTGAATTATGTAATCTTCTTGTGATAAAAAATTGAATTGATAATTGGATATTTCATTGGCAAATACGGTGTATAGTAGAAGTAGTAGAATTGGTAAGTTTGAACTTAATATTGATTTCATTTGATCTTATTCACGTTTCGTTCATGCATGCATTGTTGGAACCATCAATGTATTGGTTTATAATTGTAAATGGATAGTTGAAAATAATTTCCCTCATACAATAGAAAATTAAAATACAATAAATTACATCATGAGATTTTACTAAGGTACAAATTTATTTGAAATCTGAGACAACTTTATAATCTTTTTACAATTCATACACAAATTTATATTCTAAATTATACAATTTATACATATATAATTAAAATATTCATAAATTTTACCATAATTTCCAAAATTTCTTCTTTTTTTTCTTCTTATCACTACTATTATCATCATCACCTCTTGGATAACCAGACATACCAGGTTGAGATTTTCTTGGTTCTAATTTTAATTTATCAAAACTTGATTTACTATCATTTCTATGTTTTGTATCTATATCTTCACTTAAACATTTATATAAATGATTTTTATTATTATGATTGGGGTTTAAATGTTGTGAATCTTGACTATTGTTTTTATTAGGTTTTTCTAGTCCACCCCATTTTAAAGTTTGTGGTGGAGGAGATGAATGATCAGGACTATCATTTGAACGTTGAGGAGATTGAGAATTTTCTAATGAATTGTTATTTGATTTTAATTTATTCAATTTTAATTGTTCACTAACTTCTTTAAATGACATTTTATGCTCTTTAGGAGTTTCCTTTTTAGGTTCTTCTTGTTTGTCTGGTTGTAATAATGATTTTGTTTTATATGGACTTGCTCCAAATGAATTTGAACCAGTTATCGCACGAGCTAATTTTGATCCATCACCTATAAATTCTGGATCTACTTTTATAATATCTGTACAAAGATTAAGGGAATTATCAGATATTGCTTTTGCTATATCTGAAAAATAATTTTCATTTAAAGGTTGACCATTTAATCTTATTAATTCTTTATTTATATCGTCTTTAGATTTATGATATAAATTTGCAATTTCATCATATGAATTGTAAGATGTTGCAGAAGTGCTACTTGTCAGTGATTCACTTGATGCTATACTATCAGTATCATCATTTTCATTATATTCATCATCATCATGAACTAAAGAAGTTTTTGTTTTTTCAATTGTTTCATTATTAATTTTACTTTGTAAATCAATTTCAAAATCACACATATTTACTGCTGGTACAACAATAACTGGTAAAGGAAAATTTTTAACTAATCTATCAGTTAATTTTGAGGAATTCCATGATCTTAAAGGAGCTCCAACATTTTTATTTGGTTTTGTACCAGTACATACTAAATTTGGTTCATATAATTTATACATATCTTTTAAAACTTCTTTAGTATCACCTGCTACTAATTCTATTGTAACTCTTGCTATAACATCTGGATTTATAACTTGCATTACATAATGAATTAAATCTTTTGCTATTGTTACAATATTTTCTGGAGTTGCTCTTTTGGCATATCTTTCTAATGGATCAGTAAAATATGAAGGTGATCTTGATCTTGAACCACTACTTTTTCTTCTTCTATTTTTTTTACGATCTTCAAATATTGCTGGATCAACAGTTGCACATATAATTATTTTATCACCATTTTCAATGAATTTACCCAATATCCAATCTAATGCAACCCATGTATGAATTCTTGCACTTATATATACCAATATAACTCTATGAGGTAATACTGGCACCAAGGGAAATAATTTACCATTATATAATTTTTCATATAATTTATGTCTTCTGGTAATTGAACAAGCTCTTAATACACTTATAGGAGTAGTTGGATAATGAACTAATTGTCTTTCAAATCTTTTTAATTCTGCATAATCTAATCTTTCAGATTCTTCATAATTCAGTGAACCTCTTCTTGGTGAATTAATTGGTGATATTCTTGAAGGTCCAGGTGATAATTCTCTACCTCTTGAATAACTTGGTAATGGTTTTGATTTACCATGTTTCATTCTATAAATTTCCCAACCAACATCATCATCAGAATCAGGTTCTTCATCATCATCATATGATATATTCATATCATCAAATGATACTTGTTTTTTATAATGTAATTTATTTGAATCTTCTAAATTATTTGATTTAAAATTTATAAATCTATAATCATCAGATTGATTATTTAATAATTTATTTAATAATTTATCAGCTTCTTCATTATTATTATTATTCCTATTATGATTTAATTCATCTGAATTTCTTCTATTTGTTTCATTTATTTGAATTTCTGGTATATTTGGTGTATAAGAATTAATTTCATTTGAATTATCAAAATTTGGTGATGATTGATATTTATTTAAATTTGTTGAAGGTTCTTGATTATATGATGATTGTCTTGAAGGTTGATGTATTTTAAATTGTGGTATTGATTCTGTCATATGTAAGTTTTAATAATCTTTGAATTATATAAATTGATTCTAAGAATATAATTGTAGAAATCTATTTTAAATCGTTGATCAATCTTAACTTGATAAAATAATTATAATAAGAATAATAATAAGTTAATCAATTAATTCAATTAACTAATTAATTAATATAGTGAAGTACAGTTGTTGCTTTTATTTTTATTATTATTTAATATTATTTGTCGCTTAATTATTTTTTTTTTATCTATCAATCAAAAATAGTAACTTTGTATCGGAAATATAATATTAGAAATAGTCTTCTTACATTAAACTGGATCAATCTATAAAATTGATTTATTGAATTGATTCAATTGTTATTTTTAAATGTTTAAAAATATAAAAGACTAAAATTTCAATTATTTACTTTATTAAATTTTTAAAGTAAATATTGAAATAGATTTAAATTAAAAACTTTAAAATATTATAATTAAGAAAAGGGTTTAGAAATATTGTTAGTTGAATAGAGTTAAATAGCACACGATGATTTTAATAATATATAGAAGTTTCTTCTTTTACTTTATTAATTTAAATCATTTAATTAGTTAATTTTAGTTTAAATTAATTAATATGTAATGTACATATAATTTATCATTAATTTAGTTGTATACATCATTTATGAAAAGAATAAATTAGTATGTTACATTTAGAATTAAAAATGTACTTTTGAAATATGATTAAAATTTATAAATTAACTTATAGTTCTTACTAATTCTATATTGAAAATAAAATAGATAAATTATATATCTTAGTTACTTGGTCTCATTTTAATTCAATTCAATTCTAAGTTATTTTATATTATTAGATAAGTTTAAATATAACCGATTCAATAATTGTTGTAACATTAACTGTACAATATATTAATAGAAAAGCCGCATTACAACCGAAATAGGAAATATACTCTTAAATTTTACGATCAAGTTTAATTATTACTTACGAAAACTTTACTCTATTGGAATGTATATTTATAAAATGTATTACTTCTATATTATAGTATAATAGTATATATTAAATATCTTCAACAGATTTAGATTTAAAATTTATAAAGTATCAAGTGTTTGAAAAAATAGTCTATGTAAAAGCTATTAGTTTGAGGTTTAATTTAAACTATGTAATATATTAATTGAATATAAATTTCTTCAACACTCTTTACTTTTTCAATAGTAAAATTTTAATATTAGATCGATCCTAATTTATAATTATATTAAATTTGTTTCACATTTCCTTTATATAAATTTGATATTAATTTAATAAACTTGTTCATTTATTAACAATAACTAACTACAAATTAATTAAAGTTTCATCAACAATTATATTATATTAATCATTCTTATATACTTTTTATATTTAACAACACATACTAATATTAACAACATCAATTCATTCATAGATTAATTAAAAATATTTTTACAACCACTTCATTTTTCAACTCACCAAAATACATCTAAATGACAACTATTGATTATGATTTTATACTTGATAATGCTAAAACTTTACCACCACCAATAACCATTAATAAATCAAAAAAGAAACAACTGAATTATAAATTACAAATTATTTCAAATCCAAGATTACAATATGAATCGTTACTCAACCCAAAAGAATTGATTAATAAATTTCCATATATATATTCAAAATATTATTATAATAGAGATCCAAATTGTATTGGATTTATAAAATTACCAAAATATTGTTTAATATCAAATAGAGAAATGTTCTTAAGTTTAAAATCAACTTTAATTAATTTAGAAATGTCTAAAATTATTAAAAGAGGAATTGAAAATTTTTCAATAAATGATTCAATTGTATGTTATTTAAGTTCAATATTAGATATTCCGATTTATGAAATTCTTAATTTATTACATACAAATTCTCCTCATGAAATATTACATATATATCTCAAGCATATGGAATTTGAAGCTGAACATTTAATTATAAATTCTGAATTTTATCATTATAAAAATTTCCCACCTGTTATTTTTAAAAGAATGGTACAAATGTGTAGATTTGATGAAGGATTATTAATTATTGCATTATGTTTATATTTAAATTGGAAAAATGCTGATTCATTATATAAAACTATTATAAATCATGAAGTTAAAAATATTCATGAAAATTTAATAGAGTTTACAAATAATTTAAATGGTGGTAGTTCAAATTCAATTGAAGTTTTAAAAGATAATGAAAAAAATAATTCAATTAAACAAACTAATAATAATTCATTAAACAATGTGTCTACTTCAAAAAATACAGAAGGTTTATTATCCAAAAAGAATAAGAAGAAAAAGAAAAAGAAGAAAAATAGGGCAAGTAGTAGTGATGATAGTGAAGAAGAAGAAAATAAAAATAAAAGATCAGGACTGCCTGAAGAAGAGAATCAAATCAAACCTGGATTTAAGAAATTGTTGTTTCCGTTGTTCATACCAATTGAGGAACCTGAGTCTTCTTCTGATGATGATTATGAGAAAGCACTAATTAATAACCAAACCAAGTCAAATACTGAATTAAGTGAAGATGAACTAGAACTAGAAAATGATGAAAGGACAATTTCATCTGAAAATATTTTTGATCAACTAAATAATGGAATTAATGAGAATGATGAGTCCTCATTATCTATAGAAGATACGACTAATGATATTGATAATGATAATTTGAAAAGTCTATCGGAACAAGAATATTCACAATTTGTTTATGATGAATTAGATAAAGACCAAAACTTTTTAGATCTAGTTGAAACATTAACTGACCTATTCCCAACATTTCCCAAAACAGAAATTAAAATAAGATTAAAACTAGCAGATGAAGTTGAAGTGTTAATTGAAGAATTATTTAATGAAACTGAATCAAATGAATTAATTGAACAAGAACAAGCAGTCATTGTTGAATCTTCTTCAGCTTCTGTCATTAATGGTCCTACTTATTCTAATGATGTTTATACATTACTTGAAATGTTCCCACAAATTGATTTAAAAATTATTGATTATGTATTAAAAGAAAATAAAGGTGATATTAATGAAACTTCAATATCTTTATTAAATAATCCAAATCCTTCCATATATTCAAAAGTTACTAAATCAAATAATTCATCTAATGAAAGAAATGAATGGTTTCAATTATCAACGATGGTACATCGTATAAAAACTTTTTTAGATATAAATAAGTCAACAGAGCTCAATAACAATGGAAGTAATACACTGGGCAAATTTTTTATCGATGATGAAGATATTATACATTACGTTAGAAAAGCTCAAGGTATATATTATGATGCATTAACAGGTATTATAATGAATTGTAAACCTAAAATAAGAAAATTAATAACAATAAGAGGTAAACAAAATGGTGGAAGTAGAGTTCAAAGAGGTGGATCCTCTTCTAGAAATAATCAACGGATAAAAGAAGAAATTAAAATAGTAAATTCAAATTATAAATATAATCCCATGTCACCAGAAAGTACAGAATTATGGCATTTATATACAAATAATCAACAATTACAAATATTACAAAAATCTTTCTTAATGAAAGCTTTAGAATTTTTTCAAGGAAATTGTGATAAAGTTATTGAATTAGCTTTTGAATTAAATGATAATAAACCAGCTACATTAGCTTCAAATTTTAATAAATTAAATTTAGGTAATTCTTCAATAGTCCCACAAATTAAATTTGCTCCAAAACAACAAACTGATTCTTATTTATTATTAAATCAAAAATTTGAAAAATATCAATCAAAACGTAAAACAAACACTACGAACAACAATACCAATAACAATAACAATAACAACTCTAAATCAACAATATTAACAACATCAATGGAAAATCAAAGATGGAATCAATATTTAAATAATTCACAATTAGATTTACATGATTTTAAATTAATTGATGCAATAAAATTAACTAAATTAGTATTAAATCATTGGTGGAATCAAGAAATACAATTAAGAATTCAAGATGGGAAATTAAATAAATTTGGTAATTTGGTTCAATTTGTTGATGAAATATGTTTAATTACAGGTAGAGGCATTCATTCAATTAATGGTATATCAATTATACGTAAATATGTTAAAGATTATTTAATTAAAAATAAATATATATATGATGAAGGTGTTGGTAGATTTATTGTTAAAGGTAAAAGAGTTATAGTATAGGTAGAAGGATATATATATATATATAATAATATAAATAATAATAATAATAAATTTTATTCACATGTAATATGAACATAATTTAAATTTGATATTGGTTGTAAAATTCATTTTTTTTATATTGAGGTACGAAACCTGTATATTAAAATATACGAATCTTAAACATAATAATATTAATATTAAATTAAAAAGATTTACAATATTATAAAGATCTGAATGATAACGGTATTTTTTAATTTATTGACAATAACAATGCATCGGTTTTTGTCAGATATTGTTGAGCAAAATTCAAAAGAAAGAATGGGACATATTTCGCTTATATGTTTCCCTAGATTTCACTTTTAATCTTGAGACCCTATCAGTTACTTAAAATAGAGCCGTACCTAATTAATAATTATAAAAGATTAAATAATAATACATTATACATTTACTAATAATAGTAATTTAATTTAATTTAAATCTACTATTTATTTTTTGTGTTTTATTAAAATATGTAGTGTACGGGTTTACAAAATACAATTTTTGTAGTATGTGTGTTTGGATGTTTTCAATTTGTTATAAAAATTTGACGATATTTGATAGTGATAGATAACATGTATATATATTAATTGATATATTTTTCGTCAATTCAATTAAATAATTGTAAAATGAACTATTTTTAAAATTTTGAATATTAATGTATTACTTTGTAGTAGCATTAATTTCAATGTATTTCATATTCGATCATGAAAAAATGGTTAATAAACTAATCAAAATAAAACAAGGATCAATCAAATAAATAAATGTTTTATTATTTTTAATCTCTTTTTTAATTTTTTATTTTTTTTATTTTTTAAATTGAAAAATTCTTATGATAAAATTGTAAAAATTATCAAGATTGGATAATCAATTGTCATATTCATATTTAGACATGACAAATATATTAGATTCTAATGTATTAATTATATAAATTTAATAATATACAATAACTAAAACTCTTTTAAAAAAGCATTTGATTTTTGATTTTTAAGAAGTAAAACTTATTATATATATCATAATTAAAAATCAAAACATTATTATTTATCATAACATATCTATATAATATTGTATTTATCATATACGTAGATAATTTAATATATTTATATACTATAATGATATATCAAATATAATAGATAAATAATATTCAACAACAAAAATCTCTAATTTAGAGAGTTATTATATTGAATATTCAAGTTTAATAAAATTTGATTATCAATAATATATTAAAAATCTTTTTTTTTCAATTCAACAAAATAAGTTATATATTGATTAATAGTCTAGTAGAGTTAATTTCGTTTCAACATTCAATGTAATATATTATTATTAACTCTATTTAATCTTCCTTTTAAATATTATTCTACTTTGAACAAAATCATTTTATTGTAAAATCTATCTATATATTATTATTGTAGTTTTAATAATTGATTTTGATACACTCTATTAATAATATTAATATATTAATTTAAATTTACGTGAAAAAAATACAAAATTAAAATAAATAAAATAAAAATAAATTTAACCACACGTCGAGGTTAATTAATTTAATAATTTTTTATATATCAATAATAATCTTAAACATTTGTTTCATTACAAACTCAAATACATTAATTTCATTCCTTATCTTTCATTCAATTAATATTATATAAATTACAACTTTAAGTAACTTCATTCATTATTTATACAATTCATCAATACTAAAATAATGAGTAGTGGGGATGAAAATTATAATCTACATAATTTAGATAATATAAATAATAATAATATTGATGATAACAACATAAAGATAAGTCAATTACAACCATCAATAAATAATTCAGATAATAATGATCTTAATAATCATAGTGGGATATCTAATATTAAATCATCTTCCATATCAAAAATTGAATCAAATATAAATAAATTAAATTTACAACCACCTGAAACTAATATAATATCATCAAATGAAAATAATAATTCTTCATTAAGTTTAGGATCACCAATGCAAGATAAAATTTCACAATTTTCAAATAATAATAACAATAATGATAATAAAACTAATGAAAAATATGATCAAAATGGATACCATGATAAATCTATAAATTCAGATATAAATGAAAACATTGGAAAAAAAGTTGAAGAAGAAGAAAAAATAAACAACTATAAACCTGAGGAGAAAGCTGAAGTTTCAGTAAATGATGTGGATAAAATAATACAAGGAATGCCACCTCGTATGCCTGGTACTTTTAATGTTAATGCATTACATTCTGGTGATGAAGAAGAACAATATAATCAATTAAGACAAACTATAAATAAAAATGAAAGTAAAGATTCTTTTAGTCCTGGAACTTTTGAAAGTCCTTCTCATATTTCATCAAATGATCAATTGCAAAATAGCCATATTAATGATTCACCACCTGTTATATTAGAAGAAGATATAAAAAATATTAATGAAAATAAAGATAATACCATAAATCTGCAAGAAACTTATATAAAAGATCATGAGCAACAACCGCAACAACAACAAGATCAACATACTGAAACTCAAAATGATAATTTAGATACAACTTCCCATAGTCATTCAGCTTTTCTGTCTACTTCAAACATTGATACTAATTATGATGAATTACAATCACGTCAACTGACTACTTCAAGTAGTATTTTTCATCAAAATCATCATATACCTTCAAATCCAAATTCAACTAGATTTTCACAAATTTCAAATTTTAAATCAACTTTAGATCCTGGTAAACCAATTCATAATAATATTTCAACTCAATCACCAATGGATATTGATAATTATTTAACTAAAAATGAAATTGATGATATTTCTTCAACAAATACTGATTCACAAAATCCTTTGAAAAATGATTTATTGGAAAAAATACCTACTATTGAAGATGAAAATATTGATGAACAACCATTACAACCGCCACCTCAACAACAACAACAACAACTACAACAACAAACTCAAACTCAAATAAAAAAACCAATTGAAACTCCAAAACAACAATATTACCAAACTCCTTCTATAGATCCAGAAGAAGGTGAAGAGGAAAGACCAACACCGAATAGAAATGTTTCATCTACTTCAACTGTTGTAAGAACTCCAAGAAGTGCAACTACACCTAATGATACACAAACACATTTGGGAGCTCATAATCAAACAGCAGCAGTTACTCCATTACCACAACAAATTAATAAATTTCATCTGAGTAACAACTCCCCTTCAACTTCTTCAATTAATAATCATTCACAAAGTACTATAAATACTTCATCACCTAGAGATAATTTATCCATTGGATTAAATCATTCAAATAATTCCCCAAAAAATGGTAAAAAGAGAAAAAGTGGTAGTAAAGTGAGAGAAGTTTTCCTGTCAATGTTTAATAGTAAACATAAATCACAACCTTCAGGATCGCAATCACCAGAATTAAATATGAAAATCAGTACACCATTCAATGCAAAACATGTTGCTCATGTTGGAGTTGATGATAATGGTTCTTATACGGGTTTACCAGTTGAATGGGAAAGATTATTGGCAGCAAGTGGTATATCAAAGAGAGAACAACAACAACATCCTCAAGCTGTTATGGATATAGTTGCATTTTATCAAGATACAAATGAAAATCCTGATGATCATGCTTTTAAGAAGTTTCAATTTGATAATAAGAATAAAAGTAATTCAAGTTGGCTAGGAAGTGATACTCCACCTCCAACTCCTGGTGGTTCTACTTCTTCACAACAAACTCCACCAACATCGTATTTTGAAAAACAACAAACAGATGCTCCTCCAAGTAGAGCACCTCCACCACCACCAACCTCACAACAACAACCACAACTACAAAATGATAAACTGAATAACAATATTCAACAAGTACCTAAAACTCCTGGTTCCACTCAAGAGCATCAATTCATACCAAGTAGGCCAGCTCCAAAACCACCTTCAACTCCAGCTTCATCCAACAATGTCAATAGAACACCGTCATCTCATAAAGGTACAACTTCACAAAAACATCTGCCTGATAATTCAAGTGAAAAATCACCAAATAAATTTAAAACTCGTTCATTATCTTCAAAATCAATAAAGTCAATGAGATTTGGTAAAAATAATGATAATCAATTTACAAATATAGCACCTCCACCACCACCTCCAATACCTTCAAATATTCCAAAATCTAAATCTCATTCTGCATCATTATCAAATCAAATTAAACCAGACACTTCAGGTCCAACTACTGCACCTGTTGCTCCATCTGCTAAATTTGAAGATCAAAATCAAGACAATAATGTATTACCAAAACAAAGATTTCAAAAAGATTTTACTTCTCATAGAGCACCACCTCCACCACCAATTCCAAAACATCAAGATTTATCAAACAGTTCTCCTCAACAAGCATTAGCTGATGTGACTTCTTCATCAAATGTTCAAGAAGTTCAACATAACAAATATCAAGAAGCTCAACAAAGATTAAGAGAACAAAAGGCAAGAGAATTAGAAAAAATCCAGAGACAACAACAAGCTAGAAAACTAGAGCAACAACAATTAAAAGAACAACAAGAACAACAACAAAATGCATCTTCTGCTCAACAACCACCAATTCCAATACCGTCAACCAAAAAGACTTCATCAGGGGGGCCAGTAAGAGATGCAAAACAAGCAGCATTAATAGCTCAAAAGAAAAGAGAAGAAAAGAAACGAAAAAATCAACAAATTATTGCAAAATTGCAAAGTATATGTACTCAAGGTGATCCAAATGAAATATATGGTGATTTGATTAAAATCGGTCAAGGTGCATCGGGTGGTGTATTTATAGCTCATGAAGTTTCAAATAAGCATAAAACAGTTGCCATAAAACAAATGAATCTTGAACAACAACCTAAAAAGGAATTAATTATTAATGAAATTTTGGTAATGAAAGGTTCAAAACATCCAAATATTGTAAATTTTATTGATTCTTATTTATTAAAAGGTGATTTATGGGTTATTATGGAATATATGGAAGGTGGTTCATTAACAGAAATTGTTACACATAGTGTTATGACGGAGGGACAAATTGGTGCAGTTTGTAGAGAAACTTTAAAAGGTTTAAAATTTTTACATTCAAAGGGAGTTATTCATAGAGATATTAAATCAGATAATATTTTGTTAGATATAAATGGTAATATAAAAATGACAGATTTTGGATTTTGTGCTCAAATTAATGATATAAATTTAAAAAGAACAACAATGGTTGGTACACCATATTGGATGGCTCCTGAAGTTGTTTCAAGAAAAGAATATGGTCCAAAAGTTGATATTTGGTCTTTAGGTATAATGATGATTGAAATGATTGAAGGTGAACCACCATATTTAAATGAAACTCCTTTAAGAGCTTTATATCTTATTGCAACTAATGGTACTCCATCATTGAAAGAACCAGAAGCTTTAAGTTATGATATTAGGAAATTTTTAAGTTGGTGTTTACAAGTTGATTTTAATAAAAGAGGTAGTTCAGATCAACTTTTAAATGATAAGTTTATTTTAGAAGCTGATGAAGTTGAGACTTTGGCACCACTTGTCAAATTAATCAACGTATCAAAAGATGGTTAATATTTTATATAAATTTTATAGTTTTTACTTTAATTGTATTATTACAAATTGTTCCAATAGTTCTTAAATTATTTTCCAAAAAAAATCATGAAACAAAAGTTGGAATTTACACAAAATTAAACTTACAATTCTCTTTTTAGTGAAACAAAACAAAAATTTGAAAAATCAGAAAAAAAAAAAATGAGTCAAAAAGTACAAGTAAAATAAGATTTATATAAACTTCAATAACAATCTCGAGATTATTTTCGATTGAACATTTTAATTTCTAAAGTTTGATAATACAAAATGTCTGGAGTTGCTGATCAAGTTGAAAAATTATCTGTTGAAGATAAAAATTCCTCGAATCAAGATAAACAACCTGTTCAAAATGATCAAGTTTCAAAAGCTAAAGATCAATCAAAACAACAACAACAAAAACAGCAACAAGGTAAAAAGAAAGACAAAAAATCATCCGGAGCAAGTAATGGAAATTCATCATTATATTTAGATCCACAACCTAAATTTTTAGAGGATAGAATTAAATTATTTGATGAATTAAAATTAAAATATGATGAAGAAATTGCCAAAAAACCAAGAACTTCAATAAAAATTACTTTAAAAGATGGTACCGTAAAGGAAGGTATATCATTTGAAACTTCCCCATTAGATATTGCAAATCAAATTGGTAAATCATTTGCTGAAAGACAAGTTATATCAAAAGTTAATGGAAAATTATGGGATATGCCAAGACCATTAGAAGATGAAGAAGTTAGTTTAGAATTTTTAGATTTTGAACATCCAGAAGGTAAAGCAGTATTTTGGCATTCTTCTGCACATATTTTAGGAGAATCATGTGAATGTCATTATGGTTGTCATTTATCTCATGGACCTCCAACAGATGATGGATTTTTTTATGATATGTCTATAAAAGATGGTACTCAATTTGTAGTTGAAAGTGATTATCTGAATTTAAAAACTATTGCAACAAAATCAATAAAAGAAAAACAAAGATTTGAAAGATTAGAAATGACAAAAGAAGATTTATTAAAAATGTTTGAATATAATAAATATAAAGTACAATTTATTTCAGATAAAATTCCAGATGGTACTTCAACCACTGTATATAGATGTGGTCCATTAATTGATTTATGTGTTGGACCTCATATTCCACATTCTGGTAGAATTAAAGCTTTTAAAATTTTAAAAAATTCAAGTTCATATTTCTTGGGTGATTCTAAAAATGATTCATTACAAAGAATTTATGGTGTATCATTCCCTGATAAGAAATTAATGACTGAACATTTACAATTTTTAAAAGAAGCAGCAGAAAGAGATCATAGAAAAATAGGTAAAGAACAAGAATTGTTTTTCTTTAGTGAAATGTCACCTGGTTCTGCAATGTGGTTACCTCATGGTACAAGAATTTATAATACTTTAATTGATACTTTAAGATATGAATATAGAAAAAGAGGTTATGAAGAAGTTATTACTCCAAATATGTATTCAACTAAATTATGGGAAACTTCAGGTCATTGGCAAAATTATAGTGAAAATATGTTTTCATTTGAAGTTGAAAAAGAAACTTTTGGTTTAAAGCCAATGAATTGGTATGTTTTTAAAATTCTTACTTATCTGTATTTTATCATACAAAATACTAACTTTAATTATTTATAGTCCTGGACATTGTGTTTTATTCAAATCAAGAGAAAGATCATATAGAGAATTACCATGGCGTGTTGCTGATTTTGGTGTAATTCATAGAAATGAATTTTCTGGTGCATTATCTGGTTTAACAAGAGTACGTAGATTTCAACAAGATGATGCTCATATATTTTGTACTCCTGATCAAATTGGTACTGAAATTGCTGGAGTATTTGATTTATTAAAAAAAATGTATGGAATATTTGGATTTGAATTTAAAATGGAATTATCAACAAGACCTGAAAAATTTGTTGGTGATATAGATACTTGGAATACTGCTGAAGAGAAATTAGCTAAAGCATTAGATGAATTTTTAGGTAAAAATAAATGGGAATTAAATCCTGGTGATGGTGCTTTTTATGGTCCAAAAATTGATATTATGATTAGTGATGCATTAAAAAGATGGTTTCAATGTGCTACTATACAATTAGATTTCCAATTACCAAGTAGATTTGATTTAGAATATAGTTCTGGAGAAGAACAAGGTGTTGCAAGACCAGTTATGATTCATAGAGCTATATTAGGATCAGTTGAAAGAATGACTGCTATATTAACAGAACATTATAAAGGTAAATGGCCATTTTGGTTATCACCAAGACAAATATTAATAGTACCAATTGGACCTAAATTTTATGAATATGGTGAAAAATTAAAACAAATATTTAATGATGAAATGTTTTATTGTGATATTGATATAAGTGGTAATACTTTACCAAAAAAAGTTAGAACTGGTCAAATGTATAAATACAATTTTATTTTCATTGTTGGTCAAGAAGAACAAGATAATTATGGAGTAAATGTTAGAAATAGAGATATACCTGAAGAACAAGGTAAAAATGCTATGTTAAATGTTGATGATGTTATTAAACTGTTAATAAAATTAAGAGAAGAAAAAAGAGGTGATAATAAATTATAATAATGATCTGATTTTTTTATAATTCATTAATCATATGTTCTATAGAAGATTAGAAAAAATGTATTCATTAAGGAATATAAATTTATTATCATCTATTTGAAACATTATAGTACTGTTTACTTTACTTAAATTGGTAGAATTTAGTAGAATTTATGGAAATATGAAACTTTTTAAATTTTTTTAATTTTAAAGCAATAATATAATATTACGTAATTTTAATTAATTAATTTTGTAACTATTATACTATTATAGAGTAAAGAAGAAGGTTAATAGAATATAATTTAAAATTAGTATAAAAAGATGTACAAATTATATATATATCTATCTACTGTCAATTCTTTGAAATTTAGAATAGTTTTCTTCATCAATTCAATTATATCAATTCATTAATCAAATAAATAAAATTTAAAAAATGGCTACTTCAAATCCTTTACAAAATATATTAACTCCAGATCAATTTCAAAAATGTATTAATTTTTATGAAGCTGATCAAAAATTAAATCATAAGGATAGAGTTGATTTAGCTGTTCAATTACAAAGTATAGCTTTAAAATCAAATTTAATTGGATATACAACTGGTATGTTTGGTTTCTTTGGTCCTTCATTATATTATAGAATTAGAAAAATTCCACCACCAAATCCATTTTTTTTAATTCAAAGTCCATTTTTATCATTATGTATTGGTTTTGGTGCTTTAATTATTAGTAATAATTTATCAACTAAATATTATTATAATAAATATAAAAACCATAAAAATGATTTCCCGAATAAAAATGTTTATGACGTTTGGCAAGCAATGGATTATCAAAATTTAGGAATGTTTACTTTATATTATACTAGAACAAGTTTAAATCCAATGTTTATAATAAGAGATCCAAGAACTTGTTCTAATGAAGCTGAAATTGATCAAACTCAACCTCAACATTATGTTGGAGCTGTTGGTTTAGGTAAACAAGATAATAAAGGTGGTAAACATGATTTAGGAGTTTGGGATAAAGTTAAATTACATCATGGTTTTGATGTTTCAACTCCACAAAAATAATTAATATGCTAAATATTAATATAATCTAAATCATAATTTTAAAGTAGTAAATCTACTGGTTGTAATTTAATCTGCTTGTTTGCTCTTATTACATACCTTAGTTTTTGTAAATTACCACTTAACGGAAATATAATCTGACAAAAAAATATTTGATACATTTTAAATCATTTGTTTTCAATAATAGTATCCTTTTCAAATTATGACTGATCCAGCTCCTAATCAGACATCCACTAGTGAAGAGAAAAGTTATTTACAAACTAAGCTATCACCAAAACAATTCCAAGCATCAATTGATTTTTATAATGCAGATAAAGATTTATTAGAACAAGATCGTATAAAGTTAAAAGATGAATTACAATCAATACTAGTAAAGAATAATATATATGGATACTCAGGAGGTATGATTGGGTTACTTACGCCAACTGTGTACTACAAATTTATTAAGAAACAAACTCCAACTAAATTATCATTCATTCAAAAACCATTTTTATCATTTTTCATTGGGTTAGGTACTATGATGTTTGTTAGCTCATTCGTTCAAAAACAAACTTTTAATAATGTATTATCAAAAGGTGATTTAAATGATAAACAATTAAATGCATGGAAATATATGGATTGGCAAACTGTTCCTGCTTTTTATTTTTATTATTTAAAATCTTCAAAAGATCCAAGTTTTAAATTAAAAGATCCAAGATCTATAAAAGTTGATCCAAGATTAAAACAACCAATTGAAACAAAAGCTGATGAAGATAAAAGTAAAAAATTTAATACTGTAAATTTTAATCCTGAAGTTTATAAGGAACAGAGTTGGAAAGACAACACCCATAAGAATAATTTTGAGAACATTGATGATCTAAATAGTAGTTCAATTGATGATCACGAAAATTTATCTCACTGGGATAAGATTAGGTTAGCCAACGGGTTTGATATAAGCGATGACCGTAAGTAATTATTGAAAAAATTAAAACAATAAATTCATCAAAAGTATTTATATATTACATTCTATCCTAACATACTTCTTTTTCTACCTCTTAGTCTAACATCCTCTAATCTTTTTATGGTTTCATCGTATTTCTTTTTGCCAATTTTCTTGAACTCTTTCAATTCATGAGCTGATTTATAACCTTCTAGTAACCAACTATTATATTTTTCTGCAAAAACTGAATGTGTACTCGTTATAGCTCTTTCTAATACATATAGATCAACAGCTTTATCTTCAGCTAATCCCGAAAACGTAGATAACCCAAAATCAATTAATGCAGGGTCCCATTTATTTGAATCATCAGTTAAGATGATATTTGAAGTTGTCAAATCACCATGAATCATTTCATTCAAATGTAATTTACCAATTAGTTGCCCCACCTTAAAACAAACTTCCTCAACTTCTGCACTAGTGCAATCTTCAATTGATTCATTTTTCTCCAAATACCATAGCCAATTCTTGAATGAACTTACATTACCATTTGGTAAATTTATACCTAAATTTTCCATCCATATAATACCATTATTAAAATCACAAGATATTAAAGATGGACTAGGTAAACCTAATTTATTTAATTTATATATAAATTTTGCTTCTCCAATTGTACGAGATTTTGTAATTTGAAAATCAATTTTAGGATGTCTATAAGGTTTTGATGGTCTAAATTTTATTATAAATTTTTGATTATTTTTTAAATATGGATTTGAACAATATGGATGAGTTTTAGTTTGGAAAACCAATGCTTCTGCACCTTGTGATATTATATCTAGATCGATGTTTGGTAAATGCTTCTGAACCTGTAGTATTATCTTTTCAGTCATTGTATTTACTTAATTTTAAAGCCTGAGTTGATAAGTCAACTTTTAAATTTGAAACTTATAAGATCTGTTAGTCTATAATCTGCCTCTCGAATATTTTAAACTGTACACAAAATTGAATTGATTAGATTATTTTTTTTTACAACCAAATATTTCAATTTACAATCAATCAATCGATCACCTTTTATTTAATTGATATTATGACAATCAAAGCATCATCTTCAGAATCTATATACGTGATACCTCCCTATCTACTTGATACATATGAAGGATCTCAATTACAAAGAACATTGTTTGAAAATAACCCACAATTAAGTGAAAATAATGTAATAACGAATGATTCCCCATATTTTTATAAACCTCAACCAAAATCTAATGATAACAACACTACTAATACTAAAGATAAATATTCATTTTCAGATAATCCCATTCTAAATCAACTTATAAAAGAAAAAATACTATACAAACTAAGTATATTAGGAATTTTAGGAGTAAATCCAATGGAATTTAATAAATTTGATGATAAATATATATTTGAAACTTTTGAAATATTTAAATCAAGATTACTAGAAGAAACTAGACCTGATTCTGAGTCTGAAAGTAGTAGAAGTACAACAGCTCCATTGACTAGGGATTCACTACTTGATACAATCACGCCACAAACCATTTTTGCATCTGAAGAAGTAGGAGAAATCGGTTTCAAAAATTTATATAAATATAATGATGAAACTAGAACAAAGTATGAGAAGGACCCAACATATAAAAATTTCTGTAACTCATCGTTGAAGGAGTTATTGAAGTATAACGATGTTTATTACAAGTATAAGTTGAATTATCAACCTAGCTATGTAACATTTGGCAAAGATAATGACTTTCAATATCATTTACCGTTAAATTGGACTCCGTTGATACCGTCTAAATATTTAAAATACATAAAGGACAATTGGAACCTTGAAATAGATAATTCTTCAGGTTATTCCACGATTGAATTGAAGGCTGGTTCCTCATTCTTTGAGAATAGCAATAGCTCCATCGATGAATTTAAAAACAGATATTATAATTTTATAACAGATAATTCGATTAAATCTTCAGCTGGTATATTTTATTACGAAATAGAAGTTGAACAAAAATTAACTCAATCAACTAATTATAAGTCAATTATTTGTATGAATGATTTGTCAATAAGTTCGAATTCAACTTTAGAACTTTTAGCAGGTTTCACAAAAAGATTTATAACGTACGACTCAGTCAAGATTCTGAATTCTGCAATAACTCATTCAAGTTTCATAGATTTAGAAAAAATAAAGAATGATATACAACATGATGAATCTACAGAAGGATTTTCAAGTTCTGATTTAAAAGTTTTGTTGAACACTAAACCAGGTGAGTTCAAAGGAAGTTTTGCTGTAAATTTTGCTGATTCATCATTCTATAACTCTATAAAAGGTTCAGAATCACAAGCTAGAACTCAAATATTGAATATGAATAGAAGATTAAGCACAGCTATTAGAAATAACCAAGCGGATCTTGACTCAGGAAAATTGGATCTTGGAGTACCGTTTAAAACTAAATTGTTAGAAGATAAATCTATGAAAAGAATTTATAAAACAGATGTCATTGGTTGTGGTATAAATTTTGTTAACAAGACGATGTTTATTACTTTGAATGGGGTATTGACTAAAATTATAAATGAAAAAGAAATGGCATCAGCTCATTCAAGCTCAAATGACTTATTTGAAAATTCATCAAAAGATTTGGTAAAAGGTGTTGAATTATATCCAATGTTAGGGTTCAAATTGAACGATAAAGATCTTCTGTATGATCTTAAGGAAGAGCCAAGTACATGTAAAATTACTACAAACTTGGGTTTCAAGGAATTTAAATATAATATTAATAATTATGTGGATAATTTCAAGAATGAAAATCATAAAACCACTTACTTATCGTTATTAGAAAGAATCAAGAGTCAAGGGAGTAATATTAATAATGCAAATGATGAATCTATCAAAATTGAAAATTCATTATTAAATCCAAATGAAAATCCAATACTAATGAATAAACTTATCAAAGGTTATTTGGTTCAAAGGGGATATATCAATGCTTTTAAAGCTTTCAACTCGGATTTGAAGGATTTACAAGTTGTTTCTGATCCAACCACCACTGAAGACACAAATCAAGAAATCAATGAAGCAATTCTTGAAAAAAGTAACGCGAAAGAAAGACAACATATTAAAAAATTGATGCAAGAAAATAAATTTGATAGAATTATTCCATATATCGAATCAAAATACACCTCAAGTATTTTCAAAAATCAAGATATTGGCAAAGATGCAAAATTTGAGATCAAGAAATTAAATTTCATGTTTATGTTGAAAAATTATTTGAATAGAAAATTACAATTACATGATAATTTTGAGTTTGAATTTACTGATAATGAACAAGATATCTTGAAGAAAGCAATCAGTCAAAGAAATCAATTGTTGAAAGAATTCTCAAATAATTCAACTAGACAAGATGAAATAAATGAGTTATCATCATTACTATTAATTCAACTGAAACAAGATCTTAACAATTTACCCAAAGCAAAATTATTATTAAAAAATTTCGACTTGCAATACAACAAAACTTTTGAATTGATTAACTCGGCTATTTTAAGTTTAAATGGATTTGGATCAAAATCAAATTTACAAAAAATATTTGAAAAAGTCGATCAAAATTTGTCAAAATTGGTTAAAAGTGATAATAGTGATGATTTTGTATTGATGAATGTGGAAAAGGATTATATGGAGTAAATGGATATATTTTTTTCCATATAAGTTTAATGATATAATAATGAAACTTTTTAGTTATTATTTTGTCTTTCTTTTCTTTTTCAAAGGTTTCGTATCTTTCGTTATTTCCTTTTCTTCATCTTCAAATTTCACTTTCAATTTATCCCAATCTTTCTCATCTTCACCAAATGGATTTGTTATACTAATTAAAATATCATCGTCATGTAAGCTGTAATATTTTAAAGCCCACCCACCTTTTTCAAGATCAATAAATTTTACTGGTGTCTCTGCCTCCCTTAATATTTTCAATAAAATAGGAATATATTCCTCCAAATATTCTTTAACATTATATTTGATACTTGTGTTAGGTCTTGATGGATCAATCACATAATACATGAACGCTTCATCACTGAAGAATGGTGGTGTTATTTTTTCATTAATTTTAAACAAACAAGTTAATAGTAGACTTGCAGTTGCTGGTCCAACACCCTTTAATTTACACAACTCTTTCATTGATGATTTTAGAACTTTTGAATATTCTTCTCGATCTTCAATTGACGCTTTAATCCATGTAAAGTCTTTGGGGAGTGATTGGCTATATTGTAAAAATATTCTGAACCCATCCTTTGTGAACTGTTCCACATCTTTCTCCGAGTTTGATCTTATTAATTTGGGCAATTGTGGTCTAAATTTTCCTTTACTCAACTTCCAGTCCATTAAATTTACAACTTCATTTTTGGTCAAATAAGTAGTTTGATCTTTGGGATTGTATCTTGTTTTTACGATATCTTGTAATTCATTATCTTTCCAATAATCTAATTGTTCTAAAGTCTTTGTGTTATTATCAAACTTTTTTGATGATTGATCAGATAACTCTTTAATAATGTCTTTATATAGTATATCTTTTGCTTTAATTATATGATCTATACTCATGAGTTATTGACAGTAAATTTGGAATTGAATTGATGCAAAATAAGATAAATATTTAAGTGGTAATTAAACGCGTCCTTTTAACTAGTACATGATACAATACAATTAGAATAATTACAAGATGAAATGTAAATATATTTACATGTATAAATTATATACATAGCTATCGACAGTTTATTCATATGTTGATTTTTCCCATCCAAATCTTTTTTTAGGTGAATAGCTGATTGGAAATTTCAAGTCCATAATGATATTTTGAATTAATGAAAAAAATTGTGAACTAATCCAATACAAAAGTAATGCAGCTGGTGCATGAATTGATATAGCCATCATAAACACAATTGATAATCTTGAAAAATTAGCTACTGCATCAGTTAAAGTTGGTCTATATTTTAATTTTTGAGTTAATCTTGCCAAATCTAAAGTCTTAAAAGTCCATTCAACATTACATAATGATATAACACCCAAAATTACAGGAAATAGATGTGATGGATCGGCAACAGCTAAATCTTGAAACCATAAACATCCTTCGGTGTACAAAGATGGATCTAATGCTTTATTATGTAAATTATCCCATGATGACCAACCACTTAAATCTCTCATTGTTATAGACATGATAATCCACAAAGGAATTTGGAAAACTGGTAAAATGAAATTTTTCCATAATTGTACATCATATTTTTTAAATATTTGTTTTTGACGTTTTCTTGTTTCCTTTGTACTTAGTAATAAGATTTGTTCATAAGTCATATTGGACACTGGAGATAGACTTGCTCTTGTAACTTCATCACTTTTGGGATTTTGTATGACTTTTTTGGCATTTGATACTTTTTTAGCTAAATTCATTCTTAAAATTGGTCCCATAGCACTGATTATTGGTTTTAACGCACTTTGTTTTTGTATACGTTTTCGCTGCATAATCGCTAAAGGTAACGTCCATATTGATCTTAAACTAAAGGTTGTGATTGGTATCAAAGCCCACCATGGTATTCCAGTATATGCATGTAAATTTTCAAATGATTGTGTGAAAGTTGATATTATTAAATTATGATCCACTGAAAACTGCCGTATTTGTAGATGACTTTTATAAATTGATGTTGATCTAGTTATTGCATTTATTATTCGATGATTACTACTCCTTATAAACATCACCTAGTAATCTTGTTTCATTGAACGGTATGGTCTGAAATATTGAAATTTATATATCTAGACTGAAAAAAAATAAACGAAACAGTTACAAAAATTTGAAAGTTCAAACATCAATTTTATTTCTTACTTATCACTTACACGATCAAAACCATTCACATAATCACATTCCAAAATGTCAACGAGATCGGAAAGAGCATGCATGTTATGTGGGATCATACAACCAATGAAAAGATTTCAGGTAGATGGCTGTCCAAATTGTGAATCATTATTACATTATACGGAATCAGGAAATGTAACACAATGTACATCACCATCTTTTGAAGGTTTAGTTGCATTAGGAGAAGCTAATAAAGGTTCATGGGTAGCGAAGTGGCTAAGAATTGATAGTTTTGCTCCTGGATTATATGCTGTAAAAGTTAATGGTAAACTACCTCCAATGATTGTTGAAGAGTTGGAAGAACAAAGTATTATTTATAGACCAAGAGATGGAAGTGCAGAAGATTAATAAATTAAAGAAGCTATATGGGTGGGTGGTGTATTACATAAAAATAGTCGATAATGCTTCCTTTATCTCAATTTCCTTTGCATTTATACTTTTAAATATACAATATTACACAAGTGAGGATATTAATTTGTCAAGGTTCTGTAAAGTTGAAGTTTTGTCCCAATCATTCCTATCTTTCCAAACAATGTCCATTAATCTTGCCATTATCATTTCTAATCTATCTATGGTGAAATCTTTTGTAGCTTTGATTAATTTATGTTCCAAGTCTGTTAAATGAGGTTTATTAATTATAATTTGTTTTGTTTTATCAATGTCTAAACTTTCTTCTTCTTCTGAGTCAGATTCTTGATCTTCTTCTGGAATAATTTGCTCTTGAAGTAATTCATGTATCGGTTCTTGGATTGGTTCTTTAATTGATTCTTGTACTGCTTCTTTCATCACTATATCTTCATCTTTAGCTGGCTTACTATCTTTTCCTAATAAGTCCATAGAATTGTTGGGGTTGTTCATAGGACCTAATGCAATTGGAGCTTCTAATGTACCATTTTGTGTAGTTTGACCCGTAGTGGCATTGTTGTTTACAGCAGTCGAACCATTTGAAGTAGTGATGGGCTCATCCAAATCCATTATAATTGGAGGTTGATTCTCCAATTGCTTCTTTAATTCACCATGTTCTTTCAATAATTTGTCTTGTTTAATTAAATCTCTTTCTCGAACTTCTTTACAAGCTTTTAAAAATTCAGGTGTAGAGAAATCATCAATACCAAACTGGGCATTTGTAATCATTTCATTAGCTTTCAAAAGCCTTTCTCTATCACCTGAAGTTATTGAATCTTTTAATATTAATTTCAAATCTTTTAAGAATTGTTTTGGTTCACTATAAAATCCATTCCATAATCTTTCTTCTATTGTATCAAGATCCATATTGTAGTAATATTTACCGGTGGCCAATTCTTTGATCATATGCTCTTTACTTGGATCGTCTGATTTCACGTATTGAACTTGATAATTATTTAAAGGATTATTTAAAATTTCTGGATCGAATAAATGAAATAAGAAGTTTTCATCAATTATTGGCTTTTTGAATCGTTTATATCTGACTTTAAATAAATCCATTAAACTTGCTAACTTTATTTTAAGTACATTTTTCAATTTAGTATCTTGATATTCCTGTTCTTTGATTTTTTTCTTCGTCATTTCTTCACTGTTTGGATTTTTTTCTGGTTCAACAATTCTCAACTCTTTTAGTTTTCTTTTTGGTCTATTTTGAATATCATTGATAAATTCATAAGGTTTCATTTCTATAGTCTTCCATAATGTTTGGAAATAGTTCGATCTTTCATTTTTGGTAGGATTTTCCAACAATATATTGTTTCGAGTACTTCCAAATCCAAATAAAAATTTAATTCTATCGTCTAAATTCTCTAACGTTGTTTCAGCAAAACCTAATAATAAAATTTTTTCGCTACTTTTTAATCCACGAAGTAAACTTGATAATGTTGCTTGTGCAGATTCTGGTAGTATTTGAAACCAAACGTCTATTGTCGGTATTAATATAATAGCTGGTTGATGTCTTCTTGCTTCTATAAATGTTTGTATAATTGTCAGTTCTGGTGTTCTGGTAGAATCACCAAACATTGTACCCAAATCCAATGATTGAACTTGAAATCCTTCTAAATAATTAAGAACGGCAGCACTCAAGTATTGTTGACCATTTCCATCATTACCACTAACTAATAACTGAGGTCTACATACTCTAGAATTTTCTAAATCTTTCAACAATTGTTGTTTTGCAAATCCACCATCTGCATCTTTTGTAGTTGGATCGATGTACTTGGCTTCCTCTAATGCTGTTAGTTTTTGACGTCCAGGGACATGAACAGAATTAGGAATCAAATCAATCAATTTTGTAATAATGTTTTCGTAACTTGATTCTAATAATGGTTTTAAATGCTCGGGTAAAGGAGAAGAGCCAGATGAAGTTGATCTTGCACTTGATGGAACTATTTTATCTAATGCTTTCATGAAATCTTTAGCAATAACTTTCACTTTTTCGGGATGAACTGCTAATTTATGATTAGTTTCATAAATTTGTGGATATTTTCTTTGAATACTATTTAATGCAGCTTCTGTACATAATGCACGTAAATCAGCACCACCATAACCTTTTGTTAATTCAGCAAGGTTTTCAACGAAAGCATCAGCCAATGGTGGAGTCCATTTTTTAGTATGAATTTTCAAGATTTCTTTTCTTGAATTAATGTCTGGAAGTGGGAAATAAAATTCTCTATCAAACCTACCAGGTCTTCTCAAAGCTGGATCAATGGCATCAGGTCTATTAGTAGCTCCAATAACAATGACTTGACCTCTATTATCCATACCATCCATTAAAGCTAATAAGGTTGATACTATACTTGCATGAATTTGTTCTTGTTTTGAAGATCTTACAGGAGCCAATCCATCGATTTCATCAAAGAAAATAATTGAAGGTTGTTGATTTTTAGCTTCTTCAAATAATAATCTTAATTGTCTTTCAGCTTCTCCAACCCATTTACTTAAACAATCAGCACCTTTTCTCATGAAAAATGTAATCTTACGCTCTGATGTTGAACAGCTAGCAGCTAAGGCTCTAGCCATTAATGTTTTACCTGTACCAGGAGGACCATGAAATAAAACACCTCTTGGTGGCGTTATTGCAAAATTTTGATATAATTCAGGATATAGAAGTGGTAATGCCACCATTTCTTTTAATTGATTAATATAATTATCTAAACCACCAACAACTGAAAAATCAATATTCATGTCAACACCTAAAGGATCTGTATCACTAAGATTGTTTTTATTCTTCTTTTTATCATCACTACCACCAGTAATCAAATTACCTTCATTAGATTTGTTGACTTTCGGTTGCTTTTTACTAACTGTTGCTTCTCCATTCATGGGGGCAATCTCATCTTCTGAAGTATCTGAATCACTTACATTTTGTCCTATAGCAGTTAAATTGTTTGTATTTGTTAAACCAGGTAATGGTATTCCTCCTGGAGGTATATTTGTTCCAAACAATGATATTACATCACTTCCACCAAATGGTCCTGCGGTTGGATATAGTATTTTACGAAATTCATTTGGTTTTGAAACTGCTGGCCTTCCTCTTCTACCACGTATATTTGTTGGAGTACTTGGTCTTTCAGTGAAAAGCTCATTATTTATTGGAGGTGGGATCGTATAATCAACTTTTGTTCTTTGACGTAATTTATGTTGTGAAGGTTCAGATTCATGCATTGGTGATGAATCATATAAATCAGCAATTTCCTTTTGGATATCATCAACTTCACCTTCCTCATCCCTAGTATCATTACCTATTACAGTCAGAACGTCCTCTTCTTCCAAAAATCGACCTGATCTTGTTGTTCTTCTAGGTTCTATTGAAACTGATCTTTCTTTCTTTTTACGTCCTCTTTTCCTTTTAGGTTTACTTCCGTAATCATCTTCATTATCATCCCAATCTGGTTCATCATCAATAATAAAATTATCTGGTTTCTTTCTTTTTTCAACGAATTCGTCATCTGATAGTACCAAATCATCTTCATCATCACCTGAATCACCATCGTCGGCTCTAAATTCTTCATCATCAGATTCTAGTTTTATTTTTTTAGATCTATTATTATTTCTACCTCTATTATTTTTCACTCTTTTTCTTCGTTGTTTTATTTCTCCATCGGATTCTTGATAATCCTCGCTATCATCATCTTTTTCGGGAGATGATGGTCCACCAAATGGATCCTCCTCTTCATCAATTGCAGGTTCTTCATTATTTGTTACTTCTCCATTATTGGCCCCATTTTCTTGTTCTGTATCATCTATTGGACTATTATTTGATGGTTTTGTTTCATCTCCTTCATCACCTGAATAATCTTCATCTGATGATGCAATTGTTCTTGAACTTCTAGCCATTCAATGAGATAAATTGTGTAGAAAATATTGATTAAATTATAAATGTTTGTTGATTGAGAGAGACAATGTTTAAAATTATTGCAACCTAAATTATCAACCCAAAATAAATGTTCTATATCAACAACTCTTTCTGAACAATGATGTAGATTTGATGAATTTAAAATGACTTCGATAGTGGTATAAATGGATATACTAATAAATGAATTTCAATGTATATATTTATTAAAATCTCTCTACTGTTTAGTTTAATAATTATTATTTTAATTTTATTATTCAAAGTAAAATTGGTTAATACACGCTACCTGATACATAGTTAATAAATTTAAATTTTGAAAATTTTAAAGAGATTCAAATTTAAAGAAAAAACATCAATATCAATCAATGAATTTTATAAAATCAAATAATAACATTATATTTGTTTAATTTTGGGATTGCATTAGTTGAAGTAATGTATAATTTAAGAGTGTAGGAATGAGCACACCACATGAGCGATAAATAAAAATAATCAATTTATTAATATATGGTAATAATAATTGAATGCAGATTAATTTGATCAACATAATCCAACATAATTGGTTGCAAATATTCATGTTTCAAATTTAATTTTTTGCAACCACTTAATCTTTTGAATTTATTGTTAATTGTAATAATAAAAATTATATCTCAAGTTTAATGTTTATAATTTTTTTATAAAACTTGATGAGAGATTGAATTCACGTGCTGTATTTGGTAGCTTGTGTGCACGTGACCTGTTAATCTATTCTTTCGATTTGAGAAGTATACCCGTCTGCAATTTCCTTCATATATGACATTTTTTCTACTGAAATGATTAAAAACGGTATGAGGATACGGTCAGTTTGTATAAGAAGTTGAGAACATGATTTTTCTTCGTTTACGAGTACATGGAGTCATTTCTAGGTCAATAACTGATTTTTTTTACTCTATTTATTTTTTTCGAAAGAAAAGCAATTTTACATATTCATTTTACTAATTTAAAAATCTGTATTAATCTGCACCATACTTTTGAAATATCTTTGTACTTGAGTTTCCAAACTTTGAAATATCTTTGTACTTGAGTTTCTAAACTTTGAAATATCTTTGTACTTGAGTTTCCAAACTAAACTATGAAGTATTTTATTTTTTAAAAGAGTTTGCAGAGTTTGGAAGCTACTTTCGAAAAACTTACTTTATTGAAAATTAATGCAATGACGTGAAATTTGCAACTATAAAAATACTTACTTTCTATCCCTTTTCATTGATATTCACCTTTAATAATATCATTATTAAATCCAGTTTGTAATACGTTTGCAATTGTATCAACCAAATATATGTCTTTCAAATTACGACCACTCTTCAAAATATCATAAATGAAAAAATTTAATGGAGTTGAAATAGAAGTTAATCTAAAAATATTATTAAACAAGTTTTTAATTTCTTGAGATATACCAAATTCATTAAAGTATTTTTCTTCTGTGAATGATTCTAAATTATTAATACTATATTGATTTTTAGTTGTTTTTGACAAGTTTTGAAAATGTTTTGTTGATATTGTACTTCTTATTAAATGTAAACTTTCTAATGATTTGCAATTTATGATTTTATTGATTGTCAGAACATAATCTAATTGGTTGTAATTCAATATCAAGATATTCAATGAGTTCGGGATAGTCAAATTTTGTTGTAAGTGCTCGCTAAATGAACTTGTTAGGTTCAACTTCTGTAAATTCTTCAAATGATCCAAATTGCCCGCAATTTGATTGAATTTTGTATTTATTAATTCTAACTTCTCTAAAGTTGGAGAAAGATCATCAAAATTGAAACCATCAACATTTATATTTTTCAATTTCAAAGACTCTAAATATTTGCATTGTTTCAAACTGAATGAATTCAAATAATTGTCATGCGCTGAATGTAAAATTGTTAAAGTTTTTAATGATGATGGTAATATAAACTCAGTGTTATTTAAATTTACACCGTTAAATGAAATATCATGCAAACTATTTAGTTGTTCAAAGTTTTTGAAACATTCTTCATCTACTCTGCATTTATTGAACCAGGATGTTAATTCAATTGATTTTAAATTTGTAAATTCCAGGATAGATCCGTGAATCTTCTGACCTTGAAAAATTATGTTTATAAATTGTAGACTTGGAGGTAAATCTTGCCAATTGAAATCTTGTTTAATATTTAAATTCACATTCATCAAATTTTTTTGTTCAACAAAGTTAAAATAATTTAAATAACCAAAACTTAAATCCAATTCTTTTAAACCTAAAGGAAGTTCAAAATCATTATTTGAACTAAATGAATGTTTGAAAAAAGATAATGTATTCAAATTTCGTAGATGTTTTAAGTTTGTATTCTTGATTAATTTTATCCTATTTTGAGATAAATCTAGAAATGTTAAGTTTGGAGGAAATTTCAAATCTATAATCTCTTCAATTCCACAATTTGAAATCGTTAATTTATTTAAACTAAATAAATTTGTATGACAATTATGTAGAATTTTTTCGATCCTGTAGTTTGATAAGTTTTTTATATATAGTTCTTTCAAATTTGGTAAATATATTTCAACAGACAAACAAACATAACTTAAATTTTTAAAAATCAACTTCTTTAGCAGTTGAGGTAACTTAAAATCTTGATCAACAATCAAGTAAGTACCTGACCTATCTCTGAAAGTTTGTAAAGGTGAGGATTCATCTGGTATTAAAAAATCTGAAACAAAAAAATCTTCTTGTGGAATATTCAATTGACAATTTATAAAACTAAATTCAAGTTCTTCCAAATTATCGGGGAATTTATATTTGAAAAATAATGATAAATTGGGACAATCGATTAGTTTCAATTTACGTAAATTTTTATGACTTAATAAATTATCTAATCCATATATATTTGAACATTGAATTGTTAAGTTTTTTAATGTGGTCGGTAATTCAAATTTTGATAATTGTAAGATTTTTTTACTATCTAAATTCCCCTTATATGTGAACAGTTTCAAATATTGGTATTGTGATAAATTTACTCTTGAATGACTTAATTTTAGATCTTCTAATTGGATTTCTTTTATAGTTATTGGTAACATTAGATCATTTATATTAGTATCCACAAGTCTAATTTTAGTTAAGTTTCTGGGTACTTCATTAAAACCTGGTTGATAATTTGAGATTGATAAAGTTTGTAAATTAATTGGAAGGCTTGGTAAATAGAACTTAGAATCTTTTAAAAGACATGTCAAATGTTGAACTCTGTTTAATATGGCTGGTTCATAATTGAGTAATTGAGTTCCCCCTATCATGTTCAATTTGAAGATTTGTGGTACCACTTGTAAAAAATTATTCATTGCTTCCACGGTGTCATTTTTATCAATACTTATTTCGAATATAATTTGATTTATCAAAGTCTTGTTGTTTTTAAATAAATTTGATTCAAAAATCTCCAATGCATCTTTCAATGAACAAATGATTTTATGAGGAACATAATTTAGTTTTTTTAAAAAACTGATTAGTTGATAACTTGACCTGAAGTTCTTGACTTTACTATGAAGTTCATCATCTAGGTTATTATCATTTGTTTTGTAAAATTTTTTAATATAATGTTTTGAATTAATTTCTAATATTGGTAAAGTGATTTGTGCCACATAAGTTTGTATAATAGGTATTTTTAATAAATAGTTTATATGATTAAATTGAAAAGGATATTGATCATTGTTTATGACATTTAAGTAGTTAATAATTTTATGTATAATTTCAATTGGTAATAATGGTAATTCCTTTTGATTCTCTGATTGCTCCATGATTTTATAGTTCTGATTGAGACCAGTTATGTAAAATTATAAATGAGAACAATAATCTTAAGAAGGATCATATTTGATCTTCGGAAGTGAATCAGTGAAATAAATTATCTATTTTAAAGCAAAGAAATTAACAAGGAAAAGATTAGCAAATTTAAAAAAAAGAATGATATTAATAATAATAATAATTTGTAAATCTTGATTTGTATCTTTTTCTTTTTTTCTTTATCTTTTTGTCATATCAACACAAAACCTTAAATTTTGAGGGATAAATAAATAGATAAAAAATACCTGTATATAATTGAAAATTATACGAATCTAAATAACTTTAAATCTTAAATGACCAAGTAGGACCCAACTACGGTTTTGTGGTAATTTCATATTTGAGCATTAATCCGAATCATTAACATTTAAATTAATTGTTATTTTTAATCATATGGAAATATATTGAAATAAGAATCAATAGCTGAGAGTTAACTTAAAACTTACTTTACAATAATTAAAAATCTATTTATTAATTAGATAGATAATATAAACAATTCAAAAAAATCAACAAATAGTCATTATTAAGACTTTAAAAATTGTGAAAAATCTAATTCATTATCATCGTCTTCTTCTTCATCTTCATTTTCATTATTACTACTTTTACCATTTGAGTCACCCATAAAAGTGTTCGATGTTTTTGCTGTTGGTGGTGGTTGATCAATTGAATCAGTATAGTTATTTTTAATGTAATTTTGATTTTGATAATTATTTGGTGCAGCATTTTGTTCAAATGGTGATAAATTATTATTATTATTATTATTATTAATATTATTGACGTTGGTGTCTAATTTCAAATTTTCATATTTATTATCTAATTCTTCTTTTTCTTGTAATTCTTTTGCTCTTATTCTTGATGTTGTATATTTCCATGGTCTTTCTCTATAAAAAAATACAGCAGAATCAACTACTCCATTTAATGGTTGAAAAAATGCACCTAATACATTTAACCAATATATAGGTCTATGATAAACTTCATAATTAAATTGAGTTGCTTGCAATATAAATGGAAATAACCATAAGAAACAATAAGCAAAAGGATAAACAAATATTTTTTTCATTTGTTTATGTATAATTTTTTGTCTTTTTTGAAAATGTAAATTATTATTTATATCATCTGTATTATCAAAATGTTTAATTTCTAATTCTTCTAAATCATCAACATCTCCTGAATCCAGCTCAGTTATATCTCCTGTGTCGTCATCATCATCATTGAAATCATCATTAAAATTATATTGATTATTCACGAAATAATTGTCATTTGTTACGTTACCTCCTTCTAAATTACTTGGTTGTTGCAGTTGTTGCGACAGTGACTGCTGCTGATGTAGTCTACTTGAATTTCTCAGTTGTATAGCTTTAATTGATTTACTTGATATAGTCATTTTAGGGAATAAATGATCTTTAATATTTCCTAAAAAGAATTTTAAAGATGACCAAAATGAAGGTTGATTATTATTTAAATGTCCAGCATTTCTTTGATGTATATTAGTAAAAGCACCACCTAATAGTTTAAATTCTTGAACAACTTTAAAATAAATTAATCCATAAATTGCAAATATTAAAACAACAATACAATATCTTGGAACCCAACTTAAAACAAGTCTATACCAAACAGGTCTCATTGGTAAATAACACCAACATACTAATGAATCATAACCAACTCCATTTATAAATGCTAAACTTGCTAATATAATCGGTACAAAAAATGATAATGAATAAACTAAATATCTTAGTTTATATAATCCACCTTCAACTCTATTTGTACCTAAAATTTTTGTATTTAAATTTGGTTTAAAAATTAATAAATAAGTATGTAAAGCAAATGCTAAAATTGCAATATCAGCACCTTCAATTGAAGTAGCTGTGAAAAATCCAACAACTTGACAAAACTTTCTATTATAATAGGAAGTTGAATGAGTTAATACCCTTGTTGGATAAATTAATAATATAACTGCTTTTAATAAATCAAAAAATAATAAAAAAAAAATTAAATGATGACGAAATACTAATCTTTTAGGATCAATTCTTATAAAAAATAACATTGCAATTAATACAGATGCAATTGATGCACATGAAGATGATGTAGCAACAACTCTCTGAACAAATGCTTGATGATCTGTGAATTTTTTTATTTGATTTGCATGATCATATCTTTTAATGATTGTTGGAATAGTATCTGAAAATAACGAAGTAAAAAAATTCAAAATTGTTGTAGATGTTGTTGTGGATGTTGAGGTTGTCGGTATAAATGTAGGTGTTATTGTTGTTGGAGATGATGTGGATTCTAATATTTTGGTTGTGGTAGAAAATGCTATTAAATTATTTATTATTGTGGTTGATGTTGATATTAATTCTGATTGTTGTTGTTCCTGTCGTAGTGATTCTACTTTATCATTATTAAATATTATAAATTGTAAAATAAAATTAAAAATTGATGATAATGTAATATAATTAAAATTTATGATATTCTTTGACCAATCTAGTAGTTGATTAAATGAATCTATTAACATCTTAATCAGATGTTTAAAAGAATCTTAATAAAATAAGACTATCTTGAAGTTAAAAGTACAATTTTTGGTAGTATCTTGTTGATAAATTAATAAAAATTTAAAATATATATTAATAATAATATAGAATTCCATAAAATTTTCGTTGATTGTTTCAGACAAAAAAAATAAAAAAAAAAAAAAAAAATTAAAAATATTTTTAAATATTTTTGTGTGATATTTTTAATCTTATTTATTACACAAAATTAGTTGTAATTATATTTCATGAAATTTTACTATCAATATATTCTTAATTATTTTATTACATGTCAGATGAACATAAGACATAATCTTATTCAAAGTAGTTACAGATACCTTCAGTAAGGAAAATCTATTCATTGAGTAAATTACATATTTTGAAATGGAGAATACAATATGTATTAAAATTTTAAGAGATAAAAATCAGCCCNTTGCAAATAAAGTCTTTTATGAAAGTTGTTTATATAAATTTGATTATTTAATTAATATATTTTGTAATTCAATTTAGGTTAAAATATTACCAATTAAGTTAATTTATTTCGTGATAATATACTTTTATTATATTATTCAAATATTAATATTTTTTTAATTAATAAAAAAATATTTATTAAACCAGCATATTATAATTCAATTATTTTGTATATTTTCATTAACCAAGTATTAAGCATAACAAGTAAGAGCTTTAATCTTAAAATCAATTTTGGTGTTAAGTATTGGTATTAATTGACAGTCAATAATGACGATATTTTTGTACAGTAACAAAATTTGTTAGCATAATCAGTGACTTTGGCTTTTTTTCGTTGAAATGAATGTGTTTTCAAAAAATTTTAAATTCTGTTTAGCATTTCTTGAATGTTTCCTTGATAAATTTACTTCCTATAAAAATTTAAAAGTTTTTTATTAACTTAATCTACGAATGTACAACGCTCAATTCTTTCGTTTGGATAATAAAAAAGACGAACCAGCCATTTACGAGCAGAACGAACAAGCGAAATTTACGACAACATCCACTATTTTACCCTGTCTTACTTAAACGTATTAATAAAGATAAAAGATAAATGAGTCAAACATAAAATAATTGTTTATTGAAGGATACAAAAAAATATAAAAATTACAAACTAATCTATACTAAAACTGGTAATAATATGGCCATAATTGCAATTATAGATTTATAACTTGCTTTAGTAACAGTACCCATATTTGGTAATGGTTCAATATCTACTAATGGAGTATTTTCTTCTGGACCGGTAGTTGGGGATTCTGGATTTACTTCTGGTTCTACTGGATTAGTAGGAGCTACATTTGGTTGATCTTCACTTGAATTTCCGGCAATTGTAGTTGGTTGTGGTTGTTGAGTTGATCCTTCTTCAGTAACAATTAAATATGAAGTAATTGTAGTAGTAGTATAACTTGTAGTTTGAATTTCAGTTGTATAAACATCACAATCAGTCCCTGATGTGCATTCTTCAACTGTAAAAGTAATATCGGTAGTACATGGGACAACAATAGTTTCAGTAGTGTATGAAATTGGACAATAAGTGGTTATGATAGTTTTTTGAACTTTAATTGATTCAGTACATACTTGTTCTTCATCACAAACTGTTAAAGTAATAGTAGTTTCTTTTGCAATAGTTGTTAAATTATTTTCAATTGTTGTTGGATAAGTTGAAGTTTCAACAATTTCTGTACAAACGCTTGCTTCGTCACAACTTGTAATAGTAATAACTTGAGTAGTATATGAAATTGTTTGAGAAGTTAAAGGAGCTTCAGTAGTTTGAACAGGTGCAGTTGCAGTAGTTGATTCAACGGGTACAGGTGTCTCTTCAGTAGTAGGTTCAGCAGTTGATTCAACAGGTATAATTGTTTCTTCAGCAGTAGGTTCATCAGTTGATTCAACAGGTATAATTGTTTCTTCAGCAGTAGATTCAGCAGTTGATTCAACAGGTATGATTGTTTCTTCAGCAGTAGATTCAGCAGTTGATTCAACAGGTATGATTGCTTCTTCAGCAGTAGCAGTAGGTTCCTCGGTGGCTGCAGTGGTTTCACCTGGTTCATCATTTAATTGTTCAACACTTGTTTCAACTTCAAAACAACCTCCATTAATATAAACAACAAAACCAGATTCTGCTTCACAAAGTCCAAATACAACTGGTTCAGCACGTTTTACAAATTCTGAACGTTTCTTTTGTACTGACTCTTGAGTTTCTTCAAGATTAATAACATTATCAATCATACTCCATCCAGCTGTAGCTTCTTCAACATCATCTACAACAAATAAAAGTCCACCTTCACCAACAAAAACATATTGTCCATTTACAAACAAAAAACCATCTGTAATTACAAATGCTCCATCAACTCCATCAATTAAATTTTGAACTGTAACATGAGTATAGTTGGATTGTAATGGACTAAAAACTCCATCTATTGCAGCAATAATACTAAATGGTTGTGAAGGATCAACTAATTCAATTGGCTCGCCTGTTGGTTCAACTGGTTCATCTGTTGTTGTAGTTGCTTCATCAGTAGTGATTGGTTCAATTGGTACAACTTCTGTAGTGATTGGCTCAATTGGTTCTTCTGTAGTGATTGGTTCAATTGGTACAACTTCTGTAGTGACTGGTTCAACTGGTTCTTCTGTTGTGACTGGTTCAATTGGTTCTTCTGTAGTGATTTGCTCAATTGGTTCAACTTCTGTGGTGACTGGTTCAATTGGTTCTTCTGTAGTAACTGGTTCAATTGGTTCTTCTGTAGTGACTGGTTCAATTGGTACAACTTCTGTAGTGATTGGCTCAATTGGTTCTTCTGTAGTGATTGGAGCAATTGTTTCAGTTTCTGTAATGACTGATTCAGATGGATCCTCGTTTAATTGTAAATCGAAACGTCTAATTTCCCCAACAAATGGTTCACAATTCTCAGATAAAACTGTGCTAAAAAAACTCTGTACTCCTAAACTACAGATATGTAATGATTTAGAAAATGATATTATATCTGAATCGACTAAGTTCCAACTTGATAAACCTTCTGCATCTATTGAACGAGCAAGTAAAAATTCTTGTGTAGTAATATCTGATATAACTGAAGATGGATTCTCATTTAAAGCTAATAAATAATTTTCGGTGAATTTAAATCTTGTTTCTTGATCTATTGAAGTTAAAAAACCCTCTGGTTCAAAATAAAGATCATCAAAGTTATGTGTTACAACAACTTTGAAATTGTATTCTAATGCTTTAACTATTGACAAAGTTGCCAAAAAACTTGTTGCTAATTGACCAAACTTCATAGTCTTTAAATTGTATAAATTTTAATTAAAACGAATGACTGGACTATTGAAGGTTATGATTAATGGATTTTGTAAAAAAAAAAGATAACAAATTGATTTCATAAAAAACTTGTTGAATTCTTCTTCATTTATATAATAATTACTTGCAAATTGTCGGAATCACCTAATATTATTAAAATATTGGCCCATACAGTGAAGAATTTTTGAAATTATAATAATTATTTTGAAATATAAACAAGTTACTAATCAATCAAGATTTATTTAAAAAAATATTATATTTTATTTTCAATATTAAATCCAGATTTCTTGTCTTCCATATTAAATTTGTACTTTGAAGTTGTTGATAACGTTGTTTGGTGAAACTTGAATCTTTGAGCGTGAATATTCAATTTAAAACAGCTTTCCTGGGATGAAATTTTTCATCTTGAATCATTACTAGATCGGCTAATCATTGGGTGTTGCGAGTTAGTGATTGATAAATTAAACTTCATATCGCGCTTTTCGTAAAAATTAAACATTGAATTTGAACATAAGCGCCAAGCCAACGTTTCTAAAGTAGAATAAGTCAAAATTTATTTCAACTATTGTAAATATGATTGAAACATGAATCCCTGTACTGTTGTGGATCATCAGTCACTCATTCGGTTGAGTGAAGGGCCATGCTTTTCGAGACTTCCGCCATGGTAAACAAATCCTTTGTATTTTTGTTGATACCACCTGCCTGTCACTACCACATTAACTCCAAAATGCAAGTTAATGCAATTTTGAGTTAAATAATATTCCAAATCTAAACATTAAACAAGCAAGATTTTGACTAAATCCTTTAACTTTTGTGATTATTATAATTCATTTATTATTAAAATGGATTTATATAAACGCGTTACTTGCATTTCATTGCCTTTATGTGTTTATTATTGTTTCCAAATTATTTGAAAGGTAACAACCTGATTTAGGAAAATTGACAAATTGTTAAAAATATTGGCGATTCGTATGTATTGAGATTATCATAACTGATCTGAAATGTAATGAGATTATCATAATGGATCTGAAGTGGTAACGTTTTTAGTCAATAAAATATTATCTTGTCACATTATTAGATCACAAATGTGTGGACTTTTTGTTAAAGCATAATTGTAACAATCATTGGCAACTGATTTGTGGTTGATGTTGTATTGTTAAAGAATTTAAAAATCCGGTCTCATATTAATTGCTTTTGATCGTTGCTAACTTTTCTTGATTATAGAATGTTGTGAACAATAAGTATTCTAGCGAAATTATTATATAATGTTGATAGTAATTTAAAGAGACAGATTTGCAAAAGAAAAACATTGAATTCACGAAAAGCCGCACGTCGTATTTTATATTTTAGGCTAGTTATGAAAGATAGATATCAATAATTTGATTGCAATAAATTTACTTCATAAACTTGATAAACTGTATATGATCTTCTGATTAGAGATTCCTTATTATTTATATTACTTTATATTATATATTAAATTAATTATTAAGTGTGTGTGTGTAAATTAACATTAAGCATCGTTAAATAGTAAGCTAATAACTTTAGCTATAAAAATCCTTGTAAATTTGTGAAAAAAAAAAATTATTATTATTATTAATATTATTATTAAATTGTTACCAAAAAATCATTAAATTCATTCAATTGTAAGAAAAACTCTTTATCTATTAGTTTGTTATTGTTATATCCCAATTCTTGATTTATCGCTACTACTATTTGTATTGTTATTAGTTGGTGTTGCTAAATCTTCTAATGATGTACTTTTGGAAGATCCAACATAATTTTCTTCATCAAATACTGATCCTGCTCCAGAATCTTCATCATCATTTTCTGAAACTAAAGGTACAAAACTTTTAGAAGGTTGACGAGATCTTGAAAAATTCCCCATTTCAAAAGTATTATTATCATTAAAAGTTGATGAATCTTGTAATTGATAATGTGGTTGTTGATAAAGTGTAGTATATCTATTATCATCATTAGTACTGTTGTTATTATAATCATTAGCTGTTTCATCAAAATTTATATTATAATAATTTAATTCTGTATATGACCAACGACAAAATCCTTTAATTTTTGGTAAATATTTATATTTTGTAAATTCAAATACTAATAAAGATAAAACAGCTCCACCAGTTAAATCAATAAAATAATGATGAGTTAAATACATAGTACTCCACCATAACCAACCAGCATAAAATACAAAAAGAGGTTTTAATCTTGGAAATAACCAACACATAAATAAAACTTCCATTATACAACAACCAGAATGTAATGAAGGGAAAGCACCAAATATAACTGGAGAATTTGAAAACCCAGTAGTATACATATCAAACCCCAATAATTCATCTATTCTACCTAATCCACCTGGTGAACCGTGCATTGTATAATTAGCTGGTTGCAAACCATACAAATTCTTGTACCAAGGAGGAGCAGCAGGAAATAACATTTGAATAATAACTCCAAATAAATTCATATAACCAAATGCAAAACCATAAGATCTTAAAGAATTTGGAGGACCAAATAAAAATATTAAAGCAGCAACAACAAATGGAGCACCAAAATGAAATAAACCATAAGGTAACCAAGCACAAATATCTAAAATTTGATTAGTTATACTTGCTAAAACATTTGATAAATTATCACCATATAAAATAGTTTCCATTGCAGGTAAAAATTTAACAGATATAGCAGGTTTCCAATTATGAGGAATTTTTGAACAAGTAAAATAAAAAGCTAACCAAGTAAAAATTGGTAATGCAGGTAAAAAAAATTGTGAAGTTGCAGGTATTAAAAATAAAAATGAAAATGCAATAATTATAGGTAATTTATATAAAATTGAAGCAGGAAATATTATAAATACAAATAATAATATTGAAGTTAATAAAGTATAATGAAAAATTTCACCTTTTGACCAATTATGATGTCTTAATTTATGTAAAGTAGTTCTTATATTAGTATCAGTATTTAAATCAGATAAATTTGAAGTTGGAGTTTTTTCCAGTAGAAAATAATAATAAAATAATTGATATGGTTTATTTATAATTGATGTTGATGATCTATTATTATTATAATTTCGTGACATGATGAAGATGTTGAATATTTATCTATATGATGTATGTTGAAGACGACGACTATGACGATGTTGTTGATAATGTTGGTGATTATATTGTTGATGGATTAGTAGGTTGTATTGTATTATAAAAGATGTTTTAAAAAGATTGGTTGGATGTACTTGATTATATAAAATGATTTTTTAGTTTAGAATGTAAAGGTATTTGTAAAATGTAAAAATGAAAAAAAATAAAAAGAAATTAAAATTAAAAATAAAATTAAAAAAAAAAAAAAATGATTTAAAAATTCTCTTTCTCTCTTTTAAAATGTTAATTAACAATAGTTAATAATAACTAACTAACTAATTAAACAAAACTATCTAATAGTAAAGAGAAGAGAAAAAGGAGAAATAATTTAAAATTGTGATGATGCATTTCCTTTATTAATTAATTAATTTAATTGATTGATAATTTAAATAAAATAAAAACAAGTTCCAATATTATTGATCTTTTATCTATCTATTGTTATATTGATATTGAGTAAACTATTATTGATAAAATATAATTATTTAATGTAACATATTAAATATTAAGTAGTAATAATAGTCTCTTATTTCAATATATTTGATAAAAATAAATAGGAGAAAATAAGAAAAGACATTTCTTTTTAAATTCGAGAAAAAAAAAAGACTTTTTTATATTATTGTATACTTTACTTATTCTCCTATTAGATGTCGTTTCATAATTATCTTTATAAATATCCTATGTCGTATATAATCAATAATGTCAAATACTTATTTATTTAAACAATTGCTCAATACGCAATACTAAATTATAAATTGATATAGAGCAATAGTTTGAATATGTTACTAATTGTTTATAATAAAAGCTCAAAACATACAATTTTTGAGGAATGGAACAGATGAAGAAATTTAATCTATTTTTAATTCATACTATTTTTAGCTTTACAATGTTAGATAACATGATTGAATTTGAATTTAAAAGACATTATACTAATTTGAATTATAATGTATTGATAAAAACTAAAAAAAAAATGAAATACATATCCGATTTTTCCATATACATTTTTTATTATGAACTAGACAATTAAATTTGACGTCCGATAAAAATTTATAAAAATCATTTATTGAATTATTCGATAGATATTGTAAGTTTGATTCATTTTGGTCTCTAGGAACACTGCCTTACAATTTTTAGGACCTTTATAATTTTTAATTGTAAATTATTTTAATCTATCTATCATAATTACGGACTTCATTTTAAGCGATTTTTTTTTTTTTCTTTTCTTAAGGTATATCTCAAAATTTCTTTGATTTTACGGCTGAGTATCTAATATTTACTATATGACTTATTATTATTAAAAAATTAAAATTTTTAATCAATAGTATAATCTATACATAGAATTAAACTTCTTAAATTATGTAGGTTTCACGATATATTTGCAATATTTTATAAATGCAAATTAATAATACATATTAAAAAATTGACTTTATACTTAAATTGTTGAAGATTTGTTTTCACAAATATCAATTTCTGACATATGTAAACACTACCAATTGCTATGCAAAAAAAATTGAGAATGGAAGCGTGGTTGCAACAACAACTAACTTAAAATCAAATCTAAATTATTTTCAAGTTGTACTTCAATTGACATCAATTGACTGATCAAAGTACTTATTATTTATTCAATATGCCAGTTGAAGAGTTAGATGATAAAGTAATTTTAACAAATCCAAATGATTCATCATCAAAAGTAACTATTTTAAAATATGGAGCAACAATAATTAGTTGGGAAAATAAAGGAGAAGAAAAATTATGGCTATCAAAAGCTGCAAAATTAGATGGTTCAAAACCTGTAAGAGGTGGTATACCATTAGTATTTCCAATTTTTGGTAAACAAAAAGATTCAAATCATCCAACTTCAAAATTACCACAACATGGATTTGCAAGAAATAATACTTGGGAATTTTTAGGTCAAACTAATGAATCACCAATAATTGTTCAATTTGGTTTAGGACCTGAAAATTTAAGTGAAGAAACTAGACAATTATGGCCTTTTGATTTTACTTTAATTTTAACAATTTCTTTAGATGATAATAAATTAAATACAACAATTGAAGTTGAAAATTCAGGTAAACAAGAATTTGAATTTAATTGGTTATTTCACACTTATTACAAAGTAGAAGATATAACAGATGTATTAGTATCAAATTTAATAGATCAAAATTGTTTTGATCAATTAATTGGAGAATCTTATATTGAAAAAGCTCCAGCAATATCATTTCATGAGGAATTTGATAGAATCTATAAAAATATAAATGAATCAAAAATAATTCAAGTCATTGATAAAGGTAAAGTATTATATAATCTCAAAAGAAATAACTTACCTGATTCTGTTGTTTGGAATCCATGGATTAAAAAATCTGAAGGTATGGGAGATTTTGAACCAAAAACAGGTTATCATAATATGGTATGTGTTGAACCTGGTCATGTTAATTCAATGGTTCTATTACCACCTGGTGAAAAATGGATTGGTGAACAAGAAATTTCAATTGGTGGAGAAATTAAAGTTCAATCAAATATTTATTAATTTAAAGAGTAAATAATAAATTAATAATTTTTTTTTAGACTATAGATACAAACATTAAATTCTGATTCATATGTAATATTAATTATCGTATCATAAATCTCTCTATACGGGGTATAATCTTTTTAAAGTTTTTCAGCTTTTAAATAATTGATTGGAATAGAATTGAAAAAATATTGTCTTCAGTTCAAAAGATTATCTATAAGTTAATCATATCTCTCTTTAAATCTTTCAAATTTACTTAATGATTTTTGAGATGATGATATAGTTGGTTTATCATATAATGAAAAAGGTTGAGGTATAGTTATAGATTTTGATTTTATAATATTTGATTTTTTTAAATCATTAGTAATTCCAATATTTGAATTATATTTTTTTGAATTTGTTAAAACATTTTTAAAAGATGATAATGATTTTGATGGACTTATTTTTGTTAAATTTGGAGTATTTGAAAAATTTGAATGATTTGGAATTTTTGTATATGAAGTTGGTGGTTTCATCATTGCTTGTTGAGCTGCTAATGTAGCTGGATTTTTCTGATGTTGATGTTGTACTTGACTGTGTGGTAAATGTTCATGATTATTATTTAATTGTTGTTGCTGAGGTCTATAATTATTGTTATTATGAAATTGGGGTACTGATGGTTTTTTTTGTAATTGGGGTATCAGTGTCTTTCTCTGCAATTGGGGTATCAGTGATTTTTTTTGTAATTGAGGAATTGAAGGTTTTTTATTTAACATTGATGAGCTGCTTCTTGAAATTGATGGTATTTTAGATTGTTGTTGAAAATGATTTGGTGGTTGTGGCTGTGTGACGTGGGAATTTTGAAGATTAGTCGTTGAATTACTATTTTTGATTGGAGAAGAAACTAAATCCATATTAGAATTTGAATTTTTTATTGTGTTTTTACTTTCATTTGAAGATGTAATTACTCCTGCTAATTCTAATGAGCTTGTTCTTTTCTTTAAAGTTGGTATTTTTGGAGGTTGTTGTACATTATTAACAAATAATTGCTGTTCCAGTAATTCTTTATTTGGAGATCCAGTCTCCGTTGTTTGTCTTGTTAATATAGAATTTAAATTAAATGATTTTTTACTTGGTGATATTTTACGTATGGGTGAAATTTTTCTAATTGATTCATCTCTTTCTTTTGTTGGATTTGTTGATGTTAAGATAGGTATTGCTACAATTTCATTAATTCCATTTAATGTTCTTCTTCTTTTACTTGCTGACTCTATAACTTCGTCTTTTTGTGGGGATGGAGTTTTCAATCTTTGTGTATGTTGTTGTTGAATTTGCTGTTGTTGTTGTTGATGAACAGAATAATGACTTTGTATGGATTCCATTTTATTAAATTTTGTTGTATGAACTCCACTATATCTTTTATTTCTTCTTGAAGTAGCCGAGTCAAAATCTTCTTTGTTTGGTGATGATGACAATATTGATATTTGCTTTGCTCTATTATTTAACTCTGATAATACATTATTTGTTAATCTATTGGAATAACCTCTATTCGTCATTAATTGTGGTTGTGGTTGTGGAAGATGTTGGTGTTGCTGAATTTGTTGTTGATGTTTATATATTGGTGGTGGTGGTGAAGTGAAATCTACTATATTAGGATATAAATTATTCTGCTGATTATGTTCATGATTTAAACGTAATTGGCTTTGATATTCGTTTTGATGACTATTGAAATCGAAATTATTATGGTTTTTAATATTTGTTGGTGACGAACCTAAATTTAAACTTCTTATTTTTTTTATTGGAGTATTTAATGATACATGATGATTTGGATAAGTATCCGTCATTACTTGATACAAGTCAACTAGATGTATTAATTGAAATCTTGAATTCCCAGTTCTAAATTATAAAGGTTGTCTCAAATTTGTTAATAGTAAACTATTTACTAATTAAAATACCATTTTGAATAGAGGTCTTTCTATTCCTAATTTGGTTGAAAAGTAAATACTTTTACATAGTTTGGGCTACCAATTGAAATGTTAGATCTCCCCTTTTACTAAAATTTCACATTCTCGTCTAGTTCTGCGGTACGGATGCTGAAACTGCAAAATCAAATTTTTATTACTTGTTGTACGGATGTATAAAAAGAGATATGGGAGTATAAATTAGTGAATGATATAAGTCTCGATCCTAAATCAACATGATGAAGAGTCTGAGGTTTTAACGAACCTTATCAACAATAAACTTTGATTTAATTCATTAAAACCTTCACATATAAATGTTCGCATTAATATACGGTTGGTGAACCATTTGTTTAAATTTTGCAGCAATTTTTGGTTCAATTTATGAGTTTTTGCACTTGAATTATAGAAATATAAGCATGATCCACATGGCATTACAAATCGCAGTTAAAATGTAATTGGAGTTATACATATAAGCAATTATAGGACTTTAATTCACATATCAAGTATTACATTTGTTAATTGTTAGATATCGATTAATAAATTCACATGTAGCATTGAAACAATCATAAAAAGTCCGATAAAAAATTGGATTTAAGAATTTAAGACCTAATCTTACATAATAATTGTGTAGAAACTACTTACAAAGCTTGAAATTTCACTAATTTAGAAGAGAAGCTGAAAGAAAATGTTAAATCCTGGAAAATTCTTCTCTAAACTATAAGTTATTTACTCCGTTGTATAATGCCCCACTATGTACACCCGTTATGATTTAGATAAGATAAGGAAGTTTATATTGAAGTGAAAGTGAAACAAATGAATAAAGAAGTAGAAAAAGAAACTTTAAAATTAAAGTATTGAAAAAAAAAAAGTATTGGTCCCTTAAACCTAATTAATTTAATTAAAAATTGATTAAATAAACTTCTTATTTATTCTCCTCGGAATTTTTTATTTTTTTTTATTTTGAATTTAAATTCAAATTTTTTTAACTCCACAAACAAAAATTAAAAAACAACTAGAATTATTAAAAGTTTTATGCAACATTTGGATTTAAAAAGTAATGTTACTAAAATATTAATTTATTATTATTTTATTTTATTTAAATTAAATCAAAAAATGAATCATCTTTCTCTCTTTTGATGAAATTTTAAATTAAATTTGAAACATTAAATCCTCTATTGTTTTAAGTAGACTCCGAGGTTAGAGTATAGTATGTTAAATAACATAAACATTAATTCTTTCGAAATATTTGAGAAAATAAATTATCGGAGTCGTGAAAATGGAAATGTCAAAATTGATTTCATTTAGGTAATAAAAATTAGTCAGATAGTAAGAATAAGGGACATATGTATTAAGTCAATACAAATTAAAAAAAAAATTTGTAAATATTCATGTGAATAAAACAAAATTGATTGATGAGTACTTTATATCATAATATTTATTGTTTAAATCTATAGTAAACAAATCATATTGTGGATATTAGATAAAATTTTAAAACTTTTGAATTTCTTTAACAATTAATTCGTTCCATCTTCTTTATTATTATTTGGTTGTAGTTTTATTAATTACTCTAATAAATATCAGCCTTTTAACAAACAATTTCACATTTTGTTATACTTGTATGTTGGTTATGAATTGTTACAAAAAAAGTTCTTCGAGTTTGTATTGTTAAAAAGTTAAAAAAAGACAAATTGTGTGTGAATAAACTTTTAATTTTATTTATTTTCGGATTGATGGAAACATTTGATTTTAAATTGAATACACAAAATAAAAGTCCGAAATTTTTTTTTTTCTCTCTTCTTTTAAAATAAAAATTATTTCCTAAAATATAAAAATAATAAAAATATAAATATTAAAAAAATTAAAATGGAAAAAGGGAAATTAAAAAATAATGAATGCAATTTTGACATTTTAATAATGTCAGTAAAATACCTATTAACTATTCAATACTTCGATTTTATTAAAAGTATAAACATAAAATAAATTATATATATATAATATAGCTTGTGACATAATTATTTAATAATCTTTATAATTTATATTCATAAATATTCATAAAATATAAAACATTAAACTATGTGGAGAATTGTGTACCGTTTATGATTGATTCAAGATTCAAAATAAAAGATTTACCACTAAAATTACTACTAGAATTAACTATTTGATTGAGTTATGAGAATTTTCATTAGTGTGTAATAATATATTAGCTCGGTTCATTGATATGCGATTTTAAATAAAGTTTAAATTAACATTAACTTTATTAGCGTGTGCTTATTAAAATTTTCATAAGAACTTTAAAAACTTTATTTCAATAATTTTTGCATTTACGGAGATTTGATTTTTTTAATTTATTTATTTAGACTCTATACATTTAAATTGAATTAAATTAGATAAAAAGATGATTCATGTTCCGATATTTTCCTATTTTGCATATGGTAGTTTGATTCAAATTAAGTTTAAGTCCTTAAGGGGTGTTAAATTTTAAAACATTATACAGATTATAATAATATTCATAATATTTTGTATGTTTATGAAATCGAATAAATCATTACCGAGGAGTGGTGAATATTGAAGATATAAAGACCGTATTAAATTATCTATTTAGTTGAAATCAAATTGGATATTGTTACTTCCAATACTACTGATTAGGTATATAATTTACGAGTATTAATAAAATTTGGAGTAAAATGAAATATTATTATTATTATTTATTATACTTTCTTTAATTTTTCTTTAAAACTGTAGTACGAGGACTTTAGTAAATGTAAAAAGTACTTATATACAGGAAAACACTAACTTTTTTTAATTTTCCTATCAAAAGAAATAAATGAATAAAAAAAAAAAATCTCCCCTCAATTTTAAATCACAAGCTAATAAAAAAACACTAACTATAATGTTAAATGTTACACAAAAGCTCTATATAGATTTTTAAGTTGCAAAAAATATTAAAAATAAAAATAAAAAAAAAAAATGAAGATAATTCCGAGTATTTAAATATTTAATTTTCAAATATATTTATATATAATTGAATATCCATAACCTGTATTTTTTTAATTTCATCGATACCTTATTTGAACTATCATATTCAAGTTCAAGACATCAATAAAAAAAATTTAGATCTAATCATTGGTTTTATTTCTTTTCGGACTGTTTCAATAACTTTTTTAATTTTTTCATTTTTTAAGTTTTTTACTACTTATACATTCACTTTTTTGAAAATGTCAGATTTAATTTCATATTCAATTATGAAATCTAATTCATCATCAAATATTTCAAGTACAATTAGTACTCCAAAATTATCAAATCAAAATATACTACCTTCATTAAATTTATCACCAAATTCTCAACAAATTCCATCAATTTCACAATTAACATCTTTTTATAATCAAAATTCACAACAATTTGATCAATCATGTATAATATTACCACCATTAGGTAATAATAATTTGAATTCAAACACAAGTTATACTTCAAGACCAACAATGTATCATCAACCTTCTTTATCAACAAGTTCATTATCTTCAATAGGTTCAATTACCCCTCAATATTCTCAGCAGGTGCAACAACAACAACAACAACAACAACAACAACAACAACAACAACAATTAACCGAATCAAATTTAAACAACTTTGAAACTTATAGAAATTGTCATGGTTTAGGTTTATTAAGTAGCGCTATAATATTAGATCAACAACAACAGCAACAACAAAATCAATTACCTTATCCTCATTCCACAAATCAAAGATCCTCATCAGTACCATCATTAATGTCATCCGGTTCATCACCATCTTCATCATGTTGTTCATCATCATCATCACCTTCAACTCCAGAATTTACCCATTCTACAATAAATTTTAAAAATTCATCCCCAATTAATATGAAAGCTTCAATAATAACAACCACAAAACCATTATCTACAACCTCATCACCAAAGAGAAGACAAAGATTAGGTCCTTCATGTGATTCTTGTAGAACTAGAAAAGTCAAATGTAATGCAGAAATTCATATCTTATCAACCAATTTACAAGAAATAATAAATGAATATAATTTATCTGAACAACAAATTAAAGAATTATCAATAAATAATAAAACTTCACTCATTAACAATATGTCAATCATTAAAAGTAATAAGAAATTTATAAAATTTAAATCTTGTAATAGTTGTTTTTGTAAAAAAATTGATTGTTCATTTTCAAAAGGTTTTACTAAGGAAGATATATTAAATCAAAAAAAATTAAAAAAACAACAATTAATTTTACAAAAACAACAAAATAAAGATTTAGTTGTTTGATTGAAATTTAATCATTTATAGATTAGATTGGTTTCAGGTTTGAATTCGTTAATTTTCAATTCATTTTTTGTTTAGTTTACATTATTTCATTTCAATTTGGTTGTATTAAATTTATGTACATGGATATTTTAAAAACTTTTTCATTTATGGCGGGGCGGATGAGGGGTTTATTTTAAATTTAGAAAATATTTTTTATTTTTTTTTTTTATTTTTAATTTTTGTATTTGTTTTATTTTCAATACATTTTTTATATGTAATATAAAATATATGAACTCTAGTCTATATTATTTTATATGATATTAGTTAGATCTTTGAAAAAAAATTTAATAAAAAGTTTACAGATATTTATAACAGATGATTTATGTATTAAAAGTATTTTAGTCTTTTATTGATGATTAATTGAACCTACTTATTGATTAACATTTATATAATTTCTTCTACCAGCTCTTTTATTTTTTCTATTAGTTCCTAATGATGTTTCAGACATTGATAATAAATCATCAATACCTGCATTTGCTAAATTTGATTTATTTGGTGTTGGTTTAGTTGAACCTGAACTTGATGGAGGTAATGATGGTTTTAATGATGGTGTTGCTGTTGATCCAGTTGGTGGAATTGGGGGTGGAGCTGAAGCATTTGAATTTGAATTTGAATTATTATTTGTTGTTGTGTTTGTTGTAGGTTTTTTTTTAGCACTTGGTGGAGGAGGAGGAGCTTGACCAGCTTTTAATTGTTCTTCAATAGGTTTTGTTCTATCTAACCATCTTTTATGTTTTTCATCATAATAAAATGGATTTACTTTTTCACCTAATTTTGCTCTAATGGGTTTTGGTTTTCCATCATTTTTAGATAACCAATTATTGAACCAACCATCTTTTTGATGTTGTTGATGTTTCTGCAGTTGTTGCTTCTGCAGTTGATTAGCATTTTTGTCCCTTTTAGCCTCTTCTTTAACTTTACGTTCTTCTTCTTCTTTCTTTCTTTGATCTTCTTCATCATCTTCATCTTCCTCTAAAATTGGAACATAATCTCTGACTGTATCATCTTGAACTTCGTATTGTTGATACATCGCACTTTGTTGAAATTGACTTAATCTTGATGAAAAAAATCCACCATTTGCAGTTCCTGATACATTTGGATTTGTTGCACCACCATATACTGAATTTGCTCTAGTTGTAAATTCAGGACTTCCAGGTATTGGGAAACCATCTAAACCATTCGAAGTTGATTGAAATGTTGAATTATAAAGTCCAGGGTTTAGATTATATAAGTTAGGTTTTGGGGTTTGTAAAATATTTGTTGATTCTGGTTCTATTATTGAAGTTTCATGATCAAAACTATCATCAATATTTGGAATATTTTTCATTGGTTTTAATTGATTTGGTTCTTGTTGAGGTGGTAATTGAGGTAATTGTGGAGGTTGTTTACTAGAAGATTTTGATGGTGGTGTTTGATGACTTGTATTAGTACTGTCAAATTCATCTAAAACTTCAGGTTCAGGTTCAGGTAACTTTTGATCTATCGATGGTGCATAATTTGAAGCTATGCTTGGAGCATAACTATTTGTTGTTGATGATGGGCCATATTTGTTTGGTGAATTATTACCTAGTTCTGAAATATTATTACCGGCACCGATTGTTGGTGGACCATATTTACTTCTTCTTGCTTTTGGTTTTGAGTTTGTTGATGGAGCATATGGATTTGATCTTGCAGTAGGTGGAGCAGATTTAGTTTTTTTAATTGGTGGTGGGAATTTTGTTATAGGTTCATTTTCTAATTCTTGAACCTCATCTTGCTCTTTTGATTGTTCTTGTTGTTGAGGTAATTGTGATCCTGCTTTTAGTTCTGGAGATTCTTTAATTGTTTCAACATGAGATAAAGCACCAGATTGTGTTGATATTAATGGACCGTTTATCATACTTTCACCAGATAAAACACTTGATATAGAATTTTGTTGTCCATGTCCTTGAACATGGTGAGGTTGTACATTTGCAGGTGGTATAGATCCAATCGATGATGTTGAAATTGGACCTAATGGATTATTATATGGATATGGAGCTTTTTGTGCTAATGGAGATTGTGGTTTTGAGTGGTGAAGTTGTTGATGATGTGGTTGTTGGAAAATAGAATTTGAACTATCAATTAAATTTGATTGAGATGAATTATTTGGTAAGTGTGGGGCATAACGATCATTTGTTTGACTTTGGAAAGGTGAATTTTTTAAACTTGCAGGTGCATATTTACTAACAGAAGTAGTAGACATACTTGCATCTAATCCTGGATGATGGAAACTTGTTGATGGATGTGTTGGTCTATTTCTTTCAAATTGTTCTGCACCTCTCATTGATGGCGAAGTATATGATTGTAATGTACCTAAATCTAAAGTCGATGCATTTCTTGAAACTGATGGACTAAATTTACTAAATACACCATTTTCACTAGTTTTGGGTTTTGCCTCTTCACCCCCAACAATAAATTTATCAATCTGACCCCAAACTTTATCTAGATTAACTTTACTCATTTTACCGCCAAACCACCCACCAGTATCACTTGAACCTAATTCACTTAATCTCATAATAAGATTTTGAAATTCTTGGATAATTTGTTGATTAACAAATGGTGATTTACTTCCCAAAGATTTGAAATTTGAATTTATTGTATCAATATATTTTTGTGATTCATTGATTAATCCATAGTCAGCTAATGTTGATGCATGTTTTATTTTTATAGGTAATAAATGTGGAAATTGCAGTGGAGTTGATAAATTTAAGATATATTCGTAAATTTGAGTGTACATTGAATGATGTCCTGAGGAAATTGCCATAAATCCTTGTTGTCCAAATGGTAATCCAGCTATTATGAATGCAATTTCTCCTCCAATTAAATTATTACGACCAATTAAGAATTTACCAAATTCAATTAAAAATTCTTTTGTTTTCAAAGATCCACTGATAGCAACTGATGAAATTATATCTTTCCAATGTAAATTTGCATAATCTCCTTCATTTGAAACATTTGTTAAATCTTGAATAACACCTTGTACATTACCTCCAATCACTTTTAATAAAATTGGCATAATATGTAATACTTTGTTGTTAGCTTTTGAGAAAGGGAAAGTATTTCTTGCATATTCTGATGCAATTTTTGCAAAACTTTCAGGTCCACTAAAATTTGCTAAAACTAATGCTAATGCCCAATCGTTTCTTGAAATAGAATATTCTAATGCTTTTGATATATCACCAGCTTGAATCAAAGCAAATACTGTATTTATACCAGAATTATCTAACTTGTATCCATTAGTTGTGCCTCCAGAAACAGGTAAGTCTTGAACATTAAAATTAACATTTGGATTTAATATAAGACATATTTGTTTCAAACAATCATCTGACGTTAAATCTCCATCATTTTTAACAAGTTGCATTAATATATTATTTAATAAAAGTTCATCAGTATAATCATGTTTTTGTAAATAATTGGACGAAACTTCAAACCAATTCAAAATGTCCTTCTTCTTCAGTTTACCCTTGGACAATGGACCTGGAAAATTCAAATAAATCTCTTGATCCTTACAATAAGTTTTGATTGGCTCTACCGAGATAACTGGAGCTCCATAAGTAGCATTTGGTTTGACTAATACAACATTTTCAGCAATACTCCAATTGAAAATAGGAAATTGTCTAAATGCTAAACCTTCAGGATTAACAATTTTTGGTGCTGCTTTATATATATTACCTTTAGCATTTGAAAAACCACGTACTCTACCAGGAGGTGGAACCATAGCATGTGTTTTCGGTTGTTGTTGCGGATGAGGTTGTTGGTTCTTTAATTGTGGTGAGCCATTACTTGGAACTGTCGATAATACAGGTGCATAAGGATTAACTTCTTTACCTCCTTTTCCACCAACTAATGAACCTGCTCTAGAATGAGCTTTTGGTTGATTCAGTGGTGCATACGGACCAGCATTTGGAACATAGGGGCTATTATTTGATGGCAGATTTTTACCTAGATTTGTATTCACGGTGTTGGAGATTTTTCTACCAGCTTGGGAATTTGAATTAACCGGAGCTGAAGCAATAGGTGCATATGATTTTTGATTTGTAGGAGGTATGTCTTCTGGCTGTTGTTGTTGTTGTTGTTGTTGTTGTTGTTGTGGTTGTTGATAATGCTGTTGCGGTTTTGGTGGTGCTAAATTGCCTGAAGGTGGAAAAGAATAAGAACTTAGTGATGATGGAGGTGCTGCTGCGTAATTATTTTGATTGGATGCATTTACATTAGGTTTAGCAATACCAGTATGACCAACTGTAGGTATATGTTGTTGAAAAATTGGTGATGCACCTGATTTTGGTTTATATGGATTAACTGGTGGTGATTTATTAGTCTTTGGTGGGACGGTTGGACCAATAGTGGTGACTGATTGTCTTCTTTGAACTGGTGACATAGGATGAAATTTATTGACAGATTTAACAGGTGCTGGTTTTCTCGCTGTTTTAGCTTTTGGTAATTCAACTCCTGGTAATTCTTCAAAAAATGATTTTTTAGGTTGAATGGTCTTCTCCTGTGGTAAAGTTAATGAGGAAGAACTCTTAATTAAATTATTTGACGATGCAGGTGGTGGTGGTGGTGGAGCAGCACTCGAAGTAGTAGTATTTGCATTTGCATGTATTGCTGTATTTGATGCTAATGTACTTATAGTACTTTGAGAATTACCAACAGATGATGGTGCATATTTATTTGGGGTATGTCTAGGAGCAGGTCTAACTTTATTAGTTAATAAACCATCAGGAAAATCATATGCATCATTTTTCTTTTTGGATTTTTCTAAATTTTGTACAAATTCTTGTTGATTTGTTTGATTCTGAGTGGGTAGAGGTGCAGTGTATTTATTTGATGAAGGAGCATACTTTGAACAATCTTTAACTGGTGGTTGTTGTTGTGATTGTGGTACTTGTTGTTGTGGTTGTTGAGGTTGAAGTTCGTCTAAAAACTCCTCATCTAATAATAAGTCATCATCTAAGGTTAAATCAAGTGCTGCTAATTTATCAACAGTACTATCAATTTCATCAACATTTTCTTTTTTCTCTCCCAAGGCCTGAAGAAATTCATCTTCATTTTCTTTTGTGAATAAATCATCAACTATTGATTTTGAATCAACTTCTTTTTCTGGTTCTTCTATCTCTACTTCTTCATCTTCTCCTTCCTGATTTGGCTTATCATTTTCATCCAATAATCGTTCCAATTCCGTTGACTCTAATTCATCTGGAGGTGATTCATTAAATAAGCTATCATTATCATCCATTTTAGAATCTCGTGAGTTCAATTGTTCTTCATCTTGAGGCAACGGTTCATATTCCTCCTCTTCTTCTCCTTCTTCTCCTTCTTCCTCTTCAGGTAGTTCTTGTTCTCCTAATTTTAAAATTTCTGATTGATTAAAAGGATTTAATTCATAATCTGAAACTTGAAAATCATCATCTATTGAATCATCATTTGGTAAAAATTCTTCATGCTCAGTAGTATCAATACTTTCACGCGGTACTTCATTTCCTTTATTTATAGAAAGTTGATCAAAAAATGATTCTGGATCCGTTTGATCCCTTAGAAATTCCAAATTTGTTTCTTGAACTTCTCCTTCATTTTCTTGATTATTGTAAGAATCTTCTATTGCATTATATTGATAATCATTTGTTGCTTGATTTAAAAATTCCCCATCTTCAACATATAATTCATCAACTAATTGATCATCTTCTCGATTTTCTAGTTGATTTTCTTTGATCAATGATTCAAAAAAATCATCTTCATTATAATTATTATTTGATTCATTAAAATTATGCCCAGAAGACATAATGTTCAATTGATTTCTCAAATTTGTTTTTAATTTTACAACGAATATTTGTATAATTATTTAATATTTAATTGTCCATAATACAATTTACATACATAATATTTTTTCTTAATAAACTACCAAATAATAAATTTGTAGTGTAGTTACAAATCAGGTGTCAAAAACGACATGTCGTATTACTTACAAATTTGTCAATGTCGATTTATAGTATAATAATCCCAATATACATTTTTGAGAATAACAAAAATCAACTTTATAATTTGAAATATTTCTGGATCAAAGAGTCCCACATCAGGTTGAAAAAGGTTGGATTAACTTTAAACGCATAGTAGCACTAAAATTGACTTAAAGTAAACATTTAGAGAATAAACTGTACTAGAACTAATAAATATATGAAACATTATGTCAAAAAATCAATCAATATCGTCGTATAAAATATAAAAACAATCAATGTCCCGCCCTAAAAAACTCTAAAATTATTTGACATATCTTTCGTAAGGAACCCAAAATAATCTTAACTATCATCGTATTTATTAATGAAATGTTTGATTATTTTTATTGTCTCAAATTATTTATCAATTTTAATCTAATAATATTATCATAATTTAATATTAGCGGGTAATTTATTTAAAATTAAAAATGGATATTTTGTAACTTAATTTGGAATTTGAATAAAATACACAAAATTGTTTTGAGTAATTATATTAATCTAGAAAAAATTAATTAGATTATTAATAATATACAATAAACAAATTAATAGTTACAAAAATTTATTAATAGAAACAAAAAACACGTCTAATTTGATTTTGAGAATTTTTTTAAATAGATAAAAAAAGAGGTGTCTAATGAATTTATAAAACAAGCCCTGCGTTAATTGACTTATCATTAATTTACATGTACTAGCAAATTTGAAAAATTAAACTAATCATATTTATGTATAGAATTATAATAACTCACTTTATGAAAATTATCATTCAACATTATATACTTAATATGATATTAAATTTAAGAATTAAAAACCAAATACTGTAAGATCTTGAAATATATTAACGTTTTATATTTGAAGATTTACCCCAAAATAAAATATACTTTAAGTACGACTAAGATTTAATGCAATAAAGAGTAAAAATATCTATCACACAAAATGAAAATTAAATTAAAATCAGAACTAATTTGGTACGGTCGTGTATCCAAATTTATTTATTGGTAACTATTGTATTATTTGATATTAACAATAGATATGATAAATTCAATATAATGAACTCAATTTCTGTAAAACTTGTTTGTTATGTTGAATAAAATATTATCTAGAAATCAAACAAATTCAATCAATGTAAATGTATTAATCTCATACTTTATAATTTTAATAATAATAATAATAATAATAATAATTAAAATAAAAATAATCATCGTATATCTTATGTAACTAAGTAATGCTAAACATTAGTTGATAAATTCTATCTATCTAAAGTACCTTTATATTATAATAAGAATAAATAATATTAAAATTAAGTTTAGTAAATTTATGTCATTCATACATTTTTGCTTATTCTTTTATTGTATTAATTTTGATTATAATATGTTAATTTTTAATGTATTTAATTATTAATTATATCAATAATAATAATATTAAAAGAATTGGCTGGTAATATATATGTATGATTAACATTTAATTATTATTATTGATATTCAATATCAACTTTAAATATAGATAAATCATCCCATATCAATTCAAATCTAAATCTTCTATTTGAACTTAATTAAACAAATACTACTAAAAAGTAAAGTAATGAAAAATAATAAATTAAATATTTAAGATTTCGCTAGATTAATCAATGTAATCTCTATCATAACTTTAATAAAATTAAATTTAAAATAATTATTATTTCTAAAGTAATTATTAATTTCTTATTCAATAAAAAGATATTCGTCTAAATAATTGAAAATAATATCAACAATTATTAGTTTAATTATTTCATCTAAACATATCTCACAAATATCATTAATTATTCTTCTTTCAATATTTTATCAGCCATGGATAATTTTTTTGTTATAATGTTATACATTTTTTTTCAAAAATTGCTTTCTATATCTAATAGAACAAAGTATTTCTACATTTCCTAATATCGTTGAAAGAAATGATACAATCATAAACTACAAATTTATTCACTTATACCATTAAAAGAACAATTTATTAACCTAAATAACCCATTTTTCAATACGGCTTCTTTCTTTATTTCTTTCTTTATATATATTAAAATGAAATATCACAAAAATTCAAAAATCTCAACTAATAACCATTTATTAGTATAATTTACATTGTTTTAAAATAATTATGAGTTATATGTGAGTCAACTTGAAAGTAAATATATATTATTTTACTAAACTGTAGATTGAGTTAATTTAAAATTAATTTACGTGAGTAATATTATTTATCATTTAAATTAATACATATCATAACCATTCAACATTAATAGTTAATAGTTAGTTAAAATAAAAATTATTTTGTGCATTGAATGATAATAATACATATTTAATATTTATTTAAAATTGTTGTTTTAAATTAATGATGATTTTTAATTTTAGTTTTATATTTCTATTTATTTAATCAACTTACTTTCCTACTTTTTATTGTAAATATATAATCTCATCATTAATATATATAATTTAATATATGGTTTTCATTTTTTTATAAGTCATTAATTATTAAATATTCATTATTCATTATTCATTATTCATTATTCATTCCTATATTTTGATATTTCTAATTTATTACAACAGTTATTATCAACTCTCCACTAGATAACAATATAACATTTATACCCTCCAACTAATTAATTAATTAATTTTTTTTTTGATATTTTGTTATTCAAATAATATTATTCAATCAAGTCATAACATTAATAGATTTATATATAAACGATTTTATTACAATAGATCTTTAAATTTATTTTACATATTCATACACAAACAATCAAGATCTAATTTATATAAGATTTCATATATCAAGAAAATATAATTATATTTAACTTATAATTTAAAAATAATTGAATAATATTATAACATAATTTAAAACTCCATTTCAACGAATATTTGAATAATATAATTAATTATTATTTACTTGTTAAATTACATACATACATATCATTTATTATAATTGTATATTCTAGAATCAAGATTTTGTTTCAATATTATAATTAAAAATTTTATTATTACTTGGAGTTAAATCTGATTTTACTTGTTGAATTTTATTTAGTTCTTCATTAAAGTTAATTCATCTTTCAAAAGAGATGCCTTCAAGAGAAGCATCACCTTCTTTAATTAATGGGAATAATAATAACAACAATCATCAACATCATCAACAACAACAAAAAGAACAAGTGCAATCACCACAACAAGAACAATATTCAATACTAGATCTGTCTTCATCATCACTATATAAAAGTCCAACAACTAAATTAAATAGATTAAATGTTAATAAAAACTTAACTATTCAAGTTCCAAGAAATGAAGAACAACAAGATATACCACTTCAACATCCATCTATAAAATCTTTAAATTCTTTATTAGGTGAACCATTAAATTTTGATAATTCAAATATATCATCTTCAATCACAAATTCAATTAAATCAATGAGTCCAAATAATTTTCCAAGAATTACCCAATTACCAACACCTGTTTTAAAAAATGGTTCATTTTCAAATTATAGTCATGATTATCAACAACAACAACAACAACAACAACAACAAATTCTATCATCACCTCCAAAAGATAGATCAAGTATAGAATTATCAAGAGTAAGGCTGATCCAATCTCCAAGAGTCATATCTGATTATAAACCAATAGCGAGAGTCAATAGTCTAAATTCAAATCATAATAATAACAATAATACTAACAAAAGAGTAACATCAAATCCAACAACAATACCTTCTTCAACTTCAATAAATTCAACACCGTTTGATCAACCACACACAATAGATTCTCCAATAACACCATCAACATCACCTTTATTATCCGAAGAATCTAAGTTTATAACTAAAAAGTACTACTCAAAAAGATTGAATTTTAATTTCTCATTTAATCGAATTTTGGGGAAAGGAAATTTTTCTCAAGTGATTTTAGCTGATGGAATAGCAATTAAAATTCTTTCTATGCCTGATTCAAAATCTCAATTTATAAATTTCAAATCATTTATAATAAGAGAATTGAGTATTTTATATAATGTATCACATCATCCATGTATTACCTCATTATTAGATTATACAACCACTTTTCCAATACAAGATATAAAATCAGGTATAGAAGATGATACTGTCAAGATAGAAGAAGTGGTTCATGGAGATCAATTAATATTTATGAACTATTGCCAAGGTGGTAACCTTTTACAATTCTTGTTAAATCATAATCAATCCATGAATATAAATAATTTAAATTATTGGATTTTGATGAAGCGTATCATTAGCGAATTAATTTTGACAACTACTTTTTTACATAAACAAGATATAATTCATAGAGATATAAAATTAGAAAATGTATTATTATTATATACAGTTGAAGAAATTGATCAAATTTTTAATTATGATGAAATAATGATAACACCAATTATTAATTTATCAGATTTTGGATTATCTAAAAAATTATCATCATCCGATCAATTATTAGAAACAAGATGTGGATCAGTAGATTATATAAGTCCTGAAATTATAATGGGAGTACCATATAATGGTAAATTAACAGATACTTGGGCAGTTGGAGTTTTGATTTATAGTATTCTTGAAGGTAATTTACCGTTTAGTAGTAACAATACTAATAAAAATTCAACAAATACTGGCATTTCACCATCTGTTTTAAAAAGAAGAAATTCTAAAAAAAATTCAATAAATCATAGAATAGCAATGATTGATTGGTGTTGGAATAATATTGATTCATATTTATCAAATTCTCAAATAAATTCAGAAATTTTAAATATTTTCCAAGATTTAAAACAATTAGTTGAAATTATATTGGTTAGAAAAGATCGTAGACCAACATTAGATGTAATATTAAATAATCCTGATTTTCAATGGATTAAAGAAAATGTACCAAAGGAATTATTAGATTATATATAAATAATAATTCTTAATTGTATTATTAATAAATGTTTTAACGTTGTATTATATTATAAAATTTGTGATAAAATTAATTGATGTAGTAATATTGAATTCGCACCTCTACTTCTAGCTTTAAGTCAAGACTATATACAAGTGAGACCTGATCAATTAAATACTTCAGAAATAAGATAGTTGAAGTGATAAAATTTGTGAATTGAAAGATGAACAAAATTACTTATGCTCGTAGTAAAGGGTGTGTTTAAAATAAATTGTGTTACTATGAATTTTTAGATTTTGTGTAACTAGTTATACATGTTATCTCATGAAATCTGAAACACATTTTAAAAATTTTAATTTGTAGTTTTTGCACAAAAAGTTAAAATTAGTTTGATGTCATAATTTGCTGCGATTTTGCTTGAGATTAAGTTCTTTGTATTACTTTAATCATCAAATAGTAAGTTCATAAAATTATTATTCGTAAATTTATATTTTTTTAATTGTTTTACTTATGAACTATCTATCACTAACAAAAATTTCAAACTCAACTTGGATACAATTTATTTTACATTGAAGTAACTAAACAAACTGACTCCTCACTTTTTGATTAACATCTCAATTTAACATAAATAAACTTTGCTTAATTATTAACATAATATATTTCTGTTACGCAAGTTTCAATCTATTACTTGTTATGCTAGATCTAGTATTTTGTTATGCTGATTCTAGGATTTTTGATAAGCAGATCTCAATCTATTTTGTTATGCTAGATCAAGATTACTTTATTATGCCAGATCGAGGTTTTTGATATGCAGATTTCAACTATTTTGTTATGCTTTCTGAAACAGTTTTGTCATTTTTTTTTGAATAGTTTTAATCAAAATGGTGATATCAAAGCTTTTTAATCTTGTGATTGATTTTTCTTCATCAATAGCTGCTGAATCTTTCATTGAAAAAAATTCAAATATGTATAAAGTCTATTTAAATTATAGAAATTTAGAAGAAGACTTTACTCAATTTGTCAAGAAAGGTTTTTTATCATTACTCAAGATTATGTTGATCAATTAAAAATACCTTCATTTGAAAGAAAAGTTCATGTTATAAATCAAAAACAAAATTGAGACGAACATTCAAAAATCAATCATGAGAATGAAATTTAAGAAGATAATGAAGATTTAATTGTTACACTACTAAGGTGTCAAATATGTTAATAATTGATCAAAATTAATTAATTATACATAATACATGTTAAAATCTATTCTTCAATAGTTATACTTATTGCAATCAAATAAATTTAGTTTACAAACTAGAGTTTTAATTTTTGATCTATTTCTTAAATTGAAAGAATCTGTATTATAAAATTTGATTAATCAAGGTAAAATGGGTTTAATATTGAATAAGTGGATAAATTAATATCATGTTAATAGTATTAGCAGTAATAGTATGTAATAAGAAGTAGATATTATTATATTTAGAATATTTATTTAATAGAAAAAAAAAATATTCAAATTATTTACAACCATAAAACATAAATACCATATCCAAATAATTTGAAACATATCAACTTTTAAGAATTAATTCTAATTCACCTTCTCACTCCATCTACATCATTAACCTTAACCACAGTTCTTTAACTACCTCACTTCAAAAGCAAAAAAATCATCTTCTACAACACAACGACTCCATCATCAACTTCAATCATTATTAAGTAGACATCAAATCAACTCACACTCATTACTTTCCATAGATTTGTGTATCATTTTCTCCTCATTAAATTATCAAACGCTGAATAATTCAATTACAACAATCATCATGGAGTCAGAATCAGAAACAAATAATATGATCCCATTCTCAAACATTATCAATTATGTTTGTAGAATGAGCTCTCAACAAATATCAATTGCATTAGAAAATTTATCTGTAAAAGATGATGTAGATGTTGTTAGGAAGAAACAATTTTTGGATATTATAGTTGAATTAAGGAAAGTTTTCATCAAAATATACACATTAACTAAATTTTCAGTGAATTCATTCACCATCCAACAAAATATAGAATTATTAAAATTTATCAGGTCTCAAGATGTAAATTTCGATCATTTAATGTTTCAATTAAATAGTTTGTGTGGATTTTCAGGATCGAAGCTCCCGAATGGTGATTTAATTACAGCATACCAGGTTCTTGGTTCCGGAAAACCAATTCTTCCCTCACACAATTATTTGAAAAATGCAAAGATTTCAGCTTCAAAAGTATTGGAAACTTTTCAAGATTTAAATTTGATTTTAATGACAAAATTTGCTTTAATCGATATACCCAATAGGTTTAAATTTGATATCAAGAATGGTCGAGCATATGCTCAAGTCGAAAAAGAATTTCAAGTTGAATTAACAATGGCCAATGAGGATATAGTAGATGATAATTCAAATCCTTTTTACATGATTGATTTTAAATTGTTATTTGCAATTGATTCTGATCTGAATACTTTAATTACAAGTGATAAAAATAATGAAATTTGTACAAAACTACCTAGAAAATCATATTTAAAATTAGAAAAAATTTCAAATCAAACTTTGTCAGTTTCGGGTTTGCAAGGATTGTATGAATTGTTACATAAATATTCTATATCATCAAAATTATTTATGTTAGCGAGACAATTAAAAGATTTAATGAACTCATCAGGTTGGAAAAACAATTTACAAATAAACTATCAAACAGGTAGTGCTTTAATCATAGTGAATTATTGGTCACTGCAATATTTATCAAGTCAATGGAAATCTTTCATTGAAATTGGGATAAATAAGAAATTTAATTTGTGTTTTCGATGGTTTAAGGATGGTAAATATGTTGAGCAGAACGTGGTTGATGAAATACTTTATGACATGAATACAATTGATGAAATAAATATTGAATCCATCCTTACCGGCTTTATGCTAGAACATTCTGCAAATATAATGAGAACAGTATCATCGAAATTCCAACAAAAGACGTCAGAGGAAGTTCAAATAATCAGTCCACATCAAATAATGTTGTACAAATCAGCAATTTTAGCCATTAATCCATTAAGCGGGCTGTTTTATTTTATAGATCCCTCACCTATTCAAACAAAAATAGCGAAAAGAATCAATTCACCACCATTGATAAATACATCATTTATAACAGAGGATGATATGGCAAATTCTATAGTAGAAGGTTTACTACAAGTGAAACTAGAAACTTTTACAAAAAAAATAAGTAATTATTTATTAACTACAGAATGGATTCATAATAGTATAATAAAATTAAATGAATCTGAGATTGGTAATTTGTTCAAATCAATTAATGAAACTAGTGGATATATAAAGGTACAATTTTATAGAAGAAAACATTGGCCATCTACTTGGTTTTTGATTGTTATGATCAATGGAATCACAAATAAAACTTTTTGGTGGGTAGCAAGAATAAAATCAATTGAAGGTAGTTGGGTAACAAATCATTCACAAAATTTATACGTTGACCCGGAATTGAATTACAAGTTTTTTAAAAATTTAGGTAAATCTACTTTACAAAAAATTATTAATCATGTTATTTTGGAAGAACTTAAATCAAGAGATATTAAATTTCATGAAATTAATGAAGATGATGAATCGATTCCAGAAATTAAAAATGAAGATACTAGTACTCCAACTGTTGAAAATAGTCATATTATTTACAAGTCCATCATAAGGGTTGAAAATGATGATTTATTACCAATACAAAACTCATCATCCAATTTATTTTTGCAAATTCAATTAGTTAATCAAGATAATAACGTCAACATGAATCAAATGCAAATAATGTTAGTTGGAAACCTTAGAAATTCAGCTATTAAAAGTTCACCAGAATTAACAAAATTAAACTTAAAGATTGATGAACAAAATAAAAAATTTGAAATATCAATTTCAATAGATTTAAACCTTATCATTAATGAAAGTTCAACAACAGATAAACAATTTTTGAGTCCAATTTTTGATAATTTAAATAAATTAAACAATTTATTGAAAATATTGGATCAACTAAATGAAAATAAATTCCAAATATTGGATAATACAATGGATAATATTGTAATAAAATTGAATGATGAAATTAATAAATTAAATATAAAACTACCAGAGCAAAGTTCAGATTCTATAACTTTAAATACAATAGTTACTCAAAATTGGGAATTTGAATTAATATTAAATTATTTAAACCAATATTTAGAACAAACTAAAACATCAAACATTATTGGCATATTAAATTACCTTATTGATGTTAATCCAATTTTAAAATCAATCAAACAAGTACAAAATGTTTTAGGTCAACAATCACAACAACAAGAAGAGTTCAAATTATCAAATGGATTAAATAAAATAAATTTTGATACTGTATTCAACAACCTAAATCAATTTCAATTCATGTTCAATTTATCATCAAATATACCAAATACCAAAAAAATTCAGAAAGATAAAATATTAATTTCAATTTGTTTCAAACCAAACAGATTTAATGCCAATGAAAAAAATATAATTAAGATCTCATTTAAAAATAATTTAAATTTGAAAAATATAAAGTTTAAAAAATTATTTGAATTAATTTTCAAAAATATAAATGAAATGGAAAGAGATAAAAACGATGAATTAATTAATTTTGGTGAAAGTTCTTTATTAATTAAATTAAATTATGATTTTTTAATCAGTTCAAATTTAATTGAAGATGTAATGAATCGTATTACAAAATGTTTCCTACAATATTTAAAAGAATCATGAACACAAACAACTTAATTAATTAAATCCTTCTAATACACGTAAAGCTTTTTCCAATCTGACTAATCCCATATCGTATCTTTGTTTATCTAATATCATATCAGATGTTAATCTACTTAATGAATCAATGATTTTTTCAATCAATTGTTTTTCTCTAATTGGAATATTTAATGAATCAAATTCTTCTCCAATTATTGTACCATTCATACTTTCTAATAATGATATTAATGTATTATAACTAAATGGTTTTAATTCTTGATTATTTGAAGTTGTAGATTTAGATCTTTTTTTAGTTGATGATGAATTTTTTTTCTTTTTTTGATGTGATTTAGATTGTTGTAATTCTTGTTGTGGTAAAGGTGGAGGAGTTGACTCATTTTTTATCACTGTGGATTGTCTTGTTGGTCTTCTAATTGAATTTTTAACAGATTTTGCTTTTGATGGACGATGTTGTATTGGTATTCTTTCATCTTCATCATCAATATCATAATATTGATCATCATCATCATTTATGTTAGTTTGTAGATTAGTTATTTCCCCAAGTGGTAATTGTTGTTGATTTTGATATGATGATGATAATTGCCTTGCTTTGTTGATGTTGTCTTGTGATGGTCTTGGTGGTAAGGTTCTTGGTTCTGGTGAAAACTCTTGAGATGCTACTGCTGCTTCTTGTTCTTCTTTTGGTTCATCGTTGATATCATTTAATTTAGCTAATAATGGTTGTGAAGCTGTAGTGTCTGTACTTTCCCTATGAAGTCTATCCCTAGCATTTTTAGTTGAGTCTGTCTCTGGATTTATGGGTTCTTCTTCTTCTTGTTCTTGTGGCACATCATTCATTGATTTCATTGACGAAGCATCAAACATTAATTTATCTAAATCATCATTTATTTGAGTTGATTTTCTTCTTGAGTTTCTTTTTGTTTTAGGGGACGTAGTAGTAGTCGTACTATTACCGGTAGGATTTGCAATCATTGAAACTGGTCTTCTTGGTGATCTTGCAGGTACTGCTCCTTCAATATTAGTATTAAATGATTTATCTGGATTTATATTTAAAATTTGTTCAACTGGTTTTGAAGAAGTTGGCAATTTACCCATTAATATTGAACTTTCTTCATCTGTTTCAACATCGGAGTGTTCTTCTTCTGGTTGATTTGTCAGTTGTTTTGATGAATCAAATGTTGTATCTTCTATCCCGTCATTTAATAAGTGACCAGTTTCGACTGATTGATTTGATGATAAATTATTTGAATCTTCTTTATCTGATTTTTCTTGCGTTTGTGATTGTTGTTGTTGTTGTTGTTGCTCTTCTTCAACTTCATCTTTATTGTATTTTCTAAATTTACTTGTATCAGTTCTTTTCAAAGTCATTGGAATAGCTTTTTCATTTTCAACTTTACCAGAATATTGACTAAAAGTACTAAAAATTGAAGCTCTTTTTTGATAATGATTATTATGAGCATTTTGTAAATTTATTGGCTTTGTTAATAAGCTTTCCAAACTTGAAGTATTTTGTAATTGAGTTAAATTTATTCCAACTCTTTGATTTACATTTATATCATTTGATGAATTTGTATTTGATGACATTGGAGATATTGAATTTGATTCAGGGGAAATTTGTCTAATTATTGGTCTTGTTAATGTTTCATTAGCTATTGAATTTGAAGAATCTTGTGATTTTTGACTTTCTTTACTAATATTTGAATTATGAGTTATTTGAAATTGTGGGATTGGCTGTTGTTGTTGTTGTTGTTGATTATAATGATTATGTTGACCATCAATTGATTCAATATCACTTAAATTACTAGGTGGTAAATGATCAATAGCCGCAGTAGTTGTACCAATAGTTGAAGTTGGAGATTTAAATGAAGATGAAGATGAAGATTGAGTTGCATTACCAATTGAAGCTAATTCTGGTTTTATAACTGGTCCATAAGAATAATTTGAACTTGAATGAGAATGAGGAGGTGAAGACATTTTAATGACAACAAAATGTGATTAAAAATTTTGAGTCCAATGATACCTGTTTTTGATTTCAGTTAAATAAAATGAAGCGGTATTGTTACAAAAGAACAATAAAATGTAATTGATATATAAATTATAAATTAGTTATTAGAATAAAGATTAAATAATTATTTATATAAATTTATAATATCTAATTGTTTATAAAATGTCTTAAAACGGAATTATAATTATAAGTTCATATATACTGTATATAATAGTATAGTAAGTAAATTAGATACGAGATCAAACAGATTCACTACCAATTGAGACACGTGACTGAAATTTTATAATTCAAGAAATTTTATTTTTATTTTTATACTTTTTAAATTTTATTAAAGTAAGAAATATCAAAAATATAAAATAAATATCAAAAATCAATATAATTTATGGATAAAATTGATAAATATAGAAATGATATAAGAGATTCAAAATTTTTTACTGAAATAAAAGAATCATTAAATGATTATAAATTTAATAGAATAAGATGTTTAGCTTTAGGTTCAATTACTGATAATTCAAATTCTAGATATCAATATGCATTATTATTGGAATTAATAGATTATTTTGAAATTAAAATTGAGATGGTATCAATATATGATCCAATTTTTAATGATAAAGATAAAGAAATATTACGAGATTTTGAAATAGAAGAAAACTTTTCACACCCAAAAGATGAAAGTACTTTATTTTATATACCTCATTTACCATTAGAAATAATGGAACAAATTGTGCAGAAGGAACAACCAGTTTATTTCATTGGAAATGATATAATAAGTCATACGGATAGATTGAGTAAACAAAAATTGAATGATTTGTATCCATCAATGTCAATTATGGTTAATTTATTAAATGATAAATCAAACAATGATGGTTTTACAAAAATAATTAAAAATAGAAAACAATTCAAAGAACCAGAAATAGAATATGATTCAAATTCTGTTTATTTTAAAAAAGTTGAAATAATACGTTATATATATAATTTTAATAAAAATGATATTTGGGGTACATCATTTTCAGATATAGCATTTCATAAATTAATAATATAAAAAATAAATAATAATAATAATAATAATATAAATATAGAAATATAAATTAATTTTATTCTAATCTTGGCTTTTTAGTTTCTGGTTCTTCTTTTAATAAATGTTTTGATAATATTGAATATAAATCATCTTTTGTAAAAGGTTTTGCTAAAATATCACTCATACCATTTTGTAAATAAGTAACTAAATCATTATCTTCTATATTACCAGTCATTGCAATAATTGGAGTTTTTGTATCAAAAGATCTAATAACACTTGTTGCTGTTGCACCATCTAAATTTGGCATTACAATATCCATTAAAACTAAATCATATTTTGTATTTTCAACTGTTGATATTGCATTTAAACCATCTGTAACAACAGTTACTTGACATCCATATTTAACCAAAAATTTTCTACATAATTGAATACAAACATTATCATCTTCAACTAATAAAACATTAAATTTTGGATTCGGTATATTTGTAATATTAATTGTTGAATTTGGGACTGGGTTGTTATTTACAACAGAAGCAGCAGCTGCAGCAGCGGCGGCGGCAGCAGCAGCATTTGGTGATGCAGTTGAACTAGTTAATGGTGATACTGGTTTTGGAGATGGTTGTATAAGTTCCTGATTTAAATTCGGAGTAGAAGTTGGAGTTTGATCATTTGATTGCGAAGGTGGTTTTTGTGGTTGATGTATAGACAGCTGCCGACTTAAAGAAACTAGCCCACTAACCGGACTCGTCACTGGATATGATTGTTGCTGTTGTTGCTGTTGTTGCTGTTGTTGTTGTTGTTGAGAATTTATAGACATTGATCTATTTATATGAGGTGGAATATGTGGGGGAACTAACTGTGGAACTATTGGTGATTGATTCATTCTCGGTGAAGATTGTTGTAAATGATGAGATATACTTGGTAATGATGTTGATGATAAATTTGGAAAAGTTGGTGAATCTTGTAATTTGAAATTACCACCAACATTTAGAGGTGGTGGGAAATCTAAAGGTGGAATTTTTATACCTGATTGTAATAAAACATTCATTAATACACTTATTGAACGATGATATCTTTCATTAAAAGAATTTATTGATACTATATGTTCCACAAGAGTTTTATATTTTCTTTGTAAAATATTTATTTCTTGATTTAACATTTGATTACTATCTTTTAATTGATTTAATTGATCTTTTAAATGATTTTGTGAAGTATTTAATTGATTAAAATACAAATTACACATATGATTACCATTTGATTGTTGATTTAATTCTGCAGTTGGTTCTTTTTTAATTTCTTTTTCTTCAACTGATATCAGATTGGTTTTTGAACCATTTGAATTTTTTTTAGTAGTTGGACCTTTTCTCTTAATATTTTCTAAAGATTCTCGATCATTAATTTTAAAATTTGGATGTTTAAATTCCCATGCATCTTCACCATATGGATAAGTCAGTTTTGCATCATTTGGAATTTTAACTTTATGAAAATCATATTTATTTAATTGACGTACAAAACTTGCAAAATTAGAATGTTTAAAATGACGTGGTAATATATCTTTTGTAAAATTATTTGTATTTAAAACAACAAAACTATCACCATTTTTAGTCCATTTTACAATATTTTTATAATTATCTTCTTGAAGCATTAAAAATAATTTTTTAACAAAATCATTTGATCCACTTTGATTTGAACTTGCAGTTGTTACGAGTGTTGAGTTAGGAGGTATAGGATGATTCAAAGATGACATGACATGAAATTTTTGGATTTAATTATTAAAGAAAGTATTAATAGTAATTGATAATAATTAAGACAAGTAAATTCGGAAGAACTAAATTGATTATTTTTATAGATTTTTTTTAACTTTATATAGAATTGCTAGTACATTCAAATGGATATCATGAATAGTTTGTATTGAAAAAAATCGATGGTGGTAGTTGCTAAGTCAAAAATGAAGTAAACTTTGATTGTATTAGTATTAGTAACTTGTAATATTAAATCTTGGTTGTTAATTTAATTAAATTAATCAATAATTAATAATAATAAATAAAAAGAATTAAGACGAAAAAAAAAATTAAGAATCAATGTCGTCAATTTATTGTTGTGTCATGACACTCGGATTAATTTGCGAAAAATTACTTAATTAATTAATTAAATCGTATTCTTGGATTATGTTTAATTATTATTTCTAAATTACAAGTGAATACGAGATTATTCAATTAATCTATACTTTACGACAAATATTTGGAGTAGAAAGTAACCAATTACTTAAAGTAGATTTATTATATAACAAAAGTATTATATATTAACATTAGGCTTTTTTATGATAAATTTATTACCATCTTCAAAAATGTTACCAAGTTTTGAATTTATTTGATTAGCACCAACAATTATTATTTTTTCTATTTCAATTGGTAAAGAATAATTACCTTCTGATTTTGTTAATAAATTACCGTCTTTAAATTCAAAATTTATTGATTTGTAATCAGAATTTATACTTTCACCATCGTCAATATATAATTCACCACTAGCATTTCCGAATTTATCCAATGCAATTATTAACGTATATGGATCATATTTCATTAATTTTGTAGATCGTCTGTATCTTTCTTTCATTGCAATTATCGATCCACCTTTTAGTAGCATTGGTATATCATTATTTTTGACTTCAAATTTAGAATTATCAATTTTATCTCCAATTTGACCATTAGTGAATTGATAAAATATTTCATTTTCAGGAATGTAAAAATCAACTTCGTCTGCATTTTCATCAGTTATTGGTTTTACTAAAATACCAGAATTACCTAGAAAGAATTCATCTTCAATTTCAAATATTTTTGAGTTTGTCAGATTTGAATAATCATAAAATAATGGTTTTAGTACAGGAATACCTGTTTTAGAAGCTTGATAAAAAGATGTATAAAATACTGGTAATAATGAATATCTTAATTTTATTGCATCTCTTATGTAAGATGTATATGGTTCACCAATCATCCATGGTTCTCTTCTTCTTGAATCAATATGTGCATGAGCTCTGAAAAATGGATACCAAATACCTGCTTGATACCATCTTGTTAATAATTCTTTCAGAGGATTACCAAAAAATCCACCAACATCAGCTCCTGCAAATGGCATTCCAACAATATTTGAAGTTAAAATCATTGGAATTGAAATTTTTAAATATTCCCATTTTGACATATTATCACCAGTCCACATTGCTGCAGTACGTTGACTTCCTGAGAAATAAGATCTTGTTAATATAAATGGTCTTTGATTTGGTAATCTTGATAATAAAGAATTAAAAGTTGTTTCATGATAAGTTAAACCAAATAAATTATGAATTGATCTATGTTCCCATTGTCCAAAATGTAAATTATCTTTTGGTGCACTAGTTTCTGGTCCGTTGAAAACAGATGGTTCATTCATATCATTCCATATATGTAAGTTCTTATATTTATCAGATATCATAAATGATTTATGAGAATCATCCCAAAATTTTTGACTTTTTGGGTTTAAAGTATCAATCCAAACAGATTCCCCAGGCCAACAATGTCCATGATATGATTCATCTTCATTATTGTTCATAGTTAATTTTTGATTAATTAATGAATCACTGACAAAATAACCGGTTTTTATATGAGGATCAATTATAGCTACTAGATTTCTACCTGTTCTATTTAGTATCTCCAACATTTCATCTGGTTTATCAAAAGTTTCGGGATGCCAAGTTAAATATTTCTTGTTGTCAGTATATTCAATATCTAACCAAATAGTATCATAAGGAATCTCATATTCATCAAATTTAGAACTAACATCTAAAACATCTTTAATATCGTTATAATTCCATCTGCATTGATGATACCCAAGACTTGATAATAACGGTAATTGGGTGAAACCTGTAATTTTACCATAAACTTGATTAATATCCTTTGGTGAATCTTCAATAATTATTATAAAATCTAGTATACCATTCTCTGACATCCAATGAACGGTTGAATCTTGAGATTTTTTTATATCAATATATGAATCAGCACTATTTAACCAAAAAATTCCAATCGAGACATCTTTTTTAATCGCAGTTAATAATGGAATTGATCCATACATAGGTAATCTTGAATCAGTTTCATATTCAAATATATCAACATTATATAATCTATAAGGTTCTTTGTTGGTAGTATCTTTTAAAAGCATTGAATCGGCATGTTCAGGAATACCATATAAATTTTGAAATCCAATTAAAGTAAAATCTAATCCAATTGATTCTGGACCTAAAGGTAAAGTATCTGATTTTGAATCTTGAAAATCATCAGAAAACATATTAAATGAAGATTCTTGAGGTAATAATTTAAGATTTTCTTTTGATCTTTGATATTCAATTAATAAAAAATGTTTATCATTTATTAATAATACTTTTTCATTTTTATAATAAAAAGTAAATTTTATAGGATTTAAGTTTATTATAACTTTATGATTCAGATTATAATTTATCTGTATTGAATCTTTACTTGTAATAAATTTAGCTTTATTATATTGAACATTTTTATCAAAAGCCCAATTTGAAGTTTCATTATATCTATTATTATTAACAATTATATTTTCATTTAAATTTCTAATTTCATCCAATTTAAATCTAAAACTATTTTCAATTATACTTATTTTAAATGGGAATTCAACATTTGTATTATTTTTTAATACAATTCCTCTTAATATATCTCCATTAATTTCAAATTTATTTATATAATATGGTGATTTAAAATTTGAATCCCCTAGTATATGATTTGAATAATATTTATTTCTATTACAAAATCCATTTTGTTGACATGATTTAAATAAATAATCTTTAACTGCAAAACAATAATTTAATAAAAGAAATATAAAACATAATGTTAATTGATATTTCATTATAACATTTGTAAAAATTAAAAAATCTAAAATTTGGTTGCAATAATTTAATATATTTAAATATAAGTATTAGTATACATTAATAATAATATTTAATATTCGCATTAATTTAATTATTAGATCTAATAAATATTAATAAATAAATTAAATTTTGAAAAATTTAAAAAAGTTTAGCAACCACGTTGAAAAATAATGTTTATTTAATTGAATGAAGAATTGTATAATTCAAATTCTGGATATGAATGAATTAATAATTAAACTTTAACACCTACTTGATCTTATAATTAAAAAAATATAAATCAGACTATCAAAAATTTTTCTTACAACCACTTCATTTAAAATCTATACAATAGAAAATGTACAAACTCATTATTGAATCTATTTTAGTTAAATTGAATTTGATAGAACTCAATCAATAGATATATAAATTACTTTAAAAGATCATTTATTTCAATTCAAAGAATAATATACATTGATATATATATATTATTATTATTCATCATATATATATTTATACAATATGTTTAGTATTCTGTTAATCTATATTGTATAATTAACTAACTAACTGATTAAAAGTCACAATACATTTAAACAATTTTATTGAGAAGGCGTGTTAAATGGTTAAAATATATTACTATTACTATCTTGTATTATGTTAACTAATTAGACAATATTAAATTAATTAACTAACTAACTAGAATATAATAATAAAAATTTACACCGAAAAAAAAAAATTTTGAAAATTAAAAAATTAAATAAATAAAATTAAAAGTAATAAGATTAAAAGTTGAAATACTTACAACCAAAATTAATTTGAAAAGTTTATATCATTAAAATATTAAACATTAGGTACATTATTATCATTTCATAAGTTATCTTATATAACTAAACTTATTCTTGTATATATATTGATTATTTAAAAATACCTATCTACACAAAAAAATGAGTATTAATAATAATAATAATAATAATAATAATGATAGAAAAAGACTGCTCGAAAATTCAACAGAATCAATTAATAAAAAGTTAAAACCATTAGATGAATTAAGTGAAAATGGTCCATTAACTCAAGCCGATGTTATATATTTTAAAAAAGAAGCTATTTGGAGACAAATGATTCAATATAAACAACAAGTTTTAAAATTAAAAGTTGAAATTAAAAAATTAACAAAAGATTCTGAATTTCTGAAATATTTATTAAATGTATTAATTGCTTGGTATGATGAAATTTTATTATTATTTAATTTATCATCATCTAATGAAGGTAATGATAATATTTTAGTATCATTTGAAGATTATGGTAATAATAAAATTGAAGAAAAATTAGTACAATTAAAAACAAATTTATCAAAAGCTATATCAAGTAAAATAAATGAGAATCTAGATATATCATCATTAAAAGAATTCACTTATTTAAAAAGTCAAAATGAAATACTAGCGAATGATAAAAAAATCTTATCACAAACTATAGAGAATTTACAATCTGAAATACTTGATTTAATAGATAAAAGAGAAAGAAATGAATCTATAACATTAAAAAGAGTAGATGATAGTCGAAAAGAAATAAAAGAAGAGAAAGTAGAAGAAGAAATAAAACAAGAAGTTAAAGAAGACGAAGAATCAAAATCAACATCAGAGAATAATAATAATAATAATAATGGTAATTCATCAATAAATATTGAAGAACTTGAAAATTTAAATAATGAAATAGATCAATTAAAATCAACAATTCAAATATTAAATGAACAAATTAATAAATTAACAGAATCAAATCAATTATATTTACAAAAATCAGAAAATTTAGATAATAAATTACATAATTTAGAAGAATCAGATTTACAAGATAATTTAAATTATAAAAAAATTATTAAAAATAATCAATTATTACAAGAACAAATAAGTAAAGTTAATAAATTAAATACAATAAATATAACAAAATTAACTGAATTAGAAAAAAAACAAACTGAAATTAAAAAATTTTTAGAAAATGAAATTCAAGAAGAAAATGAAAAATTGAAACAACAACTAGCTAAAAATGAAGAAGATTTAGTAAGAATTAGAACAACAAGAGATGAATTATTAGCTAAAAACACTATATTATCAACTCAAATAGAAGATCAAAAGACAAATCAATCATTAATAGAATTAAACAAAACTTATTCTAAAAGAATTGAAGAATTAGAATCTTTAAAAGAACAACAACAACTACCATCATCATCATCATCATCAACTACTAATAATGATAATCAACAAATACAATTATTACAAAATGAAATTAAAGAATTAGAATTAGCATTTAAACAAACAAGAGATTTAACATTAAAAAAATTAAATTCAACAATTGATCAAGATAATGTTATAAAAAAATTAACTATTGAGAAAACAAAAGCTGATCAAAAATATTTTGCATCAATGAGATTAAAAGATTCTTTAACAAATGAAAATAAAATATTAAAACAACAAATTACAAAATCTCAAGAAATTATAAAAAATTTAAATGAATTAGAAATTAATTATTTAAATAAAATTGAAGTTTTAAATAATTCATTAATTGATTATAAAATTATAAAAGAAAATCTGTTACAAGAAAATTTTAATTTACAAGACTCAATAAGAAATTTAAAACAATCAAAAGAATCATTAGATAATGAAATAAATAGAATTAACCAGAAAAATGAAATATTTATAAATGAAATTATTGAAATTAAAAATTTAAATAATAAACAAGAAATTGAAATAAATCAATTAAAAAAAAAATTAATTATAAGTGAAACAACATTAACAAAATATAAATCAAATAATACAAATTTATTATTACAAGAAGATGAACAACAATTAGAAGCATTAAGATCAATAGCAAAATGTTCAGTATGTACAAAAAATTGGAAAGATACAGCAATAACAGTATGTGGTCATGTATTTTGTTCAAATTGTACACAAGAAAGATTAGCAGCAAGATTAAGAAGATGTCCAAGTTGTAATAAAGGATTTTCAAGTAATGATTTATTAACTATACATTTGTAAATATACAATAATAATAATGAATATTATAAATATCAAACGTTAATAAATCTATGTTTTTGTTCATTATTTTTAAATTCATTCATATTTAATAAAATTTTTTTAATTCTTTTACGATTTTTGTAGTTAATATTTCAATTTATAAAGTATTTACAAATATTGTTTCAAAATATATATATAATATAAATTCGCAACACAAATATTTAATATGAAACTATATAATTTTTTTTTCCTCTCTCTTTTTAATTAAATTTTTTTCCATCAAACAAATTATTTGCCATCATTAAAATATGATAGACTAAGAGAATAAATATTTTTTAAGTACATTTAATAGGTCATTAATATAATCAAACTCAATAATAAACTTGATCATTTAATAAATTTAAACTTAAGTTTGCCACTTCAAATAATAATTAAATTTTAAAGAAAAGATAATGCTGGTTGTAAAAATAAAAAATCTGGTTGTAAAAAAAAAATAATTTATAATAATATTGAAAAAAGGGTAGTGTAATCTGTGACAATCTTGAGATTCAAATTTTTTTTAAAACACAGCAAAAAAAAAAAAACAAAAATTGGAAAAAATTTCTAATGAATATAAAAAGGAGATAAAATTTCCCGGTTTTTTTTTTTCGTCTTTTTTTTTTTTTTTAATTTTTAATTTTTTAAATTTGAAAAATTTTTTTATTTTTTTTATTATTTTTAATCATTACGTAATTTTATTAAATTAAAGGGGTAGTGTGATTATTAACAAAATATTTTACTACTATTATTATCATATCATATATCATATCATATTATCAGTCAATCCATACAAATAATTAACCATCGATTGTATTATTCGATTATTGAATTGTTATTAATTTTGTTCAAATTTCAAAACATTAACTTATGATTGTTTAAGTTACTACACATATTACTATCATTCATATCAATACATCATCGTATATAGTTAAAGATGTCTCAAATACTACCTGATACAAATACTCCTATTCAAACTCCATCATCTGAATCATTTAATAATCATCTTGATAATAATAATAATAATAATAATAATATTGATCATAATCTTGAAGATATTAATAATAAGAATAATAAAGAAAATAACTTATTAAATAATAAAAATCATATAAATGAAGATGAAAATATTGATACATTATTACAACAAAAACAACAACAATCTCATGAACCTTTATCACCACCAAATCCAACTCCAACTCCTGAAAAAAGAAAATTAGAAATTGATGATGACGAATTAAATAATCAAGATAATAATAAGGATAATGATGAAGAAGAATCACCAACTAAAAAACAAAAAACAGAAGAAAGTAATAATGATAATAATGATGATCATAGTACATCAGATGGCAATGGAAATATAGATAATGAATCCAATAAGGATATACTAAATGAAGAAAAAAATGATAATGAAGAAATTAATAACAATAACAACAGCAAAGAGGAGAACGTCCAAAATCCTAATGAAGAACCAATTAATGAAACATCACAAACCTCAAACCAACAATCAACAACTACTGTAAATAATGATATAATTAAAGATGAAAATGACACAACAAAAGAGCCAGAGTCTTCCTCATCTACTACAACAACAACAACTACCAATGCCACTACACAATCATCTGATCAACCACCCACCACAACAAAGGAATTACCTAAAATTCCAGCACCAAAACCACCAGCAGAACCAGATATGAATAATTTACCTTCAAATCCAATGCCACAACATCAACAAAAATTTGCATTAAATACTTTAAAAAATATAAAACGTTTAAAAGATGCTGTACCATTTTTATTACCTGTTGATATTGTTAAATTAAATATTCCATTTTATTATAATTATATTCAAAGACCAATGGATTTATCAACTTTAGAAAAAAAATTACATGCTTCTGCTTATAGTGAACTTTCTGAATTTACTGATGATTTTAATTTAATGGTTAATAATTGTATAAAATTTAATGGTGAACAAGCTGGTATATCAAGAATGGCAAAAAATATTCAAGCATATTTTGAAAAACATATGATGAATTCTCCTTCAAAAGATTTACCATTAACTCAATCAGTATCACCAGAATCATCAAAAAGAAAAATTATTGATTCAGTTGCTTCTTCAAGACCAAAAAGAAAAATACAACCACCAAAACCAAAAGAACTTCAATATGAAAAAACTACTAAAAAAGATCCAATAATGAGATATGCTAATGAATGTATAAAATCATTGAATTCTCAAAGATATAAAGATTTAAATTGGGTATTTTTAGATCCTGTTGATACTCAATTATTTCCAACTTATTCACAAATTATTAAAAAACCAATGGATTTAGGTAAAGTTCAATTAAAATTAAATAATAATGAATATAATAATCCTGAAGAATTTGAAGCTGATGTTAAATTAGTTTTCCAAAATTGTTATAAATTTAATCCTGAAGGAACTGATGTTAATATGATGGGTCATAGATTAGAATCAATTTTTGATGAAAAATGGGCAAATAAACCTCAACCTCAAGTTGAAGAAGAAATTGAAGAAGTTTATAGTTCTGAAGAAGAAGAAGAAGAAGAAATTAATGAAAGTATGTTATCAGATATTCCAGCAATTCAATTTTTAGAAAATCAATTGACACGTATGAAAAAGGAATTAGATGAATTAAAAGCTCAACATTTGAAAAAATTAAAAGATCAACAAGCAGCAAGAAGAAATAAAAAGAAGAAAAATTCAAAAAAGTCAAATTCAAAATCTAAAAGATCAAAAGAACCAACTCAACAACCAGTTAAATTTACACCACCACAACCAGTCGTTACATATGAAATGAAAAAACAAGTTTCAGAAATGGTACCAAATTTATCTGAGAAAAAATTAAATTCATTTATTAAAATTATTCAAGATGATGTACAAATAAATAATGAAGATGAAGTTGAATTAGATATGGATCAATTAGGTGATTCAACAGTATTAAAATTATATGAATTTTTATTTGGTGAAAAAGCAACTCAAAAATCAGTAAATAAAAAGAAAAAACCAATTGATGGTGGAGTTGATGAAATGGCACATTTACGTTATCAACTAGCATTATTTGATGAAGGTAATCAACAATTAAATAATATAGCTCATGAATCTGAACTGGATGCTTCTGATGAATCAAGTTCAGAAGAAGAATAAATAAACAGAAATGAGTACTTTTATGTAAAAATATCAATAATATTAATATACATATTTGATTTAAACGTCAAGAAATTGTTATACTGAGAATATTGTAGTAAATTCTGTTTTAAATCATACCTCTTTAGGCACATGTACAAACAACAAACCCCATTCACAAATTAAATTAATTGTTGGTATTTAAATATTGTAACATTGTGTTAAAATGATAGCTAATAAAAATATGAAGTATAATTCAAAACACATGGAGAAAAAAAAATAATTTAAGTTCCTGCAATAATTATTCGCATCTTAATTTATTATAACATCTGATAAACGGTTAATTCAGACTCAAATTAATCTTCTACAACCAACCCCATATTCAAGTTGTCTACATCAATTAAAATGCGTAAATGCAAGATCTTTGTTGGATCTTCACATCCAGAATTAGGTCAATTAGTTTGTGAAAGATTAGGTGTTGAACCAGCTCCATGTACATTAAAAAAATTTAGTAATGGAGAAACTTCAGTTCAAATTGGAGTTAGTGTTAGAGATGAGGATGTATATATTATTCAAAGTGGTTCACCTCATATAAATGATCATATAATGGAACTATTAATTTTAATAAGTGCTTGTCGTGGTGGAAGTGCTAATAAAATTACTGCTGTAATACCACAATTTCCTTATTCGAAACAAAGTAAAATGAAAAAGCATAGAGGAGCTATAACTGCAAGAATGTTAGCAAATCTTTTGGTGATGGCAGGAGCTGATCATGTTGTTAGTATGGATCTTCATGCTAGTCAAATGCAAGGATTTTTCACTAAACCAGTTGATAATTTATTTGGTGCACCAACATTAGCAAGATGGATACGTCATAATATAGATGATTGGGAAAGTTCAGTTGTTGTATCAAAAAATCCTGGTGGAACAAAAAGAGTCACTGCTTTAGCAGATTCTTTAAAAATAAATTTTGCAATGATTCATACAGATAGAAGAAGAACTCAAGATGAATATACTAAAAAGAAAGCTTTGAAAAAAGCTAAAATAGTAGATGAAGATGGATTAGATGCTGATGAACAAGATAATATAGTGAATGAATTACAAACTGCAAGGATAGTACAAGGACATGTTGTTGATGATGATTATCAATGTAAAGAAGAATGTAAAATAAATAATAAAGATTCATCATGTCTTGTTGATACAAATGGTTCACATTTAACAAAACCAAATATAATAGATAGTGATGTCTTGGGTGGTTCATATGATGTTGCAAATTCAGATGATGAAGATGAACCTTTAATTGAAGAAAAATTAATTACTTTAGTTGGTGATGTAAAAGATAAAGTTGCAATTATACTAGATGATATGATTGATAAACCAAATTCATTTATTGCAGCAGCAGAACATTTAAGATTGAATTGTGGTGCAAAAGCAGTTTATGTTGTTGGTACTCATGGAGTATTTAATGATTCTTGTTTAGAAGCATTAACTGAATCAAAATGTATTGATAAAATTGTTGTTACAAATACTTATCCAATTCCAAAAGAACAAATTGAAGCAAATTTAAATAAATTAGTAGTTATTGATGTTTCTCCAATATTTGCTGAATGTATAAGAAGAGATCATTTTGGTGAATCAATTTCTGTTTTATTTGATTCTTTAGCTGCTATTGAATGAGTTAATAATGTTTTTTATTTATTCCAGAATAGTATTTATTTATCCTTAATATAAAATTTGACAATGTATCTATTTATAAATGAGTCACTCGTTATGTGACTCTGGAAACTCTAAGTTATGTATTTCTCAAATAATTGATTGTTTCAAGTTAAAAACGTTTTTCAGTTAATTTTAATTTTTTGGACGAATTTGCAGCAAAAAGTGCAACAAATTTTTCAAATTTATGAAAATCAACACTGAATTAGAATCCAGTTTAATTAAACTAGAAGAAACTTAATTTTCATTTGATCTTGTTAGTTTAACTCATAGAATATTTAGGTTACATCACAACTACAATATATAATAGATGAAACAAAGCTATTAAATTTGACGCAGTTCAAAACAGATGCGCTAAATTATGCCCTAGTAAAATTATCTTTTATCTTTAAATATTTCACAAAATAAAATCAATACTTTATTACAAATACTTTAATAATTCCGGTCTATTATTTATTTGAAATTTATAAGAGTATACATTTACTACACTATTTAATGAATCAAGATAAATTTGCATTAATAGATGAATGTGGAAGTATAATATCTATAACTACAACTGAAAGTGATGTAGATAGTACTGATGATGAATCATTTATAGAATCTCAAATGTCAATTAATCAATTTATCGAATCAACAAATATAAATTCTTTTATAACATTACCAAAAATTAATAACGAATCTACAAATATTAATACCACTACCTTACCAAATATTACCAATGACGATTATGAACAATATTACGAAAGTTATTCTGATGAATTTATTGAATTTATGACTTCAAATCCAACTACTTATCATGTAATAACTCATTTTAAATCAGTTTTAGAAAATAATGGATTTCATTATATTCAACAAACTAAACCTATAAAGAATGTAAAACCAGGTTTTTACTATACGAGTAGGAATGATCAATGTTTAATTGCTTTTGTACTAGGAGGTGAATGGAAGCCAGAAAATGGTTCATGTTTTGTTGGAAGTCACTCTGATGCATTAAGTATTAAATTAAACCCAAGAGGTCTGAAAAGATCAAATTTTGAAGGATATGAATTATTAGGGGTTGCACCTTATTCTGGAAGTTTAAATAAATATTGGCTTAATAGAGATTTAGGATTAGCAGGTTCAGTATTAATAAAACAAAATGGTAAAATTAAAAGAAAATTAATAAATTCTAATACACCAATTGCCTTCATACCAAAAGAATCTAATTGGGATAAAGAAGATTATAACCCTCAAACTCAAGAAGTACCTATTTTTGCCTATTCAAATGAAGAATTGAAACCAACAAAACAAGAATTAGAAAGTAAACTTTATAATCGACATCCAATAAGTTTACTACGATACATTTGTGAGTTGTCGGACACTCCAATTGAATCAATAATTGATATAGATTTGGATCTTGTTGATGTCCAACCAAGTCATAGAGGTGGATTGGAAAATGAATTCATTTTTTCAGCTAGTTTAGATGATAGATTGTGTGCATTTGATTCGGTGTATGGATTGATAGAATTTAGTCAAAAATTTTTCACAGAACGGGAAATAGAAGATTATAAAGGATTATCGGGTATATATCTAGCCAATAATGAAGAAATTGGATCTTTAACAAATACCGGAGCTCATGGTGGATTTTTAATAGATAATTTAAAATCAATTGTACAAGATAAATGTAAACGGTCAACAAATGAAGCATTTGCAAATTTTACCACCAATACAATAATCTTATCATCTGATGTTACTCATGCGATGAATCCAAATTTTATTGAAGTTTATTTAAAAAATAATTATCCATTACCTAATGTTGGCCCATCTATAAAGTTTGACTCAAATGCTCATGTTTTGAGTGATTCATATGGTAAAGAGTTTTTACAAAGAATAGTTGATCATTTGCCTGGCATAAAACTCCAGCAATTTCATATAAGAAACGATTCAAGATCTGGTGGAACTATTGGACCAATTATGTCAAACGGGAAAAGAGGTATAAATGGGGCCAAAGTAATTATAGACGTTGGTTTGCCTATATTGAGTATGCATTCAATCAGAAGTATGATGGGTTATAAAGATGTTGGAATAGGTGTTAGATTTTTCAAGGAAGTATTCTTGAGATGGGATGAAATAATAGATGATGTTGTAGTATAGTTTTAGTCGTTTGTATCATTAATGCTGTCATTATAATTCTATATATATTAATTATCATTATTTGCTTTTATTCTTTTTAGCAATAGCATATTTGATTGATTTAAATATACCTGCCGTTAAAACACCCTTTATAGCTTGTATCACGGAGCTATAAATAATTGTTTTTGAAATCAAATCTTTAATATTTTTTGCTAAATTTTGATCTTTCGCTATATCTTTTATGGATGATTCTGGATATTTACTATAAAGTTGAGTTCTAAAATGTAAGGGCAAACAACTTATTAATTTTATCCTTGAATTTATATTTAAATTTGTTTTAAAGACTCTATTATTCGCATCATTATCCGTTATAACCAAATAATTTCTATGAATGAAGAATTGTAATATAGGATCATATAACTTTTTAAAATGATCAAATTGTTTTGTCACTATATTTTTAACTTTATTTGGATTTTCTCCCCCAACAAACATTCTGAAATCTCCTAAATATGATAAACTTGTAATTTGTTCATACAATTGTTTTTCGGTAAATTGACTTGACTTTATTAAAAAAATTGCAATTGTCATTGCATTTTTAAGATTATATTGATTCAAAAATTTTAATTTAATATCATTATCTTTTATATAATTCACAGGTTTTTGAAGTCTTCCTGCAAAATATAACGAACTCCATTCACTAAGATCCATTAGAGCTGAACGTTTTGATACTATCCCGTACTTCGTCATTTTATTTTTAATAAATACATATGGATTAAAATATATTCCATTACCTTGAATGAAATTAATTAACCAAGTTGAAGTTGTTGAATAATGATTTGGATTTTGTTTCAAATTTTGCTTATGAAAAGTTGATGAATCTTGAACTAGAAAAATAAAATCCAATTGTTTTTCTTTATTTTCGTACCCTTCTTGTGGTAGTATACCTGATCCATACCCAATTGATGCATCTATTGGAGATTCAAATGATTCTACAATTTCAACTAATTGATCTTGTAATTGATTTTCTGTTATTAAATTTTGATTATCAGCACAAAAATCTTTTGGTATTATTAATTTATCAAATCCTGCTGCTCCTTCTGTTATAATTGGTCTATAATATTTATCTGAATATGGGGTAGTTGTTGATACAAATGTACTTCTTTTAATTGAAACATGTAATGATCTAATCCAAAATTTGATCATTACTAGTAAGATATTGTATTATCTGTTACTTATGTTATTATATTTTTGTTTACATTATTCTCTTTTTAAATTTAAATTTTTCGGTACATTAATTTTTTTTTTTTTTTTTTTTTAAAANTTGAAATACCAAAGATGTCTCAAGTATATAGATCTACAAGATCTGATAAACATGAAGAATTATCATTTGAAGATGTTGTAATGACTGGTTTAGCACCAGATGGAGGTCTTTATTTACCATCAGAAATTCCAAAATTACCATCTAATTTTCTTGAAACGTGGAAAAATTTATCATTTAATGAATTAGCATTCAATATTTTACGATTATATATAAAAGAACTGGAAATACCAAATGAAGATCTAAAAGATTTAATTGAAAGATCATACTCCACTTTTAGATCAGATGAAGTTACACCTTTACAGAAAATAAATGATCAAATATATTTGTTAGAACTATTTCATGGACCAACTTATGCTTTCAAAGATGTTGCCTTACAATTTGTTGGAAATTTATTCGAATATTTTTTAACTAGAAGAAATGCTTCAAAAAAAAATGGGGAAAGAGATATTATAACAGTCGTTGGTGCAACCTCAGGTGATACTGGATCAGCTGCCATTTATGGATTAAGAGGTAAAAAAGATGTTTCAGTATTTATTTTATATCCAACTGGAAGAATAAGTCCGATTCAAGAAGAACAAATGACTACTGTAGAAGATGAAAATGTTCATACTTTATCTGTTAATGGTACTTTTGATGATTGTCAAGATATTGTAAAGATGATATTTGGTGATAAAGAATTCAATGATAAATATCATGTTGGAGCTGTGAATTCAATCAATTGGGCAAGAATTTTAGCACAACAAACTTATTATTTTTATTCGTATTTTCAATTACAAAAAATTATTGGTGATAATAATAAAATAAGATTTGTTGTTCCATCTGGTAATTTTGGTGATATTTTAGCTGGTTATTATGCTTATAAAATGGGATTACCAGTTGATAAATTAATTATTGCAACCAATGAAAATGATATTCTCGATAGATTCATGAAGACAGGAGAATATGCTAAGCAACAAGAAATAGGTGTAAAAGCTACCTATTCTCCAGCAATGGATATTTTAATTTCTTCAAATTTTGAAAGATTGTTGTGGTACTTAATTAGAGATAATGTTACAGACCATAATGACGAAAAAGCTGGTGCCTTATTAAATGATTGGATGAAACAATTAAAAGAAAATGGAAAATTCACTGCACCAAACGAAGTTGTTGATTCAGCTAGATCAATATTTGATTCTGATAGGGTTGATAATACCGAGACAATTAAAACAATTAAAGAAATTTACACTGAAAATAAATATATACTTGATCCTCATACAGCAGTTGGTGTCAAAACTACATTAAGATTTATTGAAAAAGATCAAGAACCAAAACATTATATATCGCTTTCAACCGCACATCCAGCTAAATTTTCAGAAGTTGTTAATAAAGCTCTTGATACATTTGAAAATTATTCATTTGAAAAAGATGTATTACCAGATGAATTAAAAGCTTTAAGTACAAAAGAGAAGAGATTAAAATTTATTGATGAACCTAGTGTGTCAAAAGTGAAACAAGCCATAAAAGATGAATTGAAATTTTAAAATGAATACAATTATAAAATATATACACATACAAAATTTAATTTGATTCCTTTTTTTTCAATTCTACTTTCCCATCCACTATATCAACTTTATATCCAACCTCTTGTAACACTTCATCATCAATTGTTTTCTTGGCTTCTAGTTCAGCAACAAACTGTTGATTTTTTTGATTCTTTTCTAATAAATATTTTATACATAAAATTGCTTGTTCTTTGATGAACGGATTATTTTCGTCAATTTGACAATTGGATAATACCAACGCTAGACCGCCTAGTTCTCTAATGAGTTCTTGATTTTTATGTGATTGATATGCCATATATGACAAAATTATTATTATATATGATTTCGAAGAAGAATAATTTACAATTTCTTCAATCTTTGATTTCATTGTGACTCGCTTCACATTCTCATGAATTGTTTTAAGTAATGAAATCAATGGCTTTAATAATTGTTCATGCTCAAAAAATTGAATCGCAGCTTTATATTTTGAACACTCTGCCAATATATGTAATGAATTGAGTAAATATTTTTCGATTCTTTCGTCTTTTATAGTGTCAGCATTTAGCTTACTTTCATAGTCCAAAAAAATCGGTACAACCCAAGCCAATAAACCTACAAGTTGAAAATTATCCCAATCATCATTTGTCTCAATGACAACACTTGTGAGCTCTAACCATTTTATTTGTACTTCTTCTTTTTGTGAATCAATCCATTTTTTGAAACTTTCATGAGTTATAATATCATATATAAGATGTAGTAACATTTTAGAATCATGATTATCGCTAATCCCCAAATAAAGATTAAAGATTGTATTTAACACATAATTCTCCTTAATCTTCAAAAGCTTTAATAGATTTTCGTTTGTTAGATCCAGCTCGTCTGAATTAAATTGTCGAAATAAAAAATGTATGAGTGGAGTTTCAACAATTTTGGTCGACTCAAATAAACTATTAATTTGATTAATATAGTCATTTCTTTTGAAATTAGCTAAAATTTCCCAAAATACTTGTATTGTTTTATCAACCCATTCAGTTTCTTCAAGTAGTAGAAATTGTTTGAAACTAGTTATCACTCTTGGAAAATATTCTATATCTAAAGTTGGCGCTGCATTTCTGACTATCAATAATAGTCCTCTGTATAATCTCAATTGTAATACATTATTTTCAGGAGTATATTGTAATATCTTATCAATTGATTCTAAATTATCAATTTGTTTATCGACATTTTGAATAGCCTGAGATATTAATGTTAAAGAGTCGTTAAAATTTGAATAGTCTTTCTTTTGTAAATCTTGTAGAGTTTGATTAATTATATCATTTATAAGCATTGATAAGATTAAAAAAAGAGTAAAAATTCAAAAATAAATTCTGTTTCGCATTTATCATTTTTTGCAACGCTTTTTGCAACATTTTATTAATAATTATCATAATTACAAGCATTTGGACTTAATAAGCAATACTTTGATGCCAAAGGTGGTACTTTGTAATTTAGTTTCGCTAGTAATTCTCTAAACCTAAATATTCTAGGGGTGAATTCTCTCAAACCGTCCAAAGAATGCCCACTCCACAACAACTCAGATAAAGCTGCTGCTCTTGGCCAAATCATACTTGTCAAAACGTTAGAATCAACTTGTTCCGACCATAACGCAGCTTCAGCTCCAATAACCAATTCTTTCTCTTCTTCAGTCAAATTTTTTAAAAAATCAAATGAGTATATTCTTTGATATGTTTTATACGGACCACACCAACTACCAGCTTGGCCCAGATTAAACTTATCATTTTCAGGTTTATCAATATACCTTTTGTCATTGGTTAAAAATCCACCATGTCCACAATCCAAATATAAATGATCTGCCAGAGATACAATTACTTTATGACCTTTATTTGTTAACTCTTTTATGACACCTTGTTCATGCCAAACTTGTAATATTACATTCTGCGGGATTTTCGCATTGTGATTCTGTACTATGTCATCCCACATGATGATATTAGCTGTGCTAAATATGGATGAAGTTTTGTCAATATAATGTTGTACCAAATCATTTAAAGACTTGTTGTTAAACCATTCTTGTGGAAAACATGATTCCTGAAGCTCGTCATTTCCAACGTGGATTGTGGTGAATAATGATCTAAGTTCTTTAAATACATCATCGATTACATCATAAATTTTATTATTCAATAAATTCAATTGACCAGGTGGTGGTTCCACAGCAAAACCTTTCCAGAAGCAATCTCCACATACAACAAGATCATTATCAATTTGTCTCCAACCAGCTCTAGCATGGCCTGGCATATCTATTTCTGGTATAATAATTACCCCCCTTTCATTTGCATAATTCTGGATGAATTTTAAATCATCCATTGTATATTTTTCATCATTTGAAAATGCATCATTAGACATTTCAGGATGAGATTTCAAAATAAGTGGCCAGCTCTGAGTATCAACTAAATGCCAATGTAACACGTTCATTTTCACCAATTCCATTATATCTATTTGTTCCAAAATTGAATCCATTGTTAAAAAATTTCTGGCAGAATCAATCATTAATCCTCGATGGGGAAATTTTGGTGAATCTTTAATTAAGACTGATTGTTCTATAATTACCATCCCATTTGTTGTGACTAATAGTTGTTGAAAAGTTGATATTGCACGTAAAGCACCCCAAATTGTTTCACTTTTGATAACTACACCTCTGTCAGAGCTAATGTTTAATTCATAAGATTCATCAACGTCAATTTGCAATTGAGTTTCATTCTCCTCAACTAATACCTCAATTTTTAATGGAAGAAACTGAAAAAATGTATCTTTTTCAATACGTGATAGTAAATTTCTTTGTTTCACTCTACTTAATGCTTTATCCAATATATCATATCCACCTACCAAATATAAATTTTTTAAATCAACTATTAAAGGTTGACCATACCATTTAATGAATTGAGGTTTTGGTAATGGATCGACTTGTAAAGCAAAAATTTGTATTATATAGAATAGTAATAAAATTAACATGTAATTAATTTATTAAACTTTTAATCTATAAAATTTATCTATTAAATAATGAAAATAAAAAATATAAAACCGACTACTACAACTTTGATTTAAACCTATTTTGTTTAAGTTTATTTTCAAAAGCATTAATCATAATTGTAGTTACTTGTGGGGCAAACATAAAACTTAATTGATCATAAATTGGATTTTTAAATTTATATAATAATGTAAAATCAACTTGACAATTACCTGTTGGTATATCTTTAAATTTCCATTCTGTTTCTAATTCCTCAAATAACTCCAATTCAAGACTTTTAGCATTCACTTTTTCTCCTTCTATACAATGTAACTTACATTCAAATTTTTCAGTAATATCTTTCCATCCTACTTTAAGCTCTGCTTTTGTTGGTTGATGATTTGAATCTCTACTTGATATAAATGAATCTTCCACAAATGGAACAAAATCTTTATAACTATTTACTTCACTAACTATTTTATATAGTTGATTAGAATTACCGTTTAGTATTTTTGTTATACTATATGTCTGAGGTTTTGAACTGCCAAAGAATGTTCTTTTGAAGCATTTTTGTATAGGTTGTCTTAGCATTGAACATGAAAGTGAAGTTCATACACTCGTTTTTTTGTGAAAAATTCAGATTTATTCAATACAATCAACAGAGATTTTCACTACTACAACGAACTATCTAGATTTTAATATTTTATAAATTTTCGTTTATTACATGATTTGATGTGAAAAAGGAGGAGGGGTCGTTATATATAATTACTTCATGGCTATGTCAAAATAATCTATTGAGCACGAGTGTAAATATATTGTTTTGAATGTTTTAATACTGGAGTAATAATTCCATCTTCTTCTAATTGTCTTAAAGCAACACGAGCAAGTGAACCACCAATCTTTAATCTATCAACTAAAACTGAAACTGAAACATATTTATAAGTTGGGACATCTTTTAAAATTCTGTCATATTTTTCTTGATCTAAGATAACTAAATGTTGAGCTTTATCTTTAACTTTACCTTTATTCCATTTCTTTTTACCTTTTTTACCACCAGCTAAAGCGGCAGCAGCTTTAGCGGCTTTAGTTTGTTGAACTTTTGGAGCCATTCTAGAACAAATATATGTTAGTATTACTTGATTGACAAATGGGTGTAGCCTGATTAAGATATAACAAATAGGTTTATGGGCCTTTGAATTTGATATATTGATCATTGATCATATGTGGTAGAATAATACACTTTAATTCATATTGACATTAAACATCATGATTGAATTTATTTTATTTGTAAACTTTCGTTATTTTCTCCAAGGAGTTGCTTTAGTTGACTGTCTCATTCCCTTTTGTTATTTGTATCACATATCTTAGCATTAATCTTATGGTACTATTGATTGAACATACTTCTATAGTTGCCTTATGATAGTAATAATAGAAAATGTAATTCGAATCTTTCTATCAAAAAATGTTTTTCTCTATCAAAGTATGAAAAAAATGTTAAACTATTAGTACGATAATACTTAATACACATTTGGTAGTTTATTCTTCTTATTTTGTGTAGAACAAAATCAATAGTCATGTGACTGTATAAAAAACTTAGGGCTATAACCATTTTACTTGAGGCTGCAAAATTTATTGTTTTGGAAAAGTACAAATTGTTTAATAAACTTTGTACCTGAAATATTTGGGATGTGTTCTTTAAATTTGGTTTTATAATAACATTGAATATCAAAGTTTTACTATCTTTTTGATGTACATGAACGCAGGGACATCTAGATATCCAATTTGAGGAGTCTGAAATTAAGTAAAACAAGTCTTTTGACCAATTAAGAAGAGAAATCTTTATACTTTGCTTTGATGATTAATTCCTTGTTTAATAGCCCAGCTCTATACCCCAACTAATTCTTTATAGATTATTCTAAATGTTTCGCAATTGTGGTGATGTTTAAATTTCCTAAAATTGGTAGCGTTGTCCGATTCTGAATATCGGATATTTTGTATTGAATTTGCTATAAACAACAACCCATTTAACTTTACAACCTTATCATAAATTAATCAACACAAATTTTATAAATTAGTGCTATAAAAAGAATGGCTAAACGACAGGCTACAGAGCAGATAACGAAAGATGCTTTTCATGGAGATTTTGATGAAAATGAAGATAACGGAAATTTACCAGTTAAAGCATCTTCTCAAGTACTATCTACTAGGAAAATCTTAAAACCTAGAAGTAAATTAGGTGGTGACCAGAATGGAACAGCTTCACCAACTCCTTTCAAAATACAACAAAATACATTCAGTTTTAATCCACCCACAAAACCAACTCGAACAACTAATGAAAAAGACTATAAAATCAAAGCATTAAATGAAAATTTTATACAAAAGATTAATGAATTGAACAAAGTAAATACTATCACAAACTTCACTAAAATTGCTGAAAAATACATAGCTTATTATAAAGAAATTGATGTTGGGAAAGAAAATCAATTTCAACAATCAACATTTCAATCTCAACAAGCATCTCAACCTTCAATTAATCCACCAAAAGAAATACCAATAGCTGAATCACATAATAATAAATCAGAATCAGAAAGCGAAGACGACAACAAAGAAATAAAGATTCAAGGTCCTACATTCACATTCAACAAATCCACTACAACAAAATCTCCTTTTACATTTGATCCAAAAAAGATTGCAAAAATAAATGCCCCAGATTCAGATGAATCAGAAGATGAAGTGGAAATTAAAGGACCAACATTCAATTTTAATAAAGAAATCAAAGACAATGTATTCAAATTTCCAACTAACTCAACAAATTCTACCTCATTTTTCAATTCAAACTCAACTAATAGCGTTAATAATCAAACTACTACTACAACTACTTTTAATTTTAATTCTACTCAACCAAAACCAGCAACAACAACAACAACTACTACTCCATTCAATTTTGGAACAAATAATGCTTCATCACCTGGTAATAATAAACCAACCGAAGTTGAAAGCTCAGCAAAACCAGTCATTTCATTCAACTCATCCAGCAACACTACTGAACCAAATAAACCATTTACTTTTGGTTCAACAGATAATTCTAACAGTGCATTTTCATTTACATCATCCAATAAACCAACTACGGCGTTTGCGAACTCAACTAATGAATCAAATAAAGGATTCTCATTTGGTGCAACTAATAAGTCAACTGATGCTACTAAAGATTTTTCCTTTGGCTCAGTAGCGAAACCAACCACAGTCAATGAAGAATCAAATAAACCAAGTACTGGATTTTCATTTAAACCAGCTGAAACAAATAAAGGATTTTCATTTAAACCAGCTGAAACAAATAAAGGATTTTCATTTGGATCTACAAACGGTGCAGCCATTGACTTAACAAAAAAAAATGATAATCCGTCGGACTCTGCCAAAGGATTTTCATTTGGTTCATCGTCATCTACGATTCCCAAACAAGATGAATCAAACAATGGAGTCTCATTTGGCTCAACAGATAAACAATCTTCATTGTTCGGATCAAACTCATATTCTTCTACTCCTTTTTCATTTGGATCAACTTCTGCAACTACTAAACCATCTTTTAATTTTGCTTCTAAACCAGCTAGTAATGATACATCAACATCAAGCAACAATTTTTCTTTTGGATCCAATAATAAAAATCCATTTGGAGGTATAAGTTCTACTACTGAAGCTTCCAAAGAGAAAGATGATGATGCTACTGCTGCTGAAGAAGAACCAGAAGTTGTTGGGAATTTCACACCAGTAACTCAAATGAATGAAAAACAAGAAGTTCAGTCTGGTGAAGAAAATGAAGAGATTAAATATACAATAAGAGCAAAATTATTGGAATTTGATGCAAACAATTCCGACCCTTACAATAATAAAGGTTTGGGTGATTTGAAAATATTACATAATAAAACTACTGATAAATCTAGAATTTTGATTAGAGCCGAAGGAAGTTTAAGAATTTTATTAAATACTTTAATATCAAAAGATATAAAGTATGACGCAATGGGTAATGGATCTTTAATAAGAGTTCCAGTTTTTGAGAATGGGAAAGTTGTTACATATGTTATAAAAGTAAAGACTGCAGATGATGGAAAAACTCTATTAAATACTATTAATGAATCTAAATAAATACATAATTTAATTAAAAAGTGTTTCTATATACATGAAATTAAATTCTCTATTTGCTCTCATTGTTATTATTCTTGTTACTATCATCTTTTTTATCAGAATCAAAGTTGAAAAATTTTCCCAAAACTTTGCCGATTCTTGCTAATTTGGAAGGATGCAAATCTTTTTCATCCATTGCATCATATTTTAATGCATCTTCAACATCTAATTGCCAATCAACATCATTTCTTTTTGCATTTTTATCATTAAACGCATCTGCTAATGCTTCTAGTAACGCAGTTTGAGTAGGTGTTTCGGCAATCAACGTTTTCACATTCAATATAACATCCAAATTACCTCTATTATTTAAATTTCTATTAATTGGAACTCCCTTTTCTGGTATTATTAATTTTCTTCCATTTTGAACTCCAGGTCTTATCTTAAGTTTTATCTTTTGTCCATCTAATGTGGGAACAATAATTTCACCTCCTAATGAAGCTGTTGTCATTAATATATCTTGATTCACAACTAAATCATTATTATCTCTTTTGAATACTGGATCTTTTTGTACACTTATTCTAACTATTAAATCACCATTTCGAAGTTGATTATAATCATCTTTTGTTACAAATGGTGCATCACCAGCTCCTGGAACTCTTATTCTTGAACCATCTGTTATTCCTGGTGGTATGTCTATTGTAGTTGATTTTGGTATTTCTTGTACTCCATTTCCATGACATGTATTACATTCATCGGCTTTTGAAATTGTCACCCCAGTACCTTGACAAGTTGGACAAGTTGATGCCATATGAAATCCTCCCATAATATGAGTTGTTTGACCAGTACCATGACAAGTTGGACAAGTTTGTTTCTTGGCACCAGTTTTTAAACCACTACCTTTACATGTTCCACAAGAATCAACAACTTTATAATTTATCGTAACTTTACTACCAAATATACTATCTTTAAAAGGTATCAGTTTTAGTACTTCAACATTATCTCCAACGTGTTCTGTCACAAAATGAGCTCTTCCTTGTGATCTTGATGATCCTCTACCTCCTGTAAATGCTTCTTTAAATAAATCTTCAAAATCAAATCCCATACCTGCAAATGGATTTCCTCCTCCACTTGTACTAAATCCCCCTCCACCAAATCCAGCAAATGGATTACCAGATGATGCTCCTCCAGGACCTGCACCAGCACCTGCTCCACCAAAAGGATTTGGATTTCCATTTTCATCAAATGCATTTGGACCAAATTGATCAAATTGAGCTTTTTTATCTTTATCTCGTAATATTTCATAACTTTGTTGAATTTTATGGAATTTTTTTTCAGCATCTTTTTCTTTATTAACATCTGGATGGAATTTTTTAACTAAATCATAATATGCTTTTTTAATTTGTTTTGCATCAGCAGATTTATTTATTCCTAATGTATTATATGGATCATAATCTATATATTTTATAATTGATGAATGAAATGTTCTTTTTTGAATAGGTCTATATTTACAAAATTGAGTCTTCGGTATACATTTTCTTATATGAATAGTTGATAATCTCATTTCTTAATGATGAGTTTAGTTGATTTGTTTAATCGAAATTAGTATTACTTAAATTAAATTTAATCTCATTTCCAGATTATAGTGGAGCTACCAATTCGGTTTTAGATTTTTACTAGAAGATTCTCCTTATCTATTTACTTTCATTAATAATTGGACTTGAAACTTAAATTATATATTATTAATTTAAGATGATGATGAAAATTATAATTTTGTACAAGTTAGGTGAGCATCAGAATTTAGTAGTTATTAGATTAAACAGACAATATTTGCAATTTTTTACTGTCATATAATTAAATTTTTCGCTTTTACTAACTTAATAGGTAATTTATAATCTCTCTTTTGCTAACTTAATAAAAATAATTTATAACTTCCCTTCAACAGATAACTTTGTATCAGTGAGCTTAACATGCAGTGAAATCAGTGCACCAACATTTAAATTCAGAACCTATTTATAAAGCATTTGTATATTGTATCATTTTAGTTCTCTTTTCCTGAAACTTAGAAAAAAACATTATTTCATATTATTATTCTTGTAAATGTTTTTTTACAAGAGGTTGTTTTTTTTTTGCAGCTAAAATTTATACTAATTAATTTATTTGATTCATATAGTTTTCACTTAAGTTGAATAAAATCTTGCTTCATTTTTTTCATTTAATTCCATTTCAATACTTGTAATTGAAAAACACTCTTTTGATGCTAGACCATTATTTCTAGTCATAACCAATAGCATTTCGCTGTACAATTGCGTGCATTAGTAACATAACTGTTGTATAGTCACAACATTTATAAATAAATGAATATTATTATTGATTATATTTTATACTATTTAATGGGAGAGGAAAACCTATATATTTATACTGTCATGTAATAATGTCGTAATTCAGCGACGATTATTAGCTATATACTACAATAACCTTATTTTAATTAAACGAAATTAGAATGTTTGAATGAATTATAATATTGTGTGTCAAACTAAGTTTTCAACTTTATCATCACATTTTTTTTGCAGCTAAATTAATGCATAGCAAATTTTTTGTAAATTGATTCTCTATTTTACATTTACAACTTATTTAAATACCATTTCGTAAAACAAATCAACTACAGCAACCTCGTCTATTCAAAAGATTTGATCTAAATAAATTGAATTTACTACTCAAATGAATTAATCTTTGCCACCTCTTAATAGTAAAGTAAATCCATCATCAGTTGGAATTCATTGAGAGATTCATCTTGTTAAACAACCTGAGTTGATTACATGAGACACTTTCATAACTCAACAAACTAATAAGTGATCTTATTCAGTTATTTGATCAACGAATGCAGATTAATATTTTTTAGGGGGGCTGTTTCATCTCTACAAACTATGATAGAAGTGCAAATTAAGAAATCAAACGAGGTTTTAAAAAAAAATTTCACACTAATAATCTCTTTTAATCATGATCTTGATTCTATTAGTGTTAAAAAGAACATCATGAATAATCTGAGGTGGAAAAACTAAAGTAAAAGTAGTAAAAAAACATCTTCCCATATTGTGAAAGATTATACTCGTTATTGATAAATTTAGACTTTATAAATCAGGCATTATTTTCAAACGATGTTTTTACAAACACTCAGTGTTAATATAACACGTCATCATATTCGACTTTGTACAGGTTTATGAGTTTGAATTTGAATAAAATTGAATTGAAAACCTTTCTTTTTCTAAATTTTGTCAGCTCAATTAATGATATAAATTTGGTTTCAAATTAATCTTAAACTAACATTAGTAGACATTTAAAATTAAATTCACTAAAATGTGTAATCTGACTATCAAAAATTTGATAATTCTATCGTTATGTAAGTATTAAAGACAAATTTTGAAAGAAAATAGGTATTTCTTCTAAGTTGATTAAAATTCGATATTGATATAGTATCAATATATAGTAATTTCAATAATAGGTTGGAATTGATATATGACTCCTTTTCTACAGATTTGTTATACATATTACTTGAAAGTCTAAAATGAAAACTCGCAAAAATTCTGCCCAAAAAAATTTCAATAGTAGAAGTACTTGATTAATTAAAATTAAAATATCATGAAGTTGACGAAAAAGTTACATTATTTTTAAGAACTTTTGATAGAGAAAGTGGTTTAAAAATTTATCATAAACTACACAAGTTAGCACATAGATGGTAAAATACTTCAACTTTCTAGCTTAGCTCTCTAAGTTAACTTTTTAATCCATTTGTCAATAATTACCAATCGGTCCAGAATGAAATTGAAAAGACATTGATTTAAAATTAAATTACTAAAATTGATCAACATTTTATTGATTGTGAACATTCAAATACAAAACAATTATATCATGATTCTCATGTTGCTAGACAAGCTAATCATACACTTCCTGGTTCTTCATATACTGTTTCATTAAATATGCAAGTTAAATATGTTATGTATAGAAGTTGGTTAAGAATTAAAGAAGATCCTTCAATTACCATCTTTCCAATATTTGGTCAATTAATTATGGCTTTAATTTTATCATCAGTATTATATAATTTACCACAAAATACTGATTCATCTTATTTTAAAGGTGCTGATATGTTCTTTGCTGTTTTATATAATGCATTTGCTTCACTTTTAGAAATTATGTCACTTTTTGAAGCTAGAGCTATAGTTGAAAAACATAAGAAATATGCACTTTATCGACCATCTGCTGATGCATTAGCAAGTATTGTTAGTGAATTACCTGTTAAATTAATGATGTCAATGTCATTCAATTTTGTTTTTTATTGTATGGTGAATTTTAGAAGAAATCCAGGTAGATTTTTCTTTTATTGGTTATTTTGTTTTGTGTACTTTAGTTATGTCACATTTATTTAGATCAATTGGTGCTGTTTCAACTTCTCTTGCAGGTGCAATGACTCCTGCAACTACTTTATTATTGGCTATGGTTATTTATACTGGTTTTGTTATTCCAACTCCATTAATGTTGGGATGGTCAAGATGGATCAATTATATAAACCCAGTTGGTTATGTATTTGAGTCACTTATGTTGAATGAAGTTCATGATAGAGAGTTTGAATGTACTAGTTTTATTCCATCAGGTCCAAATTTCAAACAATTCTCAATTGCAAATAAAGTTTGTCAAGCAGTTGGTGCTAGACCTGGTAGATCATTTGTTAATGGTACTGATTATTTACAAGAAGCTTATAGATATACTAATGGTCATAAATGGAGAAATTTAGGTATTACAATTGCATTTGCTGTTTTCTTTTTAGGAGTTTATGTTGCATTGACTGAATTTAATAAAGGTGCTATGCAAAATGGTGAAATTATTTTATTTTTAAAAGGTTCATTAAAAAAACATATGCAACAAAAAGCTCATGATTCAGAATATGGTGGTATTCCCAATGAAAAAATTTCATATGAAGCTGCAACAGAGGCAGAAAAATTTGAAAAAGGTGGAGAAAGTGGTTCAGTTTCTTCAGCTCCAATTCCAGAAAATAAAGAAATTTTCTTTTGGAGAGATTTAACTTATCAAGTTAAAATTAAAAAAGAAGATCGTGTTATTTTGAATCATGTTGATGGTTGGGTTAAACCAGGTCAAATTACTGCATTAATGGGTGCATCTGGTGCTGGGAGAACTACTTTATTAAATTGTTTATCAGAACGTGTTACTTCAGGTACTATTACTGATGGTGTCAGATTAGTTAATGGACATGCTTTAGATTCTTCTTTTCAAAGATCAATTGGACATGTTCAACAACAAGATTTACATTTACCAACTTCAACTGTTAGAGAAGCATTACAATTCTCAGCATATTTAAGACAACCAAGACAAGTATCTAAAAAGGAAAAAGATGATTATGTTGATTATGTTATTGATTTATTAGATGACACTTTATGCCGATGCATTAGTAGGTGTTGCTGGTGAAGGTTTAAATGTTGAACAAAGAAAAAGATTAACTATTGGTGTTGAATTAGTTGCAAAACCTAAATTATTATTGNCTTTTGTTCTTGGATGAACCAACTTCAGGTTTAGATTCTCAAACTGCATGGTCAAAGTTAGCAGATCATGGTACGGATGTTGCGGTACGGATGTTGCGGTACGGATGTTGCGGTACGGATGTTGCGGTACGGATGTTGCGGTACGGATGTTGCGGTACG